TATTAATAAAGATTATAAGGTTTCTAATCTAAAATATAAAGTAGGTTAGTATTTTAACTAATAAATAAGGAGTATAGATATATATCTTTATAAGAGTTATCGTAATATCTTATTTTTGTATTTTTTAATGGGTATATTAGATATATTCCTTAGACTAAATAGTCTTAGTTACCTCGTTCTAAGGGTTCGTTTTTATCTAGCTAAATAGTTACTTTAAATTTAACTAAATTATATATATAATATATAGAACCCGAATAATTATTATCTTAGAGTTAATATCTAATAATTAAATAGAATCTTAGATACTTAAAATAAGGGTAGAGTTATTCGATATATTATTAGTCGTTACTATAAATACTTAGTCTTCGATCTAATATTTCTAGAGGATATTAAGAAGGATTATACTAAGATTCTATCTAGAGTATATACTAGAAATAGGTTTAAAGCTAAGTAAAACCTCTCGATAATTCTAGTCTATATTAATAAAATAGCTAGAGATAGCTATAAATACTTATTAAAATAGCGATATCTAATAGTTAAGATTAATAGAGAGTTTAGTCTTAGACGGAAGCTTCTGAAGTAAATCTTTTTGTTAATCTTAGGTTATTCCCTAGATTTAACGCTATATAGTTTAACGGGAAAAGAAACTAAGGATAAATAATAATAATTAGATTATTTAAAGAAGGGCTTAGAATTTAGGATACTTAATAGTTTAAAAAGGAAGCTATAGGGTAGTTATTATAGTAATTAACTATTACTTCTATAGCTCTTAAATAACTAGCTAGGCTATTCGAGGGGAGTTCTTAGCCTAAGAAAGATTAGCCTATAAATTAAATAATAGCTATATAATATATTATATATTCTATAAGACGTTAGATTATTAAATATTTAGTAGTGTTTTAGCCTTTTTAATATATACTCCGATTCTAGTAGTATTAGAGACCTATTATCCTATTCTTAGTATAGACTAGATAGTCTATAATTTTACTATATTATTTATATAAGAGCTTTGGCTCTCTTATTACTAAATATATAATTTAATTAAAATACGATTATATATTAGTCTATTGTAGACCCTCCTAGTTTATCTTCTTTATAATATTATAAGAATCACTAATTTAGGTATTAAGCTATTAGTTTAAAAACTCTGCTTTATTTATACTATTAAAAATTATCTAGGTCTTTTTCCGATCGTTGGATCGTTTTAGTATTAGTAGTATAATAGGAGAGAGGCTTTGCTTAGTTTACTAGCTTTTTGGTGGTTCTGAGAGGGTATCAAGAAATTGATTAGAATAGAAAATAGATAACTTAAACCCTTTACTCTTAATAAAAGAGGGAGGGTACGAGGTAGATAACTAAGATATAGAAGAGATATAGTAATAGTATATTAAAATAAAAGACTCGAGATATAGAAAAATAATCTAAGGTAAATTATCATAGATTTAGGGGAATATATAGGTCTAATACTTATTTTTTATTAGTAGGTAGGATTTAGTATTATCCTAGTACTAAATTTTATAACTAATCAGAAGATACTCTACTATAATATATATAAAGCTTATTAGATAGTAAGAAATAGATTAATAGATCAATCTATAGGTTAACTTATTAATCTAAATAATTAGGTAAGAGTAATACCCTAAGACTTTTATTTTTATCCCCTAAAAATTTCAACCTAACTAGTTAACCTTTTTACGTAGGTATATTAGAACCGGGGCTATAAGTAAATACGTAGATAGATTAAAACCGGGGTTTTAAATAATCGCGTAGATAGATTAAAACCCTGATTCTAATAGAGGTAGAAAGACTACTATAAAAAGGTATATATTTTATTATATCTAGTAAAAAGGGGACTATATAATCTTTTTATAACGAGAGACTTAAGATATAGAAAAATAATCTAAGGTAAATTATCGTAGATTTAGAGGAATATAGGTCTAATACTTATTTTTTATTAGTAGGTAGAATTCAGTACTATCCTAATACTAAATTTTATAACTAATTAGAATAGGCTCTACTAATATATATAAAGTTTATTAGATAGTAAGAAATAGATTAACGGGTCAACCTATAGGCTAACCCGTTAATCTAAATAATTAGGTAAGAGTAATACCCTAAGATTTTTCTTTTTATCCCCAAAAAATTTCAACCTAACTAGCCAATATTGTTATTTTATATAAATTTAGAAAAAATATTTAAAATAATTCTTTTATATAAATAAGACTATAATATACTTATATATTAATAAAGAAATATTAGATATTAGATTTATATCTATTTTATTATTTCTAATATATATAGTTTATTTATATAAAAAGTAGAAGTACTACTACAGACTTTAAATATATATTTTTAGGTTTAGTATAAGAAATAGTTAACTAATATCTTCTTTCGTCTATATCTATTTATTATAAAATATAATTCTTACCTTAAAGTATTAAATTAATAAATTAATATATTATATATTCTAAATATATTATTATTATATAATATTCTTTTTATAAAGAGTTATAATTATAAGTTATATTAGAATAAAAATAGTATTTAATAATAATGTATTATTAAAAAAGGTAAGCAAATTATCTATCCTAATTAAGAAATTTATGCTAAAATAGGTCAAAAATAGGTTGACCCGTTAACCCACGGGTCAACCTATGGGCGGGTCAGGATTTTATTGACCCGACCCATGGGTCGTGGGTTTGGGTCATGGGTCAAGATCTTTGACCCATGGGACGGGTCTGTCCATGTCTATTTATGTTCTGTTAGCCGGTTCAGGAAATAGATAGTTTTCGTATTATTCTAGAAAAGTAGCTATCCGAGGGATCGCTGCGATATCGGATAAAACGAGATAGTGAAATTACTAGCTTTGCAGAGGTCACGAAGCCGTATAGCCTTCGATACGGAGCAGCTAAAGCGTTTAATAATAGTCGTGAGTGTCTCTATCTTCTCTCCCTGGATTCCTAGTTAATCTCGCCGGTCGATTTAAAACAGCCGATATATCTAACGAACTATAGAATATGATACTGTAGTATACTAACATTAATATCTTCGTTCGGCACTATAGTATGGGTATTTATATTAACGCGTAAGCGATTGTTAGAGGCCTACCGGCCCAGAAGCAGCTTATACGCTTTATATACTCTATAAGCCGGTCTATTGATCCCCGGAGACCCTACAAGCTAGAAGACTTGAGATCTATTAACACCGTTCCGTGTGTGTGTACTCTGTAAGGGGCGGTAGATGAACGAAGGCATATTCGGGATAGGAATAGGCGGGCTTATAAGAATATAAACGAAGCATTCCAAAAAGCATTTCAGGGCGACTCTCCACAAAATGATTCGACGCCTCTTTCTTAAGCTCTCAAGAGCGTGAAGAAATCCCAGAAAAAGTTCGAGTGTACGGAGCGGCGGTATCAAAGGGCCCTCTGTGAGTTATAAAATAAGAAAGGGCGGCAACGGAACTGTTTAATCCGCGAGAACCTAGAACGATATAAGAACGAGCAGCTAGTTATTAATAGCGAACGGTAACTTTCCGGGAAGATTGTAGACGAAGAAGTAATAGATGCTCTAGAGCATACCGGATATATAACCCCGTATTATATAATACTAATCGATACCGTCCTTACTATACCGGGTACTACGGTAGAAAAAGAATATCGGCGTCGGATTACCGCGATCAATGCTATGATTGTATTCTGTGATATGGAGGAGGGTGCTCCGTCGCGGCCCTATATCTCCAAAAAACGTGACGCCGTAGATACCGTGGATACTCTACTATCCGCTCCCTTCGCTAAACGACTGAATTCCTCCCCTAAAGACAAGAGTAAGAGCGCTCTTCGACAAGCGATCGCGTCAGTTTGTATCAAATCTCTAGGTGAAAGACCGAAGATTTACTTTCTCTGTCTTGGGAATTCAAAGCTACCGGGAAAAAAGCGATTAGAGGTGTTCAAGAACCCTAGCTCCCTTACCCGGCACTTCGTGAATATACATATCAAACCTTTCCCGAAAGACATATATAGCCAGTGTACTGTCTACGGAAAAGAACTTGGGAGCAAGGCGCTTTTAATGAATCATGCGAAAAGAGCGTATGGGATCGTCTCACGCTTGCCTCCATCTGCACTTGGCCCCATATAGCTCCTTGTTATTATTTTGGGTTGTCAGAAGCGACGTGGATATTTATTTGACCGGGTTAGAGCTTAGGCTTTCCTTATCTTTGCTTTCGGTGATAGCAATATACTGGCGGAGCTGGTCTCTTCTAAAAACTTCCAGTCTTTCTATAATCCCCCCCCGGGGATTCCTATTTTACCCGTAATGTCGCATCAGTGAGACAGAGAAATGCTCTAGAAAGATGCACTATTTGGGCTGGAGACTGACACGGAGATCTCAAGGCCGAGAGATGAGAGCAAATAATTTCTCCCAGCGGCCCGATCATGAGCCCATCACGCAGCTATCACACGGCCATCGCAGGACACGGTTTTCCCGCTTTAAGCTATCGCAAGTAGGCCTGCCTCTCCCGATAGAAACCATCGCACGATGGACCACGGTTTTCCCCTCTAAGCTATCATAGGCAAGCTTGCTTCTTCTGATAGCACCTATCGTGAGACGGACCACGGTTTTTCCCTCTCTCTAATCTATCGCAAGTAGGCCTACCTCTCCCGATAGAAACCATCGTACGATGGACCACGGTTTCCCCTCTCTCTAAGCTATCACAGGCAAGCTTGCCTCTTTTGATAGAGCCTATCGTGAGACGGACCACGGTTTCCTTTAAGCTACCACAAGCGACCACGCTTTTACCCTCTTTAAGCTATGACAAGCAAAGCTGCTTCTCTCGATCGAGCCCGTCGTAGGGCAGACCATGATGGCATTGTATGTATGAGATTAAAATCGCGAAGCAATCGTCTTCTTTTAATAAATTTTATGGAATAATACAGGGAAAATGTAGAAGAAATAGAACTGTAACATGTTTATAGTCTGACACGCAGTACTTGTGTCTCGAAATCTTCATCGCGCGGTGGTGACAGTTATGTCTTCCCCAGTCTTCTCCAAGTCCCGGTCTGTAATCAAACTTGGAGTTGGGTAGTAGGAGCTCTGACAAGTCAGCTTTCTTTCACTAGTGGAAGATCCCGCAACGTACTAATTGTGAAGTAAGAAAAGCCCAAAACCCCGAAGCATCTACGGATAAAATATGTACCTGACCCGTCTCCCGGATGCGAATACCCACGCATACATCGGCGTCGCATATCTTACTATATTCGTATGCCTTTTTCATCAGGTTTGTTTTGCGACGGTATTGTTTTTGGCGTATCAATTTTCTCTTTGAGGAGGAGTAATTAGATCGAGTAGAATTTATAGTAGCTATTGCGAGTGATTGCCTTGCTCTTTGTAGGCGCTATGAATGTGAATGCACTTATAGGGGCAAAGTATAGGAAACGGGTGCTCTTATAAGGCATAGATCCGTTAATAGGAAAAAGCCAAATAAATGAAAATGCTACTAATACGTAAAGGGGAATTTTCAATTTTTGAACAGGCAAAAGACCACGATTTTCTTATAGAAGGAAATCGTGGTTATTTGTGTGTTGAGCTCGTAAGTGGACACCAAAACGGCGCGTAGCTAAAATCGCCCTAGCAAAACTATGATGGTGATTACCGGGATATTACGGTCAACAAATAGGCGGGGTATTTCATTTCCACGGGCAGTTGAAGCACTTAGACAGGCAAAAGGAAAATAAATTTATGTTCAATTATTCCAAGTTCAATTTTGAACTTTTGAAGAGCATGATTTTTGCGGCACACGCGGTTAAAATGACGTGCAGAAAACTGCTATACTGTTTCAGTTCAAAGGGATCCCGAAATGGTGCTCAGAACGTTGGTTGGGATTTCCTCCCTATGCGATTCAGGATGGGTGCCGCAAGATAATGCTGCGACCATTTCAACACTGTACAGCACCAAGCCAGAGGCTGGCCCCCTTGATCTTGTACTATCAAAATACGATAGTTGATTATAGTAACAGATTACAGATTTTCCTGTTTTCTAAGGTGTTGCGTCTATTAGTTAGATACTTTCTACCTCCTTATTGGTCAATGCTTACTTGCATTCCAAGTATCAGTCAAGCAAATCAATGTGACTTTTACTTTAACTTCTTGTCCCTACCTTTCCTTTTCATCATTTCAGGGCATCAGCGTGCGAAGCGCACGTCACCAGTAATTCTGGCTATAGACCTGGGGGTTGCCAGGGTACTAGGACCTGCACGTGATCTTAAAAAGGGGAGCAGTGGGGATGGTGAGTATATACTCGCAACAGGCCACGAGTTTTGCTCGCAAGCCATGGGTCAAAGGTGATCGAGGTATGTTACGCTCTAGAAAAACGCCGCACCTTTTCAGTTCAAATAGGTAAAGGAGCAACGCCTCTCTAGATTTGTGTGGGGCGATAGTCTTGGCACCGTAAGAACGTTGCCAATGGCGATGGACAATTGTTGCGCTCTAGAAGACATAGCGTGTCTATATTGCCACGGCCATTAGCCTAGGCGAACCTCTGAACCGAACGACTTGAATAAACCTTCGCTACATATCTCCGGTCCTAACACCTAACGACTTGAATATTCCAGACAAATGATTTTATTGACCACAATTTAGTCTTCCTAAATTTCTCGTTCTCTTCATTCGTCCGCCGACATCACGTGAGGAAATATTAGGAGGGGAAAATTACTAAGTTAGGAAAATGTGGGAGAGGAAATATTAGGAAGGGAAAAATCAGCTAGGTTAGAAAATTCGAGAGAGGGAATATTAGCTACTAAGGAATAAAGGAAGACTGGAAAATTTAAGTAGGTGAATTTTAGTACTAGGCTAATTTTTGTGTTGGGCCGAAATTAAGCGTTATTAATATTCTTCTTCTCATAATATTTACCTGGCTGGAAAATTCCAACTATTCGGTTTCAACGGAGATAACGCGAGCCACAAAATGCAGAGTGCCAAGCGTCTAGTGTCTTGAGTGTCTATCTTAAGCTAATTAATAAGGTAAGTAAACATTCTCGAGAGCGCCGGAGTATTATCTCTCTATCAAAACTAAAAGAGTTGGGACAGGGTATTGATAGGGGCACCTCAAGATTTTCGCTATTAACACCTCATTTTCTGACATAAGCAAAATCGCTGATATAATCAATTTTCATCACTATAGCAACTATATACTACATATCTACTTAATATTCTGCTTCATCTCTTTTTCTCTTCTACTACTACCCTACTAGTTCTTCGCTTTCTGCATACCCTATCTGCTTCGTCTGCTCTATCATGCATACCATGCAAACCAACCCCGCTATGCCTACCCCCAGCACCCCTACTGCCGCTACTCCCCCCGATATCTCTGCTGCCACTACTGGCAATTCGACTGTCGATTTGCCTACTAGACCCCTCGCCAATTCGCCTGCTGATTCGCCTGCCGATTCGCATACTGATTCGCCTGCCGCTGCCACTACCGATCTGCTGCCCCCACCACAACGAACCTTCCCTAATCGGGATGAATTGGTCGATTTTATGCGCCAATAGGGTATAGCGCAGGGGTATGCTACTACTATTAAGCGGTCCAATGCTGATAGGCAAGTCTATCTCCACTGCGATAGATCTAGGGTATATTCGGACCGAATACAAGCGCCTACAGGCGCCAAAAGGCGCAAAACGAGTACTCGGCGGCAAAATTGTCTATTTTTGGTATATAGAAATCGCTAGAGGAGTTCTGATTGGCTACTTCAGGTAAAGAACCCCGCGTATAATCATTCTGCTAATCAAGATATAATAGCGTACCTAATCGCACGTTAATTTACCCTAGCGCAGAAAACCTTAATTCAACGACTCTCTACTATTAGACCGAAGCATATTATTAGTACGCTATATAGCGAGTCCCCTCGTCAACAAATCATACCACGCGATATCTATAATATACGAGCAGAAATTCGACAAAAAGAGATAGGAGAACGTAGTATTCTTAAATATCTACAGATACTACTCGATTCAGAAGGTTATAAATATTCATTCAAGTAAGATAATATAGGGTATATCGAATTTTTTCTTTTCTCTCATCCTTAGTTAATTTAATTAGCCAATTTATATAATAAGGTATTTATCTCATCTATTTTTATATGATTTTATTGGCTAATATTTTAAGGTTTTTATTATAGATTATATATATAAGACTAATCGGTTTGGTATACCTCTATTTTATATAGTAGGTATAACGCTATCAAACCATATATTTACTGCAGCTCTATGTTTTATGCCTAATAAGGTTGAAATAAGCTATATTTAGGTGCTTTAGACCTTTTTTGATTAGCTAAATCTCTTATCTGAATCTGATTTTTGTCCGATTTTGGTAACTGATCGCGAATTAGCTTTAATAAATGCGATATATAGTATCTAGGGGTATCATACCCTATATTTACTATATATTTGGTATATCAATAAAGTAGTTTTAGCGAGGGTAAAACGAGATATTAGCTAATCAGACGAAAATACTCCCTAATTCGATGAATTTATACGTGTATAGTATTAATTAGTCTAATTATCTACCGAAGATAAATATAAGGTTAATCTTGATAACCTTAATCGGACCTATAGGAGATCTTATCCACTAATTATACGCTATCTCGTAGATATATAGCTACCCTATAAAGAGAGATTTGTCTATGCTTAGACCAAAAACCTTACCTATTTTGGTAATAATGCATCATCACGTATCGAGGGGGCGTATTCGGTCCTAAAACAGTATATAAATACTTCTACTAATGATTTACTTACTATATGGAAGTCTATTTATAAGGCTATCACCAGCCAATATAATCTAATTGAATATCAGATTAAAGTAGATTAGATAACATATCTGATACTAGCATCTGATTGGCTATATACCTTTCTCAATAAGCGAGTATCTCGATATTCGCTAAGGTAGATTGATATACAGCGAATCTATGCTAGTAGGGCTACCCTAGAGGCCCCTCTTGGTATATACACCAATTATTAGACAAGTACTATAGGGTTACTATGTAAGTATCGAATTGCTGATTTGCTCGCAAAAAAAGAAGCAATCCCATTGGCTGATATTCATCTATTCTAGCGAATTAGGGTTAAAGATTCATCTGATATCGCCTGGCAGCTACTGCTAAATCCCCGAATTCAGCCTGCTGCTTTCCCAAAAAGGCAATCTACGCAGATATTAGATGGGAGCGAGGGGGCTAGACCAATCAAAAAAAGGAAGGCGCCCCCAAAGTGTTCGAATTGCGGCGAAATTGGGCATACATGTCGAAGTTGCCCTATTGCCAAATAGGGTAATCTGTTTTTGGTGGTTAGGATAAGAGGATCATGTGATTAGAAAATGGATCAAAAAAGATTATATAAGTCAAAATGAGTATTACATAATATAATGAGGTGTCAATAGCGAAAATCTTGAGGTGCCCCTATCAATACCCCAGAATTTCGTGTTGTTTACCTAATTATATTTATTAAACACCCTACCTCTTTAGCTGATAGGCGATGTTCAAAATAGAAAATACAAAATAGCGGGCTAAGAATTTAGGGGCCAGGGGAATAAGGCACAAAATAGCGTTTTAACCACCGTATTTTCTTGCCCTTTGCTTTTTCACCGGCCCTCAATTATCCCACCGCCTACTCTTCCCGTTGACTTACGTTTTTATCGCCATCAATTTTGTGCCTCAACATCAATAATATCTTGCACGCTTTTTTCACCTGGTTATTCAACCATTTTCACCACCTGGTCGTTGCACACATACACAGGCTTTCAGCAGCGAGAACCTTCGCTGCCTCAGTTACCACTATATTTCTGAGTAATTACTTATCTGCTGTTCACTGCCCGCCGTTCCCCCTTTCCTGCCGTTAACCATTGCATTTTTATCCCCCGTCGACTTAGTGTCTTCACAACAACAATGTCTTGCATAGTCCGGAGTATCTTTCCCCGGTCATTCTACTCTTTTCGCGACCTTAGGTCGTATACAACACACTAGCTAGCGTGCGCCTATATGAGGGTGCGTCTCTGGTCACCACTGTGTAACGAAAGAGGAAGTACGACACCGTTTCACGTTCATCGACACGTACACAGATCACTATTACCTTGGCCGATCCGGTGATGACCGTTCGGAGTTAAGCGAAGATGAATCCCTTCTCTCAGTCGGGGCTACATATTGCTTTTTCGGGTGGGAAAATGATGTGTTAGCAATTTTGGATATTGGCCTACGCCCACCGCAATGTCGACACTTGGAGTTGAACCCGAGCCCATGGAGGCAGGGCAACATCTCGGTTCTCTACTGTCGCCTCTCGGGCTTGGCGATGCGCACACTCTGCGCCTCCGTAGTCATCTGTCGAGGACCGTAGCTTGATATTCTCGGACCACTTGGCACTCCTAGAACTCTCATGTACTCCTAGGAAATGTCTAGGTACTCCCAGGAAATTTTGTTTATTCACAGGAGCCGACAACCGATCCTCCCAGGAACCAGGGTCCATTCCTAGGAACCGCAATTAGTTCCCAGGAGGATACCATGGGCTCCCAGGAAGGGGCTTAATGCTCCTAAAAGCCACTGCATATTTTAGGAACAAGCTACGGGTCCGGCGACCGAGTGCGTTGAAAGTCTATAAAGAAGTTCAGCATCCACCGTTTATCGGACGCATAACCTAGCTACCACACCTATGCTGGGTTCCTCCAGGAGACGCGTAGAGCGGAGTAATTGCAGGTAACAAGCACGTAACAGAAAACGAGGAAAGAAAGGTGGTAGCGTGCACTACTCCGCTCAATACGTACACCCACTCGGTTCTCAGCAGCGAGAACCTTCACCTCATATTTCTCTATCACCCTTCGTTTGTTGTCCGCTATGGTTGCGGTAGCCGCTTTGACAACTCAATCTCTGACGGGGAGGACATATTTCTCTCATATATTGATAATTGCCAAACGATTCTCCAGGCTGAGCACTGAAGATCTTTCTCCCTTTCTTTCGATCATACCAAAACCTAAACCTTGCAATTTCTATTTTCAGTATATAACCTGAAAACCTCTGAGACTGTCGTGTACTGAACTATACTGCGATAAAAGACCCCAAGACTAGCTGTCAGCCCTAGACATACATGCTCTCAACACGACTCTCTTGACTGAACTTTTCCGAAAGTTTCTCATTCGATTCCGCGGCTATTTCCAGATATTTATAGCTCACTAGCTCTTCCCCGACCGTGGCAAGTGCGTGCGCAATGGAAGTAAGGTTCTTGATCTAATGACGGTCAACAGGTGAGCATGGACTAGCGCCGCCAAGGACTAACCTCTCGCCCATTCAGAGAAAAGTTGTCTAACAGTTGCAACTCATCGTGGCCAACCATAGCAGGGCCTTGAACCGTTTGTGCTTTGGACAATAAGTTTTTCCAGATCTCTCTGCGAAACTCCCTTGTCAGACCCTCGTATTTAATAGTCAAATAGATGCGGCTCATGATTGCCTCGTCAAACTGGATCATCCGATTCGTTGTTAGGAAAAGAATGCCTTGATAATATTCTAGCTTTCGGAGAAAAACGGTCACGAGGCGATTATAGGTATCGTGATAAGATGTACGCTGCTCCATGAACGCATCTACCTCATCTAAGAGAAGCACGGCCTTAAAGTGCTTGGCAATCTTGAATATGTTCTCAAGTTGCTGCTCAAGCGCATTGGAATCACCGTGATCGACAACAAGTTCACCGGCCGATATCTAGGCAAGTCAGCGAGCTCACAGCATGCAATAGACAATGCTAACCGAATAGAGAGGGAGATTGAACCGCTCCGAAGTTGCCTCGACGGTAAAGGTCTTTCTAACACCGGGTGGGCCACTAGGAAATGTCAGACTGGAAGCAACAGAAGGACTATATTAACGTACTACAAAAGGATGTTGAGGCCGCGGCCCTTTCCATCGATCACATCGTCAAACGGCACGGCTGGCACCAAGCCGAGGCGGGTCTTCGCCAGTGACGAGAGGAGTGTCTTGGTCTTTGACGGAATCTTCAGACAGTCGAACGATTCGGGGGACCACTGCACGTCCCCAAGAGCACCGACCGCACATTCCACTAACTCCTATTAGTCATGAATCCAAACCGTCATTCTCACGTGACACGCACAGAACATCTTCTCCTTAAAGCTGAAGCAGCAAACAGTGGGACAACAGATCAAAAAATCGTCCTCGCTCATTTGTTGCGCATCCACGTTGCCTTCTTGCATTCTTTCCTTCTCTTGCTCACGGTTATTACCGAATAGTGTATCCAAATTAATGACTGAAATGCCCTCCTTTTCTTTTGCCCAGATATCGTGGAGCCGGGGTCGGGAGTAATTCGGCTGCATTTCTCGGAAAAATGCGGCATCAACTCCCACTCGACTATTAATGTTTATTTTGAAGGGCTTCCCGTTTTTCATAAAGAACGCGCTGCCGGTACAGTATTGAACGTGCGAACCGGCCAAATCACGGAACTTCTGACCTCTTCCTACCAGGTCTTTGCGGACTCGTTGGTGACTCGGATAAAGGTGGAGAGGAAAAGCTTCGAGAGTCTTAATTGGTTTCGACCCGCGGAACTTCAGAATACGCAAAAAGACGCCTACCTTCCCAAACTTGGTTCTATCATAATCAAGGAACCGACACTCGAGCTTGTAAAATTCCACGTCGTCTTGGGTCGTCTCTTCTCCGGCGTCGAATATAACGCACCGCGGCTCCCCTGATCCGAAACACGTGGTAAAAACATAAGAGCCAGGCTTGAAGAGCGCCTAGAGGAGGTCGTAGGTGATATAGCCATGCTGCAGCATTGAATTAAGGCGCTGTAAGGCGGAAGTATATGTATACTTGAGGTAGTCGATAAGTAGGCCGAGATGTTTTAGGTGCTTAAAGTCACATTTCGGGTTATTTTTCATGCCTTACGCGCACTCCTCGAGCTCCGGGAGGAAGTAGAACAGGATAGTTTGCTCGATCTGTATTCAAGTCAGCCTTTCGCTTCAGGCGTACAATTTGTTTTCAATTACCGATGGTTTGTCCTCCAATAGGCTAATAGCCTTGATTTTTTACAACACCTCACGCAGGATATCGCGTAGCCATTCTGATTTGATATCGATATATAGCGTCACCTCATCGGATTTCCGGTCTCATAATACTATTAATAGAGTTTCGGCCTTGAATATAAAGATATCACATACCAACACGTTCACGGATAACGAAGATATATTCATCATAGTCGCCCAGGTCACTGCTGGTCTCCGTTGGCTCGGCAATCTTGTATTTGCATGCTTCTTTGTCCCAGCTAGACCAGTGTCAGCATATTTCTCCAAAAAGAAAATGTGGCTGGTGGTTCGTACGTTTCCACGACTGTCTTGAATTGGGGTGTCGACGCATAAGATGCCCAGTTCTCAAACGATTTGAAATCGTCTGGAGTAGTACTGATCGGACTTTCAAGATCAATTACCTTCGCCGCCTGAGCGTTCTCCTCCTGTTCATTGCTGGCAAAACAAGACTGAGCAGGCTTAGTTGCCTCAATGGTTCCAATTGAAGGATACCCATCATGGATGACCTTCACTAGCAACTGCTTCAGTTGAACCATGTCGGGGCCTGGTTGGGAAAGGTGCTGGAAGACAGGAGTGTTTGGAGGTTCACAGTTTCTAGACGTAGGCCCTGTAGCCCTCTCACTCCCGGCATCACCTGCGGTAAGACCAGACAACACCTTTTGAAGCACTTCAAAGAGATGCTCAAGATCCTCCATGGTAACTTGAGGCATAACCGACCCCATTGTTGGACTATCCGGTGGCGTCCAGCCGTGCCTGGTCTCGCCGGACTGCTTGGTCTGGGGACAGGTAGAGGAAGGTGCACTTGCAATGTTTTCAGCGAATGCCATGTTGTAGAGTTGAACTACAGAGAAAATGTGGTGCAAAAGGAGAAGGCGATATGACGATAGACAAATAGGTCGAATGCCAACGATGAAAACAGAAGCCGACGAGAAATTGCGCCCTTATTATATATTTGCAATCCTCTGATCGGCTCATTACCCCCTTTCGTCTTGAACCTGCACCGCAAGCTCCAAGAGAATCTGACCGTGTCCGTGGAGCGCTCCTCGTCGACTAGGTTCGGGCATGGCTAGTTTCTGTATGCACCTCGCAGCGTACATCACGCTAATTCGAGCAATGATTGTCCACACATTCTGTGTCAATACAAATCTAGAACCTTACACGGCTAAGTGGTTTCGCAAGCTCATCACCGGCCAAGGGCTGGATATGTTTGATGACACAAGATCGTGCCTTACACCTAATTGGGTAAATATGTAGAAGATGGGAATATACCAAATAAGGAAAATTATGATTTTTGTGTTTTATTCTTGATCAGGAATGGCCAAGATATGCACTTACCATCAGTGATTATGGCTCTATGATGGACCGGAAGTAATTTCTTCCGAAACACCCCACCTTCGTTTTCCTTGGATCTGGCTGAACCCCTCCTTAGCAGAACAAGACCAGTCGAGCAATAGCGCGCAGGGATCTTGAAAGCCCATGGCTTCTACTGAGTCGTCATCAGTGGAGGACTTAGGGAGGGGTTTCTTCAGAGATGGATTTCTATTTGTGAAAGACACACAAGCTGGGCAACGTGTCGAAGAGATGGAAACGAACTCCATACCCTTCGCATCAGAGAGAGGGTTGGGATTCTACAAAATCAACGTTCTTGACGATCCGGTATGTACTACGATCTCCCTAGCGTGTAGCTTGAAGATTGACTTCGTCTTAGCGCAAGCGACATACACTTGATTCTTCCTTCAAGTGGTTTGGCTTAGGGCTCTATCGAACCTTCGGTGCCATGCCTGGCGATTACGCCTTTCGACAGAGCGACCCAGCTTCTGGTCTCGAGTCGCTCTTGATACAATTTTGGAAAAGAGGATCGAAGGTTACGTTTTGGAAAGCCTCGCACCTAGAGCAAGTGGTGACTATGAAGGGGGAGAATAATTTGTGGAGGGCTCCTCGCGTGGCACTGACTCGGCTAGGCCTTGAGCCTGTCGAGGTCACATTTGAAAATGGTGGATTGTAAGTTGATTGATTGATTCACCTATCGAAAATTATCTAATTTAGTGAATAGCTCCATTCGTGACACGCGCCTCTTCGTCGAAGTCTCAGAAGGGAGTGCCATTACATTTGGAATCGCCTCAAAGGATGTGTTGGACAAATGGTGGGCTCCAATGAAGCTCCATGAGTCACTTGAGAAAGTAGTGAACAAGATGGAGGGGCCCAATTGTGGCATGAACGTGACATACTTTGACGGCAAATATAGTACACGAGCGCCTGCGGTCAGTCCGCCACCTGACTAGTCTAACACTCTTTTATCGGAAGTTGACAACCCGTTCTCATCCTCATGCTCGGGGGCCGCTAAGTAATTTGCATTCTGCAGCGTTGAGGAAAATGCATATGACTCTTGTACCAGATCATAGCATGGCGTGATGGTGATATCATCAAAAACCGGTGCGTATGGCTGGGGCACGAGGGCATCGTATGATGGTTGCATTTGTGAAATAGAGGGCATTCTTGATGGGAAGGTCATATTGGATAAATCTGTCGATGGGTACGGGATCGGGTTTATATTATACGACGCGAATGACGGCCTGTGTATCGCATTTTCCGCGTCGGAATGTCCTATCGACAGTGTTAATGACAAGTCATTAGAAGGCGTAGGAGAATTACCGTCAAAGCTATTCACGATCACTTCGTCTCTCTCTTGCGCTGGATTTCGCTTATGCAGTTTCCGAGAGTCCATCGCTGGATAGTCATCAGAACGCTCAGCACCTCGTTTATTGACCCGTTTACTTTGGGCTTTTTCATGTGCAAGCGTCCTGCCTAACTTCTCAGCAGAAATTCTCCTAAGCTGTGCACATCGCTCTCTTCGGTAGAATTCTTTTGCTTCATCGTGGGCCTATTGTCTTGCGAGGCATATGTGTCGCATGAATTTCCGTGTCTATTTAAATAACTAGCGACAATATACATATATTTCGTGGCATTGAGCATCTGAAACCGTTGATTAGCATCAAAGTTCATTGAACCGATTTTCGTCTCGTACGCGACTCAAAGTGACGTTCAAGCCCTACTCTCTTCGTGAAGTACGCTTTATAATGGCACGATAGGTACGGACACTTCGTTGAGGTGCGACCGCCAGCCTCGTCTTCATCCTGATCGCTCATGTTGAAGTCGCCTATATCTTTATGCCCAATGTCCACGTGAGCGGCCTCCTTATCATTTTCGTTGTCAGTATCGCAGTCAATCTCTACCCCGTTCTCCTTGTAATCGTCCGTGTTTTGATCGTTGAGGTGAGCGCTGTGGTGCTTGCGTGGCAAATGTGCTTGAACCTCGAGTAATCTCGCGGTTAAGAGTTGAAATTCCAACTGCAGATTTAGGTCAATAGGGACAATTGAGAGCAACACGTTTTACTAGCCTGATAGTCCGCGATGTGGTCACGTAGCCCCTGGTGTGTTTTAAAAGAGTTGAAGCAGGTCTGACATTGTAGATATCTTAGTCTCTGGTTTTTCTCGTGACTTTTGCTTGGGTCGACAGTGACGAAACGGGCACGGCTTTGCATTTTGTTTGATTTGTGAAGGCTCAAAGGTTTACAAGCCTAGTCGAGTGGGGTTGACTTGGATTTGGCCACGGGTGCGGGTTTTGCCACGGAAGGCGCTAATGGATTAGGTATAAGAGTAGGACTTGTTTGGGTATAAATGTTTCCTATTAACTTTGTTCCTTCATGCTTAACCATTACATTGCCTCTTTTCTCTTCTCGACATAAAAAAACATCGTTTTTTCTTACCCCCAAAAGAAATGCCCAAATACTCCGAATGCAACGACGATAGGATGGTTGGCACATCCATCTGCCCTAAATACAATGGTTATAGCGGAACAAAAAAGATGTCTACGCCTAAAGTCTATTCGCGAAGAAAGGCAGAAAGGAATTTGAGGTAACGGGTGAGGGTATGTATAGCGATTCTAGGCTCGTAGCCATCCGTGCTTATTGAGATTTTTAAAGGATACTAACGGATAGAAGTCAGCGCTTCGAAGCTGTCAGAATATCGCAGGACTACGGTCGGAGCTTGGAAAGTCATGAGTCCAGTTGTGGATGTAGGATAGCGCTTTTTTCTTCCGAAAAATCACTTCGCCTCGAACACCCAAGACGAGGATCGAACTCTAGAAAAATTAGGCAGCATTTGCCCCCCCCTCACCCATATATACATGTATTTAAGGTCAATACGTATTCAACGCAGAGGCCCCACTTTACCTAGTGACATTGCACAGTACCTATGCCGCGCCCCAAGCTATGCGTTAGTCCAGTCCAATCAGTCAAGTTGCCTAAAGTTTTGCCCTATTGCACCGCCCCTAAAGTATTGGCCATAACAGGGATCAGGGACGAAATTGTCTCAAACAGAATTGGCAATAGCTCAAAATTTGACCTCTGTCCAAAATAGGCAAGAGCACGAAACACTGAAATACCCAAACTAGGAAATACCCACAGATATATGCGTTCACGGAGTATTACCGTAAATAGCCAATTGCAGATACTACCAGGGCCGTCATTAGAGTTACAGGACTTTTTGTTTTCCTGGACTACACATACAGGACACGTTAAGACGCCACCTAGCGCGTAGTGCTGCAAAATGACTGTGGCATGACGTGCGTTACGGCACGTTTTCAACCTCTTTCTAAGCGCGGAATGTGATAAGGCATACATTTTCTACCCTTCATCCTCTCCTCCCACCGATCCTTGTCGACTTTCACGACATTGGCCTTGAGTTCCTTCCAATCCGGTATGTTGAACCCGCTCAGGCCCCGTTAACAGCCTCGAGTAACAGGGTTTCCACTCTAAAATTACATATATTGGACTAATAGTACGTGCCGCTAAAGTACAATGAGGAGTTAACCGCTACGTGATCTTGTCACGACACCGGTCCCTCAGGCTATAAATACCTGTTGAACTTCCAATCTCTATAGTTCACATCTACAGACCACTAGAAGCAGGATCGCATATCATTCTTCTGTCTTTCAGGAGCCCCTAAACTCACTATTTGAAATCACAAAGGTAGGTTATTTAAACGATAATTCATCGGCTAATCGCTCACGCTTCCAATTTAGAATGTGCCAAGTCAATGTTGCGACCAAGATTTATATATGCGGTTGCAGGGTCAAAGAAGACATAAACTTCGTGCCTTGCAAGGATATTGGCACCCCTAAGTGCCCGGGTCGCATTCCCAACACACTGGCCTCACATAGAGAGAGGGGAAAATGCGAGAGATATAGCTGCCCGAACCCATAGTCGATCAGCTATATGACTAGCATCGGAATTCGAGCTTACGATAACAGAGAGGTTTACGAGAGGGAGGTTGTGCGCAGCGGCCGGAAGTGGAGGGTCGATGGCTCATCTCGAAGGGTTATTGATTATGACACGCTAGTTCAGATAGCATTGTATTTGGTTCAGTACAGTATAACCGTATACTTCACGAGTGTATTGAAATTGTGTTATTCCCTCTCACCGCACCAGAGTCTCAAACTGCCAACGCTGGTCTTCAATAAGTTCCCTCAAATCAGAGTATTCTCCTGTCCAGCATCGTTGTATCACAGGTCCAGCTGCCAGTCCGTCAACCGGCGGGTACCTTTTGGAGGCAAACAGATCGTCAACCAATTCTTGGTATTTCTCTATCTCCTCCAGAGACTTGAATAGACCTGGAGACCTATAAGGCCAATAGCCAGTCATTATCGTATAGTAGATAGATCCGAGGCTGAAAATGTCCGTGCTTTTCGTCGATTCCGGCGGATTGCAGGGATTAAAAAATCCGGCGTCAGGGAGATGCCGACCATCTATTTCTCCATTTGTTGACCCCCCAAAGTCACAGAGCAGAAGATCGAGCTCGTTTCCGGCCACAGTGTGCAACAAAAAGTTCTCAGGTCGAAGATTAGAGTGTATCACACCTTTTTGATAAATGAATTGGATCGCCTCCGCGGCTTGCGTGCGCCATTTGAATCGTAGAGATATATCGATGCTAGCATAGTGCTGGTCAATATAGTTTTGTAGATTTCCATCACTTGCTTTAGTAAATAACAATCCAAATAGGTCATCTGAGACGCCCTTGAACCTAGGAAGAAGTCAATCACTGATCACAAGAAGTTGGGGGCTAACGGACTCTATTATTCTTGGATGTAGTCCTAGGATTTGCAGAAGTCGTTCTTCCACCTCAAAACTCCGCTTCATGTCTCAAACGAACCATTTATCCGCCGCTATCTTAGAATGCCACCAAGAGAATCGTGGACATTTGATAATAACACCTGGTGCCAGGCGTGCAATACGGGAAGTTGAGCCTTCGCCCAAGACTTCGCCGAGAAGAGGCTCGTACGGGACCGGGTCATCTTTTTTGATGTTTATGGCACCTGGGCCCTCCGTGATTGACGTTGCGTGTGTATCGTCTGCCGTACCTAGAGGTTGTTTCCCATTGACGGGGCCTCTACAGCACTCAACATCATCTAGCCTCTCATGATTTGGGAGACGAATTTTAAAGAGCGAAGGTACTTTAAAGAGAATAAGACGATACAGATGATATCGCAGAACTAAGAAAAAAGCGAAAGCGTGATTCCAAATACTCGTTAACATGTTGGAGATGTGCTCGAAGGGAGTCTTACGGCGAGGAACTAGAAACAAAGAAAGGAGGTCGGTGACTCTCGAGCCAAGGTCGAGGCGCCATGCAAACTTCTTAAACAACGCGAGTATGGTCATTGACCAATAATAGTCCATTTTATGCACAGACCAACCTGTCGATCAGCTAGCTATACCTGATATGATCCAGAAAACTTGAAATCAAACCAAGAAGGAGAGCAGCAAAATATAACGTGGACAGGAAGTCTTTATGTCAAGGCAACAGAGGGGGAGGTTACGAGACGGCTTATTGAGGCGCTGAACTAAAAAAGGCAAAACTAACCTGAAGAGGCAATTCATAGGTTCTCATTTTACAAGTTAAAAAAATCCGACCACGCAAAGCCATATAATATCTTCGGTTGGGTCGTTTTATCTTGTGTCGGAAAGAGAAAAAGGACCGCTAGGCCAACTTTCGTAGTCTATAAGGTAATTTTCTTAGATTGACATCTTGTATTATTATTCGCCCCTGTATTGAAATATTCACGTGATTACTACCATCCTATTCTGATTAGATAGAGCTCCAGCCCCTTAACTTCTACTGATTACCTTAGTGATTTTTACATATTGCACCTCCTGTCTATTTTCTCCCCCCTCTCCTTTTATTACGGACACGCTTCAAAATCCCTTAAGCCATTTACAACATGAATGGCGATCCACTTCTAATACAACCCGAGGGCACTATCTGCTATATTACACTGGGATCAGCAGGTGCTATCTTCCAGGACGGCGACAGCCAAGTCGTTAAAACCCCCCTCAAGCACGACGTTAAAGGATGTAGCCAATAAGTGATCGATACTGTCTAGCACATGGAGTCTATTTCGGAAATATGCATTAGTCGCGAAAAACTCATCTACTAAACCCTGCCCAAGAATTCTAATATTCTTGACTGCCTTGCTGTCACAGAAGAGGCCTCCACTTCCCATATCATCGGCTGGGAAACCTCCGTGACTATTTGAAACACAAAGAAATAGGCAACACTATCCGAGACCAATGGATCAAAAATGCTATCGACGCTATTACTTTGATCCATACACATGGTGTGATCCATGCGGATATCAGTCCGCGGAATTTCCTTGTGGCCGAGGATCTATCGATTAAACTTTGCGACTTCGCTGGATCAGTGATTGGCGATCTTCAACCATTGGTGGAGGAAGAAGACCGATACCGAATCTCGCTATGGTCCCCGCGGACTGTCAAAACGGATTTATTTGCCTTGGGATGCTTGATCTACGAAATCTCCGCGGGAGTTCGTCCATACAACGAAATCGATGATATCGAAGAAATCGGAAGGCTCTACGCTGCATAAGTCTTCCCAGCCCTTGATGGTCTTAGATACCGGGATGTTATCTACAAATGCTGGACGTCTCAATACGCAAGCGTGGACATGCTTCGGGACGACTATAATCGTTGCATTATACAGGGCAATGCGCTGGATGATCCTACCACATAGCGTCACGTCGCACCCAGTCTGTTGACACTGGCGCTGAGCATTGTCAGTGTTGGCTCTGTCTTTTTCTGGGTTCATCAGAAGCGAAATCGGTGAAACTATCCTGGAACTAGCTGTCTGCGTCTTTTTATTTCTTACACAATAATGTTGCTCGGCGCGTTACGCGCCCAGTCATCAGTTGTGAGGAGCCAGAAAACACAACCTGAGCGCAGACCCAGTGTTTGTAAGCCGGTACGCATTAAACGTCTATGGCGATCGCGTGACAACAGAAAAAGGCGACATGCGCTTCGTGTCGATTATCAGGTGTCCCCCGATGAGACCGAGTACGCGCCCCCACCACCGAGGACTTCTCAAGGCGGTCGCGAACGGCATTCTCAGGATGGCAACCTACGGACCCTATTGGGATATGTTCTTCACTGGGAATGTGATAAGAAATAACAATAGGAGGGAAATCATGAACGAGATCAAGTTTGCTATTTTAAGTTCCCCTTCAACCAACGCTGGCTAGAACGGCGTGAGCGTCGGATCGAGCGGTATCTGCGGTGGATTAGGAGGGGGCAGTGCACGAGTCCATGTGCAGGGGTCGGTGGGGGCCAGAAAGGGACGTGGCAGAGGAGGAAAAAGAGAAGAAAGTGCGTCGACGTGTCGAGGGGAGGGAGGGCGGCGTTTTATAGATGGATGGCAGCTGACCGGGGCGGTAAAAGCGGCCAGGGACGGCGCTAAACCAAAACGGGGCGAGGGCGAGGGCGCTTTACCGGAAGAGGCAGGGGGAGAGCAGACCTGGGCAGGCGGTCGGGAGAGGCAGAATGACGGTGCAATGGGAGCCGTTTCTGGCGGCCCGCTCACCGTGTCATCGTATACTCGCCTTTTTTATTAATTCGTTGTATACGACGAAGTATTAATAAAGTAAAGGGTTAAATCGATAAAAGTCCGTAGCTAAATAATAGCTATCAATATTATCTTAATCGTTTATTTAAAATCTCTATCGAAGCTACTAAACTCGCCTTATATTCGTAGTCCGTTCTCGCCTAATATCTTTATTAAATTTAACCTAAAAAGTACCTAAAAGTTGTAGATAAATCCCTATATTAGGGCCTCTCTTAGTAAAAGATACAAGTCATCGAATTACGGACTATATAACGAAAGAGATATACTAGAATATTCAACGAGCGAGAAAGTAAGTAGCTTCGTAGCCACCCTATATCCTATAACGAGATTAGAATAGGGAGATATTAGTATCAAGAGAAAGCGAATTAATTACTAAGGACCCTCCGCTATTTTTTTGATTTAATTAACGAAATTATTAAATAATTAATGAATAAAGAGAAAAATTTGCGTTTGGGCGAGAATTTACGTTCCGGTGTAGAGGACCAACAGCTGAAAGCTGTGGGTCCAACTCAAGGGGACGGCTACATCCTTCGAGTAATACCCCAAAGCGGCCCACAAGGTGACAAAAAGGAGCATATTGCAAACGGAATAGGGAGTCAGTTTGGTTGAATGTTCACCATGAAGTCGAGATCGAGATGCTTTGAGCGCATCTCTTTATAAAATGCGAGCATATACTGGAATTATTGCAAATAATAATTTCCCTGGATTAAAGAAAAATAAAATCACGCAGTCTCAAACGAGACCATGATTCAGGCACCATGCGCCAATCAATACTAACGCATTGACTAGTCAAAGCCAAGATACGCCCATACCCGTCCGTCGCAGCTACTGATGGCCCGCATCATCGCTGCTAATCACGCTCCCCACCTCGGACCAGCTTGCCGGAGTAGCCACACACCCAACTGACCGGTCGCCAAGGTCGCTCAGTGTGCCGTCGGACGACCCATCTGAGAACCCCCCAACAAGGCTGAAACTCCCAGCGGTTGATGGCGTGGACGAGATATCGTGTTGGAAAGAAGATCCAGGACCCATGCCATCGAAGTCTCCAAGTAGGTCTTGCTGTTGGCTTGTATTGGCCGCTGATGTGGGGTGAGCGTAATACGCCTGTTCATGTCCCTCGGTGTGGCTAGACGCCGATGCCGACACTGGCGATCCTGGTGCCACGGGAGAGTCGGAGAACGGGTCGAACAATGTACCGTATGTACCGTCTTCTGGTACTTCTGATGTGGGTGTAAACTGCACAACAGACTCCGAAGGGTGGTTGGATGCAGTATCTGTAGGAATCTGGACATGGAGCCGATCCGGGTCCAGCCCAATGGAGTCGACTTCATTCTGCTTGGCTCCGCGACGGAGAGGCTGCGATGCGCCCAAATCAACAGCTGTAGAGTTAGCCGCTGAATCCATACCAAGCTGGTCATGGTGTTCACCCTCTTTGGGCATGCGTAGGTTCCCCTCCTGGTCAACGAGGGTGTCGAAGCTCTCGAGAGGCTGCTCTGAATTTTTGGCCTGGCGTCGAGATTCCAGCAGAGCGCTTCGTCGCATTATTTCTGCTCTCACAAGTCGTCGTCGTTCCTCTGCGGCTTCTCCGACCTCCTCGGTCATGGATATATCGTCCCGCACCGGAGAGGCCGAATTGCGGGGTTGGATCTCATCACCCAGGTTGTGCAGGGCCATGGCAATCTTGCGCCGAGAAGTGTCTACCCATTGCTTGAACTGAGGAGACTCATATACAGCGATGCCTGCAGCGACAAGGACAGAGACAGTCACAATTATACCTATCCAGTTGTTAGACAGCATCCAGCGGGGAACTGATAAGCCCGAGATCCACCGGCGGATCCGCTAGAAGGAGAATGACGGGAGCAGACCTTTGGCAAATGGAGCAGGCATGATCAAAACTCCTACCAGCTTTTCTGTGTCTATTTTTCTTTTTTCCTCCTTTTATTGCGGAATCTTGGAAGCCTGGGACTGGATGGATGACGCCAGCGCTCTGACATAACTGCACATGACCCGAGCTGCCCTTATCCTCGGCCCTAAAAACACACCGCTTTGGGAATTCCCCGCGCGTCCCTGAACGGGCATCGCATCTTAGCTTCTTCTTGTATTCGACTTGAAGCCAGCACCCAACGGCTCGCAGACTGACATCATGTCCCGTCAATTGGTCCAGCCCCAGCGGCCGTTGTCCCTCACCGAGGAGCTCGAGAAATTGGAGCAGTCCATCACGCTCACGCTACAAGGTGGGTCAACCGTAAACAAACAGCTGGACACGCTGACGCTCGGGGGTCTTTATAGAGATCGACCACAATTTCAGCCAAGCCCATCGCATTGTCACAACTAGCATCTTGCCGCTCGTGGAGCAATACACGGAGCATTCTCGAGATGTGTGGGATGGTGCCAAGGTGAGTTGATCTTTGAGATATTCTCTCTGGAATGTTGTCGGATATATCTAACTTTCCGTTCAGTTCTGGAAGCAATTCTTCGAAGCTAGTGCCAATGTATCTCTTTCTGGATACGAGGAGCGGCCCAATGAAGAGGATACGGTGCAGGAGCCCACGGCCACGGAAGAAGAGCTTTCTACCGATATAACCCAAAGCACCAGCCTCGACGAGACCAGCCATTCACAGGAAACTCCCTCGTCACAACGCCTCGATGTCCCTCAACACGGCCCGGGAGACGAAATCGACCTCACCTCGCTCACCATCTCCTCGCATAGCACGCCTCGCGCCCCAGCCCAAAGCCAACAGCCCGTTGACAACATGACACCTTCGATGGATTATTCCTCGTCTTACGAGAACCTCAGACGACAGGTCAACGCAGCCAAATCACCGTTCGACATGCAGGACTCGTCGACTCTCCCGTCCACCCCGGGACGGCAGCCATTTTTCCCGCACGTCTCATCTGCAACCCCAATGTCCTCCCCCTTCATCCCACCAACGTCCTCCGCAAAGAGCCCGTCCGCGTCCCGCGAGAACCGATACCAAAAGCCCGGTGATCCTGTATTGCACCAAATGCTTGACAAGACATACCGAGTACAGGCGACCCCTCTGAGCAAGGGCTATGGCGACGCCAGCTCTCGACCCAAATTCACCGTTACTCCCAAACCGGCGGCGTCCAGCTCGCGGCCCGGATATGACCACTCTCCCCTCTCCAGCCCAGAGCTCGAGGCACCGCAAATGCACTCGGAGATCTTCTCCTCGCCCATCAAAGGCGTAAACGCCACGCCCGGCACGGCTCGCAAGCGGCGCACCAGCAGTAACCGCCTTCGCGGCACCCCAAAACCGGGTACGAGCGTGTTGACTCCCGCGAAGAAGGCCGGCAAGCAGGCCGTGTGGGATAGCGATGACGATTTGGACGATGAGGACTTCGGGCCGAGTCCACCCAAGACGATGCAGTTCCATATTCCACAGAGTCGACTGATGCAGACGCCGGGTATGTGTTGATCCTCCTATCCCAATATTTCTTAAAAAATAAAAAAGAAAAGGAAAGGAAAGAAAAAAAGCCCCGCTAACCCTTTCGCAGCCAAGGAAGCATCCAAGCGCATCGTGACCGATCTGCTGGCGACTGCCGGTGCCGATGATCTTACGGACGACGTCGATGACCAGAGTCCGAATGTTGTTGAGCGGAGGGGACGATTAGAGGACGATACCTTTTGAGCTCCCCATTCTGTTCATTGATCTGTCGTGGTGATCGCCCGGTGGCGCTGTCTTGCTTTTGAATATACCGAAGAATCAAATACCCATGTTGCCATATCTAGACATATTGCCATAGTCGGCGTTCAATTGGCTTGAAAATGCCTACATTTATTGCAATGATCATGTCTTCAACGAGACACTCATAGACGAGTCATTCATTAGAGGAGAGAGAGAGAACCTGAACACCGTCTCAAGTAGTACCATACACATGCGCGATCAGACCGACCGATTTTTTAGACCGCGGAAATCCTCAGATGAAAAAAGAGATAAAGAGAACACCGAGAGGGGTTATTGCAAAGATATGTACTCGGGCTGGCGGACAGCAGGAGAAACATTGGGTAGTGCTGTTTCTCTAGGCCGCCACCCTTGCGGTCTATCCTGTTTTGTCCGAAATGACTCATTTTGGCGTAGAGGATGAAACATCAAAAGGGAGATGTCGATAACTGGATTGGGTAGGGTCTGCCATGTCGATCGATCGTATATTTTAAATATGCGGGGAGAAGGAGGGATTGACCCATGTAACGGACAAGTGCGTTACGCCTGCTTTTTGTTCTCGGGCTCGGGCTTCTTCTCCGATTCGGACTTCTTCTCGGGCTCGGGCTGGGACTCCTGGGCATCGTCGGAAGAAGACTCAGAGGATTGCTTCTGGGTGTTCTCGGGGGCATCGGACTGAGCCTCTTCGTGGTGTTTCTCGTAAAGCGACTGGTGTTTCTTTTTGAGGCGCTGTTCCTCAGAAGCAACCATATCCTTCCAGAGATCGCCCTCATGTGGCTGGCCACCCTGATGAGAGGGAGTCGACTCAGTAGGTTCGGAGGCCTGTTTAGCCGCAGGCGCAGCAGCGCCCTTCTCCTTCTTCGCCGCATCGAGGATACCGCGACCACGGCGCTGGTCCGAGATCTCAAAGGCAGCAGAGGCGCACAGCACACCGAGGGTCAAGCCCTGGGCATAGACACGGGCCTGAACGATCTTCTGCTGGCCGGTCAGGTAGGGGTTGCGGCCGACGAGCACAAAGGAGCCGATCATGGACGCGACCCAGGTGGCGCCAACGATCTTGTACTTCTCGCGGCGCGCAAACGCCACCGCCCGGTCACTAAAGCTCAGCCCGCGCATTTCTTCGCTGCGCAGGCGTTCCTCGCGGTTCTCGTACCACACTCGGTCTGCGTTGCGTTCCATCTCGAAGTTGCGCGAGGCGTGGTCGGCTGCGACGATGCCTACGAACGTTCCCGACGAGGTCATTAGGAACGCTTTCATTGGCACTGTCAGGTTGCGGATCGTGTGGTAACGTCGGGCGGCGAGAAGGACGCCTGCGGCGCCGCCGGCGAGACCGACCAGCCCACCCAGGGTGCCGCCTTTGACGACGGAACTGTTCGAAGACTTGTTAGTAGTTTTTCAATTTTCAATTTTCAATCTTCGGTGGAAAGAGTGCCAGGCTGCAATCGTACCGATAATGCGCGTCTTCCTCTTCTTTCGTAAGGAGCTTCATGGTGGATGTGAAAAATGGAAGAGTGAAGAAGAGGAAAAATGAGGTCAAATAATCCCCGGGGCAAAGGCCGATGATGGCATGACGTTGACCCTGCGGGATCTGCCCTGCGCCGCTCGATCCGCTCGGCGCAAACTCGGTCTCGGAGCGCAGTAGAAATTGAATACTACAGAATATTTGTAACTATGGAATAAAAAACCTAGATTCTTCTTATTTTCTTCTCGGTTCTTTTTTAAAGAAAACTCTGCGTGCTTATTCACTGTAGCGAGAATCTACCCTATGCGACTTGTTACACCCCGAAGTTCAATCCCCGATCAATCCCGAAACGCCAGAACACCTTGAAACAGAGCGACCAGTGGCAACCGCCGAGATAAGAGAACATCCATATTACCGTCTCGATGCTTTCTGCGATGCATTCTGCCGCGCCTGCATTTTGCGGAAGCGATCCTCGCCGCTGGCACCCAGAGGTCGCGCAAATCGGCTCTCCTGCACGGCTGTCTGTCGGGGAACCACCGTGTAGCTGACCTGGGTGCGATCGGGGCGCGCACGGTTGGCCAAACGGGGCGGGAGCATCTCGCGGGCGCGAGCCTCGGCGGCGACAACTTCGGCGGGGGTACTGGTGCGCTTGACGATTTTCCTGGACATTTGTCAGTAGATGATGCGACAAGAAACTTGGCAGGACAGCATACGTAGGGTCAAAGTCGGCTTGCTGGTAAACCCGCTTGGAGTAATCGTCACTGCGCTGGAGGATGGGTCGCGTCCACTCGGCCAGTAGTTTGTCGGCCAAAAACTTGATGCGACGCTCCGTGCGCTTGCTCTTGGTATAGAAGACCACCACCTTTCCGATTCCACTAGCGATCAAGGCGTCCTTATTGATGGGAAGCTTGGTCATGGCGGTCAAGAGGTCGCGCTGGATGTTGTAGGCCGGCATCGACCCGTCGTCCAAGGGCTCTAGGAAGAATCGCACAGCCTCCAACAAATTGATTTCCGGGTCGACCAGGCTGTTGATGTATTGGTTGCGGTTGAGGAGCATGACGACCTCGGGAAGCAGCTTGAGCTTGTGCATAGCCGGCTTTCCTTCCTGGCGGTTGATCGCGTCCATTTGCGCCGCGTGAGTCATACGCTTGCGCATATCCTCAATCTCGGCATCGGCCATGGATTCCAAGTCCTGCGGGTATTGTTAGTCGAAGCTAGAGTAGAGAACGTAGACCCAAAGAAGTCACATACAATTCCATCCTGCTTGCGGGGACGTCGCTTGGTCGGCTTCTGCATCGCCTGGTCCATAGCACGATCCAGAGCCCTGCGGCGACCTGTTTATCCATTTCGTCAGTTCGGGCCCAGCAGTTTTGGTGGTCACAGCACATACGTGTCTCGGGATCCATTGTTTCCTCATCCGTATCCGGCTCTTCAGCGCGCTTCTTGCGGTCCTTTCGACGAGACGAACCTTCCTCGCCTTCCTCTTCATCGCGAGCCCGGCGGCCCTTCTTCTCCCGACGACCCTCCTTCTTGCGGTGTGAGCGGCCCTCCTCTCCATCCTCGGTGCGCTTGCGCTTGTGGCGGCCGATGAGCTTCAGGTTCTCCTCGTCAATGGCGAGCTGCGGGCGGTCTTCGACATCGACGTTCTCCGGGTCGAAATTCTCGAACTGCGCCTCGTCAACCTCGGACAGGATCGACTCGTCGTCGGACAGCTTGGCGTCGTCATCGTCGTCCTCAGGTTGCTCTTCAGGCTCGACTTCAGCAACCTCCGCAGGCCCTTCATCAGCAACGGGATCGGTGGGTTTCTCGCTGTCATCATCGTCGCCGGCGATGGGAGTCGCAACTTTCTCCGGCACGTCGCGGTCGGGGGAGGCGGCAGGCGAGCGGGCCTGGGGTTCGGGAGAGACGGACATGGTGGGTGAGGTGGATTAAAAAGAAGTAAAAGTACAGACAAGACAAATGAAATGGAGATCGCGCAAAGACACGGCGTGTAAGCTGTCCCGATGCCTCTCCGCAAAACCAAGTGGCGCGCAACAAGCCAGGTACAATCCCGGTCAGTATTGCAGACACCAGCTGACTCTAAGAACAGAGAATGTGGAATCAAGGGAACAAAAGAAGATAAAAACCAGGCGGATCGAGGGCAGAGAGTGGCAGAGGCGAAGGCGGAAGTGAGAGAAGGAGACGGGTGGTCTGTGCTCCCGTGATTTTCCTCTTGCCGACGTCTTCGATCTTTACCTTCCACCACGCTCTTCCTTGCTTCTCTCTGAATTCATTTTATTCTTATCCAACTACTCGTTTATTCACAATGTTTGCTCCCGGTATGTGGAAGGCTGTATCTATCGAAAACTCCGACTCGATCTCCGACTGACCATGCAATTCTTTTCAGGCCAGGAACAGCTCTCCAAGGAGGAGATTAAGGTAACGGCCCGCTCATCTTCTCTCTCGCTTTCGATTTCTTGACAACTCATGCTTTGGGATAGGCTGGTGAGGTTGAGGCCTGCCAGACTGTGCAGCTGGCTCTCGCCGGCAGCATCCTGCTCTACCTGTGTAAGTGGCGCTCGTGCTAGTGAAGAGTCGAATATCCGGAGACTAGCACGACTTCAAGAGAGACGGAAACTATCTTGATGTCTTTTGGAAGAGGCTAATTGCTGAGACTAAACTACAGCCCCCTTCGCTGTCGACTTCGTGAAGAAGATCCTCTAAATCGACTGTCGCGCTACCCTCCCTCCCCCATGATTCGTCTTCGCAAATCATCGCTCGTGATGGCCTCGATGCAGTACAAATTCCGAGGACGAGGGATTGTTTTTCTCCGGTTCTAAAATCTTTTGACGGGTTTTGGTTTCGGCATGGTCAAGCCCCAGTGGCCTTTGTACCTTGATATCTTGAACTTGGTCGGGAGTCATGGCTGGGTGATGTATTATTATTGTACATGCATATTTGGTTTTGTGTATTTTCCCGGATATAGAGCAAAATGGGAACAGGGTCATGGAAGTGTCAGGCAACAAAGCAGAATTAAACTCCTGCAAGGTAGATCGTATTCAAAGATGCATTAAAAGTACAGCGACCTGCTCCCAAACAACGCCGATGCTCCCATGACCGCAGACACGAGTCTCGAATGACAAAAGCATCAATGGGCAGGACAATATCAGTTTCCGTTAAGTTTCTGTGCCTCCTCGAAGTCTTTCTTCACCGATTCCAGCTCCTTTTGCAAGTGCTGGATCTGGGCGTGGTAATCGTCAAGAATCTGTAGATGGCCAGTTAGTTTGTGAGATTCTCGGTTGAGATCAGTGACAGCGAACCTTCTTGGCAGTTTTCATGGTCTGCTCGTCAATGTCCTCCTCCGCTAATGCTGCCACAGTCGCACCAGCACGGTCCATCTCCGCTTGGAGCCGCTTCGAATGCTCATGGATAGCCAGCATACGAGCCCAGATCTCTTCGCCTCGGCCGTTCAGGGAAGGGTCAAAGACAGAACGTTCCAGCTGCGTAAGCTTTTTCTTCAATTCCTCCTCTGCATCATCCATCGCGTAGCCACGGTTGCGCAAGACCTGCGTCTTGGCAGCCAAGGCCAGACAGCGCTTGCTGAGGACAAGGTGTTTCCGTCGGCAATCGGCGATCTTGACGGAAATCTTCAGGTCGTGTCGCGAGAGTAGGTCGGTCAGGCAGTTGTTAATCTCATGGAGACGCGCTTGCATCATCGTAAGAAAGTCCTTCTGCCGCTGTGCGCGCTTTCCGAGATCCCAGAAGCCCTTGACAAGCACAGGGACGTACCCCGAGCCAGGTCGCTTGCGCAAGGCATCCTCCCACTTTGTTTCATCGTCCTCGGCTCCTGGTTGATAGAACGGCGCAGCCTCTTCGCCGACATTATTATAGAGATAGGCTCTGAAAGGGGAGGATTGACTTGGCGCGTCCCACTTTTCCTTGACGATGGCGATCTGCATGGGAACAGTCCGGTGCACTGGATCGGATGAAGTCAACATGGAGAGATTTCATGACATGATAGACGGATTATAAACCCACCTCCAGTAATCGCACGCCCGGGAGACCACAGGCTCGAGGACAGGGACGGCTGTTGCTGCTGGGTCTGGGGCTGGGTCATGGTGGTTTGGCCAAGCTGCGATTGCTGCGCTTGTTGGGGCTGCTGTTGTTGCTGGCCTCCAAGCAGCGATCCACCGAGCAGACTGCCTTGCTGTTGGGGCTGCTGCTGCTGTTGCTGTGTACTGGCCCCGAGTCCAAAAAGCCCACCACCCCCAGCTGCGGGCTGCTGCTGCTGCTGTTGTTGGCCGGTTCCTCCGAAAAGACTACCCTGTGGTTTCTGCTGCAGCGACGATCCGAAAAGACCACCGGATTGTTGTGGCTGCTGTTGTTGGGGTTGCTGCGGCTGCCCGAAACCACCACCCCCCACCGAACAAGCTCCCCTGTGGCTTCTGGGCAGTGCTAGATCCAAACAAGCCTCCGGGTTGCTGCGGCTGCTGCTGCTGTGGTTGCGAGGCTGTATTAGACCCGAACAGGCCGCCTCCCGTCGAACCTTGTTGCTGGTTCTGCGTTGACCCGAATAAGCCTCCACCGCTGGGTTGATTTGGTGTGGTCGTGCTGGAACCGAGACCGCCAAAGGAGCTGGATTTATTGGCCGTGTTTCCGAACAAGCTACCGCCCGACGGGGCCTGTCCTCCAAAGAGCGACATGGTAGGCGCCAAAAAAGCACGAGCTACGGCCGGGAAGCGAGCGCGTCAATGGGAGTCAAAGATTTATTTCACGGTCGAAATCAAACTCCAGGTCAAAGGAAAGACAGATCAGGACCACATCGTCCGAATGTCGAGGGGATGGCGGATGGGGAGTGGGGGACCGTCAATAAGAGCTCAGGCAAGAAAGAAGTTCGGAGCTGCGTTTTGTTTGGATCACGTGATGGTATACTGGCTTTTGTCTGGTGGAAACTTCTACGCCATTTGTGGCGCATTCTCGCAGATTAACGTCCTCTTTACAGGCAATTTATTGCTCAATTTCACTTCCACGTTCTCATTTTCTACCAATACAGCCGTCTTTGTCCTCCAGCGTGGTATATCGAGTCCCGCGAACACTGTGCTGACTCAGCCATTCTCTCCGCCAATCAGGGAGCCGGCAAAGAAACCTTTCATTCCACTGCAACCCGCGAGCTCTCGACCCCCAAGACCTGCTCTGTCAATTGCACCCACCTCAATTGACGTGATACCGACACCGTCACCATGGCTCAGAGAGATCCTCAGTATGGCACCCTGCATTCTCCCCACCCACCTACCCGCCGCCTTTCGTGGCCATGTCCGCAAACCCTCCCGAATGAAATCTAACCCTCCCGTCCTCGGCGCACAGGTTCAACCAGCATGTCCTCGTGGACACAACGCCCATGCCGGACCACATCCCCAAGGTGGAGGAGATTGGCGCCACATCTGCCCCGCTGATGAGCGCGGCCTACTTCATAGGAGATCGGTGCAAGGCGTACAACGACGACTTCATGAAGTGCAAGGACGAGGCGAACGGGCGCGGCGAAATTGAGTGCTTGAAGGAAGGGCGCAAGGTGACCCGCTGCGCTGCTAGTGTGTATGTGGCTTCTGTGCTCCCCCTGTCCTTGTGGAGACCAGTTCAAGGTACTGACCCGGCCACAGTATCAAGGACATCAACACGCACTGCTTGCAGCAGTTCACCGCTCACTGGGAGTGTCTTGAGAACAACAACCACTACCTCTTTGAATGCCGCCGCGCCGAGATGGCCCTCAACAACTGCATCTTCGACAAATTGGTATGAGCCCGCTTCCGTCGTTTCCGGCCGTCCCTTGCCTAGTTTGGATGTGGATTACATGTCTATTTTCTATGCGCCTGTTGAAATATAACAACATAACCAACTGACTTTTCTTTTCTACAGGGCCTGAAGAAGACCATCCCCGACTCCCCCCCAAACCAGGTTCCCGTGCACCTGCGTCCTCGGCAGAAGTTCGCCCAGTTCCCGGGCCCGCAGTGGTAAGGAATGCGGGACTTTTTCACAGTTTCTCATCTCAATCTCAATTCTACTCGTGCGCCTTGCTGGCTTACCATAGGGATCCCGGCGAGTTTCTCTTTTTTGTCCCTGGTTTACTTGGATGCGCAATCGACCCTCGTGTCTCGTCTGTCTCAGTCTGATGTATGCTTTGTGTAAATATCTATTGGCATCAGGAATGTTCACATGATTTCTGCTTGGTTCACATTATTTTGTTGGTATAAGAGTGCGTGTAGATGACTCTTGCTCATATCTAGTTCACGAGGTATATAGCAGTAGCTATTTTCATCGGGCATTACCAGTGGTGCGTCACTCGACGGGAAATATCCATACGTGTATGAAATTGTTTGATTTGGTTGAAATCTACAAGTATACTGTCGGGTGTTGCCTTGATACTTGAAATCTCCAACTGATACAGCATTCCAGCATGGATTCAAATAATCCAGTCATAATTGAATTTTCTTATTAACATTTTACTATTCTATTATTCTATTATTTAATCATTATTATTATTATTATTATTTTTTTTTTTTTTTTTTAAAAAAAAAAAAAAAAGATCACGAGCTACCACAGCCCTCCCACCACAGCTCCTCGACATCATACAGTACCTGCCACACCTGACTTTCAACCTATCTAGATACGGATCCATAGATTTCAGTCACTACTAGCCTTGCAGCAACCTACAGGCATCTGATATGGATATTCGGCCACCAATGCCGGAAGTCCCTGCCCCATGTGTGGGGTCCAGGGTCCAAATTTACCAGGGTGCCCCATGGCAGACTAGAGATGACTGGTCACTATCATGGAGCCTACGCCAAATGTTCATGGGTAGAAGGTGGTGGCATGAGGGGCAGAGGCCGAGATCAAGAGATTGTGAGCAAAGTCCGCTAGTCTGTGGTCGAGGGGCCCGGCCACCGACTGGCAACCTGACTAGTTTACTAACCCGGCAGGCCTAGGAACAGGCGTATATTGTCCCGATTTGGTCCAAAGCAAGAATAAACCATCGTTTAAGAGGCTTCTGTGAGTCGGAATCAGCGGGAATATATCGTACTCCGCTGGATGACGTGTAGGGTTGAATGCATAGTTTAACACAGTTTCACAGAAATATTCCCCGATTTTGACATAGCGTCTTTGGGGGCAACCGTCTATATCGTTTACATAAGTAAAGATAATTATTCTGGCGGGATGAGGTTTATAGGATCTCGGTCCCGGATTAATAAGAAAGCCGATCTTGCATGGATAACTCGATTACCAAGCCACAGGCCCCAAATAACTATTGTGATGCTTACAGGGGATGCGCTTAGATAGGATCAAAGTTGATGCTCCGGGGATCCGAGGAATGCGCTCCTAAGAGTCATCAGGGTCGTTCCTAGGATTAATAGCATGGATTTACACGGAGATATACGACGAGCGGAGGATATACGGAGGTGGACCCACATAGCTTATCTGGGTTCCCCTGAACGTGAGGAAGCACCTCTCTTTTGCTTCCTCGCGCTACGTCTTGTATCTAGAGTCGACTATAGCTGTTCTTAATACAGATCTTTCACCACGAAACACTGTCTACCTCTACACATACGTGAGACCCTCACAACAGCCCCCAGGAACTAAATGTAGGGTCCTGGTACGGATTTTATTCTAGGGTCCCTCTTAATTTTTGAGGTGGCTCAGAGTCCACGGCGGATATTTCTAATTGATTTTCTCTTGGCGGACGACTGCAAAATCGCGTCGCCAACACGCACCCACTCTCTACAACCACCCACCATGCCACCAATTCGCACCCAAAATGCCAGAAAAGCTGCCGAGCAAGAGGGCAGGGCCTTATGAGCTATTGAAGCTACTCAGAAGAAGCAAATTCTTTTGATTCGCGAAGCAGCGCGCCAATTCAATATACCTTGTTCTACACTAGGCGATCGTCTCGCCGACGCTACAAATCGGTCTGGTACACGCGCCAACCACTAGATATAGCGCTAAAACATTTAAATTATCGACAATTCAGCTTGGTTTCCATTTGAGTGGACTCTGGCCAATTAATCCACAAGTTATATGCGACAATTTGGTGGTTTATGAGGCCCGGGTACCTCTCCCCCCAATCTTCGGATTAAGCCAATTCAACCGATATCAGCACACCAAAAACCACCAATCGCATCAAAAGACTCGAATACTGGATGAATGCTATTGAAAGCCAATCAGAATGATTGAAACCGTACGCAACTAAGATGGCGAAAGTTACGCGTGTGTTCGCATACAAAGCTAATAATATCGAGGGGGGAATTCGACAACACAACCCAATCTAGATTGGTCCGCGAAGCGCGCCATAATAAATTTCGCTAGTATACAAGGGTTAGTGGCCTAATATCATCGTCCCAGGTCCATAGAATGAGCCGAAACGAGCAGAAAATAGGTGATTTAGAAGCGTTGAATCGCTTACGACCGAAGTGGAAGAAGGTGATGCGGGAGCTTAAAATGCACTGCAGACAGAATGGACGTCTAATTCGCTAGTCTATTTGGTCTGAATTGAATTCCACGGTATTCAATTATTTATAAATAAGCTACTTTATAATAAATTATATAAAATATAGTGGAAAATTTGTAATTTTGTAAGTGGCCGGTTAAGGAATTTCGGAAAGTTGCGGTCACATACAGACTTGTAGTAATGACTGTCATTCTGCCGAATGGTCTGAACTTCTTGTTGAAATGGACAAGGTAGGTTAGACAGGAAATGACAAACCTATAGAACAGCGCTGTCCTAAAATATTTCACCGGCCTATGTGGCTGTGAACCGATGACATATCAAAACTGGGGATATTACAAAAGTTGACCATGTCGTTTCCATTCCACGGGTACGGGTACCAAGCTGGAAAGCAGCAAAAGAAAACATAGGGTTTATCCGCTGCCTCTAGATAGCGTAGTGGGAATAGGATGACTAAGATATTGGATGCTTCATGTGCGCACGTTTCCATAGTTTAATAGACACATTCCTTTTACCTCTCAATCAGACACCTCCGGGAACCGTCTAGGACGTATCTCTGCGCGCTGCGCCGCTTCTACTTCACCATCGTTTGTGTGTGGTGTTGGTGTCCAACTTGTGGTTGTGTTCCCTCCTTCAATAGTTAGTTACATCACCACTCAAGCAACACTGCTGTTGTCATCGCTTGCGTAGCAGTTCTTTAGCTGCAAACGGCTTTATACCATAATGGCGAACAGTAGACCCTTCCAACCACCCTAGCTCATCGTCCATAATCTTTGGTACCTGCTGCCTTCTCTTCCCTCTCCCCATCCGTCTTCATTCTTCCTGTCTCCATCTCCAGTCTGTCTTTGTCACCATCCTTATCCCCTCATCTATCATTCCATCGCCTTCTTCCTCTCCTGACGCTCCCTGGAGTATTTTTGCCGCCTATAATGAAGCCACCCTTCTTGCTTGCGGTGGCCTCGGTGCTGCTGGGCTGTGCTACCGCTGAAGTCCACAAGCTCAAGCTGCACAAGGTCCCTCTGTCAGAGCAGCTGGTGAGTCTTGTATTACCTGTTCTTCAAGGAGAGAAACCAGATTTCTCTCGGTCATGTGTCTTCATTCCATGGCGACTAGCTGACTCATTATATAGACCACCCACAACATCGATGCCCATCTCCACGCTCTGGGCCAGAAATACATGGGAATCCGGCCCCAGCTGAATGAGCAGAGATTCCAGGACAACCTGATGACCGAAAAGGGCCGTCACAGCGTCCCGTTTGACAAATTCCCCGACGCGCTGCGATAAGTAACCCGCGCGAAACATGCTGAACCATGGCAGAGAAACCATGATACTGACAGTTATCTCCCGGACAGATTTCACCGAGATCGAGATTGGAACTCCTCCCCAGAAGTTCAAGGTCATTCTGGACACCAACTCCGCCAATCTATGGGTCGGATCCTCGAAGTGCAGCTCCGTCGGGTGCTTTCTCCACAGCAAGTACGACTCCTCGGCATCATCCACTTACAAGAAGAACGGCACCGAGTTCTCTATGAAGCGCTTCTCTGGCGGCACCACGAGCGGCTTTGTGTCGCAGGATAACTTCAAGATCGGTGATCTGAAGATCGAGAAGCAGGACTTCGCCGAGGTTACTGAGCCGGATAGGTCTTATACCTTTAGAGGCTATGATGGTGTTCTTGGGCTGGGCTTTGACACCATATCGGTCAACAATATCGTCCCTCCTTTCTACAACATGCGGAAGCAGGGTCTGCTTGACCAGCCCGTGTTTGCCTTCTACCTTGGAGAGGGCAATTCCGAGGTCTCCTTTGGTGGTATTGACAAGGATTACTACGCTGGTGAACTGATCAAGATTCCTCTCCGCCGCAAAGGCCTCTGGGAGGTTAACCTGGATGCCATTGCGCTTAATGATCAAGTTGCTCAGCTTGGGGATACTACCGGTGTGATGCTGAACGTTGATACCCCCTTTATTTTCCTGCCCTCTCGCCACGCCGACGTAATCAATTTCTGGATTGGTGCCAAGAGGATAGGGAATGGCCCCTACACGGTTGACTGTGGAGAGCATTGGCGTCAGCCCACCGTTACCTTTACTCTGGCTGGTCACAACTTCACTATTGGCTCCTATGACTACAAACTGCCGGATGGCTATGGATACTGCATGAGTGCCTTCGTACCCATGGACATCCCCGCGCCCCTGGGTCCCCTGGCCATCCTGGGTGAATCCTTTCTGAGGAATTGGTATAGCGTGTATGACCTGGGTAACAGCACTATTGGCCTGGCCAGGTCAGCGTACAGGGGGCGTCGTGAAGGATGAAGGTGCAGTATTTATATTGCGGATTTTCTAATGACCACAGCGCTTTGTGTAGGCGGTGTGTCAGTACTCAGCGAGTAGGGGTAAGTACTGCACTGAGTAGTGGCTTGTCAAATCCTACGGAAATCAGTTGGCTAACATTTTCTCCGGGTGTGCAACCCTTAGTTAACTGCGCTAACATAGTATAGTATCATGACAACTTAATATTTGATTTCTTAAGGCAGTCCCTATAATAGTAGGAGTTGTAATCATCAAGTGATCTATTGGCTAAGGATTGGCTGCTATATAGTCCCATCCCCTACGGAGTGGAACTAGTTATTCTCGAATAGCGTCACTTAGTTAATCGATGTTTAGGATTAGTATGGGAAGAACGAATTAGGTGATTTATCATTGGCCAATTGGGTATAGTCATTTTTTCCAGGTACAAGCCAGAACCGAATCACGAGGGTCATATTTCCACTGAGCTAGACTTTCAGACTCAGTCAATTATCGGAAAATACCTCACCCGAATAAGGGGGCTCAGTTGACAATAATTTATGTAGGGCCATATATCCCACCTAATCGTCCTTAATCGTCCCCTATTATCCCCTATCGTCTCGGTCGGAAACTATAGTAGATATATAACCTAATTGTGATTATATCTTATACTAAGAAATATTTCGCTTTTAGAGGAGTGAAAATACGACAATATAAGTATTATTATATATACGTATCTATCTATATTACTGTAAAGGGTCTACAAAGATAGTGAGGCATAAGGCTATTCCCAACTGACGGAAGGGGTGTATCAGGTGATATCATATGATCCTAAAGGAAGTTAGAACTTGTTACTTGACCCACCCTATAGTGGAATGATCACGATACTCAATAGAGACCTAATCGTTTACATTATCGATAATACGTGGAGCTACGAAGATATTGTACAATAAATTGATACTCTCGTATCCAGCTAGCAAGACAAGATTCAGTCTTGATAGCAATAAAGATATACTGCTTTCTCTTACTCCTTCCTCTTGTTTCCTTACCTGATCGACAGGCTTTATACCCTGCTAAGTATATTCTTTATATCAAGGCTAATAAAAAGTAAGGGTATCTAGTTTCCGCTATAGAGGGGAGCTATTTTCGGCATTATTTTAGTCGCGAGTAGAAACAAAAGGAAGATCTATAAAAGTTTAGCGCTACTACACTACGCGGCCAAAAGTCTGGGTACACTCTATAATTCAGATTTACCCCACTATATTAAAAACTGAATAACTCCTCTAATATTAATTAATATAAATTTATACTAACTATACAAAGAAAATAGGTTAGTATCTAGTATACCAACCCTTCGTTACGCGTACAGTAGCTATTCTGCGAGGCATAGATCGAATTAAGCTATTAATAATATTTTAATTAAATAGTTCCTATACTTCGTATATAGCTTTTTTAAAGACCTCCTAATCTAATTTAGACCTTTTATTACCTAGCTAAGGGTATAATTAAAGAATTTTGATCTTTAGAAGTCGCTATACTAGTTCGATAGGGTTAAGGTTAAGCGAATACGGAGGTTAGTTAATCACCTAAATCCTATAATTTTCGAACTACTCTTGCGAGATTTCTGCTACATAAATCCTCGTATTATCTTATTAGAATATCGAGTATGGTTTATATATTGGTAAAAGACCTTCTTCGAGAGTATCGAGATAGGAGTTCGTAGTATAACCTTACCGAGATGCGTTTTTATCGCGATTTATGATTATTATTTTTATTCGGCCACTAATCTAGATTCTAGCCTAAATCATCTGCGAAATATCCTTGCTATGACTTACGAGGTTCACAAGATCGCTTCGGTAGGCCTCGGAGGTAAATCGAAAGACGAATTGGACCTTAGAATTCGATGTTCGTTGGACTAAATATTCGTTAGAAAAGATCAGATTCTCCTAATCCGAAAAACTCGCCTATTTACGTATAAAAGCGCGTCTTTTTTGTATAACCGATTTTAATAAAGGTATTCGCTTTTTACTCTTCTATTTTCGAAGCCTATAGCCTTTTAAAACGCGTCGAATTGTTAATCGAGAGGGTAAATAGGGAGTATTCGCTCTAAGGGCTCTATAATTTATTCGCGGGTTCCGACGGGCTATCCGATAGATATATCGAATAGTCTGATCGCTGATCTTAGAAGGTCTACTACTTCTAGGCGATGATTTAAGAGTATAGTGTTGCTAAAAGCGATCGCGAGTCCGGTAAATTGTAGTACGGCTAAGATTTAAATCGCGAGCGATTTTAGTAAGACTTAAGCTATTTTCGAGAGCAAAAATAATCGCTACGCGAGTAGATTCTGATAATTCATTATTTTGCCTACGATTTACACTAATTTCAGTGCCAAAATATCGTATATTCGTTGTGGTAGAGAGAAAAGAAAAAAAGGGTTAGAATATGGATTTTACTAAAGTGGGGTGCTGTACCCAGACTTTTGGACCCCGTTGTATCACGATAAGAGAATAACTAACAACACTAGGCGGGTACAGAATAGTAGTCGTCGAGGGCGGTAGGTAGTCAAATACGGGCACTACGGCCCAAAGCTACGGGTGGAAAGGCGGCCGTTTCTGGCCTCAAAAGCGGTCATTTTCGGCGTCAATTTCACAGGTCCTCAGATTCTAGATGTAATTTTCATTTTATTTACCATCTCTTTCCAGATAATAAAGAATAATCTTAGTCCAATGTCTTCATTACTGCGACCTTACTTGATCAACGAAGATATTATAAGAGACTGATTCCGCAGATCAAACTAAATAAATACTCGGACGAAAAATATCATAGCAACATCGCACTCGTAAACAAGAAATCATAGCCACACAAGCGACAGAACAGTACCCATCATACACAAAAGACCCGAAAACCCAGTAACCCCACTAGCACTTGACGAAGTGGTAGCCCACGGCACAGAAGTTGTGGGACTAGGCGGCGCTTTCAGGGTTTCATCAGGATGGAAAACAGCAGGCTTCGGCGGAAGATCGTAGGTGTTCGGCAGAGTCAAGTAGAGTGGACTGGTCACAGACGGAACCATGATATAGGTGTAACTGAAGAACGAGGCGCCAAACTCGATCGTGGAATCATTTTTCGTCAATGGTGCCTTGCATCGATGAAAACCTCCGTCCCCATCATACCCGTTATGAGGGGTATTCCCCGGGCGATCTCCACTCGCGAACAGGAATTTGAAAGACACGTCCTCGAGCTCGGCACTGCTCGTTTTGAGCTTGAGGGTGACGGAGAAGTTCGAGCCGCAGAAACTGGCAGAGGGCGGTAGAAGGGTCCAGTCACTGTTGAAATTGATGCTGGCGCGGTATGACTGAGGCTTGCCTTTTAATTTTTCCAGATTTGCGGAGTCTCGATACTCTTGGCGCTCGTATTCTTGGATCGTCACCTTGTGGGTGAGATTGACCACGCCGTTCTGGAGGAAGACGCCGTTCTCGGAACCTGGCAAGATGTACCATGGCTTGGATTGCACGCGATTGGCGTCGTAACTCGGGACTCCGCCTCCAAAGATCAAAGATCCATCATTCCATCCCGCACGGCCGAGGTTCAAGCCAAAGGGAACGGTAGCCGTCTGGTTGTAGGATGCAGAATTAAGGCTTTGCGAGTAATTCAGAACCGAATTGGGCCCCAGTGTGACCTCGTTGTATTGGTTGGCCTTCAACCTGTAAGGAGCATGCGACAGAGAAATATTGGCTCGAACAATTTCGTTCGAACCGGATTCTTCAACTGGAGGAAATGATGTGTGGTTGTTGATGGACAGTCCGGCGGTTTGCGGGTAGTACTTCAACTTGCCCTGTTTGTCCCGTTGGCTGACGTACGGGCCCCATGATACTTCGTACATCGCAGGGTCGATAGCCGCTAAGGAGGCTCGCCAGACCAAGGAGGTTTCCATGGGACCCGAGGCAAGTGCAGCCGAGGGCGTGTATGAGTCTGCGTCACTCACATAAATATAAGCGCCAGAGAGCGAGGCCAACGAGGCCAGCAACAAGATAACAGAGGTATTTGGCGACATTGTGGGCAACAATGAATCCAAGCCTTTGCCAGCGGCAGTGATGTCGACACGAACCCTTTTATGTGCCCCCTACCGGGGTCCTGAGATCATGGCGATCCTCGAATGCCTGCATCAAGCGCGATTTATTTCTCTTGGTATGACACATAGCGACAGCATCGGTCTCCAATGAAGACCCGGGTGTCCAACCAACTAAGCAAGATGCAGTTAGTTCCTGTAATCATTGGTGATACACGATCAGCTGGGCTGCGGCGATGAGGCGGGCGGCCCCTTTTCCCGCGGCTACTGACCTCGAGAATCCAATCACGTACTTGTCGACCATGCGTGTGCCCGATGATCAACAGGGTTCCCCCCAGTCAAAGGGGCCTGTGATTGGGGCCATCTTGTGCGGGCGACTTGGGGTCGTGCCCCGTCCCCACAGGGTCCTGCGCCAGCTGTGGGAGGGAAGTGTTCTTGGTCACGTCTTGCGCCAGGATTTGACGCCCGTGGCCCGGGGAGGAGCAAATATCATGCAAACGCCCGGGGGGGGGGGGGGTGTTCTTGGCACTTGCCGAAGTATACAACTTCTTGTGTCTCTCTATGTCTGTTTCTCCCCTCCTGGTGTTGAGATGTGTTATTTGAAAGAGCATTTATATCACCTTGAATGACTTCGCATGATCTTTCAGTATTGCAATGCCTAGGGATTACTTCGAGTCCACACGAAACCGGCCACGGCCGATAATGGAGGGTTTCAGTTTCTGTGCGCAGGGATCAGAGGGCCGCTAGTGTGTAAACACAGACATCAGTATTGAAAATCCAGTTCTATCGACCCTGGCCTGTCGCATGGCCCGTCGCGCTGGCCCTATGTTGGCCCTTATGTTGTATCCGACATTGGGACGGGATAACCCTATAGGCGAACGAGCGCTGCTTCACGATGCCCCAGATCATGGCCCTAGCCCCATGGCTCCATTAAACGAGTCACACCCTAGTATAATGGCATCATGGTACATGTATAGGTAGGTATAGGATGTGATGGAACAACTGGGATATTGATTCAGCCACTATAAGAAGGGGCAAGAAATCTCGCCCCCTTTTCTTCTAATTGCCAGTTTATTCTGATATTTTTCAGTCTTATACGCCTCAATACTTCGATTAACACAATGCGAGTGTTGCTCCTTCTGCTTGGGAGCCTGTTGGGTTTGTCCCTTCCTTGAAGCGGTGGAATATCCATATTATATCACCATCTAATATTCTTTTCTGCCAGTTCTATCTATCAATGCCCTCCCAGGCCGGAAGAATACCCTCCACGAAAGGATCAACAAAAATGACCCCGACGAATTCCCCAACTGGTGCGAGGTCTGTAAGAGCTCACACAATCGGACGTCTAAATCATGGCAGAGGCTAGAAATGGATGACTGGCTTGGCACAATGTAAGAAATACCTCTTTAAAATATCTTTTCGATCATTAACCCCAGGACATAGGAGTGATTCACTCTGGGATGGAACAGATGACAGCTTCAAGGGATCTTTTGTGGAAGGAATCGAGAGCAAGATCGAAGGAGATTTCGGAGGAATTAAATGCACTTTGTTTGTTCCATTCTTCCTTTGGAGTGAACAGACACATCCAAGGCAAGACTAACTATTCTTCACGCTCTATAGTGACGATTGTGGATTCGACTTTGCTGCAGTGACTGATCTCTGCATGGCAAAGGGCTGGAATGCTTTCTATCTCTACGTGCTGTTCGCCATTTCTAACCTGCAACTTTACCTGAAATCTCTACGAGAATCATTCGAACATGTATGCCAGAATGCGGCTGATGATGCAGGCCTGTTGACGGATACCTTTGCTGATCATGACTCCTCGCCCGATGTCAGTTGCCGGAAGAAAGTAGATTCCCCTGCCTCAAGAACATGCTAACTCATGGCATTTTTCTAGAAATCGCCATCGTCAGCATTGATTATCACAAGCGCGGTCATGGCTGGAATAGCCGCATTGATTATTCCCGGGGGAGAGGCGTTGATGCCTGCGATGGCTGGTGCCGGTGCAGCGAGTGCTCAGTTTGGGATAGCCAATGGTATCCTCACTGCCATTAAAGATGCAGAGCCAAAGTCAGTTCTCTTTCTCTCTCTTTTGTCACCTATCTCCTGCGCAGCAAAAATGTACTAACACAACAACAGCCCTGCTCTTTCTTTCGATAAACAGTCCGCAGTGCTCTCGCACACCATCTCCGAGGCATCCACAACGTTTTGGGACCGAATCACCAAATGGGGCGCCAACATCCTGGAGAAGAATGTCGACATCGACTCCCTGTCCGGCGGCAAATCCCCATACCACCAGCAGATGAACAGTGCGCCGTGGGCCTTGCACGGCGGCAAATTTTCAAGGGAATCCACTTCAGACACCTATAAGGGCTTCAAGGATTCAAGCAGGGTGGCCCTGAGAAGCGGACAAGTTTCCTGGCTGTGGGGACAGGAACAGATATTCATCGTGAAGGTGTCGGAGCCCATCAATGGCAAAGCGCCCTGTGACATGGATCTTGATGGCACGCTTGACCTCAAGGCTCGCGTCTGTGAGGATGGCACAGCCTGGTTCTTTATTAAGAACACCGGTCTGGATGACGATTGGCAGGCCTTTGATGAAGTCCCCGGGTATAAGTCGCTGAATGACTGGGACCTTGATCCGCTCACCTTTGCGAAGGCGGCCGAGGCCAGTCAGAAAGCTTGCGACTGCTGGAAGCCGGTTCGCAAACCCGGTGAAACTATCGATTTCATGCAAGGAGAACATTCCCCCAAGGGAAGCTATATGGTCAATCTTCCTGTCTGCGATCTGGATCGTATGAAGTCCGAGGGGGCATGGAAAGGTTCACCTACGTCGAATCAAGACGTGGGCGAAAGAACGGACGATGTAAGTGGGTTTCTCTTTTTCTATGGCTGCTTCGATGGTGATGCTTGAGATGCAGGGCTAACGATGCCCCTAGGTCTGGGTCAGGTTCTATATCAATAATGCATGCTGGAAACAAAAGGTCGACGGCGCTGCTTGGCCGTACGAGAAACTTGAGCGTCCCAAGAAGGTACACGGGTGCTATGTAGGCTGTTTCTAGACATGAAAGGATTTAACTAAGGTCTAGTAAGTTTTATACAGAGGAATATAGTGAGAGCAATCATCCAAAGGCATTTCAATCACTTACTTTATTGATTCTCTTTTGAATTATTGTTTTTGTTATCTTATTTGTTGGAGAAAAGAGAATTACCCTAGAAGCATCTATATCTATTGGTCATATAGTACCTTGAGTCGAGGTTAATTAGGCTAGAGTATACAGTATAAAAGTAGTGGCTAGCGGCTAGTTCGCTTGGTTTTAAATAGGAGGAACTAAAATAAAAGGAGACTATAAATTATATTAATATAGAAAGAGCCGGGGGTAATAGTCAGAGGAACGGGCGTAGCTACTATATTTTAACGTACGAAAGGAATTATTATATCGAGTTTAATATTGATGATCTTGTTCTACGCTTTAATATATTAAACTAAAACGAGAAGTATATTCTGGTTCTCTATAATTTTATGACTCTTCTTAGCCCAAATACTGTAGTCTATTTTTATCCTCTTATCAAGTTAGTCAAGATACGAATTGCTAAACTAAGAGCCCTAGTCTAATCCGTCGTGATCGGATAAATGTTGTCCTCTATATCCTATCCGTAAATATATCTCCAGGGCTAGACCGGGGATAGTAATCTTCTTTTACTCGGGCCGTTCTCCCTTGCTACAAAATTATTTGTAGAGATAAGCTTTTCGTAGTTTAGGATCACACGTTTAAGTATATCCTCTTCCAGTATCGGCCGCCTATCCCGCTGTTCAAGAAGGACCTAGATATATCCTCGTTGGATTTTTCGGATTTTTCATTTATTTATTTCTAAATTATACGCATATAGAGATAGGTATTCCCATTTTTTACCTTCATATAGGAGTTCGATACTATTTCCGTTGAGATGGGAGTTCTGTCAGCAGTCTCCATCACTTCCCAGATCGCTGTCGCGGCTGTTGTTGATAGCTAGCTAGCTGCTTTATTCAAACCATAGCTGACACCGCTCGTCCCACTAGAGTATGGCCCAGAACATCTCTAGCATGATACGCTATGACCAGTCAAGTAGCCCGACTAGGGAGGACCATAGCAACAATGCCAATTCCTCACGCCATGCCGCCCGCTACTGGTTGGAGGGCAGTACGACCATCACGTCCATGGTCTCTCAGCAACCAGCTCGGGCGAGGTGAAACAGAAGTCCTCTGCCCGTGACCTATTCAAGCACCAATAATGACACCTCTAGCAGGAAGATTTACCCCAGCAGCGAGACTACATGTGGCCACTGACACCCTCAATACGCCCTGGTCGTAGGCGTGGGAAATCAACCCCCATTCCTCTGTTGTCATGCCAGCATCTAAAGGAGATGATTTCCTTCACTAACAGGAATAACTCAGGGTCCGTGAATACGCCAATATCTGCTGGTGAAGATTCAGAACATGTGAAGCGTGGCTTACAGGTTAAGGCGCAAAAGAGGGCGGAGCCAGTTGAAATGGCGAATGGCATCGCTTTTTTACTAAGTGATGCGGCTTTATTTGTTACCGGTGCTTTTTTCAATATAGATAGAGGTTGGGTGTACTAGATTCAAGTAAGCTGTCGAACGAAATACTACTATACCTATCGGGGTAGGCGCGAAGACCTATATTTAGTATTTGTATGCCGTAGATTTATCAGAATCAAGGACTATCTATACATCTACTTGTAGTATTGATATTAGCGTAAAGCCCTGATTCGTTCAAGTCGATAGAATTCTATAGCTATGATTATTATCCATGAATTATTACTACTATTATTACTATCCCTTTTTATGTTCATATAGTCCATAATAAATCGTGGTATATAAAAGGGGCTGGTTAAAAACTGGTTGTGTTAAAGAGAATCTAAAATTCAGCCCCAGAGACTTGTTCATTCTCTGGAACAAATATATAATTCTACCGAGTGAGCCTTCCCTAATCAATCCATCATCTCCGGCAGTAGCCGTGCCCTTGAGTCGCCCCATATCTTCTACGCTGCAGGATGCTCCTTTCTTCCCTTGAATGGAATAGTATAGTGGAGAATCAAGCAACCCTAACCAGTCTGGCTTCGGCCGGGGTGCTAATCTTGAACCTTTGCAGACGGCCCCCAATGTCCTTATTTCCTGTCGGCTAATTATAGGGAAGGCTGACACTCCAGACTCAAAGATGGGCGCTGTCAAGTCAAAGGAATATTTAATAGGGAGTCTGGCCCCTGCACCGACCCCAAAATTACCATTCCCCCCCCCCCCCCATCTTCTTCCCTGCTATCCAATTCACGATGCAGCTGAAGACCCTTTTCGCAACTGCCGCCTTCTCGGTCCTCGCCCACGCACAGGGCTTGGGGCTCGGGACTCTCTCGACCGAGTCGTCCACCAGCCACACTCCCGCGCCGTCGCCCAGCCTTGCGCCTGACTCCACAATCGAACTCAGGAACGATGACGGGACTTGCAACTTCTACTTCAACAACGTGCTGAAATGCAACGGGGACACGAGCGCGAATGGAATGGGCCGCTTCAACACAGATACGAAAGAATGTGAACAGTCGGACGGCATGTACCACTCGGACCCGAGCACGAGAGCTGTTCTTTGCTCTTTCTTTGCTTTTTCTCTTTCTTGTCATCTTTTGTGATAGACTAAATTTGCTAATTAATCCTATTGGAACAGACAAATACGATGAGTTCCAGTTGGATCCATTCTTTTGTGGTAGCGCGTTGCTGCTGTACTATTACAAGGATAGCTCTGACAGCGGCGCGAAGGCGGGTCAACTACAGTTCAACAACGAGCATGGTGATTATATCATCGATATTGGGTTCAAGCCAACTACTGTCAAGGCTGCTGGGAACCTGAAGTCGGTTTAACTTGACCCTGTCTCTTCTGAGATGCTGTTCCAAGTCTACGAATTATATCCGTAATGAATATACTCGGAATCTTCCTCAAAGTCAACAAGTATATATCCACACTCACTCTACCCATAATCTTCACGTCAATTCTGGCTCTCTTATTGGCTTGGACTAGTTCTGCTGAAGCTCACTCTATCAAAATATGGAGTTCTCCCTTTGAGTTCTCTCTTCTTTCTCTTTCTTTTTTCCTATCTTTTCTTATACTGATTTTATAATATTATAATCATGTTTCAAATCATCTTTTAAATTATTTTTTAACTACTTTTCTATTATCTTATTTTTATCCTTCTGCTTTTAAGGTAAATATCAGCCTAACAGAGTATGCTATATTAGGCTATAGAGTAAAATGACACCTGTGCTCTATAGTAGTACTAGTAGTATATATAAAACTAACGTTTCTTTCTTTCTTTTCTTTTCTTTTAATTCTTATTTATTTTATGTAAGTTTCTCTTCAGAAACAGACAGCTGTGTGACAGGTAACTAAAAGATAGATTGTTGAACTGGGATGAGACTCCCTTGGCAGCTGGCACGCCGGTGTAGGGTGGATCTAGTACCAGTCGACATCAGTCGCGAGTATTAGCCATGTCACACCACTGCCAACAGCAGAGTTCCACGCCCTCCCCGACAATATAGAAAATAAACCACCTACCCAGCTACCGCCAGACAAGTCTCGGCCGCGAACCTGCATTCTCCACCCCAAATTGGGCACATCGAGTCAGCCACTCCAATCCATCGGTATGGACTTTTTGGTCAGCTGGATCCAGTTTTCCAACCGTGGAAGCAGTGTAAATGAAGGAATGCTGTAGTCGATAATGTGTACGGAGGTTGGTTGCCTCGCTGTACCGATGCACTGATTTGCATCCTGGGTACCGACAGAAGAGCTCATGTTTGTATATGACTGGATCACTAAGATCAATCCGTGGGAGCAACTGTGCCTTCTTTGCCATGAATCGAAGATAGGGTATGACCCCATTATCTGAACCTTTTGGTTGGTCCTCTGGTAGCGGCATCCGGATCATTGATCCCCTTGGAGCGCGTTTCTCTTTCTTCTTTGGCTGCTCTTCATGATCAACCGGGGCCATCATATCGGTCTGTGGTCGATTCGGATATACTTCACGCATATGCCGATCGCGATGGTCTTTCCGAGTGAAGGGTTCCAATCGACATTTCATCAAGCACAGCAATGCTGTGTTTTTCTCTTCATGACCGGGGTGATCATCAAAGTGTCTAAGTGCCAATGAGGGTAAGGAAAGAAGATGGAATAGTGGGAGGGTTAGGGAGCTTTAAATACTTTTTGGATTTTGTGGGGTGTTGCGATATTTGCTAAGACTGTTCCTTTTTTTTTAATAAAATTCTATATCTCGTTATTTTCGATAATATCTTTTGAAATAGTTTTCAAGATGTCTTTTTTACTATCTTACTTATACCTTTTAGATTCTGTAGGTCTTGTTTATACTAAATTGATGGGTAGTTTTATAGCTTCTTACTTTATTTTTATACACCCTCTTCACTCTTCTTTGTTTATATACCTTCTCTTCGATTTCTATCTCCTATTTTTACTGTTCTAACTCATGTCGAAGTATACTATTACACATTCTGCGGTAATGCCTTAATCCTATTTGCCGCCCTGGATATATTGAAGCTAGTTGTCGCGTATCAAGAGACGCTTTTCTACCACCGCTCGCGAAGTCCTGCTCCAACATATGCCAATGACAAGCTGTTATTGTCCCCCGCCCCCCCACCTTTCTTTTTTTGCCTTCTAACTTTCTCTTTGCTCTCTGAAATGTCATTCCAGATATTTTTAGAGACCCTGGCTTCTCTTTTTCAACTTCTATCTTGACATCCCGTGAGACATAGTTCCCTCTGTCCCAACCCCTCCCCTCCCTTCCACTGAGTTTCCACTAGCACAAGCATCGCAAACCCTGGCGGTCAATTCTCACCAATCTAGTACTCTCTTCTGGTGAATGGCTCTAGTCGGCACTTCTTTAGACATAGCAGGGCAGTTTTTTCATTTTTTTTAAGCATCTCGAAATTTCGGATGCTTGCGATGTTTGTGTTTGCAGGGATCCTTGCTGGTTGGGTACGCCTCGCCGCAAGCATCGCAGACCCAGGCAGTCAGGTCTCGTTGGTCTAATGGACTGTTGCGTTGCTTTGATTTATCCCGAAGTCGCTGGAAATAAAGAGAGATACTCTGTTTAGCCACAGCGATATTGATCACCTTTTCAATAAAGAGGGCAATTGAGTGTGAGAAGATGAAATGGTAGGAGTGTGGGTGAGCCTTAAATACTTTAGGTTCCTGTAATTTGCAGGTTTTATAGACGTTGAGATAATATAGTATAGCATAGTAAGATGCTATTTCTTTTTCTAGATATAAACTTTATAATATATATAGGTTTAAACTGTCTTTTAATTTAGATCAAGTTTTATGCAGTTATTATTTATATAAAAAGGCTATAAGTCAACACTATTAACTATGAGTAATATATGATGTAAAGAATCTAATATTGAGATTTAGTAAAGAATTGCTTTAAAAAGAATATTATAATATAAAGTAAAATAAGGTTTAGAATAATGTCTAGAATAACTCCTTAAATAATATCTAAAATAAAATTTCCAAGTATAGATCAAAGAAGACAATATAGATAGTGTTTTATATATGCTTTTATTTCTCGATAAAAACATGATATAAATAGAACCCTAAATCTATTCTAGGGTCTAAAGACAGGAAGCGCGTAGTTTGGCACCTAGTGGACACGGACCTCGTGGATGAAGATGTCGGCGAAAATGGTCTATGCTATAATCGAATTGTCGAAGAAGAAAACTATATATATAAGTATGCTTGCGAAGGTTTCGTTCTGGGAGATTATGGTTTTGTTCTGAGAGATAAGCTCATCAAGCTTGTCCTTGATGACGCTAATCTCTGTACTGAGAATATTGTTGTGTATCTGAATCTGTTTTTCAGGGGCGAGCAGAGTCCATATGGTAACTGACTGTAGTTTTAGTCCTCGTCCTGCTGATATGAGACTATGGCCTCTGTTGTAGTGTGTTGGGGCCCTGGGGAGGAACTGGTAGTCCCTCAATCAGGTCATACCCACCGGGGGTTGGGATTTTATGAATTCACCAGCACTTTCAGACGCCTATAATATGAGTGACATACAGTACTAAGTACCACTAGAGATAATTAATTATTCATCATCTGAAAAATCCATGGATGTCAAAGTATACTGCCCATGCTTGGCCGATCAGGGCCCGAATTTATCCGCGTAAGCCAAACAGCAGCCCCCTCATACCACTGACCAATTTTCCTCAGTCGATAGACAGATAACCGTCTTAGTCTGCGACGAAACCGAATAATAATCCACAAAATCAAAACCAAACACGCAGCACTGGGCAGCGCAATCATCCAGAAAAGACTCTGGTGGAACTCGCCGTCACGGATATCAACGCTGTTCATGCCAAGATACGAGGTCACAAAGGACAAGGGCAGGAAGATGACCGTCACGACCGTGAAGATAATGATTGCTTTACTGTTGGACTCTTTCCGGACTTCGATCATTGATCGTAGCTGTTGCCAGGAAAGAAAATCAGTTTAAGATCATTCGGTGATATGGGGTGATATGGCAAGTAGCACAGCTGGCAAAACGGGCACAACGGGAAAAACATTCTTACAAGCATAGAGGTCTTCTCGGCCATATCTTCCAGCTCATGGAGATCGCGTTTCATCTGCTTGATTTGCTTCCTGCTCTGGCTGATGCATTGCAAACTGATCTTATCCTCGGCGTGTCCTGTAACTGTGCATACCACACGCATCAGCTCAAGCACGTTTAGTTGCTGATCGAGGACAGTGTTGACAATATTTAGCTCCTCGCGCAACTGTTGAATCTCGTCGAAGACAGCGGCATTTGGTGTCTTTCGAACTTGGAACTCCTGTTTTGAGATTCAGCACTGAATTTCATGCTGGCATGTAGTTTTCAATAAGGAAGTCTCAATATACCCACCATGTGAGAAATGTACTTTCTATAAGTTCGCAGAAGATCAAACCCGATTTTTGGACTGTGCGCGTCACTCTCCTTCTCAGCTGGCATTTTTACCAGCCGCTCAACGACCATGGTCATGATGGCTTCGGAATCAACTCGTCTGAATACCTTGGCCTCGCTATAATCACCGGCACGGATCATCAGTATAAGCTGATATTTGCCATAGGTCAAAGATCGGTGCAGTTTCTCCGCCCACGCCTGCAGAAGATTCCATTCCTGGCAGGCCGTATGGCTGATCTGGCTGCAGATGCAGACATAGAGAATAAGGGGGTTGAACGCATCGACCAGCGCAGAGGGAAGGAAATATGTCGTGGGCTGCTCGTTTCCGCCACGAGAGACACCAGCATGGATTTGCCGGACCGTCTTGCAAAAGTATGAGACAACGGCCCCAACCCGGTCTAGATAGGCGTCCGTAAACTAAATTCAGTATCAGCCTTTTCCAGTGTATGCTTCAATAATACTATGTGTCCTACTGACGTTGCCGGCCGCGATCTCCAGCATAGCCCCATAGAACTTCCTGATGAGCCGATACTTGTCAATGCTCTGGTAATGCACGGGCACAAAAGCATCCAAAAGCTCCATTGCGCTTCCTACCACCTTCTGTTTCTTCTTCCATGTAGTCCGCCTGTCAGCAAGGTTGTCGTTTTCCTCCAGTTGGATCAGACTGTTTCCGATAATCTCCATTCGGGCAAGTACCTGCATCCTGGTGGTTTCCAGGAGGTTATCCATAAAGTTGCGTTCCATGGGATGACCAAGGAGGAAGAACGATGCTTCAGCGTCGCGCTCTTCCAGGATTGCGTGGATGTTTTCATCCTTGTCTTTGAACTTTTCTGGGGCAGTGCTATTGATTGCTGTATTGTGAACGGAGGAGTTTCCTGTCACCGTATGCTGAGTTTCCCATGCAAATATTGGGCATAGCGGTGGTTTTTCTGCAGGGGATGGTCCTGTATTCCTCGCTTCTTCGTTTGGTTCCAAATCTTGATCCAAGACTGACAGGCTTGGGCTGTGGCTTTCGGATGACGATGAGGGAGCTTCTGGCAAATGAGAATATGTCGATATAGGGGTTGACTCTGTTGATCTTGTTGATGGTGATGTGCTGATCAAGCTCTCCTGGCGGGGCGGTAAGTCGATATTACTTATTCCCGCTGTTCAATCATACGGCTAAACTTTGGTACTCACCTTGGTGGTCCAGGCATCATTGTAGACTTGATAAGCAAATGGATTGGTTGGTTCGGGGTTTGCATTAGTCTCAGATGCCATGTCATCATCCCTCTCAATGATAAGGTAGTCAAAGACGTTGACATTCGTATGGCTCTCGTTCAGGGCCTCTGTCTGCTCGGGGTCTGTGGGGTGTGTTTCTGGACTTGGAAGTGGTGAGCTGTTTGGCGGAAATTCTGGATCATCCTCTTCATGTATGCTTCCACTCTGAGTAATATCTTCTGTGGAAGATAAACTTCTTTCAGAAAGAAGAGCATCCTGTCTGGCCTCGGTGATTGAAGAACCCTCCTGAGGCGTGGGCGCATGCCACGTGAATAGCGGCCGAATAACCTGATCATTTTCAGTAGCAACACTCCGGATAGACTCCTGGTCATCTGGAGCAGTTTTATCGCTCCTATCTGTATTTGAAGTCTGATGGGTTTCTGTTTTCTTCGTTGCTCTCGACTCCATCATTGCCAAATCCGAATCCACATGCACGGATTCTGCTCTGTTGTCTGTCAGTGGAAGAGTTTGATCACCGTCTTTGATATCAAGAATATTAGCTAGGCCAAAACATTTGTCAACCTTTTGGAATCATTTACCATTCTGAGACTCAGATTCCCTGTCGTCTTCATCGTCTGTGAGGATTCCCTCGCCGTGTGGATCAAGTGCCGAGGTCGGTAATGGTGGTTGTTGAACATCAGCCGGCAAAAATTGCGTAGCTGGCAATGCTTCATCTTCGACATCGCCTACAAAGCTCTGTAGCTCACTGGGCTTTGACGTTGGCTCTGGCGGAGCCTGAGTGCCTTTCTCATGCTGTTCGGGAGAATCCACTCTTGATTCCAAGGTAGGCGAGATGGAAGTAGATGTTTCTTGAAGACCCCGGGGTGTAGAGTAAGTTTTCGGTGATATGGAGCTACCTGGGTCCCTCTTTTGGGTCCTCTCGTCAGTTCCTTCGCGTTCTGAGCTGCCCAGTTCCTGGCGGTCACTCGAGTTATCGAGTCCTTCCTCACTTCTAGATCCTTCTGGGCGTATTCGAGAAACAGACGATGCGGAATTTGAGGTCTCTCTTGGCCGGGGCACGTCTTTTGTTTTCATGGGTGATCGAGGAATGACAGTTCTCGGTGAGCTGCCCTCGCGCGACGAAGAGCGGCGTTCACGCTGTTCCCAGGTGGGAATATCCAGTGCTGGCCTATTTGAAGAAACTTTTGATTGGTTTTGTGGCTGTTTTATCGTAAGCTCAACCATGCAGCCTGGATAGATTTTCTTGTCCCATTCTGCAGGGGCAATGGGCCCTTCGGGTCCGGTCAGCACATATTCACCCGTGACGAAAGCCTTGAGATAGTCTGGGTTGCGCTGCATTTTGGTGCCAATGAGCGAATACATTTTCTGTGGAGAGAGAATGTTAGCTCCTAGAACCATTTGCATGCTTAAATGTGATACTACCATCCAAGTTTGGCCAACACGCCATGGGATCGGTAGCTCAGCCCCTGTGGGGTCTTTCAGTCGGATGGGCCTTTTATCTTGTCTCCAAGCGCCGTCTTGATTTTGCACTGCGAGAGCTTGGTGTGATGACCCCGCATCAGGTCTGTCTCGGGGACGGCTGTGGGCTCTCCGTTGAATGGCATTGTCGGGGTAAGCGGTGGTATACGACATGGGGAGAGAAACAGCATCCCTCATCAGGGGTCGATGAATGGATTCTTGCAGCACGGGTCAAAAGCGGTCCCAGCTTGTGTTTGTTCCATATAGGGGACGAGTCAAGGAAACCCAAAATGTCTGGCTTACCAGGGGCTCTTTGATGTGTGTCAGGAGGTACCGAAGCGGTGGCATAATGGCTTAGTGTTTCAGCTCTATTGTAGATTGGAGGGTAGTTGTGCGGTGATTCCATATAAGGAGAAAGTCTCTGAGAAGGGGGTTGGTGAGGAAGACTGAATGAAGGTGATGGGTTAAAGGTACCCCCAGCAAACATCTTGACGCGCACCAGCTGGTTTCCTGGTGGGTCCCTTGGTGGCATCGAGAAGCTATATGGGCTGGCTTGATTTTCTGGTGCATTGGTATAGGTGACTGGCGCATGGTCATAGGTGGGAGGTGGAGGAGGAGACACAGCTGGCTCTTGCGGCGCTGGCTGTTCAGGATCATCGCGCGACATTTGCGCAATACGAATGGTGATATCGGTATTCTCTCTTTCCCGGAGGGTTTCGATCCAATTGACCTCTGATATTGGGTTCTCTTCCAGAAGAAGCTCAAACTCGTCTCTCCAAGAATCTTCTAGAAAGGAGGCTGACAAGCGGTTTTCCGGTTCTAGAAGCCCGACAAACATGCTGATCATTTCCTGTGGAATCAGAATCTTTAGTATCTCCAGCGACTCAAGGTCACACTATTAGTTTGGACCTACAAACCACGTCTGGCATCTCTCCTTCGGAAGGCAATATTGTTTGCCGTCGAGATCGACTAGACGTATTTGCGATGCATTGGGATTGGACTCTGGCTTTCGGGCTTGCTCAAGACTGATGTATCCTTCACCGAGATTCCCGAGGTCAGTAGAGCCCATGCTTAAAATGAGATCTGGAGTCATTCAGCACGGTGAAACCATCATAGGTATTCCTAAATAGAGCGCATACCTTCGTTTATGAGAAGCATCCAGATCTGCGGCACATGGAGCGCATCCAAAGTTTCTCTGGCATTGCAAACCACCTGGTTGGTATCTCGCCACTCGGTAGATTCAAACGAGTAATGGAATTGCAGCAGGCTTCTCACAGGATGAACTGATGCTTGGTCATGCTGGGGACGCAGAGGCGTGATATTCAGATAAGGGAAAGCAAAAAATGCCACCGAGCATTGGCTCTCGGGGTTCGGGCTTTCATCATTGTTGTTTTTTCCAACAAATTTCAGCGCAGTTGGTTCCAGGTAGTTGCCATGAACAAAGCTTTTCTCATTCCGGTCTCGCAGGTGCTTGAATACTGAGAGAATAAGAGCCCGGGCTACTTCGGGAATTTCTTTCAGTCGGAGGGCTTCCATCTGCCTCAGAAATGTTAGTCTGGTAAACCAGGACCAGGGATACCACATACCTCCAAGGAATCAAGACTCATAGCATTGCTCTGGTGATGACTAATTTAAATGAGGCGTTAGTTCATTGACGTGTCAAAAAGACGAAGTAAAACCTTCGAGTGAGCCAGCCAGACATACATCCATCGAGTCTCGGGTCGAGGCTTCCCGGCTACATCATTCTCATAAGTCAAAATCGCAATGTCATGGCCACCATCCTCAGACCCGGGGACCAGTCTCGTTTGGACAATCTCGTATTGCTCGGGAGGGACTTTCTTCTCTTCGGTACCGAAAGTAAATTGATGGGTTAAGGCTCTCCCAGGGCCCTTTATTTCACCATCCTCATCGGCCGCAGCCTGGGGTGGACGAATGTTGATGACATAGTGGACCTCCGGGCTGTCTTCATCTTGTTCATGCTTTAGGCCCTCCGAGCCAGCCAAGCCGCCGCTCTTATTTTGTGTCTCGTTAATTGCTGCGAGGGGCTGCATGATACCACCCGTCTGCATTGTCCCTGGCGGTGGAGCAGCAAACGCTGGGTCGTGTGGGAGCGAAGGAGGGTATTCCACTGTATATGGGTTGGTAAGGCCCGCCGGATAGTATGGGGCATACGGGAAAGACCCATAAGGCTGAGGGTAGTCGCCATAGTAGGGCTGGTAGGCAGGTGAGTAGCGACGCCGCGGATTCGGGCGCGCAGGACGACGACGTGACACTGATCGGGGTCTGTTCGAAGTAAACTGGCGGGGTTCTCTACTTCGATTCTCGCTCGCTCTGGGATGCGATAGTGTGTAGGTACTTTCTGAGGCGATTGAGTAGCCTCCCGAAGGCGAAGACATGGGAGAAACCACCACACCCGAGGAATAATCAGAAGCCATCGCTGTATCAATGGGCACCATGCACTGGACAGCCCATGGGTGTTGGGTGCTCGTGTTTTGGAGAAGGCCAAGTAGCACTGCTGAAACCCCGCAGTTGGAGATGTTGAAGGTGTGTTGGCATCTGCAGCCCCAAGACACGAGTCACCGGGCGTATGCAGCTAAGCGATAGTATGCATCAGGATCATTCTCTATTTGGTGGAAATAAGCTTCTACCTCACAATCTACTGACCGTCGCTTCGATCGGGTGGCCTAAGGCATAGTAAAGAGTCAATATAGATTTCAAAGACTGATTCTTTTGTTTTTACCTCATTGACAACTTTTTACCCTTGTTGCTTCTCTTTTGTGACCTCTTTCTTCTTCTCTTTTTCTGCTATCTCTCTTTTTGACTAGTCTTTTTACTTTATTATATCTATTTCTCTATTTTATCTCGAGGGGGAAGGTGGCTTAGGGTAGGAGAGAAGGAGAGGGCTATATCAAGATACTGTTTACTTCTCCCAGGGACCTCCCTAAGCGCACCACTCCCTTGAAAAGAAAAAACAAAAAAGACCAGGGGTCAAAACAACCCAGTGGCTAGGATATTACTCGGACAGACAAGACAGAACAAAGCACGTTTAATGATGCAGACTTGTCACGGGAATCAAGGTGCTGATTTCGCTCGCTGAAAGGACGACCGCGGAGCACGAACGGATACTGCCCACATATCAAGCTATTTTTGGCACTCGCAGATGGGGCCTTGAGCCATCTAGGTCAACATAGTTGCTGCCTACTGGGGGGCACCTGCGCCAATGACAACACCATTGTCTCCATCTGATTATCAAGCCCAACTAACGCCTGAGACTCTTTGCCCACCCTAAAACTCGGCTGATATTTCTGATATTGGAGATCTCACCTAACCTTGGAGTCCGCGCTTCCCAATGGATGGTTCTTTCTTAGCAATTTATGTATCTAACGTCGTAACTAGTTATTGAACTAGGACAGGCTCCTACTAAACAATTTGGGGTCGCTGGACCTGTTCGCCAGAGCTCCAGTAGCTAATCTATATACTTTCCCTTGCCATCATTAACTTTCCTTAAGTGATCAGCATTCTTTCCCTTGCTTTCTACTTTTATTATTAGACTCTGTCTAACTGGCCAGGGCTGTATCTTGGCATTTTATGAGCAGGAACATACCTATCTACGGCAGTGAAAATAGGGACTTTCGGCGAGAAGTTGAAAGTAGTGAATAGTTCTAGCTTACAAAAAAATAACAAAGTTAGAATTGACGAATGCATGCTTGGAAATAAAGAATGCCGCCATATGTATTTTAAATCGAGGTCTTTACAGATGGATCGGAGCGGAGTTAATATGCCTGTACACTATGAGCACGCCGGGAATTGAGATGACTATATTGAATGCCTCAGTCAGCTTGTAAGTCTATATATACAATTTTTGCCTATATTTAAATATTTTAATAGTGCATGAAAATAGCCAATAATACTTATAAATGGAATTATTATAAAGCCAATATCAAAAATTGGACCATTAATTTAGATAAGTGGCTCAGAATATAAGGCAGTGAATAAAGCAGTGAATAAGGAAGTGAATAGGCTTAGGAGAGGGTGCTTCTAATTTCCCCTATATAAGATATATTCTTAGAGCTACGTCAGGACCTCTGCTTGTCGCCTTCACACCTTCTCCTTCTGTCCTCGTCGCCTGTCCTGTCCCTGCATACTCTGTTTCTCCTATATTCCCCTCTTATCCGGATCCATCGCTTATCTCTCTCTATATAATCCCCCCAATCCCATATATCCTCCTCTCTGCGATTGACTGCTGTGGGTTGAATTTGCCATACACCCCATCCAGATCCTGTCACTATGGGCATTAAGTGATTAACGATTGTAGAGACTCAATGGAGGACCACAGTCGACGGGCTGTGGTCTTGTTCGTGGCCCGCGCATCAAGCGGGCCAACATCTGTCAAGGACTTCCTCCACTGGAGTCTCGATTTTACAATAAGCGACTATACCCGACACTTCGGTCCTTTCCAGATACCCCCTCGGCGGTTGGTTTTCGTCCATGGCTCCAGCAAGCCATTCAAACCAACTGGGGAAGTTCGAGGCTTGTTCAGGAATCTACTCCAGGGATTGGTAGAGACTGATACGCGGCTTGCTAATTGCGGGTAAACTTCAAAATGTGGATTTTTTTTTTTTTTTTAGGTACCACCTTCTAATTGACTGATGTGAACACACCCGTGGACCTGACCTCCTGGGAATTCAAGATTGATCGGGGACGGCTGCGGGCTGTTAGTGATAAATTCAAGGATATTATGGTAGTGGGTAGTCGTACCTCCGGGTTATGAGCCCGGCACTCTTCCCCGAGAGCTAACATGCTGGCAAACAATTTTTATTATGAAAAAAAAAATTTTCTATGGGTAACAATTTTTTTTTTTTTCTTTTTTTCTGAATATAGGAAGGTAGAAGTAAGCAGGAAGTCAGTAAGAGGGTTAGAAAAGGCAGGAGCGGAAGACAGGTGAAGGAAGGTAGGTGCTACTTTCGACATTTTCCAATTTTTTTTTCTTCCTGGTGGTGATAAACTATACAGATTCAAATGATGAAAGCACATTCAACTAGCCAGCATGTTAGCACAGTGGAAGAGCGCCGGGCTCATAACCCGGAGGACCCTGGATCGAAACCAGGACATGCTATCCAATCTTTTTTTTTTCCAAAAAAAACGCCACTAGTTGAAATTCAAATACACCGTTCAATTAAAAAAGCAAGAACGATGGCCACGGTACGCGTGGCCTTCATTCTTGTATTTTTCTTTATTTTATCTTTATTTTATCAAGTCAATGGCAGATGGGAATAGGATGTTGGTGGGTGCGCAGCACCTCGCATCTAAATCCACCTCCACCCACTCACCTAACATATACATCCGATATCCCCGACTAGACCAAAGACAAAAGCTGACACTACAGTCCTTATGTCTTCGGAGTAAAAAACAAGTCATCATGGCCGAAGACTGATCACCTTTCGACCCAAATCAGATCCTACTTTACACAATCTAGCGAGAAGAAAAGATCGAAGGTAAAACAATCAATTCTGCGTCTATCTTGTATGAGGCTCTCTTCCCACACCCAACAGTCAACACGCAAAACCCAACACCACATCCAAGTAGAAAAGAGAGAAAAGAAAAAAACACCAGGACCTCGAATTGTAACCCATATATACAGGACAAAAGAGAAAAACATGCAACAGGTAGAAAGCAATCCTTGACCAGGGGAATACGAAACAAAAGAGAAAGAAACAAAAATAATCTACGGCAGCAAGGGCATATCCCCAACCCGCCGCAAGAGCTTAAACCGGCCCAGCCGCGCCTTCAGCTCCGACCAGCCCGAACGCAGCCGATCTTCGACGCGATGGTCGCCGCGCAGCCGCATCCAAAGCAACAACATGCCCAGCATAGCCAGATCCCACAGGATCTGGCGCAATGCCACCCACAGCAGCCACTTGAGCCAGGCCCAGACGCCCGACCGGCGGCGGTGCGCCAGCGTGCGCAGTTCTATCTGCTCGCGCACAGCAGCAATCTCGGCCGTCATCTTGGTCAAGGCTTGTTCGACTCGGCGGCGCCAGCGGCTGTCTCGGGGATGGACGGGGTCGTGCGAATCGCGGCGGCTGTAGGCGCCGCTGTCGACGCTAGGCCCCGACCCGGGTCGCTGGCGTTGGTGATGGCGATGGGAGGTATGATCGGTGCCTGTGTCGGTGTTGGTGCTGGCATGGTCTTGGTCTTCGTAGAGACTGTCACGGGCCTCTTCATATTCTTCGTCCTCGTCCTCGTCCTCGTCCTCATTCTCTATATCGTCCGGGTCTTCGAGGTCGCCGTCCGTTGGCCGGCGTCGCCGGTAGTACCCCCCTCTTCTGGCTGGCTCACAGGGCTCAGCACCCGTAGTCGTGAGTCGCGGTCCCCGCGACCCGCGTCGGCTCGTACATTAGGACGCTCATAGTCCTCTGTGGATCGGGCGAGACGACCCCCAATGCTCCCATAACCACTGCTCTGGTGCCGCGGCAATGGCGGCACGCCGACGGTATTCAACGGACTGGAGGAAGACGAGGAGGAAACGTTGTATTTGATCTGGTCCCAAACAAACTCGAGCTCGGCGACCAGCTCGCGGGCCTCGGGCGTTTGCGACGCATAGCGGTGCATGGTATCGATCAGGATCGAGATGTAGCGGCGTTTGGCCTCGGTGCGCGAGAGGCCGCGCTGAGCATACCAGGCGTCCCTATACACATAAACAAAGAACATCGTCAGTGGACTGGTGCTGCGAAAGAATCCGTGGCTCCAGGACCAAGAACGAGTCGACATACCACTTCTCACACTCCGCATGCACCTCCGGCGTGTTCCCAATCGGCCGATCCATCACCCCTTCGACGTCCCCCCTCTGCGCGATGTGAGCTGCGATTCCCACCCAACGGTTCCCTGTGGTGCCCACTCACCCATGCTCTGCTTGTATAGGCCATACAGCTTCAGCCGTTCCGCGGCCGGGGGACGCGCGGTCCCTGTCCGGGGAATCCTCTTGACGGTGTTGAGGGCATGGACGAAGACGCGATCTGAAAACACACGCGCAATTCGTCAGTAAATGTATTCTTGACCTTGACAGGATGAATCCCACGAACCTACAGAGTCCGACATGCTGACGCGAGAGGATGCGGTCCGGTGGTCGGCCCTGTCTTCATGGAAGCGGGGTTGGGCATCGGTTGGCGCGGAGCTTCATGGAGAGCGAGGAAGTCGTAGACAAAAGGCAGGAATATAGCGAGGTAGAATGGACAAGACGGGTGAAGTAGGTTGGGATTGCGGTGCAGAGATGGAACTCCCGAACGCCCTCGGTCCCCTCCCTGGATTTTTCTCCCTTCGGGAAAGCAATGAGTCCCCGGCAATTCCAGCAGTAGCTTTCCCCGGATTTCACAGATCACACACACACACAAAGAAAAAAAAAAAAAAAAAAAAAAAAAGGCCCAAATGCGCGCAGTCGAGGAAACCAAATGGGTGAAATGGTCCCCGTGCCTCTTGGCCGAGAGTGGCGTGGGTTTTCTCGTGGACCGCGGCTGTCGGAGCGATCGTCAGGGCACTTGTGATTCACGCGCGACCAGACTCAAAGTCAGTCTCGAAAGAAAATACAAAAGTATGAAGCGAATTGAAATAGAACAGTTGAAGTACAATGCTGGATTTTTTTTTTTCTGTTTACTGAGAAACTCCGCCATTCCCGCAGGATTCCCGATAGCTACTGTACAAATCAGGGCATCTCCACTTGCATGTGGACCTTCTACTCGAGCGTCTTCTTTACCTCCGCCGTTTCTCGCATGGCATTCTCTGCATCCAAGGCCGTGCCTGTCATAATCCCCGTGGCAGCGCGAGCCTCCTCTTTGGAAACAGGTGGCCCCGTGAAATGCTTCCGAGCATACACAAAGTACCAGAAGATACTAATCGCAGCAAACCCAGCAAAGACGACGCTGGCGTAGTTCATCGAAGACGGGTCAACGGGCAGCGTAACCGGCATGCAGAAGAGGGCGACAGCAAGCAAGATCCACGCGATAGTGATGGCGTTAATGACGTACCCAAACGACCCCAGAGAAAAAGAAGAGCCGCGGACGTCGCGGCGCCCCCGGACCAGCGAAATGAAAATCGGCAGTCCGTAGGAGGTGGACAGGCAGATGGTGGCCACGCCCGTAAACGAGTTGAACGCCGCCGTGGAACCAAAATAGATCAGTCCTAGCAGCCCGTCGATCGTCGCGGAAAGGATCACGGCCCACACGGGCACATCCAGCTTGGGGTTTACGCGCCGCCAGAGCCGGAAGCCTGGGATGGCGCCGTCGCGCGCAAAGGCATACGTGCAGCGACTGGCCGCAGTGAGGGACCCGATGCCGGCGAAGATCATGATCCCCAGAATCAGAAAAAGCAGCCCGAAGCCGCCGCCCGCGGACCCCGTCACCGTCTTGAACAGCAGCCCGATCGGCTGGCCGCTGGCCACTTTTCGTAGCATCTTGACGTCGGGCATCACGAACAAAATCGGGATGAGGTAGAATAACCCTGTGATGCCAGCTGCCACCACGGACAGCACAATGGCCTTGGGCACCTCGCGGTGCGGGTTCTGAACTTCTTCACACATCGCAGCCACCATACCATATCCGGTCAATGTATAGGCCGCCTGCAGCAAGCCAACGAAAAATGCCCAGCCCGAGGGCCATCCACTGGTCGAGGCGTCATAGTGGCCGAACACGAACTCGCCGTCCCGGCGGTGGTCCGCCATCGTGAGCAAGGTAACGAGAATCACAATGACGCTGGCAGCAGTCCAGAAGATACAGACTTTATTGATGAGGTCGAGGTAGCGCGAACAGAAGATATTGACGAGCGCGCAGAACAGCATGACAGCCCAGAACATCAAGACCGTCTGCCAGGCATTGGCGACAAAGGTTTCGTCCCACAGCGAGATGGCACTGAGAATCAGCTGACCCCCAGAGAAGATGATACTGAGCGTGACGGTCCAATTGCCCACGAGGGTCAGCCAGCCATCAATAAACGACATAAGTGGCGCCCATCGGCGCGTGGACAGCATCGCACTCCAGTAATACACGCCGCCGGCCGTCGGGTAGACAGCGCAGATCTCGGCCAACGAGGCTGCAATGGCAATGGAAATGAGGGTCACGAACACCCAGCCCCACAGGATGGTGACGGACAACCCGTCGGAGAGAGTAATGTAGAGGGTGGTGCTCAGGCCAAAGGGCGCAGCCATAATCGCAAAGGACAATCCGAGAATGCTGGTCATGCTAAGGTTTCGGGGCAGTTCGCTCTTGTAGCCCATACGAGCCAACGCCTCGTCGGCGGCGTCGGCGGTTGCAGACATGTTGAGATGAATGGAGGGGGAGCATGGACAGAAGGACAGAAGAGAGGAATTAAAAGGTCAAGAAGTGGCTCGACCCCGCATGATAACCTGCCGCGGACTCGGACCACGCGAGCTTTTGAAACGCCGCTTATCGCAGGCAACGAAGGCGGCGTGATAAGCCCCAAAACCAGGGTCCACCGGTTTCTCCGAGTATCCACAGGGTCTCATCTACAACCCTGGATACTATTAATGGTGAAGAACTCGCACACATTTTACAAATATTTCATATATGGTTGTCATTGCATTCAAATACATCAAGGTCACGCTCGGGTGACGGCTGCCACATACATCCCCCGGAAAGTGTGGGGACCATTGTGCGCCAAGATGGGGAATAAAAAACAAAAGAGAAGGGTATCAAGAGAGGGAGATAGAAACAAACAAGGTTGTCCAGGAATCTGGCATCTTGAAGAAAAGAAATTTTTTTTCTTGTTTGGAGTATCTAGAGGGACAAGGGGGATCAGGAGTGGGCGGAAGTAGGCCCAAAATGGTTTGGGGGGGGGGGGGGGAATAGGGGCAGAAATGAGGCTATTTTGATAGTTGATGCAGGGAGATGCTCGGGTTGTACAACTCCAGTCATTCGAGCCGAGGGGGGTTTTTTTCGTGCAATCGGGGCGAGGAAAAAATTCCAAAGAAATGGAAACACGTTGAGTCGTAACCAGCCAGCTAGCATCAACTCCAATCGTAAACAAACATGATAGCAACGGAGTAGTCGTCGAGGTTGAACAGGTTGAACAGGTCGAACGAGGGAAAAAAAAAAAAAACGCCCAGTCATGCAGTCGTCAGTCCGGTGAAGTCGTTACATGGATGCAGTACAGTCGCAGGATGCAAACGCGGAGAAAATCGAGAAGGCGACATCGCCTACGGGCTCAGCTCGGCACAGAGGTCTTCGGTCCCATCAAGACCAAAGCCTGCCATGTCGACCGAATGTAACGACCCGGGCCCTTTGCCCAACGAAATGTCCGAAGACGCGTAATCGTGCTTGAGCCGTTCATGAGGTCCAAAGAACGGTCGAGTCTCGTCGTTGGGAGTGTTGCCATCGCCGGCGGCCCACGGCCCGTTCTGCCAGAAACGTGTGTTGGCCTGCTGATCCCCAAAGAGATCGTGATGATCTGGGTGGGGATCCGGGCCGTGGATGGGAAAGTCGTTCGGCGAATGGAACCGCAGATGCGACCGCCCGAAACTGGAGCAGGGGGAATCGGCGTGGAGCGGCAAATCCAGACCCGTCAGTGGGGGATCCTCGACGGTGGTGATGTCGATGGTCGGGTTTTCGGTCTGTTGGGCCAGCGCCGACGACAGCCGGAGGTTTGATGCTGAGCTGCTGTGCCGACTGTGGCTGGCCGACCGTTCAAAGGCACGCTGCACAAAGCTCCCGCAGGTCTTGAGGATTTTTTCCTGGTCTTTCGGCGAGAGACTAGCAAAATAGTCATTCGCCAGAGACGGCTTGGGCGGCGTTTCAGGGGAGGGAATCAACCCGTAGGTGGTTTTGGCATATTCCGAAAGACCGGAGGGCATGTTGTACGGGGACTGGTAGACATTGGGAGCCTGGGCCCGCTGCTGGTCGAGAAAGGCATATTTGCCCGGCACCTTGGCGGCCGCGATGCTACCGCGATCCACGGTCTCTTGCTTGACACCCTCCGACTCCTTCTTTTGAATCACATCCAGTCGCTCGCGGTGACTCACCAGCGAGAATCGGAGCATCTGAAGGAGCCGGGTCACCTCTTCCGACCGCATATTGAGGGTCTGAGGTGGCAGCAAGGTCCCATCCGCCGCCCGGGGCTGCACTCGCTGCTGGGCCATGGCCAGTTCCAGTTTCTCCAGACCATTGGCCGGCGGTATTGAGCCCATGGGACCCAGCAGGGTCTCTACGACCAGCTCCGGGCTGACGATGGTGTACCCGGCAAAGACATTGGCATGGTCGGTGATCTGGGCGAGACGGCGACGGGCAATAAGTTCCCGAACGTTGGCAAAGGTATTGGTGGCAGGAAGGTGGTGCTGCTGCTGAGCGTGCGATTTGGCGACCGAAGGGTAGGGGGCATGACGGGCAGATTGATTGGATAGGGTTCGAAAGGCCGACGGCATCGCAGGAGCTCCAGCAGCAGCAGCACCGGCAGAGGTAGGGGGAGGGGGAGGGGCGAGATGCTGCAGGGAGGCGGCAGAGAAGGGCGGTCGGGATTGGAGGTGAGGGGCGTTGACGGCGGACGATTTATGTTGTAAATGCGGTCGGTGTTGGGCGTAAAGATTTTGCTGGTAAGGAGGGGCAGGGGCGGTGGCATAGTGAAAGTGGTGGGGTGAGATCTTCGATGCACGAGCGCTGACACCAGCCACGCCAAGCGACTTGACGCTGTCCAGGAAATTGGCCCGCGGGTTGTGGACGGGCACGCTAGGGTTGTGTGTATATTGTGCCCTACTCTCAGTGGATTGCGCGCCCAAGTAGTGCCACATCTGCTCCCCTTTGTCGAGGGAGACCGTAACCGGTGGGGCAAATTGCCTGTTAGTGGCATCCACCGTCTCAAACTCGGCCCACTGATAGGGAGATCGGCTGTCGCCAAAGGCACTGCCTGCGACTGGGACCGCTGATTCTAACTCTTTTCGCTGATCGGGCTTTCGCATCAAGTGGGTCGGGAGGGGTTGGATTCCTGGCGCGAGGGGCACGAAATTACTCTTGCGAACAACGAGCATCCAGCGATAAGGCATTTCGATCACATCGCTGATGCAGTCAGTAACAGTGAAAAAAAAATATCTTGTGGGACAGGGGTTGATGCATACCCTCGTGGGAGCACCTTGAGCAACAGAGCTCGCTCCTCGGGGCGATTCTGCAGCACAATGGCTCCATTGATCTCCTTGTCAGCCTGGAATTGGATCAAATCCCCTTGTACCAGGCGGCGAGCAGTCTCAATCACCCGGCGATCCAGGTCCGACGACTCTCCCAAAAGCCCGGCCTGTCGCTTCTGGCGATGGAACTTGCACTTCAAGTCGACGCTGGGGATGGAATACTGGGCACCATCGTCGGCAATCACAGCGATAGAGCCATGTTCAACTTGAACACCGGCCAAAAGGGCACAGGTGGGGTGATAGGCGCGGGTGCATTTGCCAAAGTTACACTGGAAGCAGGCTCCACGCACCTCGCGGCAGAACAAGCACTTAAGACCCAAGCGAGCTTTAGGGATTTTATCAATGTCACACACCACTTCCGTGCCGGAGGCGTCGCGAAGAATGATAGTCTCCTCGATGAACGACGCACATCGTCGGTGCACATGGCCCTTGCCATCCTCGGTCGGAAGAAGGTCCTCGTAGTCGAGATTATTGGGGCACAACAAACACGGGATTTTGCGCGGGCCTTCGGGGTGGAGACGAGGTCGTTTGGTCCTCGGCCCGTCGTCCGGGTGCTTCCGCTTGCGGCCTCGGGAGGATTTCTCAGGCACACTGCGTGGAGGCGTGAGGAGATCCGACGCCCCTTCAAACCCATCAAACTCGCTCTCAAATTCGCCGTAATATTCGGGAGTGGTTTCTCCACGCAGTTTGCGCTCGATCTCATCCACGTCAATCCAGACACTGTCTGCTTCGCAATGGCACTTTTTGGCAATGCGACCGTAGTCCAGCCATTTCTCCGTTGCAAAGTTGACCGACTCGGCACAGTTGTAGCCGATATTGTAGCCGGAGTGGTATCCATAAGGAAAAGTGATGACAAACTCGCCTTCATAATGGACCAAGCGGTTGACGGTGATTCCGAATTGAGACTTGAGGAGACTGGGCGAAACCAGGTAAGTCTTGTGGCGAAGGAACTGATTGCAGTTCTTCGCATCACTGGACCAAATGGTTCGCATAGCTTGTTCAAAGCGAGGTGCATCTTCCTGTGAAATGCTGTACCACTGCTTCGGGGCGCCGAAATGGATGTAGTTGATACTGTACAGATCCACGTCTTCGAGGTGCCAGGCAAAAGTAGCCTTCCACATTCCCAAGTAAAGATACGCCGTGTTGACGCCGGGTACTTTTTGTCCAAGAACGTCGAGAAGATTGGGGAGCTTGGCGACATTCCAGGAGGCGGTGGACTCTTCGAACAGCGAACCGGGCATGTCTGCACCGTACATTGGGTTGTTGAACATGAGAGACTTCCAGTACGCAGTCTCGAGCTCGTCGCATCTCTCGGCGGTGTAATCTTCGTTGTCATGGATTCGATAGTCAAAACCATTGAATGCCTCCTCATCGACGTAGTCCACTGCATCGCCTCGGTTGTTCTTTCGCCGTGCGTTCACGGACTTGGGTTGCTTCGCCTTAGGTTTCGTGGCGGGGAGTGACTCGCCATCGCTCAAGTCTTCGCTCTTGGCCTCAACAGGGTTGGACTCGGGCGACACAGGCGTCGGCGGGCCTTCGAGTTTGGACTTATCGACATCGTCGGCCGGAGGCTCCTCTTTGACTTTGACTTGGTTTGCCCGCTTGGGAGGACGGCCGGGTCGCCGCTTCTGGCCATCCGGGCGTACCGGCTGGGGCCGCGGTGTATGGGCTGCGCGATTGGCACGTTCCTGGTTGCGGCGTCGCTCTCCTCGGCGAGCTGGCGGCTGGTGACTGCTTTCCTCGCACAGTCCCTTCCACTGTGGCAAATTATACGAACGCTGTCGTTCCATGTTGGCTTGAGTGTAGGTTCCGTGCGATCCGTGGAACTCCTGCATGATGGGATTCTTCACGCGGATGTTCTTGACAGCATCATCCAGCGCTGGAAGCGACTCGGACCTTGAGAGAAAGTGAGCCTAGCAATTCCGTCTCCTCAAGATTTCCAGACTTACCATTCCTTCGGAGGAACCACCTTGACGATTCCGGCCTGCATTCCATATTTATCGATTCGGTTAATGAATGATTGGAAGTCGCGGAACTGGTCCATTGTCTAGGGAACGTCCTTGTCAGCTTGCTGTTCCGCAGGGGCTAACAGCCCGCCAACGATGTTCCAGCCACTTGTCTGCTTAAGAAACAAGAAGACTGAATGCTCTTTCCAACGCTGGACACGCTGGACACGCGCGCCACTCACCGGTTTGAAAACTGGGATTTTGCCGCCGCCATAGTAATGGTCAGGTTCGATCTCTTCCTCTTCCTCTATTTCCTGTTTTGCCGAAATCGCATCAGGTGGAGCGGCGGTTTTGGAGTCCAGTTCGAGGTCCGATAACTCAGAAGGGACGCCTTCGGGGGCATCCTTCTTGCCGTTAGCGCTCTGCGGCGGAGTAATGGAGGCCGAGTCGACCGGTCCGGCCGCAACAGGGTCGAGGTGCGGCTGGTCGAGGATTGCCGCCATCGTGGACCGCGACGGGTAGCTATTGGGGGAAACCAGTTGATAGTCCGGGGGTGCCGTCGTCGAATGGAGCGACCGCTGATCGACGGCGAAAGGAAATGGTTCCCAGCGGTCGGGGGAATCGACACCGAAAGAGTCTGACAAGCCGGAAGGAAGTTCGTGATGTCGAGACAAAAGAGTGTCAGGGGACCGTCGTGGTTTTCGGCGAAGTAGGTTCAAGCGATCGCGATAAGCTCTTTTTGGCCTGAAGCCAATGCAAAGGAAAAGGACTTAGTCAAATCGCCAATAAGATCAACGAGGGAAGCCCGTCTCCTGGAGACCGGAGAATTGCAGCAGGGAAGGGGACTTGTTGCAGGGAAGGTGTTTTGGGAACAAGGCTATCCTCCGTCACGTCGAAGGACCATGCCAATGAAACCACAGAACAACGGCGCTAGGTTCGCCAGCAGCGCCCCAAGGAAAAGATGGTTAAGATGGGGTGAGCAATAATACGCAGGTGGGCCAATCATGCAGGTGCCGGACGCTCGAGGGTGGGCCGACACACACGATGGCCTGACACTGAAAGGAGGCAGGGGCAGGTGGGAACAGGGTGAGGAATGATGGGCTCGAAATTGGGCAAATCAGAGCTGGACGTGAGCAGGGAAGGTGGGAATCATCCGATCAGAATGGAAAAGTGGACTTCTGGACTGAGCGCCTGCGAGCCGCGAAAATGGGCCTTGTATTATACCGTCCGGTGTCGGACGGCGAAATGTTGGCCAGGCAGAGACTCCGGGCCAGGGGGTGTCCAGCACCAAGGGGCAAGCCAGAACAAGCAACACACTTACCAAATATAGGATTTTGGGTGAGGTCGAGAAACGCAGGACAAATTGTAATCAAGCACAGCGCAAGAATGGTGATATCGCGATGGGACAGTGAGAGCTTGGCCCAAGCGTGAGAAGCCGACTGTCACGTGCGATCACATGACCGGTCCCATCACATCATGTTACTGTACAGTACTAGTTACCATACGGAAATAATGGAGATGATCTGTAACTATTGTCATGTATGGTCACTCCGGCCGAAGACTCATGCATCTCGGATACCACCGGACCCGACAGTCCATGCTCATCCCTTGATGTGATCTCATCTCAATGCCAGGCATCAACCACATTGTTGAAAGCTCTCAGTCTTGGCCCATGCGAACCGTCATGCCTGGGGAAGGGATATGCAGGCTGGGAACGCCGAAATCGCAGTGCTGACCGAGCATTGTCGATCCGGATATCGGTTTTTGCAGATCGCCAGGCTATCCATGCAGACTCTGTTTCGAATAATTATGGGCCTCTTATGGAAGTGCCTCTATGGATGTCTAGAATCACGCCCACTCTTCATACAGCTTATTATCCAGATCCGTATATCCCGCCACGACCTCCAGCCCCCGTAGCCTTTCCTGGTCGATCCGCTCCCACGTCCACTCGTCAGGGCTCCACGAGTCCGAGTTGGCCTTTTGCTGCTCTGCAAGAACTTCTCGGTCGGGGATCTGGTCATCGCTCATCTTCAATACCTCCCGCACCAGCGATCCATCCACGCCTCCGGTGGCCGTGATACCTTCTCCACTGGCGGGCGTTCCAATAGCAGAGGTCTCGGTAGATGAGTCTACCGGGGCGGACTTGGCTTGGCTTCCCGCCGGCGGTGCGGGGAGAAAGCCACCAGCGCGCAAAATCCGCTCCGGCGAGACCGTCAGCCGGCCCTTCTTGACGACATACTTGCTGAGAGCCACGGCGAGCAAGGTCTTCTCGCCGCCCTTGCGGCTGGCCGGGCGCATAAAACAGGTCAAAATGTACATCCACTTCTTATCCCAAGAGATCACTTTGGAGTGCATCTCATAAAGCTCAAAAGGCTTGATCTCGCGCTTGAAGCTGCAGAACACCGACCCAAGCGCAATGTAGATCGGCTTTCGCTTTGGTGGACGTGTTCCATCCCGCTGGCTCGCCTCGAGAAACTCTTGGTCGAGCTCTTTGCTGACAATTCCCACCCCCGGGCTATAAAGCCGAGTCACCAGAGCTGTACGGGACACATCGAGGTCGGCAAAATATGTGCTATTAGACTTGTGGAGATTGTAGTCTGTTTCCAGCAATGGCGTGCGCGATGTGATTGCACACGGCACGAAGATCGGATGGGTTGGTTTGCCCTTTGAATCCACAATTACCCTTCCCTTTGGAAAGAACGGGGCGCTTGGTTTCAGACGAAGATTGGCCACGCAGTGGTACAACAAACGGATCTGTGGAGTCGATTAGCCCTGTTACACAGCATGGAAATTCGGTGGCTTCGACACGTCTTCAGGGCTGGGGAAAGCCACCGAATCATCAATACATTACTCCATACTTACATGCCACACGAATGGGAGGTTCTTCAAGTTAATCACAGCCAAGAGCAAGGCCAGCGATTTCCATGACGCGAGCGATGCCGCAGTTGATCCAAGCTCGCGCACATTTTCTATGCGGAGGAATGTCGGAATGGCAGACATGATGAAGCCAGGAAAGAGAGGCGCAATGGTCTCCTTATCTCACATGTAGCAAGTCTGGTTCTTCAGAAGCCGATAAGCGATAACTCAAGATGTGTTGCGGCCCGATCTATAGTATTCAGGAGACCGAATCTGACATCAGCTCCGCACGAACGTTTCGCGCAGCAGAGCCCAATTGAGAAAGACAAGGAAGGTTATAAGGATTGAAATGTAATTGATGAGATAAAAAAAATTGAGATAAATCAGCCAGATCTCAACGCAAGCGGGCCGAGCACAAATCACGGCCGTCGTGGTCTGGCGCATTTTGTTGGGAACCGAGGCCCAGCTGTCACACGTGATATTGCTGAGTCATTCATGGGCAGCCTGGAGTGTCCATTGATAGATTCAAGTCTCTAAATAATCCTAATAAAATAGTTATTGTTATTATTATTATTGTATGGAGTAGGATTTAGTAGACCGATAGCATGTCGCTGCTGAGAAGTTGTAAAGATGGAAGAAGTTGGACAGCACGAAACATGGCCATAGGGCACTCTACATCATTCTATAAACATCTCCAGCATACCTAGAATTTTAGAAGCATCCATGATAGTCCATGAATAGCATAGACTAATTCACGAGACTAAGATGAAAATTTCTAGGGTTGCCTCGAAATGCATGGGAGTAAAAGGTTTCTCATTACGAATGAAGCCTCATGAAAACCTTGGAAAGGTGGCAACCATATACTTGCATAAACTATAGATTCCAGCACTGTTGCATTAATTTATGAATTTTGTATTCGTTTGCTGCTAGATAGAATAACCGACCAGTTCCTGATCTACTTCTATTTAGCCGGTTGGACAAAGCTTGTTTGGCTCCATCAATGCTTGGCTGTTTACCACGTAAATCTACAGTTTAGTTCAGAGAAAACAAGCCCTCTCATTTTTAATAAAGCAATAATATTTGATGGCCGATCAAGATCATTCCTTGACTCGATCACTCTGCTTTATTCGAAGACATGCAAGCTCGCACTGCGGGGTCATACCCACGTCAAACACCCGGACTTGCTCCGACTCCCGCATCGCGTGGGGGGAATCGGGTTTATAGCTGCAGACTCCCTGCGAGACTCGTTTTTGTTCCACTACTTTTCACTTTCGCTCTTGCGAAATATACACCCCTCTTACACACCAAACTTTCTTGAGCTTCCCTCCTCGCTCCATCCCATTCCATCCCATCCGCTACGGCAAACTCCACAGCTACCCCCATCATGTCTGGCATTCCAAACCTTCCAGAAAGGTTTGATGACCTTCCCGACAAGCGTCGGTTCTGGCCTGGCGCGGCAGGATCAGAGGAGGAAGGACTGGGGATGCTGCGCCTCCTCACTCCGGATGTTGTCGCGCACGCGGCGCAAACACAGATCCAGACCGGCGAGCGCGTGTGTTTGAACTGGGATATCGAGAATCTGAGCCCACCAGGTAGATCCACGATCCACTCGCCGATGCAGGAGATTGGAAGAGAAGAACAATACAGAATTAGTGGCTTACACTGAAGATCAAACAGGATTCGGCCGCAAGCCTTTTGAACACCGCATCAAGTGGGTGGCAGAGGGCATCGCCTTCGACGACGAGTACCACTTCAACCCGCAGCAGGGGTCGCAATGGGACGGACTCCGGCACCATAATGCGCCGGCACCCACGACCGACAACCCTGACAGACGGGTATTCTATGGCGGCACGACAGCGGAGGAGATCCAGGACACCCAAAACTCACGGATTGGAATCGGGTTCTGGGCAAAGAAGGGGATTGCAGGGCGCGGTGTGTTGATCGATTACCTGTCATACGCACAGAAGAAGGGGATCCACGTCAACGCGCTCAGTCGGCAGACCGTGTCGTTGGACGAGGTGCTAGAGATTGCGCGCGAGTGCTGCATCGACTTCCAAAAGGGTGATATCTTTTTCCTGCGTCTCGGCCTGCCCAAAACTTGGAAGGCCATGTCCGCCGACCAGCGCCACATCTACAGCCAGCAGGCCGTGCCGCAGCATGCGGGTATCGAGCAGAGCGATCGCGTGCTCCGCTTCATGTGGGACAACCATTTCGCTGCGGTTGCTTCCGACGCTGTTAGTTTTGAGGTCTTCCCGCCTCTCTCGCCTGAGCATGACTTGCACCACCATCTCCTGGCCGGTTGGGGCGTCCCCATTGGGGAGATGTTTGATCTTGACGAGCTTGCGGAGACTTGTAAGCGACTGGCCCGTTGGAGTTTCTTTATCTCGAGTAGTCCTCTCAACTGCTCGAGGGGCGTTTCGAGCCCGCCTAACTGCATGGCCATTTTCTAGAGCCCTGGCGGCGTTACTAGTATATTTGATAGGGTTAGTCCAGTTTCGGGAGTGGCAGCTGAAAACGGCAGACTTAACTCAACCTTTAACTCTTCGAATTAGTATTCAATTCAATATGTGACGCATATGAACGACATCACATCTGCGGGGCCTGGGGTTGAAGGCTTCTCGATTGGAAGCCACCCGGGCCAACCCCATGGATGAAAGCATTTTCCAAAAGTCGCCTTCACTTAAATTGGCCGCTACAAACTTGAACCTGGATTGATATTACCCACAGTTGATCATCTACATGTAAGGAAACAAATGTCTAGCAGCAGTATGCCATATCTCGACATCCCGACTGCTTGCACAGGTTCTCACGAAACCCTAAAGCATCAGTCGCCCAGTACATGGCAGCTGATAAACCGACATCATGCCAGAGCAAGCCAATCTCGATGGGCTGGTCGGTGGCTTTGAGGGATCCGATCTAGCCGTGCAAGTGAGTATGGGCGTGTTCGTGTGCATGGCACTGTACAAAGCAGTGGAATTGATCCCGCTGATCTTCATGTCCTTCCGCCACTACCGTGGCCTATACTTCTGGTCCCTTTTTCTGTCAACAGTGATTGGAAATATTCCCACGACGATCGGTGCCCTCTATTTCTTTGCCATTGGACCCGTCGCCGCGGCAATGGCCATCTCCGATTTCGAGTTTTTGTTCATGGTGCCTGGCCAGTCACTCGTCCTCTACTCTCGCCTCCACCTGGTCGTCTCTATGCCCAAAGGTTCCTGCGTGGTATTCTCGCTCTCATTATCACTACCGGGATTACCATGTTCGTCTTGACGACTACAACCTCTTATGGGTCGATCTACAGACAAAACCCGGCCTGGGACACGGCGTATAGAATCGTCGAGCGGATACAACTACTGGTGTTTGTCGCCCAGGAGACTTTCATCTCATGTCTCTATATATGGAAAACGCTGGGTTTACTCCAGCTCAATCCTGGACGAAGGGGCAGTCAGCGGAGAAGTATCATGTACCAGCTCTTGGCTATCAACCTCGTCATCATTGCTATGGTTGCTGTTCTTCCGGTGGTCGAGTTTGTGAACTGGCGCTATATCCAGGTGACTTTGAAATCGGCGATTTATAAGTGTTAAGCTGAAGCTTGAATTTACGGTGCTGGGTCGGCTGGTTTCTATCGCGGATCTTCATGAGAACTCGGGTTTGCCGAGTGGCCGTGAGGGCACGGCGGAATTTGCTCACCCAGGGACTAGGAAAGAGTTGAATCATGCGACGGTGATTATGGTTGTTCGAGCTGAAAGAAAGGTGGAGTTGAGGAGTCTTTGTGTTGAGCTTGTTCTATCTTTTTTTCTACGAATGAATGCACGAGCCCTGGGGGTATTAAATAAGTAGACTTTTACACCTGAGCACAAATCTATCCAACCTGGAAAATAGAAAGCCCACTGCCAATACAAGCAGCGCAATGGCCACATTTTACTCTGGTTGGGTCGCAGGCTCATTGGTTGGTACATCCACGACGGAACTATCGCCACCACAACAAAACCAGTTCAGCTTACTTGTCCATGGGTTAACAAGCTCCTGGAATCTCGGAACGCCTTTATTTTGCCCCTAGGCTTACTAGAAGCCACTTTCGGTTGATGATTGACATCATGACCTGAATGCCTGAGGGGATGGCGATATATTAAATACCAAGGGAGATGTCTGGTTTTCTGCGAGACAACCACACAAATCTTCCCTACTACTGAAATCCACTATGTTCTTTATTCCAATTTCCCGTCAGGCATTCCGGCCCTCTGCTATTCAAATCAACCGACTGGCGAGGGTGACCTACCATGGCAAGGCCGAATCAAATGTCAAGCCCGAGGATGAATGTGAGAACCATGGCCACTAATGAGAATACCGGGAATTTTACTGAATGGAACTGACTGAGTAGTCTTCCTCAATACGACCTTCCCCGATGATTTTGAAGCATCGCCCCTGAAGCCAGAGGTTCTTCAGAAAGACCAGGATCGCCAGGACAGCACTAAATCTACCACTCAGACAGCTTCTGTAGGCGACTTATTCCACTCTCTATGCCGAGCCGACGAGTTTCGAAAAAGCTGACTGTTTTCTAGACAGATAACAAGATCCGCGATTCCAAGCCACATGAAAACAAGGGCGAAAATATGCAAGGCCCAGACGACGCGGAGAGAGAGCCCAACTTGGACGAAATGTGAAACTTGATGCCCACAATCGACAATCTATATAGTTATTATTTCTCCTACCCTTAGTTAAATATTTAACTGTCAGTGAAGATGTTGGATGAGCCAGAAGCTTATTACCACCAAATATAGAATGATCCTGATGCATACTATCGCTTAGCTGTATACGCCTGGTGACTCGTGTCTTGGAGCCACACATACCAACACACCTTTTAACATCTGGCAAATTGGTGCAGTGCAGTTTAACTGGGTAACCAACGTCTTTGCAAAAACTTCTCATGTGAAGCGTATGCCAGTGAGTCAGTGACAAACCTTCTTCACGGCCGCCAGAACAGCCCTATATCTTTGCTTACTAGCATCACCATACGACGCCGACCACGAATACGGGACTCACAGAAAGAATAGAAACGAAGAGACATAATAGTGATGACACAAAGACGTACCATTATAGCGAGGAAACTTTGAAAGTATACGGATTACGTACGAGAAGGTCTAGGGAATGAGTCCGGTAATCGAAAAATCACTTGATGAAGAACCCTGCCATCCTGGCGGAATATTCAGTTGTAATGCACACATTTTCATGAGATCCATAGATCCACCCTCCATCTGATTCGTCTTTTCGCCGGGCAGCGCGGGCTCGAAGACCTAACCCAATTTTCCATCCGCCCCCTTCTCGTCGGTCTGATTGGGAAAGCTAGAGACCAGCTGGGTGTGGAGTGACTGGGAGTAAGAGAGACTCTCATCAAATTTTCTCTCGAGTTGTTCTATTTCCGCGATAAGCATGGGCAGATTCCGTATGTACCTGGCGGCTGCTTTCAATCGCCGATACAGCCTGGTCGATGATAGCCATAAGAGCCTGATGTTCGGACTGCAGCTGCTTACACAATGGAATGAGCCCCTGAGAGGTCGAAATCCACTGTTGAGTTGTCGAAATAAGAGTCTCCAAGGATTCCGCATCCGTAGACGCGTTTTGTTCTGCTTGAGGGGACTCCTGGTCGCCGGGCTGCTTCGATCCCTGATCTGTGTCCTATCCACTGATCTTGGGCTGTTTTAAGCAAGCCCAGGTCAATTCCACAATAGAACAACTCCCCAGAGTATTTTCATTCTGTCTTGGGACTGCTTCGATTGACAGCGGAAAGTAGATATGCCGCTCCACGGGGTCGTATCCACGAGGAACAAGGGCTCGACAGTGAGGATTAACTGAGGCTGTTTTGTCAGGGAGTAAGAGATGGTTGATCTACCAGCGGCTGGAATTTCTGCCTATAGGAATTGTCCGAACTTGAAACTGAACGTTAACTAGGATCCCGGATCAAAGCTTTGTTTTTATTGACTTGGATTGATTGTATTGGTCGACATAGGCGTTTATTTCAAAGGACACGATAAAAAATATAAAAGACATGACAAGAGACACACACAAAATATCCCACTAATCATAATAAAGATACAAAAACTATACATAAGACAGATAGCCTCGGTTTCCAAATACTGCTACAGAGCACCGCTGGGCTAACGCCAGAAATAAGGATAGAAATAGAACAGAAGCAAAAAAAGTAGCTACAATATCAAAAGCGTACTGCTGTTATATTAATTGCATGTAGAAAGACGTAGGCAACCCATACAAAAGGTACATAAGTGCTCTACCGGAGGTACCGATGTGGGCCCTGTATTGGGCGACTACAGGGCAGGATGTATGCCGTTCTCCTGTTTCACAAAGCTATTCAAGTATTAGGTTGGTATATCTCTTGGCTTGAAAGGGGTCAGAAGTCAAGTATGATTCCAGGCACCAAGATATCCACCTTGGATGGGGCCAAAACAAGGTTGGGCTGAGCATAAGACTAGGTTGAGAATTTACTTGAACCTCATCCCCAGAATTCTCCCCTCAAAATTTGGTCGCCATGACTCAAAAGCGAGCAAGTACAAAAAGATCCAAAATGGGTTGTCGTACCTGCCGGTAAGTGGATATTTCCAGGAACTAGTGGGCTCCCCCCGACATGAGGCTCTGCTGACCAGCTAGGGCCCGACACGTTAAATGTGACGAGACGCCAGGGGCCTGCAAGAATTGCGCATCTGCAGGCTGGAATTGCAGCGGCTATGAGATGACCCGACTGTCACACCCGAGTCAAGGACGACGTATGACCGACCGCTCGGTCTCGCTGCTTCCTCGTATGGGAGTGAGCCTGCCCGGGGGGAGCTCTGACGAACGTAGGGGGTTTGCCTTCTTCCTCTCACAGACCATCCCCAATCTGACGGGGTTCTTTGACTCATCCCTCTGGAGTGGGCTTGTGTTACCGATGAGCCATGCCGAGCGAGCTGTCAACCACGCGGTGGTGGCCATCAGCGCCCTGCACGAAGATATGGAGACACGAGGGGCGCCACTAGCGCGCGAAGATCTCATGAATCGCCGCCAGCGGTTTGCCCTCGAGCAGTACGGACGATCTCTGGCGGTTTTGAACCAACGGCGTCACTCGCAAGACCCCAAGCTGCGCGAGGTTATCCTGACCTGCTGTCTTTTATTTGTCGCGTTCGATCTGATGCGCGGCCACTATGACCCGGCGATCTTGCACCTCAAACAGGGACTCGCGATTATCACAGAAGTGTCTCATTCCACGGGGGATTCCAAAGCGCCTGGTGGCGTAGACGCCATCGCCAAGTCGCTCTCGGCAGCTATGGCGCGCTTGGATGTTCAGTCGATCTTCTTCCAGGGGGGCCCGATTCTCGAGCCTGCTCCCGGGGATTATGTGGCGAGTGTGAATATTACCAGTGGTTTCGGCACTCTTCACGAGGCAAGAGTCGCCCTAGATGAAACGTTGTGTCATGTCATTCACTTCTTGAAGGCTGTCTATGTCGTGCCGACCGAAGATCGTCTCGCTTGCTACCAACCGCAGCTCGAGGAAAGGCGTAGGCGCATCCTATCCCATTTTACAGACTACCTGAGCCAGCTGAAAAGCTCCAGTGATTCCCTTTTATACCCAGCCGACGCAAAGGAGCAGCGGGGGATCGATCTAATCTATCTTCACTGGATAACATACTTCATCCTTATAGATACTTCTCTCGCTGGAGAAGAGGAAGCCGTTTTCAAAGTGCTTTTTCCCAGATTCAAGCGGATGCTGTTTCTCTCCAAGAAAGTTGCTGATAGCTTTTTGGAAGATGGCAAGCCGGGCTTTCGACCCACCATGTTGCTGGACATGGGCATTATTGCGCCCCTCTTTTTGGTTTGCTGGAGGTGTCACGATGTCGAGACTCGTGCACGAGCTCTTGAGATGCTTGAGGCTTGGCCACATCGCGAAGCCATGTGGGATTCCCGATTTCTTGTGCTATTTGCGAAGCAACTGCTGGCCACCGAACTGGCTCTCGAGTTTGAATCTGCACAATCGGCCAGCCAAGACTCCCTGGAGACTCCTAAAGCACCGGCCCGCGTGCAGGACATTGGTATGCAGCTGTCGGATGATCAGACACATGTGACTTTCTATTACCGAAGGAAAGAACCTGGCCAGGCGGCATTGAAGCAGCAGAAAGTGGTGCCGCTTGATGAAAATGATTAGTTTTATTTGGTGGAAAGAGCTACATCTTTCTGGTGCAGTTTAAGAGAAACCTTTATCCCAAAATTTATTAATAATATTGGCGTGTAGAACATAGCAGGACTCTCCAGTTTGATCATCGGACACATTAATTACATCTAGGCAATCTCTGTAGAAAGCCATCGGCGTTGGAAGATAGCACAAAGGTAGAAACAGGCTTACGCTTAACCCGCATAATAATCTATCGTCGGAGCCCGAAATCTGAAGCAGCAGAGCCCTGGAATGGTACTTGGTCTGGCTGACAGATGGTGTTGGCAGAAGGAAGATGGCCGCTGAAATATGCCCGAACATTCTTCATCAAGCATGATGATGCACTGGCAATAGCAGTATGCTATATAGTAGGTAGCTGGTCAGTTTCATTTTGGCATAAGTAGCTCAGGTAATATTACCTACCCCAGTAGAGTTTTGTATCAAAAGTTTGGATCCAGGAAACACCGACGCCATCTTTTGTGCCCTGTTTGACTATTAGCATGAGCCCACGATACATAAAAGCTGCCTCTGCGCACCCTCGCTTAGGAGTAACTGGGTCAATCTCGGCATTGACAAACAAGATCGGGAACGAGGTATTTCTCGTTTCCAGAATAGAACCTGAATCCGAGTTAGCTTCATTTTCTTTAGATAAAAGCATATACAGCCATCTACCTACCAGGAAGCCTTCCGCTCTTTGGAGGATCAACCTTCAACGCCCGACAAGAAACAGTATTGGCGTTATTAGGCCACACCTCGCCAAAGAACTTGCTTTGCGAAGTCAAAGTGTCGACATAGTCCCGGTATTGGCCGATGTCCTTGAACTTGTGGCCGTCGTACTCGTCCACACATTTGATCAGAGTATTGATGTCTTCAGTGCTTCCTTCAGTCCCATTGCTGCATGGGTTCGACGGAAGGCCAAGATCCGTGACGGCACTTATAAACGCCGTAGTGTTCCCTTTCTCCAGACCCGAAAGAACCTCGGCGAGGGTTGGGAATCTAGACAAGGGTGAGTACATTGCCTGGAGAGTGATCTGCTTCAAATCCGAATACGTCGCAAGTAAGGGGATCCCGCAGGCCTTCGAACTGGGGGTGGGAATCGGGTGAGACTTTATCTTCGCCACTAGCGTGTCCATGCGACTGCTGATGCTCTTTGCCGACGGGCGCCAGAACGAACACTTCTCGGCTCCGGCTTGATGGCAGTACTTGAAAAACGAATCAAGAGCTTTGTCCGCGTCGGAGATGCTTGTCTTCCACCCCAGGTTGTAATAATCAGACGCATCGAGGGTTCCGTCGAGGATCATTTTCCCGACCCGGTCTGGGAAAAGAGACGCAAAGGTGACGCCAATCACTGTGCCGTAGCTGACGCCATAGTAGGAAATTTTGGCTTTACCCTCTTTCTTCCCTGAGAGTGCTTGCGCCGCATCGATATAGGTGAGCAGGTCACGAGCCACCGCAGGCGTACTGACGAACGATGCATTTCCGTTCGAACCTCCTGTGGTCGCAGTACATGCCTTGCCAAAGATTTCTGCCGCGTAGAACTGCGTCGACAGAGAAGTGGAAGAGGCATTTGAGACCTCGGGGTAGAAGAGCTTTTCAAACTGGGCTCGCCTTTCTGGGTGGCCGGGCCAGCAGTTCACGACTGGTCCGCTCTGATTGACTCCGCGAGGATCAAATCCGACAATGTTGTGCTGTTCTCCGATTATCTGGGTGAGAGCCGTGCCTGAGTTCAGTAAGACCTCTACTCCAGATCCTCCTGGCCCGCCTGTTTCCTCAAGTTAATCCTGGTTCCTGCTCAAGATGGGGAGCCAAGTATCTCTGTATCTCTCACCTGGGTTTATAAGCACATCCTGTGTATCTTTTGTCTTGTTCTGTGCAGATAGTTTGATCAAAGCTATGTCTGCAGTTCCTCGTGAGGTATCGCCGTAGTCGAGGGGTACTTCGAGTTTGGCGCATGTGAAGTTACTAAAGCATGGAGTCCATTGAAGATGAGGCGAAGATGGGACCTGGCAATATTTAGTTGATGGCCATCGAGATTCCAAGAGCCAATGGTTCTTACAGCTTTCCAATCATGCACCATTCCCGTTGTTCTTGGGATTGGAGTGTTCGATGGAATAGCATAGACGCATGAAATAAGCGATGTTGCGAGTACAAACAACTTCCAGAATTCAGGAAAAGCCATGATTGCTAAAGAAATGATTAGAATCGTATATGAACTATCCGTAGTTTCTTGGGATCAGCAGGGTATTTATATTTGCTTCGTTTGTGTCAATATTGGCGCAAACATGGCTATGTCTTTAGGCTTCCATCTATGCACAGGAAACTAGAGTACCTGATTGGATCTGTCGTCTAACGTTCAGGGAGATATCTTATTTTAGGAGCCAACACTTTCTACGTGACATCTAACCCTAATTCCAGGCATCCAATGTATGGGCTTGTTGGTGGAGCCGATAGACACGATGTGATTGGACTATTCGTTTATTCTCCCTCTAAAGTGGATCTCATTATAGAGCCAACGGGTCCTCTCCCCTATGTATTACAGCCAGCTATTCAACTCTATGTTTATTATTCAAATGCCAGAGCTTTCTAAGTCAACCATGGTATCTGCAACTTTACATAGTGGTATCGCATGACTATAAGATAGCCAGATAGCCAGATAGCCACCTTTCTTATGAGGCTTCATTCCTAATTAAGAAGTCGTTTGTTTTCTTATATTCCTCAACTCTTCTCCATTGCTTTATGGAAATCGAAACGATCTTTATATACTGATCTAATTGGCTGACAAAAACAGAATGTATATTGTGAACTGGTTCCCTTGGTTGGTCTTCGTAGCTAAGCCAATCAAAGGAACCTTTGGAGCCCCCTCTATTTATCAGAAATCGGTCCCTCACTGCGCGTATTCTGCTCTCAGATCGGAAAGTGCACCCGCCGTTGTCACTTTGGCACTGAGGATGGACTTAAAGAGTGTCGAACCGACAGTGATAGAAGTCGACTACACGGGGGCGGAGGTAACGAGTGTAGCAGCCAAAGGCTGGTTCGACTCATTCCGGCGAGATAGCGGGTGTGGAGTGAGAGAAGGCTATTTCGCGTCGCGATAAGATGATAGGTCTGAAGTGGGCTGGTACCGAGTGGACGAAGGCCGATGCGATTCGTCCCAGCGAAACGGCTGGCTTCCAGTCTGACCAGATTCTGGTAATTTGAGGGTGGGCCTGTAGCACTATCTAACTTGATGATTGTATCAATGACCATAGTAGAGGTGAGAAATTGGAGGGTAAGTTTGAGTGAGGCTGGTTGAAACTTATCGACGCAAGTGAGGCAGTAGTAACAGTAGCGGTAGCCTATTTTATAAAAGATTGGCACCTCAATCTGTTCCAGGCTCAGTTAGGCTGACTGAGGCTGGTGGTCTTTGACTATAATCAGAAATACTGTAAGAAGTAAAGCCAAGGTCAAAATAGGTATAAGCAAAGACTCATAGTGAGGTGAGAGTGAGATAGATAGAGTATAGGTAAGGTCTGATTTATATATAGATTATAGGAAATAACGTGAGTAACTAAAAATATAAAATTATCCTCTAAATTAAATTTTAAGCTAATTATCTTAATTAATAAGCTTATATCACTACTGCTTTAAATACTCTAATATTGTAACTATGAGAACTATAGCCTTACTTTATATAACGTTATTCTTTCCTTTTAGGGGTTGGAAACTATAAATCAAAAAGAGCATTCAAAGAGTGTTAAAATAATAATTATAATTATAAATTTATAATAGAAAGATTAATATAGAAAAAAAAGAAAACTAAAAGTAGAAACAGAAGCGGAAGCAGAAGCAGAAGAAGAAGAAGAATAAGAACAAGAAAAAGATAGGAGACTTATAGTCAGAGGGCTCGAGATCTTATTAGGGTGAACACCGACAGAACTACTTAACAGTAGTAGATGAGGTTTAAGCCAACCAGAAGGCCAGCATTGATATAAGGTGTGCATGTGGATGACTGTGAATATATGCTTGTTGACTACGACGCTAATTATAACACCTGTTCCTCCGGCTGCTGCTCGGGTTTCTCTTGCTACATCGATTTCTCAACTGACGACTAATACATCTACAAGTATACAATAATCAACCCATAACAAAGTGATGTGGCATATCGAGAAACAAGCTCAAGTAGCATATAGAGTGCCCACAACAGAGTAGGATAGAAAAAATCTACAGGTCATCCAGATCGTCGTTGGCCTTGTCGCCACGCTTTTGCATGTCAGACATCTCGTACTCGTCTTTACGACCAGCTCGGTCTGACGCTGACATGGCAATTGCCTGTCGACCTGTGTCAGAAGACTCGAGGAATTCGCGTAGACGGCGTTTGCCTTCCTCAAGGGCCTGCTGAGATGCTGCCTCGGTCATCTTCAAGATGGGACCCCACAGGTTGAGCTGGTAGGTGATATAGGCGCCGACGGCACACACGAACAACAAGAAGAAGTAGGCCGGGTTGCGGAGAACTAGAGGTCAATGTTAGAAGAGGCAAGAAGATAAACAAGAGAAAGAAAACATACCGGCAATAATTTCGTTCCAGCCCAACGCCACCAGCAACCCGTAGAAATACAACGGAACCTGAGTCATGCCACCGATGGCGCTGCGCTTAGCCTCGACGTAAACGCCGTCGGCGGCTTTCTTAAACCGCACGGTGAGATCCTGGCGTTTCGCATCGCCGAGTATCGTCATCTCCTCTTCCAGGCTCTTGCCTTCGTCCTCATCCACGCCACCGATGGGCGGCAGGTCCTCTTCGTCCGCGGGCGTTGCAGAGCTCGGGGTGTGTCCCACCCACCGGTCAAGTGGCGGCGGGGCCGAGGTCTCAGCTAGACGGAAGCGAGACAGAAGAGGGATCAGCGTCAAGGTGGACTCCCGAGCACGCGTGTAAATGCCTTCAATATCATCCGTAGGGCGCCAAATCCGGGGCACGCCTTCTTCATCATAGCGGAACTTGTCCTCAAAGTTCTCACGCAGCTTGAGGAGTAAGTTGCCCTCGGTCATCTCTTCCTCGATCTTGGCGCGCAAAACACCCCAGGACTTGCGACGCAGACGCCACAATCCGACATCAACCTCTTCCAGGCTGGCGTCAAAGCTGCTGGCACGGTCCGTGAACCTCCGCTCTGCATCAAGAACAGTCTCCACGAACAGGTTCCACACCCGATCCCAGAATGTTTTCTCGGAGGGCTTCTCTCCGTTCTCTGGAGCACCGCCGCCAGCTCGTCCAGATCCAAGTGCATTGAACTCGAGTCCCACCGACTCGCCCAAGCGAGATTGCACCCACCGCTCGACACGGCTCGCCAGCCGCCTCATTTCATCCCGCCGCAGTCGAGCACTGACCTCAGCCAGTTCTTTTTCATATAGAGCCAACTCCTGCTTATAGTCACTCCAAGAAGTGCCCTCAACCACGGTAGAGCGGGCAACCTCGTCAAACTTCTCCAGCGAAGTCTTTGTCTCGTGGTTGACAATCTCGGCAAAGTCATAGTTCCCACCTTTCTTCTGGCCAGTCTTGACGGCGGCCGAGACTGAATCACTGAAATCACGGATGCCAGACTTGTGTGCCGCCGAAAGCTGACCATGGAAAAGCGCCTTCAGACGAGTGTCGGTTTTGCCCTCGAGCTCGGCCCGCTTTCGCTGATACACGCCTTTATGGTACCGACTGGCTTCTGTCTCAAAGTTCTTGAGCGCTTTAGAGCGCGCAGCCCGCATAGCGACGCCCAGCCCTCCCAGCACTTCCGGAGCTCCCAGGCGTACCGCTTCGGTCTGTTTATCCTCAAATGCGGTGATCGCCTCATCAAAGCCAATCATCACCTCCCGCAAAATCTCATCACAGCGGAACTGGGCAAGCAACTCCTGCTGGGTGGGCAAGTCCAAGTCTTTATTGTTGACGATTTGGTCCCAGATACCTTCGGCGTAGTGAGAAAACCCGTCCGCCGGAATTCGTCGATGGTATTCAGGCAAGAACACTCCTCCTTCGGAGAACTCGCCCTTGAGCGCATCCCTCTTCGGGTCTCGGTGGCCATCCCGGAAACGCAGACCCAGCTTGTTCGATTCTGCCACGAACTGGTCTGGTTGATATGCTTTGTGCGGAAGCCCGTAGAATTGGAAGTCGAAGTAATCGTGGATGGTCGAGTTCTCCAACCCTGCCGGTTTCGATATCGATGCCCAGAGGCGAGACAAGTCTTCCAATAATGTGTTCTGAAGGTTCTTGAGCGGGGTGGTACCGACGAAGTCGCGGATGACGAAGAACAAGAGAGATCGGTGGGTGGTGCTAGAAGCTCATCAGTGCCTGAATGATAATTGAGAGTGGAAAATCGAGGGGACACACTGCTTGTCCTTGAGGAATAGCTGCAGGTTCACCTCGAACACGGTCTTTAACAAGCCCATGTTCGCTCCCTGGTACAATCCCACTTGGTGCTCCCAGATGTTAACAATGAGCACCTCACTCGTCGCAAGAGCAAAGAGTGCGCTTTTGCGCTCAAAGTCCTGGTCCTCGCCTCGCTCGCGGCCGTCCGTACCCTCCACATCCATAACCAGGATATTATCTGCCATGCGCGATCCGTCGGCCTCGCTATTTTCGGCTTGCTTCTTGTTCTTCGACAGCCAAATACCCTTGGTGGTTTGCCGTCTTTCCCGCTCCGACATGACCGAGAACTGGGTGCCGAAGAGGTGGTTGAGCAGAGTGGACTTGCCCGTCGACTGCGAACCGAACACGGAGATGAGGTGGTAGTTGAAGCCAGCTGGCGTGACATCTTCGAGGGACAGGTACTTGGACAAGTTCGGACTGGAAACAAGCAATCAGCAGCAGAACCACGGCACCTAAGCGTATTTCCCCCATCGGGAGGGGAAGTAGCCGTACTTGAACTCCTTATTCTCGTCGATGACCTGCACGCCATGCTCGTAGGCGGCGGGGTCGCTTTGGTCGCCGACCGCAGCGAAGTGTCCATTTGCCATGATAGGGGGCGCAGTTGGGCTTCTGCCCAGTCCCGAAGGGCGTTCCGTCATAGTCGCGGACTGCTATCGCTCCCGTGCTCAGTGTGGGCCGATCACCGTCGACTCGGGGGTGGCGAGACAGGGTGAGAGAGGGGAGAAATGGAGGTTGAGAGAGATGGAGATCGCAGCAAGCCCCAAGTGCAAATCAGAGAAATTGGAATCACGAGATGATTTCACGAGGCCATGGGGGGAGATGGACAAGACCCGAGGTCGGTTGCTGGGGAAAACAGTCTTACATAAAGCCCCTGTCACCTCCACCTGCATATGAGCATATTCAAGCACTGTGACTTGGTCTGTGATCAAATAGATATAATACGACTTGATTATTTCCCCCTCTACCTCAGAATACTGATATTTCTTTTTTTCTGCTGGAATATTTCTAGCGGCTTTCGAGTCAACTAGTCAACGCCTGTGGGTATATGACCTTGATAAAGGGAAATATTCGAGTCCCCAATATTATCTATTAAACCTGATAATTTGAAGTAAATCTTGCATATTGGAATATGGTATCCAGGGCTCAATTGCGCAATATTTCTAAGTAATCATAAACGTGGCTTCAGAAAAAGGAAAAGAAAAAAAAAGTCTGAATGAATTTGAACCATCTTGATTATTTGTACACAATAAATGGGCAATTTAGTTTCCATCATCACCCTTCCTGTCAAGGTACTCCGTCCTCGGACCAGTTCAGGTTCCAACCCTGGTCAAGCCCCAGGTCGACATTGAGATTTGGCCACATATACTGCCCGAAATCGTCAAACAATCCACTGAATGCATTCACCTCCAGCCCCACAAAGGGATTTGTTGATCCATCCTCGCGCTGGGTCCATGTCTCGTTTGTATAGCCCACGTCTCCAAAGTTCGGGGCTAAGGTACTCGAACCACTCACAGACTCGGCGGAGGCAGTCGCTGCACCATCGAGATCAGACATGGGCGGGGTGTAAAGCTGGTGAGGCGACGGCTTAGAAGAAGAAGAAGAAGGGGTAGTATTGGTGGCGGGCGGAGTTGGAACATCGGAAGCGTGATCCTTGGGCTTGTTGGCCGGGGCTTTCGAGTACTTGGTGCCAGCACCAACAGTGATAGTCCCGAAATACGGGATAGTGATCTTGCAGCTAGTTGAGAGGCTCCAGTCTTTCTTGCACAGACGGGCGTCGAACATGGTGCCCAGAATATTGGCCGACTCGGCAGCCACCGAGCCACCCGGCTCTGTCGCAGCCCGCCGGAGGACTTCGACGACTTTGCCGACAAGCTCCCAGTCCCGCTCGTCCTGTTCCTGATTGTAGTCGGGGGACTCTTCGGAGTAGCCAAATAGGTGGAGGATGATGAGCATGCCCAGTGTGAAGGCCAGGAAGTCGATCATCTTACATAAATAGGGCTTGATGGACGACCGGATTATCATGTACAGAGCTAGGCCCTCCCGAGCAGATTCCAGCGCACTGGCATGGCAGTAGCGAAACCGGGAGTCAGAGGGTGATTTTAGCATGAATGGCAAGTGGAGAAAGGCACGTAGCAATTTGAACATGAATTGCAGCGGAATGCGCTCGTAGAAATGCGCCCGTTCCTCATTGACCTCGGGCTTCGAGCTCCGGAGATGACCCGGCATGGCATTCCAGGCATCCTGTAGCTCTTGGTCGAGACGCAGGGTGGTCGGGAGAGACATCTCGGACGGGTTTTGATTGCGGTCGATCATGTGTCCGGTGATAATGCCGATCCGGAGCATGTACTGCTCGGGAGCAGACAAGTCCAAACTGAGACGCTGCTCAATCTGGGGCAGGATAAAGGCATCGGCGATACCGTAAGGCAGGCCGAGAATGAGACTGAGTGAGCGGTCCGAGCTCCCCAATGAGCACCAAGTCCTCAGACGGCGCTCATACAGACTGTCAGATGGCCGGGGAGTCTTGGTTGACAGGTGCATTCCAGCCAAGTGGGCAAACTCGATTGCGCGACGATTTACCAGCCATGCTTTCCGCATCCGACCCTCGTTCAAGTGAAACTTGGAGAGGAGCATCTGGGTCTCGATACCCGGCAGCGTCGCTGCCAAGTCATCGTCCCGGACCACTAAGCGGTCTATTGCCGCTGTACAACGATCAACAAACTCTGCCGTGTCAAAGGGTTCCTTTAGAGTATCAAAGTCAAAGTCTGACGGCGCTTGGACCACACTGATACAAAGACAAACGAGCGCCTTTGCGATCTCGGCAGGTGCGACTGGACTTTGGGATGGCTCGGCGAGCATGTGTAGACACCGGTCACCCAACTCTGGACAGCTGGACTGCCACACATGCCACCGGTCAGATGCACTAATGAGTGTGCTGATATCCTCCAAGGGAGGCAGCAAAGCAACCAACTCGGCGCGCACGGCCTGTGCTTTGGGTGACATGTCTTTGACTCCGGCAAACTTGTCATTGTCTGAAGGGTCCTCTCGGCGACTCACGAGGTAGTTATCAAACAGTTGCAACACGGGCGCACTTCTAATTTGATCACTGGATGGACCAAGTTCGTCTGGCTCTGTTGATACCGGAGTAAGGTTGGCTCCAGGGACTTTTGCTGCTCGCGGGTGTCAGTCACAACCTTGTTTCCATTCATTAAAAATTGAGAACCCAAATGGTAATGACCTTGGTTTGTCTCTCGCCTGTGGGCTTGCCCATAGGGCGAACTGGCGGAGGAGGGGTGGTCCAGTCGCTTGACAAGGTTCTCGACGACACTTTCCAGGTGAGCCACCCGTTCCCGCAAGCTGTATGGCTGCTCAACCGGAGCTGAGATCCCCATAGTGTTGTTGCCGTTGGAGATATGCTCTTGGTCGATACATGACGAGCCTCTTGACCGACACTCATTGCATGGTCCGGGGCGATCTGAGTCGAAGGTGCAGCGAATTTTGCGACGCCGACCTGCCGCGGAGCTTTAGTATCAAATGAACAGCGAGGAGCAGCGGACACGAATGGTATGGACCATACATTCAGCGCAGCTCTTGGTTCCTTTCCTCATCCTCTTTCGCGGCGGCCCTTGGAGGTCCGCCCAGGTATCCATCATGACGGCGCGAAGGTGCGTTTCTTCGTTTTTTTGTTCTTTGCTGAGTACGGAAGCTCGCGCAGTCCGAGTTCTTTTTTACCCAGAAAGCGTAATTGATCAGTTGGTCATTCGGTCTTCGAAGTAAGACCGGGTCGGTGATAGACGAAGAACAAACACACCACGACGGGTTTTGAGCTTCTCCAGAAATACGACTTCAACGCGAAGGGTTAATCATTTCTCTAGGAAAGAAAATAAAAAGGAAAAAGGAGCAACGAGCAGAAGACTCACAGGATGAGGCGAGTATGACTCGTCCGTGGAATCCGGCCGAATTTTCGCCCGTTCGCCCGTTCGCCCGGCCCCCGTCAGGCGCCCCCACGACTGTCAGGCACCGGGGAATCGATTCACAGTCACTGAGTGGTGAGCAGAGTATTTAAATGATTTACTTAAATGTGCACTGAATATGGGGAAAAGGGAGATTTGAATACATTTTCCACAGGAGGGGAGAAGATACAAGACTACATCTCCAAGACAGTAGAGGTACATGAACAAGATTCAAGCGAAAACTCCGGCTTACCCCCGGATCCCTTGGGCTGATCGATGATTCCCGCGCTGTGAATATAAGGTGCGAAACAAGAAAAAAAAGGAAACGGGGTTCATAATACAAAGGCCAGTTTGACCATAGAAATGCGCCAGTCCTTTTAGGTCATGACGCGGGTGACCAGACCGGTAGCGACGGTGCGACCACCCTCACGGATGTTGAAGCGCTGACCGGCTTCGGCAGCGACAGGGCGGTGGGTCTCGAGGATCATCTCGACGTTGTCACCGGGCTGGACACGGCGGGAGGCGTCGCCGTCGGGGAAGGTGAGGTCACCAGGCTCGTCTAGAAGATACAAATTAACATCGGATCCTGATAGCAGACAATCTTGTCTGGAGACTATAGGACAATAACTCACCAGCAGTGCGGAGGTAGACCTGGGGGCGGTAGTTGTGGCCGAAACCAGTACGGCGACCACCCTCAGCCTCAGTCAGGACGTACATGGACACCAGGAACTTGTTGGTGGCCTTAGTGGATCCAGGAGCGGCAACAACCATGCCGCGGCGGATGTCCTCGCGGCGGATACCACGGAGCAGGAGACCCGAGTTGTCACCGGCACGCGACTCGTCACAGGTCTTCTTGAAGGTCTCAATGTCGGTGACCTTGGTCTTGATGGGGGCGGTGGATCCACCGACAATCTCAACCTCGGTATCCTTCTTGAGGAGACCACGCTCGACACGGCCAGAGACCACGGTACCACGACCGGGGATGGAGAAAACCTCTTCAATGGACATGAGGAAGGGCTTGTCCATGTCACGCTCGGGGGTGGGGATCCAGGTGTCGACGGCGTTCATCAGCTCGTCAATCTTCTCGGCACCGATCTCAGGGCGGCGCTGCTCCAGGGCGCAGAGGGCAGAGCCGAAAACAATGGGGGTCTCCTCGCCCTCGAATCCGTAGGTCGAGAGCAACTCACGCATCTCCAGCTCGACGAGCTCCAGCATCTCCGGGTCCTCGACGGCATCAACCTTGTTGACGAACACGACAATCTTCTGGACACCGACCTGACGGGCAAGCAGCAAGTGCTCACGGGTCTGAGGCCTGTAGAGATGATCACATTAGTACATGTCTTCCGCAGTAGAAAAATAGAATCCGTAGTAGTCGAGCCATACATCTGACCATCCGAAGCAGCAACGACGACAATGGCACCGTCCATGTTCGCAGCACCAGTAATCATGTTCTTAATGTAATCGGCGTGACCAGGGCAGTCGACGTGGGCATAGTGGCGGTCGTTGGTCTGGAACTCGATGTGGGCGGACGAGATGGTGATACCACGCTTGCGCTCCTCAGGAGCCTTGTCAATGGCGTTGTAATCGAGGAAGCTGGCCAGACCCTTGGAGGCCTGGTGCTTGGTGATCGCAGCAGTCAGGGTAGTCTAGAGAATATGGATTAGATCCGGGGTATGTATCATGTCGAGTAGAACGCGATTTTTACCTTGCCGTGATCGACGTGACCAATGGTACCTAGAAGGGAGAGATCAGCATTGAAACCAACAAATTGCACGTGAGATCCCATCTTACCAATGTTCACATGGGGCTTGGTACGCTCAAAGGCAGTCGCCAGCCCGCGGGCAGCCATCTTGTTGCTGGCAAAGACATGGTGGACGGGATTGACAGCACTCGGGCGCAGCAGGGACGACCGGCTGGAGCGCGCCAGGAGGTTCAATGAACGAGAGATGCTCGACATCCTGGATTGAATAGAACCCGATGAAAAGGAAGGAAAGAAGCAGACAAAGCAAAGATTTGGCAGGAGAGACGAGACGGAGATCAACACCCAAAATTTTACTAAAGGGTGTCTTAGTCATCCACCAATCACAGGCCGCGCATTGCGGAAGTACACAGTGCAGAGTAGACCAGGGGATTTCTACAATACATCTACTAAAGCATAAAAGTAGAGGATGGGTAACTATTTATTAGGCGTACTACACTTGAAAATACGCAGCGCGAACTAATGGTCGAACCCAACGCGAATGGACGATGGAAACGTTGTATGTTCAGGAAGAAATGCTATATGGGCCAGGATTATATCAAGGTAATAAAAGCCCTAATTAGATCGATGTCTCGAAGTACGTACAAATCCACCATCCTGCCATTATAGATTTTCCTTCTTTACCGTGATTATGACATGCTTGCCCGGCTCTCCCTCCATTCCCTTGACCTGCGTGGCACCAGCTTCTTTCGAAGTCTCGATCACGCTCTGCATGACATGCTTGATCTCATCCACGGTAGGAGCTCGTTTATGTTTCTTCCTGGTCAGGACTATCTCCACCTTCCGGCCCTTGTCCAGAAATTTCTTGAGCTGGTTGAGACGATGCGAAAGGTCATGGGCATCAATTGCCCAATTCAGCTCGATCTGTTTGGTCACAGCCTTATTCGTTTTGGCTAGCTTTGCTCTGGCCTTTTCGTTTTGCCAGGTCTCGGCTTTGTTCAGGATCTTGCAGATGGGCGCTTGCTCGGAATCTGATGGGGAGACTTGTACAAGGAAATACTCGTCGCGGTCAAAGGAAGCGAGGACGTCGGAGAGTCTCATGGGAGGGTCAAGGCTGTTGTTTTCGTTGACCACTTGCACAAAGGGCGCACGGATAGCTTCGTTCTTGAGTGGGCCTTTGGGAGGTGCTGGAGGGTCCGGGAATGCGAGACGAGAAGACTGGTGATAGGCCCTGGATGAACCATTGTGTTGAAATTGATTGACTGGGACAAGTCCGGAGCGAGAAATGGGAAGAGGCGCTAGGAATACCTGGCGCAGAGCCTGCGCGGTGGACACGAGACCACGCGTGTGCTTCATTTCGGTGGGAGAGAAGGAAAAAGAGGAGACATGGGATGGCAGAGAGCAAAAAATGAACACTATGAGGCAAGAGGTAAAGACCAGAGCCTAGGAAAATGGCGAGGTGGAAATGCTCCCACTCAACCCCAACTTGGTGTAGCCGAAGTCGACGGGGAGTGAAGGTCAGTCAGCCAACGCCACCGTGCGCCACGCGTCCTGGATCCCTTCTTCCACTCTTTTTTCCTTCTCTCAACTCCACGTTTCTTCTGGTTCAAGTGTCCCCGGAGGATCAATGCTCTCCTTTTTGTTTTCTGTTTCCGTTTCTTAACCCTTCCGGTCGTTAAATTATCCTGTCTTTTTCCCTTCTCTTAATTGTTCAAATTGCCACTTGTCATTGATTATCCAGACCGTTGCTTGATAGTTGCTCGCATGTCGACTGGAGTCGACAGACAAAAGAATCCGGCCAAACTCCTCGATACCAAATTTGCCGCCCGTCAACGTTCGGTTTCTCACAGCAACGGATCCGTTTCCCCCAAAATCATTGAATCGGGTCGAGTCCCCGACAAGCGGTCCGCCAACATGACGCAGAACCAAAGATCGCGGTATATTAAGACGGGCGCCATTGTCACCTTTATTTTCCTGATCATATTCTGGTTGTCACCGTCCAAGTCGTCTGTATCGACGCTCACCGACGGTAGGTGTTGTCCGCGAGTGACGTTCCGTCGATGAAACTGACCGCATCTATAGACAAGCCGGCCCCCGGCGCCAACGTGTCGACCAAATGCACCAAGTCCTCCGATCCGTCCAAGCCTCTGATTCAGTATGCGCTCATGATCGATGCTGGAAGCACCGGATCTCGGATTCACGTCTACCGGTTCAACAACTGCGGTTCTACTCCGGAACTTGAAAATGAGGTCTTTGAGCAGACGAAGAAGAAGGAGGGCGGCTCGGGTCTGAGTTCCTACAAGGAGGATGCCGAGGGCGCCGCTCGCAGTTTGGATCCTCTCATGGAAGTGGCCATGTCGAACGTCCCCAATGAGTACAAGCCGTGCGCACCGATTGCCGTCAAGGCCACCGCTGGTCTTCGTTTGTTGGGCCCTGAGATGAGCAAGAATATCCTGGAAGCCGTGAGACGGCGTTTGGAGGCTGTCTATCCCTTCCCGGTTGTGTCCCGAGAGAAGGGAGGTGTGGAGATCATGGATGGCTCGAGTGAGGGTGTCTATGCTTGGATCACCACCAACTATCTTTTGGGCAAGATCGGTGGCCCCGACGAGACTCCCACGGCTGCCATTTTCGACTTGGGCGGTGGCTCGACCCAGATCGTCTTCCAGCCCACCTTTGAGAAGAGCAAGTCGGGTGGTATGCCGGAGCGCCTCGCGGAAGGTGACCACAAGTACGATCTCCAGTTTGGCGGCCGACACTTCGAGCTGTACCAGCACTCTCATCTCGGCTATGGACTGATGTCGGCTCGCGACGCCATGCACAAGGCTGTTCTGGAGGGGATGCTGGCCAACGGCCACAAGGATCGCACGTGGCTGAAGGAGCCCATTCCCAATCCTTGCATTGGGCCTGGTATGGAGCGCGAAGTCAAATTGAATTTCCCCGAAGACCACGCGTTGGGCTCCGAGGTCAAGGTTTTGATGGTTGGGCCGAAGGACTTCTCGTCTGCTGCTCAGTGCCGCGGTGTGGCTGAAAAGATCCTGAAGAAGGAGACTAACTGCTTGCTGGCCCCATGCTCCTTCAACGGTGTTCACCAGCCGTCCCTTGAGAAGACTTTCGCCCGGGAAGATGTGTACATCTTCTCGTACTTCTATGACCGCACGTTCCCTCTGGGCATGCCCGAGTCGTTCACCCTGGAAGAGCTTCACCAGCTGACCTCCACAGTATGTGCCGGAGAGAGCAAATGGAGTATCTTCAAGGGCGTGGAGCATGCGCTGGAGGATCTCCGTGATCGTCCGGAATGGTGCATGGATTTGAGCTTCATGCTGGGTCTCCTGCACACGGGATACGAAATGCCTCTGTCCCGCGAGGTCAAGATCGCCAAGAAGATCAAGAACAACGAGCTGGGCTGGTGTCTTGGTGCGAGGTTTGTTGACCTTTTCCCCTATAGTTCATTCGTTTCCCCTGCTAACATGTCTGCTATAGCTTGCCCCTTCTGAGCCAGGAATCTGGCTGGACGTGCCGCGTTAAGGAAGTGCCATAAACTCGACCTTGAGACGCACACGTCTTATCATATCTAATAATACGGTCCGGCCATATTCTGTGATGGGTTCATGCATATAAATAGATACCTGACAAGCCGGGTCTGTCTTCTTTTCTATCGGTGTCTTTTCTCTAGATCTTTTCTTTTTTGTCGCTTGGCGATCTGCATAGGAATGGGATAAACTCTTCGAGGTCGAGCACTCTAGCGTGGTAGAAAGCCATATAGTAGCAGCCATCATTACACCGACACTTCCCATAATTAAACACTAGATCTCCGTCCAAATCAGGTATGTAGATGTCTCATAGCTGGCACCAAGACCCAACTGCTTCACTCCGCGATCTCCTCGATCGACGGCTTATCCGCAGCCGACTGTGTATCCCCCATGAGCTTACCCAGAACATCCGAGTCATTCTGTGCTTTCGATAGGTTGCCCTCTTCTTGTTTCGATCCTGGTTTTTGAGTAGAATCGGCACCACCACCGTCATTGCCACTAGAGGACCCGTCCTCATTGTCGCGCTTTTCTTCCAGGACGCCGAGACCCAAATTCTAGCAAAAATCAGCAACCAGCCACAAGCAAATGGAATGGCGAAAAGAAACGAAAGAAATTGAGTTGGGGTGTGTAGACATACCATCTCAATATACTGCTTCCCATCATTTTCGTTCTCATCCTCATCCTCATCCTCAGTCTCTCCCTCCTTACCCACAGAATCCATCACAACATCGCCCGCCCTCCCAGCCTCAATCTCCCTCTGCAAACTCTCATTGGCATCCTTCATCTTAGGCAAAAACGTCGAGAGCCGCGACAAAAGCCCCGAGTCCTGCTTTATACGGCGTATTCGCGGTTTCGGGCGGCCGGGGATATGCGGTATTGAGGGCGCGGAGGAGGGGTCGCCGTGGTCTGCGTGATGAATATCATCATCTTGGTCGCTGTCACTATCGCTGTCGCTTTCGCTTTCGGAGGATGAGGAGCCTGAGGATGAGGTTGGGTCGTCGTCGTCCGAGGGGGGGTGGGGGTGCGCGAGGCTTGCTGCGGAGGACGTGGGTTGTTGTTGCGCTCATTTTTGTAGGGATTGTTGTATCCGGGCTCGCTCTTCTTTTGGGGTGAGGTATGTGTTTTCTCTTGGGGTCGGTATGGAGCTGTAGACGTCGGTGCTGCGTTGAGAGCGGAAGAGATGCCTTCAAGATTGTCGGAGGCGCAATAGGCGGGCGCGGGCTTGGATGTCTCTAATAGTTGACTGACCGACTCCCGGGGTATCCTTGACGAGTGAGGCGTTTCTTGGAGATTTCTGGGTTCGAGTGTCTTTGGAGAGTCTGGAGATTTCAACTTTTTGAGAGACCCACTGATAAGTCTTATCGGTCAGCCCTGATGTCTAAATAGCAGGGAACGAAGAAAATAGTAGGATACAAGATCCGACTAAAACTCGAATTTCTCTAATTATACATGGGTATTAGGATAGGCGGTTGGGAATTATCGGCTTCGACTCCGTCTGCGACTAGGACTCCGCCGGCGAGGTCGGCGATCCTCCAGATCTTTACCCCGGTCGGTGTTGCTTTCACGATCCTTCTCTCGCTCAGAGCTAGGGATGTAGCGGTCAATCTCGAAGCGTGATCGCTGGTCACGCTCCGGCGATCGTACTCGGCGCCGGGGCGACTTGCTGCGATGGCTGGTTGAAGGCACGTAACGGTCAATATCCAGGGTACTAGGAGAAGGGCGGCGAGACCGAGACCGGGACCGGCGGCGGCTCCGGGAACGCCGATGGGATGGAGATCGAGAGTAGCGGCTACGGCGTCGACGGAAATCGTCGCGGTCACGGTCACGGTCGATGTCGCGGCTGCGGCTGCGGCTGCGGCGTCGGTCATAATCCCTATCACGGTCTCTCGATCGCGGGCGATCCCGCCGTCTATCACGCTCCCGTTCAATGCTGCGGTCTCTATCACGCCCTCGGACACCTGATCGACTGCGGCTACGACGCGTAGGTCTGTAGCTCCGGTCACCAGCCCGATCATCGCGGAAGTCGCGGTAGCTGCGGCGGTCGTCCATATCACGATCACGGGATCTCACAGAGTGATCCCGAGACCGGTCGCGGCGGCGATCTGTATATCGTGGGCGCGAGCGGCTGCGACTCCGATCTCGCGCATGGTGTCTGCTCTGCTCTGGTCGATCTGCGATCGAGTCTCGCCGTTTTGCATCCGAGTCTCGGGTCGGACTAGCAGCCCGGGTTGGGGCATTGGAGGGTTTCGAGTCGGTGGCACTCTTTGTCTGCGCAGGCGCTGAGGTTACGGGCTTGAGTCCGTTCTCAATGGCTTCGGCCTCTTCAAAGTCGAACTCGGGTTTCTGTCGAGCCTTGGCGGCACGCTCTTCGCCCTCTTGGAGGAGCATTTGCATGGCGGCTTCTTCAAGGGATTTCTCGTCCACGGGTGGAGCAGGCGCAGGGGTAGGGTCTTTCGACGTAAAGGATCTTTCTCGTCTTGAGTCCCGAGATCGGGGAGAGGCGCCGCGATCAGACCGATACACCGGCGAGCGATCGCGGAAGCGGTCTCGGTCTCTTCGGTCCCAGTCTCGATACCGCTCCCGATCCTCTCGTCTTCGTCGCTCATATCTCTCTTGTCGTTCGCGTTCACGTTGTTCATCCAGGGCGCGTTGCTCCTCACGTAGGCGTTCCCGCTCCGCCCGCCTTTTTTCATCTATTTCTTTCCTTCGAGCTCGCTCTTCTTCTTCCTTTTGTCGCTCAAGCTCTCGCTTCTTGCGGAGTTCTTCGGCCTTGATGCGCTTCTGCTCTTCTTCGATTTCCTTTTGCTTGCGCATCTCCTCCTGCCAGACTTTCTCGCGCTCTTCCCTTTTGGCCTTAACATAAGCCTCGTAGTCTGCATCAGTTTTGCTGCCTAACTCTTCCTCTTTTGCTGCCACTTCGTCCCCGGCGTCTTGGCGACGAATGTCGCGGACCGAGTCAAGGATGAAGTCGAGGTGTTTGAATGCAAGTTGGCCGATGGACTCCTCCACACTCTTGTAGACATCGCCCCGGTCCACTGCACCCTCAATGAGAGTTGCAGCTTTGCCTCGCTCACGGGAAAGTAGGGCAGGTTCACGCTCGACCTCGGACTCGGCAAGGGCGATCAACTGATCGGTGAACGCGGATTTGGACTCCTATGACGACGTGTTAGCAATATCTGTAGCGAAAAAGACGCCAGTAGCTTTTCGTCATAATAAAGTCGAACCATACCCCTTCATTGAATTCCGCCCAGACCTTCTTGCGAAGACTGTCGAATCCACCCTTCTTCTTGAACGAATGCAAGAGTTTGTCGAGGGCGGCATGTTGCGCTGCGGACAATGGCAAATCATCAGTCTTAAACTTCTTGCGCCTGATGCTCTCAATATCGATCGAGGGTCTTTTTGTGCCCTGGACATCCTCCATTGCTTCTGAAGCCATTGCGCGATGGAGACAAAGAAGGTCGCGTGCGATAAGCGATAAACCAAGGACGGAAAAATATAGTCCCGTGCTTGGGAACTGCGGGCCGCTGATTTGCTTCCAACCTCCCTCTCCTGCCCCATTGCGACGGCCACGCCAAACCCCGACTCCATTGATTCCGATCGCGGTGCTGTGAATTCCCAGGCGTGATTCCCACATTCTTTACTATTCGCTGGGATCCAATCCACCCCTGAATCCATACCGCCCACACCCGTCCGACCGCAAATATGGTCCACAAAGTGCTCTTCTGGAGCGGTTTCGGTACGTGACCTCGATGTCTTCGACTGCAGCTTCGACTGAAGTGTTATTCTGAATAAATGCAATATGAATATAAACATATCTCGTGTCATGGCCACCCCAACTGACTTTGCTGCTTCCACAGGCATTGCCGTCCGTCTCTGGCAACTCGGTATCGAGATGCGTCCGATCCTCGCCAAAGAATCCCTCTGGGTCTACCCTCTTTTTGCCGGTGTTGGTGGAAGCTTCGGTTACTGGCTCCAGGGTGTGGAGAGCCGTCAACTTAAGATGCTCGCCCAGCGACGAGAGGCTATTCTCGAGAAGCGCCGACGGAGAGACCAGCGCGAAGGTCTGAGCAAGACAGAAGAGAGTGCTGTCCTGGCGGCGACATCATAAACAGGCTGTGTGTTAGAGCAGGGGAGAAGCATGGTGGAGAGAATTGGTCCCTTGTTTGTGTGTATTCGTTTTCTACATTGTACCAAAATTCAACGGTTTGATATCGGCATTTATATCTGCCTCCCAATTCAAGGCAAGACAGCTAGCACTTAAATGCTTAGAATACTTGCAATTTTAGCTTTTCTTTTCTGGTTCGATTATGCCATGCCAATTGCACCCCTATTTAGTTCTCTTTCTTTCAGGTTAGCGGTCTCTGCCGAGGTAGTCATCGGATTGATTCCTCTTACGGGTGATTCATGGTCCAAATGGGATGAAGAGAAGACTCCCAGAACTAGTAGAGCCATGGTCTATATCATTATTGACAGATTTGATTCCAAATGCAGCTTCATACAAATTGGCGAGAATATAGAACAGATCGGGGTAGGTAATGTACAGGATCTACCGCAGCCAAACTTGTGGGGAAATAATCCAACAGAAAGCAGCAGTAGCAATGGAGCAGGTGTTTATGCCCGCTCGATGGTGAATTGCAAAGAGACTTCCCACTTCTGACCTCCAGTGCCATAGCCTCCACCTAGTCGGTTCCGAATCAAACTGGAAATCTTTTCGCGGAGACGGACGAGGGTTTCCTCGGTGCCAGAGACTCGAATCTTGAGATTTGCCATGCATAGCCCATAATGAACCTGCCAGAACCGGGCATCATCAACTCCAAACACAGAGGGGTCTGCTTCAATGTCCTTGATGACCTCGGTGACTCCAGGACCAGAATAGGACATGAGAAGCATTGAGCCCAAGGCCTTGACCAAACGGACTCCCAAGACACACATGGAAATTGCGATTGTACCAGACAGAACCTTGTCAAGCCAATCATAGATGCGAATCGAAACCAATGGCAGCAGCAGCAAAAGCGTGGAGCATGACAGGGTAAGGAAATGAGACGGGTTGCTCAGAACTGAAGGGAGAGATTCCATGGACGCAAAGCGCATCGCTTTTCCGATCCGCGCATGGTTTTTCAGCAGTATTGCGGATACCAACGTAGACAAAATGGCGAGAATAGCCGTGACATCGACAGTGCCCAGAGAGACGCGGTCATGCTCGTGTGGATGGTGGGGCTCATGCCCGGACCTCTCAAGGAAATGTTGGAGATTATGGGAGATCAAATCGAGGCCCATGAAAAGAAGCAGTACGCACATGGCGAATCCCGCAAGGACCTCAGCGCGTTCTAGACCAAATGGATGGCGAATGCTGGATCTTTTCCACACTTCGAAATTGCCCAAAATGTCCACTGCCACGCAGAGAAGAGCGCCCAGGGAGTCGAATAGGATGAGATGAGACAGTGCTGTCATAGCCAGCGACCCCTCGGCGGTCCAGAGCGTATAGGCCGCCACGAAGATATGGCAGACACTCCACCAAAATCGTGTTTTCTGGTCCTTCGACATGCTGGTGCGGTATTCCTTCAGTGTGGGAATGGGGAGTGAGTTTGGCAGGGCCAGAGGCGCTCGAGGAGGGGGCTCGAGGAAGATCTGATGCGAGATACTACTGTGCTTATACTTGTGACCTCTGCGCTGCCCGATATTCTGCAAACCCAAGCGCAAATATTAACATGATTTCCTGCCAAATGGCATCATTTTATAGCATCACTCACAGACTTGGTTACCGGGCTCTTCGCCATAACCGTGGTGTTGAAATTGAATGGCCCCGCGGCGGTCATGTTGCTCGAGCCATTCTGCGCCGATGTCGTGCTGTCTGGCACGGGGCTCAAATTGAAGGACGACTTTGTGGGACTGAGACGGCCTTGAGTCCCTGTTTCCAACGACGAACTCCTGGGTAAAGACTCCACCAGCGGCGACAGGGAATCGCGATCAACCGATACTCCTGAGTTCAGCTGGGCATGCTGATGCGCAGGTTCATCCGCCGGCGGAGTGGGGGTTCGCGGAGGAACCGGGAGAGGAAGGTTCGAAGCCATGTTGATGGCTTGAACAGGCCGCCGGAATGGGCAATTGGGAGACAGGGTGGTAGCAGAGTACCTTGGAGGCTGAAAAGGAGATCACAGATAAGGCGATTAGTGCCTGGGGAGTCAGGCGCCAAAGGGGCGGGGACCCCGTGTCGAGTACATCATCAACTCCCGCCTCATGTACTGCTCTCATCATTCATTTCGCGACTTTCGCTTTTCGCTTTTCTTGTTCGTTCAGTCTCGAATTGCGTGCTTTGTCGCTGCTTTATTATCCCCCGTCTTCTCCCGCGATGCTTACTGTCTCGCTTTGAGGAAGAGAGTCCGATGCCGACCAGTTTGTGGCGTCGATGGATAACCGCGGCTCCTTCTTCTTCTTCCTGCTGGTCTTCTATCTCCTCCTCAGCTCTCAGTCGCGTCCGCCTGTGATTGATGAGGACCGCCAGCATCAGCGCCAGCTCGATCGAGAGCGACATGCGCTTCAGCTGCTGAACGAGTCAAGATATGGCGACTTCGATCCGCCGGTCGATCACTGGCTTCCCTTTGCAGGACTCAGGAGCAACGATAGCTATGCATGGGATCTCTTCCCAAACGTCCGAAGTCGCGCCCATCACCAGCTGCAATCCGCTCTTTCAAGTGCTGGCTTAGAGCCTCCGATAGGCCTGGAAGACCCCGACCGATCGGCCCCGTTGAACCTTACTAGACTCTTTCTTCCGGTGTATCGCAATGCAACGGGAAAAGTGCGAGGGGACTGGGTGCGACGGGATGAACATCGCAGTTCGCCGCTCAATACGTCGGCAATCGCCCACGAGCATGAATATTTTACGCATGATTTCAGCACCAATATCACCGGCAGCGAAGGCACGTTCTATTTCGATCTGGAAGAGGCAGGCGAAGAAGAGCTTCGGATAGGCGATGGTCTGGCTCGCGAGGTTAAGGCAAACCTGGCGGTTGAGAGCCGGGACGACTGGGGCAGTACATGGTACCTCTCGCTATTTGGTGTGCACTTCCCAGAGACCGGGGGGATCATCTTAAGTACCTCGAGCGAGAAGTTTGGCGGAATATTCTCGCTACCGCATTTTGCACTCTCTCCTGACACCTACGAATTGTCTCACCGGCTTCTGTTGAAGTCGCTGTCAGACACCATATCGGAGAAGCAGAATCGACCGGCAACCATGTTCCCCTGGGCTTCTCTGGCGGGTACGGGGCAAGTCGAGTTCCCGGCACCCAAATGCGAGCATATCGTCTACCTGCAGCAACATCCTGTCATGGTTAGTGATACCGTCGCCGACCGACTGTTACTGGAACGAATGGAAAACGAGCTCCGGTATCCCATGGGAGCGCCAATTCCAGATCCTCCTCTTATGGTCATGTCAGCCGTCGTCTTCTCTCCGGACTGCGGGTATATACTGGAAACCAAGGGCGCGCCTGAATTTCCACCTTCAGACTCGCTATATCTGTCGGGGCCAAAACATGAAGAGTATAGTAAATATGCGGCCCGTCTGATTTTTGTGGTTTCTGCTGTGTTTGTTGGGCAGATTACCCTGCTTCTACGCCAGATCAAAGAGGCTTCGACTCCGTCTACGCGGAGCCGGGTGAGCTTCTACACCATTGCATTCATGGCGCTCGGCGATGCTTTTGTCTCGACGTTTATTGTTTTGGAGCTCTATGCAGCTGTATCTTTTTTGGTTCTGACGATGGCATCATTTTTGGCCTTCCTTTCCGTCAGTTACATCGGAATGAAATTCATGATGGAGATATGGGCGGTCCAGGAACCCGAACGGCGCGAACAAGAGCGTGCCGTCAATCCTCCGACTCCCGCTGTTCGTCCTGGGACTCTGCCCCTGCCTGCAACGGCAATGCGAGACACGGCGGTCATTTTACCGCCCGATCAAGATGCTCCTGACGATGATCTCGAGCCGCCGCCCGCCACTCGTGCCACGCCACCGACCCCGAGGCAAATACGGAGCGATGTCGGCGCGATGTATGCACGCTTTTACCTTACGCTATTCGGGATGATTATTATCTCGATCTGGGCATTTCTTCTGCCGCGGCGTCTGGGATCGATCTACTCCCGCTTGCTGGCCTCGATCTATCTTTCGTTCTGGGTTCCTCAAATCTACCGCAATGTCATGCGGAACTGCCGCAAAGCGTTACGGTGGGATTTTGTTGTTGGCCAAAGTATCCTGCGGCTGTTTCCTTTCTTGTACTTCCTTACAGCCCGTGGCAATGTGCTGTTCATTCGACCCGACTGGACAACCGCGCTTGTCATGGCCGGCTGGATGTGGATTCAGGCTTGGGCCCTGGCCAGCCAGGATATCTTGGGCCCGCGTTTCTTTGTACCTCGAGGCTGGGCGCCTCCGGCGTACGATTACCACCCCATTCTCCGTGATACCAGCGGATCCGACGAGGACCTTGAAGCCGGAGGTGGTGATCTGTCGATTGCTTCCCTGCGGGCTGGTGAGCGGGATCTGGTGAGCGAAACCAAAGACGACGACAAGGTGCGGTCTCGAGACCGCAAGAAGGCCATGTTCGACTGTGCCATCTGCATGCAGGATATTGAGGTGCCGGTTCTGCCGGCGCTTTCTGCTCCTGGTGCCAGTAGCGTCACCGACGGGGCCTCGAGTCTCCTGAGTCGTCGCGCCTACATGGTCACTCCTTGCCGGCACATCTTCCATACGGCGTGTCTGGAGAGCTGGATGCGGCTTCGTCTACAGTGCCCGATTTGTCGTGAATCTGTCCCTCCTGTTTAATCATGTCGATTGGAACGGCCATGTTATTTTTGCTTGTATATAATAGATCTTGCTCCATTTCTTGCTGGAGCCATGGCCTGCTGTTCTTGTTTATAGCTAAGATCAATGTTTTCGAACGCTATGCCTCTCCTCAGAAATACTATGGCTAGAATCCCTTTCCTAGAGAAAAGAACCATGATAACCAACGAATCTTCAGCATTCCTGTTGAACGGGGAGGTCAAGCCATCGGCGAACAAGACCAATCTAGACACTTGCGTTGAACAATTGTCTCCAAGAGACATACATGAAAATATAGCATCACATGGTAAAGTAAAAGAACAACGGGAAAATCTACCACCACAGACAAGGGAACGCCAGTTGTCTCGTTCCAATCCCAACTTCAATCCCAACACAATCCGATCAAACCCGACGAGGATCTAAGCATCGATGGTCTCCTTGTAAGCCGACTCGTCCAGCAAGGCGTCGAGCTCGGCAGCATCATTGACCTCGATCTCCGCGATCCAGCCCTCGCCCTCGGGGCTGGAGTTAATCGTCTTGGCCTGGTCCTCCAGGAGAGCATTGCCCTGAACGACCTTCCCAGATACCGGCGAGAGCACGTCCGACGCGGACTTAACCGACTCGACCGCACCGACGGGCTCGCCCGCAGTCACTTCGAGCTCGGGTTCCGGGAGCTCGACGTAGACGACGTCACCCAGAGACTTGGCGGCATACTCGGTGATACCGATCTTGGCTGTTGGGGTTGTTCTGTGTCAGTGATCGATGTTTCAAGAGTGACTAGAAATACTCACCAAGCTTGCCGCCGTCGGCCAGTTCAATCCATTCGTGCGACTCGGTGTATTTCTTCACCTGCGCTGCATTGCGGGATTGCGCGGTTAGTTACATCTGCGAATCCTTGTAGAGCTCCGCGAAGCTTAGAAAAAGCATCTCCAGATCCAATTGATCTTCTCTATACCCCCTGCGACTTCTTCGAGGGCATTGGGATCCCAGGCGACTCACCAAAAGGGCTCTGCGAGAAGCTCCTCGTTCCCCGCGGAAAGCGGAAAGCGGGCGATGCCCTGCAGACTGGGGTGAGAGGCTTCTGGGCGAGGACGCGCGAAGCAAAGGGGCGGACAGATCGAGCGACGGCAGACATTTTGGAGGAAAAGGAATAATCACAAAGGGAAGAATTGAGTGGTGGAAGAGGAAAAGACGAAGAAAGTGGAAGAGGGAAACGAGCAGGTGCTTCTCCGGCGGAGACTCACTGACGGCATGGCGATAACACCGCCAAGCCGCTGATAAGCTACCTCGCCTTGCTAGGATTTTCCTCGGGACCTGTCTTTTGCCCATCGGATTTTGCCCACCACGCGCCATGTTGTATGAGCTGATTGCCATTGTAAGTGATTCAATGGCTTATGAAGAGAGGATTGAGAAGAAGAAAATGGAAGATAAAGACGGACGAAACTGACGCGCGCTCTCTCCCCTGACAGGTCCGCCCGGGCAGTACCCACGAAGTTCGCGAGTACGACACCATCCTGCCCCCGTCTCTGCATTCTTTATCTACAGATCCAGCTAATCATTCCTTGCCAACAGGATCGCCCGTAACACCGGTCTCCAGGTGATCCGCTCCGGCGGCGTGATCCGGGGCTACACCAACTGGGGCCCGTTCCGACTGCCCAGAGCCACAACGAAACACCAGGCCCGATACCACGATGGTCACCACTTCTTCATGCGCTTCGACTCGTCCGGCCCCGTCCAAGCATCATTGCGCCGAACTCTCAGCCTCGACCCCCGTATGATCAACTTCACGGTGGTGAAGCTGGGCGACACGCTCGAGAAGGTCAAGGACATCAATGGGAGAATCGAATGGAACAATAGCCGCAACATTACCGACTCGATCTAAGCAAACTATGAAACCACCAAAAATCTCGGAGGGCTAGAGAGACGTGGTTGTCGGGGATTTGGAGATTACGACTTGGGTGTCGGCATTTGTTTTTCTGTATCATTATGGCATGGGAGATTCGGGATAATCACTCTGCACTACCTGCACGCTCGGCGCATACTGTATAAATTCCAATCTGATTTCTTTGGGTGGCTTTGTTGGCCATCGCAGCTATGATGAATATTGGACATCGTAGATCCATTGCCCCCGGACAAGAATGCGACCTCAATGCTCATAGTATGGCTCTTTAGTTCGATCGTATACAAATTAATCTCTCTTGCAAATTAGCCCATTCTTTTCGAGGTTCAAGCCCATACTCGCAGATCGTCAAGCCCGTGGAGAAGCATTGCCGACAGTCACGGGTGGACAGCCGAGGTTCCCCGGTCCCCCCCCAATGACCTGTCCGGGGTACAACCCGCATCGCCAGAATGACTTGAACATATTCCTTTTGGTTGGTCAGAGTTGGTTTGCAGCACTCATTCAAGGGGGATTCTCGTTCTTTCCCGCTGCAGCCATTACACCGCAATTGTCAGACCCATCGTCGGTATTGTTCATAAACATCAACTTGCGAAGAATCTCGGTACTTGGCAATCACTGGGATATCTGCCAAACATTGCGCCTGGGCACCTTTTTCAAATTGCATTGCCATGTCTCCCCAGCGCCGGACATCGGACTGGAGCTCGGGCAACCTGGCATCCCCGCTTTCGTTTGTTGAATTGATGGCTTTGGAGCGACTCGACACCACCCAGACATCAGACCGCGACCATGAGCCAGAGAAGATCGAACGATTTCGTTCGCTTGCAGCGCCATTCCCTCCTGCCGAAGGGACGCGTTCATTTGGTGGGCACGTATTCGCCCAGTCTGCCTATGCCGCCTCCAAGACTGTCGGCAAAGGATTTGTCGTCCATGTAAGTTATCATTGTATCCTATTGATCTATTCTTCTAGATCATAATTTGACATTCTTCACAGGACATGACGGGGTCGTTCATCCGCGGTGGCCGACTCGATGTGCCGTATGTGTACACAGTCCGCCACATTCGGGACGGGTACATGTACTGCACACGCGCCGTGGATGCCCGGCAAGAAGGCAAGATCTGCTTTTCATGTCTTTGCTCATTCAAAAGAGATGAGAAGCAGCGTACCTTCCACCACCAACCATCAACTGCACAGGAGCGGTTCCGGTCAATTCTCTCTGCGAAACGACCCGAGGACCAGCCCATTAGCCCCAGTGTTGATGCAGACTGGTGGATTGAAAACGTGAAAGAGGGCAACATCACCGAACGCGAGTTCCCTGGGCTCGATGTGCGTAAGGTAGACATGAAGGATTACAATCAGCCGCGAGATATCCAGGAACACCCTGAGAAATACCGCCAATTGGGCCAATATCGTCTTAAGGGCTCACCAGATCAAGACCCGACAGCAACACTTGTTCAGATCAAGGAGCGAGAGCAGACGGGCGAATATGACAACCTCTATGCTTGTGCGCACATGTACTCCAGTGACAAGAATTCGCTGTTGCTGATTCCACGTGCTCTTGGTATCAAGCAATGGTCAGAAATGGCAAGTCTCACTCTCATGGTTGTTTTGCACCAGCATGGCGAGGCCCTGAGGATGATTGACTGGGAGGCAGCCTCGAGTGCTGATGGGTCTAGCGTGCCGATGAAGTGGTTTGTGCAGGAAGGTTGGACCCCCCAGTCTGCAGAGAACCGGGCAGTCCATGAGAGTCATCTCTGGAGCCCTGATGGGACACTAGTGGCAACATCTATGCAGGACAGTATGCTTCGGCTTCGAAAACCAGGGCGAGCAGGGAATCTATAATGGATGTATATACATTTAGAGCAACTGGTTAGATCACAATAGTAGTGACACATCGATTACGCTAGCTAACCCCCCCCCCCCTTTTTTTTTTTTTTTTCTAAAGAAACCCTGCCCATTCAACTGTTTAAATAAGGACCCCTTAAGCCTTGAATATCTCCCGAATATATACACATCTAAGCTGATTTAAAATGTTTATAGATCGTAGATCACGTGCACATGTGACGTAAAGGCATCGAATCAACAGAAAATCGACTGGCCCATTTCACGTGTCTCATCTTCTGTCGCAACTTGAAGCAGGTTGCTCACAGTTCTTCTCATGATGATTGATGACTAGCTCTGCTTGTTCCACAATGCGCAAGACACTTCTTCTTGTCTTTATCCATGGCTTCAAGGTATGAGCCCTCCCGTCCCACCTACTGGTGTTTCCCCGCAAAGAAACATGCAGGGCTGCAAATTGAGCGTCGGGAGGTACCAGTGACTGACTGTTTGACTGTGTAATCCAGGGCGACGATGACACCTTCGCCACATTCCCCGAACACCTCCGTGTACTTGTCAGCAAGGCCTTGCCTGCGGTCACGGTGGTCACCACCGTGTACCCGAAGTATGAGACTAAAGGCGACTTGAGGGAATGTGTAGGGAGATTTCGTGACTGGTAAATTTGGACCAACTTTGTTTTATGGTAAACCCCTATATCTAATCCATTACGGTGATCCAGGCTACAGAACACCGTGATCGACCTCGAGGTTGCAAACCATACGGCATCGCCCACTGTCGACCCGTCCGTCCATGTTTTCTTGGTTGGCCATTCAATGGGAGGGATTATGGCTGCGGAGACACTACTGCTGGTAGCAGAAGAGCAGCCAATCTTCCGAAACCCTCCTACGGGCCCATCGAATGAGAATGCTCGAGTCGTGGGACCGGGCACATTCATGTTCCCGCACGTCCAAGGAGTACTAGCATTTGACACCCCATTCTTGGGCATAGCACCGGGAGTGGTTTCATATGGGGCTGAGGGTCACTATCGCAATGCAACAACCGCCTACAATACCTTTTCCGATGTTGCAGGACTATTTGGCTACGGCGGGAAGAACAATCCGTCTGACAAGGCCGCGGTGCAAGCCAAGCCCTTGCCTCCCTCATCCGATGCTGCGGCTGTTCCCTCCTGGCAGCGATGGGGTCGATATGCCATGTACGCCGGGGCTGCGGGCGCCGTCGCGGCTGGCAGTGCAGCTGCCATGTATTCACAGCGCCATCGGATCTCCGATGGGTTGGGCTGGGTTTCATCGCATCTCGAGTTCGTGGGGTGCCTAACACGCGCCGCGGAGCTACAGCAGCGTCTCGTGCGGTTGTCAAAGGTGCAGGAGGACCGGGACATCCAATGTGTCAACTTCTACACCTGTCTTGGAAACAATGCGACATCTCTCGTGGAAAACACAGCAACGGGCAAGACCTCATTCAGTCAGAAGATTATCCGGTCCAAACACCGAACATTCTGCACTCTTCCCACCGAGGTGGAAGACGGCAACGAGGCCGCCATTCTGCAGCCAGGGCTTCAATGGACGAGGGCCGTGAACGACAAGGCATCCGACGAGGTCAAGGCGCACATCACCATGTTCCTACCCAAAGACAATCCCGCGTTCTTTGATTTGCTCGGCGCTGCTTGCAAGGGAATAGTGCGGTCGATCGACAAGGGCTGGTACAACACATCGACCGGGCCGGTCGAAAACGACCCCATTCACCCACCGGCACATGACCGGACCAAGCCCGACGACGGCTTCATGGACGGCGTTGATGTCGTGGTCGTGGATTGAGCGGGCAACAAGACCCGAGATCTTCCTGTTAGAGTTTTCTACCTTTGCCGTTCGAGTGCCCCCTTTATTCTTATTGCAGAGGAAATAAACGGCTCGAATACATCTTCCCCTGATCGGCGGTCCACCCCCGACTTGAGTTCAGTCCGCGTGCGCCGTATCGGGCAAACACATACAGCGAATGGAGCATGCATGCATATTACCTGACTCTGATATTCTCCACAGGCGAACGAGAGAGAAAAAGTTAAATCGCTGTGCTTGTGCTCTCTCTCGGATGTCCATGATTCCGAGCAATTGTGCTCGAGAGAGTGCTGCCATACCATTGTCTAAACCCAGGAAACTGCTTGGCTACCCTGGTTTCATGTTTCGGTCTCTCCATAACCATTCACTCTTGAGACGGACGGGTTCGACTGGCGAGACAGCGCTGCAGACCGAGATATCCCTCGGCATATTATTACTAGACTCATCCTTGCATAGCCCGTGGTGGGGCTGTGTATTCTTGGGTGCATAGCAGCATATCTGCTTTCTTTAGGGAGTAAGCGTGGAATAGTACATGGACTCCAACCAAAGAAGCTTCAGCTCAAAATGTTTTTTGCCATTGCACTCCAATTTGGGGAATTACTTTAGGCCATCGCGCTGCAGATTTTCTTTTTCTTTGTCTCCTTTCTCCTACTCGTATTCGGATAGCAGGACGCGATCCATGCACAATCGGGGTTCTTGTCCTCATTTGAATTTAGCTTCCGCTCGACACGGGAGGCTGATCGTCCTGGAACCAGATGAACCAGATGAATGCCGTTCCAGATTACACTCGGTTCGCTACTATGCTGTTGATCATTACTGCACACTGAAGAAACAAGAACCAACCATATAAACTATTTCCGAGCCCCTTCCCTCCCTTCCAGGGCTCATCCCGTCCAGCGCAAATCCAAATATCCATAATTCACGTCCGTGCCACCATACTGCTGTAAAAACCAAAAGAAGATATCGTCGTGGGCCATCAAATGCGAGAATAATGCTGGTGCTGCGCCGAAACCAATGGAGTAAAGCTCAATAAACAAGACGAACATGAGAGAGATAGAAGAAGAAAAGAAGAAGAAAAAAATCGCTGGATAGATCATCACGTCCATGGCCCCCCATCAGAGCCACTCGCGTGAATCAGTAATTATGGTGGCTGTAGTTCGAGGCGCGCTGGTGGTACATGCTGCCCGCATACTCGGAGTTGTTGTCCGCGTAGACCGTCCCTCGACGTTCTTCCTCGGGCAGCAGCTCTTTGACCTCCCACGTATTTGGTTTGACGCCGACAGAGAACTCGAGGTCTTCTTTGGTAATGGAGTCCCAGAACTAGGCTGATATCAGTTGCATGCACACACATAAAAAGAATGTCTCTAGGCCCGTTAATCACTCACCTTGTAAATCATCATCACGGCCAGCAGGTTGCAAAATGTGGCGAAAAAGAGTCCGTCCAAGTAATGCTGGACATTATTGCAGATAGTATCACTGAAGGCATACAGCAAGACCTGTCCAATGATAAAGACTAGCACGCCAAAGGAGATATGTCCGAGCGGCCAACGGTCATCCAGCGTGTTGACGACCAGCAGGAGCTGCATCACCACGTACACGGCGACGGAGATGGCATTGAGGAGATAGAGCACCACAAACAAGCCGACGGTGTTGTTCGGGCCCAGGCCGCCCCACGACTTGAAGGTCAACAGGGAGATCACAAAGGTCATGATGAACATGATCGCGGAGCTCACGCGGATCAGCCACACAGAAAGGGCGGTTCCGTCCTCGTAGAGCTGGAAGCCCACGAATCCATTGACAAGTAGACAAGAGCACAGCGCCGAGATCAAGCCACTCTGAACCGCGACGAAATACGGGAACGGACCACTCTTGGGAGGGACCACGCCGGCGTCGATGATGAGAGAGCAAATGGTGAGCGCCATGTATAGATAAAAGAAGGTGATGATCTCCTTGCGGCCTATTATAGATAACAGAAATAACAGAGGTTAGCCCTAGTCCAGTCGGACACAACACAGAGGGGTGAAGGTCAAGGTCAAGACGAACCGACGGCAGTGAACTTAGACCGGACATGGAGAATCATAATCACCGTCATAGCGAGGGCGATAATATGCATGAACGAGGCCGCACCCTCGAAGATAATGGTGTTGGCAACCTCAATATTGCGCGCATAGCAGTTGGAGATGATCCCCGTGGACCCGGATATCGACGACGCCGGGCCCACCAGCGAGCACAATGGCAGCGCCGCCTTTTCGCATATTGTATCGAAATCGCCAAAGCCCATAGCTGAGGATAATGGTGGCGGGTTGGGAAGGTCAGGCCGGTGCGACAACAAAACAGGGCGATTTTCCCGTTGCGATGGGCGGCTGTCTCCACAACGACGGTGGGTGGGACGGTGAAGGGAAGAGAGCTGACAATCAGACCCAGCCTTTTTTTTTTTTGGTTTTGCTATGCCTCCAGTTGAGCACCTTCTCTTGGAGACTTTGGGCCTCGGTGTACCTTTCTCTCTGTTCAGCTATAAACAGGGAGTCCTTGCAAACGAGCGGATTGGGTCGACCCAAGTGAAAGCTGCAGCGCGGCGACTGCTCAATGCCATCTTTTTTCCTGCGAGGGGGTGGGTCACGGGACTCTCCGAATTGGCTCGGTAGGCGCTGTTTTTCCGTTTCCACTTTGGGACTAGCGTTCCCCAGAGTCTTAGTCACCCAACCTAATCGATCTGGGAGCCACTAACCCGATGCGGTAGGCGCGTGACTTGAATCCTTCGGGTTGTTTATAGTCAATTTATGGAAATAGACAAATGATAAAAATAAACCAAAACAGGATTGCTAGTATACTTACAAACACTAGACATCTTAGAGGAGTGTGCATTGAATATGGGATCGGATTTAGGACAATCCCAATTTCCCGGGCTAGTATAGTATAATGCGAATTCCAGAAAACACAAAGAAAAGCAAAAACAAAGTTTGGAGGCTGCAGTAGGATTAAACTAGCGAATTCGATCGAAATCAGTGATCATCCTGGTACCCCATCTTCCCCATCTTCCAGGGTCTTTCCCGTGCCCCGATACGGGGGTGAATCAAGTTCATGATCCCTTCGCAAATATTCCCAGGTTTCCTTCCACCACTCCTGGACAAATGCCTATCACATCACGGATAATAGTTTGACACGCAGTCCCCACCTAAAGCATGTTCGGGTCTCCTGTCTGATGATCAATCCCCAAAACGAATAAAGGTGAACCCGACCTTGAGACACGCAGGAACGGACTCCGAGTGGGGCATTTTCTTTTTCTACACCTCACTTCCACGGATATTTCCGTGTGGCACAAGAGAGACCACCTGGGTAGATATGGTAATATGGTGATCGTGAGCACGACTCTGAACAACCCCTGTCAATTGCTGATCCAGGCCATTTCTCAGCATTGTTTCCCCCCATGACTCAAGGAGTGTCAGACGAGGTGTCAGACTAGGCAGTACCGTTTCTTTCTTTCTTTTCTTTTCTTTTCTTTTCTTTTCTTTTCTTTCTCCCGTGCCAAGTCTTGCCGCAGGTTGCCCCGAACCCCGAACGATGCGCATCCAATTGGCAATCGATGAGTTGGGAGAGGAAACCAGATGTTTGTAAGGTGGGACAAGTGGCTGAGCCCAGAAAGCTCCTTTTTTTAATTATTTTGTTTTTATTCTGATTCTGTGCCGATTGGCGCCTATCACCCGCACCGACTGCCCAACATGTCGTTACTCCGGTTTTCCCAAGCCGAGTCCAGCTTGCCACCTGGTGATTTGTTACGACTATTGTCACCGGACTGTTTCGAGGGCTCTGTGCTCATCTGATTCAAACCAGAATGAGCAGGAGTGTGTGTGGCATTGAAGATCCAATTCCACAATGTACAGTATCACCGCCAATCTCCGAGGCCTCGGCATGGCCGGTTCTGTCTCATGCATGAAGATCCTGACTAGCGCCACGTGTGTGAAGAAGCATCAACGGCTGCGAGGAACCGTGTCGATCTCCCACCTACCCGATGGGTAGTGATGTGGGCGTCATGGGGTTGATAGAGCAATTTAAATTGTAGATTAATATAAAATAAAAGCCAGTAAATATAAATAACAACCCTCGGTTGTTTCGGTTTAACGGTCTTACAGATCAAAGCCACAGCCCTTCATGCAGGACCCGCTTCCTTGAGGGTTTTTTTTTTTTTTCCGGTGGGGATTGCGTGTAGATACTCTTTGGAAAAAAGGCTGCGGAATTATGGAGCAACCGACTTCTGGGATGTTGAAATAATTGACAGACCTCTATTATTATTATTTTATTTTCGTTTTTGGAATTCAGTTTATTAATTGATTTTTGTTTCCCTGTTCCCACCATGTGTACCTTGGTGCACTCGGGCACGAGACAGTATATTTTCCTCCCCGGACCTCGCCAGGTCTACACTTTTTGATTCTCTATTCAACTACATTATTTCACCCATCTCAGTCACTTCAATTGCCTCAATTCTTGAGACTCTTCAACCCACTTTTCTTGCATTCAATACTCGCCGGAACCCCCCATGGGATCAAAATGTGCAACTACTTCAAAAACTACTATATCTATAGCAGCTGCCAGAACCCCTCCGCCCACTTCCTTCGCACCTCCCTGGATGGCAGCAAAGACAGTCGATGTCCCGACAGTCCCCACGACCGGTTCATTGTGGTGGTGGGCAAATGTCTGCTCTGCGCGGTACGGTGACTTGCGATCATGTCGACCATGATTTTGGAGTCAAATCTTACTTTTGATTGTTTTTTTTTCTCTCTCGGCCGGGGTGTTTAGGACATGGATCTTTTCAGTTTTTCTCCCGTCTCTTGCATTGCCCGTTCTTGGCGCGACCATATCTTCATCGCCAGGAACTATTCGGCTAGTGCCGACCCTCTCTTTCTTCTTTTCTTGAGGGGGCGGCTCTCCCGAACCGATGACGATGGGACCACTCAATTTGAAATCGACTATTCGCCCATGCGGTCATGATCGACACTTCTATTCTTTTTCTTTTTCCCTTTTTCTTCCATTTTATTTTTCTGGAGGGGCACCGCGGGTTTTTTTTTTCGTTTTTAACTTTGTGTTTTGGAGTCTGCATTTTTCCATACTCCGGAGCATTGGTGCCATCCAGGTTTTTTTTTCTTGTCTGGAGACTTTTTTTTTCTGTTTTTCACCTGCAAGCGCCTGTACCTTTGATGTCGTATTTTTGCTTTTTTGTTCTCGGCGTTCCAAGGCAATTCTCCGGGGTTGGAGATCCACGATACTTCTGGATTTTAGGGCATGATTTTCTCCAATTCCCAAAACATGGACACAATAAAAACAGAAACCCCAAAAAGACCCTTCGGGTACCTCCCGCCCTGGACTTCTGCAGAAACTAATAAAAAAAAGAGCTCATACAACGCACTGCATCACATGCTTCGTACGTACTCCGGAAGTATTTCGTTGCGTGGCTGGCGTGGATGGGCGCGGTAGCCCGAGTTGCCCGAAGAAAAAGAAGAAACAAAACAAAACAAAACAAAACAAAACAAATAGGAACAATGAAAAGAAAGAAAAGAAAGGTCTAGGTCCTTGAGATGCAGAAAAAAAAAAGCAACGTGGTTGTATTCTTTTCCACAGAACATAGTGGGGGGGGGAGAGGAAGGGGTCCCAGCCCGATATGACGCCAGACATCGGGACTTCCGTTGAAATGCTGGAAGCTGCAGTACACACACATACAATACTTTATGTACTTCGATTTCTTTTTTTTTTTTTTCTTTAATTCCCCTTTTCTCTTTTTCCTTTTCTGTGTCTCCCATACGTAGTATACTAGCCATGTGTACGCAACAAACAACCCAGCTACTCGCCAAGCATACATCTCTCTGCTAAGACCCTTTCCTACCCCTGGTCGTGTCCGTGCTTTCACGACACCCTCATCATACCCTGCAGATGTGCAGGGAAACCAAGAGGGAAAGGGTACCGGGACCCAATCTGTCTTTCAGGCTATCAAGAAGACTCACTCTTGCCAACAACACCCCGGGCCACAAGGGAGAAAAAAAAGGCCAAAGGCTACAGGACTGCACTTCCACGCAATCTCCGTGCGCTCCGGAGGGACGGGGGGCCCGGGCGAAGCTTCGGCATTGTGTGCAGTCCGTCTGCAGGGATTTCTATTGTTTTGATTTGTCTACTCTATTAGTTCAATTTTATTGGTAGTATTGTTTCTTCCCGACGTATGCGTATATCTCTACCTGCCATTGGTGGCTTAGTGGCATCGTCAGTCTCTGGTAGATGCAAATGATATACCCGGGCAATGGTACCTATCTGTAGGCACGGCAACGATCTGTAGATGATGCATGAGGCAATACGCAATGCGCACTAAGCATAGTAAGGCTCGGACTTGCTAGGTACTCGGACTTAGCATAGGAGTCCGAGGCCAACCACACGCACAAAAAAAAAAAAAAAGGGGGGGAGATCTTCGACCTTGCTTTTAGGAGACAATCCCCGGAATACGCTTAGAGGGTTAGGGCCATGCAATGTCTGGAACACTAAATCCTCAAAGGCACTAAGCCACAAGGATTGAGTGGAATAATTCTGATTGACTTTTATCTCCCTGCACACAAAAACCTGACAATCCCAACAAACAGAACTCGACTATTGGATCCTGCGGTAGGGCTGCGTGGCGTTATATACTTTGGGTTGGTAGTTGGTATGGATCGCAAGGAATTGATGAATTGGTGCGTTGTTTTCCTATTATTTGCCATGGTATCAAAATTATTAAATGAAGTACCTCAATCTCTCTCTCTCTGTCCTTATTTTGATTGAAGGAGAATGATTCAACGAAGGCCAGGAAGATTTCGTGCCGTGTCGGGCGCTCATTTGCATCAACATTGTGCCCCGGACTGGGATACTTACAAGCATTTGGGTCGCCTCTTCCCCCCCCGGCAGTTAGGCTTGATTATTAGATCATCCCTGACAATTCGTGATGGGCGAGTTCATGCTGGAGTCTAGATAGGATAAGTGACACGCACGTTTGAACTATACACACATATGCCAGGGGGGGGGGGGATATAAGCGAGTCTTATCACACAGGTTCTGAATATATATTCCTACACAGATTGTGTTTTTAGTCTTTTTAATCATATGCCGGGCATTTGCCTTTCTCGCATTTCCATATCCCCCGATATTGTCCTATGGCATGGGCGTTGATTGCCCGGGCTTTTCTTGACCGACCCTCGTCTTTGGCATTTCCACTGAGCCACACTGACAGGGGTCTCATCCTTCTGTGAGATTGTTAGTCAAGAAACTAGTGGGTTTAGAATAGTTCCTCCGAGAGCCGATCAACCATGAGAAAGGGTAGTAAGCATAGAATTTTGGTAATCATGAACTACTCTCTCGGTCCTTTCATACTTGGTCCAGCCTTAGTTCTTTCTGTAATTCAATCAATATGATGATTGCGAGTAAGGCCTCTTGGAAACCCGGGACCATCGGACCAATTCTGACTCATAGGTTCCAGAGTGTTGAGGCTCTGGTTGCGAAGGATTCCGGCTAGCGTGTAGAAGCATCCATGGTTTTCTCTGTGTCTGTGTGTTTGCTCCATGTTGATCAGGGCAGCCTCATGTACGATTACACACTTACTACAGTATGTATGTATGTATGTGGCAATCTATTAATACCCAAATGCGCTTCTTCTTCCTTCGGAACCCGGTTCCCAGTCATTTGGGCAGCCCCAAGGAAGCCTACTGGGGAGCTAAGGAGGCCCCCAAGGAATGAAACTCTACTAGTACATACAACCCTACAGTAGAAAATAGAAGGAAAAAGGAAAAAGGATCTTAGCCACAAGACCCTGATTCCTTCACAGCCCAGTAGGGAATAACAACCCCGCCACTTTCATTCTAAATATACATACCTGGGTCGTTAGGTATCAAGCAATGAGGGATTGGGCCCATTGCCCAAAACTACGTATCTACATACATACATCCATGGATACTAAGTATATAACGATTCTCTTACATACCCACTTCTCTCGGGCGTGCCCTGGTAATTGTCCCATAGACAAATTAAGCAACATCACCGAATCCTCTGGCGTTGTACCCGCAATACACTCCATACCTGCTCTGTAGAGTAGTTTGTGCGGGTCCAGAGCTTTTTTTTTTTCGGGTGCGAGTACCGAAGCCACAGCCGCTTTATCCACCTTCCAAAGAAGGGTAGGAGATATTCTGTCTCTGCTAAGCCCACCACAAGAAATTAATGATCGACATGGAAGTAAATAAAAATATGCATGATATATATATATATATCAATCAACTAATTTCTCGGCATTTGCTGGCTTGCATCAAGGCAATCTGCAAGCCTGTTTTTTTTTTTTTTTGTTTGTTTGTTTTAGGGCTTGGGCGGGACTTGTCGGTGTTGCCGAAGGGGACGGACATAGTCCCGTGTTTGTGTGAACGAAGATCGGTACATAACTAAACATGCATAGATCTTATAGGTAGGCTTTTAAGTGGATTCTTGTTTGATCTTAGTTTTATTTATTATTTATTATTATTATTATTATTATTATTATTTTTTTCGCGCGTGCCTCTGGGAAATTACCAGAATTGGACTCGCGCGAGCTCTATCCAAGCTAAACCCAGACAACAGTGCAGAAAAGTCAATTGGCCAGGCAATCTGTGGTTATCTGGTTATTACTTCACTGATCATTTGCACTTCAAGCCAAGAATGGGCAGTGTGATGGCTTGGCGATCATTTTGTTCCCGGCGATCTACTGCCATTTTGCGGGTTGTCTGCGAAGGGGTGGGGTAAAGGCGTGTGAATGACATGCCATGGTTATTGTGCATGAGAGAGAGAGAGAGAGAGAGAGAGAGATAGAGAATGGATGATAAACTATCGAAACAAACAAGACATGGCCAGCATGTCAAAATCAATCATATCAGATACGACAAGGACAAAACAAGAACAATCCTCCCAAGGTATCATATAATCATACAATAAAAACACACCCACACCTCAAAACCGCACCTCCGGCCGCACACCCAATGGCTTCGGCTTCGGCATATACACCGGAGGTAAGGAACTGTAGCGAGGACACGGCTTGCGGGCAACCCGAGAGGGAAAAGGCAGTTTAGGTATGTCGCCCAGATGGCTGCTGAACCGCGACAAAGTTCTCTTGCGGCCTGTGGCTGCCTGGATTTCTCTGCTGCCGGGTCGGGAGGCTACTGTTGTAGTTGACGGCGTGGCACTGTGGTTGGATGAGTGCGGGGGGAGACAGGAAATGGTGATGAGGCTGCTGAGGTGGTGGAAAGATTCTTCCTCTTTCTCTTCTTTTTCTGGTTCTTTTCCTTTCCATTTGGACTGGGTGGTTGTATGTTCTGGTTTGGTTGTTGGGTTGTTGGATGGAAGTGTTGGTGGAAGTATCGGTGAAAGTGTTGATTCTGATGCTGCTGGTGTTCCATGATCTGGATTCACGTTGGTTAACGAGTGGCTAACGATAGCTGCCAGCGCCGCTAACTGATGCACAATGCGATCCGTTTCGGACTGGGGCGTCGCCGTGACCCTGATATCCGGGGGTGTTGATTGCGGGTTGTAGACGTCGACTTTGGAACGCCCTTTCCCGGCCCTGCTCGACATTTCGAGGCTGTTCACAGCTTCTGGGTCGCGGGCTCGCCGGCGACCTGCCACAAGTGCCCAGAAAGTCATCTTGGGTCCATGTCTTTTTCGGTAGCCCAGCCAGAGTGACATGGCGATGCAGCAGAGAATTCCAACTAACCCGGGAGAGCCAAAGACTAGTTAGTAAATAACTCAGAAAGAGTTCATACCCTCAGTCTGATGGCCAACTCACCACTCAGGCAAACAGCAAAAATCACCTTCTGAGACACTTGATCCAATGACCTTGACTGCACTCTCAGCTCCTTCATGTCTTCAATTCGAGCACAAATGAACACCCAAGAAAAGGAATTCCAAAGAAGATCTCAGAATGAGACTCAACGCTGAGACATGGTCATCCAGAACCACCGATCCAAGATTATCAGAAGCAGAAGTTTCAGACACACATCCCCGGTTATATAGGACATCCGTATCAACCCGGGCCGGTCATTTCGCTTGTTGGGTTTGGTGCTTTGAATGCCGGCAGCCCAAAACAGAGAAGAATACTAGAACACTCCAAAACAAGAGCCAGTACCCGAAGAAGTGTTTTAACCTGGTGGTATTCCAATCGGACTGAATCTGAAACGGCGACAAAGCTGCAACCCTAAGCTCCCAGAATCTAGGTAAGGATCTAGGGCTGGGTACTTCAAACCGTTGGAGGATTACCGGCAGCTTGCTTGGGCCAACCGATCTATAAACCTTTTATTTTGGGGGAGGTTCTGTTGGACGTTCTGCAATGCATGACGTGGAAATTGCTGCAGATGCGGGTATTTGCACGATGGTTAATCTCCGTTGTTGTTGACAGGTCGAAATAGCAGGACTAGTAGTCCCCGAGTGCACTCAATGGGCTAGGTGGAATACAAACAAAGCACCTAACTTAGGATTTTTTTAAGGGCACCAGTTAGGCTGAGTAACTAGTCATAGCGATTGATATAAAGCCCTTTCTGCCGTTCGAGGATGCTATGGCCCTGGAATAGGAGGCTGGGTCTTGTTTCCAATCAGACTAGAAGGAAATTGTCTGAAACGCCTCCTGATTCCAGTGTTCGAGTTCGACTGAGTGGTACAAGAGATGAGTATGTTTGGATAATGCCGCTTTTCTCTTTCCTCAATTAATCATAATCAATTTTCTATCTTGAAGCCTTGAGCTATTCTATAGAACGAAGCATCCATACTTAATCACTCGGTCTTGGGATTGCGCACCATGCAATACAACTACAGCAAAGCATCAACTTAGCCAAAACAGACTCAAAAAGAAACAAGAAAAGAAGAAGGGAAGAAGGGAAATAAAACATACCATACAAACGTCCTCTCCATCCCGACATTCCATCTCTTTCCTCATCTCAAACCCCATCCGCTCATAGATCTGCACATTCGGCACACTCTTCGAGCTCTCCAAATAACACTTGACCCCCTCCCGATCCGCCTGTTTAGTGACCGCCTCAAACAGTAGCCTCCCCACCCCTTTCCCCTGAGCCTCGGGGCTCACAGCCACAATATTACAGAAATAGTAGCCACGCGGATCATCCCAGATCTGGGACTGCGCTGCATGCTGGCGGTCTTTCCAGATCCAATAGCGGCGCGTGTGCAGGCCGCCGTGGCCCCAGTGTCGCATGTTGGTGAGGAACTGGTTGATAGAGAGCATCCAAGATTGGAAGTAGGAGTACCAGCTTTCGGGTTGGGAAGTTGGGAGGGGGGTAGCCAGCAGGAGACGCCTAGGATGGGGGAAGAGGATGAAGAAGAGGAGGAGGAATTGCTGACTAGTGTGTTGTCTTTGGTTTCATTGTCTGAAGATGAAGTGTCTTTGGCAACGTGGAACAATGCGTTCTTGATGCCCCAGTGGCAGCGCGCTGCTAGGGAATCATAGTTTCTTTGCTTGTTGAACTATTTTAATATCTCTCTCGTGTTGTCGAGGCCAAGCCTCAGATCGGCCTCGTTACGAGAGAGGTCGGGGTTAGTATGCTTCTAAAATGTCTAGTTAAATTTGACTGCTACACACCTTGGATGAATCAAAGACCCACTTGAAATAGGGATCATCGGCAAATGCCTGCTGAATCACTTCGATGGCGCCGGGGATATCGGCCTCGGTTAAAGGGACGACTTCGATTGCCATGGTGCGGATGAAACACAGTTGGTAGTCTTTCCGCAGCTGTGTAGTGTGCGACTGATATTCACACCTGAACAATGAACGCCCGATGGATCTTGGTTATTTTTTTCGATAACGCAGAATGACACCCGAAGTCTGTCTCACCGTGTCAATAAACAGCCCTCAAATTATGTACTCATGTATCCCCACACAGCAGATCACACTTACTGTCAACAGACACAGACCCGTAGTCTGATAGAAGTAGTGTAACTCCCCCCTCCAAAAAAGAAACTGTAGTACGAGGAATCCCCACGCGACCACCTAGCGGGGCAGAGATCTATGCCGATATCGCAAATAAGAGAAGACCGAGCAGGGCACCAGAGAGGAGGGTGAAATAAAGTAGTGAAGTAGACCCGATGGAGATCGATACAAAAATCAAGCTAAACCCATCAATGGAAGAATAAGAGAGAAAAGAAGAAAGAAGAGCGACACAAAGCAGTGCCAAGAGGCAAGGCGACAGGATGTGGGGGAACCCTAAACCTGGACAGGCAGTTGCATGCGCAGTGGAGCCCTTTTGGCATCGACACTTCGGGTGTGGTTCTTCGAATGACGTTCTTCATATTCTCAATTTTTTAACTACGAGTATCATAATTGGCTCAAGACTGCAGAGCTTCCATGCATACAGTTGTACAATTGTAGATGCCAACATCACATGGGGGGTTCAAGTATAAACATCACAGGGAATATAAACCGGAGACAAGCCGAGTGTGCACAGTTTGATATAACAAGACCCAAGAAAAGATGGAAAGGGGAAAAATAAAAATGAACAAAAAAAGACCCAAGTCCAACTCGATCCCAAACACATCTGACATCTATTGGAATGACCGCTGGAAACTCCCTATTTCGCCCTCCTTACCCCCACTCCGATATGAACAATGGTCGTAAACGTCATGATCTGGATACCGTGAGGAACGTGAAAATATAAAACGGCCGTCAAGCGTGACATCACCAAGCGAGCACCGAGAGAAAACTTGACATGAAAATTGTCATTGAACGTTCACGTCGTCGAGGCGCACCCATTCCCGGGGGACGTCCATACTGCGGTTGATACGGCCGCCCGGGGTGAGAGGCACATCGACGCGGGCATGACCCCGGTCATCCTCTTCGGGCTCCTCGTCATGGAACGACAGCCGGGAAAAGTAATCTTCCAGTACCGCCTCACGATCGTCACTGCTGAAAATGGACGTATACTCGGGAGGCGGCGTGACGAGGGGCGGTGGTGGCGGCACATCTTCAAAGGCAGGTGGCGCATACGAGGGGACGCGCAGAAGATGCATCGGGCGAGGAGGGGCTCGGTCGTCCCGCGCGTTCGGTTCTTGGGCCAGATGTGCCTGGGGCGGGCGGACTAAGCCGCCGGACCCGTTCGTGAAACTCCGCCCGAAAGTGCGGCCGGTGGAGCCCCGCCGAGTCAGGGCCGGGTTATGATCTTCGCGATCCGAGTTCGATGGAACATAGTTTTCTCGCGAGGCCAATGGCGCTCCGGGGCAGCCACACTCGAATTCCTGGGCGGGCGGTTCCGGCTCCGCAGCCGGCCTCGTGTAGGCGGGCAGGTATATATTAGCCTGCGTGGCTTTGCAGGAAAGTATATGAAACGGGGAATCGATCGAGATCTCGAAATGTCGCCGTTTGCCCGTGTCTCGTTCATCGACCTTGGACAGACGAAGCACAATCTGGGAGATTCCACATTAGCATGGAACATCGCGCGACGAAGGGATCAAAAAAAAACCACCTACCTTGATCCAATGATTAATCTGAATGTTTTCGTAGGTTGTATCAAAGTGCAGTCGCTGGGATTCGTCCCGGCCCTTCATCTCGGGACAGCTCGGCAGCTGCACATTAAACTCCATTTCAGTAGGCCCAATGCCAGACTCGCCGGCCAAGTTTCCGAGAAGATTGGTCCGACTCCGATCCACAATCTCCTCCCCTCTGGCAGCAGCGGCACGACGATCCCAGTCAATTCCGCCGCCTGCGGTGACGCGCATGGAACTACCGGGGTAGGTACTCGTGCTGGGAGAATCGGCTCGCTTTTCGAACAGGAGCACCTTCTTTGACGGCTGGAACCGGTGTACACTCTTGTCCGCCGTCCAATGTTGAATATTTTCCGTCACGTAAACCTTGATCCGGTGACATTCGACTTTGGCGAGCGGAGTCAATTTGAACGCAATCGGGATGTGGGAGCCCAGTGGGAATGACTTGCCCGAGATGACAATGTCGTAGTGAAGCTGGTCCTCCCAATTTCGTGAAATGGCAATCGGCTCGACCTGCTCTAGAGAACCCTCGGCCGGCGTGCGGATGACGGGAATCTCCATCGTGCCCAAAAGGTTCGGCCGGAATGCCCCGGATCGCTCTACCATAGCCTCCAAATCATACCGGACAGTTCCCAAGTCTGTTTTTATTGTCTCTGGAAACGCTCCATCGATAGGGAACTCGAAGCTGTACAAGTAGTCGCCCACGGGAAACATGCGATAGTTGCGTTGGGGCTGGTTCTGAGCACTGGGCGGGGGTTCGTTTTTGCTGAAACTGCGAGAATGTCCGCGGTTCATCGGCAGCGAGAGGCGCTTGGCATCCCTACCGGTGGGCTGGCCATAGGAAGCACCAGAGTTCCGGTTGGAGAACAGTTCTCGTGTCGTTGCCGATACCCCCTCCTTCCCGGGCACCGATGATATCGGTTGGGCATGCTGATAGTAATGCGCTCCGTAGTCGTTCTGCATCAGCGCTGTATCGCCATGATTGAAGTAGACCACGCCATGGGTGAACAGGTCCTTCTTATCGTGGAAATGAATCTTCTTGGGCGGGATCCCTACACCACTCGGTCAATTAATGGATGTCTTTAGGGGATACCGGGTATCGGGGAGCCGTACCATCGGGCCAGTCCGTTTGGGCATGGCCGCGGAAACAGATCGAGATTTTCTTAATCTTGACACATTTCGATACCTTCAAGTGCAATTGCCCACGCAAGATTGCCGACTTCTTGCTACTGGGGTCATGCTGGTCGTAGCCTTGAAGATAGAGGACTGGCTCCGTCAGAGCGATGCCGACCGTGATTCCACTTCCCGTAGCGACAATTTTCTCATTGCGAAGAGGAGTGAACGGTGTCGCCAACTCGGAAGCGGCGGTATTTTGGGGTTCCGGCACCGGCCGGGGCAGCACCTCGGTGGCCGTGGAGGATGAATCCGAGCGCATCTCGCCGTCATCTAACTCGGGAAGCGATGCCTGTGCATTCGTTGGGAATATAATTTCCGACACTGGCCGGGCACCTCTGCAACGCGGGGTGGGTTGCAGGGGAGGCGATTGTACCCTCGACGACCGCAGGCGAAGGAATCGCTTCGCGTTTTCTCGTGGGCCCGCCAGCCTTTTGAGAATCGACCCTCGACGAGTTGGTGCAAATTGTTCCTCAACACTCGACTGGCGACGAGTTGACCGGGTGCGAATGAGACTGGAGATGGAGAGCGACAACGGAGACCAGTCGGGTGGAGAAACGGGGTCGCTAACAGAAGCCGACCGCGAAACCTGCGCGGGGAGAACGTAAGTTGCCATCATCGCGATATGCCGAGTCGTCCGATGAGCATAATGAACAGGGCCGTGATTAAAGGGGTGTCACAGAAGACAAAAGAGAAAAGAGAGAGAAAAAAAAAGGAAGAATGATAATGATAATAAGAATCAAAAACACCCAAGACGCCCGCGTATTACTTTTACACAACTCTGGGAAGACGCAAGAGAAAGACAGAACCTCACACAAGCGCCAAAGAATGCGAAGGAGCAGCCAAATAAGCAAAATCCAGGCAACACAAGCTCACCGTGTTGAAAGAACGTTCACTTTTGATCCCTTGGAGTGATCCATGCAAGGAGCACACCGATCTTTGCAGGAGAAATGGAATCCTGACTTCATCCACACGGGGGGGCCTCCACCCCAATGATCAGCGCAGTGCAGATCCCTCTGGAGCAGGTTCCTCGTTTTTTTTGGGATTTTTTTTTTCTTTTTTCTTTTTTCTTTTCTTTTCCTTTCTTTTTTCTTTTTCTTGGAACTAGTGCGTCGTAATGTGGCGCATCAATGAAGCGAGGCCAGCAGAGGATTTCACATCAACATGAAGAATCGATGATGACATGAACGGCCGACGGGGGATTTGCGATCCGGCGATCCGGGCCAGAGCCTCTTAGTAAGGCCATGTTCATGGGAGGTGAACAAAGACAGAAAATTGAGGCATAAAAAAAGAATAAAAAAGGAGAAATACACTTTGCTGTTGGGTGCGGGGAATTTTAAGGCCTGGAAGTCGTCACACCGGTTCATCGTGTTCATCCTGCTCATCCTGCTCATCCTTCGAGGGGATCGGTCAGAAAAACAGACCAAAAAAGAAAAAAAAAAAAAAAAAAAGAAAACAGAAAAAAGAAAACCTGTTCAGGTGCATCTTAGACAAGTTAGCTTCATTTGGCTCTGGCACATTGACCAATGTAAGTAGGGTGATGGACATCAACAGAAGGGTCTGTGCTCTGTGACAGCGGATGATCTCATTTCTGAGGTTATTTAGGATGGGGTCTCCATAGATCAAAACAAACACAAAAGATATTTTATTTATTTGATTCTCATGAATTTATTATATATAAATTAAACCATAAATATTCTACTTCCTAAGTCTCTATTCCTATGTTGCACAATCAGGTCTGTCCCACGTCTCTTGCCAGTTCACACCATGCTCAGCCACAGGGACTAAGCTAGGAGATTTCTCCAGCTAGGGTTCCACATAGGTTCAAATTCTATTATATATTTCTTAGAACCACTGTTCAATAACATCGAACTCATCCATGGATCTGTTCTATGGCATCACAGATGACAAATGCCCGGTAGATCTGTCCAGGTGAACTAGTCAACACTTCAGACGCATGCAGATCATGGGAAATCACATCCCTCTTGCGAGACATCAGAAGCTGCATACACTTTGCTAGGATCTCCTCAAGTAAACCAATTATCATCCAGCTCACTGATGTTCATCAGGCTATCCCCCTCCAGCTGATTCAGGTCGCCCGTGCCATTTCCCCCGAGATTCTCTGTTTCCATAAAGAGATCATCAAAGCTAGACTCTCCGGGTCCCATGATGTCCTCCATGGCACTGTCCTGTCCTGGTAGTTGATTGGCCCCGCCCTCTGTCCTTTGCAGCTCCATGTCGAATGCACCCCCACCGGTGGCATGTGCAGAGCTGTCAGGGGGTTGCGACACACTGGGTTTGTCGGTCCCCCCCATACCCGTGTTGCCGAAGCTTGATCCTGAGAGAAAGGCCTGGTTCCCCATGTCATCATTGCCAAAGTCAAGATCCAGGTCAAAACTGTTTGGGCCACCACTGTCATTGAGAACAGAATCAAAATTGATTTCGTCAGTAGTGCCTGGAAATCCTGGTTCGGCATTTGCTGGCTCTTTTTCTTCTTTGACAGTCACGCTATCGCCTGAATCCTTAGGCATGGTCTCTATAGGAGTCGGTGACACCCCCGAAGTTCCTTCTTCTGTTTTTGGCTGGGCTTCTTGAAGCTCAGAGTCTAGGTCAATGCCTGTAGGCTGGGGTTGTGCTTCTGGCTCCACCTCTTGGGGAACCTCGCCCATGGCCACATCTTGAGCAGGGGGTGCAGCTTGTCGGGCCTTGATGGCCTCATAGTCCTTTTCCAAGAAGGCTTTGGCAATGAACTGGGTGACGTCAACAAAACAACCCATCAATCATTTTCCTGAATGGGGTATTGACAGCATCACAGGACACAAGGACTACTCACAATCTGCTCCGACAGATTATCCAAGGCCTCTTGAAAACTGTCCGAATACGACGGAAGGGCCCGTTGCAAATTGGTTCTCGACGGCATGGACCCCGATTTTCTGAACAACCGCCCGGTGTCCACGAGCTGCCAGCGGTCAGAATCTGCCTCGAGGATCGGATTTGCAGAAAGGGGAATTTACCGTTCGCTCGACCAAAGTTGAGAGCTCCACCAATGACTCTGGATTCGAATAACTAGAAGCCATGATGAATCCAAGAAAGAAAGAGAGATAAAGAGAGATAAAGAGAGAGAGAATCAGGTCTCGGGAGGTGCCAGCTGAGACGTGGTACTTGGGTTGTACACACGAACTTCGCGGCTAAGCCCGTTGGGGTTAAGTGGTGCCCCCCACCCCTAGCGGCTAACTCTCTCTTCTCTCTTTCTCTCTCTCCCTTACTCTCTCTGTCTTCTTGTCTGTGTCTTAGCACATCTCCATCTCTTTTCTTTTTCCTTTTCCTTTTTCCTTCCTGTTTTCCTTTTCAGTTCGTGGCTTTGCCCTTGCAGCTTCGGAACTTGCCGTTTAGTTCGTGTTTTCCTGCTCTTTTTTGTCTTCCCGAAGTTGTTTGTTGGGCTCTCTCCAGCGCTTGATCGCCGTTTCCTCCCCCGGACATCTTGTCTACAAGAACCAGTATAAAGCTCTTGACCATTTCGTCCTGTGTGTGATCCGAAGCCGCATCGGTTGCGACGCGTTGACCACGGTTACCCTCGTGCTCTTGGTTCCGATCAAACCAGCTTAGCCTTTTGGAACTTTTTCTGTCTCTTTTGGCTGGACCCCCGCGCCCTGTATACTACGTATACATATAGGTCTCATTCGCGACTGTGGCTTTCTGCGGCGCTCTCCATTGTCTCAAACGCCTGACATTGTCAACTCGCCTAACACCACTGGGTCCCAGTCAGGCATTTATACCGTCCGACCTCTGCACTACCCGCTCCCCCCGATTGCCTTTCCCGACATATTAATCCATTCACGATCATCAGCAATGGCTGAAAACGCTTCGGCATCGACCCCTGCCTCTCTGCCGTCGGCTCCCCAACCCGCTGCCGGTGCCCAAAACCAGCAGTACGATGCCGCTCAAGGCAACGGCCAGGCCAATTCGTCCCACATGCCCCCTCCGCCGCGCCCTCCGGTGATTATCCCCCAGAACACCAACCCAATTCCTACCGCAATCACCTCCCCCATGTCTGGCAACATGATGTCTCCGACGAGTGCTGGTGGATTTGTTCGCCGCGCTGCCCCCGAACCAAACAAGAGAGCTCTCTATGTTGGTGGACTGGACCCGCGGGTGACCGAGGACATCCTCAAGCAAATCTTTGAGACTACGGGCCACGTGGTCAGTGTGAAGATCATCCCGGACAAGAACGTGAGTTTCCTGTCTCTTGCTAGCCTGTCGACGAACTGTCGCCCAACTTAGAGACCGTCGATCATGCGGCCGTCTCTTTATTTATAGATGCCTTGTTCTGACCCACTTTGCCTCTAAATCTAGGGTCAATTCAGCACAAAGGGTTACAACTACGGATTCGTGGAATTCGACGACCCCGGAGCGGCGGAGAGAGCGATGCAGACCCTCAATGGTCGTCGTATTCACCAATCGGTTAGTACATTCACCTCTAGGACTAATCAGTGGCCCTAACAGATATCCCCCAGGAAATCCGCGTAAACTGGGCATACCAGTCCAATAGCACCAACAAGGAAGACACCTCCAACCACTTCCATATTTTCGTCGGTGATCTGAGCAACGAAGTGAACGATGAGGTTCTACAGCAGGCTTTCTCTGCCTTTGGATCTGTCTCTGAGGCCCGCGTGATGTGGGACATGAAGACCGGACGCTCGCGCGGCTACGGTTTCGTTGCCTTCCGTGACCGCTCCGAGGCAGACAAGGCCCTGAACTCGATGGACGGGGAATGGCTTGGCTCGCGGGCCATTCGTTGCAACTGGGCTAACCAAAAGGGTCAGCCCTCGATCTCCCAGCAGCAAGCGATGGCTGCGATGGGCATGACGCCCACCACCCCGTTCGGTCATCATCACTTCCCCACTCACGGGATCCAGAGCTATGACATGGTGGTGCAGCAGACCCCGCAGTGGCAGACAACTTGCTACGTGGGCAACTTGACCCCTTACACTACTCAAAACGACCTGGTGCCCTTGTTCCAAAACTTCGGCTATGTTCTGGAGACCCGTCTCCAAGCTGACCGAGGCTTTGCGTTCGTCAAGATGGATTCGCATGAAAATGCCGCCATGGCCATCTGTCAGCTGAACGGCTACAACGTCAACGGTCGTCCCCTAAAGTGTAGTGTATGTTCCCTTCCTCCTCTTTTCGCAAAAGCTTCCTTCGCTGACTGTCACAGTGGGGCAAGGATCGGCCTCCGACGGGCCAGTTCGACAACTTCTCTGCGCAGCAGGGCAACGCCGCGTTTAACAATAGCCCCGGTTTCTTTCCCCAGTACGGCGGCCCTGGAACCCCCATGAACCAAGGTATGTGGCCCAGACGTCTCCACGCGGACCTGCCAGTCAATATGCTGATAGCACCAGGCCCCTGCTCCCGCTGGTCGAGGCTGGGATCAACAAGCCAACAACTATGGCGGACAAGGCATGCCCGCGCAGGGCTTTGCCCAGGTTCCCGGAAATGCTGGAGGGTACGGTCGCGGCCAACCCATGTCTCCGACCGGAAACTGGGACCAGTCCAACAACTTCAACGGAGGCTACCAGGCGTAATCCGTCCTTGGTGATTCCTGATGAGAGTTCGCGGTTGCTTTGATCTCTATGACTCGAGGACCGACCCCATTTGCCTCTCACGATCTTTAAAGCTTCCGACCCTCTTTCACCCCACGCTCTTACAATTTCCCTTTTCCTCATTCTCTCTTTCTTTCAAGTTGCCCCTTCGAGTGGATCATTTTTTTCAAGCGAACAAACTGCTTTTGTCTGAAATGGAATTTGTGTGTTGTGCACCGAATACCCCAAGTCCACTGTTGATTCGATCTTTTCTTTGCCCTCTGAGTCTGCATTGCGCCTGTTTGAAGGTATCCCTTGGACTTTTGACTTCCCCTTGCAATGCTCCAAGATCAAAAGCGACCTCCCTACTCTCTTCTCCTTTTTTCTGTGGTCTTTTGGTCCGTTCTTGTCATCTTCTAGCTGCCATTCCATCATTCCAGTACATGTGTTGTGCTGTATCAAATTTGTTTCATGTCTTGTCTTTTTTTTCTCTCTTAGTATTCCTTTCGTTTTTCTTTGATACTGCTTTCCACTATTCAAAAGATCCTTTCATGGGTTGCCATGGATTTTCTCCGTTGACCAATGACCTGGATCCCCTGCCAGAGTATGCGTATATGCCGCGATGAGTCTCCTTGCCGTGCTTGACTTCGGATGATGTCTTTTTCTATCTACCCTTTCGGCGTTCCAGCTCATATACCAATTTGCCTTTGTCTTGATTTCTTGGGTTCTAAACCATTGGCCAGGGATTTTGTTCTCCTATTATGTTCTTGCATAGCGACTAGCCCAATTCTCGAAACAGCTCAAGAATACTGCAATTGAAGAAAGCTTAGTGATGCTGTGAAATTGAATTTCAATTTCGTGTTTTGGATGCATCCGATGTCTATACATTTAACCGTAGGTGGCGCCTCAGGCAACAATAACACTCTGTGTTCTGGTTCTCCCGCGCCCCCAGCACTTAGCAATCTGAAACAGCGACAGCCCGGGGGCCCACCACTTAACCTACCTCCGGAATTTCCAATGCTGGACGACTAAATGCCGGCGAGCTGACGCTCCAGCTCCCCGGATCCATTCTCTCTGCGCCAAATGGACAATGGCGAAAGCAGCCATGCACGATTTACGACCGACGAAGAAACCCCCAACCGCGCGCGATCGGGCAGCGCAGACAGCGACCAAAAGCGCAACCTCCCAGGTTCCCTCCTTTCTCGACTCTCTTTCCTGCGCATGAACCAGACGTCCCAGTCAGGGCCCAATCAACACCGTCTCGGCATGGAACACGACGCCGACGGCGAGGATCTGCGACTCGCCCTGCCACGCGTGGCGGGTGACGGAGCAGCAGCAAGTGGCAGCAAAGCCATGTCGGCGGCGCTCCAGCAGCGGCGCACGCGTCGACGACGAGGTTCGTTGCGTAAGACGGCCTTGTTGGGGACGCGCATCGAGTTGCGAGACAAGAGGGCTGCTGCTGTCGCGGCGGCTACCACCGCCACCGCTACTACAAAACCTTCGGATTCGGGTCGGCTTCACAGCGATGGGCAGCGGTCGCCCCGAGATCCTACCTCGCCTGACCACGGGCCTACCCCCCGCGAGAGCTTCGACGACGATGACACCGCCGACATCTCCCAGCCCAGCTGGTTCCGCTCAAACACCTCCCAAAGGCCCCATCGGTCATCTGTGGCCCGCCGCCGCGGTGTCTCGCAACACAAGCTCCTGGGCGAGGAAACGGGGACCGACGAAGAAGATCTCGTCTCTTTCCTGCCCACCGGTTCCCCCGGTGCGGGTACCAATGCCAACAACAATACCACCATCACCAACAATAATAATAATAATCCCACAGCCAGCACCGGCACCGCCGCAGTCCTGCACAGGGCCACCCCCTCCTCAAAAACCAATGCCTTTTACCCGCTCCAACCAGAAACAGCCTACCGGCCCGTCCATCGAACCAAATCGTCGCCGCTAGCCACGCACTCGGTCGAGATGAAAAGCAGCAGCCCGGATATCGCGTGGGACTACTCAGAGACGGAGTGGTGGGGCTGGATTATTCTGATCGTCACCTGGCTGGTCTTTGTCGTGGGCATTGGTAGCTGCTTCGAGGTCTGGAGTTGGGCCTGGGATGTTGGCGAGACACCCTATGCTCCTCCGGAACTCGAGGATGATCCTACCTTACCGATTGTCGGCTATTATCCTGCCCTTATCATCTTGACGGCGGTCATGTCGTGGGTTTGGGTTGTTGTTGCTTGGGTTGGTATGAAGTATTTCAAGCATGCCAATATATCTGGAGAGGATATTTGAGGATGTGGTATCCTTTTTTTTTTCTTTTGGCAAGGGTTATTATCGGTATAGATGTTCTGCATAAAGAATCGGCGTTTCACTGTGTTTGTTTATTGAGATATGGAGATTACTTGTTTCATGATGTCCGTTTCTTTGCTATGTTACCTATTTTACCTACCTGGGGGTTATTCACCTTGCTGCTAGCAAGCCATGGCTAAGGTCTTCAAGTATACTGTTTCGCTACAGCCTATAGCCTCACGACACCCCGGCTCCTTTCTAGGATTCGGCTAATTCACTATCTAGTAGAGTACAATCGGATAGGTTATCTGTCAGCACCGATCTAGATCAAGTCTTTACAGCGTCCACTGTGACAAATGCAAGTATACCGAGCATCCACAAAACCCTAGGTAGTCCCCAGAATTGCCGAATCGGGTAATTTTGGCGACCTGATCTACATCCCCGAGATGTGTATACTTCCTCACTTAATATGTAGAATGGCATGTCATAGATGTATTTCCTTTCAATGCACTTTGAGTATTTCTATGCCAATAGATTGGCGTAACCCTGTGGATCATTTCAGCTGGCACTCAGAAGAGGTCTGAAAGCTGGACCTTAGAGACCTCAGGAGTATACCTACCCGAAATGGTGTTGACACGGCAAATGGCCCCCCGAGTGGGCCTTTGTCCCCCAAGGTTAATTTCTCATTCCAAGCTTTTCTTGTCGTCCGCGGTTAATTTCTCCCTATGGAGAATACTTCCCTAACCTGTTGATGGGTCCACCTTCCTTTCTATTTCCTTTTTTTCCCGCTTGCTTTCTATGGTCTCACCATAGAAAGCAACTATGAGAAAAGTCTTGCTGTAGATCAGGCAATATTCTTCATATTCTGATCTGTCAGATTCATTGATAGATATTGAGAATATTGCAGAGGAAAGTTAGGTAAAGAGTAGAGAGAAAAGAATCAATATTTGTAGCAACCACCTTTGCACTAGGAATGGATGCTGGTCTTGGGTTTTGCATGCCCGCAACTCAATCTGGCAATAAAATTTGTAAACGACCCTTATAGAGATTGGCAGAAGTATCCAACATTCCCTGGTAATTGTTTTCTATGGTGATAGCACGACGTATAAGTGCATCCTCGAGGGCCGAGATATAGATGCCGTTTAGAACCAGCATATCATACAAGAAACCTAAGACCAAACTCGAGTCCAGGAGGTGTTGACCTCGCGAGCACTGGATATGCAAATTCGCCTCTGTATAAATCAAATATACTGGTCCCGTATTTACTGAAATGGAGCCAAAAAATACTATATTGCCTTCCGCACTTTTTCCTCTGGGGCATTATTAATCTCAAGTTTTCCTCTCTCGAATCATACATGGCTGCCATCGTCAAGATGGCCGAAGCCGTGAGCTATGAGGACATCAACTTCAACCACGACCAACGCCCACGCAATCTTCGGTATGTCCACCGAGGAACAGCACGGTATTTTTATTCCCTGTCGCGAAAGTCCGTCTTGGATATGAAACTACACCACTTGGAGGCAGCGATGCTCACCTATACTTTTTTCTTCACCGTGTACACCTGGGCCAACTGATACTAAGTTGCGGGTGCCCTTATGCTGCAGGCCAGGACCGATGCAGAGTCAGCTATAAGAAAAATAGCCTTGGGCCTGATTGTCGTGATGCCATAATAACATTTGCAGAATTATCCACGGGTGTTAAAGGAATAGAATGTTTATAGCAACGTATCCCGAGTATCCTCTTTTTTTGCCCCCATTCTTTCCACCATTCTACCAGTCTAAAGCACTATTAAGTTCGATCACAACATGCCCAAAATTCCATTGTATAAAATTGGACCAAAATTGGTGCCCGGGATTTGTAAATCCACTGCGGAGCTCCAGAGGTAGCTTGTACTTGTGCAGATTATGGGACCGCCCGCCCGTTGTGAGGTACCGGGTACCACGAGGCGCCCCCTTTGGGTCCCGGCACACCGATTCGCTCAAAACAGCATTGCTTAAGACGCAGCTTAACAAAGAATTTTTTTTTCTTGTTCACCCGATAGCTGTTGCTCCGATTATCACTGGGAACTCTGTCTCCTTCTCCATCCATCCTCCTCTCCCCCTCTCCCCCTCCACGGTGGCCCTTCCCACAATGGCTGGCAGCTCGCTAGCAATTCGCTCCAAGATGCTCTCTCCGTCGATGATGTCCATCTCGCGCCGATCTATCTCGACGTCGCAACTGGCCCTCCGCGCGAAGCCGATTCGGGCCAACAACATCTCCCAGGTGTCGCGCGTCGCTCGCCGCGGCTATGCTGATGCCGCCCCCTCACCGGCGCCCAAGCCTAAGAAGCGATTCCGATTCCTCCGCTGGGGCTGGCGGTTAACCTGGCTCACCGGTGTCGGTCTTACCGGAGCTCTGGCCTTTGAGATCTACGCTCAGCGCCACCCCGAGGAACAGTTCGAGCCGGACCCGGAGAAGAAGACCCTTGTCATCCTTGGTAGGTCTTGGTCGCGCGAAGCTCAACAGGACCAGCTGCGCTAACACAAGAGTTTCCTCCCCCCTTCTAGGAACTGGCTGGGGTTCTATCTCCCTGCTCAAGAAGCTCGATACCGAAAACTACAACGTGGTTGTTGTCTCTCCCCGCAACTACTTCCTCTTCACCCCCCTGCTGCCGTCATGTACCACCGGTCTGATCGAGCACCGCTCGATCATGGAACCTATCCGCAACATCCTGCGCCACAAGAAGGCCACCGTTAAATTTTACGAAGCCGAGGCCACCAAGATCGACTACGAAAAGCGTGTCGTGTCTATCAGTGACGACTCGGAGATTAAGGGTGACATCTCGCACACCGAGGTGCCTTTCGATATGCTTGTGATCGGCGTTGGCGCCGAGAACGCGACTTTCGGTGGGTGCCACTCACCCCCCGCAATAATTATTTGCAGTGTGTACTGACTGGCAATGTGCAGGTATCAAGGGTGTCCGTGAACACTCCTGCTTCCTGAAGGAGGTCGGTGATGCTCAGAACATCCGTAAGCGCATCATGGACTGTGTCGAGACGGCCATGTTCAAGGACCAGACCCCCGAGGAGGTCAAGCGTCTGCTGCACATGGTGGTTGTCGGCGGTGGCCCGACTGGTGTTGAGTTCGCCGGTGAGCTGCAGGACTTCTTCAATGATGACCTCAAGAAGTGGATTCCCGAGATCAAGGACAACTTCCACGTGACGCTGGTCGAGGCCCTGCCCAATGTCCTGCCCATGTTCTCGAAGCAGCTGATTGACTACACGGAATCGACCTTCAAGGAGGAGGAGATCTCTATCCGCGCCAAGACCATGGTCAAGAACGTCACCGACAAGTACATCCAGGCCGAGGTTACCAAGCCTGACGGCTCTAAGGAGATCGAGACCATCCCCTATGGTCTGCTGGTCTGGGCCACCGGTAACGCTGTGCGCCCCGTCGTGCGTGACCTGATGAACCAGCTGCCTGCCCAGAAGAACTCGCGCCGCGGTCTGGCCGTGAACGAGTATTTAGTCGTGAACGGTGCCGACAACGTCTGGGCCGTGGGTGACTGCGCCATCAGCAACTACGCCCCGACTGCCCAGGTTGCCGGCCAGGAGGGTGCATTCCTCGGCCGCCTCTTCAACACCATGGCCAAGACTGAGGCCATTGAGAAGGAGCTGAAGAGCCTTTCCGATGCCCAGTCCCAGGCCAAGTCCGACGACGACCGCAACCAGGTCTTCGACGAGATCCGCGAGCGCCAGCGCCAGCTGCGCCGCACCAAGCAGATCGGCCCCTTCCAGTACTCGCACCAGGGCAGTCTGGCCTACATTGGCAAGGAGCGTGCTGTGGCCGATATCAGCTGGCTGAGCGGCAACATTGCCAGCGGTGGTACCATGACCTACCTCTTCTGGCGCAGTGCCTACCTGAGCATGTGCTTCAGCAGTAAGTTTACCTTTGATGATACACCTAAGTTGAAGACGTGTTGCTAATATCCTATGCTACAGCCCGCAACCGTTTCTTAGTCGCCTTCGACTGGATCAAGGCGAAACTGTTTGGCCGTGATGTCTCGCGGGAGTAAACAAGTCATGCTCACTAGCGCCATGTCGAATTCCTGTCTGTAATATCCACAACCGTCTTCTCTTTTCTTCCTTTTTGGATTCTTGAGTTTCCTTCATTCTCATCTGGTTTTTTTTTTTTTGCCATAATTCATCCGAAACTCTCTTGGAAAGCACCCTTTCGGAAAATCGCTACGACACCTCCCTGCCATACACCATACCACACATTCTTGACTCGACTTTCTCGCGCCTTTTGTGATAGACATCCATTTCCATTCTGTCCTGATTCTGATGACCTGCCTTTTCTCCCCTAAACCCATTCCCCTCATGCCCTCCCCCAGTCTATACCTTTCCCAACTTGGACTTTTCATACATCGACCTCCTTCACCGTGTTGATGTTGGTGCCGTGTGTGCGAGGTGGAATAATGGGGGAGGATGGAAAAAGCATCAATTGGCCCTCCCCCTTTTCGGTTTTTGTGTGTTGCAGCCTTTTTTTTTTGAAACTTCTATTTCTGCCTTTTTGCTCTTTGGGATTGTACGCTATGGGAATCGATAGACCAGGTCCGGGATCGTTGTTTAAAACCTTTCGAAACTTTTCAATGAATTTCTTTCATGTCTATATCTCTTGATGGTGTTGCTTTATGCCATACATCCCTATTACCTCTTCTACGCCGACTTAGATACCCTTTAGGCAGTAACTTGTAAGGTTATTATCTGGCCTTGTCCACCGGTAATGACGTTCTCGGGTGGGCAGTCCTATGTACACGATTTCAACTACTTGGTGTAAAGATATAAAGACAAGTACATCTCCACCAGAGCAGAGAAACACAAAAGAGGGAAAAAGAAGAGTCTTGAAAGGAAAAGCAAAATTGCAGAGAGGGCTAGGCTAAACAGGGGTATGGCAACGATCCAGATAAAGAAGAAAAAGAGGGGAGGTGTATCAAACATGAAGAAACAGGCCCAAGACTTTTTAAAAAAAAAACCTCAGAATAAATTCCAACGACTCCGCGCCTCCGTGCCAGAGGGCGGCCGCTCCGATTTGCGGTGCATAGTACGGCCATCCAGCTGGCGGATGCTCTCGATCTTCTGCAGAGCCAGCTCCAGCAGCTCTTTCTTGCGGATGATATCCAGGTGGCGGCGGATGCGAAGATCCTCGCGGGCGAAACGCTCGATCTCGGCGTCGGAGAGGTGACGACCGAGGCGCATGTCCAGCTCGCGGGGGAAATTATAGTAGAACTCGGAGAGCAGCTCGACGTTCAGGAACAGCACGGCTGTCGAGGTGAGTTTGTCGGCGACGACGTCGAGGAAGACCTCTGGGCAGTGGTACTTGTTCTTTTGGGTGGCGCATTGTTTGGAGCGGACGGCGAGGAGACGCATCTTGATTAGATCTGCGCGGTCGCGAAGGAAGACACCTTCTCGGCCTGGAAATTATTTGCATGAATCAGCTCTGAAGCTCCAAGAACACGATTGAATCAACAGAAAAACATACCTCGCTCCAGTAGGGCTGAGCTGAAACCACCGGCACCGCCGGCGCCGTCGCCGTCCAGCACGACATCGCCGTTTCGGACTTTGTCAACAAACGCCATCACGTCCTTGAGTTTGCGTTTCCCAACGTGGTCCTCGACGAGCTTGATGGCTGACTCGCACGCCCGGAGCTCTTTCTTCAGTACTTTGCCCACGTTCTCCCTGCCCTTTGCCCACTCGGGGTCTTCGACTTCAATCTCGAACTTGTACGGCTTGATGCAGTTCTCGACCTGGTCGCTGGTGCTGAAGAACCGCTCATTCAAAATGCTGGTGCACGCATCGATGATCTGTTTATGTGCGCCGGGATGCGATGCGAAAGTGGAGGACGCCAGGAGCGAATCCACATGGTTTTGAAGGGAATTGGCGACCACGGTCGTAGCCAACCTGCCGATTCCAAGTTTCGTCAGGGAGGAGGTCGAGGCATCAAGTTTCCGGTGCCAGTAAAGGGAGTCGGGATCAGCCTTGGGAAGGTCCTTGAGGGGGTCTAATTCAGGCATCGGGGGATTCAAGTCCTCCACAGGCCTGTTCCAATAGCGATGCGCAAGGATGTCCATGACCCGCTGGTCCAGCTCAGCTTTCAGCATCTCTCGTACCTGCGGCCGGCCGAATTGTTCCGCGAATGCCTTGAAAGAATGCTTGAAGCTGTCCAGACTCTCAGCCAAATAAGACTCTGCACTCAATGGCCGGTCGTTATATTGCACCTTGAATTCATAGGTCGCTTCCTCGAGCTCTTGGCTAATGGCATCCCGAGTTCCAGTCAGGCTGGATGCCATGGTTTGCTCGAGAACATGCATCAGCTTCTTCCGTAGTGTCGAAACACCGACTGAGACCTCCGACTGTGTACCAAATTCAGAAGGATGTGCCGAGAAATAAGCGTTCTCGTTCTTGAGGATAGCGCTGGTGATATTTCCGATGCCCCTGGAAAAGAGCGCAGTTTTCTGGGGGATGCGGCTCACGACGCCCACGTAACCCAGTCTTAAAGGATACTTTTTGTCGGACAGAATATCGTGGCCACGCTCCGGGTCCACAAGGTCCATTTTCGTGATCACCCCAATAGTCCGCTCACCGCGAGGGTCCACTCGGCGACTGGCTCGCAGTGCCGTCGAATTGGCCAGGTCGACGTCGGCGGCCGAGATCGCCAGAACGACGTTGGGCGCCTGTATGTATTTATCACACAGATCGGAGATCTTTTGCTTCAGCTCTGGGGGCTGGTCATGGCCCGCAACTTGGATATAGCCCGGCAGATCAATCATGGAGAGATCAGGGACGTTTGGGGAATAGATCGTAAGTTGGATCGGGTCGTCAGTTACGCAGTCCTTTTCAGGAACAGCAAAGTTCAGGTCTGTCAGAGTGTGCTGAATTTGAGAGAAGTCGGTAATCTTGCCGAGACCCAGGGCCGGGAATTCACCGTATTCCGAGTGAGCGTTAGGTGTGTTGACAAGCGTGAGTTCAATGGGCCGTCGAGTGACCATGTTCGAACCCTTGGGCAAGAACTCGTGTCCGACGATTGCCTCGAGCACTGAGCTCTTGCCCGAGGATTGTGATCCAATAACGACAATGGAGGGAAGCGTCAATGTGCCGGTTTGGCCGACGGACTGGAGAATATTCCGAATTTCAATCATCTTGCGGGTGAGAAGCATCATCTGGTCGTCTTCGGCTACCTCTCGCCCCGGGCGCGAGTCATCTTCATCCGATTGATCGTATCCAAACGCGGAACCCGTGGCTGCAGCAGCACCTACGGCCGCCGTCTGACCCTCTTTGGGCCCCTTTCCACCTCCGCCAGATGAACCGCCATCTTGAGACTCGTATTCCTCCAGGCGAAGGATCTTCTGCATCCATTCGGGAATTTCGATATCGTCTTTCGTTTTGTTGAATCCGCGTTGTGTCTGTTCCGCCACATCCTGTAGTCCTTGGAATAACGTCGTAGCTGTGCTCCCCGCAGTCTCCCCGGCTTGTTTCAATACATCCATCGCATAGTTTCCAGCCTCTAATTCAAGCAAGATCATTAGTAGATCACTCATGCCAAGATAAGTTTCCGTAGTACATACGCGTCGCTTGATATTGGATGTATGCCAGACCGGCGATTGTCGCCCCACCAAACATGGCCGGTATCCGAGCCATCTTCAGGGCCAGCTTCGGAAACATGCGATGAAATGAAATCGACCGGACAGTAGGGACATTGTTGTGAATAGCATTTGCACCTGTTGGCCAAGCGCGTCCTCGAAGAGCGGCGCCACCATCTGCGCGTAACAGACCCCCAGTCCTCGAGCCAGCATTATGGAGCTGGCGCGCCAGGAGACCGTTGCGCAGCATCGGGCCTAGTCTGTGGGAGAGAATCCTCCCGCTCATGGTTAGGATCACATTCAAGATCAGATGAAATGGAGGGGAGAGAGATCATCCCGAGTAAATCGAGTGCTGACATCAACCTGCGCAAGTGGCCGCATCGTATCCCGTAAAAAGTCGGGTCACGTGGAGATGACGTGCTGTGCAAGGGAAGTGAGGATGCGGGCGTTGAGGGTGATTTGGTCTTGTGTTTTTATTTGGTTTAGATTTTTCTTGTTCTTTCAATCTATTCCAACCCTCGCTGAACTGGTCTTTTTCTCCTGTTGGGCAGCTGTGGCTTAAGTGTACCCATTTCACCGGCCCCGATTATCGGTGACTCTTCTCTGCGCCCGACCCCAAGAACTGGATTCCCTCGTTATCTGGGAATTTCTTCTCTCGGTTTACCTGTCAGATTAAACCCAGGGCTTCTGTTCCAAGTTGGCCAGGTATTCTGGGTTCTTTACATACCAGTTTGGGACTGGACACTGGATAGAGACCAGACATGTGCCGATTGCTGGTGAGATAGACCTGAGAACCACACTTGACAGCAGACTCTAATGTGCCACCTGGCAGATCTACAAAGGCCGAGATGAGATTCGTCTCAGCAAGCTGGTCACCGAGCCAAGCCACTCGATTCTCACGCAGTCCTACGACTCGCGATTAAGACTGGTAGGTTTCCCATCCCAGTGGATCATGGTCTAGTCGCACTATGGCCATCAATACTTTTTTTTAGGAAGCAAGAGAAACCAGCTGACAGCAATCACCAGGATAATCGGCGTCCTGTCAATGGCGACGGCTTCGGGGTTGGTTTCTACACAGACCCCAAACTCGGACCAGAGCCATGCATCTTCACCTCGACGCTGCCGGCCTGGAACTGCGAGAACCTGGAGCGGCTCGCGTCGAAGACCTGCTCCAGCCTCATCTTTGCGCATGTGCGGGCAACCACTGAGGGATCCCTCGCTGATAACAACTGCCACCCGTTCCAGCACCAGACTCTGATGTGGATGCACAACGGCAACATCGGCGGGTGGAATTACGTCAAACGCATGCTGGCAAGCTCGCTGGCGGACCGCTGGTTTATGGGTGTCCGGGGCGGCACTGACAGCGAGTGGGCGTTTGCGCTGTTCCTTGATCTACTGGAGAAGGAGGGCGTTGATCCGAGTGCTGACCCCGGACCCGAGGGATTCGGACAAGCTCTGCTGCGTCGCGTGATGATGAAGACGATTGCCAAGATCAATGAGTTTGTGCGCGAGATCCCTGAAAAGTACAATGTCACCGGGGTCGAGACACGGAGTCTGCTGAACTTTGCCGTGACGGATGGACACACGGTCGTCTGCACTCGGTATATCAGTAGCAAGACCGATGAGCCGGCTAGTCTGTACTTCTCGTCGGGCACCAAATGGAAGGAGGGCAAGACGAAGGGCCACTTCAAGATGGAGCGACATGACAAAGGCGCGGATATTGTCCTGGTGGCAAGTGAACCCATCACTTTTGAACGACGTCAGTGACCTCTTACCCCCGTTAACCCTCTTTCCCCTTCCTCTCATCTTGAATCCAACCGGAAATTCTGACTTCTTCTAGACAACTGGGTGTCTGTTCCAACCAATTCAGTGGTTACCATCCACAAACAGACCGTGTTGCTCCACCCAATCCTAGATGAGTTCTACGGCGAGGACCTGAACCAGGACCGTTCTTCTTGCTACGCCGTATCCAAGGGCCTGGTCAGCACCGCTCCCGGCACCACTGTGCCACCCCAGAGGGTCAATGAACCCTGTGGCTCTACTGCACCGAAGCCCGCCGTCGACGTAAACGGCGTGAATATGGAGAGGCCTCGGCCCAGCCATGCTGCTAAATGTGCCGTGTCACATTGATTCGATGGTTTTTAAGGGAACGATAAAAACAGTTCCTATTGCAAGCATCTGCTTTTGTCGCGGCGTCAGGGAGAAGAAGTCTACAGATTGGAATTTTTGGCACAGAAATTGGCGTAAATGGGAGTTGGGATTGCATGCATTTATTGTCTTTGGAATTTTGGAATTGGCTACCTCAACATAAATTGTTTTCAAGTCAAGACAAGAAGACATGAATTGAAGAACATGATATGGCCTACCTGCTTAGGTTAATAGTCTGCCATGAAAATATAGAAAATCACATCAGCACTTAGCTTCTCAAAACAATAATGGGCAAGGCCCCTGAATCCATGCTCTAATAACCCACTACTGGCTAATGCAAAACATGAGGACTATGTTTACCCTGGGACTCGTCAGTTGACACGATCTTACTGCCACAGCAATCATACATTCCACGAGCTACTTCAACGGTGATAGATAAATCAGCACAGTGTGAGATATTTTGCTGTCTAGTAATCGCCTTGGTAAAGTCTACTTGAAAATGCAAGTTCTGTTTGTTTGTTTGACGGCGTCACAGCTGTATAACAAGATGGGAATGCAACGAGCTATGACAAGCATCGAGTCTAGACGCTCCAACTTTCTAAAAGAAATAAAATCATAATAAGGAAGGTAGCTTGGGCACACCTAGAGTATTACTACAGGTCAAGATTTAATATTCTGTTTTGAGAAAATATTTTGAGTTGACTCCTTGTCCTCTTGGCCTGGTCCCATTGGGTAGATGCCGCTAGGCTTCTAGATGGTGATTTACAAGACTGATTGATAGATTATGTGGTTATATATAGCGATGGTGCTACTTTCTTCTCGATAATCGACTAATTGACTCATCTATTAGGTTCGCTCAACTAAAGAGTGTTCAGGTGAATAGTATAGGGCAATCGGGAGTATAGTTTTAGCTATTTTGATACAGATATGGCTTCGGGAGTCATGGACCACAAAGCAATGGTTTGATAAACCTTTATCCAAGAAGAGAAAAAAAAAGAATGTAATTGAATAGGTTCTAAAGGCTAGGGAAGTGGCAGTCGGCCATGTCCGAACCCACGAGGCTGGGATCTGGGGTAAACGACTCGAGGGCACGGCAAGCTGCGTAGAGGATCAGACACAGCTTTAGCCAAAGAGCGAATGTAGCACGACCGAATAGAGGCCTAGAGCTTTGGGGTCCACCGTAGCTATTTGTTCATGGTTCGATTCATCTATTGTCAGCTCGCTATGCTGGTTCCCGTCAAGGTTCGGCCGATTGGATATGGTTCATCTTGCTGTGGGAAGTTACTTTCATGATGCATTGTTCATGAGCCAGCATGCTAGACAACAGGTCGATAAGGTTATCAATGGTCAACGATAGGCCTTCGTATTGATGGTTTTGAGAGGCTGCATCGCAGAATGACTTTTTGTATTTTGTGGATGCGTGAGCGGTCTTTGGTAGGAGAATTACCCTGCTGAACCTCGAGCTAACCTGCTTCAAGGTATTTTCAAAGCACTTTGGTCCATCATCCAGACAATATTAAGGCGACCAATGAGCAAGGCAAATGGGTGCAAGACAGTTGCCAGTCAAGATCCGAATGAGAAGGCTCATACTTCAGTCATAGACTACCGGACGCGGGCTTGGGCGATCTGACCGCCTTGCAAAGCTCCAGCTAGCTCAGAAATGAAACGTTTTCAAATTCGAGTGGTGGGAGATAGACTATACGAAGTTGCCGGAGAAGGTATGACCGGGATAGTCGGTAGTATTGAAGAGAAAAGAAAATGAGAAAAGAAAACCTGGAAGGCATCAATGACTCTTCACTCGCAACATCAAATGCCACCCATCGATTGGATGATCTCCAATTTCCGAAGACATAATAATCTACCTGAAACCACCTGGGCACCTGAAAGTGAATCGGTGATCTCTTTCGGCCGATGACATAGACCAGTTCACTACCCACGGTCCCAGGCGCTGTTGTGATCCGCCATTCATTCGGAGACCATGAAATGTCTAGTGGTAATGGAAGGAAATGAAGGTTTTCCAAGGTTATCGGGGAGGGGGACAATCCTGCGATGGGTGCCGCATCAACTTTCCTTTCACCCGCCTTGCTCCAAAAAGTAGAATTCCTCGGAATTACTGCGATGTGCATCCGAAGCAGCATGAGGAAAAACAGTGAAAAAAAAAGGGGGGTTCCTCCCGGGACTCTGGCTCGGTTGGAAATGTGCCCAGCACCTCGCCTCGGGTTTGTACCTGGCATTTTGCGATACCCTGCTCTTACTGTACCTCCGGTTGCCAGGGAGGATTATAGTCTTTTTTGGGACCTTTATTATAGGTGGAACAGATCGGCTTAGGAGGAGCGGGTCACTGAGACTGCATCCATAGCTCAGAGCCAGGGATTGACTCTCATCGGATGCGAGGGAAAGGAGATAAAAACGAAAAAGTGGCGGTGATGACCGGATGTGGACGGGAGCAACGGGAATGTGATCCTGGGTGGATTGGGGGGACGCGTTGGTGGACTCCACTGAATGGTCTCAGCTGGGGAGAAGACCAAGCACTAGCAATCAAAACCATGAAAATAATTTTTGTCTATTTTCTATGAATTATATGTTACAGCTCGAGGAAACTCTGGAATGCAGTGTACAACCCTCCCCCTTCCTTCCACATACTGCCACTTCACTTGATATTGGATCTAGAAGGTGTCTTCGTTAGTGTGAATTCTATACTTCTTAGAGGATTCCCTGGTACTCGTAAGGAATTCAAATTAATAAGGAAATCCCGATCTACCTAGGCACTATCTTTACTGGTTCTATTAAATCGAAACAAGCAATCGAATGCAACATTTATTCTTCGTCCCGATTACTTTGGAATTCGTTCTCAAAGTAGAACAAAGAAACATAAAGTAGAAATTGGTAAAGAATAAATGTATAAAGCAACAAACATAAAACCAAAGTACAGATCATTCTTGACTGAAAGTACATCACATGATGATGCATATACCCCCCATCGCGATAACCTCATTCTTCCACCTTCTCAACCTGGTCCCATTTTGTCAAAGGCTATACCAAGTGATTCAGTCCAAGCAACATGACAAATCAACAGTCCAACCAGACCGATAATCCATAACCAGAGAGGTCGAGGGCGACAAGGTTCAACTGGCACACCATGCGCAGGCTCCAAGCCGCTATTGATGAAGATCCAGAGATCGACCTGGTCGAGTAACTGCCTCTAAACTACTCTCGTCGGCTCGCCGAGATCAGAGATCCGAACTACACTCCACCCAGTAAGGATAGATAGCAGCAACTGCGTTACTTGCCGAGATCCGCCTCACTAAGTCGAAAATGAAACCTATCATTTTCAATAGAGAAGCCCCGTCGCCCCAAACTAGCTGATGACGAGGACGATATTCGAGAATCCCTGGACGCAACCACCCCAGCCCAAGTCATTTCCCCACTCTCTGAGTCTGTTTCCAAGCTCCTGGATAAAGTGGCCATCTCGATGGAACTGCAATGCCGCAACGAGCTCTCTGCACGGCTCTGTGAGCTTCTACGAACTAGTGAAACAATGTGGAAGGGCCCGTTTCCTCGCTCGAGGATGATCTTCAGATGCTCCAACAATATTATCGTCAAGGCAATTGCCAAAATGAACGATCATACAGAGTACACCACGTTGCAGTGCCTTGAACATCATCCAAGCATTCCAGCGCCCAAGCCACTTGGTCTAGTGGTCATGAATCGAGTCACTCTGGTATTCATGAGTTCTATGCGGTCAATGACTCTAGGCGAAATTTGGAATTCCCTGGATTCGACCCAAAAATCCTCGATTAGCGACCAATCCTAATACCATCCTCGAGGAGCTAAGGTCACTACCATATTCCGAAGGAACTCCGTTTGGAGGCGTGGGCGGCGAAGGATGTAAAGATATCAGAAAACATCTCCGACATAGCAAGACGCCGATCACGACTCTCGGCGATTTTTGAAAACTTCTTGGGCACAAGTACACACCCTGGGGGGGGGGGGGGGGGGGGTGTATTTCTGGACTTGCTTCGTCAGCTATCCCCATCAACGGTGGATTCAGCAACCCGGATTGTGTTCACGCACGGCGACCTCAGACCGGACAATATTGTTGTGGAGGTTACCAATAACAATTATTATGTGGTTACGGGCATCCTGGATTGGGAGTACAGTGGGCTTCTATCCGCAATACTATGAGTCTTCCCGGTGCACGAACTGTTTAACGCCTTACGGCAAAGATGATTGGTACTTGCATCTGCCGGATTGTGTCTCGCCTAGGCATTATGCTCAGTGGTGGCTTCTTGATCGAGTCAGGGAATTGAGGGTTTATTAGCCAAGTTGCTAGGCAGATTGTCTAGGGAGCTGGAATATATATTTGTCGCATGGCCAAATTCCTAAATCAAATCTGGACATGGATAATACGTGGTAGTAGATTTATATCGTTGAAGATTATAAATATGAAAGAACATAAAGTAGGTGTCTGTTGATAAATGATCAAATAAATAATGAACTTCATAAGGAATAGGACTACAACCCAAAGCTCACTGCAAACAAGCAACCGTAGGAGTACAACATCCATAGACAAGCCAGTCGCAGAGAGCAGCGAGGGGTGAGCACTAAAACCAAAAGGGAAAGCAAAAAGAAAGCAAAAAAAACACCCCTACATAGGTCTAAGAGAAGGCAGTTGTCCCCAGCAACTAGCCGAATCAAATAAAAAGCATGTACACATCGTGCCCGGGTGGTACAGTAAGTATTCTTAGATCCTTGGTGGAAGCGTGATGACCCAGACTCGATGATGTGCTCGGACGCATCCAACCAAAAGGCTACGCACGATCCATGATATCAATGCCCCCGATCAGACACTCAGACAATCAGACAAAGAGTGTCTGGGTGTCTGGGTGTGTCTGTGTCGGGTGAGGGGTGGATGCGCCTCCTTTGGCCCCTGCAACCCGGGCTGAAGCCGCGTGGTGGATGTCGATAGTCGATACGCTGATTAGTGTCGGTGTCGGTGTTGGGTCTGTCTCAAACAAAGCACTTCCTACAGTATGTATGGATGTGGATGTATGTATCCCCCCCGCCTTGTTTTGTAATGTGCTCACCTGGGTCGAGCCACCTGCACATCCGCAGTCGAGTGACTTGGAAGAAAGAAAGAACATAAAAGAAAAGAGAAGAAAAGAGTTGTCTAGACCTTTTTAGATAGACCAACCCCCCGGCAAATCCCCCCGGCAAATACATAGTACCCAGTACTGTAGTATGAGTACATAGTGCGCCATGTACTATGAATACTATAAACAAAAAGACGCCCCCAAATAAGCGAAACCATCGACCAGGATTGTGGCCCAAGTGGAAGGCCTGACCTCGAGATGGATCCTTTGTTTTTCTCTATGTATGTACTGTACATGTATACAGGATGTGCTGGAGCTCGAGTCACATCGATCCATCGATCCATGAATCCATGAATCCATGAGTTGAACGCCCCTGCGGAGGCAGAGCTACAATAGAGAAAAGCAAGAAACTAAGAAAAAAAAAAAATAAGGAAAACGAAAACGAAAACCTTCCGTCCATGTCCGTAGCACCAGATGATTGGGGCGATCGCTTTTATTTTTTTTATTTTTCTTTTACCTTTCATTCTCGATGTTTCCGTCAATAATCCTTGGAAAGAGGGTGGATCGCAATGACGCCAGGAAGAAATAATACGGGGAGGAGGGGGCAAGGAGCCTCATACCGAGCCGAAGGTTGTGAGAGAGGTCAGTAGTAGCTTCGGGCGCAGCTCCAATCCAACGAATAATGTTGTAATTGCCGAGGTGGTACGTTTTTGGGGCCAAAGAGGGTGGATTTCAGGTGATAGGACAATGTGATATTGTACTTTTTTTGGTTTAATTCTGGGTTATTTTTTATTTTATTTTTATTGTTTTATTTTTGGGTTCTATGTTGTTTACTTCAATAGTAACAAGTAACTACAGGTAGAGAGAGAGAGGGAGGGAGGCATTCTTTCCCTGGGATTCCGGACCCAGCAAGGATGTAGGCCAAAGGAAAAAGAAAATATGAAAATGCAAGGAGCCTGGCTGGGAAATACGGCAAGGTGGTCAACGGGGTTCACGTCCGAGTCGGTGTGCAGCATAAGTAGATGGACTAAACAAGAACCAAAGAGAATAATCCTAAATAAAAAGATAATAATAAAACTGGGACTGCGAGCGAGACCAAGGCATGGGAAGTTGATGCCGGGCACCGAGCCCCGCCCGGCGATGAAAGATGAAATGATGATCCAACAGAGTTCAGTAAATAGAGAGAAAGACAAAATAGAGAGAGAGAGAGAGTAACTGATCAGCTTCAGCTTTGCCAGGTTTGATCAACTATACAACCATAGATACCGAAGAAAATGAACCAGAACTCTATAAAACCAAGGAGGTAAAGCATGCAAAGTCCCACGGAATATTGGCCCGGTACATGGATTATGGACTATGGACTATGGACTTATGGAACGTTGGAGAGAGCCTAGCACCCAGCATTTCCGCGTGCATAGATTCCTTTAGGGTGTATTACTTTTGGAGGCTCCACGGAGTATCACCGTCTGCATGCACCAAATAGTCGAGTGTCGAACCTGCCTATGACCCAAACGATCATCGGGATCCTGACTTCTACAGGGGGTGAAAATGAGAGATTAGTATTTTACACTCTCATGTTGAAGTCATAAAAAATTCTATCTTTCTTTTATTGTCTTTTTTGCTTTTTTTAACTTCGAGTATCCATGAGGGTGGTCCTTGTGACGGTCGATTCCGTCTTGCAGTGTGGCACTGTACACGAGCATCTCACGACTCTTAACTCATACCTACCGAGAAAAAAAAATAGTAATAATAAGTGCGGCACGGATGAATCGGGGTGGAGCATGAAAATGTATGGGTGAGAGAAAGGATAGTATGCAGCGGTGACTCTTATCTCTCCGAGGTTGAAATGAAGCTCGCCGCAACCGGGAATTACGGAGTGGCAACGTGCGGGTGAGAGGCATGGAACATTTCGCCTCCTTTTTTTTTTTCTTGGTCCCACCGGATCGATGGAGATGGTCGCGCGTACACCCCCCAGTAATTTTTCATGAATTTGGTTGGCCACTCATGGCCAAGCTGAGGGAGTGTAGATCAAGAGAGAGAGAGAGAGAGGGTTAGGGGGGGAAAGAAGAGCAGGGAGGGGGGAAAAGCCCCGGTCGGAGAGGGATTCGAAAATGGGAAAACGCGCTAAATGGAGAATAGAGAGAGCCCCATGCGAGAGAGAGAGCTGACTCTTACACGGCTGGTGACCGCGTCCTCGCGCGTTAACTCCACGCTGTTGTACCAAAAGAGTGGGAGAGAGGGGCGATAATCTTTCTTTGCTCCAATAATCAAGGTGCCCAGAGCATAAAAAAAAGGAAAGAAAGGAAAAATGAAAGAAGAGAGGAGAAAAAGATCTATTTGCCCAACTAGGGCATGGATCGTCTCGATGAAGTATGACACAGCTATACCTTCATGGCCCAGTCATGGGCCTTTGACACATCTCCATCTCTTTTTATCTGGGGTTCTGGAAACACGGCAAGGAAATTGAAATTGACAGGAAAAAAAAAAAAAAAAAAAAAAGAGAAACCCACACCCTCGAGACATACACGCACACCGTGGCGGTGGCTCAGAACCCGCTCCAAGAGCCAAAAAGAGCCAAAGAAAAAGAAAAGAAAACAAAAAAAATGGAGCCTGACGAGTCGACTGGGATCTTTTTTGCCTGCTCTCCTTCTCTCTCTCCATCGACTCCATCCACACTATGGTCTACCGGGTCAACCGACTTTTGACCGAAAGACAATCATAATCACCACGCCGTGATTTGCGCCCGCCAAGATCTCAAGTTCATGCTCTGGGATCAGCTCCTTTTTCTTGCCTAGTTTCAGACCACTTTTTTTTCGGTGGCGGGAAGAGAACCAAGTTTCACCCTCGGTCTTTGTCCTTGAAGGCAGATAGATAATCAATCATGTTCTGTATAGGACGTATACTCCTTACCACTTAATACTATTGCTATGATGGATATACTCTAGATTATTATCTTATTGCATAGCCCCGTGTGAGGTTTTCTCACCAGGTGACATAGGACTAGGATTTGTCTATCACTTTATTACATCGATTCAGCAGTCTGCGTGAGGTCGTGTGCATATTTCCAGATCACTTCCTGGGGGGCGTTAGGGGGAGAAGTGGCCTCGCATTCGAACCACAGATCCAGGATGCGGCCCACGTCGCAGCTCAAGATGAAAAAGAAAACAAAAAGGAGCATGCACTGGATCACAAGTGCAACTACCTTACGTTCCTTCTAGATGGGTCTGTAATTCTGTAACTCGGGTCTCTGGAGTGAAACGACCATCGTGACCGGTTCCAACTGGGGGCGCCTGGGCAGCAACCGGGTCTCTCCCCTAAAGACGTTCTGGTTTTTACAAGCGCTTGGACGCAGATAATCATCAGTGATATCGCCAGCTGAAAATAATCCCAACTAAACTAAACTGGATTAAGAAAAATTGGATCCAGAGACGGGCGAATGAGAATGCGACCATCACTAGTATTTTAGGATTATTTTTTCGCTTTGGCCTTGGCCCCAATGGAAGGGAGACGCTTCTTTCCCTAAACAGTTTGGGAACTATCAAACTGGCCCATATGGTGCAGTTGCATTTACTCTCTTTCCCCCCTGAATCTTACAAGAAACGGGCAAGTCGTCCGATGAGAAACTTTACTTACTACTGTGTACATACGCCGGTGGGCTGATTGCAGAAAGAGAGAGGGGATGGAAGCGGCTGGGATGGACGATCCAGGATTTTTTTTTTTTTTTTTGGAGACAGGGTAATTCGGAAAATACTCGAGATGGACCACATATGAACCAATCAGATGGCATTGATGGGCGGCTAACAGCTTGGACCATAAGCCATGCCCACTATAGAGGTCGGGGCGTACGTGATTAGTCATATCACCGTGGACGTCGCACATTCTGGATGACTCAGCCAGGCAGCAATTCTGACGATCAGACTCGCTCTTTATCCCTGGACTCTCCATGACTGGGCCAGTGATCGTCACTCTCTTTTTCTCTTTTCTCTTTTTCCTTTTTCCTTTTTCTTTTTTTTTTTCTACGTGGCAGGGGAACTCCGTTACCAGCCTTTTTCATTTTTAATTTTTTTTTTTTTCACCATTCCTTTGCTTTCCACCCGGTGACGACTCCAACGATCAGCCACCGCAAAAAGCTCACCCCGTTCGCCTTCCGGCCCCTTCTCTTTGTGCAGGCGCACATGCTTGCTCACAGCCCATACTACATACTACATACATACACGGTCTTAACTCTAGGGATCATCCAGTTCACAAGTATTGTAGTATTTTAGTATTGTACTGAAAAGGAACACCACTCTACCCGACTTATTATTGGATCCAAAATGGGGGTCACCACTCGACCTCCTTGAACCCGGTCTTGGATCTGTCCTCCGGGGTCTGAACTTGTCTTTTTTTTTTTTTTCCCCTCTCCCTTTCACTAGTCTAACACACTACGGACTCAGTTATCCTCCGCCCTACTCCGCCTAGGGCTTCTGAGCCCGGGAGAGAGCCGTAAAACTGCGACCTACCTTTTCTAGGGTATCCACTTGTGACCCCCCCCGTCGCTCTGACATCAACCGGTATTTTCCCTCTTTTTTTTTTGTATTATTCTTCTAGTTATTTAATGATTTAATTATTAAATTAAATATTATTATTATTTTCTCAGACAATCAATCTAGATTGACCAAACTGGAACCCAAACGAGCCCCAGAAAGGAGGATCAGCCCTTTGGACCTGCGTCCGGACCAAACTCTGCTCTCTCCGGGTCTGGCGACTCCCTTTTGGGTCCTTTTTTTGCCTTTTGGTAGTGATGCCTTGACTTCATCCTTCTTGGTTGGATTGGATTGGATTGGATTTTATTCTTTTTTTGTCCGGTTTCCACTCAGCTGTGAACGATCCTCTTTTCCTAATTTAATTTATTAATTTCTTTTTTTTAAACCCTCTTTTCCTCTTTTTTCCTTTTGGGAAGTGGAGTCTCTTTAGATGGAGCCGGATCTCTCCTAAAAAGTCCACTATATCGTGGCTCTTCTACATATACATCATCTATGGCCCCTCTGCAGTGCGAAAGACTATATCGTGTGTTCTGACTTGAGCCTCTGTTCTCTTCACAACTCGAGCTGTGATTTCACCCTGGACTCCCTTTCCTTGCTCCTTGATTGCCTTCATTCCAATTGGACTGGGATCGACCTGGAGAAGTGAATCTCAACCTATATAGGGACCATGGATCACTGACCGGCCATATTTCACCGACGCCCTTTTGCTGATTACTCTTTTTGCTCTTCTTTCTATTCTACTTGATTTGCTTCTGATTCGATTGTTTTCACACCCCGCCAAACAACAAAACCCTAGCAAACCCACGCCCATGTGTCGACTTGCCTCTCTTCCTCTACACTTCTTCTATCCTTATGTCTTCCCCAGCTCTGGGCTCTCACTCTTCCTCTTCCTTCACCCCAGTCGACCGGACCCAGGCCTCTCATTTCAACCTTGCTGAGACCTCGGGTTCTTGCTGGACTGCTCCCTTCCGGGACGGTCTGCCTACTCCTCCCAGCGACATGACCGGCGTGACCTACAATGCCATTCCACCCGTTGCCTATGGAGGGAAACCAAATGGGATGCCCCATGTGTATCCCCACACTCGTCCTCAGTTCGACTCTTTCTCTTCTTCGATGATGCCGGTTCGGAAACCGCAGGCCCATTCTGCCCCCAAGGATGTCCCTGCCTCTGAGCCCTCGAGCTCCAAGAAGTCGAGTACTGCTTCACAGCTGCGGATTCCGTCGTCGATCAACAATACCCATGGGAGTCTGGCCGAGTTTGCGGCTCAGGTGAGCATTCTCTGAGATGGTTCAGGTTGTTGGGTTGGTTGAAAGGAAGCTAACGTTCTCGGCTTCATAGATGACCTGTCTGTTCTGGTTCGAAAAGACATCGAAACTGCAAGCCATCGAAAACCGTCAACATCCTGTTCCTTCGCTCGTCGCCGAAGCGATTCCCTCGGTTGGATTCCAGAAATGGGTGACCACGATTCTGTCGACCACGCAGGTCAGCCAGAACGTGATTCTGCTGGCTTTGCTGTTTATCTACCGATTGAAAAAGTTCAATGCGGGGGTCAAGGGCAAGAAAGGTAGCGAGTTCCGGTTGATGACGGTGGCGCTGATGCTGGGCAACAAATGTGAGTTTCTTTCCCTCGTGATGTTGATCTCGAAAATCGGTTGCTGACTCAGCACCAGTCCTCGACGACAATACCTACACCAACAAGACGTGGGCCGAGGTGTCAGGCATTGCGGTGCAGGAGATCCATATCATGGAGGTGGAATTCCTCAGCAACATCCGCTATGACTTGTTTGCCTCCAAGGCGGAATGGGGCCGGTGGCACACCAAGCTGGGCCTCTTCGCCGACTACTTCAACCAGGCCTCGATGCTGCCCGTCGAATCCGAGATCAAGACCCCCATACTGCATGTCTCGCCTCCTCGTCCGCAGCCCCAGTCACCATTGTCCAAGCTGCCCTCTCCTCCCTCCGACTCGCTTCGCCCGCCCTCGCAGCCTGACTGGTACATGCCCGTCCATGGACTGCCCTACACTGCTCCCCCGCCCCAGCTGGGTGTTGAGCCGCAGTCAACGTCTCGGAAACGGAGCCGTGATGAGGACGATGAACTGCATCCCATGAAGCGGATTGCCCTGTCGACCCCCAGCTCTGCCGGTCCCGCCATGACCGTCCCCTCGACCATGAACACCATCCCGACTCTTCCACCCGTCTTGACCCCGACCTCTGCCCCGACGGTCCCGGCACCAATGGCCAGGCCCATTTCCCGGCTACCGCGCCCCAACATCCCTCCGTCCTCCAACCCGATGCCCCAGACTCTACCTCCCTCTGGAGTTTCTCAACTGCCAGCCCTGATGCCCCCGGTCTACAACCGGCCATCGAACTGGGCTCCGCAGATACCCTCGGTCCCCGCCCCGCCCGTTGCATCAGGACTGTACAACACACCGTCGCTGCCAAACCGACACCACCCGAGTCCCTTCGGCGTGTCCTCGGGTACAGTGTCGCCAGCCGTGTCTGCGTACGCGGCGCAAACCCCGCAGACGCATCTCTCCCCGTCCTTCTTCCTGGCCAACCGCAACTCGCCCTACCGGCCCGTGCGCTCTGTCCATACGCTCCTGATTCCGCCGCCGTCCACCTCCCTGCAGCAGCAACGCAGCGTGCCCTTCGACCACATGCACTACCAGCCGTTGGGCAAGACCTCGGCGGACCGCAAGACGGGCCTGCTGCCTCATATTCAGCCTGATGCCTGGAGCCAGGGTCCCTTCCTTCACCCTATCTATCCTCCTACTCAGAGCTTCTCTGGTTGAAGAGCTTCTTCCTATTTTTCCCCATTACTCTCCTTCCGTTTTACGATTTTACCGCGTCACGAACCCATCTCACGAGAGCTATCTCATTCACTGTACATCCTTTCCTCTATTGTCTATCCCTTTTTCTTTCTCTATCTCTCTTCCATTCCTTCATGTACAGAATTATCGCTTCATTTTTTTTGGCATTTTGCTTGGCGTTCCATTTAGAAGGGTTGCTGTGGTGTGATATTTTGCTTATTCGCATCCTCGGCCGTTGTTGCTCCTGCATTCGCATGATAGGGCGTTTTTATTTTAGCAGACTCAAATTTGCATGTCAAGAAACTAGATTTCTTTCTTATTTATGCCTGGCACCTTGTAGCATGTACTTCGTATCCAGGCTCACGGAACATAAGACTACAGCCATTCTTGAAATGGCTTGCCTTGACACTTTGCATGGACAAGACTTTGGAGTCTACCTGGTCTAAAATATGGCAGAAATTTGCGTAAAATGTTTCGAGTGCGCGAATATATTGCAAGTAGGGTTTTGAGCGTGAACATGTACTTGTTTGCACCCAAGAAAGATGCTAGCTTTAGTACAGATCTTTTTGAAACTATACTTGCATAAATAATAATTCCAATAAAAAGCAGAGTAAACAGAAAACCTGAAAACACAAAATGAAGAAAGAAACAGAAGACGAAGATTCTTGGAAGCGTACACAGTCCAGTCTCCCGGACCAAAATTCCTCCGCCCCGACCGGGAAGAATCTCGACACTCGAACAATTCCAGCAACCAGCAACGTCTTCGGACAGACACACATACACACAGCTCCAGTCTCTCACCATGACCCCCCGGCTCATGGGGCTGCCAATCCAGCTGGCCACCCGGCCCTTTCAGCAGGCCTCACCACTGGCCTTCCTCCTGCCGCAATTCCAGCCAACTCGTCAAGCGCACATCCTGGCCTCGCTCTCCGACAACCCCTCGGCCTACAACAAGCGCATCCGGCGAGGTCGTGGTCCGGCCTCGGGCAAGGGTAAGACCTCTGGACGAGGACAGAACGGTCAGAAGCAGCATGGAAAAGTCCCCGCGCACTTCAATGGAGGACAGACGCCCGATGAGGTGGTGCATGGCGAGCGTGGAGGGAAGAATCCGTACGTTACTGCATCCTTTCTTCGACTTCTCCTCTTTCCCTTCCTTTTCGTATTCTAATTGCTTCGTCACTTTCTTAGATTCTCCGTCGAAATGGCCCCTATCAACCTCAACCGCATCCAGGAGTGGATCGACCAAGGCCGCATCAGCGCCGCGCACCCGATCACCGTCCGCGAACTGACCCAATCGCGCTGCATCCACCAGCACAAAGATGGCGTCAAGCTGCTCGGCGGCAACGACAGCGGCAGCGAAACTGAGTCCACACTGAAGCAGCCCATCCACCTGGTCGTGTCGCGGGCATCGGCCTCCGCCATCGCCGCCGTCGAGGCCACCGGCGGCTCCGTGACCACGCGCTACTACACGCGCCGCGCCATCGAGCTCATCATGAAGCGCGAGATCCACCCGTTCCTCTCCCGCGCCTGGTCTGCCCAGGCCGCGCCCGAGCCGCTTCTGCACGCCGCCGCCGACAATGCCGTCGACCCGGACCAACAACAACAACTAGCAGACTCTGTCTTGCCGCCCCCTGGTTTCCGTTACCGTCTGCCGGATCCCACTCGCCGTCGCGATATCGAGTATTATCGTGATCCTGCGCACCGCGGATATCTGAGCCATCTGCTGAAGCCTACCGAGGGTCCCAGTTTGTTCTTCCGCTCGCCTGAGGACCGGAAGATGACGGCTGGTTCGAGGAAGGAGAAGGTCTTGCCTGCGAACCGTCTCTGGTAGTGCTCTTTCTTCTCTTCTCTTTTCTTTTCTCTAGATTTCTTTTGTTGGTCTCTTCGGTTTCCCGCCTGGCTGTCAGAGCGTCTTCTGTGTTGGATCTGTTTGATCTGCCTGCGCCAGCCTTCCTGTACATTGTATCAATAGCCCCAATATGTCCCTCATCTTTAGCCTATGTCAAAGAAATTACTTTTTCGCCTTATGTATGCCCCTCTCAAGAATACTTGAATGGTCAATCCTTGGATTGTATTGACAGCAAACCGCATAAAGTGTTTCTTCTTGTACGCCCGGATGAGCCGGTCACCCAGACAAAAGAAAGAAAATCATGTAGATAGAGCAGAGAAGACATTGACAGAAACGAAAAACAGAAATCCACGGATATAATATAAGTACAGCAGTAGCAAAAATGGCCCGGGCCAATACAAGAAGAAATAGCAATTTAGAAAGGAACAGAAACAAAAACGCCGTGCTTGCTGCTCCCGCGTATAACATTGTCAATCATAAACCGTCTCGTCATATCAAATCTCAGCCTCGAGATGTAATGCCGGCAGAGGATATGTGGAGTAGATCCCAAAACCAAATGAAAAGAACCAAGAAAGAAAAAAAAAAGAACATGCTGGTAATTTCAAAAATCGACAAGAAACGAAACGAATGGGTATCATCGTGATTCAAAGGTTCCAAAAACACCGGCACTCGTAATTCGTGGCAGCGCCAGAGTAAAGAAAGGACCATCACAAGAGGAAAAGAGAAAAAAAAAGTGTCGCGTCATAATCTGAAGGCCCGTCTATCCCATAATGTCGTGCAAGGGACGCGGAGTGGAAACGAATGTCGAGTGTAAACTGGGAGAGGAAAGAAGGCAGAAGAGCCGAAAAGAGGACGAAGGATCTCAAAGCTTCCACGCGCTTTCAGGAGAACTCTCCTCGGCGGTTTCGGCAACTTCCCGAAGCCAGGAGCATGATAGAATATCACGGATGGTCCACCGCTTCTCCATGTCCATTTCCAGACAACCCTTGATCAAGTCCAGGGCATCCTGTCGGTCTTTCCGAAGAACATCATCAGCGACTTCGCCTAGCACGGCATCGTGATTCCAAATGCCAGCGAGGATGTTTGACTGAATGCGGGGAGCAAACGAGTCTTGGAATGGTCGCGACCCGACCACAACCGTGAAGACGATGACGCCAAAGGCCCAAATGTCGACTGATGGTTGGATGACGCCGCTTGTCGAATTCAACAACTCCGGGGAGGCGTATTCCAAACTGCCCGCAACGCTTGTACTGGAACCGGCTGGGCCCATTTGCTTGAGAGGCGGGCGGTCTGCGACATCGTCGTATGGATCCGGGGAGTCGCCGCCATTGTCAGTGGTCATCCATTCCGCCATTCCAAAGTCGCAAAGAACGAGAGTCGAAGATTTCGTGCCGTTGCTTGTTTCGACGGGATCCAGGAGGCAATTTTCCAGCTTGATATCTCGGTGAACCACTCGAGCATCTTCGTGCAAATAACGAATGGCGCAGGCCAGCTGGTAGGAGTATTTCTTGGCGAGAACTGGATCCAGCCCACCGCGGTTCTGGCGGACCAGGTCGAACAGTGTGCCACCGATAGCAAGCTTAGTGAAACAGAAAGTGGCGAAATCCGTTTCGTATACGGCATCGAGCGTCAAAACATGAGGGTGGCTGAGATACCGCCAGACTCGGACCTCGTGGTCAAATTCGGCTTGCACTTCGTCGTTTTCTTTTTCACTTCGTCCCGTCACATTTTTGCGAACAACTTTGACAGCAAGCCGTTTGGTGGCGCCATGCTCTTCCACCTTGTAGGCCTCTTTCACCGTGCTAAAACCTCCAAAGCCGATCTGCTTTCCCAGAACATAGTCGGTACCAACCATCTGCCCTTCGTCGTCTGGTTGAGAAACTGGTTCCTCAGGACCAGTCCACATAGAGAGAAACATGCTAGCGGGTGACTTTCCGCTAGAGGCTGTGGATCTACGAGAACCATGCCGCGTAGAGGTACGAAGGCTGCTGCTACGATCGAGCGTAGAGCTGCGTGACTTGCTCCCAAAAGGAGTAGTAATACTTCCAGACCAAGAACTGCGATCTTCGGGTGATGCAAAGGGTTGAGTCGGTGATGTTACACACAACGGCGACAGTATATCTTTTCGATCGGGCGGAGTTCGTAGTTCGTCCATGGTCGGAGATGCGGTCGACAGCGACGTCAGGGAGGTCGGGTGGTCGAGCTCCGAGCCCAAAACTGAATCATCCTCAGGGCTCACAACAGATCGCGCTCGGGAGGTTCTGGTCGGAAAGCTCCGCTGATCCTGGGTCTGTTTGGGGCTCGAGCTCCAGGCTCCAGGCTTGGGATCAGCCGGGTCGTCGTCTTGTGAGAGTGCGTTTCGAAGCCCAGAGCTCCGTGACTCGAACTTCTGGGGTGGGCGATCCTTCACATCCCCTTTCGCCAGTGGCTCTTCCAGTGGACGTTGACGACCGGAATCCAACGAAACATTGGGGCTGAAGGTGATGGACGGACGACGAGACTGAAGATAGTTGTCGAGCGGTGACCCTGGGACATCTTCCGGCTTGTGAGGGAAACTGACGTCGCCCCTAGAGCGGTCATCTGAGCGTGGAACCGAGATGGGCGGCGTCGCTGAATGGAGATCACTTAACACACTGTGGTCTTCATCAGTATCGCGGCAGCGCGCGTTGTAGTCATGGGATATGTTGGTGTGGTCGCTCTCGATACCATCTCCATCTGATGTCGTTCCCCTCCCTCCATCTTCATGCATCCATCCAGATTCCTCACGATGAAACGAAGTCTCAATCTTCAAGTCTGCCAGTCCGTTCCTCTCGTCAAACGCCATGCCCCTGGAAAGAGCGTGGTTGGGAATCTATTTGGTGGTGCGAGCCCGAAAAAGGCTTGCAGTTGGGGTAAAAGAACCCCCCCTGCTGGTTTGTGTTGATGTATTTTCGAGATGGTTGGACGTCAAGGACAATTGTGGGGTAATAAGCGTTTGAAGCGGGGTTTGGGTGTCTGTTATCGCACGGAGGATGTAGAGTTATTGAAAGTGAAAGTCAGAGGTCGTGGGCGGGGTACTGAGATGAATATTGTTTCTGGTGGCAAATATGGGGTTTGGTAGTCAAGGGTGGAGGTACAAGAGAAATCAAAAACGAGGGATTCGCCAGTCGCAAAAGATGAGGGGAGGTCGGGTGATAACGGAACAGACGAAAAGCATCGGATGGAGTCACATGATCGTCATCATTTGCAGCCCTGAGCCCTACACGCTCAATCGGGATTTCAGGGGCTCGGGATTAGCCGCGCGCAAGGGGCGCTTGTTTAAAAGCACCTCCTTTTGGTCCCTTTCGAGTGTCTGGGGATGTCCAGTCCTCATGGGCCCGATTCTTGATTCTCTTTGGTTTAATTTCTTTTTCTCTTTGATGTCGCTCTGGCAGTAATTTCTTTTCTCCCTCGCGCTTTCACCCGTTCCCAACCTCCGTACTGTGGAAGCGCAGACCAGCCCCCGCCATTATTGACGAGGCGCAGTCTTTCTTTGACGGCAACCTGTCCAGTTCTGGAACTCTCTGAAGATCCAATTCCTTGCGCTTTGAACTCGATCAGGCCTCGGGTGCTCTGTGAGCGATTTGCGCGAACTTTTTGACCGGCGCTTTTTGGTTCGAGGTCCATGTTCCCAATTCAACCGTCGCTCCTTGCACCTAAAAGTCCTGTGTCACTCGTCTACCCGTTGAGATTACGTTCATTTTATAAGGAAGCAACAACATGACAAGACCTCAAATTATCCGAGCGGGTGCGTTTTTATGCCCCCCCCCCCCCCCCTGATACCCCAATGCCAGTTGGCCCACAGTCGAAATGCTGACCGCTATATCTCAGATACCTTGGATCTCCAAGATCACGATACGCCTTCGGCCAAAGACCATTCCAGACAACCCGAACACCCAACTCCTCTCGGGGGCGGCCGGCCTGCTCCCCACCAGGAGTTGTCCATTCGCCATGCGGACAAAGATTCGAAGTCGGCGATAAGGGGCGGTCCGGGCTCCGACAGTGGAGTAGACATGTATGGAGAGCCAGAGGATATGGATGATGACTTGGAGGGTACCCAATATGAGCACGAAGACGGCGATCTGGCGGACGGCGAAAGCGATGATCTATTGGACGACGATCTGATGGACAAGATCTCGAGCTCTCCATCGATTGACGACGGTACGTATTGTTTCAGCTGAAATTTGCTATTTCTTGGGGCTCGTCTCATACTAGGCAGAGGATATCGACTTCGAATTCGTTTACGCGCTCCACAATTTCGTCGCAACGGTCGATGGGCAAGCCAATGCTGCCAAAGGCGATACTATGGTGCTTCTTGACGACAGTAATAGCTATTGGTGGCTTGTCCGTGTGGTAAAGGATGGGAGCATTGGTGGGTTTAATGCCTCCAATATCACGAGGATGTTGCTGATCACAACCAGGCTATCTGCCCGCTGAGCACATCGAAACCCCGACCGAAAGACTCGCCCGATTGAACAAACACAGGAACGTCGACGTAGGTGCACCTCTACCTTGTTGTTTGAACCAGGATCTGACCCAGATAGCTCTCTGCGACCATGTTAGGCGACAACTCGGAGAAGTCCAAGAATCCTTTGAAGAAGGCTATGCGCCGGAGGAATGCGAAGACCGTTAATTTCACGGCCCCAACATACATCGAAGCATCAGATGTCGAGTTTTCTAGCGACGATGATTCCGAGCACGGCGACTTTTTCAACGATGACGAAACTGTTGATGGGGAGGAGGAAGAATCGCAAGAAGCGAACGAAGATATTGTCGTGGAACCTCTCCGACCCAAAGCACAAAAGGACAAGCCTGTGGAGCAGACAGAAAGCAATGGCTTGCAGGAAATTCAGGAGCCAGAACATTTGAACTCGGAGCCACGTCGGTCTAGTGAAGAATTCTTTGACCCAGAAGGTAAGAGGACTTAGTATTATTGCCTCTGTGCGATACCTGAAACTAACATTCTCGGGAACAGAACCATCCGTCAGTCGGTCCAGAAACGGCACTGTACGGAACACGGATTCTTTCTTCAAGGACGATACCGCCGAGCCGAAGAAGATTTCCCTGACACCAAATCTGCTACGTGAGGAGCAGGGCGGCAATTTGTTGACTGAGGTGAAAGAAGTAAGGTTCTCATAGAACGCTTGTTGAGTAATCACTGACTTTTATAAAGGAGCGCGGGAGCTTCGAGACCATCGATAAAGCGTCAATTCCCCAGGAAAAAGCCAAAGAGGACAAGAAACGCAAAGACAAGAAGCCAGGGATGCTTAGTGGGCTGTTCAAACGCAAGGACAAGAAGAGCAAAGCAACCGACGATGACTTTGAGGAGCCAGAGAAGTCTCCAGCGGAGTCAACCTTCCGAGCCTCGCCGCAACCGAAAACCTCCATGGATTCTCTGGATTCGCGGTCTTCTAAGCCTCAACGCCAGCCTAGCAATAAACTGCAGAAGCAGCCCCCCATGTCTCCTACGAAGGTCGACCCACAGGTCGACCCGGCAATTGCCCAGCCCGCTAAGGACACCGAAGTCATGCACCGCAGCCAGAGTGACCAATCTATTCGCCAGGTGACAGCGCAAGGAGTAGGTAACTTGGAGAACGGCCGGGGAACTGTGACTTCTCCTGTGTCATCCCCCATTAGTCCAACAAGCCCAAGAGAGACTTTCGCTACTCCTGCCGAGTCAAGGGATTCATTGGCGTCCCCGGTCGAGCGACCATCGAGCGAAGCGCAGTGGAGAGGGGGCTACGATTCCTCTGCGCGCACCACGCCTGTACAGCCTTCTGTGGCATCTCCGCCCCAGAAATTTATCCCCAAGCTAACAACCAACCCCCGCCCCCCGAATCGGAGTCTCCGGTTAATGTCTCGCCCGTCGGGGCACCGGGCCTGACGATGGACGCATCGCCTAGGGCGCGTTCTGTCTCTCCAATCTCGCCACCGTCGTCTCCCGAAGTGGAACAGGCCATGCTCAAGGGCAACGAGGCTACCCCTGGGTCGGTGGACACACCGACCTGGAGTGACGCTAGTTTACGATCATACCTCGACGAAGAAAACGATATTCGTGATCTGTTCATGATTGTCCATGACAAATCAAATGTTCCTCCCGCTGGCCCCGATCACCCTATTACCGGTCGTTTGTTCAAGGAAGAAAGCAAACGGCTCAAAGAGATGACCAACCAGCTTGACGAAATGCTTGTGGGTTGGGTTTCCCAGCGGGCCAGGCAGTCGACTCCGATGCGAACCCTGCAGAGTCCCTCGACATAGTGACTTGGGTGTATAGTTTTCCTTCGCACGTCTATCTCTGGATATATGCATGGCTGAATCACTGCGATAGCGGCCCGGGAAGGCTGTGGATGTGCTGGGCACATTCATTTTTGGCCGGCCCCTGTTCTTTCTTTATTTCTTTGCCCTGTGTCGCCTTGACGTTCGCTCAGTGCACTTTCTTTTTATTTTCCTTCGATTGACTCAGCCAGCACTCTATTGCATTTGATTGTTTTGTCCATCTTTTTTCTTTTCTTTTCATCTTTTTTGGTTTGTCGGAATACCCCGAGTCCGTGTTTATTTAGTTTACTTGTCGCCCTGGGGAGACATGACGCAGTTCCATCTCTGTTTCCAAGTTTATTTTGATTCCTTGTAACCTGAAGTTTATACCTAGGCATATTAGTAGGGTGACCCTCCTTGAGACAGCTCCATGGGGATGGTGATTGGTGGTTCGTACATTCCACTGCAAGACCGAGGGTCGTGCGAGCAGGTCACCCGCGCCATGATGTATGGACTTTTGCGATCATCCGACCACCACCGGTAGAGTAGATCATATTGAGATAAGAAGCAGTCTTTTGCCATGTATGGTTTCGCAAACACCATGGCAGACCCGTACAACCCATACTCTTCATACTCCACGCCCACCCCGGGCGGAGTCAGTTACTATCTCCCCGAGGATCAACATCCATACCCTATGTATCCACCACAGCCAGACTTCCATGTCTCTGAGCCCCAGCCGAGCTCGTATCACCCGTACCACCTCGCGCCGGAACCCTACCACGGCAGCATGCCGGAGAGGAGTTACACGCCGGTAGGACAGCCAGACTATCTCGGCCCGGTTGTCACGGCCGGGACTCCGTCTACTCCGGGAAAAGTCCCAGAGAATTTAGGGTACTAGTAGGTGTTTTGCTATTCTTATCAGTTTCTCTCCACAAGCTGTTATTTTTTCGAGAAATATGTCCATGCCCGGTGGCTGTGTAGTTCGCATCACCCAACACTAACCCTAACTGAATCTAGTGGCCACCACCCCGACCAACCTCATTTCTCCCCATCTCCCAGCCCTCATCCACCCGCAGTGCATGTATCCGATGCCGACAACCCTTCGCCAAGCGCGGAGAGTCATCCATCGGACCCCCGCGAGGAACCCCAGCACGAGCGCGGGCTTGGAAGTTCGCTGGCTGGCGGCGCGGCGGGCTACTTCGCCGGACATAAGAAAGACCATGGGCTCTTAGGTGCTATTGGAGGTGCCATTCTGGGCAACTATTTGGAAGACAAGATGAAGGAACATCGTCGGCATAGCCATAGTCATGGCCATGGTCACCGGCATGGCCACGGACATGGTCATCATCACCACCATCATCAGCGGCACCGCAGTCATAGTAGCCATTCTCGGCATCGACGAGATGACAGCTCGTAAGAGTTGGGGATTATTCAGACCGCTCGAGCGCACGGTTGTCTGGACTTTGTGGAAAGTTTTCCTGGTATATGCCATATACAGCTGGAGTTGATCTGTGTTTTGAATGCTTCTTTATTTGAGATCAGAATGGCAATTAGTGATGTCAGATTTCTTTGCTAAAATAATGGATTCTTTTAGCTACTTCGGTATGATATCTAATTGATTCTGTCTCTTATATTTTCCTATACTCGCCCGTAATAGGACGCTACCTAAGTGCTAAAAAAACATATACAAGACAGGGGCTAAGGTGCAGGAGAGGTTATCTAGCTTTCATCTAGAATATACGTGAAAGATCAGACAAAATATCAGGCTGCTTCCAGCTCGTTAAAGGAAGGAGTTTTACACCATTCCTTCCTCTCCGGCCTCTTTCTCAAGAATCTTCGTCTTTATACCCTATGACCTTCTGATGGTGTTCTGATATTTCAATACATTTCGGCACACCAAAGACAAGAAAACTCTGCTTTCGTGCTGAGTGTCTTATTTGAATAGGCACCTCGTATTATGATGTTGCTAGGACCCACTTCTCATTAGACATGTCAATCCACCATCCTCGAAATTTTGCTTTCTCTCTCTTCTGCTGATATCAAGTGGATAGTGGGCAAGCAAACCCAGTGCTCAACGCCCTCTTCAACACTCCCAATATATCTGCAACTAACCTAAAGCAGGACCCTGAAGCACTTCCAATATTTCTCGGCGGTTGCCCGTCTCGTGTTTCTGATGGGTCTGTCAAAAGTCAATATACAATCTAAGCCTCCAGTGGTCAAACCCACCCGATCGACATAAGCAGTCTGTTCATTTTGGAGTCCAATCGGCCTTTCCGCCCCTGATCCTGTCTGGAATACGAGCACAGCAACTTCATCTGCCGCGCCAAGCCAGATCGAGCGAGCAATATGCCAGCTAGCCGGATCCGTTCCTCAGGAATTATCCAACGACAGACCCTCTTGAAGTTGATCTCTTTTTGTTGATTGGACTGAAATCAAAGTCTGGCTCCCTTCTCAACTTACTTGTACCACATTCTCATTTTCTCGACTAGCGTTGGATTTGCGGATCCGATACGAGCAGAGCCCCTACCCAAAACTACCCAAGAGGCCGAAGCTTGTCATTGGGGATATTGGGTGCTGGTGGGCGTTCTTTAAAAGGATCCTCCTGCCCAGCATGGCCTCTAATTCATTCATTCATTCATCTCGTTTTTGCTGTCATTTTTGCTTTCTTGATACCCATACAATCACTCACTCGGCTAAGCTTTCTTCACAATGCATCACAAAGCTCTCGCCGTCCTTTTTCTGTCTGCCACTGCGCTGGCCACTCCCGAGCTCGAGAAGAAGCAGTATGGGGACTCGTCCGACGACTACTACAGTAGTCTGATGAGCAACCTCCACAGCATGTTCGTCCCTAACAAAGTCCCCTTTCGTGCAACGTATAGTAAAGAATAACACATCTAATATAAATCTAAGGGAATCTGAAACCGACTACGGGAAATACTACACGGACTTTAGCAACCTCCCCTCCAACTATCAAGACTACATGCCGAGCTCCTCCAGCGACTCGGCCAGCGAGAAGACTACTGAAAAGCCCACCGCTGACGACAGCACCATGACCACTTCTGACAACAAGCCCACCGGCTCGGGCGACCAGTCGTCCATCACCGAGCCCCCAAGCGCGTCATCGATGTCCATCGACATGCCTCCTCCCTCCATCCAGTCGGTACTGATGACCGCCGTCCCGGCCTCATTCCTCTCGCAGATGTCGAACCCGTCTGCGCGCTCGTCCATCATCCATGAGATCGAGGACGGCAACTACCCAAAGTGGTACCAGACTCTGCCTGCCAGCGTCAAGAACTGGGTCTCTGACCATTGGGCCACGGGTGCCCCGACTGAGGGTGGCTCGGGGTCGGGCGGCCATAACGCCGCCTCTGCTCCTGCGGGGACTGCTGCCCTGGGGCTTATGGGTGCGGCTGGTATCCTGGCCCTGGCTGTGATGTTGTGATTGATTATTTCCTCTTTTCATTGCTTTAATTTCTTGTGTCTCTATTCTTCATTCATCTGGTCTGGATTTGTTTTCGTTGGATGGTCTTCCTGTGACCATATCCTCGCACCATCTCTGTGCCTATCACTTTTTTTTTAATCTGAGAAAAATTTCTTGTCTCCGAGGGCCAACTTGTACGGCTGTTCATCTATAAGAGCACGATTCTCCAATGAGCTGTGTTTGGGGCTGTCTAATCTTAGGGCTACCCACAGTAGGTGATACCGCGACTGGTATATGGGAATGACTCTAAAGCCCTAGTCCCGCAATTGTAGCAAGAACGAAGTATACTCATGCTTCCTCTGGCCCGGTCGCCTAAATAATTGAATAGTAAAGCTCCTTCGTAAATAGAGGGTTCTACTAAGCTTACTGAGGACAGGCAGACTTGACGTTCAAGCGATTCAGGGATTGACACTACAAAAGCATAGTTCTACATTCAATAACTTTCATCTTTGCCTACAATTCTTGTTGAATTCGAAAGAAACAGATAAAAGTATGAAATTTCCCACCACAGTCTTACTAAGGCAGATAGGCATTACCTAAATCCATTCGGGATCTGCGCTTATCTCTTCCAGAGCTGACTCATCCGATCACCTGCCTCGATAAGCCAGCTGATAGCGAGGGATGACTTCGTCTTCTCTCTTCCTCTTTCACTCTCTTGTACTTATGAACTGGTCTTCTTTGTGTCGTGACCTGATTCTTTTGTTTTAGATTTAGACCTATACAACCTCCCCCAAGCCTCACCACCTTGCTTGTTGCTCATATATGCTGGCCCCGGCCCTCCACACTAACAGCATTATCGCAAATCCGGGGCACCGCATTGGCCTCAACACGCTTTTCTCCCACCTTCGACACATATAGATTATGCCTTCTCTGTTACAGGCTCTGATTACTGGGAAACTTCCCTCGCACTGTGAACCAACCTCGCCCTTCCTGACCACACTCTCGTCACATCTCCACATATGCATCCCCACACCTCTGGCACTGATCTCTTCGATCCTCGGCACCCTCAGCATAGTCTCATGGCTGTTCGCCCAGCTGCCGCAAATCTATAAAAACTACCAGGTGCAGTCTACGTCCGGGCTCTCCATATTTTTCCTGGTTATCTGGTGTCTGGGAGACGTCAGCAACCTTCTGGGGGCGCTCTTCACCCGCCAGGCGGGGTGGCAGGTGGTGATCGCCGGCTATTACGTCCTGGTGGATATCACCCTGGTGATCCAATTCTTTTGGTATACACACTACAAACCCCAACGGTACGATGGCTATAATGAATTGCCCCGCTCCGACGACCCGGACTCGCGAGGCATCCTCCAGGGCATGCCTCTCGCAGGCGACACCGCGCCCCACCAACCTCCGGCCCCGGTCGACATGACCATGTCGAAAGCAGAGCCCAAAGACATGGGCGTGCAGACCGGGGCGACCCTCAACTCGAGAGCGGGCCCAACGCCCTCGTACTCAAACGAGAAACTGGGTTCGTCGCGCCGATCCGTACGCGCCGGCACCAGTGCGCCCACTCCCCCCTTCGCGCTCCCACGAACTATGCTCATGGCCTCATTGCTCTGCGCCGTGCTGGCCAACGCCAGCCCCAGCAGCCCGCCGCCGTCCCCCCATCCGCCCATCGCCGACGCGCCCCGCGAAACGATCCTCGAGATCGTCGGCCGCATCTTCTCCTGGATGTCTACACTCCTCTACCTCGGCTCGCGGCCCCCGCAGCTCTTCAAGAACTACCGTCGCAAGAGCACCGAGGGCCTGTCCCCGCTGTTGTTTATGGCCGCCTTTGGCGGCAACTTCTTCTACTCTTCGTCGCTGCTTACCAACCCCAACGCCTGGTCCAACTTCCCTCCCTACGGTGGCGGCGGCTGGGCCGACGGCCACGGCAACGACCGCTGGGAATGGATTGGCCGCGCCATCCCGTTTTTCCTCGGTGCTTTCGGGGTTCTGGGTCTGGACGGCTTTATGGGCGTCCAGTTCCTCATGTACGGCCCCCGTGATGACGAAGAAGATGACATCTTTGCGGACACGGATGAGGAAGACCAGAAGCGTGGCAGGAACCGTTGGAGACGTGTGCACGGCTGGATGCGCGGCTGGATTCCGTCGACCTCGCCTCAGCGTGTTAAATCGGGCGCTGCTTCGGCAACGCAGGAAGGCCAGGCTCTGTTGGGTGCGGAAGGTGGTCGATATGGTACTGTCTGATGCCTTTGATACTTCTTCTTTTTTTTTTTTTGCTTGCATTTTGCATTTTGACTTCGGGGGGACATACTTGCCTCCTTTACGACGTTGATGACTTGTCTATTGTTGGATTGACCTCATCCAGTCAGTCCTACCTCATTTGTTTAAACCCTTGGCTTTCGATTTCTTTTTTCTTGCTTGGCATTGTTTTCTGGCTGTTGGGGGGTGGGTGTGTCAATCATCATTTGTCCTCTGTATATAAGGTCTTCCCGCCTTTCCATTTCCGGGTTTCTGTCGCGCATTTTTTTTTTTTTGCGCTATCCCTAGCAGGCGTTTTCCTCATGTGTGTGCGGCAGTTGGCATGGAGGGGGAGCTTTTTCTATAGCTCAGAGTTTCGGGGGTTCTGCTGTGGATTTCTCCTTGGTCCCTTGGTCAAGACCGTTCTTTTCGGGTATTTCCGAGTCTATATATCATTTGCATACATGTCAGATTCCATGCACTCTGTTTATTGGTAACCTGGAGAGGAAATCGAGGGTGTTGGGTCTCGTGATTTTTTAGAATAAAGGACATATTCCAAACGTGGGGATATAGATATAAATGACTCTCTAATTATAAACACATAAGCGACAAAATAAAGAAAGAAAAAAGACAGTTTTATGCTGTACATCAAGGCATATATATACCCACTCTGGCCAGGGCCTCATGTCCATCAGGCAGACCCGATGAGAGCGGGAATATCCCAAGGTCATATTAGGCAATATTTTAAGATGATAACAAGAGTGACAGTGAAAGAGAAAGTCAAAAGCGACAAAAGTTAATAAAAACCGTATGGATGCAAGAAAGTGAAAAAGGGAGCACCAGGACTGGATCATATGGAAAAAAGGGGGCATCTCCATTCGTTGCTTGTTCGAATAACTCATGACCGTGGGTTTTCAATTTTTTTTTGGTTTCTGGCAAGATCCCCTTTTGTCTTGGATTCCCGGACATCAACATCACTTCCTGCTGTGAAGGAACACAAAAGCGAGAAGACCGAGAGAATGAGAGACATTAACGAGAGAGCACATGCAATTAATAGAGACACGGCGTGACCAGCATCAACCGGGCTCGTAGACTTAACCCTGACCGAAGACCCCATCCGAGAAACCGTGGGGAAGCCAAGAAATCATCACATCAAACGGCCAAGACCAGATTAATACAAGGGTGATTGGACATCTTGGACACCACGTCGGATCACATCCTCGACCCGCCATCGGGGAGGCGTCATTTGGTCCGAGCGCTTGCGGTGCCACTCCTTCTCCATCTCAGGGGGAGGGGCCAATTCTTCAGTTGGGGGGAACGCGCCGCCCGCAATGCCCGTGGAGAACTTCAGCTGCAAAACGTTGCCGATTTCATCACAAGCGGTCAGGACCCGGTCCAGGTCCTCCTTGGTGTGGGCCGCGGACACACAGAAACGAGCCCGGGAGGAAACTAATGGAGTGGCCGGGTAGCCGACGACGACGACCGAGATCTTTCGACGGAGCATCTCGTGCGAGAATGCGGGCATCTTGGCCGGGTTGAAGAGAAGAACAGGGATGATTGGCGAATCGTCGTGACCGTACACTATAAAGCCAAGACGCTTCAATCCGAGACGGAGGTATCGCGAATTGAAGGCCAACCGCTGCAATCGCTCCTCGCCTTGGCCAGGGACGAGTTCACCGCAAATAATACGCAGAGCAGAGGAGATCTGGGTCAGAATCGCGGGGGCAGGTGCCTCTCCAAAAAAGATGCCAGAGTCGGTAGCGCGAAGCTTGTCGATCATCACCTTGTCCGCTGCAATGTAGCCTCCATTCGCACCAAAGGACTTGGTGAGTGTGCCCATGAGAACATCCACCTCGGAGGTGGGGATACTAAAGAAATCACATACACCGCGCCCCTTGGGACCGATGGCTCCGATCGAATGGGCCTCGTCAACGAACAAATTGAACTTGTACTGATGCTTCAATGCAACCAGACCAGGGAGATTGCACATGGATCCTTCCATCGAGTACAGACCCTCGACCACCACTAGGATCTTCTTCCAGGGGCGGTGAGTGCGAGGTTGGCCCTGAGAGATGGCCTCGCGAAGCTTGATTTCCAGGTCTTTCATGTCGTTGTGCTTAAACATAGCGATCGAGGCCCCAGAGAGACGAGCGCCAAAGCGGATCGAAGCGTGGTTCAGTTCATCGGAGATGAGGAGACAGCCTTTCGAGACAAGGGCCGGGAAGATGTTGGCGTTGGTACCGAAGCCCATCGAGAATACCATGGACGCTTCCTTGCCCGCAAACCTGGCGACCAGATCTTCGACTTCAACGTGAAGGTCTTGCGTGCCGACTTCCGCCCGAGTGCTTGGAGAAGTGATTCCGTATTTCCTGATCGACTCCTCTGCAATGTCTGCACAAGGGCCTTCCGACTGCGCGAAGCCGAGGTAGTTGTAGGAGCTGAGGTTCAGTGTATCCGTCGTGGTACCCGTCAGATAGAAGTGATGGTTGTGGTCATCCGTGGCCCGGTCAATCAAAGTAATCGTTCGCCCAGGAACGCCGGTGACGGGCCGCTCGAAGCAGTCATTGATTCGCAGCTTCAGACGACGCACGTAAAAATTGTCGAAATCACTGTTGAGCGCACCATAGCCGTTGCGGGGTTTCAGGTGTCGATAGTTTTCTTCGCGGAAGCGTTTGCCAAAGAAATCACGGACATGGCCAAAGGCGATTAGGATGAGGTAACTGATATAAGTGGTGAGCAGATAATAATACGGCGGCTCGTCCATCACCGGCTCCGGGAAGACGCCGCCAGGGTGTCGACTCGAATACCGGTGGCTGGCATGGCCGATAGGACCGAATTGGGCATGCTGCTTGGCCAGGCGGCGTGCTTCCTCCGGGGTCGGAGGTTGGAAGAGTGTGGTCGGCAGTTCGTCCATATTAGGATTGTCAGCTGTGGCCGTCGACAGAGAAATCGTCGGTAAGGACAGTGATGCCGAACTGATCGGCGGAGACGAAGTGTTAGGTTGAGAGGTTCCACTAGCCGCTTGAAGGGCAGCCTGTGCAGTCTGAGGTTCGGACTTGGACTTGGGCGAGACCGAAAAGAACTGGGACAGACGATTGGATTTGACTGTGGGCGCCTTGATGGCGGTACCGCCCTTTCCGGAGGCAGATGAAAAGGACGGGGAGTTGGAGGGGGTGTCGTTGGAGGAGTTGCTGCTGAATCGACGAGGCATCGCAGAGGGAAGCAGCGGAGGGGTTCGGGTCGACAGGTATTCAACACCGTCAAGATCGAGGGGCGCGCGTTCCTTCACGCGTCCAGACCGATGATTGAGGCAAGTACCACCCGCTAGAGAGATACCGAGCTTTGCTTTTCGAGACTCTTTTGCTTCACCAAATCTTCGATCGTAGGTTTGTTCGAGACCAACCGCAGGTGCTTCTTTGAAACGAGACTGGGTAATTAGTTGACCATTCCCAAACACGCCAGTCGATGAGATTCTCCCAGGGGATACACAGGTTGACAGGGCCGGGGAACCCGAGAAAATCCCACTCCAAAGTATAAATTCACACGATGAGACGTACTGGGTTGGAATCGTAGGTGATCCGGGGACTCCGGAAGGGCTCGCAAAAATTGTGAATGGAGCACGTGGAATGAGGAGATGAGGAACTTGGCGAAACAGGGGGAGGGGTGTAAACCCGTCAGAGAATGGGCAAGTCTCCGATCTCCGTCCCGCAAAACTTGGTGAAGGACGAGATGGCAAGGAGGAAGGAGAGTGAACAATAATAATACCGAGTACAAGCTGGGTATAAGGCTCACGCACGGTGGACGAGGTACCTCCTGGTATTGACTGGATACCTAGCTGATACTGCAGATACAGACTGTGATTGGCTGGATCTGGGTACCACAACACCACAATACGAATACGACTCAAAGTTTTCATCGGCTTTGGAGTCCCCCGAGAGTCACTTCGGCTACTCGCACCCGAGCTCTCTTGTCTTCTATACAGTCGATGTGCATCGTTGATTATATGAAGGATCCAGTATTAAATTCAATGCTTATCATTCATAAATCCATTCTATGTGGAAATATCATTGCATCACCTCTATGTATTTGGGTGGCATGTACCTGGCCAATGTGTCCTGGATACTTGGGGATGATGTTGGTGACTCCCCTGTTCCACTGGCGCCGGAGCATATGTGACATGAGAGGTTCCATGTCCCTGGGGAACTCCTTTTCTTTGCGCTTTTTTTTCCACCAAAAAATGGCTGAAAACGGCCATATCGCGGCGATGACTAATCTATGCCTGAGGCAGCAGCTGTCACTACTCCGTCATCTTTCTCCATTGAACTCAACAATTATCTGAAGTATACAACAGAAGACGGTCTTCCAGGTGGTGCAATAGCTCACCTAGTCTTTCGTTCGTCCACAGCTGGCATTGGACTTTGCGAAAGCGCAACACTTTCAGGTCGGATCCGGTGCCGCGGAGAGCGGCTATCGAATACCCGCTTCCGCCCCCCCGCGCTCCCTTGTTGGCGCATCTGCACTGTGACTTGACTTTCTTTTTTCATGTCCCGATCTGACGTTATCCCTTGCAAGGTCCTTTCAAGGAAACACACGGGAGACACAGAAGATCTCTCATACGGCGGTCTTGTGGTCAACTTTCGCTAAGTATACCGGGACACACTCGAGTATATGGCACAAGTGCGGACCAAGTGCAGCTCCAGTCCAGGCCAATTCCCTTTTCTTTTATTTTGCAGGCTTTATTATTTCTCATTTTGTTTGTGAACTTCTCCCATCAATTGATCCGAACAACATGCCCCATATTGATGAGAGGGAAACCACAGAGGCGAAGGTGCTCTGGCGGCCTTCTTCTCCAGAAAACACCCAGATCCATGACTTCATGACCAGTCTAAACCAAAAGCATGACCTGTCTCTGAATGACTACAATGCCCTCTGGGAGTGGAGTGTTTCGGAGCCCGCCAAGTTCTGGGAGGAGATTTGGCACTATTCCCAAATCAAGGCGCATGAGCCCTATACACAGGTGAGTATTTGCATATGCTACGGCAGACACTCAGCTTTATGGCAAATGCTAATATCCCTTTAGGTACTTGAGTCAAATCAGGTACTCTTTCCTCGGCCGGCGTTTTTCGAGGGGAGCACCTTGAACTTTGCCGAGAATCTGCTCTATCCAGCCAATGCGCCGGACGAGAATGCCGTCGCAATCATCGGTGCTACCGAGGCAGCCCGGGAGTATGTCTCATGGAAGGAGCTGCGGGAGCGCGTGCGGCAGTGCACCAATGCCTTGAAAGAAGCGGGGCTGGAGACGGGCGATCGTGTGGCGGGCTTTGTAGGCAACCATGCCAACACGGTGGTGGCAATGCTCGCCGCCGCATCACTAGGCGCATTCTGGACCGGGGTGTCTCCCGATACAGGCGTGCATGCTGTCTTGGAGCGCCTGGCACAGATTGAGCCCAAGGTTCTCTTTGCAGATAATGCCTCCCTCTACAACGGCAAGGTGCACGGATCTCATGCCAAGGTGCGTGAGATTGTTTCCGAGCTGCCGAAGCTTGAGTATCTGGTCGTTTTTGAATCTGCCGATTTGGTCGAGTTCAGCCTTGACGAGGTCCGGCCTGCTGCCGGGAAGGTAGTTACTTATGGAAGCTTCTTGTCTTCGGTCCGCAATGAAGCTGCTCCGTTGGAGTTTGCTAGCTTGAGGCCGGATCACCCTGTCTATATCCTTTACTCGTCTGGGACCACGGGTGCACCGAAACCGATTGTCCATGGGTCCTTGGGGACTTTGTTGCAGCACAAAAAAGAACATCTTTTTCACTGTGACATTCGGCCGGGTGATCGATTGTTCTACTTCACAACAGCTACCTGGATGATGTGGCACTGGCTTGTTTCTGGTCTAGCTAGTGGTGCAACAATTGTTTTGTATGATGGCTCTCCCTTCCGGCCATTTGACGTTGAAGGAGGTAAAGGGGAAATGGCCATGCCGCGGCTCATCGACGAGCTTCAAATCACTCACTTCGGTACATCAGCGAAGTACCTATCGATGCTGGAGCAAGCAGCATTGAACCCGCGAAAGCACCCGCACCGGCCAGTGACACTCAAGACGCTAAGAGCCATTTTCAGCACTGGATCTCCGCTGGCTCCGTCGACTTTTGAGTACATTTATTCTTATATCCATCACGATATCATGCTGGGCTCTATTACCGGCGGCACAGATATTCTGTCCTTGTTCTGCTCCGGCTGTCCCATCCTGCCTGTTTATAAGGGTGAAATCCAATGCCGCTCCCTGGGGATGGCCGTTTCAGTCTTTGACTATGCTGGGAAGGACATCAGTGCCTCGGGCGAACCAGGCGACCTGGTCTGCACCACACCTTTTCCTGCACAGCCGGTCATGTTCTGGCCACCGGGGCCAACGGGCCTGGAGAAATACCGAAAGAGCTACTTTGACATGTTCGGACATACGGTCTGGCACCATGGAGACTTTGTCCGCCTGAACCCGCACACTGGCGGCGTTGTCATGCTCGGCCGTAGCGACGGCGTGCTCAAGCCCTCTGGAGTCCGATTTGGCAGCGCCGAGATCTACAATGTCCTTCTCAAGCACTTTGCCGACGAAGTTGAAGATTCTCTGTGTGTTGGACGGAGGCGCGAGGGAATTGATTCAGACGAGACTGTCGTCCTCTTTGTGAAGCTTGCCCCTGGCGATGCCTCCAGTATGCCGCCCGATCTTGCGGGACGCATACAGGCCATTATCCGCAAGGAACTGAGCCCCCGCCATGTTCCTGCTGTCATTGACGTATGCCCGGAAATCCCGGTGACTTCCAATGGCAAGAAGGTCGAGAATGCCGTCAAGCAGATCTTGTGCGGTCTCAACATCAAGATCGGTGCGAGTGTTGCGAATGCGTCTTGTCTTGATTGGTATCGAAACTGGGCTGTAGAGCACCCTTAATTGTGTCTTCCAATTCATCCTTGATTATATTTAGAAAAAAGAAATGAACCACCTTTAGAAAATGCTCTGAAATGTCGGGGTTCTAGAGAGGATAGCTTGGTCAGCAATCTCGAGCGTAAAGATGCCCATGGACGCATAGTCAAAAAGCGAGAATGTAATTCAAGTCGAAGGATTACATTACTTGAATATGATGTTTAATAATATCCATGAATCCATTCCACCTGGACTTTTTGTCGGAAAAGACATCCTGGACCTCACAGGTGGGCATGATCATGCAGCTGCTTACTAAGCATCTTCGGATCAGGACTCCAGTTCGATTCTTCGCCAACATCGTCTGGACTCTACCAGCTGCTCTGGAAATACCAGCTGCGCACAGTGTTTTTGACTTGGAATTGCTGCGCGGATATTGCTCGACTCACCATGCGCCGCTCAGCATTGCGGGCTCTCGAGTCCGCGAAGCCACTGACCCGAGCTCCTCGCTCGGTGTCAAGAAGCTTCGCTACCCTTAATGAATCGGCCAAGGTAATTAACTCGTGCTAAGTGTCAGAATTGTTTGTTACCGTGTCTAACGACAGCTCTTTTACTTTTCTGCAGGATCCTTCGGAATTAGACCAAATCACCACACTGCCGAATGGAGTCCGCGTCGCCACAGAGTCATTACCGGGGCCCTTTGCTGGCGTTGGAGTTTACGTCGATGCCGGATCTCGCTATGAAGACGCCAGTCTGCGTGGTGTGAGCCACATTATGGATCGTCTAGCCTTCAAAGCCACCAAGTCACACTCAGGAGACGAGATGCTCGAGATTCTGGAATCGTTGGGCGGCAACATTCAATGCGCGTCCTCTAGAGAATCCTTGATGTACCAGTCCGCCAGTTTCAACTCGGCCGTCCCCACGACCCTCGGCCTGCTGGCGGAAACCATCCGGGACCCTCTCATCACCGAAGAAGAGGTGCTCCAGCAGCTTGCGACGGCAGAGTACGAGATTGGCGAAATCTGGGCGAAGCCGGAACTCATCCTGCCGGAGCTGGTGCACATGACTGCATACAGGGATAACACACTTGGGAACCCGTTGTTGTGCCCGAGCGAGCGACTGGGCGAAATTAACCAGGCCGTGGTGGAGCAATACCGCGAGGTTTTCTTCAACCCGGACCGAATGGTGATCGCCTTCGCCGGCGTGCCCCATGCCGAGGCCGTCAAGCTTACGGAGCAGTATTTTGGGGATATGAAGGCGAGCGACCTGAGCAAGTCTAAGGGGCCCGTCTTGTCCGGTTCGGGTATTGAAACCACGCTGTCGGACTCCCAGGCGGCGGCCAGCGAAGGCCAGGTGCCAACTGTCCCTCAATTCACGCCGTCGTCGACCATTAGCAGCCCAGCCGCTTCTCAAAACACGCAGTCATCGCTCCTGTCGAAGCTACCCTTCCTTAAAAAACTCTCCACTTCCACACAGAACAACGCCACGGTCGCGCCGCTCGACCCTTCTTTGCTTGAGCCGTCCGCGTTGGACCTTCGGCGACCGGCTCACTACACAGGCGGTTTCATTGCTCTTCCTCCCATCCCTCCGCCCGCGAACCCGATGCTGCCTCGACTGAGTCATATCCACCTTGCCTTTGAGGCGCTCCCCATCTCTTCGCCTGACATCTACGCTCTCGCCACTCTGCAGACCCTCCTTGGCGGAGGAGGCTCATTCTCGGCGGGCGGTCCCGGCAAGGGCATGTACTCGCGACTCTACACCAACGTGCTGAACCAGCACGGCTGGGTGGAGAGCTGCATTGCGTTTAACCACAGCTACACGGATAGTGGCATCTTCGGCATTTCGGCCTCGTGCAGCCCAACCCGAACCACGGAGATGCTCGAGGTCATGTGCCGAGAGCTGCAGTCTTTGACCCTGGACTCGGGCTTTACGGCCCTGCAAACGCAAGAGGTCAACCGGGCCAAGAACCAGCTTCGTTCGTCGCTGCTCATGAACCTCGAGTCTCGCATGGTCGAGCTCGAGGATCTTGGCCGCCAGGTGCAAGTCCACGACCGCAAGGTTAGCGTCAAGGAGATGTGCGAGCAAATCGAGGCTCTGACTGTCGAGGACCTTCGCCGGGTGGCTCGCCAGGTGTTTGGCGGCCAGGTTCAAAACAATGGCCAGGGTACTGGCAAGCCCACCGTCGTGTTGCAGGAGGGCGAGCTGGAGGGCTACAAGCTTCGGTCTTTCCCATGGGAAGAGATCCAGGAGCGGATTGCCCGCTGGAAGCTTGGCCGGCGGTAAATAGCCAGCCGTGAAGCATGGATTTACCTCCCCGTTTGTTGTGGACTCCCATGTCCGCCAGTCTGAGATGTATGGAGGTGAAATTGGCTGTATATGGGGATGATTGTAATTATAGACTTTCTGGCCTGCATAGTGACACTGTAGAATACGTGAGATTTGTCTCTATTTCAATTCTTTTGTTCTTTTGTAGCATTCATGGATCGCGACTGTACAGTAGAGGCGAGTTGCGTAGGAAGCGTGTGGGTCCGCGTCTCGCCGCTTTTGCCCGGCAAAAAAGTCGGAGCGCTGAACACCTCTCCGTTCCTCCATCACCTCCCCCATCTCCCATCACCTTCCAATCGAATCCCGATATTTTCCACCCGCCAAAATGGTCAAGCTCACCGAGGTCGAGGACGAGCACTTCAACCAGCAGAAGCCCGCCCCTAGCAAGAACGATGCTCTCCTAGTCTCCGACGACGAGGAGGACTACACCGACACTGGTTAGTATCCCGATTTCTGCTCTTGCCCCTACAACCACAGAAATTGTCTCGCGCAGCATAAAAAAAACTGGAAATACTGGTGTTATGGGATTGGTGTTTCGATGCGAATCGAGGGTGTTTCAAGGTCGATTCAATATATCGAGCACCACGGAACCATCCAGCACGAAACAACCCTGAACCATCGCGACATGAACATTACCGCCGCTACATTCATACTCGAGTTTTTCTGACACGTGTTTGCAATGTTTATCAGAATCGGAAATCTCCAACGATGAGGACGCCGAGCTCGACACCGAGTCGCTGTTGGACCGCGTCTCGGCCCTGAAAGACATGATCCCGCCCTCCGCCCGCCGCACCGTCACCAGCTCCGTCTCTTCGCTCACATCCTTCACCAAGGCCAGCCTGTCGTTCAGCGGCAAGGCTCTGTGGGTCATCAGCACCAGTGCATTCCTCATCGGTGTCCCCTGGGCGTTGGCTTACGCCGAGGAGGAGCAATATATCCAGATGGAGCGGGAGCAGGGTATGATCAAGGGAGCAAACGAGGTATGATTCTGCTTTCTTTCTTTGTTTTTTAGTTGGTATCTGCCCGGAATTGATGGGCCTTGAGTTCATCATGCCCCAGTTCCTGTCGAGGTGCTTCGAGGATCTCGGGATGGCATGGAATGGAAAATTTTTTTCATGCCGCCATTGATGCTTCTTATTCTACCCTTGGTTACGTGCGCGTATATTACTGGATCTCGATGCTGATCACATTTGTCTAAAGATGCTCGCCCCCGGCTCCGAACCGGAGCAGAAGGAGGCTCAACCCACCCTATAAATTAATATCGGACCAGAAACCGGAGGAAACAGCAACAAGATCTAGCGACTCTGCTGACGAACAAGAAACATCAGGGGGCAGGCGACACCCGATTGCAAAAGAGCGCCCCTGGATGGAATCTATACTCGACGGCAAGCTTGCGTTTTTCTTCCTTGGATCGGGTGTTCCGGCTTGCACCCAACACATCTCGAACGCAAGATGATGAAAGTGCCGCTGGTATACTTGTTTCTTGGTCTTATGAGTCGCTTGGACCTTTGTCTTGCTCTTTGTCTTCTGCTTTCTTCCCTCTCATCTTCTCCCTCTCTCCCTTCTCCCCCCACACACCTTGGCTCCGGCAGCTCATGCATGCATGTATTTGTACAACCACAACTATCTTCTTTTTTCTCCAACATGTTCTCTATATACTCTTACTTCTTGGTTGTTCTTTTTATCTTTTCGTGTTATGCATGTCTAGGTAATGAAATTGTGGATGTGTCTACCCAGTTCAGCTCATGGTCTTTAAATAAATAGAAGGAGAGTTATCCGAGTAGTTTGGCAGTAATGTGGTCTTTTGCAAGTATGCAGGTGTTTCTCGAGTGGTACCGGGGTATACACAAGATGACGTGGTCACCGGCAAGAGAACAGTAATAAAAACGCGGGGGTATCATGGGCGAAATGCAGCATGTACAAAGCGAGCATAATGTAGTTCGCAAGAACAAAAGCAAGATGAAAATGGTTCGTGGGATACATAAAAAACAGAGCACAATAGGCATCTGTCGGAAAAGACTCGCGGATTCATCCCAAAGTAGACTAAATCATGCACTCATTAGCCAAGTTTCCACCAGAATCATAACCGGGTTTAATGCCTACCGTTGTTTCGCGCGCAGATTTGAGGTTAAGGTGAAAGTCATGCCACAGCTTGCTGATCTCACCGGCTGCGACCATCGAGTCCAGGACCGCATTAGCATGTCTGGTTCTGCGTTTCGTGCTCATGTCGTTCCGTTTGAGGATCTCGTCGTCCTTCATCTGGCCTTTGCGCTCCAAGTAGTCGGTGACCCATTCATTGAGGTGGTAGCGCCAGTGGGTCAGGGTATGGGCGAGCTGGGCTTTCGCTTTGCATTGTCTGTTGATGTGGATATGTGAGATGAAAAGATTACTCAAAAGCACGCCTGAAACTTGAATCAAACTCACCTTCCGAGAAAGAACCGTGTGCTCTCATCCGGGAGGACATGTCCATCTCTGTCCCGCTCCTGCATAGAGTCCGAATCTCCTTCGTCTGATTGTTCCTCGCTGCTGTCCTCATCCCTTAGTGGCTCGAGGGTCTGCAGAGAATATGCTTTTCCATATAGCTTCATATCAGTCGAGGCAGGGTGACCAGAGCGATTGCAGGCGTCACACGGATGGTTTTCCTCTGTGGGGAAAGCTGTGATCTCCATATGAGGCCGAGCCAGCAGAGCTCGGCGAAACCCTGCATTCCACACGGAGGAAATTAACTGAGAGCCGGCTCGTCCTTTGACCTCGTCCTCTAGCTTCATGAAGGCCATTTCATAGAGGGCATCGGACCGAGGGAACGCAGGATTGAGCCGGTTATGCACCATCCATCCAACGACATCGCGGAAGTATTCTTTGGGCTGCTTGTATGCATGCCGCGTGAACTCAAAGGGAATTTCCTCAGTAGGCACGCCGAGTCCGTCATCCTCATCCTCCAGGACAAAGTCCTCTTCGTAACGGTCGAGATCTTCGTTGCTGGGAACGGGTGAGGGTTCAACATGTCGCTCGGTTGAACTGGCATCGCTTTCAGCCTGCTCGGGTTCTGCGTCTGGTTCTTCCTCGCTCTCTTCTTTCAATCCGGCGCGTCTGCGACGGAGGGTTTCCAAGTGCCTGAGCCTCTTGTCCCTCGCCGACTCGGCAACCCGGCCACGAGTGCGGCCTTTTTTGACAACTGTAGAGAAAACCAGACGTTAGCATACGGCCCTCGGATATGGTGCAATGACTGTAACTCACCTGAGTCCTGAAGATCTTTCAAGTCTTCCTCGAGATCTAGTTCGTCGCGGGCAGCACTCGAGCGCGGCGTCTGGGGAGTCTGTGGACTCTGGACAGGCCTGCGTCTCTTGGCTGGCGAAGACAAGAGTGGCTCTTCCGACTCTTCCGAGTCGCTCAGAGTAATTGGAGAGCTTTCCGCCTTGCGCTTGAGTTTGCGACGCGGCCGGGGCACTTCCTCCACCGAATTATCCGAATCGATTGGTTCCTCCGCTGGCTTAGACTTAACAGGTTTCGAGGGGCTCGGGATAACAGCCTCCACAAGCGGGTGTGCGTGCTGCTTTCGCCTTTGAGAGCTCGGAGCAACGATGTCGTCCGAAGAATTGTCTGGGTTGTCCTGGATGAAAAGCTGATCTTGTCGATCGTGAGCAACACCAACTCTAATCGCGTGGAATAAGATGCAGAGCTTACCTTGATCCTCATCTTTTGGTTTTGGCGAAGCTTCCTTTTTCACAGACCGAGACTCCGGCTGCTCTGCATCTTTATTCCGCGTTGACGGCTTGGAGGGTCGTTTCTTCGTCGACTTTGGCTGGCTGCTCTGAGACTTTTCGGGCCGAACTGTGGCCTTACTTGGATGCCCGTATGCAAGCCTTGCGAAGCGACCATCCTTGTCGGGGGTTTCGTCGTCGGCGGGGTCCGCGGGAGCAAAGGCAAGTCGCGTCTGTTTTGCCTTGCGAGATGTGCGAGGCATGATGAGTTGTTGGAGAGGCTGGTTGGTGGATTGGTGAGGAAAATGTCAGAGCAGGGAATAGCAGTCAAAACCAAAGGAAAACCCCCCATCCCACAAACGGTATTGCGCCTGCCAACACGTTTTTGTTCAATACGCGATGGGTCGCGAGAGCACGTGATCAATATAGCCGAAGAGCTGGGACACTTCCAGATCAAAGGGATTTCAGTTGAAGTTAAAGGAAATTGTGAAAAGGCTAGAGAGATGTATTTCGAAGAATGGGGATTTTAAACTCTTGAAGCTGGCTCTCATTGGGACCGTTGCAGAGGGAAGACACAGCAACAAAGTGAACCTATGTTTAGCTTTTCTATAAAGGTGGGGAGAGGTAGGCGATGTTTTGCTTGGTCTAATAAACCCGGTTGGTATAAATTAATCCATGGCTTGGAATAATAATAATGCGAGACAGAGAGAGAGATGCCTTATTCTTTATCTTATACATTTTCTGGTTATTTTTCTAATCTTTTTTCTAACTATTTCTTTTTCTCCAAGTGTACCATTGTGAACTAGCTATCTTCTTGCTATTCCTTAGATTGATAGTGCTGTATGTACTTGCAGCGCTAGTGTTCTTGTCCTCTTATACTCGCCTATGCCGAGTATATCCGCTAATTCTAGCTAGAGAAAAAGGAAAGAGTAATCAATAACTTCTCCGATGCCACTTCCAACGATATCTTTGTTGAAGCAACTTCAATAGCTCACCACCAAAGAGGTGCAGGATCTAGTTCCGACTTGGTACCAACAAAGAATGCTCGTTGCAATCGAGTCGAAAAGCGATCACAACCAGTATTAGGGAAGATTTCTCTGACGTGTTTGCGATAGTAGGGCTTCATAGATTCCTTTTGCCCTTTATTTGGGACAAGCTGAAACCCCCGCGCCTGGGCGCAGCACACACATTTAGTAGTGCAATGGCCCGCAGCCCTAAGCCTGCCGGGGATGCTTTCGCGTTTCTCACAGCACCCACATCCACGACCACAGCAGCCACCCTTTCTAACACAGCCCTTGGTGAGATCAGGATGGAGATACCATTTGGGATTAGATCTCCATAGCTCATAAGCTCTTTGAACCGGTCCAGTTGGAAGGGCGGCCTCGTGCTTGTTGAGCTCTCGGTCGAAGAGCCAATACTTCTTAGAGAGCTCCTGTATGCGATTCTGCAATTCAGAAAGCTCCCTCTTGTCTTCCTGGGGACTAGATCTTAATTCCAGTGCTGCAAATAGTTGGTTCTTTTCATTTTCCTCTTGCTGGATGAGGCGAAGTGCAAGATCGGTGCCAATAATTGTGACGTAAGTATCCTCGAGTGCCTAGAACCGATAGTGGTTTTATAGGGTCATCGCCTTCGCTCACCATCTATATTATAGACAAGGTACCCAGGATAACCTATATTGAAGCATCTTCGACAAGCATCGATTGTACTTCGTGGCAAGAATAAACAGTGTCAGATTTTGCAAGGTACTTGGATGTCCGTATATTATGGGACTACAACTCATATTATGGTCTATATTTTTTTGCCAATTCATGGATGAATCCACTTGAAGAGCCCTATCGCTCTAAACACTCTCTAATAGATCTTCAAGGCAAACTTGGCATACTTTTACAGCAGCTCCCTTCGCGTTTCTCTGGTGCTATTTCTAAGATCCGCGAAGAACTACCAACACTTTTCGTCCCTTCTCATCCATTAGTTCTAACTCACGGTGATCTATGTGAGATGAATATCATCATCGACCCTAAAGCAGGTGGTATGACTGGAGTTATTAATTGGGCTGAAGCGAAAATCCTGCCATTTGGGATGTCCTCATGGGGTTTCTTCAACATGCTCGGTTTTATGGACTCAGAGGGTTGGTATTACTATGACCATTCCTCTAAACTGGAGAGTCTTTTCTGGGGTACATTCCACAAAAATGTAGGCCCGATTTCTGATGAAGACAAATGCGCTATACAAACTGCGACGCGGGTTAGGTTGGTGCTTCGTTATGGGTTTATTTGGGAAGATGGGGTTTCTGAAAGGCCTGCGACTGAGCAGGATTCTTCGATCAGATATTTGGATGCTTTTTTGTTTGGGTAGGCTACGAAAGTTGGAAAAAGCGGTGCAATAGATGCGATATCTGGTGCCCTGCTTGCTATCTTGTGGAATACGCGAAAAGATGGATGATTTCGAGAATCAAGTATATAGTCGAATCCACAATTGTCTACTCAAATAGCCTCAATTTACCCAAATAGCATTATTGATTTTGATTGAAAAGACAACAAAATGACAAGCTTTAATAATCTGGATAGTTCAAAGTCGTCGAGTCGCAAGAAAATTGTGAGTCCAGCTGCGCTTTCCTGATTAACCCACCCAAGAGCATACCTGAATATCTGGCATTCACACTCTTGATCGTCTCCCTCACTACTCAACAGGTACTATTCAAATTGCATCTGCTTTCAATGTATTGGAAATCGCACATCCTCATTTCTTTCCATTTGCTCCCGGGCCCAGAGCGCAATGGGATAGAAGGTCTTCTTATCCCTGAGCACCGCACATGGCTTAATACCTCTCACCCTGTTTCGGAACGCACCCAACTCCCAAGCGACTGGATTTCGGTTCCGTTGGCTCACAGTGAAGATGGATTGATATCTGTATCAACAGGCCCTACAACTTGTACTTCTGTCAGCTTTCAGTTATGTCGCAGCATCACGCACATTGCCGACGAGCATGGCGACGACGACCAGCCTTTGCATCTGTTACTCATCCTATCGAGCTCTCATGACAAGGTGGTCAATCCGTGGTGCCTCGAAACGAACCATGTTGACGATGCGTCAGTCGGCAGATGCTCAGTGAGCTTGCTTCAGACGAGGAACCTCGGTGGATTGAATTGCTCGGAAAGGAGGGCAAAGGTTATCAGCGCATTGTATACAGCTTTCGCCATGCTCGGACTGGCTGGTATCTGGTCTCTCCTTCGAATGCTCCCCAAGAAACCAAAGACACCTCTCAAGTTCTCTACATTCGGTACAGAATCCACTTCACCCACTGTTCCTCGCTACATCGCCAGCGGGACCTCGGATAAAATGATTGGGAAACACAGCACTGGCATGCAGAATTCTGGATATCCTGTGGAATCGTGGTCACTTTCTGATCTGCAGGGCATGTTCAAGCGTCCTGGCCTGCTTCGAAAAGCACTTCGCAAAGCAGACCGAGAGCCACCGGATGCAAGTGAATGGGCCATGCTGCTGCCGAGGGCTGCAAATGCCACCGTACGAGGGAGGTCAAGGGTCTTGGGTTCCCAACGTGCTCGCAACCGACTTCACACCAACTTTGATGTGTTCAAGGAGCAGTTCAAGGGGCAGTTCACGGATAGTTTGGTTTAAAGTCTTGTATTCGGGGTTTTTATAAATACTGAGAGATTAAGTCGGCAGTTCTATTTTTATTCGAGATGATTACAGGCATATCAACAAGCATGCATATACAGTCACTCATTCTATTTCTCCAAATTGTTTAATTCCATTCATTTTTCTACCTGTAATGCTTGTTTTATAGGCTTTATGCTTTATGCTTTTAATTCTGTTTTCATGATCTTGTGTTATTGTTATTTAAGATCTAATTTCTGCCTCCGAAGTGGTGGCCTTTGTCCTGCTGATAGTTATTGTACTGTAGTTTAGCAGGTTTCTGGCGAATTCATCAATAAACTGACCCAGTGTCAGCCAAGTTCTCGCTACCATTTGCCTGGCATATCTGCCCCCACATATAGTCCTTTGTGTCGCTTTGTTCGCCTTCTCCCCCAGCCGATGAGATACGGGGGATGACGATGGTAGCAAGGCAGACTCACCCCAACTCCAGTGGAGTTGGTTGCAAGGGCCACAAAAGAATTAAACGGGCCAATATATCCACGCAGTCAATCCTTACGTTTTCCTTCAAGAGTATAGATTAACCGGCATTCCCCCGAATTCGGGCCGTGGGGGCCGAACCAAGTCAGAGATGGTCCACCGATGAACCAAAGGAATCAACCGAATCAGCATTGAGGTATGAACGGCCAAAATATCATGGTTAAATTGGAAGTAATGGCGCGGGTGATTGGGTGGTTTGTTTTGTTGATTTTCTAAACGTATTGCGGCTATTTACTGCCGAACCAACGGGCTTATCCGGAGGAAAGGGAACTCGCCATGCTTCCTCTACTGCTCCCACGCCTCAGAGAACGAAATTGAACAATATTCCTCGAATTTTCCTGAAAACAGTCTATCTCATTTTCAGGCTCTTACTATTTATTGCGGTGTGGTATTCTATTTCTGACACCCTCAATCGATACCATAGAATTCAGGAGGTGCATGCTATCCCACCTCCGGAGATCTCAAATTCACTGAGCCAATATGATCGACAGCATAGATGAATGTAAAAGTGAATGTATACTGAGGTACTGGAAAGGTCATGCAAAGAAACCCTCACGACAAGCTTAGCCTTATGTAGAGAAATGACGCACCCAGTGGATCCCGATAGAGGCCCGAAAAGCATTTGCCACGGTTTCAGCTTCAACAAAGGAATTCGAGGGACGCTCCTTCGTTCAAGAAATAGCATGCCTTTTAAAAGGCTCTGGGGGCTGCATCTTTCAAGATAACGACACACACGCTACTCGTCCTGGAGTTAGTGGGGAATTGCGCTGGAGCATCCGGCCCCATGAACTCCATATATCATAACCATGCCCCACAGCTTAACAAAAATAGGAATCTTCGGGGTAGATTTGGTTGAGCTAGGGATGGGGCCAAATATTTATACCCGTGGTAGACCCTCACCGTGTCGCATGGCCAGTAGGACGGTCCTACTCGGAGACCCGAGGATAGAACGAGTACATAAACCATCTATTTTCTTGCCCTCCCAGTCATTAATTTTTCGAACCATTCGGGTAAAATACTATCTATCAACTCAATCGACAAAGAGCAACATATCAGAGACTTGAGGCTTCACACATAATGCATTTCCCGTGAGTGATCCACCCCTTGGCTATCCTGATCAACACTCCCAGAAAACTTCGATTAATTCTATGAAAGAAGCCTCGCAGCATTCAGCTCTGTCCTCCTAGCCCTCAGCTCAACTAGCGCGGCATCACCCCTCTCTGAGCCCGTGAAAAGAGGAAGCGGGATCGGCCAAGGCTTGTTTATAGGCCTCCAGAAATACGCCGGCGCCCAGTTCCAAAAGATCTTTGGCAGCAGTGCACCCTGTGCCGAGTACTTTGATGGGGAGTTTATGGCAGGCACAGACCAGGACGGGGCACCTCTTCCGTGGGCTCATTGCTATGGTAAGTCATCGTGGATTGAAATCATGCATTTCTTGCAACCATGCAAATGTCCATTCCGTCTGATATGTGAGCCATATATGTATAGTTGAGGGCGACCAAAACTTCACCCAGCAGGATGCCGATGTGGCGAAATGCCTGACCAACCTCCACTACGTCCAGGAAGATACCTGCATCTCTGTCAAGGGCAGCATGTGTGACAATGGGTATCTGGATGGAGGCGGCCGTATCCAGAATACGTATGTCTTCTTCATGTCCCTTCCCTTTCCCTTTCCCCCTTTTCCTCTTATTCGCTGTCGGGGGTTCAAATTGTCCCATTCTCTGTCAACCGCATGTACTAACTGGCACAACCCCAAATCAGTCAACTTTCTCTTCTGTACGACGCGCAACTCACTGCAGACCAGTCGAGCGCAATGCAATACGCCATTCAGTCAATGGTCGGCACTAATATCAGGACGGATAAAACCAAGCAAGACGCCTATATGCCGGCATACTCGGTGACCAAGACGCTAAATGGGCCTGCTATAGTGAGCATGATATTGAGATACATTGGAGAGCAGGGTTGCTAGAGGTGCTTATCATGAGGCTTAGTTTCGTGTCGCGTTTATATGTTATGATGATGACGTTCTGGAGGAATTAATGATACCCTATACATCTTCAGAATATTGCCAAGCTCTCTACCAATTGCTATTTCCCCTTTATCCAAGGCACTAGACTATGTCCAACGTTATGAGGCTCTTCAATGGCAAGCTGTCTTCTATTGTCTAATTCGAAAATTTTATAGATCATACCCTATCCTCCATCACACCCCAAGAATTCGCTTGGGTAGAAGTAGGCCCCCTCACACTCTTGTCCGTATCATCTTATACCGAGACACCTGAGATCCATCGCTCAGCTCGACAGCAGAGAGCTCAAGCCGATATCCAAATATCCACGGCAGCAAGACGAATCGGGCAACGTAGTAAATAGCCCCGAGGGACAAAATGGCCAATGCCACCACCGGCGACAGCCAGTAAGGCAAACTGGTACTGCCCTTGCCATTCGGTGGTGGGACAAAGGGCATAACGAGGAGAAACTGCGATAGTAAGTATACAGAATAACTTGTAAGAAGAAGAAGAAGAAGAAGAAGAAGAAAGCTAATCGAAAGGAAGCCCATTCAAAACTCACAATATTTCCTGCAAGGTAAAAACCCAGAACAACCCAGGGAACCGTAAACGAGGACTCGAAATTCTCATGCTTGGACAGACGTAGTTTGATCAATCCCACCGTGATGAGACTAAGTAGGAGCACCGTCGGATAGGAAGCAAGACTGACGATGAAATCGAACGCGTCGCCCGCTGGTGGCGCGCAAATAAACAGAGTCGTCACACAGAGATGGATTGCCAGTGCCCAGATGGGGGTTCTGAAGGGACGGTTTTGCATGACGATGTTGGGGAAAGGCATCACGCCGTCTTTGGCCAACTCTTGGATCACTCGTGCTATCATCTGGTATAAGCTTCTTGCCCTAGTAGGAATTATGTAAAGGCTTTATACGTACGGACGGTAAATGCGATCCCCAGCAGGTGGCCGATGGCCGAGATGGCAACCAGCGCGGGAAGGACTTTGGCGGCTGCAGACTCCCCAAAGACATTTTGGAAGAGAGACGCGGCAATGGTAAGATCGGACTTCTTAAAATCCTCCCTCGAGACTCCGGCAAAATAGGCGACATTGGCCAGAACATAGAGAACCGTGATGCTACCCATTGCCGTAGGCAGTGCGATGCGAAGAGCTTTCTTGGGATTCTCGACTTCGGACAGAACCTGAAAAATGCATTAGCTGAGATTGAACACAAGACTCAATCGAGCCGAAGTACCATGTTCAAATTGTCGTATCCTTGGTAGGAAAAGATCGCATCCAACAAAGCCGTGCCGATGTTGTATCCGCTGTTGGATGTCCCTTTGAAGGAGGTCGAGATAGCCAGGTTATGGGGATCAGGGACTCGAAGATGACCCCCCAATGCAGCGAACCCTGTACAGACAATGAAGAACAAAATAAACATCTTGACGGCGCTCAGCATATCTTGCAATCCTCGTCCAATACGCGGCGTCACGGTGTGCACGCCGACGGCAAATGCTGTTGCGGCAATGGCTAGCCCGCGCAATTTCCACGTTGTGGAGTCCACGCCGGCGGCTTGGAGAAGATACGACGAGCAAGTAATGGCGTTGCTTGCCGATACCTCTGGATCAGAGTTAGACATGGTCGATTGGTTTATTCCAGCAGAAGAAGAAAGACAACTTACGCAAAAAGACACAATAAAACAGATACACACAAGTCATCAACAACTTGGGCGACCAAGACCGTTCGAGATAGACTTTCATGCCCCCAGATCGAGTGATACTGGACCCGAATTCCAGCATCACCATTGCACCACAGGTGGAAATGATACCGGCAATGACCCAGAGGATCAGGGCCATCCCTGGACTGCCGCTCAGCTTGAAGATGGAGGAAGGGGTAGAAAAGATTCTATTGAATTCAAGTCAGCCGGAGCAACCTTTGCGCATTGTCAAAGGTAGTTAGTACTATACCCAGCTCCGACGATTTTATTCACAATCAATGAAATAGCCCCCAAGACGCCAATCTTGCGCTCTTGCAAGATATGCGACTCGTCGATGTGAGGACCTGAGCCCGATACATCTTCGCTGCTGGATGTATCAGGCGAGTAGTTTTCTACTATGTCAGTCTTCGACTACTGTTGAATCGTGGAACAAAAAGAGGCTTACTGTAAACAGTCTCCGGCTGAGGCTTCGCCATGATGTTCTTGTTTATCCCACGGAAAGAAACATTTCAAGCTTAAATCCTCGAATGCCTGACTAAGACTGTCACTGCAGCCATGGCAAGAATGTAGCGTGGATGGCGCGACCGTAGGAGTCTCCAACTGCACTACGCACGACATCGATCTCGCGCTTTGCGGGGCGGATGTCGTGACATCTCCCAAAACCACGAGGGGGATTATCAATCGCTCCCATAAAATGAGTGGTCTTGTGTTCCCTTGTTTGTTCGTCGCATCTTTCTACCTCCTGAACTTTTCACTTGACTATACTCTTGAGTTGAAGCCAGCATGTCCGTCGTGCAGACTATCACCCAGCCCACTCAGCCGGATATCCAGTACCATCCGGAGTATGAGAAGTATAAAGAGCGTTCGCGGCGTCGCAAGGAGACCGAAACCTTGGAGACTAGTCTGCCGCATGGGTTTCCGCAGGAGTTGATCTCCCCGCTGGTCTGGGAAGGGAAAGAGATCGAGAAGCGCGATGACTGGATTTATCAGTTGAGCGATGCGCAGCTGGATGAAATCGATGCTGCGTTGAAAAGGTTCAAGGGTGTGTCGAGACCAAAGAAGACCAACGTACTGGTTATGGCTGACCCTCGCAGCACTCGGCGTCCCCTTGGGAGCGATTAACCAGTCGACCTTCCCTCTTCCCACTTTGCATCCAACGTTGAGAGATCTCTCGAAGGAGATCCACACTGGCCGTGGTTTCTTTGTTCTGCGGGGCCTGCGTCTCGACAACTACTCCCGAGAAGACAATGTCATCATCTATGCGGGAGTCTCGTCTCATATTGGCAGCATCCGCGGTCGTCAGCAGGACACCAGACTAGAGAATGGCACCTCGCCGGTGCTGTCGCATATCAAGGATCTCACCAACACCATCGACAAGGGCAAGATCGGGGCACCTTCCAACACAGCCGATAAACAGGTGTTCCACACTGACGCCGGGGATATCATTTCCCTGCTGTGTCTGCATCCCGCCGCAGAGGGAGGCGAAAGCCATTTGTCCAGCAGCTGGCATGTGTATAACATCCTGGCCAAAGAGAGACCGGACTTGATCCATACTCTGTCTCGGGACTGGCCGGTCGATGGGTAAGTATAGAAGAGTAACAGACGCTGCAGAGCGACTCCGAGCTAATTTATGGATATCCAGGTTCAACAACCCCAGCAAGCCCTATACTCTCCGCCCTCTTCTGTACCACCAGCCTGCAACTGCAACCACCCCCGAGCGAGTTCTCATCCAGTATGCTCGGCGCTACTTCACCGGATTCCTGGCTCAGCCGCGCTCGACCAGTATTCCGCCGATTAGCGAAGCACAGGCCGAGGCACTCGATGCGCTGCATTTCCTGGCAGAGGAGCATAGCGCCTCGCTGGACTTTCAGAAAGGCGATGTCCAATATGTCAATAATCTCAGCATCTTCCATGCGCGCAATGGATTCAGAGACGAGCCCGGGAAGAAGTATGTCGTTGGATCCGATCCGATCCGATTTCTTTCCCCCTTTCTTTGTGTTTAGCTGGTGCTGACTGCTGACCATCCAGACGACATCTCTTGCGATTGTGGCTGCGAGATCCTGAGAATGCCTGGGAGACACCCGAGCCGCTCCAGCCTCGCTGGGACACGGTGTATAAGGATGTTAGCGAGGAGGAGCAAGCATTTCCCTTAGAGCCTGGGCTTCGGAAGAATGTGGGCTCGTAAGCCTGTAGCAAGGGTAGCATTGGTTGTTAAAATAGTTTGGTGACAGTGACCCATTCACATTTATTTTAAATAGGCTAGATGCTGCGCTGAATCAAATGATTGACCCAGCCCTAACATACCCGAGAAAGAGAAGACCTAACAGCGTCTTTGCTGCAAGGCAACCCACCAAGATGCCAATGATCAGCGCCCAGAGAATCGGTATGAAATGCGATAGGCTACCAACTTGGGTTCTTTGCTGAAAACAAAACGCAGACTTGGATAAGACCAACCCTCTCAAGAAAAAGCAATGTCGAACACGTAGCATTGTCCAACGGGCTGGCAACATCGCGTAGATCATATAGTTTATCAGGCTCTTGGCTTGCGAGCCGAACTCGCGGGTTTCGTTGGCAGCAGGTATGAACAGTGCTGTGCGGGGCTGGCAATAATCGGGCAATATTCGAGTGTGTTGAACAGAGAGTCGTGCAGTCGTGGAGGGCGTTTGTGTCGGTTCGTATTTCAAGTGTCCGGTGCCGAGACGAACGAAACTCATCTTCGCAATGCATCTCAAACAACGTCCACAATTCAACAATTGAGAGCAATTGGGATTATCATCCCCGGATCTGTTTCTTCAAGATGCCTTCACTTTTCCATCGTCTAGAGAAAACACTTCAAGATGGTATTGGCACAGTCCAGCCGGACAATCCCGAGAAAGCCAGCCAGAATGACACCGCCAGCCGATCAGAGCATTCTCTGCCAGCCATCGACCCATCCGCAGAGAAACAACTACTTTGAAAAAAAGGAAACTCGACCTGCACGTCGTGCCCATCCTGACCTTTCTGATTCTGCTCGCCTTGCTTGACCGCATCAACATCGGCAATGCGCGAATCCAGGGATTGGAACGCGATCTGGGCATGAAAGGACACGAGTTCAATATCGCGCTGTTTGTGTTCTTCATCCCGCATATTCTGTTCAAAGTTCCGTGCAATATTGTCTTGAAGGTGTCACCGTCGTGGTGGCTAGTGGGATTATAGTTGCATGGGGTATGCTCCACTGGGGCACATTGCGCAAAATAAGCGTCTGATTTGGTTTTTAGGCATCATTACCATCTGCCAGGGTGTCACCGAGAGCTTTGGAGATTTGGAGACCTGTCGGTTCCTGTTAGGGTTCTTCGAGGCAGGCTTCATGCCCGGTAGGTGATTGTGAATATGATGAGCACTCAACGATGAGGACTGATTTAGGCAGGGTGTGTATATCTGATCGCCATGAGCTGCAATGGGCGCGTGACCTTTTCTTCAGTGCCAGTATCTTGGCTGGTGCAGTCAGCGGAGTAGGTCCCAGCCTCTTTCTACCCCAGCCCATGAAGGGTTTTTGACACTCGATGGGCCTTGGCTGCTGGCGTATGCGCTGGGGGAAATGGATGGCATCGCCGGCTATGGCGGCAGGCGCTGGATCTTTATCATCGAGGGACTGGTGACCGTTGTCGCGGCGATTGTCGCCTAATTCCTTATTGTGGATTGGCCTGAAAGGGTATCTTTTCTAACAGACAAAGAGCGGACACTGCTGCTCCATCGGCTCTCCGAGGATCGAGGTGCCGCGCAGATGAACCGGCTCGCTAGACCCGCGGCCAAGCGAACACTCTCAGATATCAAGATTTATCTGGGGTGAGTGCCGTTGCAGCAGACTATCAGACTGATTCTTCGTGCTGACGAGAATCCAGGGCAATCATGTACTTTGGCATCGTCACCACGACCTATGCCTTTTCGTTCTTCACTCCGACTATCCTCAAACAGCTTGGCTGGACGGCGGTGCGAGCCCAGGTAATGAGCATTCCAATTTACATTTTTGCCATGGCCCTCTCCTTGGCAACGGCGGTGGTCAGCGACCGACTGCGCCACCGGTTTGCATTCACCTTGGCCGGATGCCTGGTGGCCACCGTCGGATACATCCTCCTGCTGTGCCAACAGTCCATCCCCGTCGCGGCCCGCTACTTTGCGCTGTATGCCGTCACCGGCGGCGGCTTCATCACGCAGGCAATCCTGCTGGGTTTGGTCAGTAACAACGTGGCTGGCCACTACAAAATCTCCATCGCAGCGGCCGTGCAGGTTGGGTTTGGGAATTGCAGTGGGCTGGTGGCGAGCAACATCTTTGAAGAAGAGGCGCCGACGTAACCCACAGGGTTCAGTGTGAGTTTGGCCATGCTGTGGATCTGTGGAGCGGCCTGTCTCTGGCTCTTCGTATATGCCATCCGCGAGAATCGGCTGCGCGACCAGGGGAAAAGGGAAAAGGGATGACCGGTATGAGTGGCCGACGGAGGAGCTGGAGAACCTGGGCGACGCTCATCCCAGTTATCGATTTACTTATTAGCGACCAAAGCCGGATGATCTGAATCCAACGACCAGGGTATGATTCGATCGGCACTGGTTTCCCAACATGACGTAGAGAAGAGCCGGCATTTGGGGGTTTGGTCCACAAAAACAGGGGAGAGTCTTGTTGAACAATGCTCGGCAGACCAGCGGGTGTGAGAGAGTCAGGCTTGAACTGCTGCACTTTTTCATTCGACGCTCTTGTCCAATTATCACTCCCCGCCCCATCTCCCGCGGAGATATATGGGGCTCGAGTCCCATTTTCCCCTACTTAACCTCGCTCCACCCGATCCTTGTTCTCTTTCCCCAAGAACATCACTTTCTTTCTGTTGATCGCGATGTCCAAACCTCGCTCGCCTCACAAGAAGCACGCTCGGTCGGTGGCATCGGATGAACCCTGGAAGGTCGATGACCCGTTCGGGCCGCCGCCGGTACCGCACTCGACTTCCAACGGTGGTATTCGACGCCTGCGCGATACTTTGTCGAAATTATCGCCGGCCGCCTTTGCAGAAAAGGAGCTCCTGCGCAAGAAGAATCAGTACAAGATTCCTCTGACCGAGCGCAACGTCGACACTTTTGTCACGGAGCAGGAATTCCATGAAGCCTGCCACCCCAAGGAGCGCACATCCGAAGACCAGGTCGCCGAATGGCTGAAGCAACTGTCCTGATTTCGATCTGCTGTCTTTGCAGGGCAGACAGAGTTTGGCTGTTTTATCCTTTTTTTCTCGACTTTTCGTGATCGTCCTCTGAAGCCCCCGGAATGCGACTGGGCAGAATTCCCAGCTAGGATCTCTTGGCCCATAACCTGTTTGGCTCCAAGAACAAGATCGTCGTTCAATGGAATTAAAGAACAAATGCTTGGCAGTTGTCATGGCGCAAGGCGCGGTTGGAGAACAAAACGCGCGATCGGGGGCCGTGCGGGTGTGGAGAATAACACCTCGAGGTATGTCCACACTCTTAAACACAATACAACCTCACCACAACACTTCAACCGCAACACCACCACAACCACAACAAATGAATTCTTACTGACAAAGACCATTCAAATTAATCAGAATGAAATCCTCTTCGTCTTTCTCCACTTTTCGACGATCTTAGTGGGGTTGGTGTGGGGGAAAATCCCCGACGAACGACACAGACCTCAGCAGTGAACAAGGTCTGAACAACTTCTCCCTAACCTGTGGTGAGTGGCGTAGGGGTTTATTCCTCTACTGCATTAAAGCGAGTCATGGGTTCGACGCCGGATGAAGGGATTCTTTTCCAGACGGCCTCGCGAAAGCAAGTCGCGCCTGCCGCCGGGAGGTGGTAGGTCCTTAAGGCTAAAGGGACTGTTTCATAGCCTGGGCCAGTGTGGAAAATCAGTACACGCGTCGGGTGAACTTTTTTTACATCAACCTGCAAATTATTTGGTTGGGAATTGGGTTGTTTACTCCTGGGAAAGGATCCGACACGCTTTGGACGCGTGCTCCAAGGATATCAGGTGGAAAACAGAGAGCTTTGTGCCTTGTTGATGCGGACGAATTCCCTTGGTAACAGCCTTGATGTATTTACACGGGCAACAGTCTTGCGGCAGTCTACTACAACTCGTGTCCTTCATTGCAACGAGGTTCTTGATTGGGGTCAGGCTGATGTATCCGGCATCCTTGGATATATATCTAGCCCTAGAGGCGGAGATGGACCAACAACAATATCAACAGCATTTTCAATATATTCTCCGCAATGGCAATTACCCATGTCATTCACCTTGTCTAGAGTCTGTTTGGTCGCATGATATAGAATGTCTGGCTGGTTTCTCAGAACCGCGTGATCTGATCATTCTAATCCACTGAATACGAAGTATACAACGTAAACATATAAACATCGATGTCTTGAATATCAATCGACAGTTTCGCAGTGGATTAACCAAGTGGGGTAGCTCGATCCACCGCGGAGATGTTGACTCCCTCGTAGACCAGACCAACCCACTTAACAAACAAGCAATAATTCCTCTCCCAACTGGATATAACTCACAACCCTAATCCGCGATGCCCAAAAAGGTCGCCATCATCGGTAAGTGTTTGCAACTTCACCGCATCCCCCAAGCTTAAGGCAGACCTCAACTCACCCCGCGAACCAGGCGCCGGCCCTTCAGGACTCGTCACAGCCAAAACACTTCTCCACAACTTTCCTGGAGGGACATTTGCCCCGACTATCTTCGAGAGTCGCCATGAAATAGGTGGTCTCTGGCCCAGCTATCCCTCCAGCTCCAGTGCCCACAAAACCAATGGCCCTCCCGGCACCCTGGATCCATGGATGCGCACGAATCTCAGTCGCTTCACGGTGGCATTTTCTGATCTTGCCTGGGAATCGGTGATTCCGGATAATGAGATCCCAGTGTTTCCTCAGGCGAGACAGGTGGGGCAGTACTTGAACGCCTATGCTATCCAGTACATCCCACGGTATGTGCTGAGGCTGGGGTGCGAAGTTATCCGAACAACGCGGAGAATTGACTCTGGGAATGTCCGGTGGAGAGTCGACTGGGCGACGGAGAGGTTCGTATCTGCGTTTGTAGCTGTTTCCGTGAAACTCGCAATCTGATGGTCATCTAGTGCCCCAGATATTGGGGATGCGAGTCCAAACAGGCGCGAAATCTCCTCCGAAGACTTTGACTTTCTTGTTGTTGCGTCCGGGTACTTCGCACGCCAATATAACCCCGATATCCCCGGGCTGGATCAATGGGCCGGCAAGGTCATTCACAGCTCTGCCCTCCAGAACGGCCGATGCAAGCTAGTCCTCTGCGGCAAGGACGACACAATCCCCGGAAAGGTCGCTGTAATTGGAGGGAGCATGTCTGGTGTCGAAGCAGCCGCTGCGGTGGCTCTCCATCAATCCTCGTCCATGCTTGCTACAGGTCCCAGGCCATTAGCCCTACAACAGAAGACAGTACACCACATATACTCGAGACCCTTTTGGACTCTGCCAACCTATCTTCCCTGCGTGTCTTCAAAAGATGCCGCCTCATTCTTGCCGCTGGATCTGGCAATGTACGACTTGAGTCGTCGACCGCCTGGTCCCATTGAGTATGCGCCGGGTCCCATCCCAGAAGAAAAGGCAGCCAAGACGAACAGCTACTTTCAGTCACTGCTCGGACCGGACTATGAGCTATTTGGACACATGCACCCAAGAGACACGGAGGACCAGACCACTACCCAGTCACCACCCTGGGTAGCCATAGGCAACGACTATGCCGAATATGTTCGCTCTGGGGCAATTGCAGCAACGATGGGCCGAGTCATTTCCGTGCACTCCGAGCCTGACTCGGATCTGGCTTCCATAGAGATCAAGGGCCCCGGCAGCCAAACATCAACGTTGGATGGTATAGCCGCCATCGTCATGGCCACGGGGTTCGCACCGTTCGAGTCTCTCTCCTTCTTGTCTGCCGAAATCCTCCAGTCTCTAGAATACTCCGTCGAGGACCCGTTTTCACCTCTGATTCTCGACAAGGGAGGTACCCTCCGTTCGGAGATCCCAGACCTCGGCTTCGTCGGATTCTATCGCGGGCCCTACTGGGGCGTGATGGAGATGCAAGCCAGATTCCTGGGCGATATCTGGAGCAAGGAAATCACCGGCATCTCCCCGACGAATTCCCAGACAGATGGGCTGCGGAGTCTCCGACATGCCGATATGAGCCTGCGCCGTGGTCAGTTTCCCATGGGCGACTACGTGGGCTTGATGGAGTCTTTTGCCAAGGAGCTGGGCATCAGCCGCATGGAGCTCGAGCTGTCAGAAGAAGACAGTAATAGATCTGGGCCGGTTGTTCCTGCTCGATACTGCTATAACAGCGCTGCATCGCCCGCCACCCAGCACACGGCCCAGACCCAAGGGCATAGAGAGACGAAACGAACCTTGGATGCGCTGCGGGCCAGCTTCGTTGATTACCACTACACTGCGCGCGCGGCGGCTGCTTTGGCGGTTTTTCGAGCTTTGCACGGATCTTGGGGCTATACCAAGCAACCTCTAAGTCTTGGCCATGACGGCCAGCCCGTATCCGGGACTCTGGCTTTCTATCCGCGGTACCCGTCTGCTCTAGCATATGACAGAGAGTATGTCTGTATGGAAAACGAGGAAATGCAGTCCATCTTCCGCTTGTCAGAGCGTGGTCCTGATGGTGCCAGCTCTCGAATCGAGGTGTGGACGGTGAATCCGACAAACCCTAATACAGCGGGCCGACTGATCCACACTCTGCATTTGACACCGTTATACCGGAAGAAGCATGATGGTGATTATGTCTCTGGGGAATACGTGATGCACGGCACGAGTGTGTCTCCAACGACTTCGCAAGATGAGACCAATTCTTGTCCTCGCTTTGGGTCCGAGTATACATTTCATTTCCTGGGCATTTCGATCATTTCCTGGGCATGTGTCACTCAACCCAAGAATCACAGCGCGAGTATAGAGAGTCTGGATGAGCAGATGTGCCCAACACGAACGATCTATAGAAGAGAAGTGGGATAGATCGTCTGGCATGTGCTTTTGCTCTGTGATCACCACAGCGACAGCTCAGCTTGGCCACATCTCTTCACCCAAAAGAAATAGTCAACTTATCATAGACGAGTGGTGCATTCCTCGGCAGTGCAACATTGCATGTTTCGAGTCCGCATGGAACGACTACCGCGTCTGACTGTTCTAGCCCAGCTCCCAAGCCATGGTCTTTCTTGGAGATACCAAGCATAAGGGGCATCCAGCAAGCCTCTAAGCGAGGGTCTACTTTAGGTGGATAGCATCATCCACTCCGACTGCTGCCATCATACCACGGATGAACTATATTCAGCTTCGCGCTTCATTCCCCAAAGGAGTACGGCTTTGTCGCCTGTCATACTTTCTATTTTTTTTTTTTTTTTTCACTCTCCGTGGCTGTGCCGAACAAACTCGCCGTCGGCTCCGACCGAGTGGCGGGTTCCCGAGTTGCGCGAGCCATGGTTCTCGTCGGATAAGAGCCAGAGGTGGCGGACGAACCTCCTCCAGGGCTGGGTCTGGAAGTGTCAGAACATGCCTCGGTATCTTTTCTTCTCGTTGCTATTTCGCTAATTGCGGCAGACAGAGTCGCGCTCCGGCTTGGGGGTAGATCTCTGGCGCCGACTCGGCCGATGTGTAGAGTTTGATAGATGATGTGTATATAAGTCAGGTGAAGGTACACTTCCCCGTGAGAATTACAATAAAATATTCACACTTCAGAATACAGGTTAGGACTGGTCTGCACTTCATCACATCACTACCTCACCACTCACCACACCACCTACATACTATCAAACCTCCCGTGGGTGATTCCATTGTCCATCAATCAAATGGCAAAGCAAGACGAACCACCCCTCTACCTAGACCCCATCTCCGAATGGCGCGCCTGGCAAGCCCTCTCCGTCTACTTCGCCGTACTCCTCAACCGCCAGATCCGGCGGCGTTGGCTCCTCGAGCACCAATGCATGCACGACCGGCCAGTGTCACAGCGATTCCGGCCGGTGATGTTCCTGGAGCCAGTACCGACACTAGTCAAGCCGAGAGTGGCCAGCACCAGCAATGCCAACATCAACACTGATACCAACAACAACAACAACAACAACAACAACAACAACATGAATATGAATATGAACATGAACATGAACATGAACACGAATGCAAAGAACAACCCCTGCAACCCCGAAGCCCTCACAATCCTCAAACAAAAAGTCCGCCTCCTCCGCGCCCGCACCGAAAAGGGCAAAGAACTCGCCTCCGAAATCGAGCGCCGCATGCAAGACCCGCGCATCCTGTACCCAACACACTTCTGCCACACGTGTGTGCAGGACGACTCTGTCGTCGAGGTGCTGCTAACTAAGTGCGGGCACCGCGTGTGCCAGACGTGTCTGTCCTTTGCTGCAACGGATCCTGTTTCGGGCCTGTCCGAGTGTGGTATCTGTTTTATGCCCGTGCGGTTTGTGGCGCGGTCGCCGTTGGCGACGTTGCGGTCTTGTTCGGAGCAGATTTCGAGTGTTTCTTCTGGTCTTTCTTCGAGGGTTTCTTCTAATCTCTCTGTGAATCTCTCTTCGGGTTCTTCGGTTTCGAAGCGAGTTTTGGATCCCGTCGGGAGGAAGGCTGCGGCTACTGTTCGCTGGGTGCCGCTTGTTTAGTTGCTCTATGGATAGCGTTACGTCAAGGGGGCATAGGGGTGTACTTGATATCTCTTTCAGCATTTATACCCAGTTTTATTCACTCTACTCTAATGTACTCTGCCCGTCAGATCTATGAACAATAGGATTGTCTTCACATAGATATCAACCTAAAGTTCCCAATGCTCCTCAAGCCACCACACATCAGATGCGCCATACGAAATGGTTGAACAGGGGACCACTGCAGGCTTCAAGAAACGCCATTCGCACCAAAGCAAACAGGACCAGTCTTCCCAGGGAGAACCCAAGACCATTATATAGGATGCAAGTAAGCAAGCTGATCAGCAGCTACCCAACAAAGAGACAGAAAAGAGAAACAGAAGAAAAGAAAAGCAATCAAGAAGATTCATGAAACTCAACGGAAGATAAGACCGTTAAAAGCAAGAGAGACGAGCCAGCTACTGCTGAAAAAAAAAACCCAAGTAGGCGCCGTCTAGCTCATTATGTCGTTTGGTATAAACTCTCTCCTTCTCTCTTTCTCTCTTCACCGATCTTCGGCATGCTCCCCGTCATCAATGATCATTTCCACATCCTTGACCGGATGCAGGAGCATCGGGGGCAGACACATGCGGCCCTCGTTCGCCAGCTCGTGCTGCTCGCCGCCGTCATTATCGACACGGTACCCGAGCCAGCGGCGCCAGAGGTTGGGCGAGAACCCAGCAGAATAGAACCAGGTCGTGCCACGGAAGTTGTGCTCGCGGTCACCGAAAATGGCCGTGCGCGCGCCGCCCGAAGCCCCGTTGCGGCCGGCGTTGAACACCGACTCCAGGTACTTGGTGGGCCAGCGGCGGTCGACGTACACCGCGTGTGGCACATACACGGCCTTGAAGCCGTGGTGCAGCGCCGTAGTGGCGGGCCACATCTCCGAGAACATGCTGTGGTGCTTGAGGCTGGTTTCGCGGTGCATGGTTGTCAAGAGCTTGCGCGATAGTCGCGACGCTGTAATGATGGCCGTGCGGCGGGGTGGCATGCCGTGCTTGCGGTTGTAGCCGGTCACGTCGTCGCGGAGGATCCACGTTGTGCCCTCCGGGTCATATAACGGGTTGAGAACGATCAGATCGGCGTCCTCGCCCACGCCCCACTCGTACTGGTCCTTGTCGACTGTCGATGGCGGGATACCCTCGCCTTCGACTTCCAAGATGTCGCTGGCGTCGGGCCGTTCCGGTCCCCAGATGGACTTGTCGCCCTGCTGGAGCAGGCCAGCGTGCGCTTTGTTAGACCCGTCCTTGGCGGGCTTCGCTATACTCCAGAGGTTGTTGGGGCTGTTGGTGCCGGCCTGTGTCTGCACGCGGACCGTCTGCCGGAAGTCCTCCCACGATCCGTGCTCAGAAGGCACGTAAAATCGGGCATTGCGCTCCCACAGACCCTTTCGCGGCTGTTGCTTCGCCCACCCGGCGAGCTTGTCGAAGAGATGGTACCAATGACCCGTGTAGCGGGCATCCATCTCCCAGTTCCAAAAGTAGTCGTACTCCGGATGCTGGTAGGCAAAGTACTGCATGCACATGTACGTGCTGCGGTAGACCCCGTGGATCGGCAACCCACGCGACCCATTTTCCTCCAGATCGGGGTACATCAGAGCAATCTGCTTCTCCGACCATAGGGTTGCCATGCCACGGAACTCCGCCGGCAGCGCGTCATTGAGCACGCGCTGATACGTCTCGTCGTCCGACCAAATCGGCAAGTTGGTGTCTTTGACATGGACGAGGAAGTGGACAGTGTACTCGCCGCCAGACATCAGCGACAGCTCCGAGATCACCGAGCGCAAGTACAGGATATCTTCCGGGGTGTAGTGGAAGTCGTGCCACGTCCGGATGACAACCGCACTTCGCCGCAGACGGTTGGTCCCCGTCTTGGGCGGTGCCTGGCGATTATCGGTGTCAGGTGGCGAGATGCTCACCTTGGGGGCACCCATCGGCATGGCAACAAACCGGTTAATACGCGGCTCCGGCTCTTCGGCGAAACGATGGCGGTTAGCCGCAATACACCGGTGCTGCGCGGCAGCCCAATCGACCTCGCGATAGTCCACTGGAGGAACATCTTCCCAAACGCGCTCCGCACCATCACGATGGCCCTCCAGCCCAGCGCCAATTCCGCCTTTCCTGACCGGGTACCCCAGGCCGTACGGCCCCAAGCGACCAAATCGGTCAAAGCACACGTCATCCTTGATTCCTATCATGCTGTTCGAGCCCATAATAGGGTCCGGGAAGCCTTTCGGGACTCCAGGGTAATGCTGGAGAGACGGGATCCGGACGGTGTTGGCCTTGTCCAAAAAACACTCGCGCTTCTCGCCATATTTCTGGATATACTCGGTTGACTTATAATCGGGATACGGATTGAACACATTACTCGTCATGGACGGCGATTTCTTGTCCCGTTTCGTCACTCGGTTGGCGTCGTCCGCAGAGACGTTGGCAGCGGTCTCCTCCGACCGACCCGACAAATCCACCGGAAGCTCACCCTCACCCGGGTATTCGGGGATATTCTGCTGGCGCGGCACGAGGTTCGTCAGGCCACCATGGTAGCGTTTCAGGAAATCGAAGCTCTCCCAGGTGGGCGGCTTGTGGACGACTCGCGGAAGGGACACTTGGGTCACGGAGCTGAGGGTGAATCGAAAGAGGGTGAAAATGAAGATGATAAGGAACAGAAATAGGCCCAAGCAGAGCCATCGAATGATTCGCTGGGGGACACGGAAGCCCAAGCCTCCGTGGGCATTGCGTAGACTCGCGCCGCGCGCGGGCGGGTAGGACGAGGAGACAAAGGTGTCGGGGCCGCTGTCGGAATCATCGCTGTAACTGTAGCGGTGGCCATGGGAGCGGCTCTTATACGGTTGCTTCTCAACATCACCGTCATGTCTATCGTGTGCTCTGTAGGCTGTGGAATGCCTCCTCGCCTGGACGGTCATGATGGGCACGTCACGTCAACATTGAAAGGGGAATTGTGGGGGAGGAGAGTCCGTCAGGCCCGACAATCAACACATCTGTCCTCTCAAGACACCCGGGGATATATTGACAGACGGTATCGAGAGAGGTAAACAAAAGAACAAAATAATCAAAGGCGGAGAGAAAAAGAAATAAAAAGGAGAAAAACGGCACGCGATGATGAAAGGGACGATCAACAGGATCAGGGTTTTACGGTCTACAGGGGCCAAATGCACATCAACAGTAAACAAAGTCCAACAAATCCCCAGGTGCCACGATTATCAACTTTGCTAATGGTCTATAATCCATAGATTAAATGAATCGGCATCATTGTCTCGTGGACATAAAGACAACCTAAGAAGTCCTTGATAGTATAGTACTGGATTTATCAAATTGTTGAACAAAGGCATCGAACAGAGAGCAATTTTGACGGCGCCGGAGAGAACAAATGAGGCTAATAACATAGCGTAGAAAAGAGCCATGAAGAGAACACAAGCACCATCCAGTTGCTGAACCCCTGTCCCTACGCGGGAGATCCAATGTCATGTCCCTGTGGCCTCGAGAACTCCCGCCATCGTCATCATCATCATTTGCAGGTTTTCCGGTATTTCTCATCTTTCCCTCAACCCGCTCAGCTACAGACCTCCCCGACGTTATAACACCGCTTAGTCGCGGCCCGTTTTCCGGAGGGTATCGGCGAGCCACTCCAGACCTTCGTAGAGACCGTCTCCGGTGGTGGCACAGGTGGATTGGATGAACTAGAACAGTCAGTAAAAGTTGGGATTTGAATGATCCATTGGCGGTCACTTACCCAGGCACGGCGGGTGAGACTCTGGAGACCCAGCTGCTGCGTGATCTCGGCGGGGCTCATGGCGTTCTAGAAAAACAAAGCGCATCAGTATAATTATCCCAATTCAATTTGCGATCGACAATTTTATTCGTTTTTTTTTTTCCCTTACCGGCAGATCTTGCTTGTTGGCGAAAACCAGAAGGAGAGCGTCGCGGAGCTCATCCTCGTTCAACATGCGTTGCAACTCCTCGCGGGCCTCGACGATACGGTCCCGATCGTTGCTGTCAACCACAAAGATGATACCCTGGGTGTTCTGGAAATAGTGTCTCCAGAGGGGACGAATCTTGTCCTGACCACCAACATCCCACACGGTGAATTGAATGTTACGATACTCGACGGTCTCGACGTTAAACCCTGTTATATGTGTTGGTCAGCCACGCTGCGAGGGGTAGGCGATCGCCGCAAAGACATCCCGAAAATCGTGCGGCGAATTTGATTTTCCAAGGGAGGAGGGGGGGGTAAGGTGAAAGATTTCGGGACTAGGGCGAATCGAACTGACCGATCGTGGGGATGGTGGTGACGATTTCACCGAGCTTCAGCTTGTACAGGATGGTGGTCTTTCCGGCGGCGTCAAGACCGACCATCAGGATGCGCATTTCCTTGCGACCCCATAGTCTGTCAAACAGCCTCGAAAAAGTGATACCCATGATGGAGGACCCTGGGATATTCAAACGAAGGTGAGATGTCAAGGGAAGAGGAAGAAAAAGCGGAGGGGTGAAAACGTGTTGTGGACTTTCCGGCCAAGTCGGTCAGAAGGTCAGGGGTTAGGCCAGATTACGGAAGGGATGACTGATCGACACCACGTACCAGCAAGAAAGAAAAAAAGGGAATTGACAGTGTAGGAGATTAAGTGGAGAAGAAAAATAAGAATAGGAATTGGTATAAAAAAAAGAATGGGTACAGAAGTGACAGGGAAAAGGGAAAAGGGAGAGAAAGAAAAGGTGGGCAAATGGTGAATTACGGCGGTGTACAAGAATCTCTCATTCCCCCCATCTCTGCCTTGTACACAATTTCACTCCAGCGTTGTCAGTGTTTTCAGTTCCAACATTGTCTGGATTGTCTGGAATCGTATCAAAAAGGACACCGTGTTGTATGTGAAATACAAAGAGGCAAAAAAGAGGATCCTGTACGTGTCCACTGATAGGCCGCGGCTTATCGTGCCTGCGACAAGTCTTCGATCGCGCCATGGGTCTCCCCGAGTCCACTCAATACGCGTCATTCAACTGTTTATCCCACGAGACATCCTCTGCCGGGACGTTCGAAAAAATGTCCGCACCAGGGACCGATAGATGGTTTTGCCCTCGACAGTATCGCTGGCAAACCCGAAGATCGACAACACCACAATCGATACGAACATGATCACGCCAAAACTCGCCCAGTAATCCACCTTGGTGTACCCGCCTTTGACGCCCTGGAGCTCGGTTGAAAAGTATGCAGTCATGAGACTGACGGGCAGGAATAATATCGTCGCTTTGGCCAGCAAGATCGTGATCCGAGTCAGCTTTTCCACCGCCTGCGAGTCCTTGAGCGCGATCAAGTTGAAGTTCTGCCGTAGTCAGTGTCGGGTGTCGCATGATCAATGGAACTACAAAATCAGGGTCACTCACCAGGAACGTCAAAGACTCCTTGTCGCTGAGACAGCTCTCGATCTCGCTCAGACAGTACAGATTGGTGCGATCCACCAATCGCTCGAAACGCGCCACGGCCGCCGAACTCAGATGCACCCCGACTGGTTTTTCTGCCATTCCCGGACCACTGGAGGTGCTCATCAGACTCGACTGTCGCATGTCGGCGAATTCGATGTCGCCAAAGGTGGCGCCGAAGGATAAGGGACCCGGTTGGGAGGAGCGGGCTTCGTCGCGGAGCAGTCGCTGCCGCTGTAGCACGCGGCGCATAATGAGCTCATAGCTCTGGTACAGTCGCTTGAGGGCCGCGAGCCTTCGACCCAGCCAGTGCAGTTCATTTACCAGTTCAATCACAGGACGCTCGAGCATTTGACTTCTCTGTGTGCAGACGTCAGTCATGGTCCCAGTGTGACACTCGGGTATCGCGTGACCTACCAATTTGTCCAGGGCCACCCCGTACTGGTGTTCTCTCTTGGCAATGAGCCCATAGCTCGATACCCAGTCGTCAAAGATATAATAAAAGAGCAAGCTCGGGCCATCCTCCTGCTTGATGTTCGCCTGGTCCGGCCCATAGTCGTTGAAATGCCGCACGCGGATGGTCACTAATGAGTCGCTCTCGGACATGGCAAAGTGTTGCTTGGATACACCCGCAAAGATGAACCGGACGTTTCGGCGCACGACATCAAGGACCGGCTTGACTTCCTCTGTCGACAATGCACGCTGGGGTCGCGGAAACGGGTTCTCCTGGATCGAGATAACAGTGCCTGTTAACGTCAGTGGGTGCGCTGCTTGATCATAAAGAGTTTCTTACCATCCTCGGTGAGGATCAGCCAAGACCAGAGCCGTTGTCCATCTGGGAGGTCCTTGCCGTTCGGCAGGTCAATTTTGGGGACTACGAACAACGTGTTGTAGCCGATGCAAGTATCTGGCTTGGAGTCAGCCCACCCGTTCACCATGAACGAGTATTCAACTTACATCTAGGGCCATGGTCTACTGACGAAAAGTGCCATATTTGGTTGGTGACTTGTGCAAAAGTCAAGCTCTTCATTTTGGCGGCCTCGTGGCCCTCATCCTGATCGGGGACATTTTTGAGAGCATATGCACTCTCGAGATCATCGGGTTCTTGCGGCGATAGATCCACGTCCTGCAGCTGCGAATGTCTTTTTCGGGGCAAGGCCGCAGGCTTGGGCCGATGAAGAACTGGCTCCGTGCACATCATCCCCTGCAGCCGTTCCGAGACCCCATAGTGCGTAGTGATTGCCTGGGTGTGGTCAGTCTATGACAGCTTGCATCTGAATCAGACCGGCATACCTTGATGGTATCTTTTTGCTCTTCCGGTGCCCATATATGACTGTAATGCGAAATGGTCAGTATGAATACAGAGATAGGTTATTACCAGGCCAGCTTACATCCATCTGGTACCGAAATATTTGGCTCTCTGAATGAAATTAGTCTTTGCTTGAATATTGTAAGAATAAACCAGATGAAACAATACTCCACCTACCGGCTTGTTCAACAAAAGCTTCAGCTCATCTGTATTCAAATCTGCCGCGCACCATGCATCCTCGTTGCCAAAATCCAGCACAAAATTTCGAGTGAGCGGATTCTCCAGCCGGTGCATGTAGCCGCGAAAATGAATCGGATCGTCAATATCCTGGAACTTATCCGCCAGCGACCCCATCGCCCCGAGATTGGAGTAATACTGTCGAGGACTTTGAGGATCGCGCGAATATAGATCGGCCATGGCGAGCGCAAATAACGGGAAACCCGTTGCTATGTCGGTCGTTTGGTGTGATCAAGGGCCCCGCTATCGTGGCAAGTCACACACAGAAACACTCGAGACGCCCGGGTTGGTACCTTCCCGAGATATACGTAGAAACGAAGCGAAATCAGGGAGAGATGGAGAAGCAAAACCGATATAAACAACCCTCCTGCAACCACAGCGCAAATCAAAGAAGACCAGGGACGGCGAAACTTGTTAGAATTGATGTTTTTTTCTTGAAATAAAATGTGAAGAAATAGAATCCGGGCACTCAGCCCATCAAATAATAAACCTCGTGCAGTACAGGCAGAAAAAAAGGGGGGCCGTCATCGGTCGTCTGAGGGTGATGTTGCCGCCGGTCACGCTTAAGCGCTGCGATCAGCTGCCCCCACTGTTTCATCTGACCAAAAATAACAGCCAATGCCACTCTGGGTTATGTTATTTGCTTTTGTCGCTGCAGAAGCGGCGTGGCTGCTTGGCTGAAGCTTATCCGAAGCATCCTCAGGACTATTGTTGTGCGGCGTGGGTGGGTTCTCTGTCCGGCTTTATATAGATCGGGTGTTGACATAGAGGTGTCAGATGGCATGTTAATATGAATGTGTGGGGTACACAGCCTGTTTTTGAAGATAAATCAGAACATTAAATATGAAATAACGAGTACATCAAATAAGTACTTCTGCTGCTATTTTCTAGATGAATTTAGTTGTTTATTGTAAAATACACTGGTTGGTGCAGCTCCCATAGCAAATGGTATATAACCAGCACCTGTAGCTTCAGCGTTAGCATACAGATGCCCTAATAATAACCCACAGACCCTCGATGCTTATTTCTATCTATTCGATATCTATATTTACCAAATATATTGATTTATCTCAACTCGTGCCTCAATATTGATACCTCAGGCACAGAAGCCCCACCGACGGAGATCGCTCGACTCCAGCGAGACAAGTGACTGCGCGACTCTTCTTCCCTCTTCGACTACAATTGAGGTTTTTGAATGTTCCGTGCATGACCCAAATTCATCCACCGTACCCATCTCTCATATCTCTGGCCCATCCTGAGGTCCTGCGTCTCGCGGGAGCAGGCGCAATATCATACCCACTTGAGCCAGCCCCTTCCCGAGCTTTCTACAATGGTCGGCCCAAAAGCGGGAAAGACTCCTCGTCCTGCCGCATCGTGCACTGAATGTCAAAGACGAAAGCAAAAGGCAAGCGCGAGCTGTTGCATAGGTTTCTCAGTATCGCAATATCTGACATCTCCATCAGTGCAGCCGCCAATGGCCCTGTAATCATTGCCAGGCCCGGAAAATCCCACACCAATGTAGATATACCCCAAAAACTGCGCCAAAGGCTCATAGGCCCTCAGCAGAAGTCGCAAGGTATACATACATGCCATCCAAGCTGCCCCAGCAGTACTGAACATATCAACCCAGGACAACGCCGTCTGATGAAGAGACGAGAGAAATCAAATCAGAGCAGAGCGATACCGGCAATGTGGAAATACCTGCACTTACCGGGAATCAAGAACTTCGAGCCTTAGGGTATCTCCCTGATGACAAGAACCTGCTGCTGGGAAATGCAGCACCCCAGGTATCTGACCCACCTAATATAATTGCAGTGGACTTTGACTGAGACGAGCAAGGGACCATCAAATCCATCCGACCAATCTCCAGAAACAATGCCTGCAGAGATGAAAAATGTCTTGAGGCTCTTGCCCCCCAAACCTTATACAGGTCTGTGTCTTGAACCAGCCCCAATAGTCTCTGACTGACCCGATTCAAGACATTCTGGTGCAACGCTTTCTGGAAGACACCAACTACAACTACTACAGTATTTACCCACCAACATTTTCCCAGGAATATGCCGCCTGGTGGTCAAACCGGGCCAGTGGCAGGCCACTGACGCCCGAGTTCACTTGTCTTCTCGTGCGAGTCTGTGCCTGCTCCGCGCAATACCTTGACGCCGCGATCCGACAGAAACTCGAATCGGAACTCGGCGAGTCAGTCCAGAGTCTTTCAGAAAGCTATCATCATGCAGCCAAGCAATTAAGCAATACGATTGCGCCCGGGAAAGGGGGTTTGACGCAGGTCCAGCAGCTTTTTTTGATGGCAGCATGGTTCAAATCCGAGTCTCTGTTCATTGAGTCGTGGCATGCCCTGAGCTCTTCCATCCATGAAGCACAGGAACTAGGTATGCATAAAAGCTCCCCAAAGGCTGGATTATCCGAATTCAACCTTGAAATGAGACGCCGAGTCTGGTGTCTGCTGTATGTCTGGGACTGGTAAGTGATGTTTGATATTCATTATGTCCCTGCACTTTGGGGTTTCTTACCATTAAACCAGGCAAATGGCTCTCTTGCTCTCGCGCCCGCTCATCATCAACCAAAGTTATTATTCCTTTGAGCCACCCAATATGCAGCTCGAGGGCATTGATGATGGAACAGGACCGCCATCACCCGTAGCTTACATTGCTGTACAGCTGGCCCTGGGCGAAATCATCATTAAAATTCCAGGGGCAATAGGAGGCACCATCGATACCACCTACGCAGAGTCCACTCGCGCCGATATAGAAAATTGGCTCGCCTCTCTTCCTCCCGCTTATAATTTAACTAATCCCGATATACAGTGGGATGAAACATACCCATATGTACCCTTACATCGTCGCCAGCTACATGCCGTGGGATACATGATGATGCTCTTACCATTCAAAAGGTCTCTCACCGAGTGCTTTGACTCCCACAGCTCCCAGACAGACAGGAGTCTCCGAGAACGCGCCGTCAACGTCGCCCTGCAATTAATGGAAGTCTCGCGCCGGTTATTTGACCACGTCTACCCTATGAACGCCAAATTCCATCTCGTCACCTTCTTGATATTCGACACGGCGGCTTTCCTGAGCTCCGCTGTCATCCACGACAAGGACCGCAGTCTCCCACAGCGAGAGAATGTGCTCCAAGCCATCAAACTCGCGTGTTCTTTGATGGAAAAGCTCGCCCAAATCACCAAGACCAGTGCCATCTGCTACCCGATTTTGGTCAAGCTCGCCAAGAGCCTGGCACTATCGTCCCAAAAGACAGTAACTAATAATGACACCGACCTGGTGATACCTCAATTGGGAACAGAGCAGCCAAATGCCCCGAACGACTTCGGAGATTTTTCGTTGAACGACACTATTTCTCCGGGATCGATACCTTCGCTGGGCTCGGCCCCGGGCTCTGAAATGTTTATGCCTGCATCATTGGATTTCACTGTACCCGGCATGGAAACACCGCCCATAACAGGGGTCGGAGATTTCTCGAACTTGGATATTGGTCAGTTTGACCAGATCTGGGACTGGCAGAATCTTGACTTGACTCTGCTGTCTTCGCTGCCGGCATGAGCATGTACCAAACGTACTATGTCTACAATGTTAATCGAATGGCGTGATATCTAAACCAAATAATGCGATGGTAAATAGATCCATGCCGTTCTTTTGTTGTAGAATAGGTTGGATATGAGCCAAAGACCGCGATTAGTGTTGGGTTCGAGTGGCTCACCAAGTGGCAAATATTTAAATATTTCAAGAGTACAATGGGTATAGATGAGAGAGATGGTGCATCTCAACGGGCGTTGTGCTTAGTTTCCCTCGTGAGTCACAACTCCACCAGCCTTGGAATTCCCCATCAATTCCAGAACAGCTTCTTTTGATCGCAAAAACACTGAGAAAATAAAGAATTGGCAAACATACACGAGACATAGACAAAGGAAGCCTCGAAAGCAATATTCTCCCTCACAGCCCTCTCTGCTATGGCTGCCCCGACCCCTCCAGCAGAAGAGGTCATCCTCATCCCCCAGTCCTTTTCGTCGCCAACACATTTTCATGAAATCGTTGATCGTTACAAAAAGCTTCGGCTCCAAGGGCTCCAGGTGGACCCGAATTCATTTTCATCGACCTACGCCGAGGAATCGCAATTCCCCGCCGAGACATGGCAGTCCCGGATCGCGAATCCCTCAGGCAAGACATTCATCTCGGTGATGGATGGCAACAAATCACCAGAAAACACCGAAGAGAATATACTGGAACCTTCAAACTTGAAAGAAAACCAAGAATCACCCAGTCTCGCGCTCCAGAAATTATTGCAAAAGGAGTGGATGGGCCAGATTACAATTCTGGGACCAGAGATATTCCTCAACCCAGAGGAATCCCTGGAGGAAACACCAAACAGGCGACCATGGGATATATTTATTAAAGATGGGGGTTACAGCATCCCTTGCACTCCCCCGCACACCCTTAATCTCGATGGTGCCCATATCGTGTACCTAGTCGTGGGCATGTTCGTTTTGCCGCAGGCTCGAAGGAGAGGAAATGCCCGCCGCTTGCTTGAGGCTGCGGTGCAGGCTGTGCGAGAGGAAGGCCGAGCTCGGGGTGCAAGAGCTGCGAGTATTGTACTCCAGGTTGAGTCGGGGATTGACAATGCGCAGCGGTTGTATGGTCGGGTCGGATTTCAGGCGTGGGGGACTGTGGTTCTGCAAAATAGACACGGGAAGCCCTCGCCTATGGTAGCCATGGTGAATGAGGTTGGTTTGGCTGATTAGTCTGTTTGGGATTAGAATTAGTCTCGTCTCAGGAAACCGATTGTACAGGTTGAGAAAGTTTGATAGCGACGATCTCCAGATATCCGTCATGGCTTTATGGGGCCAATACAGAGAGTATGAATGGAAATTTGGTGTTACTGGTGATTGACTAGATTAAAAACTGTCTATTTCCTTTCGAAATAATGTCTTCCTGTAGGTTGCCCAGGTGTGTAGGATGAATGTCCCGCCTGAGGCATCAAAGATAGATGAGTCAGCAGTCACTCGGTAGGGCACCGCTAAGCCTAGATGGGACTAGCGCCCACAGCACCCACAAGCGGAGAAATTTGCGGCAACCAATTTCTTTTTCTTAAGACATTCAGCGCAGAGCCACACCATAAGAACTTCACCTTCTTTTGGAAGACTGTCGCCATCATGTCGAAGATCACAGTCGGTATGTTTTGCGCCATATCCCTTCGATTCCCATACCTCGCTCGCCACTAATACCTATTTGCGTCACAGCCGGAGTGCGCGAGAATGTCGAGCAGCTGCTCAACTACTCCCTGAACGAGAAGAAGCGCAACTTCCTCGAGACCGTTGAGCTTCAGATCGGTCTGAAGAACTATGACCCCCAGCGTGACAAGCGTTTCTCGGGTACCATCCGCCTGCCCAGCGTTCCCCGCCCTGGTATGGCTCTTTGGTACGTTTCGAACCGTCTCTACTCTGAACTTTTGGTGGTGTGTGAATTTGTTGCTGACGATGGAATCAATACAGCGTTCTCGGTGACCAGCACGATCTCGACCGTGCTAAGCACCACGGCATCGATGCCATGTCGGCCGACGACCTGAAGAAGCTGAACAAGAACAAGAAGCTCATCAAGAAGCTTGCTCGCAAGTACGATGCCTTCCTGGCTTCCGACGGTCTGATCAAGCAGATCCCCCGTCTCTTGGGTCCCGGTCTGTCCAAGGGTGAGTTCTTCCTCCAATATCACTATTACGGTCTACCCCAATACTGACCGCTATCTCTACAGCTGGCAAGTTCCCCACCCCCATCTCCCACAGCGAGGACATGCAGGTCAAGACCACCGAGGTCAAGTCCACCATCAAGTTCCAGCTTAAGAAGGTGCTCTGCCTTGGTGTTGCCGTTGGCAACGTCGCCATGACCCAGGAGGAGCTGGTCGCCAACCTCATGCTGGCCATCAACTACCTGGTCTCCCTGCTGAAGAAGGGCTGGCAGAACGTTGGCAGCCTTGTCATCAAGGCTTCCATGTCTCCTCCCCGCCGCCTGTACTAGATGCTCTGTTGCTTTGCTGCGCCGGAGTGATCTAGAATGGGTCCGAGACGTGAGGGATGTATGTCATAGCATAGTGACTTAAAAAAATACGAAGCTCAACGACTTGGTCTCCATATTCGTGTTTGTTTGTAGATGGTGTCTCGTAGTTGTACATTTCCATGCTTTCACTATCCATTTACTTATTCTACAATCATATCACTCCATGCCCTCCATCAAATCCGTCTTGTCCAAGATCATGCCGCGCATGCCAATAAACTCGCGCAGACTCTCCCACTCCTCGCCAACTTCCTCTCCTCTCATCCAGGGATCCTTGAAACCCCATGCAACTGCCACCTTGTCCATTGCAGCCCGCTCTTCCTCCCGCAGCCAGCGATTCCGCAGAGGAATGCCCGGAATCCAAACCACCCGCTCCATCTGATCATTGGCGGTAGTGATGGCCAGGAGACCCATGGACGAGGTTCCGCCGACATAAGCCAAAATAGCCGCAAAGGCAATCCCCGTCGCCGTGCTGGGGTCCATGGTATTCTGGAACGCCGACGCCCACGTCGCCAGGACGTAGCACGCACCGGGGGCAGCCGCCAGACCGGCCAGGGGGACACCGGCTTTTCTAAAGATCTTGGCGCGGTGGAAAGCCGGGGCACAGAAGGTGCTGTCGATGATGGCCAGCACCAGCGGGAGGTTCTTGCGTGCAATGGCGACATCGAGAGCCATGTTGGCCAGCTCGGCAGGGACGGCGCTGTTGACGCTCTTGGGATTCGCCTTGTGGAACTTGACCGGCGAGCTGTTCTCTTCGGGTACCGGCTTGTTCGCGTACAAGGAGAATATCTCCGGGAAATGCTCGGCCCGTCGCAGGAGGGTTTGCGTTTTGGTGTAGCAAGTCAGTGCCTCCGGCGAGATGAACACCTTGTCGTCTTTCAAGAGGTCGAGAGCAATGCGCGAGACTGAGTCTGCCACCCGAGGGTCCTCGGGCTTTCGTAGTGATTTGGCCTCGTTTGACTTCCCCGTTGTCGTCGCGTTTTTCTTCTCCTCCAGATCCAGTAGCGATGAAATCGCAGTGCCTTCATCTCCTGTCGAAGACCCCTCGTGTTGATCTCTCACTCGCGAGGCTAGAGACTCGGCAATCCCCTGGCATTTTTCTAGGAGGGCCACCACCACCTCGTTGGAGGGTACCCCGTTCGAATTGTGCAAGTCAGAGGCTTCCTGCTCCAGTTGCCGAATGGCTGCTGTCAGGTCCGGTGAATTGGATTGGGAGGCAAATCGGCGTAAAGAAAAGAATGCAGGGTATATCGGTGCTTCGACGCTTCGCTTCGACAGCTGAAGTCCTGGTTTACTGGTCGCAACTCGACGCTCGGAAGAGATTGGCAGGCGCGCCAAAGGAAGACTGCGGCGCGACGACGTAGAGAATTGGCAAAATTGACAGATCGGCCCTTGAGGTCGCGGGCGACCTGCTAAAGCGATTCTCTTCATGGTGAATTGGGAATTGCTGACTGGTGGGGGCGTTGGCTACTCCAAGGCAACGTTGATCAGAGAGGCAGGCGGAGACTTCGCCCCAACGCTGTTCACTTCCCCGTACTCGCCCTGACGTCTTCTTCACTTCTGTCTTGGGACTCCACGCTCCTTCTGGTCAAGGAGTGTGTTCTTTTCGATCATCTTTCATATTTTCTACTGAACATCGCCTTAATTCTAACGTTGTCTCCTGTGTTTCTATTATGCCGCCCCCTCCTCCCCCTCCGCCGCCGCCGCCGGGTGGGATGGGTGGCCCTCCCCCGCCGCCTCCCCCAGGAAATCTCCCCAATAGACCAGCTAAAGGAGAAGTCAAAGATCGGGTAAGTAGGTTCAAGGCTGAAGCTGCTTGTCTCGGTGGATTCCATGGTCCAGAAAACAGATTGCTGACGTCGTCATAGGGCGCGCTTCTTTCGGATATTCACAAAGGCACTCGGTTGAAGAAGGCCGTTACCAATGATCGATCAGCGCCCGTCCTTGCAAAAACAGGAGGCGGTTCGGCAGCCGCTCCTGTCGCCGGTGCGCCTCCGGTTCCATCGATGAAGCCGCCCGGGGGACTTGCACCGCCAGTGCCCTCAAGTCCAGCCGCGAACCGATTGCGAAGCAACAGCGAAGGAGTATCCGGGGCAGACAGTGGCGCTAGTGCTCCAGCCGCTCAACTAGGGGGTCTTTTTGCCAGCGGAATGCCCAAGCTACGCAGTCGTGGAGGTGTTGATACGGGCGCCAACCGCGACTCCCCATACATGTCCGATCCGGAGGCCGCACGTCAAGCACCCGCTGCCCCAGCTCCTAAACCCCCAACGGCTCCTCGGCCCCCTGGAGCCCGACCACCTCCGCCTCCCCCAACATCAGAGTCGCCGCCCGCACCAACAGTTAACCCGCTGGTTGCTGGCCTTAAAAAACCTCCGCCGCGGCCCGCCTCAAGGCCGTCGGCAGCTTCTGCGGCAAGCACGAAGACAGTACCGGAGGCACCTCCTCGTGCACCTCCGCCACTTCCGGGGATGACCAAGGCTCCACCACCCCCTGCCTCGCGAAAGCCCTCTGCGCCTCCGCCTCCGCCGCCTTCAGCTAGCCCTGCTGCCCCTCCCCCCCCCCCCTGCCTCTGTGTCGCGGCCGCCGCCTCCTCCCCCGGCAACTCCCGCACGATCTACCCCTCCTCCGCCTCCGCCGTCGGGAGCTCCGCCATCGATTGCCGCTCAAGCTGCGCGCACGGCTCTTGGCCAGCACAACAACCACTCGCCTTTGGCACCACCGCCACCACCCCCGCCTCTGCTCCTGCTGCTCCTCCTCCACCACCCCCTCCAGTATCACCTCCTTCAGCCCCACCGACCGACCCTCCGTCTCGCCCGTCTCCTGTTCCCTCCCGCCCCGCATCCCAGGAACCTCACCCTGCGCTGAACCCCAGCGCCTACACGCTCACCAACGGTGGATTGTCGCCATCCCCCTCGCGGAGCCCGTCCTCATACGGTATGCGAATAGAAGACCCGCGATTCAAGTTCCAGGGCGATGGCTTGCTGCCCAAGCCTCGACCGTTCACCGGCGGGGCTCGGCGATACCGCGCGGGACGAGGCAGCAGTGTGCCATTGGACCTGGCTGCATTGAGTGGCTGATTTGAGTGCATGGGGCATTGCAGGCGATATCGTGCACAGGTAGTGAATTGCTATACATATCCATTTATCATTGATTAGTAGATGCTTGTCGTAGATATGCCTCATGCCTTGATTTTGAGTATTCACTAGTAGACGCAGCCTCGAGTCCACCTCAATACCCACCAAGAGATACCGGGTAGGCTTGTGAATTATTCATTTCTCATATATTCTATAGTTGAAGATCATCGCGGCTATCATGTTGAACGTCGGCGTCAAGCTAAGCTCTGCACGTGATCTCAGTCGAACTTGAAGTGGAAAACAAAGCCTCCACGACATCACCGGAACCTGCGCCCGCAATTGAGTCAAACCCAGCCAGCCCTTTTGTGCAGCTCTCACAATTGCCCCGGATAAACACTGCCAGCGCTCAACCCACCTCGGGAATCGACTCCTAGCAGACCCGCTTGCGCTGCCGACCTCTTGGACTCCCGACAGCTCGGTGACCGCGCTCGCCCAAGTGCTGTCCGCTGCACCAACACCTTGGCCTCGCTATTGACTTGAGACCGTGTCAGTTGTGGGTCATTCTCGGACCAAAAGCTTGGACAGTCGTTTTTTCTTTTCGCGCCAGGCGACGGAGGCCAATTCCAGGCAAAAGAGCACCACCGGGAATCTTGTGCACGCAGGAGGACTTGCGACAGCGTCACAGCAAAACCACAAGCTCTCTCAGCTAGAACTCTGGCAATAGAAAGTCCAGGTGGTGGGATCAGATTCCATCCGGTCCATCGCAACGCCGAATACTCCGTCCTCATACTCTTTGGACATATCCTCTCTTTTTTCTGTCGCCCGCCATGTCTCTCAACGCATACATTAACAGTGAGTCTTATATGGGCCTGGGACATCTACAAACCTTACTATACTAACACCTCACCAGAAAAGGTCCTCATCCTCACAGTCGACGGCCGCACACTCCTCGGGACACTCCTCTCCACCGACCAACTCACCAACCTCGTCCTCACCAACACCGTAGAACGGATCATCCGCACCCCAGACGATGACGAGCCCTCATCGCAGATTGACCATGGGCTGTACCTGATCCGCGGCGATAATGTGGTCGTCTGCGGAGAGATTGATGAGAAGGTCGACGGGGAGATTGACTGGGCCAAGGTCAAGGGCGAGGTGATTCGAGACACGAAGAATGCATGAGCACGATATTGCATGGGTTCTTGTTTTGTTTTGGTTTTTTTTTTCTTCTTCAATCTCGTCATCTTTTTTTCTACTTCTTTTCTTCTATCTCCCTCTATTTTCTTTTGATATTCCGATTTCGGGGCGTTTGGAAAGGAAACGGTGTGCTCTGGGCATTAAATCTGCATGTGATATATCTGGTCTGAGATGCTGACGATTCGAGCGGGATTGCTGCTGGGCGCCGTTGCGTGTCCTTTGGATTCCCTGTGGTCCGGGGGGCCTATACCCTTCCCGCACTGGGGCCCCTGGCCACTTTCTTCTGTTTCTATGTTGTCCAATTTTTTTTTTTTTTGGTTACAATGCTCGAGGCATCCTCTGTGCGGTTGATGAGTGGACACTGCTATTCAAGTCCATTCCCAATGGCATTCCAAGCCGCAGTGGGCATTGTGCTGGGCACATGCGGGGATGAGCACAGACAGTACTGGGCGCAGGGCGAATTGATGATCGGGATTGTCGGGACAGGGACTCGTCTGCTGCTTCTACTTCTGCCTAGCCGGGCAGGGAACCAGGGTCTGTGAGGGCATCTCCAAGGCTCCGACGAGTTCGCATCCACCACTTTCTCAGCACGGGTTGCGCAGGATCGCGTAACTCCACGCGGCTGGATGCCAAGCCTTGGGGATGATGTTCCAGGACAAGCAACAGCAGACAGAGTAAAAGACAAGAAATAAAGGATACATCCTCAACAGCAATTGAGATCTGAGCTACCCCTCCTTGAATGCCCGATGGATCGTACATTAGCGCATGGAGTCCCCACGCCTTGGAGAAAAAGAAAAGATAAAAAAAAAAGATAAAACGGTGACCGCAAAGTGACAGGTCTCAAGGGGGATAAACCATGACCATGTACTTGATCATAAGCCGGTACTTGGACATGTTCGAGATAGAGTGCGTAAAAGACAAGAATAGTCCAGGGTACCTGGGAATACCAGCATACCCACGGTTCCATGGATGTACCCAACGTGACATTTTCCCGCCCCAACTCCACCCCTCAGACTCCTGATGTCGTTTCACCTTTTTTTTTTTTCCTTTCTCTCTTTCTCTCTTTTTCTATCTCTCGGTCTCTCTCTCTTTCTCTTCCATCTACTCTCCCTCGGTATTTTCTACGCCTCTCCCCTATCTCAGGTCGCTGGTCGATCTTCCACCATTTCTGATCGCCCCGTTGCTACCCCTATCCGCGTTCAGCCCTTCATGTGGTCGATATCATCATTGCCTAACACAAAACCAATACTGGGTCAGATTCAACAGTTCTTTCGGACTGACATAGCCCGTTGTGAGCGCGTGTTTTGATCAAACCCTGCCAATTCAGGGAATACCCCGAAAAGACTTTTTTTTTTTTTTCTCCTTCTCTTTCTTCTGCTTTTAAGGCGCAGCAAATAAGGAAAATAAGAACCTCCCCTTTGCGACAGCCATGTGGCTCTACCGGGGCGCGCAGTCAGCCGTCTTTTACTACGCCGGCTGCACCCCCTGTGCCAGCAGCATCGACCGAAGGAAACGCAGGAAGGATGCCGCGCGATCGCAACGACTGAAGGAGAAATACGACAACCAGCAGCTTATCACCGACCAACCCCGTCCATTTCCGCAACCCACCCCGTTCAGTACCAATGAAGGTTGGCGCGAAGAGATCAGTCTCGGGCCCGGGCCCCCGGCGCGCCGAGGGGGTTTGCGCAATATGCACCGAACGGACAGCTGGACCACCGACCAGAGCTCGCAAATGAAGAAGGATAAGAGCGGTCGGTTGATGCACCCGATAGGCGAGCGCTTGAATCGCATGCGGTATCAACGGGAGGATGAGCCCCTTTGGGGTCAGGAAGTGCGCGGGTCGTCGATTGGGTTCTCCGGCCGCGGTCGCGCAGACCCGACCGAGTCCTCTAAATACTACACGGCCCGTGTGCCTCCCGTCAATGATCTCCATCCGCCCATTGTGAGCGGACCGCGTAGCCGAGCTGAAACAAGATGGATGCTGCAGCCGCCACCCAACGCCCGCGTCATGGCGGGAAAGGAACGATTCCCCGTGTCTCCTCGGGATAGCGTGGGTGAAGAAAAGGCGCTTCGTTCCTCTCGACCTGCCGATGTTGAGAAGGAGGTGAATCAGATCAGCAATTACTCTGGCGGTGTCTTGGACCATGCAACGCAACAACATCAACTGCCCCGTCGGCCATCAATGGCTCGACGCCGTGGACGTTCCGATAGCACCGGGTACGGGGATCATCACTCCACAGTGCATTCTCGGTCCGACTCCATGTTCTCCATGACGCACACCGATGAAAACTCGCCTAGTCTTTCATGGAAATACCCCGATACTCCCGTGTCTCGACCGGGATCCAAGGCCACTAATGACAGCGGGAAAGTGTTGTCCCGCCCGCAAATCTCCAAGACACTCTCCACCCTGCAACGGGACAATAAGAAGGTTCATATGCTGCACTTTGAGATCAGCGACGACCCCCATGACGAAGTCGGGCTCGGCCAACTGGAACGCATCCGCCCCTGGCGGTGGAGCATGGACATCTAACCGATCCCGTCCCCACCCATCATCACATCTCACGGTCAACCCGTTGATCCCTCGACCTCAATAGATCACCTATTTCCGGATTTCGTCGTTTTTCTCCGTGGCACCGCATTTCCAGCTACCAGGCGTTTCGGGTACAAAGAGCAGCGAGCGGTTTGCTTTACTTTGCTTTTCTTTTCTTGTGCTTGCTTTTGGTTTCCTCGCATCCGGTGGAATCTTGATCCCAGTCTTCGTCTTTGGCATGAATCGAGATTTCGGGTACGTGGCTGGCCCAGGACCGGAATCAACGATTGAGTTTTATGCTCTCAGAAGGACGTGGCAGGACGGACCAGCCCGCCGACCCGCTTACAAGCGATCACTTTCCTTCTTTTCTCACCTACTTCTACCCGACCGAGGTTGGTAGGTCCCCTGTCACGACATGCAGCACTGGCCCCATCAGCACATCAGCCTGTCGGCCCCCCGAGGCCACTAGGGCTCACGCCTAACATTCAGCTGTTGTTCACCCTTATTTTTCATTCCCTCCTTTTGTCCCCTACCTACTTTTTCTTGTATCATAATATCCCCCGTGTTCGGGCTCCATACATATACATAGCATTATTTTTTTTCTTTTGATTTTTGGTTTTTGATTTTCTTTTTCGGTCTTGAAATAGTTGATCCGGGTAGTTCATGTGGGGATTAATAGACCCTGAAAATACCCACTTCCCGCCCCCACGGCGGCGATGCAAGTGTGTTATGTTGTTTGTGGGGGGTAAATAGCCCGATGCTACGCCTCGATTGCAAATTACCATGCGACCAGCATGGCTCATATTATATATAGATCTCCCCCCCCCCCCCCCCCCCCCCCCAAATGTCTAATGACTAATGAACTAGTGCACTAGTTATCACCGCGCAGCAATGTATAAAAGGTCTAATAATGTACACACCTGGGGGAAATGAACTGTCGGTAGACCTGCTTAGAGGAGGTCCCTGGTCTTTTGTACAAGTGCCAAGAGCAATAACATGCACATACCCAACATCCACGTACATTAGTACCCACCGGATATTTAATCTAGCAGGGATCTTGGGGGCTGAGGCTGTCATTGTTGTAGAACTAGTCTTGCCGCGCTGGCGAATCAGATCGATGCCACTGGAGATGCTTAAGTGCATCTTTTCGAATGAAACAAGTCAGATGGGATATTCACGCTCAGCCAACCTTCGGTTGCCATTCTTGGGAATGATTATCGGCTGGAGGTACTTACTGTAGAAGATGTATGCAAGTGATGCGTGTTCTTGGGGCATTAATTACTATACTTGGGACCAATTCATTTTTATTATTTAAAGCAGGCTCTTCGTGTCTCCTGGTGTACCAGAACCTTTCTCTCCCCAATCCATAGTACTCACAGAAGTATCTGTTCGTGCCTCTGATGTCTCCCCGTCTCTGGGAGAGCCTTCTTCTCGCCCTGCTTGCTACGCAGGGCATTGCCCGTTCCGTTCATCGGTAAGATGATGCTGTCTTTCCTATCCATATCCATATCTTTCTTTTTCTTCCCCTTCTTCTTCCTGTCCCTGGTTGATACAGCGGCTGATAGACCCCACTTCTCCAGAACTCAGACAGAATATATTCAAAATGGAACGGCTGCTTTTGGCTTGGAACGGCGTGATGGCGATGACCAGAAGCTCGGGATCATGGACGTTCTATGCACAGGGTCATCGTGTGGGGACTCATGTGTCAAGGCCGACATGGACTACTTCAAGAACAAGGATTTGGACTCCACCAAGCGGCATTTCAACACCCCATTCAACGTTTCCTCAGATGATGATAATGATGACGACAACGAAGAAGACTCCAAGTTGCATAAAAGAACGTGGAACTGGACGCCGAGTGGACGCAGAGTCAACTGGCCTGGGAAAATCGACGAATATCTGCCGAAACAGGTCACCAGCTCGACCCCTGACGATGACCAGTTTCCCCAAAATCTTGGGTTCTTTGCAGAAAAAAGCGAGGCCACTGTCTCTTACATGATCCCTTTCAAGACTGCCAGAGGCAGAGGCAGGAATAGAAGAATGGCGTGGCTAGACCCTTTTATGATGGGCACGGGCAGCCTGCACGGCTGTACGATGCTGGCCATTGTCAGCAAGCGCGCTGTTTGGATGGTATGAAACACCCCCCCCTTCTCTCTCTCTCTCTCTCTCTCTCTCACTCTCTCTCTCTCGCGACTTCTCTTCGCTATGTTTTGAATGAGCTAACGAGATCACCAGGCGCATTTCTGGGAGATCTACGCCATGGGCGGTGGCGATGAGAAGCGCTATGATGACACCAGCGCCGACGCACCTGGTATGAGGAACTTCACTGACCGTGTCATCGGTGTCATCACCGGCGAGGGGCCCGATGATACCAAGAAGTACGGACAGCCCGTGGACTGGAGCCAGTTCAACGCCTGTGATGATGACACGCGCATCTTGTGGATGAGCCCCGTCAATCAGAAGGACTATAACCACGTAGACCCTCAGAACAGGCCCCGCTATCTCAAGAAAATCAAGATGGTTGACGATCTCATTCGCGATCACGTTAGCTCAACTCGAAACTCCGAGACCCACTTTTACAGGAGACTTTGGTATCAGTCGAATGGCGGCAACCCCACGGGCCAAGATGCTGACAAGGTGGATAAGACCGCTCGTGGTCAATGTGCTTTCCAGTATGTGCTGTATTGGGATATGAGAACCTCCTCAAGTACTCCAAGTATACTGACTCGCGGCAGGTTTGATGGAGAAGGCAACTGGCGCACCTTCTACGAGACAAAGCTGATTGAGAGCGACTAAGCTGTTGGACATGGGGAATGATGCATGAACTAGAGGGTTATAATGGCATATATTTATATATGTATATATATAAAGTGGAAGGGTTGAATGGGTTTGAGGGATGAAGTTAGGGTTAGTGGGGCGTGTGGCGTCCCGTTCCACCCCCAGCGCATCTATAAAACGGAGATGTCTCCTCCCCCAACTCCTCTGTTTGTTTATATTCCGGCGCCTGACCATGTCCACCCCCTTAATAGGCCTTCCACCGGAGCTTCTTCGGCTGATTGCAGGCAATCTTAGCGAGGATCACCCGCCGAGTCTGAGTTCCTTTGCCCGTGCCAACCGGCGTTGCTACTCTGCTGCCGCTCCGTTTCTGTTCCACACAGGACACATCACCACGCATCGCAGCCAGGATCTGCACCAATCTGTCGAGAAATACTCCCAGAAATTACAACGAAATGCCAGTACTGATTACGTTCGCTGTTTGGTCATCGACGGCGAACTGACCGACTGCGACCCGAAGGATGTGGATCCGGTATCCCTCCCCCACATCGCGCGACCCCAAGGCTTACGAGCCACACTCGACAGCCCTATTTCATTACATGGTTCACTAGACGAGTATGACGATGCGGCCGGCGTCGCCGTCTCACAGACGCCCGAGCAAATCGCCAAAACCAACCCTGCCTGGCAGCCCGTGGCCGATCTGATACAGCAGCTGCCCTTGCTGTCGGATTTGATATTTGCCTGCCACACCCAGTTCCCGCCGTGTCTGCTCGACGCGCTGCACGAGCACCGTCCCACGTGCAGACTGCATCTCAATGCGTTTGGCTTGCGCAGCTTGAATTCCTACACCACTGGTCCCTACGAGTTCCAGTTGGTGACCTCGCCGTCTCTGTACAGTATCCGCGTCCACTATGTCGACGAGGATGACGATCACCACCCAGACGCCGTCCGCCGCATAGTGGCCGCCCTGGCCCCGAATCTGCGCGAAGTGATCATGAACCGCATGCTGGGTGGCGCGCGTATCGGTGCGTCGGCAGCCGAAACCCCGTGGCCCGGCTTCACTCAGGATACAGCATTCGCCCGTGAAAGAAATCTTGACCACCCTCCCCGCGGCGCCTTGCGCTGTCTCCGGTTGTTCGACTGGATGCTTCTTAGCAGGGACGTCTTAGAGCAATGGGAGAGCTGCACGGACTTTTGCGTGCTGCAGGTCCTCAAACTTGAAACCATCGTCAAGAAAGACGCCCTGGAGTACCTGGCAACAGAGGTGTCATTCCCTCAGCTGAGAACTCTCGTATTGAATCTGCTCCCCGCACGAGACGAGAGCCGCCAACCACCAGAATACTACGACACAGCCCAGCGCCTTTTGCAACACCTCCCCCGCTATCCTCTCTCCACCTCAAGGGCTGGCACCCAGACCTCTCAATCGCATCGATAGTCGAACACCACGGCCCACACCTCCACGAGCTCTCACTAACCCCATGCCCAGGCACATCCCTCACACAATCGGACCTCAACCATCTCGCCAGCGACTGCCCCCGCCTCCAAAAGTTGAGCATTACCCTCCGGCGCAGTCTAGGCGACGTCGCCGAAGTATCCCGCTACAAGACCCTCGGCTCCACACCCCACCTCCAACACATCTCTCTAGCCCTCGACGCCTCAGACCAGACCGTATCAGCCGAGTCCGCCGCCGCAATGGACGCAGACGATGAGCCGCTCCCGCTCCCGAACAGATCTGCCTTCGACGCCTTCGATCACCAGATCTGTGAGATTGATGTCGGCTCGTATTGCGAGCCGCGGAATGGACATATCCGCGAGACGCTGGTTAATGCCGCGCTGGATGGGGAGCTGGCGCGGTCGACTTTTAGGGCGATTGCTTCGGGTAAACATCAACGTTCTGTTTCTTCTGCTGCTTCTGGGTCTGCGTCTTGGCCGCTGCAGACTCTGTCCGTGCGTATTACGGGGGCTGGAGAGTTTGGGGATGAACACCAGCCTCGCCCGTTTCATCGCGTGCTTTGGGGTCTTACTCGGCCGTGGCGCGTGGAGCGGAATCCGCGGGATGATTGCGATGATCTTCTCGTGTTGCCTGTCCCCTCTTCGCCTCATTGGATGAGTGCTCCTGCTGTTCTCCCAAAGGACCTTGTTCCTGTCTGGAGGCGGGTTTGGTCCTTGCCGGATGCTGGGAAATGGGGGGATAGTTGGCATGCGTTGCCGCTTGCAGAAGTCTAGCATATACCATGGTTGAAACTCCAGGGTCTATAATAATATCAGTTGTCAGACCTGGTATCCAGATGAAATCTACGCGAAACAACTCGATAATCAATTCATAGTGGCTCGTGGACCCATCCGTTTCCATTTAATTGGTCATTTAGATTCGATCGAACCCATATAACAAAAGCATCGGATGCGGCGGGACATGTCTTTTGGAGGCGAAGGCTCAGCCCAAACATCAAAACAAACAAAGATGAGAGAGAGACAAAAAATGGTCAACTCAGAAACATACGCGAAAGATACGGAGCACACCGAGATGACCCTCGGCTCTCTTCAAAACAATCCAGACGGGCAAACGCCAACCCCATGAGGCATACACTCATACACACTGACTCTCAACACGACTCCGCAAGAGCTCGGACGAGGCGATGCTCGGATGCTCGGAACCGGCAGAGCACGAGTACAACCTCTTCGAGTTCTTTCTCTTTCGTTGTTCGCTGAGTGGACCCAAGTGCCGAGATATACCATAGGAACAGAGGGACAAGGAAGACCATCTCAATCTTCTTGTGCTCCGCTCTAATACACCTTCTTCTTCTCGTCCATGCTCAATTGACCAGGGCCCATGTTGACCAGGAGGACCAGACCGCCACTGGAAATACAATTAGAAAGATGCACCAGAGAAAGGATGAAAAGTAAGGACATACACGATGGACAGAATCTGGAAGAAGTCGTACTTGGCAAAGTCCTTGTTCGGGTGGTGGGGATGGAGCTGGAGCAGAGTCAGTATCTTTTAAGAAAACCAAATGCGTAGGGTGCTTGAGAAAGAACATACCGTCCAGAAGTTGTTGACCAGTACATTGAACACGCTCAGCAGCACCACAAGGATGATAGCGCTCCACTTGGCCTTGAACCCGACAATGACCATGACGCAGGCAACCAAGCCGAACAGGCTAACCAAAATGCGCCAGAAGCTCCACTGGCCCGAGAAGACGAAGCCCACGAAGAGGAAAATCAGCAGCACGCGCCCGGCGAACTGCACGTACATCTTGCGGTCCTTCTCGTCGAGCTGGGGCAGACCGGCGGGAACGAACTTCTTGCGCACCCACGAGTCCGACACGACCATGAGCAGACCGCCAACAACGCTGAGGTTACGCAGGAAGAAGTTCAAGTCAAAGATAAGCCCGTAACCCAGCCCTTGCGTGACCACCACCGCCAACAAACCCGCCACGGCGTATTCGGTATGCTTCCGGGCGATAACTAGGGTAGAACAAACCGACATAGCAATGACATTGACGATAAGGAAGAGGTGCGTAATTCCCCAGGGAACTAAAAACCGATGAAAAGATCGCAGGTTAGCACAGGTCCTGATGAGAGGGAGTCTTGCCGAGGGCCATCTTACTCTTCCGGAAGTCATTGAGGTAGAGCAGCTGGTCGCTCCATTGCGTGAGAATGCGCAGCGAGTCTTCGATAAACGTCACAACGATCAGAAATCGGCCGATCGCGGGGAGGTACCTGGACGAAAGAACAGCGTGTGAGCGGATGTCGCGATCCCTTGTTTTGGAGCTCCCTCGAAACCTTGTCCCAGACACACAAACAAACAAATAATACCACGAGCAGATATCAACAAAAAAGGAACACGTACGGCTTCACCGGGTCGGCCATAGTATCCAGCCAGTCCTCGATCTTACTCGTCTGCTCGCGGATGGCATCCAGCGGGCTGGGGTCGCTGGTAGCATCTGCGCTGGCAGGCCCGCCGAACGGGTTCTGATGGCCGAGGTTGTAGCCCGCGGTGCCACGGATTTGGGCCATGGCGGAGATTGAGGAGGGAGGATCGAGGCTGTTGGTTGAAAAAAGAGCGAGGCGAGAGGGCAAGGAAGGAGTAAACACTAGGGAGCTTGTGTATACAAGTGAGTCTTCAGGCCACCGTGGAGGGAGCACTGGCCACTAAACCGCTTTAGGAATAGTGACGACATTCCATTCTTGCGGCTTGCGTATACAACTTCCAGTAAATTGTCTACATAGAATTAATTACGATGGACTGGTTTAAAGCAAATCACGTTGAAAAGTAGGATTGAGCTACTCAAGTCTGCCTGGAGACTTGGAAGGTGTCGCAAAATACAAATCATGCGCAGAAGCAACGTACACAAACAAACAGATTCATCGCCCAATGCTCTCCTTTGCTTTTCAATCTGTGGCCCTCTCTGCCCTTCCACCCAAGGAGGCAAGTGGGCCGACTCACTCCGGATGCGCTATGATGATGCCTCCCTGTCTCCGCCCATGGGCGGAGGGAGGGAGGGTGCTGGTATGATGGGACCGCCCCGAAACGCCAAAGCCAAACCAATGGAGATAATAAATACAGGTCAAGTTGAAGGGGAGAATGGCGCGTGGAAACAAAATCACGCAGCCCAGTCCGAGTCCAGCGGGTGGCCCTTCTCGCGGGAACGCAGGATGTCCGGAAGGTAGGTCGGAGTGACCGTCACACGAGGCTCGACGGGCACAGGAGCCACGGGGGCTGGTTGGCTCTCCGAGGCACTGGCCTCGCTAACACTCTCGTCATTCTTGCCGCTCTTCTTCTTGGCCTTCTTGGAGACGGTGGTCCACTCGTCGGCACCGTTGGCGGCACCCAGGATCCGCATCTGCTCCTCCTCCGAAGGGAGGTTCTGCGCCCACTTCTTCTGGGCCGGCGCGGCCGGCGCGCGCTCAAAGGTGTCCAAGAGCTCCACGGGGGCGGCGGGAGCGGCAGGAGCAGGGCGAGAGTCGCCGTTGACCACGTTGGTCACATCCTTGGCCTTCCACGCGTTGCCGACAGGGGTGGATCGGGCAGCCTCACGGCGCTCGGAGTCGCGAGCACTGTGCAGCTGCTTTTCGAGCAGCTTCCGGCGCTGCACCTCCGCCTCTTGAACTTGCTCCTTGCGGGCCTCGTTCTTGAGACGCTGCTGGCGCTGCTTCTTGGTCTCCACCTGCTTGAACGACTGCGGCTTCTGCTTCTTAGGCTCGTTCTCGACATTGCCAGTGACGCGGAGCACCGACGCGGCGGGAGCGGGCGCCTCCAGCATGTCGGACACGTACCCGGCCGAGGGCACGGTGGCGTTCACCTGAGGAGACGCGGCAGGAGACAGATCATCATCGGCCTCAGCGCCGGTAGTCGACGAGGCGCGCGTGGAGACATAAGAATCGGCCCGTTCCAGCTGAGCCTTCTTCTTGTTCTTCTTCTGGCTCTTCGTAGAAGCGGGCTGGGCAGGGACGCCGCTCTTGATGCCAGCCAGGCGTCTCGCCATCTCTTTGCGGTCGATCTCCTCGTCCGGCTTCTCGTCCTCTGTCGTCGGGGGCGACACGACGGTCTTCATTTCCGGCTGCTTGGCCGGCTCAGGAGTTTGCTTTGTCTTGCGCTTCGGTTTCTTGGGCGCCACCGTGGGCTCGGGCTTCTCCACCACGGATCGGACGGGGGTTTTGGCCTTGGGGCTTGTGCCATTGGTGTAGTACCAACCAAGGCCACCAGCCACCACGAGCAGGATAGCCCAGCTGAGGTAGGGGTTCATGGTCATTGAGCTGTGCACTCATCAGTCAGTACCATCACGGCGATGTATATTTGTAGCCTTGGCAAGTAACATACTATCAGAGAGAAGCCTATGGAGGCAGAAAATTGATGGGGTGGTTGAGGCTGTCCCAAGAATCACCCTCGGGCTTGGAGACTGTGTTGAGGGGGGTAGGACGGTGGTGCACGACACAGTCCGCTTGGCAGCACACAGTACGTTCGAGGTAACTGCCTTGAGCGACTGACACGCTTGTGTCGAGACCCAAATATTTTTCAGATCACCAGTAATGAGATCCCGTCTAATTGGAGGAATTGATCGACAACGTCCTTGGAACTTATGACCTCGCGACGATGGGAGTGTGATTCAACGAATTGCGAAATTGGCCGTTGTCGTTCAGTTGAAGATGGGGATCGTTGAGACAAAGCTCTAGAGTGCCGCGAAGCTTAATCGGGGGAAATGCGCCCCGGCGAAAGGAGGATGGGAAGGACACGCAGGCGGGAACGGTCTCACTTCAGCATGGACATGGAGACCATGCGAGGATAGAGAGATGGGAAGGGAAAAGACCTCGCAAAGAATGTCGCAAAGGGAAAGGCGAAGGTGGGAGAGAAGAAGTGGAAAAGGGAGAAAGCCAGAAAAGGACACGCTGATCCGAAAGGGGTCCGGTACGGTACGGTCATTACGACTCTATTGCCATATGGGACACCGGGCTACTCTACGGGGCTGGCGTCCCCGATAACACAGGAAATGAGTTGTTGAGAATTTAAATCATTCTTTTGTTTATTGCTGGGTCTAGTGTCAACAGTGTCAACAGGATCTCCAGTATCAACAGCATCCATATCTCTCGCTAAAGGCAAAGCCCCAATACCTCATATGGCGTATGGTAATTACGATGATCCAGACTCCCCTGGAACCGATGTGGCCAAGCCAATGACAGTGCGCAATTGCCAGTTTCAATGCGATGTTGATGTTGAAAGGGCCGATCAGGGGATCTTGGTATCCCTTGCAGACACACTCGCCACGAGGCCACTCGATTTCTTTCCTTTCACTTAGCTCCAATCAAATTGATGTTGTCCTGAGGCATTGCTGCATCACTTGGAATAGAAGCAATTCCCGTGGATGGACCAAATAACAATAATCGAGTCCCGAAATGTGCCCTAAAAACCCTGAAACACCCCAAGCCAATGCGAGACGATGCAATATATACTTCGACGAAACGCCACCAATCCTGCAATATACGTCCAAGAAAATTGCTATCTCATGGGCATAAGCCGAGTTGAACGGGGTAGAGAATCGGAGAAACATCAATGCTAGTCTAGTATATGATATCTCCCTTCAACACACTCACTGGCCCTCGTTGGTATCTAAAAAATGACACGTAGGAGAGATGCATACCCAAAGCCAAGACACTAACCAAGAGACGCTACGGTGTTAACTGGAATAAAAGTGGACTGCTCTGGGTTAGTAATGTGCAGCATCCCCGCAGCGATAACAGCCACGATAAGCTCCCACCTTCATCCTCTCCTACACATCACCATGGCGCGAAAGAAGATCATCATTGACACGGATCCAGTATGTCCTAGGTCCTTCTCGTGTCCTTACTGAATACTAATCATTCACAGGGCATCGATGACATCCTTGCCATCTTGCTGGCTCTCTCCGCCACCCCGGAGGAGGTTGAAGTCCTGCTCATCTCACTAACATTTGGAAACATTGAAGTAAAAAAGTAAGTGACTATGGGGCTTCTATCACTTGAGTGTTTTTTCTGATGGTGTCTAGCTGTCTCTGCAATGTCGTGTCGATGTTCCATATCCTCGAGCGGGAGGTGCAGTGGCGCCGCGCGAATGGGCACCCCGAAGGCTTCGGGACACTACGGGCTTTCCGCCCAGTAGTGGCTGTGGGTGCAGAGGATCCGCTTGAGGATCAGAAGATGCTGGCAGATTACTTCCGTAAGTACTGCCTGGGCATTGAGAGATTTGGGAGACCCCTCCTAACCAACACCCTGCAGATGGAAAGGATGGGCTTGGGGGTATCCACACGAGTGTATGCAGAAGGGATCCTTTCTCCACCTTGGCATCATAGAAGCGGAAAAGAGCTGACCTTTTTCTTTACAGCACCCCCATCTGACACCTAGCCAAGCCTGGGAGCATCTCTTCGATCCCACCGTCGATCCTGATGGTATACAACCCGTCCAGACTGGTGCCGGCACCGGCGACCATTCGTTTATCCCGTCGAAGAAACCTGCGCACCAGGAGATTTTGCGAACCCTGCGCGAGAATGAGCCGGATACTGTGACCCTCGTGGCCGTGGGACCCCTCACCAACCTTGCCCTGGCCGCGGCACAGGACCCAGAGACATTCCTGCGCGTGAAGGAGGTGGTTGTCATGGGTGGAGTAGTGAACATCCCAGGAAATGTGAGTTAACCTTTCTCTGTACCAAGGAAACCTAATTGACCGATTCGGGGTCTGCAGGTTACCCCTATGGGCGAGTTCAATTCCTACGCGGACGCCGTCGCCGCCGCACGCGTCTTCGCTCTCACGTCACCGAACCCTCATACGACTCTGCCACCCACCAAGAGTGCGCATCTCCCGCCATATCCCGCGACTCTGAGTCGACAGCTAACCCTCCGTCTCTTCCCGCTGGACATCACCCAGCGCCATAACCTGTCGCGTGGGGAGTTCCGTGCCACCATCACCCCGCTCTTGAACGCAGGCTCGCCGCTGGCCGAATGGGTCTCAGCCTTTATGGCGCACACCTTCCGCACCCTGGAAGCCCTGCATCCTGGACATATTGGGGACGACGCCCAGCTGAGTCTGCATGATCCGGTTTGTGTTTGGTACGCCCTGACTGCCGAGGACCCGCACTGGATGCCGTCTGTCACCTCGCCGGAGGATATTCGGGTCGAGACCCTGGGTCAGTGGACTCGTGGCATGTGTGTGGTTGACCGCCGCAATCGTCATCGCATCGAGGGGGATGTCGAGAGCTCGAGTGACCATGGGCTCTGGCTGAGCCGGCGTGCAGGCAATCGCATCTGGCGGATGGACAAGTCGCCCGCTGAGGCGACGTTTGGCCGCATTATTCTCCAGAAACTGTTTGGTTAGACTTGGTGATTGATAGATAGAAGTAAGATAGATTGATGATTGGCATAGATGTCGGTCGCTGTTGGCCGTCTGTGAATAGGAGCAGTCCGTGTTGACGTCTTGCCATCCACGACGATAAGATGCCGAGAGAGAATGAGTACACTATCCAGAGTGGCTCTGATGACCAAGCTCGCACAGGGTCAACAGGAATGCACGCTATAACTACATGTCCCAAGGTACTAAATAAGAGCCCCTTGAGTATCATGCTTGTCACTCCTGTCAGATCAAGCAGTCCCACTGAACAAAATGCAACGTCAAGCTCAAGGGCAATTATTGCTTCTGTGACCTGATTGGAGAGTTTAACTACAAGGAATTCAGGGAATGGAATGCACAGGCAGCTCCATGTTGACGTGAACAGCCGACTTGAACCATTGCTATGCCTTGAAATATAGTATCTACTCACCACGAACCCAATTGGCTCGCTGAGTATACAAGAAGACACTCAAAAATACACATCTGGATCTCTGTAGATAGTGGGTTTTTAAAATCAAGCTCTTGCAAGTGAGGGTGGCAGAAGCCCTAATCCGCCAGCCGCTGGAATGTGGAATGCCGTCGCCGAGTGATCGACAGCGACGAGTACTCAGAGATGACCCGAATCGGCAATGCTGCACAATCCAACGGGTTTCCGGGAGACAGACCTGCCAGTTACCAGCCAGCCACAGACTAATTGAAGCGGCATTGGGCTGTGTCTATATAAAGCGATGGGAACCCAGGGAGGAGAACGGGTCCTCGAGCATGTCCATTGCACTTGATCCCAACCTCGAGTCTTGTGATTGATCTTTTTTTCCCCAATTTTTCCTCCGCACTATGCAATTGACAAGCCTCTTGACTGTCTGCGTGGCCGCCCTGGCCAGCACCGCGGCTGCCATGCCCCGGATTGCCGGCCCATATCATGGCGTCCGCGTCCCCGTGCATGTCCCTCACAATGCGACTAGCTCAGCCCACAATGCCACGACGACGAGCACGCGAGGGAAAAAGCCCCTGTCAACGGGACTCTCGCATTCGAAAAACAGCACCGGCAGCCACGGCTCGCACAGCTCTAACGTGGCGAACGAGGTGAGCCACTGCCATGAATTGTGCTCTCTGGAGGCGCAGACGTGTACAATTGCAGTGCCCGAGGAGGATGCCTTTTGGTGAGTATCTCATCCGAGACCTGACATAGCAGGATCACAAGCTTGGCTCACACTTTAATTAGCTGGAAAACATATCTTCAATGCGCCGAACGGTGCTGATCGGCGGATTTCCGCAAATGGAAAAGATAATAAAAAGGAATAAAAAAAAAAAAAGGACGAAAGGAATGGCGAGCATGTGACCTATGTATTTCCAATGGATTTCCCGAATTTCCAAGATTTCAATGAATTGAATTGTGATTTTTATATGAACCACTTCACGTCCCGAGTCAGGGCACGAGAGACCCACGTGCTGAACTGCCTGCTCTGGAATTTGGGGGAGACCTTCACCAGTTCCTCAGGTACCTGCTGACCAAGTACCTTCCCCCGCCAACTACCCCGCCCATGGTACCTCTGACGCAAGTCAATGGCTCATCAAATCATGCACAAGCAGGGCCTCACGGGCCAAAAGGCGCTTTTTTTGATAAGCTCACAGGACCCACTTAGTCCCAGCCAATAGACGCCGGCTGTTGGACCACGAGCTCTACACCGGCGCCAATCAGCGTGCGTCATCGTGGCTCGTGGGCGAAGCACGCGACACCTAAGTTTGTACTCCCACAGCGTGCTTTCCGGGGACGGATGAGTTGGGTATTTTATCTGCCTGCAGTGTCCCCCTCGTCCCTTGCTGTTCCTTCTTCTGTTCCATTGTCTCTTCCTTCACCTGCTTCTTTCTCAAGTCCCTCTCAGCATGTCTCGCTCGAAATTTCCTCCCACGCCTGCCATGTCCGGTGAATTCATCATCAAGGAACAGCCTTGTGATGCCACCGATCTCTTTGCTCTGCCGCCTGCTGCCCTGAGCCCGGCCAAGGTCGAAGCAGCCAGTCGGCGATCCTCTCGATCTGACCCGTCCTTTATTCCGGTCTCGCCAACGTCGCCTGACCTCACGGCCCGTAATGACTATCCCTCACGAGCAAGCACAGCTCCCAAGCGTCCGCTCGAGGACTTTGATTTGCCACCGCCACCTACCCGGACCCGCAAGATCATCCAGATGAAGCCCAAGGCGCCGGGGAAATCCTCCAAAGACACCGGGAAAGCCTCGCCCCAACCGTCACCGGACTCGCCCACCAATGCTTCCCCGGCTTCCAAGAAAAAGCAGCCAACCACCACGAGTGCCGCGGGGCGCAAAATTGCTCGCAAGACAGCCCACAGCTTGATTGAGCGGCGCCGGCGGTCCAAGATGAACGAAGAGTTTGGGACATTGAAGGATATGATTCCCGCCTGTCAGGGTCAGGAGATGCACAAGCTGGCCATCTTACAGGTAAGTGTTCTGTCCTTTTTGTCTCATGGTACATGACTCCTTCTGTCGTTGCAAGACGCTAACATCAGACCAGGCCAGCATCGACTACGTCAACTACCTGGAACAGTGTGTCCACGACCTCAAGACCGCCGGGACCACCCGCACATCTGCAGCTCCACCCTCGCCCACATCCCCCGAGTTCAATGCCTCGGGGCCTGTGGAGTCGGTGCAGCAGTCTACCCGGGAATCTCCATCTTCTGCATCCTACTATTCCTCCGCCTCACCAGAGTTGCCTCCTCAGGCCACTCAGTTCCCGGACACCTCGCCGTCATTCTCGCCACGCACCCGGGTCCCTTCGGCGCATGCGTTGACAGACCCGCCCTCTGTTCTCCCTAGCCCTGCTTTGGGGCCGACTCTCTCGGCTGGAGAAAATGCACAGCCGCTCCAGGGCGTCGATCACGAGGCCTCGGCTGCGTTGCTCATGTTGACCCAGGACCGTAGGGGTACGGAAGTCTCCATCAATGAGCATTTCTCTGGGAGTACTACTCTCGCGGCTCCGTCTGGGGAGACTAAGGAGGCACCTGGGTCCAACAAGAGGAGGTGTATGAGTGTCCGTGATCTTCTGATTTCATGATTTGGTTTGGTTTCTGTTTCGTTTTTCTGGGCGGGTGGTTTGAATTGTACGGTACTGGGGTTTGAGTCCGGTGTTCTGGTGGGCGGTTTATGTAGCGATTTTTGTTTTGATGATTCTGGTATGAACAACATGATGGAGTGTATTGCACATTTGACTTGAATTGCTGGTCTGTTCTAAGATATAGCCACCTGGATGATACCCGTTCTATCATCCCTCCAATGCCAGTCACACGAGCATCGAGATAGCGAGACGTGCACCCACTACTACAGAGCATAGCTTATCTTAGAATATATTAATTTATAGCTCAAACATGATAACAACATCATAAAAAATATATGAAAGAATTAAAAAACCGAGATACGTCGCCCTGCGCTAAACGTGATAAGGCAAGTATGTTGCCTGGACAGACCTGGAGGGACAATCGATCCACAACCAATCGTTAACTGCCCAAGCCATTCGCATGGTCAATAAGGGGCTCAGCTCTTGAGGTGCTTGTGCGAAGGCACAGAAACCGGAGGGAATGTTTTTTAAGGGGTTTCTTTACCACCTCGAGCTGTGGTCTCGCCTGCACTGCCATCTATCACCACATCCATCGCACTCCAGTAACCAGCCTGGCCCTTCTTCCCTCATCATCATTATTTTCTTTTGCTTGTCCCTCAATCCAGTCTTGACTCCAAAATGCCCCCCAAAGGATCCACAAAGAAACCTCTCCAAAAGGCCACTGTGATTCAAACCCCTCACAAACACCAGAGCCAGTTCACATCGACCGTCCACAAGAGGATCCTCGAAAGAATCCAAAAATGCCTAGACCGCGCCCATCACTCCAACACATCCGAGGCCGAAGCCAAAGCCGCGCTGTTTGTCTCCCAGAAGCTGATGAGCCAACACAACGTGAGCCAAGCGGATCTGATGGCCGCAGACGAGAACAGCAGCAAAGCACACTACGGCGGACGCAGCGTCGTGAGCATCACAAAAATCGCGGGCTCGTCGGTAAGGGCTATGAAAGAGGCCTTTACGGAGAAGTTGGCGAGAGCCATGTGCACCCTGTTCGACTGCAAATACTTCTCTACTGATTATCGCACCTCGATGCAATGGACGTTCTTCGGCATTACCGATAACACGGCGGCGGCGGCGATGGGCTTTGAAATGGCCCATAATAAGATCTTGGAGTGGGCGTGTGCCTACAAGAGTGGCACGCCTACTTTCAGTTACCGTTTCGGCGTGGTAGATGGACTGGCGGCTGTGGCTAACCGCGAGAAAAGACGGGAGCTTGATGACGCCCGTCGTAAGGAGCTGGAGTTTATCGTGGCCAGGGAGCGTGAGGAAGCTGCCGAGCGTCAGCGGGAAGTTGATCGGTTACTTCCTCTGCCGGCTCCCTTGACCGATATCAATAGCCCATCCGACTCTGACGACAAAGGTCTGGTCTCAGTTAAGAACGAAGCCATATAGCCGACTCTGGTGACGATGGGTCCGATGGCGGTGATGAGATAATGGATACCAAAGCCGACTTCAGCGCAAACGTCGCTCAAATCATCGACCTCACCGACGACGTCGACGAAACTATCAACAAATTCATCAAACGGGAGCCTACCGAGATATTCAATTCCGATGCAATCCCTGAATCCAGTACGGCGCCCCCGACCAGGATCAAATCTGAGCCTGGGCCTGGGCATCAGTCCTTGCCGGCGACATCTCCCTGGGACTCTGGAATACAACTGGTTCAATTCCGGGCAACGGCAGAGCAGGTTGCGGACGATTATTTGAAACAAAACAAGATCAAACTACACAGTTCAGGAAGTCGCTCGTCGATTGCTCGAGACAGAGACGCGTATCGGCAGGGTCAGCTGGACAGTTCGAAAATCAAGGTCCATCGATAGAGGCGGAGATCAGAGATTTTGCTTGGAAGTACAATCAGGACTGATGGGGCTCAAATTTGGCATGAGAAAAGCTGGATCATAGATCATGTTATTGGAGAGCAGGTAACACTATATCAATGGAATTTCAGTGACAAGGCCCGTCTTTCTACGGGTCTAGAGAGCATAAACTAGAGGAAAAGGTAAAAACATAAGGATATAATTAGTGTGTCTAGCATTAAGATTAACTTTCTTTTTTTTTCCTACCCAATGCATGCTTTTCGATCGTCTCTTCATGAAGTTGTCATCTCCCACACCTCAAAACCAAATCAAGAGAACAGCAGCTCTCCGACCAAGATGAATCTATGCTTCCTCAGGTGTTCTCAATCCACTCAATCCCTTAAGCTTCTCCTCCTCCAACAACCGCTGACAAAACGGACTCCGTTTCCGAATCCAAGGCCCCGCATACAGCAAAGCAAACGGGATGGGAATGCAAGCCAAGCTAGCAAACCCCAGCACCGAGGTAGCCCACGACACCCCAAGCGAGGAGTAAAGCGGGTCAGCAGCCAAAGGAAAAAGCGCCCCGGCAATGCTCCGCAGAATCACCGAGGCCGCCAGCGCGCTGGCCGAGTAGATGCGGTAGGCGTCCGTGACATAGGTCAGCAGGGAAATGAAGATGATCTGATATCCGAAGCCAAAGACTAGTCCCGACATCACGGGGATGGCCCAGTGGGTTGTGGATTTGGCTGTCCAGGCTAGCCAGAAGAGACTCGTTGTTAGACAGGGGCCTGCGATGCAGGACATGGGGAGTCGGTGGAGCTCGGGGCTCGAGGTCCATGTTTTGCCTAACTTCTTGGCCTTTTCGTAGATTGTGTCGTAGTAGAGGGTTACCAATCCGGAGGATGCGGCGCCGATGCCAACTGCGCTTGGTTAGTTTTGAAACACATCGGAATGTAGATCTGTAAAGACGAGAAGAAACGTACTGGGGATATAGGTGAGGGATGTTGTCTGGATGTCGAAGTTGTAGATTCCTGGTAGGCAACAATGAGTATGGTGGAAACCATGCAGATAGTTAGATCGACTTACCTTTGAAAATTATCGGATATGCCTGAAAATAGAAAAACACCAGACTGTATGCCAGGGATATATAGATCGCCGTGAAGAGAATGATAGGTTCAAAGACCAGCATCGACAGAGGTCTGGTGATAATTTGCGTCGTGGTGAAGCTAGCGTCTTCTCGTTGCAGCTCTTGTCGAGCAAAGTACCAGTTGCATCCGGTGGTTTTTCTCAGTTTCGCAGCACGTCTTTTGAGGATAACGGGGCCAAATGTCTCTATGGAATATGAGCCACGGGATTAAATGCTAAATATTCGATTGGAGGGACAATACCGGAAATGAAGAGTAGACCAACCCAGGTGGTTCCAGTCAGAATCAGGTCAATGCGAAAGGTCCATCGCCAGCCATACTGAACGACACAGCCAGAGATAATCGGACCTAAAATGGGACCAAAGCTAGCAGCCTATACTGAAGTTAATATAACGAAAGCAAAGTGCCGCTTCAGCTAAGTTTCAATGTAACGGAGTCTGACATACCGACATGTATAAAGCCATAGCTCGACCACGACTGCGCATCTCCGAGAAAAGATCCGCATAAACACCCCCAATAACAGTCTGCGGCGCAGCACCCATCGTGCCACAAATAGCCCGAAAGACCAAAAGCGACGACCAGTTCGGTGCCAGAGCACAGCCCAACGTAGCCAGGACAAAGATAGAAAACGTCCAAAAGAGCACGGGTTTCCGGCCCATAGTTTCACTCAGGGGACTAAATACCAAAGGGCCGATCACGTATCCAATCAGAAATACCGCGGTTGGTAGTACCTGCTGCCCGTCTCCGGACTGGTCGAAGTCCTGCATGATGGTGGGGACTGCATTGCTTGGTAGCGCGGATGATATGCCGCTGTTGAGGACGACTAGGAGGGCCACGATGGCGTTGTATATTTTTTTGTTCTATTGCACAGCTTTGTTAGCTAGGGAAAGATTGTTTTTGTATTTGTTGTCGTCTTGTGCTATGGTGGAAATGCTTACAAAAGCCCAGTTGGTGGGATTTGCGGTGGAGTCGTCCTCGAACTCGACAAGTACTTCATGGTGAGACAGTTGAACTAGTTTATAGTCCCCATCGGTTGTGTCACTTTTTGCAGAGGTTATTGAAGGGGTAGCCTTCTCATCCGGGCTATGATGATTTCCTAGAACAAGTTAGAGAAGCCTAGGACAGTAAATACAAGATCAATCGTACCCGAAGAAAAGAGACCGGCTATTCGAGTCACCAGAGTATTTTCGGATTTTGTAACCATTTTGTGTTAGAGTTTTTTTTTTTTTTTTTTTGGGTTTAAATTGAACTTGAAAAAGAGAGAAAATGATTATAGAACCAAACTCATCTACGGGCCTCAGACCATTGCGAACCACGCAATATTTAAGCAAAGCTTCCTACGGAAAACAGAGAGAAAAACACCGCACTGCCAGCTGAGTCACACAATGGCCAGAACCGACATCCATGAATTAACACATATTATCTCTGTAGCTATCATGTTTGCGTCAATATTAACGTACCAATCAAAGCCGCCGTATACTTCAATTTTTGACCCGGGACCTACCGGCGCCGGTCCGGGTCCGGCGTTTAGGGCTGTCGATCCACGGCGCCGGCCAGGAACCGGCTTCTGGACGACTGTTCCCGCCGCCCGATCCTTCTACTATACTCTTCTATATGCCCCCTTTCAGTTAGCGGGTCAGAGTTTTCATGTGAAATTCGAGGTGTACACTGCGTGGCGGCCCAACATCCAGTTTTCTTTGGTTCCAATTGAATGACCTAGCCCACTATGCTAGCGAAGATCCTTGAGCCTAATCCACTAAGTGTAGATCAAACTATGTACAGTCAGGAATTTCGATTTTATGAGAAATGGAGGTTTGAAATTTACTCAGAATATATTGCTCTGAAAAGTAGCTATAGGACATCATTGAGGAATCGACGGCATCATAGGCAAGAAATCGAATATATCGTTCTGCCCCTCTTCAAACAACCCAAATGAATCCGCAATCGAATTCGACATGGTCCAATTGGGCGCCTCCATTGTATCGGGTAGCCTGGGAAGAGGCGGTCTGGGTGCAACTGTGTCGCTACTTGGCATCGAGGCCATATTCGGGTCCTTGTCGCTCTGAAGTGGTGCCCCGGGTCGGTACCGGGGATCCCCTAGAGAGCTTAGTCCTGACGGAGGGGCGTTAACAGTCGAATGATCTGACCCTCTGTACGGAGGACTTGACCCGTCGCCTTGCTCTGACACATCGGGCACCTCCGCACTGCCGTTGCTGTGTGTGGGCTGACTAGCAAACAGGGCCCGAGCATAATTTACAAAGATGGAAACGGTGCGGTGGACATCGGGGTATGGGGGTTGCTTCAGGAAATCGCATATTTTATCTGCTCTTTCTAGGAGCACTTCTTGATCAATGAGATTCGGACGCCATCGCGCAATTCGGAGGGCAAATGTTGCTACCACTGATGAGAACACTGTCGGTTGTAGATCGTAGGGATAGATGGCAGAACTTACTGACAAAGGCAATCGTGAGAGCAGGATATGTGGGCGCCCATGAAAGCTGGCAGCGGTAGGCGGGTTCCGTGATTAAAAATGCCAGTTGGTCCATGATTGTAGTGACCAGCGACTGCCATAAATTCAGAACATTCTGGTCGATGTCCTCTGACTCGGAGTCCGAGTAACCAGGGTGTAGTTTTTGAATGCGCGCCAGCGATGCACAGAGAACGAAAATCCTAGCATAATGAAGAGCGAGTTTGAGACTGCTGCGTTGGAAGGCACCCGCATGAAAGCCATTATCTTCACGGAGAATCCAGGTTAGTTACCACTAAAGTATCTTCTTCGATTGGGGGTCTCACTGTCATGAATCTCATCCCATACAGTCCACCAGTTTTGCAACCTTGCCATGATGGCTGGTAACTCTGTGGATACAATATCGCGGATCGTCGGCGAGTTTTCGAGGATCATTCGGGATTTGCCTGTTTCTTTGGGTTAACACTGGAACCAATGTATCACCAAAGAGTAAAATCAAACCTCGAAGTTGATGGAGTTCAATAATAGACACAGTGCGCATGTCGCAAGGCAGAGAGAGCGGATAATCGAGAAATCTGCGTAGCTTTTCAACGTCCACCTCGGCTATACGTGACTTGCGGCCTGTCCCAGAGGCCACATCCAACTCTAACGTGAAGCTAATCAGCCAGGTCCTCGTTTGCCACACTAGTTGACGATCCGCCATAGAAGCAGAGAGCGCGCTCCGAGGCAAGTTTTCCTGAGATAGTAAAGTGTCCAGCGACTTTTCCAATCCAGAATCCAAAGCAGTGCGCAGAATGAGCGCGGTCGAGAACCAGGTTTTCTCGGAGTAGGCAGCAAGGAGAATCATGCCTTGGACAGTTTCTAGTTTCGTGGGTCGCTCGAAGAAACTGTCTTCGGCGAGTCGCTGCGCCTCATCTTGCAGTACACGTTGCATATGCGTGTCACTGCGCAGGTCGGCCACTGCACGACTCGCGAGGTAAATGATCACTGTAAAGCAAAACAAAGAGCGTGACCTGATAGAGTCAAATGTATCTCGAATTGGGTCGAAAAGAGGCAAGTAATTTTTGCTTCCCCCCATAAACCTGGATAGCATAAATTAATGCTCTGTTCTTGCTTTCCTTTCACGGGGCGATGTTCACATACCTCTCATACATGACACGGGCCTGTTCTTCGCTGACAATACCTCGAGCAATAATATCGCTCTTCGGATCGCCTTTGGTTGAATTATCCATGAATATCTATATATTGCTTAGCAAGAGATGTCCCCGCCAAATCTTGACATCTAGACTCACATTATTTGACCCCAGCAAGTTTACAGACATGGAATGCACTGCCGAGACCGGCGCAATCATATCATTCGGGCTCAACTGCTGAGATTCCCGTCCATTGTGATCAGCAGTTTGGGACCGTTGAAGGTCTCCCAACGTAGTCGATTCAGGCATCGAGTCAATCGAGGTATCAAACGCCGCAGCGTCCTGCCCCGTGGCGGGAGAGTACTCTTGCTCTCTTGATGCGGGGGTGTGAAACCCACTGCGCGGGTCCAGCGGTGAAGTCGCTACTTGACATCTGTTTAGAATGATAAGCTGGAGTTTCGGGACTGTCATCGATAGAAGATTGTTTCAGAAAACCAACCGTGATGGTGTCGCAGTTTTCCTGCGGCGTTCATTTCGCCGTCTTCCGTCATCGATAGGATCCAAGATACAATCCCGGCCTGTAGAGCGACAACGGAAACATGGAACCTGGTTGCGTGCATCGCAACGCATCTTCTGCCGGCGACACCACCGGCATGCTTTGAAGAACCGGACCGGGATATTCTCCGATCGGAATACCATCTCGGAACCTCTTTCGCTCATGTTTGCATCACTTGAAATTTGACCTGATCTTGCACCAGGGCCTAGTAGCTCTCTGGTATCCTTTCAAGGTATTATTTTGTCCGATGAGATGCTCCGATGCCCGAGAAGTCGGGACCGGTCACGTGCTATACAATCGCATTATCTCCGGGTTTGATACCTGGTGATTCAGGTGGTAGAGCGAGAGCTAACACAGTCTAATTTGTATACTTCTTCCTAGCGAACGGCGTAAAATGATACATGTGCCTAAGGAAATTCGTTTATTTGTATCTCTAATGACTCTATTCAATTGTATATTGCATCTGTCTTCTTATAAACCACTCCGGAGCGTAGTTGGTGACTCGCTCTTAGTGACTCAAGAAACAAATTTACATCTTAGTCATTCTCTGCTGATCCTGCTACCGAACTCGTGGCGACAGTCCTGTCTCAATCGCCTTGATTTGCAATGCCAGGAACTTGGAGTAGATGCGACACAGTGCGAGATTGCCGCCCATGAACCAGAACCCGGGGTGGCCGCTGGGGCGCCACATCTAACCCAGTATTAGCAGGGGAGACATAGAAGGAAAAGAAGGGAAGGGAAGCGGAGAAAGAAAAACATACGGCATTAACCTCGCCCTCTGCATCCAAATCCCACACATCCAAACACCGATCTGCCACTCGATCACCCAGCACCTTGCGCACCGTCGTCCGCATATTATCGTACCCGGTGGCCAAGACAACAATATCCGCCGGCAAGGTACTTCCATCCGCTAGATGCAGCTCGCGCGGTCCGAACTGGGTGATCCCGCGGGGGCTGTGCTTGACACCAATTTTGCCGTCGATGATGAGCTGGCTGCAGCCGACATCGATGTAGTACCCGCCGCCGCGGGTGAAGTATGCGCGAGCAATACCTGCCCCATCAGGTCCAAAGTCGAGCCGAAATCCGACCCGGCGTAGCCCGTCCAGGGTATCTTTCTCGGCGGCAGCTATGCGCCGTGTCAGGTGGACGCTTAATGCGAGTTGAATTGGCCATGGCAGGCTTTCGGAGGCGATGTCGGCTTCTTCAGTTGGTGGTCTGTTTGTGGTGGTGTTTCATCAGTATGAACTTCTCGAGTAAAAATGAAGGGAGAGAGAAAGACAGAGAAACATACCCGCCATCTTCATGTAAACCCTCGTGCATCATAAACACGCCCTTTTCGGCAGTCAAGACATACGTCCCGCTCCGCTGCAACATAGTCACATCTGCGCCATGTTCATAGAAGTTTTGCGCAATATCGTGGCCACTATTCCCAGTCCCCACAACGACAACCTTCTTCCCACGCACATCCGCCTCGGATGCATCGCGGTGCTGGCTCCCATGGTACACTGTCCCCTGGAAGGTCTGCTGGCCTGGAAACGTGGGAATCCGCGCCTCGCCAGAGTGACCGGTGCACCAGACCACATGGCGAGGGCGTAGCGTGCGTCGAGATCCATCGCCGCGAGCCACAACGACAGTCCACTTGGCGGTGGCGTCGTCATACTCAGCAGAGACGACCGAAGTCTGGAGCCACACGTTCAGCTCCATGATGCTTGCGTATGCCTCGAACCAGTCCCCCAGCTTGTCTTTCGGGGTGAACTGCGGCCAGTTCTTGGGGAAGGGCAGGTAGGCCATGTGAGTGAATTCGGCGGGATCGTGAGTGACCAGTGTCTAGAAAGGATCGGCATCAGCAAATATATCCAGGGCATGGTCTCTGCTTTTCCAGGACAGGAACATCAGAAAAACAAAAACTAAGACTCACACGGTATCGATTGCGCCAGTTATCCCCAACGCGTTCATTCTTGTCGATAATCAGACACGACACTCCCAGACTCTGCAGACGCGCGCCCATATTCAACCCAGCCTGGCCCGCACCCACAACCAAAGTAACAGGTTCGGTATCCAGGAACTCCTTCTGACGCAACCTGCGCTCAATCCACGTCCCGCCAGCCAATCCACCAGGCATGGACTCAGTCGTCCCCTCCGGACGGCGCTTCCCTAGGGGCTCCTCGTCACCCCGTAACTCCTGCAACGAGGTATACACCGCATATGCCTTCCAGGGCGCGCCATCCTCCTCCTGCGTAAGACGTAGCATGCCCGTGCCGCGGCCCACAGCCGTCTCAAAAAAGAACATAGTTGACACCCAGCTCAGCCCATCAACAACCTGCTCATGGCGCGGCTGGAACTGGCCCTTATCCTGGAGCCGCAGCGCAGACAGCTGCGCCTGGCTCTGATGCTGGCGCAGAAACGTTTGGATATCTGCTGCTGTCCGCACCGTGTGCAGCTCCCAGTCTAGTGCTAACATGTCGCGCCACCACGACTCGGTGTGGAACAGACCAGTGAGGTCGACTGTTACCGGTTGGGATAATTGGGTTTCGAGGTTGGTCAGCCATCGCTGTGCGATGGCGCGCGGGTCGAGCGCCGCGCCTGCGGGCGTCGTGGGGAGTTGGATGATGTGCGGATTTCCGCCCGTCAATGTTGTAGCCATGTTTCGGTTGATGGTGTGTGTCTATGCAATGTAGATGGGGTCTAAAGCTTCGCGCGTGAGAGGCACTGCAATTCAACAAGCCAAAAGTTCTATCCTCTCGGTCATGGTCCCCATATAAATACCCTGCTCGAGCTACATTGCCCCGAACAGGACATCGTGGCGGGGGCAACTCAGCCGAAAACCCGGCGCGACTCCGAGAACGAGGGGTAGCGAAAGAACGTGGGGAATCCCCATACCTCGTCCGGACCCCGGAGCGGAGTGCGAGGTGGAGCGGAAAGTAAAGTCGGGGCGATGTCCGAGGACAAGGCAGGTGAGCCGAGCAGAACCCAAAACAGGCAAAATTGGCGATCCACGACTGATTTACCCTTCTCGGGCATTTTAAACGCCTAAATATGCAAAAACGAAGGGCAATTTATTCATGTTCTGCGTTGTGCATGCATGCGCAGGTTGCGCAGAGGGCTTGGCAATGCTCTAAATTAGAGATAATCAAACTGCAGGATGTAGCCCGAAAAATAGTATAAATATATTGCAAAAGAACCTCATGCATCTAAATGGCAAGTATATACATGAAAAACGAAGAAGTCTATGTCTCCAGAGACTGGTGGATCACACTCGTCCGGTATGTCTCACTGCGCTCGATGAGCTGCGTATGTGTACCCTGCTCAACACAGCGGCCGTCCTCAATGAGGTAGATACAGTCGGCTTGGTGGATGGTGTTGAGGCGATGCGCGATAGCTACTATAGTGGTGCGACCTGCGAGGGTAGCCAGTGCTTCCTGGATGCGCTTCTCAGACTCGACATCCAGCGCACTGGTGGACTCGTCCAGCAACAGCATACGCGGACGGCGGACTAGAGCCCGCGCAATCGACAGCCGCTGTCGCTGACCACCCGAGAACTGCTTGCCGTCGTGGCTGCAGGGAGTCTGGTACCCCTGCGGCAGAGCCATGATCACCTCATGAATGTTGGCCATGCGGCATGCCTCCTCGATCTCGTCTTGGGTTGGCTCGTGACCCGGGCGGGCGCCCAGTCCGATGTTGAAAGCCACCGTGCCCTCGAAGAGAACGTTTTCTTGCGGCACCAGAGCGATCTCGTCGCGGAAGGATGTGCCCAGCTGCCGGGTGATGTTGACCCCGTCAATAAACACAGCACCGGACTCGGGCCGGTAGAAGCGCTCCAGCATTGAGAAGGTCGTCGACTTGCCGGAGCCGCTAGGTCCGACCAGTGCGCAGAACTGGCCCGGTTTGATTCGCAGACTTAGACCCCGTAGCACCGGCTGTCCCGGTCGGGACGGATACTCAAAATGCACGTTTTGCAGCTCGGCACCAAGGCCGCGCATTGGCGGCGGCGCTCCGACGGTTCCCAAGGTTCGTTGCTCGGGATGAACTGCCTCGGGATCCGGAATCTTCTCCTCCAGCAGGTGCGTGTCGTGCTTTTTGGTTTTGTAGTCAGGGTTAAGCTCCTCGTCGGCGGAGCAGGTGGTCAGAATCTCTGTAATGTTGGTTGCTGCCACGCCTGCCTTGGAGATATCGGGGGCGAGAGCGAACATCTGGCCACAGGACTGGGTGCTGAACAAAAGTGCTGGCAGCACAATGAAGAACTGTTTCTGAGAGTAGAGCCCGGCCACGATCTGTCGAGTACCCCACCAGTATGCCAGGGCATAAACCAGATTGCTAATGCTAAACGCCAGAGCGAGGAAGACGTTGCCGAAAGCAATTGAGCGCAAGGTCTCACGGTACGGAGCTCGCAGGGCCCGTTCATACACCGCATAGGATTGTTTCTCGAGCGAGAACGCCGAGACAGCGCGGATATTGTCAACAGCCTCGACGGTGATGGCCGTGGCCTGTGCAAAGGCCTTCTGGTGTCGTTCCGCGAACTTGGCCTGGGTTCGCAGCTTCATCATTCCCGCCGCCAGCAGGACTGGGATCGTCGGGAACAGCACGATTGTTATCTTCCATGCAATGGCAAATGAGACCACCAAACCAGCTATCAAGTTCACTGCCATGGCCAGGAGAAGACCGATGGTGGTACCGGTGATGCTACTCAGAGCCGTCGCATCCCCAGTAATGTAAGTGAGGAGAGTATTTGGAGTGCGATCGTCCATTCCGTGCCACTTGACCGTCTGTCCCAGAAGTGATCGCAAAGAAAGAACCCGAATTCGATACAGGATTTTGTCCGCGGCCCAGCCGTATGCGCAGCCGCTGAAGATGTTGGCCAAGAGTTCCACCAGAGCCATGATAAAGAACAATAACCCATACAAGCTTCCACTGTGGCGGATCGATTCGGCTCCTTCGCATGGGCTCAAGCTGCCGACAGTGTTACCGAAGATGACGGCCTCTGCGGTATAGCTACCGCCGATGATAGCAGACATAAATAGGCCGATGAGGATGAAGTGCATGTTGGGGCGAAGCAGAGAGAAGGTAAACTTCAGAGTGAACCATCCCGAGCGCCGGCGTATCTTCTCTTTCTTCTCCCTCTTTTCACGCTTTTTCTTCAGCTGCTCCGTTTCGATCTCTTTCATGTCTTCAGTCGCGGATGCCGGAAGAGAGTCGTCAGTGACATCTGCTCCATGAACGTCGAGCAAAGCCTCCTTATTGTCAGCGGCACCCAGCCCGTCATCTTTATCTTCATGAATGGGGTCTTCCGCGAGAGTGGTGGAAGGACTCAGCTTCCCTAGGTTCTGCAATCGCACCATCTCGGCATAGGAGCCGCCTTGGGCAACCAGCTCGGCGTGAGAGCCTTCCTCGGCAACGCGACCCTGTTGAATGAGCACAATCTTGTGGGCATCTTTGGCAGTCGCCAAACGGTGGGCGATCGAAACAGTGGTGATCCGCTCGGCAACCTTGCTCAAAGCCTCCTGGATCAACTGCTCGCTGGTAGAGTCCAGCGCTGCAGTTGCCTCGTCCAGAATCAACAGCGCAGGCTCACGAACAAGAGCTCGGGCAAGTGCAATCCGCTGCTTCTGACCGCCGCTCAGCTGGCTACCTGAAGAGCCTGCTGCCGTGGCAAAGCCGTGTGGGAGAGCCTCAATGAAGTTCAGGGCATTGGAACTCGCTGCCGCTTGTCGAACCAGTCCCACGATCTCAACGACAATAGGGTTCTGGCCCTCGAGGGCCTTCTTCTCCGACACGCCACTGCGAATTTGCGCTACCAGGTCCGGCAGAGAGGAGTCAAGGATAAACGGAGCCAGATGTTGATGATTCTCGGCAGCGGAAGTCACCAGTCCATAGGCGATATTCTCCAGAACTGAGCGGTCCAGCAGCGACGGTTCTTGCTGCACAAAGCCAATGTTTCCACGAAGGTACCGCACGTTCAAGTCGCGGAAGTTCTGCTCACCAACAAAAATATCTCCGGATGCGGGATCGTAAAAGCGTTCGAGAAGGGCCACGATAGTGGACTTGCCACCGCCCGACGGTCCAACAATCGCAGTGTGTTTCCGAGGCGGAATAGCAAAATCCACACCCTGCAAAACCGGCACATCAGGACGAGACGGATAGGTGAATTTCACATCACGGAAAGTAATATCTGCCGAGTTGAATGGGGCGGACCTGTCTCCGGAATCTGAAGTGCCATCAATATTGGACTGGCGTTTGATGACGGTCATAAGTCTCTCTGAAGCACCAGCTGCCGAGGCAAAGACATGCACGAATGGTGCCACCTGGCTGAGAATGAAAGACGCATCGATCAGAACGAAAATCACCGTATATACCGCACCGACCGATGTTCCATTGCCTCCCGATTCTACCGAGTCAGCGATCAAATGGGCACCCTCCCAGAAGGCCAAGGCATTAGCGGAGTACGCGATGAAATACAGCAGACCCAGCTGCATCGCGTGAGTGATGGCCTTCTTGACTGCATCCATTCGCGATTCGGAAAGGTGCTCGGCGAACAGCCTTTCCAGACGCTCGTGCGCATTGAAGGCGTGCACCAGCATCAGATGCGACAAACTGGAGGATGCAATAGACGTGGCCGCATTGACATGCGTGGTGATGCCGTTGGCATACTTTTTGATATAGTATCCTCCGGCGAGCGACATGAAGAAATAGCACGGCACAACTGAGACCAACATGCCAGCAATGGCCGGAACCTTTATAAATGCAACAATATATGAAGTGACGAAATATGAAACCGTGCTGATAACAATACCGACCTTTTCGGAGGTGCCGGACTGCACCACCTCGATGTCGCTGACCAGCCGGGAGATGACATCTCCAGCCGGCAGGACCTCAATGTAGCCGGCCTCCTGCTTGATGATACTCTCAAAGTAGCGTCGACGGTATCGGCGCGCAATGCGCTCACTGATCAAGCTCCAGCAGCTGCAATGGATATATATAAAGCAGAAATTGGCAATCGTGATATAAATCACGTAAAGCACCTTGGTGCGCACTCCGTCCGTGACCGCGCTATCGGAGGATCCGGAGGAATCGCATGTGGCCGTGTTAAGATCGTTAATCAGCTCACCGAAAACGATTCCCAGCAATGGGAAGGGTATGCCCGCGGCGATGGAGAAGAACACGCCGGTGACGATCAGCAGCACGTCGGTCTTGGTATAGTCTAGCGAAAACAGCAGCCGCGTGTAGGCGAAAAACTGGCCGAAGCCTTTCTTCGTCGGCACGCACCTTTTCGCGTACTTGGCCTGTGTAGTATGTGCTCGTCAGTCGGGTTTCCTAGCCCCGTGTGCTGAGCCTTGAGAACCCACCAGTTGGGTCTTTTTCCCCGTTGGCGCATTGTCGGTGGGTTCCGACATAACTGTCGCTTCACTCAGCACTCCGGCTGTCGCAATTCCCGCTCCTCAAGTCTCCAGCTTCGGGTCGGACCAATGGCGACAGAATCGGGGTTTTTATGTTGGGCGTCCGATTCTCCGATCTGACAACCTCTACCGAGAGGATTATTACACAGCCAAAACCTCAGTACTCGAACCAAGACAATCCACCAAACTAGCCGGACACAAGCAACCAGAGCCCATGGATGGTAGTTTCAAAAGGGGGAATGGGTAAAAGAAAAGAAAAAGAAAAGGAATGACAAGATGGGGAGAGACTCAAGAAGAGGAAAAGAAGAGAGAAAAAGAAACAAAAAGTTTTAAAAACAAAAAAGCACCTAAGAAAAAAAGTTATTGCAGCTCCGGTCACCGGCCCACGATCTCGACGCAACACCCTGCAGAAAACCGAAGACAAAGCGTGACAGAGTGGGGACGGAAAGACCTTTAGGGGACAAAAACAAGGGGACTCCACCGAATTTTAACCCCCCAATAGAGGAAATGTCGGGAGTTTGCGAAGGAACACACCAAATGGTCACTAATGTTTAGCGAGGGCCAAGTGGGATCGGCTCTGGCGTGTCCCAATCGTAGACGGCGTTGGTCCCTGCCGGTCCACCGACTCATCAGATAACACCGTCCGTGCAGAACACCCCGTGCAAGAGAGAAAAAAAAAAGAGGGGATTGTCGGTGTGGTTCCTGTCAGTCAGGGTCCTCTAGCGCCAGTCCCTTCAGTCGGTCGATAATTTTCTTTCATTTTCTTTATTTTGATATAGGAATTTGATGATTTGATGATGAGCGCATAATGAGCGACGCCACGATTGCTCGGAGAGTTTCACCCCTGGAAGAATTTTATCAGATGGTGTGGATCTAATCAGATTGATAACCTTGGCAAGGGGGCGCAGCTCGGCCTTCCCTGAAAGCTAGGAAATGAAGCCTGCCAAGATCATTTGTTCAAAGTGTTTAATTGTTTTCTTGTACTCCCTATGACTCGCGCTAGTCAAAGAGATCGTTTCTTGAAGGAGCGCCGATCCTCGGTGCATTTGTCACGGCGAATTCCGAACGGGTGGAACACTCAGGGATCCGTCTAGTCCCGGATCAGTCGACGCCGAGCCGACGGGAGCCGTTTACATGTCACAACTGCGTATGACAGAGTGGAGAATATACATAAAGCACCTGAATAAAATTGATGGACCATGTACATGAGACATCCCCGACTCCGTGTCGTGGAAAGGAAATGACAAGAACAAATGGCAACACCAAACCAAGCAAGGTCTATGTACACATACAATATGAAACCTTTTCCTTATTGAGATCGACGAGCCAGGAAGTAGGTGAGTAGGTTCAGCGATCCTTCCTGGGGCGGCGGAGTCACCTTTTCAACGCGCTCTGAGCCAAAGGTAAGGCTCAAGAACGTGCACAGCTCAGTGGCGTTTTTGCGCACACCGGGCCGCGGGTGTCCAAGATGCTGCGATACAACAGTGCCGACACTTGCCAGGACATCATCTGAGATCTCGACGCCGGGTTGCGCGAGCGCTTGCTGGATAGTGCTCAAACCCATGATGATCGACTGGTATGTCTCCTCACCGTGGGCTCCCTCCCTTTGCTCCAATCCCTGCAGCACTCCCATGACTGCCGTCCAGGGCGCGGTCACGGAGACCAGTTGTTCCGTAACCTCCTCCAAGCATGTCACAAAGTGCGATGTTGACTCGTAGTGGCGACGAGCCCGGATAATGGCTGCCATCGCGAGAATGTCATAGCGCTCGAAGTGCTCTCGAGTCCGCAGGAGCATGGAACGAATGGTGGCCAGGATTTGCGTTTTAGCGTCATGGTCCTTGCGGTTAGTGGGCACTGCTTCCAACTCGCTCAACAGGGCCTCTAACACCGCGTAGTAGTCCTGCGTTCGTGCAACGATCTCCTCTCCGTGGTATTGAAAGAGTCCTTGCAGTTTCCGATATCCCGAGATGTCCATAGTCTTGGAGACAATCCGGCCGTGGGCCTTTTGGATCATTTCCTTCGCATTAACGGGGTCCTTGGACCGTGGGCTGATACTTCGATGTCGCTCGGCCCATTTTCGGTTACGGCGAGGCAAGTCTTCGGAATGAGCTTGGGTCAGGGGCTCAAGAGAGCGGCCACGGGCCTCGGCAAGTCGCGGTGTCGATTCATTAAGCGGAAGCTCTTCTAGAGCATTCGGATTCACCGCAGATCGTGGAGCTGCGGGCAAGTCTGCAACTTTGCTGATATGTGGGGTCACATTCTCATTGTTGCCGGTCTGGTTGACGGCGGCTCCACTGACAGGTTCATGGGGCAGGGCAGAGTCCACGCCCGAAACAAGCTCGGGGGCTGAAACGTTATCGCGTGTCCTTGAAGGCGAAGGACTTTCCCGCAGGGGTGTTTTGCGCGTCGGTGATCGGGGTTGGGTCTCAACCATCGGACTATCGGTGACACGCTCCTGACTAGGGGCTAGATCAGGGATGGAATCCATCACAGCTGGAGCATTTTCCGGGATGGACCGGGCTTCTTCTTCACGAGGTTCCCGTTGACCAAAAAGATTGGATGATTTCGTTGGGGTTAAGTTTTCGATGCAAGCTGCCCTCACAGGACTACCGGCCTCGACTGCAACTGGTGTGGCAGGATCTTCATATATCACCATAGAATCAGGCTGAGATTTCACAGGCTCGGGAACAGACGGAGGGTGGACGTCACGAGGGGATACTTCAACATCTTCTTCGCGAGCACGCGGAGAGGTTGCAGTGGCATTGGGCTCTTCAAGAGGCGTGAAATGCGGTTCCTCTACTGCGATGAGCCTAGCGTCGTGGTCAGACACAGATGGTTCAGGGTGAAGAAGTGGCGGTTGTGATGCAGCAAGTAGAGGGCTTTTCAGCACAACGGACGCTGGAGAGTTGTGATCTTCAGAGGCACTTGAAGGATCAGAGGGTTGCGCTCGTCCTGAGTGTTGATTCGTTATGCTCTCATTCGAATCACTGCGGGGACGACTGGCGGCCAAAAGATGGTCGTAAGACTTGGATTTTGAGAGGTCGAGCTTCTTGGGCTTCCCCTTAGTGGTGCCTGTTTGCCCCGAATCATGGGGGCGAAGACGCGGCGCGTTCAACGGCTTCGAAGAAGGCGTCGACGATTTGGACTTGACTGAATGGGGAGAGCCGATTGGCTTGGTGGATTGAGCCCGTGAATCCGGGCGGCGGGCGTATGGATCCGCAGTTGCTGGTCGACTTAATTCAGCCCGTCGAGGCTTCGCACCGGGTCGCATAGGCGCCGATGACAAAGATGAAAGAGGCGCGCCAGTAGGCACAGTCCGCACAGCAGGCTTGGGCGCCGGATCTGACTTTTTCACGTCAGTGAAGGTCGGCTGAGCTGACTCGGGGCGAGATGGCATCTGGGCTTTCTTCCGTGCAGCAATGGCTTCCTTGAGAGCAGAGCGACCACCGCCGGGGGTGGAAGGACCCTTTCTGGAGGGCGCAGAGGTCTGCTGTCCCGCGTTCGGATTTGCGGGGTCCTTCTCGAGCAGGTTTCGTGATTTAGTATCCATGTCAGACATTATCCTTTCGTGAGGTTAGCCTGTTTTGAAACATACACGAGAGAAAGAAGAGGACAGTAACATACGCATTGGCCTTGTCTGGCCACACGGGGTAAAATGTCCAAAATGTACTCCGCATGGCCTCTCGTACACCAGGATTGGCATCACCCAGTCCCTTCTTGATTGACTTCTCCACAAGGTCCAGGCCACCACCATGTTCGACTGTGCTTCTGTGGTGGGCTTGCCGGCTGATCAAGGTCTTAAGCCACCCAGCGGCAAATAGACGTAGGCCAAGGTTCTTGTCTACAGAGGCCCAATGGACATGCTGCAGGATGCGGGTAGTGAACGACACATTCCCAATGACCGCATCGACTGTGGCATTTCCACTCTGTGCGGCGATCTTTTTCAAGGCTCCACAGAGCTTTATCAGATTCTGCATAATTATTTCAACCATCGAGTCGATTTTGGGGCCGCATGTCTTGGCGATATCTTGGATCAAGAGACAGCCATTGGTACAGAGCGTGGTGCGCAGGGAGTTGACTACTTTGAAAATGCCATCCAGAAGCGTCTTGATAGCACTAACAAAGGTCTGGGAAAAGTCGTGGGGCGCATTGCCTCGTGTGAGTCGCCGGAAGAGGACGACATTCTTTTCACGCTTCATCCAATTATCTTCGGACTCCCTGCCATCAAACCAGGGGATCATGTCGCGCATGAGATCATCAATATCTCGAGCGGACCCAACCAGGAGCGGCTCCACATCGTCGTCCTCTTGTGACGACTGCCGAGGCGCAGGTGCCTCGGCTGGTGTATGGGGACGTTGGACCGAAGGTGTTTCTTGGCGTTCATAATGGCTTCTTGAGGAGCCAGGTCGACTTTTCACGGGTTCTGGTTCTGCGATGCTATCAGAACGAGGACTTTGGGCAGGTGAAACCAGCAGAAAAGAGTGGGCAAACGAACCATCACGAGGCACCTCAACTGCCTGTGAGCGTGAAGACATCACCGAGATCGGTCGTTCAGCACGAGAAATGGGCCGCGTAGAGGATGAACTCTCAGGTTCAGCGGAGTTCAGACCAATGCCCGAGAGAATAGCATTAGCGATGGACTTTCTCACACTGCGAGTGACCAGCTGCTTTTGCAAATCCGATTTCGCTCTTGCGGGAGCAGTTCTGTGTGCTAGTGTTAGAACCAATCGAACGAGAGCCTATGACCAGATAAACTATCACATACCGAAATAGTTCAATTACAACCAACTTGGCCGTGTCTCGAACAGCACTGTCGGCGTCCTCCAGACATGCGACCAAGGAAGGTACATATTGGCGGAACAACAGGCCATGGTTTTTGGTCATCTAAGGATTCCTGGTCAGAGAAAAGCCCAAACTCGTTCGAGATACGAACTTACATTCAACAACCATAGTAGGCTCATTTCCTTGGCACGGGGGTTTTTGCCCACTAATGCAGTCTCAAGCACACAGTATTCGACTTCAGCACCAGCCACTGGCCACAGTTCGGTAAAGATGGATGCAGATTGGGCTCTGACGCGCTCCTTGTGGTCGCCGAGTCGCTCCATCAACACGGGGTAAAAGTTTCGGGCTTGGCTGACGATCCATTGCTGTTGATCCTGGATGGAAAGCCGCTTCAAGAAATGACCGAGTGTGGAGAATCCAGCCCCGAGGACAGAGTAGTGCTGAGAGCTTAGCGAGAGCCGCAGAGTTTCGAAGATCGTCAGGATAGCTCCATCAGGAACATTCTTCTGCTTGATATCGGACTTGAGGCTAGTCAGGTGCGCAACCTTAGCGTCAACGGAGACATTGGGGTTCTTGAAAGTCGCCAGGAGATCTGCTGCCTTCGTCTCCATGTTCGACACCGACGGGTGAAATCTAACGTGAGTCACAGAGTATCAAAGACGCCCACCCGCCAGGGATGTCGCAGAAGAGCGGAGTCGGCTCCAGCGAGGTGACAAAAGGGGCCAGGACGAATGAGAAGACACGCGCAAGTCGAATCGCTAGTTTGTCACTGTTGATGATCAAAAGTTAGTCGCACGTCTCTTGCAGCAAGTCCAGACCGGGTGGCAGAGTATAGTCGAACATAGTGGGCGCGAAGGTAAGTAGAATAGACGTGCAGAGCGCATTGATGAGGGTGGAATTCGGGGGAATACATGTGCAGACGATCGTAGCGCAAAAAGGGCATCGGGATAAGGGGAAAGCATGCGAAGGAAGGAGACCGAGGGATGTAGGCAGGTACTAAACGATGCGATTTCGCGAAAAGACATACCGCAGTTGGTACCTTGACCTTTTGACGAAGCGAGGCGCAGATGGTGGGATGTTGTCAAAGCGGAGAGATGGAAGGAGAGAAAACAAGGGGCGATAAGCGCGTGTCGATAAGCGCGAAGGACTCCACCGGGGAAATTGTGTGAAAGATATAGCAAGGGATGTTTGGATCTCTCAGTCTTGAATGATGTTATATGATGTTATGGATGCTGTTTTCTTCTATGAGATTTTCTCGTTGACTTATTTTGTGTTCAAGTGCCAACCATGGGTGCGCCGACAGAAACCCGAATAGCTTTGTTTACTGTCGTCGCCAAGGACAACCAAGCTATCGCACATACACAATCAACTAAGAACATAATCGAAAGGGGAAACATACGTAATCCTGAGCTCCCAGTTGAGAATAGTGCAAATTTCAAATAATTTCATAAGGGCAACGCAACCACACCCAGAATCCACACGAAACCTTGTTGACATCTACAAACGCTGGTATAGAGATAGTACCGGCGCTCTGCTAGCATCCTAGCAATACCCAAGAATGCAGGTGCATTGCTCGAAGTTGGTCGAAAACAATGTGTTCATATGATGTCACTTCTGAGGAACTCAGAATCTTGAAGTATACAGGAATGCGCGACGCAGCTGGCGGCTATTCCATCTCAGTAATGATTTTCTCGACCTGAGCGATGCAGTTGAGCTCCTCATTTTCCTGCTGGATCTCTGAGCAACGGATCTTGAACTTGCTATCCGCCAAGATTCTGTCCACGCCGTCGCGAAGGGCCTCACGACTAGGTGTATCCGTCCGTAAGTTGACCGCGATCCCAGCCCATTCGCCGCGCATTGACACCTCAGCCTTGTCCTCTAAAAGAACCACAATGGTAAGCAATCTCAATCTATCCAGGGAGCAAATTTTCAGACTTACGGGTCGTCCCAGCCATGACCATAGGGACGCCGTGCATAACGCCGTGCATGAAGCTGCCGTATCCTCCATTGGTTACAAACGCATCCGCATAGGTCAGCACCGCGTCGTATGATAGATAGTCAACAACCTTTGCGTTCACGGGCACCTCGAAGCCGTCAAGCTTGGCGCCTTTCGCGCCCAGGACCGCAATGACGAAAACGTCGTCCCTATCGGCCAAGGCCTGGATGGCAGGGATCAAGAGCATATCGTAATCGATCGCAACCGTGCCCTGCGTGATGAACACCACTTTCTTTGGGTCGCTGGCCTGTTTGTTGATCTCTAGCTCGCCCCACCAAGCGGGCAGTGATGTCGACAAGCTCACCTTGTTGGGCGGAGTTCCGCCGATGAAGCGGATCGTGGACGGCAAGTCACTGCGGGGGTACTCCAAGCTCGGACTGCACGGCTGTAGTGTGATGTCGCCGGCTGTGGTCCAGAGATCAAACAGCGATCCCGTGGCTTTCTCTGTGGCGCCGAGTCGGCCATATACGGTGTTACCGTAGCCCGTCAGATCCGCCAACAGATCCTTCATGCTCGCGTACATAGCTGCATTACGTGCACGCCCCTCCACACTCGAGTCCGGGGGCAGTCCGGGCCCAAAGGGTGCAGTGTCGACACTCGACAAGACGAGCGGCGCGGGCGAGAAATTGATCACCTTGGGGAACTGGTCATAGCCCTTTGGCGGAGGCGCCCGGAGTAGAAATGGCCAGGTGCCCATGTACATGAGCTCCTGCACCACGATGACCTCGCGGCCGGGGTGCTTCTCGCGGAGACCCTCGAGTACATCCTGCAGCGTCTTCATTCGAAGAGGGGTAGTGTCGATAAAATGCCTCTTGAAGGCCCACATCAAGCGCGGGGGCCTTCCGGGATGGAGGGATCGATTCTCAAATTTTCGGGAGTATATGTGTTCTCCGTCGCGTAGAAAGTCGCGCCAGTCTTCCTGATCATGCCCTCAAATTCAGGGCCGCCAATGAAAGAGACGTCGAACCCATTTTTGGTCAGGTTGGTGGCATGTGGGAGGAGGGGGCTCGTATGTCCGTATGCTGTGGAGCAAGCGATGACAATGAGAGGTTTGGAGGCCTGGGGAGCTGGCTGAGTGGCGGCTTCGAGACCAGTGCTATTGGCGACCATTTTGGAGACGCAGTTTAGAGCAAGGCGCGATTTCTTGGTGGCGATGGTGTGCGATCAAGATTGCAATGCTTCGAGTTGAACTAAGCGACAAAAATTTCATCTAGTCATTGCAGTCAAGCCTTTGTGGGTGTACTAAAATTGCCGGGTTAGTATGGGATCGAAATCCACTTTATATTGCAAAAACGAGGTCGTTGGGATGAGAGCAAGGGTGTGCAGAGACCCATCAGCATCCACGTCAAGTATAATTCAGCCGTCAGCAGCGCTAGCATGGGGGCCAGGAGGGGCAGGGGGCTTGTAATCATTTGCTCCTATCTCTCCCCTGAGGAGTTTTGACCCAACAGAGTAACACTCGCATCACCATTCAGCCCCACGGTAAGCACTGCTCAAAAAGCGAACCTTGGAAGCAGTTCTCTGCTGACAGCCTGCGTATCTGTGAATCTATGCGGTTCTTCGACTTGAGGATTGATGGAGTCGAAGCGTGTATCATTGAACTTGATTCTTAAAATAGCTGGATGTTTCAGCTAATCTGCTTAGGGCATGGTTGGTGCCTGACGAAACAGCATGCTAAGCACCCACCGACTGGTGGACTTCTATTGACATGATTCATGCGCGAAGAATACCCAACCTGGAAATCTACTCGACCCTATGAAAGATCCAATCATTTGAGAAAGGTTTCCGAGATTACTCTTTCCAGCTCCACATAAACCTTTGGAATTGTCAGACTCGCTGAGCTCACACAGCCGCTCGGACTATCAGCTCATCATGACCTCTCCCACCCCGTCAGCTCACCCCTCCGCAATCCCCAGGACCAATCCACAAGAAGAAATACAAGCCTCGCGCAGCCAAGGCTCGGAGGAAACACGAACCGGTGAAGAGATCATCGCTGGCGTATTGCCTCGGCCAAAGTTACGCCTCCACGTGCAAGACCTCCGTCATCCGTCATCGAGTACTTTCCTCCGCCTGATTCCTGACGTGGCATCCACGCTCGAGACCGCTCTCAGCAACATCATCAGATACCTCTACACTGCGCCCAGACCCAGATCAGACCACGGCCATGACCGGAAAACCAAGCGGCCGGCCTTTACCCCCTCCGTGCCCCCCACCCGCTCCGTAACCGTGTTCATACGCGACTTCGGCGGCGTCGCGTACACGACCGGGAGCGAGCTCGACAATGACCACAAGGAGATCCACCTGTCTCTGTCGTATATCCACAGCTGCACTGCAGGGTCCTCTGCGAAAGCCGATCCAGTGCATGAGCTCGTCGGAGTTCTCACCCATGAGCTGGTCCATTGCTACCAACACACCACCCCGCGGAGCTCAGACGAGGGAGACGGTGACTCGGATATTCCCCGCCCCCCGGGGGCTTGATTGAGGGTATTGCCGACTTTGTTCGGCTTAAGGCCTCTCTGGACCCGCCGCATTGGAAGCGCCCGCAGTCGGCACCGGATCGTGCGCCCAAGTGGGATATGGGGTATCAGCACACGGCGTACTTTCTGGCTTGGGTCGAGGATGTTCGGGTCGGGGAGGGGGCCATCGGCATGCTGAATGATCGGCTCTTGAGGGTGGGGTATGTCGGAGAGGATGAGGACTCCGCTTGTGGGAGTGAATCGTTTTGGAAAGGTCTCTTTGGGGCTGGAGTTGCAGAGTTATGGGAGGAGTATGGCTGTTACCTGGATGACCCACAGAAAGAGAGTGCTCAAAGACCTAGCGGGGATTGGGAGGATGAGATGGTCAACCCGGAGTAATGGGCTTTGATCGAATATTCACATCTGCAGACTTGATATCAAGTGCGGCTGGTGATCTATATGACTGCTACGAATTGGATAGAATAATATTACAAACCCTTCAATTGAGGTTACCTAGACGAAGCTTTAATTGTTAAGCCGCAACCGAAGACAGGCAGTGACACTTGGATCTACCGATGCATAACCCCAAGCCTAAATTTATAATGTGACCAACTTCTAGAGATGAGTGTAGCTAGATAAACAAGACAGAGACAAAAAGAAGATTCCATAGAAAAAAGACACCAGATGAATCGAAGGAATCGGAGTTCCTATACTGTACAGTATCCAATCATGCAGACAGGAGAAATAGCTCTTTTTACCGTTGGCCTTCCCATGCGAAACAACGGACAAAAGAGAGACAAAAAAAAGGTAATAAAGAGACATGAAGTAATATGTAACCGCGCCTCGTACATCAGGGCGCTTCATCTTATCGGATGCTTTAGACGATCACCTCACCCAGGTCGACATGAACCGGTTTCCACGGCGCGGCCCCTTCTTCCTCCATGGAGCTGGGGACTCGCACACTCAGCGGGCTGTAGAGGTACCATCCCTTGAGCGCGGCAACGGCTGCTCGCTCTCGGCCTTCGAACAGGCTGCTGCCAGCACCCTCGCCAAGTTTGTCTTGACCAGAGAAGATGCCAATCACGAAAACGGGGGATCGACTCCTCCGACCAGTTTCACTGATGATCTTGGCCACCGGTTGCTCGAAGTTCTCTCGGGCACATAGCCGGTTCAAGTCACGGGCGGGCTGCGAGAAGCTGAACAGAGACGAAATGTTAAGCTGCCTCGAAAGGAAGTGCTGCTCGAAGAATCGCTTGGCAGCGGGACGACCTGCGTGCAGGTAAATGGCACCCATGACGGCTCGGACAAAGTCAGAACTGGCCTGCTCGGCACTCACGCCCGCGTTTCTATCCACCGGTCCCGAGGGCGCATCACCATACTCATTGTCATAGAAAATCTTGCGTCCCATTTGTTGTCGGGGTTCTCTTTTCTCCGCTGATCCTGGTACCTCAGCGCCCGGATCAATCCTTCGAAACTGGAGCAGACCTGGGTCAACCTCCCCCCAGGCAATGTGGCAGCTTCCACGCCCCATTCTTTTGCCATTGCAGCGAGGGACTTGGGGCCGGCGTAGGCGTACATAGAGGAGAAGATGACGGCTAAGGGCAGGCGAGGGTAGGTACAAAGGAGGTGTTCGGATGTGTAGTAGGTAAGGAGATCATGGCCCAGGGTGACCAGCGATTCATTGTTGAAATGAGGATTGGGATCCGCAGAGGCGTCAACCAATGTCCGCGCAAGTGTCTCGAGAGGTAATCGGGAAGGAAGATAGAGTCGAGCGTGGAGGGCAGCCAATTTTGCGGAGCTCCTCGCGGCTTCGACGGGAGGAGAGGGATACTGAATTTCGGGTCTTTTGAATCGGATACTTCTGATATGGCGCGCCAAGCCTTCATCCACAGGTGCCTCCTCCAAGAAAGGCTCTTCCTGAGAAGAAGCTTCGGACTGAAGGGGAGAGGCGGTCGATTGATGCCGCACGCCGGAGTGAAGGTGTTGTTGCACGCGGCTACCAGTCCGAGCCCGCGGCGAAAGGACTGAACTGCTCCATCGGTGGAGCTGCAGCCTCTTCATCTGGGCGGCTGTGCAATGTGGGAAGGGGACTCGAAATAGGACAAGGGTCGGGGACGCGGTGGAGGAGAGGCGCGCAACAATCAATTCTACGGGGAGAGAAAAGAGAAAATGTCGCGGTCACGGGATTTGCTCGTGTGAGCCTGCGCTAAACCTATAACAGGCTAGTGTATTGGCACATGACTTTGGCTATTTCCGCTGCAACTTGAGTCCTCGAGTTGCCCAGCCCTACGCTCCCTTTCCTGTCCCAACAATCCTTTCAATTGCATCTTGATCACCATGGGTGGAGGCGGAAAGATCCCGTATGTTTGGATATTCCCGTGAAATTTGTGACAAGAGGGCTAATGGGACTTGCCGCAGGTACCCCAAGGAAGTCTGGTCCCCCGCGGGAGGCTGGTACGCTCAGCCGGCCAACTGGAGGGTCAACACCGCAATCATGGGCGCCTTTGTTGTTGGTGTGGCTGCAGTTACCTGGGGCCTTAGTGCCGAAAGAGAGTATCGCGACCGGATGCCCGAGCCTGGCCGGTTCTTCCCCAGTCGATAGTCGGTTCATCCCAACCCTTACACCGTTGAGATCTACCAGTGCTGACTTGTGTGTTGGATGGATCAGCTGGAGCAAGCAGATTATCGAGCACGAGAGACAGCAGGTTGCGAAGAACGAGTCATAGAGACTGCGGGATATTGAATGGCGACCATGGGATTTCCAGCATAACGCAACATTTCCTTTTCGTGATTTTACTACGGTTTCATCATTCTTGTGGGCTGTACGACAATATTAAGGGCGTTCCTCGACCGACCATTTATCAATTGGTCAACAGGTGTCTCTGAGGAGACTCTTTCAATGTCCTAGTTAATCGTTGCGTGTACAGACGGACCCGTTCCGTGAATTCAGCCTCATTCCACAATTCCCTTTCACCCCCAGACCGAGTAAGCTTTGGCACACCGATCTGTTCGACGACAAACCCGGCTGCGACAGTCGCGCAAATGAGTGCCATGGGCAAGTTCTGAAACTGGCCCCAAGAGGCCTTGGCTTCCTTCCACTCCCCAGCGTGTGCCAGCTCAGATTCAATGGCCTGGAAAGGCTCTCGTCCCGCACTCACCATTCCTTGGGCCAATGCTCCTAGGAACGAGTTGCCCGCACCCGTGGGGTCGAGCACAGCCGTAGCGCCCTCGGGTCTGGGCTGGTGATATGCGGGTAGCCAGATCTTCAGGGATTTGGAGTAGGCGTAGCTACCATCTTTTCCTGACCTGATTACCAAATAACCGTTTCCATCAGCACCAATGCCGGAATCAAGAATCTTTTGCACCAATTTCTGGCTGTCCTCGCTTTCCTCGGTCCATCCCGGTTGATCAAACATCATGCCAAGCTCCAGGTGATTGGGGCTGACCACGTCCACCACCCGGTTTGCGGCGAAGAACATTTCTTGTTCCTCCGGCGTGCAAAGATCAGGAACTGGCTCCCACACAAAGATAGGCCGATTCGAGGCATGAGTGGCGGACGGAGGCCGCCCCGCCTGCTGCAGCTCTTCCCGTCGTCGCATGATCTCCTGGACGATAGAGATGCAGCGAGAGGCAGAGCAGACCATGTGGAATGTCTGCGACAACACTTGAGCATCAGAGAGCATCGAAGGCTCCAGTCTCAGCTTTGGAGTCAAATACTTGAAATCTGTGCCTCCAGTTAGTATATCCATTTTCTTACAGTAGATCAGCGAGACGCACCCCGTTTCTCATTGGGATGATACCCATTCCATGCTCTCGTGGTTAGTCTTCTATGGTCTTCCCGGATGACGCAGTCGGTTCCCCATGAATTGATCACTGCCAACGTGTCTGAAGGGAAATCAGACCCGACATCCACGATCCAGCTCACTGACCGGGCATGCGTCAAGCCCGCAACCAAGCGCGCGCCCACGACGGCAAAGGATCCCGCGCCACCAATGATGTTCTTCACGCCTGGTCTTGCACCACCAAAATCAATGTCATCTGGGGACAAATGTACTGTGAGCATCTGCCCCGCCGGGGTCTTCGGGAATGGCGATAAGCATACCAAGGATAAACATGCCCAAGGTACAGAACTCGACATTGCCCAGTTGGGGTGAAAACTTGACTTCGGCCATGGTTGATTGTCCGTGAACAATGAATTCTGAGGACAATGGCATACGAAGAAGAGAGAAAGGCTCTCGAGTCTATCAGTGGAAGTGGACGGTGGACCGGAGGGACTATCGGATAGTATTGGTAATACTAATGTTACCATCCAATCTCATGCGACCTGACTGAATGTTACGTAACATACATACGGCTGGCTCTGGAGCTGCCTGTTCACCTCAGGAGCTCCCTCCATCAACTTGCAACTTCCATCCACCAGGTGTTTTCTGGCGAAGAACCAGAGTGTTGCCGAAACCGAAAACAGCGTCTAATTTCCTCATTTACTGCATCTCTATTTTCCCACGTCTTGCCTTCGTGCTTCGGTCGTGAAGCAACGTGTCGCCCAACATGGCGAGCAGCGGCCCTATGCATAATTTCACCACCCTCATCAAGCGGTATGTATGCACTCTGCTGGGTCGTATTGATCCTAAGTCAATCTTGTTTCGAATGGCCCAAGCTGACCCTGGCCGTGATTTAACAGGCTCGAGGCCGCGACCTCACGCTTGGAGGATATGGCAATGACCCTGGATGAGCCCAGTTCCCCGAAGACTGCGGGCGCTCCTGCTTCTGCTACTCCGGCTACCCCCGAACCTCCCAAGCTTGCGCCTCCCCCACCGGCGGCCCCTGCAGCGGCTCCGATTCCACCACAGATCCAAGACTTTGATGCATTGATCAAGGGGGATGTCCAAAACTATGTGAACTTGGGTGAGAAGATTGGTGGCCTCGTGGCAGAGCAGGTTAGCTTATTTTATTGAACCATGAAATACTTCCGGCAGGTAGTTGCTAACGATCATCCTACAGTCCAGAGCAGTTCTGCAAGCCTTCCAGGCCGAGCGCACCTACCTTTACGTCTCGACCAAGGCCAAGAAGCCCGAGCCTCAGCCCCCGGAACTCATGACAGACCTGCACAAGGCATCGGACAGCCTCAACAACATTCGAGAATCCAACCGGGCTTCGCCGCTGTTCAACCACCTGAGCGCAGTGGCAGAGGGTATCGTTGCTCTCGGTTGGTTCTTTGAAAGCAAGCCCGCAGACTTCGTGGCGGACATGATCGGTGGTATCGAGTACTACGGTAACAAGGTTTTGAAAGAGTACAAGGAGAAGTGAGCAGACCCGCACACAAGTTTGATGGCATTCGCAAGTTGACATTTTGAATAGGGACCGCACGCACGTCGAGTACATCCAGGCATACTACCAGAACTTCAAGGCCCTCGCAGCATATCTCAAGAAACACTACCCCAAAGGCTTGACGTGGAACAACGAATCCGGTGTCGATGCGCTCGAAGCATTGAAGCAAGTCAAGGGCGGACCAGCACCGGCTGGCGCTGGTGCCATGCCTCCTCCTCCACCGCCGCCCCCTGTACCGGCACTAAACGTCCCTAGCGGCGGCGCTCCTCCCCCACCTCCGCCTCCCGGAATTCCTCCGGCTCCTGCCCCGGCGGCCCCTGGGCCGGACATGTCGGCCGTCTTTGACCAGCTCAACCAAGGCGAGGCAATCACCTCTGGTCTGCGCAAGGTTGACAAATCAGAGATGACTCACAAGAACCCTAGTCTGCGTGCGGGATCGACGGCACCAGAAGGTTCCAGCGCTGTCCGCGGCAAGTCGCCTGCGCCGAGCAAGAAGCCCAAGCCTCAGAACATGCGCGCTCGCAAGCCGCCGCGCAAGGACCTGGAGGGTAACAAGTGGCTTATTGAGAACTTTGAAAGCCCAGAAGAGATTATCGATATCTCCGCGCAGCAGAACCAGTCCATTCTCATCACACGCTGCAACAAGACCGTCATCAAGGTTTCCAACAAGGCTAACGCCATTGCCATCGACAACTGCAACGGCCTCTCCATTATTGTCGACTCCCTTGTCAGCAGTCTCGATGTCATCAAGTGCCCCAAGTTTGCTCTGCAGATCGACGGCACCGTCCCTACTCTGCTTCTGGATCAGGTCGATGGCGCCACTGTCTTCCTTGGCCAGCAGAGCCTCGGCACTGAGGTCTTCACTAGCAAATGCTCAGCTATTAACATCATGCTCCCGCCGAAGGAGGGTACTGATGAAGACACCAAGGAGTGCCCGCTCCCCGAGCAGATCAAGAGCTACGTCAAGGACGGTGTGCTGGTGAACGAGATCGTCGAGCATGCCGGGTAAGCTGCCTGGAGGATATTGGGGCATCGCACTGGACCTGGGCTCTTGAGGCTAGGGTTCTCTGTATTTCTGCTTTGAGATTTTTCTTTTCGGATCAAGTGTGTCTTATTTCCCTTGGCAATCTTCTACCTTAGTTTCAGATCTCTGATTTTGGATTGCTGTATCTAGTGCCCCCTGTAGATATAAATCGCAAGAGACCAAGTTGATTGGAACCATATTTTACCGCTTAATCTTGGGTTTTACTGTTTGTTTTAATTTGAAATATTGTCGTTCGTGACGGATGAAACCTCGGGTCATATTCATTTCTTGCTGATCTACCCACATGTATATGTCCCTTGAGTTCGGATTAAATACAAGCCAAGTCAGCAGTAGACGCTGTGGACTGAACGAAAATGGAAAACCTTTTAGACATGAATGCTCAATGCAGGTTATAATATTTAGGCAATGTGCGAGACGTATCTTAACCGATATATTTCAAAGGGAGCATGCAATAGGTAGAAGCAATAAGCCGGGAGTGCTCCCCTAAGGATAATATAAACACTTGAAAACGCCAGAGCGCGAATAAAGAAGGCAGAAGTAAGAACCCAGTGAAAAAGAGCGAAAGAGCGGAAGATAAAACAGGGGGTATATAGTTCGATGACCTATGCGCCGGCCTACCCTGGTTTGAAAAAAAAAAGCCTCCGGGGCGATGAAGAAAAACACGGTATTTGACACGACCAGGTCATAAGGAGAGTCAGAGAGATGCACCTACATTCTCTCGATAACTTGAAACACTGTCTGAGCCAAGTTTCGGAGCTGTAAACCAGGTTAGTTTGCTTTGCACCTGCTCGAGTTGGGTTGCAAGCCAGTGCGCCTTGGTGTTACTGGAGATTTTGTGCGATGCAGCATGCAGACAAGGTCAAGTGTTAAGTCAAAGTCAAGAAGCAAATATTTAAGAGATGATATTTATACCGATGACTTATTAGCCGAGGCAGAAGAAGCTGACGAAATGCTGCAGTGGGGTGAGGTTGATAGGATGAAAAGAATCGAAGTCGATGCGTGGATATGCGGCTCAGTTACCCTTTGAAGGACTCGTGTTTCTGGACATCGAGACCTCGGAGCCTCTTGGCGAGGAGACTTTCACCGGCTTCGGTACCAGCCTGACCGGATTGGAACGGGTAGCCTCCGTATCCGATGTCTCCCTTACTGAGTTTGTTGTAGAGGGCGCTTTCGCGTGGGTGGGGGTCTGTCCTGAAGAACCCGCAACATCCATAGAGCCCGCCTGGTGGTTCCAGTGTGAGGGCAGGTCGCTGGGCGACGACACATGGGGGCGGAGAAGTGGGATGACACCCTGGCCAACACTCCGTCTGCGGGAGGTTTTTTCAATTGCCAGACGAGCATTCGTGGATCCTGTGAGCGTGGAATCCCGCGTAGGCTTGTACGGGGTGTACCGAGGTTCCGGGAGCTGGATCTCATTACGTAGCTTCTCCTTGCCGTCGGGAACGCGGTTGGCAAACACCACCCGGATGCTCGAATGCAAGTAAAAGCGGCCACGTGCGGGGCAACAGATATTCAGGTGAACAAGGTATCGCAGAATCGGCTTATCCTTGGGGTCTTCTGTAAAATTCAAGGATGCTTCAGGGCGATCAGTTCCGAAGTTCTTCCGAGCGGCGAGAGGCATGTCAATGATCGGGCCTGCCGAGTAGCTTCGCTGACGGATGAAAGTTTTAGTGCCAGGTTCCATGTCACTGAGATCATAGGGAACAAGGAACAGTTTGACCGCGGTCTTGTGCGGGTTCTTGATCATGATCTGCAGTTGGCCCTGTTGGGGTATGCGATAAGACCCCCCGGGTGGGCATTTGGGTGACTCCGCCCTGCGGTTTCTCTTTTCCCGACGCCGGAGGCGATCTGCATCGGGCACTCGAGTTGCACCTGTCTCATCCGCAGGAGCACCTTCTTGCGGTACTGCTGGGCTAGCATGCCGTTTCCGACGCCGAGTCGTACTCGAGTCGTCCCGAGGAAGCGAGTTTTCTAAGTCAATCTGTCCCACATAGGGACTAGGATTGTCATCGGATATGGAACGGCCGCTTCCCGAGGTTGGATAGCTGTAAAAAACCGCCGGGAAAGGCACAGTAACATGGGGAGGACACTTGAGATGGCCTTTTGATTTGCCCTTCCCCAGTACACCGATTTGAGCTGTGAAATCCAGTGGCTTGGACGGATTCATGGACATGCGGCCTCGCAAGATCGATTCTTCGTACGATCCCACCATCGGCGCATGGGATTTGGGAGAGATCTCCGAAGCAAACGAAGGCCGCCTTGCTCGGGATGCAGGGGTCTGGCCCGTTGATGCAAGTTGAAGACTGTATGCCGAGGTCAATGACCGCCGAGGAGAGTGATGAGAAAAGAGATCATCTCGTCTCCAGGGTGGTAACGGGCTACGAATATTGACCGGTTGCAAGCCCGGGGGTGACGACTGAAGGTGTCGGAAGGTCTCTGGGGGTAGAGTGCGGCGGCGATTAGCCCTCTCGAAAGGCTCAGAAGCCTCCACCGAATCGACTCGCGGCGAGAAGTCCAGGTCTGTGTTGTTGGCTTGGTGCACCAAGGGACTGGTCGGTGCTTTCAGAACATAACTTGAGGAAAAAGAGCCCAAGGATGGTGCTCGAGAGCGAGTTTCAACGGCCGGTTCCGGTTCATGGTGGTCACTGAATAGATTTGGCTTTCGTAGTGGCGGTGGAAAGGCCGATGCACCAAACCAGGGTGTGGTTGGGGAAGAGGCTAATCGGGCAAATGGAGAGGCCTGACTTTGCCCAGCGAAGAGAAGCCGAGGTGATGGGGGGCATCATGATTTGCAGCGCCTTCTCGAAAGTCGCCGGAGTGTAGTGCGGACCGAGGTCTCTGAATGTCGGCCGGCGACCCCAGTTCCTCTGTTTGCTCTGCTTGAGGGGGCTCCTCTGGAGTTTGTCTTTGGGCAGTCTCTTGCGCCTGCGACTGGTCTGGTTTGTCCGGCATATAGACGTCACAATCGCTGTCGTCCTGCGACTGTATCATGTGTTAGCTACTACTCGGATATAATAACGGTCATGACTCGGAAAATAAGGTCATGAAATCCGTCAAATACTCAACATACCGCACATCCAAGCCTCCAGGGCGAAGTTTCTTTAATCCGGCGGATAAGTTCCCCCCGATCGCTGGTCCACAGCTTGGAGTAATTCGACTCTGCTGGTGGCACCGGTTCCGAGAGCCCCTCAGTAATGCCTGAGCTCTGCCATCCAAGGTGACTTGTATCTGACTGGTCTTGAGAGGACCCTGGGGTTTGCGCTTGCTGACCGTTGTCACCGGACCACAAGTAATGACGCCGGCGATCTGGGTCCTGAAAAAGGGGCATGGTGGCGGAGTGAGGCGGGCTATGGGGTCTAAAATGCCCAGCCAGGCATTTCAGGAGGCCACCGACGTGGCAAGCACTGTTGAAACCAGGCCCGGTGGTACCGTGGTGGGGATGCGGTGTGCGGTAAGCTATGCCGTCAGTGGAAGGCTGATTGGCGAGAAATGATGTGAGGATATATATATAAAAGGGAGATTAGTTGGATAAAAGTAGACTGCGGGCAGACCATGCAACGACAAGGAAAGAGGGGAAGGTAGGAGGAATGGGAAGTTAAGCAGCGAAGTGAAGACGAGAAGTTGAGATCGGAATCATGTCATCGCGTGGGTCTCCGTTTCAGATGATTCACTATCGGGCACTGCATGCATTTGGGTTGTCGCATGACCTGGTTATTGCAAAAAAAGAAGTATGCGTATACAAAGAGTAAGAGTTATGATATTTATTATTCATGCGATAGGCGCTTCAGTGTTACGCACCTCTCAGTAGAGAGAGTCGCATTGTTCGGCGTTGGTCGTAGACCGACAGTTTTGCCGCCACTTTTTTTTTCTTCACCTGCGCAACTACTTCACACCGAACAACTCCCCTCGAAATTGAACTCGAACTCGAATTTGAATTCGATATTTATCAAATATGGGATCCAAACGCCCCCATGATACAGAAGCTGCTTCGACACAGACCTGGACGGGGCCCCCAGTCAAGAAGCGCAAGGGCTTCAGTGTCGGCCCAGCGAATCTCCCCGATGGCACATATCGACGCAAGAGTGAGTTACCTTCTCAGCCCCAGGTGTCATTTTTCAAGTAGTCGCATATACTCACACATTCACCTCAACAGCCCAAAAATTAAGTCCGACCTGATCCAAAAGGCTAAAGTGAAAAAGGCCTACGCCAAGATCAAGGCTCAAGAACTCGCCGCCGGAAATCCCAAGTCCGTCTACGCCACCGAGGAAGAAGATGCCGAACCTGGGAAACACAACGATGGCGAGGGCGCATCTGCAGATTCAAAGTCGGCCGAACTTCACCCGCAGCGCCAGGCAATGCTGGACGAACCGTCGCCGGAGCCGGCGCCGAAGCCAGAGCGTCGCCCTCGCAATCCTGATAATAAACACAAAACCCGCAAACCCAAGCCGTCTGCATTCAGCAAGGAGATCGAGGTGGCAGAGCAGCGGAAACAGGCTGCTGAGTCTCGGAGGAAGGAGCGAGAAGCTAAACAAAAAGATCGAGAGGCGATGGCCCGGGCGAGGCGACCGGATCAGTTTGGCAAGCGGAGATTGGGACGAGAGAGCAAGGTGCTTCTCGGTCGGGTGCAGCGTGCTGTTGGCCAGACATAGTCGGAGCAACAACATAGCGAGAAGGAAGGAGAAAAAAAAAGTACCCTATATCGGAATGTTTTCGAGATACCCGGATTATGGACTAGTTGAATTCAATCCACAATAAAAGCATGAGATTTCAAATGGTTAACTTATATTGCTAGAATCTACCTCGATCCTGCTCCGCTTCGGGATTTCTTGAAGCAGGCAAACTCCCCCTTGGTCCGATCCCTCAACCGCTTCAACACGACTCTCATTTCGCCCAGCTCGGCCTGGAGTTTCGTGCGAGCTTCGTTCGTAGTGCGGCGATCCAGCTCAACATAGATTTGACTTTGCACATTAGATGCCTCCTCGGTCGAGTATTGCGACATGGTTTGCGCAATGAACTCGGTGTCTAGAGTTGCCTGCATCAAAGCGGCAAGCGAGAAGGTGGACCGGGAGCGGAAGGCATTGAGCAAGGAGGAAGAGATTTGCACCAATAAATGCGTGAGCACGGTGGTGAGCAATGAAGACGGTGTGTTGGGCGGTGCACGGCTGGAGCTCGGAGATACACTGGACGGGATTGTTGTGGAGATCTCGGTATGGACCAGGACCAGCGTCAACATGGTATTATAAACGTAGGGACGGACCTGCTCTGGCCGGTCGGTGGACGGCACCCAATCTGGAGATGCGATGCCAGTGGTGATCGTCTCGTCCAGCGTGGCGATCGTGGGGGCAGTGTACGACTGGAACAGCCGGGCTTCGATCTGGCTGAGCACGTCGCGCACGGTGTTGCCCTCTTCCGTCAACTTGACGGAAAATGAAGTTTCGAAGTTGGAGATCAACTGCGGAACGTACTCGGCCTGAAAGGCCTTGAGGTTTGAAAGAGTAAGGAGGATGCGCACGTTCTGTTTTTATGTTAGCGATTGAGGGTTAATTTCACGGGGAACCAACACTCACCCTGTTTCGAGAATCGACCGAGTCAGCAGTGAGAACCGACAGAGCAGCATCCGTGGCTTGGCTCGTCATCACAGGCCTGGTCAAAACCCATTCGTCCTCCTCTTCCGGAGTTGTCAAGCGCTCGGCATTCTCAACCAGCCCGCTGAGAGCCTTGTAAACACTAGATACAAACTGAGCGCGGACCATTTGGAGCATCTTCGCAGGCGGCTGGGTCACAACATCTACAGTGCCGGGCTTGGCCATGGCCTCCGAGATATAGAGGATTTTTTGCATGCCGCCAAGGATAGCGCTTTCAAAAGCCACAAACAGGCCGGGCATCTTGGTCAAATCCCGCTTCTCTGTATCACGCGTCCAGTTCTCCAACAACTTGCAGATTTCGGCATCTTTACTCCATGCCGCGCAGGCCACACGGGCAGACCGTTCGCGAGCGACGCTCACTAGGGTCTTGAGAAGATCGTAGGTTTTTCCAGCATTAGCAACCGGCCGCAAAGCTGCCATCTCGCTGGCTGCAGTGCCGACAATAATCAGGAATTTGCTGAGGTAGTGAACCCCACTGAGCGAATTGGAGAAGGGGGGCCAGAACGCGAAGTCATCCCAGTGTTCTCCTCGCCGGGGAACGGGGATGGGCAGAGTCTTCGCATCGAGCTTAAATCGGGACTCTGTCGGAGTCACACCTCTGGATCCAGGGCTTGTGGGACTCGGTGGAACAGGAGAAGAGAGAAGCGAGATATCTTCTGTCGGAGGTTCGGTGAATAGGGCCAACACATTTTCACGAATGATGTTGACCAGCTCGACCACGCCTCTCTCGAGCTCTTTAATATTATTCGAAGAAACTTGATGGTGCTTGCGACTTTCCCCTTCGAAGCCAGCGGGAAGAAGTCTCTGTCGACTGCCGTCGATGAATGACTGCGCGACGTCCCAGAAGTCCAACACCTCGCCCAATAAGCCACTTTGTGATGACAAAAGCCGTGTGAGGAACGCCTGAACGCAATCCCAGAGCTCAATTACATGATCGGTATCAAGTCGTTCTGGAATTTCCGCTGAACCATCGCGAGGCGCAAGGCGAAGGTAAGATACCGTGGCCTGTGGTGTTGGGCTTTCTCCACCGGCAAGCCGGCGTCTTAAAATTTCAATCTCAACCTTGCAACGTTCACAGAACGAGGTGGTCTTGGTCTTGAGGAATTCATAACGACTGAAAAGCCAAGTCGAAATTGGGTTGTTCTCAACACCCAGTTCCAACAAAGCCCCGATCAGCTCCATGTGTTCTTCAACGAGGCCGGACGCGGTGCTCGTCGTTGACGTCGTTGGCGCATCGGTGAGACGTCTCCAGAGATCCCGCTGGAAGGCTTGGATTTGCTGATCAACATCCATCCACATTCGACCCATAGCCAGAATCGTGTGCGTCTCAAAGTCAGACAACTGTCGGCGAGTAGTGGATGCTTGATCTGCGATGGTTTTGGCCTGATTCGCCAGCGTCCTAGCCTTGGTATATTGCTCGAAAACGGATTCGTAGTCCCGCTGCTGGATGGACTTGGACAGAAGACTCCCGATCTCGTAGACATCGCGATGCTTTTCCATATTCTCCACCACCGACTTCAGCATCTGTTCTCGATCTCGACCACTAAGGGCTGGTCCCCAGACTTCCTCAGCTTTGACGGACGCTTCCACCAGAGGACCTCGAATGCCTTTCATGCCGTACTCGCTCTCCTTGATCAGCGCGTTCTTCGGGTCCCCTACCACCGGCGCAGGGGAAACGCTCCGTTTTTGACCCGAATAGCTTCGAAAGTGACCCGGCCTGTGTGAGGCCAGGTTGGGCTCTTTTTGTACTCCCTGGTTCCTCATCTCCGTGTAGACGCTATCAATGGTCGCCTTCGCGCGAACAAAGCGTTCGAAGTTGGCCTCCACGAGCACTTTCAACGAGGCCGACTTTTGATCGATAGATTGTGATAGGTATTCGAGTCCATCCGTGAGTGTTGGAATCGAGTCCGAAGAGTGCGCTTGAGATAGGAACAATGCGGGTGAGAACGACGTCGATGACAGCAGGAACCGTGACCTCTTGCCGCTCTCCTCTTCTAGGGGCACTCCTCGTTTCTTGAGAACGCGGAGAACGTTGTCCCCGGTCCCCAGGGGATCAGGTTCATCTTTCTGTGAATTATCCCTGCCATCTTTCCCCCTGCGCGAGCCGAAGTTGCTTCTCCAATCACTGGGAGTGCGTTCCAGGGCGAAGTATCGGGACTTGCGTGGGCGGGACTTGGTTCGTTCCACAGGCTCTTCTTCGGAATTATCTCCTTCATCTAATGCAGCGGGCCATTCGTCGGGGTATTCTGCGGGCAGGTTGTAGTGACTGGAGACGTCGAGGTCGGCCATGATGGACGTTGCAGGTGGAACAGGAGACGGGACGAATTGAAACGGTGATGTAGGCACAGATCAGGTCCTGCAGGAAACCGCGACACGAGAGCGCGCAAGAGAGATCTAAGATCCCGTCGAAGGCACACAAGACGAAGTGGGCCACGGTCGGGTAGCCGGGGACATCAAACCACCAATGCGGTCTGTCTGCCGGTCGGATCGGGGCGGCGCCGAGGGATTTGATTCTTTCGTTCCCCCCCAATCCCCCTTCTTCTTCTCTCCCCACTCATTCCCATTCCTCCCACCCTAATCAGATCACCGGGATCCTTTCACCATGATCGCTGCCAGGAACTTCTCTGCTGTCCGTCAATGCCTGCGGTCGACCCGCGTGGCCCCCAGCTTTGCTCCTGTGTCGCAGGTAAGCACTCCTCTCCACCTGGGCAGGGCTCCGATGTCGCCAAATCACTTGTCACCTCAATTGACTAACCCCTGTGATCTTTCTAGCTGCGTGGCTTTGCCAGTCCCGCCGATGACGCCGTCGCCAAGTTCAAGGGTCAGAAGGGCGCTGATGTACGTTTATCTTGTTTTTGCCTCGATGCCGGCGCCAGCCGCGTACCGTGCACTGCCGGCCGACCGCGAACACCAAACATGGAATGCTGATCGAATCGACTCATTGGATAGGGCAAATACACTGTTACTCTGATTGAGGGTGATGGCATTGGTCCCGAGATTTCTCAGTCCGTCAAGGACATTTTCGAGGCCGCCAAGGTAAAGCGATCTTTGAGAATGCCCTATCTCCAGCCTCATGCTGAAGGTCCATACTAGGCCCCCGTCAAGTGGGAACCCGTTGATGTCACCCCTATCCTGAAGGACGGCAAGACCGCCATTCCCGACGATGCTATCAAGAGCGTGCAGAAGAACTACGTCGCGCTTAAGGGTCCCCTCGCTGTATGTTTGACCTCTGCCGCGCTTATGGTGCGACAGTCAATACTGACTGTTGCTTTTATAGACCCCTGTCGGCAAGGGCCACGTCTCTCTGAACCTGACTCTCCGTCGGACGTTCAACCTGTTCGCCAATGTCCGCCCCTGCCGCTCGATTGCCGGTTACAAGACTCCCTACGACGGCGTCGACACCGTCCTGATTCGTGAGAACACCGAGGGTGAATACTCGGGCATTGAGCACGTTGTCGTGGATGGTGTCGTGCAGAGCATTAAGCTTATCACCAAGGAGGCCTCCGAGCGCGTGCTGCGCTTCGCCTTCCAGTACGCGCAGTCGATCAACAAGAAGAAGGTCCGCGTCGTGCACAAGGCCACCATCATGAAGATGTCCGACGGTCTGTTTCTCAACACCGCCCGCGACATCGCCAAGGATTTCCCCGATGTCGAGTTCGACGCTGAGTTGCTGGACAACTCGTGCCTGAAGATCGTGACCGACCCCACCCCGTACAACGACAAGGTCCTGGTCATGCCCAACCTGTATGGTGACATTCTGTCCGACATGTGCGCTGGTCTGATCGGTGGTCTTGGTCTCACTCCCTCCGGTAACATTGGTGACGAGTGCTCCATCTTCGAGGCCGTCCACGGCTCTGCCCCCGACATCGCTGGCAAGGGCCTTGCCAACCCCACTGCCCTGCTTCTTAGCAGTATCATGATGCTGCAGCACATGGGTCTCCACGACCACGCTGCTCGTATCCAGAAGGCTACCTTCGACACCCTTTCCGAGGGCAAGGTGAGCTCTGCCCCGCGCTATAACCCTAACACTTGAAAGACAAGATTACTGACATTTCCTCTTAGACCCTCACCGGTGACCTGGGCGGCAAGTCCAAGACCCACGAGTACGCCGAGGCTATCATGAAGCGCCTGTAAACCGAGTCGCTGCTCGGATTCCTGTACTATGACCCTTTGATCTCTTTGCCCTGTACCCTCGAACGACATTAGACCTCCTATAGCGATCAAACTATACCTACTTTTGTAGTTATTGGATGTCCTCACATGAATCTATTTTGTTGGATATCAAGCCAACTTGCCATGAGCTTGCTGGGTGAACAAAATTGACCGTAGATAAAATTACAAGCAGAATTTTCCGATAATCATACACAACTCTTGAAATTGAAAGCAAGAAACGCCATGCCCGCGGGATCTGTAGGTATCAAAGCTGGAAAAAAGGGTATCTCGTGTCACCGTCGTCGACCAGTTCTCCGGGTGCCGGTGCCCGTCGACGGTTTCTTGTCTTTCTGCTTGGTCCTAGATGTTTGGGCTCGGGTGCTCCGCGAGCCGCCCTTCTCACCCTCGTCTTCATCGTCGCCCTCGCTGTCTCTTGCCCCATCGGTGCCCTCTTCGCCCTCTTCTTCGGCCTCGTCGTTGGCGCCGGTGTCCTCGCCCGAATCGCCATCCTCATCGGATGGCTTCCCTTGACTACCGGCGCCGATTTCGACCTGCAGGCGCGTTGAACGTGTTCCGCGTGTCGGCGGTGGACGGGCGCCTCGAGTGGATTTACGACCTCGTGATGGGGCCGGGGAAGATCGTGGCTCTGTGACGATGGCCGAGTTAGACACCTAGTCTCTGCGCGCGCAAATGATGTCTTTACTTACCGTCCGTATCTGCCACGGTACTTCCTCGTCGAGATTCAGCTGGATGGCTGATAGGCGACGAGGACCCTTCTCTCGCGAGTCGACGATCGAACATCATATCGCCGTATTCGTCGTACGGGAGCTCGAAAGGGCAGTACATTTCACTCGGTCCATCGCTGTCTTCGTTCGTATCTGTAATGACTGAGTCCTCCTGTTCCAATGATGTTGGTCAGCGAGGCGACATCTTAGCGGGCACGATGTCGGTCGTTGGCTTACACGCTCATCGAGAGCCTCGAGATTGTAGAGAGTTCCTAGCTTCTTCCAGATCCCAGGTATCCGCATGTGCTCGGCAGTAGAAGGAGCGTATCCTTGGCTTTTCAACCAATCTGAGATAGCAAGCATACGGAAATGCTTGTGCATGCCTTCAATAGGGCGAGGCCCGTTAGCTCCGGGATCCACGTCAACGGCACCAAGTGGCTAAAGAGTCATGACTGACCGACAGGCTTCCATTTGATAATTGCCTTAAGCAGTGCCGTTTCTTGTTCATCCGTCCACGGGTCTGCGACCAGGTCATACTCGGTGTCTGGCTTGCCGGTGCTGTCGCTTGAGCCGGGGGTGTTTGCGCTGGATTGCGCCGTGGTATCGCCCTGGGGGGTGGTGGAGTGCGCGCGCTTCGCCTTCTTTCGGGGAGGCATTCTCAATGAGTGTTTTCCGGGAGGTGAATCGCCAGATACGACGGAATTGGCGCGTGGAGTGGCAGAAGGAGGAGCACCTCGATGCGAGCGACGCATTTCTGTTATCGGGTGGTCCGTGCACGATAGCTATGGGCATCGCCGGTCAACGCGTTTTGTTCTTGCAACAACCTCGCTGACGATGGGCTCAAGATGGACTCCAATGAAGAACTGGATCCTTTCTCCAGTGAAGGCCTCTGGAGACTGTCCAAGTTCAGTGTGGAGGCGCTGAAACCAATCGGCGCTCTACCGTGGAACGCGGATCTACCAGGTACGTCTGAGCCAGCTTGGAAGGGACAGAATGGGACAATGACGTTTTTATTTCGCGCATAGACATTCCCAGGTCTTGTTTTCACAAAGCCGATCAACCAATTGACAAGCCCGATCCAATTTGGTCGTTCAATTCCATTGACCACGCCCTGGGCCCGCTCGAATCCACTGCCGACTCGATCATCGACCCTTCGATAGACTCTCAATCCGATACATCGTGTGGCCTCTTACAACAATTACCAGAGGAAGATGATGGTCTATGGGGCTTGGATCTGCTGCAGGAAGATGTTGGTTACGTCGCCCCGCTAAAAACATGGGAGAGATACTATGACCCGAACTTTCGCGAACCACCATCTGCGTACTTGAGTGAATGGGGTCCGAGAGGCTTCGATGCTGCGCTGGAATGTCAGGCTGAAACAAAGGGCCGCGAGCTTGGCCGCCTGGTTCATAGCGACGTGCTCATTCGATCATTGCTTCGCCTTGGACTCGGCTGGAGTTCGGTCTTCTTCCGCTACGACCAAAAAACAAATCGATTCGAGAGGCCCGAGAAGAATATTCGCGTGTCCGGTGTTAGCCCAGAAGCGCTAGAAAGCGTGATCGAAAATACTTTGCGATGCGGGACGGACATGCTGCATGTTCGATCATTTGTTCGAACCCCACCAAGCAAGTGCAAGCCATTGTCGTCTTTGTTCGCTTTGGGTAGCGCCCTCGCAGTCGTGATCTATACTCTGGAACAGAAAATCGTGGAAAATTCCAAACACATCGTTTCACCTTTGCAGATCCTGGCGTTGTTTCGCCGATGTGGCGATTTGATAGGCGCGCTGGCCAGTATTGTTGATGCGGCTGAAAGGGCGGTTTCAGATGCTCAAGTCATCTCGACGGTTATGGAACGGGCGGCGTTCCTGGCTCAAAAGTTTGCCTGGTTGGAGAATCTCGTGCACGAGATTGTGGTGCGCGTCGCAGCTCCCTGGTTCACATTCATCGAGGGTTGGATCGGGCTTCGACCAGAAGAGTCTGCACTCAAGGAAACCCTGGCCAGCGGAAATACCTTTGTTCATCTTGAAACCGTTGACGAACCCGCCAAATTCAAGACTGGGCCTCCACGCATCGACTATACGTATCGCGCGGACCACATGCCGTCTTTAATCCCCGATGATCAAGCGCAGTCGATCTTTGAAAATGGGAGAAGCTTGCGATTACTCAAACGCTCCCATCCACAGCACCCCGTTGCCCGAGATGATGTTCTTGCGCGTGCTGGCCATATTCATCTGTATTATGCGACCACCTGGGCTGATATCGAGCGAATCCAAAGAAGAGCCCATGATTATGAAGCAAAACTTCGTTCCGAGATCCTGAGGTATCACAGTCGCGAGTCTTCTGAACCGGGGACAGAGCCAAAACCCACATTGCCTGGGGCTGGCCCTGAAGCAAAGGACGTTGTGCGGGAAACCTTTGAACTTTTCAACATAGACGACGAGAAAAATAGCTCGGGGCCAATTACGGATCGTACTGCTTTTTCCAGCGACAAATTCAACGGATTGCTGGACAATGCCAGAAGCATTGATTCGGTTCCCGCCGGCAATGAGAGCCGTTTCGGTCCAGAGTTGTCATCCGGTCTTTATTTGTCCCTTGCCCCGGTCATCTTCTCTCAGTCACTTCTCATTGACTTCTCGTGTCTCCACCATTTGTTCAAAGAACATAGGGTCAGACATCACCTACACTTACAATGGCGCTTCCAGCTCCTAGGCGATGGCACGTTCGTCTCGCGCCTCTTAAACTCTCTCTTCGACCCAGAAATGGAAAGTAGTGAACGCAAGTCTGGGGTTGTCCGCAGTGGCGTGCACACGGGCTTGCGTCTGGGAAGCCGTGACACATGGCCCCCAGCCAGTTCAGAATTGCGGCTGGTCTTGATCGGACTGCTTGGTGACTGCTACTTTGGCGATACAAACCCCGACATGCCGGAGAAGGCCCAGTCTGAGAGAGAAAATGAACTCCCGGGTGGGTTGAGTTTCTCAATTCGAGAATTGACCAACGAAGAAATTACTCGGTGCAAAAATCCGAATGCAATCGAGGCTCTGGATTTCCTTCGCCTGCAATACAAACCACCTGAGGTCCTCGAAACCATTATTACCTCACGTTCTCTGGATAAGTATGATCGCCTCTTCAAGCATTTGCTTCGGCTCCTTCGCATGTTGTCGGTAGTCAAAGGCATTGTCCGTGACTCTACAGTTCGAGGTTCTCTTTCAGGAGATACACGCAATGTGTTCCAGAAGTTTAGGGTTGATGCCCAACACTTTGTCCTGGCGGTTAGCGACTACTGCTTCCACATTGGCATCGGTTCGATCTGGCACCAGTTCCAAGAAACTCTCACGAAGATCGAATATTGCCTGGACCGTGGCGATATCGACGGCACCATTGAGGCAGCCCACTCTGTGCCCCGACTTCGCGACTATCACGAAGACATTCTTGATCAGATGCTCTTCGCTTTTTTCCTCAGCAAACGGCATGTGCAAGCCGCTCATTTGCTTGACTCTATCTTCGGTACAATTCTCGCCTTCAGCCCTCTGTCAAGAGCGGACGGTCTGGATGGACTCCGACAACAGAGCGAGGGTACTGTTCTTCACCTGTACACGACGTTTCGGAAGCAAACTTCTGCCTTTGTTGGATATCTGCGTAGCTTGGATTCGGGAAAATCTTCTTCGAAGTCCATGGGGAAGACCGGGTCATTTTTCTCCACGCGGTCAGAACCGACGAGCGTTTTCGAGCATCTCTTGGCGAGGCTGGATATGAAGGAGTATTATTGAATGGGGAAGATGAGTGTTACTTGTGGTTCATGATACATGTCTGCCATTGTGAGATCTTTGATGGGACGACACCAGTATCAAGATGAGTTTTACGAATAATGATCATGACATTTCATCAAGCATGGTTTCAACAAACATACATCCAGTCACTCCACTTGCACTATTGACTTCCACTCTGGCTCTTATTTTGATCCTTATGGCAGTGTGCAAGACTACCGCATCTGTAATCTTGTTTTCAAAATAATTTCTTCCCTGTGCCTGTGCTTATCCCAAGAACTTATCCATCCCTTCTAACGCCTGTCTCATATCTCCCGTGTCTATATAAAAGCGATACCAAGACTCCAAAACCCAACCTCACGATACAAAGAAAGGAGCTGACTCGAAATTAGAAGGAATGAAGGTCCGACTCGGCCCAACCTTTGGCAACAAGAATCTTGCGAGCGGATTTCTCCATCGCCTCGGGTCCACAAAGCAGCACCATACTCTGATCTCCTGGCGGCGTATATTCTGCGAGCAGCTCTTCCGAGATACGTCCCCTGCGACCCGTCCAACCATCAGAGCCCTTGGTCAGGGTATGAACGACAGTGCATCTGCGACCATCTGCCGCGACAAACGCATCCAGCTCAGCCCGACATAGAATATCTTCTTCCAGTCGATTTCCATCGAGTACCGTACACATTGTGGGATCCGCAGGATCCTGCATAACAGCGCGCAATACCTGGAAGATGGGCGTAATCCCTGTGCCACCACAGATCATCTTGAACGAGCGGACCTGCCTCTCCTTGCCGCTGATGAGAACCCGGCCGTTGCCCAGATACTCGAACCGGCCTGTGGGACCCTTGCAGTCGATCTGCGAGCCTAGAGAGAGCTGGTCCAGCGCCATGGTCATTTTGCCGCCTGGGATCGTGCCTGTCGGAAAGTAGATCTTCACTAGCAGCTCCATGCGCCCTGTCAGGCTCGTGTCGGACATTGGAGTGTAAGACCGGATGATCGCCTCGTTTTTCTGCGACGCGTCCGGAACTTTGATCATGAGATGCTGGCCTATCGGCAGACCCAGTGCCTGCTTCTCGTGCTCCAGCTGGAACACGAAGACCCGCGTATCCCACGAAACGTCTTTCTTCTCGATGAGCGTCATCTTGGTCCATGCGCGTGATTGGAGGAACACGGCGCGCGGCTCGTCTGAAGTCTCGGTGGAGTTGTTTTTGAGGGCCTCGAGGGATGCTTGGTCTAAAGTGCCGATGTGATAGTCGGGCATCATTGCCTTGGCAGTTTCGCTGTCTGCGGTGTATGTTAGCAATGTCATGGTCCGTTTTTGTGGGGGCCGCACTTACGAATTGCGAGGAAATCCTCAGAGACATCCAGGCCAGCAGACGATGTGATACTGATAGCTCCTCCTGGGTGGCCTTCGAGGAAACCTGTCCCATCATATACCTCACCATTCACAACAAACCACGGTTTCTCGCTGCTGCTATTTGCCTTGAACTCTTGCAAATCGATCTGTCTGCTTAGGCCTTCCTTCTTCATGTTGACCTCTTTCTCCGGCTCTGGCTCGACAGGAGCCTCGCCCTCGATCCTCTCACCCCAGTTGCCGTTGGTCAAATCTCCACCAGCCTTTTTCACCCGCTCCATCCACCCACCAGACTTGGCGGGATGGCTCGGGTGCTCGAATTTCAGCCTGTTCCCTTCCTTGGTGATCGTGACGCGGAACCAGGGATTGTTCATCATCCCCAGGACGGACCAGTACATGTCGCGTGGTTGGGCAGTCATTGCTTCATCCATTGCTCGGACAAGGATTGCGTCGCTTTTTTCCAAGTCTGAGACGTGAATGTCGAGAGACCAAAAGGACCAGCAGAAACACGCTTCGCGCCACCACATGTCAACCCTGCCGCCAAACAACTCGCCCTCGAAATTGCGATATTTGTCTTCCGCATATTCGATATCGGCAAGGCTCCATGCTAAAAGACGAAAGCAAGATGCGTTAGCCTCGTTGCAGGTTCCCAGAGTAAATATGTCTCACAGGAAGGATTCATACATTTGCCTTTGTCCAGAGATATTTCGACTCTGGTGATTCTCCGACCACCACCGGCATATGCATAACCCTTGACAGTATATGTGGGCCCAGCTGTCGCCAGATCCAACTCTTCTTCATGCTGTGGATATGCTGCGGCGGAGTTGACATTGAGATCGTAGATGGCGTACCGCTCATCGTGCCACCACTTGCGGTCCTGCGCAGACATTTCCGGGGAGACCATGGTCCTAGCTGGATGTCAGTATTCTCCCCCCCCCCAACACTATTTCTTGTGAGCAAAACTTACGGCAATACTCGGTTATCATTAATGTGGTACCAGTTATCACTCGGTTCTTCCGTCAAGATCAGCCGCTTCAGCCACTTGACACTACGTCCACCAATCTGGCCTGGCACTACCGCTCTCAGAGGGCGGCCATGATCCGGCCGAAGGTCCTCGCCGTTCATCTTATGAGCCAGCATGATTCCTCTGTTCGGGTCCATGGCCCAATTCAATTTAATTGACGTTCCATAGTATCCATTGGGCTGTTTTCTCCATTAGCTGTCACGCAAATAAACGAGTGAGAAGCAGTTTTGATATGCTTCTCGACAGGTAATCTCACCAACTTGTCTGCTCCTTCCATACACACATATTTTGCCCGTCGCAGCGGTTTCGCACTGCGCAAGATATCGGCCATCATGGGCCCTGTGAAAAGAGACGTCGACAGACCGGCAGGGCCCCATGAAAACCCTTTTGATTTTCGGACCAGGTTTTGCTCTTTGCGCCTGTTCCCGGCACATACGAGGGTGATGGGAGCGGTGATTTGATCGAATTTCTGTAGCACTTCGCGAAAGGGGAGGACTACCGGTTTTTCCACCAAGCTGGTCGACTAATCAGCTAACCTGTCTTTAAGATTTCAAATCTTGCAAAATGCAGGACTATTGAGCACAAACCCTTCGATGCTGATTTCCCAATTAGGAATATCCTCGTCGCGGACTTGGGGTACTGGCCCATGATTCCGAACATAGAACAGCTCGGGAGGTGTGAGGAAGCCTTGTCAAGCGGTTGGCTCATTGTTAGAATTTGATATTCATGATGATTGAACGGCGTCTGCTAACACACCTTCTTTGAACAGGGTTGTGAGCGGCGGCTCAACATTGAACGGATGCACACCCGTCAATCGAATCAGTCGTGAATCGCGCGGCACATGGTTATCCGGCGTGCCCTTGTCGACATCCAAGATGTCGGTCAGGTTCTTGGAGGGCGCCGGCAGCGGAACATCCGGTTCTTCGGGGGTCGGGATGCCATCTACCTGGACCTGGCCACTTTTGAAAGCGAAGGTTTCGATACCCACGGTCGTCTGCGTGGTGATGGTGGTCATAGTACTGAATGTGCGAGGCTCCTGGCACTCGCAGGATTTGGTATGGCGTCTGCGATCTGAATATACAGTTGTGCTAATATTCATTCACCTTATGAACAGGATGATGTTGTTCAGACAAAAATCTTCACTGTGGTGAACCGAAATGAATCCACCCAGCAATGCTGACGGAACTCCCTCCAGGCCAGGATCTATGAAGAACCCACTCTCCCCAGCCGATACTACAACAACCGCCTACAAAATCACATCACGTACAACGCACGACATCTCCGCGGATGTGTGGATGTGTCAGCCACCGTTCTGATGATCGTCCGATGCGTTGATCGTGGCATTGTGGATCGGGCCAGCTTATCGCGATAACCCCCTTAACCCTAACTGTGTAGCCAATGGCCTGTGCGGGTTTAGTTTATCTCGGGCCAGTGACAGGCGCCTTCTCCGCGGAAGTAGTGTTGTTATCAAAGTTGGGGGTTCCTTATTCTCCCGGATATGTGACACACTCTGATTAATTGCGATTTGTCTATTCGATGAGCTCATCCTATGAAGAAAGATTGACGTCGATCAAGTGTTCAACTTTGCTAAAAACTAAACCCATCGCCCACCAGATTGGTAGAATGTGTATTCTATTGTTGCCTTTGCATTTTCTTACTTCACGATGCCAGTTCTGGATGGGCTTCGACACGGCGAGCCGGTCGATGGCAGTCCCAGCTCCCACGTAAATGGGTTTGACGCACGTTCGGAAAATGTCAGTCATGCTGCTCCGCGACAGAAAATCGTCGTGGTCGGGTTGGGCATGGTGGCTATTTCCTTCATGTAGGCGCATCTTTCGATTCTCCCGAAATCACATACCGGGCTTCTGACTATTTCAAGTGAGAAAGTGATCAAGCAGGACACAGAGCGAAAATACGACATTGTTGTCATTGGAGAGGAGTCTCATGTTGCATACAACCGAGTCGGCCTCTCGTCGTTTTTCGAGCACCGCAAGATTGAGGATCTATACCTCAACCCTAAAGAATGGGTGAGTGATAGAAAAAGACAATACAGTCCCAGCGCGAAAGTATCGGTGTCTCTGATAGCCAAACACAGTACGGGTCATTCAAAGAGCGAACATTCGACCATCATCTCAACACGCGAGTCACCGCGATCAATCCCACCACCAAGACTGTCCAGACATCCACGGGCGATAACGTCTCGTATGACATCCTAGTTCTCGCCACAGGGTCCGATGCCGTGCTGCCAACAAATACCCCAGGCCACGATGCCAAGGGGATCTTCGTCTACCGAACCATCTCTGATCTCGAGCGCCTGATCGACTTCGCATCCCAGCACAAGGGCGAGACAGGCGTGACAGTAGGAGGCGGACTTCTGGGCCTCGAAGCCGCCAAGGCGATGACGGACCTAGAGGATTTTGGGAATGTGAAACTCATTGACCGCAACAAGTGGGTACTGGCACGACAACTTGACGGGGATGCGGGGACTTTGGTGACTCGCAAGATCCAGGAGCTGGGCCTGGATGTCTTGCACCAGAAGCGAGTGGCGGCGATTAACACCGATTCCGAGAATAATGTCACTGGGATGACATTCGAAGACGGGGAACATATCGATTGCTGTTGCATCTGCTTCGCAGTATGTTCTTTTTTTGTGCTTATCACTCGGAAAGGACTCTAATTTCTTTGCATAGATTGGAGTGAAGCCTCGCGACGAACTGGGCTCTCAAGCTGGCATCAAATGTGCTGAACGAGGAGGCTTTGCGATTGATGAGAGGTTGGTACCACTACGTTAACATGAACATCAACAATCTTCCTGATATGATCTAGCTTACGAACTTCTGTTCCGGATATATACGCCGTCGGGGAATGTGCCAGCTGGGAGAATCAGACATTTGGTATCATTGCTCCCGGTATTGAGATGGCCGACGTACTGGCCTTCAATCTGACAAACCCGACCAAGCAACCCAAGGGCTTCACCCGGCCAGATCTCAGCACGAAACTTAAACTGCTCGGTGTTGATGTGGCCAGTTTTGGAGACTTCTTCGCCGACCGAGATGGTCCCAAGTTCCTTCCAGGTCGACGGCCCTTGACTGCTCCTGGTCTGGGGGCAGATGGTGCTCGAGAGAAAGAACCTCCTGTGAAGGCTTTAACCTACAAGGATCCCTTTGGTGGAGTGTACAAGAAGTATCTCTTCACCATGGACGGCAAATTCCTCCTCGGGGGTATGATGATTGGAGACACGAAGGACTACCTCAAGCTGAACCAGATGGTCAAGGCCCAGAAGGAGTTGGATGTTCCTCCAAGTCAATTTATTCTCGGCTCTCAGAAAGACGGCGAAGAGAATACAGATGATCTGTGAGTGGCTTCCTAATAGAAGTTTCGATTCTGTCGCTAACACTTCGATACAGTGACGATAGTACTCAGATATGCTCATGTCACAACGTGACCAAAGGCGACGTCGTCGAGAATGTCAAGAGCGGCACATGCAAGTCGATTGGCGAGGTCAAGTCTTGCACCAAGGCAGGAACCGGCTGCGGTGGCTGCATGCCGCTGGTGCAGTCGATCTTCAACAAAACCCTATTAGATATGGGACAAGAAGTCACAAACTACTGTATGTCTACAACATTGACTTTGATGACTTGATAGAATACTAACAGATACAGTGTGCTCGCATATTCCATACTCCCGAGCCGACCTATACAACATCGTAGCGGTCAAGCAGCTTAAGACCTTCGTGGATGTCATGAAAGCCGCCGGGAAGAACCCAGACTCTCTTGGATGCGAGCTGTGCAAGCCCGCCATTGCATCGATTTTGTCCAGTTTGTTCAATCCGCACATCATGGACAAGGGGTTCAACGACCTCCAGGACACGAACGACAAGTTTCTTGCCAATATCCAGCGAAATGGCACATTCTCGGTCGTACCTCGTGTTCCGGGCGGAGAGATCACTGCAGACAAGCTCATTGCAATTGGCTCTGTGGCAAAGAAATATGGATTGTACTGCAAGATCACCGGCGCCCAACGTATCGACATGTTCGGGGCCAAAAAGCAGGACCTTCTCAATATCTGGACGGAGCTTGTGGATGCTGGCATGGAAAGTGGACATGCCTATGCCAAGGCACTTCGGGCAATCAAGGTACGTTCCTGCGCTATATCATCGGATTGGACTGCTCTGATATCTCTTGCTGCAGAGCTGTGTTGGGACCACATGGTGCCGGTTTGGGGTTGGAGACAGTGTCGGCATGGCGATCCGGCTCGAAGAGAGATACAAGAGTATTCGTGCACCACACAAATTCAAGGGAGCAGTCTCTGGCTGTGTGCGAGAATGTGCCGAGGCTCAAAACAAGGAGTAAGCAGTGAATATCTCAAATGTCAAAGCCCTGAGCTAACAACTGTTTAGTTTCGGGTTGATTGCTACTGAAAAAGGCTTCAACATCTTCGTGGGAGGCAACGGAGGTGCTAAACCCAGACACTCGGAGCTCTTGGTCACAGATGTGCCACCAGAAATGGTGATGCCCATCATCGACCGCTATCTGATCTTCTACATCCGAACCGCCGATAAGCTCCAACGAACAGCTCGGTGGATCGAGAACCTCCCCGGCGGGATCAGCTATCTAAAAGAGGTGATTCTTGACGACAAGCTGGGGATCTGCGCAGACATGGAAAGGCAAATGCAGGAGCTCGTGGGGAGTTATTTCTGCGAGTGGACCGAAACACTCCGGAACCCGAAGCGGCGCAAGTTCTTCCAGCAATTCTCCAACACGGACGAGACCGTCGAGACCGTCGAAGTCATTCACGAGCGATCGCAGCAGCGCCCCACGTACTGGGCCAAGGACTCTGCCCAAGAAGATTTCAAGGGCCACCAGTGGTCCAGCCTCGCGTGGCAGCCGGTTGTCCGCGCGGACCATTTCTCTGACGAGCCGCCGCAGGTATCATCGGCCAACGTCAAGCGCGGAGACACACAGCTGGCAGTGTTCAAGATCAAGGGCCGGTACTACGCGACGCAGCAGATGTGCCCCCACAAGCGGGCGTTTGTTCTCTCTGATGGCTTGGTCGGCGATGACGACGCCGGCAAATACTGGGTCTCTTGTCCCTACCACAAGCGCAACTTTGATCTTAATGGCGAGCAGGCTGGGCGCTGCTCGAATGATGAGAGCATGAATATTGCTACTTTCCCCGTGGAGGAGCGGGATGACGGATGGATCTACATGAAGCTACCTCCTGTCGAGGAACTCGATTCGGTGCTGGGGATGGAGAAATGGAAGGTCAGGAAGGGGGAGGCGCCGGATCCCTTTCACAAGGTGGACAATAATTTCAAAGGAATGAGAGGAAAGAAGGTTGCCAATGGTGACGCGACGCGGAAATCACCAGTTCAGCCAGCCAACGGCATTGACTGGTAGTCTGTATACATGGTTCTTGTTCATGGTTCATTTTGTGGCGCCTGGATATTGTTTGGAGTCTGGGATTTTTGGCATAGTATTTGTCTTTGTCTTTTTTGTTCTATTTCCTGTTCTTTTGAAATATATGATATCCCCATTTTTACTGCATTTTCCTTAGCGATAGACCAACCGACCACCTGCAGAACGCGCAGATAGGGCAATTTTCTGCACGTGACCCTCGACGGTGCTATTCTGTTCTAATTGACATCAAACAATTTCCTTGGTATTCCTCAGATGAACTCATTTTGGGATCTCGTGTCGACATTCTCTTGTCGTCAACACCAAAGAAGTAAAATGAATGGAAGTTATGGTTATCGCGACACCCGCGATCCTTCGAAAGGCCTCAAGACATTATGTCATCTGGTTCATGTTCACGGCCCTGCCCAGATGCCTCAAAAGAACATTGAGGATCACCAAGATGCGATCGCTTTCACTTAAGTATCTCCGCGGAAGTTCAAGATCGACCCGATGCTCCACCCTGCCGACCCGCCGGCTGGAGATGGCTGCTTCGTTCCTATCGCAGACCGACCCACACCCAATGAGAGGCCGGTAGTTTATCAACTGCCTAGCCCTTGGCCTCCGGATGCCAAACGTGGACTTTGCAGGGTCCTGCCAGATACAAAAATTGAATGTCCGCGGAGTTACACACAAGATTTCGACTTATCAGTGCCAGCAAAGATCATTCTTGCCTCGTAATGGCATTCGGGTATTGTTGGAAAGACTACAATTCCGACCTTATCGCTATCGGCCAATTCGACCCCCAGGCGAGCGTCAAAGTTTGGGGAAATGTGGCTTTGGGTCTGTGCCTTTCAGAGATTCTCAGGTGAAGAATGATCCCGGCGAATCAGCGTCGCGGGATATACCTTTACTTGGGGACTTTGGACGTTTGACTAACTGATCTCCCGCGATACTGCAGTGATCTGACATGCTCCAGATAACTGACGTTGTCATGGTGAGATGTGCCGGGTCTACATCTCTAAAACATCAGCCTCTACACTTCTATATAGATGTCGAGTCTACCTCTGGCAATCCATCTCCTCTGTCCCTGGTTTCATCCACCATTGCAATTTTCTACCAAACCTTGAATTTTTATCTTGAATAACCATTCAAGTACAATATTGAGTGTGCAAAAGCATTGTCAATATCGAACCGTCCTTGAAACCAGTTCTCCCATCAACAGTCACGTCGCTTGGCCTCGCCAGAGCCACGGCACAATGGCGACGGCTTTCTTGAAGCTCCTTTTTGTGTCCCCGGAGATCGATCCCGGGAACCGCAAGGCCAAATCCATTCCAGTACTGAACCCATTTGACCAATATGGCCGGGTGTTTTTCTTCTCATGGCTTGGTTTTATGGTTGCATTCCTATCGTGGTATGCATTTCCACCACTGGTAAGTGATGGATTCTCTCAGGCCCTGGACAATTGTTTTATACAATGCTAGAAATAATATGCTGACACAATTCATTATTGTAGTTGACCGTCACCATAAAAAAAGACCTACATATGACGCAGGAGGACGTCGCCAACTCGAACATCGTGGCACTTCTGGCAACGTAAGACACACTCTCCCCGATAACCCTCAAGCTACGTTCGCTGACTCCCGCAGACTTTTGGTCCGGTTTGTTGCAGGGCCACTCTGTGATCGCTTTGGCCCCCGTCTGGTCTTTGTGGGACTCCTGCTCTGTGGTGCCATTCCCACAGCCATGGCCGGGCTGGTGACCAACGCCAAGGGACTAATTGCACTGCGATTCTTTATCGGCATTCTGGGAGGCACTTTTGTTCCGTGCCAGGTCTGGTGCACTGGATTTTTCGACAAGAAGATCGTGGGCACTGCCAACTCCCTAGCCGGGGGCTGGGGCAATGCAGGAGGGGGAATCACCTAGTATGTTTCCTTGCGACAAGCAATCTAGATTTCATGAAGGTTTCTAACATCATCGATCTGATCTAGCTTTGTGATGCCCGCCATTTACGACTCGTTTGTCCATTCTCGTGGACTGACGCCTCACAAGGCGTGGCGTGTTGCCTACGTGATCCCGTTCATCATCATCAGCGCCATTGCCCTGGGCATGCTGTTCCTGTGTGAGGACACGCCGACAGGCAAATGGTCTGATCGAAACCTCTGGGCGAAGGAAGCCAGCCCTAGTGAATCCCCGTCGTATGGCAACATCGTCGACATCAACTCCAGCAACCCTTCGGCCGGGCCGTCCAGCCCACCATCGGTTTACAACCTTGGAACAGGCGACATCGAGAAGAAAGGTGTTCAGACTCCACAAATTGTCGACAAAGATGCCTCCTCAGTGGGCCAGATTGGAACATTCAAGCAAGAAGCCGTTGTAGCCCTGTCCCACAAGGAAGCTCTGAATGTCGCCCTGAGCCTATCCACGCTGGCCGTGGCTATCCCCTATGCATGCTCATTTGGCTCGGAGCTGGCAATCAACTCCATCCTGGGCTCTTACTATACAGCAAACTTCCCCCGCATGGGCCAAACCGAAACCGGCCAGTGGGCAGCGATGTTTGGCCTGCTGAACGTGGTCTTCCGGCCAGCAGGAGGATTTTTCGCGGACCTTCTCTATCGGTCTACGGACTCGGTGTGGTCGAAAAAGCTGCTGTTGTCGTTTCTGGGAATTGTCATGGGGGCATTTGAGCTTGCAATCGGTCTGTCCAACCCCACACGCGAGGCTACTATGTTCGGGCTCGTGGCTGGCTTGGCCTTTTTCCTGGAGGCGTGCAATGGTGCCAACTTTGCCGTGGTGCCTCATGTGTATCCGTTTGCCAACGGTAAGTGCTTCGGTTTCGGGTGGTTTCCGCTTGCCTGAATCACCTTCACTTCGGATTATCATATTAACTCTTGTTTTTCCCGTTAGGCATTGTATCCGGTCTTGTTGGTGGGTTCGGTAATCTGGGCGGAATCATCTTCGCCATCATCTTCAGATATAATGCGGAGCATTATGCTCAGTCGTTGTGGATCATTGGTGTCATCTCGCTAGCGGCTAACTTGGCTGTCAGTTGGATTCGTCCTGTTCCCAAAAGCCAAATGGCCCGGGCATGAGAATTTCTTGTCTGTTAAAATATAGAATAATTCAACTACGAAGCCGTTATATTTGCGCAGCGTGTCAACAAACAAGCATACATTCACAGCCACTTTACTCGTACTCTTTACGGACATTCTCAATCTTCAAATCGTCCAATTCCGTTGATCTCGAATATGACACCTGGTTTTTATTCTACTTGATCTTCTACTTTACCCAAGTACCTCAAACAAAAAGGGGAAATAAGTCTTGGTTGTTGACGTAGCATTTTACATCTACTCTGTGTTTTTGGCTGCGCACATCCCTTATATACGCGGCTCGCGTACCGGTTGCGTTAGAGTCCTAAATAAACTCGAAAATCTTTGACTGTGTACGCATATGATCACCGGGACTTAGATACCTAGACCCATCAGGTTTATAGAGGGAAAAGCATGGGGCGCGCCTAGGAGCGCAAGCATGAAGCCTACGAAGATGCTATACCGAACATAATGACCTTTAAGGGCCCGGTTCAGATTTTGCTGAGCCCAATAATCTCTGATTCGTTTTTCCCCTTCCCCAGGGAGTGGTTATAAAAAGGGTCTGACACCAAAAGCCGACGTCCATTTTAGCCTCTTTTTCTTTTCTTATCCTTTCTTTTCCTTTTCCGATGTGGATTCTCTCAGCCGTGTATATATTTATGTAATAGCATGCGCGCCACCTTCGCCTTGATTCTGATCGGGGTTCTCCTCAGCACAATATGGGTCGGGCCAGCAGTAGTCAGGTACTCTCATGCGATTCCCAAACCATAAATTTTCATACTAACCCCAATATGATAGGAGAGTAAAGATAAAAGGCTTGGGACGTTGCCAGAGCTAGATGATAAGAAAAAAGCAGACAAGCAGGGTGCTTAAAAGCTTTTTGGGCCATACGCATCCAACAAAATGACCACAGGGTCTTCTATTCTTATTCATGAGTTTATGTGCGTCCAGAACACTTATCTCCTCCCCCTCACTCGTCCAGGCCTGCGATTTGATGTACATCAGATCGAGATGCGCGAGGCTCATCATGACTTACCAGGCCCAATGCGCTACAAGCACATCCACAAGGAAAAGGCGGTCCATTTATGGCCGTCGAGCTCTGTTACTCTCATTGCTTAGAGAGAACCTTCTTTAACCCTGAATCTTACAGGTGGCTTGCTGTGGTAAGAACTCATACTATCCAACCCCCCGCTCCCTTCTCCTTCCAATTGAATGGATAGCCGAAACTGACATGATGCCTAAAGCATTACTGGAAGAATGTTAGTCCACTTCCCGACTGTAGACGCTATGAGTCACCAGACGACGAAAAGGACAATGGTGCTGCTTTGGGGTTTGTGAAGGACGGATCGGACGCTTGATGCAGACCCCGACACAGCCTTAAACTCGGAGGAGAAATTGAAACAAGCAGTGAAAGATCTCTTAGCCAAGTTTCACGATAGTGGAACATAGCGATAGAGGTTAATAATTCCCACACATTCCAGACACTCTGGCAACGATGCCCCAAATCAGCTTATATATAGTGATAGATACCCACCCCCTCTTCCTCTGTCTTGTTCTTGACAATCCCTGCGCTAGTCACGAAACTCAGTCATACATATTCCCTCATGGGGGTCAGACTTGCATACTTCCTAGTGTGAAAGATGGTGATTGCACTATGCTACCATCGACCGATATACCGCGCAGAGCCGTAATCAAGATGATTGAAGTTATGATTGAGCCAGCATGGGTGTTGGAACCCTAACCTCTCACCCTCGGTGTATTTCAACCCGAGCGCAGTCCCTTACCAAGGCATTGCGGTCCACCATCACCCCCGCATTCAAGCAACTTATAGATCGCAGTCCCGCAAGTATACGACCATCGAACCACGCAAGAAAAAAAAAAAAAAAGAGTATGCCCCAAGTTCGTCGCATCGCTCAGATTGTCCACCTCAAGCCGTCCGCGGTGGCCGCATACAAAGAATGCCACGCCAACGTCTGGCCCGAAGTTCTGCAGCAGATCAAGGATTGCAATATCAGAGATTGTACGGTTGAGACATGTTGTTCGATTGAAAGACTGAAAGACAGAAAACAAATATCAAGGATGGATTGAGCTGACACGCAATGACTCGGTCAATGCAGACTCGATCTTCTTCGACAATGAACGCACCCTATTCGCGACGTTCAAGTATATCGGCTCGGACTTCGAGGGCGATATGGAGCGCATGCGGGCGAACCCGAAGGTGAGGGAGTGGTGGGCGATGACTGATGGGATGCAGGTGGGTGGTTCTAATCTTCTTTTCTGTGGGTGTGGATCACGGGAATATGCTGATTTTGAGAATTTGGTTGTAGGAGAGCCCGATTCCTGGCGCCACGGGCAGCGCAAATGGACCAAGATGGTGGAAAGTGCTGGATGAGGTGTTTCACACCGAATGAAACTTCTTCCCAGGCCCTATCATTATACATATATGGGCCAATTTCAATCAAGGCTTCTCTTGATGTCCAGCTATTTGAAGAATTGATCGAGCCTTTTCTGCCGTGTGTCATGCGCCGCACTTCCTATTCCACCACGAGTGCGATGTAAGCCAGTGAGATGGTCTTTGCTGTTGACACCCAAAATGACCAGTGACCACCCATGCAAAAGAGCAGTTGAAGGCGGCTGTGGGGCTGGAATGGGAGTGTCCACGGACGCGGTATTGGTATTAGATGCCTCTGCAAGATTCGGTTGTATGAACACTGTCAAGAACCCCGTATTGGACCACGATGGCGCAGAAAATATGGCCAAATTGCCATCCCACGAGGTAATACCGGATGCCTGGATGTTCATGGGGTTGAACATTTGGAGGACACAATTCCACAGCACGCGAAGAAACACGCCGTGGGAGACGACAGCCACTGCTTCCTCATGATCTGTGCCATCGAGGAGTACTGGAAGAAGATGCTCATTGAGGAAGGACTGCGCTCGGCGCACCATCGAGGCTTCAGACTCAGGCTCGGTGTGCGATGGAAATCCGCTACCAGAACGACCCGGTTTTGTATGACGGTCACCGGAAGCAGTATGAGAAGGACCCCATGAGACTCCTTCTAACGGCCCGAAATCTCTCTCTCTGAGATCTTTGGTCAATGTCGGCGTTACGCCGAGGTCTGCTCGAGCGGTCTGTCGGCAACAAATGCCTTCTGCTGTGATTCGGGCCCTGCTCAGGTCCGATGCGAACACAAAAGAGAATTGAATTGACTGCGAGAAGAAATGCTGTGCTAGACACTCAATTTGCTGCACGCCATGGTTTGTGAGGGCCGAGTCGGTGGTGCCGGCCCTATCGCAAGAGGTCAGCGCCTGGAGAAGAGATGGCGGCAACAAGAGCCCCTACCAATCCTGTCCTACGTTATGGACCGTCTCGGCGTGGCGAATGAGAAATAGTCTCATCGTGAGACGGCCCTTCAAATGCGCACATTTGGAAGAACAACCGACGCTGGAGATCATCTATTGTGGATGGTCACGTGTCGGTCGCTACACATTCCAGTCTACAGACATCTACGAGCCAACATCGCTAGGCGCAAGGAAGCGTATGAGGGAACAAGATTGATGGACATTTGACGGAGCCATTAGAACTGTGAAGGAAATTGCCTTGAATGAGAACACCGAACTAATTGCTCCGAGAAAAACCCCCTAAAACGTAACGGAAGTGGTATGTGCCATGATCCATCAATCTACATATGGAAAACAAGAAACGCCGCGTGGCAAAGCCAATTCCCTCGTTGAATTTTTTGTTGGGTAAGAGTTTTTGATGCCCGGGAGTGGGACTCGTCAAGGAACAGAAAGGCAAGCATGCGCTTAAGCAGCAAGCTCGCGGATCTTCTCCTGGACACGGGCCTTCTTCTGGTCGTGGGAGAGCTTGTTGACCTTGAACTTCTTGGACTCGGCCTTCCACTCGGCCTTGGACTTCTTGGGGCCAGCGTTCTCGTCGGCCTTGAAGGGGTCCTCACGGATGGCCTTGTGGGCCTCGGTGTAGATCTCCTCGAGGTCACCAGCGTCGATTTCGTTCTCGACGTACTTGACGAACTGGCTGCGGAAACGCTCCTCATCCTCATCGGCGAGGGTCTCCATGTACTCAGAGACGTGGCCACCGACGATGTAGTTGCGGAGGGTGTCGGCGTCCAGCTCCTCGGACTCGATGTCGTAACCGGGGAAGCGGCGGTCGGAGTGGGGGATGAAAATACCACCGTCGGAAGCACCCTTCATGGCAGCGAAGACACGGTTACCGGTGGAGGTGCGGACCAGACCAACATCCAGGAAGGCCTTGAAAGGGCGGCGCTCGCCATCCTCAGTCTCGACGGCCTCGGTGAGGGTGTGCTCACCGGTGGCCTCCTCGACTCCAGTGAACTGCTCGTCCAGACCCAGCTTCTTCAGGGTGCGGCGGGCCAGGAGCAAACCGGTGGCGTAAGCAGCGGACCAGTTGGTCAGACCCTGCTCGATACCGTAGCGGGGCAGCTCGTGGGCGTAGGCAGCGGCGAAGACCTTGTCGCCGGAGATCTCAGAGTAGACGATCTGGGTGACGATGTCGCGGTTGGTGAAGCGGACAACCATGCGGTACTTGGGCGCATTGTACTTGTTCTTGGCCTGGGTGATCAGGCGCTTGCGGGCGTAGTAGTCGGTCTTACCCTCGCGGCGGCGGCGGTACTTAGTCTGGTAGCGACTAGAGAGAACAGTCAGCATATGGTAAAAACTCGAGATAACAGCGGACTTAACACTTACCTGAAGTACGCATCGTTCTTGACGGTCTTGGTGAAGGGCTACAGGAGGGAAAACCTCGAGTCAGCAATTTGCGCTTCAGAACCCCAAACCGAAGCATCTTGCAAAGACCCGGCTGCGATGCAGGCAATGGGGAAAAGGGAATTTTCAGAACAGATGCAGAGTTCAAATCAACCTGCAACAATCGAACTCACCATCTTGACGGTCGGTGCTGAAAGCCTGAGGTGGTCGAAGAAGAGAAAGGAAGTTAAGAAAATTCGTGCGTGCTTTGTGGGGGGGGCTTCGCTTAGCGTGTGGCTGCATCCCGCCAAAAGTGTGGTCGGCGACGAGCGAGAGACAACCTCGATGAATACTCAAGAAAATCACCAAAAATTCAGAAAGTTTCAAAAGAATAGAAAAGAAAAGAAAAGAAAAAGGGTATATTCATGTCTAGCTCTCAGAATTCTCAAAATTGCAGAGAACTCGGCCTGCATCTATAGCCTCTACTCTATTTCTCACAACCGTGCCTTATCATCTCCCTCTAGGAGCGAAAGACCGGTGATCTGCTCCAGCTCTTTGACCGTATCCTGGGTCTTCCCGAGTGTGACTTTAACTGTGCGCATCCCAGCTTTCTTTGCAGCCTTCAAGTTCTCGCCGATATCGTCGAAGAACACAACATCTGCCGGGTTCGCGCCTGCAAACCCTCGGTCCTTGGCCAAGGTGTCCATCTCCTGTAATGCGACTTGGTAGATTTTCGGATCGGGCTTGCGAAGGCCTGTGTGCGCTGACGAGATGAAAAAATCGAATTGAGACTTGACCCCCGCCACATCGTCGTTGTAGGGGTGTCCGTCGGGGAAAATCGTGGTGTTGGAGAGAGCACCCATCAGGTACTTCCCTGATTCCCTCAACTTCTTCAGAGCAGGGAACATGTAAGGGTCGGGGGTGCGGGAGATCCTCATCATCTCCCAGAAGAGCCATTCGGCGTCCACTGCCGGCAGCGGGGGGAGAGGTGTCGCATTGTCTGTGCCATTCTTCCTTCGGAGCTGTTCGTGGAACTGCTTCCATAGATCAGGGTTCCGTAGATCTCGGTTAAATGCTGCGAAGAATTCGGCATCCATCTTGATCTCGCCCCGCTCCAGGTTATGCCAGCTGCCGTGGGGTGATGTGCGCGAGATGCTGAAATTGACCCATCCTGGTGGGATCTTCTGAGACAGCTCGTAGTCGAGAATGGCCTGGAATGGAGAGACCACCTACAAAACCTGTCAGTAACCATTCCTGGGATCAGACAGATCATGTCAAATGAACTTACACACACTCCCCCAATGTCGAAAAGAAGGCCCACGGGCCGCTTGCTCGCCATTATGCGATTGTCTCACCCGGTATTTGGTAACTTTTGGCCGAGTAGTGGAGTAACTTACAGCCGCGACAATGTATTGCCAAAATTAGGGAGTTTGCTGTTCTTGGGGTCCTTGGTGATCACTGTGGATCTTTGCGGAGAAGACAAGGCGTGGCTAAGTAGCCGAGGTCCGGCTGTTGGCCCTGCGGTCCACCTCCATGCTTAATGCCTCGGTGGTAGTCGAACCACAGAACGATAATTAGATAACATTATATTGACCGTGTCAGTATAGTGCTGAGTTTTTCAGTGTACACTTATATGCATCTTTTGAGAAAAGAAAGAATTAGGGTAAATTTTAGCTAGGAGTGGCGGGCATGGGCCAGCTGAACTCGTAGTGTTAAGGTACCGTAGACTTTTCCTGTTTTTTTTTTTTTTTTTTTTTTTTTAAAAAAAAAAATACAATCAAGAAGGGGAAATTTTGGAAGGTGTCGCCTATACATTTAGAATAACGAGTATGTGAGAGTGTCGAGATTGACGAAGAGCATGTTGACGTAGAAGATTAATATCACGTGACGTCATCTTATCGATAACAACGCGTTGGGAGGGCAGTCGCGCGGTCTCGTGGGAGAGCATCGTTAGGATGAACCGTCTTGAATTGCTCGAGCGCAGAGATGGACTCGACACGAACAATCTCTGAATTGAAATCATCATTTATTTGGACTCAAGTCCGAATCTTTTCGGAGAGCCTTGATCTACCCGATGACTGGCGAAACTACGCTGTGGAGACCGAGGAGGAACTGAGCGACAAGGTGATTGAGGATGTCTTGCACAAAGGTACGGCTCGCCTCTTGTGTGGCATATTGGTGCCCGAGAATGTACGGCTTGTCCAATGCTTATACTCGGTGTTTTTCAGTGAACGCTGCCGCCAAGCAACATAATCGCGTTGTTTATTCCTCGCAGGCAATACACCATGTTGCCCAGCAGATTTCCAGTTTGTACAGGTCTTCGATCAGCCAAGACGCTCGCAGTCGAGCTGCTTTTGCCAATGGTGTCGAAAAAACTACGGACTTGTCGCGACACCTGTGAGATTTGCGATGGCCTTGTGAACAGTATGTGGGGGAAATTCCCACTGACATTGCCCAGGAATATCGTCAATCTGCCTGTCGAGTTGGAGGGCCAGAGTGCGAGCGAGGAGGAGAACACAAGGTCAGCTGGCAAAGTCATCCCTGTTGTTTTCGGTTGGAGTTCCGCCTGTCTGACGCTTGTTGTACAGGTACCAGCAGCTTCGGGAGCGACTCGCCCAACTTGACAATCAGCGTGAGCAGCGACAACGACGCCTGGATCAGCTGCATCACCTCCAACGCTTGCTAGGTCCCTTTCAAAACCCTCGACGGGATATTCAGCCAAACCTGGTCACCCGGGACGGAGAACTAGTTCAGGAACTGGAGAAAATGCGGATGCTCGTTGCAAGGGTCGGAGGGAGGATTGCACAGCAAAAAACAAGCGTCGCCGAGAGCCATAACTATCCGCTTCCAGAATCGGATCAAAAATTGGAGGCGCTACTTGATATGACTTGACGAAAGCAAAACAGACTTAATTTATGTGGAACACGAAACGCATTTTTTAAAAACAAAGAATCCAAGCATCTTTTAATCAGGGCGGTATCACCCTGGAGTAGCTCCAAGCCATTTGTCTCCATGTATAAGTACCCAAGCAACCCCCCCAGTACTTGCCCGGGATATACCCAGCCGGAACCTGGATGGGCGCAAGGGGCTCAGGAAAGCACTGGTCGATTGCAACTGCAAAAAAAGCCAAATCCATGGGCCTTTGAAAGCAGGTGCCATGAAACAACGGCCCCAAACTTCACTGTTCCTGCCATGACCCTGTTTTTCGCTCCGAATCCCACCCGGTCCTGATCGATTACGCCTACATCCCCGGTCTCCGGTCGGTCGGAAAATTCGAGCCCACCAAAACGCAACGAACACGAAACGCAATGCTCGAGGAAAGAATCATTTGCACACTGGCATCTCAACACCAAATTCCGTCTGGGGCCTACAGTGCATGCGATCTCTCTCTGTCTCGTAGATGAGCGACGCCGTGGAATTCCATCGGAGCGCAGGCGCCGAGGCTCCGGAGCCTAACCTGTTTGGGACTGGTTCACGGCCTGACAACGAAGGCGCCGACACCTCCCTGGCGACATTCAAGCGGAACGACGACCCTGCGATTGAGCTCCCCGATCTCGCCCCTTGTTTACTCGAGTGTACATCCGCCATCATCGAGGGCGCTAGCTCCTCCCCCCCCTTCCAAGGCACCTTTTACACGTGGGCACCGCCGTCGTTCCACCCACGTTACTCGCCGTGACCTTGAGAAGTTTCAAAAGGAGGTCTTGGGCGTTGAAAACCACGCCTCCTGGTACGACGAGGACAGCGGCACCTCCCGACCCATTGATCCCTACGATCCTCAACTCGAAGAACTCAACCGTGCGTTTGCCCTCGCCGATATGTCGATGAACAGCAACACTCCCGGGTCGAGCATGTATTCGGGCTATGATGGTTCTCCCGGCACACCGAACATGGGGGGCATTCCTCGGCAGCCCATGTCCCCCGCACTCTCTCATACCTCGTCTCAAGTCAATGGTGGAGGCATGGGTGCCATGAATACCGGTATACCGATGAATGCGGGACATCAGATGGATTTGCATCATCTATATGAGATGGTAATGGAACTGAGCGAGGTTTTGCGGAACAATCGCGACGTTACAAAGAACATTGTCTCGAGTGCCGAGGAAATAATGGTTGGTTGAGCTTCCGGCCGAGAGGCGTGGAGTGGTCGTGACTGACCCAACTTTAGAAGCATGGCTCTTCCGACAGCGCAAACCCCGCTGTACAGCAAATGAACGGCGAAATTTCTGGTCGGTTATCCTTCAAGTCCTGCTACCATGGTTTTCACCTACTGACCATTGTTACAGCGGCCCGTATTGCAGAGCTCGAGCGCGCACTATCCAAGGAGAAACGTCTTGCCGAAGATCTCAAACGCGAGCAGATGGAGAACACGAAGTTGATCGGTGACTACGAGGCTGGTGTCAGCACGATGGTTGAGCAGATCCGCAACTACTGTCAGAACAACAACATGCATTTCCTCTACCAGAAAAACCACTATAACAACCTTCTCCAAGCCGAGCGAGATGCCCATCTGGAGAGCCGGCTTGACCGGGACTACTGGCACGCACAGACCATGAAATGCGCCGAAATGATCCGCAACGCCCACCGTCTCCGGTCAGAGGAAGAAGACCTCCCGGTTCGTATTGTTGCCGGTCTCCAGAATGAGGTCCGCGCATACCGCAATGCGCTTGGAATGGAGCCCGAGAAACCGGAGGACGAGTATGGATGGGAGATCCTCAAGGACCTCTCATCCAGTGCGGGTTGAAGGGACGATGCGTGGACTGGATTGCGATTGTTGCAGGATTCACGCCGTGATGACCACTTCACCCTCATTTTTGCATGATTTGGAGGCGTTTCTTTGCTTTTTCCCCCCCTGTTTTCTCCGGGTATAGGCCGTCCTGTTTTTCGGGGGCGTCCCTGGTGGGGCTTCTTTTTCATGTTTGTTCTTTTCTTTTCATTCTGTGGATACCCGTTTTTATTATGTGGAAGGCCTCGGGCATGCTCGACGCCAGTATAGATCTTCTGGTGCTCTTCAAACAACCCGGCTGGTTGCATCAATATTATTGGAAACGTTCTTGACTTCAATCTTTCTGGTCGAGCCAAGCGCTCGTCATGACGACAGTTTCTCTGTTCATAAAAAAGTACTCATTCAACCTGGCCCTGTGGACAAGAAATGCAAGGAATAACTCATTAGTGGCGCGACCGAGAGACTTGCTTAGAACTTTGCTCTCAAGGTGTCAGCAAGTTTTTGTCCAGCCGAGCTTCAATACATGACCTTACCTGATGCAGCGCTCGATGACATCTCTACTATGCCGTTTCCACATTCATTCCAAAAAGAAAACATTCATTGTTGAGTAAACTGCAAGAACTATACTCCTCCATAGACTCATTAAATACCCAAGTTGCCAGCCTTCTCCCGCCGCACTTTTGTCCCTCCTGCTGACCCAGGCCCTCCTACCTTGGAAATTGATACCATTCTCCCTTTGATGAGATTCTTTGCTCTCAAAAATCTCACCCGACTTGAGCAGGACACGAGAGTTACCACCGTCAATGACTTGCCCCATTCAGTGATATTCGTTTCTCTCAGCAAGATCAGTGTTCTCCAGGTATACCTCAATCTATACAAACATCGATGATTAGATTAGATTTGTCGCTGTGAGAAGCGGAGAAAGAAAAGAATCCATACCTTGTTGTTCATCTTGTCGTCGACGTCCTTGCAGTAAAGACACGCCGCGATGCCCAGTATTCCAAAGGCCATGGATACCATTGCGACGGTGCTAGATGTGTTCAATAAAGATGACATGAGTAGCCGGTAAGATGGTCGGAAACTTACAAGATCGCCTTGCAGTAGGCCTGACCCTGTGCCTCGGCCGTCGCGGCTGCCACAGCGGCACCAAACATCTTGCTAATGCTTGCCGTGTCCTGCTGGGCCAGCAGGGTCATCAAGTCGGTGACTTTGGTCAGAGGGAGACCGGCTGCAGTGGCTGCCGCAGGGACATATCGCGCGGTGTATTTGGTCAGGGTGGTGGAATACACAGTTTGATAGATAGTAGTTGCGACTAAGTCCCGTATATGTTAGCTGATGTATTTCACCAGAGATGTCGAGATTGCAATAGGGGGCATGGATATAGACTTACCTGCACCAGCCGCAAAGCGAACACAGCCCGAAATCCCACCACTGATTCCCAGATTCTTCTGCTCAACGCCCATCTGCGTAATCGCAATACTAAGATAAATCGCCCAGCCATACGCCGTCTGCGACAGGAACAGGAACGCAATCATAGTCCCCTTGTTAGTCGGCGTAACCAGGCCCATCAAAGACCCGAACAGAACCATCACAAACACTGAACCAGTGAGCTGCCAGTTCCAGTGGCGTAGACGACTCCCTAGAACGGAGAGCAGCAATGCTCCGAACGGGATGGGGAAGCCCTGGGCCAAGGAGAGAACCACGGCATACTTCCAGTCCTTGCCGCCATCGGTGTAGAACACTGTGATCATCTGTGGCCACAGGATGCTCGAGGAGTAGTAGAACATGTTTACCACTGCGAGTGCCACAGCCGGCGCGCTGAGATCTCTTCCATAGGAGCTGGTAAAGACGTGGGTTGGGGTTAGTGGGTACTTGAGATTGGCGAAGGTTTCCCAGAGGGCGAAGCAGATTAGCACCACGACGCCGACAACTAGGGGGGCGACGACATGGGGGTCGTTGGAGTCGTAAACGCCTGCCCACACGATGGCCACTAGGAAGGGGACGGCCCCGCCTATGAAGAGGAAGGCTCCTGTTCGGGTTCGTGAGAATGGGTTGGAGATTGCTGGTGGGAGTGACTTGGGGAGAGACTTACCAAAGTAATCCAACGACTTAAAGGCATCAATGTATGAGACTCCGTTCCTATAGCACTGTCAGCTATGAGCACGAAGATATAGGAAGAGGTAAAATATACGGGTGGTTAGGAGGGAAATACAAGCACAGCAACCCCAAGAATGAAAGGCCTTGGAAGATTGCCAGAGCCCAGAAGTTCCACTCCCAAGTGTCGAATTCGAATCCGTAGCGGGCAGTGACAGGCGCCACAATCACCGCTACAAACACGGCTATGTCGGCGATGACAACTCCGATGTGCCTCCACTTGTTAGGGAGGAGTTCTGGCAGCGAGAATGCAGCCATCTATAGGGAATGTTGGTAAGCCAGTCATGTTACAGCCTCGACATTTGTCCGTATGGGATCATCTTTACTCACCTGACAGTTCGCTGCTCCAAACCCAGAGACGGCGAGGCCGATGATGACCTGGTCTGAAGATTTGGCGGATGCCACGATAATATGACCAACACAGCAGATCTGTTTATAGGGATACGGTCAGCAACGTGAATGTGTATAATGGAACGGGGGTCCTTACCAAGTTTCCTCCGACAAGGAACCACCGACGACCAAACAAGTCGGTCATAGGTCCACTAGCCAGTATTAGTATATTTGGCCTGGTAAGTAAACCCTGGGCACCCACAAAATGAGAAAGGCGCAAGTGATAGAAATTGTCCAAGCCTAGCTTTGTATCAGTATTGCAATATATGTAAACCAGCAAGACGATTGACTCACCGGAATAAACCAAACATAGGAATTGGGTTCACCAAAGGAAGTAGACACCTGGGTGCCGATGGCCGACATCGCAGGAATAGACCAGAAAGACAGGCCATATCCCAGAGACAGAATCTGTAAATTGTTACTACTGCATACACCCACAGCCCGAATGGCAGGAATGAATACTTACGCCACAGACAATCCATGTCTTGAAGGTGACAACAGGTTCTGCCAGGGTATCAACTTCAGAGGTAGAGCTAGGCGGGTCAGGCTTTTCAATTGCTCCGCCGGTCTCTTTCTCGGCCATCATGCTTGAATCGCAGCGTTGTGCTTTCGAATCAAAGTAGAAAAAAAGTACTTCAGGGTTAAGAGCAGGGGAAGATAGAAGAAAAAAAAAAGCAGGACTCGAGCTGAACCCTGGAATTGCATTAGTTATAAAATGAGGAATTGTAGATAGTTCTTTGTTTGAAAATTCCACGCTACTCTCGTCGCGACGACTAGGGATGTTCCTACCAATCATGCCAACCAGGTGGGTTCGGTAGAAACCATTGGGATTCTGGGGCTGTATCCTTTAATTGAGACTGTGATGTAGATCACTGTCGTGGCCCCTCTTTCTTAGCTAGCCCTTTAGCTTCTGGATTAGCTTGATCCTTCAATAGTCTTTTTCTCCTTTGGGCGCTCTTGGCTTACTTGCTCTGACTTCCAACAACCTTGATATCTCCCTAAAATGTAGTAGATCGTATAAAGTTTCCCAGCCAAGATTGTACCATCCCAGCCATTGGCGCTAGTTCATCCCAAAGAGCCCCCGAAAACGGACTAGATTGGCGATAAACCCCGGTAGGTGGCTTGCTCTGCGCTTGGACTAACGCGCCCACGTGTAGTGGCGGTAAAGAACGAACAAAGAAAAACTCTCCTGGCCATAAAAACGGCCAGTCGGGGCAAGCTTTGCTTGTTGCCGGTGGACTGCCGGTGGACAGCCCATCATTCGAAATCCTTCCGAAAAGAGTGGAACCTCCGATATGGGCTGTTGAAAGGGAAGTCAACTGACGGCTATGAGGGGGGCCGATCTGCTATCTGAGCGTGCCGATCTTTTGGGAAACATGAATGGGCACCCATTGAGCTGGCCTTTGGTTGAAGTCTGGTGCCCAATGAGATGTTGAAAGGAACAGAAGGGGTCTCCAGTTCTTTCTGGAGTGGTGTATACGCCCCCAGTTGCGGGCCATCTCCGGGGGGCCAACGGGTTTCCCACTGAATGAAAGGAATCGGACTAGCGGTTGCCAAGTGCACGTTGAGCTTGAGAATTGGTTTTTTTTTTTTTTTTTTTTTTTTTCCTTTTCTTTTGTTTCTCTTACTTTACAGCTTTTGAAACTCCGAGGAATCCGAGATCCGAGATCTACATATAAACCTTCCTTGGGCTGAAAACACTTGAGAACTTCAGCATCGTTTTCTTTGCAAAATTGTTATCAGCTATAGATCATTCTTGTCAGGATCATCAGACTTAGAGCCTTGGAAATCTAGTAACCATGACATCGCCTTCCGAAAGCCGAGTTGCCATCATCACCGGAGCTACCGTGAGTTTCTACAAAACAACTAATCAATGGCATACTAATCAACGAACAGGGTGGCATGGGAATCAAGATTGCCCAAACCCTCTGCGCGCAGGGCTGGAAGATCACCTGTCTCGACCTGCAGCAGGAGGCCGGCGACGCGCTGGTCGAGAGTCTGGGACAAGACAACGCGATGTTCGTCCGGACCAACCTCGCCAAGTACGAAGATCAAGTCCACGCCTTCCGGGAAACGTTTCGGCGTTGGGGTCGGATTGATGCTCTGTGTGCCAATGCGGGCATCGTCGACCGCTCCTCGGTCTACATCTACAACTGGCGCGAGAAGAAGGCCGACGATGTTCCCCCGGAGCCTGATCTCTCCACCACCGACGTCGACTACAAAGCCGTGGTCTACGGCGTGCAGCTCGCCACGCATTTCATGCGACACAACCCCCAGCCTGGCGGTCGCATTGTCGTGACCAGCAGCATTGCGTCGATCTTCCCTCACCCCTCGTACCCCGAGTATTGTGGTGCCAAGGCCGCCGTGAACATTTTTGTACAAGGGATCGCGCCCCTGCTGAAGCAGAAGGAGAACATCTTCATCAACTGTGTGCTTCCAGGCATTGTGCCTACTCCGATCATTCCCCCAGAGATGATTGCCGCAGTGGCTCCCGAGCAGTACGTCCCATTTGTACTTTGTTTTATCAGTGTTTATAGATCTAACTAACCAATCTCCAGTCTTACCCCGGTCGAGACGATTGTGAAAGCATTCCAGACCTTCTTGGAAGATTCCACGGGCATGACAGGGGAGCTGCTGGAGTGTTCCGGAGAGAAATTGATTTACTACAAGCCGAGGGAGATGGGCAATGGCGCGGCCACCAAACGTGCCGTGACGGTGTGGGAGCCACTGTTCCAGATGATGCACAAAGAAACCTCCCAGCTGGCCGATGCGATTCCTTAGAGTTGCGCAAGAATAGCCGAAATACCACTCGGGTTGTAACACTCCCAATATCATCCTTGTATAACACGTTCGTAATTGCAGAGAGGCGGTAGAGAGAATCCCGGGTAGACCCCGCAGCTTACGCGGGATATAATCCCTGATTCCACGTGTGGTTTATACTCGCTTGGAGCTGGAAATCGACCCAACTTGGTCTGAGAAAAGTCATGGTTCCAATGGGACATCATGAGAACCAGGAAAGCTGGCGCGAGTGGATCTTGCATTTCTTTGTCTCCACGTGGGGCGGCTGTCTCATGGGCACCTCTGATAGTATGAAAGACTAATGAAAGTATGAACGACGCCATCATAACCGACCTTGGGATGTGGTGCATTCTTTTGTTTCCCTTTTTTTTTTTTCTTTCTTGAACTACCCACAGACGCTGGAAATGGAGAAACTCCTATCTGATTCGATCTCAAGCCGTTACCAGTCACCTGAAACCCCCCCCTCCGAAGGATCTGGCTTGGCTGCGTGGCCCCCTGGTCTCAAAAACGAGATCATACTTGAATATCGGGTTTCTCCCGATGTCCAAATCCCGGGTCTCAGGTAAATGGGTTCCCACTGGTACCCCCACTGATATATACATCTCTCCCGTGACAGTCTGGGGAAGCAATTATTTTCCACACCTCCATTTCTCAGTCTATTTATCTATCATCTATCAATCTATCTGACCCATCTATATACATACATACATACATATACATATACATATATATAAAGAGATGGCGGCTAAAGTGGCCTTGATCACTGGAGGATGTATGAAAACGTCCCACACCAAATCATGAATACTATACCATGCTAACCAAATATTTCTCATGAACCAGCCAGCGGAATGGGCCTTGACCTCGCCAAAGCTCTGGACTGTCGTGGCGGCTGGAAGATTCACATCCTCGGCCGAAACGAGGCACGTCTTGCGCAGGCGCTGGAAGAACTTCCGCAGGCCAGGGTCCACAAAGCCGACGTGGGTGACTACAAGGACCTCGGAACAGCATTCCAGACCGTCTTCAGAGAAGAGGGCCGGATTGACTTTGTCTTTGCGAATGCGGGTGTCATCGAGAGAACCAACTTCTATGCCAACCATGTCGAATCCAATGGTGATAGTCCGCCCCCGGAGCTGGACCCCACGACCCTTGAAGTAGATCTCAAGGGGCTGACGTTTACCGCTTATCTGGCTCTGCATTATTTCCGACTGTCGCCCCATCACGGACAGGGCGCACACTTGGTGATCAACTCAAGCTGTGGTGGGCTCTATCCCGCGTACTATGCCCCGTTGTATTGCGCTGCCAAGTGTGAGTGATTCACTCTCATTGCGAAATAGCTGCGGGTATGTTTTTATGAACTGACAACTGCCACGGCTCATAGATGGAGCCGTCGGGTTCATGCGATCCATTGCGCAACACTTCCGAGTCGAAGGCATCCAGGTCAACGCCATCTGCGCCGGCATCGTGCGCACGAACCTCGTCGACAGCGAAAGCTGGAATGGTTTCCCTGCGAACCGATTCACTCCCGTGGAGATGGTCTCGGCGGTGATTCTTCTTCTTTTGGAAGGTGGTGAGAGCGACGGCCGTGGCATTGTTGATGGCAAGGGCATCCGCGTTCCGCCTTCTCGGCTGTATGGATGTGCCGTCGAGATCTCGGATACTCAGTTCTACTTCCGGGATCAGCCAGAGTATTGTGATGAGGGGATGAAGGAGGTCATGGGGGCCACGGCACTTGAGAACCAGATCGGTGCGATTCTGAGTACGTAGATGGATGGTGACTTTTCTGCAATGGGTCTTGCAAGTCTGCTTCCAATGGAGTTTTGGTACTTTTTTATTCGCAGAGTCTTTGATGCCTGAGATGACTCTAATAAAGTACCTATTTCCTGATTAGGGAATTTAAAGGTCACCCTTCAACAAACCAAGGACTGGTGGCCTAGTGGTAAAGTCGTTGATATACCAGCCACCAGCCCTGGGAAGATTGATCAGCTGGTAAACTGCCACTCCTAATGTGAGTGGTAGTGAGGCCAGCTGAGACTTTCCATCTGCAAATAGCGCTATATCCTTAACACCTACTGCGGTAGGAGCCCAAGCCAAAGGTCCCTGGTTCAATCCACCCCGTGGATATTCTTTTTTCTTTCTTTTGATTTGATTTGATTCTTTTCTCCTCTCTTTTTACTCTTTTGATATTACTGTCTATCATGACTTCCCGTTTTTCTCAACTAATTCCCATTTTCTCTTTCTAGGTAAGAATATTCTATATGTAATTCATATGAGTGCCTTAAGACTATTACTTTCTTCTCTCAATGATCTGCTAATATATTGAATATATCAAAAAAAAAAAAAAAAAAACAATATCAGAGATGATGTCCTGTCTATAGTCCGCCCCCACTATCCACCCGATCTCTGATCTTCCGCCACATCCCCCAGACCCAATAATAATTAGAAGAACCATGGTTATATCAAAGGGCCAATATTCCACCAGCTTTATACTATCTAATCATCCAAAATAGACCAATTAAACCCATGCAATCCAGTATAGATCCTCCCCGGATAATTGGCCTCACGTGCCTGCATGACTCGATTATGTCACCCCATGCGATGCACCCTCTTCCACATCTGGACGCCAGCGCTCGTGAGGACTTATCCTTTCCTCATTTATCTTCTCTTGCGCCATGAATCTTTCCCATCGTTCACTGATGAGACTGCTTCACTGTCATCATCTGTAGCAGTGTACTCGCAGTAGAACAGCTCGTGTCGTGTTTTGCCTTTTTTTGTGAATACCGCCCCTCGGTCGCCGATCCTGCGGACCAGCGGAATTTCCAGCGCTTTCTCTTCCCACCCGACATCGCTGCCCTCTATCCCGGTAGACTTACAATTATCAGTGAGAAGTGGGGGATCAACCAACCATGTGTCACTCGACCTAGACCAACCCTGTCATTCCACTCGATCGCACAACGCCACCCAGCTGGCACCCGTCGACCTCGGCCGGCTTCTGCGCCTCGGGGTTATTTTTCATCAACCGTGAGATCGGGCAAGGCGGATCAAAATGGAAGGAGTTGAAACGGTGGATGTGAGCTGGCTTCACCATTCGCAAAAAGGCAAGTCGCACTGGATAGCCTTGATGCCCACACAGTATAACCATGCGGTTTGGTGGTTTCTCAAGGCGGGGAGCATCCTCTGACACCTTCCTTCAGATCAGCTGTCTCGGACCAAGTCCGTGACATCAACTGCGAACGGTAGGCCTGGTAGGGATGACAACGGAGCGACCGCACCCCCCAAGTCACACCGGAGATCTCGATCGAACAGTACCCCGCTGCCAACATCTTCGGCTTTATTCCCTTCAGAATCGAAAGAAGCTTCTCCACAGACGAAAGAATCGTTAGAAGAAAACGCGCTATCAGAAGACAAGAATGCGGAATCGATACCACCCACGCCATCCCCGGCGCCCCAGCGGAGCAGCCCCAAGCCTATCGGGAGCCGTCGCAACTCGTGGATCTCGAGCTTGAGCTCCAAGTTTTCATCTGGATCAACGCCCCCGTCGCAGTCGAGCTTAAAAGGCAGTCCAGCTAGCCCCAAAGCGACTTCGCCCCTCGACATGCACAACCCGTTCGGCGCAGCATACTCACCCAAGGACCAAGAAGATGAGAAGAAAGATGACCCTGGTCCTTTTACTTCATCCTCTCCTAAGGGACCCTCCTTCTTGCACAATGCTCTCCGCAAATTCTCGTCTAACTCCGGTGGGCTACCTAAGATAGCCCCTAATGGAACGGTCTGCCCCCGGCGCGTGATGAACGTCGATCACGGCCGAGACCGATGCAAGATCGCGGACCTAAACCAGTCGAAGCTCAATCGCGTGGCATTTTGTGTGGACGTTGAAATCGCAGGGGTCTCCCATCGGGACTCTGACGAGGAAGCACCTCCAACGAACCAACTTCGGCAGCCTCAGTCGGAATCCAACAGCCAAAAGTCAAAGAAATCCGATCTCAAATCGGAGGCCGGGGCATTGAAACACCCCCAGTCTGCGGTGGCTGAAAAGGAGACATCGGTCCCAAATCCGACTTCTACTCCAGGGGCCGACGATACCACTGCTCAATCTACAACTGCCTCGGCCAGCACAGTCAGCTCTCAGTCCTCCGATTCCAAACCGAACGGAGAAGGCAAGGACCCCACGAGAAAGCAAGAGAAGAAAAAGCGATCAGAGGAGGAGAGGAGGGAGCGCAAGGAAAGAAAGCGGAGGCAAGCAGTGGCGAATGGTTCGGTCCCGTTGCAACTGGATGCCGACAATGATGAAGATGAACCCCGGGCTCCAGCGCCTGGTGTCTCTCGCTCGAAAACACAGGGTCACCCAACCACCGATCCGGTGCGCATCTATCGTCGCTGCTGCCAGTTGCGTGAAACCCCTGTTCTCAAGAGAGTGGTTGATCAGATCTCTTCGCCTTCCTCGACGTTGGCTGAGTCTCCGGGCACTGTGGCAGCCCTGAATCTCAGTAACTTCCCCATGACCCCTCAAGATATCACAACATTCAGCGATTGGCTCGCGGTTGTTCCTGTCCGCAAGCTTATTCTTGAGAACTGTGCACTGACCAACGATTCCGTGCGAGCCATCCTCGCAGCATTACTCTCAACCAAGACCGTGGAGCAGATGCGCTACCGTCGGAGACGATCTCGACGGTCGGAATCGCCGGTCAAGAGCGATGAACGATGGGGTGTGGTGGAGAAGCTGTCTTTGAAGGGTAATCCCAAGATCGGCAGAGAGGGCTGGCGCCATATAGGTCTTTTTGTGCATCTTTCCAAATCTTTGAAGGCCATCGATGTGTCAGGCATTCCCTTCCCCAAGCCACAGGCTCCAGCAGATGGTTCGGCGCCCCAAAGCCAGGACCAGACATCTGCCCTTGATGTCAGCACCATTTTCGCAAACGCCTTGGCGGAACGGTTTGGTGGCGACCACCTGGAGGAATTGCTCATGAGTGAATGCAGACCGTCTGTTGATGAGGTGCGGAAAATTTGCGAGGCAGCCACTACTATGGGCTTGCGCAGACTCGGATTCGCCAACAACAACCTGACCAGGGAGGGCCTTGAACATGTGGTCGAATATTTGAAAGCCGGGCAGTGCGAGGGTCTCGATCTCGGCGGAAACACTATCAAGGATGATCTTGATATTATCGTGGACGCCATTGAACCCGAGCTGCCTCTCTATGCGCTTAGTTTGGCGGACTGTTCCTTGAATCCTTCCGTGATCTGCCCGCTACTTCAAGCCTTCACGAAGCTCCACAACCTTCGTTTTATTGACTTCTCTCACAACCTCGAACTATTTTCGGCACAACCCAAGGCTTTGGGGGCATTCCGCCGCTTCCTGCCCAAGATGCCATCTCTGAAGCGCATCCATCTTGCCGACGTTGATCTCTCACCAGACCATGTCATTGGTCTTGCAGAAGTGCTATCCGAGTGTCCCAGCCTGTGCCACTTGAATATCTTGGAAAACCCTCAGATCGCCGCTCTGGCATCCGCTCGGGACCCGGCTACCCAGGAAGAAGCGTGCGCTGTCTACGCGTCTATGATGGCAGCTGTCCGTGTGTCACGAACGATTATCGCAGTGGACATTGAAATTCCAAGTGCAGAAAGCAATGAGGTTGTGAAAGCTTTGGCATCCCAGATTGTGGCCTACTCGCTTCGAAATCTCGAGGGCGGCGCGATTGCCGAGGAGCTCTCTGATCCCATCACCCCATCCGCTACCAAGGACGTTCCTGTGCCGGAGATCTTGCAGCATATCGTCGGAAACACGGCTGCTCCCGACGAGCCATGTGACGATGAAGGTGAGCCCGCTCCTGACGAAGACTACGTCATTGGCGGCACAGGTGTTGTCAAGGCATTGGGTGTTTGTCTGGGCAACCTAGATCAGCATGGCAGCGACGTTCTTGGCGACATCTCGGCGCCAGCGAGTGGCACTACAACGCCCAGGCGACGGAAGTCTCGAAGCGTCGTCACCAAGCGACCCCGTGACATGTCGAAGAACCTGCTGGCGTCCGCACGCAACATTCGGACTCGGATTCAGTCGGCTCTCGTCCGCGAAGACCGGGCTGGCAATGATGCAAACTATCGTGAGTGTTACGCGCGACTTTTTATCTGTAGATATGCTAATCTCGTCTGCGACAGGTCGTCTGCAATTCCTGGACTTCACCTTGCATAGGATGATCCAACGCTTCGAGGACGAATACCCGGAGACTCGCATTGTCCCCCAGCCTGCCACAACCTCTACCGCACCGGACACCAGCTCTCAACATTCTGGTGACGACGGACACGGATCCACCGCTGTCGGCGACAACTTGAATAATAGTCTTCTGGACAACGAGAACGCCATCGATGACGAAGAAACTGACCAATATGCCATCCACCTCTCCCGAACCAGCTCGATGACCTCTCTCCATGCACGTGCCATGACTTCCGAAGAGGGCCACATCCACCGTCTCGGCCAGAACCTGCGCCGTGATTTCCTGGACCCATCGCTGAGCCAGAGCGATGGTGATGGCGATGACGATGCACACCTTGCTGCTCTCCGGGAAAGACTGGAGCGTCTGCACGACGAACAATCTCCGTCGCAGTTCGACAGCTTCGGGAGAGAGAAGGCATTTGAAGAGCTCGGGTCTACCGTTGATGAACTCTGGGCCGCTCAGAAGCAGGACGCCGAGAGCTTTGAGAAGTTCAGGATGTCGCAGATTGCGGCTCAGATTAACAGTGGCCTGCGTCCTGCTAGATCCATGCCTGTTGCTGGCAACGTAGCATCCAAGAAGGATGCGGGTAATGATACCACTGAGAGCAAGTCTCCGCCATAGCTCTGTTATTTCTTGATTCTTCTATTGCACTATTACCCAACGTGCTATTCTGTATATACACCACTTATATCCTCTTGTTTTATCCAGGCTATCGCACTATTCTGTATCCAATTTCAATTTGCCCTACATGTACCGAGGTCTTCAATACTATAGCAGTGTGCGCAAAACTGGCGCATCTAAATAATTTTATTAATTATTTTATAGATTATTCTATGTAATTTCTGTCTGAACCCCGAGGCAGGCGACGCGATAGAGTGATTGAGGCATTCGTGGCGCGGTGGAGTTCCTCGGCTGAACTTCCCCAGATAACTGGGGTATCACATGTCAACTCTCCCCTCTTCCGTCATTCCTCTCTTCACTTCACTTTCCTTTGCTTTCTGTTTCTCGCTACAACTTTTGATCTTCCGAGCATCGGTCATGTCTTTTTCTGTCTCTGGCTGATCGGCATCCCCTGATAGCTTCGCCATGGCGGTCCAGTCCAAACTGTTGCCGCCCGAACGCTCCGTCAAGCAGATCCTCTCCAGTCTCACCTCCCTCTACCTCCGGCACCGCACCCGCATCTCACGCGCGGTCTACCTTGCTCTCTTCGCGGCGCTCGCTAAGCGGATTCACAATGCAATCTCCGAACAAAAAGCCGCGTCGCAGCAGGTTGATCTGCGGAGGCGGCCCGGCACCAGCAGTCTCGGCGACGAAGAACAACCGCGCAAGAAGCGCGTTGAGATCAATCGCGAATTCTTCAAGCACCTGCTGCGCTTGCTGAAGATTGTCATTCCCGGATGGCGCAGCAAGGAGCTGCGGCTGTTGGTCAGCCACAGTGTCTTCCTCGTACTGCGCACCTTGCTCAGTCTGTATGTCGCCGAGTTGGATGGCAGGCTAGTGAGCAACTTGGTGCGCGGCAAGGGGAAGGACTTCTTACTGGGGCTTGTGTGGTGGATGATCGTGGCTGTCCCGGCGACATTCACGAATTCGATGGTAAGTCCTTGGGAATCCGAGATGCGACCGACTGGACTGTGTTACTGACTCCACCACGCTAGCTTTCATATCACCAATGTAAACTATCTCTTAGTTACCGAAAACGCTTGACTGATTATATACACGATAAATACCTGTCAAACATGACATTCTACGCCATCTCCGCTCTCGATGACCGCATCAAGAACCCCGACCAACTTGTCACTGTCGATGTGTCGCGCTTCTCCGACAGTTTAGCGGAGCTGTACTCTAATCTGGCCAAGCCAATCCTCGATATGGCCATCTACAACTACTCTCTCTCGAAGAACGTCGGCGGCGAGGGCCTGTTTATCATGAGTTTGCTGGTCCAGCTGTCTGCCAACGTCATGCGCATGCTGACACCGCCGTTTGGCAAATATGTCGCCGATGAGGCCCGGCTCGAGGGCGAGTTCCGGTTCCTCCACTCAAGACTCATTGATTACAGTGAGGAGGTGGCTTTGTACCATGGCCACGAGGCCGAGAAAGATACCCTGGATAAAGGATACTTCACACTGATTAAGCATGTGAACCGTATCTTGCGCAGGCGCCTGTACCACGGTTTCATGGAGGATTTTGTTATCAAGTACTTCTGGGGAGCTCTGGGTTTGGTACTCTGCAGCTTGCCCGTATTTTTCAAGATCCCGGGTCAAGTCACTCAGACTATGGGAGACCGCACCGAAAGTGAGTCTTTTTTTTTTTTCTATGCTTGCCAAGATAATGCTAATCATGGCCAGGTTTTGTCACGAATCGCCGAATGTTACTATCATCGTCGGATGCTTTTGGCCGTCTGATGTTCTCTTACAAGGAAATTTCCGAGCTGGCCGGCTTCACGTCGCGTGTTTCATCTCTGATGGAAGTCATGGATGACTTGGTGGCCGGGAGATTTGAGAAGAAGCTGGTTTCCTCAGCCTCAACTGAGGAGAACGCAGCTGTTCTGTCTGGCCGGGGCGAGGTCATGGAAAGCGACTCGATTGAGTTCACAGATGTTCCCATCGTTTCACCAAACGGAGACGTCCTGGTGCGCAAACTGTCATTTACCGTCCATCCCGGTGATCATCTCTTGATCGTCGGTCCCAACGGATGCGGCAAGTCGTCCCTCTTCCGAATTCTGGGCGGGCTCTGGCCGGTATACGGGGGCATGGTCAAGAAACCCCAGTTCGATGACATCTTCTATATCCCTCAGCGACCGTACCTGTCCCGCGGGACGCTGCGCCAGCAAGTCATCTATCCGGATGGGGTGCGCGAGATGCGCGCCAAGGGAGTCACCGATGCGGACCTGTACGAGGTCCTGTCCGTTGTCGAGATTGCATCGGTCGTGGACCGGCCCGGGGGCTGGGATGCAGAGGAAGAGTGGCGCGATGTGCTGTCGGGCGGTTTGCAGCAGCGCATCGCCATGGCCCGACTGTTCTACCACCGACCGAAATTCGCCATCCTGGATGAGTGTACGTCGTCAGTGACGCTGGAGATCGAGAAGGTCATGTACGAGACAGCCAAGAAACTGGGGATCACGCTCATGACAGTGTCGCACCGGCGCAGTCTGTGGAAGTACCACCAGAAGATCCTGCAGTTTGATGGCCAGGGAGACTACATTTTCACCGGATTGGACTGGGAACGACGGTTGAAATTGGAAGAGTAAGTTTTATAAACTACTTCCCATCCCCCCACAACCCCGCACCCTGGAATCTTTGCTGACTCCCCGTTTCTTAGTGAGAAAGAAGAACTCGATTTGCAGCTTCGGGCCGTGCCGGAATTGCAACGTCGGGTTGCCGAGTTGTCGGCTTAGACCAGGTATTGACTTGGGATATTAGTGAATAGCCTCCAATTCCAAGTTTTCCAAGTTGTATATTTTCCGGTCAACCGGAATTGTGCCTCTTCTCCACAGCCCCACCACCCACTCGGCCAATCCACCGACGGGCTCGGGAGTTGTAGACTTGATTCTGGCATTCTATCGGCTTTGGTCTTGTACCCACCCGATGATGTTCTGATCGTCCATACGTCATACGCCGTGTCTTGTTTCGATCGGGCGTTTCTCTGGCATACTTAGATTGTTGTCGGTCCAACCTTTTTTTCTTTTTTTTTTTCTCGTTCTATTTCATCTTCATTTTTCGCTCGGCGTTCTTCGTGTACCTACTAAGATTTTCTCTTATTTCTTTCCTCTCAATTCTCCGGACCCGTAGTTCTCTCTCAGCCCTCACAATGACCAACGCAAAGACAAACCCCACCAACCAAAAACGAAAGATCATCATCTTCTCCGGTATGTGCCCTACCTCCAGGTTCTCCCTAAAGACCAATGAAACTATATTTTCTCAAGATAGCTAACAACCAAATCCGCCACCCCCATTGTCATAGACTTCGACGGCACAATCTGCATGCAAGACACAGGCCATGTCCTCGTCGACAACCACGGCTGCGGCGCCACCTACCGCGGCAAGCTGGAAGAGCAGATCAAGTCCGGCGAGCGGTCGTTCCGCGAGGTTTCCGACGAGATGTGGGGGTCGCTGAGCATCCCGTTCGACGACGGCTTCGTCGTCATGGACCAGACCATCCAGATGGACCCGCACTTCCGCGAGTTCCACCAGTACTGCGTCGCGAACGGGTTCCCGTTTAATGTCATCAGCGCGGGGCTGAAGCCTGTGTTGCGAAGGGTGTTGGATACGTATTTGGGGACGCAGGAGGTGAGTAACACTTACAAGGAACCAAAAAAAAGTATAAGCAAGAGAATGAGGAAAAGTGTGAATGCTAACAAAATCAAGTCCTCCTCCATCGACATCATTGCCAACGACCTCACCATCCCAGCCATCGGCTCCCAATGGAAACCCATCTGGCGCCACAACACCGACTCGGGCCTCGACAAGGCCCTGAGCGTCAACGAGGGCCGCGCCCAGGCCCAGGCCGAGTGCTCGCCCGACGAGATCCCGCTGATCGTGTTTATCGGCGACGGCGTTTCGGACCTGGCGGCGGCGCGCGAGGCCGACGTGCTGTTTGCGCGCCGCGGTCTGCGCCTCGAGGAGTACTGTCACGAGCACGGGATCGAGTGCACGCCCTTTAACACTTTCGCGGATATCAAGCGCGATATTGAGGCCATTAGTCGCGAGGATCAGTCCAAGACTGGGGGTGTGGGTAAGCCGGTGCGGTATAACCCGCGGGCTAATCTTTGGCGTCGGATTTCGAGTCGTGAGGCTGTATGGTCCCCCCCCCCTCTCCTCCCCTACTCCCTTACTCCCTTGATATACATATACTATGCATATACATGCGTATGTGTATATGCTTAGAAAGTATGCCGATGCTGATTCCTTAGGTCCCCACCCTCATGGCTGCTGCCACTCCCTCCCAGGAAGAGAAGATGTTCCTCTGGCCCGAGACTTTCTCAGACTACAAGCCCAAAACCATCCAGGAAGACGACGAGCCTGCGGCTGTGGCTTGAAGCGGATTTCCTCTTTTCTTTTCTGTTCTCTGTGCAGGCCACTAATTCTCGGTTAAATTCTTGATGATTGATGGCTTTCTTTTCTCGTGACTTCATGCATCGGACCGACATACATCGGACGGATGTTGGCTTTGCCATACATATCATTCCAGCCATGAGTTTCGTGTCGATGTATTCCTCCCTTGATACAGTTGCTGATGGGGCTGGTGATAGATGCTTTGTATATAAATGTTCTAGTCGGAGATAGATTATGTATAAAAGATGTTAACAATACACGGTGTTAATGGAATATGCTCTTCTTTCTTTCAGACGTGGATCTATCTCCTGGCTCAGAGTGAGTATTAGGAAGTATTGTCTTGGATCTTAGGAAAACTGCCATTAGACTGAGAATGATAGTATTAAATCCATGCAAGTCACCATCAAACCAGAGCGAGAAATGCAACCAGAGAAGAAAGAAAAGAAAGGACAGGATACCACAAAAGAAGAGATGAAATCAATCCTTCACCTCCAGAGGCTCCACGTTCCAGATACTATCAGCATACTCATTAATCACCCGGTCCGTCGAGAAAAAGCCCATGCGCGCAACGCTGGTAATCGACTTGGCCAGCCACTTCTCTTTATTCTGGAACGTCTCGTCGACCATCTCGTGCGTGGTGACGTACGAGTTGAAGTCGTCCGACACCAGATAGTAATCGCCGTGCTCCTCGATCGACGCCGTGAGCGCGGCAAAGTCGGCCGCGTCGCCGAACATGTCCTCCTTGATGGCATTAAACACCCGCTCCAGCTGGGCATCCAGCTGGAAATCGCTGTAGAAGTGCCGGTGGCGCAGGTCTTCGACGTCTTCGGCGAGCGTGCCAAAGAGGAAGATGTTTTGCTCGCCGATCTCGCGCGTGATTTCGATCTGTGGTATGAGTAGTTAATAATTAGTTCCCAAATAACAAATCAGGGTCTGTGGTTGGCAAATTACATTCGCGCCATCGCAAGTCCCGATGATCAATCCGCCGTTCAGGACGAACTTCATGTTACTCGTGCCGCTGGCCTCGGTGCCAGCCGTGGAGATGTGCTCGCTGATGTCCGACGCCGGGCAGATGATCTCAGCCTTGCTGACGTTGTAATCCTCAATGAAAATCACCTTCAGGAGGTCGCCAATCTCCGGGTCCTTGTTCACAACGGATGCCACGTTGTTGATGAGGTGGATGACCGTCTTTGCCATCCAATATCCCGGAGCCGCCTTACCACCGAAGATCGACACTCGAGGCACGACCTTCTTGCGCTCGTCGGCCGACATCGCTTTGATGCTCAGGTAGCGGTGAATCACCCCGAAGATATTCAGTTGCTGGCGCTTGTACTCGTGAATGCGCTTCACCTGCACGTCAAACAGTGCATTCGGGTTCACGTCAAATCCTGTCGTATCCTTGATGTACCTAGCCAAGAGCAGTTTATTGGCCGATTTGATCCTCGCCCAGTCTTCTCGGAAGGCCTTGTCATCCACAAATGCCTCTAGCTTATCCAAGAGGGTCAGGTCTGTCAAGAACTCGTATCCTCCGAGTTTCTCGGCAATCAGCGCAGACAACTTCGGGTTGGCTTGGTGCAGCCAGCGCCGGGGGGTAATGCCATTGGTGACATTGGTGAACCGGTCTGGACCATAGATCTCCACAAAATCTTTGAATATGGTGGCTTTGATGAGATCGGAATGCAATTCAGCCACGCCATTCACTTTGTGCGACCCAATAATGGCCAGATGCGCCATGCGCACCATCTTGGGATGCGTTTCTTCAATGACTGAAACTCGCGCCAGCATGTTCCGGTCGTTGGGGAACCGTTTCTCGACCGACTGCAAGAAAAACAGGTTGACATCGTAGATGATCTGCAGGTGTCGTGGAAGCAGGTTTTGCATCAGCAGAACCGACCATTTCTCCAGCGCCTCGGGCAAAACCGTGTGGTTGGTGTACCCGAAGGTTTTGGTCACGATGACCCATGCCTCATCCCATTCGAGACCTTCAATGTCAATCAGGATGCGCTGCAACTCCACGATTGCAAGAGTCGGGTGGGTGTCGTTGAGCTGAATCGCCACCTGATCGGGGAACTCGCTCCACGCCCGCTTGGTCTTCTTGAATCGCCGGACAATATCATACAAAGAAGCCGCACACCAGAAATACTGCTGCTTCAGGCGGAGCTCTTTACCTCGTTCCAGGTTGTCGTTCGGGTAAAGCACGGCCGAGATGGTCTCGGCGCTCTGCTGGTCCGCCACGGCGCTTTCGTAGTCTCCGGCATTGAATTTCTGGAAGTCAAACTCGCCGCTACTTGCCTTGCTCGACCACAGGCGGAGATTGTTGGTCGTCTTGGTGCCATATCCAGGAATCGGCACATCGTAAGCGACTGCTTGAACTATTTCACCGTCCTCCCAGGAGTGGACGATCCTGCCATTCTCGTCCTGGTATTTGCGGACGCAGCCGTAGAATTGAATATCAACGGTGATTTCATGTCGGGGAAACTCCCAAGGGTTGTTGTCAAGCCAGTAGTCCGGAATCTCCATCTGGTAGCCATTGACAATCTCCTGTTTGAAGATCCCGTAGCGATATCGCAGGCCATAACCCCATGCTGGGTAGTTCAGTGTCGCCAGGCTGTCCAAGAGACATGCTGCCAAACGCCCGAGACCACCGTTACCCAGGGCCGCGTCGTGTTCTTGGCTGATGATGTCCTCGATGCGGAAGCCAAGGTCTCTCAGACCATCTAGGAGGGTATTCAGTGGTAATGCTTAGAGACTCAGCTTCCATGCACACTTACCTCGAGCTGCCTCTTTCTGGCCCACATTCAGCATCGCATTGTCCAGCGCTCGCCCCATGAGAAATTCAAGGGAGAGGTCTAGAAGTCATGTATTAGGACTCTTCATCACCGAAGTTGATTCGGCTCCCTGCATAAGACATACAGTATACTCTCTTCTGGTCATTGAATGTCTGACGCTGCTGGGTCTTGTTCCAGTCGATGATCAACCGATCCCTAAAAGCCAGCGCTGTTCCGGAGTATGCAGCGCTGTCGAAGGAAAAGAGCTATAGTTAATACAACCAAGCCTTTTTTTTTTCATGTAGTTTAAGCACATACGATTCATCGCAGTTGTACAGCGAGCGAGCAAGCGTCGTCTCAATATGGCGCACAAGCTCTTTCTGCAACCGCGGTCAGTTGGAAACGAGATAATCGCATGGATTGGTACAGGCTTACCTCGAATTCTTCTTTGTTTGAAAATCCAGCAGCGGACTAAAAGACCCGAGCGACATCAGCGTTGTACAGCCAAACCCAGGGACACCGGGTTCCACATACGTATTTGCGCCAGCTGCAAGTCCCGAACTCGCAGTGGTCAGCTCATTATCGACGATTCCAAATCACACAATTCAATAAACTACTCACGCCTCACGTAAAGGCTCGGGGATGCTCGCTTCTACACTCTTGATCTCCGAGGGCCCGAAACCCGTGAAAGTGCGCTTGTGTTTGGGCCGACTGAATCCAGGACCGACAGGACCCTGGAGGTCGGCAATAGGGGCTCCCACTGAGGGTCTTCGTTCTCGACGCTCGGTTGCCATGGTGTGGGGATGCTTGTGATAGAGGATGGGGGAGTGCCGGGTGAGAGAAGGAACTCTGGAAGACAGCAAGCTGGTGAGGGAAAGAAAGCTAACAGCAATGCCGAGGAGCTCACCGGGAATGATGAACAGGAGAAAGGAAGAAAATCAAAGGGAGAAGAGGAGACGTGAGACAAGAAAGAGGGGCTACAGTCATGACTGGTGACACCGGGCCTGGAACACGGGAGGTACGGGGCAGCTACCTGCCTCACACCGTTTGGAGAGTACAAACCAGAGGTACCCTGAAAGTAGCGACCACATTGAGATCCAGTATCACACCACTTTGGCAAACATGGGGCCGTGTTCTCTTCGAGTTGGTTTGGAGTGCTTTCTCGCGCCTCGTATACATCGACGACGCATGCGGAAGAGCTCTGGTGGGGCTAGATCGTCGCTGCAACTCCGTGCACTCGGTCTTGGACTCTGGATATAATATTAATGACCATGGTAACTGTATTAAGCTCTAAGATTAATTAATCAATTAGTATTCTTACAAGCTAATTATCCATGAAATAGTCCACGGAACATCTCGGGCTGCAATCAAAATTTCAACAGCTGACCTCTTCTCCACTATACCACGAGCCGTTCCGTAGTTCTCCACCGAGAGAGCATAGAACCAACCTACTCTTGATGACACCACTACCCACAGAAAGTAGATTGAGTCGAAGACATAGGAAAGAATAGCGGGTTCCACACGGCACACTTCGTCTCGCGAGAATAGATGAGTACAGCATGGCAACCCTTGGACCGGCACCAAGGACAGAATCGCATATCCCGCTTGCCAGACCAAACTATCAAATAATTCCAGGGAGATCCAAGAATTACCAGACTTTTTGGGGAGGATAAAGCAACTCAATACTGGTAAGGGCAAACCGCAAAGACAAATTAAACCAGAAAGCTTCTTATGCAATCAAAGCGCTTGAAATCGCGGGTTATAATAGTATATATAAAAAAAAAAAAACATGAAGGCAAAGGAGATGAGACCCCCAGAAACTCAACGGAGAACCGCCGTCATATGCATGAAAGGTGAGGCTGAAAGGGAAAGAGGCAAACAAAAATCCAGATAACGAGAAAAGAGTCAGTCGGAGGCAAGAAATAAAACAATCCATGAGGATATCTGGGTACATAGAGAGAAAAGAGAGGCCCAACATAGGTAGGTACGAGTGTCACTATACGCAAGCCTCGACCTCTTTTTCAAAATCGGAGAAAGAGAAGAACACGCTCGTCGGAGGTTGAATCAGGAGCTAAGAAAACAATGCAAAATCAGGACAGAAGATCTCACCCACATGCATCGGAGATTCTGAAGCCCCATAGATTCACCGTAGGGAGAGGAAGAACACAGTGGATACCACCTTATAAAGATCAAAAGCGGGAGATGACCCAAACCAGCGCCAGAGATATAGCCCGGGAAAGAGAAAAACAGCGCCGTCAACACCTGCGGCTGATGAGAAGCCAGAACAAAGTAGGGGAATGTCGGGGTATGAGAGATTGGAGGGTGACTCGGTAAAGCCCTCTTAAGATCGAGGCACAATATGTCAAGGGCTCAAATGCATCGCACATTTGCAGGTAAAGAAATTAATCCTTCAAAGAAAGTACAAGCAACTCACAGAATGCCTGAGTCTTTCAAAGCATTTTGCAGAATCGTCTCCTTGACCGCTGCAAAAACTAAGCGAATGTTGGTGGTATCAGTCGCTTGGGTGAGACTGTAAGGGGGAAAAGCGTTAGAATGGAAGTTTCTTGCAAATATATCGGCAATTGAGATAGAATATGGGAACTTACTGTGGGTAGAGATTCAGGTGCGCTCGATTCACCTGGTTGAATCGCCAAAGGAGATATTTCGCAGCGCGGTTGACATCATTTCCGCCCGAGTAATCCGGGAAGTAATTGCTCAATGGTGATCGTGGGAGCTTCAGTCGGAATAAATCAACCTTGTTCAAGAAAAGGATGATACTCGTCCGCATGAACCATCGAGAATTGACCACGGAATCGAAGAGGACCAAGCTCTCCATCATTCGGTTCTTTTCCTTCGTCAGCAACGGAACAGTCTTCTTCATAGACACACCCAGGGCTTACTTGATCGCTTTTCTCCAGTAGCACCTGATCATATTCACTCAATGCCACGCAGAAAATAATGGATGTGACGTTCTCGAAGCAGTGGATCCACTTCTTTCGCTCGCTGCGCTGGCCACCCACATCGAACATGCTGTGCGACCGGTTAGTGGCGTCTCCGATAGCCGGGATGGTGGGAAGGAATTGCCCACGTACTGTATACTCAACTGGCCCATTGTGAACCTTGTCTCGTAGATACCAGTGGTCTTGGTTCGTGCTCGGAGCACGTCGGAGACGTTGGGAATATAATCCGGTGCCGTTATTCGCTTCGCTTCTTCGAAGAAACTAGTGACGAGTGAGCAAGGTCCCATCCCACTTCAGAGCCACCAAGTGCGATGCTTACTATGGTGCGGAATCCATCAGGTAGAACTCATTCTGGTGTTCCAGAACGGTTGATGTGCAAGGGTCATTCCATAGGTATGTGATCGCATCGCCCACTTTCAGATCCAGTGGGGTGTTTGGGTCGGGGTCAACGCTGTAGTCCTCCAAGAAGGTGATGTACTCCTGGACCCGCTGACTCGACGGTTCGAGCTCAAAGTGTTGGTATGCGCCGATCAGCGCTTTCGCGCAGTCCAGGAGATTCTTATACACGGTCAACCGGTACAGCGCAAGTTCTTCGACCGTATAACCATTTTGGTGGATGATTTTCATCTGCTTGACAATCGTAGACTTGCCACTTTCTCCGGACCCTGCGGATATGAAGTCAGCTGGCACTGCACCGGCAAGCTCTTCCCCCCACCAGAGCCAGCTCCAAACGTACCCAGAAGAAGAATCTTGCATTCCCTTCGTAGTCGCCGAGAGTCTTCCTCCAGTTTCCGGTCGATCATCTGGCTTCTCTTCTTCTGTTCCGCGTCCCCCGCGGACTCTGTGCTGAAACACAGCCCCATGGTCGCGAATTCTTCAATAATCCAGACCAGTAGGGAGACTCATCAACCATCCGCGAAAGCAGTCGGAGTCAGCCTATGGAGGCGACCGGAGCTCGTGACGTTTTGTGGGACTACCGCCCACCACCTCACACGAGTAAGAATCGCGACAAGAGCACGACGGCGTATGTTGGGGAGAGGCGTACGATCAAGTTGAAAACCGCACAAGTAAAATCGGAGTTTACGATCGGAAAGATGGGTTCGGTCGGGTGCGCTCAGACGGGTTTGCAGGGGAATGATGGATTCGGGAGCGGGTAGAGCGGTAGGGGAAGAGATCCCGGGGGCGTTGGGGGAGGGGCGAGAAATCCTGCACCGCACAAGGGGACTCAGTCAACGTTCAAGAGAGAAGGAGGTTGACAGAGTCGACACAATAGAGGGGACAAAGAAGCAGAGAGAAAAGCAGGTCAGTGCGACCACCATGGGGGGGTGAGAGAGTGGAGATGGCCAGTTTGGAGGGTGTTAGGTTTGGCGCGGGTAAAAAAAAGAAAAAAAAACGTGTACGAAGAGAGCTGACATCCCTCGTAATAAACGAGCTCTTGGCTTGAGAAAAATTCAAAATTAATTTAAAAAAAGAAAACAAAAAAATTGGTGTTTTTATTTCAGATCTCTTGAGCCTCCCTGTTTTTTTTTTTTTTTTTTTTTGATCTGTTTTTACGTTCCTAGTAAGTCTTGGGCTACATTAGTTAGTCTTGGGGTATACCCATACACCTATCCATAGGTCTAATCCATAGGCTACATGGTTGAGAGAGAGAGAGAGAGTATCTACGCCCCAATCAACCTTGGCATATCGAGATGGGGCGTTGGGCCCCTGTTCTCGCCCAAGACTGCAGAGGTATCTCCCCAGGAAGAATCCATTAAGATTTCACGCGTAAGACGTTTTGCAAGCGAAAAAAAAAATCACAGACTGGGGGCCACGGCAGAACGGGCAATTCCATCGTTGGGGGCGCCACCGAAATGACCGTGCGATCATGTTCTTTGACCCCCAATCGTATTCCCGTCTATCGGTCGTCTTCCTGGACTACTTTGCTGTACTGAACGTAACGAGAGTGATGAAAGTGACGACAATGACTAGTCAGGTCGAATATTTTTCGAGTATTCTCCCATATGATCATGGCAGATCCCTATACTCAGGTAGTCAACTGAGATTCCTATTGCCCGGCAATTGTCTGGGGCAATATCAACGGATGACATCCACTGCGGAGGAGCTGAGGTGGAGAGTCGTGACGCACATCGGGGATTTGTGGCCTGAGGCATGCTCTGGGGAGTTCACGTGCCACGTGGGGATTCCTTTCGGGATGTGGATGATCTCGAGTATCCCCTCTAAAGAAATAGACAGGGGTACTTTGTCAATAATCAAAATAATGTATCCATAAATGGTCAGTTCTGATATTATTGGTGATAATGTGGTTGGAGATGGTTTCCAGAGAGAGAGATATCTCAATCGATCCTGTCATCCAGGATCATTGAGTCAGCCTCAGGTCTGAACAAGGTTGCCCACGCTCTCCAACAAAAAAAGGCCTTTGTTCTCTAGCTGCAGTAGCGTGGTTCTTTTTTGTTTCACATGTCTCGGATCTGCGCGCAATGACCGCCCTCGAACGGAGATTCGATCTAAGCTAGGGTTGCTTGTCCCCAGATCATGGTATGGGGAGAGGGAGATGGATGATGGATAATTATTGCATGGGCTCTGCATCAATTGGTGTGGGAGGTCCACGGTCGGACGGCACATGATGGCTGTGTCAGCGAGATCAAACACCCGTGGGCAGCCTGAGGCCGGATATTTGGCCAGACTGAACAAGGGTATATCTGATGGATATTGGAGAAATATTTATCTACTAAGCTGGTATCTATGTGTGAAGAAATACCATCCACCCATAAAGAACTGGGTTTTATTGACTGATCACTGCAACCATGGAAGGACCTGTCTATCATCTCTGAATGCAGTAATGAGGGGTCTTCATGAAGTCTTTAGTGTAATCATTCCGATCCATATGATTGGTGATATTTTAAATCAAATAAGATTTGAGATGATACTATAATACTACAATACTATCATATAATACTATAGTAAGAATCATCGGAGTGCAAGGCCGCTGGGAAGCCTCTTCCGGGCAATCGACCCGGTCTAGACGGGCCGCGTGGTTGGGTGGAGACAACCTTGGAATACCTTTAGGGCAATAGCAAAGACTATAGAGAATGGAATTAAAAGAGCATAATATAACAGTACTAGTAATAATAGTAGAATAAGACTAGCGGGAGTAGTACCAGTAATAGTAGTACCAACATAAATCATAAGAATAATAATAATTAAATAAGATTAATCTAGCTCGAGTATACCAGGCATTCCAAGGCTTCCAAGTTGTGCCTGAGTGCTGAGTCAGCCCGGTCGCGAACGTCATTGTCCTTGTTTTGGGCGCTTTTTCACCGAAAGAAGACAGTCCCTTCCCCACAGCCTTTTTGCCCGCCACTTTTGCGCTTCATATCCCTCCCCCCCCTTTCTCTTTCTGCTTCATCTCTCTCGTTCGCGCTCTTTTTCTTGTTTTTGCAGAGATCCCCCTGGATCCTCTGTTTCTTGTTCTTCTCTTCCTTTTCTTCATTCTGCCTACTACCCGCCGGGTCATTCTTTAACCCCCCTCCCCCTCATCATGGCGGAATTCGTGCGTGCCCAGATCTTTGGCACCACCTTCGAGATCACTAGCCGGTTCGCAATGCCTCCCTATTTTAAGTTTTCTCCTCGCTGGGATGAGCAGCATTCATTGCTGAGACTTGGTTATCTAGGTATGCGGACTTGCAGCCGGTGGGCATGGGTGCATTTGGGCTGGTCTGGTATGTTTTGAATCCCACCAGGGTCGCAAAGCGCCACTTCGATCCCTCCAGCCAAAGCCTATAACTGACCGGAATGCGATCTTCATAGCTCCGCAAGAGATCAATTGACTGCCCAGCCGGTCGCGGTCAAGAAGATCATGAAGCCGTTCAGCACTCCGGTTCTCTCCAAGCGGACGTACCGTGAGCTGAAGCTGCTCAAGCATCTCCGCCATGAGAACGTCGGTTTTCCTTCCGTCAGATAACCAAACCTGCGCTCACATTTCCACAGATTATCAGCTTGAGCGACATCTTCATCTCTCCCCTCGAGGACATGTACGGCCCCATCTTCGAACCGAGATGTAGCGGATCGAACTAACGACTGTAGCTACTTTGTGACTGAACTCCTGGGAACCGATCTTCACCGCCTCCTGACCTCCAGACCCCTCGAGAAACAGTTCATCCAGTATTTCCTGTACCAGATCTTGGTAAGTTTCGTTTTTTTGATCCCCTCCCCTTCTCTGAGATTGTGGGGGTTTACGCCATCGGAGACTCATAACTTCGCAGCGAGGACTGAAATATGTTCACTCGGCCGGCGTGGTCCATCGGGATCTGAAGCCCAGCAATATCCTCATTAACGAAAACTGCGACCTCAAAATTTGTGACTTCGGTCTGGCTCGGATTCAGGACCCGCAGATGACTGGCTACGTCTCAACACGATACTATCGTGCCCCCGAGATCATGCTCACCTGGCAAAAGTATGATGTGGAGGTGGATATCTGGAGTGCTGGCTGCATTTTTGCCGAAATGCTGGAGGGGAAACCGCTTTTCCCTGGAAAAGATCACGTCAATCAGTTCTCGATCATCACCGAGCTGCTGGGGACGCCCCCGGATGACGTGATCCAGACAATCTGCAGCGAGAACGTGAGTGGAATACTTGCTTTATCTTTCGCATCAAGTGTGCTAATCCTTGTAGACTCTGCGATTCGTCAAATCCCTACCGAAACGCGAGCGTCAGCCCCTGGTCAATAAGTTCAAGAACGCGGATCCCGATGGTACGTGACCTTTGTCGATGGAACTCTTTGATTCTCTCGAGCGGATTCCCCGTGATCTATTGGGACAAACGCTGACTGTTCGCAGCCATTGACCTTCTCGAGCGGATGTTGGTATTCGACCCAAGGAAGCGGATTCGTGCCGAAGAAGCTTTGGCCCATGAATATCTGGCGCCGTATCACGACCCAACCGACGAGCCGGTGGCCCAGGAGAAATTTGACTGGTCGTTCAATGACGCCGATCTCCCCGTGGATACTTGGAAGATTATGATGTAGGTGCTCGGTTGGGGTCATTTCTCTTCGTCTTACTTACCCAAATGTGCAGGTACTCTGAAATCCTCGACTTCCACAACATCGACCAGGGCACTGAAGGTGGCCAGGTATTAGTGGAGGGACCCGTCCAGGGAAATCTCCCTGAGACCTTTGCATAGGCATCTTGCCCTGACCATACTGTTCTTGTCTTTTCTTTTCCTTGCTGGGCCCCTAGGGGCTTGGTGTCAAACATATATCGTTTTTTATTTCCCCTTTTCAGGAGCAAAGCTGGCGTGTTTTACTTGTTTTTGGGAGACTTCATTGTCCATAGCTCCTTCGGCGTCTGTCAGAATCGGATGGTAAATAGGGGGAGGCAGATCTTGTCCATGAAGGACCTGAGTTACAATCATAATCTCTGTGGATTCTCTTGGCAAGGATTCATCTAGCGATTCACCGAAGGATCTATACCTTGATTTTTTCTATAGTTGGATGTAGAGTGACCCTCGGGTGCCTGAGAGACAAGGCACCACCGCGGGGCATCCACACCGCCTTCACGCGGGCCAATCAGCACGTGAGCGATAACCCCCGTATCAGCGATTTTCCCCTTGGCCGATCGCGCTGCGTCGGGGGCCAAATAATCAATCACCTTGTTTTTGGAACACCTGAATTTTTGCTCGTGGATTTTGAGCCTGGCGCGTCCTCATCCTTTGCATGGTCTGCCGAGATGGCGGCCTCACATAAACAAGACCCAATTGTGCTGGTCATAGATTTCCACCATGCACGGTGCGTCTCGAAACAGCTCGTGGTTATTCCCGTGGAATTCAGCTGACGGGACTCCTCGACGTCCCTAACAGGGGCCCCGAGATTGAACACTGTATCGGCGATGAAGGAACTGATCCCGCAACCGAAAATGACTGGTCCTTGCTACCGTTCATGGCTCTGTCGGACGGGGCGCATCTGTACGGGCCCTCCTGTCCTCTTCAAGGGGACGCGGAGAGATCCCTTTTCCATGCACAGCTCAAGCTAATCCTTGGCTTGCTTTGTTCTCAGGTCTACCGAGGAATTCTCTTATTTTACGCTCCGTCGAAAAGAAACCCCGACGGTCCCGGCTACTTCTCTGTTTGGTATTGCGTGCTCCCGGCAGATGGACTCCAAGATTCTTATCCATCGCCCGCCCGATGTAACGCGATCAACGGTCCAGAAGGCTGTTGTGGTTGTGACGGATACACCGCAAAGAGTTGGCCAATTGCGCGAGAAGCTCTCCGTGGTGACCTCGGCCTGGTTTGCGCAACGGTATGTTGAACCCGATTATACTGTTGCGGCCACAGGATTGTGTGTTGGGATGAAGAGCCATATACCGCACGCGATACCTAGAATATTGGAAGCTAATATCAAGCGCGAGGGAATAGCGACTTTTCGGACATTGATATTCTGAAGGTAATCTCCACCAAAAATGGGTTGCAACCAATTGTCATATTAAATCAACGTAGAAATTCCGCGAGGGCCTGGTGATCAGCCTGCAAAATGACGATGCCTCCAAAGACCAGGCTCTGGGTAAATACAGATCGGTGCTGGTTCCATTCATCCTATGCTAATCGAATCCCAAGGCCTTTCCCTCCGAGAGATGATCCACGAATTTAAATACCAGACCTTGGTTCTCTTTAAAGCATTACTGCTGCAGCCCAAGGTACGCAATGTGCCACTGAAACTTGGTTGGACTATCTGCTGATTTTCCTATAGATACTCTTTTTTGGCTCGCGTTGTGAACGGCTGTGCATGATTCAATTCTCGCTCATTTCCTTAATACCTGGTCTCATCGACTGCCTCCATGACTGCGCAGATCCCGCCTCTGACAGCTATGCCCAAACGGTGGAGAAGCCAACGTCGCTTAAGACCAGCGACAGAACCTCCTGTGGGTTGAGTTGAAAGCATGGCTGTGTGGGTGACATGCTGACCGTTACAGTGCTGGCATACATGGGTCTGCCTTTGCAGATATTCGGCAGGGTAAGCATTGAACAGCGAATGAGTATTCCGCAATATGGGCTCTCTTTAACGTATTCTCAGGGAAGCATGTTTGGTCCCTATACGCCTCTCCAGCAGCTGGATCTGCTGGCAGATGACGGAACAAAGTCGTATGTGGTGGGGTCAACGAACTCGCTGCTCTTGCAACAGAAGGACCGCTACAGTGATATCTTAATCAACGTGAGGCGCAATTGAACTCCACGCAAAATACTAGACAGACTATCTGACAACTCATTTATTACAGCTCGACGAAGACACAATCAGCATTTCATCCCCATCACTCCGCAATGCCTTGTATCTGTCCACAGCCGATAGGCGCTGGATCGACTTGCTGACGCAAATTGTCAACGAAACCTGGGATGAAGCTCACCCGCAACTACCCAAGACCCACGGTTTTATGGGCTCGGAAGAGTTTATTCGCCTTCAGTTCGAAGAATATCTGCTGGCATTACTGTCGAGCATGAAATACCACGAGGAACTCACTGCGTTCACATCTGGGGGGTCGGCACATCGGGGCAGGGCACAGCTGCAAAATTTTAACATCGAAGGCGACCCGGCGCTCGATTTCAACTCGGAATTCCTTACTCAGTGGCAGAAGACATCCAACTATGCCCTGTTCTCGCGTCTCACCTCGGATGCACTCTTGTTTTCCATCACCGAGCCACGACACCCCAGTGCGGGCGGTCTGACCATGGATGATATCCAGCGCCGCGTTTCCCAGCAGGTGGCCGACCTCCATCTGGATGAGCGAGTGCGCGAGGGCCGAGAGGCACTGAACCGCCACTTTGCAATGGGGCAGAAGAAAGTGAGTGCCGCGTTCAACAGCTTCTGGTCTGATGTCGAAGCTGGACGGGAGGCCCAGCGCAAACGGGGCGAAGAGAAAGTCTCGCAGTCGCAACGCGTCTCCATGGAAAATGACGCCCAGATTTCCTCGCCCCCGGTTTCCTCTCCCGATCCCGCCTCCGATGCCTCCGGGTCCCGCCGCGGAGCCTCCATCGACCTGACCGGGGCCCAAGCCTCGGTGAGCGCCGCCGGCCAGCGCGCCAGCGCATATTTCAGCTCATGGGGGTCGTGGGCTACCGAAAAGCGCCGCGAGTGGCAAGAGAAGCGCAGCGCCTCGCCCAGTCCTCACCTGGGCAGCTCTGCATCGCCCTCCACTCCACCTCTGCCAGCGGTCCCTGAAACAGGCGCCGATTCGGACCGCGGCCGCCGCGACTCTATGCAGGCTCAAAGCGACGAGCCCGACGGTCTCGCGCGCAGTGTCAGCCGCCGAAAGCGCTGGAGCAATATCCTGCTGCGCCGCGATAGCTCTGACTTCGCTCCTGTCCCGAAACACGACGAGAACGTCGCCCTTGACTCTGCGAACACTAACCACGACGGCTCCTATCCCAAGTCTCCGCTGTCGCAGGGTTTCCCTGCCTATGACACCGAGGAGCCTGACACAAAAAACCACAATGCCCCCCCGCAAAAATCCATTGATGTTGCTCCCGTCGACGCTGATGGCTTCAGCACTGTCCCGCTCTCCCCGAACCACGGTCTCGGTCTGACGGTCAAGCCTGCCGATGAGAGCGTCTCTCTGCCGAACCCGGACGCTGATCCCTCACCGGCTGCGTTACCTGCCAATGACGAAGAGCATGCGACCAAGACTGCCTCCGACTCAACCGGCACCAAGTGAAAGAAAGAAACATGACCACTTTCTTTCTTTATTAGATGCTGGCTTGCAATCTCACTCGGATCCAATTTTTTCATTTTTCTTTTGCTCTCCAAGCCCTCTTCGCGTGGCTTCCAAGCATTCTGTCTCTGTACTACAGCATACCCTTTTCTTCTTCTTCTCTCTTCTTTTCTTTTCTTTGGAATTTACTTCGTGTCTATAACACCATCTCTTTCTTGTCATGTTCCTCTGAATAAATATACCCAAGACCATTTATGTTGCATTGCCGAGACTAAGAATCTTGATTCGTGTTGGTCTTTGGATGGAAGAGAAAGAAAAAGAGCGTATTCAAGCGTGCATTTAGATAGAACAAGACTTTTTTTTGAAAAAAAAAAAATACTCCAATACTCGAATAGACACACTACTTCTCAGCCAGGCAAGAAAGAATCCGGGTTATCATTGGTCGGTCGTCTCATCGCTATGAAGATGGAACAGAAAACAGAAGAAATAGAAAAAGAGAAACCGCAACCGCAAGCAATGGGGAAAAAAGATGCCGCTGCTCCATATCTGTCCTTCCCTCCCATAGCCCATCCCGAGAGTTTAGTTCAGCGCAGCCCCCCTTTTTGTGTTCTACCCGCCTATCGCCCCTTTCGCGTTCTCTGCTAGAAGGACAAGCACCTATCTGGGATGAACGGTAGCAAGAAAACAAATGAAAGAACGCAAAAGGAAAAAAAGGGGGGGAGAAGAGCAAGGGAGGGAAAGCAAAGGCGCGGAGAAGGACAGGAGGAGAAAGGATCGATCAGGCGATGTAGGAGATCTCATCTCCGTCCATACGCTCGATATAATCCTTCTCCATGAGGGCTTCGATATTCTTCTTGATGTCCGGGATCTTCGGCGGGAAGCGCGATTTGACCTGCTGGATAACTTCCTGCACAAGCTGGACGTGCCTCATCTTCTTGCGAGACTTCATGATGCGGACGATGGCCGACTAGGGACGGGTTAGAACTTGATGTATCAGAGACGAGAGATAAGAAACAATAAAACGTACCTGGAGCAACAGCTTCCGGTCTTCCTCTATCGTCTTGTGCGTATCATCCACCTCGACCTTTTGCTCAGACTTGATCTGGATGTTGAGGTTGACCTTAATTTTCTTGTTTTTGAAGTTGTAGTTGAGGTGAAAGGTGGTGGAGGGTTCGGGTTTGGCGCCCTCAGGCTCAGCCGTGAGCACCTTGGCCTTCAACAAGATGCTAAGGTTGGGGTCAAGGATTTCGGGAGCGAGAGTGGTGGCGCTTTGGATGTCCGAGTAGGGCATCTTGTCGGTTTCATTAAAGAGCAACAGAATTCCCATCTGGAAGGTCGAGACTTGGAACGTGTAGGGTACCTTGCTGGCGTTCTTGATGTAGTTGGCCTTGATCTCACCCTTGCATAGCTGCCACAGCCATGTCAGCTTGCGGCCGTTGTGCTTGTCGAAGTAAAACTTCTGGAATCGCTCAGCAGTCTTGACAATCTCCGGCGGCGCCAGGAAGGCAGTGCTGGGAGGGTTAAGTGGCCAAAAGCCGGTTCCCAGAATCTGAAAGTGCGCATCAACCATTTTCTTTTGGTCGTCATCATCCAGGACTTTGTCTTGCCAGTCCTTGTAGTTGGCATTCAGATCCTTGGAGATTTGGATGTCCTGGAACATGCGCTGCAGCTTGTTGGTGTATTCAAACCCACAGGCTTCTTTCAGCTTGCTGATCATACTGGTCTCAGCATCGTCAGATACTGAGTTGACATGCACCAGCCGCTTGGCTAGCATTTTGGAGTAAAATTTCTGGAAGACGTCTTTGTCCTCAATGTATTTGAAGACAACCATGATCTGCACCAGCATTTCTTCAAGCTCTGACTCCTCAGCAGATTTGGCTCCCTTCTTCAGCAACGAATCGGTATAGCGGGCCAAGAGCTCGGGTGATTTGGTCGAACTCGACTTGCAAATGCGGTTACGGTTGACGAATTCCCGACAGGCATTGTCCAGAGACCGCACAAACTCAGACTCGCCGTTGAAGGCATCATCGACCAAGCTCTGATACCGCGTGTGGACCTGCAGCAGAGCATCCACGTACAACTTAGGCTCGAAGTTCTCTCCTTCCGAGGCGACCTTCTCGACAGCTGCCAAGCCTGCTTTCCGCACATGGCTTTCAAAGGTTGCGCGGAGGGGGTCCAAGCCATCCTTAATCCGCGACAGAAGTCGGTACATCCGGGCAAGATCCTCCTGACGTTCATTGTCCAAGAGCACCTGGAACTCATCACGAAGCAGAGTCGAGTGGGCTGTCACAAGGACATCCAGACATGTCTCGGTGAGGGGTTTGGTAACATCGGGGTGAAGGTAGAGACCCACGCGAGCCTTCTCTTCATCCAGACGAGCCTCTGCCTTCTTCATGTATTCCACCACGCTGTTCTCTGCAACAAACTGGCGGGACTCGTGCTCATAATAGACCTTGGTAGCAGAGATGAACGGGCGCTGGAAGTATTGCCGGTAGACCTCGAGCGTGGACTTGGTGCTGTCATTCTCATCCAAGCCCAGCGACACAAACGAGTCAACAATGCTCTTTATTTGTGACTGTTCGATAGTCTCCCCATTTCGCTGCTTCTCAATCAAGTTCAGGACCGCGTCCATGACCCTTTCGTGAACTTTCTCGAAAAAGTCATCTTTCCACTTAACCAGGTGCAGAGTGTACACGTCATACACGTTCTTCTTCCCTTCGTCAATCTCACGTTTCACCCAGTGGCGATTGAGATAGCGGAAGAGATGGTTGACGTATTTGGCACCGGTGGTGTAGCGATCCCACTCGCGGATATAGAATGCTAGCAGAGCTTCTTCGGCATGGCTTTGTGATTCTTGATACACGTCATTCAGATGACGTGAAAGGTATTCCCCGAGTAACTTGTAGAGTTCCTCACCGAGAAGGTGGGCTGTATAGTCCATTAGCGGCGTGTTCCCTGTGGCATGGGGTGGCAACAGAACATGGGACGAACCTCCGCGGTGCGCATGTAGGCCTTGGCCGCTGGTGACGGCTTTTTGGGAAGTGCAAAAATTATGGACGGCTCTGTGGACATCATATGAGTGAGATCCCATGAGAGGAAGGTGGAGTCTCGAGAATTAAACGTACGTGTAGAGGGCCATGTACTAGATGAGAGCAACCCTGAGGTCAGTTTCCAAGAAAACAAGCATTTCAGGAAGGGAAACGAAGCATCAACTCCTGTTGGTTTGAGAAGACAACGGATTTTACTTACAGTCTTCATGTCAACGCCATCATCTAGCTTGATCATCACGTCGTTGATACCCCCCTCCAAGAACGACCACCTAGCACACGATTAGCCCACATCACAAGCCCAACCTAGGCAAGGCATCTATATAAACCCGCAACTCACGTATCATCGAGGTCATCCTTGTGGGGCGTTTGCGGCATCGCCGGTGGCATCATGGGTTTGGAAAGGACGGAGTCGAGGGAGGTCAGGGAGCGGTCGGGTCTAAAACAAAAATGATATATATTAGCAAAAGCCCAGAATACCAGAGAGCCATCTGCCAGGACATACACCACGAAGACACGTCAAGACTGTAGCGCCACGAGTGACGCCTTGGGATCTTTCGATCACGAAAGGACCCTGGCCGCCCGGACAAGGAAAAAGAACAGGGGTTCCCAAAAGAGCAGGAAGCAGGAAGAACGAGGAGAAGAACAAGGAGAAGAAGCCACCGGAGAAAAGCGAAAGTCAGAGAAGGACTAGGCAGAAGATGCTGAAGGATGAGGCAGAGCGAAGGCGAGAGAGCGTGGGGATGTCCCATTGGAGCAGGCGGTGAGGCCACAAGGCGGTGAGCACTGGGTTGCTTCGATATGTTCATGCTGGGCGGTACAGACCAAAGGAAATACTATATAAAGAGAAGAGTCAATATAGGAGATATGATTAATCGGTAGGTGCAGTAATAAGTATCATCTTATGGTGTTGAGCATAGCTAAAAAAAAAAAGAAAACAAAAGGCATTGTATTTCAAAGCCCCAAAGTAAGGGTCTCATAGAACCTCGAGCTACAGAGTGAGCCCCAGGCAACATCGCGTGATTTGCTTAATTTAGGAAGAGAGAAGTCATGACCAGGTGAGATGGTAATTGGATCTACATGTTGTGTCTCTTTATTCGCAAGTGCCAGCATTGTTTTTCTCAAGGAGAGTGGGAATGACGTCATCTGATAGAATACCAGCAGACTCGTGCCATTCGCCTTCTCCCCATGACACAAGATCGCACTCATCTTCAGCATGCCTGTACATCCTGTATCCAAAATCCAAGTCAGCATGCGCCAGATCCCCAAGTGGAAGCGCATCCCAAACACGGTCATCCACTCCAAACCGCTGATGATCTACCACGGTGCCTTTGATGCCAGTGCCGCCGAGCTCTCCGCCCACTTGAAAATGGTCGGCGAAGTCGTGCCCCAGTGGGTAAATACTATGTACAGTCAAACTCATTTCCACTCGACCACCCACGAGATCCTTGGCGTGGTAGCGGGTGGTGCGCGGCTATGCTTTGGGGCCGAACAAAACCCCCAGCGGTTCGAGCCAACAGTTCATCGCGGGGATATAATCATTGTGCCCACAGGGGTCGGACATCGACTGTTAGATGATTTGGTCGAAGGCGGAGAACAATTCAAAATGGTTGGCGCATATCCACCCCATAAGGACTGGGATATGTGCTATGGGCAGCCAGGCGAGGAGGAGCAGGTCCAGGGAATCCAAAATGTGCCGTGGTTCAGTCGAGACCCATTATACGGGAACAATGGGCCCATCCTGAATGTCTAGAGTAATCTCTATAAACGTTCGGAAGCAAAATAAGTGTGGTTCAGACGGCCGTTGAAAGTCGTAGAAATCGAGACCATCCGGAAGCACAATGAAGCGCAGTCTTCACTGTGTCACTCGCTCGACAAGCCTGGAAGAATTATATGAGTTGACTGACTTGCTGATTAGATGGAGGGAATATTTACCTGAGAACGCTAATGGCAAACGTCATGAGCCAGGCTAACAGTGCGACCAACAAGACCGATGCAAGTGCCTTTTGCCGCACGCAAATGCCATCGTTACGAGGATCCAGCTCCTGGTTTACCTCTGCTTCAGTACATGCGCCCGTAACTTCGGAGAGAGAAGCAAACGCCAGGCTGAGGTTGGCCGAGTCAAAAACAATGAAGAAGATATCCAGTAGAATAAGCCGCGCTTTGGCCGAAGGAGATCGTATGCCTAGAGGCTTCGACGTGTATTCATCAAATGTGATGTAAACGAGGTAGATCAGGGCGACAGCATCGACGATGATCGCCATAAGTGCAGAGGGGCCTTGCGGGTGATGCCCTTCATCAGACATGTGCTGGATAGATCCGCCCAGAGCCAAGGCTGACAGCGAAAAACACCATACGGTCAATCGCAGGATCATCGGGACCATTGGGCTTCGTAGGAGTGAGTTGTGGAAGCGTTTAAACCAAACCTCCCGGCGCGTGGATCGGTGCAGCGGGTACTCCGGGCTGTCGCCCTCAAGATGCTTGCCTCGCCATGGTTCCGCATAGTCACCTAAATTTTGATTCATCCAATCTGCTGTGACTTGCTTTTCCTCCCGGCCATACTCTCGAGGGTATTGGATGGTGCGCGAGAACGTCTTCCAACGCGATTCGCGATCGGGAGGCGCAGTGTCCTCGAGGAGGCTGAAGTCGTGAGACTGGGAAAATTCGGGCCTGGACGATGCGTAGGGCGAGTGGTTATGCTGAGCAACCCGTGCGTCATTGGGTTGAGAAGGGAGCAGGCGATCGTTTGCAGTCGCGTGTTCTTCATCCTCCTCATACCCCTCGACCGACCGGATCCATGCTATGAGAAAGGCAAAAAGCCTTGTTAGTATACTACTTTACACAACAGCGCCCAAGACTCGATTATTCACCTACCGGGCAGAGTGCGCAGGGTGAATCGTTGGGATCGGGTGTCTTCCCCTGTCAAACCCTCCCGGGTACGGGCAACCGGAGTGGACGACTCCAAGGCACCGTTGCGCAATGATCCAGATTGGGTGTCAACGAAGAGGTTATTGGGGTGTGCATTTACGGTGGGTGAGGGGATTTTCTCTGATAGCTTCTCAGGGAAGATGCGCCCAGCGTGATCAACCCTGGAGCTAGGCATCGCATCCATCGCGACAGGAGCAAAAGGCGTAGTAACTCCACAGGCGTCAATCGATCTGCATTCCGGATCCCAGGGGCTTCCAATGGATTGATGCTGGAACCAAAACTGGGCCGAAAGGGGGAATTCGGGAGAGAACTGAGAGAACGAGAAAACGAGATTCAACATGACGTCTCCCTGGAGCCCAATTAGGCTAAGCTCCAGATCCCTCTCTTCCCCACGCCGAGTCTCCTTCGATCTGCAATCTCCATCCTTCTCCCTCCATCTCTCCTGGTCATTGAATCTCTCGCTAAACATGGATTTGCCAGAGAAATTCCCCCCAAATATGGTTCTACGCGCACTCGCCGATCGCCTCCAAGATCACAGTGGATCTTCGTGTGGCTCTTTCCAACAACCATGTGTCGTATGAGGAAGCTCTCACGGCAACCCTGGATTGTGTGCGCGGTCTTGAGGGCCGTATTTTTCTACCAACAACCAATCCAGCCCGGCGCGAAACCCTACGTCAAAAAGCCTTCGAAAATATGAAACTGTTTGGGGATCCCTCGGTTTCCCCACACCGACGTATTCGACCTACGGGCAAGCTAGAATCTGTGGATTCTCCAGAGCTCCTTTCTCCTGAACGACGGGAATTGTTGAAGAAGAAATTGCTGACTGAAGATGATTCCCCTCCCCAATCGCGAAATGCCTAAATCAAATCCTCGAGCTCTGCGCCTCACGTGTCGAGAACACATAGGTGGCTATTGCTGGTACCGCGAGGAATGGCTGAACTTGATCCCGAGGAAATATTTTCTTTAGCAGAACTTTTTTCCTTTTAACTTGCTTGTGCTGGAACTGACGGAAAAAAAAAGAAATGTAGGAAGACAGTTAGAAAAGAGGTTAGAAATATAGATAGGGAGTAGTGGCGATATAGCACCAAAGGGCTGTAGATCCAATCCTAAGACACCAATATTAGCGGCTCATTCCGTTTCTTCGTTTCTTAGTATATGGATCACACTATCAACCTCCAGCAGGGGTTTAAGAAAGATCTAAGCCTGCCCAGGTGATCTTGTACATCTTATATATCACGTGATATCCAAAAAATTGAGTCTCGTCAGGTGACTCCTGAGGATGTTGAATAGAGTTGCTTCGCTACGCTCCGCAAAAATGGCCCCTACCGGCTATTTGTTTTCTAGTCGCCTCAAGGTGGGACAATATAAGACATGATCCTGATTCTCATTACTCTCTTTCCCTCCGAATCTTGTACTTTACGATAGTTCAAAGACCTCTACTTCTCTTTCCCGCGCGAGTCTTTCCCGCAACCCTCCCCGCTGCTATGCGCCTGTTTCTTATCCCAATCTCGACTCGACGAGCCTTGATATACGCCAGACCACTTCGACGGGACGCTGCAAAGGAATTGTCGCTCCTAGACAAGGCCACAACCAAGGCAGCCCAAACCTGGGCGAGCTGGGAGGAAGCAGAGAAGGGCTGGAAGAAACACCTGGTCAGCTGGGGAAATCGGGTCCAACAGCGGATTCCATTTGAAGAATGGGGCCTTAAGAGCATTCCGTCGCTCAATGCACAGCGGCGGCTGGATGAGACGCATGGCAAGAACAAAATCGATGTATTGTTTCCGGGCAACTCGGTGCGGCTGGACAACATCCCCACTGTATTGCATACCATCGCGACGGAGAGGCAGGATTTGCATCGCAGGAAGATGTGGTGGAGTTTCGGATTTGCACCGATTACTGCGCCTTTTGGGTTGATCCCAGTGTATGTGGCCTCGAGCTTCCCCGGGCGATGAAGTGGGTTGGAGAGACTAATGTCGCTGGCAGAATCCCCAATATTCCATTCTTCTACTTAGTCTACCGAGGCTGGTCCCATTGGCGCGGTTGGTCATGCCCTCTTAGTTTTCCAGACCTGGTTTGAGAAGCTGACCATTGACTACATGCAGCATTAAATGGAGCGAAACATCTAGAATTCATTGTCGACAAGAAGCTTTTGAACCCAGTACCACTACCGGAGCTGGAATCGCTGTATGCCAAGCGCACATCACATGCGCTCGATGATACCGAATTCGAGAAGCCACATTCAGAAATCCTCGAGGACGTGGAGCAAAGCGATGACCGACTTCTCCTGAAGATGCCCGATGCTAAGAAACTGGCTTCCATCTTGGAAGCGCCTGAGCTGGCACTGGAGGCCGAGCGGGCGATTTTCCAAGTCGGCGAGCAACTCAAAGCCCAAAAAGAGCGTGCGAAAGAGTCCCAGCAGAACGAAAAGAAGAACTCATAAGCCCATGAGCTGGTCTGCGCATGGTTCTCGGGCTTCGATGATAGACCAAAGCAATAATAATCCCATGTACCATACATAATGCGAGTGAAAATCCGATATCTCATGGCGACAATTTGAACACAGTTATTAAGATGTATTTCCCGTCGTTTCCTGTGGTTCCTGAGCCATATTATTGAATTATTCTGATCTATTTACCAGGCGGTTATATGTTAGGTCGATAAGCCGTATGACCTCAGCCAACGGAAGTAGGTAAATCCGACTGTCCCCCCATTCCTCCCCATCGCCCCATCTACAAACAGAAGCCCATCCCGTGCACACCATGGCTTCCAAGAAGATCGAGCAATGGGAGATCGAGCGATACTGGGAGATTTTCTCCTCGCTCGCCAATGGCCAGCCCCGGCTCAACAGCTCCCAAGCCGCCTCGGTGCTGAGGAATAGTCGCCTGCGCGATGAGCAACTCGAGAGGGTCTGGGACATTGCGGACGTTGACGGAGACGGGGAGCTGGATTTCGAGGAGTTTTGTGTTGCGATGCGCTTGGTATTTGATCTGGTGAATGGTGTACGTGGCTTTCCCCCTCTCTTCTGTGGGAATCATTACATCCTGACATGGACTGCGTGGCGGCTGCCAGGAACTACAAGACGTCCCACCTGTTCTGCCCGATTGGCTCGTCCCCGAATCCAAATCACATCTCGTTCATGCGACGCGGGCACTGAGCAGCCGCCCGGAGCAGTTCGAGCGCATCGAGGACGAGGACGAGTCCCTCGGTCTAAAGAACGGCTTCGATTGGTATATGAAACCCAGCGACCGGTCCAAGTATGAGGAGATCTATAGCGCCAACCGGAACCACCGCGGCGAGACTACATGTGAGTTTGCGTGTTTCCAGGTCATGTTCCCATAGTCTGAGCAATATCCGGCTGATTTTGCGACTAGTCGAATCACTTCAACCACTCTACGAGTCGCTCGACGTCCCCGACACCGACATCCGTTCTGCCTGGAACCTCGTTAACCCATCTGCGTCTCCGGCCATTAACAAGGACGCCACTCTTGCTTTCCTGCACATCCTGAACTACCGCCACGAGGGCTTCCGTATCCCGCGCACCATCCCCGCGTCGCTGCGGGCCTCGTTCGAGAACAACCAAATTGACTACCAAGTCGACCAGCCGCGTCCCGCCCAGCGCTGGGGTGCCGACGGCAACACAGAAACCCCGACAGGCCGTAAGGGCAAGTTTGGCGACACATATTTGAGCCGCCTGGGCGCCGGTGGCAAGGGCTCGTACCAACCCAAGGGCACAGATTTCAGCGACACAATCCAGGACGAGGAATGGGAGAAGGTGCGCCTGCGTCGCGAGCTGGCGGAGCTCGAGGCTAAGCTCAACTCGGCCAACCAAGCATCTGACACGAGACGGGATCGGCCCCGCAACGACGGCCGCCCGAACTGGGTTCTCATCAAGAAGGAGGCGCTGCAGCTGCTGGAGTATAAGGAGCGTGAACTGCGCGAGCTGAAGGAAGGCGCTGGCCGGTCCAAAGATGGCCAGGATCTGGAGCGACTGGGAGAAGATGTCCAAACTGTTGGCGAGCAGGTCGAGAGCTTGAAGAGTCATTTGGCCCAGCGGACTGGTGTCCTGACAGACTTACGTCGGCAGATCGAAGAAGCTCGGATTCGCCGATGAGTTTTGTTTCTTCGTTCCTTCTTTTTTTAACCTGGTTCATACTGCTTCTGCTTTCCTTTCCTTTTCTGTTTTGTGGGCTGCATTCATGACTTGTCTCGCATGAACCATCTCTGTACAGCCATTTCCCTGGCCAGGAGCTACCGGCGCACAATGGACTTTTACTCTTTTTTCCTGGTCAGAAAGAATCACACATCTGCTATGCATAGAGCGATGAAATACATCCCAATCCATATGTTACAAATGCCTAGGGGATAGCCGCCCCTGCAGATCCAGTAAAAAGAAGAAGAAAGGAAGAAAGATCACAGCAAGCCCATCCCTCCCACCAAAGCAATACTGATTTCAACGCCAGTCGCAGCACACCGACCAGAATCCACACCTATACCGCTCGATGGGACCTTTGAAAACGCCCATGACCACCAATAAAAATACATGGGGGGGGGAAAAGTTGATAAGACAAGTCTCAAGACATGATGCTATCACCAGCATCGCGCTTAGTCTCGACAGCCACAAAAGCAGGCCCACTCTTATCCAGGCCCTTCTCAGCACGCGCATAGGCCTCCTCAGTGCGATCTGTAAGGATGGTGAGATCTTGATCAGACAAAATAGCCGAGGGGTCAGCCCCGGTCTCAAAACGCTCGAACTCGTCTTCGCCGAGGGCCTTGCGCAAGTCATCAACATCCTGGGCGCTGGCAGAGTCGAGAAGCGAGCGGAACTTGCCCTTCTGGATAACTAGGCGTTCCAGGCGGCGCTTGGCATCTGCCTTTTCCAGGAGAGTCTGTTCGACTGTGCCCTTAGTGGCGAGCCGGTACACGATCACAGGCTTGGTTTGGCCGATGCGGTGTGCGCGGTCTTGGGCCTGGAGATCCTGCTGTGGGTTCCAGTCGGAATCGAATAGGATCACTGTGTCGGCGGCGACTAGGTTGATGCCCTGGCCACCGGCGCGGGTGCTGAGGAGGAAAATCTTGTGCTTGGGGCTAGTGTTGAAGGCCCTGATTTGTGCGTGGCGGTCAGTTTGAGTGATACCGCCGTCAATGCGGCAGCAGTTCCAGGATCGAAGCTGCGTAGCCCAGTCTTCCAGGATATCGAGCTGGGTCTTGAATTGAGAGAATATCAAAATCTTGTGTCCCTTGTTCAAGAGACAGGGGATCAGCCGGTCCAGGAGGAGCATTTTGCCCGAGGCCGATACGAGGGACTCATCGAGGGTCGAGGACTCTTCTGTCCAAGGCCAGTAGAAGTTATGTGGAGAGTTGCAAGCCAGACGGGCCTGGAGAACTGGGTTCTGCATCTTCTTCTGTCCAATTTCCTTTTCTGTGAGGTTGTGTTAGTTTGCAGCAAGACTCGCATGTCAGATATCAATACATACTCGCAAGGCTTATCGTTCTGGCTTTTTCAATTTCTTCCAACTCAGTGTCACTGGGTTCGAAGGTTTCCTCTTGTTGAATGCCTTTTTCCAGATTTCTCAATTGAGCATCGAACTCGTGGTCACTGATCTCCTTGTAGCTCTGGGGACCGCGACGTCTGCGAGAAGCACTGCCATTACTAGCCGGAGTAGATGCCCGGCTAGACTTGAAGCTTTTGTTAGGGGTGCTAGTCTCGCTGCTGTCCCGGCTGCGTTTGAGAGTTTGAGAGCGCGACAAAATCCCGTTCTTGAGCGTCAGGCGTTCTAGGGCTTTTTCCTCGAGATACTGCCGACCTGTGCCGTTGAGGATCTCTCGGTAGAGATCTTTCTGTTCCGGCGTGAGCGGAGCGTACAAGATGTACTCTCGCTTCTTGGGCAAAGAGGTCTCGACGTCGGTCTTGACACGGCGAAGGAGAAATGGCTTGAGAATCGCATGCATGGTGGTGACCAAGTTTCTCTTTCGCCGCTCTATGAGGTTTGCCTGGACATTGTTGTCGAGGACGGAGGAGAAATCAAACCAGCTTTCAAAGCTGTCGAGGTCATTGAAAACCTCGGGGAGGAGGAAATGAAGCAGGGACCAGAGCTCAGAGACGTTGTTTTGCAGCGGTGTGCCAGTGATTAGCAGCCGATTGGCGGAGTTATAAGTCAAGAGCTCTTTGATTAGTCGGCAATTCATGTTCTTCAGACGGTGGCCCTCGTCCTGTATATTGGGTAAGTATTTCGTAGGGAAAATCAAAGCCGATATCCGAAGAGAGACATACCACGATGATGTATCTCCACTGATATTGACCGAGAAACTTTCGGTCATTCATGCATATCTCGTAAGATGTGCACACGACGGGGAAATCCATCTTCCCTTGATCATGCATCTTCATGCGATTGCTTCGGATAGCATCTCGCTCGGCCTTGGAGCCGTGATAGAGCACGGTATCGATATCTGGTGTCCACCGGGCAAACTCATCTACCCAGTTGCTCAGAGTGCTCACTGGCGCAGCAATCAAGAAAGGGCCAGAGACATTATTTTCTTTCAAAAAAGCAATCATCGAAATGGCCTGCACGGTTTTGCCCAAGCCCATTTCATCAGCCAGGATGCCACACAGCCCATTCATCCAGAGGGATTTCATCCACTCCAAGCCCTCCAGCTGATACTCGCGCATCTTACCGCCAGTGACTAGACTTGGCTGCTGCGTCGCGACCAGATCCTGTTCACCCAGGGCAGTAGGGTTGGCTTCGTACTCGTTGGCGGCTTCCTCCAAAGCTTGCTGCACCGTTGGATTGTCCTCGGATACTTGGACATCTGCTTTTTGGAAGTAACTCGAGATGGTGCTACCATTGGCCGAAGCGTCCCTTCTCGGCCGGCCTCGCTTGGATGTCGCCGACTTCTTCTCGGCAGCGGAAGTCTCTTCCTCAGCGGGTCCTTGCTTTACCCTGGTTCGGGTCTCTCGCCGCTCTGTTTCGACGGCGGGTTTTTTCTTTGGCTCGGCGGCTGCTTTCTGTTGGCGCTGGAGAGCTGCCTGTCGGGCTTCTTCCTGCTGCTTTTTCATTTTATCCGACATGATTGCAACAAAGACCTATAGGCACAAGACCGAGGTCAGCTCCGCTACAAATTTTCGATCATAGAAACAGAAGAGGCTTACCGAACTGGTTTTCAGCAGGTGCATCAAGGCATTAGCATTATTATCCATGTCCTCGGTGTCATCAACGGCATTTGCCGAGTCATCGTGACCCTCGATCCCATTCCCTTCTCCCTCTGCCGGGAGCTTCGTCTCTTGCTCGGTGGGGTCGGTCATCGGGGAGGAAGGGACTGTAGATTCTGGCTGCATAGTGCCAGCCCGGGAATCCGTGACGGTGGTTGGAGACTCGGCAGTAGACATGATGCCGAGGTTGAGACTGGCCGGGGGAGAGTCTGGGAGCGCGTAGTGATCGATCAGGTTTGCTGGTACGTCATTCCCAGGGATGACAATTTGGAGGCAAAGCAGGTTTTTCCCGAGTTTTCCCCGATCTTCAAGTAGAGCAAACACTCAATGATTGCAACAAAATACACTCGAGTCACACGGAACAACTTGAGAGAGCAAGAGAGGGGAGAGCGCGCGCGTCGCGAATTTTCGCGTTGAGCACAGACCAACGTTAAATGATTTGCACATTTCGCCTACATCCATGGATTCTGGCGCCCTTCAGTTGTTCATTCACCTTGGATCACTTTCGAAACACTAGATACAACTAGCTCACACTCCTACACATGGCCATGTATCATCCCTCTATCACGGACTCTCCTGGGTTGGCACCAGCACCAGCTCGTCGTCTCCGCTGCAATCGGCGTCTGTGGTGCTCATATCAACACATTCTTCTTCGAGGGCCACAAACTCTGAAATCAACCCGTCAACGTCTCCGTAAAAGTGCTCCGTCGAGGGAGGCTGCACAGCACCCGGGCGGTAGCCAGCCGGCGCAGAGATCGAGTCTCGCACTTGCTCTTTGCCCAAGACTCTGGCACTTGCCTTTTCAGCTTTCTGCTGTCGGGACTCCAGTTGCGCCTGCTTCATCTTCCATTGGAATCGGGCCTGACCTATGGCGGGATCCAGCGCATTCAAAGACCATCTTCCCCCAAGAGAGCGAGTCACTGGCTCTGGGGGACTTTGGGGAAGCGACTGAGAAATAGCGACCTCCAACTCACCATGCGTCAGAAAATCGTCCCATATCTTCGATGGTGTCTCCTCGAGGTATTCGGGCGGCGACGATCGATCCGGCGTCGGTCGATGTGGCGACCAGTCCTGAGCTTTGGTTCGGCTTTGCTCGAGTCGATGGATCTGCGCTGCTCTCTCGGCGCCAATGCTCAGGCGGACAAATTCATTAGTTTGACGCTTGGGCTTGGGCACTTCAAGAGGATGCCAGCCCGGGAAGTATTTGCTCCAGTCGAGAATGGGTTCTTCGTCACCACTGTTTCGGATTAGATCCGTTGGGTTAACAGTGCTCCCCTTACCAATGCTCTGGATGAAGTATGTTTTGGCTTCCGTGGCCGGATTCTGCACTGCACCTTTCGTGTTTTTCTCTGTTTCGGAGAGTTCAGGGCTGAGACACAAGTTCTCTTTCCACTCGAACTTCTCCGGCTCGGGTCCCTGGTCCTCGCGTTTCCGGAGCACCACCAGACTATGTCCCCAGTCACCGGCATAGCTTCGAGAGATCCCGCGCTGACGCAAGAACTCCCTGGCTGCCAGAACATCCGCGGCTTGACACATCAGAAGGTCTGTGGACTCGCTCTCCACCATGGCTCGCAAAGTAGATCGCGTGATTTTGCGCAGCACCAACTTATATGGTACGTGATTCGATCGGAGGTCGCTGTTATCGATACGCATGAGGGCCCGGAGCTGCTTGTCTCGCATCTTTTGCAGTACTTTATTTTCCCGCGCAATTTGCTGGTTGCGAGTATCCAGGTACGCCGAGAATTTCTTGCGGTCGTGCATATTGAGCTGAAGCCTGTGACACACGTCTCTCCAGTTAAATGTCTGGAGAAGGTTCTCGACGATTTCTAGTTGAATGGCTGGGTTCAAATCGCTCCACTTGGGATTAGAAATCTGGTACAACATACCACCTGAGGTCAGTGAGATCCTCTGGAAGATCTTCCTTGAGCAGACGCAAAGCCCATAAACTTACTTTGTTTTTGAGCACCTCGGACGCATCGATCACTTCGTCGTTATCACTATCCTCGAGGGCCAGGGTCTCATCGACGCTATCTTCATCCATGCCAGCCATGATCGCCATATTCCTCGCATAGATCGGGTTAGCTGCCGTGTTACTGGCAAGGTAATTGTCAACCACATCCGGAAGAACATGGTCCAGATCGTCAACAAGTTGGCTATTTTGCTGCGCGCGACTGACTTCTTGGGTCTTTTGTTGTGTGTCCTGTCCATTCTGTTCCAGCGCATGGGAATCTTGCGGTAGTCGAGGTCTGTCCAGACTTGGAAATGCTGCAGGTGGGAGGTTAGGGTCGAATGGCACGATCGGGGGCCGTGGTTTCTGCCGTCGCACTCGAACACCTTTGCCCAGCAGCTCCACTGGCTCCTGAGAGCCATCCATGGGATCCTCACGGGCGTTGCGCATCGCCTGCAGCAGTGCCAAGGTCGGTGTCTCGGCTTCTTCGCCATATCGCGTCGGCGCGCGGATGATCCTTCGCAATTTCATGCCACTGCTCATTGTGACTCGCTTGTGGGGAGAACTTTGGGTGTAGGTAAGGTTGACAAGGATGGATGTCGTGTGGGTTGCTGTTCAAGATCGAGAGACAGACTCCAGAGGCGTGTTCGAGGATCAATCAGGTGCTTTTCCTTTGGGATAGGCAACACGCAAGGGAAGGTGAGTAGGTAACGCGCGGGGTGGATGAGTCGTTGCGAGACTTGGAGGAAGACAGGTGAAGTCCGGTGCCTCACTTGAGCTTGCGCACCGTAGTTACAAGGCTGCAAGACTCGAGCTCACCGTTGACGACAAGACCCAGGATTGGGGGGAGAAAGGAAGGGAGTTGTCCGGGGACAGGACAGATCGAGACAAGATGTTGACGCTAGGCCATCTCTCACCTGTCAAGTGTTGTTGAAATCCCACTGACAACAAGCTCGATATTGACTAACCTCGCCATCCTCTTTCCAGCAACACACTCACTCGACCCTTGTCTCTATTGGCATATCACACTGCAATCCAATTCGTCTACGGAATAGTGGGGATGTCTGTAATAGATGGTCCATTGATTCTGCAAGAACTGCAGTGAGCAACGCAAGAAGCAACTTTTTGCTGGGTATTTCCGTTAAAAATCATCAAGCAACAAAGCAACGTAAGAAGAACCACAAGAGCCACACCAACTCCCGAATTTGAAGATGCAAAGCCAGCTCTGTGACAACTCCATAGCCCGATGCTGCGTGTCTCGCAGATAGAAAGAGGGGGAGAGGGACAAGAAGTTTAGAAACGAGGGTGAGGGCGAGGGCGAAGAAGAGGAAATAAAACACAAAAGAAATACAATACAATCCAGTTAGACCACGCGATCCTGGAAGGGAGCCACAGGTTTGCGCTCAGCAAGCCCATCCTCATCACTGTCAACATCCATCTCGCCCTCCGCAATCCCGAAATCACTCTTCCGGCGCTCTGAGAAACTCCGCTTCCTCGTCAGCGGCACAGGCAACGAAGACGGGGGCGCCAGAGTCGCGGGTGACGGAGCAGGGGTGACGGCAGCAACGCGTTTGGCACGTTCGACATCGCGCTTGGCAGCGAGGATGAGCTCGAAAGAAACGAGGATTTGTTTCATGGGGTCCTCGATCGACACACAGAAACGGCGCTGCTGGACCATGGCGGTGGCGTGTGCGGAATCCAGGTTGAGCATGACCATCAGGTAAGCGATGACGACGCCAGCGGAGCGCTCGTTGCCGGATTCGCAGAAGACGAGGACCTTCTTCTTTGGGGCGGACGAGATATGATTGTTGGTATTATTGTTGACTCCTGCAAATGACGCCTGGCTGTCCATGTTCATGTCCATGTCTGTGCCGGCTAGGTGGTCATTGATGCGGCGCACGGCGCGCGGGAATGCCGATATGAGTTCCTGGTTGTCGACCACGTCGACGGCATCGGCCAGGGCGCCGATGTCTGCGGCGGCCTTGTCGCCCGAGACCAGACTTGCCTGTGCATACTGGCGGCTGCGGATGGCGAGAAGTAGGGTAAAGCCTTGACGACGGAGATAGGCCCGGTCGCGCAGACAGGACGACGGACCCAACGAGAGGAAGGGAAGAACGGGCTGCGCTTCTCGGCGCATTTCGTAGCTCCATTGTAGACAATTGAAGCGACGTGTAAACCCGCCCAGCTGGGCGTGGGCGCGGTCGAAAAAGCCTGGGCAGATGAAGTCACCCTCGGCGAAGTCGTGGCTGGCCGCGCTGAAAATCTTGTTGTCCACGATCACGGTGTCGTTGGCATTGGCTTCATCGTCAAGGTTGAAGTATTCCGGTGGAAAGCCCGGGTAGGGTTGGAGCGGGTACCTCGGCGCAGGCATGTATTCCTGGGTGCGCACATAGGGAGCTTGCTCATCCTGGGACATGGGCACCTCGGCCGTGGGAGAGAGAAAGGACATGTCGCCTCTTGGTCACTGATCATGTACCGGTTCGCTTTTTTTATCACTCACTTGGCAGCGTTGGCCGATGGAGGGGAAGAACGAGAAGAGTTGAAGAAAATTCAATCTCGAGGGAAGACGGACCAGTGCTTGATATCACCAGTAGAACATCCTCATTTCACTTGCTCTTGCTGTCGGGGGATTGGATGCGCTGCTTCCATAGAGAGAAAGAGAGAAAGATGTGTAGAGGTGACGAATTACGGACCGTCCCGGGCGGTTCAATGGCAGGCAGAGTCCTGTGGATGGCCAGCAGCCATTGCCTGATGATGCTTGAGCTCTCTGAGGTTTCCAGGCAGCTCCCGATCGCCCGACCACGATGCAATGCCTCAACTGAGGTTCGACTGAACTCACTTGGAGGGGGCTGGATGGGATTACTAAGACCCCGCGGCCTTCCAAGTTGGAGAAACTGTTTATGGACGACCTTGGATATCAGGCATCTACCGTAGACGAATCTCGATGCCGTCATGATGTCTACGAGTTACCCAGACACGCTGGATACCTTCAGTCAGCCACAATCCAGTCCCTGGCCACACTAATACAGTGGTCATGTGATATCGCCTGTCTATGGTAGTAAATAACCTGAAATGCCACATAACCCCTGTCAGAAACTAACCACTATTGATTTTTCGAGTATAAATTGTGGTTTTATCTGATTATTTTATTTTAGTACACTTGATTTTTTATTCGCCATAAATCCAAGGTTGCGGCTATTTGCTGCCGTAATCGCGCAACCTCTCCAGGGCTAGATTGTCCCAAGCCTCCATGACTCACTGTCTCGGGCAAAGAGTCATGTCGATGTATTGAGAGTCAGCCTGACTAAATCACTTCGGGACTATCCAAGGATGAGGCTCTGAGCTCGGCTGGAAGGAGCGGAGATGTCTCCTAACGCCGGCGCTGCTGTCAGCAAGGACCTCAACTCGCCTAAGCACAGCCTCGAGTCTCTGGCAGTCTTGGCTCAACGAAAAAGATGACGAGCAAAGGCCGAGAACTTCGCTGATGCCTTCGGGTTCATGTGGGTGGTTGTCTAGATGCCTTGATTGTCTGATCCATATGGTTATACTTCGTATAGAAAGAATAGAAAACTCTGTAGCCAGACAATATGACCGGAGATACTAGATTTCATTGAAGGCAATTAAGAATAAGAAGAAAAGAAGAGAAAAAGAAAAATCAAGATACAATTGAATCACACACACAAACACTAACAAAAACAACCGGGTATATGAGGCAAGACAAAGATGACAACCCCCACTGGAGAGAACACCGCCGAGCCCATTTGATGTCGTCAACGTCAAGCAGAACGCCGTCTGGTCAAATCTGAAACCTCAGAGACCAGAATTCAAAGAAAAAGCAACCTGTCGAAGCCGCACTCCCTCCCTTTTCGCTTCGATGGAACGCCTGCACGATGCAAAGGTTTCAACCCAAGTAAAGGGTTGAACCTAAACAGAAAGGAAAGGGGATCCCCGATTACACCGGAGGTGCAGCAGCCTGGGGAATGGACTGCGGCATGGGCTGTGAGACAGTCTGGGACTCGGGCACGGGGGATTGCTGTGGGATGGCCTGCTGGAGACCAGAGACGATGCGCTCCAGCTCCTCCAGGCGGCGGTCCTTCTCTTCAACCTCCAGGCGCAGTCGCTTCACCTCATCATGGAGATCTGCGGGGTTCTCCTCGGGCTCTGGAAGCTCCCCGTTGGGAGAATCATGCTTGCGTTTGATACCGGTGGTGGGGAGTGGGGAGGTGCGGACGCCGTCGAGTTCGGTGCCACGGCCCCATGGCATCTCGAGGACAATAGATGGGCCATCATCTGTGTGCATGTGGCGACGACGAAGATGCTCTCGCAGGTTCTCCTGACGCGTAAATCCATTGCCCGCACTGCGGTTGCAATCGGCATAAGGGCACATAAGAGGCTTCTTGGCGTCGGTGTTCTTCTTGTGAACCTCCCGCTGGTGACGGAGGAGACCACCAGAATAGGTGAAGCCTTGGATCTTATCACAGCCCGGCTCGAAGCACTTGTAGGGGCGGTCATGTTTGTCCATGTGTTTACTAGGACCGGATGTTAGCATCCATATAAAAAGACCGGATAGATAGCAGCCATATAAGAGATAATACACTTACTTCCATTCACAAGGACGACGGAAGGTCGGAGGAACAGCCTGGCAGTCTGGATGATCACAGAAAATCTGGCCCTCGGAGTTCTTGGGCGGATCGCGAGCGCGTCGGACCGAGAGGCGCGGGCGCGTTCCCTCGATGTAACTCAGGGGCCCTTGGTCGTTCATTGTGGTGATGGGGGACAGAGAATCAGGGGCAGAGGCAAGGGCGGATGCGGCAGTAGCTCCAGGAGGGGCCTCACTTCGTGGACTAGGATAGTCAGACCCGTCGCCCATACCGTGTATCGACCCCACACCAACGGAGAGGGGAGTTGTGATGGAATGAGAGATACCAGCAAAGACGCGTCGGAGTGAACCCCAGCAGCTCAATCTAGGGGATATAGGATAAATGTATCAAATAGAATAAGAGGGAAGGTGGTTGACAATGGTGGAATAAGGTGAATCGACTTCCGGGTATACAGCGATAGATGGATGGAGAAGAGGAGGTGCCAGGAAAATCAGGTAGCAAGGCATCCGGGAGGATATTTATGCGTGCGTCAGGTGTCCACCGCCACAGTGTGGCGTAGATGAAAAATCCGGAAGAGCTGTTTGCCTCTTCTTCTCTTCACTTCTTTTCTTCGGCTGCGCTGTGGGACTCTCAGGAATGCAAGGTCTGTCACTGGCCCTTTCTATTATATATATATATATTAAAAAAAAAAAAAAAATCATTTATATGCAGGGCCACACCTAGGACATGGCGTCTATTAATGTGTGTCTGCGCCGGCTGAGGGTTTGGCCACTGTATGAACGCAGTGACTCATATCCCCATCCTGCTCTCGGGCAACCCGGTTTTAGGTACCAAACCCACAGGCTGTCAGGCAGCCATTAATCATATCCAAACCTGCTCTTCTCAGGTTGTCTGCCAGGTCGATCGTTGCCACCCTGACAAATCCATGTGGCGGTGAGGTCACGGGATCTGGATCTCCAAGTTGTCTGTCACGTGGTCGGCTGAATCAGCCTGCTGCATCCGGCAGGAGACTCGGGACGAGCTGGTCGTCGTTAGGCTACAACAATTCGGAGCTGTGCCAAGCTCATGAGACTTCGCGTCCACGTACAACCAGACTATAAAAAGACAATCATGCCCATGAAGAGTATGAAGAGTTGGCATAGAGTGTGCTTGGCAGCATCAACCGGGCTATGCAGTCTATCTAAAGAAACTATACTTCTTTGCTAAGCTTGGCAAGATCTTTGAAAAGACAACACCTCTGGTAAATTAATGTCAGCTCATGCAGTACCATAGACGTTAGTAGCGTTGATATATGGATAGTATTTGGGTAGCTACAATGTTAGGGTATATAACTATTGCAATGTATGCAGTGATCCAAATATATACTCCAGATACCCCAGATTCAAACAGTTGAGTCAATAGTAGTATTGCAAACATCGTAAGGAAACAAGAGCCCTTTAGAACCTTAGAACCATCATCTCGCTAACGGACCATGAGCCACAATCTTCAGAGCTTCTGATCGTCCCGAGGAGCGCCCGGTGCCCTGCCCAGCACCCACTTGATCTCGGCAGCGACTATCTCCGGCCGCACCAGATGAACATGATGCCCACAGTCCGGGACATGCACCAGATGCGTGTTTGACGACAACTGCAGCTGCTCCTCCATGAGAACCCTGTCGATCGACTCCCATCTATCCAATAGTTCTCGAAACGCCTTCCGTTGTTCCTCCGTCCCGTTCCCCACCTCCACCCCAGCATGGTAGATCCGTTCATAGTCGCGTGCACTATTACCCCGAATGACACCCAAAGGCTTGTTCCCCATTACTCGCCGTTGATACTGCAGCTTCTCCCCCAACGCCCTACAAACCTCGACAAACGAGTCCGCCTCGGCCTGCGCGGCGACAGCCCCGCGTGCAATATCCATAGCACGCAGCCGCCATTCTTCACGCGAGAGTTTCGAGTCTGCTCGGAGGCCAGTCACCTGTGCAAACTTCAGATCTCCCAGTAGCGCATTTATATTGGGGTCTGGCACCCGGAAATAGTCGCACTGGCGCTCGGTGGAGCTCTCCACGAGGACCATCCCCGCAACGTCGTCGGGGTATAGGTGGAGATACTCGCGTGCAATAATGCCTCCATAGGAATGGGCTACCAGGATTAGTGGCGGGCGCTGGTTTGTCGCTTCCAGCAGGCTGTGCAGGTCTCGCGCAGCGGAGACCGCGGTGGAGGGGGAGGTGGCTGGGCTTGGTTCGCTGCGGCCTAGTCCTGAGCGATCGTACAGTACTTCACGTGCAAACTGGCTGACTAGTGGCTTGACGGCTGTGTAGGAGGATGCGACGTCGCCGGCGCCTGTCAGAATCACTATCAGTGGGTCCTCGGGCATACGTCGGATGCCACTGACGGACATGTAGAGTCGGTGGGTGCCAATCGGTACCATCAACGAGCCTTGGTCGATGGTCCAGTCCGGCTGCCCGGGAGTTGCATTCATGGCTTTGAGGATGGAATCAGTTTTGGGAGTTGAAGTAGGCGAGTTGCATATAAAGACATCGAAGCGGGGCATGCAAGCCCTAACGGCGGAGCAGAGAACATGGGGGCGATTGACCTCAGCTTAACAACAAAACAAAGCAACGCCTTTTACCAGGAGTTAAGGGCATAAATGGTCTCGATTGTTTAGGGAAGCAGAGCTAGATGTCTAATCGATACAGATAACTACTAATCGAGCCCAAGGGGCAGGGTAAATCCTCAAAGTTGCCCAGTACATGGCTACCGGACTCATATGAGCGGAGATCGACAACCAATAAGTTACTCATCTAGGAGCGAACAGAGACCAGATGGTCACTGTCGGTCTCTCTTTCCCACCGACAACCGCAGATCGTAAGAATATCACGGTCTCAATGACAAGGGATGCGACCAAGGGAGGGGGGGGCGGGCTGTCACGTCAGGCAAAGGAGTCAGTGCTCTCCTCACAGTCCAAGAGAACGGTGGTGTCTGGGGAGCAGCCAAGGGGGTCTTGGTCTTGCCGATCCGAAGTCCTGATCGGCAACGGAAGAAACGGACGGGCAGACTCTGGTGGAAAGAACCCTGGTATTTCGTGCGGACTTGACTTCTCCGAATGAAAAGGGAGGACGGGCCTGTTGGAGGTCGCCCTGGGAAACGTGGGACACGAAGTGATCCAATCAGTCGTAGTTGCCGCCGACCTGGCTGGCAAATGCGGTGGAAACACTGCGGGCATCGTCGTCGTCATGAACATTGTGGCCCGGAGCGCCGCGAGTAACACGGATACTGGCAGAGCTGCCTCCAAAGATGCTGCCGCTGTCGGGAACACCACCCCGGTAAGGTTCGCGTCCGCCAGACTCCACGTAGCGCTTCAGCCGATCGGACTGACTGAGGCTGGTCTGCTTGTTCATATCGTTGATACTCAAACCCGCGAGGCTCACACCCCCTTGGTCGACACTTCTTCCGTCAACAATGCTTCCAGTGACGTCAGACTCGGTAGCAGCAACAGATTCCCCAGCAACGCTGGGCGCACCCTTTGCTCGGCCACCGTTGGCCCGGCGTCCTCCAGAAATCGAAGGCCAAGCATCGCCAAAACTCTGGAACATCGGCGGGTACCCAGAGGGAAGGCCAACACCACCAAGGGCGGAAGAGTGAACCGACGAAACATCGTCAGGAATATAGCCGACCACAGAACCCGAGTCATGGAACTCATTGCGATGACCGTTGCGACCGTTCATGGCGCCGTTGTTCAGGTTGGATCCTTGGTTGAAAGACATCTGGAAGCGCTGTGGGCCGCGGTAAGCGTGCTTAGGCCGACTGAATTGGATCAGCGACTCTTGAAGGTTGGACAAGGGTCCCTCCACAAGACAGTGTCGTTCCTTGAAGTGTTGTAACAGGCAGTTCCACAGAGGATGCTTGGACAGCACCTTCGGGTTACCAAGGATCACCAAACCGAACCTAGCTCGGGTGAGGGCAACGTTAAGACGACGCGGATCGCTCAAGAAGCCAATACCCTGGTGGTCGTTCGATCGCACACAGGACAGAATGATGTAGTCCTTCTCTCGACCCTGAAATGCATCAACGGATGCCACTTCGATTTCCTTGTAATGCTCCTTTTTGAAGGTGCCGTTTGCCTGCATCGAACTAACGATGTAGCTCCGTTGTCCCTCGTACGGGGTGATGATACCGATGTCCTTGGGCTGCACACCGGCCTTGAAAAAGCGCGTGACAATCTTCTCGACATTAGTAGCTTCAGTGCGGTTGAGATACGAGGTTCCCGAGGCCGAGATCTCCTCGTTGCCCAAGTTCGACCAGAACATCATGGGGTCGTCAATGATGGGCCAAGGGAAATCAACGTCACGGCGGACACGGTCAGCGATAGTAATACCGTTCTGCAGCGAGCCCTCGTAAAACATGTTCGACGGGAACTCGGACAGACACGGATGCATACGGTACTGGACGTTCAGACGAATGGGAGAGCAGCCCAAGATGACTAGTCGCTCGAAAAGAGACTGGTTCAGACCAGCCTTGGCTGCTTTCTTGTTCATGATAACGGGCCCCAGCTGCTGATGGTCACCAACCAGTACCACTTGCTTACAGCCCAAGACAAGCGGAATCATGCACTCAGGTTCCGCCGATTGAGTCGACTCATCAATCAGAACAGTTCGGAACTTGGATTTGGAAAGGCGAGGATCACCTGCACCAACACAAGTGCAGCAAATGACATCCGCGTTGGTGAGGATCTCACGCTCTGCGCCCCGAGTAAGCTGCTTGAGACGCTTTTCATCCTGGCTAGACAACTCGCCCAACTCCGACTTCAGCTGGTTGAGCTTCACCAACTCGATATTACTGTCATTCATGCGGACTTGCTCGTGCAGAGAAAGGAACCCGACGGGTGACTCCACGTCCTCTCGAGACTTGGCTGTCACTCGCACTGTCTTCAGACCCGTTCTGTGGATTCGCTCGCAGAGCTGATCAACTGCAACGTTCGACGGAGCACACACCAGCACCTGGCCTCCGTTGATCTTGGCGAGATGGTAGATAATCGTAGCAGATGTCACGGTCTTACCAGTTCCAGGGGGACCCTGGATCAAGCTCAGCGGCCGCTGCAAGACACTCTTCACAGCGTTGATTTGACTGCCGTTTAGATCAGGCAACCCCGGGACACTGAACTTTTTGGGAATTTGCGTTTTCATCGGAGCCGCGGCAACCTCGTGACCGAGAAGGCGATGGAAGATATAGCCCGAAACACTCAATTCATCCACTGCAAATGTCTTCATGGCAAGTTGCATGCGGTCGAACGATGTCGATTTCCAGACATAGTCGGCAGTGAAGTTGTGCGTGCATTCCGTGGGCACTGACTTGTGTTCGCCCTTGGCGCGCAATTCAATAGTGACCTCGTCGGACTGGTTGTTGGGAATCTTGATGACATAGCCCACTCCTTCCCACTTCGAGCGCAGCTCACCATTGTACTTGAGACGCATCTCATCACCAACGGCCAACTTGACATCGCCCAGCTCGAGCTTCGGAAGGACAAAACTGGCAAGATGCTTGTTGTTGAGACCGAGGTCCCAACGCACAATGAGCCCATCCTGTGACTGCGACTCTTTCAGCTTGCGATCGTAATCAGCCTCGATTTTGACGAGAGGTCCAAAGATATTTTGGTACTGGAAAGCGTCGTCGTAGCGCAACAGGACCGGCGCAGGCTCATCATCCACCGCTGTGGCCTTCTCCAAATCTTCCAAAGTGGCCTGAGAGTTTTCTTTCCACATTTCCTCCAATTTCGCAATGAGTTGTGGGCTAAGATGTCGCGCTCGGAGTTGTTCTTGATCAGTCGGCGCCCCCACGAGCCACGGGAGAAATGAGCGATCTTCAATAAGCGGCTGCCAGCGGGAGGTGTCCCAGTTCATGTCCTTCGATGAAGGCATCGACGCACAGGGCTGGCGGCAGAGAAGAACAACCACCGTGTCGGACTTTGCCGGAATGAAACCGAGAAGAAAAACGTTCTTGGTACCACAGTTATAGCACTCCAGAATGGTATCGCCAAGTGACGAGGCTGGGTGCAGCTGGACTTCCTTATGACGAGCTCGAACAAGGTGGTTGACAATGTGAGAAGAGGAGGTGTTGCCACGGGCACTGCAAAACCACTTGTTGCAGGAAAGGCATTTCACCACGCTGCTGGGGTTGTGGATGCCACAGTATCTAGAGAAATATTAGCCTTCGCGAGTGGGAATTTAATTAAGAAGCGAAGCACTTACGCGCAGGCATGAGCAGGAAGCTCCTTCTCTTCCTCTGCATTCCCCTGGTTCCTCTGGTTCCCATTAGCGGGGACGCCCACGGTGCTTTCCAGATCATCCTCCTCGAGGATATCAGAGCCCTCGTCTTCGTCATCATGTCGTCGTGGCCGTGCCCTGCCGAGGGCACTCGTATGACCGTGGTCCAGCTCTGCCAAGGAACCCTCCGTCGGGTCGTGATAGGAGCCCTCCATCGTCGATACGGATTCGTCAGGTAGCCAGAAAGAGAGGTGAAGGATTCACTAGCAAAAGAGGCAAAGTCGAAGAAAGAGGCGAATAAACAAGTCTGCAAAGGAATCAAGAGTCGTAACCGAGAATCAAAAAGAGCGTGCAGGACAACCGGTCCTGGGGGTTTCCACTATTCAAAAGCCTGTGATCTCCAGTGTGCTTGAGGGGCAAAGGGAACGAGGATCTAAGATGCAGGGACCGAGGTGAGCTGGGGGATAGAGAAGGCGCGAAGAAAGAAAATACATACATCCAACCCAGCTCTCTGTCACAGGAGCCCGACAAGAGAGCGATGCGATTAGAGAAAAAGTCGCTCCGCAAGTTGCGATTCCCTGGTTATCGGTGGGATCCCACTACGGTGGAGCGGGCAGACCACAAGCGCAGCCCCGGAGTTAAGAAAAAAAAGTTGCGCTGGATTCCCGCAGTCTCTACTCGACGACCCTCGACTGATTGGATAAGATGTTGGTAAGTACTTGACGGGAATTTTTTTTCTAGTGACATACTAACACTTTTTGATAGCGCCGTCAAAACCGGGAGCGTCGCGACTATCTCTATCGGAGAGCTCTGCTTCTCCGCGATGCCTCCATCGCCGAAAAGCGAGCCCAGCTCAAGGCTTCCTTGGCTTCTGGAAAGCCTCTGGATCCCTCAATTGCCGATGACAAAGCTCTTCGGGAAGACTTCAAATATGACGAATCCAAAGACAACACGGATGCCGACATGGACATCGACGATGAATATGCGCTGACATCCGGCATCGTGGACCCTCGCCCACTTGTCACTACATCCCGCTCCCCCTCCGCCCGTCTTGGTGCCTTTGCGAAAGAAATCCGCCTGCTTTTCCCGACCTCCATTCGTCTCAACCGCGGAAATCTCGTTCTCCCGGATTTGGTGTCAAGCGCCAACGCCGCCGCTCTGACGGATATGCTTCTCCTCCACGAACACCGTGGTACTCCCACCGCACTCACCGTTTCCCATCTTCCTCATGGCCCCACAGCAAGCTTCTCGCTACATAATGTGGTTCTGCGTGCGGATATCCCCAATGCTGCTCGTGGCACTGTGTCAGAGAGCTACCCCCACTTGGTCTTCGAGGGATTCAAGACCAAGTTGGGTGCCCGTGTCGTTCAGATTTTGAAGCATCTCTTCCCGCCCCGTGAGCCTGGGAAGATGGGTAACCGTGTAGTGAGCTTTGTCAATAAGGAAGACAGCATCGAGATGCGCCACCACGTCTTTGTGAAGACGGGTTACCGGGACGTTGAGCTGGCCGAGGTTGGGCCGCGGATGACCATGCGGCTTTTCGAGATCCGCGGAGGCTCGCTGGAGAAGGGCTCCAGCGGTGACGTTGAATGGGCTCTTACGCAGTACACAAGGACCAGCAGGAAGAAGGACTACCTCTGATTGTCCACCACATTGCACCACGGTCTTGGCTGCGCTCATGGAAGGCCATGGAGTAGCGAAAAATATTGGTCTTTGGCGTATTCGGTGTTTTACGGGCAACTAAATGATTTACGTTATTTTGTCTCTATACCCAGTTCAGATGCAAATAAAATCGAGCCCAAAATCTCGTGGAATTTAAATATACTGTAGCTGCAGAACGCTCTCTTTTCTCTTTTTCCTTCCCCATAATCGACTCTCGTGTATTTTTGCGCTCCCCAAACGAAATCTCCAGACCCTGAACGACGCAGAAAGCGGGGAAACAAAAAAGCAAGGCTCAAGTAAAGCGCAAAGAAATTCATGTCGATCTGGCAGTGTCTCCCAGGATCGATCAACCAAGTTGCCGTTGCCGCCGCCTCTCAGGGTTGTCCAAGCTCGCATGGTCCTCTTTCAGAAAATCATCATCTCCGTGGTGTCATCCAGGCCCATGTCATCATTCTCCTGGCCCGAGATCACTGTCTACTCCTTGGCTCCATTTGAGTCCAGGTGAGAGGACGCGGCATCCTCGCCATCATCAGACGAGACGTTCTCCGTTCGCCGAACAGCAGCACCCGGACCCGGAATCACCACACTCGGGGGCGCCATGAGAAAGTTGGCAAAAAGGTTGTCGCGCACTTCGAGGCAGTACCAGCCCTCATGGGCAGGCAAGCGATTTCCATTGGGGTCGGTCTTGGGAGGGGGGTTTTGCCATCCGATCGGTGCTCCCACTCTTTGCCAGTCTGGACCTTGAAAATCTTCTTGAAGATGGCCACGGTGACATCGAAGCTGCTGTGCGGCGGGGCCAGCTGGTCGACCGTCGTTTTGCCCACTCGACTGTATTTAGCGAAGGCCGAGTAAGTATGGGGTTCGGCGATTGACTCAAAGATCTGGTGTTTACTGGTCAGCTTTTGTCCTCTTGCGAGGAAATGTATGCTATAAGCCAGTCTTACCGTGAGCGTGTATCTTTCTTTGGCAGATGAGGTCTGGTATGGTCGAACCAAGGTGGCAGTGTAGAAAACGCCCGAGCCCTCGTCCATGTGGATTCGAGTCTTGGCTAAAAGGTTCAAATAAGCATCTTCGTCGGCTTCAGAGATAATGTGATAATGTTGGGAGGAGATGTACGTTTCTGACCCTTCCGCAAGCGTGCAAATGGATTCACTGTGCGTACGGGATAGACATCAGTATGTTGACTATCGATATCATCACAGAAAACGGGTTGGACCATACCAAAACGCCTCTTTCGAGTGGTTGGGTTGGAATTCTTCTGGGTAGACTTGAGCTTACGCTTCTGCTTCTCTGCCTCCAGAATGTTCACCAGGAGATAGGGGTTCTCGGACTTGGGACGGCGAGTCTTGGACTGCAGCGAGTCTTCCAGCCAGTCGTAAGACACGATTTTGACAGTTCTGAGCTTTTTGGCGTCTTGAACTGTAGGGCACTTTCTATTAGTGTGATTCATAGCATGCAGATATGCTGGCATAAGAATAAATAGGGAAGAAAAGAAAGTATCATCATACCTGCCTCCACGTTCTGCTGGAAAGCCTCCTTCGTGGTGATCAGATGCGTCACACGGTCGTCGACGTTTCGAGAGAACTGGCCGCCATTTGCACGCACCCACTGGGGGATTTTGTCGCCTAACTGGTCAAACTTGCCTGCACAGCAGACGTTGATCTTTTGAAAGGTCTTCCCCATGTTCGCGGGTCTGTGCCGTAGCCAGGTCCTTGTATAGAGTTGGAACAGTTCGTGGAAGTTCATGCTAAGGAGCTGCTGGCTCGTAAGAGACGAGAGGGGAGAAGTAAGAAGACACCGATCAAGAGATATCGACCATGGGAGAAATGACTTGAAAAGAAAAACCAAAGAGATTGAGGGGTGTGTCCACTTTGAAAATGAGATGGATGCTATATAGGTGGGATAGGATCCCAAGGCATATGAAGAGCGAGTATAAGGAAGCAAGAAGAACGAAGAGATAAGACAAATATGCAGTGATGTTGGCCATTGATCGAACGGAAAGTGACGTGAGGGTGAAGACTTCATCCCATGCGAAAATACATGAGATACAAATCAAATCAAAGAGTAGCGATCATTGCCGAACACTTTTCGCTGCTTTCACAAAGGCCCTGATCTTCTCAAGATCCTGCGAGCCGCTCGTTTCCACTCCAGAGCTGACATCCAATCCCACCACCTTCTGCCCAAGCTTGCCCAGTTTATTTACCGTGTCGACAACATTGTCCGGATTGAGCCCACCGGCTAGGATTACTCTCAGTCCCTCGTCACTTTCAAGTACCTTTTGCACGCCGGACTCCTCCAGAAGCTGACCGGAGCCACCAGCCCCAGAATCCAGTAATGGAAGAGTATGGTAAGCCCTGCGTGCAATTCCCGTATCTCCTGGTGCAAATTTGCGGATCACCGGCACCGGGATCAAGCTTGCCCATTCTATAGGTTCTGAGCCGTGAAGTTGTACCACGTCAAGTCCCAGCTTTTGCTGTTGAGCAAGAACATATGGCAGTGGCTGGTTCATGAAAACTCCCACAAGCAGTGCACGGGAAGGGTGGCACAAGACAGTGATCGAGTGATCGAACCATTCTGAAGGAGTCGCCTTCGCTATTTGTGGAGAGGGATCACTCGACTGAGCCCCAGGGCGAGGGGTTGACTTGACCACTTGAGAGATGCGTAGGGCCACGTCGTCTGGAACAAGCCGCGACCGGCCTTGAACCATGATAATGCCGATTAAGTCGGCCCCAGCTTGGATCGCGGCTTGAGCGGCTTCTTCGGATCGAGTGCCGCAGATTTTGACCAGCGGCGAATTGGGTGAGGCCGCCGAAACTTCTTTAGCGGACTCTCCCAAAAGCCCGGCGACGAAGGCAGAGGTGTCCGGTGCCCGCATCAGAGCCTCCCCAACAAGGATAGCCTTGACACCTTCCTTCTTATAAGCCTCCACATCCTTGGGACCGGAGATACCGCTGAGAGCACACACGATGGTGCTCTCAGGTACCTGATCCATCAGGCGACTTGTTGTTCCAAGATCGACTTCGAAACTCGTAAGATCTCTGTTGTTGACACCGATGACCTCTGACCCGAGTTCGACGGCAATTTTCATTTCCTCTAGGGTGTTCACTTCAACGAGAGGCTCCATTCCGAGACTGCGAGAGTAGTGGTATAGCCTCGTAAGAAGCTCGACACTGAGCATCTTCACGATCAGCAGGACGGTATCAGCTCCAGCCAGTCGGGCCTCAAGAATTTGATACTCGTCGAAAACAAACTCCTTTCGCAGAACCACCGGTCGATTGGTAAGACCCTCCAAGCTCTGGCGAACGGCTCGCAGATCATCGATGGTACCCTTGAACCATTCGGGCTCTGTGAGCACGGAAATAACGCTCGCCCCGGCCTTGGCATACTCCCGTGCCTGAGCAGGAGCGCAGACGTCCGCAGATATGATGCCCTTTGATGGCGAAGCCCGCTTGATTTCCGCCATAAGGGAAAGGGGATAGTCCGACTGCCTCAGACGCGCAGCGAAAGGCATTTGCGGTGGTGCAATGTTCAGATCATATGCGGCCTGGAGGGAATCTGGTCGCAAAGCCGGGATTTTCTTCTGCTCGGCCACGGCATTTCTGCGATGATCGTAGATTTTCTCCAGGATAGACGCTTTCTTGCCCCCAGGGGCCGCAGCTTTGGGGATTGAGCTACCCTGTTTGCCCTGGTCCCAAGTGCCGGAAGTGAGTTGGAGAAAGTTACGGAACATTGTTCGCCCATGCTCTGTCAAAATGCTCTCTGGGTGGAACTGGACACCCTCCACTGCAAATTCCTTGTGTCTCACGCCCATGATGACGCTTTTGCCGCTGCCATCTTCCAGTTCCGCCCACGAGGTCACTTCCATGGACTCCGGAATTGTCGAATGGGTTCCCGCAAGCGAGTGGTAGCGGGTGACTGAGAGACCGGCTGGCAATCCTGCGTAGACACCCTTGGAGTCATGCTTCAGCACCGACGTCTTACCGTGCAGGATCTCGCCAGTGATATCCACTTTGCCACCAAACGACGAGATGATGCATTGCTGACCCATACACACACCGAATACCGGAACCTTCCCACTGAAATGCTTGATCGCAGCGTTGCTGATCCCCGCATCGGTCGCCGGGTGACCAGGACCGGGACTAATCACCAACTGAGTGGGCTTCTTGGCGATCAAATCCTCGACGGAAACTTCATCATTGCGGAAAACAGTCACCGTGGCTCCCTCCAACACAAGATATTGATAGACATTCCACGTGAATGAATCGTAGTTGTCGATTAGAATGACATTGGAGGCGCTGGCCAGCCGGGCAGCTTTGGTGGGATGGTGGGGGGAGTGGTCGACAAGATCCGCCATGACCGGGATTAGTGACAGGGGGCAAGTTGGCGCTAAGAAATGAAATAATCAGAGTCCTCAACGAGTGCGGATCCCGGGGATTATTATAAGCTCAGTGGCTCTGTCAATTCGTCCTGTCGCTGTCGCTGTCGCTGTCGCAGAGAAACCACGGTGACTCAAGAAAGTCCCCTCGCTCACCGCCCGGCACTAAACCCAGATAGGCACCTGATTGTTGACCTTGCGCGGTGAATATTCTTTTGAAAGCTCCCATTCTCCCCAGCCTGAAGAGCTTCCACTCTCGGTGACCACGCCCTTCTTTTCTCTCTAGTCACCTGTGGTCTTGTCGCCTCGTCTTGCTTTCTTCATTTTGTCTTATGATGATATAATTGCCCTGCCAAATGGCTCCCGTTCCGGAGGCCAATTTCCCGTCCCTGGACAAGTGCTTCTCCGGGGACGTGCAGCTCTTGTAGGTTCAGTTTGATGTCCTTCGAGGAACGGAATTTTGCTCACATGCGACAGATCCTGGAGAAGAGCTTTTCTCTATGCAAATGACACCGAAGCCTACGCCGCCGATGGAGGTCGCATCAATTCCTTCCTTTCGCATCCCGACAGTGTTCACCTGCTTTCCCAAAGCTTGAACCCCTTTTCTCCACCTTCTGCAAAAACCAAATCTGAATTTGAATCCAAAACTGCCGCGATCCATGTTGAAACCAATACTCAGAGCTCTTTCGACCTGAAGGAAATCAAGGCGGACACTTTATGGCTGAGCCAAAAAGCTGGAATTGACGAGATTACAGCCCTTCGAATTGCAGTCTTAGAATGGCAGAACCGCCCTGCAACCCGTCTCACCACTAATTTCTCTGGGGAGGAGGCTACAAGCTTGCAAAGTGCAGCGGGCACCGAGAACCTCCGAGTTTCATTGGCCGGTCCCAATTTGGCCAGCATATTGAAACAAACTGCGCGCGAGGAAAACGTGTCTACATTCGACACAGAGACAAATCGGCGCCTGCGCCTGCGCAATATCTACCTTTCTGAACGAAGCCACATCGTGAAGACATTCCGCAAGCTGCTTGCTCTGTCCTTGCACGATGACATCTCGAGCCGCCCAACTCTCTCCCGGGGCCGCGGGAGTGATTGCAAGATCGCTTTATACAAGCTGGGGGCAACCATTTTTAGCAAAAAGTCGACCGGTGATGGGCTAAGCCAATTCCTCCAAGAATGCATCATTTCAATACGCAGCCGACTATCGGACTTGGAGGGTGATGGTGGCTGGCTTGGGGCAGCTGAAAGTAATGAAGAGACAGAGGATATTTGGAGGACAACACTTGTCGAAGAGATTGTTCACATCCTCCAGATCATGTTTCATCAGCTTCAGGCGTCAGCAGACATTCCGAGTGCTGACTTGTTATTGTCCTGGCTTCGTCTCATGGCTGATTATAGCTTCTTGGAATCGCTACAAGTGGTGGGTGTCTCTTTCGCTAGCACTATGAATTCCGTACTAACTGGAGTCTTATAGCCTTGCCAACAACCGGTGGAAGTTGTATTGCCGCTTCAGGCCTTTGCGTCTTTGACCACTTTGGCGTTCTTGAAACTTTCCCTGTCTATCCCCTCCATTATCAACAAGACGCACCCGCAGCCGAGCTCACCCGCCCATACACCGTATTTCCTTTCCAAAGAAAAGATCTCTCAGATCAATGAGATTCTCCTGGGCGCCTGTGGGGAATTAAACACAGCGAATCCAGCTGCATTTTCCTGGGGGCTTCTCCTGCACACTATGAGAGAGCTCGCACTCAACGACAAAGAGACTCGAGAAATGGAACAGTTTCACAATGCCGTGGACTCATTCCAGTCGAACACGCACAACGCAGGTCTCTCCCGAGGTTCGGAACAGTCCCTTTATGAAGATCTACTTGACTCTGCTCGAACACCGAAACACACTGTTGACGACGCGATTCCGCTCTTCACATCCGACACAGTCAAGGAATCAGTGTTCGGCGCCATTATCACTTTGTCTTCTAAGTCTGGATGCATGTCAGCAATTGACGATGGCTTGACGAACCGGTGGGTGCGCTTGGCACTTCTCGATCTCATTCGAGTTGCGATAGTCTATTTGGACTATTCGCCAGAGATGGTCGAGTCGGTGCTGGCCATTCTCACCGGTACTTCTCAAGAATTGTCTTGGGATTCCGCAAATTCCCTAGGAGCTGCGAGCGACCCCAAGTCAGTCTTTGCCAAGGACAATTTATTGATGGACAATATTTTCCGCATTGCGCGGTCTCGATTCCCTTACGAAACGGTTCCGTTTCTCAAGCTCTGCCGTGCTCTGGTGAGCCGCCATTCACTAAACGAGGATGGGCTTCCTGAAATCCTGGATGAATTGGAGAACATGGATACCTTCACACAAGTCGTTTCACCGGCTTTCCAGGGGTATGAGACCATTCGAGAAGATGAGAACGCAAATTTTGTCTCCTTAATGCAGCCTTTACCAATGTTCGAAATCGCCATCCGCAACCGCCTGCTGGAGAAGGAATCGACCAATGCTTTGATCGTCAGCGGCTCCTCTGAGATCCCCACGACTACAGTTGGTCAAGTCATCTCCGAATCCAAACCCGCGGTAATTATGTGGCAGCATCGATATTCGTGCTTGAGTTACCTCGGAAGTTGGCTGGAAGAATGGAGTGAAAGTGGCCAGCCATCCGGGTGGCACGATGATTCCGGTACAGAAGTCATTGGACTGCTGGCGGATCTTATAGCCAACTCCAAAGACCACAGGGCACAGAGCACCACCGGAGCAAGCGGCAAAAGGATATTAGAACTGGCCAGCGACGGACTGTCTCAAAAAGGGGACATTATTTCAGTGGTCCTGGACGTCTTCGAGCGCAACTTGCAGAACATTGGATCCCGTGGAGATATGGGCAAGGCATTAGACCCAATCATGGCATGCTTGCGGTTTATCCAAGAAGTTCTGAAGATTTTGCCCAGCAGAATCTGGCCTTTCTTGGGACGCAGCAGTTTCATTGGATCCGATGGCAAGGGTGGTTTGATGACCGCCATCATTTCGGCAGCAGAGATTCCCTCGGGCGAGTATCCGTTCCTGCTCACATGCGTCGAGTTACTAGATGCGATTGTCGACGACGCGGCATCTCGCGCAGTATTGCGAAGAAGCCCCGGCAGCGTGGCGGGCAAATCAACAATTGCATCCGACTGGAGTGCAGGCATTCCTTCCCACATCATGAGGACTGTTCTGTTAAATCTCATCCGGACCATGGTCGAGATCTTCAATAGTAATGGGAATTGGAGGTTCAATTTACCGGAGCAGCGATTCAAAATGAATGCGATGCTTGCGAACTCTTTTGAGCGGGTTCTTTACTACGCCTATGGGATCAACGACACAGCGAAACAAGACTCGAAGGTCACTGGTGTCTTCTCTGCCTCGGCAGCGTACATTCTGGACCTGCTGCGACCTCGGTCAACCGCTGATCTGCCTTTCAACCCAATTCTTCGGTTGATCTCGGACGGTCTTCAGACCCCGCCAACGCTTCATTTCAGATACCTGAACTTGGTAGAAAACCAAGTCAACTCGACCCTGAGGCTTTGTATCAAGCTGGTGCAGTCGGCGCAGCTGACAGAGCAATCAGGTTCCCTCCTGGAAGAGCAGTTGTTCAAGGCTGCTCCGGTTCTCATCAAGCTTTATGCATTGCATGATGCCTACAGGCTGTCGGTGGTTTCGTTACTTGAAATTCTCATTTCTAGCGCTGCTTCGGATCCAGACAATGAACCTCCTTCCCTTGTGGGTCATCTCGGAGCCGAGTCATCTTGCCTGTTTCTGGATGTGCTGTCGCAGCTGGACAGACCGCTTTGCGACAAGCCCCTGCTGCTATCAGTATGGAAATTGCTGTCCACTTTTGTCAGCAAACGTCAGCAGTGGCTGGCCGTATTCATTCTCACCGGAGCATCCCCTCGTCAATCTTTGAAGAAGGCAAGTGCATCAGAAGGCCCGAGCATGAGAGGCGTGCCATTCTTGCAGATGGCACTTGACAAACTGTCGAACATCGATCAAGAGGAGCCCCAGGTAGCGCTGGCGTTGTTGCAATTTGTTTCCCGAGCCCAAGAAAACTGGCCCTGGGCTACTCCACAGCTGAGGAAACACCCTCAATTCTTCAACGGTGTGGTGAACCATGTCTCGAAACTGAAGATTTCATCCTTGCCCGTGATAGATCAAATTTATGCAACGCGGATTGCAGCTGTCGTTGCCGACCTTTGCGCCGTATACCTGCACTCGGCTAAGGAATCCAATGACCGCAGCTTTGTCAAGACACTCATTCCATTGGTGTCCTGGTATGGCAAGGATGCTGTTGAAGTTTCAGCCTACAATGCCTCGTTGCACGCGAACCTGAAGAAGAACTTCGAGATGCGATACTCGGGCTGCACAATCCTTGATTTCAAGAGGACACCGTTGGAGGCACGTACCCTGGGACGGGACTACTACTATGATCTCAGCATGGGAGATAAGTTGCTTTCCTACGACTTTGCTTGGGCTGGAACTCGCGGCCAGGGCTTTTCCGAGGAGTTTGAACGGGCCAACATCAATTTGTCTCTTGTCGAAGCACAAGTGGTAAGTTTCTATGACGCGAAATTTATAACAGCTTAGTCCATACGTCTAATCTCCAGCAGAGCCTCCTCGGCAGTTGGAAATTCTTTGCCATTGAGCATTGCGCCGATTTCATGCCCGATCGCGAAATCCAAAAGTCAATGGCAGTGGTCGCACAGAATTGCCTGGAAGCCAACACGCGGAGTGTGCCACCGGAAACCATTTTTACGCGCATCCAACAGGTGCGAGTGGAGTTCGCCCAGGCTCTGCTTCAGCGGCTGGTTGAGGTGGAAGCTCGAGGTGCCGAGGCGTTCAAGCTGCTCGAGGTTGTCTGGAAAGCGCTGCGCGCCCGGCATCCAACTTATGAAGATGCCCTCGTCAATGACGACCTCGAGTATTACCGACTGCTCCTCAACGCGCTATTCCTTGCTCTCCAATTCCATCTTGACGGACCTTCACGCACCGCCCCCGAGACCCTGAGCAAGAAGGCTGAGATTTCATCCGACCTGACCTTGGTTGTGGAAATTGTGAAGACTGTTGTCGCGCAGGGCTTCAAATCACTCACCACATATCTGCATGACCAGCCGGAGAAATGCACCCCCAAGGACTTTGCCATCATCATCGCCATCCTGCAGACTTGTTTGCAGGTGAAGAACGCCGACCGGCTTTATGAGCATGTTGTTTTCCACATTGAAGACAACGAAACTGCTCGGCATGCGACCACGCTGTTCTCCTGGGCCGACCAACTGGCCGTGGCTGGCGACCCTGTGTACGGAGAGCTCAGCATCTCGGTGCTCGTCAAGCTGTCGACTCTGCCCATGCTCGCCGAGCACCTTGCTGTTGAGGCAGTCTTAATGAAACTGTCGACATGCCGCCTAACCAATGTTCTCCGCCAACCCAAAGGCTTTGGGCCATTCGACCCTGTCCCTCGACTGTACACTATTTGGACCGGTGGCTTCCTTCCTCTTTGTCTCAACCTCCTCTACAATGTAATTCGAACCGCGCCAGAGGTGGCTGCTTTCCTGAACCAATTCGACCGACAACTGGCCCGCACGGCGGACGCATTCTCCAGCGGGCATACCACCACTCCGGCGTCTCCGTCTCGGTGGATCTGCTTGGGAATGGCCTCCGAAGCCTATTCGCTGGCGCTGATCTCATTCATTCTGGACCGCTTCCGCGAAGCGGGTCCCAGTGCCGGCGTCGACGCCCAATCTATTCAGGAACTCAAGTGGGACAAGGCCCAAGTCAAGGAAGATATCGAGGAACTTCTGGGACGCCGTCCGGCCTTGCGCAGTCGCATCGTGGCTACGACCGAGAAGGAGGCTGAATGGTCTCGACAGAAGCCCGTCGACTCGAGTTCCGGGGCTGAAAACCGGTTGGAGGAAAAGATAGTGGGCGAGTTGAAGGCAACGGTGACCTGTTTGGGCGGGGAGGAATCATGATACTCATGTCTTTGTAGTTGAGACCATTGTTCTCTCTTCTTTTTTTTTGATTTTATTCTTATGTATTCTGGGTTGGTCGTTCTGGGATAGGGGTAGAACCATTTCCCGTGCATATTGGGGTCAATGGAGCTATTCACATTTTATGAAATCTCGTCTCCGCCTCGAGGAACTCCGAAAGGTGTTCTCTGGATATACATCATTGTTCAAATCCTCGGCATCAATCCTGCTTAGTGAGGAAACCCGAGCGCCGAATCACCTCGGATCTCCCGCAAGGCATAGCCGAATATGCGGGGATGGCTTCTATGATGAACGCATAAGCAGACGGAGCCCCTAGGGCCATAAGACTGACTCGTGTTGTCAGATTTTATAACCTGGCCTGTTTTCTTTTCTTTTTCTTTTCTTATCCTCTCAATTTGGTTCCTTGAGATTCAATTGTTATTGCGTTGACTATAGTAACAATTTGTGCATATACATCCTATCCGCCATGCCATATAAGTCGCGCTGGACAATTGATGTCCCCAACACCCACCTGGCATCGATCTTGCTTACCTCGCCCACAGCGCCGCTGTCCAAGACACACCGATGTTTTTCCGAGGCCGCACGCCCGGACACGCATTACTTCAGCACGCATGACTTCCGGCTCTGGAGCCAGCGGTTCGCAGCGGGCCTGCGCAAGTCAGGCCTGTTAACGGGCGACCGGGTGCTGCTGTTCTCGGGCAATGACCTGTTCTTCCCGGTCGTCTTCATGGGAGTCATCATGGCGGGGGGTATATTCACGGGGGCCAACCCTACCTTTGTGGCGCGGGAGTTGGCGTACCAGCTGCAAGACAGCGGAGCAACGTATCTTATCTGCGCAGCCTCGAGCCTAGACACGGGCATCGAGGCGGCAAAGCTGGCAGGCCTAGGCCGTGAGCGCGTCTATGTGTTCGACAACGCGCTCTACGACGGCGGCGGGCGCGGCCAGCAGGGCTGTCCGTACTGGGGCGAGCTGGTGGCATCGCCGGCAGAAGGGAGCTGGTTTGCATGGGATGAGCTGGCGACACCAGCGCAAGCGGACCGCACGCTGGCGCTCAACTACTCCAGCGGCACGACGGGGCGGCCCAAGGGCGTCGAGATCTCGCACAAGAATTATGTCGCCAACATGCTGCAGCTGGACCATCTGGCAGCTTTGCACCCGGAATACGAGACCCGTCGCCAACGCAGCCGCTGGCTCTGTTTTCTGCCCATGTACCATGCTATGGCCCAGAACATCTATATTGCGTCCGCCTTGTCCCGGAATATCCCTGTCTATATCATGCCCAAATTCGACTTTCTGCAGATGCTCGAGTATACCCAGCGATTCCGCATCACACACCACTTCCTCGTGCCGCCCATCGTGGTCTTGTTGGCTAAGCATCCGGCTGTCAAGAACTATGACCTGAGCAGTCTCGAGGTCTTGACGAGCGGTGCGGCACCGCTGGGTCGCGAGGTATGCGACGAGGTCGAGAAGCTGTGGCCCCCAGGGAAAATCAATGTCAAGCAGGGATGGGGCATGACCGAGTAAGTTGAGGAGTATATCGGTTGTTAAGGGAGGAGGGAAGAAGTTTTGGACCCGACGGGTATATATGGCCATGGGAATTGGAGCCTGGGTTAATTCGCAATTCTTACAGGGCTACCTGCTCCATCCTCGGCTGGGATCCCATGCAGACCAGTACATCGGCCTCGGTCGGCGAGCCCAATGCCAACTGCGAGGCCAAGATCATGGCCGACGATGGTTTCACGGAACTAGTGGAGCCGAACCAGCGCGGTGAGCTGTGGGTGCGCTCCCAGAATATCATGAAGGGCTACTGGCGGAACCCCGAGGCCACGCATCAGACCAAGACTGCTGATGGATGGCTGCGGACGGGCGATATTGCCTATGTCGATGACCAGGGCAAGTTCCACGTTGTGGATCGCATGAAGGTGTGTATGCCGAAGAGTGGAGCTCAATGAACAAAAGAAAAAGAAAAAGAAAAAGAAACTAAAACAAAGATCCCGCAGGAGTTGATCAAGGTCAAAGGCAACCAGGTGGCCCCGGCAGAGCTGGAGGCTCTGCTGCTGGAGCATCCAGCTGTGGCCGACGCTGCCGTCATTGGGGCGGCCATGTAAGTCTTTTCTCTGTATTTCTTTTTTGAAACCCTTTCAGTGATTCTTCAATTGTGTTGATTATGTTGATGTTGATGTATTCTGACTTCTTTAGCAACCACGACGAGCGCCCGCGCGCATACATCGTCCTCAAGCCTGGACAGACCGCCACGCCGGCCGATATCACCCAGTTCGTTGATGGCAAAGTGACGGCGTTCAAGCGGATTACCGGCGGCGTGGTATTCCTCGATGCGATCCCGAAGAACCCCTCGGGGAAGATCCTACGCAAGGTTCTGCGCGAGCAGTCTCAGCGGGAGCTGCAGGGTAACACGGCCAAGCTCTAGTCTTTTTTTTTTTCTTTTTGATTGTGCATGTCTAGAGCCTTGGAAGCACTAGACAAGACATCCTAGATCCAATCGGATCAGACTGATTGTGGGACCGCAAGAAAGAAAGAGAGTGTACATAAGAGAAAGAGCAAGATGTCCTGCAACCAATTGCCTACAGGCAACCATGACCAGCCCAGCTGAAGATCGGCGTCCATTTGTCATGATCGACGATACAAGGATTTTCTCCGCAACCACCGCCGTGGCCATGGGTCGCCATCCTGGTGGATGCGGTGTCATGGTGGATATCTGTAGATGATTTTTTTTTCTTGATTTATCTTTGAAGCCTGCTCTGTATCTGTGTGGCTCTATGTTTTCTCAATCTCTATATTCTCTATGTTCCACATCCAGACCCATCTCAGACTGTAGATCTCCGGCCAAAGTGGCGCCAGCTGAACTGCGAACTAAACGAACTAAACGAACTAAAAACCACCAAAAGCCGAAGCTCGTGGCTGACGCCCAGCTGGGCACCCCCACTGGAGGCAAGAGAGTCTCTCGAAAGTTGTGATCGATCCGATCGCCTTCTTTTTTTTTTTTCTTTCTTTCTCTTTTGCTTCTTTAGCGAACTATCGTGTCACTGTGATGATCGCGGGGTTATTACTATTACTATTTTTTTTTCCCTTCTGTCTTTGCTTTTACATGGTGGCCTAGTAACGGCGAACTGTATACTTCCAATGTGCCCGGCTCAGACCTTCCCCCGTCATCAAGCCCTAGAGGATTTAGTTCTCGAGACTCTAGGCCGCCTACGCTACTCTCAGGTATCTACTTGCGGCAAATGAGTATATAGTCCTGCTCACATCCCCCCCACCATGTACTGTAGTCTCTTCCCTCCCTTCCCTGCCTCCCCCACTCATCGTTCTATCCGTGTACTCCGTTCAACCCTATCCCCGTCAATACCAGTCCCAAGTTATACATTGCGCACGTCTATCTATCACGCCAGACTCAAGCGAGAGGCAACTCATCTTGCAGTCCGCCGGGATTAGAAACAGGGCCTGCTATGAGCGCGGCGAAACACTGGCAATCCTATAATAATCAATTGCGACTCCCAAGAAGCTGACCGCAAAACCCATTCTCTTGAGTCCATCATCTATCTTACTTCAATACATTGCCACCAGCCAGACCAGTACTTCTCTTTCTCTCTCGCCTAAATCAAGTCCCAGAGCCAATCCTTCCCCTCCACACAGTCCACACATTCAGTCCCCTAGTTCTTACAGAACTCACGAATTCATTCCCGAGAATCAGCGAACCTCCCATTTACTCTCACGCCATGGACAAGAAGTCCCAAGACAAGCCCACAGAAGGCTCCCCACCGACCTCAGCCAGCGATGTGTTGCGGCCCCTGTCGCAGCACGCCGCCTTCCCGAACAGCGGGTCCGTCGCCACTAAGGCGCGCGAGCAGAGACACAGCCCCGGGCCGAGTGCCCACTCGAGCAACACGACGGGGACGGGGCCGCGCGCAAACTCGCCGAGTGTCTCGCATCCCGTGAGCCATGACACGGCAACGACGTCGGTGCAGAAGCGCAGCGAGTCGGTGCAGCAGATGCATGAGGTGGATGCTGATGGGGTGCGGACCTGGCGGCGGTTGATTGTCGAGTACCGCTAGCTTGCTTTATGTTTTTGTTTCTTTCTTTTTGAATTTTCCCCTTTATTTTCTTTTCTCTGTCCCCCTCTATTTCCTGTCCCTCCTTGATTTGTTCATGATATCCCGGGTGGTGGTGTGTGTGTTTTTTTTTTTGGCCTATAGATCTGCTTAGTAAGAATTGGGAATGGGGGAGCCTTTGAACAGCACATGCTCATCCATGCAAACAAACCCTCGTCTACTCTCTCTATCTCTCTCTTTTCCTCTTGTTTCATTGAATAGCACGTCAATTATGACTGTTACGGCTTTCCCATCTGAGACCTCCTCAGATTTCACCCTCCTCAACGTGGCCCGACTTTTCACAAGGCTCGAACACAACCTCCTCGCCCCGGGCGCCGAGGTGTCCTTCCGATCTGAGTACCAGCGCATGCGAGTAACTAAGGTAAGGAAGAGAAGAGAATCTACAATTACATATGTACATCAAAAACAAAGTTACGTGATCTGACAAACCCGGTCTTCTAGAATGTCGAGTACGCCCGCACGCTCCTCACCCAGCTCGAACGCTCGCTCCCGCAGCTCAAACCCCTCGACCGCAAACACGAAGCGCAGACGGAGATCGCGCGCGACCGCCAGCTGCTGAAGCGCATGCAGAGTCTCCTAGAAGAGGCGGATTCCCGGGGTGCCGAGCCAGAACTGGACGACGAGGACGAAGATGACGGAGATGGCGAGTGGCGGGAGCTTTTAGCTCGACCCATCGCAAAGGAAAAGGTTATGTCGGGATCACCTACGACACAACAAGACCAGAAATCTCGCGCACACATTGGAGACGACATAAAAGGATCAGAAGCATCCGGAACGAGAGACGTTGACACTACGGCGAGCACTACAACTACAACAACTACTCCCTCTACGACGACCACGACTACAACCCCAACAGCTACAGCTACAGCTACATCCACAGCAACAACCACTTCATCCACACTCCGAAACCGACACACACCACACGACCAACCCACTCCGAACCCCACAGCCACCACAACAGCAACAGGAAGCAACACCTCCAGCACGCCTCACGAACCCAATACCAAACTTGGGTCCACAGAGCAGGCGCTAAGCACGCAGCGCCTAGAACAAGAAGACCTGACCAGCTCGCTGCTCTCGCTGGCCTCGCAGCTCAAGGCGTCGTCACATTCGTTCCAGAGTACGCTGGACGGCGAGAAGTCGGTGCTGGACCGCGCGGTGCACGGTATCGACCGCACGAGCGCGACAATGGAGGCGGCGGGACAGCGGATGGGGATGTTGCGGCGGATGACGGAGGGCAAGGGGTGGTGGGGGCGGATGATGTTGTATGGGTGGATTTTTGGGCTGTGGGTGGTTGCGGTGTTGATTGTGTTCTTGGGGCCGAAGTTGCGGTTCTGAGGTTTTTCTCTTGTCCTTTTCTTTCTGCACTGAACATGGCATTCGAAGATGCCATGTCTAGATACCCTGATACCCTTGAAATCCTTACCAATTTTTACCCTTTACTGGACTACACTTCAATATCTCGCAAAGAGGTTCATTCCTGAACTCTGACGATGACCCAGACCTGGCATGACACATGAGAAGAGACATGATACTCCGCGCATCCTGTCATTTCCCCCGTGCCCAGATTGCCCGGTTGGTCGCTCGACGCTTCCAACGGACGCGAGACCAAGGAAATGAAGGGGACGGTATGGTTACATACAAAACCAACAAAACACACAGATGAGAGGATATCCAGCATTCAAATCAGACAAGAAAAAGAAGAGAAAAAAAAAAGAAGAGAAGAGAAGAGAGACCCGCTGCAGAGGCGAATCATAAAGGGGGGCCTCCTGGTCTTGTGCCGTGGATATCAGGAGGGAAAAAAAAGAAATGGAAATGGAAGTAGAAAAAAAAACCGGCTAGAGATCGTGTCAACGGGGTAATTAAAGAAAAAAATGAAACAAAGAGAAAGATGGAGAGAACGAGAAAAGAAAAGGTCAACGCCGGAATCTGGGAAAGGAGGCTTTTGATCGCGACGGGGACATGCCCGGCGAGACCTGATTACAAGCCATGAAGAAAAGCATGCGATCTAGTATCAACTTCGTCACCCGCGAACGGCAATTCATTAGATCAAACCGCAGAGTCGGAGGTTCTCTTGGATGATGATATCTAGATAGCGTGTTAGCACCCATATCTAAGCGTCGAGAGATGTGAGCAAATTGAAACTTACCATTGACGGCCGCCATGACAAACCGAATCTGGGTGGTGTCCGTGGCACACGTGAAGTGTGTGTAGATCTGCTTTTGCTCGGCCTGGTTCAGAGACACAAAGCGGTTGAGGATGTAGTCGCACGCGGCGGCGTAGTCGCCACCGCCCTCGTAGTCGGGAAAGTAGTTCTTCATCGGGCTGGCCGGCAGCTTCTCCTTGAAGCGGTCGATCTTGTTGAGGAAGAGAATGATGGACGTCTTCACGAACCACCGCGAGTTGCAGATCGAGTCGAACAGCGTCAGGGCTTCTTGCATGCGGTTGACCGTCTCATCTTCGAACAACAGCTGGTCGTACTCGGAGATGGCCACCAGGAAGAGAATCGTCGTCACGTTCTCGAAGCAGTGAATCCACTTCTTCCGCTCCGATCGCTGACCACCGACATCGAACATGCGGTAAGTCAGATCCCCAATGATGAACGTCGTCTCGGTGATACCCGTGGTCTTGACACGCGAGCGGAGGACATCCTGGTCGGTGGGAAGATAGTCGGGCTGTGCAATGCGCTCAATGGCGTCAAAGTAGCTGCAGGAAGGGTCAGAATGGGAAGTCCGTTGCGATCGACAAGAAATGACAAAAGGCCACTCACTATTTGGCGGAGTCGTTCAGCTGGTACTCGCGGGACCGCTTGAAGCACTCCTGGACGCCCGTGTCGCGCCAAAGGGCCCCAATGGCGGTGCCGACCTCGGGCGGGATGCTGTCACCCTCGATTTGAGCGGGCTGCATGAAGATGGTCTGCACGTGGTACTCGTGGCGTGCATCCTCCAGGGGCAATTCGAGGGACTCCATGGCCTCGAGAATGACCCGCATCGACTGCACCGTGTTGCTGTAGATGATCTCCTTGAACGACTCCCGTTCATCGCGCGAGTATCCACCCTCGTGGATCAGCTTCATCTGCTTGAGAATCGTCGACTTGCCCGACTCTCCCGCACCTGTGCCGCCGTCAGCCGACCGTCATAAGAGTCATTCCTTGCCAGAGATCGATCATACCGAGGAGCAGCATCTTGATCTCATTCCGTTGCATCATCTTGTCGCGCTTGAGCTGGTTCTCAATCTCCTCGTTCCGCGCCTTCCCCTCCTTATCCTCAGTACTCATACCGCAACCCATTTTGACGGTGGATAGACGTAAAATTAATAGTAAAATAAAGGTAGATGGACAAGCCGATTCGTAGGGCTCGGGTTCGAATGACAGGGACTGACAATGCAAATAGATGGTTAGCAAGCAGAAACGGTTTCCCCGATCGCAACTTGGCGCCTGTGGTACAAGGTCCCGCAGGAGAGAGAAAGAGTCGACGTTTCAAAGGAGAGAAGCAATCGACGCAAGGAGAACAATTTCCCACGAGAAACCAGGTGCAGGTTTTTGGGGGCGGAAAAACCACTTACTCGACTGAGTCGGGGAGGGGGATTCTGATGAAAAATAAAAGAATGCAAAGAAAATCTCCCCAAAAGGAACGCAGTGAAGTTCACACAAACCCGACAATCTGGAAGAAGAAGAAGGGGAGGCTGGAGATCGGTAAGGGGGGAGGGGAAATTGAGTCTCAGGTTAAGGGGATCCGCAGTACGGGGGGAATACCGGGCACATACGCACAATGGCCGCGGCTGTCCAGGTATTCCGCAAGTACCGCCCAACACCCGCTGTGATTGGCACGGTGCCTCCACTTGAGTGCGTCGCCTCAGGCCAATCATCGGCGCGTCCCCTTTTTCTTGCCCTTTGGCCCTTCGACTTTCTCGCCTTTCGCCCTTCTTACTTGCAGGTGGATCTTCGGACCTTCGATATTTTTGGTTCAGTACCTACATGACCTGGCATCATGCAGAAACAGTCCTCGTTTCAGGTCTTCCATGCTCCAGTTGCCAGACCGTGAGAAAGTCTTCCATGCCGGGGCGTTGCGTTCCAGAAGGTTTCACCTGTCGCATCATTCAGCCCTTCCGCCAGTCTCAGACACAAGTCATCTACAGTCGTCTCGACCCCAATTACAGCTATTGAGACTAAGGAGAGAAATCTCAGGGGATTTCAGGAAATGTCAGAAAATGTCCTACGGGTCTTGATACAACGGCAGACATCAAAGACCAAGGCAAAATAGCCATGATCATTTCTGATTCCTTCTGCTCCAGCGAACTCCACCGAGACCTGGAGTCTGAGCCCGAGACTTGCCGATCCGTATCGGGGTCACACATTCCCGTCACATCATTCTTGCTAGCGTGTGTCGCGGTGACTCCGATGGCACACAGCTCTGCCAGTGAGATTCAAAAGGAGTGTGTCAGCGAGCATCTGCGATCATCCCGAGGCTGATTCCCCCAAAACCGGACTGACGTAGATACCTGCTTATACTACCTTTAGGAACTTATGCAAGAGATCTACTGTAGGAGATATTCTTAAACTGTACCAAGGTCAACCCTCCCCTGAATACCCTGACTCAGACTGCAGACTTTACAGCCCGTTCTGCACTGGTGACCCACTGGCTAGTGATTCTAGCCGTTTTCTTTGCCGCCATGTCCTCTGGGCGGGTTGACGTGAGGACACTCGCATGGACCGGTGCCGGTCGTGTGGGAATAGCGCGATATGGAAATAGACTATTGAATGATGGAGTGAAGGAATAGGTTCAGGATTCTGGGGAGGATGCGAACCGGGTAAAGGCCGGTTAAAATTACATACTAGAAGAGCCTCGGTCTAGTCTGGGGAACTATTGGATTCCTGATGGAGTGTTGATATCGAGGTGTGACGGTGGATAGTGGATATTGTTGACATGGGCCCTCGTCATTGATTTAGAGCGTCAGATGGAATATAATCCATGCTGATCAATAGGCTCGGTAGGCTCAGCTGGTATTGTTGGACTGCAGATGGATCGAGGTTAGGTGAATGTATACCAGATACACCAGGTAACTACTGTGAGAACGTATACATCCCTGGACGAGACCCCCAACTATACCGGGTTTTTCGATACTTCGCAGTAAATTATATACTAGATCAATGCGAGAACACATGTTCCCACAGATAGAAAGAAAAGTATATTGGATAACCACAGGAATGTGACCCACGGATCGATAGGATCTCGCGATCTGATTTTTCGAGGGGGCGTCCCCACTTCTCCCAAGAACTTCCCACTCCGTTCCTCCGTTCCTCGTCATTACCTGGGTACGACACCGTCCATTGACACCATGTCGCACGAATTGGCGCATATGGGCCCTCGGGGTATGGAGCTGAGAGCTGCCATTGTAGTCATTGATGCACGCTGACAGCCGAAAATAGCCTTCAACCATGACCAAAGTCGCGACGCCGAAGAAGAGTACGATCGGCTCCGCAACCTCGCTCGCCAGGAAGCCTCGAAGCGCAACTCATGTTTCCAGCGGGTGTGTCATACAGCTTTATTTTATTTCCCCAATAATTGCACCCTCAATGCCCCGGTCTAATCAACTTCTCTACGCGTAGTCGCAAGACGCATACTCGAGCGGCGATGGCGCCGGCGCCAAACAGTTCTCGGAGGAAGGCAAGGCGCACGGCCGCAAGATGGATGACTACAACAAGCAGGCGTCCGAGTTCATCTTCCGCGAGAACAACTCCAACGGGCGCGTCGCCGCCGATACCATCGACCTGCACGGCCAGTTCGTCGAGGAGGCCGAGGAGATTCTCGAGGAGCGGATCAAGTACGCCAAAGCGCATGGACAGAACCACCTGCACGTGTATGTTATTCTATCTTCTTTATTTTCCTTTTTCTTTTTGGTTGAAGCTGACAACTCCCAGCATCGTGGGCAAGGGAAATCACTCTGCGCACCACGTCCAGAAAATTAAGCCGCGCGTCGAGCGAGTCTGCCGTGAGCTCGGCCTGCAGTATGCCACCGAAGAGAATGCCGGCCGCGTCTACGTCAACCTCACCGGCGGCCAGGCCGTCATGCCGCCGTCGACGCACCATGGCTCGCACCAGCAGTACCCCGGCCAACAGCACCAGCCGCACCACCAGCAACAGCCGCAGCAGCAGGATGAGATCGAGCAGGTGGTCAACGCGCTGCTGCCCAAGGTCATGCGGAAGCTGGAGAAGGCTTGCTGTGTGGTGATGTGAGATATATCCTTGGTTTCTCTTTATTGGATATTTTGATGTTTTGGGTTCCCGGTGTTACTTTTTCAGGGGATTTACATATAGACGCATTGGGCTTGTGCGTCGCATCTACCATGGATATTTGTCTGAGATTTAATATGGGACTTTGGATATTTTGGTCCTTTCTCAGCCTTTCGCGGGTTTATCCTTGGACTCGGCCCAGGCATGACTTACGATGGCAGGGATTTGTTATACCCTTTTCTTTCACAGGTGTCTATCGCCCTGCTTAGATGGCAAGGAAAAGAGGCACTGTTTTCATTATATGATTCCATATCCAACCATTCTGGCATGATCGTCTCGTGGTGAACTCGCATAGCTACATCGTCAACATCATAAGGGAAAACAGAACAGACTAGAGGGTATATCCGACCACAAACTCCAATCCAATCTCACAATGGAAACATCTCGCAGCAAACGGGTATTGCGACTTTGCGACTATTGTGCCGAGGGATCCGACAGGGTAGTCTGCACGATTTTCTCAAGAATGGCACGCACCATGGCCCCGTCTCCGGCGCCGTTGATGCGGGGCGTGGCGTCGATCATCTCGATCAGCGACAGGGCCCGATCACGCAGCTCTCGGACAACCTGACGGGTATGAGAGAAACTGCCGGTAGTCTGCATATATTGCACGGCATAGCGCTTGACCTCCTCGTCGGTGGGTTTCTGTTTCAGGATGCTGAGGAGCTGGTGGTTGCCGGGGTTGGAGCGGATACTGTGGATGATGGGGAACGAGAATTTGCCCTCGGTGAGATCCTCGCAAAGGCCCTTGTTGTGCGTGTACGTGGTGTTGGAGAGGTTGAGGTAGTCGTCGCAGATCTGGAAAATCAGGCCCATGACGTTTACTAGGCTCACGCAGTCCTTGCCTGTTGCGCTCTCGGCCTGCATCAGCTTGACGGCCAGTCGGAAAAGCCCGCCCGTCTTGTTGCCCACCATCTCCAGGTACTCGTCCTCGGTTGGGCAAGTCAGCGTGTCGCGCCAGAATAGGTCCATGCCCTGGCCCCGGTGCAGATTCAGTAGTTCCTTGACGTAGATGTCGATGGCGGCTGGGTTGTGGAGTTGCTGGACTTCTTGTAAGGCGAGGAAGTAGACGTAGTTGGCTGAGTTTATGGTCTGCGCTGTGCCAAAGATGTTGTGCGCGACGGGGATGCCGCGTCGGAGGACTGAGTTATCTTCGACGTCGTCGATTCTAGACCCAACAAGACACCAGTCAGATTCCAGGACCCGATGATATTTAAGGTCTCTCGCATCAGGAATTCGACTTACAACAGAGATGCCGTATGCAGCATCGTCACAACCTTGGTAATGATAGCAAGGCTCTCCGGCGGGACCCGCAACCAAGAATCGAAGGCGTGGATGAGCTGCCGCCGCACATCCTTGCCCGGGTGTTCGTGCATATAGTCATAGGGACCCATCAGGATCTTCTCGTTCTTAGACGACCATGTTCCATCCTTGTACTTTGTTCCGTCGACGCTGGACTTGTTGCGTTTGTGCTTCAGTTTCAGCGAGGCGGGGTCCCCGTCCGACAGGCGGTGCCGCGTGGCGGGAGGACTGCCATTTGTAACGCCGGCGGAGCTGGTGCGCGGAGGGATGGGACTTGGTGGTTGGAATGAAGGACTTGAATTCATCCTTCTGCTTGTGTGTGTCGGGGAAGAAAATGGTTGGAAGTTGCAAACGGTGAGAGGGGCATGTGGTGGGGGGTCGGGGCGCATGACATCAAGCTTCGGGGGGGGTTCGCGTGTCCCGAGGTTCTTGTGCTCGTTGGGGGTTTAGTTTCCTGGGTTTGTTTACTCTAGTACTTTATAAGGCAAGTTAGTATAGCTATCCATGGGGATAAGTAAAGATATCTTCGAAATACGTTCTCCTATACAAGATAGCTGGAGGGTATATACCTAACTGCTGTCATCTAATAAGCCACACGGTCCAATAATAGACGTAAAGAAGCAATAATTACTATAGTGATCAAGCTAAAGCAGCAAACAATGGCAATTATATTGATTATATGTTACAAGTGGAATAAAGCATATTCTCCGGGGCTGGTGGATTAGATAGATCGATTGTATATACAGCCTGCAGAGAAGATGAAGCGACAGATCACAATATATCACAGTCTACAGGCAGAAATAAAACCATGAAGGTAAATAATTTGCCAATAAGCAGAGAGAATATTGATCCCTCCCTCAATCTTTATGCAGATATAGTCACAGCAAGGCAAGGATGCGCGGTTCGCTACAGCAACCAACCCCTCGAGCAAACATCAGGCGCTAACGACTGATCGAGGCTATAATTATCAGGAGCCTTGATTCGCTGTCACATTAGAGGGCAGATCAGGCACAGAGCTAAAGAACGGCAGGGCAGGGGTTGATGGTGGGTTGTCCGGGGCAACCATCTTTATTTACTTGCGAAAGAGACCCGACTGACCTCATCGACCAACACGGACCACACAGCCCGAATTTTCGATTCGCATATAAGAGAAATGCTCAATCATTGCTTTTCCTTGCCGTGCTGTTGCTCAATGGTCAACAGCTTTTCTTGATTACCCTTTTCTTTCTCCCCTTTCACCCCCATGGAGACTCTGTTGGCCCATTCGTTTGACTACCTTTCCTCATACGAGCCCAGCAAGGTACGGAAAGGATTGCGCCAGGTCGAGGGCCTCCTCGCCCAGATCTGTCTTGCTAAAGCCCGGCCTCCATCCGCCGACCGCCGCAGGTCGCTGTTGTCCTTTGATGCGCCACAGCCCGTGCCCAAGGCACTGTCGGAATTGCGCGATGACCCAGCCTTCCGTGAATTCTTTAAGCTGCAAGAGGGCTTCCAATGGAATGGTATGTACTGAGCTTATGGCTTCGCGCATATCCCTCTCTCGCTATGTGTGTGTATTGAGCTAATTTTACTGGTATCGCCACAGTCGCGATGCGCCTAGTGTCGTGCCTCGAGCATTTGCTCGGCCGAGGCAGTAACGGCACAAACGACATGTTGATTGTCTGTACCCTCGATCTGATCCAGGGCGCCCTTCTTCTCCACCCACCGTCGCGGACGCTGTTCGCCCGCGAGATCTACATGAACCTTCTCCTCGACCTGCTGGACCCGATCAACTGCCCGGCCATCCAATCGGCAACCCTGCTCACTCTCGTCACGGCTCTGGTCGACTGTCCCGCAAACACGCGCACATTTGAAGACCTCGACGGCCTGCTCACTGTGACATCCTTGTTCAAGCAGCGAGCCACCTCCCGCGAGGTCAAGCTCAAGCTCGTCGAGTTCCTCTACTTCTATCTCATGCCCGAGACCCCCATTCTGGGACCTGGGGGCTGCCCGCCGGGTTTGCAGCGCAGCCCTAGTAAGTTGGCTTCGGGTCCATTTTCGCGGAGTGCCCACAGCTCGGCTGCCGGACATGGCAGCAAGATGCTTCGCGACACGCGCACAACAGACGAGAAACAGTCCCTGCTGGGCCGATACTTGAACAATGTCGAGGACCTGGTGGAGGACCTGAAAGAGACCGCCCCATTTGGAGCCACGGTATACTGAACGACTTTTCATCGAGAATTGACTGCAAACGTCATGACCCAAGCTGCGAGATGTCCGCACTGATATGGTGGCTTTTTGCTTCTTTTTGCTTCTTTTTCTTTTCCCATTTCCTTTCTATCATGTTCATTCTTGCAATACCCTTCTTGATGAGTATTCGACTGACGTCCCGTCCGACACGGCGTGATTATGTGGCTCAAGACTGATGCCGTCTCGCACTCCTTGATTTATTTTCTCTGATACTTGATTTTTTTTTGGCCTGTTTCTTTTGATGATTGGTGGATTCTTTTCTTTTCTTCTTTCCCCTTTTTGCTCCAATTCTGGAATTGTGTCGACCTCCCTCAATTCGCCTTCGGGCTTCGTTTTCCTTATGTGTCTCTGATGGCGACATGATTGTGTACGATTCTTCTCTGTGACTATTGCACCCAATATGAACTTGGTATGGCATAAACAGCTTTTTTGGGTGAACTATTTCTATGTAGAGTTTAAGTAGAAATCTTGATACTGTGCCCTCAATAAACGGGGAATATCTTTGGCAGAAGCACTCGAGAGTGATAGGATCCCTATAGCTCTTTTCCTTGAAGCAGCGTGGAACAGAACCATGTAAGAAAAATTCCATTCTGGCCCTCCAACTGAAATGAATCCTTTCTGATGTAGATAATCTCAGCCGAGGTCCAGCGTGAGTCACTGGGCATTAGGTAGATATGACTCAATTCTGCGCGGTATTTATTCTTTCTCCAACACCAACAAGGTAGGGACTGCATCAATGCACTGATTTTCTCTATACATATAACTCCATATCTGCCATACTCCCCTGTACCAAGCACCAAGAGCAAGTCGATTCTACCGCCGTAATTCCCTGGCATCCACACCATGGCGCAGACCATCCAGCAACGCCTGGCCGAACAACCGCCCACCGGTTCACAGCCGATCCAGTACATGGCCACAGTGGATGCGTACGACAAATGGGCCGAGGTACGTTTGAGCAGAGTATACTAGTGTCCTGGATAGAGCTGCGAAGGAAGAAGAGAAAAGCAGGGCAAGAAAACAAACAGCTGATGAGTTCAGGTCTACGACACAGACGGCAATTTCCTGCAACGGCTCGACACCATTGAGATGCGCGCCCTGCTACCCCGGTTCCTGGACCACGTGAGCGCACGCTTCGGCTCGACGGACCAGCTCACGCTCGTGGATCTGGGGTGTGGCACGGGCAGGAATACGATCCAGATGCTGGAGGCTCTATCTCAAAAGACAAGCCTTACGGCCACCCCCGCAATCGAGGTGGTAGGGCTGGATGCATCACCGGGGATGCTGGAGGTCGCGCGGACAGCGATCCAAGCGAGTGTCTCGCACAGAAACAAGACCGAGGAGACTCACAGTCCCGCAAGCTCGCTGGCAGTCTTTGATCTCCTGCAACCGGATTCTGGCAGCGCACAGCTCCCGCCGTCACTACGAGGTGACCACTCTGGCGCGGCGGGGGTGATCTCCACGCTGGTGCTGGAGCACATCCCCCTGAAAGAGTTCTTTGCGGCGGCGTCGGCGATGATGCGACCCGGTGCGTATCTGCTCGTGACGAATATGCATGCGGATATGGGGGCGCGCAGCCAGGCTGGGTTCACGGATCCTGAGACTGGGGTCAAGATCCGTCCCACGAGTTACTGCCATTCCATCCCCGAGGTGCGCGCAGCAGCAGATGAAGCCGGGTTTCTGGTGGCTGATCTGGTCGGGGAGACAGGGGAGAATGGGGTGTTGGTGAGGGATGTCGATGAGCGCTTGGGCAATGTATTGGGCGATCGAGCAAAGAAGTGGGTTGGGGTGCAGGTGTGGTTTGGAGTGTCTTTTAGGAAAAGAGAGTGACAACGAGGAGATTTTTTTTTCAAATAATACATTCAGAGAAAAGATGCGTTCTCCCGCGGGGAACTTTTGGTCGCTAAAAAAAAAGAACAAGTCTAGAAGAATTTCAGTAGTCTGTCACGGTGTTGTACAAGATTGGGATGCTCTCGGAGCAGCTGGGCCAATCGGTTCTGTTTCCATCCCATCTCCTCGTCCAGGACCAGATGCGTGTAGGCGAAGACGCTGGCGTCGAACAAGCCCGGGTTTGGTCGGCCGAAGAAGTGCTCATCCTCGCCGAGTAACGTGGACAGCGCCTCGAATGCGCCCCCGGCATCCCCTTCGAGATCGGCCACATCGATGCACCGTGCGGTTTTGAGCAGCTCGTCGCGCGCAGCCTGTTGGAGCTGGAGACCCAGGGCAGCTCGTACAAGTGAGTTCGTGGTGGCGGGGTTCACGTAGGATGGCCGCGCAACGGCCTCAAAGTTCTCATGGTCCAGATACAGCATTTGTAACTAGACACGTGTCAGTCAATACCCTGTGTGATTTCATCTCCATCACATACCCAAGCATTGCGTATCCGGTGGTCCAACAGGGACCCATACACCTCGAATCGGAGATTCAATTGTTGTTCTTCTTCGCAGTGGACTTGCTCGATAGCCCATTTTTGGAGCTTGTGTGAGGGAATTGGCAGAAGAGCCTCGGTAGGAAGTCCGGGGAGAAGGAACGGAAGGGCGCCGGTAGGCGACGCGTGGTTATTAGAAGAGACGACCTCGAAGTCGATTCCGACGAATTTCAGGTACGCCTATAGGAAGACCCAATTAGAACCGGAAATCGCGCTGGCCAGGGCCATGCCCCTGCACAGAACATTGGAGACGAACCTGCCACTTGAGGCATTGTGGATTGAAAGAGGGCCGACCTCGCCGTGCCCCTGGGGCATCGGTGAACACGAACAGCTGGTTGCCGTGTCGAGGGGAAGCGCGTTGAGGGAGGTCGTTGGCGGGATAGGTGACCAACGGGAACCGGTCGAAGAGCTGTTTTATAGGAGCCGGCACGGTAAAGAAAGACCGGGCATGACTCGACTCGGCGGGCTGGCCTTTGGGCGGCATCATGGGATACTCAGAGGACGAAGCATCGTCATCGCAACGGCGACTGGCGTTAATTGCTCCGGCCGGCGCCAAACCCAATCAGGCAGGTCACGCAGCATTAGTCACGCCAGACACTCCCCGCATCGTGTTCGTTTCTTCTTTTTTTCCTTCTTGACGTTGTGCTTTCTTGGTTGATTCTCGTTCGACTCTGCGCGTTTCTCATTTCCGTCCCAGTCTCGTCTTGTCCGCGGTTGAGTCACTTCCCCCCCCCCGGCTTAACCGGTCTGTTCCGCTCGGAATCGCAAACTTTGAATTCGACTTCCGTCGCACTCGATCCCTCGTTTACACTGTACTCTCTCAATTTCCGGTTCTGTTTTTTACCGACTCTGTTTGTAAGCATCGCACATGGGCATATTTTGCTTCGAAACCAAGGCGTCATCCAGTCCTGGAGGTGATCGGCACCGCGGGGTACCGGCAAGCGTCAAAGCTCCGAGCGCGGCACTTATGACAGAGCACTCGTGTGTTCTCTTTGTACAATCTTGGTTTTAATCCTGTGTGGACCATCGATTCATCCCAACAACAATGCCCCTCGACGAAGAAGGCGCCAAGTGGTCCTGGTAAGAACATCGGATTCCAGACCGACTATTGTCAAGGCTAATCTTCCATCTGCTAGTGAACCATGCATTCGCGGCCATCGATCCTCAAAATGCCAGCACTTCGACCGACTCATGATGAAAGTTCCCAAGGCTGGCCGCCCACTAGCCAAGTGCCCTCATCCCAAGGGAACCTGCAGCTGTCAGAAGACGTACGCAGTCATGGTCCGGATCCCCAAAGGTAGAGATATACTGGCTTTATCCTCCGTGTCGAACCACGCTAATTTGTGTTAGGCTCGACTTGTCTATGCCGCCCCCTCTACGAGGTTCCCGTGGGTGTCAACGAGTCGGCCAAGTCTCCCGCCCCGGTGTCGTCTCCGGCCAGCAAAGTTCAAAAGCCGGGAAGAAGACAGAGTAATATACAAGCAGCACCCGAAAGCATAGCAAAGGCATTAGATGCCATGCCTCCGAATCTGAAATTCGAAAATGGGACGCCAAGCTATCAACCGGGCTTTTCCGGTCAAGATAACTCTCACGCGGCCACCCCAAATCACAACAACCAACCTTCACCCCCATCGCAGGAATCGGTCGAAGGTGATATGCAGCCACCGAAAGCTAGCTGCTGTTCTCAAAAGCTCCAAGAACCAAACCCGACTCAGAATGGAGGATCTTGCTGTGGGAGCTCCACTGTATCTTCGAAAAATACCTCGGTCTCGAATTCGGAAGAACAGAAGCCCACTCAACCCACCTGGAATGACATGTCTCACATGCAATTTTCAGCGCCACAAATTCCATGGCAGAGTCCTCCGGTCCACACCAATGGGCAATTCATGCAACCATACGGTCAAGCTGCGCCTGCATTTTATATGAATGGTTACACGCAAAATGTGTCATCATCGCCGTCTATGGTGTACCCGGGTCAGATGAACGGGCTTGGGATTACACAACCTCCCATGGGATCATTTCAATCAAACCACACACCGAATCCGACCTTTCCACCATCCACGGCACTTGGCGGCGACTGTCATGATTGCCACTGTGGAGACGACTGTCAATGTTTGGGATGTGCCACCCATCCGTTCAACAACACGACTCGTCAACATGTCCAGGAAATGGGAGTGATGATTACCTCCAACGGTGACGATCAGAACCCGGATGCCACTGCCAATGCGTACCACTCGCCCTTCCCGGGAAGCACCGCCGCATCCCCATTGAACTTTTTCGTGCCCAACACCCCCTCGTTGGACCAACATGCCATCGATACCTACGCAGATCCTAGATCAAACCTACCAAGCGGCTATTCTTCTCCTCTGTCGGCTGGACAAACACTCAACCAGCAGCTGATGCACCCTTCCGAGTACTACACACTCGAGTACCCCGTGGGCCTGCCAAGTACTTGTTCCGACGTCACGGGCAGCTGCCAATGTGGCAGCGACTGCAGCTGCATCGGTTGCCTCACGCATAGCGGCCACAACGGCGTCCCTCTGGATGCACCCATCCCCGAATCTTCCGTGGCGGAGCCCGCACGACAGGAAAGCTCATCCCATGCCCCGCCCCAGACGAGTTCAGCCCCGTCCCACACATATCGAATCCCCGTGTTGGAAAATGTCTCAGTGCCATGCATGAGTCCGCAGACCTTGGAGACATCCATAATCTGATTAACTGCTAGACAGCCTCCTTCGTGCCCTATTTCCTCTTCTCTTCGCCATTTTCTTTTTTTCTACCTGACCTATTATCCTTTTTTTTTTTTTCACATGATTTACGACCACCTATGATACCCAAGAATCTCTGCTCTAGATGGCGGCCGTGCACGATTGCTGTGTTTCGAATTAACTGCTTGAGATGACTTAATCTAAGATTTATTAACTCGATTTCTTTCATCTAGAAGAGCAAACGCTTAAGTGTATTTCTGCCAACTCTACCTAGAACTCCCCAAGAGTATTTCTTCCAAGTATTCTCCTTCGCCTCAGTCCAAATTAGTATTATTACCGTAGCACAAGCTGCAGATGGTAGAAAGGGATTGAACACGTTGGAAGCACTACACAATTTACGAGTTTGCCAGCATGACTACGATAAATCTCGAGGGCGAGGACATTTCAATCGTCAATGCATTGGGGATATCACGAGGTTAAAAAAATATTGTACATAAAAATGCCAAAAGATGGGAAGCCTTTGCCGAACCAAGCATCACGCCTTGTTCCACCGACCAAACTTGACGTAGTCGTCGTAGAGTGACTTGAATACCGCGCGGCTAGAGACATCGAGCGCGGCATTGAGAGCACGCATGGAATCGCGCGACATGACGTCCAGGGCGGCATAGAGACCGGGCATAATGGCGGCCTTGACGTCTGGGGTGAGGGATCCGCGCAGCGAGTACTGGGCGTAATCCATGACGATATACTGCAGATACTGGCCGGCAATTCTCTTGGCCTTCTTGGTTTGATCAGTCAGGGCGTCACGCGGGGCCGAGGATTGGGGTCGCATCACAGCCGAGACAGTAGGATCACAAAGGGAAGTGAGCAGACGGGTGTAGTGCGATGCGTGGGAGGCGAGGAGTGGGGCGAGCCAGAAAGGCTGCGACAGAACGGCCTGGGGTCGGAAGGAGCGCGCGCGTTTGCGGGAGCGGGCGAACAGGCAGCCCAGCAGCCGCTGCATGGCGTTGACCACAAGGTGGAAGCGGCCGCCGATCTTCAGGCGCTGGAGACCGAGTATCACGCCCATGAGTCGGCATAGACGAGTGTAAATAGTCGGGGCGTATTGCGGGGAGATATGGGGCCCCGCTTTGGAGGCGGTGCCGGCGATGGCAGCGAGAAGGGCGTCAATATTGCTCTGGGTTAGACTGCGCGTGTGCGTGCGCAGGAGCAGGTCCAGGCATTCCGCCGCAAAAGAAAACTGGTCCACCGAGGTGCTGTGTAAGAGTGCCCTCGCCAGTGCTGTGCAGAGCAGGGAGAGCTCTTGTGCCACGGCGCTTTCTTTGTCCTCGACTGAAGGGAGCGAGGCTATGGCCAGATAGAGAACCAGCAGTCGGTATCCAGCCTTGTTGCCGGAAAGACTAAGCCCCCGAATTTCTCGAATAACTTGGGTGATCCTTTCCACAGACATGGAGCGAAAACGCTCGGTCGTCGCTCGTATGAAGAGTTGCTGGTCCTCGGCATAGAGCGATTCGAGGGTGAGAGTCTCAGCGCACTGCAGTACCGGTTGAGTGATGGCTCTCTCGGGTCCCTTGCTAGCAAGAAGACGGCGCCGAATCAGTCGCGATGGGCCTGAGTCAATCGACATCTCCATGTAGTGCTCGATTTTGGACAAGAATTTCTCCACCTCGATGTTGTTTGTGGCCAGATCTTCAAAGTCTTCGAGAGCATCGATGGTCTTTATCAGGGTGATTGTTTCCTCTAGCTTTTGCTTTCGGCATTGGTCCTTGACGGATTTCATATCTGCCAGGACAAGGCCAAACACCCGTTTCCGACAAGTCGCTAGCTCATTTTCTGAGAAAGCTGGTCGCAGTTGTTTGCGATGTACCCAGAGTTCCGACATAGATAATCGCAACAAGAAACACGCCATGGAGTCACGGTCAATCTGTCTCAGTTTGGAAGCTTGTTTCGAAACCCTGTCAAAAAGGCGCTTGAATAGCTGGTTCCGGTCATTTTCTGACAAAACCAGTAGCTTGGCCAAGATTGCACGGTACAAGCTCCGAAACGACTTCATGATCTGGAGATCAAGATCGGTGCCATCCAAAGACACAGCACGGGCGGTAGTCCAGATGGGCTCCCAATCGTTGGTCACCGTGGCGTCGGACTTGGGCATAGCCGCCAATTTAGCCATCATTGTGAGTAACCCAATGGTCGCTTCGGCAGTGCTATCTTGCTGGAGCAGAACGTGATGCAAGCTGTCCAAGAGAGTGGACCTCAGCCCGCGAGTGATCAGCGCGGCGGGGACTCTCTGTAGACTTTCAACATGCAGTCGACGATTGACCGAGTCGTGCTCGATACTCTGATTAAGAAGAAGTGCCAGATCAGAGACAATCAAAGGAGAGTTGAGTAGGTATTCATGGGAAACCACGCTTGCCCAAGCCTGAAGAAACCTTGCGTCGTCGGCAACAGCCTCCAGAGGTAACGAAGATGATCGATACTGAGCTGCTGCTAGCGACAGGATTTGTTGAAAAAGGCTTGATCGGGCATTGGGGGAACCCGTTCCCAGACCTCTGGTGTTTTGACGAGTGCCAGAAAATACGCCAATGCAAGAGTGGCTGGGGAGGTCAGTGTATCTATCCGGCCGTCCCAGGGCGCCTTCATCGATTGCTGAGCATCATCAGGCGAAATCGATGCAACGAATCCAGTAATTTCTTCCGTGAGGGTTTGGAATGCGCTCAGATGGTCCTCGTTGAGGTTTCCCTTGACAGCGATCAAAGCGAACCGGTACGCCTCCCATGATTCCAGCGCAGCAAGTGGCGCTTTTTTCAAATCCTTGTGGTTACGATGAACCGTCTTCGCGGCGACTTCGAGCAACGCCATGATGGCATGAACCAAGCTGTTGTCAACCGAGTGTGGGTTATTTTCCAAGAAATTCCGGACAAACCGCCACAGGCGCCATCGCCAGTGTAGAGTCTGCCTTGAAGAAAGCGTAGCAGTCAAGGTCTCTAGGAAGTAACTTAAAATCTTGTCCGCGTCGACGAAAGTCAACACCCGACCTCGGAAGCTAGCCTCCATAATGACAAATTTTGCGTAGGATTCTGGGGCTTCGGAAATCTTGTCATTTGCAGCCCGAGTCTCAGTGACGGTTGTATGCATTTGCTCTGCAAAATGCGAATCGCTGAGGGAAGTTCGCATCAGCTCACAGTAAGTGTCACACAAGTCATCATCTTCCCAGACCGAAAATGAATCGAAGTTGCTGTTTCGAGCACGGGCCACTTCGACGATGACAAGTTGATTGTACCACAGTTCCATGAAAGCAGGCAAGTCCCTCGCCGCTGCAAATCCTCGTAGAAGCGGAAGCACAATGTCATTCTTGATCGTGTCATATCTTCCTAGTGTTTTGAAAACACCACTGCGCCATTGCAGCATGATTTTGTCAAGAAGTGCCTCCAAAAGTCCAGGTGAATCGCGCAGCCCTGAATTGGGCAGAAATATATCGACGCCGAGACTGATCACCAGAGCCGTTATATTCCATTGAACATGCTCCAAGCCTTGCTCGAGGAGACCCGTGTAGGCAGCATGGGCGAGAATAGTATGTAAGGTGAGGCCAACATTCCGGTCAAGAGCTACCCGAAGGAGCTTTTCTAAGACTAAGACAAATTTGGAAGAAGAGGTGGCGATGTCTTCCTCCTTGGCAGTGGAGAAAGCAATCTCTGCAACGGCAACAAAAAGAGTCTCCAGCCACGGGGCTTCATGCGTTTGCATTCTGAACGTATCTCGAGGAACGGCACGGACGGCGTTGTCGAAAAGCTCAGGAAGAAGCTCGACCGACCTCCATTGGCGGCCGTAAGATTCTCCCTGTGCCTTGCCCAGCGAGCTATTGGCCACGGGTAATTCACGGACGATCGACCGAAACGTATCTGTGATTGGTTTGACTGCACTCCAATCTGGCTCGTCTTTGGAATAATCAATACCAGTGCCCCCGCGGTCGAAGAAGGCTGCACGCGCCGGTATTAAAACATGAAGGGCAATGATACGCTCGACCGCCTGAATCAGGCGGGCCCTTTCATCAGTATCAAGCTTGGTAGACCGCAGGCAAATTTGAAGCCGGAGTGCATGAGCGAAGCAAGATTTCGAAAAAGCGTCATTGCTTGATTTGTTATCCGTATTGTCTTGGCGGCGGGATCTCATTTCCCACAATTCCAAAACTGCGGGCAACACATACAGTAGATGCTGAAGATCAGTCGTCTTGCCTGCATGCGAAAACTGCATGACCGCCACGGCAGCCACCCGGAAGGATCTGCCTAGCAACATGGCCATCACTTCCGGTTCGCCCGTCAACGCCAGCTTTAGATGGGAATTCGCAACAGCATCTTGCTCGTTGGTGAGCTGGACAAGCGTTCCAAAACCGTGGAGACAATCCAATGTGCGGACAAATGCGAGGAAACACGACGCGGGGTCCTGTGGTTGATCATCCAGATCCATGATATCGGCATCAGCTTCAGCCCCCACCCTCTTTCTCTTGGTTCCTTGACTTCCTCGGCGATTATTAGGTGGGGAGCCAGCCATCGTGAAGCTCGAGTCTGAGTCAGAACTAAAGGCCGTTACCCTATTGTTCATGCTGGCAAAGATATCGGCCTCTAAGCCCGCAACCGTGTCACATAAGATGGACAAGAACTTGTGATCCTTCAGGATCGCAGCAAGACTCTTTGGGGATACCGAGTCAATCAGCTGTCTGAGCAGTAAATACGAGGCCGGGTCCATGCGGTAGTTCTTCCCGCTGCGCAGCCTCTTTAGTAGCCATCGGAGCACCCACTCGTCCTTCGGAGTGGCATTGCTTTGGACCTGAACATCTCGGTGTACCTTTGGATGGCTTGCACACAAGTCCAAGTCCAGTCCAAGGATCTGTGCCGCATCGTAGAGTTGGGTACGCGGGGAGGCGTTGCCTTTTTCAAGGCGGAGGAGCGCCTCTTGCGATGAGCGCGGACGCTGTTCAACCCCACAAATTAGATTCAACAGAAGAAAAAGCAAGGAGCAACTCAAAATAGGAACTCACCTCCGCAAGCAAAGGCATCTCGAACCCGAACACGATCAGCGGGGTGAGGGGTGGATGATTTGGAGAGGAAAAAAAAAGTGAGGCCGAAAAAGAAAACCGCGGCGATTCGCTCTGACCGCCTTTGCCCAACTGGCTCTGTCCGACTTTCCTCCTTGCACCCTTCGAGTCCTCTCATTCACTCCCTCCCAATTCTCCAATTCTGCTATTAGTGAGATACCTCTATCCTGCCTGTTACGACTCTGAATATGGATTAACATCTGGCGTACTAGATTCCTTACAATGGCCGATTCCAACGAGTCCCGGCCGGTCGCGCGGGCTACCAAGCCTGTCAGCGAGGCTCTGCTCAACGAAAAGGTACGAGCTGCTCTGGATAATCTTTAATATCACAAATGTGGAAAGCCTTTTCGGGTCTTATTTCCGCAGGGCACCTGCTCCTGATGAGCGGAGAAATTAAAAAGTGCTTGGCTAATTCGTCAACTTTTGAATGTCTAGTGGGACCGCGCCGTCTCCTCCATGATCATCAAGTCTTCCCTCGGTCTTTCGTTCGGTGTTGTCTTCTCCGTGCTCTTGTTCAAGCGGAGAGCCTGGCCCGCATGGGTTGGTCTGGGTTTCGGTGCTGGGCGTGCGTGGGAAGAGGCAGACGGTATGTTTATGTCTACGGTCTATGGTTCTTGAGCTCTGGGAAGATTTCTGTGCAAGGACTGGTGCTGTTGGTCACCAAGTCGCATAGTATGTCGAGCTCGAAAAGGGCCCGATTTCTGTGTTCGGCGGATTACTAGTCCATCTGACAGGCCCCTCACAGCACAAGCTGTGTGCCAGGCTACCGGTGACTGACAGCGCCAGCTTTCTTCTGGGCTGACATATGGTGCTCATGGACTAACTTGGCATGCAGCTTCCTTCCGCCGGGGTGACTCGCCCGTCCGTGATGCACTGCGCCGGTAGAAATGTGCCACGGCTTCCCATAGTGTACGATATCTTGTACAGAGTCAGGGAATAGAAACAGTCCCTAGACCGGCTTTGATGGCGTGACCCGGGGGCTCCTGGTATATCCTCCCACAATGAGGGTCTTTTCCTTGCTGTTGTCCTAGATAACTCCCAGTTAGACTCAATCACACATGTTGGAGTTCAAAAGCATCGTAGAATCATTCGAGAGATACAAAAATAGGATATGTCTGAAGTAGAGAATCAGTAAGTAGAGTGAAGTAAATGTGTTGCACGTGACCAATCTGTTACTCGATCACATCGAGTCAGGGCTGTCGGCCGTTTTTCTATCTTCATCGTTTCTTCCCCCCAGATTAGATACGCCCACACCCAATCAGCGTTGGCTGATGCGGGCACTTTTGCTTGCGGAGCCAAGACCAAGTGGAGCCATTGCTTCCCGGTGGTCCACCTATCGCAGATAACAGTCCGTTGACTCGAGCCGTTCAGGCAATGGAAATGATAGGCGCACGTACCCCCGGAGCTCAAACCTCCCCACGAGAGGCCGACTGGGGAATGGTATCTCACATGGCGGATCCTTGTGCAGGACGATCATCGCCCCGACGCCACTATGGGCGTTGTCTTATCGCACCATAGGCTGGCGGGACGGGGATACGACGCCATAGGATCCGGAAACCTTGCTCGGATGATGATATGGATATCTGGGGTTCCGCGATCGTTAGATCATAAGTATGGCTCACTCCCGTGGAGTCTTGGAGTCGTTGTTCATCCTTCTAAATCCTGTTTTTTGGTGTCATCTTTGTGACTTTGCCATTCCACTCTGGCAATCTTCTTTGCGGAGTACCGCCATCATGACCAGAATAAAATGGATTCTCGACAAGGCGACCGTCGCCCACGAGCCCGGGCTCACCAATACCCAGTTGATGTTGACGAACGATGATTTACGGCCAGGTGAGAACGCTATCGAATCTGGCCGATGGATCCTCTGATCCCGCGTCGCCGTTGCCCTTCTACTTCCTATGGGCTTGTCCCTATCCCCGGACCAGCCATCTTTGGCATTCCTCTTCTCTTTTCGATGAAGTCATCCGCCGTTTTCTACTCCGGTGCAAATGAAGCTGACCGGTGGAACTATGTGATCTTCGCGTACTATAGTCGAACCAACCCGACGTCAATGGAGATGGCTGAACTACATTGCATTCTGGATCGCGGATTCGTTAAATATTGTCAGTACCTTGCAACAATGGAGTTGCAGGACGAGTACAGCATCTAACATGGTATCTAGAACACTTGGATGATTTCATCGTCTATGATCGTTGATGGTCTTTCATGGTGGCAGTCATGGATATGTGTCTGGGTCGGGTATTTCATCGCAGCCATCTTCGTGTGTCTTACCGGTCGCATCGGTGCGGTCTACCATATCTCCTTCCCAGTTACGGCGAGAGCTTCATTTGGGATCTGGGGATCCTTCTGGCCCGTGATTAATCGAGTCGTTATGGCGGTCATTTGGTACGGGGTACAAGGTTACATCGGAGGTAAGGAATGGATCCCGCGGTGGGACGATGTCAATGCTGATTCACCGTTTGATTTTAGGTCAATGCGTGAGCTTGATGATCGAGGCCATCTGGCCCAGCTATACGCATCTGCACAACTCCCTCCCCGCAAGTGCAGGTGTCGACACCAAAGGCTTCGTCAGCTTTCTCATCTTCTGGCTGCTGTCGCTTCCAGCACTCTACTTCCCTGTTCACAAAGTCCGCCACTTGTTCACCGTCAAAGCATACTTTTCTCCAATCGCCGCGATCGCGTTTTTCGCGTGGGCGATTTCGCGGGCTAACGGGATCGGTCCAATTGTCCACCAACCAAACACCGTCCACGGAAGCGAATTGGGATGGGCGGTTGTTAAGGGCATCATGACATGTATCGGAAACTTTGCCGCACTCATCATGAACGACCCGGATTTCTCCCGGTTCGCGCGGACACCCAAAGATGCGCTCTGGTCCCAGCTCTTTACCATCCCCGTCAGTTTTGGCATCACTTCGTTTATCGGAATCATCGTGTCATCGTCATCGTCGGTCATCTTTGGCGGCGACCCTGTGTGGAACCCACTTGATCTCTTGGGCATGTTTCTGAGAGGTGCTAGCTCCGGTCAGCGTTTTGGAATCTTCGTGATTGCCACCGGATTCGCGCTGGCACAGTTGGGAACCAATATCTCGGCTAATTCAGTCTCTGCCGGAACGGACCTGACAGCCCTACTGCCGCGATATCTGAACATCCGACGAGGCAGTTACATCTGTGCTGCGGTTGGCCTAGCCATGTGTCCGGTAAGAACAAATTGCCCTTGCTTTCTTTGTTGGGGCTTATGGAGCACAAGACTAACAATTTATGTAAAGTGGAATCTCGTCGTCTCTTCGAACCAATTCACCACCTACCTCTCGGCCTACTCTCTGTTCCTTTCTGCCATCGCCGGTGTCATGATCTGCGACTACTACATCGTCCGCCGAGGCTACCTCGATGTCAAAGCGTTGTACAGCGCGCGCAAAACAGACCCCTACTTCTACACCTACGGCTTCTCCTGGCGCGCCTACACGGCCTACTTTGCCGGTATTCTGATCAACATTGTCGGATTCGCCGGCGCCGTCGGTCGCCAGGTCCCCGTTGGGGCGCAGTACATCTACAACATCAACTATTTCTCGGGAGTAATTGTGTCCGGGGGACTGTATTATATCCTGACTCGTGCTTTCCCTGTCCCTGCCACGAGCGACCAGTGGCATGAAGCTGATATCGATATTGACTATTTTTCTGTTGCATATGGTCAGGAAGTGGTTGACGAAGAGAATGGTGCAGACGAACGCGGAAGCACGATTTCGGACCCGTTGTCCCGGGAGGACCAGAAGGGGCCGAAATCCGCATCGACGAAGGTCTGATAGATGTTTAAAATAAGAAGAGATTTCTACTCTATGGGTTGGTTTGCTGCTTGGATCTACTCTCATGAGTGAGCTTGAATCACCTCTCGTGTCCCAGTGACGGCTGTTGCATTGTACATTAATGAATTCATGGATCATTGAATATTACGCCAGTGGATATCTGAAGAATATCCACTAGACATTTCTAGTGCAACCTTTCCAGGAAAGAGCTGATCTCAAAGTCGGCACTACACATCCATGATTAGCTCTCAGTACTCTCTGCCTATCTTACATATCTCCAACTTTTACCTCCAACTACCTGTAACAGACCAGTCTCGCCCTTTCTTTTGGTTGATTCCCCAAAGGATCTAAGCTAGTTGATCAACCCCCCAGTTTGAGAAATGGATGATCTATCAATTCACGAGCCGTCTTCCTCTCCCCGGGAAGCCAGACGAGCATTTGTCGAACAAAGGATAAAAATGCCTCTCGATCCTTTTTCTCTTCAAGGAATGGGGTAGTGTTCTCTAAGCTTCTAGATGGAATTAATTCATTGTTGCAGAGTTCGCCACTGTCGTTCATGACAGGCTCGGGCCAGTTATGCTCTGACATGGCCTTTGATTTTGCGAGTAATTCCCTCGGGGCTGAACCGCCTTAAACGAGGGGAGATATTGGCATTCGTTCAATCAAAGCAGAAAGTTAAGCCGAGCGCTAATTTTACTCGTCAACTCCAAGTTTGGGAGGATGTGGGCTATCAAGTATGGGAGAACGAGGAGAGGACTATCGCGAAAGCACCATACAAAGTATTTTTGAATGATCGGGCCACCCTTTTAGAGAAAAAGGGACTCACCGGGAATGAGCTCCTCGCGTCCCAGAACCTGTAATGTGTTCATTGGTAGAAGTCATATATACCTACATCTTTGACTGGCCAATGTACAGTATCGAATATAACGTTATGTATTTAAGGATTTTGTTGGTAGTGTGCTTGGATGCAGGTCGCCTGTCCAACTAGACATCTAAGAATCCTATGCGTCCCAGCGCGTACCTTCTATTAAAACAAGAGCATGGTATCCGAAGAAGAATAATCAAGGAGTCATATAATGGTGATAGACATATGCTAAAAAGCAGTATGCCTGCCTGCACCCATAAGGTGGCTGAGAGTATCCCACAACCAAAGACATCAGAAAGAAGAGGATGAAGAAAGACAAGACACCAGACCCATTCTTTGCAAAGGCAAAAAGAAGATGAGAGAAAAAAGAGAATGGGCTATGCAAAGCGCAAAAAAAAAAAAAAAAAAAAAAAAGAAAGCAATGGCCACAAACGGGCCTCCCATTTCCACCGCAGATCTTCCTGACGGTTCATGCAAATCCGAATTTCCTGAAATGGTTTCCCGTATGCCTTGTGATGCGTATGAGTTGTGATTTGCTCCAGTGAACCTGTCAACCAGTCACAAACAAAATGTCTTTGCCGCCCCCTTCTCCTGGTATTGACTCCCGCAAATGCGATGATGATATTGATGGCTGCTCCGCCGAAACAGAAAATCCCATGCCAGAAAAAAAAAATAAAAAGAAAACAAGACACCCAAACACAATGATGAACATCCCATCAAATACAAACAGAATCCGAGAATACAAAGGGAATCAAGAAAGAGGTCAACAAAGAGGGCCACACATGCTAAAATGAGAATGAAAAAAAAAAAAAAAAAAAAAAAAAAAACAGGGGTATCGCGGTGACAGGGTATAGGAAAATCAAGAACAACAGAACTTCCACAGATGAGATAGGAGCGAATGAAGGATGCAAGAGAGAAAAGAAAAAGGAAAAGAAAAACGAGTGCCAGAGCCTTGTACTGACCCATCCAAGGAAAGATAAGTGAAAGGCCCCTCACAATAGAACGAAGGTGAAGTTGGCTTTGGTTGTGTAGAAGAGGAGAGTGTGAGTGCAAGCAAGTTTCATGGCACGAAGGATGAGGTCGAGGCTGTGGAGACAGTGGGAGTAAGGTTAGGAGAGCTATCCTTGTCTTCGGGACTGACAGGGTCACTGCGATCCTGGGCTGAATCCTTCTCGCGGTCCGTGGAGGTAGAGCGCTTGAAGACAGTTTGGCCAATCTGGCGCAGGATCCCCATGCGCTCAGCACGAAGCTCCTCCAGGTCCAGTCGTTGAACAGGCACCGGGTCCTCCTTGGAGATCCGGCAGAACAATGTCGAGAACAGATACTGGTCGCCGCTACCATCGTACAGAGGCAGGTAGCGGTAGCCTTGGGAAAGACTGGTGAGCTTCGCGGTGAACGTGGCCAGCTGGACACTGTTGCCAGCGCTGCGGCCATCCGAAGAGCTCCACACGGTCCAGCGCACAAACACGAGGTCGGGGTACTTGGTCTCCAGCGACAGCTTGAACCGGTCGTTGAACACAGGGCTGTAGCCGTTGCTCTGCTCGATCTTGGTGCGTCGGCGATGTGGATACCCAATGCCGGACATTCCGCTGCGCGCAGACGCATCCATGCCGCCTTCGCCGAAGACCAGACTCTGACCGCGATCGTCCGCGCTGAACATTTCGATCTCCACGTAAGGGTTGATGTTGTCCTCGGGCCCGATGGTGCGCGGGCGGGGGAGCTGCTGCGCCGAAATGACATCGACCGAGAACCGAATGAGCTTGCGTTCCATCTTGCGCTTTTGGTTTTCGTCATCCGTGGCAGGGCGCCGCAGACTCTCCGGCTTGAGAACATAGCCAGTGCGATCGGAGCCGGCGGCAAACATGGCTTGGTTCATTTGCATGCCGATATCGTAGGTCTGCCAGTTGAGTGCTGCCATTTGCACACCACGACGCCAGAACTTGTTTGGGTCGAAGTTCGACGACCGCAGCCGGAAGCCCGAAGGATAAACCCGAGTGAGATACTTCCGATTGTGGTTCTCCAACGCGACCTTGTTATCGTGGTTCTGACAGATGCTCTCAAACGATCGTTCCGCGAATGAGTACACATGGTTGTACTTTCTGCTTTCCGGAGACGAGAAGCTGTGCCACTTGTAGCCGCGAGTATACACGCCCAAATCAGAAAGAGGCTTGGTGATCTTGCTCTTCTGGCGCCGCTTCTTCTTCTCGTTGCGGGCAGACACCAACGCCCCGTCGCTATCCTCAGTGGCGCTGCTCATACTAGTGGCCGTGAGAGATCGTCGGTCTTGGGAAATCAGAGGGCCAATGCCATCCACGATTCCGATCGTAGGCGGGCTCGAGAGTGAGGGGAGGGGCGTAGTGACCGAGATATCGGGGGGAGTCGGACGCACAAACGGCGAGCTAGCACTGCGCTTGCGACCATGGGTGCCCACCGAGTTCACGGTATCCTGGCGAGGGTCACCTTGGGTCTCATCACAGGTCTTGACTTTGACCAGGATGCGACCTTTCAGATCCTCGGGCGATGGCAGAACAAAGCTGTTGGTCATCAAAGGTTCCAGAATAAGTTGATCCTTGAAGGTATCCTTCATAATCTTGACCATGGCCAACTGCTGTTCCGGGTTGCAGTGCACTTCGAGGGAGAGTGTGAGAGGGAAGTCACATGTGATGAATGCATATCGGTTGATGACCGTGATGCAGTCGGCAAAGAGAACACTGGTGGTCATGGTTCGCCCGTGGGACACGATGGGGCGCCCGTCAGCGCCATCCCAGCAGTCAATCTCAACGCATCGACAGCCCTGCTGAAGCGCACTGATGTATGCCTCGGTGCTAGAAGCGCCCGCGACCTGGCGACCTAAAAGGTAGGTGTTGTGAGAGCTCGAGATAAAGTACTCGTTTAACGGCCGATCAAATCTCGACTGAGGAGGATGGGAGGCGTAGATCCCACTGCTCGGCGACGCCAAAAAGGCAGAGAACGACTCCAGGTTCATCCGCGGTGCAGGAGGAGAGGAGTCCGACGTGTCGCTGAGACCAGGAGTGCGAGGCTTGGATCTCCGCACAAACTTGTCGTACAGAGCAACCCAGTGTGCACGGTCGGAGTCGATGTCCTCCTTCTGGACATCACGGAGGAAGGCAAGGAATTCGTCCTGGGTCATGCCCACCTTCGGCTCCTCAGCACGACTCTTGAAGATCTCCTTCACGTCCTTCCGTTCTTTCAAACGCAACAAGAAATCCTTGAACTGCGAGAAATTCAGTTTGCCGTTACGTCCAGCGTCGGCTTTGGTAAACTGAGCACGCAGCATGTTCTTGGAGCAGTTGATGTGCAGACTGCGGCACACGCTGTCCACGGCAGCGAAATCGAGACTTTGCTCCTCGCCGGGACGTGGTCCCTGCGGGAACAGTCGCGACATCTCACGCTGCCAGTGGGCTTGAAGAACTGCCTCGCTCTGGCCGGAACCAGCCAAGCCAGCCATGAGGCCAATCCGATACCGAGAAATGTGTTCAAGGGTAGTGATCCACAGATCCAGGATACGATCGCTAGGAGCGATGAGGTGCAAGGTTTTGACGGCCCGGCCCTTGAAGCGTTCGGAATCTGCAATGACGATGGTGAACCACCGACGCTCGGCGTCCTCGGGGATTTGATGCTCTTCACGGTAGTTGCGAGCATCGGCACCAACCCGGATTTCCTTGATGTCATCGATGTAGAAGCGCTTGGCCGGGTTGGAGGGATCCCAAAAGACCTTGGCGGCATCCAGGTCCAAGAAGAAACGCACTTGTTTTCTGCGCTTCTTGGTCACTTTGGTCAAAACCGTCCCGCGTTGTACGGCCGAGTCCACTTTCGGGGCAACGGCAGCGGCGGCAGCGCCCACATCGCGGGCTGACGCCATGCGACTCTCGCTCCGAAGACTCGATGCCTCCGAGCCGCACCAGGCGCCCAGGCCGTCCAAGGCTTCGTTACTATCATCCTCGTTGCTGGAGTCCAGGGCAGTGTCGCGAACAGGCTGTGAAGCGGTCTTGCTGTCACTCCGTCGGCGCATGATCACAGGGCCGGAGCTCCGGTCCCGCTTGTCATTTTGGGATGCGGACGGTCGTCTGCGGGTGAGTTTGTTGGCAGCGCCGCGAGAGATTCTTCGCATCAGCCCCGGCCCTTTGGTGCTGGGTACGGTAGAATCGCCGAAGGGAGAGGGATTGGCAAAGCCGGGGACCGCCATCACTGACTCCCCGAGTTCGAGAGGTGCAGGGATGGGGAGTGGGAAGCCAGATACTCGACCGCGAGGTCCTTCACTAGAAGGTTGCAGCGGAGTGCCCGCAGGTGTAAAAGCATTCGGGGTATCTGGAGCCGGGTGGGTAGAGGTGGGCGTGGAAGTAGGAGATGAGGTAAAAGAAGGCGCAGAAGAGGGAGTAGGTCCAGAGGGGAGAGAAGTAGTCACCATTTGGTGGAGAGAGGTGGATCGAGGGAGAGAAGTCGCAAGTTTTAAGCTGGATTGCGCATCGGCATCCAGGGCCGGAGGCGAGGTTGCAGCGGCGTAGGCCATGGTTAAAATCGATTATCAGACCGACAGCTCAGCTGTCGATAGATGCAATGTTAAGCTGTTGTGAACCGTGCCAATGTCCGAGTCACCTGGACTCTTTCAAGGGCGAATCGGCAGCAGCGAAGAGGGGGACCAGCCGTCCAAGATTTTTGTTTTTTTGAGAGGCTGCCCGCCTGTCAGAGTGGAAAACGATCTGAGCCAGAGAGAAAGCAGAATAGTCTGGCACCGTAAGAAATTGATGGTTCAGCCACGTCCTCAGCAGAAATGATCCGTTCTTGAACTCTGCATCTTGGCCTGGCGAGGATGCGATGCGGAGAGCCCTGCCGGAGAGCACTTCACGGGGTGAAAAAGCCGCAAAAGGGATATTGAGGGATTAAACCAAAAAAAAAAAAAAAAAGTAGTCCCTGATAACAATTGCGACGGGCACTGGCCCCATGCAACGGGTAATCTCCCACGAGGATCTTTCTTAGACCGACGCTAACCACCTGAAAGAGACGTCACACAGGGAAGAAATCGAACGGGTGGACGATCTCCGGCCCCAAGGTTCCGGTCCGCGGCTGTTGCCTTTTCTTCTTTCGGAGCTGAACTGATTCCCTGTATAGCCTCCCAATGAAACCAATGCTACCCCTCTTTCAGTGTGTCGATCTGCCGGTGCGTGGGGAAAGCTGTGGTTCTGCACCAGGGGGAGGGGGAGATGGCCGTTTGCAATATGGACCAATTGATCAAGCAAATCACCGGGCGAAGCGGGGAGGAGCGCCCTGTAGGTCGGTAATGGAGGGGAAGGATGCGAGTCAGAGCCCGAATGCGATGCGTATGCAGTTTCGATTGCCAGGGTTCAGGAAGAGCCCCAAAAGGACGGACTGGCGTGCTTTCGGAAGTCGACGGCGGCTGCGATGGAAATTCCCAGGATGCTAGTTTGACGAGTGTTGCAGTCGATTGGTTTGCGATTCGAGACTAATGCTGCAGCAGGTAATGGGAGTACCCGTGCCAGGGAGCAGAGAACTTGTTTTTTTTTTTTGTTTCCTTTTCTCTAAAATGGGGTTTTTTGCGAGAGTCGGGGGGGATGCGATGGGAATCGGGAATTGCGACAGTGCCAACGCAGTGATGCAGGCGGTCCAAAGAGGAAAGACGAGCAATCGGCGAGGACGCCGACTTGGGACAGTCGCTGACGTTTCAAAAATCGCGAGCTGACCCCGTGCTGCACGGTTACGTGGTGGCCGCTAGGTCCGTATGCGAGTGGGTGGGTTGAGCTGCGAGAAATCGAGGTGACAGGATGATCATGCGAAGGTTCAAGGCCAGCGATAAACCGTTTGCAATGGAAGAATCTCGAGGGTGAAGGGCCGAGATGAGAATCAATTAAAAAAAAGAAGAACGAGTCGAGCAAGAGACGGAGAGAAGTTCAAAGGTTGGCAAGGGGGGGGGGGGAACCAAAAAATATTAAATCACGATCCCGGCGGCTTGGTGAAGCTGCCCAGGGTGGAGTTGCGGGTACTGGGTACTTGAGGAGGACTGTGGCCAGCGGTATGGCTGGTGGTACTGGGTACTCGTATGGTAATACCTGTCAGGGTACCCTGGCCCCGTAATTCTTTCTTGCTCTGTCTTTTTCTCTTTTTCTTTTTCTTTTTTTTTTTTTGACTCTTTTTTTCTTCTTTCTGTGAGTGTACACACACGTGGCTGATTCAAGATACTTGCGTATCTATACCCAAAAGTACTTCAAGTCCCGTAAGGCAGTAGTGGGGGTGTGGTATCTTTTTTTTTTAATCGGAAGTGGGTTTCTCCCTCAACACATGGGTCAACGAAAATAGAATCTTAGAATATAGCCACAGTGGTCTATGTATAGCCCAAAGGACATGAGGCTGAGATCTTTGATTAGAACAAAGGATCGGGGGACATGGGGCGGAAACAGCTCTCTTTAACTACCAAAAAAAAAACGCATAGCAACGGGTTATTGTTCTTGTGCTAGGGATGATCTTCTCCTTTCCACCCTATCAACGTACTACAAACCTACCTACCTACTAGACGAGGTATAGGAAATAGGAACCCTCATTTCGGACCTTGTGGAATGACCGCACATAGGCAGATGCTTCTCAGCGTCATTGGCCGATCCTGATACTTCCTGGGGAATGTTATCAGCCAACTGGAGGGGGCCGATCAGTGTTTCAGGTGTGAGATGGGAGCAAACGAGGGATGACAACGTTTCTTTCTCTCTTTCTTTTTTTTTTCCCTCTTTTCTCTTTTTCTCTTTGACCCTAAAGGAATCACTCGGGAGTTGGGGCCTGAATCGCTGATTGCTTTCCATTAGTCTCTGGCCCACAGTAAGTTGTTCCAATAAGGAGTAAAGAGGAAAGAAATCCCAATACACATACTCGGTATTATTATCAGAGGCCCACCTGTATTTCCCGTCTCTCAGCACCGACACGGTGGTCCCCGGGGAAGATTTGCGGAGCCCTCGGATTCCTGCGTTTGGATCTCTGAAACGGGATCCTCCATACCAGAGATTAATGACGGAATGAAGTCTTGGTTTGACTTTTTTTTTTTTTTGTCTGTTCAACAGTTGGGCATCTGCCCAATCGGTTGACCAGGCACAGAGGACGGCAGACAAAGCCCACTCTGTATCACCAGTCGATCATAGATGTCATAGAACAAGAAAAGCATATTGAGGGGTGTCGTAGTGCAGCAGGGTACACCGCAACAGGAGATCCTACCAAAGTCAGTAACGAGGTAACCTTAAAAGTCAAGAGTTTGTACACCGTAAACTGAGGCTGGAGAGGTGGCAGTGAAACGGTTTAGGCGGTGCAGATGGACAGTGGGCCCTCCGCGAGATCGCGGTATTTGACTTGGCTCCGTTCACCGCGAGAAATTGGCGGTCTGGTAGTATCCCAGGCCCTCGAGGCTCCATATTGTTTGGTCACGTTCAGCTCGGTTAATCAAAGATAAAGGAGTAAGAAGAATAGAAAAGAAAAAGAAGAAAAAGAAAAAGAAACGAAAAATCAACCCCGCAATCAAGTGAGTTGGCCATGCTGTATTTCTCCAATTCCTTGATTTAGCCCTAGTCTCTTTCTCGCTTTCTCTCTCTATCCTGCCGCTGTAGCCGGAGGCGCCTCAACAAACTTGACTATCGGACTTGATTCCCTCTATACACAAAATGGAAAACCCCTCACCTGCCCTCCTGATCCTGTCAGTCTGCAAGTGGCCTAACGCAGCGACGAGGGGGGCAGAATAAATTTAGCGTGGCCCCGACATGACAGGCAGTGGGCTCTTCGCATCCAGAGCCATAGGGATTCTGGTGCAGATGTTAGGTATGCACTAGGACCTCCTCATGGCACCTCTCCTGCCGACACGTATCTGAGAGGCTGTGTGTCTGGGAGATTTTAGTGCCGTCTATGCGGCGCTTTCTCTGGGCATCCAGGATGTTACAAAGTGATGTGACTTTGCTGGCTGAAATTATCTTAAAAGGGAAAATACATCGGGTATTGGGTCTCTATATTTTGGGGCTAGTACCTGTAATTCTACCAGTATCTACCACATCTACCACACTTGTAGACGGTACGGTGTAAACAGTGTAGATAGATACGAAGGCACTACTTCTTATTCTATACAGAGAACTTCCTATAATAATAAATGACTCAATAGCTAGTGAACTCATAGTCTATAGTAAGAGAGTAAACCGAGGCGACCATATGATCCGACCGATCCGTGCGCTATCAACCCATCGCGGTTGTGGCGGGTTCAACCCACAACTCGATAAGATCAGGTCATCGCCGGATGATAATGATGATGCATTGAATGGCGCCACATTCTTATCAACCACCTCAGACTCTCATCATCAGAGGCTAAAGTATAGCGTCAGCAAAAACAACTAAAATCAGGCGTGCTTTAGGCTTGATGAGGTCAAGATTTCACCGCTGGATCTTGTGAACAATAAGTCCCCACAAGTGAGAATCCGACCGAGCGGTTTGCCGCTAATCCTTTGATGATCGCGGGAAGAGGGAGGAGGAGGGGGGGGGTTCAACCTGCCTATCCAAATCATTCCTTCTTAAAAATATGGTTTCTCAGTGACGTGCTGTGGAGGTGTTCCCTCGGATAGATTCCCTGTGAGTGGCTGTTGAATCTCCTAGTGGTGACGGACTCATTTAGATTGGTCCCCTAATTTACGCTTTATTTTTTTTTGTTTAGTCTTATTTTATTTTATATTTTTACTTCTATTGTATACTCAGAAAGAGGCTAATAATAAGATTCGATCTCTTACACTACACTGGGGATCAGTGACAGAACGGGGTAATCCGAGGTATATGATTCCGTCCGGCTTCTTGGGGTCTTCCATTGGCTTGGGTGGGGGGCTTTAACGGTGTAGTGTGGAAACAGGATCCACTATGACAGGGTCGTTCTCGGGGACTCAGCGCTCTCTGTCTTTCTCACTTGTCAAGCCATGGTAATGGCACAGAAAAAGGAAGGCGTATATGTCTGCCTATATGAGGTGCATTAGGCACACTGAGAGTAGTTTAGTGGAACATTTCTGCAGATGTTCTATGTTTAATAATTTAATAATTTAACATATATATTTATTTCTCTTTCTTGGCATACTCTTGTCAATTTATTCTGTGCTAAGATGGCTACTAACGCAAAATGATATACAGTACTTGCGAGCTCCAAGCTATGTATATAAAACCCGCAACCCATTGCCACTGAATCCCCCTAGCTCCAGATCCGAGTTTGGATCTACAAATAGAGAATGACCTTTGATGGCTTCTCTTATCTTGTGGGATGGATATAATACATCATTTGTACAAGGATACCGATGCGCTGCACATGTAAGTAATACCGGCCACTCAATCTCGCATCCGCTCCTTGCTACGATCAACAGCCCTAGCTCCAAAACCCTCCCCGCTTTTCCTAATACCGTGAGGTCCCTGCCCTATAGGGGGATCATAGTCAGTATGTGAAAAGTGAAAGAAAAAAAAAAGTTCAATTCTCTTTGATTTCCGCGGGGGATCATATACTACTAAATTAACCACGCCCGACGTTAGATCGATTAGATCCTTTGAGAGGGGTTTTGGTCTTATTTGGCTTCTTTATTTTAGGTCTTCGTTTCAGATTCCTATAGTCTTGGGACTTTTCCTCCTAGTCAATTTTTGCCACTCTACACAGATCACTGGCAATGCTTTTTGGGAAGGTGTTCAGTCAATACATTTGGATGACATCATGAAGATGTATAGGCGAAATTTGTGGGATTCGCTTCTTTTTACTTTACTTTACTTTACCAGTAACAGTATTACTGTATCTCAAGGGCTGTAAGGTACCCGACCCCATTGTTCTTTTGTCCCCTTGTGGTCAAGTAAGCCGATAGGGATGATTTCCAGGGAGAGATCTCAATTAAATGTCCCCCAATCATAAGAATAAAAACTGTTGTACATTGAATATGTATGAAATGACTGATATAATGCAAGGTAGGTGATTCACCTCGGTTCCTTCAGGGGTACATTCTTACTGTTGGATCTTAATTTTAATTCAAGAGTCAATGTTGCCCCTGATGGGTCTGATCTTCAGGAGAAGAAGGGAGGGATTGCTTATCATCTCCATTCCAGCGAGTTTTGGCCTCCCAATCCTTTTCGGGAAAATCACCTCAAGGAGAAAAATGAAATACAACGAACGGCACCGAGAGAACGGATCAAAGGATTCAAACCATCAGCTTTTGCCTTGGAGTTCCTCTCTCTGTAAGATTACAAGAGCCCAACTGAACGGAACCAGTACGCCTCAATGCGCCCCTTCATGTTGAGTAGTTCGTGGAGGGTATTTGCCTACTAAAGGTAAGGTATGATAATTAGTTTTTTAAATACTCTTCTTGCCGGTTATTTCCTGCTTACATATTTAGGCTGCCACTGGATGACTGTTTGATGATGATGTATAGGGCCAACGCATGGACGGAGTATGTCTCCATGGCTTAATGACTGCAGTGCATGCAATGCAATGCCATCGGAAAAGAGATAAAAAATAAAACTAAAAACAAAAAAAGACTCACCCGTCTCAAACACCCCATCCCGTTTCACCCTTTTCACCCTGCAGCCCTCAGCTCAGCCTTGCGATCCTTCGATGCGTCTTCGATGCTGAACTCAACACCCTCACACCCCTGCTCTATGCCTCTCTACTGGCCAGCCACCATGCATGAGGAGTCATTCCGTCATCCTTGGACCTCTTTTGCGATGCAGCATCCCGGTGCCGTCAGCTCTCCAACAAAACGTGCTGTGGTCAGTGCCCAACGTGCAGGATTTTGATTCCGCCCGCATTTGTTGGCTTTTGGGCGCTGTCCATTCAGCCCTGAGCTGACTGTTTTTTTTTTTTGTTTCTTTGTTTCTTTGTTTCTTTTTCTTTTTTAAACAACCTCTCGGAACTTCTCCACCGAGGCGGTTGTCGCACATCACCCCGTGTAACCAAGAAGCATGGATTGCAAAATCTCCTGGTCCTATTCTCAATGACGGAATTGTGTTTCAAAGAAGAGTTTTCCGGTCGAGACATGCTGCTGGTGTGCTGTTGTCCTACTGATCTGTACAGTCTACTTGGTGGATGTCAATTCTGACATTGTCACAATGACTGCATGAGCTGCAACAGCTCGCAAAGTCAGTCAGTCAGTGCCTGCACGATTCAAGCGCTGATCTTGAGTGAGTCATACCTTGAACTATACCCCTCATAGTTAATTAATTGCCATGTTGACTCAGACGCAAAATACAGACCAGGGGAAGCCATATACAGTACCAGCCTTGGGGTCAAAGGAACCGCTGTCAAACCAAGTTTCTAATATTAGGATCCCGTCGCAAGTCTCCTGTCAGATATTCTAACTTCCTACTTTGGAAGTCCCCCCAATTCCTTCTCCCCGGTTTCTATTCTGGATTGTTGAGACCGTGCGATTCCAAGATCCGGCCCCGTCATCAATCCCTGCAAAACCCAGGCGGCTCTTTACCAGCTCGCAGGGTTAGGTCGAGGGTGTGTGTGCCATGCATCGGCACCAGCACCCGAGGCAGCTTGCAGCTATTCTTTTCTCTCTGCCTCAGATATCGCTCTGGTTACCCTTTCCGGGCCCGTCCTGGCTCTATTCCATACTCTCATTCACTCAATTCCTGCGCTACGGGCATGCTTGAATGCTTGACATACTTGAACACAATTTGAAATAACCTATACGAAGCATCCCCCCACACTCTCTCTATCGGTACAAGGTAATGGTATTCTCGTCTTGATGATCACACCAGATACCAGGAATTCAGCACCAGCCCCAAGGAACAAAGCCCGCGGATACCGGGGCCGAACACGACCCGCCTCTGTGGTTCATAGTCAGGTTCTGGGTTCTGGGGGCTAAAAAAGAAACACTAGCGGTACTCAACTGCTTATGGACAACGTGGCTTTTAGAATGCTTATCGACTATTAGCTCTTGATTGATATTTACGACCCCGAAATAGCAACACCCGCTTGTCATTCGATTGCTCAGTCTCCGAGGGGCGGTTGGCATCTATACTAACAGCTAACATACATATCACGAAGATCTTGCAAATCCTGAGTGGGGCCGGCAGTCTATTTTTTTCTCGCTCCTGTCGGGTTGCAAGGCGAACTGGGTCCTGCGTCTCTATATTCAGATAGTTCGGGGCCGTCATCAACCAACAATTGTGGGAGAACTGTGTGCCTTGGCGTGCTTCGTTCAGCGATGCTGTTTGGGACTATGCCTTTCCATGTCGATGACTCGTGGCGTATTTGGGCCTTGATCTGGGTTATATTGGATTTTCTTTCTCTCCCGGTTCCAGGCTCCCGCTTGTTAGGAATATAGTGATACTATCGAATTGACTGAATCTATCTGTAATAAATAGAAGAGAAATGTGTGGTCTTCCTCTTCGCAGCTCCACTTTTCATTACCCTCGGGAACCCCAAGCGCAATTTATGCGAAACCGAGAGCACACAAATCCTGTGGCAGGGAGGGCTCAAGTACTAGCTAAGCGGGCCGGAAATCTCGTCAGGGCAGATTAATACTGTATGGGGAAGTTATTATTTTAATACTAGTATCATTATTAGTATTATATTAATAGAAATATGGAGCTCACTTTTCATCTTCTAATAATAACGAGGAATGACTGGGAAATACAGGATAGGACTGTGGTCCAGGACTGATACAATACACTCTATGTAATCGCCTAGCTTCTAATTCCTGTGGAAGTATTCGGATGCCAAAATACGAGAGCTGGTCCATGGTTGTGGGGATGTGCGGTGGATCTGGGTCCATTAAACGGTGATATTCAAGAGCTAGAAGTAGTAGAGAAAGTAAAACTAGAAGAAATTGACGAGGCAAGGACAACGAACATGGTTGAATACTTGAATAGTCGAGGTGATCGCGTGTAATCAATTGCCTCTCGCTCTGGCCTGCCCACCTTCCGCAACCATCCGTGCCGGCGTATAATGGATGCCGCTGAACCCCAGGCCACTACCTCACTCGAGACCAAGGATTGTGGCTTGGACTCTGAAAGCCAGCACTTGAGCTCTGATGCCAGTCGAGATGTCGACGCGAGCTTCACCAAAGCTTTGCCCAAGGTCGAGGTATGCACCCCGCGCCTGCGGGGCGCATCGCTGCTAATTCAAGCTCGCTAGCTCCATGCCCATCTGAGTGGCAGCATCAGTCGCAAATGCCTTCATGAGATATGGAAACGCAAGAAGCAACAGAACCCCGCGCTGCAGGTGGAGGATCCCCTAGTCACTATGCCGCTGGGCAAAGTCGACTATACTCTTCAAACGTAGGGAAAGTCCTGGTCCCTGACGTGAAATATTTGAGGCCATCAATTCACAAACCTTGGACAGATTCTTCCAAGTCTTCTCCAAATCCATTTATCAACTCTGCAATGACCTGGAGAGTCTCGCCTATGCCACGACCTCGGTACTTGAAGACTTCTTCAACGACGGAGTCCGATACCTAGAGCTGCGGACGATCCCGCGGGCATCTCGTGAATCCAGCATCACCAGAGAAGAATACATCGCTACAGTCCTAGACCGCATTGACAAGTTCCATTCTAAAACAAACGACATGTCCGTGTTCCTGATTCTGGCCCTGGACCGGGGCAACACCACGCCCACCGAAGCCCTGGAGATCATCGACCTTGCCATCCACCACAAACCACGCGGGGTGGTCGGGGTTGATCTCTGCGGCAACCCGACACAGGGCGATGTCAGCATCTACCAGGACGCGTTTGCTCAAGCCAAGGCCCATGGGTTGGGTATCACGCTGCACTTTGCCGAGACACCGGCCTCGGGCGAGCCGCGAGAACTGGCGACCTTGCTTTCGTTCCAGCCTGACCGGCTCGGGCATGTTATCCACGTGCCTGATGAGTTCAAACGGGAGATTTCACGGCGGAAACTCGGTCTGGAACTATGCATGTCGTGCAATGTGCATGCCAGAATGTTCGATGGAGGGTTTCTGGATCATCATTTCGGGTACTGGAGGCATGAGGCCTGCCCGATTGCTCTGTGTGTAAGTCTCTTGTGTTTTATGCTTACTCCCTGACTTTCTTTTTGACTTTCTTTGTTTCTTATTGGAATCCGTGGCTGATTGCTGCTTATATTATCTGTTGAATTAGACCGACGATGTCGGCTTCTTCTGCAGCCCGGTCTCGCACGAGTACTTGCTCGCGGCGCAGCATTTTGACCTTAGCCGGGATGACTTATGGGACATGAGCTTGAAGTCGGTGGATGTGATTTTTGGCGGAGAGCATGAGAAGAAGCGACTTCGTGGGCTTCTTGAGGCATTCAAGAGGTGAGGTCGACTAGATGTTCATCGGGATATACCCCGGTAATCTATAGTTCCCTTCTTCGGCGAACAACTTAGTAGATGCAGTAAACATGTAATTTTCGTTCTCATTCTCATTCTTACCCTCATTCGTAGTTTCGTAATCTTCTTCGGCATCCACACATCTCCCAGCACCGCCCGACGATCTCAACGCGAGTCATACCTGTTTGGGTGTCCGCAGTGGAGCCAACATGCAAACCAGCGACGATTCGAGTGCCCGCCACGCCTCAAATGAGATCACCGCCACTTTGTTACTTGAAATCTCTACAAGACTGGGAAACTTTGAGTCATTAGTCGATAGATAGGGTACCTCTATCAGGATATTTAAGTTGTATCAACTCCCTTAGAGTCTTCCGATCAACATAGCTTCCTCTCGAACCATCGAGCCTGGGGCCAACAGATCTTTTTCTTGTCTTTCTTTAAGAACCATCATGGCTTCCAGTGCAGCTCTCCCCCAGACACTCAAGTCTATCACCGCCACCAAGATCAAGGAGTTGTCCAAGCAACGCACACTATTCGACAAGCGCAAAGATCAGATCTTGGAATCCGCCCAAGCCGCACCGGACCTGCGGGCGCAGGTCCATGTACTACTGGAGGGAATCTCTCAACTGAAAGGGTTTCCCAAAAGCACGCTCGACAAAGACGATATGGACTTGGACGACGATGATGGTTCGAGCTCCGAGTCCGACGAGCCGGTCGCGACACCGGGAATGGGCCAATTGGACCACAAGGATCACACCAACATCCGGCGCTTCCTCCTGCAGAGCCGATACGACACTTCGATCTCGGAGACGAGTCTCCGGGACTGGATCGCGCGGCTGGAAAGCGAGGTGCGGTACCTGGAGTTGAAGCACGAGCATGCCGCATTTTACAGCCAACTGGTCACGGAGTGGCTGGCGCACTTGGATGAACAGTCCGCGAAGTCTGCACCAGACAGTGCCGCTGAGACCACTGATTCGAGCACGTCCGACTCGAGTTTCGAGAAGGTGGGATGTGCCGAGCACGAGCAGCGGGCTACATGGGAGTCGTTGGTCTTCACGGCAGACACCCACGCCGACTACGAGAACATCCGGTCGTATCTTGACGGGCTGTTCAATCAGACCCAGATGTCACGGCAAGCCCTCAAAGAGCTCCGAGGAAGCCTGCAGAAATTCGGGACCGAGTTCGCCGCGAGGGGAGAGTGGCTCGATGTGGACGAGCTGCGATGGGTTTCGCAGGCGCTGATGAAAACGGACCTACTCAGCAACGAGAAGACCACCATTCTCAAAGAGTTCATGCGCAGCAATGAGGTCGCCCAGGAAGTGGCCGATGTGCTCAACATGCGCCTGGCGTCGCTGGAGAGCTGGGACTGGGGGGAGGGGGCATCCCCGTCGAGATGCGTCGCCAGCTGAACGGGAAGTACCGTGTGTTTATGGACGAGGGTCTGCTTGACAGTCTTATGCTGCAGTATATTGGATCCATGTGGGCTGTCAAGCTCAGAAAAGCGTTTGAGCGGTTCCTACGGTCCGAGGCGTGGAGTCCTCTCCGTCAGGAGATCTCGGAGGAGGACCGTAAAAGACGCAAATATTTCCTGGGGTCGAGCAACCCCAGTCCGCACAACATCAACGCGTTGCGTGAGGAAACATACCGAGATCAATATTTCATGAGCCAACTCCCCGAGTCGACTAGCGAGGGTGCTCGGAGTTACGACGACGAGTCCAAAGGGAAAAGTGCCCTGGACACAAAGCACTCTCTCCTCCACCTCCTCATCACCGAGTCTATCATCCACAAGAGCCAGTGGGGGGAGTTCACCGCGGTCCGCTCTGACTTCCAGTGGTTTGGCCCTTCCATGTCCCACACCACGATGCTCACGGTGCTGGAGTACTTTGGCGTCCCCAGGGTCTGGCTGGACTTCTTCGATGTCTTCCTGGAGGCACCCCTCAAGTTTGCCCAAGATGGCCCGGGTGCCTCGGTTCGAGTCCGCAAGCGCGGCCTTCCAATGAGCCACACGCTGTCGGACTGTTTCGGAGAGTCTGTGCTTTTCTGCATGGACTATGCAGTCAATCAGAGCACGAACGGTGCCTTGCTCTACCGGTTGCACGACGACTTCTGGTTCTGGGGTACTGAAGACACCTGTTCTAAGGCATGGGCAGCTATGACCAAGTTTGCCAACGTGGTGGGCCTAACCTTCAACGAAGAAAAGACGGGCACTGTGCGGATGGGCAAGGAAGAGAACCAAAAGAACTCGGATCTTCCTGTCGGAGACATCCGCTGGGGCTTCTTAGTTCTCGATGCGCAGCAAGGCAAGTTCGTCATCGACCAGGCGCAGGTGGACCAGCATATTGAAGAGCTGTCCCGCCAGCTGAAGTCGTGCAAGAGCGTATTTTCCTGGGTGCAAGCCTGGAACAGCTACTTCGGGCGGTTCTTCACCAATAACTTTGCCACGCCGGCCATGTGTTTCGGGCGAGATCACATCGACATGGCTGTGTCAACGCTCAGCCGCATCGAAAGTGCCCTTTTCAACAGCACGGTCTCTAGCACAGGCCGCGGCATCACCGACCACCTGCGCGGCGTACTCGCAGACCGGTTCGACATCCACAACCTCCCCGAGGGCTTCTTCTACTACCCCGTAGAGCTGGGCGGGCTCGGGCTCCTCAACCCCTTCATCCGACTCCTCGCCATGCGCGAAAACATCAAGCAAACCCCACAGCGACAAATCCACAAGGCCGCCCTCGAAGACGAGAAGCAGTACCGACGCGCCAAGGACAAGTTCGAGCGCCTCGGCCCGGACACGTACTCCTCACCCTGGAACAAGCCCAGCGGTGATTCCGAGTCCTTCATGTCGCTCGAGGAATACACCAAGCACGCCGAGACCTACAGCGGCGCGTTCCGCACCGCGTACCGGGCCCTAACTACCGTGCCCGAAGAAAGAAGCGTCGAGCAGACAAGTCGCTTTACTAAGAGTCAGTCTGAGCTGACGGGTAAACTCAGTGACAAGAGCTCTATCTCTGCGGTCTGGAGTCAGATGTCCCCCTACTGGCGCTGGGCTGCGGAGCTGTATCATGACGAGATGGTGCGCACGTATGGCAGTCTGGCTGCAGTGAATCGCGAGTTCATGCCGCTGGGCGTGGTGAAGACCCTCAAGGAGGGACGGTTTAGATGGCAGAGCTGATTTCACTATGTGGATATTTTTTTTCTTTTGCTTTTACTTTGATACCCCTTTGAATTCTGGAGCTATGTTGGTGGGCCTGGAACTGTAAATATAGTTGGTGATGCTTCAAGAATGTAGATGAAACGCAAATATAAATCTACCAAAATCAGCTATGGTAAAGTCTAAGCAATTCCTTCCATTAGCGTTCTGATAAATGCATAAAGATTTTCCCAATTTCCCGAATTCACGCTATTAGAAAAGCGCTCAAGATTACAGCTGCACTATCTTAGGGCTGACTTGAGTAGTGAGTGGGTCAATACCAGACTCAGTCGGCCTCGACGGACCAAACTACCGAGATTAAATGTCTCAAAAAAAGGGCCCTTTTCAATCAAGGTCCACCTCCAAATTCCCTTCGTAGACCCTCATCTCCACTCGCAAGGCCAGCTCCTTCGGGCGTTGTACTTCGGCAATAATAGGATCGGATTCGTCCTAAACATGCGCTAAGCTCACTAGTCAAATCGTGGCTTCGGCCCTTAAAAAAAGCTTCACTCCCGTGGTGAGACAGGGATTGTCCTTTTTTTTCTGTCCTTTTATTTCTCGTGGTTCTCAAATTCCGAGAGGTCGAGCGAGGAACAAGATGTTGGGAGGCAATATCGGAGCCGCCGCCGTGGCCGTCGCTCTGCTGACGGGCACAGCATGTGCCATTGAACTTGATATCCACAAAGAGCGTATGTTTTTTGAGATCCTCAATCTTATGAATTCATCACTCTAACATAGAACAGAGTCGATCAAAGATGCGGCCGCCACAGCCGTATTCAACACCATGTCCAACTACACAGCCAACCAGACGAGCTCGAATCCAAAGCAATCCCCCCGGACTTGGTGGGAGAACGGGATCTTCTTCTCGACCCTGATGCAGTACTGGTACTTCACAGGCGACGCATCCAACAACGCGGCCGTCAGCCAGGGCATGTACGACCAGCGCGGCAAAGCCAACGACTACATGCCGCAGAAAAGTCCGGGATTCGTCAACGACGACCAAATGACCTGGGGCCTGGCCGCCATGACCGCCGCCGAGCTCAACTACCCGCGCGAGTCATCGTCGATGCCCTCGTGGATATCCCTGGCCGAGAACGTGTTCAATTCCCAGGTCGCGCGCTGGGATAACACGTCCTGTGATGGCGGCATGCGCTGGGCTATCGAGCCGACCCAGAGCGGGTACACGATGAAGAATGCCCGCGAAAACGGGGGGCTGTTCCAGCTCTCTGCGCGCTTGGCTCGCTACACGGATAACCAGACGTACGCCCACTGGGCGGAGAAGATCTGGGATTGGAGCGCGGGCACGGCGCTGCTGGATACTAAGAGCTGGCGCGTTGCGGACAGTGTTCTCGTGGAAGGCAGCTGCAAGAGATCGAGCCATGAACAGTGGACCTACAACTACGGACCGTACATCAGCGGCGCGGCGTACATGTACAACATGGTTAGTGCATGATCCCTATTTCATGCTGGGACTGTAAAGAAGAAGCAAATAAAGAAGAAAAACTCGCTGACAGAAAGAACAGACAAAAGGCAACGAACACAAGTGGCGGCTGGGCCTCGACGGCCTCCTGAAAACCACCTTCGACTCCTTCTTCCCCGAGAAGCATGGCGGCAAGATCATGTCCGAGGTGACGTGCGAGCCCAAGATGCTCTGTGGCCCCAATCAAGACATCTTCAAGGGCATTCTCGCCTCCGACCTCGTCTTCACCAGCATCGTCGCCTCCCACACCGCATCCGACATTCTCCCGCGACTGCAGGGCTCAGCCGTGGGCGCCGCGAAGCAGTGCTCCGGCGGCAGCAACCACACTCTCTGTGGCCGGCGCTGGTATGACACCGAGTGGGACGGCAGCGCCGATATCGAGGAGCAGATTAGCGCCGCCAGTCTCTTCTCGGCGAATCTGGTGGTCTTCAAGAAGGATAAAAATCCCGCTACTCTCTCTACGGCTTCGAATACTACGCAGTCGACTGCGAAGGGTGCCTCCGAGTCGTCGGGCACTACTACGTCTGGTGGTGATTCTAGCAGCAAGCCTAACTCTGGTAGCTCGATTGCTGGTGGTGCGCTTGGGGTTTCTGCTGGCATTGTGGCAGGTGTTGTTGCTGCTGTTCAGGCTATGGCTTAGATGGAGTGGGCATTATATTTTCATTTGTATTAATACGAATCATCTGTCAGATGAGATGCATAGATACAGCAGGTTTCTTCTTTACTTGTTTTATTGTCTTGCTCTACGGCTCTATATTTGAACTATCCAAGCTTGCACTTGGACATGTGTCGAAGTAATTTCTACTGTACTCTCTTGCCGAGACAAGGCAAAGGAATATCTCAGCTTCATATTTATAAAAAATCACTGCTCCAACAAAAGATTCATTCTATAGGTTCTATGTAGATTCGTTGAATCATGTTTTATTTTTATTTTTATTTTTTACGTTACTGAATTTATACCTGTTGGTTGAGATGCACTTGATATGTCAGTAGTATCCAAAAGAATCCCAGATTCAAATCTATAAAACTCATTGCATCGATGCTATATATGTACTGTACAAGAAATCCAAGAACCAAAAACACAGACGCTAACAGCAAAACAAAACACCATGCTGTATAGAAAATTCCACGCCATGCCACTAGTCATCACTGTCGGATTCAACCTCGTCATTCTCTAGATCCTTCTTCCGCTCCTCCTTCAGCTCCCGATAGGTGCTCCAACTCAGAAGGAAGAAGGCCACCATGATCAAGATGCCTCCAAAGATGGACGCCCCGGAGAGCGATTCTCCGGTCCGGAACCAGTCCACGAGAGCAACGAGGAAGATGGTGAGAAGGGCGGCGACGGATGAGAGAACGGGAGACGTGAGAGAGATGAGGACAAGGAAGGAGCCCGAGAATGCTGAGAGCAGATGTTAGTATCTTAAACTGAAACTGGTGGTAAACATAATAGGCAATTTGGTGGAGCTACTCACTGGCATTGGCACAGACGGAAATGAGGAGCATCCAGGCTGCCTCGCCCGTCGGCCACTCAAAGGCCTCCCATCCCAGGACGTGCAAAAATGGCAGCGGCACCCAAAGAACCAACAGGGTGAAACAGCCGATCAGGCTGCCGAAGGTGTTGGCGAAGATAGTCCCTCGGCCAGGACTCGTCCCCTCCGGAGGGCAGGCGAACCGCTTGTACAGCACCTCGTACAGCCCATAGAGAATGCTGCCGATGCCAATGACAAGGTTGCCAAGAAGGCGGTTGCCCGCCTCATCATCGGAAGTGGTGCCTCCCTTCGAAACTTTCTTCGCTGGTCGGTCCCCGTATGCAACGACCATCACGCCCAGCGTGGCCACCGCCACCGAAAACACCTTGTCGAAGCGCAGCTTCTCTTTCAGGAGCGGGATCGAAAAGGCGTAGGCGAAGAAGGCCGAACAGTTGTAGATGGCTGTCAGGTCACTGGCCGTAGTCATGTTGACCGCCACGTACCACGAACCACCCGCGACAGTGAGCGCAGTCGTCACAAAGGCCGTGGTCTTCAAGATGTAGGGTACCGGTGAGTGGTAGAAGGGGCCAGTGTTGACATGAACATTCTGGGATTCTACCATCTGGGCAGTCGTTCGAATCAGAGAGACATGGCGGCGCCAAAATGCTTCCCATGAAAGTTTTCGCTTTTGGAGTCGAAGGATACCGAGCTGGACCGGCCAGAGCAGTGCCCAGGAACCATGGGTGATGTAACTGCATATTGGAGGGAATGGAGTGGTAAGCGATTACATTCCGGCGAACGGGGGAGGGGGGGGTCTCATGGGAAGGGTCGCAGTCGGCAGGCCGATCATCATCGTGTGTCCAAAACTTACAGCATGCAGTACGGCTTCTTCCAACCCAGCTCATTCTGAATGTATGTAGCAGTTTCCGTCTGGACCACAAAACTGGCCAGACTCAACAGAAGAAAGCCCGATGCAATCATGTACTTTTTCCGCGTTACCTGGGCCGCGTCGTGTTCGGGGCTCCGGATCGTGGGTCGTCGCGTATGGTGCAGCATGGGCCTGTCCTCTGCGTGGCCATTGCCGAAGCTCGACCGGGATAGACGGCCGTGGTGGTCATCTTTGAGAAGCGGCTGCTGCGATCGGCCATTCGTGGGTCGGTGGAATGGGGGGCGATTGGCACCCATCTCGTCGGAGTCTTGTGAGTCGCGAACCGTCTTCGGGGTTGAAGTCACCCGTGGCTCTGCAAGCTCAATGATCTCCGAAGCCACAATGTCGGTGGTGAAGTCGGCTGGTTTATTTTTGGAATGGGTTGCTCGGCAGTCAGGGGCCGGACCTTGCCTGACTCGGTGTTCCTCGCCGCCAAAAAAAGATAACAGATAAGCGGAGACGCTAACAAGGACCCGCCCATCCAAAAAATATAGGAAAAAAAAAGGGCACTATGAGCAGAGTAGGAGTTGATTCAGAGGTAAAGGAGATGAAGAATGGCTCATGGATCTAACCGCCAGGAGCCTATGTTGTTCTCCACGGCACTGTTCGCAGACCCTGGTTGCATGCGACTTGACAGCCCTCCGATGAGGCTTTAGCCACGTTTGGGGTAAAGTGGAGCAGCCAAGGAGAGTTATGTATGGCCAGACTGGGGGTTTTCTCGAATGCTGCAGGCCAAAGGATTTGAGGAAGCAATTCCGAAAGGACCAACAAAGGGAATTGGAACGAGATTTGGGAGTTGAACAAATCTGGGGGACCATGCACCCATCCGCAGATGACCGCCTTCCGGCAGCGTCACAGGGGCTGATGATGGGTCACGTGATGGGGCCAAATAAGACAGGGCTGAGGTGGCTAGGCCACATTGGGTTTAGCGGCGGGCTGCATTGGGGCAACTTCGGCTGCCTTAAAGACTTGGCAGTTGCCTACCTAAACGATGTATATACTTCCAGGTTTCCACGCTTTATGCTCACTTTGAAGACGAGATAACTATCCATAGATTAAGTAGTCCTGGACCATGGAGTCGGCACTTCTAAGGCTGTTTAGATTTATCTAGTAGTACAAGTATCAAGCTAGTATCAGCTCATTCAAGACCCTCTTCCTCAGGTTGTTAACTTGAAGCTTTTCATGTAGTCAAGCTTAGTTGGGACCTTGGGATGACCGGGTTTTTTGTTGAGGTGTGCTGGCTTTTGATTTAGATAGGGTTTCCAAGGGGCCGTAAGGATTCCATTGTCTTTATCACAATCCCATCGTCCAACAAGACAGTAATAGAGGACTATATTATTTGTTAATTTGCTTCGCTAGTAGAATGGTTCAGAACTTGGCGTGTCACAATTTCCATGACATCATTGGCTGTACATAAATATAGTCCAGGTCTCGGGATAAGTCTTTTATCAACGGACACATACTATGCATTATTGTCTCCATATTGCTGAAGGTTGCTGTACTCATCTCGCTCGTGAGTCCGATGCACGACCACGTGTGTTGCAATGAGATTGGCAAGTGTGAAGCTCGCGCTCCACGCTGTAAACCCTGACGCGACGTTATGATCCACGCTCCATGCAAGAATACCTGTCACCAACGATGCCGGAATGCTTGCTAACACAACGGTGGTTGGTCTCTGTCGGCGCAAGGATCTTTCAAACCAGGAACATATTTCCGCAGTTACAGTTTTCTTTGTAGATAAATCTTCGTCTCTATTCTCGGTTGTCACACGTTCCACTAGCACAAGGTGTCAGTAGGAGTGGATGACAAGTTGGAACAGATAGGCCTACCTTGGTTCTGAGTATTGGTCACAGCCGGCATTGAGGGATCACAAGGAGTGGATGATAGCTTGGAAGAGACAGGCCGGAATCCGTTCGGAGCATCAGTCACAGCCGGCATTGAGGGATCACAAGGAGTGGATAATAGCTTGGAAGAGACAGGCCGGAATCCATTCGGAGCATCAGTCACAGCTGGCATTGAGGGATCACAAGGAGTGGATAATAGCTTGGAAGAGACAGGCCGGAATCCATTCGGAGCATCAGTCACAGCTGGCATTGAGGGATCACAAGGAGTGGATAATAGCTTGGAAGAGACAGGCCGGAATCCATTCGGAGCATCAGTCACAGCTGGCATTGAGGGATCACAAGGAGTGGATAATAGCTTGGAAGAGACAGGCCGGAATCCATTCGGAGCATCAGTCACAGCCGGCATTGAGGGATCACAAGGAGTGGATAATAGCTTGGAAGAGACAGGCCAGAATCCGTTCGGAGCGTCAGTCACAGCCGGCGTTGAGGCATCATAAGGAATGGACGATGAGTTGGAATAGATGGTCCCAGTATTGAGGAAGCCGTTCGCTTTTTATCGTTCTAGTAGAACTCCCCCACGTCTCCTTCCCCCTTCAAGAAAAATCGTGATAGAGTGATGCGCGCCCAAGTTCAAGTGAGGCGGAAGACGTGTTTCCAATAGGATCAATACTCGACAAGGAGGGATGAGTGTGGCAGCGCAGAGATTGGGTGGCTGCTGATCCATACTGTCCTTTTGCAAGTGCAGTCGGCGACGTCAGATGAGTCTGGCTAGGTAATGGAAACAGAAAGGAGAGGCTCAAAAGGGGGTTCCTAAAAATGGAAGTGGGTCTGACATGTTGAGTTTCCAACCAAGTTAGAGCCAATAGGCTCGGCTTGTATAGCCATTGGGTAGCAAGGAGAGCACCCCTTTCCGCTGACGCTTTTTAATTGCAGTAAGAGAGAAAAAAGGGAAACAGAGCTGGTGGGCATGTGGGGTCGTCATGCTAATGTAGGTTGACATGTCGGCCTCGATATCCAAACGTTCGGAACCCTGCATGAATTGGCTATTTGCGAAAGCCCAACTGAAACGTGGTCGAATGGACTAAGTTCCTCGAAAGAAGGGCGACATCAACAGCCTTATTTCAGGCAGAGCTTACGCCAATCGAGGTGTTTCAGGTAGCCAACGAAGCGCTCAAAATATGAGTAAAATGGCCAAAGACAAGGACAGAAGTCTGGAGCAGACTTGTATTCTTGTCGAATAAAGGGTAGAAATGGTCTGGGCAAATCGGAGGTTGCACAATTTTTAAGCCCCTCAAAATGATTCCTGGACTTCGAAATGTAGATGTGTGAACTGCATACTACTCATAACAATGCCACATGAAAAGGTAGCCCTATTGTGTTAATGAGTCTCAAGCTCTCGAAGTGGTTGTTCATCCCGCAGATTGTGGCTTGCACATTGCGCTAGTTGCCCAAGTCCAAGGCCCGACATGTGACTATTATTTATGTGGAGAGTTGGGAATTCAGTTCTCTGCGAGCGATTGACTATAAAGACAAGACAACTTCACACTTCATGCGCTTCTCTTAAAAATGAAATCCATCAATCTCTTTTACCCGCATGCCCAATATAAAACGTGAATACTCTTAACTTCCTTTCATTGGTCAGCGGAAGTCCACTCGCCATTACTCCATTACAAAATTCCAAACCCGAGCTTTATCATTCTGGTTCTAAAACCGTCGGCCACTTCATATTCTCCACCATAATACCTTTTCAACCAGGTATTTCTAACTTATCCCTTCCATCAGCCGGCTACACCTGTTCAGGACGAATTTGACATGTATTCATGCAGACCGACGTCAAGATGACAATTCTTCCCCACGAAAACGTCAAATATTGGCGTTTGGTATCTGCTATTCTTGGAACATGTTCAGCGACGTTAATATCATCCTCTTCAGTAAGTGGCATACCAACCCTAGAATGGAGGAGAAATCTTGGAGGGGGCGAGGCTTAGTTTATTGTTTGGGGCCACCTGTGGCTGTGTCTTTGTGTCTGGTTAACTCACTAATTTGCTAACCTGTCTATAGTTATGTGAAGATCCCGGTCCAAGCTTTTGTTTGCCACACCAAATAATTCTTCCGACTGGAGTTATATACACTTGCTCGGTTTCAATCCTATACCGCAGTAATGAAGGTGACAAGTACCAGAAAACATTCATGGTAATTGGGATAGGAACTGCAGTCCTCACAGGCATGGTCATGTCAGCCGATAAAGGAAGCGGGATAGTAGTAGAGTACGTGGTGTGGGGTCTGCTGCTGTCATTGCTCACAAGTTGGCTAGTTCACAGCTACTTTGAACGCATGTGAAATATTATTGAAGAAGATTATTATCGTTAAGGGAGAATAAAATCGTAGATAATTAAAAAGTTAATAATATTTCTTTATACTTTAAGATTTAATATTAAAAAATAGAAAATAAGGCTTTTTAAGAAATTCTTCTTTTATAATAAAATAGAAGCTATAAAGAAAAAAAGGATAAAAAGCTTAATAAAGTTAAGATTAACTGAATTAGTAATACTAAAAAGTAAGATACTATAATTAATAATAAGAGAGGGCTAAATAAAGTAAACAAAATAAATAAGATAAATAAGCCCTAGCTACTACTACCTAGGAATAATACCTAGATATAAGCCTTAGAACGAAAATGTAAGAGTTAAGATAATAATATCTTTAAGTATTATTAATTAGACCTTAGCGGTAGATAAAGTATATTATTCTTTATTTTCTTCTCTATATAAATCTATTAGAACTAAGGTTCTAAATACCCCTATTAAAACTAGGGGTTTAAGGCCTATCTTAAAACCCTAATTCTAATCTACCTAAATATTATAAAATACTACTTAAAAATATAAATAAAGACTTAAAATATATAATTTAACGCGTCTTTATTATAGCAATAAAATAAACGCATTAGTTAAGGCTACCTAACCTTAAAAGGGGGGATAATTATAAAAGATCTACTAAGATAGCAAGATATAAGGTTATTCCTAACTAAAGGAAGGGGTAAATTAGGTAATATCATATAATCCTAAAGAAAGTCGAAACTTGTTGCTTAATCTACTCTACAGTGGAATAATCACGATACATAATAGAGACCCTATCGTTTATATTATCGATAATACGTGGAGTTACGAAGATACTATATAATAAATTGACACTCTCGTATCTAGCTAGCAAGACAATATTCAGTCTTAACAGTAATAAAGATATACTGTTTTCCCTTACTCCTTCCCCTTGTTTCTTTATCTGATCGATAGGCCTTATACCCTAACAAGTATATTCTTTACAATTCTTTAATCCTCCGAAAGCAGATAGTCTATATAGTCCTCGTTCGATTAGATACAATATCTATTCTCGTATTATTCTCTAACTACGGGGCTTTTTCTAACTAAGGGAAAACTTATTTCCGTTAATAATATTCGATAATAGTAATATCTACTGGCGTCTTTAGCTTAAAATTTAAGGGGAGCTATCTAAGGCTACGAAAATATTCTAATCTAACTCGAGTCTCTTTATAGAGAATAGGATTGATCTAATATTAATACTCTTTAAGTTAAATAAAGAGTATAGAAGCTAATACTATAAAGATAGGGTTTCGAGTTTATATTCTAGAAGATAATCACGTTAAGATTAATTTTAGGGGTTAAAAAATAAGGATAAAAGAATAGAAGGGTATAAGGATACTAAAAAAGGGAAAATAAATATCTTATAGACGCCCGATTAGATAGGCGAAAAGGGAGGGGAGCTATTTTCGGCGTCGTTTTAGTCGCGAGTGGAAACTAAGGGAACAACTATTGAGGTCGAGCGCTAATATCAGGACTAGAGGATAACTAACAGTGCTAGACGGGTACAGAATAGTAGTAGTCTAGGGTAATAGGCTGTCAAGCGGCGGTTTACCGCTGGAAGTTACGGGGTGGAAAGGCGGCCGTTTCTGGCCTTAAAAGTGGTCATTTTCGGCGTCAATTTCATAGGTCCTCAGATTCTATTTGTAATTAATTATCCAAGAAAAGAATCGAAAGATACAAACTCACCTTCTGCAATTCCGAGATGAGTGACCTCATAAAAAACGACGCTAAACAGTGTAAAGTACATTTCATCCAAAGAGACCTGAGTTCGTGGTGCCGTATTGTATGCAAATTTGTTCGGCTGTTTACGACGATCACGGGTGTTTTTATTGAGCGCATGAGTTAGATACAGCATCAGAACCCACTTTGGTGGGTTAGGAAACTCGTTCATCCAGCCCATCGCAAAATCTTGCACGTATGGAGGTTAAGAGCTCTCAAACCACTCATTATGTATATAGCGGTCACAGCCAGTATCCAATTTCGGGTTTGACAGTACTTGGGGCAGCCAAGAAGGACCACCAATTCCACGATCATAATTGTGGTTGCTTGGAATAAAAGAACGCCCAAAAATGTAGGTTGACTGCGGAGGACCGCTCAGAGGAAGGGAATCTACTGGGAAGACGATGACCGATAGAGAGAAAATGCTGATCTTACAGGATTTGGTGCGGTTATACATGGGGGCCGGTTAATGAGGACAAAAAGGATGAGGGCTAGGTTTTTCTCCGTAAGAAGACATATAACCAGGGGGCGGCCCCCTTTGGTCCTTGCTTACGGCTGGGTCGATGATATTGATAGGGCAACAATAAAACTACTCGAGCTTATATTACCTTGGAACCAATCCCCTTGAATCACAGGATCTTCCCACCCGGCTTGTTGGAATCTATTGGCCGTGTCTGTGCATTTGTATGTATTCTATACGCCCATTTACAGCCCTCATGCTTTGGGCTTGAACAAGGCCTCCTGGGTATCATAGGTGTACTTCAGGTCCAGGTGCCAATAGTCTGGCGCAGTAGGCTTAGCCACCAGCCATGCCTGGTCCAGCGCTTCCACCACCTCATCGGGCAACGGCCCTTTCTGAAGATCCCGGAGGTTAGTCTCCAACTGCTCGAAACTACTAACGCCCACCAGGAGGCCGTCTCGGCTACCGTTGTCCATGTTAAGGGCTGAGTGGTGCCGCACCCAGCGCAGGGCCGTCTCCACGAGCGTGAGCCCGTGCTTCTCCACGACCGGCTCGATGACGCTCAAAGCCTCAAACGTTGCATCTCGGAAATAGCGCCTGCGGTAACCGGCTCCCCCCTTGCTGGTGTCACTATATCTCCCTTCTGCGGGGATGTCATGTGTCTTGTATTTGCCGGAGAAGAGTCCACCGGCAAGCGGGTTATAGATGACGATGTCGAGGCCGTACCGGCGACAAGCATGAACGAGCTCGGTCTCGATGTTGCGTGCTAGAAGAGCACAATATGTGTTAGCTGAGGGTCGGTGGAAGATTGCAATTTAAGGGTTGAAACATGCTAATTGCATTGTACATGGCCTGGAAGATGGTTGGGCGCACCCAGCCCTTCTGAGCACACAGCGTGACAATCTCCGCCACCTCAAAGGCCGTAAAGTTGCTGAGGCCCAGCTCGACAAACTTGCCCTCCTTGTGCAGCTGATTAACGGCCTCCAGGGTCTCGGCAAAGGGAACCGAACGATCCGGCGCATGGAGATAGAAGATATCGACTTGGTCTGTATTCAATTCCTGGAGGGACAGCTCCAGCTTCTCGCGCAAGACATCTGGTTTATGGCCGCCAGGAAACTGCGGGTACCATTTGGTAGCCAGAGTCAGGCTGCGTTGTTTCCAGTTGGCCTTGGCTGTGAATGCCTCCTGCTCGCCGCCGATATAGATCCGGGCGGTGTCGATTTCATTGAATCCCTGCTGCTGGAAGTAATCGAGGCACCGATTGTACTCGTCGAGCGATGTGATTCGGGCGCCCTTGGACTCGCTCGGTCCGAAGGTCATCAGCCCGAGGATCACTCGCGGCTGTAAGCTCTGAGTAACGAGAGGCATTGTGAATTAATCAGTGTGTATATACCTTGTTGAGGGAAGTGGCAAGGGGGAGGAAGCTCAAGGCGGGGCTGCGGAGTACCCCGCTAGTCGATAACGCACGCCATCGTGGACTTTGATTTTCCGCGGACCTGACGATCTATGTTCTTATTTTCCCCTGCTCTCATGCAATTCTTTTCTCTCGGTATATCTCAGCATGCCCCAATGCTCTAGTCGAAAATGGACACTCTTGGGATGATATACACTGCGGCAGAGATCGCCAACTTGGACCCGAGAAGAGGCATGCGAAAATACAACGTTTTGGTCATCAATCCCAACTGCTCGACGGACATGACAGATGCCCTCAACCCTATTTTGGACAGTCTCAACTACGGAGACGTGCATTTCGACTACTTCACAGCGCCACAGGAAAAGATTGCGGTCAATGGAACCTGGTGCGATCCAATCCCCAGTATCAACTCAGGCGAAGAATCAGCAAAGTCAGCATTGAACTGTTGGCAAGTCAGGGAATTCCTTGATCGTTACGATGCCTTCCTGGTGGCCTGCTACTCAGCCCATCCATTGGTTGGCATGCTGAGGGAGGATATCCAGAGCCTTGAAGAGACATCACCAAATACCCGAAACAAATACGTGACGGGAATATTCGAAGCAAGTATCACAGCAGCACTGTCAATGATCAGTGCATTTACCTTGGAGAAGCCCGTTTCTCCAGAACAAGGATTGCACAAGCATCAAATACCCGATACATTCGGAATCATCACTACCGGCCACGCATGGAAAGAAGAGCTCGGCAATGCAGTTACGGATATGCTTGTTGGCATGGCCCAAGCTCCTTCTACACGCTTTGCTGGTGTGGAAACCACTGGGCTGACAGCTATCGAGCTACACACGACCCCGCCAGAAGAGGTGAAACGACGGATTAGCGAGGCCACTCAGCGATTGATCCAGAATGCCTCTAATCCTGTCCAGGCTATCTGCCTGGGATGTGCAGGAATGGCTGGCATGGAGGAGGCAGTACGAGAAGGCTGCATCCAAGCCTATGGAGAGAAGGAAGGTCGTCGGGTCCGAATTGTTGACGGGGTGGTCGCTGGTGCTGGAAACCTGGTGACGGCCTGCAAAGCAGGTTTTTGATTTGGAACATTGGATGACCTGGAAAAATCTTGTGTATTAAATCATGAATATTCTTCTGAAATTATGAATCAAAAGCAGTTTAATTTTAGTTGTTTCACAGAGAAATGTTGAAGCCCGACCTTGGAGATCAGGTACCAATTGATAGTTGCCTGAGGCTGTCAGTTCGGCAAAAGTTCCCCGCGCGTACGCGGTACGCGTGAACAACACTCGGCCTCCTTCGACCAACGATGCCACGGTGAGTCTGCACTGGAGGATTCAGTGATTGCAATTCCTGTATTTTGAAAAGAAGTTTTGATGCTAATCTCAGCGCTACAACCAGAGAAATCATCACGATCCAAGCCGGCCAGTGCGGCAACAACAGTATGTGGCTCTCCTCCCCGACGTCTCAATCGGATCTCCACGCTGCGTCAATCCACCTGCTGGAGTCTCTGGGATGGAAATACAGATGAGGAAATGTAAGGGTTCATGTCGCTGACAGTGGCTCTCTAGTTGGCAGCCAGTTCTGGCAGCAGCTTTGCCAGGAGCACGGAATCAGCCAGGATGGGAATCTTGAGGAGTTTGCGACCGAGGGTGGAGATCGCAAGGATGTCTTCTTTTACCAGGTGTGTCTTGGAGAATGAGATAGACCATCTCCCTGGTGAGGCGACGAAGTGGGAACAATTGAGGCTGACTTTGATCTGCACAGAGTGACGACACCAGATACATTCCTCGAGCAATCCTTCTTGACTTAGAACCTAGGGTATGCAGTCTCGATTCGATAATTACACGACAATTGACACCTGAGAAGTTGGAACACAATCACTGATGCTCAACCGACCAATAGGTTCTCCATGGCATCCAATCTGGCCCCTACCGCAACATCTACAACCCCGAAAACTTCTTCGTTGGGGAACAGGGTAGCGGAGCAGGAAATAACTGGGGTACAGGATATGCTGCTGGAGAGGGTGTACAGGAGGAGATTTTCGACATGATCGACCGAGAGGCAGATGGAAGCGACTCGCTAGAGGTAGGCTTTTGTCCCTGTGAAGCCGGAAGATGCGAGGCATTGACTCACCGTTTGGGGCACAGGGCTTTATGCTGTTGCATTCAATCGCAGGAGGAACTGGATCTGGGTTGGGTAGTTTCATTCTGGAACGGATGAACGACCGATTCCCTAAGAAACTCATCCAGACATACTCGGTCTTCCCCGACACGCAATCGCCCGATGTTGTGGTCAACCCTTACAACAGCGTGCTCACCATGCGGCGATTGACCCAAGATGCCGACTCAGTGGTAAGTATCTTTGCGGGGAACCGTATTGTGAATAACGACTAAAGCCCTGATAGGTGGTTCTGGACAATGGCGCTTTGTCGAGGATTGCGGCCGATCGACTCCACGTTCAAAAGCCCTTGTTCCACCAAACCAACCAGCTTGTGAGTACCATTTGCAGGCCATGCCAGGGTCCATAGACAAGACTAACACCGGACAGGTTTCGACGGTTATGTCAGCCTCTACAACCACGCTGCGGTACCCTGGGTACATGCACAATGACCTGGCGGGCATCATCGCCTCGCTTATTCCGACGCCGCGCAGTCATTTCTTGCTCACATCCTACACGCCTTTCACAGGCGACAACATTGAACAAGCCAAGACGGTGCGGAAGACGACGGTGCTGGATGTGATGCGTCGCCTGCTGCAGCCCAAGAACCGGATGGTCTCGATCAACCCCAGCAAGTCCAGCTGTTATATTAGTATCCTCAACATCATTCAGGGCGAGGCTGATCCGACGGACGTGCACAAGTCCCTGCTGCGCATCCGGGAACGTCGCCTGGCGTCCTTTATCCCCTGGGGACCGGCGAGCATCCAGGTGGCGCTCACGAAGAAATCGCCGTACCTGCAGAACACACACCGGGTCAGTGGACTGATGCTGGCCAACCACACGTCGGTCGCGACGCTCTTCAAGCGCATCGTCCAACAGTATGATCGCCTGCGCAAGCGCAATGCCTTCATGGAGCAGTACAAGAAGGAGGCACCTTTCTCCGATGGCCTGGGTGAGTTCGACGAGGCGCGGGCCGTGGTGATGGACCTGATCGGCGAGTACGAAGCAGCCGAGCGGGAGAACTACCTGGATCCAGATGCTGGCACGGAGAAGGAGATGGGCGCATGAGGGGTGGATCGGGTCTTCATCGAGTGCTATTTCTTTCTAGCTTTTTTGCAGGGTCAGGGGTTCGAGGCGCATCATCGGGTGTGCGAGGCTACCGGCGTTTTTATTTTTTTTTCTTTTCTTTTTTCTTATTCAGACTTTTGCCCCTTATCATGAATCCCATGGCTGTGACAACACATTGGAAATCCATCGTGACACGTAGTCTCCAGGAGATTTCCGGTAGTTCCGCATAATGACATTGCAGCTGCAAGGCAAAAAAAGGGGCAGAGAGAGAGAGAGAGACCAAGAGGCATCCAAGTCACAATTTCCGATTTACAGCGCGCGAACTAGGGAAATTCCCCAAAGGAATCGGCTCGAGCGCCACTATTTGTCTAGTGACTTCCTCTAGTCACACAGCTCCACGATCATCATGCTTCACGAGGCGCATAGGCCAGGCGACTCGTCCTCTTAGCCTTGGAAACTTGGAAAGTTGTCCAGTCGGTTGTTCAGCGGACGAACCCTTTGCCACTTCCACGGCAAACCGGGGCCAGTGCCACGGGTGTGTAAGAATGCCCTGCTTAGACATCAACCTGAATGGTTTCAAAGGTAGAGTTCAAGTGATCGATCTCACGTGAAGGCGACATTCTGATGCTGAAACCATCGTCATAGATACCAGTGTTCAAGTAGGGATGGAATACTTGGGAATCCTTCGAAATGAATCCATAGAGTAAGAGTAAGCATGGTGGATGGTAAAGATGGGGGATCTCCCCTATCGAAACTTCTGGCTCCACTCATTGATTCCGTCACTTCTGCCATGTCGCCTCACTGACTCATCTCATTGAAGTTTGGTTGTTTCGGTGGCTTTCTAGCCCGTCCGTTCCGGAGTTCTGTTTCTTTTATATAGGATCTGCAGGTACCTCCTCTTCTTCCTTCTCCCTTCTCCCCCTTTTATACTTCATCACCTCATTTCCTCCCATTACACATCATTGCGCCTTCTCTCTCCCTCTCTTACTCTTCTACATCCTCTCTCTCTCTCTCCGTCTCTTCTCCTCTCTCTGGCCATCTCCGTCTCTTTGTCTGACGGAAGCCGCCGAGCCCACTCCACTCGCCCCCAACTCCACTCCAGCGCTTATCTCCCAGCGCCAACGGTCTCGGCTTCCCCCTGCAACCCTCTTGAATTAAAGAGTTGCCGCTTCCGCCCTCTTCCTCTCTCCAACTCAACACCTCCACATATCCAATCCTTTCAACCACATCCACCCTCATCCACCCTCATCATGCCTGCCCGTGGACCTCGCTGCAACGGCAAGGACTGCACTAAGCCAGCACAACGCATCGTCGGCGACTGCAGCTTCTGCCACGGCCACTTCTGCTCCGCCCACCGCATGCTGGAAGCCCACACCTGCACCGGGCTGGAGGACTGCAAGAAGGAATCGCATGCCCGCAACGCCGATAAGCTGAACAGCGAGCGGACGGTGGTCGTCAAGGGCGTATGAGAGTTGCCTGGTCACCCGCTGTTCCGCTCTTTTGAGTGTTTTGAGTGAATCTCTCATCTCTCTGTTTTCTTTGTTTCCGTTGCTTCGTTCTCACACTCGTGGGATTCGGCCGGATGTTGGGTTTAGCATGGTGTTGTTGTCTTTGATTCCTGGTTTCGGTTCGGGGGTTTCTTTTTCTGTTCCTTGCGGGTTGGATCTGATTGCGAGATCTATTGGCGTTGGCTAAGGCCTGCCTCCTGCGAGTTCTTTCTCTTTTTTTTTTCCCTCTCGATTTTCTGTCTGGGTTTCCATATGCACGGCGTTCTGACTGGAGTTATATACTGTCTTGCATTGCCATGTTTCGGGGCTGTTTAGAGATCCCGCGGGACTCCCATGGGCATTTTCGTGAGCCGTGAATCTACACTTTTTATCACAACGCCAGTCTTTGATGATTAGATTGTATGGTAATAGTACAAAGTAGAGGTACAATTGCTTCTGGGCTCGTACAATCAGGACGAGTGTCCATAAGTCTATTCCAACGTCCAGTCTCTTGATTACCGCCCTTACCCCGGTCCAATCTTCGGCCTGTAGAACCATTTGTCAGTGCAATCCAGTGGATATATCTCAAGGACTAGAAGCACGTACATGTCATGATGCTCACTCAGCCGACTCAAGTACTTGTTCAGCTCCTCGACACGCTCCTTGTGCGTCTTGATGCCGTCTCGCTGGAGACGCTCATACAACTAGACAGATAGTCAGCGGCTTGATTTTGAGTAGAGAAGAATCAGAAGCACAAGAGAACATACCCGTTTCCGCCTCGTCTCCTCATACTTCTTCTCCGTCTCCGTCTTCGCAGCGCCGCCAGCATTCCCCGGGGAAATACCGTCTCGTTCTCGGTCCCCGTCATCGTCGCCGTCTCGAGGTGTCAGCGATGTTTCAGGGCGATCACCCTGCTGAGCCTGCTCGGCCTGTTCGGCTTTCTTCTGACTCTTCTCCTTCTTTTTATTCTTCTTCTTCTCCACTCGCCCCTCGCTCACTCTACTTCCCTTCAGTTTGAGTTTGCCGCCTCCACCCGAGTACTCATCAGGCGCCATGGTGGTGTGGGGCGCGCCAACTTGCGCAAAAAGTCACAGGATGGGGAGGAAGGAGGGGGGGGAGGACACCAAAACGACAATCCTTCGCGTCTTTGTCCACGGGTCTGTCTCTCACCGGGACACGTATCCACGTAATGGGCCCGGTGCCTCACTTTCACTCTCAAGGTAGGAGGGGGGCAAAGGGCACTTGCGTTGCAGAGAGGGTCCCCGTGCGGAGTAAAAAGAGGCGAGGCACAGATCCTGTGGGCTTATTGCCTTGGGTAGGAACCTTGGTCAAGACAACAATAGTTGTGTTTCTGTGTTCTTTTTTTGTCTGATATCACCTCATCGCGGATCCTGATGCTTGGATGTGCCCTGGTAAATGCAGGACTCAAAAATGGGGGTGCTTTGGGGGGGTTTTGGGGCGGACCCGATGGGCGGTGGCGCTTGGACGTGCCCGGTTTCTCTACTATGGTACTTTGCATGCTGCTATATTGGTCTGCTCTGTCTATGCTGATATACTATTGATATGTGGTTTTTTTTTTTTAATAGTCATCAGAACATCATCTTCTCATTTCCATAATCTATTCCCCAATGTCATGTCCACCGGCTAATCAAAAGGAATCGGCCGCAGGTTCGACCCTCCCATGCGCTTGCGCATCTCTGCGCCAGCCGCCACCGTGCTTGGTACCTTGATACCGCAGCAGTCCCCAAACCAGTCCGAGTGCTCGTGCGCACCGTGCGCGTGGTCATGGGCGTGGTCCTGGTCATGGCCGTCCGCTGCACCCTCATCCTTGGAGCGCTCGCTCATGCCGTCAGCAGCTGGGAGGAGACTTCCAAACAGGAAATGTTGCATGATGGGCAGTTTCCCCAGTACTTCCTTAACAAACATCTTTTTCATGCCGCTCTCCACCTTGAACCAGTTCTTGGCGCCTGAGATATCGTCTAGCATCGGGCTGTGCCAGCGGAGTCCCTTGACTGTCTTGACGCTGTCGACCCACCGCACCTGGTCCAAATAGAGGTATTTGTCGCCTTCCTCGTCCAGCATCGCTGTGTTGTGGATCCCCAGCGGCGTCACATACGGGTGGCCCACCAACTGGCTGGCTCCGAAGAGGAACGGCAGGAAATGGTAGTCGTCCAGGCCCCAGACACCATGTGAGCCCGCCGGCTCGAGGTAGTAGGTAGATTGGATGTCGCGCATCAGGTGCATATACTCGATGTAGACGTGGAACACGACGGCGCGGAACTCGGTCGCGGGAAGGTGCCCCAGCTGGTACAGACACAGCAGCCACATCATAAAGTTCAGCTCATGACCACTGCCGTAGTCCAGGCGGTCCCGCGAGCCCAGCGAGTGAAGCAGGTAGGTCGAGGCCTCGTCAACCGCCGCTGCATCCTCCACCCCCAGGATCTCGGAATGCCATGATGCGCTCTGCGTGGCGACGGCATCGAATAAGTCCCGAAATGCCGGGTTGCCAAATCGTGAGCCGCCCTGGTCAATTGCCGGGTGCTGGAAAAGTAATGATCGGATTCGACCCACTACTGTAGAGATCTTGGAGATGGGTTCGGACTTGGGTTGGGTGGGGAGGTCGGTGATGGCATGGCCCCGGACGGAGTCAGTCAGGCCGAAGATGAAGGCAAGGACAAGGTTGTAGGTTGATGAAGAGGTGAAGAGCTCATGATCTTTGTGAGAAAGGATCCGGCGGACGGGGCGCTGGTACTGATGTGTTGAAAGGTCGGGCGGCGAAGGCAGAGGAGGGGTTGTCGGGGTTGAGTCGCGGGCTGTTGAAGGCTGTGACCTGCGGTTGCTTGACCGCAATTCTGAAAGTTTCTTGGACAGATCAACCTTGCCCAGCGGGGGTTGAAAGGTCGACGCCATGGTGGAGGGAGTTGCAGTTGCAGTGAGGGATGAAGCCGCAAGGGCGAGGCAAAATACACCACTCAGGTACTCGGTCTACCGACACTCCTTCCAAGGATTTCCGTTACAAGATGACTGTACAAGTTTGTGGGAAAAATACGCGATACTAAAATGCATTTACATTATATTCAATATATTCTCTTCCAATAATTTTAAACAAAATGTGTAGGAAATGAAAAAGAATAGACTCGTTACGTCCCACCGTGACGCCATGTCAGGTGATCTTCCCCGGAAAAGCGTCGATCCTTTGATGTTGCTTTTTTGTCTCGGGGCCACATGATGGGCGCAGCTGAAGGTGCGTGATACCCAGCGCAGACGAGGAGAAGAAACCATGTTCGAACAGAGACACTCTCGACTCTAACCACGATCCTCCCGTTTCCGCATCCCCAGACGCCTGCTGTGTCGGTCCTGGTCAACTGCATTACTCCCTCGATTGGCGTCTCCTGACGCACCGTGCATAGCCTTTCGCCCATTGCAGGCCGGCGATTGGACCAAACCCTCAAGTGACCAGAGCACGCCATCATGAACACTTCTGAATCATCGGCGCCCCCTCCGACAGGTCCCAGCAACCGCAAAGAGCTCGGCTCCTCGTCGTCTCGCTCGGACTCGCGTCTATCATCGTCCTTTGGCAGCAGCCGGTCCCACTCGAGCTCGTCCCGAAAGCAGGCTCGTCCTGCAAACCAGCCGCCCCAGCCCCAGTCCACCGAGTCCACCCCGATCTTTAACGGTGTAGACGCCTCGAGGCGCAATTATCAGTCCACCGACGGTCCCTCCACCTCCCAGCCCGGTCAGAACAAAGATGCCCCAGACAATGCTGGGCCGAGTAACGGTGCCGCTGGTACCGCGCCCAACCAGGAGACCAACCCGGCAGACTCGCCTGCCGAGTTACGACAGTCCTGGTACAGCCGACTAGCAGACCGATATGGCAGTCTGGAGCTGGAGAACAAGGGCAGTGTCGCACGCGACCATCTTGCGCTAGGTAGGACACACTATTCACGACTCTGCGGCAACATTTACCTTCTGACATACTTATTTTTCTCTGTTGTATATAGAACGAACATTCCTAGCATGGATGCGCACCTCCCTGGCCTTCGCCTCCATCGGCATCGCCGTAACCCAACTCTTCCGTCTAAACACCGCCACCACAACCACACACGAGTCCCAGGTCCACTCGTCCTCCGCTATCCTCCCGCCTCATCTTTTCTCAGAGTATAATAGTCGCCCCGCATTCACCGACGCCTCCTCCAATTCCTCCCGCCTCCGCAGCGTCGGCAAGCCCCTCGGCACGACGTTCATCGCCGTCGCCATCCTGATCTTGATCATTGGCTTCCACCGCTACTTCGAGAGCCAGTACTGGATTATCCGGGGCAAGTTCCCTGCGAGTCGTGGCAGCGTCGCCATCACGGCGCTTGTGGCTGCCGCGCTGATTGTTGCTGCTCTGGCGGTTATTCTGGCTGTTTCGCCTGGTGCTATTGAGCGGTAGCACCGTTTTCCTTTCCTTTTCTTTTCTATACTTGATACTCATGACTTTCGGGTTCGCATTTTAGCTCTTTTTTCTATATACCACCAGGCAATGGATAGTCAAGTTCTTAGCTTGCTTTCTAGTGTATGAAATGTGTCATGCTATAAACCACGACTACGAGTACAAAACACTCGAACTCTATCTCATGAGATCGAGCATGAGAATGGTTTCTTCTTTTGCTATCATACCCCAAATCCATCCGCACCAGATCAGTCTAGGCACAAAGTAGGATACAGGCAGTGAGATAGGGAAACAAAGGCATTTTGCCAAAAAAGGTGTATCAGGGCGCGGAGTCGAGGCCATATAATAAGAAAAAAAAAAGAGATAAAAGGGTCGAGGGAAGCGAGACAACATGGCTTGCAGACAATGCGGATTGCAGCGCAAACAAGAAAGACGAGGGAAAGAAGAACAGGAGAGAGCACCCGGAGCAAAAACCGCCTAAATACAACATCGCATGAAATCATCTCGGGCCGAGTTTTGCCAGAGCGCGCGCACCCTGTTCCTGCCACTCCTGCTTGGACACCCACATGTCTTCCTTGTCGGCGATCTGGTGACAGTGTTAGCTGGGTGGAATGCAACAAAAAGGGGTGGATGATAAGAAGTGTAAAACATACCAGGTTGGCGAGCACAGCACCACCTAGGAAAACCATATGCCTCCGTCGCGGGGGATCCTCGATGCGGACCTTGAATTTCTGTGGTATTATCAGCATCATATACTTTTCAAGGTTGTTCTTTCGAAGTCACATACGTTCAGTCGCTCTGGGTTCCCACCCAGTACTCGAGTCAGCCAGAGCTGCTTCAACTCCTTCTCCAACCGCGAGGGAAGACCGGGGTACATGCTGCTACCACCACTGAGCACAATGGCCTTGTATAGACTGGAGCGAACATCGACATCGGCGCCCTGGATTGTGTTGAACAGCAGCTCAGCAATACCTGGCTGGTCGACATCCACCAAGTGAGGTTGGAAGAGGCACTCGGGGGCCTCGAAGCGTTCGCTACCGACACGGATAACGCGGCCGTCGGGCAGGGTGTACGACTCCACGAGCACCGTGGTATCCTCTGAGAGCTTCTTGTCCAACTCGAGGTCATAAGAGACATAGCTGAGCTTCTCCTTGATCTGGCGCACAGTCTCGAAATCGGCCGTTCGGTTCAGCGCGTAGCCTCGGCGCAGCAGGAGGGCAATCAGGTTGCGGGTGACATCGCGGCCGGCGACATCCAGCCGACGGATGTGGTGGTTCAGCACCGTCGACTCATACACGGGGATAACGTGCGTCACACCGTCACCCGAGTCCACGACGACACCACTGCTCAGACCTAAATATTCCCCGCCCCGTCAGTCTTGTGCATCTGTTTGCGATTGGAAGTTCCGTCACGGCCACGTACCCTGGGCATACAGTGCCAGCACCGCCTGGATCGCCACATAGACACCCCCGAAGTTGTAACCCTCCAGCATCACCTCGGCCATCTGCTCGCGGTTCTTGAGCGGGTTCATCGGCGGCTCCGTCAGGAGGATCTTGCGGCCTGTGGGGTCGATTTTCATCTTGTCGTAAAAGGTGTAGTTCCATAGATGTTGCATATCCTCCCACTTCTTGACGATTCCATTCTCCATCTAAATCATCCCCCCGAAAAGAATTAACAACACGTCTGCCTTCGGCGGAGAGAGAGAGGGCGGGGTAGGACGGTAGGCGCAGGAACCTCATCCGACACTCCAATAACGTACAGGATAGCTGATCTGAAGCATTGATCGTGCTGCGGCGGCTTCATCACCGCACATAATATCCTTGACCACGATATCGCCGGCCTGTTCCTCCGTCCGCAAGATGGGCCGCCCCACTATCGAGGGGAACTGGTGCTCTGGGAAGTTCTGGGGCACGGTCACGTCAGAGAAGCAGAGGAGGTAGCTGTATGAGCATGCGACCTACCTGGGCAGCATAGCCGACCTTGAGGAAACCGGTTCCTCCGTCGAGCACTTGGGACTGGTTAGCTTGGAGCTGGGGTAAAGCGGGAGCCTTGGGGGGGAAAGTGGGAGGGCGTACCAATGGGCATTTCCGCCATGATGCAGGAATTGAGATGGAGATCCGGTCAAAAAGTTCTATAACGAATTTCCAGGATCGCCAGAACAACAGATTGGGGTGGTGGCGCGGACTGGGGCAGAGAGCAGTGGAGTTTGGATGTTGGCTTGAGTCGAGGGCCGGCACATCATAGAATACGTGACCATACCGTACGTCAGCTCCCCGCATGTTTGGGCAGAGCCGCTGGCTGCATAACGGTATGTGACACACCGCGGACTCAACAGAGCTCGAGTATACGGAGAATAAAGATATAGCCTGGTCTATTGTGCAGAATATAAATAGTTAATTTGTTCTATATTCGGGGTGTGAACTGGATAAATTTCCATGTTGCCTTGACTGGGCGAACTTCGTATCGATGTTTGTATATCACAGGCCTGAGGCAGTAAGATGATGCCTTCTAAGTCAGGGTGCCACCAAACAGACAATATGTAGAAATAATAAACTGTGGTTAGTCTGCACCAGACAACATCCTATCGGTCCACTATAAACTGCAGTAGCTCGCCCCTTGCAATGGCAGGTGTCAGCTATCGGCCGACTCCGATTTCCTCGGGAAACGTGTTGCGATCCACTCATTCCTATCGCAGCACTATAGAAAGCCATTGCCAGGGCTGCGACTGACCATTCCAGTTGATCTCATCGCCTCGCAACTTGAGCTGCTTGAAACATAACCTCAGTTCTTTTTGAAGACGTGAACCAGTCTTGCTACCGCAACATCATCGCCCCATCATTCATCCCCGGCCCCAACACAAACCCCGGAAACAATCCATTCACCAGCAAGAATGGCGCAAGTCGGCTGGGTCAGTACCATTCTCAGATATCATGTTCCATCACAAGAAGAAAATATCTGACATCCTGCAGTACGGCCTGGGCTCCATGGGCCTGGCCATGGCCAGCAACCTGCAGCGACACCTGGCCGCCAAAAAGGCACTGAACCTGATCTATTCGAACCGCACCATGTCGCGCGGGGCACCACTGCAAGCCCTGGGCGCGGTAGCGGAGTCGAGCTTCGAAAAGTTGGTGACGCGGTGCGGCATCATTTTCACCATGGTAAGTGATTGGAAATATACAACATTGCACTATTTTTCAATATCTACCTCCAGCATGGAGAGCCATGTCACTAACTGATTTAACAGGTCGCAAATGACTCGGCCCTCCAGACTCTGCTCTCATCTGCCCTCGGCTCGGGCCAGTCCCTCAAGGACAAGATCTTCGTGGACTGCTCGACCGTACACCCGGGCATCGTGAGCACGGCCGTGTCCCAGCTAAAGGAGAAAGACGCCTCATTCGTGGCGGCACCCGTCTTCGGCGGAAACCCCATCGCCGTTGACGGGAAGCTAGTCTTCGCCATTGGAGGGCCCCGGGCCGCTACGGAGGCCGTGAAGCCGCTGATTCAGGATGTGATGGGACGGCGGGTGATTGACTGCGGTGAGGATGCGACTAAGTCCTCGCTGCTGAAGATTGCCGGGTAAGTATTTTTGTGAGCTGCTTCAATACACCGGGGTCGCTAATTTCCTGCTACCAGGAATATCGTCACGGTGAATATGATGGAGGCAGTCGGCGAGGCCCAGGTCTTTGCTGAGAAGACTGAGCTGGGAACTGGTCCGATGGAGGAGCTGATTGGGGAGGCATTCGGTGCCGTGGCAGGCGGATATTCCAAGAGGTATGTCTAACGCTATTTCCATTTGTGTCTTACGCGTGTTTGCGTTATAGAATCCACGAATACTCATATCCTCCCCCTTAGATTGACATCCGGAGCCTATGCTCCCCCTCTGGAATCTCGCCCTGGATTTGGCGTCTCTCTGGCTATCAAAGACGCCAAACACGCAATGGCAATGGCCCAGGAACAGGGCGTCCAGCTCCCTGGGCTGGAGGTGGCTCGCCACAACATGGAGGCTGCGCGTGACTATGCTGGAGAATGCCTCGACAGCAGTGCTATGTATGGGAGGCTGCGCCAGCAGGCCGGGCTGGAGTTTTGGAATGAGAAGAGCCGGAAGGCTTAGATTGGTTGGTTGATATTTTCTTTTAGAAGATCTTGTACCATTATGATAGAGTGCAATAATAGCAACTTCGTTCTGGGTTGATGTGATATTCAAGACCAGTCATCTCACCTCTAGGTGAGATTGGCATGGCTAAGTTGGCAGAGGCCATGCCTGCAAAATATTAGAGGCTAGTAAAATCTTTGCAATAAAAACATAGGTGAAACAAAGCAGGCAGATTCCCAATGCCCAGTCTCCGGCTCGCCGAATAGCAGTCTGAGTTGAACCAGGTTGACCCTAATTCTTTTCATCGTAATTATGACCCGTCGCCGGCGAAGCGATGCTTGGTACATCCGCTAAGCCTTATATAGCCCGAGGGGTTGAGGTTTGTGTTGTTGCCTCTGTCTTGATTCGGGCCGTATCCGCCAAGGCAGGGTAGCTCTCTGCAAACAGAGTGCCCAGAGACCAATTGGAAAGGTTGCGCATGTGTCGCTCGAAAACGGGATTAATGACCAGCTCGTCGGAGTCACCAGCCGACAGCAAGCAGTCTGTGCCTTCGTAGGGCCAATTCACACAGATATCGCGTGTGAACGGGATGAACCAATTCTCGAACGGGTAGTCTTGGTAGGAGGTGACGACGCGGTCCCGCATCCGCGGGAAGGGAATATAGTCCATCCAGGCAGGATGCGGCTGGAGGAGCTGGGTAGGACGCGGAGTGAGCCAGTCGGGCAGTCGGTCGTAGTTTTCCTGCGTTGGGTAGATCTGCCACCGCATGAGCAGGAACATGACATAGAGCACGGCAACCTGCTCCGGGAGCGAGGAGATGTCGGGGAATGTGCGCAGGATGTCCGTGAAAACTTTGGACACGGGATGTGAGTCGACACTCTTCTCGGGATTCAGCAGCGAGGAGACACTTGGGTACGGTGGCCCGACCAGCTTCTGTCGGGGGATCCCTTGTGCTGCCTCCCGCTGTCGGGTGTGAAGGAAGTCGACTAGGATGATATCCAAGGTACATGTCGGCGCAATGTTTTTGATCGGAGCGGCAAAGGCAGGTGTCCCATGCTCGGGGGAATTCAGCGGGTGCGGACATAGTGGTGATGGAGGATTCGTGTGTGAGGAGCGGAGGTGTTCTGAGCTGCTGCGCCGTAGGCGGTCGATTTTGGGGACATTCTGGGAGGGCTCCAGGAGGAAATTAAAGCCCAACCTTTCCTCGGCACCAAAATCCAACCCATGGGTGATATTGTAGCGCTGGGTGTCCAGGGCATGGCGGAACGGCGATGGTTGATAACCGCCATTAGAACTACTACGGCGATTCCTTAGAGCCGGCGCGGAGTGAGTGGGAGAAGGAGTGTCGATGCTGGCGATAGACTCGGGATATTGCTTTTCGTTTTGGATTGAGCCATGGCTATTGGATGTAAAGGCTTCCGCATCGGGGGGTGGAGATGTATGTGATGGAGGAGGAATCGACCTCGGTTGTTGTTGAGGGAGGGAAGCAGGCGCATCTACCTGTGTCAGTCTGGCATGCACCCACGTCGACCACGCGCAACTCACCTGATGTCTCTGACTTTGCAAGGAGTGGCTGTATAATGTCCATCGCTGCTTTGAGTCCCTGGCGGAGCTCCCTGTTTTCCGACCGAGTGTTTTCATTCTGCCGTAGCGCAGCCTGGAGATCGAGAAACGGTTTCTGCGACGAGAGGTCCCGGACTTGTTGCTCCAGCGCCTCGATATGACCCTTGTTGCGTTCTCGGATGGCGCGTTGCGCCTGGCGGTCATTGGCACGCTTCTTCGCCAATTGATCCGGGGTGAGGTTGGCGACTCCTCGTGCGGATGTGCTATTCAGCTTGCGCTTGCGTCCAGCGGATGTCGTGGCCGAGATCAGGTCTGTGATCATGTGCTCTGGACCCAGTGATGTTGCTCGTTGGGGCAACGTCGAATCGTCAAGTTTGTCGGGGTGCGAGCGGCCCTCGGCCAGCGTCGCGATTGCTGGCGGAGGTGCCGCATCCTGGGAGTTGGGCGATGCGCGGTTGGCCATGGCCTCACACGCGCGCTAGCGATTGACTAAGGCCATTCAATGAGGCAGGAAGGAAATGGCCGGAGCTCAGGGAAATGAGCAAGAGGATCGCCATTAGCGTGGGTCGGGAGAGGAGGTTGACTGTTAAAGTTTCCGACGTTTTCGGTGCAGAAATGCCCGCTTGACTCGTGGAATATACCTCAGGCTGCTACTTGACTCGTATTGATATCTTAGAAAAAACAGAAAAACAATACATCTATGATTCTCGTCGAATTGCTCAGCATTAGAGATCTGACAGCTGCGCATAGAATGACAGTATCTCATTGGCCAAGTCGCGCATTTTGACACTTGACCAGCAGCCTTACACGCGCAACCCATGTACAGAAAAACATATGGAAATCGTTAGGGTTAATTGTGTCAAGAAAAAACAGGTCGTGTCGATCGTATACAAAGCTCTGAAGTGAGGTTTCAATGCAAGGAGCAGGTCATCGAACTCCCCAGATATGAACAGATGGGGACATGGGGAAAAAGAAGAGAGTAAAATGTACAGCACGCCCCGGACTGGCAGACGTGTTTATTGAAGCATATGGCCCATTTTCGAAATCTGTCAATGTTAGTATGGGATTCTCCGCCAGACGAATCCAAGAGACGAACCTTGGTCCTCAAATAGCCTTCAATCTCGGAGCTTTTGATTCCTCTCTGTCCACCTGTGCGCCACGCCAAGGGAACCATCGGCATTCTCTCCTTCACCAGCACTTCTCGGTTAGGGCCCTCAATGGCCCGCACCTTGTCCGGGTTGTTTGTGAGCAGGCGAATCCCTTGTGGAATGGCATCGGCACCACAGCCCAGATCCGTCAACATGGCTGTGGCCAGACCGTAGCTCCGCGCGTCTGCAGGATGCCGCAACAAGAGATTCGCCTCGACGGTGTCGGAGCCCAAATCCTGGAGATTATATGCCTTCAGTTTCTCCCCGAGGCCAATTCCCCGACCCTCCTGGCGCAGGTAGATGATCACGCCGCCTGCCGACTGGGACCGTAAAGACTGCGCCTCTGGCGGCGCATCGGAAGTCAGATCCTCAACAGGGAAAGACATCAACCGTGCAGCCTCGTCCAACTGCTCCCCGCAGTCGCAGCGAGCCGACCATGCCGTCTCCCCTGTATAACACTCTGAATGGATCCGTACCAGCGGCGGCTCAACATACTGATTTGATGATGAGCCGCCCTCGTGCGATCCGGTCTTTTCGTCATCATACCAGCTGCTGACTCTCCCCGGATGCAATTTCCCCACGTATGCGCCTCGGATCATTCGGTCCATCTCGGTCTCTCCCGGTCGGACACTGTCCAAACTGCGGCTGCGGATTTTGTTTCCAAAGACAATGGCCAGGTGCTCCTTACCATCCAGGTCGTTGTGGTAGAGATGCAGGAACATCTCGGCGCCGTTGGTCGTGGGGATCCGGGCGCGGACAATACATTCTACTTCCGGCAGCTGCGGGAGTAGTTTCGGGGTCTTGCTATGCTCGCTCTGGTGTCGGATACTGGCCGTCTGGCTTTGGTGCAGGACTTTGGTAGGATTGAGGTCCAAGTTCAACGTCCCACCGGGAGTGGCGGGAGGGGTGAACGCGGGCGACAACAGTGAATCGGGCAGCGCCGGCGTGTGCTCGCCCACTGAAGTGCTTCCTTGACTTGCATCGTCTAACAAGCCCTCTGGTTTGTTCGATAGTGGGGGGGAATGCGGGGGCAATTTCGGTGAGGCGTGAGCCGGGAGGTCAGTCATTGCGACTGTCGGCGACACAGAGCGGCGAAGGTAGATGTGAAGTGTCTCGTAAAACCAAATCCAATGTACAGGGACGGGTATTAGAGAACACAGGAGGCATCGATCCGGTAGAGAACAGAATCGCTGGAACCTTCCGCCATCATCTCGGCCGTTAACTAGCCCTCGGCATCAGCGGCTGAGTCATCGCGTTGTCAGTGCTTACGCGATCGCCGAGGACGGGCCGCTGACTTGCCTATTTGGGGAGGTAGTATACTTGCTCGGTGAGTAGATCATTGGAATCGATCCATGCATACGATATTTCAATTTTGTACTGCACATTGCACAATATTGTGGCACAGGGAACCTCCAATGCCAGCTAGGATTGTCCCATACCATGGAAACCGCCGGAACTCCGAGTAGCGCCTCGCTAAAAGGGTATATCAATCATCGCATCAGATCATAGAAACGCCAGTTCCCCCCCCAGGGCTACTTTCCTGGAATGTCCAGGACAAAGCGTCGGTCAACTTCCATCTCCTTGTCGTCCTCCTCACCTTCGAATTTCAAACGGTAGACATCCTTTTTAGACCCCATGACCTCCGCACGGTAGAATGTGGTGGTGTCGGGGTATCGAGCGAGAACTTGCTTGCCAACGGGGAATGCAGACAAGGAAGCGCCCATCTGGGGAATCGGAATCAGAGAGACGGCAGTAGTCTTGTAGACCGCACCCTGCTCGCCATTCTCGTTGGGCTCGGGATCCTGCACATCGTAACTGATCGCAAACCATCAGCTCAGAGAAACCAACCAAAGCAAGACCGCCAGGCCACTTGACGAATTACCGTTTTTTCTGTCCGTCACCAGAAATGCCCTTGATAATGCATTGAATGCCCTCGCCCTCGACCCCCTGCTTGTTCTTATTGTGCTTGAACACAACCTGGGCTCCGACCACCAGCAGGCCGCTGCGCTCGGCGACAGTCCCTTTGGTGCCCTCGGTCCCTTCTTCAACCTTCACGGAAACCCCGTCGCCACGACCTTCGCGGGCCTGCGTGCTCGACACGCTTGTGCTACGCGGAACCCCACCCTTGCCGCGCCCGGCCTTATCAACACCCGAGGGCCCCGGGGAGTCGGTAGCCGAGCCCTCCATGTCGGTTCGTTTCTTGCGAGACTTGGAGAGTGATGTAGAACGATTCGGCGGCGCCTCCGCCTCAGATGCTTTGCGTAGTGCTGTAAGTAGTTCCAAGTTCTTAATCACATCACAGGGCTCGTCCTGCATAATTGATCGTTCCTCCTCGCTGAGTTTCTGGCTTTGTCGCAACCAGTTGTCGAGCTGGTCGTGTTCAGTCATATTGGGCCCTTGAAATTTTTCAAAAAGAATTGGTTTAGTTCCAAAATGTACAACAAAGGGTACGGTTTCGCGGCCAGCGAGAGATGAGATGATCGACGCGACAAGGGCAGAGAGGTATGATCTCGGCGGGGCACTCACTATTCCCATCGTGGGAGATTTTGTCGACTAGGGTCTTAATTTGCACCGATAAAGACGCTTGCTGGTCAAATTTCTCCTTGGATTTGCGGAGATCCTGGCATATCTTGGTCCACAGCTCCATCTCCTCGTTGTTGCCAAATCCATTGTCTCGGGGTCGAGGGCGGTTGCGGGACATGTTGGGATGACGTGACAACCAGCGCGTGGCAAAAAAAAGGGGGGGAGTAATGAGGCGCAATGGTTCCGTAAAGAACGCCAAAGAGAGTTGGGAGTCTCGGACTTGGGGGATGCTGAGGTTCGGTGATAAGAGAGGCTCTCAAGGCGGTCGGGGATGCATCTGGGGGGAATCTTGGCGCTCATCAGCATATTCCGTGTATAAAATAAAGATAGAGCCTACGTCTATAAAGTGGTATAAATAAATATAAAAATTACTCAAACTCTCAGCTATGTTTCTACTCTTATGCTAAAATACTATATAACTAATTATAAGATAAATTAGACCTAAGCATTATAAAACTAGATCTCTATAACAATCCTTTAAGTATACAATCTAATAATAAAGGAGGAAAAGGAGGAAAAGGAGCGTTGGAATCAACAACACATATGAATAGATTACCTTGAGCGAGTGTATATTAGCCACATTGAAAATCTAGCACTAAGTTGGCGATATGATTGTCGACATATATCCGACGTTAATTCGCACCTAGGTGTTCGGGTAGTAAGTATATATAGAGATAGAGCACAACCCAATGACCCGATTATTCCCATGCAAAGACTGGACATTATTATCAGCAAGAGGGAAGTTAGGGGAGAAGAAACTCGGTATGGATGTCTGGTGTCGTGTCAATAGTTTAGTTCTCCGTGGCCCGTCAGTAAGTCGTTGCCCCTTAAATAGTGGCCACTGACGCGTCCTAACAGTCGCTCCTGGGTGCCTGATTTGACCGAGAGGATTATATTTTATTGGGGCCATTTCGATGTGGTTCCAACCCCGCCAGCTTACATATCTTATATCAGGCGCCATATACATAAGAGGCCACCTGGGAACTTTACGGAGTGTCATGAGTCAGAAACAGCGAATTGTATAGGTATTAGTGAGATTCAATTACACCTAAATTATTTTTTATGATGAAATAGGCTACTGTAACTAGATGGGGGCAAATGGATGGTTCAAAAATCCTTGTGGAAAGATACCCCACCTAGTAAGCATATAGTAAATATGCCCAGTGCCCATCTGACCACCTTCACGCACATCGAGTCCTTTCTCATATCAACGCAAATCACGTTCTGAAAGAAGCCAGCAAACCGACACCAACACCCATCATGACTGCCAGCACGACAGCCGCATTTGATCAACTGAAAAGAGCCTTCCCTGATAAGGTGGTGACTCCAGACGCTGTCTCTGAATATAACACAGCGGTATCGTGCCCCTGGTCTCAAACGTGTTGGACCCCGGCCGCCGGTTACGTCTATCTGAGCAACGCACAAGAGCTGGCCGAAGCGCTGGATATTGTGAAGAGGGTTGGATCCAAGTTCACCATCCGCACCACCGGTCACAACCCCAATAGTGGGTTTAGTAGCGCAGATCACACAGCCATCGTCCTTGACATTCGCCAGTTTCAGTCCAAGGAGTTGAGCTCGGATGGTGTCGCTCGAGTTGGATCCGGAAACACCTGGGGTGAGGTGTATGTCTGGTTGGAGGAGAAGAAGTTGTCGGCCATTGGAGGTCGGGACCAGCAGGTCGGACTAGGAGGATTCCTCCTTGGAGGTATATGCTTATCATCTTGCATAGGATGTCGCAGGGGGGCCTAGAAGCTGACGTATAAATCAAGGTGGCATGGGTGCTTTGCCCAATCTATATGGCCTTGGAGCAGATGGTGTGAAGAATTTCGAGGTAACTGAGACGGTTTTTTTTTTGTGTGGAAACTTTCCTTTCTTTGCAGCGCTCACACCCTGAGTCTTTAGATCCTTCTGGCCGATGGCAGACTTGTCAACGCAAACGCAACAGAGAATACCGACCTCTACTGCGCTCTTAAGGGCGGCGGCTCCAACTTTGGTATGACGCAAAATATTAACCAGGACGACGTATACTGATAGAAAATAGGTATTGTGACGAGGTTTGATCTCGAAACTCACCCTCTGATTCGTGTCCAGTACACAATCAACCTCTATAACCCGGAAGACTATGTCGAAATTATCAAAGCCACAATTGCCGTTCAAGAGGCCATGGAAAACGACCCTAAAATTGGCCTTTTTACCAACTTCAACAATGGCTTTGTCGCTGTGGGCTTACTTTATGGAGACACACCCACCGAAAAACCTCCAGTCTTCGAGCCCTTTCATCGCCTCGAGAGCCTGATGGCGACAGCACTCCCTTCCACAGATGGCACTCTTCTGTCGTTGGCCCAGGCCATGGGTCATGCGCAAGAGCCAAAGAAGTGAGTGCCCATATAACACAAGCTCTTCCATCGAGTCCCTAACATATGTAATAGGCGAGCCATCTGCTCGGTAACCACCAAGGTTTCGCAATCCCTCTACGAAGAGGCTTACAAGTCCTGGAATGAGACCTGTAAACGTCTTCCGGCCGGCTGCGTCCTGCATTATACGATCCAGCCGATGGGTAAAGCTGGTATAAAAGCAGGAAAGGACCGTGGAGAGAACATCATGGGACTCGAGGACGTTCCCCAGTGCTGTAAGTCTAAATGACGTGCCCCCTTCTCAATAAAGTCCAATGTCCCGAACCACAGGGAGTCTCCAGGTGGATAAAATAACTAACCTGATGATAACTAATTTGATGTTAAATGATAGGGTGGGTGTTTACCTGTGAGTGGCCCAAGGACGACAGCGACGACGCCGTTGCGCAAAAGGCAGTCGACACCATGGCCAAGAGTGTGGAGCACTCGGCCAAAGAAAAGGGACTTTGGCTTAGCTTTCAATGTATGAGCTTTGCTGGGGCCTCTCAAAAGGTTCTGGGCAGCTACGGCGCCGATAATGTCAACAGGATGCAGGAAACCGCAGCCAAGTATGACCCTGAGGGGGTCTTCCAGAAGCTGCAGTATGGGGGCTTCCTCTTGCGTGATAACATCTGATGATCTGAATGCCCTAACCAAGCCCCTCATAGCTATCATAGTTACGTTTATTAGGATTTTGAATTTCTCAAGAGTTGGATCTATTGCTTCATGTAGTGGGCGTCATGTTAATGTTAGGACGAGAATATCATGTGACCATAGGCGAAAACTGTTTATATAACCATTATATTACATAAGAGTGCCAAGAGCCTAAACTGGAAGGTGACCCGATCAATGCCCTTTGCGGCATGTCCCTTTTGGGATTGACAGACTGGGGTAGAGGCGACAAAAACCACAGAACCATTTTCTGCTCTGAACATCTCCTGAGTGTCGAGTGTCTACTATCCACTGAGGGAATTCTTTTGTTCCTTTGTGGAATCACTTTGGGTCCACTTCTCTGCAGAGCCCAATTCTATTGTATCTGCCCCTCTATCCGCAAGCTCCGTCAACATGCAGGTTCCATTGCTTCGCCTCCAATGTGGTAAGTTCGGGATCAAAGCAAAAGCTATGGAATTGATCGCATCATAATAACCTTCCCTCTTCTGGTCTGCAGGAGTCAACAGCTACGACTGGGGTAAGCTATCGCCATCGACGTCGCCCCGTGCCCCGCACTGAATCTCGTCATAGGCAAGGTCGGCCACGAGTCAGCGGCCGCAAGATACGCGGCCACCACAGCAGCCCCGGATTTTGCCATCGAGACCGAAAGGCCATATGCTGAAGTGAGGAAGCTTTGTAATCCTGCGAAGGCAACTGGGCTAACTAATCTCTAGCTCTGGATGGGCACGCATCCGTCCCTCCCGTCGAAAGATGTCGAAACCCAACGCACCCTCCTCGATCTCGTGCAAGATAACCAGGCGCTGCTGTCGCCGGAAATTAGCGAGCGATATGGCGGCAAGCTCCCGTTCCTCTTCAAAGTGCTCTCCATCCGCAAAGCACTGAGCATCCAGGCACACCCCAACAAGAAGCTGGCGGAAAAGCTTCATGCGAAGGACCCTCAAAACTACCCTGGTAAGTCTCGGGATATGTGATATTCATTTATGATAACTCAGACTGCCACTCACAATTCCCCGACTTGTAGATGACAACCACAAGCCCGAAATGACCCTCGCCATTACGCCCTTTGAAGGACTGTGCGGTTTCCGTCCGTTGGCAGAGCTCACACACTTCCTCCAGGCCGTGGAGCCTCTTCGCAAACTGGTTGGAATTCAAACGGCGAATGAATTTGAACAAATCGTCAAGGGAAGCGAGGATTCGGAGGATCCAGAGGTTCTGCAGAGGAACAAAGATGCGCTGCGGTCGATTTTCACATCGCTCATGGAATCTTCCGCGGAGGATATCGAGGCGGCTGCCAATGACCTGATTGCTGCGGCAGAGAATACCCCGGCAAGCTTTGCCACTTTGCCCGGAGAAGTGGACACAAATCCCAGCAACCCGGCCGAGCTGGCTGCGATTGTGAGACGATTGAACGGGGAATTCCCGCGCGACATTGGACTGTTCGTCTTCTTCTTCCTCAACTTCGTCACGCTCGAGCCGGGTGAGGCGATGTTCCTGAAGGCCGACGATATTCATGCATATATCTCTGGCGACATTATCGAGTGCATGGCGTCATCCGACAACGTTGTGCGCGCGGGCTTCACGCCCAAGTTCAAGGACGTGGACACACTGACGCATATGCTGACTTACTCGTATGCGCCTATTGAGGAGCAGAAGCTCGAGCCTACGGACTATCCCTATGTTATTTTGAATGCGACCGCTTACTCCAGCGCCTCGTCGTCGGTGCTGTATGATCCCCCGATCGAGGAGTTCAGCGTGGTCAAAACAGACCTCAACCGGACGAGAGCCAAGGCGACCTTTGATCCGCTCGCGGGCCCCAGCATTCTGATCTGTACCCGCGGCCAGGGCAAAATCACCGTCGGCCATAAGACGGAGGAAGTCCGTGAAGGTTATGTCTTCTTCGTGGGGGCAACTGCGGAGTGTGTGATTGAAAACACGGGCAGTGGGGACGGCGAGGAGAATATTTTCACGACATTCAAGGCTTCCTGTGAGCTGACCGGTAAGGAGGATATGGTCAATGGGCATTAGATTCCAATTCTAAAGTTGCCACAGCTCGTTCTCGCCTGTAATCCATAGACTTCAGCGGTACATATACCCAAAATGGCATCGAATTGCTTACTGTCGTCACGCCCTCACTAAGCCGCCGAGGGTAAGCTGCCGGTGATCAACAGCCCTAGGGAATGCTGAAAGCGGGGATTGCTCGACCCCCAAGAGCTGCACTCCTGAGCTTCCAACTTTCCTTCTTCTCTCTGCGCTGAACTGTCCTCGATATTCCCCCAACTTACCACCATGTCTCCATCCAAAGATATTCCCCAGCTGGGCTTCTGGGAGTGGGCCGATCTCCCGTTCGTGAAGCTCTCGATCTACGGTAGCATGCTGTACGCTGCTATCACGGGCGCATTCCGTGGCAAAGCCAGCCCGAAGAAATTCAGTCACCACCTCATTACTGCCGCAGTGAGGAAATATACCGACCGCACCACGCTGCGACAGAAACAGTGCGTTTCATGTTTCCTGTTTTAGCATGTCGCAAGAGACACTCGAGCAGATAGAGAGAGGGAGAAAGAGAGAGAGAGAGAGAGAGGAGGATTGAGTGTTAATATCGGCATTGGAGAGAGAATAACACTGACGCTGTTTCGTTCTGATCAGGTACATTCAACCTCCGACCGACGACGTCTATGCCTCGGTCATGCGCCAGAGAGGCCTGCAGCCCGAGACCGTTGAGCTGCCTCACAACGCCGCGGGCCACTGGATCGGAAACAAAAACGCGAAGAATGTGCTGGTGTACTATCACGGTTTGCACTTTTCTTCTCTTTCCCCCCTGCCATTCTACAACTCCCCCTTTCTATATTTTCCGGCGAAGCTAATCTCATCTTAGGCGGCGGTTTCGTCATGCCGGCGCTCCCTTCTCAAGTCGGGTTCTGGGTCGATATGATCAAAGCGCTTAACGAGAACGGCCACGACATTGCCGTGCTCTTCCCTCGTTACTCGCTTGCTCCGTTCGGTTCGTACCCGACCCAGCTGCGCCAGTCCGTCGGGGCCCTGCGATACATCCTGACAGAGACGGGCCGCTCGCCCTCCGACGTGATGATCGGCGGTGACTCGGCCGGTGGGAACCTGGCCCTGGCTGTACTCTTGCATCTCTCGCACCCGCATCCGGACATTGACCCACTGGAACTGTCCGCTCCGCTGGCCGGCGCCTTTGGGTACGCGCCCTGGATTAACTTCAGTGTCGACTGGCCGTCAATGACGGAGAATGCGTACAAAGATGTCCTGACGACCACCGCCCTGAACATTTGGTCGAAAGCGTACATGGATGGCAAGACCGGGGACAGCTGGAGTGAGCCGGACCGGGCGCCTGTCGATTGGTGGAAGGATGTCAAGACGGAGCATGTCATGATTCTGGTTGGCGGCGATGAGCTCTTTCTCTCGCCGATCGAGGCTTTTGCCAAGAAGGTGAAGGTGAGATATTCATTACCCTTGCTTTTTTTTTTTACGTTTCTACCCTTCTTCCTGTTCTTCATTCCTCTCCTGGTGTATCCCCTACTAACCCATACCAGACTGCCTTCCCCAACACCACCTACGTGGTCGGCGACGACGAGTCCCACGATGCACCATTCTTTGTTGCAGCGCAGGAAAAAGAGGAAACGCAAACGGGTGCGGAGCTGCGAAAATGGATCGCATCTCGGCTATAATGTGTGCTGGGAGGGGTGTCAACCTTTCTTGCGTACTTGGCTGTGAAGTAGTATACACAAACTACTGGTAAACAAGTAGCATAGTATATACTTGTTCAAAGCCTTGAACAGAAGGCTATGAACTTTTGGTGCTGTGTATCTTAACATTAAGTGGACAGGATTGCATAGAGAAATAACAGTCTCATAAATGAGCAACAAACTATTTGGCCGTTGGGGCTATGATTACTGGATGGGGGAGGGTTAAGGAATAGAGTTAAATAGACCTAGAAAATAGACCATCAGTTCAAGCTTGGGCAATGGGTGTCAAGTGGAAGTATAACGGATCAACCCAAATTCTTCATTAGAAATGAAGCCCTACGGAAAAGGTGGCCAATACCATGGTCATTTGATGACAATATGCTTGCAGATTCCATGATCATCAAAAGATATTGATTCTATATGATCTTGAGATGAAGGTGCACTCGATGTTCTCAATTGCACATAATATAAGATCCAATTGTGAATTTTCTAACACTAGCAGAATTGGAAAAAGGTCGTGTCAACTCATAAGCAGGAATAAAACACCTTGGCTTGGATTTTAACAGAAAACAAGAAAAGGACGGCCATCTCGAATAGTAAAGAAACAAGAATTTCCAGGGTTCAAATTCGCTACGACGACACTCGGGGCGAGTACTTGGCAGCTGCGCCATCGAAGAACTTGCTCTTTTCTTGGATGTCGACAAGGAGAGCGTGCGAGGGCTGGGCTTGCTGTAGCCGGCTGTTGTTGTATGTGTTAGAACTCATTTTTCTCCCACAACATCATGTGAGGGGATTAGGGAATTGAGTGACATACGACTCCAGGTCCGAGGTCTGCTTGCCCGCAAGCACATTCAGCACAATTGTGTTGGCAATCAACTCCACGTCAGCCGGGTACTTCTCCAGAGCGGCGGTCAGGGCGGCTTCAGCCTCGGGCAGGCGGCCGAGGTGCAGTTCGGCGACGGCCTGGCCGACAATGGACAACGGTGCGGAGGTGCTGGGAGCGGAGGCGAGTTCCTCGAAGACGTAGAAGGCAGACTGATACTTCTCGCCGCCCTGTGCAAGGAAAAAAAAAGTATGGGGTCAGTATTCAATTCCGAGATCATGTTAGGTAGCTGCAGGTATTGTCAAGAAACATACAACTCTCATGCCAACCCACGACTCAGCCAGGTTGACCAGCAGCGAGTCCTGGGCCCAGCGCTTGGCGGCCTGGACTTCCTTGAGCGCGAGATCGGAGCGGTTTTGCTGCAGATGAATCTGGACAATCAGGGCGACACTGTGTACATCGAAAACTCGAGATCAGCATGATCCGACCGGGGCGACCGCAATGATACAACAATCTACTCACGCCTCGAGGTTGCCCTGGTGCTTGGACAGCAGCGCGATCGCCTCCTCGCTGCGGCCCTGGGCCTGCAGCACCGTCCCGGCGAGGACCTCGACGGTGCCGTTATCCGGGTAGTTCTCGGCGAGATCCTGAGCCAACTGCAGGGCGGCTTCGGCATCGCCGGTGGTCTGCTGGGCCAGCGCCTTCACGGCAGCCAGGTCGGGGCTGGCCTCTTCGCCGGAGACGTCAGCCAGGACTTCGCTGGCCTGGCCGAGGGCAATTTGGGCGCGCAGCTTGAGCACACGAGCGGTCAGTTGGTTGTCGGAGGAGAGAGCGGCGGCATCGAAGTCGATCACGTTCTGGTACTGGCCCGAGTGGAAGGCATTGTGGATGTTGAGGAGCTCTGGAGGGGGAGTTGGATGAGCGCATTGATCGGGTAATTCAGGGGGATACAAACACACGTACCGCCTTCTGCAGAGAAAGGATCCATTGCGGGGAGAATAAAACTAGAAGCGGAGAGGAAGCGTGGAGGGATTGGTGGTTGTTGACGCTGTCCTGGCGTGGCCGCAATTGTTCATGTTGGCTTTATGGCGGTGGGGCAACTCTGCCGAGATAAGCGGCCACGGCAGGTGGGCCGACCGCCCGAGTTATACTTCGTCGTTCTACGTCTACCTCGATGTCTACATTGGGCTTGAATGGTATTAAACTCAATCATTGATTATCCGATAACCATGTGCAAATATAAAATTAACAAAAAACAAGAATGAAAATTATACCCATCCGGACACCGTCGTTTTGAGACATCCACCCTATTTACCAAAGACGTGATGAACATAGAGAACCCAGAGAAGAAGAAACAAAGAAAGGCAATATATAAACCCTCCTCACTGGCTGAGCTTCTTCCGCAAAAGTTGACACTCCGATGTGCAACTTTTCGGATCTTGTTGGAAATCAGTCTCCCAGCAAGGACAGGCCACTCATCCTTTGAAGGGGCAAATAAATAAGAAGAAACATATGGGCAGGTGAGGGCCAAATTATTCACCTGCTAGTCCTCGTGGAAAGACGGACCCAAGTTTGGATCCAGCTCTGCGAAGACACGCTTCCGGTGTCTTCCGAAGAGCGAGTCTACAGCGTTCTTTTTGGGGAAGGGAGGAATGGAGTACTGTTGAATGGGCCCCAGTGGCTCGTTGCCGAAGTCGTCATTGTCGATGTCGTCAATGTCATCGACAAGGACGGGGTCAAAACCTCTGGTTTCCCATATGAGGATGTTGGCCTGGACCCAGTTGGCCCAAAAGCTCTTTGAGGTCTGGGGGAGGCAATTTCGGGAGAGGCGAGGCGAGGACCCAGGCGCTGGTGAGGTGGTGGTGCCGCCTCGGTGATGGTGATCCGATGAACGGCGAATGTCCTGCTGGAGGCATGAGTATAGGCCATCAAAGATGCAAGAAGGCAAGGACAAAATGAACAGAAAGACAAGAGGGTAGGGGGCCAGAGGAGCGATATTTATCTTACCTCGGATTAATGAGGGATTTGTCCCCGGACATGGCATCAGGCCAGGTGGTGTCTGAGGCTTGGTAGAAGGAAGAGCACACAGTCATAGATGCTCTTTGAATGCATATATCTTGGTTGTTTGAAGAAAGGGAAGAAGGATGAGCATGAAAACCTTTGACCAAAGATGAATCCATTATTTAAAAAAGAGGACGGGAAAACGGTGTGGAAAGAAGGTTAGAAAAGTAGTGTTGTGACGATGATTTGGATGGAAGGTAGAAGGGAGATAAATGGATGAGGAAGAAGGAACCCGTACTTGGGAGCTGTTTTCATAAAGAGGATTGACGACAGCAAATATACTACCTTTATAGGAAACTACGGTTCCTACAGGCCAAAACATGATTTCCCTTAATAGCTCGATAGTGATGTTTGGTGGGTATAGTTGGGTCGTCACCGCCGAAGCCAAATGCGACGCCGTGTTGACTAATTAGGACAAGCTCACTCCACCTACCGGCGATCCGGCTGATCAGTATAGTCTAGTTGACTTGGTAGGACCATGGCCAGTGTGTATTAAATATCGAGTGTTGAAGATGTGTTGGGTATTAATGGGAGGAGTCTCACCCCGAGAAGGATATGCAAAGCCAACTAGAGCTCTCGAGGAGTAGTAGTCAAAGCTGTATAATTCAAGACATGCTGTGCATGTATTAGGCTAGCTGGGCATAAAATGACACGAGAGTTGACTGTTCAACCTAATTACTGAGGGAGCGCTGCCAGCTCAAGACTGGTGAACTATGAGAGGATGAAGGCCCCCCAACACTGCTTAATGATCAACCACTTGTAAGGTTTGAATTTTGCACATTGATTGAAAGAGGAGGGCTCGTAGGAATGCATATGGCATTGTTTGCACAATTATATTTGAAAGGTCTAGGGCTGAATGCGTAGATCTTGCCAAGGACTAAGTAAACATCGCTAGGGCTCAACATTACCAAAAGAGTGAGCAGACTAAAATCCCCAGAATATACTTATATAAGTAACTGCTCCCGAATCAGTATAGTTAAAATACTTGAAGACTTGAAATCAGCCGCAAAGATAGCATCAAATGAGTCGATAATTGATGCCTTGGAAATAAGGCAGACATTTTTTCATTTCCCGGCTCTTCGTAGCCAGTGCCAATTCTCGGCATCCAAGATGAGATCTGACATGAATGAAAGTGCCTCATGATACAACCATCTGTTAATCAACCATCAACAGCAAAGTAAAAAGACACGGAAATCTCACGTCGATGGACGTCGGACTAACGATTCCACCGAGGCCCAACCTTATTAATACCCTCGACGCAGGTCCAGGGGTTGCCATAGTAGCACATCTTCTCTCTGTCAAACAATCAACCATTGCTTTATTTTTTTGTGTGACTTATACCCACTGGGATATCACTCGATGCCTGTGGTCGAGAGCAGCATTGAAATCGCCGCCCCACCGGCCAAGGTGCGGGAAATCGTACGTCCCGAACATGGTGGCCGTCCTCCCAAGAACGCAGCGCACTCATGTTGAACTCTGCGTTATTATAGTTCCTCGATTTCGCCAAATATTCGGAATGGCACACTGCTTGGATCAAGAAACTCGAGTGTGAAGACAGCTCCAAGTCTCCGCTGTCTCTTCAGCCCGGAGACAAGGTGAAATGTAACATCGAGAACTTCGACTTTGTGGCCGAGATCATGGTGTGTATTTTCAAAATATTGATACATATCACCGAGAAGAATAATATTTCCAACTCATGGTCTAATCTAGGAGAATACTGAGGGTTTGCTCCTGTGGCAGGGTCCCCCTGTCTTTACTGTGTCTGGTCGGCATAGCTTTCGCATGGAACCCGTCAATGATGGGGCCTCTACCCTCTTCACACAGGCGGAGGACCTTTCGGGACTTTTGTCATTCCTTGCCAGCCCGTATCTGCTTGGGAGGATGATGAAGTCTGACTTTGACGGGTTTCTGAAAGACCTCAAGGTACGAGCAGAAGCCTCAACCTGAGGGTCAGCGTGGGCCATATGAACTATGACATTTTGCTGGAGATGTATCAGACGAGATTCATTTAGAGAATACCCTTTGCCTACGAACTATCCTTTTTATCACTGTGCTAGTAGATCTAATAGGATCTGGTGGTTGGTGGTAGAGCCCTGCAAAAGTGCCATGGATTGCGGCGCTTCAACCAAGGTCGATAGATATGGACCTTTCGAAACCCTCAGATCCACACACCAGATCCACATGGATGCTGCGTCCCTCAGAGACACGCAATACACAATGAAAAAGAATCATCCGAGAAGTCTTCAGCCAAACCTGTGAAACACAACCCCACGTCGGATGACGTCAACACTGGGAAGGGGCCCTATCCGGTTTGCTATAGATTTTATTTAAGAGAATTCTCTGATTCTTCTCTTCGAATTATTTGATCTGTGTATCATCGACCCTTTTACGAGATTCAGAAGACCACGACCAATATGCCGAGCTATAAATTCCCAGTCGATCTCTCACAGTTCAAGCAGCTGAAGCTGGACTCCAAGAACCCGAAGTTGTCGGCTGAGCAGAAGAGCGATCTCCTGAACAACATCAATGTCTTCAGAGATGCTATCATTGCGTTCACGGCAACGGGCGCCGCTCGCGGTGTCTCAGGCCACACGGGTGGTCCCTTCGACACGGCACCAGAAGTGTGCATTCTGCTGGCACTGATTAATGCGAATCCGAATGACTTCGTCGACGCCATGTTCGACGAGGCCGGCCACCGAGTCGCCACCCAATACCTTTTGGCAGCCATGGACGGCAAGCTGAGCCCCGACCATCTGCTGAACTACCGTGACGCCAACTCGAAACTCCCCGGCCACCCGGAGCTGGGCCTGACGCCTGGCGTCAAGTTCAGCTCGGGCCGTCTGGGTCACATGTGGGGGATGGTCAATGGAATCTCCATGGCCAATAAGGACAAGAATGTTTTGCTGCTGGGCTCGGATGGATCCCAGCAGGAAGGAAACGATGCCGAGGCGGCGCGCATTGCCGTGGCCAACAACCTCCGAGTTAAATTGTTTATTGACAACAACGATGTCACAATCGCTGGTCACCCGTCCCAGTACCTGAAGGGCTACGACATTGGCCAGACGCTCCAGGGCCACGGCCTGAAGGTGATCCGCGCCGAGGGAGAGAATGTGGATTCGCTGTACGGCGCCGTGTGCGAAGTCATTAACTATAACGGCCCAGCGGCTGTTGTCGTGGACCGGAAGATGGCCGCCGGCATTGAAGGAATCGAGGGCGAGACGCACGCCCATGATGTTATCAGTGTCGAGGTTGCGCGCAAATACCTCACCAGGCGCGGATACAGCAAGGAGCAGCTTGCGTTCTACGACGAGATCAAACCCAGATCCAACCCGCACCAGTACCAGGGCTCGTCCAAGGACAAGGGCGCGAATCGGTCCATCTTCGGTGAGGCCGTCAACGCGGTGCTCGATGGTCTGAGCAAGGAAGAGGCCACCCGCCGGGTCATGGTCATCGACTCGGACCTGGCGGGATCGACCGGCCTCAAGGCCATTCAGTCCAAGCACCCCGAGGTCTTCGTTCCGTCTGGTGTGATGGAGCGTGGCAACTTCTCTGCAGCAGCGGGTTTCGGGTTCGGCAGCAACGGCGAGCGCCAGGGTGTGTTCTCGACGTTCTCGGCCTTCCTGGAGATGTGTATCTCCGAGATCACGATGGCGCGACTGAACAACTGCACGGTGCTTTCGCATTTCTCGCATAGTGGCGTCGACGAGATGGCTGACAACACCTGCCACTTCGGGCTCAATCACTTCTTCGCCGACAATGGGCTCCTGGATGCCGAGAGCACGTCCCTGTACTTCCCTGCGGACGGCGAGCAGATGAAGGCCGTGGTGAACAAGGTCTTCTGGGACAGCGGCATACGGTTCATCTTCTCGACTCGTGCCAAGGTCCCGTACATCCTCAAGGAGGGCACCGACCAAAAACTGTATGGTGACGGTTACAAGTTCGTGCCCGGCAAGGAGGAGATTGTCCGCAAGGGATCAGCTGGGTACATCGTCTCGTACGGCGATATGCTCTACCGTTCCCTGGATGCTGTGGAGCAATTGCGCCAGTCAGGTCTGGATGTGGGATTGATCAACAAGCCGACGCTGAATGTGGTTGATGAGGACGCCATCAAGCTGTACGGCTCGACCCCATTCGTGCTGACGGTCGAGTCCATTGCACAGAAGACGGGTCTTGGGTCTCGCCTCGGAACTCACCTGCTGGAGCGCAAGCTCACTCCCAAGTTCAAGTCGATTGGCGCCATTAAAGAGGGCTGTGGTGGTCTGTACGAGCAGATCAATGCCCAAGGCCTCGGACCGGATGACATTGTTGCGGCTGTCCAGGAGGTTGCTAGGAAATAAATGGGGTGATTGGGCTGTCCATGACTGTTCGAAGGTTAGCGATACAAAATGACGTGTTGTGTATACCATGGGGGAAATATCTGCCATTCCACGATGCATCCATTATCTAAGAAATGTTCTCAAATCTTTTACAACCACCACATCTATGCCATTTACAATGCTCAAATTGAGAGGAAAAAGATTCAGGCGGGGCATACGTAGGCTGCCATGTAAATGGGGCCAACCACGCAAGTGCCCCCGTCATCGTCCAAGCTTTTCAAGTGGAGCCCGCCATACTTCGCATTGCGACTATGAGAAACTAGACTCGACGAAGACATGGTTGATATTACAGTGTCCAATGGACACCGTAGAATGCTCAAGCCATAGTACCTTTTTTTTTTTATAGTGGGGCCCAGTGTAAAGTGAGGCCCAAGGAAAGTGGGTTACTTTCATCTGCTTCTCGTAGACAGGCGCCGTTTGTCTCTTAAACACTGGTGGATTTCTTGCGATGCAGCCTTTAATCTCTTCTTTTCCTTTCATCTCTTTCCCTCTACCAACTTCTTTCTTTATTCTTACTGTGCCTATTCTATTACTATGGCTTTCAAATATTTTCAGTGGGCTATTGCCCTTCCCTTTCTCCTCCAGCTCTGTGCAGCTCAGACGTATAGCAGCTGCAATCCTACAAAGAGTACGTCCCATCGCATCGCCCCGCGAAATACTGTTATCTAAGGAGAATATACCTAACAAGACCACAGAGACTTGCTCGGCTGATACGGGTCTGGATAAGTACCGATCCAGTAGTGACTTCACCTCTGGTGATTCCGCGTTCAATGACTGGAATACCAGTGCTGGCACCGTGAGCAGCACCTCCCTCGGGGCCAAGTTCAGCATTGCCAAGCAGGGTGATGCTCCCACTATCGAAAGCAACTTCTACATCTTTTTCGGATATGTGGAAGTCAAGCTGCGCGCTGCCAACGGCACTGGTATTGTCAGCACTGTAGTGCTTGAGTCGGATGATCTGGACGAGATTGACTGGGTAAGTTCACATTGTGTGTGTGTGTGTGTGTGTGTTTCTTTTTGAGAAACAAAGAAGTAGACAAAGATATATGAATGGCTCACCCCACATATTTAGGAGCAACTTGGTGCATACGACAACCAAATCCAAACCGACTACTTCGGCAAAGGCAACACTACCTCCTACGACCGTGCAACCACCGTCAGTGTTTCCTCCCCTGAAGAGACCTTCCACACCTACGCCGTCGACTGGACGTCCAGCAAAATCGACTGGCTCCTGGATGGCAATGTAGTGCGCACGCTCAACTACGCCGATGCCGTCGGTGGCTCCAACTTTCCTCAGACTCCCATGCGTATTCGCATCGGCATTTGGGCGGGTGGCGACCCGGATAATGCGGAGGGAACGATCGAGTGAGCTGGTGGGGAGACAGACTACAGCGGCGCCCCGTTCACCATGTACGTCGACTCGGTCAAGGTCATCAACTACAACCCGGCCGAGTCGTACAGCTACACCGACCAGACGGGAGATTATTCTAGTATCAAGGCGTCCAACTCGACTTCGTCGTCGAACTTGGCTTCGACGTCGAGCTCTGCTGAGTCGTCGAGTTCGTCGTCGACGGAGTCGTCTACTGCCTCATCCTCTCAATCGTCCACTGGCTCGGCGACTAACTCCACGACTAACTCGTCGACTGGCTCATCCGCTGGCTCATCTACTGACTCGTCCACCCATTCATCCACTCAATCATCTTCTCACTCATCCTCTCATTCGTCGACTAAATCGTCGACCCAATCATCAACCAAGTCGTCCAGCTCTGGTCGGGCGAGTGGCTCAACCTCTACCTCTCCCACCACTTCCACCCAGTCTACTGCCGAGTCCACTGCTCCCACCTCGGGAGCATCAACCTCTTACTTTTTCTCATTGTGTACTCTTGTCTTGGCGGCTCTGGTTGTTGGAACCGTTCAAGCTTAAATGGGACCAAGGTTGAAAGCATGTTTAGGGCTGCCGGCCTTATACCGATCGCTCTCGGCTGGACCAATAAAGCAGGCGTGTGCATATCTCGTGGGGTATCTTTTTGCAGGAAATGGGTCTGCTGAGGCGAGCAGATATCACTGACTCTATGGTTAGAATTGGCGTTCTTCTCTACGGGTCATACCCATGGGCGGCAAGCATTTGTTCTTTATGGGTTGTATTTTAAACAATATGAACCATTTAGGGCGTCCACAAAGTGACTGTAGTTTAGATCTTACATTCTGCCATAATTACTCACATATTGCCAGGGTGCTTGTATCTACCGAATTCCTGGAAAGTGGCGTGGAATAATTCCAGAAACCGAGCTCCAGAATACGGTCAGCGTTATAGTGCAATTTTATCTTATTTTGCTTTGTTTTTTCTCTCCAAATATTCGGAAATAAAATGCTTCGACCACGAGATTTAGTAGGTGCAGCTAGCTTTGCCTGGTATCTGAGGCACGAAGATGCTCCATTCCTGGGGCTTTTTACTCCGCCCCTGGCAAGTTCACTTCTTCAACCTGCTCTTCCCTCGGTCACATCATAGTACAACACCTGGAAACTCAACATCTTCCATCAACACTTGAGCAGTCTTCGACTAGGTCAGCTTGGCTCACGATCAAAATGGGAGATGCTCCGCCTCGCCAGTTTCTCATCCAGATGTCTGGATACCCTGGCGCAGGGAAATCAACAACCGCAGCAAATTTATCTCACAGAATGCCTGCGCTGGTCGTCGACCACGATGTCATCAAGTCTGGCATTCTCGAAAGCGGATGCGACTGGGGGCTGGCGTCGAAACTCACCTACGGCGTCGGCAAGGCAATGGCCGAGTACTACCTCCAAAATGGCCACAGCGTCCTCCTCGACAGTGCCTGTTTCTATCCGGAGATTATCATCTCTGGAAAGGCTCTTGCTGAAAAGTACAATGCTGAATATTGGTACGTCGAGTGCAAAGTGAACGACAATGGCGCCCTTGAAAACAGGCTACAAATACGAGTGTCGCATAGAAGTCAGCGAACGAGTATGAATCAACTTCCGTCCGATGCCGGTGACAATGTTGTCAAAGGAGATGCTCGCGCGCTTTTCAGTAAAGAGCCCGCTCGCCCAGATCAAAATTGCATCGTTGTGGATTCCTCGAGCACGGAAGAGACGGTGCAACACGAAGTCATGAAGCGGATTGGCCTTGAGGCTTGATTTTCATGGAATGGTCTGGCTTCACAATCGGATGATTGTTCGTTCTGCTTGGTTTTGAGCTCGTCTGCCAGACAGTCCATGTCCTGGGGAATACTTCGGATGGGCAATTACTGGATGGGGCAACGGAGTGCGAAACATCCAGGAACCGGCCTGACTCAGTCCCGAACACGGTGGTCTCCTTGCCGGGGCATCTGTGGTTTGTGTCGGGAGAAATAACCATGGACGATGAGGGACAGCCAAAAGGCAATCGGAGATCGAATGGCCGAGATCTATTCTGACATCTCATGCACGATCACCTGCGAATGACATGATTTCACTCTGTCTCTACTATGTACAAATTCTCCTGTACTAAATCTTCGAAACAGAGCGTTCATCCGAGACTTGTCGATCCGGCAAACGGTGAGGATCAGCCATCAGCCCACAAATCATCTCAGCCGTTGCCGCCCCAATTCATGACGATCGGGGCCCACACTCACTTTCTTCCTAAGGCGCATAGCCCCGTTTCCCAGTCGATCCAGTCGTGATTGGGTGGGGATGGGGGTGTTTGGACGCCAGGGGGAATCGGTCTATTTCCTGTGCCAACAATCATGCAATAATTGTATGTAAATGATTCTTACATACATCAATCCCCGAGCCGACACTCTCTTTACAATACACCTATTTATATCTGCATACACTAGGAGCAGACATACATCAAAGTTGTTAGCTAGCAATGTCTTCTTCTTGAGGCATCCCAATATGATCAATCTATACTTCTCTACCAACTTCCCTACTTCATAGATGCATGGCACAATCCACCCCCATGTTCATTCCCCTCGTTCTCTAGGGATTTTAACGTCAATTACCCCGACGCCATATCCCCTAGACTTGCAGGCCCCCAGCGCCCGCGGACCCACCGTATCGAGCGAAATTTGGATGGGCCGTCGGAGGTGGATGGGTGATTGGCTTAGCTGGGACCCCAGGATCGAGAGTCAGTACGCGCACCATACCGCCCCCATCGCTCTCTCTTTCTTAATGAGTGTTCGTATCGCAGTGGCAACTGTGACGTCCTCCATTCGATTTCTCGATTTCTTTTTGACAGCCGGATCTTCCCCCGATGGGGAATGTCCCCCGAGATCGATGCGGAAAAAATAGATAGAAAAAAAAAATACATAGAAAAAAGAACAGTTTAGACCATAGCACTATTCACTTTCTCAAGGAACTCAACTCCTTAACTGTTCGCCTTGAGATTAACCCTTTAGGCCCCCAGGGTGAACAGCGTAAGCATTCAGGCCCTGTGCTTCTCCCTGGATCAGCCCCCCAACCCATCGGGGGGGGTGTAATATATACTGCGTATCGTAATACCCTTTGGCCCCTCCTGGATTTGTTGTTCTCAATCTCTCTCTCTCTCTCTCTCTCTCTCTCTCTTCTTATTCTTCCTCTTCCTCTTCCCTCTCTTTCCAACCTCACCCTCACCCTCACCCGCCTTTTGGCCATCGTGGCCGTCCGTTCCTTACTCACCTCCCCCCCCTCCGAACTTGTATCCTTGTTTTTTGCAGCTGGTCCTCTGTTTCCGAACATTTACACTGGTTGTGAAACCCTTCTCGGTTTCTTCGCTCGTTCGATTCTGCCTGGTGCGGAAGATTCAATGATTTCCCATTGTTGGTAAAGGCCTCCAGATTCTTTGGGCTTTCCAGTCAGTGTCGGGAAGTCGAACGGTCTGGAGGTCTTGTATTCCATCTGGATCTTTTCGGCCGGGGGTTGTTTCTTCGCTCTGCTTTGATATCGGATTCATTGATTTTTGTGTTTTTATCTTGTTGCTCTTTTTTTTACTGCGTTGCAGCATCGATGGCTTCCATTTCTCTGCCACCTCAATCCCAGACGGCGTATTCTCAGCATTTCGATCTCCCCGACCACGCCAACGCCGATTCCAGTCGTCGCCTCACCATGCCGGCTCCCCTCCCCAATCCACACTTCGTCTTTCCCGCTCGCGATGTGGATGAATCCAAATCACACTCGGGGCCGTCGGAGCGACCGGCGCTGCCGACATTCTCATTTAACTCGGGCTCCGAGCCATCTTCGCAGCCTGCGGGTCCGCCTGTTCGATCCAACTCTCGATCTGGTGGACACCGTCGGCGGCCTAGTGAGTTTGTTGGGGGTGAGCAGTTGGTGACACCGGGCGCAGCCGACGGCGAGAAACGGGAGGGAGCTTCTGCAAACCCCGTCCCACCACCGGGGCCTGGTCCCGGCAGAGGCCCCGGGCGCCGAGGCCATGCGCATCGTCGTTCCGCTGCGGTGTCCGGTGTCGATCTGAACGCCATCTCTAAGGCGCTGAACACCCCTGCCGATAATAAGTCAGGCAAGGATGACACGGAGGATATTTCGAAACCGCTCTCCCAGTCGGCTCCAAGCCTCGGGCGACCGACGCCTCCAATCTCTCCTCAATTTCCGCCTGTGCCCACTGCCATCCACATCGAACCGGCGCCGAACGACGATGCCCCTGATGCCGGTCAATCCGACTCGACGTCACACAAGCCTTCTGCCAGCATCACGACAATCAAGATTGAGCAGCCAGAGGACCCTGCGCTCCCAGAGGAACCCACTCCGCCGGGACCCAAGTCAAAGCCACGGCCGAAAACTGCCGATGCGTCTTTGGCCTTTGATTTCATTCAAAGCACCGAGGCGGCGGGAGTGCCTGCCATCAAACGGTCGCACTCCGCGGCAGGGCATTCGCGCTCTCACAAGAGTTTATCCACTGGCAACCTCGATGCTGCTCTCTCGGGCCATGGAGGTGATGATGCGCACTCCACGGATACCTCTCGCCATTCGTGTTCGGACGATGGCTCCGAGTCATCTTGTGATCAGGATGCGGATGGATCTACTTCGGCGAAGAAGGATCCTTCGAAATCAAAGAAAAAGAAGCGAGTTCGTTCCTGGGCTGGGTCCATCTTGACACGAGGCAAGAGCAAAAGTAAGCGCTATCAGTCCAAGGCGGATTCAGAGGAAGAGCCTATGCCTTCTCCGCCGCCGCTTACTCGGACTGACTCGGATGTTGGATCGGCCGTGGATGTCGATTTTGATAATGACGACGTCGTGGTCATCCGGACCCCCACCAACCCAGATGGCCCGGTCTCAGACGCTGAGACCATTCAAAATAAGCCCCCGCTGCCTGCCCCTACTCTGGACACCTCGTGGAAACCGAGAAGCTTTTATGAGCAGGGCGCAGCACCGGATACCTTGAGTAGCCCTGTCATCGACCTCGATGCGGCTTTGGGCCCGTTCAATACACCTGAGATCCGACCCACTCCAGGAGCCCCAAGCAACTTTACAGTCGCATCTCAGCGGATGTACAGCGGTGGACGACGGGGTGCATTCATTGGTCCTGAGATGCGGTACCATCGCCGCACGGAAAGTGCACCCGTGATGCCTCCCTTTGACCACAGCGCTCTGGGTGGAGTCCGCCTCGGTGGTACTTCTACAGTGGAGGCTCCGGATGTGTTTTACGAGGAGGAGGAAGATGCTTTTCTGGCTGCAAATCAAAGCCCCAGGGATGAAGGTCCCCCAGCCCATGGCTCTTCTGTCTTTGTGTCATCTGACGAGGAAAATAAATCCTCCAAAAGCAGCGACACCGCGGACACTCTAACCCGTGCTCCCGAGGAGAGTCACCCTAAGCAAGCGGGTTTGGGAATCCAAGCTCGTGATGAAGCAGCCACTCCCACGGCAGGCCTTGAACAACAAGGCGCCGTTGATCAAGCCGAAAATGCAGCCTCTCCCTCCACTGGCCCACCTCGCAGCCCTGTGGAGATTTTGAAGTCGGAGGCATCCGTGTCCAAGCCTACAGGCCCTCCTAGTCCCGATATCTCCCCTCGCTTTTTGACTGTGGAAAAGCGGCCGGCAACATCACCCATGGAGCTGCAGCCCAGCATTCCGCCTTTTTCGTTGTCCGCGGGGGTTTCGCCGTCCGATTCGTCTTTCCCATCTCCGGATATTCCGCGGTCGACTACGGCGTCCTCCATGACGGACCGCAACTTCTCGAGCCATTCTTACCACAACTTGCCCTCGGATCATCGCTATGCCTCAATTGAGGATGTACCATCCTTGACAAGTAGTGCTTCAACCATGACCAACAACATGAACCGCTTTTCGGCTTCATTCTTTCCTCGTGGTCGTATGTCAACCGACCGAGCGGCGTCTTTTTCCGCTACCGGTTATCGGCGCAGCAACCCCGCGAATGCCTCCAAGAGGTCCAGCCTGGCCAGTTTGTCCAAACTGGTCGGTGGTCAACATTCGGAACGGAGCAAGCTTAACCAAGAGGAGAAGCCCCCTGGGGATGTGCCCGAGAAGACGAAAAAGAAGGGTCGCCGACTCAGCCGACTCATGCATTTTTGGAAACTCAAGGACAAGGATCGAACGGCTGCGGAGCTGTCTCCGACCACCCAAGAAAGGCCTCAGTCTTAAGCACGCCTACCCTTTGAGCTCCATGCATTTTCATTGTGATTCGACGGCGCAATCTCGGCATTAGCGATAGCCTGGCAGTACCATCTTTTTTTGCGACATCTCAGCTTCTCCGACAAGTTTTTTTTCGCTCGATCGATCTGTACATATTGATATCGGCTCCGGTTCTTTGTGGATTTTTTTTCTCTTCCATTTTTTTCAGCCTCTCATGCTCGGCGGTTCCCTTTTCTTCGCTTCACCTTGACGTCCCCACGCAGGCGTCAATTACGAATTTCTTTATTCCCCGGACGTGCTTTGCCGTGTCCGAGTACGATATGCTCTCACTTCTTGTCCATCGTTCATGTACCGGTGTGTGATGCACGGATTTATTGACTTCTCTACGATCGCTGTCCCCTTGCGGACCCTGACTTTTTTTCGCCCGCTTATTTGTTGCTTTTATTTTTCTTCTTCTGTCCGGCAATGTGCCGGGAATATCCATGTTGCCCTTTCGCCGATCGGGCCTTTCTCAGATCTTTTACAAGGCGTGGGTGTAAGTATATTGGCATTGAGTTCGTTGTTCGAGGTGGATCTAGTCAGTTATGTGTGGAATCCAATACTTGACAACTTGACAATTGGAGCAATTATAAATATTACAACCTTGTAGTGTATAGTCTTAAGACAGATCAGTATGTCTATTGTTCGGCTGAATATCGTGCGGAGGCTGATAGCGATAAGAAAAAAATATATCTCGCCCGCTCCGCCCTCCCCGCGCAGTGCTTTCTCACAGCTATCCAAGTGATATAACACAAGTTCGGGAACTCTCTCGACCCTTGGAATCCTTGAACAGACGAGGAAATACTTGATTTCTATTTGTTTCCCAAGAAGATGGCGCCCCCGCGCCAAGTCAACCGCCAGAAACCCCCCACCACCAAGCCCAAACAGCGTCCGCGCGAAGCCCGCCAACCAACAAGCAACCAAACCTCCATTCACAAACCCGCCAGCGATGCTAGCGATGCCACCGAGTCAAGTAGTGGCATCGACCTCTCCGCCACTATCCCGTTGTCACTCCAGCAATTGCTCCTAGACGTCTTCAAAACAGCCCTTCTCTCCCCGTCGCCTCCACGCCCCAATCCCAATTCCACAACCAAACCACCAGAAACCAGTTCAACAGACCCAGATCCTAAAAAATCTTCCGCTGCGTCAGAAAATACCTCGGACGAGGCGCCCCTCGACACCAAGTCTCTGATCCAGACTATCAAGGCCCACCTATACCAGCGCGACTTCGACTCTGCCTTCACAGATGCCGGCGAGGACCTGCTGCGCGCTTATGCTTTGCGATGGAGTGCTGCGCGCGCGCTGGGGTATGCGGGGTTATTGAAAGCGGTGCTGACGTGGATGCTTCGTCTGGGGGAGAATGGAGGTGCTGGTCCTGATACCCGCGTTGTGTGTATTGGCGGCGGGGCCGGGGCGGAGATTGTTGCTCTGGCGGCGGCGTGGAGGGATTTGGAGGTTGGGAGTAAGTCATTGGAGCAGGGTGTTGCCGGGGTGTCGTTGGAGGAGAATGAAGCGGATACAGAGGCGCGGACAGCGCCGGAGATATCCACTGCAGAAGAGGGCGAGGATGAGGGCGACACTCCGGCAGTTGGTCCCTCGAGGATACATCCACGTTTCTCTGTAGCCGCGGTTGATATTGCCGACTGGTCTGCTGTCGTTGATCGACTGGCGCGCACGATCTCATCGTCTGATGTCCCAACGCCGTCGACATCCAAGTACCAGCCGCCATTGCTGCCCGCAGCAGCGAATACGACAACAACCACAGAAGACAGGACCGATTTCTCAGTATTATTTCATCGCGCAGACATCCTGAGCCTGCCCGAGCCAGACCTCAAGAACATCCTAATCGACACGTCCAGCACACCCAACTCCCCAGCCCTACTTGTAACCCTCATGTTCACCCTAAACGAGCTCTTCTCCACCTCCATGCCCAAGGCCACCGGGCTCCTACTCCGTCTAACAGAACTGCTTCCGCCGGGCGCGGTGCTGCTGGTCGTCGATAGCCCGGGCAGCTATTCGACCCTGAAGCTGGGCAAGGGCAAAGACGGCGCCGCGCAGGAGAGGAAGTATCCGATGAAGTTCCTGCTGGATCACACGCTGCTCTCTGTGGCGGAGGGGCGGTGGGAGAGGGTGTTTACGCAGGACTCGCGGTGGTGGAGGCGGGATGCGGCAAGGTTAAGGTATGAGGTTGGCGAGGGTGCGGGTTTGGAGGATATGCGGTTCCAGGTGCATGTGTATCGGCGGTTGGAATGATATGTTTTCATGATATACCCGCAGATAGCATACATAGCGTGCCTAATGATGAATATGAAGAATATGAATTCGTCTACGATGCATGTAGAGAGTTCTTGGAATGGAGGAGAGGTATGATATTGCTACATTTCAAGGGAAAAGAAACCAGGTGGCTCAGCCATATCCACCTCATTTCACACGCCACAGGTGTTCCTTGGACGGCAGTGAATTCCCCGAGAGAGGTTGCGATTAAATGGTACATTTCAAGGAATTTTAACAAAAAGACACTCCGGAAATCAAGTCCTCAAACCCAGCAAGAGACTCGTGCTCTTGCCGCCATCCTTTCCACCGTCGCCGCCGCCCGGAAGATATGTGACGTTGGGGTTGCTGGACAAGGTCTGGGCGATCTCCTTGCTGGCATCGATACGACGGATGTCAATAAGGCCACTGCCGGCCTTGGCGACGGCCTTGCTGATGATGTCGGCACTCTCGGCCTCACCCTCGGCGCGGATGACGTTGGCCTGGCGCTCCTGCTCGGCGCGCTCGACGATGAAGCGGGCGCGCTCGGCGTCCTGCTGGGCGATCTGCTTCTGCTCGACGGCCCGCGTGAACTCCCGGCCGAAGGTCATGTGCGTGATGGAGACGTCCTCCAGGGCGATGTTGAACTGCGACGCGCGCTTCAGCAGGTCCGTACGAATGCGGTTCGAGACGGCTTCACGCTGCGTGATCAGCTCGGCGGCGTCGAACTGGGCCACGATGGCTTTGAGGACTTCGTTGCCGATGGATGGGAGGACACGCTCGTCGTAGTCGGTACCGTATGACTATCGTCAAAAGTATTATTAGCTCTTGGTTTTTTTTTTCTTGCTTCTTATGCGTTTTTGTTATCTGTTGATTCCTTACCTGGTAAATTTGCGGCAGCTTCGGCACCTCCGGCCGGTGCAGTACTCGCAGCGTCAAGCTGACCATCTGCAGATCCTTACTGCCTGTCGTCGTCGAGATATTGCGTGGTTTCGTCCGGACATCGTACACAATCGCCCGCTGCAACCACGGGATGAGGAAGTGCGTGCCTTCGTTGATCACCTTCTCCTGCACTCCGGACAGCCGATCGAAGATGATGGCCCGCGTGCCACCTCGAACATCGTAAAGCGACGAGTTGACAAGAAGCGCACCGGCGAACACAGGAGGTGCTAGCCGATAGATGTTGTAGAGGGCGTTGGCCATGGTGGAGGGAGATGGGAGGGGTGGGAGGGAATGGGGTGAGAGAGATGGAGATGATGTCGGGCTTTTGCTGCTTTCGCGGTGGTACCCGATCGGGTTTAGGGCGTTGGCCAAACCTCCAACTTCACCCGACCTCGTCTTTTCCCTTTCCCTCGCATTCCCCCGTTTCCTCTCCTTTTGCCGAATTGATTGAATTTCTTTCACCATGGGTGGCAGTGTTGATCCTAAGAACGGAAGGTAGGTGATCCTTCTTTTTTTTTCCTTGCCTTGGGTGGTGCCTGGGCTGCTGCGCACAAGGTGTCCGGCTGCACCCGCTTGGATGCTCGATTTATCCTCATCCCAATTGGCCCGTTCCAACTATCCTTGATGGTTTCCTTGGTGTGGTATATACTGACGATGTGATTTTTCCAGCTTCATTGGCGGCTGGGGCGACTTCGGTACGTGGATATTGTCCCTTGGACTCTGCGAGTGTGCCCGCATACGTGAGGCCGATGCGCCCTCCAACGTTATGTGGACGGATGCCACTTGACGACAAGATATACCTTCAAAAGAGAATATAGCAACAATGGATTCGGGTTGGTCGCTAACCCGACTTATAGGCTGCCCGACCCCCCAGCGCATCGCCTCCTACGCCGTGTCGTCTAACCGTCAGCGTCCCTTCGCCGGCGCTGGGCACGCGGCTATTTTCAACTCCTTCCGTCGCTTCCGTCACCAGGTGCTCTACGTTGCCCCGCCCTTCCTGATTGCGTACGCCGCGATGAACTGGGCTGTTGAGCGGTAAGCCCGAACAATACCATCATGACTGGGGTTGTACTGATTGATTGATCTTTGCAGCAACGAGTACCTGAACTCCAAGCCGGGTCGTCTGCTCGAGGGCGGTGACGAGTAAAGTGTCTCCATTGTTGGGAGTTGAGGGATTGGTATACCAGAGTCGACAGACCTGGACCACGGCTGTATTTTTGTACAGTAACTAGAAAGCAATCGACTATTCGGATTTCCTTTGTCTGCTCCGGATTGATATTCGCTAGTTCTTGTATTTTGAATTGGTTTTTCTCAAATTTCTGGAGAGAATTGACGGAGTAAGCCTCTTTTCCGGGGATGTCATTGGCCCCCGATGTCCCCGATGTCCCCGATGCCCTCTGTGCTCGCCATGGTATTGAGACCTCCAAAAAACATTTCAATTTCACTTAAAAATAAAGCCCGAGGACTATGACTGTCCAATGGACCTACACCGCAGTGTTGGTGCCCCAGGCCGAGGCGTGGGCCGTCCCCACTTCAGCCGAGAAAACAAGCAAAAAATTCGCCCAAAGCAGCCAAAGTCCCGCCGGCTGCTTTTTCTTCTGCGAATGCTGCGTTGGTTTTCTCGTCTTCCTTCTCTCTCTCACTCCTCTGCCTTTCCCCTATCTCTCTCTTTTCGTTCTCTTTCCAGCATCATGAGCGACATCGTCCACCCCACCATCAAGGGTAGGTGTGCCCCTCTCGTTACCCCGCCTCAACTCATTGACGCCCAATTGCACTGGGTACCAGCTCTATTTTCCCCCTGAACATCACTGACTGTTTTGATTCTTTGGTATAGATGGCTGGTTCTCCGAGAAGTCGTCCATGTGGCCTGGCCAGGCCATGAGCCTTAAGGTCAACCAAATCCTGCACCACGAGAAGTCCAAGTACCAGGATGTTCTGGTCTTCGAGAGCAGCGACTACGGTACGGTGCTGGTCCTGGACAATGTGATCCAGTGCACGGAGCGTGATGAGTTCTCGTACCAGGAGATGATCACCCACCTGGCCATGAACTCCCACCCCAACCCCAAGAAGGTACTGGTCATCGGCGGCGGTGATGGGGGTGTTCTCCGTGAGGTCGTCAAGCACGAGTCGGTCGAGGAGGCCACCCTGTGCGACATTGATGAGGCTGTCATCCGCGTGTCGAAGAAGTACCTGCCCGGCATGAGCATTGGCTTCCAGCATCCCAACTCCCGCGAGTACGTCGGTGACGGCTTCGAGTTCCTCAAGAACCGTCAGAACGAGTTCGACGTGATCATTACCGACAGCTCCGACCCCGAGGGCCCTGCCGAGAGCCTGTTCCAGAAGCCGTACTTTGAACTTCTCCGCGATGCCCTCCGCGAAGGAGGTGTCATCACCACCCAAGGTTGTTCGTCGCCTTTCGTTGCCCCTCACATATTTTCCCCGTTGTATTTGCCTCACATGTGGATTGCCCTTCTTCCTGACATTTCTCTTCCAATTCTCTCTCGCATCTCTATTATTTTTATTTATTTCCGTATTTGCAAGACCACGGGCTAACCTTTTCGCACCACCCCGCCAACCAACCCGCTTTTCGGGCTCGGTTTTGGGGAATCTGTGCCTTTAACCCAACAGCTGAGAACCAATGGCTGCACCTGTCACTCATCGCCAACCTCAGGAAGGCCTGCAAGGAGGTCTTCCCCGTCGCCGAGTACGCCTACACCACCATCCCCACCTACCCGTCCGGCCAGATCGGGTTCATGGTCTGCTGCAAGGATGCCTCGCGCAACGTGCGTGAGCCCGTGCGCTCCTGGTCCCGTGAGGAGGAAGAGCGCCTGTGCCGCTACTACAACCAGGACATCCACCGCGCCAGCTTTGTGCTGCCCAACTTTGCGCGCAAGGCTCTGGATGTGTAGATGGATTTCCCTAAAACTATGGTCTTTAGATATCCACGACAATATTGGAATGACATCGAGGATTTCGGGGTACTGCATTTTGTAGATTGTTTTCTGTCCGGCTCGGCTTGTTCTGTTCTGTTTCTCGTAGCAGACCGTGACCGTGATGGCATTTCTGGTAGACAGTTCTCTCACATGAGAAGTACACAGTAGTGTACATAAACAGAGGGAGCCGTCCACGGGTGTGGTAAATACTGAGAAGAAGTCAGCCCTTGTACTTGCATTGTAGCCAGGCCCTCAGTCGGAGAAACAAGCGAAGCATTGAGAGCCAGCTTTAATCTGGGGTCCACATTCTGCGTCATATCTTCCCCAACTATATCGGAGAGTCAACCGGGACGAGCCTCTTTTCCACACTGAAAAACTTTCTCCAGGCAGCAGAATTCGCCATGGCGTAATGATTCCTGTCCCTGGTCGAGCTGTCTCTCAACCTCGTCGAGGTCATAGAGGCCACTCGGGGTGTCGAGGATATTTAGGGCCGACAAGGTGATTGACAAGGATAATGTTAGCCTGTGCTAGCCTTTTCATTTGGTAAAAAGTTTGCCTTTTCGCATTATCATGCACAAAAAGAGGCCAATTCGAATGGCGATCGGCGTTCAGCCCTATCCGTTCCGCGCGGAGTGGGTCATTCATCTCCATGTCGACACTCCAGAGCCCTCTCTCCTGTGTGCCTGCTGAATAGATGAGCATGGTATGCTCTGTCTTAACTCAAGAGTGCCTCTAGTTTCGGGATTCATTAACGTTAAGTCCTTTTTCTAACCAAGATGTCACGATCCTTGGCGAAGAGAGAGCAGTTGTCTAGTGAACTACTTTCTGACTGAACCTGGCGCCAAATCATCTATCGAGGAAAGCTACAATGATCTAGATATATTGGGATAGTTTGAAGTCTAAACGGACGACTCCATAGTGCTGGTCTCAGATGAGGTTGTTGCTGTCACCGAGCTTCAAAGCTCTCCTTAGTGAGATTGTAGTCTCCATTCTGTCCTTCATGATGGCTGGCTGGATTCTGCGTATTTCAGGGGATATATTAACACAACCTTGCAGTCGGCGCGGTGTTAGGCTGACAGGGATGTGGAACTACATGAAGTTTGCGCTTTTTGCTGGGGCTAAATGAGAGAAGTAAATCTCCGCTCAGCTGGTGCGATTCATGCATTTCTTGGCTTGTTGAAATACGAGTCAACGAATAGATTTGTTCTTTCAGTCTTTTCGTGATAGTAGGAGAATGATTCTACCAGCTACATGTATGTACATAGCTCTTGAGGAATCATATTAATAGCAATAACCACGCACAAGGCACAAGGCACACATCTTTGTTATTCTTTCGGTTTTTCAATAAGGCTGAATCTCCGGCAATACTCGGGAGTAGTTCGTTCGAGTGGATCCTAGAGAAACATGTGTAGAGAAAAACAGAACTGGAATGCTCGCAACCAGATAACTGAGCTCTTCGACTAAATTTGAGCAAGGCTGTGACACTCATCCTGAATGCGGCTCCGTTTAAGACCGTCATTTGGGGGCCAGTGATCGGCCAACTGTGTTTGTAGTATAAAACCTGCCATTCAAGGCCCTATCCCCATCCACAATCCTGCCAGAGAGTATCGTTCAAATCTTCGAGGTTTCAAGGCCCTGGCTATTCATATGGCATGAGGATTATGCTCTCCATATACCCTTCAAGGCTACCCTAGAGGCCTTCGACTCATGTCGGTTTCAAGCCAAGCCCTTAGTGTGAGGCAGTGGGGGCTAGTTCTGAGGAGAGCGTCTATGGGTGCAGTAAAATGGCTAATGTAAGGACCTGAATATATGCCCTCGGAGTGGGAACAGAGAGCCTATGTGGCCTTCCCCTAGGTAGCGTAGAAAAAAGAATTTATCAGTAGTTAGTTGCTAGTGCCACGCTAGCTTGCTCATTCAGTTTCCTCGTTTTTTACTGCAACTTTTACATATGATCGTTGCCAGATAGAACCGCCATACTATTCATAGACATAGAGGATGGGGATGTTCGTATCATAAGTATATCCGGACACCGTGATGCATGGTTAAGAGACTGAGCCTTTTCATATGCCAGGAGACACATAGAACTGACTAGTACAGAAAGCTCAGTTATCTAATCTACCAAAAGTGTGATTTGTAGTGCGAACCCAGCCTTATGTGCCTTATGAACAGCCATTACCATTTGATGCGTTGGGTTATCTCAAGTAGATATCAGGCATGTATCTCCTCTTTTTCTTTTTCTTTCTCTACTAAACATATACAAATCCAAGTATGCATAGGTAACGATCTTTGAGCAATTCATAGATTCCCAATGAAGACGACTTAGGGTTAGCCAAAACTACCATTCTTTCCCAAGCCGGTGAGTAGACCATCCAAATCCTCGACATGCTAACATACAGACATAAGAGACAAATAAAACCAGAAGTACTCGACGGTCAATCTCAGCCGAAACCCGCCGTGAACCAAGTAATTGTCAGTAACACCCAAGCTTTTGTGGCTGCCACTGACCTCATCACTTTTCTCAACCACATCGCAACCCTCTCTTTGAATATGATTTGCCCGGGAAACGATCACGAGGAACATAGTTACCCATAATTTGGTACTGCTAACCTTCAACGTCGTTGAGTCTCGATCCCCGCGATGCTAGAGGGCAGTGACCAGGAACCATGGGTCGGTCGACATAACTGACACGGACGAGTCTCCACTTTCCCCGGATTTCTTCCATTCGCGTGAATGTCACTGTCTCCCACAGAGTCAGAATTCTCGGGAGTGAATCAACGGGTCATCATTCCCCTCCCCCGCGGTTTGCGCTGCCATCGGCTTGTGTCCCAGGAAACCCAGCTCCGAGCATGTCACACGCAGTCTTCTTGCCAAAGATTGGATCTTCGGATTCGATGGAGTATAAAAGTGCCGCTGTGGTCTCAGCAATACGATAAGCTATATTCACTGCGAAGAAGCACCGGCAGAATCCCTCTACTCATCGCTCGCGACCAAGTACAATGCTGGAAAAAGTTTTCAAGAAGCGTCCCCAGGACCTATACAACGACGGCGAGCCTTCAAGGGAGTCGGCGTCCACCAATGATCGCGAGAAAGTTCCCAGCGATGCCATCGACACCCCCATCCCCCTGTTCACCTGGCGCTCCTTCACTATGGGGATTTTCGTCTCCATGGGCGGGTTTCTCTTCGGCTATGATACCGGCCAGATCTCGGGGTTCCTCGGAATGAAGAACTTCCTGCAGCGGTATGGCCAGCCGGGTCCAGATGGAAGTTTCCATTTCAGCAATGTCCGCTCTGGGCTAATCGTTGCCTTGGTGAGTGAGAATTGACTAACTTTGTTGCAAATTCTTTTTTCACATTTCTGAGACTCTTCTATAGCTCTCAATCGGTACATTGATTGGCGCATTAATCGCAGCACCCATTGCTGACCGCGTCGGCCGGAAATGGTCGATCAGTGGCTGGTGTGTCATTGTTTGTGCTGGGGTCACTGTCCAAATTTCCTCCCCAGTGGGAAAGTGGTATCAAGTTGCTTTGGGCCGCTGGGTTGCAGGGCTTGGGGTAGGAGCAGTGTCCTTGCTCGTTCCGATGTATCAAGCCGAGTCCGGGCCACGGCACATTCGAGGGTCGTTGATCAGGTATGCATTTAGTCTTCATAGTCTTGAAATCTCCCTGCTTAACTCTCCACAGCACGTATCAGCTTTTCATCACGCTGGGTATCTTTGTGGCCAATTGCATCAACTTTGGCACCGAAGCCCGTCCTAACACTGGATCCTGGCGGATTCCCATGGGGGTCACGTATATCTGGGCTATTATTCTTGGTGTGGGCATGGCGCTCTTCCCGGAAAGTCCTCGGTACGACTATCGCCACGGTAAGGTCGAGAAAGCCATCGACACGCTCGCTAAGATTTATGGAGTGCCTCGCAACCACCGGGCCCTGCACATTGAATTCGAGGAGATCAAACAAAAGTACGAAGAAGAGGTGCGCAACGGGCAGGTCACTTGGGTACAGCTATTCCGCGCACCGACCATGGCATACCGGGTGCTCGTCGGCGTGGCCCTACAGGCGCTGCAGCAACTAACGGGTGCAAATTACTTCTTCTACTATGGCACCGTCGTGTTCAAGGGCGCAGGCATCCACAATAGCTACGTTACGCAGATGATCCTGGGCGGCGTGAATTTCGGCACCACCTTCCTGGGTCTCTACCTGATCGAACACTATGGCCGACGCCGGTCGTTGATCGCAGGCGCTCTGTGGATGTTCGTTTGTTTCATGGTCTTCGCCTCCGTGGGCCACTTCTCTCTCAACCGGGACTTCCCCGAACGAACACACTCTGCCGGTGTGGCCATGGTGGTCTTTGCCTGTCTCTTTATCCTCGGGTTTGCTAGCACCTGGGGTCCGATGGTGTGGGCTATTATCGCCGAGCTGTATCCCTCGCAGTACCGGGCGCGCGCCATGTCGCTTGCCACGGCGTCCAACTGGCTTTGGAATTTCCTGTTGGCTTTTTTTACGCCGTTTATTGTGAGTGCGATCGACTTTCGCTTTGGGTACGTCTTTGCCGGTTGTCTGTTCCTGGCGGCTGGTTTGGTTTACTTTGCCGTCATCGAGGGCCAGGGCCGCACGCTGGAGGAGATCGATACCATGTATCTCATGAAGGTGAAGCCGTGGAAGAGTTCCAAGTTCAAGTTCCCGGCTGAGCCGAGCGTGCTTCGGGGCTCCTTGGATAAGGGAAGTGGCGCGGGGACTTCATCGCATGTCCCGGATGCGACGGCTGAGCTACATGAAACTGTGCCAGCGGAGCCAGGAGCACATACGGGTGTGTGAAGGAGATGGATGGGTAGTTGTTGTGTTGAAATCGTTGTAATTACTGCTTCTGTATGAATATTCCTGGACTGAATTCAATGAACCACTTGCCGTTGAGATCTAACCTCCATCTTTGTTGGTTATCTATATAGAGCCCTACAGTTTGGGCCGAGCATTTCCTGCTCTGACAAGCACACCGTCCAAGTAACGCACCATCTGGTCTACATTCTCCAGTTCTCCCACCCATCCGATGTATTGATCCGGACGAATCACCACCAGGGCACCGCGCGTTCGATCGACTCCCCAAGTCTCGTACGCCCTCCCGTCACAATACCGGTCCCAGCCAGGCGCATCATCGCACCAGATCTTCCCATACGCCCAACCCATGACGGGATCCAGAGGACGCAGAATATCCGGGAAGTCAAAGAACTCTGCCTGTGCCCAAGGGGCGCTGTGGATCGTCATCAAGTCAAGGGGACTGTCAAACCGTCCAGGGATCGGGGCATAGCGGCGCATGAGAGAACCATTCACCGCACCATGGCCAGCAAGCAAATGGCCGAGTGTATGGACACGCTGCTTCTGCTCATACTTGCGCATGTCTCCCGCCAAAATAACAACCCGGAACCGTCCATCGCTTTTCATTAACCGCATCGTCCAATGCGTCCCGCCCTCTGCCTGGTTGCGCAGCTTGGCTGGCGGAAACCGTTCCCCGGGGATTAAGCAACGGGCAACGGCCGGTACTTCCTCGCCGCCCTCGGGTTTCCAGACGAGTGAGCTAGCACCATAGAACGCCTTGAGACCGTCGGCAAAATCCTCGAAAAGCTCGGTGACTTTGATCATAGTCTGCGTTTTATCTGGGGATTCTGCCGCTTCGGATTTCATCTCCGTGAATAGCGGGGACCAGTGGCGGTCATAGTCAAGCAGCATTTCAGCGAGCCGGTGCCTTTCCGGGTGGTATGTGCTCAGAATCGAGGGATGTGCCACGCCCGCAGCGACCAGAGCAACTTTCCAGCCAACGTTGAAGCTGTCTTGCATGCTCATGTTCATTCCCAGTCCCACCTTGGGCGAATGCGTGTGCACGGCGTCGCCGGCGAGGAAGATCCGGTTGCCCTTGGTGAAAGTGGGTGCAATGCGCTGTCCGACCTGGTATGCGGTCCACCAGTCACAGATCTGGAAGTCGAATGTGTAAGGGGTCAGGATTTCTCGCACGCGTGTCCGGATCATCTCTGGCGTGATCGTTGAGCGGTCGAATCGGCGGGTTGTGCCGGCTTCGACGACCTGCACGGGCACGTAGAGACGAACTAGGTTTCGCTCGCGCGGGATGACCAGGATAGTTCCCGATGCGTTTGTAACCGTGCCGAGACGGCGGATATCAGCTGGGGATGTTTGGTCAATATATCCACTGTTAAAATATGACCCTGCGTACTTACGGAAGTTGGTAATGGGAATGATATCGATCACTCCCCTGTCACGAAGGTCAATGTATTAGTTTCACACGGATCAATATCAAAAGACACCAGCACTCACCAAATATGATCCGTACTGGACCCTTCCAATGGAATGTTCAGCTGCTTTCTTGTCCAGCTGTGCGCTCCATCACACCCGATGAGGTACTTGGCTTTGACAATCTCGGTCTTTGCTTGTCGGGCCTTGCTCCGGTGGATCAAGTCGTCCCAGTCGTCCGCGGTTAGATTGCTTCGATACAATCCATTGCGTGCTACCTGAGACTTGGACTTGTTTTCGGGGTCAGTTGCCAAGCTCGCCTCTTCGTCACTGAGAGTTCGGAGCTTGACGGTGATGGGGTATGCCTCAAGGTTGCCGTCCTGCTGCTCATCGTACTCCAAGGATTCGGCAATCACCCCGCGTTCGACCTGAATGTCCGAGTGCTCCTGGATACTATCCAGAATAAACTGCTCGATGCGGCCTTGACTCAAAAGCATGTTGTTGAGCGGTGACTCGTTGATCTTGGCGCTGGTATAAGTATTTTGTCGGATCGGAATCCCATCCTCACCAGGGGCCTATATAATCGCACGGTCAGTTAGTCAATGTTCCCTCACGGATACATCCAGTTGACGGACCCAGAATGCGGCATAAGCCGTCACGAAGCCCTCATGCGAAACGCGATGCTGGATGCCCATGCTGTCAAACAGCTCCAGGGTACGCATGCGCAATCCGTCCGCGTGGCCGTTCATCACTTTGGTCCCACGCTTGTCGATGATACGTGCTCGCACGCCGCAGCGAGCCATCCAGTAGGCTGTCATCAGTCCGGAGGGACCGGCGCCGACGATGAGTCTGTTGCGATGGTTAGGCCAAGACAGGAAGCATGGAATCGATGCTTCTTACACATCGGTATGCGATTCAGAGGTATTGTTTTCTTCGTTCATAGTGAGTAATATCGTGGATTTTCATGGAAACCGGTGATGATTCTTGCACAACATCAAGTATCAGCATGGTGGTCTGGGAGCTCCCTTTTATACTCCACCATTCTGCTAAGATGTTGTCCCACAGCAACGACGCAGTGCACGGTGCTAGTTCCGAGCTGCACGCTGACTCACATCATCACCTCTCCGGATTGCACATAATACCCCGAGTCTGGAACCACTAGGTACAGTATTTTGCGTCTGTGCAAATGCCGGATATTCCGCACTTGGGACTCTTCGATGTGTATTGATAGTCGCCTAATGGGGTATTTTCAGACCCCAGGCCGGGTGCAGTTCTGCGACGTGCAACCGATCTCTCCAAGTCATCAGCACAGTCGGGAAAGTCGGAATGGTCATATTTCCGTTGAATGTTCATGTGGTTCCTGGATATAATGGACTCTTGAAGGCTGATAGGCCATGCATTTCTTAGCGCCCGCCGTCATTGGGGGAGATATTCGACTAGCTTCATGGCGACTGGGGTATCGACACGGCATGAAGAAAATAAATGAGATCTCTTCATCCGAGGCATGCCGCTTAGACATCGGATGTCGGTCTCAGTTTGCCCGTGCAAGGTATATGGGAGTGCGGAGCAAAAGCGATCGACGTTCGGACCCAGGCGGAACAACACCGCGTTGTAGCTGACGAGGCTACATCAACGAGTGTCCCTGAACCTCATCAAGCATTATTCCGACTGTTCATGATATCCGTCTCTTGGTTCACTCAACTGGTGAAAAGGTATGGATCACGTGATTATCCACACCGTTTCGGCACACCTGTGTGTCCAACACGCGTGGAGCCTGTGCAAAAGCTGACTCCATCGTGAATTCTCAATGGGGAGACTCCGATCTTGAAGGAATTGGGGATTTCCTGTCGGGCGCACATCGCCCACGGGGTTCCTGTGTTGCCTCACCGAATCGGAGTGGCCCGATTGGGGAACCCGAGCATCATAGATCACCGCACATCGTGAACAATATTCTTCTTCTCGCTAGGTGGATTGTGAAGTGAGTTTGGAAGGCGAGGTTCGAGAAACATTGCATTAATAATATCGTCCACAACATACTCGACCGCTGGAGGGTCGGTTAATTTCGCCGGAGCAGCGTCCTCCGGGCGGTTCCCGGTGTGCAGTAGGGACACCGCGAGGGTTGCCGAGAGCCTCGGGGGGGATGTTGGGGCTGCGAGTAGTTCCTGGGCTGTCACCGGCATCGGACTGACTCTCGCCTTAGTGCTTCAATTTGTATAGAACGGGTAGTTCACTAGACCAGATACAAATGGAAGGTCTGATTTAGCTATGATGTAATCCATGGCAATTGTAGCTACATATCGCCTCTGCGACTCATGAATTTCTTCGAATTCTCTTTGAATTCGAATTCGAAATCTGATTGTTGACGCTGTACAAGCGCGGGCTGCTGTGGTCCTTCAAACGCCGCAGACTGCCCCACCACAGACATCATCCCCCACCTCCCCTCTCTCTTCCCTTCTTTTCCCATCTTTTTTTTCCTTTTCTTTTCACTTTTCATCCTATTAAACGGTAAGTCTTCCTCGATCTTGTCCTCTTCAGCTCTGATTCTAACGCGCTCAGAAACCGCCATCATGGGCTACACTGATTTGGACCAGTTGGCTATCAACACCATCCGTGTTCTCGCGGTACGTGCCCTCATTTTTTGCGCTTCAATTGCCTGCTCTCCCCTCCATAACAGTGACCATTTCACTTCGAGAAGCTCGAGGCCAAAGCTTAGATGTTTCTATGAACACAAATTCACAAACACCATGCATCCTAACTTTCCGAATCTTACTGACGACGCTCCCCACAGGTTGATGCCACCTCCAAGGCCAACTCGGGTCACCCCGGTGCCCCGATGGGCATGGCTCCCGTCTCCCACGTTCTGTTCAACAAGTTCATGAGCTTCAACCCCCAGAATCCCGACTGGGTCAACCGGGATCGTTTCGTTCTCTCGTATGTTCCAATCCATTCCTTCCCAATCGGTCCGGGTGCGCAACGAAAAGAATTTGTCGTGTGCTGGATCAAGACCCTTCAATGGAGCGACAGTCGGCTGACAGTACTTGCTGAATAGGAACGGTCACGGCTGCATGCTGCAGTATGCCTTGCTCCACCTGTTCGGCTACAAGCTCTCCATGGACGACCTGAAGAGCTTCCGTGTATGTTTCTCACAAATCTTTGGCCGGTTCTCTTTCGCTGACCTCCGCAGCAACTCGACAGCATCACCCCCGGCCACCCCGAGGCTCACGACACCCCCGGTATTGAGGTCACCACGGGCCCTCTGGGTCAGGGTTTCTCCAACGCCGTCGGTCTGGCCATTGCGCAGGCCCACTCGGCCGGTGTCTTCAACAAGCCCGGCTATGAGCTCTTCAACAACTACACCTACACCTTCTTCGGTGATGGCTGCGCCATGGAGGGTATTGCTAGCGAAGCTGCCAGTATGGCTGGCCACTTGAAGCTGGGCAACCTGATCGCCATTTATGACGACAACCACATCTCCATTGGTAGGAGCAAATATGATCTCATCCGACTAGAGCCCGACTGACATATCTACTAGATGGTGACACCAAGTGCGCCTTCACCGAGGACGTTATCAAGCGCTTCGAGGCCTACGGCTGGCACACCGAGTGGGTCAAGGATGGTGACAACGACCTCGAGGGTATCGAGGCCGCCATTCGCAAGTGCCAGCAGGTCACCGACAAGCCCTCGGTCATTAAGCTGACCACCACTATTGGCTTCGGCTCCAAGCTGCAGGGCACCGGCGGTGTCCACGGCAACCCCCTCAAGGCGGATGACGCGCAGCACGTCAAGTCGCAGTTCGGTTTCGACCCCGAGCAGAGCTTCGTCGTGCCCCAGCAGGTGTACGACCTCTACCACAAGCACGCCGCTGAGGGTGCCGCCAAGGAGCAGGAGTGGAACCAGCTCTTCCAGAAGTACCAGGCCGAGCACGCTGCTGAGGGTGCCGACCTGGCTCGCCGTCTGTCCGGCAAGCTGCCCGAGGGCTGGGAGAAGAGCCTGCCTACCTACAAGTCGAGCGACCCCGCCGTCGCCTCCCGCAAGCTTTCGGAGGCTGTCCTCGAGAAGATCCACGACGTTATCCCCGAGTTGTTGTCGGGTTCCGCCGACCTGACGGGTTCCAACAACACCCGCTGGAAGAACGCTGTCGACTTCCAGCCCCCTCAGCTGGGTATTGGCGAGTGGTCCGGCCGCTACATCCGCTACGGTGTGCGCGAGCACGCCATGGCCGCCGTGATGAACGGTCTCGCTGCCTACGGTACCGTCATCCCCGCCGGTGGTACTTTCCTGAACTTCGTGTCGTACGCTGCCGGGGCCGTCCGCCTGTCGGCTCTGTCTCGTGTCCGCGCCATCCACATCGCGACCCACGACTCGATCGGTCTGGGTGAGGACGGCCCGACACACCAGCCCATTGAGACGCTGGCGCACTTCCGTGCCCTGCCTAACTGCATGGTCTGGCGCCCGGCCGACGGCAATGAGACCAGCGCTGCCTACTACTCCGCCCTGACCGCCCGCCACACCCCCAGCATTCTCGCCCTGACCCGCCAGAACCTTCCCCAGCTCGAGAAGTCGACCATCGAGTCGGCCCTGAAGGGTGGTTACGTGGCCGTCGACGCCCCCAACGCCGCCGTCACCATCGTCTCGACCGGTTCCGAGGTCAGCATCTGTGTGGAGGCTGCTGAGTACCTGCAGAAGCAGCACGGTGTTGCTGCTCGTGTGGTTTCGATCCCTTGCTTCGAGGTGTTCGACGCCCAGGACAAGGCCTACCGCCTGCAGGTTCTGCCGGACGGTATCCCCGTGCTCTCGGTCGAGGTCTGCTCGACCATGGGCTGGGAGCGGTACGCGCACGAGCAGTTCGGTCTCAACCGCTTCGGTGCCTCGGGCCCCTACAAGGAGGTGTACAAGGTATGTGATTTTCCAGTCATGAAATGTGAGTACCCGCTGACAATCTGCAGAAATTCGAGTTCACCCCCGAGGGCATCAGCAAGCGTGCCATCGCCACCATCGATTTCTACAAGGGTACGCCCGTGCGCTCACCCGTCAACCGTGCCTTCCAGCAGATTCTGTAAGCAAGGAAATGACGAATGTGACGCGGCCAAAATGTTCTGGATTTTACGTTTAAGTATGAGGCGGTACAAGTCCGCTAGAGATATGAGAATGCCAATAGAGCTTATTAAGACTTCTATGATTCTTCACTTCATAGCTCAATGAGTAGGATAAGAAATTTATCTAGCTGCAACCCTAGGATTCCAATTCCCCCCAGCACTTAGTCTGCATCTCAATCGTCGTCCTCAACATCTCATCTTTCTTCTGCTTCGTCTGCGCCGTATACGGGCCATAGGCCTCCTCCGTCTGGCGCACAACGGTATTGCGCCAAGGCCGTTGCAAGGGTTCCGTAGGATCCCCCGGCTTGCTCATCTCAAGCTGGCCCAGCCCCCGCCACGTCTCATCGATGGTCGGCGCCAGCTTCTGTAAGAACGCATTAATGCCGCCCGCGCCGCCGCCGGCATGATAGCTCTCGAACACGCCGCTAACAGCCCACCGCGGCCCAATACTGGCCGTGACAATAGCATCGAGATCCCGCGCCGACACGACGCCCTCATTGACTAGATAGCACGCCTCGCGCAGCAGCGCAAACGCTAGCCGGTTGCCCACGAACCCGGGGATCTCGCGCTGCAGCGTGATCGGGCGGTAGTACAGCGATGCCTGGGGCTCGCTGCTTGCCTGCGCTGCCGAGGCGGACGCTACGGCCGCGACGCCGGCCGCCGTTGAGGCCGGTAGTGTTGGCCCCGGCACGGCGCAGAAATACTCGCGCGCGAAGTCCACACGGTCCGGATCGGTTTGCTCGCCCGGGACGAGCTCGATGATCGGCATCAGGTGCGGCGGGTTGAACGGGTGCGCGACGAGGAGGCGTGCGGCGACGCTGGTGTCTGTATTATTCCCTGCCGCCTGCGTCGATGCGCCCACGCCCGAAGAACTACTCCACAGATGGGCGGTCGGGGCTGCGGTTTTGGTGACTTCTTGCCACACGGCTTGTTTGGATGCTGTCACTTCGGGGCTCTGTTCTTGGATGATGGTTGCATGTTGTACTGCCTCGGCGATGGACGAGGCGAGGAATAGTCGGTTGTTCTTGAGTAAATGGTCGACTATTTCGGTTTTCGGGATCGGTTGCTCGGCGGTTGGGGACACGAAGCCTGCGTCCAGGAAACCTGGTAGCATAGAGCGCAGTTGCTTCTCGTAGTCTGGGCGCGGGTCGTAGACAGTTACTTTTGTGTCGCGGCGGCGGAGGTGCAGGGCTAGCATGGAGAGCCCGATTGTGCCGAGGCCAAGGAGGGCGATGTGGTGGTCGGTGGACATGGCGGATTTGAGATATTAGCTGTAAGAAATTGAGTGGAATTGTTTATACAGTTCATTCAATCAGTAGCAGTTTACTTCAAGAGGTGCTTGGTGGAGGGGTGCGGGAATGGCGGACGGAGGCGGGGAGCATGATCCTCGTGCCGATGCAGTTAGGGCTCGGCAATGCTGGCGTCATGGTTAGGGTGCATATGCGACAAATCCTGTGATCTATTTATGTGATCGCTAAGAAAACACACAGTAGAGCTGGAAATAACAAAGAGGAATTCAATTCCAGTAGACTTGTCCCTTTCATCTTCATGGGGAGTTTTTGACTCCGAGGCCTCGACATCCGCAATGCGAGGGCCATCTGAGTTATCAGGATAAGTTCTTTTCCCGTGAGATACGCAGGGCTACTAGTCTTCTAGAATGAATGCAGATTTTTCATTCTCGATGAGATATCCAGTCCATTCAGTTCATGTATACGAGGCTGATCAACCTCAACAAAAGTGATTTGTCCAAACCCAAACGCAACTATTAACAAAAGACATTCAAGCCAGAGAGCGACAAGAAAGAAACGCCAAGGTATCATGAACACATCAACAACCAAACACCAGCACCGAAGAAATATCGACAATCCGGGCCAACTTGCAAAAGATATCAACACCGAAATCCAAATTGAAACATCTCATATCATATCATCCATAAATCGACTTATACGGCCAGCCGTCGGTCCCAACCATTGACCAACGCAAATTCATCAATTTCTTGCTCCGCCGGCATGATATTGTTGAATGGATCCACCAAGTTCATATCGTCGGGACGCAGATGGGCATCCGCGTAGGGGGCGAAGTTGTCTTCAGCGCTATCCAGACTCTCCCCGGAGTAGCTGAGCACGCTCTGTGTAGTGATTTCTTGATTCGGTGCCAGATCCCCACTGCTCGCAGACCAGGCCTCGGGAGACAGATCATGTAGGTCGGTAGGCGGGGGAATGACCAAGGAGCCGTCGGTGGGTTTCCGGTTATACTCGGCCGTGATAGACGCGAAGGGACCTGGGTCTTCACCGCATTCCTTGCCGCCGTAAATTCCCGTGAAGATGTTCGAGTAGCCGCGGTCCATATCGCTGAGAACGTACTCCCAGTCTGCCATTGTGATCGCTCCCGCGGTTACATCTGACGGTGTAGAGCAGGACATGGCCCGGGGATGGTCATACCCCATGGAGGAAGACACCATTCGAGGATCGGAGGCAGGATCCAGAGGAGAGGATCCCTTATCGGAAAAGAAATGATGTGCAGTGAGGTGATCAGATTGGGAAGGAGGCAAGCTCGCCCAGCTAGGAGACCGCAAGGATTGAGGAACCAGTGGAGGCGTGGCACCGGAGATGGTGTTGCGTCGCGAGGATGAACTCTGCTGTGACGACTGATCCTTTCCAGAGCCCGGTGTCAAACGAGACTTCAAGGACTGCATCTGCTTCTTAGGAAACTTGGTCGTTTTGTGTTGTGGAGCAACCATCCCCTGCGGCTGTTTACTGGCGGCCGTTGCATCGTGTCTGCCACTGTCCAGAGCGACGAGGGTGTTGGCTAGTGTGCCGAATTCCACAGCCGCTCCAGTCGTTTCCGACTCCAGCTGTTCCATGACAGTGCCGAGGAGTTTCTGGCTCTCTTTGGCCAGTTTGCTGTCACGCTTAAGACCAAGGTTTTGCCATAGAAGCCCAAGTCCAGCAAGGATCACAAGCTCTTTCCGATTAAGGCTCACGGAGAGGCATAAGCGCCGTTCATCCAGCAGCTCCAGAATCTGGACAATGTGCTTCGCTGAATCAGATAGCGCCAGGACTGATGGCGAGCGCAAGTGCTCATCAGCAAAACAAACTGCTGGTCGGTGAATCAACGAACGAATAAAGTAATAGATGAGAGACTAATCAAGTGTCAGTACTATGAAATATCAAACCAAACTACGCTTGTGCTTACCAAAAGCGGCGACCGACTGCTGGTGACATTCGTGCTGGGCTTGTCCTGAGAAAACTCCAAGCGAAGATGAGGAGGCAGATTTTGCAGCCACTCGTCCAGTTCCCTAGCGACCAAGCGCACCTTGGACACATAAATGTCGTAGCCAGTCTTCGAAGGGAAAAAGTCGCCCAGAGCCTTGTTCAGAATCCTCGAGACCCCGAAAAGCGCCAGCGCACTGGAGATGCGGGTACATTCACCAGGAAGCGTTGGTAGGAAACCCGTTTCCGTGACATTCTCATCATCCACATCAACGGGGTACTCGGTCTGAACATCATCCTCGCGTAAAAGAACAGGCAATCCGGTCAATGCAGAGCAAAAGCTATTTTCGAATTAGTGGGCAATCATCGTCAAGGCAAGCAGCATGCCATACCGGTCCAGCACGTATTGACACCAGAAAACCTTCTTCCGAGTCTCCCTCTCCAAAGGATTGGCAGTCACGTTCTCTTGGTTCTGATGAAGACCCAGCTGATGGCATATGTCCACCGCAAGGGCCCGGTAGCGGAGCAGACTGCGATAGTCGCTCTTAGTCATGCAGTAGATCTGAGCCAGAACAAAGCACTGCAGGCTTGCAACCGAGGTTTCGGCAGAGAAAGAACCGAGAGTAGTCGCCCAATTCCCTTCGAAGAAAATCGGGTCCTGGTTGGTTCGTGACTGTTGTGGCAAAAGTCAATCAGTATATCTTCTGTCAAAATGTAACCAAGAACCCTTACAGTTGACGAAAGCGCGGCAATCCCAAAAACCAAGTTCAACTGGGTCATGGCAAGGGAATCCCGCTGCAGCGACTCGTTGCTGTTCAGATATTGTTCGTAGACTTTTAGAATAGTCGGGCGGTGCACCACCGGATATAGTGGAGCCCATTCTTGGAAGAATATATTGATCAGTTGATCCGATACTAGGCGCGGTGGCGTCTTGACCGCTTGGTCTGAGGATCCACGAGAAATCGGCGCGGACAGGGCAGTCAGTGCCTTCGTCGGCAGTTTGGATGTTGACTTTCCCTGGCTGATTAGCTTGTCGGTGAAGACATCTAAAAATTGTGAGTTTCTCCAGTTCTGTCCCATTCTACAATCAGGGAATGTTAACATACCCACAAAGCCCTGGGTGCTAGAAAGGCCCGTAAATGGGTTATCGCAATTCTGCGACGGATGTGAAGTAGAAGCTCGTTCCACTATAATCACTCCCTCTGCAGCATCCGACCCAGCCGCTTTGACCGGGGTAGATGCCGAGGGAGACCGTGCAGACGGGGCCCTTTGCGATGGTGAAAACGAATGGATCCGGGACAACACATCGATCTTCTCGTCCTTCTCATCCAGCAAATCTTTCAGGTCTTTCACTTCAGTTTCCAAGGCGCGCACCCGTTCCTCGAGGGTCTCGGTGTACCCGCGAGGAAAGGCGCGGCGGCTTAGTTTGTCGCTGGTGCGGCACTCGAAGCCGACATTGGCACACTGGGTACAGCATGGACGAACGCCGTCGCATCGAATTTTCTTACTGCGACATCGATCACAGGCCTGGGCAATCCGGCTTTGGGTACCGGTGCCGCCGACCTTGATCACTTTCATCGGCAAGATACCAGGCATTTTGAGGTAGGTTGGCACATGGGGCCACCAAGGTGTCACTGCGGGTTTGTCGTTTCAAATCGCACAGATCTAGGTTTTTAAGACAGAATGATGAACGATGTAAGAAACCAGAACAAGATCCAGGATATGTAGAAGAGTAGAAGAGTAGAAAGTGGCAGAGCACGGGGGCAAGACTATGCCTGAGTCAGCACGTGGAGACCCCGCAACGCTGACGCGCTCGTCCACTCGGCAGTTAAAAGTCCCCGTCTTTTTTTTTTCTTTTTCTTTTTCTTTCCTGATTCTTTAAATTGAAACCCTGAAATTCCTGGGGATCGACACTTAGTCCAAACTATTGCCCATTGCAATCATTGCCCCAGAGTCCGGTTCCCTCTGAGAATCCTTCGATCTGACGGTTGGATCCTCTCAAGGTTCCCCCAGACTCCACAACCCCAGCGCATCTTGGGTTTGGGAAAGCGGAAACATACGGGGTTGCTGAAACCTTGAGCAGCCCCAAGACATGGATCCCAGTGGTTTTCGGCAAGTGTGGACGGTTGATCCGAGGCGAACTCCAGATTTTTTTTTTTTTTTTTTTGTTTTTCGCTTGAGCGCTAATGGACGATCTCGGTCGCAAGAGCCGATCCACTCCTCTACGTATCGCCTATACGATCATTCATGTTGAGGTTCAATGGTCAGCCCCTGATTTCATAGTCTCAAGTCCTCGGAGAAACTGCTGGACCCTTTTTACCACTCAAGGAAGGAGATGAATATCGAAGCCGACCATAGTACCCGAGGTCTCGCACGGAACCAGTGGTTTTTCTGCTCCCATACATAGACTTCCACTTGGACAGTGAAGTAAACCCGACAGAATCCACGAAAGTGGCGACGGGGGATCAACGGCGGGGAAACCCACCTCTCGTGCAACCATTTCTGGCGCTTTGGGCAGGAAAAAGAGAGAAACGGCCAATGACGTGGGCGTAGTAGGCGGCTGACCAGCTTACGGGGTACTCATCGAGGGAGTACCGATCGAGGGAGTCGCGCTGTATTTCGAATCACCTCGTCAGCGAGTTTTGGCCGAGAGAATCGCGAGAAAGCCGTCAACCATGGATGGATTGCTGCAAGACGACCCACCCAATCCACTTGGATCATCGTTGGACTCCACTCCCCATCTAAGACAAGCACATCGCGAGTGTATGGATTTCGTGGGGTGGAATCACGGTTGGGGATTCCGCAGATATATACTGGAAGCACTGGATGCGGTGCCAGTCCCTGCTTTTTTTTTTTCGCTGCGCCCCAATCTATCGCAGGTATATTCTCTCTTGGCCAACGCGGCAGTAATAGACCCTGCTCAGCATGAATAAGCCGGCCGAGAGGAAGTGTGCTCCAGTAAAGAAGCCGGCAATCATCGACAGGAGAAACCCGACGGGATGTACTCTAACCCCGATGCAGATCACCCCGACCCCTATTTCTTTTTGTTGGCGAATACACTTCCGCACAAACGTCATAGCACGCATGGGGTCTGTGCTGCTCTACTCCCCAGATATTTTTTTATGGCTGAAACTAGCTTCAATGGTGGCCTCCGCATCGAGAACGGTCCCGCCATGGAGCTTGGAGAAGTGGATATGAAACCGCCCCTTTTTCATGAGATCTAGAGGAGCTGGAACATATGTCCCATTGCTTGCTAGAAGGGATCAGGCCAAAGTTCGGCAGGGGGAGAAGTGGAGCGCCGAGGAAATCCCATCCCCCGGATTGATGCTATGGATGTTCAGTATCGGATAGTGCCCAGTCTTCGCCATGAAGTCATCAGGGGCACTCGAATGGCCTGCTCAAGATTGTTCGCGTAGCTAATATCGGATCATGAGAAGTCTTCGACCTCTTCAACTTGCTCCGCTCCTTCAGCTTGCTGTGTGAGATAGGCCGTCACAGTTTCAGAATCTAGCAGCGCATTTCTCTGGGTATTATGGTCAGCAAGATATCATGAAGCAACAAGGCTCTGGACACTTACTTGTTCTGTCAACTCCTGGACTGCTACCTCCAGAAGGGAAACCTCCAGGGGTCGAAACCGCGCCAGCAACTTAAAGACAGTAGGCCGGAACATGGCTTCCATCATGGGATTATCCGCGCTAAATTGCGATAGAATTTCTGTTGTCTCCTGGAGAGATGCAAGCTGGTCCTCCAGTCTCCCGAGGAGTAGAACAACTGCCCGAAGCTGGAATATGTCCCAGAATGGGTCGGTCGCAAGGCGATCTCGCAGCTGGCTCACCGATTGAATCTTCTCGCCTTTCCAACTGGCCTCGAGTTCTCTGCCACCGTCTGTGGTCTGGGCCACGCCGAAATGAAGACCATCCTCCTCGTTGACACATGCCAACCAAGCAAGCGGGCTATCCCAGCTAAAAGCTTCTTCTCGTTCGCGAGAAGCCGATAAACGAATTCCGGGGGTCTCCAGGCAGAAATTCCTCTTGGCCACTCCGAGAGGGTCATCGTCGGGGATGTCCAGGTCTAGGAACATTTGCTTCGCTTCACTTCTGTCCTGTTCCAAGAATCCGTACGAAAAGATCATCTCGGCTGCGGACTTCTCATCGCCGTATCTGCAGTTTTCGTCAGTATTCCCTTCAAATCGACAGTCACCGCGACGATCACAAAACGAGACAGTTTTGTTTCTCGAAACTCCAGGGAATAACTGACGATATAGTCACCTCATCACCAGGAGATAGACTCTGCCCCCACCGCAACCGGAGTATGGCATTGCCCTCCGAGTTAGCATCGTACAGCGCTTTCGCTTGGCCCCCGGCCTCATGGTTAGCCATGTCGAGACAAGGCACCATGGAATGTCCACTCCCTGGGAGGTCCACCATGCGTGACCGATACGCGGCATCAACATATTTCCAATCATCCAACACCAAATTCCCCGTTTGTTCATTCCACCAGACCTGCCGACACCAAGCTATGCTCTCTGTTGCCTGGCGAATCTGGTCGAATTCTCGTTGGAGAGAAGTGTTCTTTGCATCCACGACGGTGAGAAGTGAGGTACTCTTCAATAAACCGAATTCCTCGTCAGTGTAGCAGGTAGGAAGAGGGAAGGACGACGGCAGGAACTTGATGTACTCGGTCCAGGGATTGGACACCCCCACCTGCCGAGGATACTGTTCCGAGCGGAGATCCGGGCTGCTGTGGGTGATTTGCACAAGCAGGAAGATCAGGATGGCCCCTCGCGCTGTCTGTACATGTCAATCAATCCTCTGTGTTCTTCTATAGAAAACTCGTGGGGGGTGGTTATGAAGAACCCCCCCTCCACTGGCCCCATACCCTTGCAAAATCTCCAACCGCCTCCAACACCTCCCGAAGATCCTGATCGGATTTGGCATAGTTATGCACAGCTTCCAGTGAGAGAACCAGGTCTGATGGCACCTGGAGGAGGATCTCTGGCGAAGAGTCGCTGTCGCTGCTGAGCTTGCTTTCCGTGGCTATAATGCCGCTGCCCTTATTTGCCCCATGTTCGTCCAACCCAAACTCCTCAACAGCAATGCCATAAGTGGCGATTCCATAGAACCTAAGCCAGGTTGGTAATGAATTGAGTGGAAGATACTCGCGCTTCATTGCGATTGATTAGATGTGAGCAAAAGTCGACGCGACGAAGAGCCGGGGTGGTTCACGATCGCCGCTTATCGATAAGAGGCCCTAAGCCCTAAGCTACCAAAACAGTCCGATGGGCATTGCAGCATGGAGACGTCATAACTAGATCCTAGTTCTGCTCTAGTTACGAGTGATGTCTCGTGGACTCTCTTGCATTTCTACAATGCCCCGAAACGATCGCATCTCACCTACATCGAAGCTGCCGACTATGCTCATCCCACGACCTCCTCGACTGATTGTCCTACCACTTCACTCCCTTGTACAGCCAGCAGCCATCCGGACACCGGGCAGCTTCCGCAATTATTCGCTTTTCAAAGCATGGAAGGGGACGACTCCTGAAGAGAACTCGGTAAACCGGGGTAAGGAGGGGGATACAAATGATCCCTCGGCAGATGCCACGGCCACCGGGATGAAGGAGAGGGAGGTGAACGAAGGCATTGCAGACGAAACCAAGTCCCAGGGAACAACAGAAAGAGGCGGACACAAGTATGGTGAGAGGGCCAAGAAGGAATTCCCGAATGCTCCTGAGCCGGTTATTGGGATGAATGATGAGCGAGCTCGGGTGAGTCCGCTTGCCCAATTTCTTCTTTCCAGAAGGTCAAAACAAAACCCCATTCGATGTTCGGACCGCTGACCAAATATCGTCGGTGCAGAAAGGCGACTGATACCAAGATTTATCCAAAACGCCATTGTATACTCAATGCTATACCACGTGCCTTCCATACGCCAAAAAAATTTGTTGTTGGACATTGCATTGTTGTCGGTTGGAAGGCGTATCCATTACTGACGTTACTTCACATCGAAATTGTACATAAATGGAGTTGGCTTGGTCTACCGACCAACCTTGAATGAAAGGATCTGGCCACGCAGTTGTTAAACATGGACCATACATGGAAAGATGGATTGGTGCACTTACATCGTGTTTCCCGACTGCAATGATGTCATCTTCAGAAACCCGGGTTCCTCCAATCCCTTCGATATATGAGATTGGCACATCACCCATCACCTTCCGAGCAACATCGCCCACTGTGCTGTTCCTATATAAAGTCAGCGAAGGCTCACCATATTCCATGCCACAAACGTACCTCTTGACCAGAACACAATCGCGGAAGACGGCATCACCAGCCCCAGAGCTGAAAGTAGATATGTTTCGAACTGGGAACACAGGCACGAGGCCTAAAAGCTCCGCTGCTCGACTCAGGCATTGGACCACTCCGGTCGATCCAAAGCGATAGAGAACCATGTCTTTCAGGTTTTCCACCCGACTGACTAGAGTTAGCTCGAAGGAACCAATGGTCAATTTTGCTAATGGACATACGTCTTCAGCTTTTCATCCATCTCCTTGAGGCCTCCTCCATCGGGTTCACCCATATCGATGAGATCCTCTCGAGTGTCAACAAACTCGCTCCCTTCGATATACTTGACGTAACTCTGCTTTGCGAGTCGCCGCAGAAACACTTCCGAAATAGCGGAACACAGCACAATGGTCTTAGAATCTTGCATCTTGGCAATCTTGCTGATGTTCTATGATCTCCAAGTTAGCATGGTAAAATTAGCTAGGCGCAAAACCGACATACCTTGTCCGCATCTGGATGATCAATCTTGTTTAAAGCAAACACAGTCGGGAACTTCTCGTCGATGAACGTTTTGACAACAGTCTCTATTGTCTCATCGGACCATTCTTCAAGCGGCTCCTTCATGCCAAGTCGGTCTAGACACCGTGCGACAATTGACGAGGTACTTCCGTAACCTGAGAACTGCCCTTGTAATGTGTCGACGGGGTTGGCCTCTACATACAGTGTTAATAGTTGGGGACCTTGAGCAAGGTGGAGAGTGGGGGTCACTGACTCGTCGCAATATGTCTTCTCTTGATCGATCCCCTGCAATTGATTGATCAATGGTTTGCACTCGCATGGTTATATGTGACTCCAACCGTACCATTTATCCATCAAATTCCCCAGCACCCATCGCACGATCTCGGACCGTAGCCACTCGATATCCTGGGAAGGATCGTACCCACGAGTAGCTTTTCCTGTGAAACCATCAGCATCTCGCCATTTCTCCGAATCACAAATGGCAACCCCCACTGACCTTCAGCATCGGTTGTTCCGCTCACGTCCACTACGTGGATCAACGCATCGGCATGTCGCAGGTCATCCAAGAATTTGTTGCCTAGCCCCCGTCCCTCGTGTGCTCCCGGAACCAGACCCGCCACATCCAACAGCTCCACGGGAATGGACCGTCGTCCCTCGGCACAACCGCCATAATTCGGCCGACATCGATCCGAAACGTTGTGGCGCTGGCAAGCACATTCAATCTGAAGGTACCCAATTGCTCGCTGAGGGTCAATTGTTGTGAATCTGCCAGATATCAGCACGGGTTCGGCAATGAGCTTCGATAAGGCGCTCGATATAAAAGAGGGGCTGCACGCACGGGAAATTTCCTGATGAACCCCAATGCTATTAGCATTTCATCCAGTAAATAATATTTCGTCCGATATACCCACCGACTTTGGAAGAAGCATCGGTCAAACTGTTCAATGTCGTCGACTTCCCACTCGATGGCTACCCCTCACTGCGATCAGCGAAGCTCTTGATCGATGGAGCAAAGCCACATACCTTGCCCACCAACCCAATCAGTGGATCCCGAGGCATCTTGAGCGTGTGTAAAGTGACGCGCAGGGAAAAATGACCCGACACTTGGATTCTCCAGTTGGTCTGCAGACACGCGATAAGAAACATTTTCTGCTGCGTCTAAAAGGGGAAGGCGGTGGTGTGATCCAGGCACCGTCTCACCGTCCACAGGTTCACCTCGGCCTGCTCAAGCATCATGACTCCAGGATGTCTTCGGGTACACTTCTCGATGGACAATGGTTAATCAAACCATTACATATTCTACGTCAATCTTTGCACGCAGATCATTACACGAAGAATAAGAATCCATGAAGGGGCTGTCTACTTAGACCAGCTGGAGATGCCATCGGAAAACAACTAACGAGCTCAAAGATTGGCACCTGCACCTCCTTGGTCGGGTTGCGATCGCAATTAGTTTTGATCTGCTGAATCAAACCACAGTGCTTGGCCAGTTGATGAAGTCAAGGCCAGCATTGTATCCCTAGCAGGGCTATGACATCGACAGACATCACCATCCAGACTGGGACGGGTCAATCCATCAATTTCTTGCTCCAACACTTACTTGCATGGATGACAATCAGGGATTTCCCGTATCCAGCTTCCATGCCAAGAATATATTGCATTGGTAGTATGACGCTAATCCATCAAAGAACAGGGTCCTACTTGTTTGTTCATGGGGTTCTCCCACTTGATACTGATCGTCCTAGGCTGAAGGCAAAGTAATGGTCTTGGTGGAGACGCAGTTCCATGGCCTGGATGCCATGATGTCGTCATCCCAGCACAGACGCCACGGCCCATGGCAGACTCCTACAATATAAGAATGAACCTATGTCTTCAACCATCTCGAACAGATTATCAACACTTTGCCAAACTTCTTGTACCAAGACCACTCCTTAATACTACTCGTTGTAAATCTATCATCATGTCCGAGCAGACTTACCACGCTACCCGCCAGGATCTCCGCAAGGCTGAGTCCCGCGTTGCCAACCTGCATGGTGGACAAAACCCGGCCGACTCTAACCTCTCCCACATGAAGGTGAGCTACTATTTATCGAAAACGGTATCCGTCTACGCCAATGAGCCGAATACTAACCAAGTCATCCCTGCAGTCAATCATCGACCAGAACAGCAACAAGCCTGAGCAAATTGAGCGCGTCAAGGCCAACCTACCTTTGCCCGAGCAGCCCCCAACTGCCAGTGACTGGTCGTCCTCCGATCAGCGCACTGTCAACGTCGGCTCTGGTGGCATTGAGGGTCCTATCTCTAGCGAAATGGACAGTGGTCTCCGGGGCCCGGCGACGGCCAGCAGCAGCGTTCGCGTGTCGGGATCCGAGCTGCACCAGAACACTGCCCCCAGCAAGGGTATTGGAAGACAAGCTGTTGAGGGTTTGGACGACCTTCCCTCAGATGCTAAGGCACGGTAAATGCCAATGAGTCTACGGAATCCATCATGTACGATAGTCATTTCACGGAGTCATGAGCAACTGATGAATTCACGTCATTGATTTTATTTCGAGATTATGTATTCCATTCGTAGTTAATTTGAGTTCCATGGCATCAGAACCCGTTGAATAATGTTGATCTGGTGGAAATGTTGGCTATGACTTCACTGGGATCGGCCAAGGTCTGGGTGGCCACTTTCCCTCGATCACCATATCAATTGCTTTATTTTTTCCCTGCAATTTTGAAGATGGCAAGAATATCTATATTCTACATGCTATTCTGCACTTGCTTCAGAATACAACCATTTACACAGAGCATGCTGCCCACCAGAGATGTTTGCACTGTTTGGCGGTGATATAGGGCTGACGTCAATCCAACTGCGATCTTCCCAGTTTCAATCGCGATGAACTCACCGACCCGCACTCGGGAATCTTGGAATAAGCATGTGGAGACTCAAGAGACCCTTCTCGGGTCAGAAGCAGTGGGTACAAGTTCGAGAACAGGGAGTGTCCTCTTTTCGTGCCCTGTACGCCACTGAGGGCGTCTCGATCGATACTGGTTGACGTGACGGCCACCGGCTGGCGACTCAATGAACAAGAAATCCCTTGCAATCCTTTGGTGAACAGCGTAACCATGACATCAGGGGCCCAATTCTCTACTCTTCTTTTCGGCTTCTGCTAACAACTGGCTTCTTTCAGTCCATTGGCCATATCTGCCGTGCTGTACTATATAGCCCCTGTCATCTCTCCAAGTTGTTCCTAATCACATTTCTCGAGTCTCAAACCCAATCACTACTCGAACACTTCATTCCTCCTCAACGTTTACCTTAACTCTCTTAATTCTTTCCCTTAAAACATACTCGCCGCCATGGATCTTCAGGGCAACCCTAACCCCCCCGGTCTCCGCAGCACCAAGGTCACCAACGACCCTCTTGCCTCCCAGAAGCCTATTGAGGAGCCCTCAGGCCCTGTGACAAATGACTCCCTCGCCGCCGAGTCCGTTCGCAAGGGCGGCGGCTTCTCCGAGAACCGAGGCGCCGAGCCCATGGGTGTCTCGGGCGCCCAGTCCACTCTCAGTAACACCGACACCTCATCTGCTACTGCTCTCCCCTCTGCCCCTGTTGGCGCTCTCCGGGAGGATCGCCAGCGGCAGGAGAAGTACCCCGAGGCCCTGGGCGGCCAAGGCGACTTCCCCGGCGCCCACCTCCCCGAGTCTGGGTACACAGGTGGCCCGACAGCTGCCAAGCAGCAGATGGGCCTGCACGCCGGCGAGTACCCTGCCTCTGCGAAGTTGTCGGGGCAGGCTGCCGCGGGTGGCAGCAGCCAGTACTACGCCGGCCAGGCGCCGTCGTACACCACTGATATCACCGACGGCTACCACCACCAGACTCCCAAGGGCAAGAACCTGAGGGAGGGCGGCTTTGAATCCAATGACCGCAACAATGCCAGCTTTAACTCGGATATCGGCTCCAAGCAGGACCCTGGTCGTGCCGCCGAGAACAAGTTCCAGCGCTATGTCGCCGAGAGTGGCCTGGATGTCGGTGGTCCTCGCCAAAAGAACCTCGACAACCAGACCTGGTACCAACCTTTGGAACGGGACCAGCGCGCTTAAAAAATTGAGTGATGAATTCTTTTCTCTCTTTCTGGTTTTAATTTGTTTTTGGAGATAGCATGCGAGCGTGTGTGTGTTTTTCACTTCCAGTCTTGGCCTGGGGCTGAGGCTATGAACTATGGGTGTATGGTTTCCATACTTGATGTACGATAGATCAAAGGACTTTCAAAAAGGTCATTCCAAATATTTGTTCTTGCTCCTGTATTGTGTAGTGTCACTCTGGCTAAGCAGCTTAGCAGTAGTAACCTTTGTCGACCAAGTCGATATGTGCATCAATTATATAGTGTGTACCGCAACCGATAGTGCCATCTCATGGTTAAAGCCGGATTCTGTACTCGGTACAGCTCGACAACCAGCCACCCTCATTTCTGGGCTTTTTGGCAACCCCGTCGCTCGTCAAATCTTCTAGAACAATCTCATCTCGCAACGAGTCCTTGGCCCCATCATCCCCCTGCTCGTCGTCGTCCCACCCCACAGAGTCATTGCCTCCTCGTCGGTATTGCTGCCAGAGATAGCTCCCCAACTCAAAGACACCAATCGCAAAGATGGAAACCCAAACCAGGGCCAGGAGAATGACCGCTGTCGCGAAGATTCCCGGGAGCGGGCGTTGCGGGAATGAGGGCGTAAGTCGCAGGCAGGGAATCGAGATGCGCCACGAAAAGAAGTCAAACGACTGCAGCGAAAGACGGGATATGTTCTGCTTGGAAGATCTGCCGGGTAATCCCAGGAATCTGCCATAGTGTTTCAGTCGATACGCCAGGATGGAGTCGGCCCCGTGCCCTGAATACGACTGCTGGTGCTCTTCTTGGTTGCTTTGCTGCGTCTGCTCTTCGGACTTGGCTGGCGCAACTGGTACCAAGAGGGATACATGTGGTGGTTGCTCCGGTTCTGAGGACCCGCGCCGAGAGGTTGATTCGGGCATATCGTCATACTGGCCATGCTTGGACCAGGGGAGCTTCACCTGCGTCTTGTGGTTAGTTGGTACTGCCTGGTTGTAGTATTCGAGAACAGAATATGATCTGGACTAACCTGCTTGGGTTTGGCTGGCGGCATTTCGGAGCGAGGTTCTCTTTCTTCTTTTTCAAAGACTGACCATAGTCCATGAGACTCTGGGTCTTCGATTTGACCTGTCTTCACCCACTTGGCTGTTCCAATAGGGTACGCCGTGACCGGGTGGATAATGGCCAGGACGATGGCAAGCACGGCCAAGCATAACGGATTGATATCAAAACGCATTGTGGGTCTGTATCTAATGCTGGCAGCAATTGGCTGTATAGATGTGCGTGCCGCAGATTCTCGGGACGTGTGGCACTCTCTGTAGGGTGAGCGTGACAAGTTGACGACTTGGGACCATTGGGGGGTTCTCTTATACTATTCTGTGGTAGGGCAATAGGGAGTGATGGGGATAAAACACCCGCAAGGGCCGTGACAGAGAACAAGTCCAACCCGCGAAGGACACAGGAAGCGAAAGGGCTCCTTCGGTTACCAGGACCTCGATAGGTCTTGGATCCAGGGGAAAAGAAAGGCACCCGCTTCCCCCGTGGTCCCAAAGGAACTTGCAGATGCCCTTTCCGAGGTAGAACAGGTGCTAATTGGCTTGCAGGTGTGGTGTGGTCCATCCCTTGATCGAGGCACCGAGGGGGGGCAATTCGTCCAAGGTGAACGTCCTGGAATGTTCACGCCACTGGCATGATAGTTCAGCCCGGGGAAGCAAGGCCACTTGCCGAGCATTCTGGCTATTGGGCCATGCGCCCTGTCATCGATCGCAGTTGAGTCTGACTGGCATTTGGGTCTCGAACCACATCCATGGATAGGTAGGAATTTGGGCTTGGTATTCCCTGTTCAGTTAACTCGTGGTGCCCTTCCTTTGAATTAAAAAGCCCTCCTGGGACATCTGCATAGCGACTTATATGATCGGGTGCTTCATCGGTCATAGATGAAGAGGGCCTACACTGGATATGGAGATTTTGACAGACGGATGCATCCTGAATGCCTCAGGCAATATCTCACTCGCTTCAAGTCTTTACTCTGCATCTACAGCTCTCCTTCACTCTAATGTCCGCTTAAATATATGCCATACAAAAAAAATCCACTCATTTAGGACACCTGGGGTGATTTCTCATTGAAATTCTTCCTGCCTTTTTGATACACCATTGAGATAACGCCGGACTGCAGTAGAGCAATATAGAAAAAGATACCCAAAGGCCGGACCCCGAAGACATGCACTGTCCGATCAGAAAAAAATAACCTGTACAACCAGAGAACTAGCAAGCAAGATTGGAGCAAAGCAAGAAAGCAGACAAGAAAAAGAACAGCAATGGGTGATGGCCTTTTAAGCCGCCACCTTCTTGCCCTCCTTCTCCGCCACCTTGGCCAGCTCCTCGAACACCTTGCTGAAGTCCTCTCCATCAGCGTCCTCCGAGTCCTTCTTGCCCTTGCCCGCGGGCTTGGGGACAACCATGACCACACTAGTCGGGCGCTTGGTGGCAGCCGAGGCACCGAGCTCGGCGCGGGAGTGGACGAAAACGTAAGGAATACCATGGTCCTCGCACAGAACTGGGATATGCGAGATGACATCCATGGGGGAAATGTCGGCGGCGAGAATGACAACAGCGCTGGGAGTGGAGATGGCTGCGTTGGCGGGCGGGATGGCCGACTTGCGGAGGGCCTTGACCACTTCCTTGACACCACGCTTGAGGGACTTGTTGACAGCGGCTATCGAAAGACATAAGAGTTAGCAATAAGCTATTAAGCGGCGAGCTGAAATTGAGTTGCGCAAAAGTCCAGGTTGTAGGACACATCGGTGGACAAAAACCAGAACGAAGAAGCACAAATAAGACAGAAAACGGAAAGAAAAAAAATGAGTGGAAGATCAGGTGCTTTGACATACCCTTCTTGACACTCTTCAGCACCTTCTTGGCCTGCTTGTCTTCGATCAATGGGCTGGCAAACGGCACCACAGCGCCAGCCGGGCGATCAATGGCCATGGGCTCGCCGTTAACCTCGCCCTTGAGGGCGGCACCGGCAGAAGCGGCCTGTTCGAAGCCGTCCTGAACCTGGGAATTGATCTCCTTCTCTACTGCATCGGCGAGAGCAGTCTTGTCTTTCTTTTCCTTCTTTTCCTTCTTGGGCTTGTGCACACCGTCCTTATCAGCGCGCTTCTCCTTCTTCTCGGCGCGCTTCTTGTCCTTTTCGACCTTGTCTTTGCCCATGGTGTAAGAGGTGTGCGAGGGGAAAATTAAAAGGAATGGACCACGAGGGAGAGAATGAGTGCGCAGGTGGTGGATGTCGGGGACGAAAATCTCCAAAAACTCGAAATAATTTCTACGGCGCTAGTTCGCTTTGGGAAGCTTGCGTTGCTGACTAACGACCCAAACAGTCACCCGCGCGATGCAACTCGACTGCTTTCCGCAGGGCCTCCGGATCGTTGATTTTCTTATTCAATGGATACCAGCCACAATTCCCGCCCGGCATCCCAGGTACTTACTGGGCTTGCCATACCTACAACCCCTTCGACTCCTGCTCGGACGCGGAGCGTTCTCCGCCAATCTGTTCATCCCGCGCAACCACAACCTCCGGTCCACGGTCAGAACATGCTCCTGGAAAGCAGACATAGGAACAAACAAACGACTGATTATTAATTGCAGATGCGAAGAAGGACGAGCTACGAGTGCAAGTGAGCACCCTCAAATACGAGCTGGAAAACATCAAGCAGGAACGAGACCTGGAAGCTCTGCGACATGAGAAGGAGGTTCGCGATCTACAATTAAAAGCCGACGCGGATTTTCGGAAAGCACAGGTAAATTCGGACCACATGATAGCTGCGATTCATCCCTTCTAACGGGCTCGTCATTCTAGACCGCGGAGTCCACGAGCAATCGCGCGAATCACAAGAGCGAAGCACTTGCCAAAGAGCTGAAGGATGCACAAGACCAAGCCCTCAACGACAAAGTGGGATTGGAACGAAAAATCAGAGGTCTCCAGGATGATAACCAGAACTTACAGGAAGAGGTCAACGATACGCAAGCGCAACTTTCAGACCAAGAACGACAATTCAAATATCAAATTAACGAGGTCGAAACCGTTCGGTCTTCACTTCAGAAAACAATAGAAGAGTTGCAGAATGACTTGCAAACCGTCCGGAACAGCCAACAATCCACGCAAGAAAAGCTCTCGCAACGCGAAGGCGAGGTCGCGGATCTGGAGTCCGAGAATATTCGTCTCAAGGCAGAAGGAAGCAATGCCGAAGCCCTCGCTGTTCTGAAACGGGAACTGTCAGACCAAGTGAACCACCTCCGGGAGTTGGAAACAACAAACCGAGAACAAACAGCGGAACTGCGGCATCTCCGCAAGGTCCAAAGGAATGTTGAAGTGGTTGAGGAGCAAAAGAAATCTCTAGAGAATCAACTTCAGTTGATGAAGGGGCTGGAAGCGGAGCTGGGAACATTGCAGATCCAAAAGCAGATGTTGGAGGACGAGCGACAATCGTGGACAAGCCTATTGCAGGACAATGATCAACCCACAGAGTTTGAATCTCCTGAGTCGGTGGTGAAAGCGCTACTCCGGGAGCGAATTGAGAAGGCGACCTTCGTGGACCGGCTGGGCACGGTTGATGCTCAATTTTTGGAGAAAGATGAAGCGATTAAGAGCCTCGAGAAGGAAAAAGCCAACCTCCGGCAGGAGCTGGAGAATCTCCGTGCTGCAGGGGCCAATGGAGGTGGACCAGCCGCCACAGAAGCCCGGGTTCGGTCCCGACTCGAGCGCCAACGTGTATTGGCTGTCAAGGAGGTTGAATATCTGCGCGCACAGCTGAAGACCTTTGATACCGAAGAAGCCACCATGAACGCTGAGCAGAGTCAATTCGACGAGCAAAAGTCCGAGCAAATTGCGCAGCTCGAGAAAATTGTCGATGAGTACCGTGGTGAGCTTCAAAAAGTGCACGAGGAGCTTTCTAAGCGGGAAGCGCCCCCGCCAGAGGATTCTCAAGCCAGAGGTACCAAGCGGCCTCTTTCTCCTGCCGACAGCGAGGTTGAGAACGAGCGGCTGGCAGTGCTCACTCGCAAGAACCGCAAACTGCAAGATTCCCTCTCCAAATCTGATCAGGCGACGATTCTGGCCCGTCGGGAGCTAGAAGCGGCAAAATCTCAGCTCAAGTCTCTCAAATCCAAGTCTCGCACTCGTGTCCTCGAGCTGCGCGAGAATCCAACCGCAGAGGTCGAGCAGATCAAGATGTCGACTCTGACAACCCTCCGTAATGAAAACAAGGGCCTCCTGGCCCAGCTGCGCGGCGACCACGCCGGCGTCAAAGTGGTACCGGTCAGCACAGTCGACAGCGTCAAACTGGAGATGCAAGAGATGGAGCGCGTCGTCGCAGACAAGGAGAAGCGCATGCGCCGGCTTAAGGAAATCTGGACCGCCAAGTCGTCTGAATTCCGCGAGGCTGTTGCCTCCTTGCTCGGCTTCAAGCTCGATTTCCTGCCTAATGGCCGCGTGCGTGTCACCTCCATGTTCCATCTGTCCTCCGCCTACCGCCACGGCGACAGCGATGTACCCTCTGAATCCCGTGGACCCGGTAGCATGGGCAACGGCGAGGAGAATTCCATTGTGTTTGACGGCGAGAACGGCACCATGAAGATCTCCGGCGGGCCCAACAGCCTCTTCGCCATGGAGATCAAGCATCTCATTAAATTCTGGGTCGAGGAACGAAAAGATATCCCCTGCTTCTTGGCCGCCATGACCCTGGACTTCTACGATAAGACCACCAGGGCCGCCAGGATGTGATGTCATTCGTCCCAGTACTTTCTCTGCCAAGGGCAGCTCATGGCTTCCCATTGGAATGCCTCGGCTCCCTTGGTGACTGAGTACTTCCTCGGTTTATATTGTGATTTGTCTCTGTTTGGTTGTCTTTTCCTGGAGTGTGTGTTACCTGTATGATATCCCGGCACGGAGGCTCTGTGCTATGTTTGTTTGCATTAATGATTGATCTTACTTGTTTACGCCACCTCGACTACCACTCTTCTGCCATTTGTCTGGTCTTCGCGCTATAGACAAAGCTGGAGGATACAATGTGTTCTGTGTTCAGAGCACAATCACCATACGAATCCACATATTATTGGCAGACCTAGGTGTATCAACAACGAAACCTGGGAGAATCAAACCTGATTGAATTATGGCATATAAATAAAATAATCCAAACCCGAGGATCGAGTCTCGGGCTTGTGGGGGAATACATACGCAGATCGAAATGCCTAGCTAGCTACACAAACAGAAGCCACAATAAAAGTTCGCTATTTGCAGAACGTAAAATGGGGAGACAAGGGAGGGGGAATAACAAAAACATGATGGATCGCGAGCTTCTTTCCCTCCTCTTATTAATGCACTTTGTGCAAATCGACAGACACTGACACTGGCAAGAAAACACCCACTCCAGACAAGAGGTATATACGAACAGGAGAAGGGTTTGGGTCCCAGGCGAGCCCGCCTAGGAAGAGACATATTTGCCGGTAACGAGCTTGCGCGCCGTCGGGACCTCCTGCCAAGCTGTGGCAGCCGACTGTTGCGCTTCCCGTGCTTGGGGTGACCCATTGTCAGCAAATGGGTCGACTTCCTTCTGCGCGGAGTCCAACACAGCACGACTGATGCCCAGCCGCGCGCCAGTTTCGGTGGTGCGGAGTTCGAATTTGGCCTCGACGTTGCCCTTGCGGGGGCCAGGGGTGGCCGTCGCGAAGCGGACCAGGAACTTGCCCTCGGCACCGGAAGTACCAGGGGCCTTGACCTCCAGTTCAGGAACCCTCCAGGTCACGAGAGAGTGCTTGCGGCGGAAGGCGGCGCCGGCGTTGGGGTACATGACGGCGCTGGCGGCGTGCGCCACGGAGTCACGGGGTTGCTTGGTAGCTTCGTCTTCGGCAGCGGTGTCCAAGCCGACAGTCAGGACCAGATTTCTTATGGTAATTGACTCGACTGAGGGGGAGACGAAAGACGGGTTCAGAGAGTAGAAGATGATTGCGCTGGCTTGCATTTCTTCCAAGTTCCACGCAGGTTTGAAGATGACGGGGCAGTAGGCAGAGGGGCTGGCTGCGTCCAGGTGGATTTGGTATTTGAATGCAACGGTCGGCATGGGGCGGGAGATGCTATCTAGTTTGATATCATACTCGCCTCTTTTGTCGTCAGTAGACTCCTTGATGGTCTCCTGGACAAAGTGAGGATTGGCGGCAACCTTCTCAAGCACCTGGAAGTTGTCCAGGCGGACCCGCAGGTTGTCGGTGGTGACACTGGGCGTGGCATTATGTACCAGTGCAAGCTCTCCAACCACAAAGGATTTGGTCACGGTGCCTTCCGAGAACCATGCGTTGACAGTTTCAATAATCGAGGCATTCAGGCCGGGCTCATGGAGCTCGGGGTGCATCGCAGGTCCCGGTCCGTGCAAGGTGTGTCCCGAGCGGATGGATGTAGTGTCAGAAACAGTTTGATCCTCCGTCGCATTACTGGGGGACGCAGTGTGCCTGACTGGAGAAGAGGGTGCATATAGCTCCGGTGCTGCTTGGGGTGGGGGCAGCTCAGTGCTAGGGTTGGGGAAGAACATTGTGTTTCGAACATCGCGACGCCCACGGATAGTACCTGCATTGCGTCTAATTCCACCAGTGTTCTGAGCTTGCTATATAACCCAGGTCAATTAGCATGGCAATTGCATATTGCATATTGGGCAGACGAGCACTAACCAATCGGAGGGTATTCGCCATGTCATTCATCGCCTGCTGGGCCTGAGTTTCATCTTCAAAGATGGGCTGGTCTCGAATAGTCAAGTTCACGTTGGATTCATCCAGGCTGTGCCATTTGATCAGCGATTATTTTTACCTTCCCTAAAATAGCTCACGTACCCTGCTGCTTCTCTCTGTGCGCGCGTGATCTCATCAATCGTCGAAGGTCGCTCACTGTATCCTTCGGAATCGACATGCCGCTAAAGAACGATTAATAAGGTTGCGCGTACTAGAAGTTTCACGAAAGACATACCTGATTGACGTCGCCGCTGGCAAGTCTAGTTGAGGGCTCTGGGGAAGCACCATTCGGGGTTGAGTCTATTTGAGCCGCAGGAATGGGAGCAACGGTCTCTGGGGCATTACGATCCTGTGACACACTCGGGTTTCGCATGGAATCTTCCTCGGTCAAAGATGTGCCGGGACGATCCGAGGTCGACGCAGGAGGAGATTCGGGTATTTGCATATCACGCGCGGAATCACTCCTCTTGAAGGGGGCAAACGGGTTGCGATGCTTCTTCTCTGCCTTTCTTTCGAAGCTTCCAGCTGAAGGGCCCACGACACTCTTTCGCCTGTTCATCACCGTGCCGAGTCGCCGCAGACCTCCTAACGGAGTGTGTCGCGGCTGGGGCTCAGGTGCTATTGGGAAGAACACAAGAAGTCAGATTCGGCCTCATCAGGATATGAAATGCTGTAGAACTCACCTGGCGGTGTTTGCGCAATGCTCTCTCGCTCTGTTGGCTCCGATCGCTGGCTGGCCGCATCATCCTGGGCCGGTAGCGGTGGGAGGGTGCTGCCGCTGGCGCTGGAGCTGGTGTCGCAACCGGTGCTGTCGCAGCTCGAGGCATTACGGCAGGAGGTGTCTCGGTCTGCCTCCTCGACAAGGCCGGCGACAAAGGCGCCCGGTTGCCGGTCATCTTCGCGGCAAATGTCTTGATCTCGTCTGCAGTCTCAACATTGAGGAGGACGTTCAGACAGCTCTCAGCGGCCTGACGACCACGCTCAACCTGGTCCACCTCATGAGTCTCGAGCTGTGTGAGCACGTCCCGAAGGTGGTTGAGCCGGCCCTCGTCGGCCGCCTGGAGTTGTTCAAAGACATAGGGTGCCCTCGATTCCCACTGCTGATTGACTTCTTCGGCAGCAGTGATCGCACTGGCCAGCTTCTCCGCACCTTTCGGGCCCCTCTCCTTAGCCTTTTCCACCTTTTTCTGTGCAGTCTCCACGTTCTTGGCCAGTCCCGCAAGGTTGCTCTGGATCCCAGGCATTGACTGCATGTCTCGATTCTTGCTGCTGTATTCCCTCAATGGGCGCTCCACATCTTCTTCGATCTTCGTGGCCAGAGTCTCGTGCGACACAGCGAGCGCTTCGGTGGAGTTGAGGATGCGCTGCCAGGGAATTTGGAAGATTCTGGTTGAAACGGTCAGAATATAATCCATTGGATATGGAGAAGTCGCAAGCTTCATAGGGCAGCTATGATTTACCCAAGTGCAGCGCCATTTTCCAGCTGTGGCCGATGCGCCAGCTTTCGCAAGCTTTGGGCGTATGCATCTTCCACGCGACGACGTTCCTACCACCTAGTCAACACCCTGTCTCTCTCCATTGAATGCCATCTCAGAGCTCCGACATAGCCCGAATATGGCCATCATACCTGGAGATAGTCTGCAATGTCTGAATTGATCCTGTTTATGAGCCGGATGCGATCGCCGAGGACCGTTGTCGCTTGACTGGGATGTAGAGTAGCCTAGACAATAATAGGTCCCCTCAGTTAATACAAAAATGATATCGCAGTGAGTGGGGGAGTTCAAGAGAGCCACTCTTACCAGCAGCGCTGGGTATTCTTGCCGGGAGAGCTCCATGGTTCAGATTCACAGGTCCTCACGGCAGCGCACAAGGCGCATAGTAAGAATGAGGGTTTCAGTCAAAGAACACAGAGGGAAAGGAAACCATTCACCCAATAAGGGAGAAATGAGTGAACGCGGGATCCAAAAAAAAGCTGTCAGCGAGTGGGAGAGGTATGCGTGATGTCGCCGAGGACGGCCGGGGTTGGAATGACGCCCTTGCGGGTCACATGACATCTTGACTGGTCTGTTGCTTGGACGCTGAGGTCATCGATGTCTTCTACGCCCAAGCAAAAAAAAAGAAGAAAAAAAGAAAACGACAATGCAGAAGTCATTGGGGTAATTTCTACACTCTCAATAGTCCATCATGTCCTGGACAAGCACCCTGGGGTTTTCTGATCGATTGAGGACCATCCAGTCTCTGTAGGCCCCCCACTCCACATTGAACCGGGATCTGTTCTTAACCAGGTTCCTAGCACCACGGTCTACCAACAAGCCTCCTCATCAGCTGCATTTGCTGAGGCGCAAAGCCAAGCACGGCGGTATGAGAATGAAGCCTACAGCCAGGCCACCTCGAAGGTCGGTTGAAGGACTTTCTCCAAAGATGTGAGCTGCTTCGGCTCATATTCCATCCAGGAAGAGTATGATCGGATGTGTCAACAAGCAATTGACGCAGCAGAGACAATGGGGTCTGTAGCCCCCATGATTAGCAGCCCGCTTCAAGTACAGGAGAACTTCCAGGAGCCAGAGCCATCGGCGGACCCGTCCACCGGGGAGAGATTTGGCCAGTATACCTCCTGTTTTCATCATTTTGATGGGCTCCATTCCACCATTTACAAGTCTAAAGCCGAGAATGGCACGCTTCGAGCCATCAAAATCACTATCCCGCATCTCATGACGGCCCCCCATGATGTTCACCGCGAGGCCCGATTGCTCCGCGAAGCCCAGAGCCCGCGAGTAATCTCGTTGATCGAGACCTTCACGCTTGATGAAGGGAGACTGGTCTTGGTCTTTCCGTTCCTGCGACATGACTTTGAGCACTTACTTCGACGTGGTATGGTGACGGCTACCCAAACGCGATCGGTCTTGCGGGACCTGTTTGCTGCGCTAGCCCATATTCATGAAATGGGGATCATTCATCGTGACATCAAGCCATCAAACATCCTAATGGATTCTCCAAGTGGACCCGCATATTTGGCAGATTTTGGGATTTCGTGGAAAGAAGGCGATCCGGGGTCCGAACCCTCTCGCCAGAAGATTACCGACGTAGGCACAACCTGCTACCGACCGCCTGAAATTTTATTTGGGTACAAGGAGTACGGGACAACCCTCGATCTCTGGGCCGCAGGGTGTGTCGTGGCCGAAGCGGTGACCGTGGACCACCACCAACTCTTTGATTCGGGGCCCCTTGGGAGTGATCTGTCGCTCATCGCTTCAATCTTCAAGGCACTGGGAACCCCCGACGAACAGACTTGGCCGGTAGGTTCATGATTGCAAGGCGGATGAGTGCGAAACCGTGAATTAACCCGCGTGTAGGAAGTACGAGTACTGCCAGACTGGGGCAAAGTCGAATTCCACCCACTCCCTGCACGATCCTGGGAAGATATTTTGCCTGGAGTGTCGTCGACCAGCCGAGATTTAGTTCAACGCTTGTTACGCTACGAGAGCAGTGCAAGGCTCTCGGCCGCCGAGGTATGTGATGTGATTTGGTGGGCCAGCGACGGTATCTCACATTCGAATCATTTTCCAGGCGCTACGACATCCATATTTTTCCAAGTAGAAATGCGAACGGCACACCGTCTGGCCTCAAAAAAATGACAAGTTCAGCCAATGTGCCTCGAATCCTCATCTTGCGAGTAATTCAAAAATCACGAGCGCCAAAGGAATCCCAATAAATAAGAGCACGTCTCCAATAGATGAACTCGGGCGTGGGGCCTCAGGAACCCGTTCACATTGGCCGAGTTCCCGGCAGCTTCGGAGATTGCACCGGAGCCCTTTCGATCAATGAGAATCGCCCCCACCGTGAAACGGCCAGGGGCAGTCTTGTGTCCGTGTGGTTGCGTTGGGGGCCGGTTGAGAGAAGATGGCCTTCAAGTGACCTGGTATACAGTAAGTAAACAACAAGGGAAGTATAGCCATTGGGACGGAAAATAGGCGAATTCTCACTGGAAATCCACTGAGAAATGCAAAGGAATTGAAGCGATCCAGGGCTGAAGACTCCACGGCCCCCTCGCCGATCGTCGCCTTCATCGGACTAGATCTCATTTCGGCTCCTCGTGGACCCTGTGCGACTGCAATCTCTACCCTACTACGACCTTGCACTTCTCTCTTTTCTCACGCCTTTTGTTGTTTTGCTGTTTTGCTGTTTTTTAATTATCGTCGGCCTGGAAGTCGTCGTCGTCCTTTCTTTTCTTTTTGTTGTTGTTTACTTTCTCTGGCATCGGGCAGTGCTCGATCTCAATCCATTCTTTCTATCCACATTCCGCGCGACTACATACCCGAATCCTCGGAGACGTCCGACTCGCGTTGGAATCCTAGGCAAGACTGCCTTGCTCTCTCTTTAGACGCGTCCTGTCTCTCTGGGTTTCGTACATCTGAATTCGATCACTTCCAAGCCTGGGATCTTGAAGCCCGAACGTCAATATGCACGGGCATGGCCATCACACTCATGCTCATGACCACGGCTTAGAACAGCGCGATCCCGACCCTGATGGCTTCTTCGACTTCATCCATAATACCCAGGACCGGGATTTTGACAGCGCCTTCAAGGACCCTATGACGGAGGATTTTAAACCCACCAAGACCGAGAAGGACGATCCTACCGCTGGTGTCGGTGCACCTGTGGAGGGCACACGCACCGAGAAAGCAGAGACAGCGGAGCAAACAACTGAAGCCGATAAAACAACGGATGATCATCCGGCGACCACAATCATGGAAACTCATACAGCCCATGAGACTACCGCAGAAACTACGTCAGAGACCTCAACAGAGACCAAGACCACCGCTACCGATTCTGCGACCACGACTACTGATTCGCAGACTGACTCGCAGACTTCTCACCCGACCACCGCCTTTATAACTTCGACGTCCTCCGCCACGGACTCGTCGAGCCAAGATGGAAGCACGTCTCTCCCTACGACGTCCAGCTCATCGGCCACGAACTCTGCTGCATCAGCCTCGTCTACTACCACTGGTGCCCCTCAATCAGAGGGCATGTCCTCAGGCGCCAAAGCCGGTGTGGCCATTGGAGTCATTCTCGGTGTGGGTGTGATCGCTGCGCTGGTGTTCTTCTTTGTTCGAAGAAGGAAGCGGAACCAGGAAGTGGAAGAATTGGCGGATGAGAAGACGTATGGCATCCATAGTCTTGCACCACCTTCGCCTCCGCCTCCGGTCTCGAAGCCCGCGACTTCCTCCGCTCCTCCACAGCTCAACGTCCGCCCCATCACCCAGTTCGCACCGGATCTCAGCCGCAGTAGCTTCTTCAACCCGGCTCCAGCCGTTGCTGCTGGTGCAGTGGGTGGTGCTGCCGCTGCCAGTGCATCTCGTAATCTAACCGGTGATTCGCCGCCTCCGACACCTCCCCAGACCAGTGGCAGCGGCCACAACCCATTCAGTGACCCGGCAAACCCCTTTAACACGGCCACTACACCGGTAGCCGAACAGCCTCCTGCTAGTGTCGAGTCGAGCACTGGGCCATCTGGAACGACTGTCGCGGCAACGGCTGCTGGTGCTGCGGCTGTCGGAGCCATTGGAGGTGCCGCTGCATCATCTCAGGGTCCCAAGAACGATCAATCCAACCCCGGAGATTCGCGCGCACAATCCCCCGCTGGATCAGGTCCGTCTGCGCCAAGTCCTGTTAATGCTGATGGTGCCGAAGCTGCACCCGCGGCGGTGGCCGGTGCCGGTGCCGGTGCTGCTGGAGCAACCGCTGGTGCGGCTGGCCTAGCTTCGGACAACGTCCACCGAATCCAGATGGATTTTAATCCGTCCATGGAGGACGAATTAGAGCTTCGCACAGGGTCACTGGTCCGGTTACTGCATGAATATGATGACGGATGGGTAAGTGAATATTTCTTGTTCCAATGGCTTTGATATAGAGAAAGGCAGTACTGACAATCTTATTTCAGGCCCTTTGTACCCGTCTGGATCGCTCCCAGCAAGGTGTGGCCCCACGAAGCTGCCTGTCCGCACGTCCAGTCAAGCCTCGCACACGTCCACCCCCTGGAGCAGGCCCCGGTCCTCGCGGCCCACCCATGATGGGCCCCAACGGCCGCATGCCGCCCGTGTCCCCATCAGGCCGATTCTATCCGCAAGAACGGCGGCCACAATCCCCCGGCCCTGGATACGCCGGAGGCCCCTACCCCAGGCCTCCCTACCCCAGCCAATCGATGCCCTCCGCCCACTTCCCGGTTCCCCGCTCGATGTCACCGGGACCGGGCCCGGGCCCAAATGGTAAACCCACCGGGCCCAGCCTCCGCATAGTGTCTCGGTCCATGAGCCCTGCCCCCTACGGGGCCCCGGACATGCAGCGACCCGCCATGCCTATCAACCAGCAGCAACGCAACAACAGCGCCGGTTCTGTCGCGCCGCCCAACGCCACCGCTGTGCCCAGATCCAGCCCGTTGGCTGACTCTCCACCTCCGGCTCCTGCTCCGACGACTGAACTCCCCGCCATCCCGAGTTCGGCCCCGGCGTCTCCGCCCAGCTCACAGATCTCCCGAAAGCCCGTTCCCAGTCCGAAATCTTAATCTATACGGCCTTATGTCGTCCCGCTGGACGGAAAATGAGCATGTCTCGTCGCGATTTCTTGCTCTCAATCTCGATGACTTATCCACGTCCGTGACGAACGCCCACTCCCTTTTGGTTTGATTTAAACCCGCCATCGTGTCTTTTTGATTCCCCCCCCATTTTCTTTTCTGCCAGCTTGTTGCTTGGATACTTGGATGCGAGATTTCCTTTTTGCCGCATACGGTATAATTTTCGCAACCAACTAGTTGATTTTATTTTATTCCCCTTTTTTTGTTGTTATTCCCTCTCTTTTTTTCCCCTGCTCTGGTTTCTTCTTCCAATCGTCCAACGTTGCAGACTTCATCATTCGACTCTGTACGCGGATCTATGTTTGGCAGAGAATACGTGGAATGGGGTAGTGAACGTATGGGAATATCCGGACTGTAAGATTTATTGCAAGTGATGACGCTTCCGCGTGCCAGTTTATACATGCATTTTTATATGGATATCTGAAATCTTGGATCTTTTACATGGTTGATGAACAGACCTCCGTGGCCGGCATAACTAGAGTGTTGAGTGTTAATGTCCATTGTCGTAGTGTCATGACCAAACCCCCCAAAATTCATATCAAATTTAGGATATCATGCCTAGTATACAACCAAATGCAAGTATAAGCTCAATGCTCGCTGGTATATGGTGATCATAGATGGGGTACACGCCCACTGGCGAGAAGAAGATTCACAATACTCAGTATACCCTCGCCCAAAATGAGGCCGGACGCAAGAATAACGACAGACGAAGAGGCCGCATCCGCTGTCTCGGCTGCCTTTTGGGCAGGCGTAGATTCTCCGCGGCCAGGCTGGAGGCCGGAATGTCTTTCTGCGGGTGTGGCAGGCCCGGCCGTCGAGGGACGAGAGCCATCGGTCAGGTCGCTGGTAGCAGGATGGCTAGCAGGCACGGCGTGCGAACGTGACCACCACCAAGCGATGATACCGCCAATGGCTCTGGCGAGAGTAAAAGAGGGAACGTTGAAGATGCCGACGGCGACGGCAATACCGCCGGGGATCCACGCTCTCCAGGGCGGGGGGTTGCCATCGCGCGCAAAGGCAGGGGATGCTGCTACAATGCGCAAGGCGGTAATCACAACCCAGATAGCGCCGGCAATCATAGACGCCTGCCAGGCCCTCTCGGGGAGACCCTGGCCCGTGACAAGGCGAGCAGTGAAAATCCAGACATACGCGGTCGGGGTCTGGAACATGTCGCCCGGGATCTCGTAGACATTCACATACATCTTGTACACGGCCGTAGAAAGGACCGCCCCAACCAGGCTGCCGATCATCTGGCCATAGAACTGGGCCTTGGGGCTCGCACCTAGAAGATGGCCCGTTTTCAAATCCTGCATCATGTCGCCGGCTTGCAAGGCGCCAGACTCTGAAACGGCGCCAGCAAGCAGATTCGTGATGAGCGCCGTACGCCGAGAGAAGTGGGAGGCGGGTGTGGCGAGCGAAAACAGCAGTTGGGTCAATTTACTGATCCCGGACACCGGGTTAAGGTCGGTTTCGCCAAGGGCGCGAACGCCCATGACAGACAGAAGGACTGCCAGGAGAGTGGCGAGACTGGTGAGCCAGGGAGACATGATGTCGCCGAAGACAAAGTGCATGCATATGACATTCAGGATGAGGGTCAATGGGAGCAAAATCACCACTGTACGAGTAGAGATCAGCTGGGATGGCGGCGCATCCACGTCTTCTTCCTTTCCGGTGACTTGAGCATCATTAATGCCATGGCTCTCGTGAGCCGCGGGATGGTTGTCAGAATCTAAGGCAGAGTAGTTGATATAGGAGTGGTGATGAGAGGCCGAGGACTGCAACTGCAACGCGAGCCATCCTCCAACGCGAGTGGATCGGAATCGCGCAATCCACCTAGGAGCACGGCTCACAAGAGGTTTAGTCACCAGCCACCCAAGACTGACAAGAGAATCCGCAAGCATAATGGCCAATGACACCCACACAATCCATGCTTTGCTCCCGTCTTCCCAGCTGTTCACGGGGCCGGGTGCCCACCCGCGAGACTTGGCCAGCGGGGACAGGATACCCCAGCCCAGTACAGCTCCAAAAAGCATGTGGATGCATGTCGATGGGCCCATGATAATGCCTTGGCCGACATAGGCGGGAGATGGGTTGAGAGTCCACAGCCAATTTTGGGCAATGGCCATGCCAAATAAAGGAATGTCGCGGACCAGAGGGACGAAGTAGGAAAACAATGTCTTTTGCTGTCAGCACCATAGTGATGACATCGGCAGGGGAAAATCTCACATAGACCCCCGAAAATACAAAAGCAAAGATCAAAAGACGCATCTTCGACCGCCAGTCCTTTTTATCAGATGCTTGATCTTCAGCCTCATCATCCTTGAGCAGGAGTCCTCTCTCCTCCTCTTCCTGTTCATGAGCTGCAACGGCCGTATGAGATTGGGCAGGCACTATTTTTTCATCCTTCCCAGCACCATGTAAGACCTTGAGCATCAGCGCAGAAGCGGTGCCACTTGGGAACCGCAATTTCTCCCGCACAATGACTTCCTTTCGCAGCGGAACCGCAAATACCACCCCAAAAAAGACAGACCCCCAGGCTCCAGATCACCAATTTCCAAAAGCTCAGCTTGAGAGGTCCGCCTTCGCCTTCCCCGCCATCACCTGTCGGACCGTCCTCGCCATCTTTCAGCAGGAACTCCAGTGCAGGAATCACCCCAACAAATCCGCAACCAAGTGGCATCGTGCCCACCGCGCCAGCCACGGTCTGAATCAGAACATTCTCGATCGGTGTGAACGGAAAGGACAATTGCTTCGACAGAACCTTGAAGACCGAGAAGCCAATCAAGGCCGAAGGCATGGCCATCGTACTGATCCATCCTGTCTGCAGCCCAAAATATGTGTTTGAGAAGGTGATGAGAGCTCCGATGATGAGGCCGACGAAAAGCGAGCGCGGAGTGAAGCTCTGGGCGGAGGTCGTCGGCGTGCGGGGATTTGTGAAATCATCTGTGGGATCCGAGGGCTGCGGGTCTGATGGAGACGACAGCCTGTCTACCATGTGACGATGAGGTTCCAAGGCATCGCCTGCCATGCTGAAGATCTGGTAATCCATCCAAGCTCATCGTGGCAAGCGTCGAAGTGGTCGACCTCGGGCGAATTGCGATGATTAATGTGGTCACCTGACGTCACCCATCAGCCTCCAGGGCTTCCTATTAGGGGAGGTTGTTTGGGGTGGCTACAACATGCAAGGATATATTGTTGAATTGCTGGATATTAGCTGATTTATTGCATCTTTTCTTGGTTATTTGAAAGTGATGCAGAAGCTGATTTGTTAGGGTAACATCTTTCGATTTTGAATAACCAGGTGAAATATTTATTTCGCCATCTCCATCCCTAGAAGATATACTACTCATTGAGTCGTCTCAAACCATCCGTGGATCATAGATAACCCCTATGGTAACCCACGATCATTTGTTCCTCCCACAGCTGGTCGCCAGCCCCCTCTGGCCCCAAGGATGATGCGCCTAAACCGAAAGAGTACGCTGCTCAAGTGGGCCTGATGGACGCCAAGGAGATCATGATCCAGTTCTAATTTAGTTACTTTCAAAGATACATAAACCAGGGACATCCCTGGTTTTCTGTATTCTTCCTTGTTAGCATTCTTCTTCCTCGGCATTTGGGCGAGAGTGTTCCAAGCTTGATTCAGTACGTATTGGCCATGGCTTGGACCAGGAAATCGTCACTTCTGACCGAATATTGTTCTCTCCAGGAACACAATGGCCACCAAAAATGCTGAGGCTACCCTGCGGCGCCGACAGGGTGACCATCAGAAGACCACAAGCACAGAGGACTTTGCACGGGAGCACATCATCGGTGGATGGCGACCAGGAATGGACCCCAAGGTCGACTACTCCGGACACTTCGAGTTTGGTGGATCACTGGGAAATCTGGCCTTGATGACTGGATTTCCTCTGCTGATGTACTACATGTGGATCGGTGCCACCTACTACGATGGAAAATTACCGCTCCCCCACGACGGGCAATCCTGGACGGACTTTGGGAATCACCTAGGACATCTCGTCTATACTGGTGCATTTCCTCACTTCCGAGCATGGCGCATTTATTGGGTGTATTTTGTCTTTGAGGCGGCATGCTATATTCTTATGCCTGGATTCACCTGCTACGGCAAGCCTCTGGCTCACTTGGGTGGAAAGCAGCTCAAGTACCATTGCTCGGCCTTTACGAGTTTCTACTTGACCATCTTCGTTATGGCGGTTTTGCATGGCACGGGGCTGTTCCCTATCTACACCTTCATCGACGAGTTTGGGCCGCTGATGTCGGTGGCGATTATCTCTGGGTTTCTCGTCAGTCTGGTCACCTACTTGTCTGCTTTTGCGCGCGGCGCCCAGCATCGGATTACGGGTTACCCCATCTACGACTTCTTTATGGGCGCCGAGCTAAACCCACGCCTGTTCGGTATCTTGGACTTCAAGATGTTCTACGAAGTCCGCATCCCATGGTTTATTATCTTCGGTTTAAGCTGTGCCGCTGCCACACGCCAATATGAACAGTACGGCTATGTCTCGGGCGAGGTTTTGTTCCTGGTCATGGCCCATTTCTTATACACCAACGCCTGCGCAAAAGCAGAGCACCTCATCACCACCACTTGGGACATGTACCAAGAGAAACTCGGGTTCATGTTGACTTTCTGGAACATGGCCGGTGTCCCTTTGTCATACTCGCACTGCACATTGTACCTGGCTAACCATGACCCGGCCACCTATGCCTGGAACAAGTATGCACTGGCAGCGCTCTTTGTGTTGTATCTGTTCGTCTACTGGGTCTGGGATACCTGCAACAGCCAAAAAAACTCATTCCGCATGATGGAGCGTGGCACTTTTGTCAAACGCACGACGTTCCCACAGCTCCCCTGGCAGGAGGTCCACAACCCTAAGACTATTGTGTCAGAATTCGGTGACACCATCCTCGCGGATGGCTGGTATGGCAGGGCCCGCAAGGTCCACTATACCTGTGATATGTTTTTCGCTCTTTCCTGGGGTCTGATCACTGGATTTGACAGTCCTTTCCCCTGGTTTTACCCTGTGTTCTTCAGTTTCATGATTGCCCACCGGGCAATGAGGGATATCAGTAAATGCCGGTTCAAGTATGGTGAGGCATGGAAGGAGTACGAGAGACAGGTTCCGTATCTGTTTATCCCGGTAAGTTGCTTTATGCCTTGTATATTGTGAGTAATTAACTAACTGCCCGGTAGTATGTGGTCTGAAGCGTCCCAAAGCTGCCATGTCATCCAATATCACAAGAATTTGGATTGCACCTAGCTCCCTTACCATCGACTGGGTTGAGAATAGATGCTTTGATGTATAGAGAATAGACAAATCAAAAAGCCTAATAGTCTGCTCAGCTAATGAAATAGTCTGATCGTCCGATCTTGTTCACCTCTGTTCAAAGGCCAAACAAATTCAGATTGATCTGAGTCACGACTTAGCTAAACTAGCCTGGAAAACTGGAGGACCCTACTTCCGACAGTGAAGGCAATATTCACTATATGTTTTTCTCGATGGCACCTAACCCCTACTATAAGCAGAACTTGTTGCTCACCCCAATATCACCACAACCACCCCCCCTCTAGCACCGGAAGATGAAGGTCGAACTCGCCTACGAAATCGAGGTATTCACACCAGTTGAGCACCTTACTCAGCCATGGTTGTCCGATCTCACCAAGATGGTCAACGCCATCAAGCTTTCCGTCCCAGATAGAGGGACTCGACTCCGGACCGACACCCAGCTGTGCGAAGACCTGGGCCCGGATGCATTCACCATCGTGGCATTTGCCCCCACCAAACCCAACAAAGAAACGCAAGTTGATCGGCACTGCAAGTATCCAGGAGTGTAATGAAGATGACCAGCACCAAGAGCACGAAAGCCACCAGAACGAGACTGCCACTGCGCCTCACGATATAGGCCAGGTCGGCCAGCAATATGACCTCCCGGGAGGCTACAAGCTCGCAGTGTTTGCTCTCACAAAAAACCCTCGATATCATATAAAGGGACTTGTTAAGGGCCTGCTGAAGGCATGCGAGGACGAAATCCGGCTGCGACATACACTCACAAATGAGGCGAACGCGCCCCCGCTGCGCCTTGTTGTCCGGGCTGTGAAAGAAACCAACGGCGCCTACTGGCTGAAGCAGGAGTTCTATCCAGTGGGTAGCCGGAAATTCCCCAGGGAACGTGGCATCCATCATTCGAAGTTACATTGTGGGCGATGGCTCGAGAGTTGTAACCGAACATCGGGTTGGCAGTCATGGCATTGAGAACGTTGAGACAGTTCTCAGTCACAGCCTGCCATAAAGGCCAAAATTGAAGACAGAGTGGTTGATCAAGCATTTCTCCCTCATAAACACTAGCAAAAGCGAGTGTTGCTGTCTGGGGTAGCTGGCAGTCGGATGTAGATAGGGCTCGCCCACATCCCAAAGTTGGTCATTGTAGGAATGACTTGTGAGTTCGAGATTTATCTCCTCGTTCTAAAGAAAATCATGGAGATAATAAGTACCAGCCTGGAAGAAATAGATCGAGGAATCTGAGGGTGCTGCATCCCTTGAACGGCATAACCAACCCTTCATGGAAGACTCCTGTCTTCAAGACAGCAGACCCTCGCGCCCATTCTTGGGGAGATCGGCAGGCACAGTCTGCCAACAGCCACCCTGATTCTTTTCTTGATCTTCGCATTCCAACCCTTTCCACCGACCCTCCTCCAATCTCGTTGCTCCAATCGAACCTGGGAAATGCCCGATCCAACCCTGCTGCATTCCACGCGTCGGAGAGGTTGTTTACTCAAGTCAATGCTCCATGGAGGCTATTTAAATGCCATGGGACACGGTCCCTGGCTTCTGGTTTCCTGAGCGAGTGTTTTGACGCGGTACGACACCTGGACGTCCAATTCTGTGCCGGACAACTATCGCTCTCCCCAGAAAACTCACAGTTCTCGAAACAAGATGCACTTCTCCAAGGTAAATCATGGAATCCAAATGTAATGACATCGGAAGACAGCGAAGCTCACATCTCATAGCCCTTTGCCTCTGTGGCCATGCTCGCCCTGGGCCCCATGACTGCTTACGCCGGCTTCCCCGTTGCCAGCGTAGAGTTCCTCTCCTGGGAGACCTGCGATGCCGGTGCTCCCGCCAAGGGCGAGGCCAAGTTCAAGGCCGACGTGACTGCCACCCCGGTGACTTGCGACAAGACCACCGTCAACCGTGACTGGAGCATCAACAACTACTCGTTCCGCGCACACCTGGACACCAAAGACACTGCCTGGTGCCACGGCGTCACCATCTGGAACAACGATGGGTGCAGTGGCAAGCCCGTGCACTTCCTGCCCTTCGAACACGGCCCCTTCGCCGAAGGCAGGTGCTTGCCCGACATTCTCGAGCCTGGTTACGTCTCCTTCAAGCTGGACTGCTTCGGATTCCCGGGAGGCGCATAGATTGATTGATAATGGGAGAGAATGGTTAGAGATGGCATTAATGCAGTGTCGAGTTTTCTGTGTTTTTATCTTGTCGAGTGTATGTCCAATTTAATACAACGCGTCGGTGTCACGTATGTTTTTGCCCACGTAAATTTAGCCGACGTTCCCCCGCCCCGACGTCACCCTCGCCTGTTTGTATCGTCACCTAGCAGCTTGGCCAATTCATCGTCTTTCCCATGATATTTGTGTATTGATCTGGTCATAATCCGAGAACAGATCTGTGGCCATCAACAACGGCTGGCCGATCGGACGCGGGAGCGATGATCCCTTGGCTGTACGACCTGGTGCTGTGGTTCTTCACCTGGGGGTTGGATCTCTTCTTCCGAGAGATTTACCCTCGTGGAGCATGGAGAATCCCTGAAAAGGGTCCTGTGCTGATTGTCGCTGCGCCTCATGCCAACCAATTCGTTGATTCGGCCATTTTGATGCACCTACTCAAATCGCAGGCCAAGCGACGCGTGTCCTTTCTGATCGCTCAGAAATCGCTAAACGAGCCCTACATCGGGACGCTGGCAGCATGCATGGGAACTCTGCCCGTTGTTCGGGCCATGGATTTGGCCAAGCCCGGCAAAGGCACCATCTACCAGCCCGAGCCGGGCAATGACCCCGCGCTCATCCACGGGGTGGGCACCGATTTCTCACAATCGGAGTTTATGCCAAGCGGGTCTCTGACCGTCAAGGGTCCCGATGGACCTGAGTCTGCATCAATCGAAGAGATCATCGGGCCGACCACGCTTCGGCTGAAAAAGCCATTCGATTCTCCGGTCTCGGATGACCCGGGTCGCAAAGGCACGATCTTCAAAATTGCACCCCATGTCGACCAAGGTCAGATGTTCGATGCTGTTTACAAGGAGCTTTCCCAGGGTGGCTGTATCGGTGTCTTCCCCGAGGGAGGTAGTCATGATCGCTCGAACCTGTTGCCTCTCAAGGCTGGTGCCGCATTGATGTCGCTGGGAGCTCTGGCCCATGATCCCGACTGCGGGCTCTCCATCGTCCCATGCGGCATGAACTACTTCCATGCGCACAAATTCCGCTCCAGGGGCGTGATTGAATTCGGCCGCCCGATTCACGTGCATCCCGATCAAGTCGAGGCCTTCAAGGCTGGGGGCAATAGCAAACGGAATGCCGTAGGCTCCTTGCTTGAAACCATTTACGATGGCCTCGAGGCAGTTACACAGATCAGCCCGGATCACGAGACACTGATCCTGGTTCAGTCGACCAGGAAGCTTTACAATCCTATCAGCAAGAAGATTCCGTTACCTCTGGTGATCGAATTCAACCGACGATTGCTCAAGGGCTACACTCGACATCGTGAAGATCCCCGCATTCAGGGCCTCAAAAAGGCTGTCACGGAGTACAATAGGCGCTTGGAGTCGCTGGGAATCAAGGACCACCAAGTGGAATGGGGCAATGTAGAAGAGAAGCCATGGTGGCTGACCCTCATTATCTTGATCTACCGCCTATGCAAACTGCTTGTTCTCAGCGTAGGCACACTGCCGGGCGTTCTGCTCTTCTGGCCTGTGTTTGTGACCACCAAGGTGATTTCAGAAAAGAAACGACGCCATGCACTCGCAGCTTCGGTCGTGAAACTGCAAGGACACGACGTGATGAGTACCTGGAAGATTCTTGTGGCCATGGGGCTGGCACCGGCCCTTTATGCCTACTACACCGTTATCGTGACCGCGTGGCTCCGGTACAACCGCCATGAGGGCCATTACACGCACTCATTACCTTGGTGGATGGTGGCCAGAACCTACGTATCTGATGCCATTCCATTGTGGGCCTTTGCCGTCAGCTTTTTTGGGCTCATGATTTCGGTCAGCTTTGCAGCGCTGCGGTTTGGTGAGATTGGAATGGATATCGTCAAATCTCTCCCGCCGCTTCTTGTGGCACTGAACCCATGGTCCTCTTCGTATCTGATCGACCTTCGAGTGCACCGCGAAGCGCTCTCGGAACGGGTCACGGAGACAATCAATGATCTCGGATTCGGGATTCTGCCTGATGTTGACGCGGAAATCCCCACTGATCCGTACACACCAGATGCTTACCAGTCCCGGCTCAAGAGCATGCCACCAAGTGAACCAGAAAGCCGGGATCGGAGTCGCAGCCGGTCGAATGGCCCGCCTGGCGAGGATCGTCTTAAGGGTCTCACCTCAATTTCTTCAGCTGGTGACTTGGAGGAAATGAGTCAGAAAATCCACACGCGCAAAGGAAGAGGGAGGCGATCCCAAACGATCACTGGATACGAGACAGGAGAATCGATTCTCAAATACCAACCCTCTGCAACAGATAATGACAAGAAAGAGCGGTGATCGCTACGCTCTGCAGCATGGCTACGATGGTTACCTAGACATGTGTCTACCAAGACCTGCAGGTCCTATGCTTGGATTGAGCTGTGCCATGACAACGCATATCTCTTATCAGAGAACCATACGCGCGGGTGCCATGACAGCAAAGTGGTTCTTATGCCGATCCCACAGGAGCCAATAGACATCCCCTGGAAGGTCCCTGAATAAGCCTCCGTCGGATATTTTTAGCCAGCCACATTTTCCGACGATCAAGTCTTGGCCAAGCCTTGTGAGAGGCGGACTGCCATCTCCTGGAATGTGCAAAGCGCCCTTCGCATGCCTCATCGGGCACTACCGCGAGCCTGGATCGACATGAAGAGGGACTCTCTGGGACTGGAATGTGCAAATCCTCGATCGATTGGTGTCAGATTGGACTTTAGTGACACACCCGCCACCGAATATGATGCAGAACCTCATTTCTTTTCATTTCGTACGGAACGTGCAAGGCGCAAGTCTCCATGTCAATTACATTCCTCCCCGCCATCCCAATATCCGTGCAGGATGAAGGCATATAAAACGAGCGGCCTGGGCTGCGTGCGTTACTAGATATCATCTATAATCCCGAGTATCACAAAACCTGCACAGCTTCTCTACTATCTGTAGTCATTGATTTCCAAATCGGGCAACCATGCATTCCCTCACAGTTCGTCTCCCTACACCCTTTAATACCAATGACCTGCCAACTGACCAAGTATAAAGACTTCTCTGCTCTCGCTCTCTCTGCTCTCCACTCCACTCCATGCAGCAACGACAGCCCGCGTCTGGACACACTTCTACCCGAACTGTCCAGGCGAGCCGTTCTCCGACATGACCAACTACGAGAACTACAAGGAATCGGCACCATCCAAAGACGTCAAGACTGGCATCTGCGCCAACATCGGCGTGCCGTCATACGAGCACAGCCTGGTCAGCGCCATCTCCGTCGACGCCGAGCTCCTCTCACATGGACATGCCCAGAACTTTCCAGACAGTGACAGCCACTGCAATATCACTGTGCACGAGGTGCCCGGATGCATTGACCCGCCACTGATCACTAAGGAGATCCGCAAGGGCGTCGAAGTGAGCAAGTGCGCTACGCGCCAGTTTGCTGCGTACAGTCAGGTGTGGGTTCAGCTGGAGTGCGAGCACCCGGATAGCCACGATGATCACGACAAGAACGACCGCACTGCCGACAATGATAGTAAAGACGGTGCGGTCAACGTCGTGACCACCGACAAAACCGCCTCTATCCAGCAGAGCAGCAACGCCCAAACACCAGGCTCGAACACGGGTTCTTGGTCAATGGCGCAGCAAGCAAACTCAGAGCGTCGTCCTGAGCAAGAGGGCCGTGTCAACAATGCCGGCCATGTTGCCAGCTCGCAGGTTGTCCATGACTTGCTTGAGATGCTGAAGCACAAGAACTCCACGAACATCGTCTCGGGCAAGCACCATGCCAATGGCTCGAGTCACCACCTCAATGGCACGGCGCTTGCTAACAACCGGACCATGTCGCGCCGGAACTTGTCTGTTCGGCGCAACCGGGTGGCGCGGCTGTACTAAGGTGGATATATCGTGCTTTGATAGGGGTACTGTTTATGCTTTCTGGGCGTTCGTGTTTAGGTGACGGGTTATGACGGGTAATGACGGGTTATTGGGATCCCTCCCTGTATAGTACAGCCCTGGAAAAAAAGGGGGGGTATGGCTACCTTTGCTGTGTCCAGGTAAATATGATATTAAAAAAGCATGAAGGTGGACAGAATTAGATACAAAATACTACAGTTGATTGAATGATTCTTAGGATTATCTGGGCGTCTTCTTCCTGTTCGGCCTCGGTGGAACAACAGGCTTTTGCCGGTTAGGGTTAGGATGACACTTGTAATCCCAATTCCGATTCTGTCGGCATTGGGTCAGTATGGTAAGAATTTGCGAAAAGTCATGGGGATAGGGAACTCGTACTATCGCATGATATTCGTGGTTTGCTGGGTTCCGGACTGCTCGTCCCGAACAACCCTCTGATGCCAATGCATGGCATTGCATTGTTCCGTAGACTTCGGGTTCAGCTTCATTCGGCCCTAGAATTGGGTCTCGGCTATAAATCGGTGTTTCTCGTCAGTCCCATAGATGCAATATTCCACTCCAATCAGGTTTTTGAGATACGTACCCAGTCTTGGACATGGCCGCATCTCCAATAAATGGGCAATGGCTGCAACAATATTAGTTGCTGGTTGATGCACAAATTGGCACAGGGAAATATCTCACATTAATTCGTGGAAGAGTGAACTCCAAAGACTCGTCTCCAAGTCCTTTATGTTGTGATCCTCAGAAGTCTCCCAACAATCATTCGACGGTTGTTTTGTCCATTCCTCAAAGAACTCGAGCCAGTCGCCACAGACGGCTATGAGGCAATCGTCCTCTCTCATCGAAGACCAACTGGATAGGCTTTCTTGCATCTTTGAAGATTTGGCAACCCTCGACGTGTATGCCATGGATCCTCTCGGACACATTTGTCGCCAGTCTTTTCTTGTAACCCAAATCCGGGGGTTATCAGCCGGCGTAGGAGTAGGTGGTTTCATCTGTTTCAGCATATAACGGTTGACTTCGTCCACAGCATCTTTGTCTTCTGACGGGAACCAGGTCGAGAAGGTCTTGTCGTCTTTATTATCCAAAAGGAAAGATGCCGTGCTCGTCACCTTGTGGAAAGCAGACTCGAAGGTTTGAATCTTGGCTGAATCATTTTGGAATCCGTCGTAGTATACCACGGAGCCTTTTTTGTATGGCTCACCCCTGACCGAAAGCGATTCAACGGCGTTGGTTTCACTGTGAGAGCTTCTTGATATCTTTTGGTTAGTGCTTAGACTTGGCCATATCCCGGGGATATTTCTGCATACTCACTCAGAGGAAGGAAATGCTTGACCCAGTGCAATGGAACAGACGGCCAGATAGAGTCGTGATAGAAGCATTGGGCAAAGGGCAAGCTGCGTTCAAGGCAGCATTTGCATTTGCATTTAATCAATGGGAAATTCTTCATATATGTAGGGCTCTTAATTACGGGGAAATCGGGTCAGTAATCATGCCATGACTATTTTACTGTAGGCTTTCCATATTTCATCTTATTGAAATTGATTCCCTCCTCCCCCCCCCCCCCCCCCCCTTATAGGGCCCATTCAGGAGAAGGATACAGAATGGCCCCAATGGAGCGTACCACAGACTCTTGTCCATCAATCATCCCCCTAATTCCATCGACTGGCCTATTACTATATTAGGAAGATGATATGATGATCAATCATGGCAAGGTTACATGTAAGGTAAATTCCAACAATTACATAAATATTTATGTATTTCGAGTGTGATTTCTTAGTATACTGTAGCTAATCCCTATACATAGATCGGACCTACATTCAGCTATTGCAGTCTCACAGTCTAACGAGAGCACTCGCACTCCAACAAGCACGTGCCTTGGTATAGGTAACCTATACCAAGGTACATATAGCGAATTTGGTATATCTCAACCACATTAAAGGCTATGAGAAATATAAATCTAATCTTGATATGCTAGGCTATGAAGGACTTAGATTTCAACCATTTTACAGAGAAGGATTTTATCTCCTTTGGAATACGTAAGAGGTCGCCCCTTACTCCACGGTTTCGCCGATCTGGGGCAGAAGGACTAGCCGTCCCCTGAAGTCGGACCCACAGCATTTGCGGCTGTTAGTCCTCCACACCACAACGCAAATTTCTTTCTGTTTTTGATTTCTCTACTATATACCAACTATGCCAAAATCTATCGATACTATCGAAATTCGCCTTAATCAGGCCTGTGAAGCAGCAAACCGCGATCAAAAACCAAAAATCGCGTCGCTGGCGCACGAATTCGACGTTCCCTATGATCGACTTTGCGCCAGAATCCAAGGCCGACCACCCAAAATAGCCACAAACGCAACTAACAAAGCACTTAATATTTGTAAGAGAAAACCCTAATTCGCTATAAGTTTCGCCTACAATTCGCGTAATTAAGGACTGTGCGAATCAGATTTTGAAGCGGAATACTACAGATGACGCGGTGCTACGCGTATCGAAAAGCTGGGCCTATCGCTTTATCGAACGGCTCTCCTCGGACCTATAACTAATAAAACAGAAGCTAATTGATAAAAGTCGCTTTAAATCAGAAGATAGAGAGTATTTAGCGGCTTGGTTCGATCGTCTTAAGCCGTACGTAGCTAAAATTAAGCCAAAAAAATATCTACAATTTTGATGAAACAGGCTTCTAAGTTAGTTAAGGAAAGGTATAAAAGATCGTTACAGCGAGTCTATAACGAGTACAATGAGGTAATCCTTCAATCAAAAAGGCAAATCTTATAGGTATCGAATATATCGCTACCGATAGTTTTATTCTCCCTCTATATCTCTTTTTTTGTAGCGAATAATATCTCGAACGATAGTATACGACGACTTCGCTTCTAGACAATTATTGTAACGCTATAAGACTAAAAGAATATGTAAAAATAAAACTGTGTACGATTAGTTTCTGTAGTTTTAATATTATACTATTTATCGCGCGAAGGGTTAAAAACGGCCACTTTTAATAGATAATTACGGTTTATATTTAATATATAATTTTATCGATTTTTATTAATAATTCTATATTATTCCGATCTATTTTATCCCTTGTGCTACTTATTTTACTTAGCTACTCGATAGGAAGCCATTTCAAGTATATAGGCACTATTCTCGAAGTCAAAATATTAAGCTTTCGAGGTAGAATAACAGCGTAGATAATAAAGCAGATTTTCTTCGAGAACTACCATAAATTTAATAGTAAGTCTATACTCGTATAAGTTATAAGGCTTTTCGCGAGCGTGGGATTTATCTATTTAATCCCTAGAAGCTCTTCGATAGGCTCCTAAGGATCGATTCGCCGGTTCTTAAAGGTCTATAATCCTTCGGTAATAAAACCTCTCTACCTCTATCTAGTTCAATGAATTCGCCTCCGTATTCGATTCGTGGTATATAACGAAGTATCGATAAAGTTAAAAACTAAATCAGAGAGAGCCTATAGCTAGATAATAGCTGTCGACGTCGCTTAGATCGGCTTTTTCGAAGTACTATCGAAGCTATAGAACTCGCCTCGTAGAATTAATCTACTTTTGCTTAATATCTTCACTAAATATAGCCCAAAAAGATATTTAAAAACCGGCGTAGGATCCCTATATTAGGCTCTCTCTCTATCATAGATACGAATCATCAAATTACCCACCGTACGACAAAAAACCTACACCAGAATATTCGATGAGCAAGCAGCTTCGTAGCTACCCTAGGTCCCACAACGAGAGTAGAATAAAGAGCTATTGATACCAGAAGAAAGCGAATTAGCTACTAAGGAGGCTCCTCTATTTTATTTATTTTTTATTTATTTATTTTTCTTTTGATACAGTTGGCGAAGTTGTTGATTAATTTGATAAAGAAGACAAAATTTTGTATTATAGTGATAATTTACGTTATGGTGTGGAGGACCAACAGATGAAATACCGTGGGTCGTCAAAAACCTTTGCGGTGGAGGCGCGTCCTAACCCATCCAACATTCTCTTTCTGATCATCTTTTAAGAAGGATTAAAAAGAAGAAGCCAGGCAAGGCCGCATTTAGAGATTGAATACCAAACCTCCCTATTGTTTTACGCTACAGATGCTGCTATCAAACCCTTACATTGGCCCCGGTAATGTGTATTTATACCTCTCCACAAAAGGATAGTCCAATTGTACTTGTACAAAGTCCCAAACTAGAACCCAAAGCTATCTAACAACGAATTGGCATCGGGCTCATGGAACATCGTGGGAGGCGGCTTGGGCTTGGGTTGCTGCTGCTGTTTATCCGCTGTGGTAGTCTCAGGGGCATCCTTGGCAACCTGGGCATCGGCGGGTCGCATCGGCATGTCGGCAACAACCAGGCTACTGCGGCGACGAAGCAGTTTTCTGTAGTCGACATTATCTTCCTCGCCATCTTGCTGAAGCCGGGTCTGTACATCGTGGGTGGGCAGTCCGCCCAGAAACTCCCAGCGGTGGACGAGGTCGAGGGCAAGCAGATCGCAGCCCATGCGGTCGTAGAGCCGCGCGTTACGAAGGACGAACTCCCATTCCTCGCGGGGACGCACCTGCGAGGCGCCTTTGAGGGTCTGGAGGGTCTTTTCGCGGAGCTGTTGGTACAGAACGACCAGGGCCGGGTCGTTGGATAGATAGGATTTGGATTGTAGCGTACCTCGCCCCGGGCTACCGGGGAGGCGGGCGTTGCTGAGGACAGGAGAGTTTCAATTGGAGACTCAAATCCAAGTTAGCCCAAGCACACAAAAAGCAAATCCAAGAAACGAGTCACTCACAATAAGAGCTCGCACGGCCATGTCACGCCGCCCAAGCATCCAGAATGCCCATGAAGCCATCCATCGGTTGCCCTCAGACGCGGCTTCAGGCAAGACTTTCTCCTCCAATAGTTCTCGGAGGACCGGTCCATTGTCTCCTTCTGAGACTCGGGTAACCGCAATGGCCAGCTGCAGGTCCCCGATCTGATTGGCAATGACATGTGCGGCATCGCGGAGGTGATCCGCGAGAAGGAAGAATGACGCGGCATATTCTGGGACGTATGTTAGAGACAGGCTTGACCAACGTTTGGGATAGGGAAAACTTACCGAACCGCCGTTTCCCAAGCAGCGCATACGCATTTTTCAGCGCGGATGTTTTCCATCGATCTTCCTTAAAGTCGTTGGCCAGCAGGCGCTGTGTGGCTGCTTGTTCGCGGTGCCAATGCGCGATACGCCACAAGCCTTGGAGAATATTCTTTTTCCCGAGGGCAATGTAGTAGAGAGTACAGTCGATGGGGTTTCTCTCCTCTGTCTTTGTGTACTCGCTTCTTGCAACGACCTCAAGTTGTGTTTTCTAATAGAATTGTTAACATTTGAACCCATCGGAAAGCACAGGAAAGGAAAATTCGCACCAAAGCTATCGGGTCTGATAACCACATGAAAATGCCGCTCTCGCGAGCAGCCTTCCACGTCAATTTGCCATTGAATTGCCGCGAGATAAGATCTGTGAGGATATCCTGGCTGCCGCTATGGAAGGCCCAGACAACCTCTCTCCACGAGACTCTGTCTTTGTTCGCTACCCCTTGGCTCCTCCTCAGCATGTGTTGTCGAAAGAAGAGGAAATAGCGGGCTGCGTTGTCGTCCATAGACCGCCGGTGCTTTTCTACTGTCGCAACGCATTCGATGGTATCCACAAGACGGAATTGCTCGTGGCTAGACAGCTGCGGGAGAGCAATTCGCGCCAGAGTCTCATTGAGTGCGGCCGCAGTTGTTTCATCAATGACAAATGACATTTCTTCGTCCACGGCATCAACATAGGAAGAACGCATTTCCTTCAAAGCCGCTTGGTGTGATGTCTGGAGCTGCTTAGTATTCCGTTGTAACACATTAAATAGGTATGGAGTACTTACGTCTTGCTCCTCGTAAAATTCTTCCAAGGGCATCTCCAAGAAGCCGTCCAGGTCATCACCTTCAGTGTAAAACTTCAGCTTTCGATGTAGGTTTATCAAGACGGCATGCACCAAATTTGTTTTCCCGGACAGAATGCATTGTGCCAGGAATTGCGGATGGAAGACCGGCAAGGGGCCGTTTAAGCGGCTGACAACGTTGAAGAGGTCGACAGAAGACAGCCCCCGGCACGGGATGCGAAGCTCAGAGACGAGGCGGTCCCTAACGTCGATATCTTTGTCATAAACAAACAGCTGGTTGCCAGCCCCGATGACCAAATGGCCATTGGTAAGCCAGCAAGAATCTCCAATCGGGTGAGGGGTGAGGTCGCGGATCCAAATCTCTCGGACTTGCGTCCACGAGGGTTGGGAATCCAGGTAGTCATAACGAAGCTGTGACAAAAGAATAACTTTGTGAGGAAATCCCACAGCCAGGATAGACTGCATATCCGGGGTAGATGTCCAATCGAGATCCCGGATAATGTCATGTTGGGCGAAATGCTCCTCAAACTCAAGCTGAGCATTGTTGGTGTCCCAGATCGTCAAGCGAGTGCGGTCTTCATCCACTAGTGCGGCTTTGCGGATGGAGCTCCCACTTGCCAGGGATGGGTTCACGATTCCTGTTTCAACAGTCGATTTCAGCAGCCAGTCCACCTTGGCGTTTGCCTGGTCAACTTTTGCAGTCCACGTCCGTAAAACTCCACTTTGTGTATATGAAAGTGCGATGTCGGCAGAAAAGGCGTCGAAGAACCCCGTGGTTTGAATCTTGGGCCCGGCAGGATCCACGGGGAGAATATAAGCCAGGTCTTCATCCAAACCCATGTGAAATGTGCAGAATTTCCGAAGCAGACAGGTCTCGCTTTCTCCGTCGTTCTTTGTCGGGCCATTGTGTGTAGGCCACCGGATCTCCCACGCTATCCCATGCATGTCCGCTCCAATGGTTGCTACATATGCCACATCTTTCTCTGTCGTGGGGATGGGAAGCACGCAGAGCGGCTTGCTTGATAGGAAGAAGGGCAAAGAGGCCACTTTCCTGGCGTGATATGAGCTGAAATCCCACAGTGAAATCCCATTATGGTGCAGATTGACAAGCAGGTCGCCATTCTCAAGCACACATGTCCGATGGATATGTTCATCAGAAAGAAGAATGCTGTTGTGGGCCAAAATCGAACCAGCATCCCGCCGCTTCTGCCTCCAGATCATAGCTTTGTTCTGATCTGTGCGCGAGACAAGTGTATCGCCAGTTGCATTGCGGACAATCTTCTTGACAGGAGCAGTATGCCCGGACCAGGACGAGTTTTGAAAAATTCGTTTTCTGCGAGGAGCGGGATCAAATAGAACATCCACCTGGGATTTGTACCATTCGATGCGGCCGTCAAAATGGTGAACCAAAATACTGAGCGTGTCTTCCGGTGTTGTACTCTGGAAAACACGAACCTGGGCGTAGTCCTCTTTCGCCGGCAGACCAGGCATGAACCCCAGGTCCAAGTTCTCCACATGCAAGATGTTGAAAACACTCAAATTGGTCTTGGTTTTGGCGCCAATATCTTCCAATGCCCAGGCAGACATGTGTCCTTGGCCGTCGGTCACGATGCAAATTTCTGGGCTTTTGTTCGCAACCTCGATGATATGTTCCAGGGCATGGTTTTCTTTGTTCCCGGCATTTCTTTGGATTGCACGCTCCGTCGCAACACAAAAGTCCCGGCTGTCCAGAATAAATCCATACCGCCGCTGCGGCCCTTGGTCCATGTCGGACGCATGTCGAGGCTGAACAGAGACATCCATGTCAATATCTGCCCAAAATTGGAGAGGGAAGAGAGCATGGTGGTCCGTCACTGCCCACACTCGAATCTTGTTATCGGCACACAGAGTATAAAGCACATTATCCATCGACTGGTCTCGGTGGTATGGTAAGCGCCAGTGTATTCCAGTGACGACATTAGGATGGGGGAGGTATGAAACCTCGAACCGGACTTCGTCTGCGCCGAAGGCAAGCCGTCTCCATACCTTGGCTAGGCGGTCATGCTGTCCCACGGTGACCACCAACTCGGCATCGGGGGAGAATTGGGCGAACTTGACGGGGTTCGCAAGCTTTCGCTTCCATATCAGGCGCGGGTTGTCATTCAGAAACCAAATGGTGAGGTGGGAGTTGCCCAAGAGAAGCTCGTTCGGGGATCCCCATGACAAGGTATAGATCGGTTCGTCGTCATCCTCGGCGCGAAAAGTATTCACAAGAGACCACTAATGGAGCCGCAGGTTAGTTTATTGATGGTTTCTCGTCCATGCGACAGGGTCTTGCGGGGCTACGAAGCTCCGTGTCGTGGGTCCGAGTATGCGCACCTTGAGAGTCTCGCCTTGGATGCCATATGGCTGGTACACGAAGACATCCGGTCCACCGCACACAGCAATCTTTCCTGATGCTTCATCAAAAGCGACCGCCTCGAGGGATTCGGTGTCATCGACGTAGATCGTTTGGAGGAGCGTCTGCGGACCGCCGAGGATGATCAGCGCGTGACCGGAGATGTAAGCCTGTTAATGAGAACGCGTCAGCGACAGGGGATATTCCAGTATTGAGATCCAAAGCTGCATAACCAAATAGGGGTTCCCAAGAGGGACTGACGACAACGCGAAGACCATCCCACAGCGCCGTGCTGAACGACTGGAGCTTGGCTGGGGGTCTCCCCGGTAGGACCGCTCGCATAGAGGCGGTGGGTTTGAAGGTTGGAGGCTCGTTGCGCTGTGACGTTACACCATTGCCGGATCGAAGGGTGGAATCCCCAGAGAGAACGATAGAAACCGAAGCTAAGGGAAAGCAGGTCTGGGGATCTGCAGATGGGATGTCTGGTGATATGCGTAGGGGACAAGGCGGAGGTCCATTACGCTCCCGCTCCACTCAGTGCCACCACCCCTCGCTCACGTTCGATGGCCACTCCCGTTGCCTGAGGTTCTATATATTTTTATATTTTTACATTGAATGGCACTGGAATACCACGGCAGAGCTATCAGCTTTGGGAGATACCCAGAGCATCCACACTGGCTGATCACAAACGCGCTTGATCTGCACGCTTGTTCATATCTCCAACAAAATTTCGAATATCTACTTGCGCAGCCATAGTGACGAACCGTTCATTCAAAGACAAAACACCAGGCCCAGAATACAGAAGAAAAACATCACATTCAATCATGTCCAAAAAATACATACGAGTATACCCAAGACCCTGGACAGAAAAAAAACCCCAACCCGCTCGCTATATGCTGCGCCTGATGATGCATGAGATGAAAGGTGAACACAAGTATCGCAAGGCATGAGAAGAACGAGTATAGTCATCACGGATTTACATAAAACCCCACAATTGGAGCTGGGACAGTTCATATACCGACAAATTCACAGAACACTAGGGGCGCCGATTGGCCGACTTGCGAGCATCGGTTGGAGACTCGGGGACCTCTTCGTCCACAAACCGGACACTGGTCCCCATTGAGCTCTTTCTGCCGGTCTGTGGTCGTCGGGAAGAAGAAGTCTTGGGCGCCGAACCTCCAGCACGAAGGAGGCGACTGGCGAAAGGAGTGTGAATCGGTGTGGCTGGAGTGGTGGACAATTGAGCAAGGGTTCGGGCACGGGCGGCTCGTTTTGATGGGGAGGTCGTATAACTAGGCGTAGCCAAGGGAGTTGCGGAGACCGGCTCCTGAGAGGTCATCGTAAAATCGCTGAGCTTGAAAGGCGTTTCAGCCTGGTTTTGATACCATGGATCAAACAAGGCCGATCCGGCACCATTCACATCGTCGAAGCTAGAGAATCGAGCAGGCGTCAAGGTAGGCCCGGGGGAATCGCGAGCTTCCAGTTTGAGGCGGGCTTCTTCCACCCAGTGACGGAACATGCCGCGCGAGTGCTTCCGCAGGTTTCTTTCCCGCATCGCTTCGGCGGTTTCAATCGTACTTCTCGTTTGGAACACACGCAGACTCAGCTTGCGCAACGAGGCACCTGCCTGGCGAAGCACATGTGAACGGTGAAAATGGTCCGCTTGGTCCTCCAATTCCCGATTAATCACAAAGGTCTCGGACATTTGCATCAGCTGGTCGAAAGCGACTTGTCGGAAATAGTAGAGGTCTGCATCCCGACACTCTTGGACCCTCTTGGCTGCAGCTTCATGCCACCGGGCGAACAGTTCGGATGCAACATCGAGTAATTTCCCGTGGTCGACCAACTCGGCTTCCTGCTCCATGTCCATCACCAGTCGGGTTTTAGAATTCCAAGCAGCCAACACTTTGGAGGCCAGATTGATCTTGATCTTCCGTCGGATTTTTGCATAAGCATCTTGGCGTCGTCGTTTGGCGGAATCCAATGTTGCTTGATGCCACTGCTTCATCGACCTCTTCATGAGAAAGTAGAAGCGTGCATCCCGAGCCCAACTCTCCATCTTGACCACATGTTGAACCTTGGATCGCCAGGCCGCCAGGGATTCTATTGCCAGACGTGGGGCGTAAAACTCGAAAGCTGTGCATTCCCGTTCACGCTGCAGCCACAGACAATCCCGCCAGATGGCGAGTTTGGATCGTGCCAGGTCCTCGGTTCGATGATCTTCGTGGGTTTCTGCATGGAACAGCAACCGGGTGTAGGTGCCCCGGGTATTCGTGACAAATCGAGAGAATACTTCACGCTTGATACGCTGCTCATGTATTCTCCGCATCAACTGAAATCTTTCCATCAGAATCCACTTGTACATGACTTCCATTTTAAGGCGCTCATCGATTCGCGAACGCAGGGCCAAACACCGAAGCGTGTCATTCCAGGCGGTCCATGCATTGCGTTGGACTCGAAGCTGATCGACTTCACGTGCTCGGTGGATCATTTGGGCCTTTGCAACCCATTGTGAAAAAAAATTCGAAGAATGCGTGCGTGAGCCATATCAGATACTCGAGAAGCAGCTGGCGCCAGCCGAGACTGAATTCTCCATTCATAAAACGTGTCTCCCAATGCCTGTTGGCGCCGAGAGATTTGAGCTTCCTGCTCCGCAGTAGCAATCGTTTTGAATCTTTGAGACCAGATCTGAAGCGCTGATCCCAGCGCGGACCGTCGGTTGTGCATGGATATTTCGTGGTCTCGCTCTCTATTTGTTCGGAAATTCCGAAGCCAGTAGAGGAGCGAGCGCCTTTTGAGCCGGTGTTCGTACCATTCAGGAGCACGCCGATCACAAAAGCACCAGAACCATTGCCAGTACGAGGCATGTCTCAGATTGTCGTTGTGAGCAGTGACTGCTTGAGACTCTGCGACTTTCAGGTCTTGGACCCTCTTCCGCCAAGCACGAAAGGGTCTCTGCAATGCAAAACGTTGAGCCTTCAGCTCATTAACAGCTGTGATCTCACGCCAAGCATTGAAGTACTTGACACTAAGCACATGCCGCCGAGCAGCAGATGTCCTAGCAACCTCTTCCGACGTGAGCTGAGCCCAATGAGTGAAGGCCTTGGTCATCAGATACAGATCTCGAGCATGACTAGCACGCTCATCGAGGTGTTTGAAGAACCGCTCCGTTCTGGCCTCCTGGCGCTTCTGCTGAATGTTTCCCCGCCACGGATCGAATGCTTGCCGGAGAAGGGTGCTGCGGTCGCGACTAACAGCGACGGATTCCATGTTCTGGCGGGTTTGCCGCGCTCGAAAGGCCCTCTTTAGCCATTGTGTTAATATTCGACGGCAGATGGCTCTTTGACGGTACATGTTGAAAGTCGATGCATCGCGGAGTAGATCTGATAGTTGCGGTCGATAGAGGAACTCAGGTGGAGCCTCTTCCTTCTCAAAGATATCATGCTCTGTCTCCTGCGGCGCGAGCGATTTGGTTTCTTCAAACTCGGAGCTCTCTGAAGAATCAAAGGAAGATGCACGCTGGCGCTGTGAGGGGGCTGCAGCTCTCTTGGCACGATCATGATCAACTGCCGATCTCGCCAGTACTCCATTAGTTATGGGAGCTTCCTCCTTCTCCGTTTCTTCAATTTTATTCTGTGCCGTGTCAAATCTGTTGATCAACCGACGACCAACATCCAAGAATTGAGCAATCAATTGAGTCCGGTCCAGCGAGTTTGAAGTCTGGCCATTGCCCTGGTGTTGATAGTTCGGGGATTGTTTCGGTTTGGGAAACTCGGGCTTTCCTGTCTGAAGGCGCGACATTGATGAGCGAGAGCTTGGCCTGTTGATAAAACTCCTCTGCGTGGCATCTTCACCGATATCGTAAGTGGTATTGAACGAAGCGCGTCTCCGGGGCGTCGGTAGTACACCATTCGTGATGGGAGAATGATCGTGATCGACCGTTTGGCTGTATGTCGCATCCACCGTGTATTGCTCAAAATCATGAGTTTCGTTAAGACCCGTAGAACCATCATCGCCAATCTCGATCACGATGCCCATTTGTCGAAGCGCATTCTCAAACTTGTCGAAGAGAGTGTCTCCCCGCACACCTTTGCTCCCCATCTTGAACAAAAATCGCAGGCAGGCATGGCCCGGGTCTGCATCGACGCCATGTTCGCTAATGGCTTCGTCGTATGCTTCAAAGAGTGCTCGAAATGGGAGTCGCTCGACCTCGGGTTTCCCCTCCGCGCGACTGACCACCTGGTAGAGAAAGCCGACATCTACATACCACGAGGGCAGCTGTTAGACCGAGGAGCCGCTACAGACGTCCAAAGAGAGGATTGCATACCGTCATCGGAGAGGGGCGAGTTCTCTTCGGTCAAGGCTCGACGCTGAGAGGATATCGGAGGCATCGAAAAATCGCGACTTAGGGCGCGCTTGTCGCATCTGGAACATAAAGCCGAAAAACCAAATTAATCATCGCGAATGTCGGTGGGTCCAATCAAGGAGCACATGCGCGGATGCGCAGTCTCTGCGAGCCGGAGAAAAAAAGTGACGGGACAAAAAAAAGGCAGCAAAACCAAATTGCAGCGCCATCGATCGCAATTGTTTTGGTTGTCGCGCCAGAAACATACCTGGGTCACGTGGGACTTAGGTAATACAGTGCATTCCTCGCCGCGAGGCAACGGGGACAATTGGAGATCTACTTCATCGCTGCATAATGCCGACCAAAACTCGTCCGGTCGAGAAGTTCGCCAAGGCCACGGCCCAGTGCTCAGTAGAGGTGGGTATCTCTTCCATAATCGATCCTATCGTGTCCTAACAGGATCGCTAGGCTGCGGCATACGGCAAGTGTGTTGTCACAGACTACAATTCGATTCATAAGGATATGTGTGCCAAGGAGTTTCTGCGGTTGAAGGACTGTTTCCTAGTAAGTACCAATTTTTCTATTGCCTTTCGAGGCCCTACACTCACCAACCTCCACAGGCCGCATCCAAGAAGGGCTAGACAAGAGCCAACAGATGTGTCTATTGGAGAGCATTCATGGAGTCTGAGATTTGGGGCACAGGGCGCAGGACTATCTATGGGCATGGATTGACTGGAATTTTATATCTACTCTGCAGTTCATCAGTCGAGACTCGTCAACATAATTCATTCATGAAAGTAAAGAAAAAAGGAAATAAAAAAAAGTAGACTTCTATCTACACATGGCCTTTTGTGGTATGTATGGTCTAGAGACAATTGTCTACAGCTTGACCAGTCGCAACAGGAAAATCGCGGTTTGTACCTCCTGTTCCTCCTGCGAGATAGTGCCCTCTTCGTCTGCGCTAGGAGCAGACGCACGCTCATCGAGTGGCCGACGCACGGCCTTCTCGATAGTCTGAGCCTGTGACTTGAACGCCTCGCCCAAACCAATGTTTTCCGGGTCAGAAAGGACAGTGTATTCCATCTTCACGTCATCCGTGGGAACCAGACCGGCCTTCTTCCGGAGGCGCTGGACTCGGTTGATGATCTCGCGACCCAGGCCCTGGTGGGCCAGCTCCGCATGCAAGTTCGCATCCAGGATAGTCAACACATCGGCATCAGTGTTGGTCTCCATGCCCTCGGAGCTGGCATCCTCCTTGATTCCTCGTCGCACCACGAGATCGCCTTCCACGAGCTCGATGCCGTCGACCAGGATCTTCTTGTCGGCGACGTACTTCTTGACGTCCTCGGTAGACAGCGAAGGCAAAGCCTTCTTAACCTTCTGCACATCCTTCTTCAGCTTCTTGCCCAGGGTCGGCCAGTCAGCGTTGACGCTGTACTGGACATTGTACTTGGCCTCATCGGTAGACAGGATCAAATCAAGAACGTTGAGCTCTTCCAAGATGTAGCCCTCGAGCGACTTCACGTCGTCCAAGTACTGCTGGTCTTGGTGAATCACGACCAGGCTCTTCAGCGGCGTCTTCAGGCCGATTGACCGGCGCTCACGCGAGATACGTCCCAGTTCGATGACCTTCTGCATCCGTGCAACTCTCCGCTCCACAACCTCATCAAAAAGCTCCTCACGCACTTCAGGGAAAGAAAGGAAGTGAACACTTCGGCTGTCCTCGCCGCGAAGCGATTCGCGGATATGGGGGAGAAGGCGCTGGTAGATGTTGTCGGTGAGGAAGGGCGTGAACGGAGCAAGACCGCGGACGAGAGTGAAGAGAACCTCGAACAGAGTGTTTAGGGCGTGCAGAGTATCATCAACGCCATTTTCACCCTTCAAGCGCTTGCGGTTGAATCGGATGTACCAGTTTGTGGTGTTCTCAATCAGCTCCAACAAGCGCGGCACAACAGTATAAAGACGGTAGCCCGCCATCTCTTGGTTAACAAAGATGAGAAGACTTTGGCAGCTGGCCAGAATCCAACGGTCCATGACATTGGTGTTGGTGGTTTCAGCCTTGGGGTCGAACACAAAGTCGATGTTGGAGGACTTCTTCAAGAGAGCCACCTGACCCTCGAAAAATTTGTAACTGTTCCACAGCGGGAGCAGGACCTTGCCAACAATCTCCTTGACACCCGATTCTTTGAATCGAAGGGGTTCAGCCCGCACCACAGGGGAGTTGATCAGGTAGAGACGCAGAGCATCCGAACCATAACGCTCCATGATCAGAGAAGGGTCCGGGTAGTTCTTTAGTCGCTTCGACATCTTCTTGCCGTCCTCCGCGAGGACAATGCCGTTCACCACGCAATTCTTGAAGGGCGATTTGCCGAACAGATGGGTGCCCAGAACGGTCATCGTATAGAACCATCCACGAGTCTGGTCCAAACCCTCTGCAATAAAGTCACCAGGGAAGCCCTTTTCAAACTGCTCTTTGTTCTCAAAAGGATAATGTTGGGAGGCATAGGGCATGCTTCCAGACTCGAACCAGCAGTCGAACACTTCGCTGACACGGCGAAGGACGCCCTTGCCCTGCTTACTGGGGATGGTGATGTGGTCCACTTTGTCACGGTGAATATCGTTGAGCTCGCCCGTGTAGCCACTCAATTCCTTGAGCTCGGCAGCGCTGCCGATAGCCACAACTTCCTCGAAGTCATCACTGACCCACAGCGGTAGCGGCGTACCCCAGAAACGATTCCGAGATATGTTCCAGTCACGAGCATTGCGAATCCAGCTGGCAAATCGCCGATCTTTGACGAAAGAAGGAACCCAGTGCGACGCCTCAATGCCCTCCAGCATTGCAGGAATGATGGGGCCAATCTTGACAAACCACGAAGGCACAGCCCGATAAATCAGAGGCGTATCAGATCGCCAGCAGAATGGATAGCTGTGAGTAATCTGGCTGTCGACGAGAACACGACCGTTACCCTTCAGGTGTTTGATAATGCCCTTGTCGGCGGCCTTGACATGCTGCCCGGCAAAGTCGCGAACTTCGGCCGTAAAGCAACCCTTTTCGTCAACAGGGTTAGGAGGCAGACGGTTTTCATTGACGACACCGTGGTTCACGGCGACCTGGTAATCATCCTCACCAAACGCAGGAGATTGGTGAACGATACCGACACCATCCTCAGCCGTGACGTAGCCGTCGTTCAGCACCCGGAAACCACTGTCTTTAAACTGCTCATAAAAGTAGTCGAAAAGAGGTTGATACCTCCATCCCAGCATGGCCGATCCCTTGATGCGGTCAACGATCTTAAATTTAGCCTTCTTCGGGTCCTTGTAGATGGTTCGAAGCAAAGACTCAAGAAGGATATAGTGCTTCTTGGTAGCCTCGTCGTAGATCTTCACGTACTCGAAGTCGGGGTTGGCGCACAGACCGGTGTGGGAGGGGAGGGTCCACGGGGTGGTCGTCCAGGCCAGCAGGCAAGTCCCGGGGTCGTCTAGCAGGGGGAATGTGACAACAATGGCAGGGTCCTGTACGTCCTTGTAGTTTTGCTGGGCTTCGAAGTTGCTCAGAGGAGTGTTGAGCGCGGTCGAGTAAGGCATGACACGGTAGCCCCGGTAGACCAGACCCTTGTCAAATAGCTGCTTGAACACCCACCACACAGACTCCATAAAGGAAGGGTTCATGGTCTAAATCCGCGCAAACGAGACATAACCTGTCAACACAACCCCAAGAAAAACAAACAGAGGGAGTGGGTCTCACCTTGTAGTCATTGTCGAAATCAATCCAACGTCCGAGCCTCTCAATAGTCTGACGCCATTCCGAGGCGAATCTCATGACAATAGCCTTGCACTCCTCGTTGTACTTCTCAATTCCAATCTTCTCGACCGCCTCCAGACCGGACATGCCGAGCTTCTTATCGATCTCATACTCGATAGGGACGCCGTGAGTATCCCAGCCAAATCGCCGCTCAACATAATGCCCCTTCATCGCCCAGTATCTGGGGATGATGTCTTTGATCGTGGAGGCCAGCAGGTGACCATAGTGTGGGAGACCGGTTGCAAAAGGCGGGCCATCGTAGAAAGTGTAAGGTTTGCGGCCTCGGGAGAGCTCAACTTGCCGACTAAAGGCATTGATCTCCCTCCACCGCTTGAGGATAATATCCTCCTCGGCAGGAAAATCGATAGACATGGTGGAGTGGGCTGCGATTTTCCAACGGGGACAGGGTTGGATAAAAAGGACAAAAGTGACTCACCCCGCCATGTTTTTTTTGCCAGTGCGCCCTTCTCCCCTCCTCGCCCACCGCCTTCTACAAATTGCTTTGGATACGAGCTATAAAATGAGTCGAAAAAGACAAGATCCATGGATGACTCCATAGATGACTCAATTCCTGTAATGGGGGATTGGGCAAGCATCTCCCTGGCTATGTACAGGAGGACTTGTGGATTCACAGCATGCCTGCTACTCAACGTCATCGTCCTCGTTCTCATCCTCATCCTCGTCTTCGGCCTCGGAGACTTCTTCGCCGAGCTCTTTGAGCCGTTTCTAGAGATTGTGAGTAATGTTGTCTGAGATCAGAGAGAGGGATATACAAACGCACCTTGTCTTGGTGTCTCTTGGCCTCCAGATCACCAAATACAATGAGGAGGTCCTCCAGCTCTGACTGAGAAGCCTGACGCGCGTCTTCCTTGTCCTTGGCGTCGGACTTGAATTTCTCGAGCTGGGCTTGGACATCCTTAAGGGTTTCGGCCACACTGCGAGCCTGTGACTCAGCGTCTTTCATCTTGCTTTCAGATTCTTTCGCCTTGGCTTCAGCCTCGGTGGTCTTGGTTTCCAGCACAGAGATCTTGGACGATAGCCCATCTGTGGCTGTTTCAAGGTCCTTGGTCGATTTCTGTCGAGCCTGATCAAGATCTGACTGGAGGGTCTCAATGGTTTTCTTTAGACCAGCAGTTTCGGCATTGTCTTGTCCCTTGGCTGCGGTGAGGTCCGACTCCAGAGTACTAATCGTCTTCTTGAACCCAGTAACTTCCGTCTCGTGTTGTCCCTTTGCGGACTCGAGGGCAGCCTCCAATGTGCCAATTTTATCTTTGAGACTAGCAAATTCTGTGTCGTTTTGGCCCTTGGCTGAGGCGAGATTCGACTCCAAAGTCTCGATGGTATTCTTGAAGCCTGCAACTTCTGTCTCATGTTGCCCCTTGGCAGAGGTAAGAGCTGCCTCCAAAGTGCTGAGTTTATCCTTGAATCCGGTCACTTCCGTCTCATTTTCGTCCTTTGCCGAGGCCAGGTCCGACTCCAGAGTGCTAATTGTCTTCTTGAAGCCAGTGACTTCTGTCTCGTGCTGTCCCTTTGCAGAGGCAAAAGCAGCCTCCAGGCTTTGGAGCTTTTGATTGAGGTCTGCAACTTGGCTTCCGTGGTTTTCTCTGGACTGGAAAATGGTGGTTTCCAACTCCTGGATCGTCTGTTTGAGATTGGAAATCTCACCAACTTGCTGTTCTCGAGATTTTGCAAGCTCCGACTCCAATCCACGGATAGTCTTTTGCAAACCGGCAACCTCTTGGTCGTGATGTTGTCTCACTTTGTTGCTCTTTCGCTCATATTCCGCCGAGGTCTCCTTCAATTGATTGTCGATGACACGAAGTTGTTCATCGTGCTGCTTCAATAACTCATTCTTCGACAGCTTATGTTGCTCGTCTAGTTTCGACAATTCCTGCTCATGACTGTGCTGGACAGATTGATTGGTCTGCTGAGCTTTGGACAGCTCGACCGAGCTAGATTCCTTTGTCTTGCGGTGATCTAGCTGCTCTTGGTCAAGCCTCCGCTGGATGCTAACCAGATCAGATTCCAATTTCTGAACAGTTTGGCCCCGGTCCTCAAGTTCGGCACGCAGAGAGTCCACGAGATCACGCGAGATGCCCTTTTCAACCCCGTTGGTGACGATAGAGATCTCAAATCCCGGTTCCCGGTCAATGGCTCGGATCAATCGGCTAAAGTTATCCTTGAGGAACTCAATAAAGGATCGGTCGAAAAACACTTCAGGCAACCCGCCATCAAGCTGTCCACCAAACGTTTGTGGAAGAACTTCAAAGTCACGGACCAAAGGACATTCTCTGAGCTTGGTGATCTTGTCGATGTACTGTTCTCTTCCAAGCTGCTCAATGAGCAGTTTGTGCAGCGTTGCTCGAGGTATTGGAGAATCCTTGGTAGAAAACTCGTAGATAATCCCCAGTAACACTGTGCAAAGGCCAGGCAGTAATTTACTAGGAACCCTCTGATGTTTGATCTCCTGAAGCAGAGTCTGAATGCAGCTTCCCTCGCCGAGAAGATCGTTTACAGCGTCCGGGTCTTCGAAAAGCCACCCGCAGAGCAGCATCAAGTAGCCAACAGTGATTCTTTCATCATCACCGCGTTGCATCCCAGTGATCAGATTACCGATCACAGTCTGAACGCTAGTGACCACCTCTTCGCCACTTTCAGCATCGCCCTCGGTGACTTTCATGGCAGTTGCCTTGGCCTCAGTGTTGTCGAAAAGCAAATGGAACATAAGAACAGAAGCCATCCATACTTGATATGGATCAGCATTCCCTCGAGACTCTGGAGCAGTAAGCAACACAGAGAGAATGTTGGGGATCTGATCTTGCCCGCTGATATGCCCCTCAATTGCTCGCTTGAGCACATGCATGCGAATCCCAGAATGGTGGGCGAAGAAAGCCTTCATGCACTCGCATGCTGCAAGGCGCGCGTCCAATAAATGGTTGGGGGAAGGTTGAAGGCTGAGTTTGAGAAATGCCTCAATAACATTGATTCGCTGGGGCACACTCGCATCGCCGTTAACGGCCTTCGCAGTGCGAGATGGAGAACCCCAGTAAACTTCGATGTCGCCGAACCTCTCCTGCAATGGCGAGTTGCCACGGATCAGATCAGCGCAGGTTGCTAAGGCCTATATTGGTCAGGTTAATACGAAGTAAACAAAAGGAGCCAGATGGTTTCACCTTAGACGTAACGTTGACACTGAACTTCTGCCCAAATGCAATGCTGAGAACTTGCTCTGTCACGCCGTTCTGCCAAAATGCGGTTTGATTTATGGGCGTACTCATACTGCCGCGGGTCAAAAACAGTTGAATAATAGCCAAAAGGCCCCACAGGTTCTTGTCTTGGTGGACAAGAGTCCATTGTGGCTGGAGCTCATCGTCTTCTTGCTCTTGCTGGCTATTGATAAGGAGCTGTGTCACTTTCTTCACACACCCTGTCTCACGGAAAAATGATTGATTGGAGATGTTGAATCGCAACAGATGAGCCATCAAGGAGAGGCAGTCTTCGACGACTTCCGTGCCATGGGTCAAGGAACCCTCCGCTTCGATGAGAGAAAATGCAATATCGAAAGCATTCTCGAACGCCACTAACTTTTGCAGTTCTTCCGATGCGGGTGTTAAGGCAATAAGCAAGACGAGGGCCTCTGCAAAGTGAACACATATGAGCTTCAAGATCCAATAGCGACAAGACAAAATGGATCATAGAACGCACCATTTCGAACCGGCTCTCGCACATCTGTCAGCACATTTACTAGCCTCGAAATACCCAATGGGGCTGTGAATATGCATTCCTGTGTACGTTCCGGCCTTGCGCTGCAGATGTGGGACATCAATTGGAGGGAATACAGGCGGGAATAGAAATCTCGGGACTCGAGCAGGTCAAGTAGGGTCGTGATATTGTCTTGCCGCTTCCACAATATTAGCCAGGCCCATGGTTATCGGATGAGAGTGCATACCTGAGTAAATTCATCTGCCAGCCACAAAGCTATTTCGTCCGATGCTTCAGGCTGGAATGGCAGTCAGCAATCCGACAACGAAATTCCCTAGCATAGAGCCACAAACGCTTGTCTCATCTGGTGCAAAAAGCATCAACAGGGTCTCAAGGACCACTTTTATGGTGTCAACATCCTCCTGGTCATTGCGCAAGCTGCTGATCAAGGATCGGAGACCGCCAGAGGCTACCGACGCCGGGTATATCTTCGCAAAGCTTCGTAGTCCTTGAATTGCTGCTCGTCGATCCTCCAATAATGTTGCACTCTGCAATCTACTGCTCAAAACATCGATGGTGTCCGTGGCCGTTTGCTTGGCCGGAGCTTGCGACTCGAGGATTCGGAACATCGCAACAGATGGGTCGCAATCTCATGGTCACCGCCGACCGAGGGCTTAGGAATTGATAGGCATCGAAGGGACAAGAAAAGGCAAGAAGAAAATGGGTTGAAGCGCCAGCAAGCTGTCCTCCTGCCAAAGGGGGCTAAAGGCGGAGCGTGGCCGGAAGCGCAGCAGAACCTCCGACCGCCTGACATTCCGACTCGTCGCAGAGACTTTTGATTCTCTCAACATCCACCCTGCGCCGCGATATTTTCTGCGGTTGCATTCTTTTTCTTTGTTCAGCCTTACCTCGGTGGATGTTGGCTGTGCACTATTGATTTCCGGGTTTACACTTCCCTCGAGAGTCTCCGATACAGACTGCGCAAGCGCCTACTCCATCGGCAGTACACGCATTTGAGCGCAACGTTTCCCAACTCCCCCGGATTTACTGCACAAACGAGTGTCGCATAGCCATCATGGGTGTCCCCGCGCTGTTCCGATGGCTCTCCAACAAATACCCCAAGATCATCTCCTCGGTGATCGAGGAACTTCCCCAGGAAGTGAATGGAGAAGAAATCCCGGTCGATGGCACAGGCCCGAACCCCAATGGCGAGGAGATGGACAACCTATATCTGGATATGAACGGCATTGTCCACCCTTGTACTCACCCAGAGGGGAAGCCACCGCCAGCAAATGAGCAGGAGATGATGCTGGAGATCTTCAAGTACACCGATCGCGTGGTTAACATGGTCCGTCCGAGGAAGCTTCTTATGATCGCTATCGGTATGTGAATATTTGAATCTGCTGCCCCTTCTAAGAGCTCCTAACTGAGCTAGTGATGATTCTAACTGACATCTAACTTTTCTCCGAACAGATGGTGTCGCGCCGAGAGCAAAGATGAACCAGCAGCGCTCGCGTCGGTTCCGCTCGGCGCAAGAGGCGAGAGAGAACGACGAGAAGAAGGAGGAGCTGCACAAACTGCTCGCAAAGCAGCAAGCCAAGAAAACAGGAGACGCGATTGTACAGGAAGAGGTCATCCAAAAAACCTGGGATAGCAATGTCATCACGCCCGGGACCCCCTTCATGGACATCCTCGCTGCCTCGCTGCGCTACTGGATTGCCTACAAGCTCAACACCGATCCTGCTTGGGAAAAGGTAAGCACTCTTTCAATCTGTTGATAGTGCGTTTGCTAACATTGGCCAGATGAAAATCATCATCTCGGACGCTACGGTCCCAGGAGAAGGAGAACATAAGATCATGGAATTTGTGCGATCGCAACGAGCATCGCCCGAGCATGATCCTAATACCCGCCACGTTATTTACGGCCTGGTAAGCTGGGAATGGAGTTAGAGGTATATGAAAATGATTTCGGAAATTAGCTAACAAGTCTTATAGGACGCCGATTTGATCATGTTGGGTCTGGCTACTCATGAACCTCACTTCCGGGTGCTGCGTGAGGATGTCTTTTTCCAAGAATCGAAGCCTCGGGCATGTAAACTCTGTGGGCAGACTGGTCATAAAGCCGAGGAGTGCTTAGGTCGTCCTAAGGAGAAGAGCGGAGAATTCGATGAGAAGCAGCATGCAAGCCCTCTCAAGCCATTTATCTGGCTCCACGTCTCTGTTCTGAGAGAATACCTTGCTGCCGAGCTCCATGTCCCTCAGCAGCCATTCCCATTCGACCTCGAACGAGCGCTGGATGACTGGGTCTTTATGTGTTTCTTCGTCGGAAACGACTTCCTCCCCCATTTGCCGTCTCTAGATATTCGTGAAAACGGTATCGACACCCTGATCGCGATCTGGCGTGACAACATCCCAATCATGGGAGGATACCTCACCAAGGATGGGCACGTCGACTTCAAAAAAGCTCAGCTTATCTTGCAGGGCCTGGCGAAACAAGAGGACGCTATTTTCCGTCGTCGGAGGCAGGCAGATGAAAGAAAGCAGGCAAACGAAAGGAGACGAAAACAGCAAGAAGAGGCCCGGAATGAAGAGCGTTCCAGAAAGAAAAGACGAAGCTCCCCGACCTACGACTCTCCTTCAAACAACCGACGTGGTGGTGGAGATGCAGCTCCTCCGGGTGGTCTGGAATTGATCACTCCTGGACGCGGTCACTTGGCCAAGGAGACCAGGGAATTGACCCACAGCATGGTCACCAATCGTGGAGCTGTGTATCGTGCCAACATGGAGAATAAGAGTGCCGCTGCTGTGTTGAAGAGCAAGCTCATGAAAGGCTCGCAAAACGATGGAGCCGACGAAAGTTCAGCTACCGGCGAGGGCGAGGAACCGACCGATGGCACAGAGCAGAATTCGCCTTCGGTTCTCGGAAAGAGAAAAGCCGGTGAAGCCGAGGAGCAGGAAACAGAAACGGGCACTCCAGGACGAGACTCGCCTCCTGTTCCTGAGAAAAAAAAGATGATGAACCTCCTGAAGACACAGTTCGCCTCTGGGAGCCAGGGTATGGCGATCGGTACTATGAGCAAAAGTTTGGCGTGGACCCTGAAGACCACGAGTTTCGCCACAAGGTTGCGCGGGCTTATGCAGAAGGTCTTGCTTGGGTTCTGCTGTATTACTTCCAGGGTTGTCCTTCATGGACCTGGTACTATCCATACCATTACGCTCCATTTGCGGCAGACTTTGTGGATATTGGCGACATGGAGCTCAACTTCGACAAGGGCAAGCCGTTCAAGCCATACGAACAGTTGATGGGAGTCTTGCCCGCGTCTTCTAATCACGCACTGCCCGAAGTCTTCCATGATTTGATGAGCAATCCTGAGAGTGAAATCATCGATTTCTACCCCGAGGATTTCCCTGTGGATCTGAACGGCAAGAAGTTCGCCTGGCAAGGCGTGGTTCTGCTTCCGTTCATTGACGAGAAGCGCCTCCTGACCGCCATGGAGAAGAAGTACCCTCTTCTTACTGAAGACGAACGAAGTCGCAACACTCACGGCCGAGAAGTACTCCTGATCTCGGATGGTCATCCGGTGTACCAAGACCTGGCAGCCAACTTTTATTCGAAGAAGCCAGGTCCTCCGCAGTACAAATTGAACATGCGCTCAAGTGAGGGTTTGGCCGGAATCGTTGAGCGCAACGACACCTATATACCCCACAGCTCGTTGACGTCCCCGTTGGAAGCATACGGCATGCCTAGTGTCGATGCCGATCGCTCTCTCACGTGAGTCTTTTTATCTGATATCCCCAATGAAAGGTACCATGCATGCTAACTAGCCACAAGGGTCAACTACACTATTCCCAAGTCCTCGCACATCCACAAGTCAATGCTTCTCCGTGGCGTTAAGTTCGCGACCCCGATGCTCAACTCGGCCGACATCCGGGCTACTAAGGGCCGAGCCCAACATTCGGGCCGGTCATTTGGCGGTGCACCGTTACATGGTGGTGGCCGAGGAGGGCGCGTGGACTATGGGAAAGACCGTCCCAACCCTTTCGCTGCGCATCTTGACCCGAACTTTGCGTCTGGACCTGGGGCTGGTCCGCCGATGGGAGCCCCAGGATGGATCCCGCCAGTGCCAGGCGCCGGTGGCTATTCCAGAGGACCGCCTCCGCCTCCGCGAGGTGGAATGTCCCACCCGTACCAACCCCACCAAGGCTATCAGCGCCATGGTGATTACTCTTACAACCAATCGGGTCAATATAATGGATACCGTGGTGGCTATGGCTCCCAGGAGTATGGGGGCCGCGGAGGAGGAGGCTACCGTGGTGGTCGACACCGTGGCGGGAATCGGGATCACTACTCTTCCCATCACCAAGGAGGATATGGGCGCTACTAAAGATTTAAATGATCCTACCGTTCTCTGTGTCTACTTTGAATGTTACTTCTACCACTGTTGCTATTAGTACCTACTGAGATCTTCGGGAACTGGGTATGGGGTCTGGGAAAGGAAAATGGAGTCGTATTTTGCCAGAACGTTGAAAAAATATATATATTTGCAATGCTGTTAAGTGATTTTTTTATGTTTTGCCTGCCAGTCGATCATTCAACCTGTCAGATTATGCATTCAACCAACATGAATGGATGCATCAAATGGCTCATAGTTCGGCATCGAACCTGCCTGACTCACCGGGCGGTCAGGCCAAATTGCCGGCGACATCGGAGGGGCAGTCAGAGTCACCGGTTCAACCTTGTAGACAATTCCCCGGTGCTGACTCGTTGTGCAGCTTTTGTGCTCTCTCTTTTTGTCCAGGTTGGTTCAATTCCCGTTCAGCTGAAGTTCCTCCGAAATTGGACGATCTATCTGCACCTTGCATCACTAGTTTCGCTGTGGGGGAAACGAACAAAATTATTGCCTCCCCCCCCCCAAAAAAACCCCAGGAAACTGACTACCAGCAGAATGCTTTAAAAGCAGAGAGCCTGGATCTTGCAAATAAGTTGGCTTCTTCATCCTTGTCCTCCATCATGACCGAACCCACCAAGATCAGCATCCTGGGTCGGGAAAGCATCGTCGCTGATTTTGGCCTGTGGCGCAACTATGTTGCCCAGGACCTGATCAGCGGCTTGCCCTCGACCACCTACGTCCTTGTTACCGACACCAATCTCGGGTCCATTTACACGCCCACTTTCCAAAAGATCTTCGAGACTGCCGCCGCCGCCCTCTCTCCAGCCCCGCGTCTCTTGGTCTACCATGCCCCACCGGGAGAAAGCTCAAAATCACGCCAGACGAAAGCCGATATCGAAGATTGGATGTTGAGCCAGAGCCCGCCATGCGGTCGGGATACAGTGGTGATCGCATTGGGTGGCGGAGTGATTGGGGACTTGACTGGATTCATTGCCGCGACCTACATGCGTGGGGTTCGCTATGTTCAGGTCCCCACCACACTTCTCGCCATGGTCGACTCCTCGATTGGTGGGAAGACTGCCATTGACACCCCGCTGGGGAAGAACCTCATCGGCTCCATCTGGCAGCCGTCGAGAATCTATATCGACCTGGAATTCTTGGAGACGCTCCCGGTACGGGAGTTCATCAACGGTATGGCCGAGGTCATCAAGACTGCCGCCATCTCCAGCGAGAAGGAGTTCACAGCGCTGGAAGGCAATGCAGACGCCATTCTAGGCGCCGTGCGCAGTGAGGCAAAACCCGGACAGGGTCGCTTCGACGGGATCCGGGACATCTTGAAGGCCCGGATCCTGGCCTCCGCACGCCACAAGGCGTACGTCGTCTCCGCTGACGAGCGCGAGGGTGGTCTCCGCAACCTGCTCAACTGGGGTCACTCAATTGGTCATGCCATTGAGGCGATTCTCACCCCGCAAATCCTCCACGGAGAGTGTGTTGCCATCGGTATGGTGAAGGAGGCAGAACTTGCCAGGCACCTGGGTATCCTGAAGGGCGTTGCAGTGGCTCGCGTAGTCAAGTGTATTTCCGCTTACGGCTTGCCCACGTCAATGAAGGATTCTCGGGTGCGCAAGCTGACTGCCGACAAGCATTGCTCCGTGGATCAGCTGTTGTTCAACATGGCACTAGACAAGAAGAACGACGGGCCGAAGAAGAAGGTCGTTCTTTTGTCCGCCATTGGGCGTACCTACGAACCCAAAGCCAGTGTCGTCTCCAATTATGACATTGGAGTTGTCCTTGCTCCAAGCATTGAGGCTCATCCGGGTGTGAAGCAGGCGCTCGATGTGACCTGCGCACCCCCGGGATCCAAGAGTATTTCGAATCGCGCCCTGGTGCTTGCTGCTCTTGGCTCAGGTACCTGCCGTATCAAGAATCTATTGCACTCTGATGACACCGAGGTCATGTTGAATGCCCTGGAACGTCTGGGGGCTGCGACTTTCTCCTGGGAGGATGAAGGCGAGGTTCTCGTGGTGAACGGTCAAGGAGGAAAAATAACCGCCACCCCCTCATCGCTGTACCTTGGCAACGCTGGAACTGCCTCCAGATTCCTGACTACAGTAGCAACCCTGGCCAACCCGAGCAGTGTGGACTCGAGCATCCTGACTGGTAACAACCGTATGAAGCAGCGCCCCATTGGCGATCTTGTTGATGCTCTGACTGTCAATGGTGCCAATGTTGAGTACCTGGAGCGCAAGGGCAGCCTTCCCCTCAGAATTGCTGCTTCCGGTGGCTTTGCTGGAGGAAAAATCAACCTGGCCGCCAAGGTGTCCTCTCAGTATGTTTCTTCATTACTGATGTGCGCTCCGTACGCCAAGGAGCCAGTGACTCTGAAGCTGGTCGGTGGAAAGCCGATCTCCCAGCCTTACATCGACATGACAACGGCCATGATGAGATCCTTTGGCATCGATGTGCAAAAATCCACAACTGAAGAGCACACTTACCATATTCCCCAGGGTCACTACGTGAACCCCGCGGAATATATCGTTGAGAGTGATGCAAGCTCCGCTACTTATCCTCTGGCGATTGCTGCCGTCACGGGCACTACCTGCACGGTCCCTAACATCGGTTTCGAGTCACTTCAAGGCGATGCTCGTTTCGCGGTTGATGTCCTCAAGCCGATGGGCTGCTCTGTCAAGCAATCGGAAACTTCCACCACTGTCACCGGGCCCGCTAATGGCGTTCTGAAACCGCTTCCCAACGTGGACATGGAACCGATGACGGATGCCTTCCTCACGGCGGCTGTCCTTGCGGCCGTTGCCCAAGGTGACGCCTCGAACCACACTACCCGCATCTATGGTATTGCCAATCAGCGTGTGAAGGAATGTAACCGGATCAAGGCCATGAAGGACGAGCTGGCCAAGTACGGTGTGGTCTGCCGGGAGCACGATGACGGTCTTGAAATCGATGGGATCGAGCGCTCCACTCTTCGACAGCCTTCTGGGGGCATTTTCTGCTATGATGACCACCGCGTTGCCTTTAGTTTCAGTGTGCTATCTCTTGTGGCCCCTCGCTCCACCCTCATTCTGGAGAAAGAATGCGTTGGTAAGACATGGCCCGGCTGGTGGGACACCTTGAAGCAGCTGTTTGGCGTCAAGCTCGAGGGCAAGGAGTTGACGGAGGACGAATTGGCCGTTTCGAGCCGCGAGGAGAGGGCCGGCTCTTCGGTATTTATTATCGGCATGCGTGGTGCTGGAAAGTCTACTGCCGGCAACTGGGTTGCAAAAACCCTTGACCGTCCCTTCATTGACCTTGACACGGAGTTTGAGAAATCCGAGGGCATCACGATCCCGGATATGATTAAGCAGCATGGCTGGCAGGGCTTCCGCGATGCTGAGCTGGCCCTGCTCCAGCGCATGATGAAAGATCGGCCTACCGGCTACGTCTTTGCCTGTGGCGGTGGTGTCGTCGAGATTCCCGAGGCACGGAAGCTGCTGATCGACTACCACAAAAATAAGGGCAACGTTTTGCTCATAATGCGCGACATCAAGCTGGTGATGGACTTCCTGCAAATTGACCAGACCCGCCCGGCCTACGTGGAAGATATGATGGGTGTGTGGCTGCGACGCAAGCCTTGGTTCCAGGAATGCAGTAATATCCAGTATTACAGCCAGCACTCGAGTGGCACGGAGCTTGCGCTTGCCTCGGAAGACTTCTCGCGCTTTTTGCGGGTAGTGACCGGTCAAGTGGACAACCTCGGCCTGATCAAAAAGAAGAAGCACACGTTCTTTGTCTCGCTGACGCTTCCCGATCTGCGTCCGTCTAGTGAGATCTTGAATGAGGCCTGTGTCGGATCTGACGCTGTGGAACTGCGAGTCGACCTGTTGAAGGACCCCGCATCGAACAGCGACATCCCTTCTGTGGACTATGTTGCCGAGCAGATGTCTTTCCTCCGTCGGCGTGTGTCGCTCCCTCTGATCTTTACCATCCGCACCAAGAGCCAAGGCGGTCGCTTCCCTGACGATGCCCACGAAGCGGCTATGCAACTGTACCGGCTGGCATTCCGAGCCGGATGCGAATTCGTCGATCTTGAAATCGCGTTCCCAGACGAGATGCTTCGTACCGTTGCTGGTATGAAGGGTCACTCAAAAATTATCGCGTCGCACCACGACCCGCAAGGCAAGCTGTCGTGGGCCAATATGTCCTGGATGCAATCTTACAACCGTGCTCTCGAGTACGGTGATGTGATCAAGCTTGTAGGTGTTGCCAACAGCCTAGACGACAACACTGCTCTACGAAAGTTCAAGAACTGGGCAGAGCAGGCGCACGACGTGCCGTTGATTGCGATCAACATGGGGGACAAGGGCCAGCTCAGCCGAATCCTGAACGGCTTCATGACCCCCGTTTCTCATCCCAGCCTCCCCTTCAAGGCGGCGCCAGGCCAATTGTCTGCAACTGATATCCGGAAGGGTCTTTCGCTAATGGGCGAGATCAAGGCCAAGAAGTTCACAATCTTCGGCTCTCCGGTCTCGGGCTCACGGTCACCTGCCCTCCATAACACCCTCTTTGCGACGATGGGCCTGCCCCACGAGTACGGTCTCCTAGAGACCACGAATGCCGAAGATGCCAAGAAGTTGATCCGTGCCCCTGACTTCGGTGGTGCGTCGGTGACGATCCCGCTGAAGCTGGACATCATGCCGCTGTTGGACGAGGTTGCCCAGGAGGCCGAGATTATCGGTGCCGTCAACACCATCGTCCCCGTGGAGCACGGAGACAAGCCCGCACGTCTGGTTGGCTACAATACCGACTGGCAGGGCATGGTGCAATGTCTGCGCAACGCGGGCATCTACGGCTCCGCAGGCATCGAGAGCGCCGTGGTTGTCGGTGGCGGCGGCACCGCGCGGGCAGCCATCTTTGCACTGCACCACATGGGCTTCTCCCCGATCTATGTGGTGGGTCGCTCCGCCAGCAAGCTCGAGGGCATGGTGTCGACCTTCCCGACCAACTACAACATCCGCGTCGTCGACAACCACACCCAACTGGATACCGTGCCCCGGGTCGCCATCGGCACCATCCCCGCCGACCGTCCCATCGATCCCGCCATGCGAGAAACGCTCTGCCACATGTTTGAGCGCGCCCAAGAGATCGATGGCACGCAGATCGGCAAATCCGTCGACTCGAAGTCGCCCCGTGTGCTCCTCGAGATGGCCTACAAGCCCGCCGTGACGGCGCTCATGCAGCTGGCTGCCGATGCTGGCTGGAATACCATTCCAGGACTAGAGGTGCTTGTCGGACAAGGCGTGAACCAGGTATGTGATCATTTTTATTACTTCCCGAAGTATATGCAAGATGACTAACTGGAGCAGTTTGTTCACTGGACTGGCATTACCCCGCTGTACCACGAGGCAAGAGTATGCATTCCTTTTGTCGCCTTTAGTTTCGCCTAATACTAACTGCATCGTTTCTGTCTAGGATGCTGTCATGGGCACTTCCGAGTCCACATGATTGATCTTCCACTTGATTTTTGCTTTTTGGTTTCCTTCGAGCTTCAACACAAATACCACATTTCCTTCCCCGGGTGGCAAAGATTTATTTACTACAATATAGAAAGAAAAAAACATGAGTGGGAATGGTCAGGGGTTTTGATATGCTTGATGTGTTTGGTGTGTTTGGACAAATATACTCCCAATAAATAAATAGTATTGGATTTTTGTTGTTATTGGGGTTTAGTTGTTACTACCCTTCCTTTCCTTTTCGTCCAAATTCCATTGGGCTGGGCCTGATGCTTTCAGTCCATGTTGGGCAGCTATCTCTATGGACAGACCTCGGAGTGCGGAATAGGCAACTAAGAAAAAGACATAGACATCCCTTGCATTGCCCCCGGACACTGACTTGGTCTCTCGTCAGTACTGCGCCTCCATTGATTCATATCCCTTCTAAGAGTTGATTTCTAAATATACCCGTCGAATTCGCGTGCCTTGCCGTATTCTGAGATGGTCTCAGATAGTGTATACCACCCACGTGACCAGTGTCGCATTCCTCCACTCCAAGGGCCTGAGCCCAAGCAAGCAGGAGCAAGGCTCAGCAAGGATGAGAAGGCATGTGAACATGTGAAAAAGAATAGAACAGAATAGAATAGAAGAAATTTAAATTTTAAAATTTTTTGGTTCAGATCCTGCCATGCAATGTCGAACCGAAAAGGAAGATCGGGTAATATTCGCAGTGCCGAGTACCGGGCCCGAAAATAGAAGGTTTCTGGAATTCTTCCGCAAAGCCAAAATACTACAAATAAAAAATAAAAATAAAAATAAAAAACGGCGAGCCCGAGGAATCTGCAAGCCACTTCTGGAAACTGCAAGGAAATCCCCAGAGCTACAGGGGCCAGTTGCCGGTTTCGCGTGTTACCGTACACACACTGTGGCTGTGCGCTAGTCATCAGCCAATCATTTGCATTGATTGTCAAAATAAAAAGTTTTCTTCCTGCAGAGAGAGCCCTGCCGTGTTCTAAATTTTGCTCTGCCAACGGCACTTGTCCACGACCGACCGATTAAAGTGCTGACAGCTTGATGTGTTGGTCGGGATCCGATGCCGAGTGAAAGGTGAAAAATTTTTCACTTTGATTCCTGCATTCCTGTGTACGTCCTGAGCCGAGGGATGCCCGATTTAGAAGGTCCTTATTTCTTGAAGTCGCTGTGTGCTGGATCATGGAATCCTTCCGATCGCATGATTATGATTATCATTTTTTATGTTTACTGCCTGGAGATAATCTTGGTGGGCCGATCCCGAGCTCTGATCTCGCCACTTCCCCGGACGGGTCCACGACCATACTCCGACAATCTTGATAATCACCATCACCATTAGTATCCGTATCACGATCATATCATAATTGTAATCATAATCATAGTCATAATCATGACCATAACTATTGCGAAAACTATTCTTATCCTCTGGTCTGCTGACCTTGCTACATTCGGCTCAGACTGGCCGGTTCACGCAGCACCCCGGACCCGAGCTCGGCGCCCCGGCCAGACCGGGATAGTGCGATCCGACCGTCGCCAGCCGACGCAACCTCATTGCATCCTGGAATGTGTACTAGTTGCTAGCTGCTGGTTGCTAGTCTATGCATGAGAGGATTGCACGATGGGTTGATTTTTTTTTGTATAGTCACATGGCCCCCGTGTTATTCTGTGTTCGGGTCTCAGCCCCCCCAAATTCGACCCCATCGAATATCCCGATCGGTGGACTGCCACGCCAGACCCATGTTCCAACGTGCATTGGTGACACCTTTGGTATCTACCTACTAAGGTAGGTAGGTGTATGGTCTCCTACAGTGACAGCGCTAATCGTACCCCCGATGTAACCCGCAGTAAATAGTACATCGGGTGTTCTTTAGCCCCGAAAAAACGCCGCTAGGGAATTAGCTGCGAGTCGAACGAGCTGATGCCGATTCCATACAGGGATCAGAGACTGTCAGAATTTTTGGGACCTTTTTACTCTATAGATACATGCTGGATTGTATTATTATTGTTAATATTATTAATATTGTTATTCTTCGAGAAAATAAAATCAAATAAAAATGTTGGTGAATTTGATTTCTTTCATGTATTCCCCAACAAATGCAAGTCAAAGTAAACCCAAAAAAAGAAACCATGTGACCATCCATGCCCAGGTGTAGCCCTATGGTCCAAGTAAGGCAGGTGACTCAAGATCAAGTCAGCTGGTCCCCGATCCACGGGCCGTTTCTCTCTCTACCGAGCTAAAGTAAACGCTTCGCCAGTGCATTTACCCAAAGCTACTTGGACACTAACTAGATAGGGTCAGCTGACCCGAATCGAGAGACATGGTTTGCGACCATGTCCACCGATTGGTTGGGAGACAGGAGAAATCTCGGGGATGACGAGGCACTGCCCAAAAAAAAAACAGCACATGCGAGAATACTCTACCAGTTTCCGGAGAATGGAATTAGCATTTCGAAGAATGCCCAGGTAAGTCTATGAAAATCACAAATCAAATCGATTAGTCAGGCGATCATACCTAAAAAGGTTTTTCAACCGGAGACAGGGAGATCCCCCGGTGTGGCTTAGCCCGATATGCATGAAGTGCCGAGGTGCCTTAGGTATCCCTTGAGAGAAACTAGAGAGATTCCGTGCTAATTTTGGCTCCGATCGGGCCTTCTAGATTGCCCAACAAAAAATTTTGAAAAATCTGCATTCTTAGCGGATACCTCGTTTCCAAGATGGTCACCGTACAGAATGAATAATATAATTCAAATCATTATGAATCATCGTACATCGGAGTCAATAAATATCCCATCGTTAATGGCAGATCTTGAGGATTGGAGTGGAGATTTGTGGCTGACCCGAAAGCCACAGTGGAAATCCACAGAATCCCAATACCAAAAAAAAAAAGAAAAAGAAAAAGAAAAATCACCCCGGACCAGCAGATCAGTGGATCCCTTTCTTCCCGAGGCAGACATCCATACGTGGTATTGTCATCTCAATACATCCCTTGCCTATCTAGGTTTAGTGGCAGTCCTCGCGGTACCGTGTATTTCGGAGACCCCGGCGCCGTGGCCCTCGGAAGTGAGGTCATGGCCCAGTATAATAAGGGCCTTGACTCCTCAGGACTTCCATTCATCATCTCGAGTCATCACTCTTTGACTTTCTTCTTCCCATTCGTCCTGGTCTTTCCAGACTCTTCCAAACTTCGACCCAAACTTCTCTCACCCAAACTCTGCAATTGCCCAGGAAATCATTTTGCTTTTGTCCACCCTCTCGGATTTCCCTATACTTAAGATCTCGCCTTCCCCCCCCAAGTGGCGAACTTTTCCTCTATCTGACGTCCCCATACGTGTGATACCATAATGCTTATGTACCCACGTAAGGGTCTCATCACCGATCCATTCAACCCAGAAGACGTCGTCATACAAGACGACCAGTTCCCACCCGACTTCTACGAGTCCTCTCTGCAGTGCCAACCCACCCGCCTGCAGTCCCCGTTCCAGAGCCTGCCGGACGTCCAGGTTGTGTCTCCGCCGTCTTCCGCGCCCTCATCGCCCTCTTTCTCTTCTCCGACCTTCTCCATTTCCTATCCCCCGACTGATAGCCAGTCTTTCGGGGCTCCTTCCATGACCCCGGCACCCTCCAACAACCCGTCATCTGACTCGCCCTCTCAGCAATATCTTCCCCAATATCCGCAATATTATACGTCCATGTTGGCACAACAACCGATCGCTGGCAATCAGGCTTGGGACGGCAACCTGCAGCTGCTGAGCCCCGCGCGCATCCCCTACGCCGGTGTGCAGAAGAAAGCCTCGCCGAACTCGTCCGCACATGCGACCTCGCCCACCAATCTCCACCGGCGGTCTGCCAGCTCCTCCAAGCCGCTGCCCACCCCGGTGCAGACGCCCATCCAGAACTCGTTTTTGGCAGCCCCGTTCCAGCACTACGATCCGTCAATCCAGGATGGGAGCAATGTCGAGGCCGAGTCAGCCATGAGAAGGGCGATTATGGACCAGCAGAAGCACTCGCCGCAGCAGCAGCAGTCTAGTGATTATTCACTGGCTCCTTCAGTGTCGTCGATGAGCCACAACTCGCCGGTGACGCCGCAGACCAGTCTGGATGAGCTCGACGACGCATCGAAGACGATGACAAATGGTGAGACCCGATTTCCTGAATTTGACCGGTGGATGGACGAGTACTTACGTCTCGACGCGCTCCCAGAATACGCCAACAACGGAACCATGTCCATGGGAATTCCCAAGCTGAACCGTACTATTTCTGATATTTACCAAGACGAACTCTACAACCCCACCGTCATGGCGGCACCTCAGATGTCCAAGCCGCTTCACCAAAATCTTCTCACCCCGCGCAATGTTATCGCGGATCGCCTGCAGGCGGCTAACCAGGGTCATATGTCTGCGCGCTCACGGTCACCTTTGAAACGCGAGCGCTCACCTTTCCGGACCAGCTCGCCGTTCGCGGCCGATCTCAGCCAGGCTGCCCTGCAGCAGCCCCAGATGACCACCAGCATTCCCATGGCACAGAACGGTATGAACATGGGTCAGCCGGTCACTCAGGGTGATCTCAAGACCATGTCTCCCAAGGATGCAGTGTTGGATTTCCACGACAATGATGAAACCACCATGCCGCCGCTGTTCCCGACCACCCAGGCCGACTTCAATTTGGGCGATGCGCTCAGCGCTCCAGCTATGCGTCCGTCTCAGACCCTGACTACGATGGATGCGTTCCCCAGCCAATACGCTACGCCGACTCCGACAACCGCGCAGTCGCAGTTCCCCTTCGCGCAGCAGCAGAGTCGCCATTCGCAGAACAACCTGTTGCAGCAGACGCCGGAGTTCCCAGCCTCGCTGCCGAGGCTAGAGTCTACAGGCAGTGATGTGCACCCGACTACAGAGCTGACCTCCCCGCAAACTCAGGCCAAAATGCCGATCACAGATGGTATTCCCCGGCCCAACAACACCACGTCGGATGCGGGAACCTACACCTGCACCTACCACGGCTGCACGCATCGCTTCGAGTCGCCCGCCAAGCTCCAGCGGCACAAGCGCGATGCGCATCGACAGACGACACCCGGTGGGCATCTGGTCAGCCGGAACACCTCGCTGCGCAACTCTCAGGCGGGGCCCCACAAGTGCGAGCGCATCAACCCATCTACCGGCAAGGCTTGCAACTCGGTGTTCTCGCGGCCCTACGATTTGACCCGCCACGAAGACACCATCCACAACGCCCGCAAGCAAAAGGTGCGGTGTCACCTGTGCACCGAAGAAAAGACCTTCAGCCGGAACGACGCCCTGACTCGACATATGCGCGTGGTGCACCCTGAAGTCGATTGGCCGGGCAAACAGCATCGACGACGGGATTGAGTCAGCATGACGACACGCCATTGACGTCATACACTAGGCCAGATCGGGATTTCTGCGCTAGCCCCAATCGGGATGATCTCGTGTCATTGGCGGCCTTGTGGCCTCCTGACGTCACCGATCGGCGCGGTGACGCAGAAGCTCTTCCTTCGTCAGAGCTTCCCTTCCCTCCCTGACGTGTGCATTTTCCCTTGTGTTCTTTCCCTGTGGCCCCCGCGGGGGGGGGGGGGGGGAGGAATTCTCGTTTGCAAAGCCCGAAAAAAAAGTATCTGTGCGTTACGGGGCTGGTTTTGGGACTGTTTTTCTCGCTTGTCCTTTTCATAGCTGTTACGAACCCCCCCTGGTTTTTGTATTTCTTGCTATTGTTATTTTGCTTGTACGATTTTACGATTGCATGCATTGGCGGGTGTGTGGCTTTTTTTGGTGTTGTATAGGGCATTCCTCCTTTTATTCTTTTTCCGTTTTCTTTTTCCCCCTCGAGATTTCCTTTTCGGATGCTCTGGCTGGGGTGTACATTATGGAAAATTGTACTATATCGGGTTCTGTTGATGATGATTATATATGATATAGACTACGTGAATAACAATGTCATAATCGAAGATTGCCAGTACTTGAGTACTTGATGTAGAGTAAAGCATAGCATTTCTTGCTCTTGTTGGCTCTACAAGACTCGATATACTATCCACTCGATATACTATCCATGTATACATCCATGTAGATATACCTTGATATCCTTGCACATACCCCCCACCGAGTTTTTAATAGCAGATAAAGAGAAAAAAAAAAGGGGTCTGCTGATCCCCACTGGCGGGGGGGGGAAACCCGGCCCCTGCAGGGATTAGCTGCAGCAAATAGCCTGAGCCTGAGCTCCCCCATCTCCCGCGCGCCGTCGCCGATTGACTGGCTGTGACATCCGGGAGGGAGGATTGGGATGCTTCAGGTTTGCTGGGCCGGGGGAGGTGTCTGATGTGTCGCTCCTTGCCATCCATGCATGGATATCTTTGATTTGTTGTGTGTTCAGAAGATAATCCGAGTCAATGCTTTACTTGGTTACTTGCTTTTAACTCCCTGCTTCGTATACTACTGCCTATGCGTATATACATCCGGAACTAACGTCTTTATTATAGGCAGAGAAATATACTCCGTGGTGGGAACGTATAGAAATGCCACAGTATGGCCATATTAGCTATTCCCTAAGCGGTAATAGAACTCCTGCAACTTCGCTTCTTCCTATACGGAGGTCCACACTGGCGCTGATCTCTGTGGATATTGTCTTCGTTTCAGAGGACAATTTCTTCGGGGTGAGGTGGGGCCCATCTATCCACAGTGTATATCTACTGTACTACCTAGATAAGAAGGATTTTGATTGTGTATGGATCCCCGATCCTGGTGACCACATATAAGAGGCATGGGTTATTTAAATATGAGATCAATAATAGTTCAGATAAACAACAAGTTCCTTATACGCATACCTACAAAGGAAACCCAGATACGTCACCGGTGAAAGCAATTGGATTTCAGGTGCTATTGATCAACATTGCATTGCAGTGGAGTCCAGTGGTGGAACCCACACCTCACTCGGATAGGGAAGATGGAGACTGAAGATGATTTAAAAGGGGGTGGGGGCTTTATCGTGAATAACCTTGAGAGGTGTGGGGGCATTATTGCATGGTGGCTTGCTTCCTGTGGGACCACTAGTGGAGCCTATATACGTCAGTACAGTAATACTTACAAGTCTGATTATTATTATTAACGTTAGTGTTGTTATTTGCTTTTTTTTGGTGTTTTTTTGGGTCTTCAAAATAAGGTGATCCACATTGAAGTGATTTTGTGTTGGGGATGTGGCGGTGCTGGTGCTGATCATGCCCTAAAATTCTTCTTTGGGTCTTCTATACTTTAGGTACCCCCTGGTCTCATCCTTCGTATAAGATGAGGATAGCAAGCGCGTGGATATTCTGCGTAGGTATCTTGTCGAAGATTCACTAGGTCCCCACAGCGTGGTATGGTATTTTTGTTATGTCGAATAAAGATAAGATTTGTATTTCCGTGGCAGGGCAACTTCTCCCTCTATAGTCCTGAGTCAACAGAGCAGTTTGACGGTTAGACTCGGTGTTGTCGACCTAAATATGCCGCTGCGCGTGGCTATTCATTGAATCGGTGATTCTAGAATAGTCGCTTCCTTCACATAGCTTCCTGGGGTTGGTCGGCCGCTGTCGCCGGTTGATGCTTTCCTATGGTTCTTGGTAGCTAATACCGCTTGTGAGTCAACATTCGGGGCATGTTTCAGGCCTTTTGAGGTGCGGTATATACTTGTTGATCCACGATGTAGGGGGGGGGGGGGGGGTTCTTGGTCTATTGAATATGGTCCTCGCTGGTGACCAAGCCACCGGGGTATTGGTGTGTTTCTTTTGTTTTCGGTGGTGCATTTGGTGTCTTATTCTCCGTGTATCGACACGGATAAGATGCATTAATGGCCTTCCACCTGGTCAGCGGGGCGCCTTGGATGATGGCTTGTATTGGTCTTGGGGGTTTTCGGGTTTGTCGTACGACCACTGGGTGTGCTGCGAATATTTGCCTCTTTAGAAAATCCGGGAGACTTGTGTTCATGTGGATTGTGGTGCCACTGTAAGGCTACGTCGAGCAGTCATAGACTGCACCGACATATAAGCTCCATGGGTTAGCGCGGGTGGTGAAGTTCGGGTAGTCCGGTCGGCCGTCTTGCTGAGGGCTGGGATCAAGATTGATGTCTTACGGTCAGAATCTTGTGTCACTTTGATCAGGTCCTGCTCTGGGTTTGTAAGATGTAGGTGGCTAGGGCGCTCGCTCGTGTGGATTATCGGTTAGGTCAATGGTCGAGACTCTTCCGGTCATCAGCCCACAACGACTTGGATCGTCTGTTCCTCGGTGTGTCGAGGCGACAGTATGCCATACCTGCACCGGTGGGTATGGAGTCGAGGCGGGTTGGTTGGGGTGTTGGGGAGATGGGGCCTGTGGGTGACGGGCGTCTTTGCTTGTGTCCTGGTGTGCAGGACCAGTGTCCATCCTCTCGGTTGTTGGTCTCGAGTAAGCCCCGGCCATGTGGTCGACTGTTTGATCTTGAGACGTATCACTGTGGTGGTCGCAGTCATTGTAGATGGTGGTCAGTAACCCGTGGAGGCTAGCCAGTACTTCCTCTGCGTGATGTCTCGTGGGCAGGTCTTCCTGTATGTCCTGTGTCCGAGTATGTGAGTTCGATTGAGCCATCAGTGTGCACTCGGCTAGTGTGACCCTGTAAATTTTCGCGCGGCATGGCGATGGCCAACCGTGCAGAATTGGGCTAGGGTGCTGTGCCAGCTTGAGACCCCGTGGATGAGTTTGCTGGGTATGCTGCCTCGAAGCGACAGCCGTTTAGTGATGCGTTGAGTACCGATATCGGTTCACGGCCTGCAGCTGGAGCGCAGGTGAGGGGAGTTCTCTCGGGATGCTGGGGCTCGGCAGTGCATCGTCTTGCTGTCTTGTGGTTCTTTGGTTTGGTCTTGGTGATTTCCGGTGTCTTCACTGTCGAGTCGTGGTATCGTTTCCAAGTCGGTTCCCCCTCAATCGACTCCTGGCTTTCTGGGCGTGGGTCCTTCGCTTCGAGTTATGTTTTTTATTTCCTCTTTGGTCGCATCAACACCGCGGTTGGTATCGATGCAATCGACGCAGGTTGCCACTGTCGGTGGCCTGGTGGAGTTGGTGTGTTCGCTCCGTCTGTGTGTGGTAGGTCGGTGGGGGAATACGCGGGTGCTGATCTAGTGCGGTCGGGCTATGTGGTTTCTTTGGTTTCAATTTAAACACTTTTTGCCGCAGTCTAAAGTCGGAGCCTCGAGTGGGTTTTGCGTTGGGTTTACTTCGCAGTGTCAGGTGTCTTGGGGTTGAACCCCCTAATGCGGCAGTTGAACCTTGTCTTGGCAACCAACCGTCGAGTTTTCGGTTTCGCGACCATTAATCGCAACTTTATTTAATATTTCGATTTTTCGCGAAAATACATTTGTTTGGCATGTTATAGTTAACTTTGTTTGATTTTTTTATGTGTCTCATTTGTTGTTGGTGGGTAAATAATGAACTTGTTCGTTCTTGAGGTTGTTGAATATATATCACCAGAATATACTCCATCTACACATGCATAACCAAAACCACGTTCTCCTCCACTATTTATCAAGATCACCCGAAATACAACAAATCCACCACAAAAAGACAATAGCCGGAAACGAGGTCACATGAAATTCACCACCTGGCCATATCGAATCAACCAAAGCCCAGCAAGCGGTATAAAATAGACTACACTATATGAAGGGTCAAGTACATCGAATACAGGCGACTCTAGACTCCACAGTAACTCACAATTTACAACCCTATAAGATATGTAAACACCAGACAAGACTTGGTATACCTTATTTTTCAGCATCAACATCGAAGACGCGTCTTTCGACGATTACCTAGACAACGTGGGAATAGACGCGTACAACCCTCTGCAAAAAAGACCACCAAAAATCGCCAAAGTGCCACGCTACAATTAGCTGCATGGCTAGCTGCATTTACCCTGGACCTGCCACCATCAGCCACCTCGGATTTCAGGCAACAAAAACAAACGCGTCGACGCGACTCAACACCAAACAGTCAATAAAACACCACGAAAGCACTACCAAGAGACATGCCGCGAAGACGCGGCAACAACAAAACAGATTACAGAAAAGAGCAAAGTTTTGAGTAATTTGTTGTATTCGTATCGGATCGCACATGACTGAGTGCCTGATCCCACCATAACCATGGTGCCAGCCGTATGAAGAAAGGCCGCTATGATACATAAACTCAAGAAGCGAACACTAGCAGACCCATAGTGGACGCATAACAGTGGTAATGGAGCAGAAAAAGAAAACCCAGAGACCCATGATTGTTGTAAAATAAATCAAGAACACCCCAACGTCCCAGTCGTACCGTGAACCAGCCCGGAAAACACAAGAACAATTCGTTTAACCACCGAAACCGTAGAGGGTACCTGGGAGAAGATGAATGTTAGCCACCAGGACATGAGACCCAAGAGAGACACGATCGACTTACGGCCCTGGCGCTTGAGAGCGTAGACAACGTCGAGCGACGTGACGGTCTTGCGCTTGGCGTGCTCGGTGTAGGTGACGGCGTCACGGATGACACCCTCGAGGAAGGTCTTGAGAACACCACGGGTCTCCTCGTAGATCATGGCGGAGATACGCTTGACACCACCACGGCGGGCGAGACGGCGGATAGCGGGCTTGGTGATACCCTGGATGTTGTCACGCAAAATCTTGCGGTGACGCTTGGCACCGCCCTTGCCGAGACCCTTGCCACCCTTTCCACCTATTGAGACGCGTTAGAACGCGTTTCAAGAAGACATTTGAGTCATTGGAAAGGAAGTACTTACGGCCAGACATGATGAATGTGGATTAGAGAAAAAAAAAGGGGTTTTTGAAATAAGGTAGATGGAAGTGGAGTTGAAGAAGTTGGTCGACACAAGAGATGAGAAGAGGGAAGAAGGTTCTGGGGCAGGGGATATTTGTACTGGCGGCTGAACGGGCGCGGGGAGCTTGGAATCACACGCCTGGCTGTTGATCGGCCAATCAGCGGCCAGGATCCATCAGTCGGCAGATCAGTCCGGCCGGCAGTGCCAAGCCTTGGTGATGCCGCAGGGTCGACTCTGATCCTTGGTCGGTACACCCCCAAACATGCAAATCAAGCCCTTGGGAAAAATCCCTAAGCATTCCAAACGGGGTGCCAAATGCTCTGATTGTCCCGATCCACCCTCCAGCCTCCCTTGACGCTGGGATCAGGAATTCGGGGGTGGCATTCTATACCCGTGATCCTGCAATCTGATTGGCCGCTGACAAAGGACTCCTCGCTTAGAGTCAGGTGACTTCTGATAGAACCAATCAGCACTCGCAGCGGGATCAGCAGTCTTTGCAGGCCCTTTTTTGTGATCCGACAGCCGGCTCCCCTGATTCGCCTACTGGCAATCGCCCAGATCACCACCGCCCCTCCCGCCTACAAATACCCTCCCCCACCCGCTTCTCTTTCTTTCCTCTCTCATCCACCCAACGCCAACCACTCCGCCTTCCATCCTTTTTTCATCTCGATAACTCAAAGTCCATCAAAGTTTCATCAGAAAAGATGGCTCGTACCAAGCAGACGGCCCGTAAGTCTCACTTTTGCCATCTTTGGGTGGTTCCAACCACCCCTCTCGTGGGTGGTGTCACTCCCAGCCAATCCACCACGTTGGCGGGGGGCTGGGACGCGCCACGCGTTTGCTTCCATAACAAAAGCTAACCTTCTCAAATAGGTAAGTCCACTGGTGGCAAGGCTCCCCGTAAGGCCCTCGCCTCCAAGGCCGCCCGCAAGGCCGCCCCCTCTACCGGCGGTGTCAAGAAGCCCCACCGTTACAAGCCTGGTAAGTCTTCACATCACATGGCATCACATTAACACAGGTTCTAACCCTATCTCAAGGTACCGTCGCTCTGCGTGAGATCCGTCGCTACCAGAAGTCGACTGAGCTCCTGATCCGCAAGCTGCCCTTCCAGCGTCTGGTTCGCGAGATTGCTCAGGACTTCAAGTCCGACCTGCGCTTCCAGTCCTCGGCCATCGGTGCTCTCCAGGAGTCCGTTGAGGCCTACCTGGTCTCCCTGTTCGAGGACACCAACCTGTGCGCCATCCACGCCAAGCGTGTCACCATCCAGTCCAAGGACATCCAGTTGGCCCGTCGTCTCCGTGGCGAGCGCTCTTAGATTCATCTAGGGGTTGATTTTTCTTCTGGTTGACACTTCTGGGAAGGCGATCACGGGGTTCTTGTTTTTCTCTTTTATCATGACACAGGGCGATACATGATGGGTTTGCTTTTTTCTTCAATATCAATGGGTTTCGGAACCGGATTGTTCCTGAATTTGCTTTTTTACTCTGCGTGATCAAGCTGCCATCGCCGGCCGGGATGGTTCAGCCATGGACATGTACATTAAGGAGATCCCTCTTACCATGGTGCCTTAGCGCGCACCATATCATGACAGAGACGCTTAAGTGCGATCTCCTTATGATTCAGCTCGTTATTTCCAGTATTGTATGACCGTGTAGGCTTCGTTGATCTGGTAATGTACCGATAGGTTCAAACCAAGTGGCCGGTACAAGGTGCGACTGCGGGCGTAGTCTTGTTCGGATCCCTGCGGGTTGTTGTGACTGGAGGTCAGTCCACACTCTCACCCCAATTCAGCACCCCTCTCTACAATACAAAAAGACAGCCGTGCGGTCGCTCAGCCATCGCAGTGGTTTTTCCCGACGTGATGGGCTCAACCATCGAGCGTCACCCGGTCGGAGCCCCCCAGAACTCTTGAGCCCAGAGGAATCTTCCGTATCAATTCCCCAACTTCACCAAAGGATCAGCAGGGAGAGCCCCTTCGTGATCGACCTACAAACTCTGGCATCGAGAGATCGACTCAGCAAATGCCTGGACTGCCGCTGTGCGACCGTCGAGAATGCCCTGTCCAGGCAACCATGGACCCGCGACTGGTATCTGCGTGCTCTCTACTGGGGTCTGAGTTGCCGGGGACATGAGCTACAATGTTTTCCACGCCAAACAGACTGGACTTATCGACTTTCGAAGGGAATCATGCCCAGGGACAGGTGGGGAGAGGCCACTCAGACGTCATGCTTGGCTTGTTGAGGGACTCGAAAGGCGATTTTCTTTCCGTGATCCCAACGTCCACATGGGTCGGGTGTGTTTGAAACTTGCATGGATTAACTCCTGGAGTGCTATAGAATAGATCCAATCGGTTCTTTTACGGCCAAATTTCTTGAGTGCTGAAATCATGGCTACCTCGTCATGAAGCGATGGGTGGGGCCTCAGGCACAATACCCTGCAAGGCACCGAATGTTCTGCATTTGCCGCAATTTACTTGAGAAGACTATGGCTATGACAGTTTTTTTTTTTTTTTTTTTTTTTTTTTTGCTTGTTTCTTTTCTCTCTACTTCTGTTGTTTCTTTCTTTGTCTTCCCGTGGTCTGTCGGCGAATGCGACCGAATCGTCGCTTCGGCATCGCCGTGCCTCGGTCGGGAAGACTCGACCGGTTCTACTTCGGCGGTTTCATCCCATCCAAGCTCGGAGACTCGGTCCAGGGTGATCAGGCGATTTATACTGGACCGGGGGCTATGGCGTGCCTGGGCGTGGCAACTAGAAATGTGTAGGGCCTTACTGCTTACTGTCTGTCTTTGGCAGGCAGATGGGCGGATGTTGGTTTTTTCCATCCTATTCTTGAGCCAATATGTCAGGGAAAGGTCTCTTATCTCACTGGCCTTGACCTAAATTTGCCTGACTTTCTCTCCTTGCAACAAATCCTGTGGATGAATCGCGACATGGAGAGTCGACGGCCTAACGTGAGGGACAAGTCCTTGGCATGATACTTCGTCTGATTTGGCCCACCAGTTCCCTCTCTCACCGGGTCGCGATTTAGGGCTATAAACAATCACTTTAACTAGTACCAAGAAGCTGAGAGGCTCGGGCGCTTGGAAGCCGAGTTGGGGACCGGCGTATATGTAAAGCCATCGGCGCCCCGAATGTCCACCGGGGGCTATGGGATATTCGACGGGGGAAACACATTTAACTCCGGCGTATATACACACAGAAAATTCGAGAAGAGGTGAGGAACCCCGCAAGCAAACGCGTAACCCACCAATTAAGTAAAAAGGACTGTTCAGTCCTCGTCCATGCAAATGCATCTATGGATAGTGCATAGCATAGGCTCGGAGATGATTGATCATCCGCCATGTGGGATCGTGATCCACTCCGATTCATAAAAATAAAATCCTTGTTGTAGTTGCTCTATGCAGTAGAGCAGTAAGCTTCATAAAATCAGTCCTTGGATGCTGGTGTTCCCCGGCCTTATCGACGGGTATGTAATGAAGTTTGTTGGGTCAGGTTGTTTATAGGTCTATTGAGATCAAGGAGCTTTGTATATATATTTTTGGTAATACTTAAGACCATAGGATTTATTATCAATAACTCTAGACATACATGAAGGGGATCGCTGATGATCAGCTCAACCCCGACATCCCGACTCAACATCGATATGATCTCAACATAGCTCTGATGCATAACTATCGAGGTTCTCCAGTGTGATGGACTCTTGGATACGTGCGTTTCACCCGACCAATCAGAGCGATGCCGTGACAGCCGACGCTTGGGCGTAGCGTGGCTTATGCGCGTGTGCATAAAACGGGCCGCAAACAGTCACCTTTTTTTGCGGGAATCGAATATGGTTGAAAATATGGAAAATAGCTCATGGGGGTCATATATAGCAAAATAATATATTCATTACTTCTTATATCTATTTCCAGTCATATGTGTTAATTCGCAGTCTGATGTCAAGCTTGCGTTGGATGTATGCAAGCTCTGAATAATGTTCCGGCTCGGGACCCGCTTTTATTTTTTTCAATTTTTTTTTCCCCTTTCTATGGAACCCGATAGCACACTTTATGCTAGTTATTCCTCCTGACCCTGCATAACCATCGAGGGCCCCTCTTTGTTATGTGCGATAATCATAAAACCGGCAAAAGTCCGGGCCTAAATCCTGCGTGGACCAAGGAAGAAGAAGAAAAAAAAAAGAGAGAAAATGCACGCCACGAGGGTTTCCCCTCGTGCTCCATCTATATATAATTAGTGTTCATGCTCCCCAGATCCGATCCGCTTGAATTCACCTGCCTTGATTGATATATCTTTTATCCTTAATTATTATTATTCTTTTGGTTATACTTGACCCCCGAATCCGGTCTACACCCTCACCGGTTCTTCCCCGCAAACGGTGTACCCGTGGGAATCATATACAAACATACCCCAGCCCGCAGTGGCTGTCCCTTTGATCATCCTTTGCTGGTTGCCACTATAATACCGAACTGCCTCTTTTGTTGAAATTCCCGCGTCGACTACATCCAACCTGCCCACCATGGCAGACGCAAAGAACCATGTCTCCGAGAGGATCGAAACCTCCGCCCCGACAAAGATCCCCTACTGGCGCTTGGTCTTTGACCAGGGCGTCGTGACGCAAGAAATCCTCGATTTCCCATACCCCGGCTCGGGAACAGACGAGGACCCATACTGCGTAACATGGCTTCCCGACGACCCTCGCAACCCCATGAATTTTAGCGAGGTGAAGAAGTGGACGTTTACTTTGCTGGTGGCCATTGCCACCTTGGCTGTGGCCCTGGTTTCTTCGGCTTATACGGGAGGTGTGCAAGAAATTGAAATGGAATTCCACATTGGGAGCGAAGTTGCCACTCTGGGTGTGTCGCTGTTCGTTCTGGGTTTCGCGGTATGTCTTAGTCTTCTTCATTCAATCGGATTGTTTGGAGGTTGAAAAAAAAAATACTGATATCTTTCTAGATTGGACCACTTCTCTGGGCTCCCCTTAGCGAGCTGTTCGGCCGCCAGATTCTCTTTGCCGTGACCTACTGCGCTCTGACGGCATTCAATGCTGGTAGTGCCGGCGCTCAGAACAGCTGGACACTTATCATCCTTCGTTTCTTCGCCGGATCTTTTGGCTCGTCGCCTTTGACCAACGCCGGTGGTGTCATTGCCGATATGTTCCCCGCCAAGCAGAGAGGTATCGCCATGAGTCTGTTCGCCGCTGCACCTTTCCTCGGACCCGTTCTGGGACCTATCATCGGTGGATTCCTCGGAATGAACGCTGGCTGGCGATGGGTGATGGGTTTCCTCGGTGCCTTCTCTGGTGCTGTCTGGATCATGGGCACTCTGTTGATCCCCGAGACCTACGCACCCGTGCTGCTTCGTCGCCGCGCAGAGAAGCTTTCCAAGCTCTCCGGAAAGATCTACCGGAGCAAGGTTGATATCGATCAGGGCAAAGTGAGCCTCAAGGACTCGTTCAAGGTGGCGCTGTCTCGCCCCTGGATTCTTCTGTTCCGCGAACCTATCGTGTTCCTGCTGTCTCTCTACATGGCTATTGTGTATGGCACTCTGTACATGATGTTTGCAGCGTTCCCCATCGTCTTCCAGGTCGACCGCGGCTGGAACCAGGGTATTGGCGGGCTGGCCTTCTTGGGTATTATGGTTGGCATGTTGGCTGCCGTTGTTTACACGATTTTCGACAACAAGCGATATATCCGGGTCCAGGAGAAGCATCAGGGGTTCGCACCCCCGAAGCCCGTCTGCCGCCCTGCCTCATCGCGTCGATCGCTATCCCCGTTGGTCTCTTCTGGTTCGCGTGGACCAACTACCCCTCGATTCACTTCATGGCTAGTATTGCCGCCGGCGTGCCCTTTGGCTTCGGCATGGTCCTGGTGTTCCTTGGAATCATGAACTACCTGATCGACGCCTACACGATCTTCGCCGCCTCGGTCTTGGCAGCCAACTCCGTGCTGCGGTCGTGCTTTGGTGCCGCATTCCCTCTGTTTACAACCTACATGTACAACAACCTGGGCATCCACTGGGCATCCTCGATCCCCGCGTTCCTGGCACTCGCCTGCGTGCCCTTCCCCTTCCTGTTCTACAAGTACGGCGCCACGATCCGCAAGCGCTGCAAGTTCGCCGCCCAGTCCGACGCCTTCATGCGCAAGATCCAGGAGCAGGTGCAGACGGCTCCCTCCTCGGAGGAAGAGAAGGAGCTCGAGTTCGATCGCACTGAGGCGCCCGCTCCGCATGAGTCTGTCTCCAGTGACTCTGATGTCGACGAGCTGCCCACCCAGCGTATCCGCAGCCATGCCCAGTCTATTGCCTCTACCCGCACCGCCGGCTCTTCGCGCCAGCCCACTTATGATGGCAACCCCTATGACATTGACCGTGTCAACACCCGCGAGTCCTTCAAATAAGGCTCTTGCAATTGTGTCTTTGCTCTTATCCTCGTTTTCTTTCCTGCTCATACCATGCATATCCGTCACATATTGCGACTATAATCATAGTATCTATTGCCCTTTTCTTTCCCCCTTACCACACACAAAAAAAATCCTCACGAGCATTGTCTTTGCATGCGATATATACATGTCCGCTCATGCCCTGTCTGTTTTTTGATACCCCGAAGTGATTTTGCTATGCTGATACCACGTCGGGGACGACCTCATTGATGTATTTACGGATTACTTGCATATATAGATCTGGGTCGGTGTTTGGCTCGAATAATTGATTAATTCTTGAGTGCCTTCTCCAGCATGATTTAGTTGAGTAATTACTGTAATATAGTAATAGATCCAAGGCAACACTTATCGATGTTGAGTGAATTTGTCAGTCGGAGAATCACGGCATTCGCCCTGGCCGACTACCGAGTTCGCTTCGGGCGATTTTAGTCAAATCTCACTCTCAGTCATCTTGAGATTTTCATGTTCATATTTTTGTTTTTACTCTCATTTGCACTCTTCTTCCTTTTCTTTTCTCTCTTTAATAACAAACGCTGACTTGGTCTCTTTTGTCTGAAACTGGCATCCGATCTTGGCGCCTTCTTATCTCCTCACGATCGGATCTGCGATAATCCTCGGCCCATCTTGATCTCCCGCTGCCTTGTGTTCACTGCGCCCGAGTACTCGTGTGTTCTACCCGGCAGGAAAGAAGGATCTTGGATATGGGTCTCTGCCAACATGGACTTGTATCCAAAGCGCCGTACCTGATCCGGCCACGAGCGACAGCCCCTGGTGTCCGATCTCCGCTGCGCCGAGTGCGACAGCCACGCCGATACCAGTCTTCTGACTCCGCGCCGCCCAAATCGTTTGTGGAGAGCAAAGCCGTCGAAGAGGGATCGTCGACTGTGAATACTTCTGCCTCCGCGAATCCTCAGCCAGCCGCTCCGTCTTCCTCACCGCAATCGCCATCGGCCGCAGCTTCGGCTTCGTCCCCCGCCGGGCCATGCAATACTCTCGCCGCAGCCGCCGGGGCAGCGACCACGTCTGCGGCTACTAGATCTGTGACGCGATCTCGGGCGCTGGGCGAGGTCATCAAGGCCGGCCCTGTCGGGCGATTGGGGAGATGGTATACCCGGGTGCAGGACAAGAGGCCGTACGTGACACAAGTGTGCAGCTCGATCATTATCTACTTCTGTGGTGATTTGAGCGCGCAGATGCTGTTTTCGGAGAATAGCGACGACTCCAAGGCACCCGCACAGTCGAAGGACGAGGAAGCGCAGGAGGAGACGGACCATACCTCGGGATATGATCCGTGGAGAACGGTGCGCCACTTGATCGTGGGATCCGGATCGAGTATCCCGACGTACAATTGGTTCATGTTCCTCCACAACAACTTCAACTACGCGTCGCGGTTCCGCTCCATCCTGACCAAGGTCGTTGTGCAGCAGATGTGCTTTACTCCGGTCTTCAACACATACTTCTTTAGCATGCATTCCCTCCTTGCGGGCGCCTCTTTGGAAGAAACCTGGGAGCGGGTTAAGAAGGCTCTCCCTGTCAGTATCACCAACAGCGTCAAGCTGTGGCCTGCTGTTACTGCTTTCAGCTTCATGTATGTGCCGCCGCAGTTCCGGAATGTCTTCTCCGGCTGTATTGCCGTCTGCTGGCAGACGTATCTGTGTTGGCTGAACCAGAAGGCTGCGGGCGAGGTCCAGGCTGCGGAGCTTGCGGCGCAGAATCAAGTCTCGAGCGCGTCGCATGTTGCGCCCAGTGGCAGTCTGATTCCTGCAGCAGGCACTGCATGAAATCGAGGGTTTGACCCGGTCGTTTCGTATAGATTTTAGGGTCAGCATTGTGGCCGTGTTGGGCTTGCTTTGGGTGTTTTTGGGAGCGATGCATTTTCAGGCTGGGCCACGCACTTTCATATAGACCGATAGAATAGAATCCGGCAACTTTCTATTTCATTTGACCATTCAATTATAGATTACTATATGGATTTACAGGCAACTTGTATTTGGGCGTGCATGTCGAGTGCTAGCAAAGTAGCCAATCATCGCGCCGGGATTCCCAACGCAGGTCCCTCATCGCAATGACGCATTTCGCGTCTCGTTCAACAACCCTCCCGATTGCCACACAGGACATGACCTCCCCCATTCGTCGCAGGCATGTCCTGCCCACCGCCATTACAGAGGCCTGAGAAACGCCACTCTAGCGACTACGGCTCCGACTTCACGCCGGACGAAGAGGAGCTTTTGAACGAGCTGCTCACCAAGGCCGACGCCGACGCCGCGGCGCCCTCGACCCCAAACCGAATCTCAACACCCTCAGCGGCGCTGCTGCCGATCGAGGATCCCATTTCGGCACGCGCAGCAGAGACACCCGATCTCGCGTCCCTGCATCCGACGGCTCTTGCGGCGCTCGTTGCGGATATCGAGGATGGCGTCGATGACCCGGTCGGTATTCGGCTGCCTAAGGTGCTGGGCCGGGAGCACCCCCGTTCACCATGGCGGTGCTCGAGCCAGCAGCCGCACTGGAGCCCGGGGCTTGGATGGGGTGGTATGGCGGGGAGGACAGTTCAGAGCGCAGACAACAGGGACCGCTCGGTTGGTATGTGCTTGTGTCTTCTTGATTTACTTGCTTCTCTGTCTGCTTCATATTGTATTATGAGGGTTTGAGTTTCTGAATTGGGCTGACGATCTGATATCCGAAGCGTTTAGTCGAGCACCCGAGTTCTACTGAGGGTAGAGAACGAGAGCGAGAGCGCACTGTTGCGCGGGAGCGCGAGTGGACGCAACAGGATCCGGCCGCGGCAGCGCTAGATTCTCGATCTCCTGTGGAACGCTTTCGGCAACCGCCGAACAAGGCGTTCTCGGTTACAGACCTCGTCTCGCCTGCTTGGTGTGAATTGCAGTACTGGTATACCTTGACCAAGCATGGCAGGAAGAGGAGGACCCCGGCGATGACGAAGGGGAGCGTCGTGCACAAGACCCTCGAGGACGAGATCTATACCACTGTACCCGTGGAGATCACGACCAAGGAGGATGCTTGGGCCCTGAGGATCTGGAATGTGATCCAAGGACTGCGCCTGCTGCGCGAGTACGGCGTCACGCGTGAGCTGGAGGTCTGGGGCGTTGTCGATGGGGAGCTGGTCAATGGGATCATTGATCAGTTGTCTTACGAATGTCCCGATCCCGAGCTCGAGGCAACGGCTGGCCAATACTATGCAGACGCGGCGGCGTCCCGGTTGACATTGCCCGAGTATCAGATGTCCCTGTCGGACTTTTTGCTGTCTTCTGGTCAGGGTGGGAGAAAGCTGTCAGACATTGGGCAACCAGCTCCTGAGGAGGAAGATCTTCCCGGTGATGACGAGTCTGCGACGTTCTATGGCTTGCCACGAGTGTACATGACGGACGTCAAGACCAAAGCCAACCGCACAGTTCCCACTGTCAAGAGCACCTCGTTTAGGCCGACTCTCCTTCAACTACAACTATATTATCATATGCTGAACCGCCTTATCACGAGTGACGATGTCACAATGGAATTGCTCGCATCGCGCTATGACCTGGACCCGACCCGCTCTTTCACCGACGCCTTCATCTCTGAAGTGGGTGAACTGAACGATGAATTTTTCGACACCCTCGCTTCCCAAGAGTTTGACCTCGACAATATCCCTACACCCGATGACGCGCGAAGGGCCTCTAGTGGTCCTGCAGCGGCATCAAGCCCGCCTCCCTCCGCCAGCCAAGACACAGCAAGCATCCTCCTGACCCACAGCAACCTCACCCATCTATGGAGTTTTATGAAAGAACAACTCCGCCTCACATTTCTCCCCCATCTCACCTCTCCGAACTCGACACAAGCTCAGTCTGTTGCACCATCAATCCCATCCCACTCCCAACCGGCCATGCTTGAGCCATACCCCACCCTTCTCTCGCCCGTTCTCACTGCCCGCTACCTGTCCTCTGCCCCTACGGTGGATTTCCACCCCCAACTCCTGGGAAGCCGTTCATTCCTCTTCGACCCTGCCACTATGACGTCCTACCTGACCGACCAGATGGACTGGTGGCGTGGCGAGCGAGATCCTCACGGTGTCGAGGTCATGGACGCGTGGAAATGCCGTGTCTGCGAGTTCCGCGATGAATGTTCCTGGCGCCAGGAGCGCGAGTTGGAGATGGCTCGGCGCAACCGGGGGCGCAGTGCTGGTGCATCGGCAGATGTTTCAACCGTATAGACTTTTCAGCGACTGCATCTACGTTTGTACTCCATAGAATGCGAGTCCTAGGAGAGGTCCGATACTACTTTCTCACCCGTTTAGACAACCAGTTCTTTCTGAATAATACAACAGAATCCGATGTTCTCTCTATCTCAGTAAGGATAACTCCGCACCTCATTCTCCTTATCAACCTCCAACCCAGCAGCCACCTGCTCAGCATGCATGCGATCCAGAAACTCCAGCAAAACATCCTGATACTTCTCCTTCCCCTTATACCGGGACACATCATCCCCCCAACTCCGCACCGCCGACGCCAGTCGTCCAGGCACAAAAGGTTCCTTTACAATCTCAGCAACGGGCTCAAAATATGTTCGAATCGTAAATACCACAGCCCCAGACCGCGGCAACCGCCGCAGCGACTGCCTCTCAGAGCGAAAGAAATGGCTCTCAACCGCCCGGTTCTTCTGCGCCGTATTCCACGAGATCTCCGGCGCGTCCTCGGGCCCGATGCTGTGCGACCATGCCAGGTTATCGTCCACCTGGATGAAGTAGTTGTTGCGCAGCACGGGCTCCTCGGGCCGCAGGCGCCGGAAGAAGTTCGTCATCCCCTTTTCGAGCTTCTCGCGGAATTGTGGCACGTCGCCTGATGTGTGGATTTCTGAGAGCCCCATTCCGAATTTGTCGCTTAGTCGCCAGAATCCCGCCAGCAGGATGCTGCCTGCTAGGAGCTTGTATTCGCCGTTTGGTTGCTCGATCATTATGGCCAGGTCGTCTTGGACTAGTCGCGCTGCGGTGGCCATCGGGTCTTCTGCTAGGGGTTGGTGTTTGATGTTGAATGTTTCGCCTGTGACGCTGTTGGTGAGTCCGGTTGGTGTGGATTGGAACATGCTTGGGTAGCGTTCTGGGAGATAGGCGCAGCTGTTGGTGAATATGGATGAGCTTGGATTCCAGTTTTTGTTGCTTCTGGGCATGTTTTGCCAGCAAACTTACAGTTCTTCCAGGAGCTCCATCGCCCCGTCCATCGCTTCCGGTGCCGTCCTGCAGCATTTATCGCCGCGTTCTTGGATCCGTCGTGCTTTATCCGCATGGTACTTGAGATAGTGATTATCGAGTTCTGATATGACCGTCATTCGCGGAGTGTCAGCGTGTATAGACTCCAACCACTAGGGCTCATACTTCATACCAATCCACTCATCCCATTTCATGCTCCTCAACCCCATGGTCACAAAGTATTTCCTGCTTTAGTGAGAAACACATACGTACACCCCAGATACATGAAGCTAAAGGGGGTTGGACTCACGGGCCATATCGAAACGGCCGATAGGGAATCGGCTTGGTGGAGTGGACATTCCAGTCTGGGTATGGAGGCGCTGGGGGTCGCTTGAAATCAGATGGAGTCCATTCTATCCACCATCAATTAGCTAGGAATCGTGATTGTCTTTACTTCCTGGTAACTGGCACTTACCACCCGGATTTCGGGTCACTTTGGTTCGCACGCCCGGCCGTGCGACGGGTCTCTTTTTCTCTAGATCTGGGGTTAAGGGTCGCGGTGCCTTGCTGCTGGTAAAGAGCGTCCATCTTGGCGAGACCCAGATCCATAGAAATGCACAGAGGCTGAGAAGGAGAAGAAAGGAGCCCGCGGCTTTTATTGTTGTTGGGGTAGATGATCGAATGATCTCTTGGAGAGACTCTGCGACCAGCATGATCAAGAGCTATATTGCAAATGTGTGGTGACAAGGATCTGCTGTTGTGCTTCTGTAGGTCTCATGAGAAGTGGCAGCCTTGAGTATATCAGATGAATAGGGCCGATTTGCCATGAATGTATATTACGGAGAAAGAAAGAAAGAATTATCAAGATAATCCGACAGCGCAGAAATCCTCTCTGGGGACCTGCCGTTCTGGTTAAGTCGATGCGAGGTCTACATCGGTCATCAACCAGTGCTATACCGCTTTGCAGGCGAATGTCGAGGGGGGAGGGTTTGAGCGGGGGATGAAAAAGAAAGGTGACATACTCCGCGTCTGTTTCGAGCCGTTGGATCCGCGTCTGCATGCGCTGAGAGCAAATGAGCGCAGAGGATATACAGCTGGAGAAGCACAGCTTATCAGTGGATCTTTTGTCCTGTTCGGGTAAAGTGACACCATGGATATACAAAGATGCCAAGGGATTTGGGCTCGATGATGAATTCCTTTTTTGATTTTATTTAGAATGAAAGTAGAAGAGTCCCCCCATTTCTCTTTTCCACGCCACGCGTTCCATATTTTATACAGCGGCGTGGCGTTGCAGCAGACAATACTGGCCCCAGGTTCGTCGGAAGCGCTCAGGGATGAATGGCAAATCAGGGATCCAGATCAGCCGGCCCAAAAGGCTTGTCTGTGATGCATCGAGAAAGCGCTCGCATTTAAGAGGTTCCCACTGCGACTCGTCCAAGACATAGTGAGGCTCCAGCTCGGTGGCTTCGCGGCCGGGGAAGTACGAGTCGACGAGGAACGAACATTGAGCAAGATCCACCTGCGGTTTTTCAAATCAGCATCTGGCCGTGGTAGATTGATAAATTATAGGGGCCTGCACTCACGTATTTGTTGGGATCCTCAACGTTGACATCGTTCATGCCCGACGGAATCTGCGAGGCGCCGTCCAGACGAGCACGATAGCTGGCCGCATCGGGAAACTCGCCCGGCAGCAGTCCTCGGAATTCACTTCGAATGAACTTGGCCCGCATCTCGTGTGGCAGGAAGTAACTTGACGGGAAGCGATACCACTCCTTGCCGAAGCAGACTGACTCCCCGGCTAGGGCAACTTCTGCGGTCTGCAGCGGCTCTAAGACCTTCAGTGGAGCGTTGTACGCCGTCACCATACCGAGAGTGCGCAGCATGCCGACATTGATGGCGACCAGAATGATCGGCATAACGGCGACGAGCTTCAGTTTGGTCGGTACACGCCCAATGAACTCTTTGGGGTTGCTCGACCCGATATACGATAAAACTAGGTGGAATGCGAGGGCCGCATCCAGTGCAAGGAAGGGATATGCTGGGTACATGAACCGTTCCTCTTTGTGCGGTTGGGCTGTGAAGATGCCAAACCATAGGTAGAAAGGCGTGACCAGGGTGATGGAGCGTAGCAGTGTCTGAATCGACGTGGTTTGCGATCGGAAGAGCCCCTGGAGGAGCAAGAGTGGCGCGGATATTATGGCAAAGACAAACCAGACGTTGAAGTTCAACAGCAGGTTTCGCACGTAGAAAGTCCACGGCTCGGTTCCAAAGATCTCGGGTCCTTTGCCCTGCTCGCCGAATATGTTGTATGCAACAATGTTCCAAGGAACGAGGACAATTTTTTGGAAGCAAGCGTAATCCACGGCCACTTCGAGCCCCTGTCATATACCTTAGCAAATGTATCAAAACTCCATGTACTCCAAGCACCTACCAAGATAACTAGACATCTCGCCACCCCATCAAAGATGTAACACAGAACCGAGCTCATGGATCCAGAGAGGAAGCCAAGGATGAGCTCTTCAGCCAAAAGGGGAACAATGAGAGCACCGGCAAATGGCCACCCGACGATGGCACCCAGCCCGAACCACATGATTCCCTGGGCAGTCTTTTGCCCGCCCCTCGAGTCCAAGAAAGCAGCGAGACCCAACATATTCATATACATGGTGAAGGTCGAGGGTAGAAAGGCGGTCGAAGCATGGAACATGCCCGGGCTGAATGCCACAATCATCAAAAACAACAGACCGATGCGGGGGCTGAGCGTTCGGCAGATGGCCGCGTACAACCTGGTCTGGCAGGCGGCGCACACAAAGGCGAGGAAAAATCGAATGACATAGAACTCGGCTGTCTTGCTGTTGACAGCCAGTGACCCTAGCTTACCCACGGCCGCATGTAGCGAGACGTAAAGCCAGCTTCGGATCGAATACACGGGTGAGTATTCCCATGTCTGCAGCCCATATCCATGTTGGAGATAGTGTGCCGGTTCCCAGAAGTTAAACACCTCATCGCAATCCTGGATCGGGGCGAACAATGCCGCAAGGCCATTGGAAATCAGACACAAATACAGTGTGGTATTGAGCGGGAGGTAAAACGGCGGCGGCGGGGGGCTATGCAAGCAACTGTCAGCTACGCCTATAGTTTCAATCGAGTGTTAACATACCGTGGTTTTGTTCTTGGGGCATGGGCAGCCCCAGGATTCTGATCATTTCCAGTCATTGTGGAAAGGGTGCAACGAGCAGAGAGGGAGGCAGAGAGGGAGCTCCGATAACCGATAACGCGGATGCGGCGACCGCCCGGCAGATCCACAAAAAAAGTTCCCGCGACTTTTTTGTCCGAGTTCGTCGCAACTTTCTTGTTCCATGCTTCATGTTGGATTTTCCCTTGCAGATCCAAGATGAGTGACTCCCAGGTTCCACCGACCGAGTCTGTTGTCGCCAGTGACGGCCCTCACTCGAACCAGCCTACAACGATCGATACGCCACCCGTCGCAGCGACTCCGGACGAGGGCAGTAATTTTTACAACACTCCCTTGGCTGCAGGAACACCGTCTATTCAAGCAGACAGTCAAAAGGATGCCGCGACAAACAGCATGATCAAAGCCCCTGATTCCTCGGAACCTGCTCCCATGATTCCCGGACTAAACCTTGTCAACGACCCCAATGACCCGCAGTCTATGAGCAACCAACCACCCCCAGAATCAACGACGGCCGCAGTAAAACAAGAACAAGAAGAGCCTGAAACCAAGCAGGAATTGAACGAGCCAGAGATCCAGCAGGAATCAAGCGAATCAGCGATGAAAGAAGAACCCCGAACCGCAATTCAGCAGGAGCCAGAAGAAAATTTGCAGGTCAACAATGAACCAACCTCGGCCCCTAGTGACATTATGGAAGTCGACCAAGCTCCAGAAATTGGCAACACGGAAAATGCACCTGACCAGGGCGCGGAAGCACTGGAGAACGAGGAAGAAGGGGAGCACCCGGAGTGGGAGGTCGACTCTTCTCCGTACGAATCCTCCTCGGACAGCTCTACGTCTACGGATTCAGATGACAGCGATGATGAAGATTACCCCATGCTCAGCCCGGAAGAACAGGCACGGATCCTCATGCAGGCGGAGGCTGGATCTGATGATGAGGGAGAGGGCAAAGGCAAATCGAATGGACACGTTCGATCGACCAATGAGGTTGCGGAAGAAGTCCCGCCAATTCCTGACGTTGAAGTTACCCCCGATATGAAAATCGTGTTCCTAGGGAAGATCCAGACGGTTGTCGACAACGCCCTCCTCATCGAGGCCAACACCTCTGGAGAGTACCAAGTTCTTGAATCAGGCTCGTTGCTGTGCCGCGATGATCGCAAACTTGTGGGTGTAGTGTCTGAAACGCTCGGCCGAGTCGAAAACCCCTTGTATACGGTCATGTACGCGTCTGCCTCCGAAATACAGGAACGGGGCTTGTACAAGGGCATGGATATCTTTTATGTCGAGGCACACTCTACTTTCGTGTTCACTCAGCCGCTCAAGGGCATGAAGGGAAGCGATGCTTCGAATTTCCATGACGAGGAGGTCGCCGAGGAGGAAGCCGAGTTCTCAGACGATGAGGCAGAGGCCGAATACAAGCGCAGACTGAAACAGAAACGGCAAGACAAAAAAGAAGCCAGAGATGGCCCTGCAAGAGGAAAGAAAGGACCCCCGGGGCCATCAAAGCTGAGCCACACTGGACTCAACTACGACGATGGAGCCGAGGATGGCTACACGCCCCTTGCTCGTCCCAAGAATCTCCACGAAATCATGGGTACTCACGAGGCTCCGGTCGAAGGAAACGAGCGTGGATCTAACTTCCGTGGTGGCAGAGGCCGTGGCCGAGGCTCTGACCGTGGCCGCGGCCGCGGTAGGGGTGGTGGCGGCAGAGGAGGATGGGATCGTGACCAGGACCGTCGTCCCCCGCAGAGCGGCGGCTCGCATTATGGACCACCGGCCACGAATCCCCAGGCCTCGGGCTATGGCCAACCGGCGTACCCTCAGCACCAACAGCCTGCCTACGGTATGCCCCAGCCATTCGCCGGGTATGCACCGTATGCGCAGCAGCAACAGACACCCCAGCCGCAATTCGCTCAAGGCGCTGCTCCAGCTCAATTCCCCTTCCAGTTTCCCTTCCCCCAGGCCTTCCAACAACCGAATCCTTTCCAACCAGTCCCGGCGGGTGCTCACGTCAATCCTCTTTTCTTGGCTGCATTGCAACAGCAGCAGCAGCAACAATACCAGCAGCCGCAATCGGTGCCTTCCCAGGCTCAGCCGCAAAATCCGGCCATGAACTTTGATCAAGTCAAAGCTCAGTTGGATCTTTTGCGGAGCCTCAGCAACGGAAACCAAGGGCCGCCTCCTACTTGATATATTTCCTGGTTTTGTTCATTTGCTGGTCGTGTTTTGACCTGAACTATTTGCATTTGAAGCGGGTTTTGTGTCTTTATGGATGGGTTCAACTAAAAGTTTAGGGTGCGATTGCGATATTTTTAAGCCGAGTCGCTGTAAAGGATAGAGTACATATTGCATTAATTGCATCAAGGTGTATGAATCACACTGGCTGTAAGAAAGAAAACTCCACTTAGCATCACCGGGGTCTATCGATGAACCTCGACTTAGAACTCGGCTGGCTTGGCGCTCTTTGCCAGAGTCCAGAAATTCTCCATCTTCGACCGGGACAAAGCATCTTTAGCTGCTGCGTCGGTCTCGCAGACTCGGGCACCCAGCCACCTCTTGAAAGCGCGAGCCTTGGCCTGGCCTTCCCAGAGCAGAGTGCATGAGTTGTGGGTAAAGTCTCGTAGCTCTCCTTGCTCATTTTCCGTGGATAACCACGATACCTGAGGTTCGCGGCTGGCTTCGGCCGCCGTGTCGGGGCCAGGATTCTCGGTCCAGTTGATGCGGTTGAGCATCAGCTTTCGGTAGTTGTTGATCGAATGCTTGCCGCCCTCGACGATCACCAAGTTGAATTTGGGATGCATGACGCAGATTCCCGTTAAAGCATTCTGCTCTGCATTTTTGCTGACTTTGAAGCGGTTTCGACCACTCGCAAGACTGTCGACTCGATAGACTGACAGATGAATGCCCAGCGCGGCATCCTTCTCCTGCTGAGACACCAGTTTCTCGCGTCGCTGGTCTTTGGTCAATTTGCGTTCCTCGTTCATGACCTCGTGATTCTCCCGACGGTCTGCGATCTCCCTGGTCACTCGGGCCTCCACAGCCGTGGGGTCCTTGACCGCTTGCTCGCCAAGAACCCGCATGAGATTGGATTTCTTGACCTTTGGAGGCGGGGCCGGTTCGAGACCCAGCCTGATCTTTGCTTGCTGTTCCTTCAGGTCCGCCATTCTTCGCTGCCGGCGAATCTTGGCCTGCTCCTTTGGTGTGAGGTACATGGGTTTCTGCTCGGGAAGCTGTTTTTCCTGCGGAGGATCGAGGAGAATAGGGTGCTGAATATAGTGGGTCACGATGGAGTCGGGCGTATCAATTTTGAGATTTTGCTGGTCGTCAATTGCAGAGTATTCGCTGCCGTTGACCAGTCCCTCGTCCCACCATTCCACACCCGGGGGAGCAGGAACCAAGAATGCCTTCTCCACATCCAAATCCTCATCAATACCAGCCTGTCTTGCCCTCTCTGCGATTCGTTTCTTCATAGCTTCCAACTGCGCTTGCCTGCGCAGGGCCGCAGCCTGCTGAATATATTTGCCCTTCTGGTTGAAGATAAGCCCTCGGGAATGTCGCGGCTTGGCTATTGTTGCTTTAGGGCCGAGACTCGGGTCAAAATAGGGGTTGTTCTTGATCTCCTCAATTGACGGGCCGGACAAATCAAGCCGCGCTCGATCGTCACGCTGAAACGCGGAGTCGCCGCGCCTATTCCCGGCCTTGGGATGCTGCCGTCCCTTACCACCACGGAAATCTGGTGTGGTGTCTGACAGCAATGCGGGATGCAGACCAACGTCCAGGCCACCGCGAGCCTTGGATAACCCATCATCGTCGAGCGCCGGTGGTTGGTAGGAAGGTGCAGGAGCGTTGGTTCGTTGCTGAGAGGCAGCGCCTGCTTTGCCCGTCGCCGCTGCGACTCTAGCTTTCATCTGTTCCAATCTTGACATCGCAGGGCTGGAAGCTGGCGGCGTAGGACTGGAGCTTGAATCTGTCGGTGGCACTGTCGGTGTCGCGCCGCCGCGCGCAGCTTGAAGGCGAGCGCGCACAGCTTCTGCCTTAGCCTTCGCCTCGGCTACCATCTTGTCGATATCGACCTTTCCTGACGCCACGCCTCCCTGGCCTGGTAATGGAGAAACATTGTTCGACCGGGTCCGTTTCTGCGAGTTGTTGTCTTCCTCCTCAGGGTGAGGCCGCTTCAGCCCGCTACCCGACACGTCTGTCATGGCGATAAAAAGTCTTCTCTCACTCCACCGTCTCCCACTTGGCCGACCGGGAAGTCGATGACACGAGATATGAGCGTGTTGCCAGAGACGAGAAGAAGTGACGGACGATCGTGGAGATGAACCCAAAATGGGGTGGGCGGTGGGTTTTGGCAGAAAAAAAAAGATGGTCGAAAAAGTTTCGCTCTTCCGCAAGACAAGAACTCGGAGCTTCGTTTTTGCTTGCACCGCCAGCGTCTTCTGTCGCTCGAGGAGCTGCAGAATACAATGGTGAACTTCGCACGCCCTGTAGCCTCGACTATCTCCGGGGTCGACTTCAACGTCTACTCCGAGGAAGAGATTAAAGCTCTCTCGGTCAAAAGAATTCACAATACTCCGACCTTGGATTCGTTCAACAACCCGGTCCCCGGTGGTCTTTATGATCCTGCGCTGGGCGCATGGGGAGACCATGTGTAAGTTTGATTTGATTTTTGCTCCTAGATTTGCGCTCCATATCTGACGGGAAGCAATCCATGTTCAGGTGTACTACATGTCGCTTGAACTCTTGGTCGTGCACCGGCCATCCCGGGCACATTGAACTCCCAGTACCCCTCTATAACGTCACCTTCTTCGACCATATTTTCCGTCTTCTTCGAGCACAATGTGTCTACTGTCATCGTCTGCAGATGTCTCGTACCCAGGTCAATTTGTACTCGTGCAAGTTGCGCCTCTTGCAATACGGCTTGGTCGACGAAGTGGCAGCAGTAGATGCGATTGGATCTTCAAAGGGTGCTAAATCGAAGGGGTCGAAGGGGAAAGATGACTCTGGCGACGAAGAAGAGGAGGACGATGAAGACATCATGGAAAAACGCAATTCATATGTCACCCGGCGCATCCGAGAAGCCAAAAAGGATGGCAAGCTGGATGGGCTGATGGCTGGCGCAAAGAATCCAATTGCCGCAGAATATCGTCGAGAGTTGATCAGGAACTTTCTCAAAGACATCACCAGCCACAGGAAATGCGCCAACTGCAGCGGGTATGTTCCTCGACGCTTTAGAATCTTTACCTGTCCTTTTCACTAACAATGCGATACAGAATTTCCCCATCGTATAAAAAAGATCGCTACAGCAAGTTTTTCCGGAAGCCGTTACCCGAGAAGGCAAGACTTGCGATGTTGCAAGGTGGATTCCAAGCACCAAATGCGATGGTTATGCTGCAACAGGAAAGGAAGCATAATTCCAAGCAAAATGGTGCTCAGGCAAACGGAATTTCTGATACCGGTAGCGTTGTTTCCGAAGTACATGGCGCCGAAGAAGAGATTCGTCGGGGTGCCGCTGTCACCAAGCAGGCGGGCCCACAAGGTGAGACAGGTCAGGAGTTCATGTCTTCTTCAGAGGTCTACAGCGCCCTGCGGCTTCTATTCCAAAAGGATGGCGAGGTCCTCCAGCTCGTATATAACTCGCGGCCCGTGCCGAAAGGAGTGACAGTGGTGACAGCCGACATGTTTTTTATCAAGAGCATTCTCGTTCCGCCAAACAAATACCGCCCCGCTGCCGCACAAGGCCCTGGCGAGATCATGGAGGCACAGCAGAACACCCCGTTCAACTCTATCTTGAAGCAATGTGACAACATCAACCAAATCAGCAAGGAGATCCAGAACCAGGAGGAGCAAAGTCTTGCTCGGGTGCGGAATTACAGTGATCTACTTCAGGCAATCGTCTCGCTTCAGGACATGGCTAACGGGTTGATTGACCGTGACCGAACCAGTCTTACTGGATCGGCTGCCCTGTCAGCACCTAACGGCATCAAGCAGATTTTGGAGAAGAAAGAAGGGTTGTTCCGTAAGAACATGATGGGAAAGCGAGTTAACTTTGCTGCCCGAAGTGTCATTTCTCCTGACCCGAACATTGAGACTAATGAGATTGGTGTGCCCCTTGTGTTTGCGAAGAGGTTGACGTTCCCAGAACCTGTGACAAATCACAATTTCTGGGAACTGAAAGAGGCTGTGATCAATGGACCGGACAGGTATCCTGGTGCCTCTTCGATCGAGAACGAAAATGGCCAAGTCATCAACCTCAAGTTCAAGAGCTTGGACGAGCGGACTGCACTGGCAAACCAACTGCTTGCTCCATCGAACTGGCGGATGAAGGGCTCACGAAACAAGAAGGTCTACCGCCATCTCACCACGGGTGATTATGTCCTGATGAACCGTCAGCCGACTCTCCACAAGCCATCCATCATGGGTCATAAGGCTCGCGTGCTCCCCAATGAAAGGACCATTCGAATGCACTACGCCAACTGTAACACCTACAACGCGGATTTTGATGGTGACGAGATGAACATGCACTTCCCCCAGAATGAACTTGCTCAGGCAGAAGCCCGGATGTTGGCAGACGCCGATCACCAGTATCTTGTTGCCACATCCGGCAAACCCCTGAGAGGTTTGATTCAGGACCATATTTCCATGGGAACATGGTTCACATGCCGCGACAGCTTTTTCGACGAGGAAGACTATCACCAGCTGCTGTACAGCTGCTTGAGACCGGAGAACTCACACATTGTCACTGATCGAATCCAACTTGTGGAGCCCGCAGTGCTCAAGCCGAGATACATGTGGACCGGAAAGCAGGTGATCACGACAATCCTCAAGAACATCAAGCCCCAAGAACGCGCGGGTATCACTCTTAAGAGCAAGTCCTCTACCCCGGGTGACCGATGGGGCAAGGGCAATGAGGAAGGAGAGGTCATCTTTAAGGATGGGGAGTTCCTGTGCGGTATTCTTGACAAAAAGCAGCTTGGTCCGACTGCTGGAGGTCTCATTGATTCAATTCACGAGATCTACGGCTATGCTACTGCTGGAAAGCTGATTGGTGTTCTTGGACGACTCCTCACTCGGTTCTTGAACATGCGGGCATTCACCTGTGGTATCGATGATCTCCGATTGACCAAGGAAGGTGACCGCATCCGCAAGGAGAAGCTGAGCACGGCCGCGAACATGGGCCGAGAAGTCGCTCTGAAGTACGTGACACTGGACCAGACCACAGTGCCTGACCAGGATGCCGAGTTGAACCGGCGATTGGAAGAGGTGCTTCGCGAAGACGAGAAGCAAAGTGGTCTTGATAGTGTCTCAAACGCCAGGTCTGCGAAATTGTCCTCCGAAATCACCGGGGCCTGTCTTCCTGCCGGTCTTGCCAAGCCCTTCCCCTGGAACCAGATGCAGTCGATGACGATATCTGGAGCCAAGGGTTCAGGTGTCAACGCCAACCTGATCTCTTGCAACCTGGGCCAACAGGTTTTGGAAGGTCGTCGTGTGCCGGTCATGATCAGCGGCAAAACTTTGCCATCATTCCGAGCCTATGAAACTCACCCCATGGCTGGTGGCTATGTCTGCGGTCGTTTCTTGACTGGAATCAAGCCCCAGGAATACTATTTCCACGCCATGGCTGGCCGTGAAGGTCTGATTGATACTGCAGTTAAGACCTCGCGTTCCGGTTATCTGCAGCGTTGCTTGATTAAGGGTATGGAAGGGTTGAGAGCCGAATATGATTCATCTGTGCGTGAGGCATCCGATGGCTCCATTGTCCAGTTCTTGTACGGAGAGGACGGTTTGGACATCACCAAGCAGGTTCACCTTAACGACTTCGACTTCCTCGCCCAGAACTACCGTTCGATCTCGAAGCAGGTCAAATCCGACGATTTCCACAGGTTGGAAAAGAAAGAGGTTACCAACTGGCACAAGGATGCGATGAAGGCGGTCCGCAAGACCGGAAAGTTCGACGCGATGGACCCGGTTCTGTCGCTTTACCACCCTGGAGGTAACCTGGGTAGTACCTCCGAGACATTTGCTCGGGCACTTAAGAAGGTATGGACACATCCATGTTTGTCTCGTGGCGATGGCATGGAATGCTAATAAGCTTTCATTTTAGTATACGGACAGCAACCCGTCTAATAGCTTGTCAGACAAGAAGAAGAACATCCAGGCTGAACTTGGCAAGAAAACATTCGATATCCTGATGAACATGAAATATCTGAAGTCTATCATCGATCCCGGCGAGGCAGTTGGAATCATGGCCGGTCAGTCTGTTGGAGAACCGTCGACGCAGATGACTTTGAACACCTTCCACTTGGCTGGTCACTCCGCAAAGAACGTGACGCTGGGTATTCCTCGACTGCGTGAAATTGTCATGACTGCAAGTGCTTCAATCATGACGCCCACCATGACACTGCTTTTGAACGAGGAGATCCCCAAGGATCACGCAGAACAGTTCGCTAAGGGCATCAGCAAGCTGAGCATTGCCGAAGTTGTGGACAAGGTGCAAGTTAGGGAACGAATTGCCCCAGGCATTGCCTACTCGACGGCCAAGATCTACGATATTGAGGTGAACTTCTTCCCCGCTGAGGAATACACCAAGGAATATGCCATCCAGATCAAGGATGTCCAGAATGCCCTGCAGACCAAGCTCATTCCTCGGTTGGTCAAGCTCACCCGGGTAGAGCTCAAGAAGCGCCAGGAGGACAAGAAGGGAAGCAAGTCTTCGGTTGCCCGGCCGGAAATTGGTGTCTCGGTCGGCAGAGTCGCAGAGGCTCCCCGAGGCGCCGACGCGGAGGCCGAACCGGCCGACGATGACAACGAAGATGACGAGGATGATGCCAAGCGAGCTCGCGGTAACCAGAACCGGAGCAACCAAGTCTCTTATGAAGGGCCCGATGACGACGAGCAAGCCATCATTAGGCGGCAGGACTCTCCCGAGGTGGAGGATGATGACCTCGAGATGGGCCAGTCTGGCAGCGCGACTCGCGACGTAGAAATGGAGGACGGTGATTCCGAGAGTGACTCGGATGACGAGGGTGCTCAGGACGTCAAGCTCCGCGAGGAAGACGTCAAGGGCAAGTTCTCCGAAATCACCAAGTTCAAGTTCGACCCCAAGAAGGGCACCTCGTGCACCATCCAGCTGCAGTACGACATCGAGACCCCCAAGCTCCTGCTTCTGCCTCTGGTGGAATCGGCTGTCCGCTCGGCTGTCATTCAGTCCATCCCAGGAATTGGCAACTGCGTTTTCGTTGAGGCGGACGAGCTGAAGGGCGAACCTGCGAACGTGATCACCGAAGGTGTCAACCTGCTTGCCATGCGTGACTACCAAGACATCATCAAGCCGCACTCGCTCTACACCAACTCCATCCACGACATGCTCCACCTGTACGGTGTCGAAGCCGCCCGCGCTACCATCATCAGTGAAATGGACGCCGTCTTCAAGGGTCACAGTATCTCCGTGGACAACCGCCACTTGAACCTGATCGGTGACGTGATGACACAATCCGGTGGGTTCAAGGCTTTCAGTCGTAACGGCCTGATCAAGGACTCGACGTCGCCATTCGCCCGTGCCAGTTTTGAGACCACCGTTGGCGCCCTGAAGGACACGGTGCTCGAGCGAGGCCTGGATAACCTCAAGAGTCCCAGTAGTCGCATCGTCGTGGGCCGCACGGGTACCGTTGGAACCGGCGCCTTCGATGTTCTGGCTCCTGTAGCATAGTTGCTGTCTGGATGGAGTTTGATTTCTTTTGCACTGCTCTTTTGGGTCATGTGTATATTGTCTCCTCTTATTGTTTGATTTTTATCGTTTCATTTGCAACAATTCGAGTTCGCCTTTTTGTCATCTTTGATGTGTCGATGATCTGGAGTTTTGTTCAGCGGAAACAAAAAAAGTGCCTGTGTGAATATGAGCATCTCTTCCTACGATAAATAGAGTTCAAAAATATCAAATATTGATTCGACTGAATACTATACTTTGTAGATGTCTTTTGGTCCAAAACAGAAACACCGTCCATGCTACATGGTCGCCATGCCCGATCCAAAACGCCCTGATGACTATGCCGGGCCCATGAAGTGCCGTGGTATACACGCAGAGAAAGAAAGGAAAAGAAAAAAAAAGAAAAAGAAAACAAGAAAACAAGAGATAACGAGGCCACTATGCATCAAGCATCATGAGGTCCTCATCAATCTCGTCGTCAAACTCGTCCTCGACAATTTTACCCGCAGACGTGACGGCTTCGTCCATGGCATGACCATTGGTGAAATCCTCTCGCATCATCCGTGCCTCCTCTGCCTTGCGCTTCGCCTCGTGCCGTTCGATATCAGCTAAACTCCAGGTGGAAATGCCTTCCTGATCCCGAGCCTTGAAGGGCTGGGCCATGGTACGCAAGAAGTTCTTGGCGTTCGACACGGCCATATCAGTACTGAGGTTTGTCTCGCTGTCCAGCATTGCCTGATTAATCCACTTGGGCAGCTGAGGACGTTTCCGCTCGAATCGACGATCTGCTAAAACCATGACACCGTAGTCGTCCTTGCCACGTAAGACACGACCTAGACACTGGGCGGCATGCCGCATCGCGTCGAAAGATAGGAAATCATTCTCCCGAATACGGTAGTTCTCGCGCAGGAACTCGAGACGGGCTTTCAAGATCCGGGACTCGGTGTACTGGAAGGGGACACCAATACACAAAACGGCGCGGCCGTAGTGGTGGTCGAAATCAATACCCTCGGACACCTTGCCTCGGGCGACGCATAGTAATATGGCGCCGCGACCGTTGCAGCAGGCAGTTCGATAGGTCTCCAGGGCGAGTGACGATTCCTGTGCATCGGGCGTTTCGACGAGAATTAATTTATAGTTCCAGATTTGGTCCAGAATGCCCATTCCTTGCCACATGCTGATGATGGATTCCATGTAGAGGTAGGAAGGGAAGAAGACCACGATGCCGTCAGGCGTGATGCGAGCAAATTCAGTGACCAAGGTCCCATAATTTCGTACAACACCAGGGTCATTGCGAATGCCAAACGAGGACGATACCTGCGCCTGATCCGAGCCTCGGGTTACGATCATGGGCAAGAAGGACCGTCGCGCAAGGGTCATGCTGTATGATTCCTGCATGATAGCAGTGAAACCCAGCATCTTCGGGTACATTTCCAAAGGTGACAAGGTTCCGGAAGTGATAATGACGGAGCTGAAACGATCAAACACGGGCTTGATTGCAATGGCAGCATCCAAGCACGTGAAATGGAGAATGGGGTTGGGCACGGTGGCCGCCTCCGACTCGAATGGCTCGAGAATAAGCACAAATCCTTTGTCGTAGGTGGCGACGAGAGTTGCGAAAGTGGCCACCTCTTGAAGGGGCTGATAATCTTCGATGTTGACAAGCTCCAGTGTCCGCACAAGAGACGTCAGACGCTCCGCGCAAAACCTTAACGGTTTGCGCTCGATATAGGTGAGATCCTTCAGGTGTGTGAGGAAGGAGGGGGTGTTTCAGATATGGTGTGTGTCACTTTCATGCGCGTTTTGAGATATTCGATAAATCGCTTCAGGAAGGTCACGAAATGCTCCGCCCGGCGAATGTTGCCCGGCACCGCCTCTTTCAGCAGGTCGTCGGGTAACACGGGGTTTGAGATGAATTGATCTTCCTCTCGAGCTTGTTCTGCGGCTTGAAGTCCCTCCACGAGCTTCGAATATTCACTTTGAAGTTTGTCGGCATCAGAACTTTTCATTTCGTCAATCTTGCGTTCCAAGTTGGTGGCACCTCGGGTGGCTTTGCGTAGGGAATCCTCGCTTAAATCGATGCTGAGAGATTCAATGCAGACATTGTCAATATTATGTGCTTCGTCAAAGACCACAATGCAGTCTTTTGAGAGTTCTCTGGAAACTCGCTCTGCGATTTTCGGGTCGAGAAGATAGTGGTAAGAGTAGATGATAATATTACACCACGGCATCTGAACGCGTTAGAGCAAGAACACGACAAATAAGGCCTCCCAAGAGTTGTCTCACCATCCGACGAGCGGAGAAGTACGGGCATTGCTTGTGGTCCTCTCCATATCGTAATAGCCCATCGAGAGTGAACACGCCCGGGGGAACAAGGTTATGCGGTTCGAGTAGATCAAGGTTCTAAAACTTGTTAGGGTGTCCAAAAGGCCTGGAAATTGACGTGCTACTTACTTCGTGGTAGACACAAAGGTCAACGTCCTCGCCGCGCTCTTTCTTCTCCTTGACGAAGCCCGCAGTCAAGCTTCGGCACCTCGCGTCGACCACGCTGCCACTTTTCTCTTTCTTCACCGACGGGTGAAGACACAGGTTCTTGCGACTCGTCAGTCCTAGCGCGCGAAATTCCTCCTGGTGACCAAGCTCTTGGGCACGGTGTTTCATCAATGCCTTCAGCTCCGCCAATGCTTTCTCGATCTCCGACATTGTTCGCGAGCAGTAGATGAGCTTTCTGTGTTCCGGGTAATGCTGCTGGTAGGCGACAATCAACGACAAAAGCGAGACAGTCTTGCCCGTCCCTGACGGCATCTCCAGCACACAATGACCCCCTGCGTCGAGGGTCTTCTTGAGATCGCACATGTAGGCATATTGTTCGGGGTAGATGCGAGGATACGGGAATAGGACGGGCAGATCACTATGGGAAAGAACCGATGTCAGCAAGTGTGATACAAGAGACTTATCTTTGTGGCAGAGGCATACTCAATGAAGAACTTCATTGTGGCTGGCGATGCGACGCAGAAGAGAAGAGCGCGCGAAACTGATGATCTGACGCTTTTCCCCTTTGGGTCAGCGATGACACCAGATCACGTGATGAATTATCGTGTTCCGCCGAGTCGATGGAATCAAGTTTCCATTTTGCGGCCATTGGGACAGAGAAAGCCATTTGAAATCACCTTCGGTTCCGCTACTACTGAACAGGGCTGCCTTCTCGCACAGGGGCCCTGCTGATTCACCCCGCGACTCATTCATCTTTTCCCGCTGACCTCATATACCCCACATGAGTAAAAAGTTCAAATCGCAGGCCTCCAGCAGTCGCGCTGCTGCTGGCGCCTTTGGATCTTTTGGCGGCTTCTCTGGCGCTTTTTCGACTGAAGGGAAAGACCCATCTGCCCTCACATACATTGCGGAGCCGCCAGATCTTTCTCGTATCGCGGAGCAGCAACTAGTCATCGCATTCAAGAATTTGCTCAAAAAAGATGAGATCACACGCACCAAGGCCCTGGAGGAGCTGAAGGATTACATCTTGAATGTCGAGGGGAGACGTGGGACGCTCGATGATGGATTCTTGGAGGCATGGGTATGTATTTACTTTCCACCTAGAATTGGAATAAGCGTGTTAACTCCCCTTTCAGGTGAAAATCTATCCTCGAGCCTCAATTGATCTATCTCGGAGAGTTAGACAGCTGTCTCATGGAATTCAGGGCGCGATTGCCGGTCTTGTTGGCAAGCGAATTGTGCCACATCTCCCCAAGGTAATCGGAGCATGGCTAGCGGGCTTGTATGACAATGACCGGCCAGTCCATCGATCGGCCCTTGAATCTTTTATCAAAGTCTTCTCGACTGAGAACAAGAGAAGCAACGTGTGGAAGATCTATCAAGCTTCAATCCTGGACTTTGTAGAGGATGTCATTCTCCACCAAACGTCTCTCACCCTGAGTGACGAGAGAACTGTCAAGCGGGATGATGCGGAGGCAAAATACGCGCGCGTCGCTGGCGCTGCCATTCTACTTTTCAGTCGCATAATAGGTGCGTTAGACTATTGACCTGTCTCGCTTCCTGGGGCTTTTCGGATCTAACAATTGGGCATGACCAGGTAATTCGGCAGATGAGGACCTCCAAAAGAACGCCCCAGAAATTGAGAATTTGTTGGGCAGCAAGTCTCTCTGGGCTTTCTGCCATGATGATGATCCATATGTGCGCCGCTCTATATATATCCTCTTGCGCTCGGCAGTTTCCCGGGAGCCTGGATGGCTCGACTGGAAGATTCTCAGCGCGGCTATTATTGGGAAATCTTTGTCAATCCCGCAGCTTGGATCTGCGCCCGATCTATCAGAGTCTCTGCTCCATTTAACCTCGTCAAGACCGCAAGTGTGGACAGAGGATTATACTGGAAAGACTTCCTCCTCCAAAAGGCTGCGCCAGTACATCCAGAAAGGATCCCAGGGTGGCTCTGGTAGTTTCTGGTCGAACTTGGATCAATTACTTCGAATCATCCCCGTGGAGATCTTGGTAGGAGCCGACAAAACATCTGCTGAAGGAGCAATGAGTTTGTCCAGCGCGATCACCTTGACAGAATCTCTTCAAGAAGGCCTCACTTCAAGAGAGGAGCCTCGCCAAAATCTCACCACTGGCTGGAAATCCTACATTCAGATTGGAATGTGGCTTGCAACTCTCATACCTCAAGATCAAATATCGGAGTTCCTCCAAAAAAGAATTTCTCCTTTGGTCCTGCACTATGTGCAGCCTAATCCCAACCTGACAACATGGTCACTCCAGGCCCAGTCGGCTGAGGGTATCTGTGTCGACTATCTTGCCACTCTGGTTTCACAAGGACAGGATCAAGAAATACAGTTGCTATGGACCAACCTGTCGAATGATCTACTGGAAGCGGTGAAAATCTCCTCGCCAGAGCAATCGAAGGACTTCCGCTCATCTCAGGACTCAGTATGTGCCCAAGCAAAACGGCTTTTTGCTTTGGAGTCGGCAGTGTTTTCAAGAGCTGCGGATACCGAGAAGGAAGCTCGGGTGCTGGGGATTTTTACTACACCCAGTTTGACCCTCCTTGAGAACTGCCTGCAAGTTTTACGCGCCCGCAATGGCAAACCCTACGGAGCGGCTGGCGTGGTGGAGGAATGCGTCCGCAACATGCCATTGATCTCCCAAAAATCCCAGGGTTTTCTCAATTTTGTTAAAACCGATGCCTCGGAGCTCTTGCTTTCGCCGTCAGCCGATCGGCTGATTTCGATTACTTTAGCATGTCGGGAGTGGGATGGGTTCACGTCCAGCTTCGAGAACATTGTGGAGCAAGCTTTGGAATTGGAGCCAGAGCAGTCGAACGCTCATGTGCTTCAAAGCCTGCTCTCGACCCTCAATTTCAACGAAGTCGAAGACAAAGCCAAGCTTACCTCGCTTGTGATGAGGGCCTTGAATAAGGCTTGTCGAGGGAGTCATCCTCACTGGCCAATCGTCATTGCTGTTCTTCAGAACCAAACGTCGCGTGGTGAATTGAATAATCAAATATTCTTGTCAATTATCGGTTCATTGTCCACTGACGATACGGATTTTAATACCCTGCACGGACTGGCTCAAATAACGAAGACCGTCCCGATCGCAGCTCGGGAGTTCCAGAGCGGAAGTCATGGCTCCAAGCTAGCAGGAAAACTGCTATACCTCACCGAGTCTCCGTCCGAGGAGGTGGCAAGCCTGGCTGAGTCATTGGTGAAGTCCTTGAAGGAGACAGCTGTTGGCGATGTGAGCGCCAGGTCGAGCATTGAAGTCCTCCAGCATGGCTTCAATAACGTAAATGAGGAATCACTATCGTGAGTGGCATGGCACCAACCAATTACATGCATTAAGCTAATTTCTGGCTAGTATCGAGTCGCTTCTTGCAATTGCAGAAGAGCTGCTACAGGGTACTCAGGACGAGAAAGCACCCAGCACGATCAAAGATGTCCTACCTTCTCGGAGCTCTTGGGAAAAGGCGTTGAGCCCTTTTCTTCAGCTTCCGCCCCGCCCCTCTACAGCGATAACAAGCCCCTTGGGCGGCATCATTCATCTGGTGCAGCGTGAGCTATCAGAGTCGTTAAAGTCATTACTGCTGTCCATTCCTCGAGATTCATCGCATTGCTCCGCTGCATTCCGCCTAGCAACCTTCACGACCAGAATCCTGTCTTCACTTGATATAGTCAATCAGCTAGACAAGGAGGATTTGGAAACGCTTTTCTACTTTTTGCCAGTGGCTATACAGCTTATTGATGACGACTTGAGCATCGAAAACTGCAATGGCATTTCTGGTCTCGAGCTGGCCGACCAACGGGAGGAGTACATGGAGACCGTTTTCAATGGTCGAAAGGTGGTTAGTAACTGGACTCGGGCAAAGGAGCCAGTGAAATCCTCACCAGATGCAACTGTTTCTTCTTTTTTGTTTCCTTCTGGGAAGCCAAGTTGGAGGGTCTCGACGGCGTGTCTCCCGTGGATTATCGAGTGGGAGAGGCCTTCGTGAAGATAATGACATCAATGGATTCCATTGAAACATCCAAGTCATCAGACGATGTTGCAAAGCTCTGCAGAGAGGCTCGAACAGCAAACGCTATTCGTTCAGCCTCCTGGTTCGCCGTTCTGAGGAGCTCAATTCTATCCAATCCTGTTGGAAACCGAATCTGCAACGAACTGGTCGCCGATTCTACCGGTCTCAAACCCCAGGATGACTCACAGGATGGTAAGTTAGCCAAGCGAACTTTGACTTTCATCTATTAACCAAAAAGTAGGTCTTCGGAAACTGGCGCTACTCAATATCCTGCTCTCTGGAGAGGAAGACGTTGTCTCGAACATTCCAACGCAGCGATTGGTGTTCCTCACAAAGCACCTGATCGAGTGTCTTCAGTCTGACTGGCGATCTTTCGGTTTAAGGGCCGAAATCGTCAAGAACTTGGTATTTATTCTTCCGTGCCTTGGTGAGATATATGGCTCTCATTGGGAAGAAAGCATGGAGATTCTGAGCGTGGTGTTCAGAGAGACCAACGGAGGCGAAGAGGCTCTACCGTTGCTGGTGCCATCATTCCGGCTCTTCAACCGACTCAAGTCTATTGCTGAAGGCGACAACAATGATGATGTCCAGGATGCTTGGTCAGAGCGAAAGACTGGGCTTTTCAACGACTTGGCCTCTACCATTGACAAATTCGGTAAGCGTTCACCATGTGGAATTCTAGACTGTAATGGTCAGTTAACATCTGAGTTAGATTCGGCGACTACCTTCCACCAGCCCCGGGATGTGGCTGTTGAGCTGCTGCGGCGATTGATAAATATTATTCCCGTTGAGAAACTGGAGGATGTCAGCGAGACGTTCCATCTTCTGACTGCCCACAGCCGAGCAGTCCAACGAACGGCCTATACGATCCTCCATCGCTACATTCCCCAGGCTCAAGAGCAGGTCTCCTTTGACGTGGCTTTGTCGAAGACGGCGGTCAGTCTTCCGGATGAGCTTGTATCTTTACTGCTTGAACCCCCGACCATGCGGATGGTCTCTTCTTCCTTTGGAGATGACAAAATGTGGACCAGCATGAGATCATACCTCCTGAGTTGGAAGGTGATTTTTGACCATTTCTCGAATGCGGTATGCTCTAAAGGTTCATCCACCTTAAGTAGTAATTTTGCTAATTCCTCAACTAGTCGCTTCCCGTCCAAGAATACTACACCACCAATATCAAGGAAAATAATATTCTGAACCCGCTGCTTGAATTCACTTTCGACTTCCTGCAAAAGTCGCACGGAAAGATCATTGATGCATCCAAGTTCGAGGTTCGGTCCTTTGAGCCAGATCAGTCCGAGACGGCAGAGAGAGAGACCCAATGGCTTCTGGTGCATCTATACTATCTGTGCCTGAGGCATTTGGCGAACATGACCAAGAATTGGTGGATCGACACCAAAAAGCGCATCAAGGGGCCTGTCGAAGCCTGGACGGAGAAACATGTGAGTAGTTAAGCTTGCTGAGATATTCTATTCACTATGGCTGACGTTGTTCTAGATCTCCCCACTTATAATCGAAGATGCGCTGCAAAACGTGACGGACTGGGTGGCCACCCAAGATCCGAACGAAGAGCGAGCCCTCGCCGTGAAGATCTCTCCTAAGACCGGAGAAATCATCGCCAGCATCCCCGTCGATGAGGAATCGCCCCCGGTCTCCATCTCGATCTCTCTGCCACCCGCCTATCCCCTCCAGTCTGCCTTGGTCGTCGGGCGCAGCCGGGTGCTCGTTGACGAGAAGAAGTGGAAGAACTGGTTGCTGACTATCCAGGGTGTGATCATGTTTGCCAACGGGAGCCTGGTCGACGGCCTGCTGGCGTTCCGACGAAACGTCCAGGGCGCACTGAAGGGCCAGAGCGAGTGTGCCATTTGCTACTCGGTCATCTCGACGGATATGCAGACGCCGAACAAGCGATGTGCCACCTGCAAGAACACTTTCCACTCTGTCTGTCTGTTCCGCTGGTTTAAGAGCAGCAACCAAAGCACTTGTCCGCTGTGCCGGAACAATTTTGTGTATGTCTGATGCATTAGATGATAGATGTGGAATGAAAAATGATCAAGCTATTGTCAGTAGACCTTCCTGCAGTTCTGTTCATTATGCCCTTTGCTATAGCACCTTTTCCCGAGAATCGCTTCATGCAGGACCTCAGGAACCGAGTTGGTTCCTTTCGAAGGCTCACTGGACGTCTACTTAGGTAGACCTCCAAAGCCACTTAAAAACCCGAGTTGTACTTCAGGACTATTCATAAATCACAATAAAATAAGATAAACTCTCGAGCTGGCTTGGAAGCATCATCTATGCGATTCTATTCCTCCCAACACGCACAAATCAAGGCAAGAGATAATACACTTCTATTGGGATGGATTTGTATAGTTAGCGCAACCCGGCGATCAAGTACGGCCCCGCCCGAGCTCAGCTTCCTTCCTCCCACGCCCCGCCATGGCTGCTCCTCACATTCCCAACCTCAACACTCTCCGACGCGGCCGAATTCGAGGTCGCGGAGCAAGTCGCGCGGGTGAAGACCATGGATCCCGTACATCGGGGAAAGACCGCGTCGTGCAAGGCACAGACAACGATGCCAGCGTCTCCCGACTGAGCGCCGTCGAGCTGGGATACTTGGACGATCCCTACGCAGCGGCATTGACACCCCCTGGATCGGCAACGCGAAGACTCCCAATTATAAACAGAGGTATTAATTGTCTTGTGTTCGCTGTCTCGCTATTTCATTCATAGAATGAGCGGCTGATTCGGGCCTCCGCATCTCATAGGAACCTACGTCCGCACCACCGCCATCGATCAGCTCGTTGCGCGCTTTCTCGGCCCCTATTCTCCAGAGTCCCAGGCACCTAAAAAGCAGATCATTTCGCTCGGTGCTGGGTCGGACACGCGGATCTTCCGACTGCTCTCTTCGCGAAATCCCCCCGACTTCGTCTACCATGAGATCGACTTTGCCGTTAACACAACTGCAAAGATCTGCGCGATCCGCTCAGCACCCCCTCTGCAGTGCGCGCTGGGAATTGACTCATCCAATAATGAAGTGACGGTCTCCGAAGCCGCGGACGCGCTCCATTCGCCCTCGTGCCATATCCACCCTGTCGATCTGCGATCGCTATCGGCGAATAGCCCTTCCCCCGAGACATTACCCGGCGTAGAAAAGGGGCTTCCAACTCTGCTGATATCGGAGTGCTGTCTTGTATATCTGTCTCCGAGTGAAGCGGATCAGGTGGTCTCCTTCTTTTCCCAGCATCTTTTGGACTCTGTCGATGATACCACATCCAAAGCTAGCGAAGGCTCAGAGCCGACTTCACAACCCAAAACCCCACTCGGATTGGTTCTGTACGAGCCGATTCGTCCAAATGACCCCTTTGGCCGTACCATGGTGTCGAATCTCGCGGCTCGAGGAATTCAATTGCAGACTCTTCATCGATATGCCTCATTAGAGGCGCAGCGGACACGATTCCGTGAGCATGGCCTCGAGAATGGGCAGGCGGCTGCTGATATCGACTTTATCTGGGAGCAGTGGGTCAGCGAGGAGGAAAAAGAGCGGGTGGCCGGCCTCGAAATGCTGGACGAGATTGAGGAATGGCAGCTGCTGGCGCGACACTACTGCGTTGCCTGGGGCTGGAGAGACCGCGATGAGGTCTCGGCATTTAAAGGGTGGAAAGACTTGCAAGCCCAGGCCGGGGAATGATCTTGTCTTGTTTATGGATATCCATGGTAAATTATTGAGTCTCACGCATCAACTCCGTCCATATCTATCAAAGAATTAAGATACATTTCAAATAACGACGGAAAAGAAAACAAGCCCGTGCAACTATCTATACCACCTTATTTCTTCTTGTCCAGAATCACCTGCAAAGCCGGAATCTCCACGCTCACAGCATGTCCCGTCTTATCCAAAGTGAAGATGAACTCGTCGAGCCCGCGCCCAGCATACTGGAACTTATCGAGGTCCAACCACGACACACAAGTAGGAGTACCACCATCAGCCGACTCCGTCTTGTCCTGAAGAACAGCGCGGAACGCCTGCTTCGAGCCCTTAGTAGTCTTCTCAACCAACTGGGTCGGATACAGACGGATACTCAGATCCTTGGACTTCTTGACGCCAGTAAGCTGAGCAAGGGTATCCCGGAAGTTGGTACCATTGCTAATAATGTCCTCAACAAACAGACCAGGCAATTTATCGGACTTGACAGAAATCGACGAATTGAGGTGCTTGTTGGACGCAGCGTACCCGCCGCGGAAGTTCTCAGTCGCCTGCAGCAGCGACGACTTGATCAGGGCCTCGAGCAACTCGTCGCCGATGATGTCGGCGTGTGCGTTCAGGTCGGCGGGCTTTTTGGTGTCCGCGGACAGGATGATAAATCCGACTCCGTAGTCTGGTACTAGCCCCAGGTACGAGCTGTACAGGCTCTCGTGGTCGCCCTCGTTGCTGAGCACCGTGTACGTGTTGATGATGGGGCCCTGGGGGTAGGCGCGGCTGTCGGTGTAGATAACCCAGGGGTAGCCGACTGTGTTGGCGGGGTTGGAGGTGAAGGTGGCTGGTTTCAGCCAGCGGTTGGTCTGGGTCTGCGAGAGGAGCTCTGAGTTGAGGATGGCTTTGCCGGCGATGGCCATGTCCTTGACGCTGGAGAACATCGAGATCGATCTATAGAGGGATTGTTGTTAGATTAATTTCTTCTTCTTCTTTTCTTTTCTTTTCTTTTCTTTTCTTTTCTTTTCTTTTCTTTTCTCTTTCTTTTGTTGAGGTCATGACTCACGCTTCGTCTCCGCCAAACCGCGTCGACCAGCCACTGGCTTCCTTGCTGACGGGGATGATGCCCTTGGAAGAGTCCTTGGGGGCAAAGACGGAGGTTTCATGCAGTTTCAAAGCCTTGAAGATATCAGCCTCCAGAACCTCGTTGAATGGCTTCTTCGCCTGTTTCTCCACAATGTACCCCAGCAGCTGGAACGCCAGGTTGGAGTAGCTGGGTGAGGCGCCGGGAGCCACGACGGGCATGCGGCCAGAGATATGTTTGAGGAAGTCTGGAAATAGAATATTAGTATACACAATGAGGGGAAATGGCGTAAAGGAAATCCCAAGAATGTTCATACCGCTGGTGCTGCACTTGGAGTTCTCTCCACAGCACGGCAGAGAATAGGCCTGACGAGGCGGCAGACCGGCCTTGGGGGCATTCTTCTGTGAGGTCAGGTCGCTCGAGCAATCTATACAACTCACCAGTTAGACAGCGATACTCTATCAATATCTGAAGTGTGTAACTTACAGTCCCGAGCCACTCCAGCCATATGGCTCGCCAGCTGGCCGACAGTGATATCCTCCCACTGCACATGACCAATAACATCATCCTTAGCCGAGTCCTTGTTGACCAATTCTGGAAGATGCTTGGAAACAGGATCATCGAAGATATGCTGGTCCGCGGTCTGGTTCAACAGACTCCACAGCGTAAAGACATGGGTGAGCCCACCGATGCGGTAGATGCTGTCGTCGGTGGTGTTGCGGACGACCTTGTTCGAGGAGGAAGACTTCTCCTTCAGGGCGGGTGCCGTGTGGTGGTAGTCCCAGAAGAACGGCTTGTCCTCAGCGCTGCCATCGTCCGAGGAGAACAGCGCAATGCTGAAGGTGGTCTTGGGCGAGATGTCGCCGTGCGAACCCGTCGATGACTTGGTCAAGTTGTCGAATCTTGCCGTCAGGTTCTTGAGTGCCGATCCCACGACCTTGTCACTGGGATCTAGCGTGAAGGGCGGAAAAGAGGGTCCGAGGAGCGGGCAGGGCGTGAAGGACCATGCCGAAGAGAAGAACAGAAACAAGGACGATGCTCGCAAAATCGGCACCATTTTCTTTTTCTCCGTTCGAGGGAAAATGCTAATTATTCTTTCAATCTTATTTTTCTTTTCTTTTCTTTCTATATTTTGTGTCTATTGGCTTTGTTGATGTCCTTTTATACTCTTTGACTTGACACCCAACTGAAGTCGGACCGGCGATCGTTAGGGCTCGGTATCGGTATACCATCGGCTCGGCGATAGCACAGCCCCCACCAGGCGTGCTGTCAGTCCCGTCGGGTCGGCGATGTCATTTTAAAGATTCAGGGCAGATGCGACGCCAAGTCGACTTCTGACTTGGGGTCCAGATTAATTGCAAGGATGCGAGGGCTGCATAATACCCCGTCTTATTACCGATCGCGAAGCAGGTGAGAGTGCACGTTCTCCGACGAAATACAGTCAAACAGATGCCCGAATCTCTCTCCTCGGTCGGCAATGAGAAAGTATACATAGATATAGATTTATTTATAGAGCAAAAGGACCAAAAATTTGATCAATTCAAGTTATATAAGAACGGTGCTCACGTCCACCCTGCCACCATTTGCTCTATGGAAGTTGCGAGGTAATAATCTGGCGATACATTATAACTGTCGCCCATGACCGGAAGCATGTCCTGGTATGGCAGCATCTGCTCGTTCGTGGCCGCCGGATACTGTTCTGTATATGTCATGCCAGACATAGCCGACGCCTGGGGGGCGTATCTGAGTTCCTCCATGACCATGTGGTTGGCAACGCTGGGCTCTGGCCTGCCATGCCCATCCAACCTACTCTGAATCTGAGAAATACGCCTCTGAAAGTCGAAAAAAACATCTCGGTCCCCGTTGTCATCCACCTCCGCCGTCGACATGGACCCCACGCGCTGTTGCAGTCGGGACAGGGTATGGAGGAAGGATGTCGTATGCGATATTGTCGACACACTGACTACGTGTTGATAGGCAACGAGCATGGCGAACCCCAGCTGCACCCATTGTGTGTTGTTAAACGCAAAGTCTGAGTTGGCGGGGAGGGCCAGATGTAAATCCAGCAAGGTGTTTGCGGCAAACTGTCCAGCAAAGAACATCTCGTCGCGCCAGATCTGAGACATGGTAAAAGGAGATTCGGGTTGCTGGCGAGCCATCGTAAGGGCGAGCTGGTATAAGCAAATCCCAGTGGCGTTGAAATGAATAGCGAGCATAGCTAGCAGAAAGAATAGGAGTTAGCATCAGATCGAGTATGCTTCTCAAGGTCAGGGAAACTCACGAATATCCTGCATATTGAAGGGCAGCTGCTTTTGGAATGTCTCCAATTCTGACTTTAAATTTGTAATATAAAGCTCTGAGCCCGACCCAGGGCTCTGCAGCTCTGCCTCATGTTTGACTGATAGACGATCAACCTTGTCTGCAATGAGCTGTAGTTGGACGATGTATTTGATGTATTTGTCGCACGGATACTCGCCCACATCGTGAAGAGACTTGCAGCACTCGTCGAGATATGGGAAGTAGGGGAACGTAGAAAGTTTCTGCACAAGAACGGAAATGCTATTGAATCGTTAGACCTGACCAGAAAATGAAACAGAACAAAAGACTCACGTCGATGATAGATAGTAGCAGCCAATGACGGCCCTTTGCTCGTCGCTTCCCCAGGATGGCCGGTCATACGTGTTCTGTTGAAGATCGTGCTTGGGATCGAATCGTAGCTTGGTCTTCCAGGTCTTTGTCTGTGGCGGTCGGTCTAAGCGCAGCTCAATAACCAGACTCACAGCCAATTGGAGGAACTGGGTGTAACGGTGTGGTCGGGTGTGGTAATGCGACCTGTCAGATCTGAATCAGAGACGTAGATCCTCCCATCAACGGAGTATGATAGATCGAGTGAGAGAAAAGGAACTTACCATGCCAGAAAGACTAGTAGCCCTTGCAGCAAGTCGAAAGACACCTCGCTATTGAGTAGCATACGAGAAGACACGGCCTTTCTAACTTCAGCCCCTAGCGACCGCTGCAGAGGCATGTTCGTGTACGATGCCGACGCCATGACTGCGAGGAACAAAAAGGGCTTCTCATGTCGGAGCTGGTCCGCAGAGACCTGCGGGGGGATCACCACAAAGGGGAAAAACGGGGTCATGTGGTGTTTGAATGTGAGCAGATAAGTTTCGGCAGCCTCCAAGTTCAAAAGTCCTCGACCGATGATATCGTCGTCTGCCGCATTGGCCTCGGACGCAGATGGACTGCGGGTGCTCGCAGAGGCATCTGAGTCTATCGCAGGAGCCGAGCGTTCGGCCATGAGTTCTTGGATCTTAGACTCGAGCGCCTCGATCCTCCTTTGTATGACATTATTCTTCTTCTTCTTTTTGATTTCACATCAATATTTAAAAAAAAAAAAAAACACACCGATCTTTTTGAAAACCATTGAAGCGTCGACCTGTTTGGCGATACACACATTCCCGACCGAGACGGAGACAGCTGCGCAGGATCATTAACCACGAGGCTCACTCCAAGGGACCACGAATCATACCGATTGCAAACATGCGGGTTCTCCGGACCTCGGATACATCGCACTTTAGATTCTGCGCAACTCTGGCAAGTCTTGGATACGGGTGGCATCGTGCGTGGATGGGATGGAGATGGAGAGAGAGAGAGAGAGAGAGAGAGATGGTAGGGAGAAAGATTTTTAAGTAAAGGTACGAGGCTGCAGAATTGCCGCCCCCAGTGAATTGAGGCCATACACCGTTGATCGGGCAAACTGCTAATGTGCCGACATGGCCAATCACAGAAAGAAACATAAGCTTAGTGGCTATGCAAAAATGCTAGTTTGTGTTCAAGGGTAAAATGACTCGGATCCCCCGGTCTTCCCTTATCGATCTGTGTCGGGCTCGGTTTCGGGTCCTGATGTGATCCGCATCCATTCTCCTTCATTTGGGCGATTGTATTGGAGAATATCTGTAGAAGCCGAGCTTGATCCACTGCTTTGAATCCCGTTGGCGATTTTACTTTTGTTTTTTTTCTTCTTTTCGTGCGGCTCCGCCCCCAATCCTGAGACTTGGCAGCCTTGCTCAGATCACATTGCCCGGTGTTTCGTGTCTGTTCCCTCCCCAAGTGCTTGAATAGGCAGGTTCTTAATATTCACGAACGATCTTCAAGGTTTTCTCTGCATGGGAGATCTCGGGGGAGGGTGCAGAATAAGGAAGGTAAAGAAAATACGCGAGCCTGGCTCCCAAGATCATTCACAAGGCCAGGAATCATGAATTTGCCCACTCGGTTTTTAAAATAGGAGGCCACTGATGGACTGATAGACATTTGGAGGCTATACCCAGGATTGGGGTCTCTTTTGCCTTGTGGATCCGGTTCTCTGGGGGTTGATGGGTCTTAAACGAGGGTCGGGAGATCCGAGATTACGCGAAACGTGGTTGAAAGCCCTACCCTTGGTTTGGCATGAATCATGACTATAACCATAATGAAACCCCTTTTTAAAAAATAAAATAAAACAAAATAAAACAAAATAAAACAAAATAAAACAAAAAATATATAGAAGGTAAAATATGAAATAAAAATAATAGTCACAATGATAGAATGGTAGAATGGTAGAGTGGTAGAGTGGTAGAGTGGTATACAGATAGTAGTAATAGTAATATTAGTACACAGTTAGCAAGGCAACCACTGTGCAAGTCTAGTTCCACTGGGATACCCTCGCAAGGTCACCTTAGACACTACGCTCCGGCCAAGCTTTTTACGCAGCTCCGCCTCCGCATGTTATCCTGAGGCTGATTTGAAACATTGAATGCTTCGACAAAATCCAAGCCTGACCGTCGGATGGGGCCGAATTATGGCCCTCTCGCATTATTGGCTCGCAAGCCTCATTGGGATCAGCATCTGAGTGGAGTGGGCCACAAATCATAGGGCATGCGAAGACGACCCGAAGCCTTTGGTTAATTTCGATTCTGAGTTTCTGTGTTCTTGAAAGGCTGAACCATCCAGTCAACTGATTCATGGAGACTTCTGTATAGGCCAACTGTGCATAGTCCAACTATGCATAGTACGATCGAGCCTCCCCTTATGTTTTTTACCTTCCTCCTAACAATAATACATATAATATATATAATAATAATATACGTGATATATATAAAATAACAAAAGAATATTAGGAAAATAAGCCCCACAGATCCACTGCCATACATGAGCTTATTGGCTTCTATCCACTTGCCAAGCAGGAACCATCGGGGTGCCAGTTCGTTGATTGGCAGTCTCATCTTGCCCCTGACGCTACAGTCGTTAGCGTGGGAGTTGAGGGCCTGACTTGACTCGGGCGCACATCTCTCCTATTTTTTTTTTCTCTCGGTCTGATAGGGGGCCGTTCGCTCTCCCTTTTCTTGCTGGCCCTCCCACTTCCCTCTGTTTTCCTCTCCTTTTGACCTCCATACTCCGTGAGCTTGTGTTCCCTTGGCCATTGGCGCCTTCGCTTCTGTCACTCGTTAGAATTAGCGATATTCGCTTTGTCCCTTCTTTTTTTAATTATTTGATTCTTGTTTTTTCCCTTTCTACCTTCCTTACAATGAAGTTTGACTGGTCTTCGGGCGCATTCGTCGCCCTCATTGCGAGCGCTGAAGCCGCCAAGCACGGCCACGGCCACCACCACCATGAAGTTCGCGTTCCCGATGCCGATATCACCCTGGAGAAGAGAGGCGGCCAGTGCGAGTTTCCCTCGGACGCCGGCCTGGTTTCTATCACCCCCAATCTCAAGAACGCTGGATGGGCGATGAGCCCTGACCAGTCTTGCAAGCCTGGCAACTACTGCCCCTACGCCTGTCCCCCGGGTCAGGTCTCGATGCAGTGGGACCCCAAGGCTACCTCCTACTCCTACCCCATGTCGATGGTAAGTAGTGCTCCTTGATACTTAGACGGGGCGCGCCTGAGTACTGACAAGTATAGAACGGTGGTCTCTTCTGTGACAACGATGGAAAGATCCACAAGCCCTTCCCCGACAAGCCATACTGTGAGGATGGCACGGGTGCCGTCAAGGCCATCAGCAAGGCCGGCAAGCATGTCGCCTTCTGTCAGACTGTCCTGCCTGGCAACGAGGCCATGTTGATTCCGACCCTGGTCAAGGACTTGGCCGCCACCCTCGCCGTGCCTGGCATCTCCTACTGGTGTGAGACTTCTGCCCAGTAAGTATTTGATGCCTGATCCCTGGGATCTGGTGATTCGATGCTCATGCAGACCTAGGTACTACATCAACCCGCCCGGTATTACTGTGGAGGAGGCTTGTGTCTGGGGTAATAAGGAAAAGCCCATTGGTAACTGGTCTCCGTACACTGCCGGTGCCAACACTATGAAGGACGGCAGCTCCTACGTCAAGCTTGGCTGGAACCCTATCTACCTGGAGCCCGCCACGCCTTTCCGCAACGAAAAGCCCGACTGGGGTGTTGAGATCGAGTGCACTGGTGGCGAGTGCAATGGCCTCCCCTGCCGCATTGACCCGGCCGAGGGTGTCAACAAGATGATCGGCAATCCCTTCGAAGGTGCTGGTGGTGCTACTGGCTGTGTTGTGACAGTTCCCAAGGGCGCCACCGCCCACATCGTTGTCTTCTCCAAGAATGGCGGTGGCAGCGAGTCTGAGACCCTGCCGCTCCCGTCCAGCAGCGAGTCCTCCAGCTCGAGCACCAGCACCAGCTCGAGCACTAGCACGAGCTCGAGCACTAGCACCAGCACTCCGACCCCGACCCCCACCAGCACTAGCACACCGACGCAGACCCCGACCAGCACCTCTACTCCTACCCCGACGCCGCCCTCCAGCAGCTCCACCCGCACTCCTACCCCTACCTCGACCAAGACCCCTACGTCCACCCCCAGCTCCAGCTCGACTTCGTCTAGCACCAGACTGGCTCGCGTCAAGCCCCAGATGAGCAACACCCCCCGCCCCCACGTGTTCGCCCCGAGCGCCAGCGCTCAAATCGCCCAGCCTGCCCCGACGGATGCTGGCGCGAACTCGGGCACCAACTCTGCTGGTGCGGGTGGTACGGGTGCCCCGACCTCGCCTGCCGCGGGCAGCGGTGCCACCAGCACCACAGCCTCGATGCTGTCTCTGGTCTTCGGTGCTCTCGCTATCTTGGCTGTGCACGTCTAAACCAGTCTCGGCTGGATCTGTATACAATTGTATATATGACGTTGGAGACGATCGCTCGACACGATCTCTGCAGGGATCCTTTGCGGCTTCCCAAACATACAACCTCTTTTGGTTCTTTGCTCATTGATTTTGCTTCGACATAATCTTCTTCTCACCCTCCCCCTTTCTTGTTTCTATATTTCTTCTCATCCGGAAGGATGACCTTTTTTTCACGACGATCAACGTTGGCCTTTTTTTTCAGACCCTTTTTCAGCTTGATGATCTTTTATATATCCTTTTGCTCCACAGCATTGTTTCTTTTTTTTCTCTATTTGGGCTTGTTGGATATCATTTTTCCTTTGGGTATGCATTGGGTCTTTTATTCTGGTATTGACACGTTCGATGTGGAATTGAACGTTTCATTGTTTCTTTTCTGTTTTAGCTGGACATAGGAAAAGCGAGGCTGGTTTCTGTTCTTGAAGCCTCTTGAGGGGGGTGTGTATGTACTGCTGGGGCGGTTTGGTTGGGAACCCGCATGGGTCCGTGTGGATTCCGTAGAGCTTCACTTCTCGGCATGGGGCTGGTATACCGGCCACAGCCTTACTTGAATATTATCAATTATTATTATTTTTCAAGTCACACATATTCAGCCATTGTGCATGGGAGATAAAAAAATACTTTCTCTCTTGGTCTTAAAATCTTTCTATCGAGATAGACCCAAACAAGAATTGAAGAAGAGATAAATCAAGTCAGAACTTTGGCATTTTCCATTCTATCATAGCTAGTAATTCAACTCTTCAATCGGAACAATCATATCAGGCCTGCGCGCTTCAACCGCCATCCGGTTCAGCATGCGCTGCCGCACCTCGCGCATATATTTGCGCTGTTCGTAGGAGATATCGCGGTAATTGTCGTCTTCGATGCCGTGGTACATGGTCCAGATCCCGAATCCCAGAAGGACAAAAACGACGCAGCCGAGGATAATGAGGAAGACGTAGAGGGAGAATTTGGAGGCGTTGTTCATTTTGTGGGGGTTGTGTGTGGATTGGATTTGTCATATCTATATTGGCGGACCGGGTTAGTAATTGTTTTGTATGGATAGAGAGAAGGGGTGATAGAGGGGGTGGTAGAGGGGTGTGTTGCTAGGCCATACATATAAATAGTGAATGATTTTGGGATATTAACCAATAATCTCTGTAGAGGATGTTCAAGGATGAAAGGGTTGTACATAGATGGGTTGATTCAAAGTCTACCCATTAAGAATGTGAGCACCCCCCTTATATATCTCTAATCCCAGGCTAAAATCATCTCTGCCTTGGCTCTCGAATGCCCAGCTAAGATTTTGCGCATTGAAACATGCTCTACTTTTAGAAGAACCATACATACCCAGGACTTCTTTGACTTACCCCATTGGGTATCGCGGCGGTGGGCATCGTACGGCTATGATGTCAGGAACCGAGCGGGCCAATATGGTACTTGCTCACTGTGGGTCTTGCCCTACTGTACTAAGTATACTTAGTAGCCGTGCCCTCACAGGAACAGATTTTGTTTTTATTTGTTTTTTATCTTTTGCTTGATATTCCGGTGGCTTAGCAATGGCATTTCTCAGTGGATCGTACTTGGACACTTGATTTGTTGTTGGTATCTGGAAGGGTTATAGTTGGTACTCTTGGCCTCAGGAGTGGCTGTGGGCTATATTGTCTTCGCCTATAATTCCCGGAGAAAATAAGCACAACATTAAACAGTGATAATATACATATACAAGAAAAATAAACAGTTACAATTAAATATTCTATTGGTAGAAGCATGAACGAAATCAACTCGACAATACTTCAAACCATCCATCCTTCATCCATCTATGGATTGATCGCCCCACATCCAAAATGCTCAGTCAGCACTCGCCCTTCGACTCTCTGCAAGTTCAACTGATCAACTCCCTCGCAGCAATGGAGCACGCTGTCCCCGAGCCCTGCTACACTTGTCGCAATCGTCGCATCCAATGCGACCAGTCCGGGATCCCGTGCACAAAATGCGAAAAGGCCGGCCTGGAGTGCTTCGACAAACGGCCGCTGCGATGGGTCAAAGGCGTGGCGATCCGCGGCAAAATGCAGGGACGCTCGTATGAGCGCCGGGCTGGGGCATCGACGGCTAAGAGCGAGTTGGCGGTATCGAGACCTGGGAATAGGCAAGCTCAGGCAGTGAAAATGGTTCATTGTGAGAATCAGGGTGAGTCTTGGGCTTCTACAAGTTCTTGTGGGACTATTCGCGGGTTCTTTATGATTTCTATGAATCCGATCCATGAAGGGAATCCTTGGGGGTTGGAATACTGATTACTCTGTGCGATACAGACCTTTTCCAAGGCCCGATGTCTATTATACCACTTGCGCTGCAAGACCCGGCCATTTCAAATCTGGATCGAGTCTCGAAGTATTACATAGATTATTGTGAGTTCCCAGGGCTTCCAAGATGGCGCTACTTAACCCGCGCTCTAACCATATGATAGACAACGATCGCATCTGCAAGCTCTTTATAGTCTATGACAGCGACAGAAACCCCTTCCGAAGTCTAATATCTCTCGGCTTGAAGGACCCTGTCCTCCTAAAGGCCATCCTGGCCCTGGCTGCGCGGCACAATGCCAATACAGGCCACTCATTCTATCAACACGACGAACCTAAATCACCTATATTCATCCACGCCAATCGAGATGCATTCCTCTTCAAACATCAAGCCATGGAGGCTCTGTCGCGTGCCTTGAGCCGTTCAACAGTGGACATCCAAGACACCAAGGTGGCCGGTATCTTTCTTCTCATCTTTCTGGATCTCCTGGAATCAGGGAGCGACGGGTGGAACTTTCATCTGGAAGGGGCCAAGAGTTTGATCGCGTCCCATCGACTACTTCCAGTTGCTCAGCCGGGAATCAATCAGGGGGCAGGGCAAACTATTAATGAAATCCGGGATTTCATCACCAAGCAAATCCATTTGTATGTGCCTGCATGTGTTATCGAAGTCACCATGAAGCGGAATACCCGAGACTGATTACAATTGCACCAGGATCGAAACTCTCGGGGCAACCTTTTTACGTCCGAAATTGCTATCCCAATTTACATCCGCCCAAGATCTCAAGCTCCAAGAAACAATTGAAAAGTCATTCCTGGGATGTCCGGAATATCTCCTGATGGCCATCCAGTCCCTCTCCGCACAGAGAGACAGAATCGCCGAATCAGTGCCCCTCGACGACACCGCCACCCGCTCCCATATCCAGGATGTCACCACCAAGATCGCGTCCATCCAGTGCTTCGACTGTGAATCATGGGTCTCCAGCCTGTACTCTCCACAACCATCTGCGCAAAAGACCAGCAACCTAGTCATGTTGTCACAGTCATACAAACTCGGCGCATTGATCTACGGACGACGAGTCTCGGATGCCCTCTGTGAAAAAGTCACCCAGCAAGACGAATTGGTCGCCGAGTTGTTAGGTCTGATCGACGCCCTGCGAGGGGATCAGGCTCTGTTTAAGTGCGTTCTCTGGCCGATGATTGTTGCCGGGCTGGAGTGTCGACAGCAAGCTCAGCGCGAGTTTCTCACTGGATGTTTGGAGGAATTCTGGGTTGCCACTAATTGTTTGAATGTCATTAATGCTGCCAAGATTTTGCAAGGCTATTGGCTACAGGATTCTTTTGAGGGCGCTTCGTCGGGTTGGATTTTTGATATTGGGCGCTTGGGTCGGGATTGGCTTTTAATATAGATAGAGTGGGGGATCAGGGGGTTCCTGTACTGGTACTTGACGACTATCATGACTTGATGCCAACTGAGAAGAACTACGATGCTGTCTACTGTATCAATAAGTTTTGACGATAGAATCAGCGTGGTAGAGTGTGTTGCTATTATACCTAGGCATCAACAGCCAATAATCCTTCTAATAAAAAAAACGAAGAGTTTTGTCCATAAACCCGGCGCGTGATGGAATACGAGCTGATATTTTGCTCATCTCCCCTGGAAGTCTTCAGCCCAACAACACAAGCACAACACAACAACCCCCAAAGCCATAAAACAACCCTTTGTTTTTCTTTCGAGTCCCTAAATCCCAAAAGGCTCACATGCCGCGAAGCTCAAAAATTTGCTTCCTATTGTCCCAGGAATATTTGCAGGGTGGGTTCGTATTGGGTAGGATGGAGGGGAGGCCCATTCGCCTGCAGAAGCTCAGCCCCCAAATGCCGCTAAATTTCACCCTCAACACCCTCTTTTGCGTCCTGCGATTTCCTCAACCACTCGCTCCCTGTTGCCAAGGGCCATGAGGCGCTCGCTCTCGAAACCTCAGCCTCCGTGCACTGCCTGGCCTGCATGTCTATATAACCCGCAGGGTCGCCCGTGCCGATAGAGTACACTCCATTTTGTCTGGCTTCCAAGTGCTGTGTGAGCCACTGTCAGTATAGGATTGACGAAATTGGCCATACATTACCAGCGTTTCTGCTTTGACTAAAGGCTCAAGGTGTGTGTGTGTGCTTTCTTTGCGATCCCATATATAGAGCAGTGGCACTCCCGACCGTCGATGCTTTTTTGGAACCGGCTCTTGTCTTTCTGTATTTGCTCACGGATTCTAGTCAGCGATCGCGAGTCCCTGTGGACCATTATTGCAAGACTTTTGTCCGATTAGGATCACTTCAGTTCTCATCGCTGTCGGACCACAGCGGCATTCACAGCAATGTCAGCAGTCCAGGCCGTCGAGGGGTTCAGCCTCATCAACCGCTGGCTCCTATACACCAGCTTCATGCTGGCACCAGCGCAGTTCATCTCGGGCATCGGCAGCAACTGCCCCAGCAACATCGGGTTCCTGGCATACAACTGGTACACGCAGCTGACGTGGTACAAGGCGATCAAGGCGAACGAGCTGCACGCGCTCTCGCTGCTGCCGGTGCACTTCAACTTTATCTTTGTGTTCACCTACCTGGGCGGGGTGACGTCGGGCAACCTCGTCATGGGCGTGATCCTGGGCCTGGGCACCGCCGGCGTGATCATCCTGAACACGGTCGCGGCGTGGACGGCCTGGGCCATCGACCAGCCCGGCGGGTTCGGCGAGTACCAGTTCTTCTTCTTTGGGTGGCGCACGCTCAGCCCCGGCTGGCACAAGTTCATTCTGGTGTGGCAGATCGGTGACTCGCTGTTTGCCTTTGGGAGTGTGGTCACCGCTATGGTTCTCGCTATTACTACGGCCCTGTCGGGCTATGGTGGTGACGAGGACGAGGACCAGATGCCTTGGTGGACCCGCTACCCTGCCATGCCTCTCGGTGCGGTGGCTATGCTGCTGTTTGGGTGGCCGCTGATTCTGTGGACGGAGCTGATCGTGTCGCGGAACCATATCGAGTCTGATACTGATATGATTGCCGTTTGGTTGTTTGTGGCCCAGGTCGGGACGATGTTGATCCCCAGCTGCACGTCGTACTTGGGTTGTTTCAAGGGGATGTTTCAACGCCGGCAGAATTGATGCTATGTAGGCGTAACGAGGTATATATTCGGACTAATGATCACTTGGTTTTGGGCGAGCGTGGTTCCAGTAGACTTGACCATGTAGTGCATTGGTTTTCATATGAGAGCTAGACTATAATAATCAGACCAAAAAAAAAAAAAATTAAATTCAATTAGATTAAAAGTAAACAAACCGAAAGATAAGCATAAACATAGCGCCACTATCCGATGTCATGCGACAGTCCGGTTGCGTGTGCCTAACAGATGGATAATCCCATAATTCAAACAGATCAAAAGGATTCAGTGCGATGATCGGACGAAACTGAATCCGTGCGCTATAAATAGAACCTTCGACTCTGTGGGAGTTGAGGAATGCCAGGTTTCGCTGGTCGCGCGATCTCTGGAATGTGTCAGGGAAAAGAAAGTCGGTTTCGTCTACTTGGAATGTCGAGCGTAGAACAATCCCATCAAAATAAAAATCAATAAAGATACCATGAAATGAGGATTGGCAAGGATTTAAACGCCGAACACAAAACTATGGACTTGAGTGACCTCATCTGCCGTGTCCACGTAACCAGGGGCCACTGGGTTTTCGAGGGAAGATGGGGTCCACGGCCAAGTTGATTATTATTTGATTCTTGCCCAGTCATCCATGGGGTATTATCATGCGGGATTATGCGTAACTACAATCAATGCAAAGGGGATAGAATAGCAAAGATTATATAGAGTGTAGAATAAAGACGAGATCATGACACGAGATCAGCACTGGGTCTTTAAGCTTCTGGGTATAATCGACCCGCAATCGATTGTGATTCGCACAGCCAAGCGGGAAAAGGAGTGAAAATCACCAGGCAGCCGCCATTGTCTTGGCCGCAAAAGTGTCGCTGCGGTCGCAGACTGGTGGACTCGGTCGGTGGACTCTGATTCGCGCTTGGGGGGGCCCCACGGGCTAAGGCCAACCCCCCCGACTTCCATCCCCCCGTCAGAACTTCATTTCTTCACTTCTCTCTCCCACCCAATTTATTCATCCCCCCTCGATCGCAGACCTCTCTCTATCATGCTCGGGCTATCATGGGCACAGCTCTGGGGAGCTGCCCTGCTGCTCCTCAATACCCAGTCGGCTATGACGCAGCTGACCATCCAGGTCACTGACAAGGGTAGGGATTGACCCCCAATCGCATTCAATGGATCCATGACTGACGAGTGAGTGAATTAGACTCTGTCGTCAAGGCCGGGCAAGCCATCGCCAAGCCTATGATGAAATTCTACCACGAGAACGAAACCGAGGGTATTCCCGGCAAGCTCACAGACACCTGGTACGTTGCTGGGTCCATGTTCATGACTTGGATCCAGTATTGGTCGGTCTCGAATGTCGACACCTATAACGATGTGGTGCAACACGACCTGATGTTCCAGTCTGGTCGAGATTACAACTATTTCGACTCCAACTACAGTCAATGGCTGGTGAGTGTCTACCGTGCGCCCCCTTGAGACAACCCGATCCTGGCTGACCACAGAACTGTCCATTTCTGTAGGGAAATGACGACCAGATGTTCTGGGGTCTTGCGACCATTACTGCGTCCGAAACCGAATTCAAGGAGGTCAGCGGCAAGCCGTCGTGGACATCTCTTGCCGCCGCCGTTTTCAACATGCAGATTGGCCGGTGGGATATGACCTCCTGTGGAGGTGGTGAGCGCTGGCAAATCTGGCCCATCCAGAATGGTTACGCGATGAAGAACGCGATCTCCAATGGTGGACTCTTTGCGCTGGGAGCGCGGCTTGCTCGCTTCACCAAGAACGAGACCTACGTCCAGTGGGCCGACAAGATCTGGGATTGGTCGCAGGAAAGCCCAATTTTGAACAACGAAACTTACTTCATTTGCGACTCGACTTCGTCCTTGGACAACTGCGCAAAGGGTGATCACACGCAGTGGACTTACAACTATGGCACGTATTTGCTGGGTGCGGCCTATATGTACAACTATGTAAGTTCCTCCCCCCCCCCCACATTCCAATCCTCCGCATTCAACCATTGTGCACATGGCAAATGGCATGCTTACCAAGGGATTCCCCCTCGATAGACCAAGGGCGACGACCGGGCAAAGTGGGAGAAACGGGTCGACGGGCTCCTCGAGACGACTTTCAAGACGTTCTACCCTAAGCAGTATGGCGGCAATGTTCTTTCCGATATTACCTGCGAACCGGTGAACAAATGCGACCGAAATCAGCTTTGTTTCAAGGGATACCTCTCGATGTGGCTTGCCACGACCGCCATCCTCGTTCCTTCGACTCGCGACAAGATCACTCCCAAACTGCAAGGGTCGCTCGAGGCGGTCGCGAAGATCTGCTCTGGAGAGTCGGATAATCTCTGTGGTTTGCGGTGGTACGATGATCACTGGGATGGAACCAAGGGGCTGGAGGTCCAGATGGCGGCGCTTGGCGCCGTGTCGTCGGTTCTCATGCTGCTGAGCGAAGGCAAGGGCCCGAGCAACGTTGACAGCAACCCCGATGCCAAGGAAGCGCCCATCGACACCGGAGGCGGTAACAAGGACAGTGATATTAGCACCCGACCCATCACCACCGGTGACAAGGCTGGTGCCTGGATCCTCACCGTTTTGACCGGCGGCTTGGCCGCTGGTGGAGTGACGTGGCTGTTGAAGGCAAGCTGAGCTCTGTCTCTGCACCCACTCTCTCAATTGGAGGTGTTGAAAATTCGGCATGTACTTCCGCTGGGGTGACTTTCTGCGCTGGCGAAATTTTGGGGTTATTTGTTTTTAATTTTTTTTTTTTTTTGTTGTCTGGTCCAAATTTATTGAATAGTTTCTGTCATTTTGGGTTGTACATAAGACGACTGTTATATAGGGGGTTGTGGTGTCTTGAATATCACATATTTCTGGTTCTGGCTCCAATATTCTTTTGAAAGACGTTATTATGCGTCCGCAAGAGACCTGAATGCCTGAAGCAGGTCATTCTTCAGGTCCTCCCAGTTCTCCAGCCCCACGCTGATTCTCAACAGCTTCCGATCCACCCGGGGGTCCGACAGTGCACGCCACTCGATCAGCGACTCGACACCCCCGAGACTGGTAGCATGCTGAAAGAAACTGAGCTTACTCGGCAGCGCGCGCGCAAAGTCCTCGGAGTGCAACACAACAGCAAACACCGGCCCAAAGCCATTGGGCATCTGCCTCCGCAACCACGGCTCCTCCTGCAGACTAGCATGGTAGATGGTCTGCAAAACCGTCTGCATCACATGCTCATCCATGCCCGGCACAGGCGACGGAGTCTTCAGCGCACAATGAAGCCAGTCGACCAGCCGCCCGGAGCTCTGACTCGCCCGCTGCACACGCACTTCGAGCGTGCGCAGACTGCGCGTGCCCAGCCAGCTCTCCATACTCCCCATGACATTCCCCAGCGCCACGCGATCCTCCAGCAACTGCTTCGTCCAGTCCCCGCGCCGCGTCGCCAGCACCCCACACAGCAGATCGCTATGGCCGCCGAAATACTTGGAGCCCGAATGCATCACCAGGTCTGCACCCCACTCAAACGGGTCCTGTAGGCCCGGCGGCGCGAACGTGCTATCGACAATGAGGTAAGCACCTCGGGCGTGCGCTTTGCGCGCGTACGCCTCGATGCTGAAGGCCGTGCCGAGCGGGTTGACGGGCGTTTCGAGGAGGATCACGTCGCCGGCGTCTAGACTCTCGCATGCGCAGTCGAGAGGCAATTTCTGGAGTCCCGATAGCCGCGAGATCACGGCGATTACTTCGTGGCTGCCGTGATAGCCCTCGCCCACGGATACCCGGCGCGGGTTCAGCAGGGTTAGTGCTGCGTGTAGGGCGGCTAGGCCTGTTGCGTAGCTCACTGCTTGGCCGTGCAGGAGAGATGAGAGGACTGCCTCGAAGCGAGTTGCGTTGGGGGCGAACTCTCGCGAGTAGACATAGTTCTTTCCGTTGAATTCGGCCTGATGTATATTATTAGTCTTGAGATCTTTCTTTCTTTCTTTCTTTTATTTGCTGGTTAATTCGATACGCACCGAGTCCTCGGATGGAACTAGATTCTCGGGCTCATTGGGGTATCGGAAGGTTGTGGATAGATGGATCGGGGGCGCGACGTCGGTGACCAGGTGCAGGTGATCGTCGGCATGCAATGCCTGAGTGGCCGGGTGGATGTTCTGCATTTTGCAATTGACTGTAATGCAAGTCTCATATCGCAAGAATTCCCGGCAACGCTGGATTTATATCTCTGCGATACTCAACCTTGCTCGGACCCACTCCCGGCAAGCTCCCCAAGTGGCATCCCTCTCGCTGCTTGGCTTTTCTCCACTCCTCGCAAGTTCCTAAAACGGATTGCCCCACTCAAGATGACGAAGATTTGTCCAGTCGCGCAGTGCTGTGTGCCTGAACGGCGCAAAGCTCAGAGCTCGGCGTTCAGAGCCAACGACAGTCCATGGCCATCGCCTCCACGACCCAATGAGCACGATGCGAAAACGTCTTATCTCAAGATGATATTGCGGGCGGGGTGTCAAGACAAACAATAAATACTCCAACAATGCCAAAGTCAGGACGGGCATACTATAGCAATTGTCCTCTTTTTCCGTCATCACTATGTATCTCCGCGCAATCCACGCCGAGCCCTCCATACGCGCGCTCTTCGACTTCATCAAAGAGAACCCCCTCGGCATCCTCACCACAGCCATAGCCTCCTCGTCACACCCGTTCATCCAATCCAGCCATATCCCATGGGTCCTCGACGAGATCAGCGAGGACCCAGACGCGCAAATCAAAGGCCGACTCCGAGGGCACATGGCCCGCCAGAACCCGCAATCAAAGGTCCTGGCCGAGGCTGCCAATGCCAATGCCAATGCCAACAGTAGCATATCCTCCACGGGAGCAGCCGCGCAACTCCAACAAGACGTGATGGTTTTGTTTACCGGCCCGCACCACCACTACGTCACGCCGAAATTCTACACCGAAACCAAGCCCAGCACCGGCAAAGTCGTGCCGACCTGGAACTACGCCGCCGCCCAGGTCTACGGTAAAGCGACCATCTACTATGATGCTGCGGCCCCGGAAACTTCAGACTATCTCTCGCGCCAGATCCATGATCTGTCGATGCTGTGCGAGACCTCTGTTATGGGACATACGGGGCAGGAAGAGAGGCCGAAGCCGTGGATGGTGGCCGATGCGCCGGAGCGGTATATTGAGGTTATGAAGAAGAATATTATTGGGATTGAGGTGGTAATTGAGAGTATCGGTGGGAAATTCAAAATGAGTCAGGAAATGGGGGCCGGGGATCGTCAGGGCGTTGTCGAGGGGTTTGGCGGTTTGGGGTCCGATGTTGGGGATCATCTGGCGGGTTTGGTGAAAGAGCGTGGGAAGATGAAGGATGATGCTAAGCAGAAATCATGAGATGATTAACATCAAGAAATATCAGATCTCGTCTTCCAGTTGAAATTCAACCTAGATTGACCGCAATCGTGAGGCTGTTGTATGAAGATCAGGCATGAACATGATATCTCGACCACTTTGGGGTATATTCTCACGCGTTGATTCGAATGCTGGCAATTGACTTGAAATATTGAACCACGGAGTAAATTAATTTGGAAGATGAAGTGATCGGTCGAATACATCAATAGATCCAAGGCTCCCAAGAAACGAGGGCAGCCCAGGGAAATATTTCTCTTTTCTTATATTTATAAGTGATCTCGCTCTTAGACGACTTACATTGGCTGCTATTGCAACGCTCTTTTGTTATCATGCCCAGGTTTAGCGCTATCTATAGCCAATTTAGTTTGAACGGACCTTGACCACACGCACCATAGAACATTTGTGCACACACCAACGCCTTTATTAAGACCTCACCCCACTGCCACCTTCCAAACTACACACCACGAACATGGCGAAGCTTTTCAAGCGCAAGTTCAACGTACAAGAGTGGTCTCCATTGGCATAGGAATTTCAGATTCTACCTGTGAGATCAACGGCGACATATTCAATAGATGGAAGCTTCCGACCCCGCCACCAGAGCAGCGCGTACGCAAGATTGGCGCTCGAGGGCGCAACTCGCAGGAGCAGAGTATCTTCTTTCGGCTGCCTGTCGAGGTAAGAAGGCTTATATACATTGAACTGATGGGTGATCGACGCGTACACATTCGATACGTATGGAAGAAGCCATCGCCATTCCGGCCGCAGCCCATACAAAGCGGACCCCGGTGGGACTGGTGGCATTGTGTCTGTGACAGATCGAATAACTTCCCCGAGGACCCTTATTTCGATCGCTGTCCGGACTGGGAATGTGAGAAGGAGCTCAATGTGAGAAGTCCGAAAATTAATGGCGTGGAGTGGCTGAGGAGCTGTCAACTCGGGTGAGTTCCCTACCCCCTCCAATATTTAAACAGTGTCTGATCATATCATGTCGCAGTTATGAAGAAGCACTAGAGATTCTCTACAAGGCAAATGTCTTCGCGATGGACAGGGCCCTGGACACGCCTTTCCTGATCTCGAGACTCATGTCGCGACATTGTGCCTCTAATATAACATTGATGGATATCTCTTTCCCCGTCGATGTTGGTATTGGTGGTCGTGGGTACAATGAAAGCGACTGGATGTCGACATATACCGCATTTTTCAAGTTATTCGGGGAGACTTTCCACGGCGTGCGTCGTCTCCGCTTGCAACTTCAAATGCCGCCATGGGAGGTTTTCTGTGAGGCTTTTAATGAGCAACGGGTGGACCTCATACGGTCCTTTCTGGAGCCATTTGATACACTTTCGGGAGGGCGGGAGTGGACTCGACTGCTGCTTTGTGTTCCATACGACTGGCGTGAACGCCTCGAGAAGTTCAAAGAATCAATGCCGTGTCAAGATAAGTGGGAGATCACCGAGACTATGTGGTCTCCCCGGGGGATCCTGAATTGTGTTGGAATGAGCACATAGATAGTATTCAACTTGTTGGTCTTTAGCTCTAGTAATTGAACTCAATAGAAAGATACCCAGAGAAAGAAAAAGAAGAGGAAAAAAAATATCGCGAGCTATATATCAAGCAAATAGCATGCCTATAAAATCTAACACTTGTTCAATATGCCTTCCAGAGCCGCCTGAGCAAAGCGAGGGTCAGTGAATAGCAGCCGGCGCTTTGTTTTTCTTTTGCTCCTTGAAGATGATCCCAAGGTTCCTGCTATAGGATGATCTATATACACTACCCGTCCAAAAGTCTGCCGACACTCACTATATTCCCCGCAAAACTCGACGATTTTAATTGTAAATATTTAGATAATCTGAAAAGTAATACATAGATTCTACTATTCAAATAATTCTTTTTTTAAGAATATAATTGTAGAGAGATATTGTAGCTTAAAGTTAGCCGGACCACAGGGATTTTGATTCAAAGTAAGATATCTTATATCGAGTAGATTTTCATTATTAAAAAAAAAGATCTATATAAATTTTATGGATTTACAGTAATATATGATCTATTTCCGTTATGATATTCGAGTTTAAACATTCAATTTTTATTCGAAGCTTGTAGTGTCGGCAGACTTTTGGAAACCTCGGCGGGTGTTGGTTGGGGGCTAAATCCGCAATGACGATGTTCATCTCACCAAGTGCACTTGCCACGTATTATTTCTTTAGTTTCTTTAGTTTCTTACGTGACCAATCCTGATGCTACTGGCCGCCTTAGGTCCCTAAGATAACGTGAGATCTAGCGATCAATTTATATAACCTTTGAGCACATCCTTGTTCACTTTTTCGCCCCATGTTCTTCTTTCCTCGCATTTGGATACACCATGGACTTTCCAATCCCAGAAGCATATCGCGACAAGCTAACACCCGTCCAAGTGACGGACGATCGGACGGATGCAGAGATATTCGCCACTTTTCAAGAGTATCAGCCGGTAGTGTCCGAGAAGAATGTCTGGGCCTATTGGCACGCGGGGGTCGAGAATATGCCCAAGTGGTGCCAGAAAAACGCCATTGACTGGGTGCGTATCCTCGGGCCGAAGTGGACAGTTCGCGTCTTGAACAACGTGCCTGGCTCCCCAAACAACACTCTTCGATATGTTCCAGACAATCTACTCCCACCGGCATTCGTGGACCGCTCAATGGATGGGCCGTACCTCGGCCAACATGGTGCGGACTTGACTCGCTCGGCCTGCCTGTATGAGCACGGCGGGGCATGGATGGATGTGGGAAGCATACTGATTCGACACCTTGATCGTGTCTGCTGGGATCAGCTCGAAGATCCAAATACCCCATACCAGGTGGCCCTACCGATAATCTATGGGCTTGTCCCAGCGAACCATTTTGTGGCTGCACGCAAGCGTGACCCTTTCATCTATCAATGGTCAGTGGTTGTTCCACAAACTCCTCAGTCGAATAACCACAGCTGATGGCAATTCCCTAGGCATCGCCTTTTCACTCATGTCTGGGGTAGCAAGAAGAATGTCAAGGGTTGCGCGGCGGATCCCTTGATCGCACCTATACTGCCGATCATGTTCCAGGACGAGAGCTCCAAGTTCGACCCCGACTGGATCGATATCACCCAAGCGCTCGAGTATATCACTCAAATTATCTGTTGGACCCGTCTCTTTTGCTTGGAAGAGGCCGACGAGGGGTTCACGGGCTTAGATTACTGGCAGAACCACATCTTCGCGTTTAGCTGTATGGAGGAGGATTGGCGTGGAGAGAATGTCACCAGCTTTGTGGGATTTGGCCATCGTGCCTTCGACGCATTACAGCTGCCACACTCAGGACCAAACGTCGATCAGTCATCGGAGAAGTTCCAGGAGGCCGAGAAGATGATTTGGGAGCTTCTCGCCAATGCCAGCATGTGGAAAATCGGACATGCGCATGGCTTGACGCACTCCGTTTTTCTGGGCAGTCTACTCGACGAGCCCGAAAATGAAGGCAAGGACGCGCAGCCGGGCACTTTTGGTGAGTTGTTTCGCCAAGGGACGGTTCATCTTCGCCAGACGCGAGCAGATGTGGTGAGGATGCCGACTCCACGGCCGAACACCACGTTGAAGAAAGGGGTTCTAGAGCCGTGAGATTTCTCTACATTATTGATTTATCTCGCCCACTGGGTGCTCCAAATACCACAGCGTGTGAACCCTTCTTGATGTTGAGTATCTGTCGTACGAAGATCTGGTCATCTTTCTATAGTTTCGGTTTCGATTAGTATAATTTTCTCGGCATGTACTATATTTTTGAGATATTTACTGAGATATTTACTGAGATATGTACTATAATACATTTATATTTCTTAATCTAATTTATCTTATCTAGAACTTGTAGGTCTGTTAGAGAAGACAGTGGCAACCCGGCCGTAGATCATGTCGCGATACATCCGGTGTGGGGTGCCACATACATCCTTCGGCCTCAGCGCCTCATCCCCTCTCCATTTCTCTCTCACAGCCCAACAACCCAACATGCCTCCCTCAGCACAGACAGTGAGTTCACCCTATTATGCCTTTTATTCGAATACCCCCCAGCTCTCGCGATGTGGTTGTGCACAACGCGTTCAAATCCGAAAGCCTGGAGTTTACCCCGCACTGTCATGACACTCGCCCTCGCGAGAAACACACAGTCAACTTACTCAACAGCTAACATAATCCACTCATAGACACGACTAGTTTCAACCCTGCGCCTACTCATCCCGCGCCTCCGACTCCTGCAGAAGAAAGACACCGCATCCTCAGTCGTCCAGCGGCGCGAGCTCTCCCAACTCCTCAGCGAAGGCCGCGAAGCGTCCGCGCGCATCCGCGTCGAGAATGTGATCGCGACCGATATCGCCGTCGAGGTGATGGAGATGGTGGAGCTGTATTGCGAGCTGCTGCTGGCGCGGGCGAATGTACTGGACCAGCTCGCGTTCGGGGACAAGGGGACCCGCGCACGGCTTCGCGCGAAGGAGTTGCTGAAGAAGCAAAACATTGCGCAGACAGGGTCAGCGGCGGGACCCGCTTCTGCGGGCAGAACCGCGGGGGAGAGTACGGGGTCGCGATTTGGATTTTCTTGGTTGGGAGGGGGAGTGCAGAAGAAGGATGTCGAGCGACCTGCTGCCGCTACGTCGGCGGATGCTGGCAGTGGTACGGAGCAGTCCCCAGATACCGGTGCGGACGAGGAAAATGCTTATATGGATACTGCGCTCGACGAGGCTGCTGTCGTGGTCTTCTATGCCTGGCACCGCTTCCCGCACGAGCTGCGCGAACTCACGATGTTGCGCACAATGCTGGGTGAGCGATATGGCAAGGAATTTATGGCCATGGCTCAGGACAACAAGGTCGATTCTGTCAAGGTGCCCGATCGACTACTGAAAGGCTTGCGCGTTCGTCCTCCGGGCCAGGACCTGGTGGAGAGCTATCTACGAGAGATCGCAAAGGCATATGGCGTGGCATGGCCGGCAGAAGATGAGGAGTTAGACGTCCAGGCAGAGCTTGGAAGTGCGCCACCCGAATTTGTCGATGATCTTGCAAGCGATGACGGCAACGAGAAAGAGACTGCTCTACCGGAGACCCCAAATAAGCACGCAGACTCCACATCCCGCACGAATTTCTCCGAATCAAGGCGCGCTTCAGAAACGAGTGAATTGAGCAGGGCTACGCCTCCGCGCGGACTCGCTGCCGGTCGTAGTCCTGTCAGCGTGGCTCCGCCAGCACCCAGAACTGATAACCCCAACCCGCGAGTCAAGCTTCCGGGAGCCGAAGGAAAGAGTGAGGAGGTTGCGAAAGATGAATCTGAGCCAGATGCCTCGAAAAAAAAAAGTGGCAATGGAATACCTGAGCTGGATGAGCTGACACGGCGATTTGCCGATCTGAAGAGAAAGCCTTGAGGACTGGCTTTCAGTCTCCAGTATTATACTCTTATTCCCAGTTCCATCTGCTCCCGCTGGCCTTCTCGTTTGGGCTAGCGAGCGCCATTGATATGTCCAAAGGGCCTGGTCACCAGCAGCTACTTAATTTGATAAATACTGGCAAATTGATTGCTACCAGCCCGAGCAACATGAAATTCCTCTTCAGATGGCCATACTGGCTTTCCACACCCAAGAAAACAATGGTCATGTGTAAATTAATAATTACATTGGACTCTCACCCGATACGTAAAGCTCTTGTTTACCCACATCTTGCTTCAATGGCTATCATGATCAGGTCGCCGATCAGGTCACGAATTTCACTCTGGGCTTATCAGCAAAGCTCCATATGTCAACCCTACCTCCACCAGACACTGTCTTCGCTACGTTACTATTTCTGGAAACCTTCTGTTGGCAGACTTGCCCTTAGGTCGACTATGGCCTCCAAGGACTTTACATCCAGCGCAGACTCTGATCCCTTCCCTTTCAAATGTGTGCCACTCGAGGAAGTTGAGAGGCTTGAAAAGTACCAGCCTGGTGGATATCACCCTATACTAATAGGCGATGTTCTTCAATTCCGATACCGAGTAGTCCACAAACTAGGCTACGGGACTTACTCAACCACTTAGCTCTGCCGAGACAGCCAGTCTAATAAATATGTAGCAGTCAAGGTTGGAACGGCCGAATCAAATCCTCGGGAGATTGATATCCTCGATTCTCTCAATCGCTCTCCCCCGCTTGATCATCCAGGCAGGGCAATGACACTATCTATCCATGACAGATTCGTTCTCTATGGCCCTAATGGCACTCAACCTTGCTATGCCACAACCCTAGCAATGTGCAGTGTTTCTGATGTGAAGGACGGGTCTTATAAGCGCATCTTTTAGGCCAGTACAGCTCGCTCACTTATCGCGCAGCTCGTACTAGCTGTTGAGTATATCAATACCCAAGGAGTTGTTCATGGTGGTTAGTCCTTATACTTGTCTAATTTTACAATCATTTGCTCATGCTCTACACTAGATATCCACATCGGTAATGTCCTTCTGCGGCTCCCAGCCAGTTTTGACCAGCTTTCAATCGAGCAGCTATACGGAAAATACGGCTCGCCCGCGTCAGAACCCGTTGTTCGTTTTGACGGCCAACCGCTTGATTCTAGCGTTCCACCTAGCGCTTTCCTGCCCATCTGGCTTGGATAGGCCTCAGAAGAATTCCCCCTCTCAGAATCCAAGGTCCTGCTCAGTGATTTTGGAGAGGCATACAGACCCTCAACCGAGCGTCGGTGTGACTCACACGCCTCCCCCCCCTCTCCTTTGTGCCGCCCGAAGTCCGATCTGAGCCAGAACGAGGCCTTTCCTTCTCATCTGATATCTGGTCTCTCGCATGTTTCATATAGATAATACTCGGCCAGCGCCCCTTGTTCGAGGATATTCTGGCCACTCTGGACGACATCACAGCCGGGCAGGTTGATACTCTAGGGAAATTACCTCTAGGGTGGTGGGAGACATGGGAGGCGAGACACCAATACTTCGATGAAGGGGGAGAACCAAACCAAGGTCGACATGTGAGGTCTTGGGAAGACTGCTTTGAGGATCACATTCAACTCCCACGGCAGAAGGCTGGGATCCCGGGGTTTGATGTGGAGGAGAAAACTGCTGTTATGGATATGTTGCGATCGATGCTATCTTTGAGCGTGAAAAGCGATTAACTGCACAGGATGTATTGAGGAGTGAATGGATGGAGAAATGGGCATTGCCGGACTTTGAGAAATCTCACTTTGGGACGACATTCACGGGGCGTTGAGGATGCGAGCGATCTCTAAGATATGCTTGCAAGGCACGAAGAGTCAGAGTCAACCTGGACTATTTTGATGATGTGCAAGAATGGTGGACCAAGTATTTGCCCATGATCCTGGATCCAGTGGATGATGAAGGATTCTACCATCTGTGGCTTTGGTTTGCATTATCCAAGGGTATACAGTTGCAAATCAATCCATGAAATAGTAAATAGATTAGGATCATTACTATTCTTATTCAATGTTGATTTCGCTGAATTCTATGACATCTTCAGCCGTTGTGTCAGGAGTGGGTCTTGCAGAACCCCAATCGAACCCGATCCATCACTCCTGCAACTCCAGCAACTCCCGTCCTTCTCCAGACATGCCGACCCTGACATGACCACTCGGCACCATTATTCCTACCCACGCACGATTCATTGAAACACCTAGCCGTCGCTGGCCCCGCCATCACTCAGTCACTTCGTTACTCTCCCCCTCCCCACCCTCTCACAACACCGCAATGCCAGTTTACATGCTCCACGGATTCCGATGGCCCCGAGACGGCTTCACGGGCATCCGAGTCTACATCGTCCTCCACAACCTCGAAGAAGCCGCCGCCGAGTACCTCCAGCAACCGCTGACGAGCGAGCTGCTCATCAAGTCCCTGCAGAAAACCCAGCCGGACCTGATGCCGCGACTCCCCGAGCTGCAGTTCATCGAGCAGTATGACCCCGCCGACGAAACCAGCAACACTGTCAGCCAGGATTTCGCGTATGTTGGCGCCAAGGTCGTGACGATCCCCGACGGTGGGGGCGCGGGCCATGACCAGAATATCGAGCACGCTGTCGAGCAGGGCTCGGGCTTGTCGTCTGATTCGACGGAGGCGCTGGAGGAATTGCGGAATCGGTTGGCGCCTGGGGAGAAGATCGGGTGGTATTTGGTTTATAATGGGGACCCTGAGAGATGGTATCCCCCCTCGGAGGATGAGGATGAGGATGAGGAGGGGAGTTATGTGGATGAGAAGGAGGAAAGTGGTACGGAGCCTTCTACTCCGCAGAGCTATACGGTATGTTTCCTTTTCCTGGTCTTTGGATGGTTCTCGGGGGAGGATAATCAGTGGAATTGTGCTCATTGAACTCGGGGTTACTAGGCGCGACTGACGAAGCTCTTCCATCGGTTGAGCTCGTAGCGATGGGACAAAACACTACCATAAAATATTAAGAGATTTTGGATTTCGCCCTAGCGGAGGGCCGTGCCTTGAATATGGATTAACGATTTCTACGCTTTTATGCCTGTTGATACTTTGCATGCTGATATCTCAAATATACCATTCACCTTGGTTCCGGGGTTACCATAACACACTAAGCACCTAACTAACTATGTATAAGCAAGAATATAATAATGCACGTCTATTCTAGTATTCTCTTAGCAAGAATCGGTCCTTCTCTCTATTATAGTCACCATTGTAGATTGCATTGGACGGGCGGTGAGGACCGGCAATATGTGAGGGGAGCTTCGCGATAACGGGGAGCCGCGGAGATCCCCAGCGACCAATCCTCGAGCGGTTTCACAGATGCTGGCCAGGTAGTTTCCTGGTATTTGATTGCAATGGTTCTCTCCTTTATTCTGGTTCAGAATCGCCAGTAAGTAAATGAACTGGGTTCCGGTGCGAGTCTCTCGGATGCTAACGAGCGCATTAGGGGCAAGACACGCCTGGCGAAGTGGTACGCTCCATACAGCGTGAGATCCCATCCCCCATCAACTGGAAACACAGATGAGCGTCGCTGATACCGAGTCTCTAGGATGAGGAAAAAGTGAAGCTCAAGGGTGAGGTTCGTTTCCGCACCACCTACAAAGCATCAACCCGCGCGAGAACATTCAAACTAATGACCGCCCAGGTCCATCGCCTCGTCGCCCCCCGGGACCAGAAATACCAGTCGAATTTTGTCGAGTTCCGTCGGAGCACCAAGGTCGTGTACCGCCGGTACGCGGGCCTCTTCTTTTGTGTCTGCGTCGACGCCAATGACAACGAGCTGGCCTACCTCGAGGCCATTCATTTCTTCGTCGAAGTGCTGGACCAGTTCTTTGGGAATGTGTGCGAGCTGGACTTGGTGTTTAATTTCTACAAGGTGCGTGTTAGACTGGACCGAGAACTTGTTCCTTCACCCCCCTGGTCCTTTTTTCAATACTGATTATCGCTAGGTCTACGCGATCCTCGACGAGGTCTTTCTCGCGGGCGAGATCGAAGAGACGAGCAAGCAGGTCGTGCTCACCCGGCTCGAGCACCTGGACAAGCTAGAATAATTCGGGGATTCGACGCATCGGTCATTTGCATGGAGTTTCAGGCGTTGCGGTTGTGCTTTTTGAACTGTCCATACCATAAGATATGCTTGTGCATTCGGGAGGGAAAAAGAGATAGCAATAATCCCGACATCGGGGTGATATATGCCACTTTGGCGCAGATGTCGAAATCACCGACCAATCTGGTTGACCATGCCAAGGATTTCTTCATCTCCTAAGTTCTTTTCAGGGTCTTTCAGGGTCCTTTGCATTTGGCCATTCCACTCTGGCAAGCCAACTGCCGAAATCAATGCCGTAGGGCGGGGACAAATACGAGCAACATGGGGCCCGGTTAAGCTCATAATTAGACGCTTTTATGATTTCCGAGGCTCATGTTTAATTCAACCTCGAGGCTGAACAGTCCAAAAGGGAAAAGACTCGTGTGAGGTGATCGCGACTAGCGATTGCGAACAACCTCCGGGCTTGGCGCTGCCCATTTAAAGAGCCCGTCGAGCCTTGCTCGCAGCTTTGTCTTTGGGGTTCTTTCTTTTTCTTTTTTTCCTTTTCTTCTTCTTCTTTTGCACCCTTCCTGTGTGAACAATTCTTTCAGATGCCTACTTACCTCTAGGATGGCTACCTCAGTAGTGAGGCAGGGACGATCACCAGCCCTACGTGTGTACATACAGGCTGAGGGTTGTAAGGCACATACCTCAGGCCACCTGGCTTCCATCCGGCTCCCACCCGGATCGACTTCGCAGTCCTTGCCTCGCGTGAACCTTCCCGGCTTTTACTTACTTACAGATGGTCAATTCCCGAATTGGCCATGACGATACCAGTCTATGACATGTCGGAAACAGACCTGGTCCAAGGGGGAAGATCCACCCTTTCAATACATAATGCGCCCATCCAGCTCGGCCTTTGTTTCACGACCGTCATCCGATGTCCGTGGAAGCCGGACGCCGAGAGTCAGCGACTGTTTTCCGCAAAATGGGCCACCCATTTTTTTCTGGGCACATGGAGAAAGGGGCAGGAATCCCGCAAGCTGATCGTCGAGGGGATATTGGATTTCTTGGCCTTGTGGATCGCGGAAATGGGTCTCGACTTTTAACCAGAATCAATCAATCTGCGAGAGGTGGAGCGGGGTGCTCCTTTTTTCGCATGGTCTTTCGGTTTCCAGGTTCCTGGGCCAGTAATCCTGATCCATGGGTTGGCCTTTTTGGTTCACCTTCCAAGGTTGAGGGGGAGATATTGACATTGACACAGACATTGACACAGTATGTCGATGGGTGGCTGATTGCTACAACAAAGATCTTGACATTGAAGCATTGCAATACCATCTCTCCATCTCCCTACATGGTATTTTCAACACCATGTCAGAGAGTGTACGCGTTGCCTTCAGGCCCGGCCAATCAAACGATCAGCGCCCGGATGATTCGTACGCGTTGGGTCTTGGCAGACAGAGTCGTTTTCTTTACGAAACCCCCATTGCCGTGACACATCTTTACCCGGCTCCACCGCCCCTGATAATCCTGGCCCTTTCAGTACGTCAGCCGGTGACGTCTTGCTCCTGGGAAGCCTGGATATTGCGATGGTTGGAATTTGATGGAGGCAGCATTTGCAAAGAAAAAGAAAGAGCAAGAAAACAAAGGAGTCAAGGGAGGCAAGTGGGAGATTGAAAGAGAGAGAATCTAATGGCAGGGAAGTATGTAAAGAACACAAGGGATGATCCAAGGGGATTGCCACACTCGCGAGGACACTGGGAACTGTGAAAAAAGTGGCTCGGGATGAGTCTGATTGGCGTCGCGGCTTTGACAGTCTCTGGGGCTGATCTCGTTTTTTTTTTTGGATTGGCCCCTGGTCACTCTTACTTCTTACTTCCATATCAACCCCCGCTCGCTCCCCTTCTTTTTTAAGACTCCAAATTGTCTTATCCCTTCTTTTGGATTGACATCTCGTATCCTTCGCTTGATCTCTCTTGTCTATCACCTTAAGAGTATATACCCTAAATAAAATTCGAGCTTGCCCACCATGTCGATGATGCTCTCCGATAACCTGCCCCCCAGCCTGTGACTGATGTCTTCACCGACGACACATGTATTGATCGCCGCAAGTGCACCCGGACAGTGCCCATGAAGGTGCTTGCGCTCGGAGTTGGCCGGACCGGAACAGCCTGTGAGTGAAGAATTGCTCAGATGAGCATACGGACAAGCGGGATAAATACTGACCTTGTATATCCAGCGCTCCGCAAGGCTCTGGAACGACTGGGCTACACCAAGTGCTACCACATGATGTGCGCCAGCGTTGAGAACCCGCCGGACTGCCTGATGTGGCACGACGCCCTGAACGCCAAATACCAGGGCGTCGGCGAGTTCGGCCGCAAGGAATGGGACCAGCTGCTGGGCGACTGCCAGGCCGTGTGCGACTGGCCCGCCTGCGCCTTCGCCAAAGAGCTGATCGAGGCCTACCCCAACGCCAAGGTTATCCTGACCACCCGCGACGTCGACCCGTGGCATGCGTCGGTCATGAAGACCGTGCACTGGCGCGTCTCCGACCCGGAGCACAAGTTCGTGTCGAACTTTAGCTGGGCGGCCGGCATGTACTACCCCATGCTCAACAAGTTCTTTGAGACCTTCTTCCGCGGGGACTTCCCCGGTAAAGGGAAACAGGTCTATGAGGACCATGTGGCGCAGGTCCGCAGCCTTGTTCCGCCGGAGCGTCTGCTCGAATACAATATTAATGACGGCTGGGCGCCGCTTTGTGAATTCCTTGAGGAGGAGACTCCCGATACGCCATTCCCCCGCGGCAACGATATGGCCGACTTCTACAAGCGCTGCAGTACCCGCAACCGCCACCAGATGATGAATGCTGCTCTGCAGGCTGTTACGATGGGCGGTGCTCTGCTGGCCACGGGGTTGGCGGCCAGTATGGTCTTCAAGCGATTCTCTCGCTAAACCCTTGCATTTTGCATTCTTTGCATTCTTTGCATTCTTTTTCTATTTATGGTCTCCCCACAGTGAGCGCAGGCGCCACTGACGATCGAGCTCGAGGTCGTGTCTGCATTGCATTTTGAACCGGCTACTGCATCTGTTTACTCTTTACACTGGAAGTTTTTTAATATCCCCTTTGGGGTCTCCGATATTTACTACTATCTTTCTTGGTACATATTTTCTTTCCGTCTATTCTTTTCTGTTCTGTTTTCTTTTATATCTGGCGCCATTCTTGTGTTCCTTGGTGCGGTCATCATGAACCCGCCACACCGAAGCAGCTTGGGCATATGTTTTCTTTTTCTGACTGGGAATCGAGGGATGGGGATTATACACTAATCCGATTAGTCGGGTGGGGCACACCCCGTTGGAATCAAAAATATCGCGAGTTTGGACTGAAATAAATGGACCGAATGCAAGGGGTTGATCCTTACAAGTCTACAGTATGTAAATAGGGTAGCAGCAGACATGTCTATTGACAACCATCAGTACTATCAGTACAATTTTATTGCTGCCTTGTCAAGGGGCTGTGTCGAATTGAGGTGCTATGCACTGGTCCTGGTATACTGTAGGGCTGCAGGTCGCTACGAGTACGACGCATGCCGGGCGCTTGGCTCCCGGGGCTTGGCAAGATACGTACTCTCTTGGTAGTATTATAGTATCATTCTTTCGATCTTAGAAATAAAAGTAATAAAAAAGGTAAATTTAAAAGGTTATTTTCAAAGCATACGTCCCCCACTTGCGTAGACCCCAGCCAAGTGAGTTCTTGCTGGTTTTGTCTCTGGGGGCCAATTTGCCGACCGCGTGGTCTGGCATTGCACGGTGATTCGAGGATTCTAAGGTTTCTTGTAGATCGCTGGGGGTTTCTCCGATTGAGGGGAGCTACCCATGAATAGCCCCAATCCCTGCCTTTCTCAGCCCTAGTCGCGTGTATTAAAATATGTGCTTTTACATAGCCTACCATGGAATTACTGTAGTTGTATGTAGTTGCTGTATATATGTAACCGTGGAAGTAAGTAAAGAGAAAAGAAAGCAGTACAGGCATTGGATTTTCTGGGCTTGAGTTTTCCTGTTTCGAGTTTGCGTCTGATCTCTCTCATGTATTCCACTCGGGTTTGACTGGTCATACACCTTGTTAGACATGTCATCTAATGCATGAAATATGATATTGTGTATTTTAGATTATCTTCAGTACAATAAACGATCATTATTCTGCTATCTAACGATTTCATTAATACTATAGTGCTCTAGAATAATCTTGAAAATATCAGTATCTTTCTTCCTGCTGTATCAGCAAGTATCCACCGGCCCACGTAATGCGTGATGTGTTCCGGGGAAGCACGTGGGCTCTTTGTAAGTTATGTATTATTATACACATGATATACACGCGAGCAATTGCGTAGACAAAAAAAGAAGATAAAATAAAATAAAAAGCCATCGGGTGTTCATCCAAGTTTAAAACTCTGCATGCTCTATCTCCGACAGTCGCGTGACGTGGCTCGACTATTACCGTAGTAATTTGACCAATTTTTGACAACTTGCACTAAAATTCAAGAGGCGAAGATCAGAATCTGCCAAAGTTTGGCCGATCCTACACTTAGAGCCACCAATTTACTCAATATCTATTGTCTAACAAACAAGTCATTGTTTCTAGTAAAATAGCATTATATAATAGATTCTATTAAGAAATATACTGCCGATAGTCAAATTGTTAAGACTTGGCACCGTGGGAATAAGCATTTCCCTTTGGCTTTGGCGCTGGCGTGGGTTAGGCCCAATTGGGGCTGCGCAGGCTCCACTTCAAGACTCGCGGGATATTAGGCATATTAGGGATATTAGACATGCGACTTCTGCACATTCTTTTTGATTTTATTTCCTTACATACCTTCTTTTTTACTTTATTCATTTTCCTTGGTAATTTTGGTTGCGGGGAGTGACGTCGCGGGAATCCATGGTCGCCTCCTATGTTCTCCTCTCTCCTCCTCGCTGTCTTCGGGCTTTGTGTTAATGTGGTCGCCGAGGAAGTCGCTTTCTTCAAATCGGTGCGTGATACTTTTTTTTTGATCTGCAATGAGGTGATTTGTTTGTCATTACTGACCACCCCCCTGCCAACAGAGACCCGACCTCTACCCTCCCCGCCTCGACATCACCATCAATGAACCCGACAGGCTCAGTCCGGGCTACATCTTTATCACCCCCTACCAGGGCCAGAACCCAGCTCCGCATATCTACGATAATAATGGGGTATGCCTCCGATTCCAGAACTGTGACATGCGACAAGACCAGAAAACTGACTCCGACGGCAAATAGGAATTAATCTGGAGCGGTTGGGGTGGTTCAGGCCCCGGGAATGCCCATGGACTTCACGTCTGTCGCTACAAAGGCGCCGACCATCTCTGTTTCTTCCAAGGCCACCAGGAGCATGGATATTGTCGCGGACATGGCATCATCATGGACAACCAGTACCGCATCGTGCGATCGGTGCAGCCAGGAGGCGGGATGGCCGCGAGCGACATGCACGAGTTTATTCTGACCAACAACGGCAAAACTGCGTTAATGACCATCTACCAGCAGCGCCAATTCGACTTGGCCGCGTGGAACGTGAAGACCGGCCTCGGCTGGGTGATGGAGAGTATCTTCCAGGAGGTCGACGTGGAAACCAGCAAAGTCCTCTTTGAATGGCGGTCGCTCGATCATGTCGACCCGTCTATGAGCTACACTTACCCGGACCACACGGATACGGGAGGAACGGGCCTGAACGTCCACCAGCCTTGGGATTATTTCCATATCAACTCGATCGACAAGAACGACGACGGCGACTATCTGATCTCCTCGCGGCATACCTGTGCCATCTACAAGATCTCCGGCAAGGATGGGTCGGTGATGTGGCAGCTGAACGGGGCCAATCCGACATTCCAGAACATCAACTTTGTCTTCTCGCAGCAGCATGATGCGCGCTGGTTGTTCGAGAACGCTACGCATACACTACTGTCGCTCTACAACAATGGCGACAACGGCTTCAACCAGACCAACACCTACTCGTCCGGCATGGTCATCCTCATCAATCATGTGGATAACACCGCTCTCCAGATCCGAGAGTACACTTCTGCCCTGAAGGATATCATCAGCACAAGCCAGGGCAACACCCAAGTCCTGCCGAACCGGAACGTCATGATCGGATGGGGCAACAACCCCTGGCTATCGGAGCATGACGAGAACGGGAATCTGTTGTTCTGGGGCATCTTTGGCGGGGAGCCTATCATGAACTACCGAGTGATGAAGTTCGAGTGGGAAGGCAACCCGACCGATTCGCCCGCCCTCTGGTCGTACTCGCGGACCGCCGATCCTCATTCCCTGACAAACTTCTATGTCAGCTGGAACGGCGCCACCCGCGTGCATCGCTGGCGATTCTACGGCGCCACGAACATCACCGGGCCCTACGTCTTCCTGAGTGAAATCTACAAGACCGGCTTTGAGACGGCCTACATCAACGCCACCTTCTACCCCTGGACCCGGGCCGAGGCGGTGGACCGGAATGGTGCCGTGCTAGGCAAGACGCGCAATAAATTTACCTTTGTACCCTCGCCTGAGCTGCGCGAGTTCTGTGCCGACGACTCCTGCGGCGATGCCCCGTGGTACGGGGTCCCCGGCGAGGTGGGAGCTCGACCATTGATCCCGCCGGCGGGCGTGAATACCGTGCCGTGGGTTCAACCCGATCATCCTGGTTCTCCCATCTGGACCTATCCCTCCGGATACCGAGAAAGTCCTAGCCGCTTGCCATCTGATATCGGCGAGATTCTTGGCAGTATGTATACTTTTTTTTTTCTTTGCTTGCATTTCGATCTTTCTCTTTCCAAGTCACCGTTACTGACTCTCCTAGGCTGGGCCATCGTGCTCGTGATCCTGGTCCCATTTCTTGTCGGAATCTTCTGCGCACGCCGATACTACATGAACCGCCCACGATACGCACACCCACGCGATCAAGAGGCGTCCGAGTCCTTGACCGGCATGGGTGAACAAAAGCCCCCGCCGACTCGCGCAGCCGACTTTCCCTGGTGGCACTGGCGGTGGTGGTCCGGCGACGACGATGACACCCAGTACGTCCCGCTCGCGGAGCGGAGTCCACGTCAACGGCAGCGACTAGATTAATTTCCCCACTCTTTTCTACTTTTTCTTTCGTGTACTTTATTTTGCATTTCCTTGCATTGCGTGAACCTGTCTTTTTATATCCTACCTTCATTTTTGTATTTATATTTTCCCCATTTTCTATTATTGCATGAGACTCAATCTTAGAACACACACATACATAGACCACAATCAAGATCCACTTAGGCCATCCAATATGTCCACGTTATCCACATCTCCCGCAGTCAGAAATGAGACGTCGGCTGGAAAATCCCCGGGTACTACATACTGTACATATATGTATGTACTGTATGTATGTAAACGACGAAATACGATTACCCCCGAAATCCTGAGAACACGCTTATGGACTCTTCAATTTCACCCTCTAAATCCGAGTGATCCGACATGCATTTTGGTGACTCGTGGGCCACTCCGTATGTCACTCCTTCCTTCCTCGGAAAGGGGATATGGAAGTGTCGATTGCTCGCACTTCGTATCGACTCCCATATTGGGCAACTCTTTGTCTATCTTCCACGAACCTATCTAGGAAATCCACTTACACTACCTATCCTTACTACATATGTACGGTGGGATAGTTATTAAGGTTGAACTGAAGGAGATCATCTCTCTACTAAATATCTTGTTGGGGCAGGACCTGTTCTATACTTACTGAACTACAGTAGAATGTACATAGTTCCCGTGTCTACTTATCATCATGGTCTTGGCTTTCCGCTCGATAATCAATATGAAATCCACCATATTTCCGTGTGTAGCTGCAGATACTGAAACATCTGATTTGTTTTATTCTTAGTAGTATCAGTAGTGGTCGGCATATCGCGCCTTGAATGCCCGTCGTCTTCCCGAGATCATGATACACGTACACCCCTAGGCCTAATTCTGTCTAGTTGAGATGGTGTATACGTAGTCGTGGGATGAGCTATTGCGTGGATTGCATGGGGCGGGAGTTGGCCACTTCTTACTGTACTGTGTAGTGTAGTAAGCGTCAATACATCCATACAGTGTGCCAGATGGCTACGTCGGCGAGTCAAAGCTCAGGGCGCTGGAGGTGGGCTCGGCAGTTGTGGAGCGCGCGTCGCAAGCTGTCGATTGTATTCGTCATACCCTTGTAGATTTCGAAAGTGTTATAGATTTGATTACAATGATAACAATGATTGCAATAATGTAGTACACTGCAGCATCCTAGGTGTACCTAATTGACAATTGAAAACCCTATGAGAACAGTATATCAAAACATTCAACGCGGTATTCAAGTATACTTACTGTACTTAGCTGGGATAGACATTCCTCTCGCCCCCTGTGGATCATCACCAGCCTTACAGTGTATGTATGTACTGGACGTCCTCAGCCAAGAACTATGCCAAAACGGGGGGGAAAATAGAAACTCCCTCTTCGTCCATTCCTCATCTCGCCCTTTCTCAAATAATAAACTCTCTCTCTCACTCTCCGTGAATTATATATTACCAAAATTACACAAAACTCCCGACAGCCAGCGTGGCTTACACGCACATTCCTCTCCATGCCTGCCCGGACCCAGAACCATAAAACCAACCATGCCCGCCACGCGCGTACGACGTCCTGGACGAGTGCTTATAATCTCACCAAGGGCCCCGGCGAACCCTCCGACTCCCACCCGCCACGCCGCCGTCGCGAGTCCAACCTGTCCCTCGACAGCGTCGACGAGGCGCCCTCCTCCCCCGACTCTCCATTCGGCCCCGATGACCCCAACATGCGCCGCCTCACCTCAATGGATCACGGCCGCAAGACCGTCCATGTGCGCAGCCGCTCCCACAGCCAGAACCAATACCCCCAGGCCCAGCTGCTAGCCCTGCAGGCCGAGGAACTGGCCGCCGAACCCCCACCGCCCCTGCCCCGATCCCCCGCCGCTCCCGTCACCTGGATGTCGCTGCCGCGCAAGGATCAATTGGTGCTGCTGGGTCTCTGTCGCGTCTTCGACTTCCTCCAGATCGCGTCCCTCCAGGCCTACATGTTTTACCAGCTCAAGTCTTTCGACGAGAACCTCTCCGACTCCGATGTTGCAACCCAGGCGGGGATCCTTCAGGGCGCTTTTACTGCCGCCCAGTTTGCGACGGCCATCCCCTGGGGTCGCGCTGCGGATGCCGAGTGGGGTGGTCGTCGCTTTGTCTTGCTGGTCGGCTTGGCCGGTACGGCAATCTCGTGTCTGGGTGTTGCATTTGCGACTTCGTTTGCGCAGGCTGTGTTCTGGCGCTCGTTTGGTGGTGCTATCAACGGCACTGTTGGTATTATTCGGACTATGATTGCCGAGAATGTCAAGGAGAAGAAGTATCATTCGCGCGCTTTCTTGATCTTGCCCATTGGTTTTAATGTCGCTTCATTATTTGGCCCAGGTGAGTTAATTTTTTTTCTTTCTGTCCACCCGACAATCCTCGTGCGACGGTTTCGCTAATTTCTACTTACAGTCATGGGTGGTATGCTGGCTGATCCCGTCAAGAGCTACCCCGGCCTCTTCGGACCTAATTCTACTTTTGGAGGCGAGAATGGAGTGCAATGGCTGGAGCGGTATCCGTATGCGCTGCCCATGTTGGCCAACTTCTTTTTCTTGTCTTTCTGCGCTGTTTTGGTTGCTCGTGGACTCGAAGAGGTATGTGCTGCTTTGCGCTGATTCTTTTGAGTATTTGGCATACTAATTATGTTAGACATTGTCGGCTTGCAAGGGCAAACCAGGCTTGGGTACATTTGCCCTGAGGCTAATCACTCGAACTGTGAAGACCGTGCTCCCGCCCTCCTCGTCTTTGTCCATGCGACTCCCGTTTCACGATCATGATGAGGACGGTCCGCTGCTGGGCCGACAGATGGACCGCACCGAGAGCTATGAGCTCGAAGAGAAAGCGTCCAAGCCAGTCCGTCTCCAGCGCGTGTTGCCCTTCCACAGGATCTGGACCAAGAATGTCTGGTGTACCCTGCTGGCTCAAGCGTTCTTCGACTTTCAAATGGGGTAAGCCAGCCTGGCACTGTTGCAGCCAAAGTCGCATGTTTCTGACCAACTCCCAGCGCGTTCAACAACCTCTGGTTGCTGTTCCTGTCGACTCCTCGCTACGATGCCAACGACCCGGCCAGTCCGGCCCGGAGCCTGCCGTTCATCTTCACCGGCGGATTGGGCATGCTGCCACAGAGCGTGGGCTTTGCAACCGCTATTCTGGGAGTGATCGGCATGTTTCTCCAGTTTACGGTCTACCCCAGCATCAACGGTCGTCTGGGAACCGCCAAAAGTTACCAGTACTTCCTTTCGCTCTTTCCATTGGCCTATGCCTTGGCGCCGTATATCTCCCTGGCACCATCTAACACCCCACCCCCGGGCCAGGCCAGCGGCCCCGGGGTCTGGATCTGGATTATTATCGTCCTCTTCCTCCAGGTCGCCGCCCGGACCTTCACACTCCCGACCTCCATCATCCTGCTCAACAACTGCTCGCCACATCCCTCAGTCCTCGGCACCATCCACGGCATTGGCCAGTCCGTATCATCCGCCTTCCGCACTGTGGGCCCGATCTTCTCGGGTGCATGGTACGGGTATGGCCTGGACATTGGAATGGTCGGCTTTGCCTGGTGGATGGTTGCCCTGGTGTCCGTGTTTGGGTGCGCGGCCGCTGTCTTTGTCTACGAGGGCTCTGGTCATGAAATTCTTCTCCCTGGCGAGGAAGATGATCATCCGCATGGTCGTCTGTGATGTGATATGTCTGCCTCGCCTCCCCGTTCCTATCTCTATTGTGCATTGCTTCAGCCTATTTTGCATGTTGTTCGGTGTCTACCGGTCCTGGGTTTTTGATATTTCTGGTTTTCTTTTCCGACCACTGTAGTTTTTCTTCGGGGGATTTTCTTCTCTTGCATATCTCTGTTTCTGCGGTGGCGTGGTATTGATACCCGTTGAATTCCTCTTCCTCTCCAACTCTTTGCATCTTTTTCGGGTTCTTTGTCTCATTGATACCACTGTCTTGCATTGCGTTTTGTTAGAATTTATATTACTACGATTTCTTTGTATGGTTTGTCTTGCATGTTTTTGTGTTACAGATCTTTGCCATTGTTGTCTGATAGCATTGCCATGGCCACAGTATGGTCAGGTGGGAACAGTTATATAGAACATAGACCCTAGGTTGTGTTCTCGATCAGCTCGGGTTAAATGGATGGGATACTAGTAGCATTCGCCTGGAGTATACAAAAGTCAACCTGGAACAGCCTGTAAGAGCAGCCACCTGATAAGAACATTTTTTGTTTCCATTTCGATAAATTCTCGATTAACCACCCTCGCATCTCAGCACAAAGACACTCACGAGCTAGCCCCATACCCCTTCTGATAACTGGCATCAAAAGTAGCCTGGTTCACCGCAAACTCCCGAATATAGTCCCTTTCCAAATCATGAGTCCGACGCCCCAACAAAACAAGACTATGCAGCGGCGCGCCCAAGTCCGAATCCGCAAGCTCCTGCAGCGTCCCCGCAACAATCTTCTGATCCGGCGCACCAACCCGCGCTGCACCCACAGCCAGATTGTCGGGGTTGCAGACGCCCTCCTTGCGCTCGGCCTCGGTCTCCAGCATCTGGGCCGCGCACTGCGCAACAGTCATGTAACGCGGCGGCTCGAAGATGCGGCGGCCACGCGCCAGGTTCTCCAGCGACGGCTCCTTGACCTTGATGTCCAGCAGCACCAGCGTGTGCAGGCCCAGCTGGGCGTTCTCGCGCACGCGGTCGTAGAACGAGGATGGCTTCCATGTCTCTGTGAAGAAGACCATGCTGACGGTCTGGCCGAAGTTGTAGAGCTGGAGGCCTGTGCACCCGATTCCGGACATGATCGAGGCATTGGGTACGACGTTGGTTGCGATGCCTAGCTCGCGGGCGCGCAGGACGAGGTCTGTGTGGGTTGTGGCCCTAGTTTCCGGGTATGAATATAAGTATAGGGTTTGGTTTTCCGTTTGGACGTCTTTCTTCCTCGTGTGGGATGAAACACATACCCAAATGGGTCGCCGACGACCAGAAATACTATGTCTGCTTTGTCGGCACCGGCCAGGATCTCGTCGCTGCCGCTTTCGACCAATTCACGGTCTGCCTCGATGACGGGGCGGCCATAGAACGCCTCCTACTAAGACGCCAGCGGGTGTCAGCAATCTGCATTTCCGATTGTCTTCATTAAAAAAGGAGCAATAAGGTCCCACTCACTAGCTTGGCCTTGTCGACTAGCAGAATGCTCGTGTACGCTTCCAGATAGACCCGCTCAGCGCGCTTGACGATCTCCAGACCGCGGACCGTGATATCGGTCTCATCGGCGAGACCCAGGCCCACGAGGTGCAACATGGTGATAATCTGCTCGAGCGCCGACTTGGGGAGGAGAGTAAAGAGTGGAATTTCTTGCCCCGCGAGTGGCAGAATCGCGACCGCCCGGCTCAAGTGCCGCTCCGGCTATCGCGAATCGTCCGCGCGACACTTCTGCTCCCATCGGTTTCATCCGAGCTGGCCATCCTCGTCGGCGTCGAGGTCTGAAACATTGTTTTATCCTCGGTCTCTAGTCGGATTGTCACGAATCACTTGAAATCACCAGCCACAATCGAATCCTTGTCCCCAGAGTCGCCATCATGAGCTCCGATCGTCAGCCGAAGTACCGGCAGGAGATCCAGCAGGTATGTTACGTCCCCTCCTCTGCAATCCCCCATCCATTGCCCTTTATGTATGGTCTCTCGATGTCTCGGTTGTTCTGCCTGGTCCTCTCAAGTTGTGATCTTCTCGGGGCGAGGGCGAGTCCGGAGAAATTCGTGGCCCAGCATCGCAGCTGGCTGGGGTGGAGATCTCTCCTTTGAGACCACCAAAGGACACTATTTCCCAAGCACAACATTGCCGCTCTGTGGTACATCAATGGCGGCTGCCAGTTCTCCCCAAGTCTGTTAGGCTGTGTCCATTCATGTCTCGAGGTCGTGAGCTGCAAGATGGCAGGTGGATGAAGGATTATGGGAGATGTCATCAAAACCGGAAGCAATTGGCAGTTATCACGCTAGGCACCATGTGGATTTGGTATTCTCCGGCTTATCGATAATCCTCGATGGCCATTGGTGGAGACCAATTTGCTTGTATACCCTCATCTCTCACTCGGTCTTGCTCTCGTCTCTCCACATCCTTCGATCACATCTTTTCTCTCCTCAAGCTGCAAGCTTTTCTCGCAATTTACTGCCTTGCTCGTTTGAATGAGACATGTCTTCTACCAAACCAAACCCTGAAGTCGCTTGCATCTCGTCTTCGGATGTGTACGAGTCAGTCAAGTCAGCGATCTCGGAAGATTCACTCTCTCTTCGCAGTTCCCCTTCTTCTGTGAACGATTGCATGGATGTGGGTGATCCTTTGAGTGGAGGAGAGGATTCTGATGTGGTGCTTTTCGCCAATCGAATCCCCATTCCTCGCAATTTCGAATACAAGACGGACGAGTACGAAGCAGACCAAGAGTCAAACGTCAACTTTGACGACTCTGCTACAGACACGTCCCACGATGAACCCAACGTGTCTGGGAACTCTCAGTCGAACCTTCGTCGGGCTCCTATCTGGGTTCCCTCTCGCCTTAGGGACATGCAGCTTGAGACGGACGAAGAAAATGAGGCCGGCAGTGAGGACTGCGGCATGACTAGCTCTGAGTCATTCGGATTTACTTTTAGCCCCGAAGAAGAGGACCAGGAAGACGCCGAGACTGAGGCAATGTTCGAGGCAAACCGTACTGATCTGTTTGTCAAGATGATGTTTGTCTCTGGAGAGACTGCCGAGCCGTCTGTTGAGACGACCACTCTGATTGAAGAAATCACGCGCCAGCAAGTCATTGAAATCGTCAGTTTCCACTGTACACTACAAAGGCTAAATTTACTGACAACTTTCATAGCTCACGCGCAGCACCAGTCTGGCGACTCGTCGTGGAGTGCGCTCGATCTCGACCGACGACCTGATCTTCCTGATCCGCCATGACAAGGCCAAGGTCTCTCGTCTCCGGACTTTTTTGTCCTGGAAGGATGTCCGCAAGAATGTGAAGGACTCGGACGACAAAGGTGGCGGCGACGCAGCCGATTTCGCAGCTGCTGACGACGCGGCTGGGGTTGTTGCCGGCCCGCAGGATGTCGCCTCGAAGCCGAAGAACAAGCGGGCCAAGGTCGGACTTGCCTGGGATGTCAACAGCTTCTACTCGATCCAGGTCCCGGAGCGCGAGGACGAAGAGGACGAGGAAGAAGAAGAACAGAACTACGCCACCTTGCAGCGACTTGCCGCCGCCGACGAGCGCACCCGGCACATGACCAAGGAGGAATACGTGTTCTGGTCCGAGTGCCGCCAGGCCTCCTTTACCTACCGCAAGAGCAAGCGGTTCCGCGAGTGGGCTGGGTTCGGCGTGGTCACCGAATCCAAGCCGAACGACGACATCGTGGACATACTCGGGTTCTTGACCTTCGAGATCGTCCAGACCCTCACCGAGGAGGCGCTGAAGGTCAAGGACCGCGAGGACCACGAGAAGCGTGGTGGCGGCGCCGACAACGGCGAAACCGCCAAGAAGCGCAAGCGGGAGACCGGCCTGTTCGACCCGCCCGAGGAGGGCCACACCCCGATCGAGCCGCGACACGTCCGCGAGGCCTACCGCAAGCTGCAGGCGACGCCCAACAAGGCGGTCGCCATGCTCCTCCACAATGGCCGGGTGCCCGCCCGTCTGCCACTGAGGCTGGTGAGTATCCCCTTTTTATAACTCCTGATACTTCTTATCTCTTACTGATGACTTGGATAGATTTAATCGCAGCCTCAGTTTCGCTTGATTTTCTGTACTGGCGTTAGGACAGCGGGCGTTTGGGGCATGTCGATACCCATGGGAACGTTTATTTAGCGAGGTGGTCACCTCTCGAGTCTTTCTTGTTTTTTTTTTTTTTTTTTTTTTTTTTTTCTTCATCGTATCTTTCGATTTCAATTTCGTTACATTGCAGACGGGCATGAACAAAGTGAAGATTACATGAGTGATGCATAGTAGACAGGCCCATTTCCTGGATATCTCGTGCAGTCATAACACATATTAAGATCAAAATAACACTGTGCAAGGGGAGTAAAAGACGTATTTATTTCTGGTGTGTCCGGCGCCCTGCATGAAATTAGCCTCCAGAAAAACAAAGGCAAAGGAAAAGAAAGGAAAGCACATACACTCAGCCAATTCCTCCAAACTCAGCTCCCGAATACTATTGATAGACGGGACATCACCACGGACAGCCCCCTTGACCGTATCAACCGCGCGGCCCAGCATCCCCTTCCGAGAAACAACATGCGTTGCCAGCTTCGCCTCGAGCCGAATCAACCCAATACGCGGATCTGTCGGCCCACCATCATGCACTCCATCACCCAGATCACCCAGCCACGCCTTGAGCGCGGGCGAGTAGTATTGCTGGACGGTAGCCGGGTCCGCGACGATCGACGCAGAGCCCGAGATGGACGCCCAGGCACCGTTGACTGGATCCAGGAACGACATGTTGGTTTCCCGCGGGTGCACGGTGAGATCCATGGTTTTGCCGGAGAACAAGTTCGTGTGGAAGACCAGGTCGATGCCGCCGTGTTCTTTGCCTGCCAGGGCCATGCAGCGCGAGGTCAGGAACTCGCCGGAGGATTGTTTCGTTGTCAGCATGCCGAATTTCACTTCTGAGATGAAGTCAACTAGGTCTTCGATCTTTTGCGCCAGCGGCGGGTCTTCGGAGTTCTTTGTTGTGTAGGGGTCCACGGGTTGGTTGCCCGTGTCGGTGTGGAGGGTGGCGTTGGCTGACATGGTGGTTCCTTGGTGGGTGTATGTGAAGAGAGTTGTATTTAGTAGAAATCGTTGAGGAGCTAGCAATGAGGAGGAATTGAGAGTTGGATTTATATGGGGAATTGAGCATGTACCATCTTGATTTCTTGGAAGCTCTTGATCTCTCACGTCGTTGTGACGTCAGCGGTAAGATCCAGATTAGGGTTTCTTGTCGGGCTTAGTATTTGTACTACTACGTCTATGTTTAGGAGACTTTAATTGATGATCGAAGTCTCTGAAAAGATTAGCTTGGCCAAGACTAGTATAGAGACTAGGATATCAGCTTATGTGGTAGACTTTGCTAGTCCTTAAGGATTCTTCACCATGCTACAGTAGTCCCTTGTTAGCGCGAAGGCCGATTCCTCAATTCGACATATATTAGTATGATGTGCTGTACAAGCAAGGTCGCTCATATACTAAAAATATATGATAACTATTGAGCTCTAATCTTGGTAAAATCAGATAGAGCTAAGCTGTAATATCATTCATGAATGATAGTTGCGCCGTGGTTTCGTTAATGACGCGAAATATCGTTTAAAGCCTTACATTCCATATTCTGTCTATAAGTACCAGTCTTGTATATGGCATACTAGCACTTGAGAATCTCGTGAAGTTGGAAGACTTCGTAGTAGATATCTTAAGGGACTTGAACAGAAGATACTTGAGTGATCAACAAGGAATCAGGCTCCACGATATCAGCCGAAAATCAAGGAGTGCATATTAGGGGATGGAAGAAAGTAAGTGTTGGATTGAGCAATCATAAGATCATGAAGTAGACGGTATTATATGACTGAGAGCTTGTTTTCGCCCGATGAGCATCTTCAGCCCCCAAGACCTAGTTAGACGTACATAACTTAGCTTGACTTAGCGGGGCCGGCAGCCCTAGAGCTAGTATTCTATTAGTCCGCATACGCATAGCCCCCTCCGTTTAATTGCTGGGCACAACTTATAACTATATTGGGAAGAGAATGAGAGGATCTATTGATGTATTATAAGGTAAATTTCAAGTATTATTTGTTAGGGTCCTAGTTAATATATATTATATATATGTAGCACCTAAGGAATACTATGAAGAATTTATTTTTATAAGTTATTCAAGCTTACCTGATTGTCAACTAAAGTCTACTTACATTCGATAGTGAATTTGGGTAATCGAAGGGGGCCTCAATATTTTTAGGCTTTTATAATCATGTTATGAAAATACTCCTGTAAATATGCTTAGGGTATTCCGTCTTAGCAAAATATTTATCTTAATACTATACAAAATAATACCACGCGAGAAATAAATGACTCTTAGCGTCTACCTTCAAAAAAAAGAGGCAGTTATTGATCTTCATGTTATCTTCCTAAAATAGTTATAAGAGTCACGAATGCCCATGAAGTTTAGCATCGTTTCAAAAGCTGAGGACCGTCCCCGGTTTATTTTTATAAACCTTGACTCTTACCGCCACCCCTTTTTCTTGTCAATCCGAGGGATTCTAAAACGCCTATAAATATACACCATCTTAAATCTGTAGACGGGGTAGGGCCTGATCCCTTTTCTCTATCCACTGTCGCCTAGCATGGTTTACCTCTGTTGTCAGTTCCAACTGATCACTTGTCTCCTCTTTCTCTTCGTGAGCACCCATATCATCAAAGTGACTGCTCGTATAAAAATTCATCATGAGTCCTGTTCGGCCGTCAGGGTGCTAAATTATGAAGGCCAGGTGGTTTCTATCATCTCGGATGCAATGTCAGTACTTCGGGATGCATCCAGGGATGCCAAAGGCATAGTCAAGAGCGGTCTTGACCTTATGGAGAAGTATGAAGATAGTGATGTCAATGAATGGGAGTATGTGAGGATGCGACGTGCATTTCTCGGGTTTTTAAGTACATGGCAGAATGGAGACATTCGGGATGAGCCAAACTGGACGAAAGCTCGAAGTAAGTTGAGAGAAGATCGAAGGTTCCTTGATTATTCCTTGAAGGTTCTCTCCTTTAATCTAGATCTTCCCGCAGATGGCTTTGACAAGATCTATTCCTATTATACAACGGACGAGGGAGACGTCACGATATACTGTGGCGATTCACACCTGATAAGAGAATGGCAAGCAACAAATGGCTACTTTTACCGGGATCTGCATCCGTCCTTGAGAGTAGGATGGCGCTATTATGGTTGGTTTATCCTCTCGACTCTACCACGTCTTTTACTTCACAACCCCGCTGACTTTGCTTTTGCTAGATAAGCGTGCAGCAGAAGTCGGGGACCATCCATATTGGCCGGTAAAATCCCCTGCTTGTAGGGATGATCCGACTATACGCGGCAAAACAATGGTCAAAGGCGAAGGCAACTATATCATGCTCTGTGCTCCATTTCTGAGAAAGAAGGATTTAATCGGTAGCCTGAACAGAGTAGACTGGAGCCGGTTCCTTAACTCACCAAAGAGCACGCTAGATTATTGGTGGAGTGTTCCTGGCTACATGCTTTTTCATGAGTCAATTCACCTGGTCTTAGAATGTGAGTGTTGTCTCTTGCTTCTCTGTCATTAATAGCCAAGCACTGACTTCAAATGATCCATGGATGTTAGACTTGGATTATACATACCTCAACTCCCGGCACAGAGAAGTAACGGCCTACAAGTATGAAGGTGCCAAGGGCCTATGGGCGCAAAAGCCTAACTTGATTGGCTGGAATGTAGACAACGGTGGGCTAATGGCACTAGGTATGTTGGCTACATTTAGATTGAATCTTGTGTCGAAATGAGCTAACCCTTCTGAATTACCCCTAGCTATTCATTTGTCTGGGAATGAATGGGTTAAGACGGGTAGAGCCAGGAGTCAGATGATGGCCATGCGGGATTACGGAATGTGCTAATAGGATTCCAATACCTTGAATTTTCTAGATATACTTCTCCAAAAACTTAGACTTGATTACCACTGTGGAGGCTGTTGTATAGTGCCCTTTTAGGGCTATTTGGCTGTCGCAATCCAAGCCCTAGGTGGCAATAACCCAGCAGCCTTGGGGTGACAGGTGAGACCTGATTGGAAAACTCAAGGTAGGCAGGAAATATCAAACAGCAGTTATGGTCAGTGCTCTTTCCGAAATACTTAATTCCCATGGCCTGTCCAGATCATGCTTTATTACAGATTGATTCAGCAGCTGGAAGATCTCCCTTACAATCAACAAGAAGACGACGACTTTCGGAAGATCCGAGTCAATGTAACCAAATCTACAAACTCAATATACAAGCAAGCAACAACGCTTGGTCGTGATATCAGGATACCGGAATCCGCTACAAAACACAGTTAGCAGCTACTTTATATCACAGCAGTGCCCTTACCTCTGCACCCCGGCCCATAGCACATTCAACAACACCGATAAGAGAGCGACAAGAAGAACTAGAGATGCCACAAGCACCACTCTGGTTAGGGAGATACTGTAGAGCCCTCTAAAAAAAACAGCAGAGTACCAACCTTCCCACCCCCAACCAGAAAAAGCCTGGACAGCTTTCTGTCGACTCTGGCTCTTCAACCAAGTCGGCACCAGATCCGTCCGGCACGTCTGGCCCTCGACAACCCAGCAGCCTCCCCTCGTGCACCGACACTCCAGATGCCAACGGCGGCGCTCCATAATCCGACGAATACGCCCGTTGCAAAAGGCCTCGTCTGTTCTGAAAGAGCATTTCTCCATGGGGCACTCGAGTTTGCGCTCGAAGCGCTCGACGAACCAGTTTACTTTGAGGTGCACGCCTGTATACACCATACAGTAGAAATGGCGGCTGCTGTGCTTGAAGGCCAGGGCGTCGGGATATGGCAGAAATGATGCGATGTGCATGTGGAGCTCTGCCGGTAGATCCATCAGCCCGAGTCTGACGTGGTTGCTGGCTGGAGGGGCTGCGAAGCTGGGGAGATCCATGGTGCTGAGTTTGTTGTTGTGCTGATTCATTCCTTTTCAACATGGAAACAGGGTTATTTGTTGTCTCATCAAAACGGTTGCCTGACTTCGACACAGCCACGCTGCCTTCGGTCGACGAGGCAGAAGTATAGAACGCATTGACCTGTTAGCAACTGAGGTGGCTGGTGAGCTGTGTTGTCACCGCAAATTGTGAGATATCTAGTCAAATACATCGCTTCAGACATATTATTCAAATCAGCTCTTCGTAGAAAATGAAAAGACATCCTCTCGTACCTAGCCCTGAAGATATCCCGACCTGAGGTCCCCCGAGAACGATGGATCCATGGATGCCATCGATGGATGGATCTATCGATATAGCTTACTAATCGCGCCACGATCTCAATACTCAACTTCATCGCGGAAGTTCAAACGTTACCACACATTTCACAACCTCAACACATTCCAAACATGTCTCAACCCAACCCGTCTGGCGCACCAGCGTCGGACACATCCTTCCGCAAAACCTGGGACCGCGAAGAATACGCCAAGAAAGCCGCCGACGAAGAAGCCAAGCGAAAAGCAGAGGGCAAAGCACGCTACGAAGCGAAGCTACTGGGCAAGAAATACCATGCACCGGTAGACTACAGCACACTGGAAGCGACAACAGCCCGCAAGCAGCGGCTGGATGTTGCGTCGATGGTGGGCAAGACGACGATTGTGCCGGCGGGCTCGGCGCTGGGCAAGCGCGGGCGCGGCGCCGGGTTCTATTGCTCCGAATGCGACCTCACGTTCAAGGACAACCTGCAACTGGTTGAGCACCTCAACAGCAAGCAGCACTTGATTGCTACGGGCCAGAGTGGGGAGGTTGTACGGGCTGGGGTCGAGGAGGTGCGGATGCGGCTGCGGATGCTGGCTCATCGGAAGCGCGTGCGCGACGAGGAGGAGCGCAAGGCGTGGCAGCTGGATTTGGGCGAGCGCCTGAAGGAACGGGAGGAGTTGGATGCTAAGGAGCGCGAGGAGCGGAGGCGCAAGCGGAATGAGAAGCGTCGGAAAGGTGGCGAGGGTGGCGTCAAGCAGGAGGATGACAGCTGGGAAGGTCGTTTAGGGATCATCGCCTGAGACCGCGCACATCGAGGGTGACCGTCTATTACATTTGATACCCATGGCGTTGGGGCATGCTTTTCTTTTCTTTTCTTTTCTTTTTTTTTCTACAAAAAAAAAGGCGTTCATTCACTTGCAACAAATTTCGCATTGGCAACCAGAAATCGTGATTCAAACATCCAACCAGAACGCCGTAGTCCTTCAAAATCAAATCCCACCAAAAACACCCAGCAATGCTATCTTAGTCCATGCAGTCAATAGCTTCAAGTCGTCGCATGGCTCGCCCGCCCTCCTTCTCGAACTGGCTGACCAGTCGCTCGCATTCTCTCTTCAACCGCTCCTCGCCGTTCTTCGCATTCCACGTAATCCACTCTTCCACTGTCATTTTCTTCTCCGGGCTGGTCAGACTACCTTGAAAACCCTTGAACATTCCAGACAGGTCCGCATTCTCTTTGTCGCTGGCTTCCCCAAAGAGGGCCTCGTCAATATCAACCGGAGTCCAAGCAGGTCTCGAGGCTCCCAATCCTCCATTGGCATTGCGCTTCGATGGCGATGGGGTGCTGACTGCCAGGGGAGTCCTATTCCTCTGCTCCTTTGATGCCGAAGGCGCAGGCATCCGAGATGTCGACGGCCGTGATGATGGGGGCCGGTTCTCAGCATCAGACGACTGTGGTGACAACGAGGGCGTGGTTTGATGAACAACCGGAAGTGGCGAAACAGGACGGTTAGACTGGCCAGAAGCCCGGCGGATCTCATGTTGTTCATCTTCATGGGATCGTTGAGACCCAATGAGAGACTCTGCAAGATGCTCCTCTTGGGGGATGTCGCTATATCTTTTGGCTGTCTTCGGGGGCAGTTGAGATGGCCTTCGGTGGGCATGTCGCTCTGGTGTTTGCTCGCGTGGAGCTTCGATCATGTCCACTTGATCAGGCATGTCCTCTGGTGTCGCAAATCCTTCATCTTCCGGTAGAGATTCAGTGTCCTTGTGGTCATCGACTTGTTGCGCAGGGGCCACCTGTTGCTCCTTCATGTCGGCCTTCTTAGACTTCTTGGGTTTATCCGCCGGCGCATCTTTCTTCTTTGATGACTTCTTGGAAGTGACCTTGCTAGCAGGTTCCGCTTCAGGCTTTGGCGCAGGCTCGGGTTCTCGGTTGATAATTTCCACCGACACAAAGGACTCATGATGCTCGTTGTCAGCTCCGTCATCGACGGTAGGTCTGGGCTCTGGCGACTGTTGTGTCTCTTGCTCTTCGGCCTTAGTCTCATTACCTTTGGTCTTCTTGTTTCCCTTTTTCTTGGAAGCTTTAGTGGCCTTTGCCTTCGTGAGCGGCACATCAGGCTCTTCCATCCCCGCGGGTTCAACAGGTTCCGGCTCCATATGAGGTTTCACCTTTTCTTCCCGGTCGCCAAGATCCTGGTCAAGGTACGGCGGAGGTTGCTCAGCCTTGGCAACTGCCTTGGAATTTTTGCTGGACTTTGTTTTCTTCGAAGTGCGCGGCTGAGTGGGCTCTGGTTCCTGCTCGCTCGGTTCGGGGATATCAGCCTCGAGCTCAGCCTCAAGGGCAGCATCTATCTCCGAGTCGCGCGGCCCTTGGGCCTTTGTGTACTTTGATGTCATGGAAGCATCGGAGGCCTTGCGGGCCTTGGAGGCACCTTTTTTGGAGGACTTGCGGCTCTTTTTAGCTTCGTCTTGAGGGGCTTCGTCTGCCGGAGCCGCATCTGGCATCGCATAGTCATCAGGCTCGTAATTGAGCGTCCGGGAAATGCTGCTGCTGCGGGTTCTCGTGGCCCGTCTCTTGGCCGGTGGCTCGGTAGGCGGTTCGGTGGTGTCTGTTTCTGCTTGAACAATGGTGCCCGGTTCGTCATTGTTGATCTGGTCGCTGGTTCTCTTCTTTCCTCTGCCTGTCCGCTTAGGCTTTGATGGCTCCGGCTGGGCGAGGTCGGCAGTTTCAACATCTATCTGGCTCTCAGCTTCTGTCGGGACGTCTTTCTTGCTCTTTGCACTCTTTCCTTTGCCCTTAGATGTTTTTGTGGCTTTGGATTTGGTGGTGGATTGGGAAAGGATGCTCTGGTCCATCGACTCGTCGACACCCATCTCAGGTGCTTCAGATGTAACAGTGCCAACGGATTGGGTTGAGAGTCGAGAAGACGCCTTGGAAGTACGGGGCTTTTTTGTCCGAGACCCTTTGCCCTTCTTGCTCGGGGGTTTGGCGAACGCGAAAAAGGAGCAGTCGGACGAGCGACGGTAGTGTTCATCGCTGAGCACATTAGCTACATCGACACAAGAAGGAACACTCCGCACTCACAAAGGGTCGTCCTTCGGCTCCCAGCCATCCAGCGACAGCTTGCAGTAAGCGCAGCTGGCAAGGTCATTACTCTCTTCGTTCGGACAGAAATACCAGCCACTTTCGACCATCTGTCATTGATCGTGAGCTTGTGATAACATTAATTACGAGTTTCAGAATCGCATTACCTTCTCTGATTGGCACACCCAGCCCTTCTTGCCATCATGAGGCCATGCCGAGCCAAAGGTCGCGAGTCGCGCTTGGGTGATGCGGTCACTTGTCGGATCCTCAATCGCGGCGGGGTTCGAGCTGCGCTGCTGAATATCCATCATGATCGCCCACCCACAATCGGGCGAATGCTTGAGGTGTTCCGCGATGGGACTGTCCTCTTCTTCCCATCCATCGAGTGCTCGGTGACATTGAAAACATGTGGTGTTGTCGGGGTTGGTTTCATACGGTTTGTAGTAGAAGCCTGCATGCGCCAACTAGAGTATCGCCTGAGTCAACAATCCAGTACTTTCTCGTGTCAAGAAATGCAGATGTACCTCGGCGGGTGACGGGCTCTGGTGCGGCCACCCAATTGGTTTCGAGCTCTTTGCGCTGGAGGATCTCCGCTTCTCGGGCTTGATGACGATGTCGAAGCTGGCCAGGCGGGCCACAAAAGTGTCCATTTCGGAGCCCATGTTGAGGGTGTTAGGATAATTTGGGACAATGAGTCCCAGTGTGTCGAATGAAGCACCGGATGGTGGGTTAGAGATGACCGCGGCGTTGTTGACTCGTCTGTTTACTTGGGCAACGCGTGTGCACGTGATCTTTAGTCATCTCCAGAACAGGAAGGAAGGACCGGGTACGTCAGAGTCGGCAAGCACGTAGATGCATTCTTCTCCCGAGTGATTCCCGATGCTGCGGCACTTCAATGCTCCTTGATCCTCTCTTCTTGCGCCGCGCGCTCCGTCCCTACTCCTCTTCCGATACGCAACCATGCGCGAAATAACCGTACGTGAATAACTCGTTCTCTGCAATTGCACTAGTGCTAACGTTCTCTTGGCTAGATGGTTGCTCCACGGAGCGCTGGCATCAGCACTCTTGGGCGCTTTCGTGCCCATCACTCGCCTCTTCTGCGACTCCCCGCATCGGTCCGTTACGTCTCGACCGAATCCCATCCATTGACTTTCGGGCAAAGCCGCCGATCAACGAGACCCGGCCTTTCTACATTACATCCACTATGCAAGGTCACGGCGGGGCGATCATCGTCTGGATCTTTCTCGACGTCTCCGCTGCTGTCTGACTCGGATTGGGATCACAACCCGAATTTTTCAATCTCCAACTTTTCGGAATTGCCCTCCAAAGATTTCGGTGTCAACCAGCATATGGTCATCAATCAAGAGTTCAAAGAAGCACTGCGGCAGATTCTATGGCAATTCCGCGCGCCAATCCGATATGCATTTGCCTACGGATCCGGCGTCTTTACCCAGTCGGGTAGCGCAGCCTCGTCCACCCCTACGCACCCATCGGCGCCGGCAGCTATCCATAATATGCAGCAAGGTTCGGGGAAGATGATTGATTTCATCTTCGGGGTATCATACTCTCAACACTGGCATTCCTTAAACTTGGGCCAGCATCGCGATCACTATTCAGGACTCGGGTCGCTCGGGTCTTATATGGTCTCTCAGGTCCAGGACCGGTTTGGAGCCGGTGTATATTTCAACACCCACGTTACAGTGAACGGGACTTTGATCAAATATGGTGTGGTCAATTTGGATACGTTGTGTCAAGACCTCACTCGATGGAATACACTATATCTCGCTGGCCGCCTGCACAAGCCCGTGAAGATCCTGCGAGATCATCCCAAGGTCCGATTGGCGAACCAGATGAATCTGCTTTCCGCTTTACGTGTGGCTCTGTTACTGCTTCCGGAGCGGTTCACCGAGTTTGAACTTTACAGCACCATCGCAGGGATCAGTTACATGGGGGATCTCCGTATGGCGCTCCCGGCGGAGGATCCTGGCAAGGTGCGCAACATTGTCTCCGGGCAGATGGCACACTTCCGGCGGCTATATGCGCCGCTCATCAACAACCTGCCCAACGTCACCTTCAAGGACCCCCGCTGCAGCCAGCGTGACTGGATTGACGACCCAGATGCCATCCTAGCCATGGTTCAGGACATGGACCCGGTGAAACGTGGGAATATGGTTCGCCGGCTTCCTGAATCTTTCCGGGAGAAACTGTACTTCCAGTATCAGTCACGCTATGCCATCCCACGGGCCGACTTCAATAAGATGATGGAGGAAAGCACCGACACCAAACAGGATGTCGTTCGAAGACCCCAGGGAGGGCCTTTCGAACGGCGAATTGCTAGTGATGACCAACTTCAGGAAGAAGTGTCAACGTCGATCATGAAAACAATTCGGTGGCCCAGTACGGTGCAGACCCTCAAGGGGCCCCTCACCGCGGGCATCGGTAAGAGCTGGAATTATATACGAGAGAAGCGAGAGAAGCACAAGAAGGCGCGGAGCAGCCCAGTGCCACCCACTGAGGCGCCCGAGAGAAAAAAGGATTAACGGGCAGGGCATACTGGGCTTGTAAGCATGAGGCATCCTGAGGCGTTGTGGTTTTGGCCATGTAAATCCATGTATCTGGCATCTATGAAATACATACCTCATCCATATATTTTTTTTTCTACATGAATTGAATTCGAAACAAGAAAATCCAGGACCTCGGTGACTCAATCGTCGTGACTCAACCTGCGAAATGGCTTAAAAAGGACTTCCCGCTCCCAGCGACCGAAAATCCCCCGCCACCCCACCAACTTTTGCTTCAGACATCAACCGGCTTGCTTGCCTGCCTGTGCCCACAATGGCTTCAAGAACTTCACCATTCGATCTGTCCAAATGCGCGCGTTCAAATATCTTGAAATTGCAGCCTTACCGATGCGCAAGAGAGTGTGTCTGCCCATGTCGAGCCGGGCCCGATCCCGAACTAATGAGTCAGTGACTACAAAGATGATGGAACGAACGTCCTCCTCGACGCCAATGAAAATGCCTACGGTCCGGGACTGGCGCTGAATAGTGACGGCGCATTGCAGGCGTCCGAGACAGGCGGCTCGACGGGTGCTTCTAAGCCTGAGATTGACTTCCTGGGGTTAAACCGATACCCGGACCCGTGAGTGATTCAAGTCTGTTGCGCCGTGATCTCGAAGGACCTGTCTGATGGACAATGGCTCGTCTAGGCACCAGCTGGAATTGAAGCAGCTCTTCTGCAACCTCCGCAATACCCACCACCACACACCGAAGACTCTGCGACCCGAGAACCTCTTCGTCGGCGTCGGATCGGACGAGGCCATTGATGCGCTGCTCCGATGTTTCTGCGTTCCCGGCAAGGACAAGATCCTTACCTGTCCACCGACTTACGGGATGTACAGTGTCAGCGCGCAGGTCAATGATATCGAGATCGTCAAGGTACCGCTCGACGCGGCCAACGGGTTCCAGCTCCAGCCGGAGAAGGTCAACGAGGCGCTGTCGGCTGACCCATCCATCAAGCTGGCCTACATTTGCTCACCGGGAAACCCGACTGCCAATCTTATTCGCAAAGAGGACATCCGCAAGGTACTGGAACACCCCACATGGAACGGGGTGGTTGTGGTGGACGAGGCATACATAGACTTTGCGGAGGAGGGCGCCAGTCTGGCAGGGTGGGTGACCGAGTGGCCGAACTTGGTAGTGATGCAAACGCTGAGCAAGGCATTTGGCCTGGCGGGAATTCGGCTGGGCGTCGCTTACACCGACCCAGAAATCGCACGACTGCTTAATAGCCTGAAGGCACCCTACAATATCTCGAGTCCGACGAGCGCACTGGCCTCAGCAGCGCTGGCAGGTCCCAACATGGCTGTGATGCACAGCTACCGCAAGCAGATTATCGCCCAGCGCGACCGGCTGCTGCGCGAGCTGCCCGCCATCCCCGGCGTGGGCCGATTCCTGGGCGGCCATGCCGCCAACTTCCTGCTCGTTGAGATCGTCGATGCCGAGGGTCGCCCAAGCAACCCCACGGCATTGGCTACTTACGAGGCCATGGCCGAGAAGCGTGGCGTGGTCGTCCGCTTCCGGGGTAAGGAGCTTGGGTGCGAGGGCTGTCTGCGCATCACCGTCGGCACCGAGGCCGAGGTCACCAAGTTTCTGCAGGAGCTGCGCGTGGTGCTGGCGGGGTTGCACGCCGGGGTCGGCATTCAGTCACTCCGAAACGAGGCGAAACGGGAGGATGTCGCCGCGGCGGTGGTAGCGTAACGTTCTTTGGCGTGATTAGTTCCGGGCCGGTGACTGGGTGGAGATAGACCTCCCCGGTTCCCCGATGGAGACCGAAGGATTGCGGCGTTGGGTGCCCTAGCCCATCGGGGTACCATGATATAGCAAAAATACTATTCATATGTCTAAAGACTTATCAGCAGTCTCTGTCATCTTATTCTGCCGCCTATTCATTTACCTAGGTAGTGTGGTCGTGTCTGGTAACTCCAAGGCTACATGGAATGTCTACGGAAGCCTTGGCTATCTTGCCCTAGTCTAGAGAGAATTAAATTAGATAAGAAAATGCAATAAGAAATAACTTTGAAATACATGCTTGCTGGCCTAGCCTTGGAATAGTTACCAAGAATTCTTACTCAGCAGCGCATCTCGGTGCAGGTGAAGGCAAAACATGTCCATACAATGTCTCCTTGGTCTCACTCGGACTCATCAACCCACACATTCATCTTCCTTTGTTTCCCACGGCCATTTTATATATTTCCCAAGGAAAATGACATTGTTACCTTCTGCGCTAGCCAAGCCTTCCTCGTCTACACAGCCCATCCTAAATGACTCCATCCCAGGCTCTTCTTCATCCACTACCGTATCTATATCCAGTAACACTTAACGAATGTCTAAGAAGCGACCAGCCAAGTCCAATTCCGAGTCTACGCCATCCAATCGGATGCTAACCGATGTGCTCATGTCCATTAAGCCATTACATCTGGCAAACATTGTCAGCCAGCAGAAGAACCACGAATACCGCAAGTACCGGCTACGCGACGGGGTTACAAGGTTGTGGTTATATGAGACAAGCAACGGCGGCGCGGGCCGGGGGTCTATTACGTACGCTAGGTTTTTATCTCTATATAGCCATATTTGTTTATGCCTATCGACGGTTTATTCCTCTGGCCGCTCTTGTTGTCTTTCTCAAGTTCGTCACGTCTTTATTCTTATACTGGTATACAACTACACACATTGCGGTTATTCCGGCTTCTATACGCCATACCCCAGGGCTCGGTGCCTATTGAGCCTTTTGGAATAGGAAATGCAGACTTTAATGCTGGGCTGAAAGAGTCCAAGTATGGATACCCTATACTAGAGCTATATGAGCTAGTTTGTCCGGTGACACTAGCAGAGATGAAGAGCCGATGGAGGATGGGTAGCGGGCCTATGGGGTGGCGGTACGTTGAACGGGATTTGTGGGGGGATAGATGGGGCGAAGATCAAGACAGAGCTGAGAAAGTGAGGCGGGTGTTTTGAATATTAACAACAATTGAGGCAGAAGAATCTCCTCTTGATCATATATATCCCATGGATGTCAGTAGGATAAGGTCCTTTTAATGTACGAGATCCGATCCAATGGATTCTCAGTATTACTGAATAGCCAAGCCCGTTCTGTCTTGGTAACAGCATTAGCCCTCCCAGGTCTATACATAAAGCCTCCGAATTCACTTTTGCCAACCAAAGGTCTACGCGGTCAGCCAATTCTACCAGCCACGACCCTCCTACATTCATCCAATATCGCCGCTTGTCTCCCCACCTCGGCCAAACTGCCCACCACCTTCTGATTGCCGCCGACAAACCCATACAAGGCATACGGAATCCCCACATCACGGCAAAAGGTCAAAACCAACTTCTGCACCCGCCGCAGATTATGCCTCGGCACCCGCGGAAACAGATGATGGATAGCCTGGAACTGTAGTCCGCCATGCACCCAGTCCAACCACTCCGGACAATCCACGTCCATTGTCGTGCGCAGCATCCGCTGCGGGAACGACTCGCCGGGGCCCAGATCTGCAGTCGACATGGCAAAGTGCGAGAGCGTGAACTGCACATGCAACGGCATGGTCACCGCATGGCTGATCAGCACATACAGGATCCGAGTCCCTGCTGTGGGCAATGACCGGTAGACGATCCCGTACCCGAACCAAGCCCAGAAGACGATGTTGCCTGCAATCTCGAAGTAGCGGTGCCACCATGCTGGGCCCTTGCGTGGACCTTGGCCATACGCGAGGAACAGCCATGATTGAACGTACAGGTTGAAGCGACCCAGCATCAGGATGGGGTAGTAGAGGTAGGCCTGGTAAGGGACGAGCCGCTTAGCGAGGGCCGTGTAAGGCATCAGGCGCTCGTGGTAGGTGGAGAAGAGACTCCCTAGAAAGCGGTGGTTGACAGCCAGGAATGGAAGGTGTTGGTTGTCTGGGTCATGTTCGGGCGAGTTGGTGACGAGGTGATGGACGTTGTGTGTGCGCTTCCACCATCCCAATGAGAGTCCGCCGATCGGGGCGGCGATGATCATCCCGATGAGGTTGTCGATGAAAAAGTCGTGTGTGATGGCCATGTGGCCTGCGTCATGGGCTGAAAAGACCATTTGCGACCAGAACCATCCGAGAAAGACGGCACTGGTGCAGTACCATTTGATGTGTAGGAAGAAGAGCATTTGGGCAAAGAGAAGGCCGCAGCGGCCGAGTTCCCAGAGATAAGCGGTATAGCGACATTCATAGAGGCCCTCTGAGTGAACCTGCTCGTGCAGAAGACGGTATCTCTCGATGATATTGGACTGTGTGGGTGCGTCGAGGGAGGGATACCGATCAAGGGTCAAGCTAATTTCCTTCTTGGTTTGGGCGTTCAAAAAGGCCAGGTCTTGCTCTTCGGGGATATGATTCGAGTTCGAGCCGTCAATTGGAGGTGTCTTCTTCTCTTTCTCTTCCCAATTAGAGTCTTCATGGCCTCCCTGGATGGGAGGGACGAGGTTGTTCCAAGGGCCTTCAATCCTCCCAATCTTGTAGCGGTCGATCAACCGGCGAGTTTCGGCTGAATGCATCCTATTCGAATCAATCAACTAGGAAATGGATTGGCGGCAATCCCCATGGCCATCACGTACACTATGAACTCATCTGTCGCATCCTTGCCAATAAAATGTTGAATGGGCTTAAACCCGCCCGGGTGATAGGGGAGCCATGTGTCAACACGAAGTACCTTCTGGTCGATTATGACTATGGACTGGCCATTGGCAATCCGGGCCTCAATCTGGCCAGGTGATAGAACCTGGTCGTTTCCTGAAGCTGAATCTTTGACTAGACCCATTGTTGTGGTGGAAGAGGTGAATGTTGGGCGTGTCCTTTCAGGGGATCTATGGAACCATGTTGCCTGACTCGGCAATACGGAAATAGACATACCAGTATATCCGTTGATCAAGGAGATATTTAGTTCTATGTTATGAGATCTCTAGTCGCCTTTATTTTCTCTGTATTTTTATGTTTTTCATGATATTTTCCCCTCGGTTATTTTCTCGACTTCACCAGAGCCCAGCCAGGTGCATCTATGATGATTCGGGCTAATCAGAACCAAGCATGGGCAGAATGCGCGACGTGTAATCCTTGTCTTTTTCGTCAGATATGCAATTCAAGCAGATAGCGGCCTGTTACTGGCTCCGAGCTTATCACGCTTTCTTTTATCCTTTCACGGCTTATCTTGACTTCAGCCGGACCCGACCGATCCTCCCCGCTTGTCACTGATGAAGCCTCATCGCCCGCTCCCAGACGATCGTCTTATTTAGTGTCGAGATCGTCCGCACATCTCCACTGTCCTCACGTGCGAAATGTAAATCCTGAAGCTATTCCCATCGCATCTTACCCTCTGGATCTGAGTGATTTTCTTCTAAACGTCTCGGGAGGCGTGCGGGAATCATGCACCCGGTATCGCTGGCCGTGCGAGACATCTACCCGGAGTCCCCGCCCGACTTCCAGACGCGAGACCAGATCAACCCGACGCTGATGATGAGCTGGTGGGCCACAGTGTTTTCACTGGTCATCATCATCGTCCGTCTGTTTGGTCGCTATGTGCGCATCGAGCGGTTCTTCCCCGAGGATATGATCATGATGGTCAGCGTCGTACCACTGACCATCCGCATGGTTCTGGTGCACTTTGTGCTGGTCTGGGGCACCAACAACACCAAGACAGAAATGCTGACGGCGGACGAAGTTGCGAAAAGGGAACTGGGGAGCAAGCTGGTGCTTGCAGCACGCATCTTCTATGCGATCTTGTAAGACAACCTCTTGAACGCTCTGCCATCAGCTGCTTAGCGGGCTGGAACTTACCCTCGATCCTACTATATCTGTAGCATCTGGACGGCCAAGCTCACTGTGTGTGAATTCCTCAAACGAGTCACCGGCATGGTCTGGCGCCGGTCTGTGGCCGTTTTCCTGTGGTTCATCCACTTCTTCCTGGTGTCCACGCTGGTGGCCGTGGTGATTGCGACGCTGGCCGAGTGCCAGCCCTTCAACCACTACTGGCAGGTCATCCCAGACCCGGGACCGGCGTGTCGCGCGGCCCACGGCAACCTCATCACCATGGGGACCTGCGATGTCATCACGGACCTCCTCCTCATCGCATTCCCCGTACCGATCGTCCTGACGGCGCAGATGCCCGTGAAACGCAAGCTGGCCCTCGTGGCGCTATTCTGCCTGTCGCTGGTGCTAGTCGCCATCACTTGCTACCGCGTGCCGTCGGTGATCGAGCACCACGGCGCCCAACCGTACCGCTCGCTGCTGGCATCGCTGGAGATCCTCGCCGCCACGGCCGTCTCCAACATCGTCGTTATAGGCTCTTTCGTCCGGGACCGCGGCGTCAAGAAACTCAAGTATAAACCTGACCACGGCCGCGCGTCTGTCAGCGACAGCCTGGAAAACGGCCATGTTCGCCGCACCACTGTCATGAAGCACCAGTGGGGCAGTGACTCCGATCTGGCCGCTGACCTGGGCATTCGGCTTGACCCCAAGCTCTATCCCTCTGCGTCGCTCTCGTCAAAGGGAAGCCTCATCTCCCGCCCTGCCCCCGCTGCCCCCGCTCCCTCAGATCCCATGGCCTCCGCCCAGACAGGCTCCCTTGACTCGTCATGGAATTTCCAGAGCCCCTCGGACGATCATACCTCGGGTACTGACAGCTTCGACCTCATAGTCCGTCCGCACGAGTACATCCAGACGGACCAGTCCCCGCGCGAAAACCACTTAACCTCGGCCTCTGCCCATTCGACTTCGCGTCAGCTCTCCTTCTTCGACGTGGGTGGACTGCTAAACCAAAATGAACCTGACTCCCATTGCCACCCCGACACAGCAATCTCACCTGACCTCTCCTCTGCAACGGATCTCGAGTCTCAGAGACCCACCCGCAGCAGTAGAGCCTTCCTGGAAGATCTGGGGGTCGTAGCTCCGCGCTCTGGGCCATCATCTTGACCGCAATCCTCGTTTCCTCCTACCACTGCACCCGTGGTCCCTGTCACGTCACATTCGCAGTCCCTGCCACCGTCTCAACCTCCATTTGAACCGAATTCGGATGGAGGGGAGCTCCAGGATGTAGGTGGGCTGCTCTCGCGACAGGTCTGATATAATGCCCTGATCTTTTTTGTTGCTGTCTTTTCCTGTCTGTTTAGCGGGGTTATCTGGTTTGGTTCAAGGTGTTTTCTGGCGGGTTGGGGCGTTTTTCCCCCTGGTTTTGGATTGCCCATATCCCGTGTCCTAGAGGTTCTTTGCGGGGATTAAGCGTTGGCGTCGTGGGAGTCGGAAAGGTGTTTCCCCTGGTTAGATGACCGGTGCTTTTTTGATGACTCTCTGTGCTGTACATATCCATGGATCGAATTGATGGCATGACTTCGGGAAGACAACACACACTGTATGATTTCTCAGTTCTTCTCGAATACCATATAGAGAATGATTAGGTTCCTCTGGGATACAGCAGGCTTCTCGAGAACAAATTTATTTCATCTGCTACTCTGCTAGACATCCAGGTATGCAGCAAGGATAACCTGAGACGCAAACATGCAAATACAATGGCCATTACTATGTAAAACCACAGAGAAACCCCCCCTCCCCATAGATATTGGAGAAACTTCGCCTGTACGCCATGCTGCCCATAATACAACAGAGGGGACCAACTTTTTTTTGTGTTTGTGTTTGGTTCAAAAAATTTTGGTGTCCACTTATTTGCTCTGCTCAGTGTCGTGCTTTTAAACGTGGGTATCCTTGGAGAGCAGCGGGTGGAGTGGACTTGTACGCGGTTGGTGTTGGTTCCCTTGATCCCCTGGCCCGCGCGAGAAAGCAAGGCCACTCTTTCATGTCGAAAATAATTCCTGAAGACAGTTTGCCTAGTCTTCTCAACCTTAAATCACCCACCGGTAACTGGCATACCGACCAGCGGTCTCACTCTTGCGGATAATCTTGACGACCTGACCGCGGCGCAGACCGAGGTACCGAGCAACGGGATCTGACACTTGCATGCGCGGCAGCTGCGACTCCTTCAGGCGGTACCGCTCCAACAGCCGGAGCTTCTCCTCGGGGCTGAGGAGGACGTGCTTGGGGACGAGCTCGTGGCGGGTGATGTTGACCAGCAGGTCCTGTTCCTGGAAGTGCTCGCAGATGCGGCCGGGCACACCGCTCAGCAGGCGCACGGCCGAGGGAGAAATGGGAGTTTGGGTGATGAAAATGCCGGTGTGGTAGTTGCTCTCGTCGACGAGGTGGTTGAACGCGCGCACTTGCTTCGTCCCCACGCCCGAGGCATCGGGGCAAAAGTCGACGTAGATTGTGCCGCAGTCGGGCTGCGGGTTGGGGTTCGATTTGTTCGGCAGCGGCGTGTACTTGGTCTTCATGGATTCGGTGGGGCGGGCCTGGATTTTCATCTTGGTGCGGCTGCGTCGAGGAATAATGTTAGCCAATGGTTTAAGGTCAAAAGGTTGCTTTTCTCATTTCTTTTTTGAGTCCACCTCAATAGTTCCAGGAAGGGTCGCATACTCAGGGAAGCCCAACGGGTCTGAATATGTCTCGCGGAAGTCATCGAGCGAGATTTGCAATTCTTTGTCGGACACTTCGTAGCCCTGTCCCAATGCAAATCGCAGTCAGCCTCAAGTACAGACACATTCGGTACGCCCTGGTTGATCAGGGACTTAGCGCAAAGTGCCTACCCGGTCCGCAAGCAATTCATAGACCGTCCGCCAGGTGCGCCAAAGCCGGGTCATTTCGCGGTCGGCATCCGCCGAGTGGCCGGGAACATCTCCATCCATTATCGATTGAGAGCCCCGAGAGATGATATAAAGACAAAAGTAAGGGTCGCAGCAAAAGGCACACCAAGTGATTCGGCGTGGGGAGCTCCGGTGGAAAACTAAAAAAAAAGTGAAGTCGAAAAATCGGCGGGAACTTTCTGCCAGCGACACCTTTTAGGCGGAGAAACTGACCGAACCACTTTATCGCGCCAGACTCCCCTTTTATTTTTGTGGCTCCCTCTGTTCGTCTTGATTCTCCGGTGAACCAGAGACCTTTCGTCTGTTTTTTTCTTTTTCCTTCCTTTCTTCTCTTCTCGCATCTTTACACAATGGCCGAGACTGCTTCCGAGCCTCGGGCTAAGCCCACCAAGCCCGATGAGGAGGCCTACAAGGTCAATCTTGCACAAGCCGAAAAGGAACACGCCGCTGCTCAAGAAAAATTGGTATGATTTGGAGCCTATTTCTGTGATTTTCATCGTTGGGCTTCTCTAAGCATTGTGTGGGGGAACCGCCAAGATTGTCCTCGACCCGGACGATCATGCCCTCATTTCGAGTCTCCGTTTGTTGTCGAGTCAATTCGCTAACGTGCGCAACCTACTAGAACCAAATCAAGGCCAAGTTGGAGACCGCCAAGCCGAACAACCAGGACTCGCCGACGGCCAAGAAACAGCAGGAACTCCGCGCCGAACTGTCATCGATCCGCCAGAAACAGCAGGGCTTCAAGTCCTCGCGGTCCAGCACCCAGGAGAAGATCAATGCCCTGGACTCGACTCTGAAGGCTCGCATTGCTGAGCAGAACAACTCACGGGGTCGCATGTCGTTCAAGAATGTGGAGGAGATCGACCGGGAGATCGCCCGCCTCGAGAAGCAGGTCGACTCGGGCACCCTGCGTCTTGTGGATGAGCGCAAGGCCCTCTCTGATATCTCAAACCTGCGCAAGCAGCGCAAGAACTTCGCGGGCTTGGACGAGGCCCAGAAGGGGATCAATGACCTGAAGGCGCAGATCGCTGACCTCAAGAAGACCCTCGACCACCCGGAGTCTAAGGCGCTGAGCGACAATTACACCGAGATCCAGAAGCAGCTTGATGCCATCAAGGCGGAGCAGGACGGTGTTTTCAAGAACCTGAACGCACTGCGGGACGAGCGCACCAAGCTGCGCAACGACCAGCAGCAGAAGTACTCAGCTATTCGCACGATCAAGGACAACTACTTCAAGGCACGCCGCGCCTACAAGGAGTACGAGGACGAGGCCTGGCGCATCCGCCGCGAGCGCCAGAAGATCGAGCGCGAGGCCTTTGAGCGCGAGAAGCGGAAGAAGGTAGCCGACAAGAAGCTGGAGGAGGCCTCGCACCCGGCCTTTGCCGACGAGATCCTCACGGGCCAGGGTCTCATCCGCCACTTTGACCCCGCCTACAACTTCGCCGCTCTGGGCTTGGATGATAAGAAGACCGAGGGCAGCAACTTCCGCGCCGGGGTCGGCCGCACTGTGGACTCTTCTGACCTAAAGGGCATGCGGGTGGTGCGCAAAGAGGACCGTGAGGACGACTACTTCGCTGGTACTGGTGGCAAGAAGGGGAAGAAGGGAAAGAAGGTTGGCGCGGCCGGTGGTGCTGAGGCATCCAAGTTCAACATGAACGTCGGCATTATCGAGGACTTCGCCAAGGTCAAGATCGACCCGCCCATGAACCAGTCGGACGTCCCGGCCGCGGTTGAGAAGCTGGCCGCCAAGATCACCGAGTGGAAGAAGAACCAGGCCAGCAAGACTGAGGAGGTAAGTTTCCCATCTTTTTTATGTCATAGAGACCAGCAACTAATCGGTTCTTTTCTTTCATTGCAGAACATCAAGAAGGCCAAGGAGGAAATCACCCGCCTGGAGGAGGAAGAGGCGAACATCCCCCAGGCCAATGGCCGGGCCACCGACGCCGGGAAGAAGCCCGCGCGCGAGAACGGAACTAACGGTGCCCCGACTGCGGAGGCGGAGCTGACGCAGGAGAAGGACGCGGTGGCGGATGCTGCGGATGAGCTCAAGAAGGCGTCGATCGAGGACAAGGCATAGGAGGGAGGGGTCATTCTCTTTGCATTGTGCATATATATCCTTTTGATACATGGACAGCGCGCTCATTGATTCAAAAGTTATTGGCTGTTCTATTTCCTAGAAGCATCAAGATTGTCTCTGTAACATTTTTGGAGCATCCAAGAAGCCAAGAATTTCGCCGAGGTCCATGACTCAGCCGAATCCCCGTGCGCCACTCGACTGCGAATTCGGCTGCCTCTCGTTTGCCTCTGCTTTTCTACCCAAATCTCGCTTGAAGAGAACTTCTTCCTCTTTTCTTCATTTTATCGACTGGTCTGACTTGGCTCCTTCAATCACATCCTCATCGCGACAGAATTAGCCCCCATCCACTCCCTCAACCATCCCCAGATCAGCATCAGCACTAATTCGACAATCTCCACATCGCTCCTTCACCATGTCCTACAACAAGCCAGTACGTACCTTTTATCCACTCCAACCAATTCCCTCAAAATCATATAAAAGTATATAATTCGTACATCACACTAACACTTAAACCAGACCAGCCCACCCCCGCCTACCCAGCACCCGTCCAAGACCCGGGCCTCTACCACCCGAACTCGCCGCCGCCGCAAGGCACCGCCCAGGACTACTACTACCAAGGCGGTCAGGGCTACTATCCTCCGCAGCAGAACTACGGCGCCCCGCCGCAACAACAGGGCTACTACCAGCCCCAGGGCCAGCCCATGTACTACCCGCCGCAACAAGGGTATCCGCCGCAACAGCAGGGCTACTATGCCGGGGACCGCGGAGGCGGGTCCTCTGGTGCTGGTGGGATCTGTGCCGGTATCATGGCGGCGCTGGCTTGCTGCTGCTGCTTGGATATTATCTTCTAGAGAGGCGGGTTGACGTGGAGAGCAGAGGGGAAAGAAGATACTGGGGTGATCCATTTCTTTTTCTTTTTCCCTTCTTCTTCTTCTTCTTCTCCGACGTTGGTTTTCAAGGACTGCCACCTTGAAGAAAATGGGGTGTTCTCGCGGGCATTTGTGGAGACCCCTATGAAAAACGGGCTTCGACATAGACCTGTGCCAGCGGCAGAGCTGTGTTGTTTCGGACGGCGTTCCCTAGGATCTTGGCTTGACTTTGGACTTTTCTTCTCCTTTACTTCCTGGTTTTTGTCGAGGCGGGAGAAGGTCTCTTCTTTTATCGTATATATTCTTGGCTTTTATCACTAATTGCTGGCGCATGAGCAGGACACGGCGTATCTGGGCATTGACCCAGGTTTTCGGGTGATCCAATTGTACTATCATTCTCCAACGTTTTTTGCAGGTGTAGTTGCAGTAAGATACACCAGGGACAGCTCGTAGGATAGCAATGAGAATAATTATTATGGCAACATTGTATATAAACCACATGGCTTCGTACATGACCGGGGCATATCATAAACATCAAGACAACCAGCAAAGCAGACGAAAATAAGGAGGGCATCGTATCGACAGGGGGTATCGCAAAACAAAAACTAGAAAAGGGACAAGCAGTGCCATAGAGATGTAAACCGTATATCAGCAAGATCACCGATACCGACTCCCATACTCGCTGCCACCCCCATAATCATAAGGATCAACAGTGCGATACGCAGGCCCACCACGTCCGCTCCGCATTCTCCTTGGCGGCAACGGCGACGCCGACGAAGGCGCCGAAGACTCCTCCTCAATAACCTCCACAACATCCCCGCGATCATCCGTCGTCGTCGTCCCGGTAACGGAATCCTCCTCCACCACAACACGATCCCGATCCCGTTCCCGCCGCGACGGCGCCGGCCTGCGCCGCTCGCGCTCCTCCATCACCTCGACGATATTATCGCTGCGGCGCCGAGGGCCCGACGGCCGCGAACGCCGGCTGCGCACCTCGACTACTTCCTCCTCGTCGATCGAGTCGCTGCTGATGCCGCCGCCGCGGGCGCGTCCGCCGGGGTTCAGTGTCAGGAAGATGAGGTAGAGGAGGAGCACGAATCCGGCTACACTGCCGAGCACGATCCCGACGACGGTGCCGGCGGGTGGGCTGGAGTTGAGGCGGCCGTAGGAGGCTGGGATCGAGACTGTGTGGTAGCGTTTTTGGAGCGCGTTTGAGCTTAAAAGAAGTGGGTGGTCCATGTTAAATGCGGCTGGTTTGGGGTCGCTTAGGTCCCCTCCTGGGAGAGGGATTGAGGCCATCTCTTGCCCTTTTTTTTTTTGGGCTGTGTTGTGTGTTGAGGTGGTTTGGTGGTGGATCAAAGAGTGTGGATCAGAGGTGCTGGTTGTCAGGCACTTGGGCTGCTGCGGAACTGAGGGTTGCGAAGGTCAGTCGGAGTAAAGTATGCCTTTGCGCCGCTGTGAAGAGAGGATGTGGGAAGTTGAAAAACAGAAGAAAAGAAAACAAATAAAGAAGGCTGGGGGCTGGGATCTGCGAAGTGGGACGCTCCACTCTGTGGATGTCAACAAGATTGACGTCGAGGCAGACCACGCCCTAAATTAGATCGGAAAATGGAAAATAGATTCAAAGGACAAAATGAAGATGAAAAGTCTGTAGGTTAAATGTTTACTTGTTAACTTGGGAGTAAACATTTCTGCTAAATAGCAACTACTTCCATCAACATCCACAGATCCCGATTCCTCAGTACGCGCCTTTCCTCTTTTCATATTTCGGCTGCTCAGCCGGCTCGACCTCGCCCAAAGCCGTCAGCACAGGCGTAGTATGCACCAACTCCAGCTTCTCCAACTTAGCCCCATGCGCATCCTGCGCCCACAAGCTCAAAGCAATCCAATTGGAGCCACGATAATTCAAAATACCCTCTGGCACAGGGAAGCTAGTCTGCGGACCAACATTATTGACATACTTCCCGTACTGGTAGCCATTCACATAGATCTGGACGCGGTACGCGGCCGGCGGCACAGAAGAGTTCCCGAAATTGAAGTACAGTGGAACGTCCCAGCCACGGGGTAGATCCAGGTCCAGACGTGCACTGTAGAACCCGATCCCGGGCGCTGACAAGCCACGGAATGGGCTGGCGGCCTTCCAGTGTCCAGCTGGTGGCTGTGGCTGGTGGAAGCCCTGACGCTCGGCGTACAGCCCGCCTTCGTTCAACGGACCGCGGACGGAGTCGCGGTAGTCCTCGCCGCCCAGATTGCCGGTGAGTTTCCAGGTGATATCGCGTGCTGACCGACCTGATAGACGGTAGTCGAGGATCCCGCGTGGATGCTTCATCTCCTCGGCACCGGGGGTCCAGTTCTCGTCCAGCCCCATGTTGTCCATCACCACCGTCAGCACGTACGGCTTGCCCGATTGCAGTCTCGGGAGCTTGTATGTGGCGTTGGAGTCCATGTCCTTGTCAATTCCCGTCCATGAACCGACGAAGTTTTTGTTTAGCCAGACGGAACTGCCAAATGCCGATCCGCCCTGTGTGTGCACGAAGAACGTCTTCTCGTTGCCCGTGGCTACAAAGTGGCCCCGATAGATGAGCGTTCCACTGTGGAAGCCGTAGTCGGACGAGTAGAGCGATGTCGGCGTCTTAAGCGGGTTTGCACTGTTGTCGGTGTGGGTGTGGTCCGCAGCATCCCAGACAGAGTCGTCGTACGAGTCTTGGATCTCGGGCAGAGTATCAATGTACTTCCAGTCCAAGTCCTTCAGGGATGGGAGGTCAATCTTTGGCGCCTTGTACTCGACACTACTGGACCAAATCCCATTCTTGTCGACCTTGACCGAGGCCCTTTTGTCGTTGATGACGAGCTTCTTCGCTTTGGCTGGAGCCCCAATCACCTCGACCGGTGTGGTGACGTTGAAGTCGGCTGTGAGGTGGAGGTCACTGCCCTGCAGATATGCAGTACGCACGAGATATCCGGCCTTGACGATGATGGACGAGGCAGTATTCTTCTGGGAACCAAGACCAGGTACCTTGCCTTTACTAGGGACCTCGGGCACCCAATATTTGTGGGCGGAGTTCCGGTCTAAGGGGTTGGTCAGTATACAATGAGATACTTCAATACCTCTTAGAAGACTTACCGAGCAAGAAAATCCTCAGGTCGCCCACCCTGACGATGCGACGAGTGGGGGAGACATCCCAACCAACAACAACTGCTTTACCCACCTGTTTGGATGAGATCCCAGACGACGACCCTTCCAAAACAGACATCTTTCCCTTTATAGAGACAGCCAGTTCGTGATGCTCGCCCTCGCCGCCGTATAGAATGAGCACCTTATAGTCACCCAGCTTCTTCCATGTGAAGACCTCGGCCGTGGAGTAGAGAAGATGAGTACCCGCGATATCATAGTCCACGACATGAATCTTAGAGTCGCGGCCATTAAGCGTGAGGCTTCCTCCCAGCTGTGGGATCGTCAGACGACCAGTGCTGGTAGGTATCTTGAGCTTATAGTCGACGGACTTTTGGCTGGAGTAGTCATTGTGCCGGACCACGAAAAACGAGGACGCCGAGCTGTTTCGCCCAAGCAGAGGCGTCACGGCCAGGTCAGCCAAGTTCGTATACTCCGACGTAGTCAAGTTTCCCGGCGTGGTCACTAGATATGAGGGTGACACTTTGGCGAAGTTTGCAATCAGTTTGAGCTCGCTGTACTTTTCACGAGTAATATTGCGCGACTCGGTAATTGGCGAGCCATAGTCGTAGGATGTGTATCCACCGGGATGGCCCAAGTTGCCCCAGTTGGTACCGCCAAAGGCCTGCTACTGTTAGATTTTCGAGTGCATGTTCCAGGGCGATTATCGACTTACCATGTACAGGTTCAGAAAAGCGACCCCAAAGCTGATATCATTCTTGTAAAATACCCGCTCAAACTCGTGGTTCACAAGAGCAGCACAGGCCGCAAAGCCAGGCCCTCCCCACGGATCGAAAGCACCGGCTTGGAACTAGACAGAGGTCGGCCTAGATCGATTCCCTCGGCAAACAAGGCCAACTTACCTCAACCAGAGAGTACGGCGTAGATGGACTCTGCTTCATGTGCTTGGAGTGCCAATTAGTCGGCAGTTTGCCCTCTGGCCACACAGTTGGGTTTGCACAGTCGAAACCAAGAGGATAACCATCATGCCCGTAGATATCCACCTCCCCTTTGCCCGTACCTGGCGCATTGGTGCCGCTAGCAGAAGCATCATTGCTAATCAACGGCACCACGATCCCAGCCTCGCGGGCTTGGTCCTCGACATACTGCATGTAGTCTCCGTCTGGGAAGTCGATGCCACAGCAGCCATTCGTATATTCGTTTTCGGGCTGGTAGAGGATAATAGGCCCGCCATTAGTAATTTGGGCTTTCGCAACAGTCGCAGCAACATGGGTGATGTAACTAGCCACATGTAAGTAAGCTTTCAAGACATTCAGACTGTATGATATCAATCCCGTGGGGAGTAGGATCACGTACTTATCGGTGGACTTGAGGTATGCTTTGTCGCTGGAGCGCAGCTTCCCATTCACGCGCTGAAGCCAGCCCGGAAACCCACCACCCGATACTTCGGCATTAACATAGGGACCGGGTCGAGCTAAGAGATAAATTCCAGCATCTTTAGCCGCGTCGAAAAACGGCTCCAGTGCGAAAATGCCCTCGGCGCTATAGTGGCCGGGCTTACCCTCGAGCAAAGCCCAATCAGTGTAGAAAGATACACAGTTGAACCCCAAGGCCTTGATCTTCTGGAAAACATCAATCCAGAGCGAGAGGACCGGTAAACTAGAATATAAAATGAGTTCATATCTTCAGATCAAGGAAGTAACTGGTCGGTATATCTCAGGACCTACCGGAAGGGATGAACTTCACCACTGAAGAGCATGATCCTCTCACCATTGACAAAGAGCGAGTCCTTGTCCCAAGTCACCTACTGTGGTCAGCAGCGTCACACCATTCTCGTCCGAAGATTCAACAGTACATGGTTCTGAAGCAACTCCCGTTTCGCTGGATCCGGATGCTCGATCAGAGTGAAGCCATTCAGTTTATGGCTAATAGCCGCTCCAGCAGCCTGAGCCGCTAGACATGCGAGTGCCCCGATGGATAGGAGCTTCATCGTATAGCCCGAACCAGTTTCCAACTATGTTGTAAGAAACAAGAGTTCAAGAAAGAATGGTGTTGATCCATGCAAGGGACCAGCACCGGTTCATATAGAAAACCAACCAAACGACCATAGCAAATGACCCCTCCACCTGCCTCCAAAATCACAAATCCAGGACGCGCGATTTTCCGACTTGTGCCTTGATCCTGCAACAGGAGCATTAAATGACAAGCCATTCGTAGAGATATAGAGAGAAAGTGGAGACTCCCAGGGACGATCTCCCCGCAACTCCATCAGACGCGGGGGTTCCACCGCAATTTTTCCGCATATCGCAGCGCCGAGCTTGCATGTCGTCATTTTGCAAATATTCGGCGGGGAAGCTGGTCTGAACTGGAATTATCCGAGTTGCTCATTCTCTGACTCTCCCGAGGATTGCCCGAGGGTGAGGAAGGTGAGGGAGGAAACCTCGAGGGTAAAGGTGGATCTTACAATGGAATACAGAATATGCAAGATACGTAGTTATACTCACAATATCCCTAAAGCAGAAATTCTCCGTGAGTCTCGATTTTTTAGTACATTTGAGTGACGATTCCTCTCTCCGTAGATCCATGGATGATTTGCATGTAACATGGTAAAATCAAAGGCGCCAATCCTCCTAGTTTTCAATGAGCTAAACAGTCGTGTTGAACCGATCCTCCTCGTCGCCCGCCTTGGTCCAAGTCTCCCGGGTATCCGTGTGCTCCTGTTCATCCTGGCCCAGCTGCGCGTTCTCCTTTTTCAGCACTGCATCTTCCGCCTGGGCGGTGTTCTCGGCCGGCAACTCCACGCCCGACGTGTCCGGGGTTGCAGTGGCCGGCAGGTCCCGCTTCTTGATCGCGGGGTTGACGAGCGGGGTGTCGTCGTTGAAAAGACGCAGCAGCATGGCGCGGCGGTCCTCCTTGGGCAGCATGAGGTTCAGGGAATGGAGCGACCGCCACAGAGGGAGCACCATCCGCTCACTGTTACTCAGTTAGCAAGACAAGATTAAACACTGGTGAGAAGAAATTCAGGGGATTCTAGAACATACGTGAGACCACCCTCTGCTGTGCTGGCTTCAATGCGCAGAATGCTGCAACCCATGGGGATATCTTTCACCTGCCCGCCAATCTCGCCCAGAGACTTCCAGCCGCCATCGTCAACCTTGGGGAACATCTCCACGAGGAGGCGGTGGAGAGTCTCTCTCTTGGTCAAAGTAATGGCGCGGGCAGGCCCAAGCCAGGGCTCGGCGATTTTCAAGCCCTCGGTCTGAATGCGCCACCGGCAAACATCCTCGCGCTGCACATCTTGCTTGACGAACATCTTGACACCGCAGTGGACAAACTTCATACCCTGACCCTCGTTGTGAGTGAGAATGTCCCGTGCCAGGGCAGTGGTATAATAGACCGTCCGGGTAGGAAGACCCTCGAGATTGCGGACCATGAACCGGTCTCGCGGGAACCGGTCGTTCAACTGGTAGAACTCGTAGACAGGCACAAGCTCTTCGTGGTAGGGGTCCAAGTACTTGAAGGGCTCCTCTTGGCGTACACCCTTCTTCTTCTTCAGAGCCTGCTCCTGTGCGGAGGAAGCCTCCTGAGGGGCGGCTGTGGTGGTAGCGGGAGTCCTCTCGCCCGGTGTATCAATGTTTTCGGTTTCAACCGAGGTGGCAGGGCGGTGGATCGGACGGTCACCCACCAGAACCTCGCTGCCATTTTCAAGCTTGGTCCTCTTGGCAGGAAGCTCCTCTTCAAGGTCATCTGCCTCGCGCTTCGAAGGTGAAGCAGGGCCCGGAGCAGAAGCATCCAAGGTCGCAGTGTACGGCAGCTGGTGGGTAGCCTCGGCGACAGTTGCGTTCTTGGCAGCCTCTTCCTGGGCCTCCTGGTCGGGGACAACAAGCTCATCCAAAGTCTCGAGCTTTTCCAAGGGCTTCCCATCTCCGTTCTTCTTCTTAGAATCCAGCTCCGCAGCGAGGGCCGCCACAGAAGCCTTGGGGATAACATTAGAAGTATCCTCTGACTTGGCACGAATTTCGGACGTCTTTTCAAGGACCGTGATGAAGAAACCACCGGTGTCCTGCAGATGGGAGTACACCCGCATGCACCGGTCGAGCGGCAGGTTAGCGTTGTCGCCCTTCGGCGGGAACATGCCCTCGGCCAGTCGGGCCAAACCGCTGATCCCTTGCTGGTCGCGGTGCTCCTCGACCTCCTTCCAGTTGCCCCAGATGCGGCCCTCGCGGTCCATCACCTTCCAGTCTCGCAGACCAGACTTCCTCTTCAGGCCGGGCAGTTCTTGGCTGCAGTCAACGATCTTAACCTTGTCGGCGCCGCCGCAGCGCTCAATTGCACTGGCAATGACAGCCTCGTTCTCGATCGGGTTCATACTGCATGTCGAGTAAACGACCCGACCGCCCACCTTCAGCATCTGCAGCGCACGAACCAAAATCCGCGCCTGGGTGGCGTGGAGTCCCAGGGCGTTGCCGGGAGTCCAGTCCTTCCAAAGACTGACATTCTTGCGAAGGGTGCCATCGCCCGAGCAAGGAACGTCGGCCAGGATGCGGTCAAACTTGAGATACCTGTTCTTCTGCGGCGTGTCGTCGGTGCTGGGCGGCGGGGGCAGCTTGATGGAGGGGTACAAGGTGGCATCGTGGTTTGTGACGATCAGATTCGGCGAGTTCAATCGCTTCATCTGATGGATCAGCATGTGAGCACGCTTGTAGTCGCTATCGTTGGCGATCAGCAAGCCAATGCTGCGGCCGTCGTCGTTGAGTCCCTCGGGACCAAGAGGTTCCGACCCAGCATTGCCATCCTTGATTTCCTGGGCAGCCTGCAGAATGGACTCCTCCTCGCCCGCATGAAGCAGCTCCATCAGCTGCGCAGACTTGCTGCCCGGAGCAGCGCACATGTCCAGAACAGTCATGCCGGGCCTGACATCGATCAGAAGAGGCGGGATCATGCTAACCACCTCCTGGCGGCTGATGTTCCCCACCTCTGTCTCGGCCACCAGAAACTTCTGGAACGAGGCGAATGGCGCGAAGCGGCGGATAACATTCTTCGGGGTGGTCATCGACCAAGCGAGCTGGTCCGGGTACCATGTCACAGGCCGGGGCGGCTCAACGAACTCGCCCTCGTACTTGATGGAGGTGATCTCGGGGATATAGAAATCTTTGAGGCGTTGCTGCACAGCGAGCGCATGCCTGTATATGTCCGATGCGACCGTTAGAATCGTACAAAACCCTTCCAGGCACAATGCGCAGTGTGATCCGCAGATTGCGCATGACGTACCCGCGCGAGCCCGTGAACCGAAAGCTGTTGGGCAAATCCTTTCGCAAAGTCGCCCAGAACACTTCTTTCTCTTCCTCGGGGATAAACTCCGGCTCATTGTAGTAGCGCTCCAGCTTCTCGTTTTCCCTCTTATAATCGTTCCATTGAGAGCGCGTACGGCCGCCGCCGCCGCCACCACGACTGCCGAACTGGAAGAATCAAAAAATATCAGTACGACTGAAATAATTGATACTTAAATAATGTGAGCCGACTCACCCGCTTGCCTCCACGCTTGCCCATTGTCTCGTAGTATAATGTTCTTGGATCAAGAGGTGCTCTCCGTCAAAAATTATCGGTTCCGGAAAAATGAGGCGGAGGGACGGAGGTTTAGTAAGCACATATTAGCCTGGAGCTCACCTGGAGAAGGCGAGCAATAAGCATGATAGCTAAAGTATCCCTTCATTTTGATATTCTACATAGAACAATACGGAAGAAATAGAAGAGGAATTGCATTTGAGACAAAGGAAATCAGTTGGCCTGTCTGCCACACCAAGGGCGACAGACTATATAGTCTACTATGGCAAACCATTAATTGCTATTTGACACACAGAATTGGGATCTAACAAAACCCCCAAAGGCAATGATTGATAGTACATTCAAACCAGAGCCACCAAGCCCCGAAGAAAGTCTTCAGGCGGTTGAGTGGCTTTTCTTTCACGCGCAATCAGTCCTCTCACAGAACTCACGACAGGTTGCGGGCCATGTCGTTGCGGAGGCGCTGGTAGTCGTAGATACCCTCAATGCTGCCGACGGCGCTCAGGGCGAGGTCCTGGTCCCACAGCTTGCGAGTGGCAAAGTCCATGACATCCTTCTCGGTGATCTGGCTCACAGCACGCTCAATGTCCTCGGCGCTGTGGCGGCGGCCAGTGGTGATGATCTGGCGGCCAATGTCCTCGGCGACGGCGGTGGTGCCGTCCAGAGAGAGGAGGATGGAAGCCTTGAGCTGAGCCTTGGCGCGCTCGACCTCGGCGGCGCTGACATTGTTGCAGAGACGAGTCCACTCGCGCAGGGTGAAGTGAATCAGGTCATCAAGCTGCGTCAGGTTCTCGGAAACAAGGTAGATACCCCAGAGACTATGATTTCAGTAGGTCAGCGCACGGTCCATATGCCCACTATATCGTTTCCATAACTTACCCAGTGTCGCTGTAGCTGGTGGAGAAACTCATGAAGCTGTTGGCGAGGTTGTGGTGGCTGACGTGGGAGCTGAGCTTGCTTCCCAGGAAGGGCGACTGGCCCATGGCACGGTCCCAGTTGCCGACGATGGCCTGGGTAACCAGAGCAGTGAAGTAGTCGTCATCCTTCCAGCTGACACCCTCGACAGCGAGCGCAACGTGAGCCGAGTGGAGAGTGTCGTCGCGGACCCGCACCTCGGAGCCGATGAACTCGGGGGTGCGCTTCTGCTCAGCGGTGAGAGCCTGGGCAGCGGAGGTCGGGGGCTTGCTGGGGAGGGAGCCGAAGTGCTCCTCGGCCAGTCTCACGAGCTGCTCGTGGGGGATGCCACCAGCACCAACCAGGACCATACGGTCGGCGGTGTAGTTGGTCTTGATGTAGTCGGTCAGGTTGTCCCGGGAGATGGTCTGGATGTTCTCCTTGGGGCCGAGGATGGTGCGGCCGAGGGGCTGGCGCTGGAAAGCGGTGGCATGCAGGTGGTCAAAGACAACCTCCTCGAGCTGCTTGTCAACCTCCTCCTGCTCGCGCAGGATCACATCGCGCTCACGCTCAATGGCACCGGGCTCCAGCTTCGAGTTCTGCAGGATATCGGCGAGGATGTCGACGGCCTTGGGAACATCGGAGTTGAAGGACTTGGCATAGTAGACGGTGTTCTCCCTCTGCAAATGCAATTAGTACGAGTTGGGGTAGGCTTTTCGTGTGGAGAGTTTCCCGGTCGTACCGAAGTGTAGGCGTTGAGGTGAGCACCCATGTTCTCGATCTCGAGTTCCAATTGGTGCTGCGATCGCTTGTTGGTGCCCTAACAATCATCGTCAGAAAGTCGCTCTTCCACCCAGAATTCATGGGAACAAACCTTGAAAGCAAGGTGCTCGAGGAAGTGCGCGGTTCCGTTCGTCTTGTCAGTCTCTGCCCGGCTACCGGCATCGATCCACACGCCGACCGTCGAGGTCTGAGCCCATGGGGAGTGTTCCGTGGCAATCTAAAGACAGATCAGCGAATTTGCCATGCCATTGAAATAGTTGTGCGGGGCGTACGGTGAACCCGTTGGAGAGGGTGGTGGACTGGGTGGTGGACGGCAAGACCGGCGACGCAAAGCCTCGCTTCACGGGCTGGATGGACTTCAAAGCCGAGCGGCTGCGGAGAGCCTGATTGAGGTTGAAAGCTAAGCGCCGAGAAGCCATTGCGAAGTAGAGTGGGTGGGAGGGGGAAGGGGGGGATGGAGAAAAGAGCTGGAGACGCCCTGAGGTTGAAGTTCGCAAGTCAAATTGTTCGCCCGGCTCAGCCAATCACATGACCCGCTTTTCCAAACTGCCCTTCCGTCTCCCGAATCCTTCCTTTCCTCCCGATCGCCGGGGATTTGGGCTGATATTTACTCCTTTGTGTGAGTTCTCTTGGTTTTAAACATGTTTGGAATATCGTCTTTGTCCAAGAAAGCCTCAAATGTCCTTCTCTAGGCCATCTTCAAACACACATCAAATTCCACGGCTAATGATTGGCTCCTGCTACTATACAAATCCACTGGCAAATTGTCGGATATTGTCCACCAGGGGGATATCCGCCGCAAATCCCAGCTTGAATGCACGCTCCGTGCTGAACTGAGGCGTCCAAGATTGCACGATCTTATCGGTGGCCGCATCATACTTCTCCTCCACCAGCGCACGTCTCTCCTTGCCGCCAACAACCTCCAGCGCATCCAACATCTCTTGAATACTAACCTTTAGACCGGGGAGATTGACCGATCTCGACTCTCCAAAGGCCTCCTTGGGGACATCGCGCGCATGAACCAGGTTCTTGATCACCGTGTGTGGCGAGCAGATCCACATCTCCGTCTCCTTAGCCACCGGCAAAATGGCTTTTTTGCCATGGAAGGGCTCACGGATGATGTCGCTCGCAAAACTACTGGCCGCCTGGGTTGGATTTCCTGCGCGAACCGTCACTGTCGGAAGCCGCACGCATCGCCCGTCCAGGAATCCGCGGCGCGAGTAGTCGTTCAGCAACGTCTCGACGATGAGTTTCTGCGAGCCGTAGGAGGATGAAGGGACCGGCGGGAAATTTGTTTCGTCGATGATAAATCCCGGCGGTGCGGGCCCGTAGACGGCCAATGAAGACGTAAATACCACCTTCACGCCGGGCGTGATCGCACGTAGTCGGTCCAGGATGTGTCGCGTCGCATCGAGGTTGACCCGGATACCCAGCTCGAAGTTCGCTTCCGATCCTCCGGACATGATGCCATGGAGCAAGTAGACAGTCTCGTATGGGCGCGATGCGCTGATCAGTTCTTCCACCTCTTTGGGGTTGGTCAGGTCGGCCCGGACACTGGTGAGACGGCTGGCGTGATGTGTCGCAGACTCGGGAGTCGCCGGCTCAACGACATCGGTGATTGTCACTGTCGTAGAAGAAGGAGTGCTCGCAAGAAGGGCTGCAGCCAATTCCTGGCCGACGTACCCGCCGGCGCCGGTGATCAGAATGGACATGGTAATGAAGAAAAAAATCTCAGAAACTAAGGGACTCTATAGCGTGGTCAATTATTTCAGCGCATCTTCTGGCGGGCACACTCTCCCCTTCATATACTCGCCAACAAGAAAGACTCTGCGGGGTTGCAGCGGAGCAGCTCCTAAACCCCCACGCGCATTGTCACTCATAACTCAACATCGTCCAATGACAGCACCAGATCCCGGGACGAAGAGTCGGGAAAGAATATCTGCCGCAGCATTTCCGAGTGCATTTGGGTCTGGGCATGTCAAGGCCCCCGAGTCTCGGTGAGAAATCCGAGGACCGAACCACCCGCACTGCCCCCGTGGAGGGCACGGCGTAAGTCCGATGAGATGATCACGAAGAACCATTTAACATCTATGGATAATGGGAAAGAGTTTTGATTGCTGCGTGGGTGGCTGGAGATCAGCAGGAATTCTTTCTTTTTTTTTTTTTTTTTTCTTTCCGGTGAGATTGTTTTCGTTGCTCGGAGTATAGCCCTCGAGGTCTAGGAAGGCAAAATAGTACTAGATCGAGGGTCACTATCAACCAACCTCTACAGTAAAGAAGGGTCCTAAATCACAGAGACACAGAGCAGCTAGAATGGATTCATGCATGGGTTAAACACCCTTAGCAATACGTCCCCGTCTTCCACAAGTACTATTCACCATCTCAGATCAATAAGACACATTCCAGCGTGTACATTCCTCTCAAAATGAGACCTAAATTTTTGAGACGCAGCCAAAAGTACATGGGCAGAGACGAAAGCCTGGCACCGGAAAAGAGAACACAAAAAAAAGGCATTCGAAATACATCACAAACACGAGACGCCGGGTGAGAACATCAAAGAAGACATGAACCAAAGATTAGAAACCCTTATGCAGAGCGGTTGTAGATACCAGCAACGATACAGTGATCACGCTCGAAGGGCTCCAGAGTCAGCTGCTCCTTGGGCTTCAGCTTCTCCTCACGCATCTTCTGGACCTCCCGGGCGAACACCACCTCAGGCTTGGCCGTGCTGTCGATACAGTTGGCCTTGATACTGACAATGACACCACCGCCGGCCTTGAGGAACATGTGGGCATTCAGACCGACAATACGGGCCTGGTCGGGCTGGGCAACGTCGGCGAAGATGACATCAACCATGGGCACGAGCATGCGGTATCGAAGAGGGTGACGGGCGTCCTCGACAATGGGAATGACGTTGGTGCGGTGGGTAGCCATGCCAATTAGGTCACGGCCGGAACGGTGCGAGAACTCGACGGCGTAGACGTTGCCAGTGGGGCCAACAATGTCCGCGACGTGGCTGACCGAGGTACCGCTGGCACCACCCAGGTAGAGCACCTTGGCGCCGGGCTTCATGTAGATGTCGTCCAGACCACCCAGGATACCGGCAGCAAGCTTGCTGCGGAAGGGGTTCCACACACGGTATTCGACCTTGGTGACGGTGCCATCCTCCTGGGAGGGTGACTCGACGGAGATGCGCTTCTCACCGTACACGGCCTCACCGGGTGTCAAGTTCTTGGTCACAAGCAGATCCTCCTTACCGCCACGGGCAACGAACACACCGGCGTGACGGTGGGGCTCCTGTGCAAAGAAAGAAAATGTCAACCGCTGCGCTCGCTATCTCCAGAAAAAAAAAGCCCTAGCACTTACAATGATAACCTTGGCACCACCACGGGCACCGCTGGCACCGCCGCGACCACCACGACCACGAGGAGCACCGCGACCACCGCGGGGAGGGCCACCACGGCCGCGGGGAGCACCACCACGACCGCCACGGCCACCACCGAAGCCACCTGCAAACCAGAAAAAAAGCACCCCGATCAGCAAACCGAATTTCTCAATGAGCACCATCAACAATGTCATTCACAGTTATCAAGCCAGCATCAGGGCCAACATCGTCTAACTGCGCGCAAATTGCTCGTGATTTCAAACGGACTGGATGAACAAACCTCGACCACCTCCGCGGGGAGGGCCACCACGTCCACCACGTCCAGGGGGACCACCACGACCACGAGGAGCGAAAGCCATAATCTTTTTTTTATGAAAGGGTTGAGGTTGTTTTGTGGGGAGTCGAGCGAGTAGGGGGGAGCTATCGGTTCTGAATGTTCAGACCGAGTGCGAAAATTGGGGATGAACGATCTCGAGAGATACAACGAGATGCAACAGGAAAGAGAGTCGTGAGAACCAAAGTCAATGGATCACACAGCTGGTGCAGAATTGGCCGCTGACTCTCTTGTCGAATGCGGGTCGAAGCCGGTGTTGCTCGTGGATTGCGGTCGAGATTTTTTTGCGGCATTTGACCTTTCAGAAAATCAGAACAACGCTAGCCCTAATATGGCTAGCGTGGTCTTCCGTGTGGGTTCTCACGTGATGTTATAGCGAGATCACGTGGTATATGTAAGCCCTGCAATGTTGCAGGGAGAAAATGCAGAAGCTGTGATGCTAAAGTTGAAAAAATAAAAAAAAAAAAAATAAAAAAACCTCCTTGATTAACGCCAGGTGCTGCCACAAATAAAGCTATATAAATCACAGAATGGTAGATAGGCCAGCCTAGTGGTTCTTCACGTCATGCCCATTCATCGCTGTCTTTCGCTCCTCTATATACACAAAAAACCCCCAACTATTTCCCAAAGAAATAATAGTTGGCAGCATATTGCACTGTAAAGGATGATTCCAAGCCCTGACAAGTCTTGGGTGGGGAGCCTCCAGCCGTGTTCACCCGGTAGACACTCTTGTAGTCGCCCACCGTGCCATCCGTGGCAGTAAGGTAAAGCCAGGACACAGCACCATCCTTCCCTTTGAAGGCATCCTTAGGTGCGTTGAGCTCACCCTTCTTCTTGGTCATGACAATGCCATTTTTCTTGGAGGAGAGGTCGAGGTTGAACTCCGGAGTGCTCGAGTCATAAAAGAAGTGGTGACCCATGAGCTCCATGTTGGCTGGTGGGAAAAGACTATCCTCATTCTGTGGCAATGGGATAGCGTAGGCAATTTTGGGGATAATTTCCATCAGAGCCGGGTAGCTGGCGGCGATGCAGGTGGCATTGTAGAGGTTGGCAACCGCTCCAGCGGCCTTGGGTTCAGATTTGGCTGTCGAATCAGCACAGGTATAGTTCTGTGGGAGTGGTGAGCATATTGTATCTGGAACCAAGGGTTTGTGACTGGTCTGCATACCTGAGTTCCCCGTCCAACTCCGACATACATCGGCTTCAGATCACCGGGACTAGTAAGGTTGGATGCAAAGCCGGGCAGGGCAATCTTGGAGGTGTCACATGTCGAGAATAGGCCATTGTTCTTTGAGCCGTGGATGTACTGGCTCACTTTGCCATAGAATTTGGCCAGATCACCGGAATAGTTGTACGCATCGTCGAACAGGCCTGTTGGGGCAGCAAGTGAGACTGCTGCCAGGCAGAGGAGAAGAAAGGGAATTGAATGCATGACTTGTCGCCCTTGGATTGTGGTAGGCAAAGGAGTGAAGAATTGTTTCGACCGTGTACTGTGCTTTTGCGAAAAGAGGGGAGGGGTATGGCGCACGGTCGGGGATAGGGCTGAAGTTGTAGAATGAAACCAAGGGAGTGACTGACATGGAGATGAAGAAATGCACTCCAGGGATCGGGATCGGAGGGTACATATAGAAGGCTGGAGATTTGAATATAGTCAAAATGGCGACAAAGATAGTAACCGCCTAACTCGAAACAATGCGAATCTATAAACAGCGTGATCCATGCATGCTGCAGGAACTAGCAGGGATCCGGGGGCTGATCCCTCCATATCATTGGCACACCGACGCGCCGGGGGCTGGAGCCCCAGCCTTCGAGCGCAATCATTCGTGCTCGGCAGCAAACGCCGTGGACTAAATCGAGATATCCCCCGCGCTAAGCAAAACAACGGAGGCTATTAATAACCCTGGCACAAGAAGCTTGGATGTGGGCGCTTCGATGGACATGATGATTGCCGGAGTGGGTTAGTGTGCAGAGCGATCATGGAGCTTTGGATCTCCGATCCAAGGCAGCTGGATCAGGTCTTGTTGTAACCGCTCAGTTGATTAAGCCTGGAACGCCCGCAGTATCAGGTTGACTGAGGTATATTTTTGAATAGTGAGGGGCTGGCATTCCCCTCTTTTCTCTTGCATCGATACATGTAAGAATCGCCAGCCACTGTGGCTTTCGGTGGATTTGAGCGAGAGAATTGTCGGTCGATTTACCCGACCGCAAGCCATGAAGAAACCTCTTCAGAATCCCAATCCCATGTCGGTCGCAGTCCTGCATTCTACCGCGGCATCGAAAAGAATGCATATCCGATCTCTGGCAGGCTGTCCTCGGGATCTTCGATGTGGTTGTCAGGGAGGTGCTGTTGAGGCAGAGGCAGAGGTAGGTAAAGGGGCCTCAGTACCTGTCGATGCAATTTATCCGGCCAACTCCCATGCTCGCCCTGTCAAAACAACAATGGCCAATGTATGCCCGCTCTATACGCATCTGCTGAGGAGATCCTGCTGAGGAGATCATGCCCGTCGTTTGGCTTTTGGTTCTTTGGCTGCGTGGTTCGACTGAAAAGAAACCAATTTGCAGTGTTCGTCTTGCGCCAGAGGTAAACAACAAGCATATTTCTGGGCTTCTGGTCGAACAGGCCTGCCCACGCGAGCAGTGATATCGGCGTGGTCACATCAACCACCTCGGGCCAACAGGGTGTAAATCAACGTTTGGGCAGTTGTACATATGACTGCGATTGTAAATGACCCGGTCGGCATGCTGCTAGATGGCCAGCTTGTTGTAGTTGTCGCAATTGTCGATGGTAACAAAGCCCTCGTCGGCATCGGCGTTGACAAAGACAATGCAAGTGGCATCGAGTACATGGTATCGAGATGGTTTTCGAATGATGTTCAGATGGCCTTTGGGGCGGTTGAGGTGGTCTTCAAGGGTCTGCGAATTGGACGAGGGAGTCTTCTGGCAAGATCACACGTAGATTCCATGATGCCTCCGCGCGAGGCAATGGCTACGAGATCAAACAGACAAGTCAGTGAGTATTCAACAAATTCATCAAAGATGTTAGAATAACAGCAATCGAATTCCCAGGGATTGCGGCATGTCCGAGTTGGCAGGTGCAAGGCCACGGGAGAGAGTTGTCAAAGTAGAGCAATTAAGAAAGTATGAAAAAGAAAAAGAAAAAGAAAATCATATTAATTAATAATATAAAAGAAGATTAAAGTAATAAAAAGTTCCTCCGCCAGAGCACACCGGCTCTGACCCCAGACCTGTATGGGCACAAAGATCGCTGATGCTAATCCCACCCCTAGGGGGGTATCTGCCATAAGCTGCGGTACTAATTACGGTATCCCCCCTAATAAGGCCCCCTCTTCCCTAGGCGGTGCCCGGGGGGTTTACCTAGTGTAGTTTTCGCGCAGCTTCTGAGAGATACCCCCTAGCGGATAGCACCCTAGCAGCAATCCACACAACTGAGTGAAGCACTACTTGCTGGTGACAGGCGAAACTACAGACCAGTAGTTGGTACTCCAGTCCAGCAATGTGTCTTACCACAAGGCTACCAGAGGGGGTTGGTTGAAAGAGTTCCCCCGGAGGTAATACTTAAAGGAGCATGATCTCAATTGCCATTTCACATCCTCCCCCAGAACACTCACTTCCCATTTTCATATAGACTCGAAATTTGAGAGAGAGGCTCTTCTAGTGGTTTTTAGTTATGATTCTGCTTTTGAAATAATTTAATGTTCATATCATGGCGTGGTGGTTGTAAACAGGTGCTCCAGCTTGGATGGGAGTGAAGCTATACAGATCGCCTGATGTCATCGCAACAACCACCTGGAGATCACCACGAAAATTGAACTTCAAAAAGCGAATCTGCGAAATACCGAGTTCGATTCTCGGTCTGTCAAATCACTTCATTTCTCTAATCTTCTCTTCTGCCCAGGGCAACAGACTGCACAATCCCCAATATAGGAAACCTACCATCCACGGATACTGTGGATCTCCACGGAATGAATCATCCGCCGGTCTGTCATTACATCCTTGAGACTCGAGTTCTTTTTCTTTTCCTTTGCTGCTAATCGGCATACCAGGACTCAAATCCGCCTGTTCGTTTTTGATGTCGTTGACTGAGATCGAATACACCCAACAGCATCCACTCTTCCCCTCCTGGTTAAGCACTCATCGCCTTCTCAGCTTTGACACCCTGGATATCAAATATTCCACCAGCTACTCGCGATCTCTCTTTGCTCCGTCTGGGACAAAAATTCCCAGCACAGCGAAGGAATCAACATGTCCACTGAGGCGCGGCCATCTGGAGAGGGCCCCAAAACATACCAAGAGGCCCCCCTGCATTGGGATTCATAATCCACGTTATTTTTACTGTGGTAAGGAATAAGGAACACTGGGACCGGTACACGTGCGTTGATCACTGGGGCCCTTTCCATCTTCCTCGATGAGGATGTGATATGCGGTCCCAATGTACGAGAGAAATGTGCACTGAGGACCTCCAGCTAACGAATGCATCTTCTGCTTGACATAAGTGATCCCCGGTCGTTTAAAAATCTCCCGCTCATTTCTCGTGGCCTTTCGGCCCGGCGACCGTGATATTCTGATCAATGAGGGATTGCGCACTCGCCACGAAGATGGCGGCAAGCCTCTAGGAATGGAGCATTCGCCCTTTCTCATGGTATCTATCAAGACCCAGGAAATTTTGATCAGTGGCTGCACCCGACACCCGACCCGGGCCTTTGTTTGAATCATCGAGGGGGGGGTTGCCGGATAATGTGGATTTGTGATGGGATCGGTCTGACATTTCTCGGGCGCTGCTGCTTCTCGGGACACCACTCGAGCTGCTGACTCTCTCTTGGGTAGAGTATATCCTTGAATTTGCTGTTTCTTAGGATATTGCTGGGCTGTAGTATCTGCTTCTCGCGAGTGATTACTCGTGGTGCTACCTCCATGGTGCTGTGACGGTTTGGAAGCAGCGCCGGAGAAGCAATTTCTTTCTAGGATTTCTTTCGGTCTGTGTCGTTGTTAAAGTCTGAAAAGTATCTGGCATGAGCAAGTCATTTTAAATGTTGTTGGACTTTTGAACTGAACTAGCGATACGGATATAGTTCTGCATCGAAACTCTACTAAATATAGAATTCGCCCTGGTATTCGAAGAAGCTGCACAATATGAATCTATTCAATAAGTGAACTGCTATATATATCAACACAAACTAGAGCTTAATTATAGCACATATTTTTCATAATACCCCCAATGTCCGCAGTGATCATAAGTTTACTATTTTCATATCCCACGTGTGCAATACCATTCATTATCCGGGATGTATTGAAGCTACTTTCCTTGTGATACTCAATTATTCGGCCCAATAATTAAGAAGCCCGGGTGGTCTAGTGGTATGATTCGCGCTTAGGGCAGCCAAAACCTAAGCACTCCTGCGCGAGGTCCCGCGTTCGATCCGCGGCTCGGGCCTTCTACGTTTTTTTTGGTCGAATATGATTGAACTTTCTAGCTCTTTTTGCACTCCGTGCGTGTAAGGACCGACCCGACCGACCGACCCTTCCTTCCCTCCTTCGTTTCTTTTTACTTTTTCTTATCAGCACAAAGATGTACTTACCACCTACCGCCTACGGAGAAGAAAATTCTAGATGACACTGTATTTGCCGAAGATTAATTGAATGTACAGCTGACCAGCATGACCGCGATAAAATCAGGGAAAAATACAGTGGGTCAAAAATAATGCAGAGCGACCATGGAGTCGATAGGCTATTAAATCCCAAACGCCTTGATGTGATGATCAGCCGGAACCAAAGGAAAACTCCAAAGAAATAAAACACGTCCCGTGAGAGGTTCAGCTAGCATGGTTGAAGCCTTCTTGCTGCCAGTCGTCATGCTGCAATTGGCCATTTCCACTGCCCGTACTGCCCCCTCTGTTGTTGTATGCCGCTGCAGCAGCTCCGCCAATAGCACTCATGGCGCTATGCTTCTCGATCTCCATCGTACTCATCATGTAAAGCACGATAAAAAGCAGGAGGTGCAGGGCGAAACAGTAGCCCGCAAACAAGTTCCGACTTGTTCGGTTCGCAAGGATGATGCGAGTAAGGGAAAACACAACCCGCTCGGGGAGAGTCATTCGCTTGTAGGCACGAGTTGACTCGCGACCTCGGAATGCAGCGAAGGGTGAGATCCGAGCCTCGTAGGCGGATTGATATCGATCGAGGGAAAGCCCCGATGGCGTATCCGCATTATAGATCGACGCCGAGCTGGGTGCTTTCGCATAGGATGATGCGGATGTAGACCCGGGACCGCGGTTATAGGTCGAAACATACCGGGTCTTCTCATAAAGACCCAAGTTGTCCTTCTGGAGTGAAGAGACCTCCTGCCGGAGAGATTTGACAGTGCTGTACGTCTTCGACAACTCTTCCTCAAGCTCCGCATTCTTCTTCTTGAAGCGATCCCGCTGAGCTTGGATCATAGGCAGCAGACCCGATCCGCCTCCGACAGCCTCCCCTGCGCGGATAGCCTCCATGGTATTTGCAGATGCAGCACTTTGGTCAAAGCCAGAAATGATCGACGAGGTCGGTGATGTTGCACCCCGACGAGAGGAGTGTGGGTACTTGGAGGCATAAGTACCTGCCACAGACATGGCTGTCGAGGGGAACGTGTTGGCTGCCTCTTCCTGCACGCGGAGCAGATCATTTTCCAGCGTTGTCGACAAGCTACGAGACTTGTCAAGTTCTGCTTTGGTGGTCGAAACCTCATTCCGAAGAGCCTCGAGCTGCCCCTGGATATCGCGATGCGACACTCGCAAGAGAGTGAGCTCATCAGTCAACTTCTTGTTTCGAGCCAGCAGGAGTTGCTCCAGAGAATTCTTCCCCTTGCTCTTCGCAGCATCATCGTTCGTGCCAGCCGCAGCATCTTCACTTGGGCCCTCTACCTCATCGTCATCTCCGGTCGTAAACTCAATCGACTTGATCATCTCTAGTTCCCGACGAATTTCATCGTAGTCGGCAACCTTCTCCAATCGTGAACGCAACTCATCCCTCTCTGCTCCCGCCTTTGAGAATGCTCTTTCCGACTGAAGTAGCTTGGCTTCCCAGGAGTGTTGGTTAGAGTCCTTGTCGAAGCGTGCGGCATCCAGTTTCCGGAGCAAGGAAGAGTTCTCCGACTGGAGACGAAGGTATGCGGGGTCATCCTCGAACGAAGTCGGTTGATCCGGGTGCGAATGCGACACTGCCTGGGCCAACTCTAGCCGCAGCTGTTCGTTGCGCGCCTCCATATCTGCCAATCGCAAGCTTGTCTTCTCCAAGTCGGCCGAAACGAACTCAAATTCAGCGGCAGTGGCGCCACTCCGGGAGCCTTCATTGTCGTCGCCTTCGCCCAGGCGCTGGGAAACCTCATAGCTTGCCTTGAGCTCCTTCAGCAGTCGGTCCTGGTTCTCCACTTTCTCCTCTAGGCTCTTCTCTTTGGCATCCCAGTTGTTCGTCTTTTCCGTCAACACTGCTTCCCAGGATGCTTCAATCTCCTTCGCCCTGGTTTCCTGGTTTTCTTCTAGTTGCTTTCTCGCAGCGCATTCTTCCTGCAGGCGCTTCTCGGTCTCCTCTTGTTGCTTGGTGAGACGATCCACAGACTGCTGCAATTGCTCACGCTCAGAGCTCAACTTTGGAACGGTGTCCTCGGATAGAACAAGGGAGTCGACCGAGGCTTCAAGGAGAGGGTAAGGATCCGGGGCTTCCGATAGAGAAGAGTAGAGTTGCAAGAATGAAGACGAGGACGATTTTCCTTGATTGGTCAACAGATCGATGAAGGACTGGTAGGCCTTCAAAAGTCCCTTGTACTCTCCCAGCTTTGCCTGATCCTCTAGTTTCTTGAAGTCCTTGGTTTTCTGGGCGAGGTCCTTGCGCTGCACCAATGCATCACGCTGGTGCTCGACAATCTCCGAGGCGGTCGTGTCAAGTTTCGCGATGGTACTGGCCAAGTCAATGCCTGATAAAAAGACAGTGCGTTAGCCGCCGAATGTCCGATGCCCTGCTTTTGTATCATATGGGGACAGTACCTCTCCAGGCGGCAATGGCGCGCTGGAACTTGTTGGTCTCCTCTGACAGCTTGCTAGAGATCTGGGGTTCAGACTGGTCATCCTGGCGGTCGATGCCCTCGGTGATGGCGAATGAATCCATGGTGTCAACCCCAAGGGTCTGCGCTATCACCCCACACCTGACAAAGGCAGACCCAGGGGAATGCGATGAACAGGACACGCGGCGCACGGGCTAATGTTTTTCCGGGTATATGGCGATGTGGATGAAGACGCCCGTTGGAGATCAGAGAAAAAAGGGACTTTAGCTGATCGACGCTGGCATTCCTCGGAGTTACCACGTAAGGCGCAACCTCATCTCGGGGTCTTCCGTTGACAGCCTCGGGCGGAGTGTTTTAGCGCCCCTGAGCTTTGGCCCCCTTGACCGCCTTCATTGCTTCGTTTCCCCATGCCAGTGGGGAAGATACCTGGAAACCAGCCATGATGGCTTCCGATGATGGACTTGGCCCTCGCAAGAGGCGCAAGATTAGTCCCCCAGGGACTGTGCCTTATGTGCTGCAGCCACTCTTCCAGGATGTGCCATTAGCGACTGAGTACAGCTCTGACGTTTATATCACTTGTGTTGAATACTGGAGTAAGCTCTCGGGTTGTGATTGCTTCGATATGAAGTTGCTAAAAGTGGATATATAGATGAGAACCTTTACATTGGCACCTCTGCTGCAGAGATCTTGCACTTTGTCTGCCTTCCACCGGCTCCCAACGAACCAAACGAGCCTACCTTCATTTTGGCGTCACGACTACCCATCTCATTCGCCCAAAATGCGACATTGGATAGTGATCAGCAGGGTGTGCGGCAAATTGTGATACTTTCCTCAGTGAACAAGGCCTGTGTTCTATGCAATGGCACTGTTACGTTCTACCTGTTGCCGGAGTTGAGCCCAGCCTTTGGAAATACCAAGGTCAACAATTGCCGCTGGATTGGTGGCTTGGACCTGAACCGGGACCCGGAAGATGAAGAAAACCCGGTGGTGATGATCGCTGTGCAGAACAGGATCATGCTGGTCCAGATTGGAGAGGAGGCGCGACGGATCAAGAAGATCGAATTCCCCGGGTGCTTGGTTGCGGCGCGCAGAGGCACGATTGCCTGCGCTGCTGACAACCATTCATACTCACTTCTTGAGGTGGAACATCAACAGAAGATTCCCCTATTTCCTATCTCGTCCTCGAACGAAGTCTTCGAGTCAGGGCAGGTGGAAGATATAACGCCGGCATCTCATTCACCCCTTCAACGATCACCTTCTACTTCTTCCCCTAATTCGCCCCCTGGAGAAGCTCATTCCCATGGTAGGAGTAGTAGCTTGAATGCCTTTGTGGGAATGCTTCAGCCACAAGGGCAAGTACCCCAGCCAGACCGATCGCCTTCCGGGACACCGGATCCTTTCACATCTACCGGGACACCGAGGCGCTCTAGTTCAGAGGAGCGCGAGGAAGACGATTCTTCAAAGAGTGTTTCCGGTGAACAGGGGCATGATCCGCAGTCCACAGCCACTGAGGACCTGAAGCCGTTGCCTCCGTTACCACGACAGGGTTTGAAACGACTTCCTCCACATGTGGTGTCCCCAACTCCCTCCGAGTTCCTTCTAGTGACCGGGACCGAGGAAACAGAGCCAGGCGTGGGCATGTTTGTAGACATGGACGGTGAGGTTGTTCGAGGCACGATCAATTTCCACCGATATCCGAAGTCTGTTGTGATTGATACCGGCGAAGAAGATAAATTATTTCAGCCCAGCGAGGATGCAAAAGAGGAATATGTTCTTGCTGTGATCGTTGATGGCGAAGATGGACAGACTCAACAGCGACTGGAAATACAACGGTGGAATGACGATCCCGCGGAGATCGAGCGTCAAAAGAAATGGGTTGACATTCCGTCTGGCGATACCCAGCCATCTCCAGTTGGCCTCCGACATACGGTCAGCGCCAGTCATCTCGAGCTCGAAACCATCGGGAAGCTTTTGCGGATGGTCCGCCTTAAAACCTCTTCCCTATCTCATGTGGCCGCGGCAGATCCAAGAACACAGACATCGATCGAGCAGCTCCAAAAAGAAAAAGAGCTGTTTGAGTCGCAGGAATTAACTGACTCTGAGGGATCTAAGAAAGGAGAGACTTCACCCGGCCAAAGTTGGGAAGATCAGCGAAATGCCGAAGAGGTCAAGTTCGCGCAGGGACTTGGAAAACTACAAAGCAGTCTTATCATGTGGTCGGGCTCCCAGATATGGCGTGTGCTCAAAAATCCTCTGGTTGTTCAGTTTGAGGATACATTGCAAAAAGCCCAAGGAACGAACGACAGCGGGCAAACCATTCTTCAGAGGAATGTTGCCACGGACCTGATGCACTCGATCCAAGACATCGAGCCCAAGACCGAGGCAGAATTCATTGGCCTAGGCTACTTAAAGCAGAAAGCAAGCCTACTTCTCTATGCAGATCTTCTCTCCATGCAGCCCAGCAATCGCTCGGACATGGTGATTGGAGATACTGAACAAGCACTTGTGGCTGGCAACCTTGACCCTCGTTTAGTCTTGTTATTCATTCCACTCTTACGAGGTGAGGTACTCCAGGGCCCCCAAGGTATATGGATTCATTCTGGACTGGCAGCCATTGCGGACAAGTACATCCAGCAAGTCGAAAAAGCCGGCCACGGACCATCCGGGCCAACAGCCGCTCACAACCCGGTCCTCAATATGCTGAAGCGGTTCCTCTTCTCGTGGCAGCAGAAGAGAGGATATGGCAGTATCCCTGACGAGATGTATGTCTTGGACAGCACCGATGCCGCGCTATTACACCTGCTTCTGGAACAAGACTACCATTTAAATGCGGAGCAGCGAGCAGCGTCACCCACCCGCGCCGAGCTGAACAAGCTGGTCGATCATTGGAAAGGCAATTTCGAGCGAGCAGTGGCACTTCTGGAAACATACAAGAGACTCTATGTGCTGAGCCGTCTGTATCAGAGCCGGAAGATGTCCCGCAACGTGCTCAAGACATGGCAGAGAATTATTGACGGCGAGACTGATGCTGGTGGGGAGGTCAGCGCGGCTGGGGTTGAGGCACAGATGCGTCGGTACTTGGTAAAGATCAAGGATGCGCAACTCGTTGAAGAATACGGTTCCTGGCTGGCCGGGCGAAACCCCGATCTGGGAATTCAAGTGTTTGCCGATCACTCGAGCCGTGTGAGATTGGAGCCGGCCAATGTTGTTACCTTGCTCAAGGAGCGAGCTCCCAATGCCGTCCAGGTCTACCTGGAGCATCTGGTCTTCGCCAAAAATGTGGATCCCCCCCCTCCTTTTCTCAATGAGTTTCAACTGACGGCAGCATACAGTACACGCAATATGCCGACGACCTCATCTCGTACTATTTGGACACGGTGCTGTCGGTGCTCCAGTCATCTACCGCCGCACGTACATCGCTGTCTGATTCATATTCCTCTTACCGGGCACTGCGTGCCCCCAAACCAACATATATGAACTTTATCACTCAGAACCATCCCGCAGAGCCCTGGTGGCAATCTCGACTACGTTTACTACAGCTGCTTGGCGGCACCTCCAGCACGCAGTTTTCGTCCACCCCACTACCAGCAGGAATCACCTATTCGATCCCCAATGTCCTGGCACGCATCGAGCCTTTTCAAGATGAGCTTGTCTCCGAGTGCATCATCCTTGACGGGCTGCAGGGCCATCATCGCCCCGCCCTTCGACTCCTCACTCACGGTCTGGGCGACTACGATTCCGCCATCCGGTACTGTCTCTTCGGCGGCCCACGCAGCTCCTCTTCTGCCGGAGCGTCTCCCGATCTCGCAGATCACGAGCTGCAATCCACGCTCTTCCGCCACCTCCTCGACGAATTCTTGCAAATTCAGGACCTGTCAGATCGTATTGAGCGCACCAGCGACCTCCTTGCCCGATTTGCCGCGTGGTTCGACGTCCGCGAGGTCCTCGACCGCGTCCCCGAGGACTGGAGCGTTCATATCTTGGGCGGTTTCTTCGTGCACGTTTTCCGATCTCTGGTTTCCCAGACCCGCGAGGCGCGCATTGAGCGTGCCCTCAGCGCTGGATTGAACTTGCGCATTGGAACCGAGTATATTAACGAGATGGAGAAAGTTGGCCCCTGGATTGAGGATGACGAGGGCTCGCGGCGCCTCAAGGACCTCAAGAATGCCAAGCCCCCGCGGGATCAGTTGGCACACGTCGATGGTATTAATGATGACGGGGAATTTGGAGATGTGATCGGGCCTGGGTCTGAGGACGTAGGCCAGTAGAAGAGAACCAGCCGTTTGGTCTGGGTTGTACAGAATTGGTCGGTGGATGGATTGGGGCTGTGAATTTATGATACCTACGCAATTTTATTTAGCGGAACCCCCGAGAACATTGCCAGATCGACTATCTTAGATTCCTTGTACTTTGGTTTTGGTTGCTCATGGTGTTGATTTGGGGTTTGGCTATTCCGCACGCCATACTTGGTGACATAACCCCCTAAGGATAGCATATGGACCGGAGTCCTATCATACACATCCATGATGAAAATGAGAAACAAGAACAGAGAAAAGAATCATGTCACGTTCGTTCCCTTCGTCGCTCTTGTGAGCGTATGCTCCAGCAAGAGGCCAGAGCCAGGGCAAAATCAATTGGGTTGGCAATCCCGCCCAGAAGAAACCAACTATAGAGGGGGTATCTATGTCTTTTTTTATCACCCCAGATCAAGGAGAGCCACACCCTCTTGGGAGGGACTCGGCGTGGCCCATTGCATTCCCGACATCAATAATGCCTGGGAAGGCCACCGAAAGTGTAGAAGACAAAAATTACTCTTCGGGCTGAGCGAACGGGTTGGGAATCTCCTCGCTGCCGTCGGCGGGCGAGATCAGCACGATCAGAGTACCGCGCGCAACAATCAGGCCCAGGGACCGGCTGGTCTGGTTGCCCTCGTCATCTAGGACCGGTCAATGAATTGAACCAATATCTCTATATCCTCTAGACAGGAACATAGAAAGAAATGAAATAGAGTAGAGGTTATTACTCACCACGCATGGACTCCTTGACATTGTCAAGGACCAGGTTCATCAGTTGGTCGTAGCCTTTCAGGGTTCCGGAGACTGGCAGCGGGTTAGTATACAATTCATGTAATTGTAATAGAAAACAGATATAATTTGTATAAACCACCAAAGAAAAAGAAAAGCAAGGAATAAAAAATTCACGTACCCTCGCGTCCACCGTTGAACTTGACCTGGACCTCCTTGTCCATGTACTTGTTCAGGTCGAGGATGTTTTCCTTCTTGGGCTTCTCCTGCGCACCGCCACCACCGCCACCGCGCTGTTGGTGGGAGCCACCACGACCGCGGCCGCGACCCCCTCGGAACGAGCCTCTCTCGGACATGGCTGGGGTTTTTGTGTGGGTGACCCGGGGACAAGAGCAACGGGGAAGAACACACACCAAGTTGGACAGTGTTCTTTTTTTGGCGGTGAGCAACAATTGGCTCCTTTCAAGACAATCGGGTTTGGAGGGAAGGGGAGGAGGGTGCAGCAGTATGAGGGATTTTCGGGCGACACCTCAGGCAGCGCGGCAGAGGAATCTGGATGCCTGGTGAGATAAGCAGAAGTTCCTCCCTCATGATTTACTACGGGGCGGTACTTCCCATGGCTCCGCCTAATCCCGCCCCGGAATATTACAATACCGTACCAGGCGAAGCTTTTACTTACCCACTTGACTATCGTGCCTGGAGGATGAGGCTGTGTTGCTGGCTCGTGCTTTCATAGAGAGAACGCGAATCTGCGTCAATCTTGAAACAATCATACATTCCTTCGAAAACTCACTCCTGAAGAGAGAGTCAGAGCCGGGGGGAACCTAGTCCTCCGTAGGAAGGTGGCACCTTCAGACAGTTCAGGCATCAGTGAAACCAATCTTGGACCCCAAGGGTCTTTCCAAGGATCGACAATCTCGAGGCGTGGAGCTTGTGTGTTATGCGCTGGCATCTGTGCTCTTAGTGCTTCCTGTGTACTCGAAAAGCGGAGACCAGGCCATGTTCCGTGTAATGTGTACTGTATTTGCATGCCTCGGCGGAACAGCGGAGTCCCGCCGGGTGGAGAGGGTCGTGCAGAGGCGTCGCAATCCACTTCCGAGAGACCAAAGGGGGGTCACGTTTTCCGGCGCCTGGTTCACTCCCACCTTCAACTCTTTTTCCCTCGAGTGTTATCATGGACTGGCTCGCCTCGAATTCTTCCTGAAATTCCGCCCCAACCCCCGTTGTCTCTTTCTCTCTTCTCTCTGTGCTTCCTTTTGGTGACACTCACCACCGCCTCTGCGGTCCCCTTCGGTCCGGTAGAGAATATATACGCTATATTGCCCCTCCCAGATCAACCTCATCATGGAGTCTCGCATTGCGACGGCAGAGCCGTCCAACAAACGGCCGCGGTCGCCCACAGCCGATCCTTCGCACCAGTCCAAAGTCCCCAAGTCTACGCACTCGAACCACCTGCAGATCAACTATCTTGCGCGCCAGTACCCAGACAACCTGCCTCTGGTCTCCGTCGACGACACGATGCCGGCCATCGTCCACCTGCTCAGTGAATATGACGGAGTGCTACACCGCCACGAGAGCATCGCGGGCAACTTGGGTGCTTGTCCACTGGGCCCGATTCTGATCAAGCGCTTCGAGCGCCTGTTCGACGGCCCGCCGCAGGTGCTCAAGTCGCACGGCAAGGACGGCCCGACGGTCACCTGGCTGGACGTGGTCGACTTCGCGAAGAACAAGCCGGAACAGTTCAACCTGGAGAAGTCGCGGAATGGCGTGCGGGTCTGCCAGTTCTACACCAAGCAATGTCGCGTGGAGATCAGCGAGGAGGACTTTGTGTTGATCGCTTCTGGCATGCCCCAGAAGATGATTCCACCGCAGCCCATCATCGAAGACGAGGAGAAGGAATTGGGAGCACTCGAGATTCTAGAGAAGAACCTGCAACACATCACCCAGATGGCCGACCAAGGTAAGCTTTACATAGTTTGGAATTGCAGTGCGAATGATCGCTAAACCCTTGGTTCGTCTCTAGTATCTGCTCGAGCAAGACAACTCAACCACCGCCTGAAGAACCGCCGCAATGCGATTGTGAGCCGACGCCAGAACGACGCCTCTCTGCATGCGCAGTCCCGCTCGACCACCGATATCTGGCGCGATGTCAACGGGCAAGCCTCAGCAAACGGCCATGGGTCCTCCCACGCCTCTCCACCCGGATTCGTCGCCGTCAACGCCACCCGCCCCGAGGCCGAATCCGCCGAGGACAACCCGCTGTCATCACCGTTCATGTTCTCTCACTCCAACACCGATAACGTCACCATCATCAACGGGACTTCGATCAAAGGCGCGTCGCCCACAACACGAGCCGATCTGATGAAGAAATTCTTCACGACGGCGGACCGCCACGCGCGCGGCTTGGACGATGCGTCCGTGTCGATCAATGTCCCACCGCGGCCGCGACCCCGGGCCTCTGATCCTGCGGAATATAGTCTCTACAGCAGCACCGCGACACCGGTGGCTATCCCTGGTACCCCGTCTGCACTGCTCCCTCCGCCTAAATCGACGGTCCAGGAGAAAGATGATGGCGGACCATTCAAACTGGAGATGGTGGCTCGTATGGAGGAGTTGCCACGTGGCGAGCGTGTCATGCCACCTTGCGACCGATGTCGCCGCCTTCACATGGACTGCCTGAAGAACTTGACCGCATGCGTGGGCTGCACCAAGAAGCACGCTAAGTGCTCCTGGAGAGACGTCAAGGAGGAGGAATTGCAAGCCGCCCGGACGGCGCCTGTGTCACGCGACCATGGCGACAACGCCCGGGTTCAGCCCACCCCTCCGCAGGGCCCAGTGCCCACCCCGAGCGCCCCGATGTTGGCGGAACGGCCCCCGCGAATGGCCCCGGACTCATATGCCCACCATGCGCGGCGCGAGTCCGCCCCCGGGGCTCCCCGTATTGCGCCCGGCTCGGGGCCATCCATGGAGCTGTCTACACCAGATGACTCTCCCCGACGAGCCATGAGTGAGACAGAAGGTAGAGGGCGCGCCCATGACCGGGGAATTCCCGTCCGCTCCGCCGGGCGCCCCGATGATGATGATCCCGATGCCAATCAACGGCTGATGCAGGCCATTTTGGATACGGTCGATCACCACACGCGTGTCGCCGCCGCCGTGCAGGAGAAAGATCGCGGTGCCGAGCGGACTGAAGACGGTCACAGTGATCGGGATTCGGATCGAGACCGGCGGATGGTGCAAGCCTAAATATACTTTTCTTCTGTATATTTCTTTTCTTATCTTCTCTTCTCTCTCTCTTTTTTCTTTCTGTTTCTTCTTTTTCTATATTGATATTATATAGCTGTGTGCGTTCGGCGAACCGGCTGGGCTGGGAGTTTGAGTGGTGCTTTGATGTCATTAGCCATTTCTATACCACAGGGTCATTCGATTCATTTTATTCTAACATTGGCATTCACATATCTACTGTATAGTTACCGTCCCTATGCTTATCAGATGACTAACGCGAGGAATGTGTTCCGCCGTGGGACCGGATATAGTCTCTTCCTGTGGGGCACTTGGATATACTGAGGTTTTTGACTATAAGCAGGGCTATAGATACAAAAGGTAGTGGAATCGGTCTCCAGTGGTTCTAGTGCAATACAATAGATCTTAAATGCATGAACACCGTCAATGGCGATCTTGGGGATTATTTTTTAGGCGCGTCTGATTGAACCCCACTCCCCCACGGCGATGTTCCGTCGGCATTGCACTTAACCTGCGGTGCTTATACATCAGAGCTGGATACCATTGACTATTGACTTGACATAAAGCTCATCATACCTCCAAACTGGAACCTCTCCCCTTCCTCTTCCCCTTCCTCTTCCTCTTTCTCTTTTCCTTCTATCATTAAACCAAACCAGCCACCATGGACCCCTCCCAAGTCAAGATCCCGCCAATGAAAGACCTAACAGTGGACAACATCACCGAGAATGTAATCCGCATCAACTCGCTCTGCGAAGACGCGCGCATGAAATACGTGCTGGAGCGCCTCGTCACCCACCTCCACGACTTCGTGCGCGAAACCCGCCTCAGCAGCGACGAATGGATGACGGGCCTGCGCTTCCTGACCGAAGTCGGGCAGATCTGCACAGACGTGCGACAAGAATTCATTCTGCTGTCCGACGTGCTGGGCCTCTCGATCCTCGTCGACTCCATCGACCACCCCAAGCCCGCCGGCTCGACCGACGGCACCGTGCTGGGTCCCTTCCACACGCACGACGCCGAGGAGATGCGCGCCGGCGACGCCATGTCGCACGATCCCAGTGGCGAGCCGCTCCTTGTTGTCTGCTCGCTGCGCGATATGCATGGTCGCCCGATCGACAATGTCAAGATCGATATCTGGGAGACGGATTCCTCCGGCCACTATGATGTCCAGTACCCCGGCCGCGAGGGCCCCGATGGCCGCTGTATTATGCGCTCGGATCGCGACGGCATCTTCTGGTTTAAGGCTATTACACCCGTGCCTTACCCCATCCCCCATGACGGGCCCGTGGGCAAGCTGCTGAAGAAGCTGCATCGCCATCCGTACCGGCCGTCGCATATGCATTTTATGTTTGAGAAGGAGGGCTACGACCATTTAATTACGTATGTCCATCCCTCTTACCACACCCATCTCTTCAATTCTCATTCCTTCTCGTCGCATGTCTTCTGGTATATCCCCAATACTGACAATCAAGTGCCCTCTACCTCCGCAACGACCCCTACGAGACCTCCGACGCCGTCTTCGGCGTCAAGGACTCTCTCACCGTGGACATCGGCAAGGCCGGGCCCGACATTGCGCAGAAATATAGTGTGCCCGAGGGCCACGCCCTGCTCACCTATGACTTTGTGCTGGTCTCCGATGCAGAGACAAGCGAGCTGCGCGCAAAGAACTCCAAGATTGCGCTGGACAAGCTTGGTCGCAAGGTTCAGATTGTTAATGGGTTGCCGGTGCCGGAGCTAGATTAGGGATGTAGATTGATGCCTTAATATGCACTCGGATATACGAATTAAAAAGATGGTTCAAATATTAGTAACTTGATCACCCTCAAAAATGTCTGTATTGACCAGATGACCCTGTTTCTGGGGGACATGGAGAATTTTGGATATCACACGCGCATATCTGCCCTTGTCTGTACGCCCTCTTGTCTCGGACCAGACTGGAATCTGTGACTAGGCCATACCAATGAGATTCAGAGTAGGGTACGCAATGTTTGCCTCTTGTGCTTGCGCAGTGCAACTGCAACGAGTCTTATAAAGTAATGGTATTTGGATGGTTGTTTGATGTCTGGCTAGTACTACGAGCAGAACACCCGCAGTAATACCGGCAAAGGGGAGCACGAAATACCCAACGACACACTGGCTTCGATCATCGGATCATCGTTGCTAGTTAATGTGATATATAGCACGCTATGACCAATGTGGGTATACCGAATGACAGCTTTTCTTCCATCGCCCATCATGCGGTTCACTCTTGTCCTGTCCGCGGCTGTTTCTTTAGGCTCAGCTTTGGTTATTCCAGAGGAAAAGGTATTGGTTAGTCTAGCTGAGGAGGATAACATCGCTTTTGATGGATATGGCAAGACTGGACTGGTTGTGGATGACACTGTCGACCCGGAGGATACCCAGAATGAGGCCTCGGATGCCGAGTCGTGGTGGACGATGATGATACTAATGATCAAAAGCGACCAAGGGTCTGTTTTGGACACCGGATTGGATCTGCTGGGTATTGGCGCAAAAATGGACAATAGTGTGGACATTACCCAAGACGACGACGACAACGAAGATGATGACAGTGATGGTCATGATGAAGACGATAAAGATGACGACGAGAATGATGAGGATGATGAGAATGATGAAGACGAGCGGGATCCTCCTGACCACCCTCATCCCCATCCTCATCCTCACCCCGGTCCTCGACGTCCCTGTCCACGCCCTGAGCTCTGCCAAACCGACCACACCCTCTGGGGACTTCTGACCGAGAGCGCAAGCACCACCCGACTTGCCGACCTCCTCGCCGACGACCACAAGCTGATCAAGCTGCTCAACAGCAGCGCAGCCAACCACACCGTCTTCGCGCCGACAGACCGTGCCCTAGCCCGGCTGCCCCGGGAACGAGATGGGCCCTCGCGCAAGGTGCTGTCTGCGATGCTGCGCTACCACATCATGCCGGGCTGGATGCCCATCGACGAGTTCAAGGGCCACCAAACACTGCCAACGGCGCTGAACGAGTCGGCGTTGGGACAGAACCTGGCGCAACGGGTTCTAGTGACAGCAGACTGGGGGGAGGTAGTCTTGAACCGGGGGAGCCGGGTGGTAGCAGCTGATATTGTAAGTAACTTCGTTTCTTTTTCTTTTTGGTTAGCAGGGTACTATCTACCTTTCTTAATCTCTCTCTTCTGTTCTGACTGTGAAAAAGGCCGGTACCAACGGCCTCATCCACCGCATTGACACCCCCCTCATCCCACCCCCAAGTACACACACCCTCCTCGACCTAGACCCTGCACAATTCAGCACCTTCGCGCTGGGCCTCCACCGAACCAAGCTCGACAGCCACATCGACCCACCCCACCGACACGGCGGGACGACCTTCGTACCGACGAACGAGGCCTTCCGACGACTCGGGCCACACACCAACGCGTTCTTGTTCTCGCCGCAGGGCGAGCCGTGTCTGCGCGCGCTGCTGCAGTACCATCTTGTCCCTGAGCGGACGCTGTACTCGGACGTGCTGTACATGACGCATGGACGGCAAGAGAATCTGGTGTTTGAGGATAAGAAGGGGGAGCGTCATTCGTCGGTGCATGTGGAGCTGCCCACGCTCTTGAAGGGGCGTGCGCTGGCGGTCGATGTTAGTAGGAAGAAGGAAGGAAAAGGAGGAGCAAGCGTGAGGATGCGGGTGAATGGGTTTGAGAGGGTGGTTGGGCCGGATGTACTTGCTCGGGATGGGACGTTGCATGTCTTGGATCGGGTGCTGATCCCTCCGAAGAACGTGAAAGGAGCGGAAGAGGCCGAGGGGGAAGAATTGACCCTGGGGGAACTGAAGGAGCGGCTGCTTGGTGGCGTTCCTGGGGATGGAATGGGTCACGGTGAGCTGTGACGAGAACATCCGAGTTCTAGGAGGTCTAGGTTAGGGATAGCATTGGATTTCTTCATTCTTTATCTGTATTTCCAGGAAGATATACACGGCAACATCAGCCGTGTATCAAGCCGAATATAACAAGACCATGGGTTTCCAAACCTGCTCCATGATAATATATCATATATAAGCCATGGCCTGGAGCACAACGGGAAAAGCAACCAAATTCTCATATCATAGCCACATGTCCAGGACACTCTCCATCAATGCAGCCGTCTTGCTGGCTTTAACGCTTGGAAGGAGGATTCGAGAGCCTTCTTGATCTCTTTGTAGCTAACAATAAAACAACTTTGCTCGTCTCGGCTCACCAGTGTGACCTTCTCGTCCGTGCCCGCATCGAGTTTGTTCAGACACGTCAGGACATGCCCGAGGTCAACCACCGGTTCGCCCTGAGCATCCACCTGGTGGAAGACGTAATCCCGGAAGAGCTTCAAAAAGTAGCGTTCTCCATTCTCCGACCACTGCCGGTCGTGCTCGTACTCGGGTCGCTCATTGACAAAGTTCAGCTTGGTCATCAGGCGCACCAGCCGCCCATTCTCCAGCTCGCGGCTGAGATCCGACGTGAGCTGATCATCCAAGTGGAGCGCCGAGTCAAATGTTGACATCAGCTGCGATGAGATTCCCGTAATGAAGATGTCGATGCTGCGGTCCTGGTCCTTTTGCAACCCATTCAGGAGCCAAAACACCGAGTTCTTCAATTGCGGGCTGTATGCGCGGGTGAAATGTTCCATGGCCTTGGTGGGATTGTGCATAATGTTTGGCGCGTTGGCGCCCAGAGTGACAATCAGTTGCCCAAAATTGACCAGATCCTGCCGCTGGAGGTCGGTAACCGACCGCTGAGAGTCAAATTGTACTACATCCAAAATCGCACAGCCGTTCAACCGAATGCGATTCTTGCCCGTCAACAGTACTTTACCGGGCTCCAGCACTCGTGCAGCCAGGCCATTCGAGTGAACTGCCTTTAGCGCATTCGCAATCTGAGTCATGTAACCCCAGAGGACCTGCTCAGGGATATGGGTGTTGTGGCGGCCTTGGAATCGGTTACCAGCACCCAGATGTTGCTCAGCAAGGGTCTTGGACAATGGGTGGTAGTCCGTCACGAAGATCAGGGAGCTGTCCTGGAAGCTTCGGCTGGTAAATGCATCATGGACAGTAACCACACTCCCATTGCACACGCGCTTCCAGGCCTGAACAGACCGGATGGCCTTCTCATTGGTCAAGCGGAAACCTATATAATCGATCAGCCAAGTGGCGTAGTACCACGCTGCACAATGCCGTACCTTCAAGCCGTCGAAGAGCATAGAAGTTCCCATCTTTGCTGGACTGTGCTTTGTATACCCAACTCGGGAAGCCGAATGTTGCAGCATTCTTCTGATGGCTGAGATCCAACGGGACTAGAGAATGGAAATAATCTACCTGAGCTGGCAGCTGTGTGTCTATAACAGCAAGTCAGCCTCCACAAAAGCCCATGGAAGCCTGGGTCAACGCACTAGGAAGTGTTTGCAATGTAGCAGCAGCCTTCTTCTGCAATTCTTCTCGGAAGTCATTGGGTAGAAAGAGATCGTGGACATTTCGTTGGTAGCCCAGAGTGTTCTGGTTATGGGGGCCAATTGGTGCATACAGATGGTACTGAACCTGTAAGAAATTAGCCAAAGCACAGATATAAGCCTATTAGATATTGGCATACCGGTTGCTGAAAGCCAGTCTGGTTGGCAAAGAAGGCAGCGCCTCCCAGGGCAGCAGCAGCGGCACTTTCGTGGGAGTATGGGTTGGCTGAAACAGGTCCAACAGCGCCCGTGGCAGACAGAGGAGTCGAAGCAGAGACAAAAGGATCGAAAGCAGCCGAGGTAGCAATTCCATTGCCATTTCCCTGAAGGGGTGTCTGGAGGGGCATGTCAGTCTGGCAGTCAAGACTGGAGCTACGGCATTTGAAGCTGCTCTGCTCGGTGAACGGGTCAAAGTCATCTGCCAGTGCACTCAAGCTGCGACTGGAGCGGTTGTGGAAAGAGTCCAGAATCTTGGACATGGTGCTCTTAAGAAGAATGGCGAGATGCAAAGGCAGATGGACACGAGAAAATGAAGAAAACGAGGAATTGCAAAATAGAGAAGGTGTGACCTACCAAGTGGCCACCTTCAAACTGAGGCACAAACTCCTGTGCCTCGGCCACCGTCCAGTCAGGTGTATCTTGTCGCATCGTTGGAGTACTTGTATTGGAGCCTTTATTTGCTAGTCAGTGAAGGCCTTGTATCCGCTCACAAGGGGGCATACGTGATGAAGTGGTTCTAGGTTGAAAAGGAGCTGCATTGGCAGCTTTTGGGGACATGGTCGTTGACTTCTTCGGGGCAGCGCCATTGCCAGACAGCAGGGACGGGGTGAAGCTAGGGGAGTCCACATTGAATCGTTTCTTATTGCTGGACACACAATCCTTGTCAGCAAGCCCTCGCATGTTTGTTCCCTCAAGGGACAAAGTAGAATTTACCTATCTGATTGATTTGCTGCGCTGGATCTCAGCGGGTCATGGTTAAAGGCGCAACCTAAATCCAAGTATATCGGTCAGATTCACAGATCACCACGAGATCAAGAATCTCCGATACCCTTATCTTCGTAGCGACACCGGCCATAGATGGTCACATTGCGACACAAGGTGTCTTTCGCGTTTTCTGTCCCAGAGACTCCTGATCAGCCACTCCATCGCGGACCTCGGCATGTATCCCCAATTTGTTGACCTTCCACTCCCTTATATACAATGGCTGCAAAAGGTTCCAGTGCAAGATCAGCTCACCTCTTGCCTTCATTTTAGGCGATCCCATTGTACGACGGCTGTCATCCAGCGGAGGTTTGCCAGCGGATGCCATAGGGAATGGCTGATACCCACAACAAGATGCGGATCAGCGCAATATGATCTCCATTGAAACAAAACTCAGGGAACAATTCAATCCACCTAGAGGAAGCCACATTCCCCTATTGCGATCTGTCTCCCCAATCAACTAGCGCATTCGGCGATCGTCGGTGGCGGGTCAATTTCGGAGGAGCTCACAGGGGGTGAGAAAGGCAGGCGATAAAGATAACATGTAAAGGAAGATAAGGATAGGAGGTCCTATACACTCTCCTCCCCCGGAGAACGATGAGCGACAGAACTGATGAAGAGGGCGCGGGGCGAGGGGGGAGGAACTCGAGTGAAGGGGTAATGCACGGGCCAGGCGGTCAAGCGTCACTGGACCCGTGGGAGCTTCAGAGGCCAACTTAGCTTCATTTGGATTGACTCCCACTTGTATGCATCGTGGTCATTGTCGAGCTCTCACTGTTAAGAAGTATCTATATAATCATCCTTTCCAGCCCCAGTGATTCGTTTCCCCGGTTGATGGCTCTCGGCCTTATCCATCATGTCCTCTGCGGAGCTCGACCTTGACCAGCTGTCTGACAGCGAGAGAACGGCGCTTGACACATACACCACGGTGACAGGACAAGAACCTTTGGAGGCAATCCCACTGTTGCGCCGATCACAATGGAATGTTCAGGTTGGTTGATGGAGCTCTGTACGGGACTTGACTCGAACAAAGACTGATTCCCGCAACCAGATTGCCATCTCCAAGTTCTTCGATGGCGAAGGACCAGATCCGGTTGAAGAGGATCGATCGGAACTTCATCAATCACCCCCACCACGATCTAATCGGAGGACTCAGAACTTGATGTCGGATGACCTCACGGAACAGCTTTCCCCGGCCACTCGCTCCGTGGATCTCGCCCCGCGCGTTGACACCCAGCCCGAAAACCAACCCGTCTACCGTCCACCATTCCTCCTCGCCCTGCTTTTTACACCATTTAATCTGGTCTACCGACTTCTCTGTAGCTCGTTCCGTCTCTTCGGGACACTATTTCCTTTCCTGCCGCGTTTTTTCAATGTGACCGCAAACCCCGCCCTGCAAGGGGCCCGACGGAATACAACAGGACGTCGGCCGTTGGGACCGAAAGACACGGCCGCCCGATTTATTCGCGAGTTCGAGGAGGAGTATGGGTCGCACCCCATCCCGTTTTTGGAAAATGGGTACAATATGGCGTTGGAGAAGGCCCATCGGGATTTGAAGTTTTTGCTGGTTGTTCTCTTGTCGCCGGAACATGATGACACGAGTAGCTGGGTTCGTAATACTCTGCTGGCGCCGGAAGTGGTGGAGTTCCTCAGCGACCCGCAAAACAACGTCCTAGTGTGGGGAGGGAATGTGCAGGATTCCGAGGCCTATCAGGTGGCCAACTCATTACGCTGCACCAAGTTCCCCTTTGCCGCGGTCGTTGTTCACACCCCCAATGTGTCCTCGACAGCCATGTCAGTGGTTGGCCGCATCGCGGGAACTACTACGCCGTCTGAGGCGGTGAATCGATTGCGGACGGTCATCACGCCGAACCAGGAACCGCTGGAGCGGATTCGGTCTACCCGCGCCGAGCAGCAGGCCTCGCGTAGTTTGCGCGAGGAGCAGGACTCAGCCTACGAGCGGTCGCTGGCGATCGACCGAGAACGTGCACGTCAACGCCGGGAAGCGGAGGCAGCGCGAAAACGCGAAGAGCAGGAAGCGGCGGACCGCCAGGCGGCAGAGGAGCAGCGGCAGCGCGATGTGACACAGTGGAAACTTTGGCGCGTGCAGTCCCTTGACGCCGAGCCCGGGCCCGACGTTAAAGATGCCGTGCGGGTTAGCGTCCGGCTGCCGTCTGGGGATCGCATTATGCGCAAATTTGCTCCAGATGCTGATATCGAGGAGCTCTACGCAGTGGTGGAGTGCTACGAGGTCTTACAACAAACATCCCAGACGTATGTTTCTGCACCACCAGGATACAACCACCAGTACGGGTTCCGTCTCGTCTCGCCGATGCCCCGGGCGGTGTATGCGGTGGAGGACGGAGGGACGATCCGAGAGAAGATCGGCCGAGGAGGCAATCTGTTGGTGGAACCGATCGAGGCTGACGAGGACGCGGATGAAGAAGCGGACGAAGAAGAAGCGGTCGAAACCTCGCAGTAAGCATGGCCTTTGTGTTTCATGAACATGCATACCGCCTCGTGTCCAAGTACCCGACTAGATTTCACCGCTTTTAATTACACGGAAGCCACATTGCATGAAGAAATTTGGAAACACCCCAAGGTACTTTTCTAGGCATCCAAGATTCTAGACATATAGTCGACGTAGCACGTCGGCAGTCCAATGGCTGAATCTCAGAAATGGAAAAAAACCACGTTGAGCCGTGTAATTCGGCAAGTTCCGGTCCCGAAGCAAGGGCCATGTGCCAGACCTGTCAGATTTTCGACCGAAACTAATCCCGGTTCGTGCATTTTCCACCGTGTTGGTCCTAGATCGGGTTGGTTGGGTGTCCCGATGCGGTAATATGCCTCAGGCATCAGCGGTTATGCAGCGGTTATGGATGAGTCAGCACTCGGATGCGCAAACCCGGGCATCCGAGACGGCAACAACAGACAAGATCCACCTCCGCGTGGGCCAGGGACTCGGAAGGCGCATTTTCCGGCCCACTTTTTCCTCCTTTTTCTTCTATTGGAAAGGTCAGTCAGCAACACGTGAGATCGGCTTATCTGCCTCAGAATAGGTACGGATAAAAAAGAAAAAAAAACTTACAATGCAATTATCACGGTGTTTTGGGCGTGTAGAGACGAGGTGCCCGAGTGCCCTATTACTATTGCCTATTGCCTATTGCCCTATTCAATAGCCCTATCGCTGGGCACAGACTGGTTTGGTATTGAATGTAGATTTTTTTTTCACTGATATTAACCTATAGAAACCCAGAGAAGTAAGTGACGGGTCTTATACATCCATACATACGACGGGAGGCAACATCTCCGCCCCCGGCCTGAACGGCGGAGTGCTGGCCTCAGTCTCCCGGACCCGAGCTCTGGGTCTTCCCGGTCCCGATCCTTGTAAGCCCAGATCGTGATCTTCTTTTTTTTTCTTGCGTATTTATTTAATTACTCCGTTGCCCCCCTTGTCATTCTGTTCAGTATATCTATAATTAATTTTTTCCCCTAATTCTCACCTCCCTTTAATCACCCTAATCGTTTGCGCGCGATTCTTAAATTGCGGCTATTCTTCTACTATCTGGGGAACTGAGAACCCTCCATTGTACTGCGGCTCACCATGTCGCTCCTGGGGACCCTCAACCCCAACCTCAACCCGATCCACGGCAATGGCTCCGCGGATGCCGAAACAGACCAGACCGCGGTTGTCGAGGCTCGTCGCCATGACCCCGCGAGCAGCGTGAACACCGATGACACGGCCCTGGAGAAGACCACCGAGATTGGAAACGAGGATTTGCTGGAAGCCGACGTCACTCGCCTGGCTCAGCAGCTCACGCGTGAATCCACCCATTTCTCCGTCTCTGCTGGGAACACCGAGAATACCTTCACGGAAGCCAAGGATGAATCCACGCTGAACCCGCACAGCCCGAACTTCAGGGCGAAGAACTGGATGAAGAACCTGCTCGCCATTACATCTCGCGACCCGGAACGCTACCCACAGCGCCAGGCCGGCGTCTCGTTTCGCAACCTCGGTGTGCATGGGTTTGGAAGCCCCACGGATTACCAGAAGGATGTGCTCAACTCCATCCTGCAGATCGGTGGCCTGTTCCGCATGCTTGCCGGGACGGGGAAGCAGAAGATTCAGATTCTGCGGAATTTCGATGGCTTGGTCAAGAGCGGCGAGATGCTGGTCGTTCTGGGCCGTCCAGGAAGGTAAGATAACCCCCGAGATCAATATGGAGAATATGACGATTCTGACGGATGCTGTAGTGGCTGTTCGACCTTCTTGAAGACACTTGCTGGAGAAATGAACGGAATCTACAAGGATGACACGACTCACATGAACTACCAAGGTGGGTTTGACATTGTGAACTAGATAAATCAAGGAATTTGGCTGACTTGACCATCAGGAATTTCCGACAAAATGATGAGGAACCAGTTTCGCGGTGAAGCTATCTATACGGCCGAGACGGATGTCCACTTCCCCCAGCTGTCTGTTGGAGACACTCTGAAATTCGCCGCTTTGGCTCGTGCCCCCCGCAACCGCCTGCCGGGTGTCTCTCGCGAGGAATACGCCGAGCATATGCGGGATGTGATCATGGCTATGCTGGGTCTGTCGCACACTATCAACACCCGGGTCGGTAACGACTTCGTGCGCGGTGTGTCTGGAGGCGAGCGCAAGCGTGTTAGTATTGCCGAGGCCACCCTCTGTGCTAGCCCACTGCAGTGCTGGGACAACAGTACTCGTGGTCTGGACAGTGCAAACGCCTTGGAGTTCTGCAAGACCTTGAACCTGATGACCAAGTATACGGGCACTACGGTTGCAGTGGCCATCTACCAGGCTTCCCAGAGCGCCTACGATGTAAGTCCCTTTGACTTTCTCACCATGAGTTTCCTTGACTAACTTGACCTCATCTAGGTTTTTGACAAAGTCACGGTGCTGTACGAGGGCCGACAGATCTACTTCGGCCGCACCAATGAGGCCAAGGAGTTCTTCACTACGATGGGATTTGACTGCCCTGAGCGTCAAACGACGGCCGATTTCCTGACCTCTCTCACTAGTCCCTCGGAGCGGATTGTGAAGCCTGGCTTCGAGAACCTGGTTCCTCGGACTCCGGATGAATTCGCGGCTGCTTGGAAGAACAGCGATGCCTACAAGAAATTGATCAAGGAGATCGAGGAGTACGATCAGGCCTACCCGATCGGTGGGGAGTCGCTGCAGAAGTTCATCGATTCTCGTCGGGCCATGCAGGACAGGAACCAGCGGGTGAAATCTCCATACACCATGTCCGTCATCCAGCAGGTTAACCTCTGCATGGTTCGAGGTTTCCAGCGTCTCAAGGGCGATGCTAGCTTGACCATCAGTGCGCTGATTGGTAACTTCATTATGGCTTTGATTATCGGCTCGGTCTTTTTCAACCTGGACGATACTACGGATTCGTTCTATTCTCGTGGTGCTCTTTTGTTCTTCGCAGTTTTGCTCAATGCGTTCTCGAGTGCACTTGAGGTGAGTAAAAAGCATTATTTGATAAATACGACCCGCAAATGCTAATGCCATAAAACCAGATTTTGACCCTTTATGCCCAACGCCCGATTGTCGAAAAGCAGGCTCGTTACGCCATGTACCATCCCTTTACCGAGGCCATTGCCTCGATGCTGTGTGATATGCCGTACAAACTTCTCAACTCGGTGACTTTCAACGTGCCGCTCTATTTCATGACGGGTCTTCGCCAGACTGCGGGCGCTTTCTTTACGTTCCTCCTGTTCTCCATTGTGACCACTTTGACCATGTCCATGATTTTCCGAACCATCGCTGCCTCCTCGCGAACTCTATCCCAGGCTTTGGTGCCAGCCGCCATCCTGATCCTGGGTCTGGTCATCTACACGGGTTTCACCATCCCGCCTAGCAACATGCTGGGCTGGTCTCGGTGGATGAACTACATTGATCCGATCGCGTATGGGTTCGAGTCGTTGATGGTGAATGAATTCCACAACCGAGTTTTCCAGTGCCCGCCGGCGTCGTTCATTCCCAATGGCTCGGGCTACATGGACGTTGGACTCATGAACAAGATCTGCTCGACCAAGGGTGCTAGGACCGGCTCGGACGTCGTGTACGGTGACAATTATCTCCACGATAGCTTCCAGTACTACAACACCCACAAGTGGAGGAACCTCGGTATCATGTTTGCCTTCATGGTTTTCTTCATGGCCACTTACCTCATCGGCACCGAGTACATTTCCGAGTCCAAGTCCAAGGGTGAGGTCCTGCTCTTCCGTCGGGGCCACGCCCCCAAGAAGGTCGAAGACGATGTGGAGCAGTCTCAGACTGTGAACCCCTCTGAGAAGACCAACGACGCGAGCGACGGTAAAGTCACCGCGGGTATTCAACGGCAGACCGCCGTGTTCCACTGGCAGGACGTGTGCTATGATATCAAGATCAAGAACGAGGAGCGCCGCATTCTGGACCACGTTGATGGCTGGGTCAAACCGGGCACTTGCACGGCTCTGATGGGTGTATCCGGAGCAGGGAAAACTACACTTCTGGATGTTTTGGCTACTCGAGTGACCATGGGTGTTGTGTCGGGTGAGATGTTGGTTGATGGCCGTATTCGTGACCAATCTTTCCAGCGGAAGACAGGCTACGTTCAACAGCAGGATCTTCATCTCCATACCACGACTGTCCGTGAAGCCCTTCGCTTCAGTGCCGTCCTTCGGCAACCAGCCCACGTCAGCCGCCAGGAGAAATTCGAATATGTCGAGGAAGTGATCAAGCTTTTGGGAATGGAGCACTATGCGGACGCCGTCGTTGGTGTTCCTGGTGAAGGTGAGTCGAACCAACCATAATACAAATAGATCAAATCCTAACACATCGACAGGTCTCAACGTTGAGCAGCGCAAGCGTCTCACGATCGGAGTCGAGCTTGCTGCCAAGCCGCAGCTGCTCCTGTTCCTGGACGAGCCCACTTCCGGTCTTGACAGTCAGACTTCTTGGTCTATTCTCGATCTCATCGACACCCTCACCAAGCACGGCCAGGCCATTCTCTGCACGATCCACCAGCCCTCTGCCATGCTCTTCCAGCGTTTCGATCGCCTGCTCTTCCTTGCCAAGGGCGGCAAGACCGTGTACTTTGGAGACATCGGAGAGAAGTCGTCGACGCTTTCTAGCTACTTCGAGCGGAATGGCGCGCCCAAGCTGCCCGCCGACGCTAACCCAGCCGAATGGATGCTTGAAGTCATTGGAGCAGCACCCGGATCGCACAGTGACATTGACTGGCCTGTCGTGTGGCGTGAAAGCCCCGAGCGCAAGGGGGTGCTGGAGCACCTGGCGGAATTGAAGTCGACTCTTTCCCAGAAGACCATCGAGCCGGCCAGCGACGACCCTTCCAGCTTCAAGCAGTTTGCGGCGCCCTTCTCGGTGCAGCTCTGGGAGTGTCTCGTGCGCGTGTTCAGCCAGTACTGGCGAACGCCCGTCTACATCTACTCCAAGTCGGCGCTGTCAATCCTCACGGCTCTCTACATTGGTTTCTCCTTCTTCCAGGCACAAAACACCGTCCAGGGTCTTCAGAACCAGATGTTCAGTATCTTCATGCTCATGACTATATTCGGTAACCTGGTCCAGCAAATCATGCCCCACTTCGTGACGCAGCGCTCGCTGTACGAGGTGCGCGAGCGGCCCTCCAAGACCTACTCGTGGCAGGCGTTCATGACAGCCAACATCCTAGTGGAACTGCCCTGGAACTCGCTGATGGCCGTCCTGATCTTCGTGTGCTGGTACTACCCAATCGGCTTGTACCGCAACGCCGAGCCCACCGACTCGGTGCACGAGCGAGGTGCCCTGATGTTCCTTCTGATCCTGACCTTCCTCCTGTTCACCTCGACGTTCGCCCACATGATCATCGCGGGTATCGAGCTCGCCGAGACCGGCGGCAACCTGGCCAACCTGTTGTTCTCGCTCTGCCTGATCTTCTGTGGTGTCCTCGCCACCCCGGACAAGATGCCGCACTTCTGGATCTTCATGTACCGCGTCTCGCCCTTCACGTATTTGGTGTCGGCCATGTTATCTACAGGCGTGTCCGGCACCGACGCTATCTGCGAGCCCATCGAATTCCTGCGCTTCGATGCCCCCTCGGGCATGAACTGCTCCCAATACCTCGACCCCTACCTCAAGGCGGCCGGTGGCTATCTCGAAGACCCCAATGCCCTGACCCACTGCTCCATGTGCTCTATTTCCAGCACTGACACCTACCTCGCTGCTGTGCTCAGTTACTACAAGGATGCGTGGCGCAACTTTGGCCTCATGTGGGTTTACATTGCGGTCAATATTTTCTTGGCTGTGTTTATCTACTGGCTTGCGCGTGTGCCCAAGGGAAGCCGGAACAAGGGTTCTTCTTGATTTGAGCTCTGTCTGGACTTTCTTTGAACTCGAAATATTTTTGTGATATATATTTACATTTTTGTATTTTCTAATTTCTCCTGTGATGTTTTTTTTTTCTTTCTCTTTTTGCATTGTTCAAGGGGTCTTTGGTTTACACATACATGGCAACTTCTAGACGAATGCTCTGGATCATCAGATAGATGATAAAATATGAATATGGATCGAGAATAATCAGTCTTCTATTGTATCTCAAGAGAAAAAATAAATAATAAACAATGTAGTAATGTAAGTTTTTGCATTGAAGATAGGTCACCATAGATGGATTAGTATCGACTCTGGAAAAAGTGGTATAGACATTACAAGAGAAGAAAGCTACCAAGTAAAAGCCTCCTCCACCAAGTCCACCACAGCCCCACGGCCGATGCGTTCCCTCGTCGCTGCACGCACCTCATCAGCAAATGCACCAGGTCCACAAACCGAGACAAGCGCAGCCCCAACCCGGCCCGGCAGAATCTCATCAAGAACAACATCAGGCCGACACCGGCCCGAATGCATCTGCACCGTCGTCGACGGCGAAATGATATCCGCCGGCCGACGGGGCTTGGAAACAAACAGGCGCACAACCAGGATCTCGCGACGCAACGGCAGGCGCAGAATCTCATCCATGTATTGCGACGTCCAGGCGAGGTGGTCTGTCGAGCGCACGGCCCAGATGAGGTAGATGCGGCGGGTTGCGGCGGAGGACTCGGCGGCGCGGCGGACGAGCTCGCGCGTGTACATTAAGTGATGGGTTATGCCCGCGCCCGCGGAGAAGAGGATCGTCGTGCCGTAGCTGGTTGTGTTGGCTGGGTGCGACCCGTACGGCCCTTCGATGAACCCTGGTGCGCGCAGGGTTTGGTTCGGGCTGGCTGCTGCGAGCGAGTAGAGGCGGCGGGTCATGCCCTGGCGCGCGCTGATGATTAGGGTTACTTGGGTTGTTGCTTGCTTGTTGTCTCCCAGGTACTCGTCGAAGACATTGCTTTGCTTCTCGAGTGCCGATGGGCTCAAGGGCCCTGCGATGGATTTGCAGGCCCGTTGGTGGGTTTCGGTCCCCGAGGCGAGGACCATCCCAATACTACTGGACTCAGCCCAGGCAATCGAGAATGGGTGCGACATCCACCATGAGACACTGGGGATGTAGGCGAAGACGTGGCAGCCTGGCTCGATGTGCACGCGTTTCGGGAGGTGAAACGTCACTCGGCACGCTTCGCCGGGCAGCGCTTGGACGACCATCTTGGTGAGACCGTGTCGGGGGGATACGTTGAGGTGGGCCAGTCGGAGTAAGCGGGCACTGCGCTCGATTAGCCATATTGCCGCGATGACCTGGGCCCAGCTCTTTTGGGGCAGACTGTCAAGATGCAAGTGCATATAGACGCCCAGGAAAGCCAATAAGGCGGCCAGCTGATGCAGGTGCAGAAACGTCTCGTAGAAGGCATGGCGGATAGGCGACGGGGAGTGCAAACCCAGGAACACCATGGCGATTGAACCTGCAAGCCCCCAGCCGAAAAATGGCGTGGTTCGTACACGCTTGAGCATGTGAGCTAGACTCTGCTCATCGCAGGCATTAACAGCCCATGCCGCCGTATGCGTGATAGTCTCGAGCACGATGATCCGGCCCAGCCACCGATGGAGCAGGTTGTAGGTGTCGAAGCTAATATGCAAGATCGAGATCAGAGGGTTATTGCGGCCCGCAAGGACAAACAGTGGCACCATGTTCAGGACGGCCAGCGTCCCCGATCGTCCACGGAGCTCTGCGACCAGCGCTGCTTTCTCGTTGACTCGGTAGTCCAGATACAGACAGTACGCGACCTGGCTTGCCAGATTCAAGGTGACCAGGATTGCCTGGAACCGTGAGGGCAACGTGCCGATGCTAACCGCGGACGAGAGTTGGATCTCCCGGTTGTGTCGTTTGCGTCCCAACGGAGCATAGAGGAAGTGCTTCTTGATGTTAGGCCACCACCTGGACTGCTCCTGGCCCCAGAAATTCTGCTGCCGCCCGGCTGCGGAAGAGGCGGTGATTTGGCGAAGATAGGCATGACTGATCTGGGCAATGCGGCCACAGAATACCCCGAGGGCCAGCAGGAGGACCGAGGAGTAGATGATTCGAGTGATCAACACATCGCGTGGGACGTCCACACCATCCAGTCCTCTTGAATATTCATAGATGTAAGTAACATTTGGTCCATAGCCTCGTGCCGCAAGACGCGGGTAGGGCGCAGCCATTGAATTGCCCCAGACCTGTCTGGGGGTTTCTCGGGATGAAATATGCGGGTAGGAGGGCCGATGTTTGTAGGGATTTTGCTGTTCCAGGGCAGCCGCCCAGTCCGGAGGATAATCTGGATGAGATGCGCTGCGTAAATAACCGATCACCTTGGTCGTACCATGGATGTTTGGGATGAAGCTGGAGTGGGTGGTTGCGGAGAGTCGAAGGGAATGCGACGATCGACAACGTCGCTCCAGACCAAATGAAAAGAGACCAGGCAGCAGATGGGCTGTGTTGTGAACAAAGAGGATATAATGTATAGAGAGTATAGAGGTATAGAAGTCGTCAACAAAGACTCATTGTGGTTCTGCCTTGTCACAATCGCGATTGTCGCAGATGAATGGTGCCTGGTCAACAATGAGACCCCAACAAAGATCTCTCCAGCGTCGATCTGTGGAATTCACGCCCTTATTACTGGGCTACCAACGATCGGATCTCGAATTGCTCACAGTTCAAGGCATCGTCCCGGACCCCAGGAATGTAGCAAGGGAGACAGCTTCCCACAAGGCTGGCAGACACACTGGAAGAAAGTGACAGAAACGCAATCTGCTCCAAGGAGATCAGGGTGGGCTCAACGCTGAAATTAAAGGAGAAAGTGTCTGGAAGATGGAACACGCCCATCAAAACCAAAACCAGTTCTTTGCCACCGATCAGGCTGGGATACAAAGGACCCTCCCCGACCCCTTGCCCGGGTCAGGCAAGGGGCAGAGAAGAGAGTTGAACAGGCACATTCGACTCGACGTTCTGTAGACTCGAGCCTATCGGGACAACTCCATCACCGAGCAGAGAAGCGCCGGTGTTCCAAAGGCTTCATGGGCGCTGTGATTTGTTGCGGTTGGAGATTGCACATCTGACCGATCGGCGAAACGCTGCGCAGAACGGCGTCAACGAGGTGGGTTTCATCTTGGCTGAAACACCCACACTGACTGTCTCATGAGTCAGCTGGGATCACGGGTTCATGCATTCTAGGATTCATCTATTGCTTCATGTACAAAAAGTCCCCAATTACCCGGTATCAGCGACCCATCCATCCCCCGTCCACACAAATGACCTCGCCCGACACATAACTACTGGCAGAACTCGCCAAAAAGACTACTATACCCTTGAAGTCTTCGGGTTTCCCCCATCGCCCGGCTGGAATCCGAGCCATGATCCCCGCATTGCGGTTCGCATCGTTGATCAGCGCGGTGTTCATGTCGGTGGCAATGTATCCGGGAGCAATGGCGTTGACGCTGATTCCCTTGGCCACCCACTCGTTGGAGAGCGCCTTGGTCAGCTGGCCGATTCCGCCCTTGGACGCTGCATAAGCTGGGACAGTGATACCACCCTGGAAGGTGAGCAGCGAGGCGACGTTGATGATGGCGCCCCGCCGACCAGACGGGAACTCGGCGGCGTTGCGAGCGAGCAAGTAGCCACCAAACTCGCGGCAGAGCACGAAGACCGAGGTTAGGTTGACCTCGAGGACTTCATCCCAGTCCTCGTCAGGGAACTGTTCGCTAGGATGTCTCCGTTGGATACCCGCACAGTTCAGCAGAATCTCTGGTTTGATGCCCTGGCTCGTCAATGCGGGGATGATGCCCTTGATCGCGGCACGATCTGACAGCTCGGCGACGTGGATCCAGGCTTTGCGGCCTAGGCGATTGACGATGTCGTCACGGGTGGATGTGTTTGAGGCATCTCTCTGTATCATGGGATCAGTTTAGAGACCGTGCGATCACGCCAATGCCAGGGCGACTGACCTGGATCAAGACAATATCGGCGCCCGCCTCGGCCAAGGCCAAGGCCATCGCCTGGCCAATGCCTCGTGTGCCACCAGTGACGACGGCGGTCTTCCCAGATAGGGAGAAGAGGGAGGATAGTGTTGCTGCCATGGTGTGCTGGGAGTATTGAGATGGGAAGAGTCACAGACTGATACCATCCCTGCTATTGTCCGAATAAATATCCCGTCATTTCCCCACACTGCGGGGAGTCCCCGACAGGCAAGTTCCGTTGCCGAATAGCCGACGACGGCATTTGATATCATAGGAGTAATAGTTGAATAGATTAAAGATTAAATCAATCGCTAAATAGATAATCAATAGAAATGTCAAGTAAACATGGGATTACTAGAATGATTAGAATGTCCAGTAGAGCATATGGCGGGTATAGAACGTGGGCAACCGGCCATCCCACGGGCGGTTCCCGCAACTTAGACCTCACGGAAGCTTGGACGCGATGAGTAATGTCCGGCCTCTCGACCTTCTTAGTGAATCGGCTTCTGTCTGCAATGCCTACACATGTCGCAATGTTTCTGACGCCGTCAAAGGCCCCCAAGTGAACTGCCATGGAAGAATCCCCGGAGGCCCAGCGACGGCCCGACGTGGTCAAGCGCGTCTCTCGAGCCTGTCTGCATTGCCGCCAACGCAAATCTCGATGTGACTTGTAAGTCGCCTTGCTTTTTTGGTCTGTTTTTTCTTTTGTACTTGTTATATTATTATTTCCCCTGCCCCGATCTGCAGCTGTATCGTCCCGCTGATCGCCTGCAGAGATAGTAACGGGAACCCCGGTAAACCGCCATGCCAGCGCTGTGTCCGGGAACACCGCGAGTGCGTGCTGGGGGGTTCTAATAGAGGAGGACGTCGCATTCGAAAGAACAAGATCAAAAACTTCACCCCAGCGGCCAACCCTTCTCCCAGCAAAGAATCCGAGGAGGCCTCCAGCCCCGCCAGCTCCGACATTCGTCAAGCGCAATCCGCATCCTATCCCGGCCCGGTGGTGTTTCTACCCCCGAATCCGTCAGCAGCTGCATCGGTGTCGGTCGAAGATGATGATGCCTCCATCGGGTCTGTCCCACGGAATCCGTCTGACGCCTGGCAATGCCTCACGGGCATCGCGACTCAGAGCGCGGGCGCAAATTCGGAACGACGCAGCGATCATGCTCGGTCGGACTCGGGCACCTTCTCGACTCTCAATGGTTTGCGCAATGGAGCTGTCTCGAATTTCAACATCCCCGCTACCGGTATTAGAGCTTACCGGTTGGTCCAGTCACGGTCCTTAGACCCTGAGACTGTATGGCAGCTGGTCACTCGCTACGCCGAGAACTTCCACCCATATGTTCCGCTGGTGCCCCGGAAATACTTCAATCGCAGTGCCCTGGACAGCTTTGCGGCTAACGAGAAGCACTTACTCACCGCGGTTCTCACCATCGCCTCGAAGGACTTGGTCGAACGGCCGGAGATCCACGAGTACTGCTCCAAATACATGCATGAGCTGATCTCTGGCATTGCAGCCGGTGCCGAGTGTGATGTGGAAGCGGTAGAAGCGCTTCTGTTGCTTGCCGAATGGGAGCCCCAGGGTCTCCGTCCTCGCATCGAGCGTGTGGGTCGAGGCGAGGAAGACCGAGCGGCATGGATGCATGTCGGACTGGCGTTGCGCTCGGGATATTTCATCGGACTGGATCGAACGTCATTTCGAGGAGACCCTTATGGCGACCAAGAAACCGAGGCACGTCGGCGGCTTGCCTGGGCCAGCTGCTACGTCTCTGACCGATTGATCTCGGTGCGCATCGGACGCGCTTTCTGGTCTCGTGGCCCAGGGCCCATGACTGGGCTTGTCAGCCAGGATTTTCCGTCGTTGCAACCGGTCAAGGAGGGTGACGAAGATCATGCGAGGATTTTTCAAGCCATGCTGGACCTCACGCAGCTGTATGGAAATGTCCACGAAGTTCTGTATTCGGGCATGCGCACTAGCAACCAGATGATGCTGATGGGAGACTACGTCAAGTATGTGGATGACTTCCGTCTTGCGATCCTGCGGTGGAAGTCTCTCTGGGGATCTCTGGACTGTGAGTTATGATTATCCTTTCTGTGAACCGGCTCATACCGGCACGCATCATGGTTCTCTGACACATTAGCAGGCTCTCCCCCAATACAAGCAATGCTGCAGTTGTCTTACGAGTATTTGCGTCTTTACACGACCGCTTTTGCTTTCCAGGCTGCTATCTCTCAGTCAATGGTCAAACCAAAGAACGACGTAGAGTCGCAACGTGAACAGCTACGAACAACCTTCAAAAATGTGGCTTCGATGCAGGACTCGCGGTTTATATATGAGTCTGTCGATGCAGCCAAGGCCTATTTGATCATTCTCGTGGACCTGGTGGACCCAGAGAGACATCTTCATTTTATGCCTCTTCGATTTTACCTGTGAGTTTGCCATTGGGAGCACCAAGATGGAAACCAGCTGACAACGGTTTAGGTATGGCATCTACTCTGCTGTCTTTCTTTACAAGGTAAGGACTCATTTATCAAGCTATCGCCGCATGTCTTGTCTTGTATTTCCGGTTCTCAGTGATATTCATTATATATTTTGCACCAACTAACTACTTCAGGCTCGTTCTTTTGGAATGATGGTTCCCTCGGAAGAGGCAAAGGTCCAGGGCCTCGTCGCGCGAACCACAGAAGTCCTCAAGCAATCCAGCGCCGGCCCTGACGATATTGGCTCGCGCTATTCTCGCTTGTTGGAGCTGTTGTGGAAGCCCCGGTCGTCCCTGTCGAACAGCTCCTCGGAGACGCAGCCCAATAGCAATTTCCCAGTGCAGACCCCTCTGCCCAACCCGGTCCCTGATCAGAATTACATGGATTTCAGTCCAGCGAACGATTTTTCGTGGCTGGATTTGGAGGCTGTGGGCGATTATGTCTCTGGAGATCTGATTTCTGGGGGGATGCTGGGCCTGGATACCTTCCAAAATGCATCCGACCCATACCAGTCGGGGCAAGATCGATCACAGGCCTGGCAGTCGTCTACTTGGCTGGGAGACATGAACAGCAGTCTGCTGTTTTAGCTGCGCGGGTGGTCCTGCTTGTGCAATGGCCATAACATCACCGGCAAATGATGCGGGGCTGCGGGGTGCCACTCTCGGAGATCACCCCGATGGGTAGCCGAGGACACTCGACAAGGTGCTACCCAGAAGATGTAGCTTGCAGAATGAATCCTTGAGCTTGAATCATTCTTGCCCCCATTCAAAATATTGGGAGCTCCCTGCATCATGTCCCTCAACGAGATTAGGGGCCGATTAGCCCTAATTACCGGCGCATCGGGAGGGTAGGCTGTCCCCTGCTTCTGGATTTCACCGTCACAAGAAAGCAAGTGGGATTTTTTAGGGGAATACATTGACTAAAATCGACCGTGCATTAGAATCGGAGCAGCTTGTGCGCACCAGCTCGCACAGCATGGCGTCCATCTAGCCCTGACATACTCATCCAACCTGACCGCGATGAACGGGCTCGTGGCAGAGTTGCAATCCAAATACGCGGACAACAAGCTCTGCATCTCAACCCACAAAGTTGATGTCGCCTCAGCCGACGAGATTGAGACCATGTTTCAACAGATCGACGCCCAGCATGGCCACCGACCCGACATTCTCATCTCGAATGCGGGACATGGCAAACGAATCCCCAACGTATGGGATATTTCGCTGGAAGAGTTTGACTATACTTTGAACGTCAACCTCCGTGCCTCGTTTATTCTTGTCAAGGGTGTGGTAGAGCACATGAAGAGCCAGAATTGGGGGCGCATTGTGTTTATGTCCTCGATTGCGGCATACGGTGGTGGAATAAACGGATGCCGTGAGTCTTCTTTTTTTGAGTCCCCACAGTTAGCTACTTTCCTTTGCTAATTTTACTTTCTTTCCAGACTACGCCGCCTCTAAGGGTGGACTCACCGGCATGATGAAGAACCTCTCTACTCGCTTGGCTGAATTCAATATCAGCGTCAATGACGTCGCACCCGCCATGATTGGCGAGACAGGGATGATCCCCAACGCCGCCGCCATCCCCGAGGTTGCGGCTGGTATCCCGCTTCGTCGGTTGGGCACCCCTGAAGAGACGGCGAATGTCGTGACGATGCTGCTGACCACGGGGTACATGACGGGCCAGAGCCTGCTGCTGGCCGGGGGGTTGAAATGAGTCAATTACTATATGCATATGAAAATTTTTGATACGATTCTGGCATGAATTGCAACCCATTCAGTGGGAAAATCATGATTCATTCCACGCATGTAAATCTTCTACATTTTCCACATCAACACCTGTCTCAGACTCTCTCAACTACTTTCACAAAGGGGTATTTTTCGAGTTCTTCAAGAACGAATTCATCATCACCATCACATAATCACAGATTTCCTCGAATCGAGACCGGCTCATTCTCAATAATCACCTTGACAACAGGCCTACCAGTCTCATCCACGCCCTTCCCAGCCAATGTAAACGCCCGTTCACCCTCCTCCAGCTTCAAGAGATGCGTCACGACCTTTTGCTCAACGGTATCCATCTTGCCACTCGCCATCAGCGCAATAGCAGCGGGGTACGCATAGCCATCGTAGCGGAAGACGCCAATGATATCGACCTCGCGCAGCGCCGCCGCCCCAATAGGCAGCGTCTGGATGGGATTACCCATACCGATCTGAACGAGCACGCCGCCGGGCGCGGACGCATAGATCCCCGCCTGCACGCAGGCCGGAACACCCGTGCAGTCGTACACGCGGCTGAACCCTGGAATAGACTCGCCGGCCTCAGGGGAGCCCGCGGCCTGCGTCAGCGTCGCGGCGACACGCTGCGCATTCTGCAGCGCGAACGCCGTCTGCTCGGCGTGCGGGGCGTCGCGCGCCGGGGGAGGGTGCGCGGGGTCGGCGCGGGGAATCAGAGCGGTTTTGAGGTTAAGCCCGAGCGATGCGGCGATCTCCAGCCGTGCGGCGTCGATGTCTGCGACCACGATCGAGGAGAAGTTTTCGGATGTGGCCAGTGCCGCGGCTAGCAGCAGGCCGACGGCGCCGGCGCCAAATACCAGTGCCGCGGTGCCCTCGCCGGCGGCGTGCGCTAGAGCCACCTGGTCCCGGTTCGGGGGCCGCGACCGGCGGACGGCGTGGAGACAGACTGCCAGCGGCTCGACGAGGGCGCCACCAACGTCGGAGACTGACGCCGGCAGCGCGTGGCACATGGCGGCCGGGTGGTTGGTGCGCTCCATCAGCGTGCCGTCCAGGTGCGGGAAGACTTTGGCGCTGCTGCGGAACTGCATGCTTGTGCAGATGTTGTATCGGCCCTGTTGGCACAGCGCGCACTTGCGGCACGGCAGTCCGACCTCCAGCGCCACCCGGTCTCCAACCTTCAGCGTCGACACTTCGGGTCCCACGGCTGTGACGGTTCCCGCGGACTCGTGGCCCAGACACATTGGCTCACGCACGACGAAGTCGCCGTTGCGGCCGTGGCTATAGTAGTGCAGGTCTGAGCCGCACAGTCCTGTTGCTTTGACGGCGACTTGGACTTCGGTGCCACTGGGCGGCGGCACTGCGCGTTTTTCCTGGGCCCAAGGTTAGCCTTCTATATCAATGAACACTCCCCCAGAGTATGTGTTAGTGTATATCGACAGCTCTTACCACGCGCAGGTCTTTAGCGCCGTGTAAAACGAGCGCGGTCGCGGTGTCTGTCATGATGAAATGCAATATGTAGACTCTTTTCTGAAGAGGATTTCAGCCAAATCAAATTGGATAAGTGGAAGTACAAAAGAAAAGAAGAGAACCGGCATTTGGAGATCCCCTCACCCCGCGCACTTTCTCCGGTCGGCAATCCATCCGAAGGGGCAATTTCAATAGCCGGCGTGGGGGTTCTCTCAGGGCGATGGAAGAACCTGAAATCACAGAACACGGTGAATCACTGCAAGACTGAGAATCTCGAGGAAGCATCCAGCAGCTCATCTCAATCGCATTGAATACCTCAACACCTCGGAGTATTCGCCATCGCAGACTCTCGGAAGACGTCTTCCAGTTCTCCACTTGATTTGCTTATCGAACGCGGGGATCATTTTCCAGTTCTCGCTCTTCCACCCCGGGATTTCCTCGAAAGATTCGTGGGAAAAGTGAAGAAGCACACGCGACTGGAATACACTCGAAGATAGGCATTTCACTGTATTAGAAGGCAAGATCTGAGAATATCCGCTATGCCTTCACAAGCTGCTCTCCTCATTGGAGACATTACGCATGCGCGCAAGGAGTGGGAGAGCCTCTCCTCCATTCTGACGCTGAAAGTAAGACATATCACTGGATCCATGATATGTGCGTTGCTGATTCTCGCAATAGGAATTCCCCCGTGGGAATAGACAGGACTTCATCGAGAACTGCAAGGCCGGCCACTACGACGATGTTGTGGTCATCTACCGGTCCAATGCATCCGCCAAGGTGCGCCTCTGACATGCTTATTGATTTCCATCCTGAATTTCGAGTTAATTCCAATATTTCAATAGTTCACCGGCCCCTTCAACGAGGAGATGATCGCGGTGCTACCGCAAGCTCTCCGCTACATCTGCCACAACGGAGCCGGCTACGACAATGTAGATATTGCCGCCTGCTCGCAGAAGAACATTGCCGTGTCCAGCACGCCTGTCGCAGTTAACAATGCGACTGCCGACGTGGGCATTTTCTTGATGATCGGTGCGCTGCGCCAGGCATATGTGCCCACGGCCGCTCTTCGAGCTGGTGAGTTATTCCCCTACATCGAGAAGATTGAGAATATCCCAGAATGTTCGCTTTCGCATCCGATCACTGACGACGCACGATTCAAAATTACAGGCCAATGGCAAGGCAAGACCACCCTGGGCCACGACCCCCAGGGCAAAGTTCTGGGAATTCTGGGTATGGGGGGTATTGGAAGGGTAAGCAACGCAGAACCCTACCTGGGCAGATGGAAGAATTCGACTGACGAGGACGACTAGGAAATGGCGAACCGGGCCAAAGCCTTTGGTATGAAGATCCAGTACCATAACCGCTCGCGACTCTCGCCAGAGCTCGAAGGAGATGCGACATACGTCTCGTTCGACGAGCTCCTGGCCAACGCCGACGTGCTCAGTTTGAACTTGGCACTGAACGCATCCACGCGACACATCATCGGTGCGACCGAGTTCGGCAAGATGAAGGATGGCGTGGTGTTGGTCAACACGGCGCGCGGGGCGCTGATCGATGAGAAGGCGCTGGTCGCGGCGCTCGAGGCGGGCAAGGCACGTGGAATGAGAGAAAAGATGGGGAAAGTTGATCATGCTAACAAAGCTCATAGGTCCGGTCGGCTGGTCTGGATGTGTATGAGAAGGAGCCCGAGATCGAGCCCGGTCTGGTGAACAACCCGCGGGTTATGCTGCTGCCGCATATTGGCACCATGACCTACGAGACGCAGAAGGAAATGGAGATTCTGGTGCTGGACAATCTGCGGTTGGCGGTAGAGAAGGGCGAGCTGATTACGCAGGTGCCGGAGCAGAAGTGACTTGCCCAAGTATGGGGCTGGTGTATATAGAAGCGTAATAAGACTGCATTGGAAACTACTTGACCATAAATTCCTTCTCCGTAGGTGAAGGCCATGTAAATTATTGCCTGAGCAAAAAGGTAGATAAATCCATAGATGACTCATACTTGACATAATCACATTACTGAAAATGGCTAGCGTTAGGGCTCGCTTAGGGCCGAAGCGCCAAGAGCGAAAAAAACCGCACCAAACTTGGTGTTCAAGCGTCAGCGGAAAAGCGACAACACCAACCCGACACCGAGGACCATCGTTTTCCCTCGCCAACTCCGTCAAGATGGTGAGTACTGCGTGTGCTTGTACTCGAATACATCAATCCCATACACCCAGCGAGTCTCCGTCCGGCCCAATCCATCTGTGCGATGCATCAAAGCCGGTCGACTCGCTTCAAGATCCCAACCACCCATTACCACCCACTACCACGACATCGCCATGATTGCTGACGAGTTACTTCTTCCCTCGCTCTACAGGTCCGTTACGCCGCCCAGGAGATCCCGGCCGCAAAGAGCGCCCGCGCGCGGGGCTCTTACCTGCGTGTCAGCTTCAAGAACACCCGTGAGACCGCTCAGGCTGTCAACGGTATGAAGCTGCAGAAGGCCCTCACCTTCCTCGAGAACGTCACCAACAAGTCCATGGCCGTCCCCATGCGCCGTTACGCCGGCAGCACCGGTCGCACTGCTCAGGGTGAGTGGCTCTTGAATTCTTTTTTTTCTGGCCTGTTGGAGGCATCGGTTCCAAGGATTTCAAGGGATCGTGGGATCATGGATGAAGGGGGGATAAAAAAAAACATCAATTCGATGACTGTCATGGGAACCACCGGGGATATTTGGTCCAATTTGAGGTGGAGGCTTTTTTTTTTTTTTGCAATGCTTGGGATTATTTGGGATTACTCCAACATGGCTCAGAATCTGCATATGGGATTTGAACTTGCGCTGACCTTTTCTCGATTCACAGGCAAGCAGTGGGGTGTCAGCAAGGCCCGCTGGCCCGTCAAGTCCGCCGAGTTCATCATCGACCTGCTGAAGAACGCTGAGGCCAACGCCGACACCAAGGGTCTCGACACTGGCAACCTTATCGTCAAGCGCATCCAGGTTAACCAGGCTCCCAAGGGCCGCAGACGCACCTACCGTGCCCACGGTCGTGTATGTTTTCCCCAGCACTCTACAGTCATTTACTCAAACAGCGCACTGACATTGTGTTTAGATCAACCCCTACATGACCAACCCCTGCCACATCGAGCTCATCCTCACCGAGGCTGATGAGGAGGTCAAGAAGGGCCCCCAGACCGCTCTCAAGGCGCAGACCCGCCTCTCTTCGCGCCAGCGCGGCTCTCAGCTCCGCCAGGCCATCACCGAGGCATAAATGCATTGCATTGAGGTGAAGTCGGGGATGTGACGAGCACTGGGAAAGAAAAGAGCGTGGACAGGATGGTCGGAGTTTTCTTGCGCTGTATGTTGGAACGGAAATGAATAACCGGATCATACAAGACTTTAAGACTTTTTTTTCTACAAAGTCATGGCGCCCACTCTCTTGGAGAGCCAAAATTAAAAAAGTTGAAAGCCCATGGACATTAGGATGATTGTAGTAGTCCTGGTCATAGCGTGCTTGTTCTGCTCCGTCAGAAGTGGGCATTGTATCCGGGATGATTGGAGAATATGTTTTTCATGACTCGACAACGGCGTGCCGTAGTGTATAGCAGTGGTCTGATCTACGCCCAAGGCATCCCCTCCCACCGTCGGACCTCCGTTTCGTGGCTTCGTCTTATCCCAGTCGCTGCCACGAGCGGGGATGCCATGCGGGGCATCGGTCTCTTAAATAGCCTTGGAGTGCATCAATGCATCCCGGAGCATTGAGAGTACTTGCACCAGCCTGATCCATCATGTCTCGACTGTCCGACTACCAACTACTCTGCTTCGATGTCTACGGCACCTTAATCGACTGGGAGGGCGGCATTCTCGCAGCGCTGCAACCGACCCTAGCAAACGCCAACGAGCAATTCTCCCGCGAGCACCTACTAACGGTGTTCCACGAGCTCGAAAGCAAGCAGCAGCGCCTCACGCCAGACATGCCATACTCCCAGCTTCTCGCAACAGTCCACCCACACCTCGCTGAGCGGCTAGGTCTTCCACCACCCAGTGCCGCAGACAACACGCGCTTCGGGGATTCAGTCGGCAACTGGCCCGCGTTCCCCGACACGGTGGCGGCACTACGGCGTCTCGCCCAGCACTTCAAGCTCGTCGTTCTCTCCAACGTCGACCGCGACTCGTTCGCCAAATCCAACGCTGGCGGACTACAGGGCATTCCCTTCGACTTGGTCATCACGGCCCAGGATATCGGCTCGTACAAGCCCGACCCGCGCAACTTTGAGTATATGCTGCGGGCCGTGCAGGACACGTTCGGGATCGAGCCCGATCGCATTCTGCAGACGGCCCAGAGCCAGTTCCATGACCATCGGACGGCGCGCGAGGTTGGGATCAAGTCCGTGTGGATTGAGAGGCCCGGGGCTACGATGGGCAATCTGGACGAGCCGATCTTTGATTGGCGGTTTGATACGTTGGGGGAGATGGCAGATGCGTTGGAAAAGGAGAAATGAACAAGAAAAAACACCCCCAGTTAGTCGACTGTGGAGTGGGCTGAATCCTGTTTATCCAACTTTGGAAGTATGTGGCCCCTGTGTGGTGTGTAGAAGGGGCCAAAAGGAAGGATTGATGGAGCTTGTTGAATTCAGCGGTTGTTATTTATATGGTCCTCCACTTCCAGTCTATCTATAGACGATCGTCGAGATCATCCACGGTGGGACCTCCGAGAGCCGCAGAAATAGTAACATGCGTCGGTGCCTATAGGCCCGCGTCAATAAGAATCATTGCTGGTCTCGCAGTTTTCTTCAAGTCGCAAGCATTGGCTTATCTCCGGCTTGGCGAAGCGTTAGTTTGTTGGCCCCCATTGATTTCTTCGCTTTTTCGTGTCTCGAAAACCCATCTTTTTACACTCTCCTTGGGGAAATCCCTGGCTACAATATGAAGCGCTTTCTGGGAAATTTGAGCCGGCGATCGAGTGAGTTCCTGTGCCCCAACGCATCCCCGCGCAGAATTGCTAAGACGCGGTAGGCACCAGCGATGACAGCGGAACCGACTACCCCGACGACTCGCCAGAGGGCATTCTGCTCAAAGAAATTGTTTGTGAGATCAAGATCCGATTAAAGGGCTTCCTGCTAACTGTGTGGTTATCTAGAATACCTTCTGCGATTCGAGCGAGAGCCCCGATAACACGGTACGCATGGCCCCGTTGCGCGATGGATCTCAGGGCCCCCCTTCATCGCTGACCAGAATTTCCTTCGCAATCCACAGGGCAATGAATACGTCCGCCTGCCTCGCATCGTTGAGCTAGCCGAGTCCAGCCCCAATGCCGCCAAAGCAGCCGCCCTGCGCATCCGCAGATACCTCGCCGACCCGGCCGGCACCCCGCCTCACGTCCAGTTTAACGCGATCATGGTCATGCGTATTCTTGGTGACAACCCCGGTCATTCGTTCACTTGCAACTTCGATGCCAAGTTCGTCGCGACGATCAAAAACCAACTGCGGAATGGCCGGGATCCGCTGGTGCAGCGCACTCTGCGCCAATACCTAATGACCGCCGAGGTGGTCCGGGCTGGGGACCAGGATCTTGCGCTGCTGATGCAGATGTGGGGAAAGGAGAGACAAAAGGCACATCGGACACCGGTAAGAAAGAGCCCGGCATGATCCGACATCGTTCAGACGGGAGGACCTACTAACATCGACACAGAATGACTATTGGCCAATGGGAGGATCTCAACCGCAGCAATCGAACCCCATGTACCGAAGTCTCTATAACAATTACCACCCGCCTGTCAACTCGATACCGCAAGCAGATGAATTGGCCGCCCGGATCGCCGAGTCGCGTAATTCCGCCAAGCTGCTCACGCAGTTTGTGCAGTCGACACCACCGGCCGAGATAGAAGAAAACGAACTGATCAAGGAGTTCGCCGACCGCTGTCGAACAGCGTCGCGCATCATCCAATCCTTTATCCACGCGACGAACCCGCCGCCAGACGAAAACACCCTTTTGACTTTGATCGAGACTAACGACGAACTGTCCGTGGCGCTCTCCCAGCAACAGCGCGCCATGCTCAAGGCTCGCAAGCTCCGGGGCTCCTCGACCCCGAGCTCGTCGAACGTCAACAGTCCATCCCCGCCCAACGAGCCCGTCACGTCCGGTGCTGCGCGCCCGGTTCCTCCAGTCCCGTCGCGTGACTCTACACAAAGCCCCGTGCAGCGTGTCCCGGTGCCGGAGCGACCTTCAACGACGATGTCAGGTGGTCGATCAAATGCGCCCAAAAATACGCCTGCCACTACGGCCCGGTATGAGTATAACTCGGCAGATTTCCAGGTGCAGAATCCCTTTGCCGATGACTATGCCGCGCCTGAATCCGAGGCCAATGGGAACCGGCAGCCGCAAAACTCGCACGAGTCTTCCAACGACCGGGCGCGTCCGTAGCGCGGATCAGGAGCGTTGAGGGGAGTTGAAGCTGTTGGCATCAGTGGATAAAACATGACCTAGACCCACGAATCTTTCTCGGGGCGTCCTAGGTCCTGGCATATTTGGTCCTTTTTGGTCCTTTTTGTTTTCAAGCGCTTTTTTTGGTTTACTGATTTTGTTGCCTATCCCATGATACCTCGAGCATCGTGACATCTATATTTAGTTGGTTACTCTGGAAAGAACATACACATGATATCATTTGGACTGGTTAGTCGTAAATTGGATGGATTTGCTGTTTATAATATAAGATGTGGCCGTAGCGAACCATTTCCCTAATCGTAGTTCCTTAGCGCTGGCGTTGGCTCAGCTAATCATGATAGATATATAAAGAAAAAAAAAGGATTAAAGATTAGAAAAAGTGTTAGAAATAAGGTTAAAAAATGGGGATGAAAAAAAGTATTAACAAAATATTACAGTAGTGGGAACCTAGCTATCAATATATAAATCTTCTTAGATAGGACAACATTTATTTAAGAAGCCTTTAAAATCTATGATTTAGTCTCTACTACATCTCCTAAAGCTGCCTGAGCGAAGCGAGGATGAGATCTGAGTAGATTCGCGGCTTAGAAATGATCACTTCTGTATCCTCGTCCCTTCGTCTGATGGATGCCATTTTCTCCCACATCCAACGTTCGTCTATTGTCTAAATTTGACCGCGAGTTGGAAGATCTACTGGAGTATAAAAACCCAGGAAAACGGGACATTTTCATTCCTTAATTCCAGTCGAAGTGGTAGCTTTGGTCTGTACGCGATGAGGTCAATCCGTGAGTCCGTCCAAATGATATAACTCCATCACTTGTTGCAGCCGATGATCATGCCGATAATATTCCAAAGCATCAGCCTTCCAAGTCTTCCACTGGAAACCGCCGGTGCCCAGTGCACGCAACAGCCCAGCGAGGAGCCCAAGAAAACCATCCCAGCCCGCGAGGTCGTACCCGCAACAGAACCGAAACAGGTGCAAGAGCCGACCATTTCTAACTATTCTTCCGAGGTCCGGATGTCCTTTTGCCTCGAAGCACTGCGCAAAGAAGGCCTCCTCTTCGCCAATGCACTGCCCTCCAGCATAGAACTCAGCGACGGGGAGCAAGACAATCGGCGAATTAAACGCCCTGGACTTGGAATCTGCATGCGCCTATTCCCAATCGATGACACGCGTGATATCGAAGTCCTTGTCGGCGAGGATCTGGTCTCCTTTCCCGTCGTCGAGATCTGCTCTCAATCAGGTCTCGACTTTGTCTAAGAGAAAGCGGTGGATGAGGAATGCGTCGACGGCTCGAGTGGCGTATATCTCCTGTCGGAGAATCCGGTCCAAAATTAATTGGAGATATACGCGGAAGTACTTTTGCGTAAAGACGAAAGGGCCGAGTATCCTCATTTTTCTGTTTATCTGTGGACCGAGAAAGTCGGTCAAGGACTCTCGGGCAAATAGGCCGATCTCGTGGGATCCAGGCTGGTGCATTGATCCTGTCATTGAGAAGGGATGGGCCTTTAACTCTATATAGATGTCTGCTAGTTGGCGAGCCACTTTTCTCTGCTCAGGTGTGGTAAGAGACCAGCGCAAGGATTTTCCAGGTAACTTTTTCAGGAGGATATATCCAACGCCGACGGGGTTGGCATCATCAAAATTGAAATCAAATACTCTCGGAACTGGGACTGTTGTTTTGCTGAGAAACTGAAACGTATTATCATATTCTTACTTAGCGAGTTCCTCAATAGGAATAACGCGGAACTTCGTAATTTTAATTTACTATTAACCTCAAGGTATTACTAGTTACTACTAGCCCAAAAATCCTTACCTAGCCACCTAGCGAGCTTTTCGCTGCTACCTATTCTGCCCCTCCCCGAGGTCCTATGCTTTCCTCTCGAGCGAGTCTCGACGCCATATGGCGTCGAGACTCCATCCAAGCTACACCCTCACCCACGATATGATAGAGAGCTAGCCACTCACAACCTCTTAGATGGCCCAAAAAGCTAACTGCAGCAAGCCTACGATCAAAAACATTCGCAGAAACTTACCGAAGTTTTGAAGCGTCCACACCCCTCTTAGCTAGAGAAGGCTAGAATCGTACAGTAACACCGCGGATCTTAGAAGCGCTCTGCGACTATCTGCTTGAAAAGCCTGGTCTCTACCTAGATAAGATAGTCGGCTTCCTGTAGGGTAAGTTCTACACCCTAGTTACCATGTCCAATATTCGAAGGGTTCTTGTTGCCTAAAGGTTAGTCTAAATAGGCTGCTCGAAACAGGGCTAAGGAGCAGAATGCCGATCTGCGGGACTATTCTCTGCACAGTTTATCGGAACTTCGTTCGTCTCACTTATTATATACCCGATGAACGGCTCTTGCTTGGTCTACATGAGAGAGCCAACTTTGTAGGAACACAGCTGAGGTGATCCGCGGTGTCCGTGCTGGTGTTGGCGTAGACGTGGGGAATATCAAGAAAACAAGGATGTGAACCAGTTCGTGCACAGAACCTACAGAACAACTTGTTTCACATTAGCAAGCTCCAGCCCCAGCGGCGGTCCTTGAAGAGCGGCGGTGAGAACAAGCCCTGGCCTTCGTCAGGCAGCTCCATCTTTGCGCAAACCTTAATAGACTGCTGCCTGGTTCAATTGGCAGCGTTGCTTCCACTAACTGTATAGTGGCTGAGCCCGGTGAAATTTTTTCTCTCACCTTAATCGGTCTGCTTACCGCCACGAGATGCAGCCAGTAGAGAGTCTACCAGAGGCATACACACAGAACATGAAGACCCTGCGGGAAATGGAAAATCGCGCGTCCCGTTCCGGCCAAGCTGGCTGACATTAGTATATAGATCCCCATCGACGAAACAGGCTTAGTTCTTCTAACCTTTCTCTTCTCCCACCACCTTGTTTTTTTTTTTTTTTTTGGCTTGTACACATATCCACGCCCCTCCCCCCTAAAGAACCATCCACCCGCAAGAGACACAACGACACATTGTGTCTTTCTTTCTGATACTGAATGGCCGATCTTCACTCTATGAGCAGCTTCGTCTTCATCGTCTCCTCGATTCTGGGCCCATTGGCTGGACCGGAATCGTCCCGCGGAATTACAGAAGTAACTCGACCTCCATAACAGGACTAGAGATGAACAAGTCTCGGGTCCTTGGAACAATCACTTGGAACCAGTAAGGCATACCCTTGTCTGAACCCGTCACGATGAAGGTGTTTTTCAAACCAATCTTCCGGTGCGAGATCGAGGGAGCCGCAGAAACACAGAGAGTTGCGTTGGAGCATGACCCGAAGGTGGAAGCTGATTTCCTGAAGATGGAGGAGAATGCTTCTGGCTACAAGGTCAAGGCGAGCGTGCGAGTGGTTGATCGCTGGCTGGATGCAGTGGTGCGCTTTGCTGGCTCTGCTCCAGTCTTTCTGGTGATTGTCGGGGGTCTGCTCACATGGGCATTGATGGGCGTTCGCTTCGGTGACTCGGACGTCTGGATTGCCGCCATATCTGATGTCCAAGCCATCTTGTGCTACGTGTTCGACTCGCTCTTGATGCGTCAGCTTTTGCGCGAGTATGCCGAACAGAGTGCGGCCATGGTTGAAATCAAGTCTCGCTGTACCAGCCACCATCGCATGCTCGCAAAGGTCAAGGCGAGGTTAGGACCAGAGGGCACTCAGCGTGTGGCGGCGTTGTGTAGTGCTGAGCCTCTACGTCCACTCGACCACGGCAACCGGACCCAGACCCTTTTCGCAAAGAGCATCATTGCCGTAGCTCAGATGTTCGGACATGTTGCCACTGTTTGTCTGTACTGGGCGTGTATCTTCGTCTGGCTTGCATTTGGACACTACTGCGGCTGGTCGGATCGGTGGCAGCTATACATCAACGATGCGACATCGGCCCTGATGATTCTTATTTTTGCCTTCTTGGCTTGTCTTCGGGAATGCTATGCCGACTACACTAACTCTTGTGTCGATGCAATTTTTCGGCTCGATTCCAGCCTCGAGAAGGCACTCCGCCGCCTTAGCCAAGATGAACTCCCGAATGCAAAAGAGATCATCGTTCCCCCTAAGGAGAGCTACCTTCAAGTCGTGGTTTTCTACTATGCTGATGCTGTTGGCACGTTAGTTGGGATCATCGTCCTAGTGAGCGTCGCTATCACCTGGGCATCTGTCGGGCCAGTCTTCCAATATAACAACACCTGGTGGCTGCTTATCGGAACCTACGCTGGATTAGTTGGTCTGTTTGACAGCTTTGTCCTTCGCAACGTCCAAGGAAAAGTACACAAATACTTTAGCGATCAAGTCCACCTCGTTGAAGAAAGGGACACTCCGCTTTTCACCTCGTTGTCAGTACCGATTCCCTCGTCTGGAACTATGGAAGAGCGAACCCTGAGTCGCCGTGTATCGCGACGCATGGAAGCGATCAGTTCACACCTACTTATGGTCGTCCTCGGATTCCTTGTCACCGTTGGATGTCTCACTGCTTCAAGCGCGATGCACTGGAGCTTGACGGGTCAATTGATCTCGAACGTGCCTCCCAGCATCATCGAGACTTTCTTCATGCTCATCCTGATCACTGGCCAGAACGATGCCGAGGCCAAAGACCGCATCGATTTGACGGATATCTACTACCGGCGGCAGCGGCTGCTGTCGTTCATAAGGCATTCACAAGATGTTTACGATAGGGAAGAGACAGCCGAGGTGAAAGTTGGGGCGGCGGTGGCTGCACCGTGAAGGATTGCGGCCTTCACTATTCTGCATGTGTGGTCTTTCTTGAGACTTTCGATGGTTGACCACTGTTGCTTCAACATGCACTGTGGTGGAGGTATCATTATGTGAGCTCCATGTGTCGCTCAACCGACATGGGCATCGAAATTGATTGAAATTGTGTGATTTTCGCTAGCTGATTGATCTGTTTTTGTGCATTTACTGAGGAACTCTACCGTAGGCTCTCCTGGGGCTGAAAACACCACAAGAACAGCCTTTTACTTCCGTAGAATTGACAGGGATCTCGATTTTGTCTTGCCCCTCCCTCAGTTTGATGCGGCTTGTTCGCAAGTTTTTCGCGCTAATGCCTTGGCGGTGGGGCCAGGAAAGAGTTGCTCAGTGTGTATTGGTCGAGCCAATTTAAAGAATGGGTGTGGCTCAAATTCTTAGGACTAAGATATATAATCGACATGATGCGGGCTACGGGTCGTCTCTAGCTATAATAGAAGTCCTTTAACGGCTCACAGTAGCTTCAGTGTGTAGCGAATGAACATTACGACAGTGGGAGGGAGCCATAGAACCAAGGAGCTTGAACCCCTACCGGTTTTAGCTCTCTCCAGTACTAAGACAGCCTTCTATATCGCTGCTATAATTAAGAAATAGGGGGTTATAATATTTTTTAAATATTTTTTTTTTTAAAAAAAAATAAAAAAATAAAAAAGTCAAATTCTTATAATAATTACCCTGATAGAAATTCAAGACTTATATCATAGATAAAGTGTATGATAAAAATATCATGTGACTAGAGGTAGGGTTGATAATTGATTATATCATGGTTTTGGTGTGCCAGTAGCGAAAAAACGGGTGTGCCCCTATCAACACCCGGGTTTATCTTGTATCCAAATTAGGAAGGATCTCAAGGTTTTTAATCTACTTTTTTTCCAATCATAATACTACCAAGATATTATTTTTTTAAGTTTATACTGATAAATAAAATAGGTCTTGATAAGAAATATCACAAATTCAGACTATCTAGTTATATATTATCGCAATCCTATAGAAAGAGCTTTATAATTTCCTAATTGGGAAGGAAGTGTCTTCAGGTTTTAGACCTACTTTTAGCCTCAGGCATACATAAAGATTCTTTTTAAAAGGAATACGAATATTTGATAAGAAATTAAGGCTATGTAGTCAGTAAATTTATTATTATGATCCTATTAGAAGAGTTTTACAATATCCTACTTAGGAAAAGTGTCTCACAATTTTTACTCTTCTTTTTAGGCTCTATGAGAATATTAATGATAGGAGAACTTACCGATAAATGAATTTAAGAGATCCTGTTCGAGTTTGCGAAGGGCATCGATGATTTTCCGGAGCTCACGGCAAATCGATGCACGATCACTGGCTTCTAGGATATCCCATGCCTCCTCAAGTGTTTTCCCTTTGATATTTAATAGTATAAGATATGAAGTGGGCCATTGAAAATTGGTAGGATCGCACTATAGTCATAAATCTTTGTTCGAAAAGAAAGAGAAAAGAAAAAGAGGGGGGGGAATATTAACAAAATAATAGTAATAGTAGTAAAATAGCTATCTACATATTCAATAAAGGATAAAACCTCTTAAAATTAAATAACGTTCAGTTAATAAGCCTTTTGAATCTAATTTTTATTTTCTACTATATCTTTCAAAGCCGCCTGAGCGAAACGAAGGTCAGCGGATTCCACATAAATAAATGTCTCGTTTGAATCCATGCGTGATCCGTATATCTGCTGCACCGGGACATCGCCTTAAAGAAATCGGCTGATAGCGTAAAGACTGTGGGCCTCTGAGATATGTACGCCCTCTCTCTATTAACGAAGAGCCCTTGATCTTCAAATAATGCAGGCGGGGTGGCAATTAAGATTGCAGAGATTAAAAACCTTCCTCTTTTCTAGTGAAACCCCTACAAGGTGCTGGGCTCATCGTGTGAGGTTGGAATTATATAGAAGTGGTTGGTTGCGGTTTGTGAGGAAGCGGGTCTTCCGCTGGGACTAAATCGAGTGGCATTTCATGCAATCGCAATCAGAGCGCGGTTCTGAATGTTTATGAATACGATAATGACTCTCCATGGATAATATATCACGCTTATGATATCATGACCAAAAGTCAAGAAACGTCATGATAAGATCCGCTAAGCTTGCACTGCCCCTGCCAAGCTTATCGATAAAGAATTTCTCGCCCTCCATTCTTCATCCCTCTTTCTCTCCTTTTCTCTCCACATTCCACTTCCGCCATGGAGGACCATCTGCGTCAGAGTCTTTCCAACCATCCCCATGCCTTGCAGCATTTCCACCACAGTAATGCTGGCTCGCCCCACCGGTCCGACCGGGTGGCACTGTCCGTCAACGAGGGAACCTCCACAGCCCTCGAGCACGAGTCCGCCATGAGCCATCAGCACCGCAGCGGCAGTGTCAGCGACGAAGAGGGACAGCCCCCGCCGCGCTATACCAGAGAAAACGATCCCTTCCACCTCGCATCCAAACTCAAGTCCGACGAAGAGATCCGTCAGATCCGGGCCAACACCTCCCGGAAACGGGATTCGGTCAGCCATGCCAATAACTCGCGGAAGATGGTGGCCATGGTGCGCAACACGGGCCGCATCGGAAAGCAGGCCATCACTACCAAGAAGCTGCAGGGCTTCTACGAGTCGCAGAACGAGAACATCCAGCGCATGCTCAAGCCCGTCGAGGAGCACCGGCGTGCCGCCCGCGAGCTGAACATCGACAACCGACTCAAGTACCGCATCGCCGTGTACGGCAGTTTCGCCGCCAATATTATTCTGTCGATTGTGCAGGTGTACGGTGCCGTCTCTTCGGGCTCGCTATCGCTGTTCACCACCATGGCCGACGCCATCTTCGACCCCATGTCGAACCTGACTCTGCTGCTGTGCAACAAGGCCGTCAACCGTGTCGACCCGCGCAAATTCCCTGCGGGTAAGGCTCGAATCGAAACCGCCGGTAACATCTGCTTTTGCTTCCTGATGACCGCCGTCTCGTTCATTCTGATCGCCTTCTCTATACGCGAGCTCGTCGAGGGCTCCCAGGAAGAAACCCAGTCGTTCCACCTGCCTTCTGTCATCGCCGTCGCCGTCGCCTTCGTCACCAAGCTCGCCCTGTTCTTGTACTGCTGGGCGCTGCGCAACCAAGTCTCCCAGATCCGGATCCTGTGGGAGGACCACCGCAATGACCTGCTCATCAACGGCTTTGGTATCTTGACCTCGGTCGGTGGCAGCAAGCTGCGCTGGTGGATCGACCCCATGGGCGCCATTATCCTGTCCGTGTTGATCAGCGTGCTCTGGCTGCACTCGGCCTACGGCGAGTTCCAGTTGCTGGTCGGCGTCACTGCCGACACGAAGATGCAGCAGCTGATTACGTATATCTGTATGTTTCTTTCTCTTGCTTTTAATTTTTTTCTCTACTCTTTCTAACGATCACAGCAATGACTCACTCCTCACTCATCACCGCCATCGACACTGTCCGCGCCTATACATCCGGCCCCCGTCTCCTCGTCGAGGTCGACATCGTCATGGAGGCCGAAGAGTCGCTGCGTGCCACCCACGACGTCGCCGAGGAGCTGCAGATGAAGCTCGAGTCGCTACCCGATGTTGAACGGGCGTATGTGCATGTCGACTACGAGACGACGCATAAGCCTGAACATTTCCTGAAGAAGGAGCTGTAAAATTTACTTCTGGCTTGCTCTTTAAAAAGAACAAAAAAAGTATTGGTTGGTATTTTGACTAGATTAAGGGGTGGTGTACGGACATTGGATATAATTTTGGGATGTATAGAAAAGCATCATAGTATGACAACCTCTACCGAATACCTTCCATTCACTTTCTGCAGGAGCAAGGACTACATCGATTTGGAGGTGGATGAAAGATTACTTGGATGAGTGTCATGACATGTATATCATTGCATCGACCACGAAAATCTATTAATGATCTCATAAGAAAAGAATCCGGTGGTATCAAACAGAAAGGATGCCCACCACAAGATTTTGATAAAACAACCCGAGGGTAGAAAGAGAGAAAGAGAAAGGATAGAATGGATGACATGAAAAAGACAGAAAACGAAGAAATAGACAAAAAAAAAAGTTAGACTAAGTCGTCTGCTCAAAGAGAGCAATCGTCGAGCAGTAGTTGCTGGTGTTATCCTCTTGCGGCACCATACTCTTGCCCTGAGGGGAAGAAACCATGTTGACCGAGGCCTTAGTGGACAGACCATACAGATGAACATCGGAGCAGTCCACCTCGACCATATTCTCCTGACAATCCTCGGACTTGAGACACGACTGGGCGTAGTTCTCAAAGAAGCTGTACAGACCGGCGCCATAGACAAAAAGATCCTTGGAGTTGACGACGCGCAGACCCCAGGCCTTGCGGCAGGAGGCAGTCTTGCAGGAAGCAAAGTCCGGGTCGTTCCAGGACTTCTGGGGCGTGAAGGGGGCCAGCGAGTTGGGGTTGGACTGGTAGTAGGGGGTCTCGGTTTGGATCAGGCCCATGAAGACGTTTTGCGCGTTCGACACCTGGAAGTTGTACAGCTGGTGGTGCTCGGAGGCCGTGCCCCACAGCCAGACCGGGTTCTGCGACTCGATGAGCACGCCGCGGCCCGTGAAGACGTTGATCTGCGAGTGGTCGGAGCGGTCCAGTTCGTGGTCGGCGGTCCACATCCAGGTGTTCTCGAGGTAGGCGCTGGCCTTTTCGGTAATATGAAGCAGCATGAAGGCCGCAATGCAGTCGGCCTTAGGCTTCGTCTCGGCCCTGGGCGTCTTGGGGCACGTGTCGCTCTGTAGGCCAGTGCCGGCTGCACCGCCGATGCGGAAGTGCACATCCCACATACCTGCGGAGCCCTGGGACTCGCCTGCGACGTTCCACTCCATGAGGATGGCGCCGGGGGCAGAGCCTTTGGTGGTGATGACGAGGTCGCTCATCTCGACGGAGCCGGTGTCGCCCTTCTGTCCGATTTGCAGAGCGGGAATGGGCTTCTTTTCGTCTGCGAACTTTTTGCCCGAGACCATGATCATGGGCCATATCTCACCGGTGATCTTAATGTTCTTGGGAACCTTGATGGTCGAGGTGATCACGTAGGCGCCGTGGTCAAAGTACACGACCTCCCCATCCTTGGCACCATCGAGCACCTTCTGAATGGCTTCAGTGTCATCAGTTGAGCCGTCACCCTTGGCACCGGCAGATTTGACGCTGACAAAGGACGAGGCCGGAACATCGGCGTATAGAGGCTTGGACTTCTCGAACACACCGCCCTTGGTCAGGAGGCTATGGGGCTTGCCTTGGGTCTTCATCGTGGTTTGCACGCGAGACGAGGATATGGCATGGCTAGCGCCGCAAGTACCGGAACTACTGCCGACGCCGGAGCCGTGGCTGGTGCCCATCAAGGGAACAGCACCCGAGGTGGACTCGGAAGATGGCTCGAGAGACACGGTGGACGTGGAGGTCTGCGGGACTTCCTGGCTGTTGGATGCACCAGACTCAGAGGACGAGTCGCTCGGGGCCAAAGTTGGAACAGGCACGTCACTGCTGCTCGATGCGCCTCCAAAGATGGGCAGCAAATCGGGGATACCTGGGAGGATGGGGAAAGAAGCAGAACGACTGGCGGTCTGGTCACTTGAGGGGAACCAGGGATGAGATTGGCTGGGCGAGCTAGCACCGGGCGCTGGGATGGGGACAGGTGCTGTGCCAATGGATGCCGTCTTCGCAGGAGCAGGGGCTTTATGGACAGCCACACTAGTAGGCTGGGCACCGTGAGACGCGGCACATGCCATCACCGTGGACATGACTGTCTCGACGACTGTGAAGACCTCGGGCTCGGGTTCAGTGGCGCGCTTCTCAACAGTCTTTGAGGGAGAGTAGGTGTTGCCTTGCACCCAGTTATTCACGACTGAGCCACCATCGAGAATGCTGGTTCCGTCAACACCAGCGACGGCCACCTTGGAGCCCGAGAAGTCGACGTTGTCCAAGACGAGCGCGCCACCACCAATTGGGATGCTTTCCTTGTTCCAAGCAGTGACAACACCAGTCGGGGTGTTAGTGAGCTTGCTGTCCAGCATGAGGACCGAGCCGACAGTCTGGTTCTCGGGGGCGTTAGACATGTTCAGGCCAACTTCGCAGTCGTGGATGTTGACCGACTTGAAAGTCCAGGCCCAGTTCCAGTTCATGAAGATAGCCGTCTGGCAGTCATGGAAGGTCAGGTTGCGAGTAGTAAACTGCTGGTTACCCAGGAACATGCCGTAGTTACCGCCATGGAAGCTCAGGTCCGACATGAAACCGCCGGATCCATTGTCCATGAAGATACCCTGCTGCTTGTTGGCAGAGCCACCACCCTTGACCATCTCGAATCGGATGTTCTGTAGACTGGTCGCTTGGCCGACTTGCCAGTGGATACCGGCACCGGAGCCCTTGGGCATAGCAGTGATGTCCACAACGAGGTTACGAATGGCACGGAAGAAGTTGTTCTGGTTAGTGTACCAGTTGTCACCGTTGTCCTCATACGGGTCGGCGTCAATCACGGCCATGCCAGCGAACTTTGGCGACGCCTTGATGACGGGCAACTCTGTCGCATCTCCGACAATCTGGGTATAATAGAACTGGATGATGGGCTTCGACACCACGTAAGTACCCGGCGGGAAGTACACCAGGGCAGGCGTGGTGGTCGATGAATCGCAACCCTTGCCGCAACGGTTACCTGAGGAAATGGCCTCATTGATAGCGGCAGTGTCATCGGTAGTGCCATCACCTGCGATTTTCCGTTAGGATCTGCCTGTTGACAATGATCTTCTGCTGCTTACCCTTGGCGCCAAAGTCTCGAACATTGCGGAACACCTTGTAGTTCTTGCTGCCTCCAAACGGGACTGTTCCCTGACGCTTAATCTGGGCAACCCAGAAATCAGAGTTTGCGGATTTGCTGGATGAGCCAACCAGCTCGTGCGTGACCGGAGTCAGAGGCGACGCCGGAGACAACGGCGCAGCAGCGACCAGGGCAGCTGGAAGCCCCAGTAGGAGAAAAACATGAGCGACAAATATCGCAATGGAAGTCTGAAGGATAGCCATCCTCAAGAAGACAGTTGCTGAACCTGCAGCGAAACCGAAAAGGCCTAGAAGGGAGTGTATAGTTCAGTACCCTGTACCGAACTGATTCCGAGTTTTTTTTTTTGTTGACGCTAAACCAGCAGTGGTCGACAGGAAGAAGATGTAGATGCGACTGGTGAAAACAATGACACACAAGGACGTAATAAACAATGAAACGAGGGGATGCAGCCTGCTTTCGCCAAAGGATTGAATGCGAAGGCAGCGACGGCTGATACTTCACTCCAATAGGGGGGAGGTGATGTATATACCCAAACAAAGAGAGAAAAGAGACCAACAATAGAGAACAATAGGGAAGAAAAGAGAACGGAGAAAAGAAAAACACACGCAATAAAGGAATCACGGAGCCAACTGACTATTGTATCAAAATGCTGTAGATCCACGCGCCGTGGGCCCTGAAATCCACCGGGGCCCGCCAATCGCAAGGCCGCGCGGGCGTATCGACTGTGCTTGAAACGCGGTGGTCCGCGATGAAACACTGAAGGAGGTGATCGCTGACCCAATTGTTGCAGATTGACTGCAGACAACCTAAAACACTCTCGGGCTCCGCCGATTTGACACAACGCTCGGAAGTTTCGCGGGTGTTCTGACACGATGGAGTATAGAGTCTCGTGCAAGACACCCCAGTGTAATGCTCGACACTTCTCGCAAGGTCAGAAGCCAAAAGCGAAGCGAAAGAAAGACAAAAAAAAAAAAAGAACGTGACAGGCCACAAAAGAGCAATAACAACGGGCCAAAAGGATCTGGACTACTACCCCGGGGCTCTACGCGCTATATAGCTGGATGTTTTTCTCTCAACAGGGTATGTCGGATCGTCCATTCCACCCTATATGGAGTTCTCGCATGGGCCGAGCCAGGCGTCGTGTCAGATGCCTGAAGGACCGAGAGGAATTATGCCCTCGCCGACAACCCTGGCAATTCCCGTGGGATTGTGGGACGAGTGGACTCCGCGTCTGGTATGCCGTGCAGTTGGCGGCGCGTATCCTTCCCCCCTCCCCTTGGGGACCCCAGTGGAGCCCTTGCATGGTCCTGTCGGTATTGGTTGCATGCTGATTGACAGGTAAAGTCTCCGAGTCACAGTGCGCTTCTAGCCCACCGGCTGTCAATGTCGCTTTGGTCCTTCGACAAGATCCTCATCGGCAGTCTGTTCTTGACCCCTGGGCTGGTTGAGGAGACGCGAGAGGAATCCGAGCGAAACAACATTGTCAATCAACATAGATACCCAGGCCATCTCGGAGCGCGGTCCTCAATGGACGGGGTGGCCTTGCGCCGGTCTGGTTGTCAGGGGTGCGAATGCAATGGATGAACATTCCTGCGCGGTCGGAGATCAGGGGGGGGGGATTCTTGATGACGCTGGGGGACGTGGATTTCAACACGTTAAAAACAGATCAGTGGAAGAGTGGAATCTCTGGGTCTCTTGGGGCCAAAATCTCGGCAGCTCGGCAGTCGTGCGGTTCTGCAGAAACGGTGATTCTTCGGCCAAGCTTTGTCGACCCACGCCTGAGACGATGGCTCTTTGTGGGCTCTCACTGTGGGGATTGTTAGTGATCCATGTATTTCTGGATATTTCTTGATATTTATATTTGATTCAAATATCCCGAGAGCTTTTTTCTTTCTTTCTTTTTTTTCTGACTATTTTTGAAAGATTCCAGCACTGCCCGGCTTGCTCTCTCGGCTGTTCGATACGCCACCGAGCGAGTCAGGGGCAAACCCGCAGCGAAGAAATGCTACGTTGCCATCGTTCGACTACTTGAACAAAGCCGAACATACTACTCGTTTTTTATATGATTGCCCCGCCGGATGGCTCAGTAGAACGGCACGATCCGTTGTCCGTGAGGCGTAGCTCCAGGCTACACCGTCAGATGCACCAGGACGCGCGCCAGCCTACGCACGCCCTCGGTCAAGTGACGCGGCTCTTCCCACGAAAACGACAGCCGGATGCTGTTTCCAAATTGGTGGCCCGGTGCTGTGGCGTCTCCAGGAACCTGGAAGAGATCGCCTGGCGCGAGGCGCAGAGACTCTTCCTGCTGAGCCCGGCGCACAACTTCCGTCGCACGCAGGGGTGGTGGCAGGGTAATCCAGATGAAGTACCCACCCGCCACCGTACTCGAGGGAGCGGCAACAGTCACACCTTGTGGGATGAGGTAGTCGTGGATCGCTTCCAACAGGGTATAGTATCGTTTGGCATACGCAGGCCGCAGAACTTTGTGGATATGGCTTTGCAGTGCACCAGTAGGGATGATCTGGTCGATGATCGTGGCGCAGAGCTGGGAGGGAGCTCCACCCGATCGGGTCGAGCCACTGTCGTTGCTTGATTAGCTCTGGTACGGGGTGAACAGAGATCTTCAACCATGAGCGACACAAAGAAACTCGTACGTTTGCGACAATCCGTAGGCAACCTTTTCTGATGCCTCGGCCCACCCGGTGCGGGTCCCGGGGCCGATCAGTTTACTGAAGCTGCCATTGCTTATTGCGTGCCCCCAGCCATCCTGTGGTCCTCCATCGAGATAGCGATCCACATCCACCAGTCGCGGAACACACGCGCGGTCCGGCGACGTCAGTTTGGCATATGGCGTGCGCGACCACTGAAGAAAATCATAAACGTCGTCGGTGACAATCAACGCATCATACTGGCGGGCCAGGCGGATGAGTTGCTCCCGTCGGTGCAGGGACATGACCTTGGAGGATGGGTTCGAAAACGTGGGGACGGCGTAGATGACATGCTTGTAGACCTTGCGCCACGGCTGCGGAGACTTCAATCTCTGCAGGGAAGCGTGCGATCAGCCATGACTCTGCGTGGTCACACTACCCACTTGACCCCGTCCACCAGAGATGGGTTCGTACCGGTTCCGTGTTCCCTTCCTCCTGTGCCTTGTCCTCTGCCGCGCGCAATCCTTTCTCCAGGAAAGCCACATCGACTCCCTCTTGATCCTCGGGCACCCCACGCAGTTTCCCGGCAAAACCGGCATCATCCATGATCCGAGCCGCCAGGTGATATGTGGGGGCAACCATCCAGACATTCCGCGTGTAGATCGGATCAGTAAAGACCTGTAGTACACAGGCAAGATTCTGGCTAGCCCCGCCGGTGATGCAAATGCGTTCGGATGAGATGGGGTCCTGTGGCTGGTAAAACGTGCTCAGCCACTGGGCGATGTGGGCGCGCAGTGGTCCGTATCCCTCATCTGGGCCATACAGCAAGCCAGGGTAGGCAATGGCCGGAGTGGATAGAACGGTCGACGCGGACCGGCAGAGCTCGGGGGCGGGGAGCAGCGCGGGGTTGGGCCACCCGCAAAGTAAATCAATGGGGGCCATCGTTCAAACGCACATCAACAATAATGACACAATGACACAATGACATCGGATGGAAGGGAGATGGACAGGGGGTTGGAACCAACGTGGGGGGGAAGAGAGTCCCGAAATCCACAGGGCAGGAACATCCATGGATGAGGCAATCGGACAATCCCTCGGTAAAATGCCGGTCAGCTTGTCTCGGAGCGTGGGAGACCCCGTGGACCCAATTGGCCTTGGAGCCTTGGGAATCCTGAGGCCCCAGACAACATACCACAGTCGCCCCCTGATGCCCCGATGGCTTGGGTTGTATTCGATTTCCTCTCTTTTTCTTTTTTTAAACGTTATTTTCTCGGATGTTTGCCTTCTATTTTGTAGTTAGGTTATTGCGTGCCTTCTTTTTTTTTGGCTTTTTTTTTGGCCTTTTTGTGGTTTCCATATGGCGATGGGTCCCATCCAAGACATGCACAGCCAAGGAGCCACCCGGCTATTATTGGCATGAAAAGGAACCGGATCGAAGGCCCGTACTTTTTTTTTCTTTTTTTCTATGGGAGAATATATGTCTAGTCAATTAATCTTATTCTATGCCCTCTAGGCTGTAAAGGTTCTTTAGAGGGAGAAAAAAAAAGTCACTTCTTGTTCAACCCTTCTCCTGAAACTTCCCCTAACTGTCTCTCGTTTCTCTCTCGCCTTTCCCTTTCATTCCCTCTCGGTCCCTCCCTGCCATTCTTGCAATCCCTCCTGCCGATCCATTCCCCGAACTCCCTCGCCCGTCATCTGCCACCGGCCACTCTCATTCTTCTGTCCATGCGCAGGGCTTGATCTCAACCCCCCGTCTCTACCTCCTGGCCCATCTCTCGGATCCTCCCCCCAAAACTCTCCCATCCGCAACCTCCCTCCTCTTCCTTCTCCAGACAAAAAATGTTGTCTGCTCCCGTCAAGTCGGCGAAGCGCATCTCCTCGCTCTTTTCGCTGGGGTCGCACAAGGACCAGAATTCACCATCTTCGTCCCCGGGCATCTCACCAGGATTCGCCAATCCCTCGACAGACAACATTCCAAACGACCGACGGCGACGAAGCCAGTCACGACCAACTCGCCACGTCTCAACACCCAATGCGGTATTCTCAGAACCTAGAACCGTGCCCAACCATGGGACGCTGGAGCCGCTGGACTTGGAAAGCCTCCCTCCACCACCGTCGCTGTTGACCCTCAACAATGATCTAGCGAGCAGCGCACCCAGCTCCCCCGACGCTCGCCCCCAGAGCAGAGGCCGTGACTTCAGTCGCCCATCGAGTTCGGCGGGATTGGCGGTCCCGGGCGCAAACCCAGACTCCCGGCCAAGTACTCCGTCAAAACGTCGAAGCTGGATGCCGGGGATGGGGATTCCGGGTCGGTCGCGAGCCAACTCGACGGATAAGCGGCCAGTTCCGCAGCTGCCGGCGGCTTGGATCGCGGGGCTGGATCAAAAAATTGTCTATGATCTTGGACCGCTGTCCAAAGGAGAACAGGTATGTTGATGAAGTGAGAAAGTTGATTGCGCCAATTAGGCTAACTACCATCGCTTGACCGGCAGATTCCCGAACTGTGGAACGAACATGGTGACACATTCGTCTACCTCTTCCCCCAAAACACTGGCCGGCCACCCTCTTTCAAGGTTGATTCAACCATCTTCGCTGAATCTCCCTCCCTCACCTACCTCGCCCGTGGCACTGATGCCAAAGCCAGCGGCCTCGAGCAACCAACTCGCAGCCTCTCACTCCAGAACCCAATGTCTCCGCCGCTCACCCCGCAGGACAGGTTAGCGGAGAATGACAACGACAGCTCGGGCAGTCAAAGAATGGCTTTTGAAGAGGGCCCGGACGAATTACAAGAACTGCATCTGTACTTACCGATCCCTCTCAACAGTGATGTTTCTAGCCCTCAAGCGCGACTCCCCGCTGACGACACGGAAACTCTGCTCCTGTTCCGCAATCTGTTTGCCTTCTTGCTCGGCCAATCGTTGATCGCATCGCCCAAATCCTCGTCCCTTTTCACTATTTTCATGGATGTCGCGGTATTGCTGGCACGGTTTGAATTCTCGAACCTGGATGGGTCGAACTTTGGTGAAACGGCTACCTCCAGCTTTAGCAACTATTGTGATGAGCTGCGCCTGGCGGATATGCGGAAGAGTCGCGAGAAGACCATCGAAGCCATTGTCCTCGGTGAGCGGCTGCGCTACTACCCGCTCTATCTGGAGGGTTTCGTACACGGGGTTGGGAAGCTGGATGAAATCAAGCAACTGCGGAGCCAAAAATACAGCTTCATTCACCCGATCACCCAAAAACGGCTGGAGCGTGGCTTCATTGACCTTGATACCCGCCTACGCGTTCTGTACGGCAAACTCGAGGACTTCGACTTCCCGTCGGTCTTCTCAGGTATCGCCAATTCGAACACCTCCCAGGAGAGTAAAGTCATTCGGTTCAAGGCCTGGAAGACTGGTTTCCTCGAGTTCCGCCGCTTCACGATGCAGTTCTACCGACAGAAGTATGGTTCATGGCCTCCGAGGGCCCGATCCAAGAAGAATGAATTCGAAGAGAGCGGGCTGAATCGACTTTTGTTGCTGGACCTGTACCACGACTTCACCGATCTCTATGACCTGCTGGTCGACCGCACGGCTCTGACCACTCGCACAATCGACGCATCGGGCGCGGGTGGTGAACCGCCGACAGGGTCGGATCCCAAGGAAATGTGCATCCGCGCCCTACGCCAGATCCTGAGCGAGTATGACCGCAGTACCCCTCCCGTTCTTCCTCCCATCCCCTTCGACGTTCCGCAGCTCCCGTCGCTGCAGCCATTGCACCGGAAGCCATTGGACGCGAAGAAGGAAACCAAGCAACGGACCAAGAGGCTTAAGAATTCCGACATCAATGCGGTGTTGATGGGATCCTATACCCGAGAGAGCATGCGACCCACTGCGTTTATTGAGAGCTTTATGCAGTTTGAGCGACGCTGTGCTAGTGGGAAGAGTGTGGAGGATATCACAGACCTTCGATGCGGCCAATGGATCTTCCTTTACGCGGTGATTCAAGCCCTCCCCATGCTTGTGGTCGACGTCCCCGATGTACACTACACTGATGCGGTGGAGTACTTCCTGTGCATCGCCCCGCGTGGCGGTGCTCCCTGGATCCACAATGACACCAAAACGGCCCGCAGCTGGTTTGGAGTCGCCGGTGGTGCTGGTGTGGTCAGCTTGCCGTCTGATGTGGTCATCAACGGCGTCGAGGGTATCTACCGGCGCAGCCATTGTTGGCAGGTGGCCGAGCAGTGGGCCGAGGCTGGCGCACTCATTGAGCCTCCGCCGGTGGAAGATGCCTTCGAGGAGGATGAGTCCTCCATCTCATCCCCTTACCAGGCCCAGCAGTCGTCTGCCGGGTCCTCGTCTGACCCACAGCCCCAGCCGACTCCGATGATGGTGCCTGGTGGTGGTCTGACTCCGCCTCCGCCGGCTATTCCCCGTACACGTTCACCTGGCGCCCCACAGCGAGCTGAGCATCGCCACTCCATCTATCCTGGGTTGGAAGCCTTGCCACTTCCTGCAGGCATTGCCCCGATTGAACCCCCGGCGCGTCCCATTAGTCGCTTCAATCCCAACATGAGCTTCGACGACATCCTGAAAGAGGTTCCCAAGAAGGGCAAGAAGCACTGATTTCGTGTCTGCCGCTCTCCCTCTCTTTTTCCATGTTTTCATGTCCCTCCCAGCATCAAGCCACCTCCCAAATACAATCATCGGTGTCTTTTCTTTTTCTCTCTTTCCTTTCTCAGAGTGTTTTTTCCTTGTTGATAGGCGCATATTTGTGATGAAGTCACCGGGATCGGCGTGATGCACAGGGCAGTGAAAACAAAAGTAACACAATTTCTAATTCCACCCAGAGTGCAAAGCATGGAGAAGCACAGGTCATAATTATCAGCATCAGCATCAGCATCAGCATCTCCGGAGGGAAACCATGTTCATGTTCCTTTACTTTGATTTCCTTCTTTTCCTTTTGGTCTCGGATTCCCCTGTTCGTAATGAGTTGATCTGGCTGATAGAAATAGAGACTAATATCTGCACAAACGTGTTCAGTGGTTCAGTAGTTTAGTAGGTGTCATGGTGTCATGGGTATAGAGCAAGGTTGTTGAGCTTTTTCCAAATCAAGGCACCTCACCCATGGGTCGGGGATATATTGATATATATCCATCGCAACTATGTCAAATACCTCCTGCACTTCATATTACACTCTCCGTAATAGATTAAACAATTAGTCTGACTGTAGTAGGGGCATAGATATTTAAACTCGAATCATATCACTATCATATATAGAATATAGGGACCTATTAAATTAACATTGAAAATAGCAGTTTCTAATGCCAGAATAGACCTAGACACACCCACAGACAACCTATATAGGTCAACCCTTAGGCTAGCCTATAGGCGGGTTGTGGGTTACGATTTTTTTAACCTATCAATTTTACAAGCTCAAACTACTCACTACTAAACTCGCAGTGCCGACACAATCACAACACTGCAGCTTGCAACCTGCAGCAAATACGAGGATTATCATCCCTCAAATAAACCTCTCCCCTAATTAGGGGGAGAAAGTTTTCCCTTTTTCTCCCTTTTTTTTTTGGTCGCAGATCTCTTCCAGTCCAGGAAAAGGCTAAGCTCCGCTAGACTCAGCTTCGCCTCGAATTGACAGAATTGCATGTTTCTGGAGAGCGCAAGAAACCAGACAAGACTAAAAAAAGACCAAAAAATATCAAAAAAAGATCAGACAAAATGGATTAATGGAAACCAAATAAACCAGGCAATCAATCGGTACCTCTTTTCCTCCTCCCCGCCTCGCCTCCCCCTCTGCCATGCCGCGGTCCCGATCTAGCATGACGAGCGACGGCCACGAGCGGCTGGAGCCACGACTGCTGCGGGCAGCCGAGAGCAATGACGTCGAGTCCCTGCGCAGAGTAATCGCACTGGCGCGCGAATATGGCCAGTTCAGCGACAACTTCCTGCGCGTGGGAGTCATGCGCAGCGCCGAGCGAGGCTGCGCGGCCGCGACCGAATTCCTCCTCGAGCTCGGAGCCAGAACTGACGTCGCCAGCAACCGGCTCTCCCCGCTCCTCCGCGCCGTCGAGCGCGACCACTACCAGATCGTGCGGTTGCTGCTGGACTATCGGGCGTCGCCGGACAGTACGGATAAGGAGGGGCGCACGGCGTTAATGACGGCCGCGTGGAAGAACCATGCGGATATCCTGCAGTTGCTGATCCTGCGCGGTGCCAATGTCAATGCTAGGGACCATCGCAAGCGCAATGCGCTGCATAACCTGGCTGCTGATAAGGAGTGCCGCTGGGGCTGGGGCGATGAGATTGTTGGGTTGTTGTTGCGCACTGAGTGCCAGATTGATGGGCCCGATGGTCAGGACGAGCTGGGTCGGACGCCGCTGCATTGGGCCTGCGCGACTGGCAATTGGCGTCTCGCTGAATTGCTGCTCACTCGGTCCGATGGGCCCACGGCCACCATTGATGCTACGGAGATGCGAGGGAAGACTGCGCTGCATATCGCTACGGCCCATGACCGTGACGATATTGTCTTGCTGTTGCTGCAGCATGAAGCCGCGGTCAATGCCTGCAGTGATGGTGGCTGGACACCTCTTCACAACGCCTGCGACAAGGGCTGCGAGGCTATTGTCCGGATCTTGCTGCGCGCCGGCGCACATATCAACAGCCAGCTATTGAACGGGGTCACGCCGCTGCATCTCGCTGCCCAGGGCGGCCACCGCGAGGTGGTTGAGTGTCTTCTGGAGCGAACAGACCTCAAGCGCCGAGTGCGAGACAACTTTGGCAGCACCCCGTTTCTGCGCGCGGCGCAGTGCAAGCGCAAAGACATAGTTCTGCTCTTGGCACCGTTTAACAATGTTGATTCTCTCTCGGAGGACGCCAAGGACGCCTGCGCGGCCTTTGATGCCACAGTTGTCGATTTCGGGAATTTCCACAACGAGAATCGCGTGAAGCGTATGTCCGTGTTCAATCTGCTCTACGGACGCGACCAGGAGAACCCCCGGAAGCAGGCTGTAACTACGGTCCCCGCTGACAGTCGTGCAACGGATTTCCGGTGGATTCACTTGCCGGCCAACAACATGGCCTGGGTCGAGGCCTTGCTCACCAAGTCCTTCATTGAAGAAGGTGCCCACGATGTCGATGGGTTTAAGGGTCTTGAGAAGTCATTCAATTACCAGCACCGTGGCCAGAGAACCCACTCGCATTTTATGCGGCCCCTGTGCCAGAATACGCCGCGAACACTTCGTCGCCGAGAAGAAGAGCATGCAGAACAGCCGCCCCCAGATGCCGGGCAATCCAAAATAACAGATCACATTAATACCCCAGCTAATCGTAAACAAAAGGGAACCGGCGGGAAAGTCGAGCGGGTGGATTCCCACTCCCACGACGATGGTTCTGGTGCCGGTCAGGGAAAGAAGGGCAAAGGGAACCAGAAGCGCGGGAAAACAGGGAGTGCCTCCAGTACGCCTAAATCTGAGACCAAGGGCAAGGCACCGTGGGGTCTGAGTGACAAGCAGATGCGGACATCTTCTCTTTCCACGTCGACTCTGTGCCAAGAACCGCACGGCATCGTTTCTGCATGCAATGTCTGTGTCTATATGCCATATTTGCATTTCGAGACCGCAGAGCGGAGACTAAGGATGCAAGAAGCCATCCAACGAGCCGAGACGCTCGATTTCCAGCCGCCGGGTATCAAAAGATCCCGCACACGGGATGAAATGTTGATCGATGCCCACCTGTCGTCCTCAACCACCTCGCTGCATGTTCGCCGCACACTCGACCAGTTCTTCTATCCCAACATCGACACCCAGAGTCGCGATCAGGACCAGGTGGTATACCGGTACCAGACCAAGGGGCCCGGGTGCGAGGGGCCGGAAACAGAACCCAAGATTTTCATGGTCGACCAGCTGTGGATGTGGATTTTGGGGTCGAATCTAATTGTCACCAGTTTTCCGCAACGGTGGGAGCAGCCCAAGAACGACCCGCTTAATGTGCTGGATGGCATCATCGAGGACATCAACTCCAAGACCCGCGACCCCGTCAAGTCGGTGTACGACTTGGCCAACATCATCACCAGTCGGTGCTCGGGGGTTTTCGATCGCCACCGTCTCGGAGACGAGGAGTATCAGTTTCTGGATATGTTCGAGTCGTCCATCGGCATAGCCACGGACAAAGAGACGCTACTCTTCAACCGATTCAACCATGCCTCGGCGCAGGCGTCCGGCTGGCTCAAGAGCCACCGCAAGCTTAATCGCTTTGCGCGACGCAGGCCCTCTCGCTCGATGGCCGGCCGGGAGGGCACGCTAGAGGAGGACGCCCCGACGAACGAGGAAGATTATTCCTACGACGATGGCCAGCCGCTGTTCGTCGACCGACTATTGGATATTGGAAAGGAAACCGATCTTCTCGCCGAGACCAAGGACATCCGGGACGAGCTGAACATGATCCGCACGGTCCTGGAGCACCAGAGACACGTGTTGGCCGATTTCCAGGAAGTAATCTGCGAGATCTGGCACGGACAGCACCGATCGCAGTACGAGGTCAAGAAGCGGTTCAAGGACCAGCAGCGCACCATTGACATGCACCTCAAGGACATCGACCGCATGGACAAGCAAGCCGAGCGCATCTACCACTCGATCACAGACCTTCTCGACCTCAAACAGAAACACGCCAACGCTTTCGAAGCGCGCTTCGCCCGTGACCAAGCGGCCGGCACCATGCGCCAGAGCAAAACCATCATGGTCTTCACGATTGTGACGATCGTGTTCATGCCGCTGTCGTTCATTACCTCGATCTTCACCATCAACATGAAAGAGTTCGACGGCTTGACTCTGGCCTATGTGGCTAAATATACCTTTGGCGTCGGCTTTGCCATTACCATCCCGCTGATTCTGATCGCACTCTCACTCGACGATATCGGTGATTTCTTTCGCATGGGCACGCTCCAGGGCCGCCGCTGGCTGTCTGGTCGGAAGAAGTCGTCGTTGTTACCGGCCCTGGATCGACCGGATGGTCAGCTGCAGGCGCTGGAGCGTGAAAAGATGATTAGTCTGGCGAGGACGCGCAGAAGCGCGGAGTTGGAGTACGGTGGTAGCTTGCTACCTGTGTCGACCCGTGGCACGGGGGCCTCAAGACGGGCTGATGGCTATGCGAATGCGCTTCGGAGAAGCTATGATCGTAGTGTGGAATACCGGACACGATGAGATGAGATATACGGCATTTAACGAAATAATTTTGAATAGTCTATAAAAGTTGATATAGTGAGGAAAGTAGGTGGAAAAAAAAGAAAGAGAAAATAGTCTTACATCCCTCCATCTCAAGTATCTATAACTGCACCGTCTCCGTATCCACTCCAACCCCCTTCCCATCTCCCAGAATCACCGCCGGATGATACACATTCATAACAACCATAGCACCAAACATCAGCAGCGCATCAAAGACATACATAAACGCCTCGTGCGTCATGAGATACCCATCAAACCCGTACTTGTACTCGATCAGCCGGAACACAGACCGGATCAGAATCAGCGCGCTGACTATATACAGCCCCAGCAGCACGGTTACCCAGCTGCGTTGTCGCCAGCCCCGGTGGGAGCAGAGGTCGCGCTGCGTTTGCGATTTGGTCGTTGGATGGCGGGTAACGCGGAAGTGGAATACTGCTGCGACGATCACGAAGAAGCCAAAGAAGAGGAGTTGCACTACCAGCCCGCCGATGACGATGTTTGAGCCGAGGTCTTTGGAGCTGGCGCTGGCCATGAGTCCGCCGCCTGTAATTGTGGATGTTGTCAGTTTGCAATTCTCTCATGTTTCCAGGTTTTCTCGACCACTCACCTGCTGCCTGCAACAGAAATGAAATCACATCTCCGGACACGAAAATCTTGGTCATCCATCGCACCGACACCAGGCTCAAGTTCTCGGCGCGAAGGTAGGTCACGGTTCGGCCTAGGACCATGTATACCGAGGCGGCATACAGCGGCGGTGCGAGCAGAATGAACAGCGACTGCATTGCATAGACGGCGACGGACTTGAGGTTGTTGTGTCCGACGAGTCGGCAGATGTATCCTATAACTTGGACTGGAGGATGTTAGTATTTTCCTTCCCTTCCAACTTTACATTCTAAGACCATTGAAGCATATGGCCGGTTCGAGCACTCACACAATCCGCCCACCACAAATGGAATGAAGTACCAGCACCGTGCCTTGGTGAGCTGGTATCCATGATAGGCGCTTGTCACTGCAAACAAAACAATGAAGATAATAGCCGCGGCCAGCGACGGGATATACCCGTACAGGTTATCCCCGTTCATTGTTTCTGGTCGGTGGTTCTCTGTTGGGGGGCTCTCATCGTGGGCAAGACCTGCATTTTATATTCCTCGTGGATGGGCATAGTCTTTGGCTCGGCCAAGGTTCTAAAACGGGATCGTTCCGTTTGGATCCACTCGGTTTAGGCGACTGCATACTTAGCTGTATAGTCTTCCAGCGCTTGCAGAAGCATTGCGCGTGAAAAGAAAATAGCACAGCCTCGTTCCAAGACGTGCTAAATCCAATTAAACAAATTCTGGCTGCCTCACCGGCCTTGAGAAGTGGATGTCATTGGTCGGATTATTATCATGAAGGCCTTGAGATGGATAGCCCTAAGCGGAGCCAAGTGGGTCGAAGTGGCGCGAATTCGAATTCGAGTCCGTACTCGTAGCCGTAACCGTGTCCGAGTTCGAACTCGAACTCGAATTGTCATTCATCTGTCACTGAATCCCCCAAACGCCGGGGTTCTTGGGGGTTGTGTTTATAATGGCGCCGCGCAGATCTCATCGAAAGTCACGCAACGGCTGCCCCGAGTGCAAGGGCCGTCGGCTCAAGGTTTGTCTCGACTTCGGCCCGTTGGTCTTCTCTCTCTTTCTCTCTCTAACAACAATTTAGTGTGACGAGCGATATCCATGTACCAATTGTGTCAAACATGCAATTCATTGCAGTTATGTTGCCCCCAACGAGCAGCAGGGGCCATCTAATGCAAGATCAACGTCCAGCCATTCTCCAGCCTCACGGACACTGTCCCGGGCTCCGTCGCAAATACGCCCGCAACCTCAACCACCACAACCAGAGTCTTATGCAACCACGCCCGCCGGCAATTATCCCTGGACCTTTGTCAATTCCGACTTCAGACCCGAGAACCGCCTTGATCTACTAGACATCCTCGCTGGATCTCCCCAAGACGCCCCAGTCCTTAACCAGGAAGACTGGGTGCGCGATCTGGAACTACTCCACCATTACTGCACGGTGACATGCAACAGCCTCACTTTACGCGAAGACTCCCGCCATGTCTGGCGAGTCGTCACCCCAATCGAGGGCTACTCGAATAAGTATGTGATGCACGGGGTCCTGGCCATTGCAGCCTTGCACCGCGCATACCTCTACCCGACCCAGAAGGAAAAGTACATCAAGGCGTCTGCCTACCACCAAGCCATGGGACTAAAAGAGTTCCGGGAGTTGATATCTTTGCCCATCGATCCAAGCAATTGGCAGCCGGTCTTTTGTTTTGCGTCGATGATCACCCTGCATGTCTTCGCCTTGCCCATCCGGCTAGGCGTAGCCCGATGGCCCGCCCCGATCGCGAACATGGTCGAAGTGTTTTCCGTTGTTCGAGGCTTCCAGATTGTTATGAAACCATTCTTACCATCTCTTTCCAAAAGCCAGCTCGCACCACTTGCCAACTGCATTTGGCTGGAGAGCGAGATGCTTATTCCAAGGTGCGTCGATAGCCCAGCCCAGTACTGCATGCTTTACATATTCAGAACCGAGTTGATTCTTATGACATGCTTCACTCGTTTAGTCCCTCGGCCCTGGAACAATCTCTACTACCTTCAGACATCTGGACTCAGATTGCCCAACTCCACCAATTCATCGACGACTTCCCATTCCCAGCTCTCCATCCCCCGTCCCAGCCTCAGACTCCTAACGACTCTGACCCATCGCAGCACACCCCCGACTATCGCAGAGACTACAAAACCGCTCTCAAATTCTTTGAGCATTCCACTCGCCAGCTGGAACTCGCCGGTCCACATGTGGAAACAGGAATGGTTCTCCTCTGGGCATACTCGCTCTCGAAACAGTTCCACGAGGACTTGATAGCGCACCGACCTGCTGCGCTGATTCTCCTGGCTCATTTTTGCGTCTTGTTACATGTGATTGATCATTGCTGGTTTATTAACGGGGCGGGACGCCAGTTGTTGGAAGATATTGAACGTCATATTCATCCAGGGTTTCGGGAATGGTTGGTCTGGCCGAAACGGTGGGTTTTTGAGAGATGATCTGTGAGATACTTTGAAACATTCTATAATTAGCTTGCTTGAACGGTTCTTTCACAGATCATGGACAATACTGGACCACAGCTGCAAGCCTACCTCCATGACATCCCTGAATAAATCACCCGGGTGGATCTCCCGATGTCAAGCCCCACCGTTCCTTGCCATTGCCCCCACGCGCTATTGACTGGCACTTGGCATTGTCGAGTAATGATGGTCGCGCTGGGAAATGGGAGAATTGACCAGGTATTTCATATCCATACGACTTAGCCAGGAAAGACAAGGCCACCCACCTGAGAGAGCTGAAAAGATCTTGAACATTACGCTGAGTGCATGCGCAGCACCCCAGTCTATAGAGGCAGTGTTCCCTAGCTTGGCGATGATCGACGCGATCGCCCAGAAGGACACGAAAAAAGTAAACATGACACTTATAAGGCGCGCTTCCCCCCTTCCAGTACTTCCCCCAACAACCTCCAGACATGTCTTCTCCGCGCCAGATTGTTTTGTGCTTCGACGGCACCGGGAACACATTCCAAGCCGACGACACGGAAACTAACGTGCTGAGAATATGTCGCATGCTAGAGAAAAGCGACGAGCAACTATGCTACTACCAGCCAGGCATCGGCACCGACACCACACCAGGGTCACTAGCTAGCACGACAATCCGCCGAGGCAGCCCGTTCGGGAGCAGCAAGACTCTTGAGCTGGCGCTGGGCAAGTCCTTCGACCGGCATGTGCTGGGCGGGTATCGGTTTCTGATGCGGCATTACAGGGACGGGGCCAAGATTTTCATCTTTGGCTTCTCCCGCGGCGGGTACACAGCGCGGTTCCTGAGCGAGATGCTCGATTATATCGGCCTGCTCGGGCCCGATAATGAGGAGGTGCTCCCATTCGCCTGGGATGCCTTTAAGATGTGGAAAACGGCGCGCCTCAACGAAACACTGCCGCAGATTCAGGCATTCCAGATCTTAGGTCATTTGCGTCAAACGCTGTGTCGGCCCACGGACCGTGTGCAGTTCCTCGGCATGTTTGATGCTGTGAATAGTGTTGCCGAGTTCGATGTCAATGTCGATGCCACGCCCTCGGCGAGGTTTATCCGCCATGCAGTCAGCATCGACGAGCGTCGTGTCAAGTTCCGTCCAGTTCTGCTGCACTCGCACAACCCCAGCGCTAGGCGGGCCAAGTCGTGGCCGCCTGGCGCGGATCACAAAAAGTCTCGGGGCGATACCCCGCAAGACAAGAGAAAGAGACTCAGCTCTACATTCGGTCCTTCCAGCTCCCGGGAAAGACCAAAACGCTATTCAGCCCTGAGTGACGCCGAATTCTTCGGCGACGACGAGTCCGACGATCTGACCCAGGACGTGTTGGAAGTTTGGTTTCCCGGCGGCCACTCCGACGTCGGCGGAGGCTGGGCAGTAGAAGCAGGCGAGGCACGAGGCCTGAATTACCCGCCACTCGTATGGATGGTGCGAGAAGCCATCCGTGCGGGGATCCGATTCAGCGAGGACAGGTTGACCGAGTTCCATTGCCACGAGGATACTCTTGAGATCGATACCGCGAACACAGACAACGACAACGACAAAAATGATAATGATAATGAAACCTCTTCCAGGGCTCAACTCATCGACACCCTGCAAGCATCAGCACAAGCAGGCCATCTACATGATCTCCTGCGGTATGGGAACGGCCGGCCCTTCATGACCGTGCTTTCCTGGCGACTTATGGAGTATCTCCCGTTCCGGCGCATGGATCTACAGCCTGATGCATCCTGGCGCGATTGTAGATGGCCACCGCCCATGGGCGGTGCTCGCGGTCTCCCGATGGATGCCCTGGTGCATGTCTCGGCTATCCAGCGCATGAGGGCCGACCCATCGTACCGGCCGCCTAACTTGACCCAGGATTTTATCGTACCGAGGGGGAATGCAGATGGCCCGGATGCTGGGGTTAAGCAGTGGGTGGTTCATGGTCACAGAGGTGATCCGGTGCGCGAGACGTATATCCGGAGATATACTTGGTCGGCTTGCCGGGAGCAACATCGCTGATATTTAGCAGAGAGGATGCGGTGTTTTATGTTTGTATATTATGCGACTGTATATTATGAGATACCATTGCATATCACATTCAAATCAAGCGAATTGCTACTAAAATGCGAGACCCTAAAAAAAGTTAACGCTGGAGATGGCCACTGCGATGGAAACATAAGATGCCTTCAAGTTCCCATAGCAGTAAAACTTGGCCTCTTTCGAACATTCTTCCTCCCCCGTTCATTCTCTAGTGCCGGAAAAAACCCGCGCATGTATGGGTAGTTGTCCGACCAGATTCGGCATATGCATCCCGATGACTTAGAACAAGGTCCCTGATATTCGACGCAGCGCCAGCCCGAGCAATCGCAGCGTGAAGTTCCGGGTTCTTAGGGCCGGGCGTTGTGCTGAGAGTGGGCCCCGGTGGGGGGTGGATCGCTGAGTACCGGCTGGTTTTCCCGACTAGACTGGGGGCGGGTTGTGTGTTTAGAGAAAGAGGCTTTTTAATAGCTGCGATAGGAGTTCTTGATGCAGGTTTTGGGGGTTCTATGATTGACAATCTTAGTGAATGGTGATATTGATGCTTGCATTTCTACAAAAAGCACACCCCAGGCCTGGAACATGTCAAGCGGTATTAGCGCATTTGCAGGAATACATCAGTCAATTTTAGAACACGGCCCCAGGCTTCCTGCGTGGGGGCTCAATATCGTGAAGCTGATATGAACCACTATGTCTTCCGCGGCTTGCCGCTAGTTACGATTGATATTATAGGAATTTTCGCTTCGAGCTTCCACATCTGTCTCTGATTGTTCATACGATTGATCTCCTATCATGACAACAGAGAAACCAATAATTCTCTTCATTCCAGGTGCCTGGCACCAAGGAGGCATCTTCGAGCCTGTCGCGAATATACTTCGAGCACAGGGATACCAGGCCGAGCCGATAACATTACCTTCTGTCGGGGGACTAACCTCGACAAATGCCTATGATGACGCCGAACACATTTGCAAGACACATCTAAATGACCTCGTTGCTCAGGGCAAGGAGGTTATTCTTGTCATGCATTCCTACGGTGGCATCCCAGGGACAGAGAGTGTAAAAGGGCTAGCACGCAAAGACATCGCCGCGCAAGGGGAAAAGGTGGAGTCGTCAGCCTCATATATCAATCGGCGTTCCTGGTCACCGCTGGCGCAAGTGTCGAGTCATTTCTCCCAGGTGGATTGGATCGTTTCATGACACAAGAAGTAAGTTTTTTTTTCGTGGCAGATCTGATCAAATAAATCAAATCGGGAGGGTATCAACTCATTATTCAGGGCGACAAAATGTATCCCAAGGATCCCAGAGAAAAGTTCTATAACGACCTCGACGATGAAACGGCTTCGAAGTATCTGGCTGCCATCGTGCACCATGCCCCGGAAACTATGCGCACTCCGCTGACATACGAGGCTTACTGTGATGTGCCTACCAACTATATTCTGTGTACGAGGGATGCAGGTTTCCCGCTTTTTGCGCAGCAGAAGATCGCTGCTATCCCCGGAGAAGGCGTTGTGCGCACGTACTCTGTTGACGCAGGGCACTTTGCGATGTTGAGCCAGCCGCAGGCTGTGGCGGATGTGATTCATGATGTTGCGACGAGAATAGCTGGTTGATGTTTTGATATATTGATATGATGAAAAGTAAATGGCAATCTCCCTTTTTATTATGTTTCTTGCTTGTATGTAGAATAAATTACTTCTCTCCCATGTAAATTGATCAACAGTGTAACTCCAAATCATCAAGGATTCCCATATGTGCCACCTCTTGCTTACTGCGCTGTCACATTGACATACTCCTTTGCCTCTCCCTCAGCGTCGCTCGACTCAGATCTCTCGGGAGTCATTGTCTCACTCGCACTCTCATCCACATCCATTGCGCCTTTCTCGTTCCCAGTATTGCCATCTTCAACGACCACCTTCTTCGTCTTTGTTTCAGGGTCTTTCTGAACCTTCGGCAAAGCGACACTCAACACCCCATCCTTCAAGTTTGCCGTGATCTCGTCTACAATAATAGCAGCCGAATTCTTGCGTGTGCCGATGCGGACTTCGCGCTCAAAGACGCCGATCTCGCGAACCCGCTCCTCGACCGCCAAAGCAAGGTGTAGATCCTCGTTAATTCCGGGTCGGTACACCACACCCGCCAGACGCAGGACCGACTCCTCAGTATCGTAGTCAATGCTCAGGTCCTCCTTCTTTGCTCCCGGGAGCGACACATGCACAATATATTTGGCGGGCGTGTCGAAGACGTCAACGGAGGGCACAAAGTCAACGCCATCCTTTTTCGGCTCGGGGAAGGGGAAGCCAAACTCAGCGGCGATGTTGCGCAGGAAATCAAAGTCCGGGAAGCCGGGTCCGGCAGCGAAAGGCGGTGGGCCGCGATGATGGGGACGGGGACCACCGAACGGGTGGCCATGGAAGCCTCGAGGATGACATCCGTGTCTGCCCTTGCCGCCACGTTCTTTTCCTAGTCCATGGGGGTGGCTGCCGGAACCCGAGTGTTTTCCTTTTCCGCAGTGGCCGTGCCAGCCCTGTTCTTCACCTGAGGACTCGGGCTCCGAAGATCGGGCCTTCTCTTTGTTGGTGTCCTGGTGGGCCTCTTTCGATTTGGAGGGACCAGCTTGGGGTTCGTTGCGCTCCCCTGCTGTGTATGAGTTTGCGGGCTCAGAAGAAGCGCCCTCATTTTGAGGATGACCCCATGCCCAAAATGGAGGGGGGTGATGACGATGCGGATGTGGCTGACCGCGAGGAGCAAAAGCTGGATGATCCTCTAGATTACCGAGGAGATCCCAGAAGGGATTGGGGTGGTTGTTGAGATAGTGGAAAGAGGCCATAGTGAAACAGAGGCGAGAGTAGTTGAGAAAATAAGTAGAGATGGAAGTAAATCAAAGAAGATCCGAGTTGTGATCTGATCCAACTCCTTGAAGAATCAGGCCTCTTTATATACCTTTTGGACATCCCGCCCAGGCAGCGGTACTCGTCATTCCCGGGTCAGTCATATTAGCTTTTGGAGGTCTACGTAGGCCATGCTGCCTGTCGGTTCGCCACTGTTGGGAGATGAATAATTCGTGTTGTTAGCCAAATATACTGCTCGAATGTCCTGGAAGCTTCCAGCTCTCCTAGCTCGGGGAGGCAAATGGAAGCAGGACGCCGTGATCAGATAATCGGGCATGGGCCTAAGTCCGAGGTGACTCAGAGCGAATGTGGCGATGGCCAATACTTTAGCAAAACGGCTGGTTTGGAAATTATGTAGATGGCATTATTCCAGAGAACGAGGATATTCATCATGCAAATAGTGCTTCATTGAAAGCCCAAGTTTCCAGGCCGTAAAACTCGAGGTTGAAATATTTGCGATGTTGACGGTGATGTTGAGTGCCTGAGTATGCCTTGGAATCAGACTGACAAATCGCGATTTATTGCCAAAAATATCAGGCATTCAATAGATCACATGACCTGTCTCATTCATCTCTTCGCTCTCTCCCCTTCTCTTCGATTCTCACATTCACTCTGCAGCTTCTATCATAGCCTGCAAAATGTCAAGGCCGTGACCGTCCATGTGAATAGTTTGTTCCTGATCCTCCCGATCAACATTGGCACGTGCGATCTCTCCCTCACCGAGAGCCCCGAAGGGTTCCGGCATTCTCCACGAGCTTAACAGATTGCTTGAAGCAGCCGCTCGTCCCATCAAATGTTTACGGAAGGATGAGAATCCGAGGCCGGATGGTTCGCAGAGTGGAGCTGACCAGAGAATTGAGCCCAAGTTTCCGACCCGAGTCTTTCCCTTCGGCCCTGCCGACCATGAAGTCATGAATGTGTCAGCGAAAAGGCTAGCTAACCTACTATATAGTCAGCTGCCCGTAGAGCCTGATGGATCCTCAAAAAGAACAATTGCTGCGTGTAGGCGACTGACATACCAATATGTGCGCGGCCATGCTTCCTCGGCCATCCAGCGCAATGGCGCCTCTGCGTTGTCAGGCCCTGCGTCTTCCACCATTCCTTTGCCCTGCCTACCAGTTCTATTCGGCACATGCCTCATCCCACAATGGCAAGCATACTCGAAGATATCTTGCGACACATGCCGAACACTCCCGCGCTCTCCCGGAGTCCGAGCTCCATAAGGAACGAGTCGTTATTCTCGGGTCCGGCTGGGGTGGATATACCATCTCGCGCAGACTTTCGCCAAAGACCTACTCGCCCATTATCATCTCCCCTCGCTCGTATTTTGTCTTCACCCCCCTCCTTACCGACGCGGCCAGTGGATCGCTGGACTTTTCCAACATCGTTGAACCCGTGCGAGACCCCAGCGCCAAGGTCGATTTCATCCAAGCCGCTGCGCGCGCGGTAGATCTCAAGAAGAAGACTGTCCTGTGCGAAGCAACTGTCGTCAAGAGCGGCGTGACGGAAACCCCACGCACTTCTGACGAAGAAAGAGACACCGATGAAGGCCCGGAAGCCACTTCGAAGCAGCCTATGGAGGCGCAGCGCCGATGGGAGCAGGGAGAAACATTCGAAGTCCCATACGACAAGCTTGTCGTTGCCGTGGGTACTGTCAGTCGCACATTTGGCACGCCGGGAGTGCGACAGAATGCGATGTTTTTCAAGGATATTGGAGACGCCAAACGGGTGAAGCGACGCGTACGTGAATGCTTCGAGCTGGCTGTCCTGCCAACAACCAACCCCGATATGCAAAAATGGCTGCTGCACTTTGCCATCGTCGGTGCTGGTCCCACCGGCACAGAACTCGCGGCATCGTTGCGCGACTTCATCTATTCGGACATAATGGCCCTCTACCCGGCCCTGAAGGGAATCCCACAGATCACTTTGTATGATGTCGCGCCGCAGGTGTTGTCAATGTTTGATGCGTCGCTGTCCCAGTACGCAATGGAAACGATGAAAAGTGAAGGCATCGCTATCAAGACATCTCACCATGTGCAGCACCTGCGCTGGGGCCCGCCGGGAGCCAGCCCGCCTCATGAAATGGATCCCAAGCGTTGCCTGACCCTAACCACCGAAGAGGAGGGCGAAGTTGGCATCGGCATGTGTGTGTGGGTCACTGGCAATGCCATGCCCAAGTTCATCAGCCAGTCGCTGGGGTCGATCGATGCTTTCCCAACGGACTCCGTTCACTCGTTAGACGCCGGGTCAACCCCACCTGCAAAAATCGAAGAGTCATCGTGGCAGTTCAAGAAGGCTCCCAAAACGGGTGCTTTGCTCGTTGACGGGCATCTCCGCGTGCAGCTACAGGATGACGCGGGGCACACTGCCGTGCTGCGAGACGTCTTCGCACTGGGCGACAATGCTATGCCAGAGACGGGTGCCCCTCCTGCGACAGCACAGGCGACTTTCCAAGAAGCCAAGTGGCTGGCTTCCCGCTTGAATCGCGATGACATGGCGCAGACGCCACCGTTCTCCTTCCGCAACCTAGGCACAATGGCGTACATTGGGAACGAGAGAGCACTGATGCAGATCCCGCACGAGAGCACCGATGGTGGTACGCGCAACAAGCTTCTGCCCGAGGGTATTAAAGGTCGCACGGCGCGGCTAGTGTGGAATGCGGCGTACATCACCATGAGCATCAGCTGGCGGAACAAGCTGCGGGTGGCATTCCGATGGACATTAAACAAGCTGTTTGGAAGGGACGTGTCTCGCTTCTAGGTGTAGATAGTGTAGATAGCGTAATCTCAAAAGCATATGCTATTTCAAGTCTCAAGTAAATCGTCGGCACGCGGCTATCAGCCACGACCGAGGTTTTTCTCCACATTTCCCCGCAGACCTTGACTACCTTAACTCGTCGGCTCGCGTTCTCCAACTTTTCTTCCTTCATCCACCATGGCCGCCCACGAACCATATGTGGCAGTTGCCCAGCGCAAGCAATCTCAACTAGCAGCCACTATTCCCGCCGAATGGCGACTGCCAGCGCATCTGATCCCCGAGGGAATGCTCTCGCCCGCCGAGTCGATCACCGAGGGCCCGAAGCGGTATGGGAAGGTCAACGTGATGGAGATTCCACGGACATGTGGAATTCTGACACCCAAAGAGCTGGAAATCACCGAGAACTATGATGTTCGAGGATTAATAGCGGAAATGACGGGGGGGCGATTGACAGCCGAGGAAGTGGTACGGGGGTTCTGCAAGGTGTGTTGCAACGGGCTCGTTCGTCTACTGGATCTATGCAGAATTCTAATTTGTTTCAGCGCGCGGCAATCGCCCATCAGCTCACGCGCTGCCTGACAGAACCTCTGTTTGACCGCGCCTTGCAGCGAGCTCGGGACTTGGACGACCATCTCCAACGCACAGGCACCCCCGTCGGCCCATTGCATGGCCTGCCCGTGTCGGTGAAAGACACATTCTGGGTCGAAGGGGTTGACTCGAGTATTGGATTATCTGCACTGGCATTCAAGCCCGCATCGTCCAATGCTGCGCTGGTTGAGCTGCTGCTGTCCCTCGGGGCCGTCGTGATCACCAAGACGAACCTGCCCCAAACAATGGCTACCTTGGACAGCTGCAACCATCTTTTCGGGCGGACGCTGAACCCGCTGAATCGACAATGGACGGCGGGTGGCAGTTCAGGTGGCGAGGGCCCGCTAATCGCTATGCGGGGGTCGATGGTTGGATTTGGTACTGACATCGGGGGCAGCATCCGCATTCCGGCAATGTGCCAGGGCATTTACGGATTTAAGCCAAGTGTTGGACGCGTGCCGTATGGAGGCCAGGAGAGCGGGCAGATCCCAGGCAAGGGCCGCATAGCGCTTCAGCCCGTAGCGGGCCCGCTCGCACGGTCAGTCGCGGACCTCGGCGCCGTCATGGCGGAGATTGTGCCGCGCGCTGAGCTGTTCGGCGAGGACGGGATCCCTGGGTTCTGGCCGTCACTGTCGGTTCCTGCGCCGATCACTCCGCCGCGGAACTTCACTGTTGGAATCCTTAAGACAGATGGTCTCGTCACCCCGTTGCCTCCTATCAGCCGCATCCTCGACGAAGTTGCCCACCTCCTGCGCCGTACCCCGGGCGTCGAGGTGGTTGATATTTCGCTGCCCGCTGCACTTCCTAAATGTCAGGGCCTTGCCAATCGTCTTATGGGCGTCGATGACGGGTCCAACATGCTCGATCTCATTGAAGGCATGCGCGAGCCACTCATGCCCTGGCTTCAGGGCCGCATTAAGCGCAGCAAAGCGCTTACTGTCACCCAACTGGCACAGCTACAAGCACAGCGCAGTGAGATCGAGAAGGAAATGATGAAGATGTGGACTCTGTCTGCCCTATCCTCATCGACCTCATCAGCATCTCGAGCAAGACGTGTCGATGCTATTATCTGTCCCATTGCCCCACACCCAGTCCCGGAACTCGACCGGTATAATGCAGTTGGGTATACCTCCACTTTCGTGCTACTCGACTATCCTGCTGGCGTGGTTCCAGTCCGGCCATTTGCCGAGTCGGATCTCGAGACCGGGCGCGAAATGGATGCGCCTGTGCTCGGGAGCTGGGATAAGGCTAACCGGCAGCTGTGTATGTTTCCTATCCACTTCTTTCTTTTTCGGAGGCATTGCTAACAATAATCGGTTTGATTGAATAGGGAACGAGAAGACCGTCGACCGTCGTGTGTACTTGGGCTCGCCACTCAGTGTCCAGGTACTTACTCCGAAGCAGCATGACTATGACCTCTTCCGGGCCATGGAGATTGTGGATCGAGCGGTGCAGGGGCGTTGGGGGACGCACAGTGCTAAGCTTTGATGGTTGTATATAGTAAAGACAGACGTAAATACAGATATCGGAAGTCTAATGAGGGTTATCATGACTGGTTTACAATTATCAGTGGATACCATGGATATCATTCAATCTGATCTTGATGATGAGAATGAGGATGCAGATGTTAATAAATAGGTGATTATACCATCCCACCTTTCCACACTACACCTACAACCTCCCCTTCAGCACCGCTCCACCATCCGTCGCAATCACCGCACCATTCAAATGGCTCGAAGCCCGCGACCCCAAAAACACCACCAACCCAGCAATATCCTCGGGCCGACCCAGCCGCCCATTCGGTGAGTATTCCTCCAGGCTCTCTAACCCGCCTTTCATTTTTATCAGGCCGCTCGCCATCTTTGACGGGAAAAACCCAGGGGCGATGGCGTTGGTCAGGACATGGCGAGGTCCCAGTTCCACGGCGAGATTCTTGGCCAGGTGGATTGCTGCTGCTTTGGAAGCTGAGTAGCTGGGTGTGGCGTTCTCGCCAACGGTTCCGATGCCGATGCCTGCGACGGAGGCTGTGATGATGACCCGGGCCGGGTCGTCGCGGGTTGCGTTTGTGGTGAGGAGGGGGGTGAATCTATTTCCATGATGAGCACTTCCTTTCTGGGTCCCAAACACTGGAAGGAAAAAAAAAAAAAAAAAAAAAAAAACATACTTCTGGATCGTGTAGAACACGCTCTTCACATTCAGATCCATCACCTTGGAAAACATCTTCTCCGGGTGCGTGTCGAACTTCTCGCCCCACGTCGCCCCGGCATTGGCGAACAGGATATCGACATGGTCGGTGGTCTTGCGCACCTCGGCGACGAGGCGGTCCAGCTCGTCCATGCGCGAGCTGTCGGCGGGGACAGAGATAGCCTGTGCGCCGGTCCGCTTGTTGGGGAGCGCATTCAGGGCGGCCACAGCTTCGTCGCAGGCGGCCTTTTTGCGCGAAGTGATATACACTTTGGAGCAGCCTGCTTGGAGAAGACTGTCCGGATCCGAGCAGAATTAGAATTTGCAGTGGAAATTTATAACATAGGAACGATGTAGCAAGTTCAAAGACGGGGAAACAAACCCGGAGGCTGCGTGCAGTCCCAGACCTCGCGAACCGCCTGTTACGACGGCGACCTTGCCCTCGACGGAGAAGATGCCGGGGAAGTTGTCCAGTTGGACCTGTTCATCGGCGGACATTTTGGATTTTGATTGCTGTTTCGTCGCTGCTGTTTGGATATAGCCGATGAAAGAGAAATTGGCGGTGGAAGATTCAATCCGGGCTGGTGCGACAGCTTGTATACTCCGATTGACCGAGGCTCATCGCGACATCCGAGCAACCCCGCAAACCTGGCCGATTAATAATCACAATATACAAGAGCATTGGAAATTAAATATCAATAAAGAATATTTTCTGTTTATTGAGGGAAGACAATGGGTATTCACATCAGTGGAGTGTCTGGTGGCGGGCATGTACTGCAATTGGCGAGACAACAGGGCAATCGAGGTATGCTGGAGTTAACAGTTGGTGTCTGCCAATGAGCGAGCAATCATATTCACTGTTAGTGGCCGCTTATACCTCAGCCAGACAACATATTTCATGCTTTTCTCGAGTGTCAAGGGCCAAATTTAAAAGAACGGCAAAATATGGCTGTGCCCTAATGACAGTCCCAGGCATGCCCCCAGTGGATCCAAAATGTGCTCAATATCGCGCATCTCCCAAATACACCGCGACAGCACTATCCGCTCAAACCCGCTCATCTGGAGGGGCATGGCGGGGTCTACCTTGGTGGCCATGACTGACGTGCTCGGAAAGCGTTAAGAGGGGCATTGCCTGCACCAGAGGACCTTGGGGACATATCTGCGTTCATATAGACCTCGGGCGGACCTCTTTATCTTTTGCTCTGCTCTATTCTTCTTCTCAGATACCCATATTCGACACCATCAACCATCATGGCCGCCCAATTCCACACTCTCCCGCCCCTTCCCTACGCCTACGATGTTGGTCTTCAACTCCTGAGTCTAGGGGCAGTAGAAACAGAAAGCTAAGCAAAACAAAACCCCAAACAGGCCCTCGAGCCCGTCATCTCCAAGCAAATCATGGAGCTCCACCACCAGAAGCATCACCAAACCTACATCAACAACCTCAACGCCGCCCTCTCGGCCCACGCCTCGGCCACGCAGACCAACGACGTCCCAACACTGATCTCGCTGCAGCAGAAGATCCGCTTCAACGGCGGTGGCCACATCAACCACTCTCTGTTCTGGAAGAACCTGACTCCTCCTGGCACGCCGGGCAACGACCTGGCCGGTGCGGCGCCCACTCTGCGTGAGGCTATTGTCTCTCGGTGGGGATCTGAGGCTGCGTTCACTGAGGCCTTTAACCAGACGCTGCTCGGTCTGCAGGGGAGCGGATGGGGTTGGCTTGTGAGCTCGGGCGGTGCTCGCGGTCGTCTTGAGATTGTCACTACCAAGGATCAGGACCCTGTGACGGGGCCTGATGTGCCCGTGTTTGGTGTGGATATGTGGGAGCATGCGTACTACCTTCAGGTGAGATTGTCCTTCTTCACTCTCTTCCGGATATAAACTAATCAGGGTAATGTAGTACCTCAACAACAAAGCCGGATACGTCCAGGGGATCTGGAAGATTATCAACTGGGCCGAAGCCGAGAAGCGCTTCACTGCAGGTGTGGAGAACCCTGTGAAGCTGTAAATGAAGTTTTCCATGAATCCACCCTCCAAGATCAGATATCTTTGCTAGATCTCACCCGGATCGTGCCATTCTCCCAAATAATGATTGACGTGATTTGGATATAAACTTCACTCAAGCTGTATATCACTAAGCAGCTTTAACGATGAGGTTAATTGTAGCCCACGACACCAACTCCCAAGACTGCCCCTCCGGCCTCTCGGACTGTAACTTGTCGTCCCACGATACCTTTCTCCGAGACGCCCAGGTCCAGCCTTTCTGGCAGCTCGAATTCCATTTCTGTTTGACTTCCCCGTGATTGACTCTGGTCCTGGCTCATGTCCAGTTGGAATTGGTGAAGTGGAGGCGTTGCCGGGGCTGATGTGGTAAGATCTCCATATTTCCTAGAAAAAGTATGTATGAGACTACTGGTCCATACCCAGAAAAAAAGACAAAGAATTAGAACAGGGAGTGCTCACTCTATACGCATATCAACTTGGCGGCATCCACGAAGTGTCTGGTATGTATCTGTGTCATCCATACGAAAGACGGCTTTGGTCTTGCGGTCTGTATCAGTGTCGCGGAAAAAGAGTGAATAGGATGACATGGAAAGGGAGGAAGATGCGTAAGAAGCGACCGAGCTTGGGGACGAGGAAAGCGATTGCTGTGGCGAGGCATTGAAATTGGGCGTTTCGCGGGGAAATAGCACCGCAATGGTGCCTCCGAAGCTGGGGCGGCTGCTTTCACCGTTGCACATCTTCAAGTCAAAATGAGGCAGAGAAACAGAGTATTTAGGGCAAGGAATATGTATGGGTGACTGTACAAGTGAGTGGTTAATTATGGAAAGCAGAAACTAAGCCCAGCTATATACGTCTTCTCCCCCCTCCTTACCCCCAAGGTTGCTCACCCCCAAGGTGTCTGAGAGGGATCGAGCAGATATGAGGCCGATGCTCTGTCGATCTCACCTGCTCAAATCCGCGCATGGTGGGGCGCGGTGGGTCCGGCGGAATCGGCCATCGTGCAGAATTAATCACAGCCTCAGGCTGTAATAGTAGCCTGAGGCAGAGTTTACTCCAGCCTGAGGCATGATTCCAGGGAGTGTCTTGTGTTTGTCCAGTTCTTTCCTTCACTTCGATATGGTCAATTTTGCCAATTCCCATCAAATCGGCTTCATCATGGTGGTGTGCACGATTATCCCCCGTCGGCGGGCTCTCGCTGGTCGACCCCCTCAGAGCCCCTCTTGACTCCAGCCAGCACCAACTCCTTGCATCATCCCACCATGCAACATCCGCAGTCATCAGCCCCGGAATACTATGATCTGGGCAGTTTCCATCGTGATGTCACCACCTCCAGTAAAGATGCACAGGTCTGGTTCAATCGCGGCCTGATTTGGGCCTACGCCTTCAATCATCAGGAGTCGGTTCGGTGCTTCGAACAGGCTGTGGCGTACGACCCGGCCTGCGCAATGGTATACTGGGGCCTTGCTTTTGCTCTAGGACCCAACTATAATAAACCATGGAAGCTCTTCGATGGAGAAGATCTCTCAAGCACCACGACGCGCGCTCATCGCGCCGTGGTAGAAGCGAAGAAGCGTGCTGTCACGGCGACGCCTGTAGAGAGTGCTCTCATCGATGCTTTGCAATTCCGCTATCCACAGGAGCTGCCTGCTGATGACTGCTCCCAATGGAACTATCAATATGCCAAGGCAATGACCTCGGTCTACCAGGCTTTTCCGGATGACCTGGATGTTGTCACACTGTATGCCGATGCCCTGGTGAACTTGACCCCATGGAGCTTGTGGGATCTGGCCACGGGTCAGCCGGCACCAGAGGCACGTACATTCGAGGTCAAGCAAGCTTTGGACCGTGCCTTATCTCGAGAAGATGCTCTCCGGCATCCTGGTCTCTTGCACCTCTATATCCATCTAATGGAAATGTCTGCTACTCCAGAAATGCCACTCCCGATAGCAGACCATCTCCGGGGTCTAGTCCCAGATGCCGGTCATCTCGAGCACATGCCCAGTCATCTAGATCTTTTGTGTGGTGACTACCGCCGTGCAGTGGCCGCCAACACGTCTGCAATTCGCGCGGACGAGAAGTTCCTGGCAAATCAGAGCCTCGGCCACTTCTACAACATCTACCGTGCGCATGACTATCACTTCCGGCTCTATGCAGCTATGCTGGGAGGCCAGTCGAAAATTGCACTGGACACCGCCACAAGTCTGGTGGAATTCATCAGCGAGCCCCTGCTTCGTGTTGAATCTCCTCCCCTGGCTGACTGGCTCGAGGGTTTCATCGCCATGCGTGTGCACGCCCTTGTCCGTTTCGGGCGCTGGGAAGAGATCCTCGACCTGGAGCTCCCGACTGATAGCCACCTATACTGTGTGACTACCGCCATGGCACTATACGTTAAAGGGATCGCGTGGGCAGCCACCGGCCATGTCACCGAAGCTAAAAAGCAGCGAGAATTATTCCGGCAGGCATTCGAGCGCGTTCCCTCGTCACGTACTATCTTCAACAATCACTGCCGGGATATCCTCGGTATAGCGGAAGCCATGCTTGAGGGAGAGATCGCATACCGCTGTGGCGATTACGACACTGCGTTCACTCACCTCCGCACAGCAGTCGCGCTAGATGATTCCCTGCCTTATGACGAGCCGTGGGGTTGGATGCAGCCAACTCGACATGCGCTGGGAGCCTTATTGCTCGAGCAGGGCCGGGTTGAGGAGGCCATGGAGGTATATGCTGCAGATCTGGGGATTGACGAGTCGCTGCCCCGTGCGCTACGGCATCCAAATAACGTGTGGGCTTTGCATGGCTACCACGAGTGTCTGACGAAGCTGGGGCGGACGGCGGAAGTGCGCATCTTGACGCCACAGTTGCGGTTTGCGCTGGCCATTGCGGATGTGCCCATCCAGTCATCATGTTTCTGTCGACGGGGGAGCGGAGAGCCGCCAGCCCGCTCACACTGACCATGCCACGTATATTTCCTCTATTTTTCAGCGTTATATCTCATCGACATTTTCCATCTTTAGCATCCTCACTCCGGGCCTTTTTTTTGGATACCTGAGGATATTGTATCTATTTCGAGACATCACAACTTACTTTATCCCTTCAGGCCCCCGATTGCCAAGGCGATCGACACCAAGACCATTACCTTTGGCGGATCGGCAGGCTGTGTTGCTGCAACGGGCAATGATTCGCCGGGGATGACTTCAAAGTAGGTGAAGCTGGAGGCATGGCGATACTTAAGAATGGCATGCCATCCTAGACATACTCAAATTTGACTGTCACGTTATCAAATAGCCGGAAGCCTCAACCACTGTCAAACCCAAGCCCTAACTTGTACCTCCAGCCGTTGGAACTATCTCGAAGATGCCGCCCAACTTCTACGAGCAGACTATTCCGGCCTGGTGCATCGAGGCCGTGCCCCGGCCCTACAGCCGATGGCTATCCTTCCTCTCGCTGCGCTTCGTGACAGTCCTGACTTCGATGATAGGGGTTATCTGCTACGCCTGGGGTCTCCCGTTGCAACAAGGGGGCCTGGTGTATAGCGATGGAGTCGGGCCCGCACTGGCATCGAGCAACTTGGGCACGGTGAGTGTCGAATAGCCGAAGATGTTCCTGATAGAAAAGCAGATCTGTCCCCTGACACCTGCATACTGGTCACAACAGGCTGCCTACGGATTCCTCTGGTCCAGCTCCGTCATCCTGGTCGTCGTTGCCTTCAACTGCGCCGTACACCCGGGCGCCACCATCACCTTTGACCTCCTGGCCATGGCGGGCCAGATTACCACTGCTGTCTGGGACATGTATGAGCTGGGCTATTACCATGACTTTGGGGTCGAACGCTGGTCGAGGGGGCGCGAGCGGCGACTTATCGGGGTTGAGGTCTTTGCGGCGGTTATGATGCTGGTTGGATCGTGAGTTCCCTTTCTCCAACTGATGAACTATGCTCTTTCGTACTCTTTTCTGGTTGGTATGTATTCTTCTGACTCTCATAGAATCTGCTACTTCGTGCTGCTTGTGTGGGGCTCGACGACTTGCCATGTTCACCGCAAGCGTGGGAGCCGGGACAACAAGTCACTGGAGACTGCGTGAGATATCAGTCTGGCCTGGCCAGTTCTTTGGTGATATGAAGCGATGAATCATGAGCAGTGGCCCATTCTACCGCACCTCCATAATGTTCAATTGGTCTCTGATGATCCGATGTTGATTTTATGTCTAGTAATATTTAATTTCTAATGACTGTCGTTGATCCTATTAATAAGTAGTCATTCTTGCTCTTCAGAAAAAATACTATGGAAGTACATCCACAGGAACGAATAAAAATATCAAGTCACATCGAAGATGAGATCACTCCGACCCCATCGTAACACAAAGTACCTCGGACCAAAAAAGTTACCGAGCAGCCAGATCACAGAGTGCCAACGTATTGGCTCATGTGGTACGCAGTGGTGCGGCCATTGTCCCCGTGCGCCCACTTGGACACCATCAGATGCAAGTCATTCTTCTTGGAGGTCGACCAAGGGTGAATAAAGCCACCATAGAGGTTGGGCTCCTGCTGCCAAGTGACCTGAACAGTCTCCTTGGACCAAGGCTGGTCAGGACCCTTGGCCGTGCGCGACACGATGTGCGGGCCTGCCAGATCCAGATACACCATGGCCCAAGTACCATCACTCAGCTTGCGCACCGAGGGCTCCCCAAACTTGCCCTCAAGAATAGGCGAGCAGGGCCGGCCCCAGCCCCAGTCCTTGCCATTCCACCCCCAGCCCTGGTAGGCAGCCTTGTCGGCCATCTTGTCCCACGGCACGCGCTGCAGCATCATGGGCCCGGCCTGGCGGCCAGCGCGCACGGAGAACACGTAGACCCAGTTGCCGTCGCGCTGCATCGTCCACATCTGGAAGGGGTCCGAGTTGTCGTCGGGGTTGGGCCACTTGACGTCCAGGCGCGTGAACTTGTTCCCGTCCTTGGAATGCGCCAGCCCTGCATAGTTGGTCGACCACGGGTCCCACGACTTGATGCTCATGAACGAGACGATCTGCTCCTTCGTCTCGGGGAAGCTGATCCCGTCGTTGGGGATCACGGACACCTCGTCTGTGCCCGTGCCCGTGCCGTCGTCGCCGCGGTGCCCGTTGTGCGTGATCTCCGGCGCTAGTCCGTCGTGCGCTACGCCCGCCGCGCTGTCAAAAACAATCCCCTGCTCGTCGCTGGGGTGCGCGGCCGAGCGCAGCAATACTGGCGACCGCCAGTCGTGCTGGTCGTCGGGCCACTGCGTGCTGAACGTGTCGCCGAACAGGTACCCTATCGCGCCGTTCTCCAGCACGTAGGGGATGCCGAGATCTGTGCCGGCGACGCCCCAGCGGTGTCCGGTGTCGAGATCTTCGCCCGTCAGCCGCTTCTTGTAGACGGACTGCCCGTTTTGGGCGGCCGCAAGCGTCGCCAGCAGGAGGGAGGGCACCAGGAGCTGCATTGTGTTGCCGTTGTGATTGGAAGTAATTGAGTTTCTGGAGGATTGGCTCTTCACCGACTCAAGAGACAAAATACGAGACGACCCTGGCCATTTGACCTGATTTATATATGCGGCTGACAGCAAAGACATACAAAAGAAGGGTCGATCGTCATCTCAGCCCTTTGGATCATGGCACTGCCGGCTGAATAGACTTTGGGTATGTTGAGGCTATGACTCGTATTTGGAGTGGCAGAGCCATTCAGAGACAGAAAAACTGGAGACGAACAATGCAGGAACACGATCAAGGGTTCCACTTCCAAGGGTGGCACCGGACGATCGACGGGAAAATACGAGTGAAGAGTTAAGGGGGGGCTGATGTGAACAGGCAGCCGATTCAAACCCTAAATAGGAGGCAGTGATCGCCATCTTCAACTTTCAGGCTGTGTGTTGGATCTCGTATCGTGTCAAGATTTGTTGAGTGTGGGTTGTTGGCTCAGACATAGTTCCAAACCCTAAGTCGCAGCTCGTATTGCATGTTGATCGTGGTAGTTCTCTCTTGAGAGAGACAATAGACCCAAAGACCAAAAAGGACAAGGGAAAAAAAAGTATATAAAGACCCCGACAGAATCCCAAACAATCGCTTCTTCCATCCTCACTTCATCCCATCCTCTCTCATATCAAACAATATGTCGCTCAAGCTCCTCGTCGCAGTCCTCCCAGCCCTGGCCCTGGCCTGCACCGGGCCCCCGGTCAACGAGAACGGGCTGAATCTCCTCAAGAGCTTTGAGAAGTTCGAGCCCAACCCCTACGACGACGGCTATGGCAACCCGACCATTGGCTACGGCCACCTGTGCCCCGATGCCAGCTGCTCGGACGTGCCCAACAAGCCGCTGACGGAGGAGAGCGCGAGCCAGCTGTTGGCGAATGACATGAAGGTACACAAAGAACGCCTTACATTATTTCTCTGTCTGAATTCTGTGAATAATTTTTGGACTGACATACTGACACATACAAACAGGGCTTCCAAGACGCCCTCACCAACGCCCTCGCCCAGCCCGTCACCCTGAACGACAACCAGTACGCGGCGCTGGTGTCATGGACCTACAACATCGGCAATGGCAACATGGCCAAGTCCGACCTGGTCAAGCGCATGAATGCCGGCGAGGACGTCGTCAAGGTCGCCAGCGACGAGCTGCCGCAGTGGAACAAGGCTAACGGCCAGGTCTCCAATGGTCTGGTGCGCCGCCGCAAGGCTGAGCTTGATCTTTTCAATGCCCCTGCTAAGTTCGGTGCTCTGCCTGCTCCTTGCTAAATTTCACTGCCTACTATCTATCCTGCCTGCCTACCTACCTAGAGTAGGTCCGAGTATTCGACTTCTGGCTGGTGAATTGCTCGAGTGATGCTTGGGAGGAATAGGAAAAAGAGGCAATCTCGAGTCGAGACTGGAGAGTTAGATGTTTTATAACATGCCTTGCCAGCTGAGATTTTATTGATGCCTGTGTATGAGGGCTGATCGGTCATTCGTTTGAACCTATGACATACCCATATAAATGCTTGAAAATATCCCGATTTTCTTATCCATGGAAATGGCCTGTTTCTGGTTTGGGGGCCAGTCGTAGATCCCATAGATAATGGAATGATCGAGTAAAACTACATGCTGGATACATAGAAGGTAGGGCTTATAAAAACCAAGGCTGTTCAGTTGTAGAATTGTACTATCGACGTGAGGCAAATGATGGTCTTCCTAACTGCGCACCACGCGCATAGGATGGGCCTCGGTGTTATAGACAAAGGCGTTCTTATCACCTTCCTGGACCTGCCACGGAGCATCTAAAACGATGTTAGTATATATCCCATTAAACCTCCAACGCGGTGCAACATACCTTCCGCGTGTGCGAGGTACGCGTATTTCAGCACCTCGGCATACAGGAAACTCTCCTGACTGTCGTCCTTGGAACCGCCGTGGGCCGTGTTCACATTGGTGATGGCTGCAAAGCCCGAGTCGGTGCGGCAGGTGGCATTGATGGCTACGAAGGCATTCCAGACCCAATCGCGGTACTATACAATTTGTTAGTAAAAGCAACAGAAACATAAGGGAGGAAACACTGACAATTTCCTTGCCCGTGATCCGGTGCGCGTAGTAGAAGCTTTCAATGACCTCGGGCCGGAGCACATAGTTGCCACTGGAGATATAAAAGCCGGCGCGCTCGTAGAAATCCTTCTGGTCATTCGGAACCTTCTCCGGATCCCACCCCCATGAATCCGGACCGATCTTGGTCAGGGTCTGGTTGTAGGTGGCCTCGCAGCCGTGCACAAGCTCCAAACCAAAGTCGATAAACTCCTGGCGGTCCAGCACACTGCCACCAAGCAGGAAGCTACCGCCATCAAAACAGGTGAGGTGCTGCGAGCTGAGGTATTTCTTGCCGTTGTTGTACGAGGACAGGAAGGTCAAGTCCGGACGGGGCTTGGGGTGCGCTTGCAGGTGTTTAATGGTCGATTGGGCCGCAAGCACCCAGCGATCCTTGTACTTCTCGAACCGCTTGGGGTCGTACACGTACATCTTGATCAGGTACTCGTAGAACGAGTCGTCACCGCCGTCCCACGAGACCATGCCATCTGCAAACTCGCCCGTCTTGATGTTGATGCTGCTTCCCACGAGCCCGGGGAACGGCTCTCCGCTGGACGGCTTCGGGTCAAGCAGGTACGACTGCGCCTTCTGGCTGAGTTTAGCATACTCGTCATCGCCAGTCAAGTCAGACAGTCGCGTCCACTCGAGGACTAGTGTTCCCGTCACCGCAAGTCCATTGGTGCTGGAGCCGTCGGTACGCCGACCGGTGATGTTGAGATTGTTGTGCGGCACCCCAGAGGGGGTATCGAAGGCGAACTTGAGTACATTGGCCAACTTCTTGGACTGAGACAGCAGCTCATCCACCTGGTCGGACTTGCGGACCAGATTCGATGCAGGGCCCGTCAGTAAGTCGTAGCCCGACAGCATGCCAGCCAAATAACGGATGGTGGTCTCGAACAAGCTGACCTCCTCGGAGGTCTTGGTGAAGTCGATTTTAGGGATAAAGTCAAGGATGGTGTTGACCGCGTCTGTATCACCCATAATAATCGCCGTCGACAGTGCATCCACCGCAGAAGCTCCCCATCCATTTCTGGAATTGTGTCAGTTCGCGCATCGGGACCCCCGGTGTGATTCGAGATCTTGTTCTCAAACTTACCGCGAGTCTCCATATCCGTTGCTCACCGGGCGCAGCTCGTCGTGCGGAAATGCATATTTGGTATATCCTTTCCATGCATGTTGGAACGCCTCCTTGACCGCGTCGGCCTTTTCTTGATTTTTCGACTGGCGGCGCAGGACGGTTTCAGGGTCGGCATGGGGCAATGCGGCAGTTAATCCCACCAGACTCGTGGCCAGGGAGAGTAGCGGGAGCGAAGTGATGCGCATGATGCGAGGATCGTGGTATCAATATCTATAGACAGGACGGATGCGACTATACTAGTAATAACCCAGTGCTGGGGTGTGACGGGCACCACAATCCCGCAGAGAGAAAGAGCAAGAGAGTCGAGAGAGAGTCGATAAATGAGTGACAGACGGGCCCTGGGTAAGTATAAAAAGTGATGCACGGGGGAATGCGAGTCAGGTCGCAAATCAGCGGGGGGAAATAATAAACAAAAAAATCCCCGGCAAAGAGGAGAGAGGCAGTCACGATGTTTACAGAGTTGCATTCCGCAGGAAAGAGAAACCTCGGGGGATCTGCAAGGGCTCCATCGGACTAGGAATGCGTCCATACATGGCACCTTGCATCGTCCACTCCGAGGTCCACGGGAGTCACATCCCTGATGCTCTGTGGACTGCAACAGAGAATGACCCAAAATTCAATCAGCTCGGAGCGGCCCCGCAAGCACTTGCAACCTTCCCCTCAGACTGCGATGTGATGCAGACCGTGGGCTCTTTCCAGTCGAGTATCCCCATGTTGGGTATTTCCTCTGCAATTAATCCCGGGGATCTTGCATTCTCTTGTCGTGATCACACTACAAGCTAACCTTCGTTCGCTCAGGCGACTTTGAAAGATGTAGTAGAGAATAGAAATTAGACTTTAAAGGGCTTATTAACTATATTCGATCCTGTTTGAGAGGGTTTATTTTTTTATTAAATATATCGATAGCTATCTTACTACTACTAATATTCTTCTCTCTCTTTACTTAGAGAATTGTTTTCTAACCCTTTTCCTAATCCTCTATTTAATCGATTTTTTTTTAAATAAATATCTCTTTCTCTCTTTTCTCTAGTTTCTTTAGGGTGTATAGAAGGTCGGGGAGTAGCGAAGTCGAATTCTCCCAGATTTTCTGCAACCGACTTCACATCTTCTTATATTACTAAATTGACCCCGACTCTATCGATGCAGACGGGGGATCTGCTCTCGCATGGTCCACTTGGGCTCCCCGGATGCCCTAAACACCCCGGTGGATCCCCATCCCACTTGCCAGGAGGGGGTGTGAATTTGTCAGCCTTGGGCTTCCAGGTTGATGTCACAGTCGAGATAATTTCTTGCTCACTTAGAAACTTCTCAATCGGTTACTGGCAGCATGGGAGCACCGCCAAACACAGCCCTGGTCGTTCGGGCGCCAGAAGGCCAATCGCCAACGCTGGTCAAGGAAGAACTTCCCCTGCCTTCCCCAGGACAGGGACAAGTGCAGGTGAAGGTGTCCCATGTGGCTCAGAACCCTACGGATGGTAGGTTTGGGGATTGCTCTCTTGCAGTTTTCAATTTCCGCTAATATTCGAAAGTCCAAAGCTTTGATGCAAACGCCTTTGGCGACGGGGTAGTCCTCGGCTGTGATTTCGTCGGAGAGGTCACCGAGCTGGGCAGTGGGGTCACTCGCCTAGCCAAAGGTGATGTGGTGGCTGGTTTGATCTGGGGAGGTGAGTTCCTGGTCTTATCTCCCCGGTTCCGTCGAGTACGGCTGATGAAGAATTGAACATGACCAGGCGAAGTGGCAGGACTGGGAGGATACAGCCAATACAGCATCGCAGATCAAAATGTCTCTTTCAAGGTCCCAGCGAGCATTTCGCGGGAGCAAGCAAGCACAGTCCCCCTGGCTGCAGCCACAGCATGGCTCGCCCTGTTCTCCAAGGACTGCCTGAGCCTCGATCGCTCCAAAGCTTCTGGTACCAGTGTACTGGTGTGGGGTGGCAGTTGTATGTGGATTCTGGATTGACCATCATGATTGAATGCAACAGAGACTGACCTGCAACAGCTAGCGTTGGACTCTATACCATCCAGCTCGCGTCGATCTGCGGCTTTGAGGTAATTACTACCTGCAGCCCTCGCAACGCAGACCTCGTCAAATCTTGCGGTGCCAACCATGTCTTCGACTATAGCGATGAGACGGTGATTGCAAAGATCAACGCAGTTGCTCCTAATCTCCAATATGTCTTCGACACTATCGGCAATACCACCTCCTCTTCGTTCGCCTCCACGGCTTTTGCCGATCGCATGGGGAATCTATGCACCGTGAGGCCCGGTAAGGCCAACACGGAGCAAGTGACTGGAAATACCAATGTCACGGATGTGCTAGTGTGGACAGCGTTCCTGAAGGATCACCACTACGGTCCCTTCCATTGGCCGGTAAGTCGCCATAGAGAACTTTTGTGGGCGGGCATCACGTTGACCAGAAACAGGCCTCTCCCGAAGATCATGCTCTGGCGAGTGAATTGTTCGAGAAATTGCCCCGGTGGCTGGATCAGGGCACGCTCAAGCCCAACCACCCCAAGGTCTTGTCGGGGTTGGACTCGGTGGCCCAAGGATTCCAAGAATATCGGGGCGGCAACGTGTCTGCCTACAAGATCGTATATGCGGTGTGACGTGAGAGAGGATAGATGCACTTTGTTAAACTTAACTCCTGTCACCCCCCGAGTTTAGCGCCGGCCCCTGGCCGCTTTTACCCATGCATCTATAAGAGACCGCTCTCCCTCCCCTCGACTTGTCGACGTACTTTCTCTTCTCTTTCCCCCTTTGGCCACTTTATTTCTCGCCCCCCACCGACTTATGTGAATTGAACGCTGGGTGTTGCGTATGATGAACGTATTCTTTGAGTCTAGTTTCTTCCAAACTAAAGGCATTGCGCTGCCCACGCCGGCGGAGATCAGGGCGATCAACGAGACGTCGGGTGATTTTAGGAAAACCTATTTCCACCGAGCGGCACCAGTCAAGATTCCGTCGTTGGGCCTGTTTGTCAAATATGGACGTCCTATATCCATTGTTGAGGTTAAAACGCAAAGAATATTGCACGCCGTTCTTAAAGCTAGAGTGCCCATCCCTGAGATCTTTTGCTAAGCTGAAGATAGAGGGCAAATATTTAGTTATATAGCTCTGGTCGAAGGCGAGATGCTAATAGAAAGGTGGGATAACCTAAACGAGGAGAAATATAATAATTACCACGAGCTAAAATATATAGTTCGACAGTGGAGAGATCTACAGCAGGACGTATCGGACTCTTATATCGGTACGGATATCTCGATACAAGCGCTCGACTATAGCTAACCAGTATCTAAATTAAGCAGTTTTAACGACAGTCTACTCTATGATATTTTCCTTCTTGGAGAGGAGCAGATACCGTGTAGCAATTTCAAAGAGGCCAACAGCGATACCCCTATTCGCTTTACGCACAGTGACCTTCTACCCCCTGTCCAGAGGTGACAGCAATCATTGACTGGGCCCAAGCTGGATGGTATCCTGTCTATCGGGAGTATTACAAAGCGCGGTGGATTAATTTAGCTCCAGAGCATTTTGATGGAGCATTAGTAGATGAATGGCGTCAAAAGTATTTACCGCTGTTTCTCGACCCAGCGGATGATGAGACGCAGTATCATCCTTGGATCTGGTTTGTGTTATCCAAGGGAATTTGAAGATTACATTGCTTAGTTTTAAATAGAGTGGTTCGCTGGGAAGGTAGGTCTCCTGTGTAGATGTATAGGCCAGCAAATGCAGCGTAAAAGCGGCGCGATCATTCGATGATTCAGCGGGCGGGCGCAGGAGAAAAAAAGTAGAGTGACACATACTCTCTCCCCCAATAAAACCCCCCGGGGAGACGCTCATCTCTCTTTCTGTCTCTTCCCTTCTCCTGCCTTTTCTTCTCTAATTGCATTTCCTACCTCTCTTACTCCCCCTGGACTTCCACTATGGCCACCCCGTTCCTTATCTCCTACCCCTCCTCCCCCACCTCCGGCCTGTCCCTGAAGCAGATCGCCTACTTCGGCCGTGTGCTTGTGAAGGTTACGAGTCTGTCCCAGGCAGAGGATTTCCTGCACCAGCACTTTCGGCAGCTTGATGTCTTCGTCGACGCGACTGACGTCTCCTCCGCCGGTGACCTGGTCGATATCCTCAATGCCGGTGCCGCCAAGATCTTGATCACCCTCGACCAATTGACGACCCTCTCCCAGGAACAGTCGGTTCCGTCGTCTCGTTTGGTCGTCTACGCCCTTTCTGAGGCCGAGTTGGACACTTTCCAGCAATGGATCGCCGCCAATTCCGAACGCAATGACGCAAGTGTCTGCACGGAACCCGCCCACGTCGCGGCGGCCGCCGCCAACTTGAGGATCAGTGCGGACTCGCCGCGCCTCTACACAACCTATGGAGACCAAACGGTGTCGGAGGATACAGTCCAACAGACCATCCAACAGAACGCGATTGCTATTCTCTCCTCGCAGGCGTTGACCGTGGAGCGGGATGCACCGAACCAAATCTCTGCGGCGAAGCTCCTCGCGTCGCGCGCTGTCACCGATCAGGCCAATGGGTTGTATGCGACTTCTGTTACGGATGAGCGAGGCTCTTGTCTGGGTGTTGTCTGGAGTAGCGATGAGAGTATCGCTGAAGCTCTCCGCACCGGGACCGGGGTCTACCAGAGCCGGAAGCGTGGGCTGTGGTACAAGGGCCAGTCGAGCGGAGATGTGCAGGAACTGATCCGCATTGGATTCGACTGCGATGCCGACTGCCTGGTCTTCGTGGTAAAGCAAATTGGACGCGGTAAGAGCCAATTATTTTCAAACTGTGTGGCCAAAGTCTGAACGCTAACTGTTGGTGACTCACACCAGGCTTCTGCCACCTCGGTACCGAAACCTGCTTCGGCGCATCCGCCGGTCTTTCCCGTCTTCAGAAAACCCTCCAAGCCCGCAAGGCAGACGCACCCGCAGGATCCTACACTGCTCGCTTGTTCAATGACCCCAAGCTCGTGCAGGCTAAGGTCATGGAGGAAGCAGACGAGTTGTGCCGCGCGACCACCAAGGAAGAGATTGCCTTCGAGGCGGCCGACTTGTTCTACTTTGCTCTGACTAAGTGTACTGCCGCCGGCGTTAGCCTCGAGGATATCGAGCGGAATCTCGACCTCAAGAACTTAAAGGTGAAGCGGAGAAAGGGCGATGCCAAGGGCCCCTGGGCAGAGAAGGCAGGTCTGGCTGCCGCCGAATCGAAGCCTGCGCCGGCACCTGCGCAGCCCGAGCCGCCTGCCGAGGACCGCACAACCCGGATCGAAATGAAGCGTGTGGTAACCGCATCCACCCCTCCCAATGTGGTCACGGACTACCTCAAGCGTCCCTCCCAGAAGTCCAACGATGCCATCGTCGGCCTGGTGCGTCCGATCATCCAGGACGTTCGCGACAATGGCGATGCTGGGGTACTGAAGTACACCCACAAGTTCGAGAAGGCTACTTCGTTGACCTCCCCGGTCATCCACGCGCCTTTCCCGGCAAACCTCATGCAGCTGGAACCTGAGACACAGAAGGCGATTGATGTCAGTATCGGTAACATTGAACGTTTCCACGCCGCACAGAAGGGAAGCAACGATGCCCTCCAGATGGAGACTATGCCTGGTGTGGTCTGCTCCCGCTTCTCGCGTGCCATTGAGCGAGTGGGCCTGTACATTCCCGGTGGCACTGCGGTACTACCATCCACGGCAATGATGCTGGGTGTGCCGGCCATGGTGGCGGGCTGCCAAAAGATCATCTTGGCGTCGCCGCCCCGTGCAGACGGCAGCATCTCACCGGAGATCGTATACGTCGCTCACAAGGTCGGTGCCGAGAGCATTGTCCTGGCGGGCGGCGCGCAAGCTGTGGCAGCTATGGCCTACGGCACAGAAAGCATCAGCAAGGTGGACAAGATCCTGGGACCGGGCAACCAATTCGTGACTGCCGCAAAGATGCTGGTGTCCAACGACACATCCGCCGGTGTCAGCATCGACATGCCGGCCGGACCTAGCGAGGTGCTCGTCGTCGCCGACAAGTTTGCCAACCCGGCCTTCGTCGCTTCGGATCTGCTGAGCCAGGCGGAGCACGGTGTCGACTCGCAGGTGATCCTCATTGCCATCGATCTGACCGAGGAGCAGCTGCTCGCCATCGAGGATGAAGTAGATGCGCAGGCCAAGGCCCTGCCTCGCATGGACATTGTCCGCGGCTCTCTGGATCACTCAGTCACCTTTGTTGTGCGGGACATCACCGAAGCCATGGCTCTCAGCAACCAATATGCGCCCGAGCACCTGATCCTGCAGGTGCAGAACGCAGAGTCGGTGGTCGAGCAGGTGCAAAACGCCGGCAGTGTGTTCATTGGCGCCTGGACTCCCGAGAGTGTAGGCGATTACTCGGCAGGTGTCAACCACTCACTGCGTAAGTTTTTCTTCCTTTCAGTGTTGTTCAAGAACTGGAATCTAACTGTCTCTTTAGCTACCTATGGCTACGCCAAGCAATACTCCGGCGTCAACCTGGGCTCGTTCCTGAAGCACATCACCAGCTCCAACCTGACCGCGGACGGTCTGCTGGGCCTTTCGAAGACTGTCGAGACCCTGGCGGCCGTGGAAGGTCTGGAGGCGCACAAGCGGGCTGTGAGCATCCGTGTTGCGCAGATGCAGATGCAGTCATAGTCTATTTCTATTTCTTTCCTCTGTTTGTCTTCGCTTTATCATGACGGGATGCGCGATGAATCCAGCTCATTGTTTCATTTTTTTTCCTTCAAAAGTATCTTCAATTGGGGAGTATTGTTATGACACCCGTGGACGCAAGCGATGATTATGTTGACAATGAATAGAAAGTACTATTTTCCAATTTTCAGGATCCTTCGAGAATAGATATATTATACTGAACATCTGAAGGGTTACAAGTTAAGAACACATAAAATGGCATGATTAATGCTGAGCCGCAGCCAGCATCCTCCCAGCGTATGTATTTGAATCGACGAAGCGATGAAATGCTATATCAAACCACAAACCCTTCGCCTAAATTTTTCATGGTCTTTTTCCCCGCGCTTTATCCTTGCTGCTTTCACAGCTGGGCAACATCATTTAGAATCTGGACCTCCTGGCCAGGCTTGAAGGCCGGAAGACCCATATACGGACATCCATCGCACCGGAAGGCATCTCCGAGCGCACAGCTCCCACAGGAGCCGGTCTTGCCCTGGACAGTGAAATCCAACTCATCCAAATCGTCGGATTGCAGCATCATCACATTCAGTTCTTTATCGGCGTTGGCGCGGCGCTCTGTATCCTCGGCGTCGAGCCGGTCTGCTAGTCCGCACGTACAGTCCTTGCAGGCGCGTCGCCTCCGGCCGGTCTTGGGTTGGCACTCGGGGGCTGGGAGGTTGTTAGAATGATCGATGAAAAAGTACAGGTCAAGTAAATAAAGGAAGAGACAAAGACATACGGGGCACAATGGGTCTCGTTAAATCCTCCTCAGAGAGCAGTGTGTCCTCATTAATCAACTCGTCGTCATTATTGGTTTGGTTGTCATTATTTGCACCGAAGCCCATCGTCGGTGTAAACCCCGTAGGCGGCGCACTGGGTGTCGTCTTCTTGTTCTTCTTTGCTCCAAACCGCAGAGGGACAGCGGACGCCTGCTCAACATTGGGCTTCTCGAATCCGGCGGGGGTTTGTACGAGGCCCGCCAACACGGCCTCCATAGACTCGGAGGCATCCAGGGCGTGATCTTGGGTTTGCAGCTTCGCGCCGGCTTTCATGGCCGGTACCAAAGCGGTGTAGAGGTCTCGGGTGAGGAGCTGCAGGGCCTCGGCGCGCCGGGCGCCGTCGGAGTCTGTCAGGACGAGAATGAGGTCATAGGTGGTTGCGGGGAGGGAAACGAATCCGGCGGCGAGCCGATCGAGCATCTGAAGGTCGGTGTTGGAGCGGTCAAACGTGGTGAAGATGTCTCGGAGTTTGTCTTCCTGGGTGGCGATGGAGGGGGAGCGAGGAGGAGAGTGCGCTTGGCGTTGTCGACAGACTTCGATGGCGGAGCCAGGTCGACATCGGATGTGTCGATTGTCATGAAGGAGGGCGCCATGGTGAAGGGTGAGAGAGACGGGGGGAGAATAGAGACTCAGAGAAAAAGAAGCGGAAGGGAGGGGTGGCGATATTTCGATAAAAGATAACTTAGTCAGCCGATGTGGGAGGTCCCATTATTAAGCCATATTTGGAATGTCCACTGGAGTATCTGATTATTTTTCCCTTGAAATGCTTAGGCGCTTATAGGCAAGTACCTGTGTCAACCAGGTCGATCGCATCCTATTAGCGTGCGGGTATTACTGGGCGCTACGTTGTCAGCGGATGTCGGCGAGGGCCATTATCAATTGTGGCCTTGTGAATGGCCTGACGTCACATACGAACCCTTATATGGGGAGACAAGATGAATCCTGAAGAATTAGATGAACCTCTCAGTAGGCTACTGGTCTTCCTAAGAGCGGATGATGTAGTTCCTGGGAGCGAGAAAATGGCCTTCTGCCGTGGAGGGGAAACCATCCCTAGGAGAGAGGGGTTCTGCTAATGATCTTTAGCGTCACTTAGTTACTAGCGGGAAATAGTTCAACCAAAAGCCATGATCAGTATGTAATAAAGAAAATTACAAAAATTATAAAAATTATAAATAAAGAAAATGTTGCTGTTAAAATACCTATATGGAGTAGATAAGATATAAATTCGACCTACCCTCAACTTTTAGTTACCTATACTTTTTATTATAGAGGCACGAAATCGATTAGTTCAATAGGATAGGGAGTGAGAGAGTAGAGGAGAGTAGACGGTAGTTAGTGAGAATAAAAGTAATCTAGAAATTATTTATCTCTACTGTAAATAAGTACGGACTAGATATTAGGTATAGACTAAGAAGGGAATCTAGAAATAGGCAGTTTAGAATTAGGTAGCTAGGGGAATAAGGTATACTATAACAGCCTTCCGAGGCCACCTTTTGGCTTTAGTAAGTAGGTTAAAATAATCTCTTGCTATTGACCTAGGGGTTGCTAAGGTATTAAGAACTACACGTGATGCGTGCTGGGTAGATGGGTGGAGAATTTTATGTTATTTACCCAATTATATTTATTAAATACCCTACCTCTTTAGCTGATAGGCGATATTTAAAATAGAAAATAAGAAGGGGTCCAGGGTGGGTGATGTTTAGCCAATCGTTTTCGATGCACACCCTACCGCTCTACCTCTAGGAGGGCGTTTAACCACCTATTTCTTTTTGTCCGCTAGTTAGAATAATATTCCGTTGACTATTGTGTTTTTATCTTCCATCGATTTGTATGTCCACTACGAGAAATGGCATATCTTATGGTGGTGATTTCTTCGACTGACCTCCAGAAACGATTGTGATTGGCCCGTTCACCAAGTATAGAACCTGTCTCAGCGACACACTTGACTCTTCCACCTGTTGAGTATGAACCAAAATAGAAAGCTATCACTCGCAATGTCAGGGGGGATTGGATTGTAATTCGGGGTATTATCTTGCTAAATTAAATTATGAAGAGTAACACATGCCAGCTAGGCCAAGATGAGGCCTCCTCATCATGGATGGGTAGACTAGTGGAAGTATCCCACGAAAAGCTCCCAACACTTCCCCAATGAACGAGAAGGGTGTAATCAGCCTAACACTCCAGACCTGGGGCACCGCCATCCAAATTGAACGCGACGAAGTCATCTAAGCGGAAAGGGTTAGCAGATCCAAGATCATCAGAATGAACGGTGAACTATGCCAGCCTTACCCAAGTCGGTGGAGAGGTCTTTGCCACCGCAAGTGGCCGAAAGCGTGTGGCCATCCACCTTGATGGAATCGTGGTCACAAGAATTGGCAAAGCCTCCGCTAAATTGCAGGTAAGAAAAATGATTAGCATCTGCAAGCCGCCAAAGACCCGTGTAAATACACTGGGGGGAAGATGACACATACTCAGGACGGTACTCAAGCTTGTTGCCGTTATTGACGACACAGCCGTTCAAATCCAGACTCGTCAGCGAGTCCGTGCACTGCCACTTGTCTTGGTCGCTGTCACGCTGGCAGTTGCTGTATCCAACATGGTCGGCCGGGTATTCGTACTTGCACCCGCGGCACTGGAGGTACCAGTAGCGGTTGGGATCAATGAAGCAGTCAGAGCATGAGTCACTCAAACCGGAAACCGCCAAGGTTGCCGGAAGAGCTGAAGCAATAACAGAAAGTACAAAGAAACGCATCTTGAGTTGATGTAGATAGTTGAGCAGTTGAGAGGTGTCTGGGGTGGAGTTGAACCTACAAGTGGCATACAACCTGCTATTAAATAACTTGAGATGCTTTTTTCTGACATGTATAGAATGGCACTAATACTGTACCCCTGAAAGGCATTTCATTGTCAGGATCAAAACGTTGGCCCCGGGGGGGGCGGGGCTGGTAATCCCGTGGGATTGCTGGGCACCCCTATCATACCAATTGGGATAAGATCTGGTCAGTTCAAAGGATATAAAAACAACAATTTAGGTGTGTTGAGTAGGTCTTACATGTCGATCCTAATCAAAAATTGCTTTCAATGTGTCTGGGGGCGCCCCCCAAAGCAGTTATACAGTATATAAAAAAAAAACTGGGGGCGAGAGTTGCTTAAACCACTCATTCCAAATGGCTTCAGCTCTCGGGTACGGCAAACGATTTGAGGTATCACTATGTACAAGAAAAGATCAAAGGAAGATCGTCATTATAAAAAGGCACTCAACGCTTGCGCTCTCGGATCTTCCATTTGAGACCGTGCTTATTGGTGCCCCCCACAGAGTTCTCCATCTTACCGCGTTGCCAATCCAGCTCCTGCTCAGCTGCCTGGATCTCGGCATATTGTTTGCGCAGCGCTGTCAGCTTATTTTGACGCGCCTCGACCGCACGCTTCCGGATCTTGCGAGCCCGACGTGCCTCCACGAGGGCCTGCCGCTCCGCCTCGAGCTGTCTCGGGGTCTTTTTGGTGTGGTCGTTGGGCTTCACGCCCTCGTCTTTCATACTGTCGGGTTGTTCTTCCTTGGTCCGTTGTCTCTTGATTTCTCGTTGCTCCCGCCAGTCATTTGCAAACACCGTCTTGCGCGATTTGGGCTTTTCTGGAGGGCCAAAATCAAAGTCCTCGAGATCATCGTCGAATCCGTCAAATTCGTCGTCGCTTTTCTGGTCTTTTTTCTTCTTCCCATCCAATGACTTGTTCATCCCATTCTGCAGTTGCACCTCACGCTCCAGGCGCTCCAGCTCTCGCCGTATCCGCTCGCCCACTGTCCGCAAATATCCTTTATCTTGCGTCTTGAGCAGCTTGATGGCATCGTGGCCCAGCCCGCGTGCCTCGGCCGAGTCTCGCGTAGCGCCGACGCCCCGTCCATGTTTCCCTTGTGTTCGATTTCGGCCTCCCATCATTCCAAAGGCAAATTCATCGGGGTTGCGGTCACGCGCCTTCTCTTCGAGGCGCTTCAACTTGGCCTTTTTGGCGTTGTAGTCTTTTGCGCGAAGAGAGTAGTCCTGTTGAAAACATTAGTCTATATTCCTTTCTCTGGCTTATGGAACATTTTATGAAGGCAAGGAACTCACCTTGTGCTTCTCAAGAAGGCCCCATTTCTCGCGCCCCCCGACCTGGCCACGCTCGCGGTGTTGCCGCCGCTGAACGGCGTTGCGCATGGAAGACATGCTGGGCGTTGTACTGGATTCGACGGTAGAGGGAAGAGGAGAAAAAAAAATAAGAATCAAACAACACAGCTATTGATAATAGCAGATACGCTTGAAATAGCTTGAACCCGCCAGAAAAGTGGCATGAAAGAGTCGGGTGTTGAGTTGGAAGATCAGAAGTAGCAAGTTTTTTTTTTTGCTGCTTTTTCTCTCCGCCCGAACTCGGCTCACTCCGCATCAACAGTCTCCCCGTTTCACGTCCCCGATATTTCTTTGATTACTCGGTGACTCGATAACGACACATCCTGTATTTAAATAAGCTTATCTCGATCTCAAACTGCTTTCTTCACCTCTACCGCCAACCGCGATCCGACCCCTCATCTCCCGACCACTAACGTCGATCAGATACAGTCTTCGGCGAATACTTCGGCAGCTCATTGATTCTCTTTCACATCTTCTCGCAACCAATTGACCTCGACATTGGACGATTAAGCTCGTCAGTTCCTCAATGGCTACACCATCCACATCTTCCGAAAACCCATCATCCTCCACGCCTCACAAATACAACATCCGCAACCCGCTCCCGCTCTCAGCAACCCAAGAACAAGAAGTCAAGAGGCTTTACTACAAGCGTGTACGAGGCTACTGCGCTGATGAGATAAAAGGTATACCGCTTTCTCCACCATACTGCTGTCCAATGGAAACCACCACAAACCCGCGGGTCTCGAGTATCACGCGAGACAATGATTTCCATTGCCATAGCTGCAGTGATCTTATCTTCGATTAGAATTTCTTGGCTAACACCGGTTTACTATCGATCAGCCTTTGCCGAATGCGCCGTCAATCGCACCGTCACTGCTACCTGGATCTGCCGCTCACAGCGCCTCGCCATGAATTCGTGCATGGTCGCCCACGCAAAACCCGAGGAAGAGGACCGGGCCCGTGAAGAGTGGTTCGCAACACATGAAGAGCGGTGCCGCGCACGAGAGGAAGAAGCAGTGCGCGTCGAGAAGCGGCGCGAAGAAGTTATTCGCATGATGCGCGAGGACGACGCGCGGAGACAACAAGCTCAGACCCAGGGACGATGATTGAGAGCTTTGAGAACTATCTCCCCTTTTTTTTCTTCCCTCTCTCTTTCCTCTCTATATCGCATCTCCATTTGTCGCCGGAGTTGTCTGTCTGTCTGGGTCTCGGCGTCTTGGGGTGTTTCCACTACTCGGGTGTTTTCAGGCTGGAATGCAGCGCTTTCTCTTCTCCCTCCTGCCCTCTGCCTCTTCATTGCAGTTGAAGAATGGATGGCTTGGGAAAAGAGAAGGTCCATTGGTTTGCAACACTGCTGGGCTTTCAAACTGCCTGAGCTTGCAAAAGCTTCGACACTTCGGGATATCACCAACGGGAGAAATCCAGTCAAGCCACCCATCTGACTTTGGCAGGAGCCATCCTTCCCGTCCCACAGAGAGCCCTAACCAGCCCCAAGTGCCACCCATGGCCGAGACAGAACCGGATGTATTTTTCATAAGTTCTCTCTCCTCATGGCGTCCAAAGGGGGAACTGATCAAGCGTTTTTCTGGGCATCTTTATTGCGTTGCATGGCCATCAGTGTGGGATGGGCCTCAATTATGTACAGTACTTCAAGGACATTTGCTTTTTTTTTTTGGTTTAATTGACCATAGATATTGCTTTTCTTCCATCTTGGCAGAAAGCCCCTGGCTCCATCCGCAGTGTAGATAACCCCCAAGAAGAAAAGAAGATACAGTAGAACACCCAGCGCCAGAAACACCAATCCAAGGCAAAGCCCATCAGAAGAGCCAGAATGCAAAAGTATTTTACATGCCGGTCATCTTCCGGTCTTCATCACCATCACCTGCTTCGCCCATGGTGGTGTCCTCGCCGAAGATGTCCTCCATCTTCCCATCGCCATCGTCATCATCACCGCCCTCTGCATCCTCGGCTGCATCACCACCAACACCCTGGCCCTGGCCGGGACCAGACTGCGGCTGAGCATCGGGCATTTCCTCCTCGCCCTCGCTGTCCCACTCATCTTTCATGTTCCAGCCTGTGCCCGTAAGACAGAATCGTTCGGGGGGCAGACGCATTCCCCCCATCAAGACGCTCTGGTTTGCCGCGCCAGCCACCCCATTGGTAGCAGCGGCATCGAAGCCGCGTGACACGCCCGGCAGCGCAATGCGGTTTCGCTCCGACGCAACCTCCATCAAGAACTCCTTGGGCAGCCCCGTCTGAAACTGGTAGTGCAGGCGTGAGGCAATACTAAGACGCAATGCCGGTAATGACACGCCGTTGGTTTCCACATTCAAGCCCTTGCCCGTGCCGCTCCCGTCGCCCGCGGCACCACCATACCCCTCCGTCGCGAGGTGCACGGAATCCTGAAGTACATTTGAGGTGTAGCGGTAGGCAAAGTCGAGAAGCTGGAGCGGCACGCGGTCTTGGTATGCAGTGACGCCGAGTGAGGCGAGCAGCATGTGTATGAGGCGTACATCGCGCGGCCGTCGCGACTTGCCGCTATCTTGCAGAGAATTGCCCGGGAATGGCGGTGGTTGTGTTGTGGTCGTAGTGGTCGGCGCGGCTGCTGGGACACTAGCCCGTGGCTGCGAAGCCGAAGCGGCGGGCGCGGAGACTCCGTTCGCCGCGCCCGAAGATGAATCGGCGGGTGGGGTCAGAGGTTGTGTTGCTGGGCCTGAGCCTTGCGTCTGGCTTGGTGATGCCATGATTTGGGCTCGCTGGGCGAAAATCGAGATCGGGGAGCGGAAGAGGGTAGATTGCGGGTACGAAGGCGGTGGGGGTGGGAGACAGCTCAATGCGATCAATTACAGAAGACAGTCGGCCAGAATCACTGGCACAGCACGGCTGGTCGCAGTCAAGAAAACCCCAAGACCGTCGGAGATGGTGGAAGTGTGGGGGATTGAAGGGACGAGATCTGAGATACCCAAAAAGAACGCAGGAGCTCTGAAGATGCGCTAGCCGTTTTAGGCAACTTCAGTTGTATGAAGATGAAATGAATAGACCACTGAGTTCTGCTATCAAATCTGGTTTTCCATGTAAAAGTTGAGAATTGCATTTGCCCTCTATTGAACCCCAGCATCAAACCCATCTCATTGTCACGCAAAACCACTCAACAAGCATATGCGCCATGAATGTACAAACTCCACAAAAACGCCATCAATGCGATCAAATCTCACTCAAGCCAGCATTATTGTGTAAAGTGCAGGCTTCAACTCCAATTCTGCATGCAAGTGTGTTGAACATGGGTATATCAATGCCAAGGCAATGTGTATGTATGATGCAGGTGGGGGGAATCCCCGGATATCATCCAATCTGCGCCAACGGGTATCGTGTTGAGAGTATGTTCAGGGCTTCTCGGTTGCCTTGGGCCGGATGGGAAGAGAAGTCGAGCCAATTCGCTCGACTGCATCGGGCAGCTTGGAGTCGTTGTTCTCGACTTCCTCTTCCTCGGCTTCCTCAGGATCCCGATCGCCTTCTACCGACTCCAGGATTGATCCAGCAGGGTTGGACAAAGCTGTCGAGTCCTGGGATATGTAGCTTGCACCAAGGTCGGTTTCTCCGTCCTCGTCGTCGGCAACCCCAGTCTCATCAAGGTATTCACTGCCATCGGCCTCGCTCAACTCGTCTTCGTATTCTTCGTCGGCATCTTCCTCAGCAATTTCATCAGCTTCATCAGCTTCTTCCTCATCTCCCTCGCCCTCTTCTTCTTCGTCCTCACTGTCCGTCGTCGAAAAGTCCTCCAGTTCTTGAGGAATATCTCGCCAGTAAGTAAAGTCTGTGTATTCCTCTCCGCCGGCCTGTACCAGTAGACTGGTCGGTGGAAAGAAATGATCCAACAGCTCTTGCATAGTCACATAGCTGCTCTTATACTTGGTGAGACTCAGCAAATCCAATGAAACTTCGGCATTGGAGTTGATAGTGAAGATCCGGGTAGACGGAATGTTGACAGACCGATAGCTTAGAGCGTCGGTCAGGCGGTTCCCAAAGCCAGCGCAAAATGGGTTCTCTTTCCCCGAGAAAAGACCGAGAATGTCTCGCAAGCATGCCATCTTGAAAACCTCGGGCTTCCTCAGGTAAATCTCCCGTCTCAGCGCCGCCATCGTGCGGTCGGGACTGCAAATTACCGGGCCTTTGGGTAGTCGATAACCATCCTGGCAGACACCGTAGAGATATGCTCGCGTAGTATCTGCCTGCCCGACGGATCGACTGGTGAGATACATGATATTATAGCCATTATTGACAATATCGGTGTAGAGTTTGGCGACTCCTGCGTGGGTCCAGTCCCGACCGATCATGTTCAGAACATGACCCAAAGCATCCGACCTAAATGTAGAGATTAGCATCACACAGCATCCTCAGAAGAAAGACTAGAAGTTTGTGTACTTGGTGATGGTTCCATCGATGTCAGAAATCACAATTGGGGTATTGCCATTCCACAGATACATGGTCGCAGTGCATGTCGCCTTGTTGACGCTGAAAGACATGGTGTTGGGACCTGGCTTTAACTGCAAGGCCTTGAGTTGATCACTTGTCAGGCGAAGAGTCTTGGCGTAGTTGCGCGTCTCAGCATCGAACGAATCCTGCATCGGAGAACGAGGTGGCGTGGGAAAGCCCGGCTGAACATCTGACTTGGTGCGGTGGTGTCGTGCGATCAACGACGGCTCCGAAACAGGATGATCCCCGTCACTGTGATAGCCCGGGTCTGAGATCGCATCCTCACTCATTGCGGTGTTGGGACGCATCGAGTTGATAGTCGCTCTCCGATCCGCCGCTTCCTTGGCCTCCTCGCTGCTGTAGATCCATAAATTACCGTGTTCGTCGGCTCCGATGAGGGCTCCAATATCGTAGCTCCCTTCCAGCTCCTCGGCCAGAATTTTACGGGCAACGACCTCTGCACGGAGCGCGTCTTCTTCATTGCTTTTGTAGCCCGTCATATCTAGCATGAGATCCCCTGTTTCTGTGACATGCGAGGGAATATTCGAGCCGGACAGTTTCTGTGACAAAGATATAGCACGAGACACGGCCTCCTGAGGAGATACGGGCGGGGGGCTACGGGAGTGATTTCGTGCAGAATCATCGTCTGTGGAGGAAATTCGCTCAGCCGTAGTATCATGAGGGGCACTGGTTGAAAGTAGTTCGTCCGACACCGAATGATCGAGCGCTGGCTTTTTACTCAAGGAGCCATGGCGGACGTGGTCTAGGTCCGAATCCTCAGGAGATCGTGACAAAGGAGTAATCACTCCTAGGATCAAAGTAAGCAGACATTCCACTGAGCGAAGATCTCTCGACATTTGCCATACCCCAGTCCGTAGTCGCCCGCGGCTGCCCGGCCAACATGGACATGGCCGGAGGAGTCTTTGTACCCTCTGACAACGCCTCTTCGTTCGGTTTATCTAGATCCAGATACTCTGGCTCTGGAAGAGACGAGGCCAGATCCAGATCCTCATCGCTATTAACCCGCGGGCTTTCTGCGGGGGACATCAACGGCGAGGTCTGCAATGATTCCGGGATGTCGTCAGTCGTTGCGAACACGAAAAACGCCTCGCCACCCTCTCCCAGCTTCATCGCATAGTCTTGTTTAATCCCATTGACTTTGAATTCCACCTTTTTCTCAAACGGGCGCAAGAGCGAGAACTTGCCGAAACGGACGTGAAAGGGCGAACAGGCGAGAGTTCCTTATGAAAACGATCAGTCTGGTCATCAGGGAAAATAACAATATCTCTTAGGTCCAGCTAACCATCTTCCTGCTCTATGACGATCACATCAATAGCCCCGCTCAGCGTGGCCGGGTTGATAGAGTTCCATGTCTTGGAGACAGAACCGCTGATGCTGCGGACGTACTGCATTCCACTAGGTGGTGTCGAACACCCTCAGCCACGACTCTGCAAAAAGGATCGGGTCAAGTGAGGGAAGGACGAGGTGTGAAGGAAGCAGACAGCGAGAGCGATCAGCAGGAATCCAGGCAAGTGGGAGAGTCGGAGGTTGGAGTCGCCGCCTCCAAACGACCCATGTGACACTCAGTCGACAGGGTGCGACTGCATAACCACCAAGACCAGTCGAATATGCAAGGAGGAGTGAGGATACAGAGATGGTGATCGCGCTGAAGGGTGGGCAATGGCAGAGGTTTTCCGATCGAACGATTCCGCCCAAGCCAGCATTTGTTGGTTTATCAACACTTCAACACCCAACGTTTTGTTACGTAAGGCTGTTCAACCTGCCGAGGTCCGCCGATGGCGCTAGTCTCATAATAGTCTAGCGGATGATCCATGTGCTAACCACCTTCCGTTAGTATATCCTGACTAATTTTCTTGTCACGTGTACGCGCTATCCCACCGAAATGGAGAAGTTGACGAGGGCCTTTGCTTCTTCGTCCCTCGTTTCGAGCTTTCCCGTTCCGCCACCCGCGTTCATGGGTAACCGACGCTGGGATGTATGAGCCGCTATATCTCACTTTTGACACCTACCCGACAGCGGTCCCCCGAGTAAGGGTACGAGGTGTCATGGCGCTCTTCCTGGCGGTCTCGATCCTATGGGCCCTGATTTGGTGAGAATGTTTCCATCGTCTATCCCAGTCCTTATGCTGACCCGGTATTGCAAAGGCTTTTGTACCGCGCGTGGCAGGTCTGTCAGACCTCTAACGACGTTCTGGTTGAGAAACTCGGTCTTGATATTCCACCGCCTCCGGAGGTCACTTTGGAGGAGATCACGGCCCGTGAGATTCGCCTTGCGTGGAAACAGCCAGATTTCCATAACTCAATACATAAGCATATCATTCAAGTGAACAATGTGAAAGGTATGGTTAGATCGACGGCCCATGTCCGACCGAAACATGCTGACAATCTTAGTGGGCGAGTCGAAACGAGCAGAAACGGCGGTAGAAATTTTGAATCTCATACCCGGGAGCATCTATCATATTTGTGTACTTTCTGTCAGCGCTGCCAATTTTCAGACGCCCAGTGCGATTCTTCATGTGCGAACGAAACCTCTTCCGCTCTCGCAAGCTCAACAGAATGGCACCGTCAGAGGACCAACACTCCGAGCCTCAATCCCTCGATCTACCGCGGGACTTCCCACGCCGTCCGCCCCAGTGATGTCCCGTGAACATAGCGCAGGCCAGTTACCGGGCAAGCGGCCATCGGCAGGACGCAAAATATCACCTGCGACAGGGACAACAGACATTCCACACAGCCATTCAGATGAATCACAGAGAACTGTCGCGAAGAGTGACAGAGATGAAACCTTGGAACAACTAGCCGATCGACTCAAGTCCCTACAGCAAGAAAACGACAATGTGGAAAAACAGGCGACGGATGAAGAGGAGGAGCATATTGCATTATTGAAGGATCTTGAGAAGCAGCGCGGTGAATTGAGAAAACGTGTAAAGGAGAAGGACGAGGCTAGCGGCGATTTGAAAAAGCATGTTTACAAGCTGGAAAGTGTCAACCGCACGGTGCAAGGGGAGAAGTCGAAGCGCGTGAGGCTTCTTCAGCAGAAGGAGGCGGAGCGCAAGAAGCGCAGAAACGATATACTGCGATGGCAAGAGAAGATGACACGCATGGCCACCGACGTCACGCAGGCGAAGGAGGACAAAACCCGGCTTGAAGAAGATGGAAAGACACGGGCGGATGAAGTCCGAGAGAAGATCGCAAAGGAACAGGGGGAGATGAAGACCATCGACGATGACATTCAGGACAAAGGAGGCCGAATCAAGAAGCTCGAAGAGGAAAGACAAGGGCTCCAGGGGGGTGACAGTGAAGATGGCAAAGAGCTGGATCGAATCGACAACGAGCGAGCCCGGCAATGGGAGCTCAAGCTCAGCAGTCTGCACGCACGATATGCGACTTTGGTGAATATTCATGCACAGGCCCAGCAGCAGTATAAGGAAGCCCAGGAACGCCTGAAGTGGCTTACGACCCAGCGACCTGGCAGCTCGGGACCCTTCTCATTGCCGGCGTTGGACCTTGATATGTCAAACACTGCAACGATTCGGCCTCGTCGCCATCGCAGCTCCCTTGTCAGCAATGTCTCGTCGCCGGTGAACTTTCCTGGTGTCGAATCTTCGTTCCCTGGTGGAATCAACTACAACCCACCCTCCACGCATTCGCCCCCATTTGCCCCTAGCTCTGCATTCTTCAACATCAACAACGGCATGACACTTCCTGGTCTCTCCGAACCTCCAGAGATTATGCGCTCAGATATAGAGGCCTCTTTCAGCAATCCTCAAATGAGCCCTCGTGCCGATGCGCTTTTGCCATCCGATCTTCTTGGTGATGAGGAGTCTCCCGAATTCCCGCGGCCGGTAAATCGTCCACGCTTTGCCTCCATCGAAACATCGAACCCCGCTCTGGATAGTTTTGGCCACGGCCCGGTGTCACCAGTTTCTTCAGGAAGTCGGCCTGGCAGCATCTTTGCTAGTCCTTTGGAGACACAGACGCGGCAAGAGTCGGATGCGCAGGCAGTTCACTTGTCCGCTGCCGGGGAGGCACCGAAGAGTGCGTCTCGGAGACTCTCTGGACTCTTTGGCTTTCATCGGCCTCGCGGAAAGACCTTGGCAGATGAACCGCCTGGCTTGGGTACCTTGAAACCAGGACAGAGCCAATCTTTCCCGCGCAATGTCGATGAGATGGACCCGATCGGTTCGCGGCGTCGGAGATTGAGCCATACTGGCAATTGGGCAAATCCGATGTCATTGTTTCCTCGCAGCAACACGACCGATGTGACCACAGACAGTTCCTCCGACCACGCACCTTCACGTCGCGCCGCTTTCTCCAGCATCTTCTCGTCCAGCAGATTTGGCTTTGGCGGTACTGCGGCCCGTGCAAACTCGGATCTCAGCACTGGATATAATCAATTCAGTCCACGGCACGACCCTATTGATCCAGCTTCGCTTCTTGGCGGCGTGCGACGCGGCTCTGTGTCCCCGCGACCGTCGTCGACGTTCTCCTTCGAGAATCAAAACCAGCTTCCTCACCCTTCGACGGACAACCGGCATTTCGGATGGCCGACGACCGAGAACAGCGCGCACCGAAATAGCCCGCTTGGGCTCGATTGGGCCTCGCCATCGACGTGGTCCAGAGCTCCGTCTCGCCGACCATCGATTCAATACGGATCGTCGGGTCATCTCCCCCTGGGGCTGACCGGTGGGCCTGACATCGTCGAGGACTCGTATGACCGCCATCACCGTCCGCTGCAGGCCCCCATTGGTACGCGTCCATCGTCATCCCATCGCCCTGTCACTCCGAAGCTAAATCCCGCTGCCCCGTCATTTAAGACAATCTTTACTGGCAAAAAGTCAGACAAAGATAAAGGCAAAGACAAGGAACCCGACGTCCCCTTTGATCTCCACGTGGATGACGGGTCTCCGTCCGAGCCTCGCACATCCCGTGACTCTCGCTCGCTTTCCCACTTCACCGGAGAATCGTACGAATCGCTAGAGCGCATGCCCTCAGGCACTTCCGACAACGCGTCCAAGGAATCGTTCATTCGCAAGATCACGCGCAAGGGCAGCTCCAGCAAGTTCAGCTCCTGGAAGGATCGCTCGGGCCTCTTCTCCAAAAAGGCCGACTCCTCACAGGGCGACATTGACGAGGATGGCGCCAGCGAGGCCCAGCTGGGGAAGAGTATCGACAGCACAGTCTCGAGTGTGCCGTCCGCCGACCGCTCCACCCGCAGTAGCCTGGGCTTCTTCTCTCGCAAGTCCCGGAGATCCGACAAGGCGAGCGAGACCAGCGAACGTGCTAGCGAGACGGGCGATGAAGAGATTCTTGAGGAGCCTGCCAAATGATAATCCCGTGGACCCCAGTGGTTCCGTCCTTTCACTGTTTTTTATTTCTAGATGTTGATTTCAATCAATACAACACACCTTGACGGTTTTCAATTATTACTTGCAGAAAAAGAAATCTAAGGTAGAATGAACGGAGTGGACAAAGGAATGTCGCATCGGTAGATTATCAGCAAGAAAATTTTTATCAAAATACTCGAGGTTTGAGCAAGCATTGCAAAGCATCGAGATGTGACATCAATAGACTGTAGTCTCCAATGTGTCCCAGGCACAAAAAGGTGGGTGTGGTCGGGTAGATATCGCCCGCACAAAATGACGCTTGCCAACCCACCAGCGCGACTCTTGCTTCAACAAAACCACCAATTCTCACAGAATGGCAAATTCCAAGTAGGAAGAGATCCCTCCCGCTGTAAATCCATAGTCTGCTAACTACGTCCAGGTACGAGTACGTCAAGGCCTTTGAGCAGCCCGACATCCTGCTCCCCAATACGTGGATCGTGGTCCGCATCGACGGAAGAGGATTTCACAAGTGAGCCGCCTCATCCTGCTTCTGCTCTCTCGGCATTGGGTATCTGACTTGTCTAGGCTCTCCGACCACTATGTCTTCAAGAAACCCAATGACCTCCGCGCGCTGGACCTCATGAACGCCGCCGCGGTCGAGGTCATGAAAGATCTGCCGGATCTATGTATTGCGTACGGAGTCAGCGACGAGTTCAGGTGTGTTCTGCCGTCGCTTCATCGGCCCTGTCCTTCCTCGCTCATAGAAACTGTGTAGTTTTGTCTTCCATCCAAGTTGTCAACTCTTCGAACGACGCAACGCGTAAGTATCCCTCTGCTATTGCAAATTTTCTACGAGAATTCCCACCTCGTTGATGAGAAAATCAACTCACACCCGATCAGGAAGCTTGTCACTACCATTGTATCCACCTTTACAGCTCACTACATCCATCAATGGGGGACATACTTCCCCTCCACCCCTCTCCAACCTCCGTATCTGCCTTCTTTCGACGGGCGTGCAGTTATTTACCCAACGACCCGGATTCTGCGGGATTATATGAGCTGGAGACAGGTTGACTGTAAGTCGTGCAATGACTCTCGACCAGACTTGCCTTTAAAAATGATTATATTTGGCGACAGCCCGCTGACATTCCAAACCAGGCCATATCAATAACCTCTACAATACAACCTTCTGGACTATGGTGCTACAAGGCGGCATGAGTAATACAGATGCAGAGCAAGAGTTGAAGGTATCTTCTACTACAGGATCAAGAACAAACAGGGGGAGATGACAGATGACTGACTCGATGATACAGGGCACAGTGTCTTCAGACAAGAACGAGATCCTCTTCAAACGGTTCGGGATCAACTACAATAATGAACTGGAGATCTATAAAAAGGGCAGCGTGCTCTACCGCCAGGTATGGGATGCGATTCTTTTGGCTCTTGTCGATCACCTTCTTACCTTTTTTTATTATTCTGACTGTTTAATCAACAGTATGAGCTACAAACACCAAATTCTGCGCAGACACCTACAGAGGAAGATACCTCTGTGCCCGAGTCAACGCAGTCGAGGTCGCAGCAGGATAAACTTCGAAAGCTGCGCCGCAAAGCGCAGGTCGTGGTTGATCATGTCGACATCATCAAGGATGAGTTCTGGGAGAGGCGGCCGTGGATTCTGTCGAACAAGCCGGGCAAATTACCCGCATAGTACTGATACAAAGACAAGAAAATTAAGAGTCTTGACAGATATTGTTCATTTGAAGTTGTTTGGTGCTCGCCCAGCAGGCAAGGGTAACTTGGAGTCTGAAGCCTGGAGGAATTGACCTGACATCCACATTTACATGCTCTTTTTGCTCGTTTGCCTAGCTGCAAGAATGCGCAGTTCATGCTCACCAAGACCTGCCGGCTATTAGACTTACGAGGATACGTAGCGATGCATATTGACGCGGTCATCCATCGTGGCTTAGATGATCACCTGCGGTATGAGGCTGAAGAGAAAAGTGGGGACTGGTAGAGAGGTACACAGTATAAAGAGAGCAGGAAACCATTCCTTTTCTCAGTCGAAGAGACCAAGGCTATCGAAGCTATCCTCTAGTACGAGTTCCATGACAAATTCCTTCTATCCAAAGTATTCGAAGCCGCCGGCGCCAGCATGACCCCCGGAGGGAACCAGCGGCTCGCGCTTCTTGGCGATGCTTCCCTGAGACTCGTTCTATACGAGATTGCATTTGAAAACAATGCCCCAACGGGTGAAAGCCATGAAAGCCCCTCAATCATCTATTCCTCTTCGCATTACTCGTTGCAGTTTTGACAAAGTGAAGATGTGATGACATTGTCCCAAAACACCCGGGCTACCAATGAAGCCCTCAAGCGACTGGGAGTCGTTGTGTCTCGATGAAAACTTCCGCCTGAACCCTTCGTTTGGGGCGTCGCGCCCAAGCGGATGATGGCAACCACCATGGAAGTCATCATCGGTGCCATCCACCTCGACAGCGGCAAGGATAACATGAAGGTCCGCGAAGTGATCAAGCAGCTGGGCGTCTTGGACACTGTCTAAGCGAAACCAGGCTCTCGGGTAAGTCTTGGGAGGAAAACATGCTATACCATTTGATGTCACACCTTCCAGCCACAGATACTGATTGAGTCTGTTCAAGTTGAATCTTGCATCTCCCTCGAGGGGGTATACAACTACCCTTGCAGCGATAGTTGCTGGCACATGCCCTGGTAAAGAGGCATATTAGACCTTGATGGGGGAGGGGACACATTTTATGGTACTGTGTGTGTGTGTGTGTTCCCCCTTCGAGAAGAGCTAGTCTGCCTCTCTATGAGGGCATCTGCCTGTTAGTATGGTTGGGAATGGTATCTGGATACTCCTGCGGTTGCCCAGCGATTGGAATATACTTGACACTGGGATTCTCTTGGCCCTTTGCGCACAGGAAGCCCCCCCCTTCGTACCAGAGGGCTTCCTTGTGACAAGGGCTGGAGATATCCCTATGCCAAGCATATTGCAATCACTGGGATAAGCAATTGATCTTCCGGGTGATTCTTGTTTTCGTCGATTCGTTAATTTATAGGTTTCTACGATATACCAGCTACAATTCGAAATGAGAAGTGTAACGAATATATTGTCGGTTCGAAATTATAGTCTTCGCCAAGCAGAAAAGGGTATCGTGATGTCTATGGGCCATGAGACAAAAGCGAATGCAAAATTCTTCAGTACATCCCAGAGTCACGCTGCAATGCGTCGCTTTTATATAGCAGAGATGGAAATGCAGATTAGGCACTAGCGGCCGCTTTCTGGGCCTTCTTGTCTTTTATGGACTTCTTTTTGGCGTCGGCGTCGGCGTCAGTAGTGGCCTCGCTTTCTTTCCGCTTGGACCTTTTGCTTTCCTTGGGTTCTCGGCTCTCTTTCTTGTCCTTCTTCTTTTCCTTGGCCGGAACGGAAGCTCCATTCAACTCGGCAGTATCCGTCCGGTCCTGATCTGGCTCTTGGTCGATCGACATGGGTTTAGGATAGTCGTCCTCGGCAGCGGATGGTTTCAACCTCTTCGACTTTTTCGTAGCTTTGGTATCGTTCCCCGCGCTGCTATCAGCAGCCTTCTTCTTGCTCTCCTTGTTTTTCTTCTTCTCCTTGCGCCTCAATTGCCGCTCCTCTTTGCTTTCCTTGGATTTCTCCGAACAAGACGTCTCAGTCGACGAAGGAAAAGCAGAGCCATCCTCCTTGAGCTTGCGGCGCTTGCGCTTCTCCTCTTTCCGAGCAGCCTTTTCCTCCTTTTTCTGAGCGCGACGATCCGCACCATCATCCTCGACGTCTCGCTTCCTCTTAGACTTGGACTCGGACTTGCTCTTGGTTGTGTCCCGCACATCCTCAACCTTATTCTCTTTATCAATCGTCCCCGCAAGTCCCTCCCCACGCACAAAGAAGCGGTACAGTTCACTCGTCAGCGCATTATTCGACCGCGCCGACGCAGCAACGCTATCATTGCCGACGCCCTTCAGCGCATCTTCGAACCCGCGCAGCCACCATTGGTTGGTGGCGTCCTTGGTGGTCTTCTTGCCGACGCCGTGGTTGTTGGCCTTGCGCGCGACCAGAATCGGGCGCGTCAGGCCGAGCCCGCCGTGCGGGCCGGGGCGCTGGTTCGGGTTGAGGGGGTTGCCGGGGCCGGACCAGCCGTGGCGGATTAGGTATGCTTGGGCGTCCATGGAGGAATTTTGTGATGGTGTATGTATCGGGAGTGGCGTGCTGGGTGTTGTACCCGAGGTGGAAATTGGAAGGATGGGGTTGTGGTTGGTTTCGGGGGAGAGGTTGGTGTTGATTGTCAAATCATGGCTTGTTTGGTTGTTTGGTTTATGGGAGAAAGAGGATATATAGCGGGTGCTGCGAGGGAACAAGCTCCCTGTGTCGGGGGAAAGAAATGTCGAATGGACAAAAAAAAAAATTAGGCCGGGCCGATAAGAACTCGATTAGCATCTTCCGAGATGGTTACGCCCGTTCGATCCCGGGCGCGACCATTCTTTGTTCTTTTTGCCTGGCTTTTCTTGCTGATTGATAGTCATTTCTGTTGGCTAAAGACTTTTATTTTTATTTTATTTCATTTTATTGCAATGAGAATAATCATTGTTTGGGTAAAAGGACCTAGAAGTTAAGATGAATGTTGTGTGGCTGCACTCGACTACTATTAAATCCAAGTCGTAACTATTCCATTAACTATCTAAGCTGAATCATTTATATCAGTATACTATTTAAAATATGGCAGGGAATAGAAAAAGAATAGTATGCACGCCGAGACAAGGCTTGCACCCAAGTAATGCGCTCGATCTGGACTGGGATATATCTCGACATATCCCCAACATATGTCCAGCCATGTCTAGAATCAATCACGATCCCAAACCAGAAAAACGACTCCAAACCAAAAAAGAAAAGTGCATACACATTGCATTGCTCATCTATTTTTACCCCAACGCTACACAACACCAACAATCAAATGCAAACCGGAGCTGCATTCACCCGCCAACGTTCAGTACGTCAGTACGGTTTAAACCGGTCTTTCTTCTTTTCCTTGGGGCGCGACGACTTTGCAGACGCAGATCCAGTCTGGGCTTGAGTCTCCCCTTGCTCGTCGGTGGGTTTCCATGCGCGTACATATCCGTCTTCGCCGCAGGTGAAAACGGATCGACTCTGCAGCGACGAGATCGAGGATTAGCGGGGAATATGAACAAAACACTCCCAAACAGACTCGGGATGATACTCCAGGGAACGACACATACCTGCTCGTCCAGATATACCGAGCGCACAATCTCCTCGCCGTGGGCGCCGGGTAGTCGCCAGAGGTTATCCTGGTCGAACTGCCATGTCGGGCTCGAGACCAGGGGGACCAGATCCAGTCGGTTGTCACTGAAATAAGTTAAAAAAAAAAAAGAAGTAAGTATAACGATGTTCCAGCCGCAAGAAACGTCCCACAGAAATACACGTGCTAGACAAACGCCTCGATCGCAAGAAACACCGAGGAAGAGACGGAGGAAGAGGGAGGCAAGACATACATCTTGTTTCCGGCGGCAATGTACGGCCCCTGGCTACCAATGCAGAGCTGGGCGACATACTCGCAGGCCAGCGACTCGCGCACGTCACCGAATTGCACGGGCTCGGGCTCCTGCGTGGGCTCGTCCGGGTCGGTGGCGGGGTGCACAGAGAAGACCTCGTCGTGACTCAGGGCGTAGATGGTGCGCTCGGACAGGAAGCCGGCATGATGTACCGAGCCATGGTTGATGACCTGGACCAGGGCCTCGTCCTCGTCTGTCACGGTCGTATCGTAGACATTGACCAGCCCGTCCGTGCTGCCGGAGAGTAAGATATTGCTGCGGCTCGGGTGATACTGAAGCTGTGCATCCCCGGCAAAATGCATCGTGCCGATCATATTAGTTCCCGCTATGTACATCCAGAATCCAGACTGAAATGTCCCCATCTCTCCCAGAGGAATTGCCTGGGAATCAACTCACCTCTGTGATGTCGTCATTATGGCTCTCCACGTACTGGAAGCGGAATTCGCTGGGCGATCTGATATCCCTGCCGGGGTGAGATTAGCTGCTCCATGTCTTGTTCGTTTCTAAGACAAGGAACGAAACCCAATGGTGTCACGAGGCCTTACCAGAATGCCACGACCGCTTGCGATGAGGTCAGTTCTGTACCCGCGACAACGGTGCTGGTCTCCGGGCTGCAGGCCACCGAGAGCACGGGGGCATGTTTCGCTACAATCGAGATGTCAGCACCAGATACACGGAAACTAAAACTTTATATCGACGGGACATCCTTGCATCACGCAGTAAATTCTCCGACACCCGTTGAGACCTTCCCGGGAGATGCATAGCTGATTGAAGCCAAAATCCAGAGAAACAAATTCCAAAAATAGCAGTGAATTCAGATAGAAAGAAAACGGAAACGAAAAAAAAAAAAGAAGGGGGAAAAAGATTAACCTACCGGTCTCCATCTCAGCCACTGCTGATCCATTTCCGGCCCGAGCATCCCAGAGCCTCACCTTTCCATCCCGGCCTCCGGTTACCAACAGCTGGGGACCCCCGGCCACACAGGACCGGAGAGCTGTGACGCCGCCATCATGGGTCTTGGGTGAGACCACAGACACGCGCTCGAGGTTGGCGGCATCAAACACGCGCAACGAATCATCCGAGGAGATGGCGGCAAATGAGCCCGGCGCGGAGGCCGCAATAGAGTAGATGTAATTGTCCGCTGGGAGAGACAGCGACGACGAAGCGGTGTTTGCCAGAGTATGCATTATGTCGATGTTTCTGGGGATGTTTACCCAGATCCGAGTCGAGGTTGTACACTCTTCTACCTCACGGTGTTGATAACGTGGCTTTCAGCGCAGTCACCGATCGTCAAGAGACGTTTTGCGATCGCGATCTTCACGGGTAGACACGGTCACTAGTTCCTGGCGTGGGTGGATTCTGCTTGACAAAATTCTTGACAAGAGAGAGGTTCGGCCCAGAAAATTTCCCCGGGGTGGAGACACCCGTCGGCTACACGGTGGCTCCCGTATGACTCCCTCCATGGACTACAAGATGGCGAGAAGAGGATTAGAGATTGAGGTATTTAGGTAGAATGAGTGAGCACTGCACGTAATTCCAGGGATCTGCAAAAGCAAAATAAAATCATTTACAGTTCTAGGTATATTCCAGGTACAGACTATGACTACTGTATGTCTATCGAGGCAGTCCCGGTGACGAGTCCACAAAAGAAACAGGGGGTTGCAATGAGGGGGAACTCAGCTGAGACTCGATTGAAGAGATTTGATATGATTGTCTTGTGCGTTGATTTGTGTTTGACTTTGGGGAGAGTCGAGACTGGATGAATCGTTTCAAATCCTCGGGTCGGCTCGGAAGGATCGTCCACAATTTGCCCAGTCAGGATCCACCTGAATCTGCTGCAAGGGAGCACAATGGTATCCACGTCTCTGGAGATGGGGGCTGCCGAGAGAGAAAGAGAGAGAGGAATCCACTGGGGCCATGCGCGGACCACACCCGAGGTCGTGGAGCTCAGTTTGGAGGCGTCATGATCTGGAAATAGCTGGGATGATCTGGGATCCGGAAGGAGGAATAACCCCGTCAAGAGGGTCTCGGAGAATCCACTTGAAAAGAAAAAGCAAAGTTGATAGACGTAGGATATGTGATTGGGGAGTGTGATGAAGGGGGAATTCCGACCCGGTACCAGCTGAACAAAGAAAATCCGCTCTCTTCACGCAGGGATTCGAGCCCGAGGGTTTGGGTAGTCGGTGAAAGTGAGAATTGACGCATCAACTGGGATCTGAGTGCCACATCCATTCCCTCGGTCTCTCTTCTTTTTCTCTCTTTGTATCCCACAATATTAAGGATGACAGATCCCCGTCCCGTCCAAGTGTCAGTGGGGTCCACGTCGATCCCTGGAGTTTGGACGTCGGTACCAAAGTCTCTTGGGAGCTGAACGCAAAACCCTCTGTGAGAGCCTCGGGGGCCCGAGACTTTGGATAGGTGCAGACCGAGAAGATAGTAGAAAATGAAATTGAGGGGAAAAAATAGAATAAAAAAAGATAAATAGAATTAAAGAAAAGAAAATAGAAAAGGAATTGTGTGACAATACAGAATGTGAGGGTATTGTATCTTTGCAGCTTGTACTTCTGCACTCTTTCTCCTGTTCTCTTGCCAGCCCCCCTCTTCTCTCTCTCTCTCTTTCTCTCCCTCTCCTTCGCTCTTCTGGTCTTTCTTCGGCTGTTTTATCCATCCGTCGGGTAAGAGACCGTGGTTCACGCCTTCCAAAAAATTCTCCGGCTTTTTTTTTTTTTGGGCCTTCGACATCCTATCCATGGGATGCTCAGCATCGGCCATTGAGTGGTGACGACTTGCAGGGGTCATTTATTATTTTTTTTTTCTGTCGACATATGCTCTGGAGTTCGAGTGTTGTGCATTCGTTTCCTTTGCTTGAAACGCACTTGAGAACATCTCCAATTGCTTCGATCGCTGGTGTCGGCAATCTGTCCGGACTTAGGGTGTTAGCGGTACCCCAGAACCGAGGGTGTTTCAATTCTCTACGGAGTGCGCTGGAAATCGCCTCGGTTTGCTTGATAGTGGCTGGGATGCTTGGCTCAAACCTGGCACCTGTCTCAGTTAGCTTGTGCGATCCCCAGTTGATCGCAGGTACCACGCTTCGCGCGAGCCCGACCGAAGAATTACCGACTCCTCTGCCTGTGTCCGACCATCAAACGACCTCATTACCCTAGACCGAATGTTGAACGACGGAAAACCCGCTTTGCGACTGCCCCCAATGGCGTCTCCTCCGCCCGCGAAGCGATACAAGTCCGAGTCGACGACGCCTGCCAGCGATGCCGGTCGCTCAAGGTACTACTCACAGTCGGTCCCGATGAGTGAACGAGCCCGGTCGCGACAAACATCCACGGCAATGGACATTTATGTTATTACGGATAGAGATCCTGCCGAGAGAGATCGCCGAGTCGGTCGCTTTACTAGCCATGGGTCGGTTGCGTCTCAGGCGTCGCATACCTCTCACACCTCCCGCTCGTCACCACCGGTGATTCTCAGCAATCATAAGTAGGTTTCTTTTCTGATCCAATCTTGAATTGTCTCAGAGAGTTGACGGTCAACGCTTACTCAGATACCCCGAGCGGTACCCGTGTTACAAAGAGAACGGGCGGACATACCATGGCTATCGAAAAGGAATGTATATGCTTCCGTGCGACGACGAAGAGCAGGATCGCCTCGATATCTTCCACAAAGTAATGACGGTTGCTCGCGTGTCGGATGGGCTGATCTATGCGCCGCATCCCAGTACCTCGCGAATCCTCGACTTGGGATGCGGCACGGGAATTTGGACGATCGAAATGGCGACCAAATATCCGGATTCTTTTGTGGTTGGGGTCGATCTGGCTCCCATCCAGCCCGCGAATCACCCGAAGAATTGCGACTTTTACGCCCCATTTGACTTTGAGAGCCCCTGGACGATGGGCGAGGATTCATGGGATGTCATTCATATGGGGATGGGCAGTGGCAGTGTCGCCAGCTGGCCCAGTCTGTATCGACGAATCTTCTCCCACCTCCGCCCAGGCGCCTGGTTCGAGCAGGTGGAGATCGACTTTGAACCGCGCTGCGACGACCGTTCCTTGAGCGGGTTGGCTCTCCGCCATTGGTATCAGGCGCTCAAACACGCGACGGAATCCACCATGCGACCCGTGGCGCATAGCTCCCGCGAGACGATCCGGAATTTGCAGGAAGCGGGCTTCACCGAGATCGATCATCAAATGGTGGGATTGCCGTTGAATGCCTGGCATAACGATGAGCATGAGCGCAAGGTTGCTCGCTGGTACAACCTGGCCATTTCCGAGAGCGTTGAGCCGCTGAGTTTGGCTCCGTTCAGTCGTGTCTACGCGTGGCCGATTGATAAGATCCAGCGCATTGCGGCAGACGTGAAACGCGAAGCCTTTGACAAGGATATCCACTGCTACAATATCCTCCATATATACCAGGCCCGCAAGCCCCTCGCTAAATGATCTCGCGACTCTTGCCCTGGAGGTATTTGTGTTGAATGACTGTTGAGCACAGACAATGCTCGCTCCACGATAGGCCAGGCTTCATCGTCCTCTCACCCTCTACCGTGGCATGCATAACGAGAAGTCTCGAACGGTGCATGGTCGCCGCTGGCAAATTTCGGCTGGTCCAGATCAGATCTGGGCCTGTAGACTGGAGTCGCAAGCATTTTGTACTTTCGTTGGGATCCAAGGCAACTGGAACTTTTTTTTCCCCCTGCCGGATTCCCTCATTTTGAGGTCGGTCTACTCAGGACGAACCCTACCTCGCCGACTTTTTTTCCCCTTTCTTTCTTTCCTTCTATTTCTGAGCCTTTCCTGCAACTTCCAGCGAGTCCCTGCGCCAGCTAAGGACTACCGATCACGATAACTTTCTTGCATAGCGTTGTGGTGCAACCCCCCCAAAAAAGAATCCTTCTTCGATATAAGGGCCTGGTCCAGTCCAGATCTCCGGAATGGACAGGAGCAAAGAATCGAGGGTGAATGTGAATTGTCGACTGCGGCACGATGTTCCTGCATGTTGCTATACTCTACTCCCGTACTCACGGGCTCAAGAGTTTGCATTGGCGGAAGGATTACGACTTGCCCTTTTCTTTGGTTATATTGTTTTGATTGTCGCATTGCCTTATTTTAGCATCATTGGGGCGTTCTCAGGGCTGTTCATGTTCCGGCTTGTGGTATATACCCCAGGTTTTCTTTCTCTCTTCCTTTTCTCTCGTCTCTTGACGGTGGTCTTGTTTCTCTTACCCCAGGAAACCCACCAAAACAGTCCTCTACTGAAAACCTTTTTCTCTTCTTGCCTTTCTCATTTTCTCTCTTCTCTTCTCTTCTCTTCTCTTCTCGCCTCCTCCTATTCTGGCCGTGCCGATGTGGCCTGTGGGTAATCCCAGCCGGAAATTCCCATAATCTCCCATTTTATGCCGAAGACATCCTACTGTACTTATAATGGCGCTTTTGTACAATTCGCTTGGGGTGCCTCCCTCCAGAGTCTCGTACCGTGTCTTGCGTCGATTCATCCTGGTATTGCCGTAGGCCTGTGCATAAAATGTCTGTCTAGATAGTAGATGGAGAACTGAGTAGGCTGGGGGACGATTGCCTTGCAACTTTTGTAGGTAGTTCCGATTGCTGGCTACCTCTATGGTCCACCTCAATACACCCGAAGAAGAAGCCGACTTTTGTACCTTTTCGTAGGCCAATATACCAGAAGGATGCCAACCGCAAACGCCGTTTCGATCTCCAGGAAAACGCCACCACCTCCATGCAAGATATGTTTTTGGTACAGCCCGAGCTACCCGAGACAAGGGAAATTTTTTAGAACCACATAGATATGCCACACACTAAGGCTTTTTTTTTTTTTTTTTTTTCTTCTGTTTATCGACGGCGAGTCCTTCCCGAACCACGGGAGACGCCATTCGCAGCAGAGCGGGTGTCTTTCTCAGTATCGCCGTTGACAGCATCACGACCACCGCCGGGAGTGCGGCGGCGCATGGTACCGGGGCCAACAGTGACGATATCCTCGCCGCTTTCGCTGTCAGAGATATCCAACAGAACAGGCACGCCGAAGCCATCGGCGACGTCGGGGTCCGTCGCGCTTTTAAGCGTGTCGTGGGTCACGGCGTCGGGCTCCTCGTCCTCTTGGTCGAGACGGCGCTGATGGACCTGCTCAGCGGGGTGGACGTCGAACTCGTCCTCGCGCTCCATGTACTCGACATTCTCTTCGACCTCGCCGAAATCCGGGGCCAGCGCGGACCACTTCTGTGGGCTGACGATCGACCACGTGTACACGCACCCGGACTCCAGGCCGCAGGCTACGACCATCGGCCGCGACGGGTGCCACTCGACCACGCCGAGCTCTTCGCGTGGGCCTTCGAGGATCTTGACTAAGGATCCGTGGCTGCGTTCCCAGACGTAGATGTCGGGGTTCATAAAGGTCGTGGCGGTGACGAACTCGCCTGTCGATGAGAAGGTGACGTGGTTCCAGCTGAGGCGGTTGACTACGTCTTGGAACTTATGTTCCACTTGGAGCTTGATGTTTGACGGCTCGAGATCAATTCCGAGCTGAGACAGGTCCGGCATCAGCACCGTTCGGATCACGCGATCTGAACTGTTGACGAGAAGGTCTCGACCATTGCTGGCGAGACGCATGAGAATCACCACTCCGTTGCAGAGCCGCATGGAGTGGATTGTAGTGCAAGTCTCCGTCTCGATGATGTTGATCCATCCCTTGGACGAGCCCGCAATGATATGGTTCCCAAAGGCTGTGAAGATTGTGACGCATGTCGAGTGCTTTGCATCTTGTGCGGCCTGCTTTGCTGCTACCGCCGGATCGACTTCTTCGCCGTTCGTGGGTTGTGGCCGAAGGGGTGCTGAAGGGAGGATGCGCTTGATCGGTTTAGGCGAGGACACGTCCACGAGTACAGGTTGGTCTTCAAACAGAGATGCGACGAATAGTAGACTGGGGCACAGAAAAAGTAAAATCAATTGGTCTTCCATGGCAAGGTTTGGATAAGGAGCAGAGGGAATTCATACTGGTTGAATGGGTGTAGCTCGGCAATGTAGATGGGTGCTTCGAATCGGACAGTGCGCACACGTGAGCCATCCTCGAGGTCCCATAGGATGCACTTCCAGTCTTGTGAGGAGGTGAGGAGATATCGTCCATCCCTTGACCAGCTAAGGACGAGTCAGCATCGAGTCAGCGCCATTGCCTGAATCCCCCCGCCATCAAGGCATACCTGAGAGACTGAATCTGGCGGGTGTGACCCTGCAGTTTGCGCGCTACCCCGTTTGTTTCAATGTCAAATATGACCACTGTGCCATCCACCTAAGATGCCCAAAGAATCAGTTCTCCAAACTGCAAAGTGCCTATCACAGGCTGGGCATAGGTATACGCACTCGTCCGGATGCTAGGTAATCTCCCGAGTGATTGAATCGCAGACATGTTGCATGGCCACTACCTAGTCTCATTAGCACAGGCCTAGAGCATTGTGAGAGAGGCATCACATACTCAGCTTTTCTGTCAGGGTATCTGGGTACTCCTGCGCCAGAATGAAAGGATCAACGAGCGAGAGGTTCATTGCGACTAAGCAATGCAGCCAGGTTGACTCTCACAGAATGATCCCCAGCCTGAAAAAAGGCCAGCAGGATCGCTGACACCCAAGCATCCAGTACAATTTCAGACCCAGTGGATTTGACAATCAGACAAGGCACGATGGAGGTGGGATCTAATTCCTGTCGGGACAATGTTTGGAAGAGGATTCGAAGGCGGTCAAGCTGGGTCTTTACAATGCACAAGATTAATGCCTCAGGAACTCCCAGCCATCGTCTTGACCGCCCTCGGTGGCCAACTGCCGCGACAGACCGCCAGGGCGGTGAGTGTGCTATAGACAGGTCTCCCAGGGAGCGGAAAACTCGAGCCCAACACCGGGTGAGGCAACCTCCAACTGTCTCCCTTTCAACCTCCCGACACGCCATCCCCCATCCCCTCCCCATCCAAGAATATCGCGTCCCGCATCGCGATATCTCTACAGGAGACTTCAGATACGCCAAGATCCACTGCTTTCTCCTTTTTTCTCTCTTTTCCAGGGCTTCGTGACGTCCGGGGACGGCGCCCTCGTGGCAAGGGCTGCCAGAGGCCTCAGCCGGCCAGCTGCTTCCACACCACCCTCGTTTCATCGTCGCTTGGTTGGAATTTGACTTTTTGACAACCGAAAAGTCCTTCCCTTCACTTTCTGCATCTTTGCGATTCCAGATCCCTCGTTTGTTGCGGGTCCTCGTCAGTCCGACCTAACCCGGCCAACCCACACCTTTGACGTGTTTTCGCGACGACGACTGCCACCATGTCGAACGTTTTCTTCCCTTACTCCAAGGCGCCTTTGCGCACCATCAAGGAGATCCAGTTCGGCCTTTTCGCGCCCGAGGAAATTAAGCGCATGAGTGTGGTCCATGTGGAATATCCTGAGACACTGGTATGCGCCTCTTCTCATACTTTTTGCGGGCGCAAGGGCCTTTTGAGATGCTAACTTGAACCGCAACACCAGGACGAACAACGTCAGCGCCCCCGGACCAAGGGTATCAACGACCCACGCCTCGGAACAATCGACCGTCAGTACAACTGTGAGACTTGTGAGGAGGGACCGAAGGAATGCCCCGGACACTTCGGCCACATTGAACTCGCGTCTCCGGTCTATCACATTGGTATGCTAGAATTTCTCTCATTTGTTTGATGATATGCAGATGCTGACTTCTTCTTTCTAGGTTTCTTGACTAAGATCAAGAAGCTGTTGGAGACTGTGTGCCACAACTGTGGAAAGATCAAGGCCAACACGGTTAGTCATCCCTATTGGGATGGCAAATCTTGACTGGCACGTTTTTGCTGACACACAAACCAGGCCGATTCCAAGTTTCTCGAAGCTCTTCGCATGCGAGACCCGAAGCGGCGCTTTGACCACATCTGGAGACTCTCCAAAGACGTGCTGGTCTGTGAAGCCGACCCCCCTGCGGATGACGAAGAATATGCCAAGGAGTCTCAGAAAGGACCCTCTCATGGTGGATGCGGAAACGCCCAGCCCACGGTTCGAAAGGAAGGCATAACTCTAGTTGGGACGTGGAAGCCCAGCAAGAGCATGATGGAAGATGAGATGGCACAGCCGGAGAAAAAGGTTATCACGCCTGCAATGGCTCTGAACATCTTCCGCAACATCTCCCATGAAGATGTCCGCATTATGGGTTTGAGCAACGACTACGCCCGTCCTGAATGGATGGTGCTTACGGTTTTGCCCGTCCCACCCCCCACCGTTCGACCCAGTGTCATGATGGGAGCCACTAGTGGGGCCCGCGGTGAGGATGACCTGACTTACAAGTTGGCGGAAATCGTGCGCGCAAACCAGAACGTCCAACGCTGTGAGCAAGAGGGTGCCCCGGAACACGTCATCCGCGAGTTCGAGTCTCTGCTGCAGTACCACATCGCCACTTACATGGACAACGATATTGCTGGTCAGCCCAAGGCTATGCAAAAGGGAAACAGACCCGTTAAGGCTTTGCGCAGCCGTCTTAAGGGCAAGGAAGGTCGTTTGCGTCAAAACTTGATGGGCAAGCGTGTCGACTTTTCCGCCCGTACCGTCATCACGGGTGACCCGAACCTTTCGCTTGATGAGGTTGGTGTGCCGGTCTCCACCGCCAAGGTCTTGACCTATCCAGAGGTGGTTACTCCGTACAACATCGAGCATCTTCAGTGGTTGGTTTCAAATGGTCCCAGCATGCACCCTGGTGCCAGGTACATCGTTCGTGACAATGGTGAGCGTATTGACCTTCGTCATGCAAAGCGTGCTGGCACTCAGCAGCTACTGTACGGATGGAAGGTGGAGCGCCACATCGACGATGGCGATGTCATTCTGTTTAACCGGCAGCCTTCGCTTCACAAGGAATCTATGATGGGTCACCATGTCCGTGTCATGCCCTTCTCGACCTTCCGGTTGAATTTGTCTGTCACGACTCCTTACAACGCTGATTTCGATGGTGACGAGATGAACTTGCACGTCCCACAGAGTGAAGAGGCTCGGGCTGAACTGTCGGAGCTTGCTCTTGTGCCCAAGAACATCGTCTCTCCTCAGCGCAACGGTCCCCTCATGGGTATTGTGCAGGATACTCTCTGTGGTATCTACAAGATCTGCCGCCGGGATGTTTTCCTTTCCAAGGACCAGGTCATGAACCTCATGCTTTGGGTCCCGGGCTGGGATGGTGTCATTCCACCCCCGGCTATCATGAAGCCCCGTCCACGGTGGACTGGAAAGCAAATGATCAGCATGGCCTTCCCCTCTGGTCTCAATCTTTTGCGTGTTGACAAGGACAGCTCGCCACTCTCTGAGAAGTTCAGCCCCCTCACGGACGGCGGCCTTCTCATTCACGGTGGTCAGCTCATGTACGGCATGCTCTCCAAGAAGACTGTTGGTGCCAGTGGTGGGGGTGTCATTCACACTATCTTCAATGAGTATGGCCCGGACACCGCCGTCAAGTTCTTCAACGGCGCCCAGACCATTGTCAACCACTGGTTGTTGCACAACGGTTTTAGTATCGGTATTGGTGACACGATTCCCGATTATAACACTATCCAGAAGATTGAAGAGGCTGTTCGGGAGCGGAAGAAGGAGGTTGAGTCGATCACCGTCAGCGCCACTGACAGCACCTTGGAGCCGTTGCCTGGTATGAACGTGCGTGAGACTTTCGAGAGCAAGGTCTCCCGGGCTCTCAACAACGCCCGTGATGAAGCCGGTGCCGCGACCGAGAAGAGTTTGAAGGACATCAACAATGCCATTCAAATGGCGCGCTCCGGTTCCAAGGGCTCTACTATCAACATTTCTCAAATGACCGCAGTCGTGGGCCAGCAGTCGGTGGAAGGCAAGCGTATTCCGTTTGGCTTCAAGTATCGAACTTTGCCGCACTTCACCAAAGATGACTATTCTCCCGAGTCGCGTGGATTCGTCGAGAACTCTTACCTTCGTGGCTTGACCCCGACCGAGTTCTTCTTCCACGCCATGGCTGGTCGAGAAGGTTTGATCGATACCGCCGTGAAGACAGCCGAAACTGGTTACATTCAGCGTAAGCTTGTAAAGGCTCTCGAAGAAGTCATGGTCAAGTATGATGGCACTGTCCGCAATTCCCTGGGCGACATTATCCAGTTCATTTACGGAGAGGATGGTCTGGATGGCGCACACATCGAGAACCAGCGGGTCGACATCATTCGATGCTCCGATGACAAGTTCAGGGATCGCTTCCGTGTCGACGTTATGGACCCCGAGCGAACTCTCGGCCCCGAGGTCTTGGAACAGGCCAACGAAATTGCGGGTGACATGGAGGTCCAGCGATACTTCGACGAGGAATGGGAGGCGCTCCTCAAGGACCGTGCTTTCCTCCGAACCGTGGCCAAGGAAGACGAAGAGATGATGCAGCTGCCCATTAACGTGCAGCGAATCCTGGAAATGGCACGCACGACCTTCCGCATTCGCGAGGGTACCATCAGTGACCTGCACCCTGCCGAGGTCATTCCTCAAGTTCAGGCACTTTTGGACCGTCTGTTGGTTGTTCGTGGTAACGATGTCATCTCGCAAGAGGCCCAAGAGAATGCAACTCTGCTGTTCAAGGCTCAGCTACGCAGTCGCCTTGCCTTCCGTCGCCTTGTCACGGATTACTCGCTCAACAAACTTGCTTTCCAAAATGTTATTGGTGCTATCGAGAGCCGATTCGCTCATGCAGCGGCTAATCCTGGAGAAATGGTTGGTGTCCTTGCCGCTCAGTCCATTGGTGAACCCGCCACTCAGATGACGTTGAACACCTTCCACTTTGCTGGTGTGTCTTCTAAGAACGTCACTCTTGGTGTGCCGCGTCTCAAGGAGATTCTCAATGTGGCCACCAACATCAAAACGCCCTCTATGACTGTGTACCAGGAGGCCCACAAGTCGGGAGACAAGGAGGGTGCGAAACAGTTGCGAAGCGTTGTTGAGCATACCAGCTTGCGGTCCGTTACGGAGGCGACTGAGATCTACTATGACCCTGACATCCAGACCACCGTTATTGAGAATGACCGGGACATGGTTGAATCATACTTCATCATTCCCGAAGACGCTGGCGATGACGTGGCTCACCAGTCCAAGTGGCTGCTTCGTATCGTCCTCAGCCGACCCAAGCTTCTTGACAAGGGTCTGACGGTGCAGGAAGTTGCCAGCAAGATCAAGCAGGCGTACCCTCGGGACATTGCCGTCATCTTCAGTGACAACAACGCCGATGAGCAGGTTATCCGTATTCGCCAGATCCAAGACTACAAGGATGATGAAGACGACGATGTGGAATATGACGTGACGCTGAAGAAGCTTGAACAGCACCTCCTGGACACCCTGACTCTTCGTGGTGTCCCTGGCGTTGAACGTGCATTCATCAACGAGAAGAGCAAGGTTCGTGTTCTCGAGGATGGGACGCTCTTCACGAGCAAGTCCGACCCTCTCTGCAAGGAATGGGTTCTTGAAACCAGTGGTTCTTCTCTTGGTGCGGTGCTCGCCATTCCTGGCGTCGATTCTACGCGCACATACTCCAACCAGTTCATCGAAATTTTCGAAGTCTTTGGTATAGAGGCTGCGCGTACTGCAGTGCTCCGTGAGCTAACCCAGGTGCTTGCCTTTGATGGTTCGTATGTCAACCACCGACACTTGGCCCTCCTGGTCGATGTCATGACCGTGCGCGGCTACCTCACTCCCGTTACTCGCCATGGTATCAACCGTGCCGACAACGGTGCGCTCATGCGTTGCTCGTTCGAAGAAACTGTGGAGATTTTGCTGGAGGCTGCTGCTTTCGGAGAGCTCGACGACTGCCGTGGGGTGTCGGAGAACTTGATCCTTGGCCAGATGGCGCCCGCAGGAACGGGAGAGTTCGACGTCTACCTGGACCAGAGTCTGCTGAACACGGTCGTGTCGAACAACGCCCGCTTCGGACTCATGGGTGCTGTTGGTGCCAAGGATGCCATCATTCCGGACGGTGCTGCCACTCAATATGACACCGGTTCGCCCATGGCGAGTACCCCTTACATGGCCGATGGCGACCCAGATGCAAGCTTCTCTCCCATCCGTCAGGTTGGTGCCGATACTTCTGGAGCCATCACCGATTACCAGCCTTTGCTCGGTGGATACAGCCCGGCGGCTCGCAGTCCTGGCTACTCTCCCAGCAGCCCTTTCAATGCCAGCCCTACGTCGCCTGTCTACTCGCCTTCGTCGAGTTACTCTCCCACGTCTCCTGGCATTGGCATGACAAGCCCCCGCTTCGTCACCTCGCCTGGCTTCTCGCCTGCTAGCCCATCGTTTGCTCCTACCTCTCCGGCTTACTCGCCGACGTCGCCTGCCTATGGCCAAGCGTCTCCGACGTCCCCGTCGTACTCGCCCACTTCACCTGGGTTCTCGCCGACGTCGCCCAACTACAGCCCCACGTCGCCCAGCTTCAGTCCGGCCTCGCCTGCGTTTAGTCCTACTTCGCCCAGCTACAGCCCCACCAGTCCTGCGATTGGTGGTGCCGGCCGGCACCTGTCTCCTACCTCCCCAACTTCTCCCAAGTACACTCCCACCTCTCCTGGCTGGTCGCCCACGAGCCCTCAGTCTTACTCGCCGACCTCTCCCAACTTCGCTGGCTCCCCGACGTCTCCCGGTTACAGCCCGACCTCGCCGGCTTACAGCCCTACGTAAGTTCTGTGAATTGGCCATTGTGTGCCAGTTTGTTACTGACAACTGCAAATAGGTCGCCTCGCCAGTGAAGTTTGGTCAGCCCCGGCATGCTTGCTTAGGCTCGTGCTGTAACATTGTATTATCACCAAACAAGCGTCCAATTACCCACAAAAGAACACATCTTTCACTTGACATCTCGGAATTGGTTGGTCATCTGTTTTTCACGATCTGCGGGCTTGCCACCCTTCAATTGTACCTGTTTCATTCGGCAAAGATCGAGCCCTATGCCGGCCCTTTCTCTAGTTTTCCCCTGTTCTTGACATGCGCGACTTGATTTCCAGCCGTCACCGGTTTCGAGATTGTGAACGATTTTTTTTACCCCCTCTTCTTTTTTTTCCGCGGGTGGGAATGGATGTACCCCCACGGGCCGATGAGATCCTGCATTCCTTCCAAATGATGCTTGACACTTGAGCCAAAGCGTTCGAAGGGTTCAGCGAGGTCTTTGATGGACCATGGGGCTGTGCTCCGTGACTGCTTTTTTATTTCTTTTTTTTCTTGCATGGAGAGCGCAATGGGGGTTCTGTATTTGTCTGATTTCCTCCCGTTCTGTACACAGACTCGCTCAAGGGAGCTGAATAAAAAAGGGATTTAATATCATTTGCTGCGTAGTCTAAATCTTGGTAGTTGTCGAATCTCCATGTCCCGGTTGATGTCTATAGAAGTTGGGTTGGTGATTGGCCCTCGGTAAAATGAAGCTCCGTTAAGCCAAGTGGCCCGAACTTGGGGGCAACTACATCACAACCCAAGCTGTCTTTCATTTCTCTCTCATCTTTTGCGCTGCTATCACCGCAGTCGCCATGCACCTGCTCTTGAATTACATCCACATATCAACATTATGAGAACCTTGTTCTCTCAATTCTTGCCGGCCCTGTGTAAGCAGCCTCGTCCCGTTCCGGCGTGAAGCATGCTGACCCCCCTTCCCAGTGCTTTTCCAGGCTGCAGCTGGGTCTAGCCAAGTCCCCGCAGATGAAACCACGCGGACGGCCTTGACTGGAAAGACTGGTCAACGCGAAGTCGTGTTTACGCCGGAGGAAAAAGAGCCTCAACCTCTTAGTCGTCAGCAGACCCAGCCTAGCCGTATAGGATTTGTCTATCGATGATACTGACCATACACTTCTTTGGCTTGCAGAACGAGTTGAACATGCCTGGGACACCCTGCGCTCGGCGAAGACCGCGGTCGTTCGCAATGAAAAGTCAACCGGAGTCCTTGGGCATGCCTGGCACTACAGCCGCGAAGCGTTCCGGATATTGTTTATGAATGGCCCACCCTTAGAAAAGAGCGATCGGAAAATTCGCCCAGATATTGCACGAGCAGTGGAGGAATTGAAGGCCGCGGCAGATGAGGATCAGGACCCGGATGCGATGTTCCTGTTGGCTGAAATGAGCTTCTATGGCAACTTCACATATCCGCGTGACTTCGGCGAGGCTTTTCAGTGGTATAGTGACCTGGCATGGCTGAACGGGAACCACACAGCACAATACATGGTCGGATTCATGTATGCGACAGGGATTGGTGGTGCTGTTGAACCCGACCAAGCAAAGGCGCTGTTGTACCATGAATTCGCGGCGGAGGCGGGAAATACACGGTCGGAAATGACTCTGGCGTATCGCTACCACACGGGTATTGGAACGCCCAAAGACTGTGGTCACGCGATTGTTTACTACAAAAAGGTGGCGGACAAGGCCATCGACTACTATCGGTCTGGTCCCCCTGGGGGCCATGCCATGATCCGAAACTCCTATCGCTGGGCTGATGAGGAGGGTGGTGTCTACGGTGAAGGGGCTAGTGTATCGAGCTCCGGGCACAATGCGCGGGACGCTGCCCACTCCAGCACTGATGCCAGCGTTGAAGATGTCCTGGAGTACCTGGATTTGTTATCGCGGAAGGGTGAATTGAAGGCCACATTTACCCTGGGGAAGATGAACTACGAAGGTGCACGGGGCCTGCCTCGCAATTTCCGACGAGCCATGAAGTATTTTAAAGTGGTCGCTAAGCGATACTGGAACAAAGACGGTGCCATCAACCCCAATCACCCTGCGGGACTCGACAAGCTGGCCGCCAAAGCGGCAGGTCATATTGGCGTCATGTATCTTCGCGGGGAAGGCGTGGAGCAAAGCTACGGCACAGCCTTAACCTGGTTCCGACGGGGCGTGGTGAACGGGGATGCTCTCTGCCAGCATGAAATGGGATTGATGTACCTCCATGGGTATGGGGTGTCTCCGGATGCGTACAAGGCCTCCTCTTATTTCAAGGCGGCATCCGAGCAAGATCTTCCAGCGTCAGAAACACGGCTGGGCGCGCTGTTCTTGGACCAAGGTGATGTGGCCACTGCGGCGCGTTACTTCGATCTAGCGGCTCGCTGGGGGTGGATGGAAGCATACTATTACCTGGCCGAGATGGCGAACTTTGGGGTCGGGCGGCAACAGCACTGTGGTGTGGCCGCAGCGTACTACAAAATGGTTGCCGAGAAGGCAGAGGTCATCCATTCGTCGATTGCCGAGTCTAATGCCGCCTTTGAGGCTGGCGACAAAGAAGGTGCTCTCATCCCGGCCATGATGGCCGCGGAGCAAGGGTACGAGCACGCCCAGGCCAATGTGGCCTATATCCTGGATGAACAGCGCTCGTTGTTATCATTGAATTCGCTTCTTCCCTGGGCCCGGAAGGCCCGCTCTGGTTTGCTCCGCAATGCGGCGCTGGCGTTGATCTACTGGACTCGGTCTGCAAAGCAAGCGAACATCGACTCCCTGGTCAAGATGGGCGACTATTACCTGTCCGGTATCGGCGCAATTCTCGATGCTGACAAGGCTTCTACTTGCTACCACAATGCCGCGGAAGCTCATCATAGCGCTCAGGCGTACTGGAACCTGGGTTGGATGCATGAGAATGGTGTGGCCGTGGCGCAGGACTTTTACATGGCTAAGCGGTACTACGACCTGGCCCTTGAGACAAACACCGAGGCATATCTACCCGTGAAGCTCAGCTTGCTCAAACTTCGAATTCGCGGATACTGGAATCGCATCACCAACGGAAATATCAACCCGATCCGTGAAGAGCAAGGTACGACACTCACTATGAATCTTGTTATGTTTGGCCGTACACTAAAACACAGTACAGAGTCGAAACCCCGCCGCACCTTTCGGGAATGGATCACCGCCTTCATCGAGAATGACGAGGAGGGCTATTACGACGAGATGCATGAGCGCCGGGGTGGAGAAGAGGACGAATTTACTGGGTCGAGAGGCCTGGAGTCGGAGGAACATCGTGACGATGGCTATTACGATGATCTTGAGTTTGATATCGACGAGGGCATGCTGGAGGGCCTCCTTATTGTCGGGCTGGCTGCTACGCTTCTCGTGCTCGTCTACATTCGACAGCAGCAGCAGCAGCGCAACCGACAAAACGAGAACGCCAATGCCGAGGGCAATGGAAACGACCGCGGATTCTTCCCTCGGCCAGGCGACCCTGGCTTTGGGCCGTGGGTCGCTGGTGGAGTCGGGCATTAACGATGTATGTAGATCAAGTGTAGCTTATAAGATAAGCATTTTTCATAACTCACTAGGCCATCTCCATCTCCATCTTTTGTTCGTCGCAATCCTCCCATCTTCACCTTCTCGCCTCATCCATGTTGTTCATGAATTGATACACATCATGACCGACCCACCGCATCCCAGCAAGCGTCGTCGCCTCGACGCAGCCGCGACGCTCTCCAAACCATTCAAGTCCCCGCTGCGCAGGCCCGCAGCCACCAATACCCCATCGACCCCCGACACAACCAAAGCACCACCCAAAGAGCCAGACACGAGCTCGATTCCTTCATCAACCAGCCCAGGGCCTACATCATCCCCCCAACCTGCCTCTCTCTGCCACCCGCGCCCGCAAGCCCGCCAGAACCAGCACCTTCTCGCCGCGATCTCCACTCGCAGACCCCGAGATCCTAGTCCTACAGAAACAGCAACGCGCACTGCAGTCGCGCATTGCTGCACTCCGCTCCGAAGTCGACAACGCCCGTCAGGCCCTCCGCATTGAGTCCTCGACGCGAGATGCCGAGCTCGAGGCGCTGATTATCAAGTGGCGTGTCGTCAGCCAGGACGCGGCTGATGAGGTTTTCGTGGGTGCCCGGGAGCGAGTTGCTCGCATGGGTGGCATGGCGACTTGGCGTGAACGCGCTAAGCATGATACCTTTCAATGGGATGATGAAATGGGAAATCAGGGCAATGCTGGCGAAGAAACGGATTACCCGAAGGTTGGTCCTCCGATGGGGACCAGTGCAGCCCGCCAGACAGAAGAAGAAAAGGAGAATGAGGTAGGTTATTGTTGAAAACCTTTGACGATTTTTCGGAGTACACTTTATGCTTACTTTATGTGGTAGGAGTTTACGATGGAGTTCATGCTCAAGACTCTCAATATCGAACCGGTCACTATCGGGTTCGACACGGCGGCTCAAAAGTGGAGTAGGGACTGACCCCCTCATGGATCTCCAATCTAGCGGCTTGGTGGAGCACCCGTGGAGTGGAGATTGAGGACACGCGGGTGATGCCTCGGGTAACATGTGTGGTGCCTCGGGGGACGAGTATGTTATACTTCGAAGGCTGTATCGTTAGGGAGATTCCGGGAGGTATATGCGCCTCCTACAGTTATTCTCATTGATATCAACTGGAGGGAGTTCACTAGATCTATCCAAGTAACAGATCCACGGGCAAAGCCAATTATTAATAGGACAAGGGGGTCGTCGTATCGCCTTATCGTCTGAATCCCCGCTTCTACACCACCCCATGTCTCGCCCGAAGCACCGCGATATCGCCTGTGCACGCTGTTTTCGTCTGAAGCGCAAATGTGACCACGGCAAGCCGACCTGCGGCGAGTGTCGCCGCAAAGGTGCAGAGTGTCTGCCGGCCAAATCCCGCCGTACTGGCGACACAATCACCATCCCGGTGGAATATCTGAGGCAGTTGGAGGAACGAGTTGCGGAATTAGACCGTCGATCAAGTGTCGTGGCAGCCGATGTCGAAGCATGCGATGCCGGTGTCCAGACAGATTCCACAACAGACTTCGAGCCGAGCCGCTGCAACACTCCCTCGGCGTCTCTATTGATGCCATGGCATCTTCCCGAGACCAAAATATCGGATTGGGGAGGAATGCAAGACACAGAGAATGACGGCGCATTGACATCTCTGTGCGAATCGCCGTCCCAGAGATACCGAGGTCAACGAACCCCAATATCTTGCTCTTCGCCCGTCGACGCATTCTTTTTGGCCGAAGCAGCCATCGACCTGTCAGGTCTAGACGTGGATCCAATATACTCTGCGATTAGCGACGACTCCATCTGGATTACAGAACTCTACACGAACATGTACTTCTCTATCACCCACCGCGAATGGCCCTTTCTAAACGAGCCAGCCTGGAAGTCCTGGCACATGGACGCAATCCTCGGCGGACAGGACGACTGGCGCGTCTTCTTTCTGCGCATGGTGTATGCCATTGGCGCATTGCTGTGCAGCACCATCCAACGAGATCCCGCGCACTGGGTGCGCTCCAGGGAGCTCTACGCCTCGGCGATGCGATACTACCCGCACGTCGTGGGGCAGTCTTCCATGGTCCTCCAAATACAAGCATCATTGCTCATGATTCTCTACGCGTTACATTCCCCGTCCTCTGAAGAAATGTCCACCACCGTCTCGTCGGTGGTCCCGTTTTGTACTGCGGCTATGGCCGAGATCCGGAAACATGCGTCGGCGTGCCGCGACAGCAACACCATGACGGAGTCCGATGAGGTGCTGACCGAGAATATGTTCATTACCTGCTACATGCTCAATGAGATTGTGGTTTCGGGCTGGGACCGGCCGGTCTCACCTGCGTATAAGGCCGTGGACGATGATGTTAGTTATATCCTTCTTATTATCAAACGTACCGACTCGTTTCTTGCACCCGAACTGACATTCCTAAATTTAGATGTGTATCCTAGGAGACGCGATCCAACCACCCATCTGGACAAACCCAGCCCTGAGCCACCTCTTCCGGCTGCGAAGAATCCAAGCGAATATCCGACGATCACGGGAAAACAAGCTTCGTCGCAGGTTCGAATATACTCCGGGCTCAAGCTCTTCGCTCAAATCCGCCCTGGATATCTGGCGTCAAGATATCCCGTTGTACGTCACTGAAAATGCCCCATGCGGCTATCTCCACCCGATCTGGATGACCAAACTGTACAACTACAGCATCTTGATCCTGATGGAGGAGAAGCGGAGTATTCTCGAGCACGACGCCACAGAAGATATCCTCTCGGCAGTTGTGGAGGTCTGTTTCAATTTTCGTCTGTTGCAGGAAGAGGGACATGTTATGTGCTATACGTGGTCTGCTGTGAGATTTTCCTTTTCAAATCATCATTACAAGGGTGTTTCTACCAACTGGATAAAACTAATTGGGGTGTATAGCTCGTCTTCCAGTTTCGTGCTGGCATCATGCTTCTCTATATCGTCTGGGCGACGACACCTGTGGCAAGCAATGAAGAGACCCAGCAACAGCATATAGTTAACCAATCACCCGAAGCCATTGGCATCTGCGCTACCAACCTAGCGGGTTTTGCAGACCGCTGGACTGACGCAATGCCGTATCTGAAGCTGTTTGGATTCTTGCGCCACAAGATCCTGGGCAGTCCCGACCCATCTTCCCTCGACACAAACGACCTGGTATCGCTGGACGAGGCCAAATCATTTCTGGAGCTGCTGAAGAAGAAGTATTTGCATCGGGCGGTGTTGGGCATGATTGAGGATATGATGTTTGGGGGGGTTGTACGGCGGGGGATCTGTGATGTTTTAACTAACATCGGGTAGATAACAACTGAAGCTCCCACACGATCAGTCGAATTTCAAGTAATGTAATTTGACGAGGGAACTATTTCTTTATACTGGAAAATTTCACTTCCAAATATCCATATCTATGCCCTGGAGACCGAAGGACGTCAAAAAAACAGAACTACACGTCAAATTGATAAAGAACAAAATCCAAAAATTGAAATCAGAGCCTACCAGCACACTGATGAACTTGAATGAAGCGCAACTGAAGAACCCGCCTTGAGATACCAGGAGTACTTGAGTACTGCAGAAAAGACTAAAATCACAGGAGTCGGCGCCCTTGAAGCACATCACTTGCCACCGATTGAACCTTCTCAAATCGGATAAAGGCACACGACTCACTTTCTAAGTGATTGAACAATCCAGCAAGTGTCGAAAACTGTTTCCCACACACGCTTTGTGCATTTGGACAGCGATATATTGACTGCTTGTGGATGGGTGACTGAAGATGCTGATTGAGTGACTGCTTGGCCTTGAAATTTCGGTGGCACAAATAACACTCCCAGCTTTGACCATTGAATGCAAATTTCGAGGCAAAATATTGCTTGCTGTCATCCGAAGGCCCCTTGATCTGCTTAGTGGTGATGGCGCCATTGGGATCTAGCTCTTGTACCATGCGGTGGATTGTGTCCCGATTTAGCTTTGGGGCACGAGGGCAAGAGGCAGTTTCAAGGTGATGGCAGAGGCCACTGGCGATTGTATATGGGGTCTTACAGAAAGGACAGGGGACAGTCGATCCTTGGTGAACCTTGGAGTTGAGGTGCTGGAGCCCAGAATTGTCAACACGTTAATTTCTTTTAAAACATTTACAACAGTATTGACTCTTACCATTTTCAGGCTATTCTCATCCTGGAATTGCCTACCACACTTCGGGCAGGTGGTCTTGGTGGTTTGGATCGACTTGGGGGTCTTGACGGTCTTTGGGGGACTTTGCAGCTTGTTTTGATCCACAACAGCCAGCTTACGGCTTTGTGCAGGGATCTCAAAGTGCACGCCACCAACTCTCGCTGCCCGATGACCAGCAGCAGTCATGTGTTGGTTGGCTACCTCCTGGGAGCGGAACATCTTGTTGCAGCTGTCACATCCGAAGCGTGGTGCCCAGTGACCGGCAATATCCATATGCCGGTTGGCCGACGACTGGGTGAAAAATTTGATCTGGCATGTCTCACAGCCAATTCTTGGATGCCAGTGGCCGGAGACGTTCATGTGGTGGTCTGCGGCTTCCATGGAGAGGAATGCCCTGGGACAGGTTTCGCATTCGAAACGCTGAGCCCAATGGTCAGCCTCATTCATATGTTCATGACAGTCCAGCTGAGTCTCAAATAGCAGGCTGCACGTCTCGCATTGAGGCCAATGACCACATTCATCCATGTGTTCTCCCCAGTCATCTTCGCACTCGAAGGTTTCGGCACACATCTCACACCAGAGCATATTGGGCAATGATGGATTGATATTGCGTGAAGATTGATAGGTGCTTCTTTGTTTGAGAGGCCCCAGGAGGGAAAAAAGAGGTGAAAGAACTGAGAGTTGGCAGGTGTACAGGGAAGGCGAGAGGGAGATATCCGCTTAACAAGGTGATTTCTACTGGACCGGACTCTACATAACTCTGCGACTCTCATTTTCTATCACAAAAGAATCAGCTTTCCCGCCGATCCAACGTCAGTGTGAGCTATCACAACTACAATCGTTTGTGTTAGAGCAGGACTACTCCACTCCTCCCACTTGTTGTCTCGCTCGGAAATAGGGTATGTCGTGAGGAGAAACCACCGCCCATCCTCCATCACCACATCGACTGGTTGGCCATTGACATAACATGACATACTATTCAGCTTTGCATTTCCCAAGCTCATAGTCCCACAAGCCTGGACAAGTACCTCAGAGGCGTGGAGCTTTTTGACCTGTGTCTCTACCACTAGCTCTGGCGGGTTCTGAGACGGCCGTGGACAAGGGTTGTGCTTGACTTGGACGTGATCCGAATCAAGGGCGGCAGCCAGTGGGGATGGCATCCTGTACTTTGTCGCTGTTTCAAATGCGAACCCATATCGCAGAAGACTGTTGTCATCATAGGCCTTCCCAGCAAAGGTCAGATTCACTGGCATTCTGGTGTCTTCCATGATACCCATGGGTACCGAGACTGTCGGGACACCAAGGTGGCGGATAGGCCTATTTCCGTTGGAGTACTTGACTCCGTTGCTCCAGGCAAAACGTGAAGCTTGTTCGTCCACATCCGCGTTGGCAGCCCCTACATCTCCGTTTGCTGGGAAGGCCACAGCATCCAGTCCGAGCCGGTCCATCCATTGCTCGAGGGTCTCCCTGCGAGCATCCTCCAAAGCCTGAATCCCTTGCTTGATGCCCGGAATACCCGAAAAGGATGTGGCTTTGCGTCGGGGATACTGCACCATTTCATCCCACCGTAGCTGGTTTGCTGCTTCGGGTGTGCCACTTAGGGACCCGGGAGCGAGTGGAAAGATTGTGGCAGGGTCAACACAAGTCAGAGACTCGAGGCCCGCCTGGCCGTTTGCGATCAGGAAGTCATCCCACGCATGTGCGACCAGCTCGCACCGCTCCATGGCTGTCCAGCCATCTGGGAGGCCGGCAATGGTCACAAGCTGGCCTGTCTCGGCATTCAATTCATAAGTGGTAACAAGCGGAAAGTCTGTCTCAACAACTTCGGCCCCGCAAGTCTCCAAAGCGCGCCGGGCCTCCTGCCAGAGCTTGATTATGGAGGATCGGGTATGCACTCGGCTGGCTGCCGAGAGAGAAGACGCATCACCTCCGATGTACATTGACGGCACGCCGATACGTTTCCCTCGCAGAGACAACCTGTCTTGCAGTTCTGAAAAGGATTGTGGTCGGATCGTGTCCACCGACGGGAGAGAAATCAGCGTTTGTTCATTGTAGAAGTCTCCCGAGGGAGTTGGATCTGAGACAGCCAGAACATCCAACACCTGGTAGAGGTCTGTCATGGTTTTGGTATGAGGCACCAAAACATCGCATGTTGGATAGAGAGGCCAGACTCCACGGAGAGGAAGCAGGCCCTTGGAGGGCGTGTAGGCGACGATGGCATTGTTTGAAGCAGGCGAGCGACCAGACGACACAGTCTCCGTACCAAGGGAGAATGCACACAGATTCGCAGCAGTCGCAACAGCCGATCCATTCGATGAGCCAGAGGCATATGCTGCGGCCAGATAGGCGTTGTTGTATGGGCTCTCGGCGCGTCCATAGATACCTCGCTGCATTCCACCGTATGCCATCGCAGGCATGTTCGTCCGGCCAAGCAGCACCGCGCCGGCATTCCGGAGAATCTTGACGCAGGCCGCATCTTCGTTTGCCATGAGCGACTGGAATGCGGGTGATCCACTGGCAACGGTCATACCCTTGACTTTAATGTTGTCTTTGACCAAATACGGGATACCTTCCAACGGCCGAAGGGGTCTACCTGCAGCGCGCCAAGCATCAGAAGCGGCTGCTTCATCAAAGACACAGGGATTGAGTATTGGGATTGCGCTGAGCTTCAATCCATTGGCATCATAGACACTGATCCGTCGGAGGTAGCGTGCGACCAAGTCCACGCTGGTCAACCACCCTGAAGAGAGTGCGGCTTGAAGATCCGAAATGCTCGCATCGAGGAGAGTGAAATCCTGGCTTTGTTCTCCCGGTTGAGCCATATTGTCCTATGTGAGTTGTCAGTACTCCACCTGGGATTCTCACAGATCGCCACACTTACACTGGGTTAGGGTTCTGGGGAGAAGCTGAGGACAAGATACAGATGAAGCCTAACAGCCAAGCCTTGGATCTTCTAAGACAGCTTTATAATGATCTTTCCCCTCGACACGGCTATACCTTCAAGGTCGAAGATGGAGATAGCGGATAGTAGTCCGCAGAGTTGCTTGGCGGGTTGTTTCCCCCCACATGCGATCTGCGGACAACAGTCCGCTGCCATAAGCCTATCGTTGGGCCTTGATAACTGCGAGATATGACGAAGCTTATCTACTTGGCTGCGATAACATGACGGCTCCCTTGACTTAAGCCCAAATTGATATATAACCCCCGTGTCCAGGATGGAGCGGAGAAAATGCTGAAGATTGTTCAACTACCGCTGATCAAGTCGAGTGGGCCTCGATTCCTTGCCCCGCCTTATGGATTCAAAAGACGCAAAGGTGGGCCATCCACCCGCAGTGGAGAAGGATGTTGTCCTCGGGGAGACTCGCGATATCGGAGCGGATCTCTATGTCGAAGCCGAACAGTTATCCACTGAGGAACTGGCGAGCGAGGGCGCCAAGGTACTTCGGATATTGGATTGGAGAATCTTGCCAATTGTGAGTAAATGCTCTAATCTAAGTGATCATCTTCTGACAAACAATCTATGCCGGTAGCTCTATGTGACCTATGTGATTCAATATCTTGGTACGGCAGGCCGAACAAGAATCCTCGATATGATCTTTTGCTTTGGAACTGACATGCGCGCACTTTTACAGACAAGCTGTCGCTCAACTATGCTTCTGCTTACTCGCTGATCCCTGATCTCGGGCTCGAGGGCCAGCGATACTCTTGGGTAGCGGCCATCTTTAATTTTGGTTACCTCTTTTGGGCCCTCCCAGCCAATCTCTTGATCCAGCGTCTGCCTGTAGCCAAGTACATGGGCGGAATGCTTCTGATATGGAGCGTGATTGTCATTGCTCATATTGGAGCTAAGAACTATGCTGGGATTTTGGTGCTCAGGTTCCTGCTTGGCATGGCAGAGGCCGGGGTTAGTCCATGCATGATGACCATCACATCCATGTTCTACAAGCGATCCGAGCAGCCGCTGCGCATGGCCATCTGGCTCAGTGCCAACGGCATGGCGACGATGATTGGCGCACTCTTAGGTTTTGGTCTGGGGCACTCCCACAACACCGTTCTCCACAGCTGGCAGCTCATTTTCCTAACGATTGGACTACTCAACTTCGTTACTGGGAATGTATTCCTGGCGGTGATGCCAGACTCGCCAAGTTCCGCGCGGTTTCTATCCCACCGACAGCGAGTGGTCGCTGTGCAGCGTGTTGCAGAGAATATGATCGGAGTGAAAACCCGCGAGATAAAACCACGACAAGCATTGGAAAACCTCCATGATGTCAAGGTTCTCAGTTGTGCAGGCATTGGCATTGCCTGCGGAGTGATCAACGGCGGCGTCTCCAACTTTGCGTCCTCACTAATCAAAGGATACGGATTCAACGGGCTATATGCAACCCTCCTGCAGCTGCCCACAGGTGCTTTCGAGGCCGCCGTAGTCCCTATTTGCGGCCTTGTCGCCACATATGTCCCGAACTCCCGCTGTCTGGTCCTCGCCATCGTGAGTCTTATCCCATTCGGTGGCCTTCTCGGCATCCGCTTCACGAGCCTCGACCACCGCTGGACATTAGTGGGATGTACCTGGCTGCAGTATATAATTGGGGCACCCGTCATAATCTCCTGGAATCTACTGGCCACCAATATTGGGGGTCACACCAAACGGGCAGTCGCCAACGGTTTGTGGTTTTCTCTCTACGCGGCCGGGAACGTCGCCGGTGCGAATATATTCTTTGCGCGCGAGGCGCCACGATATTATTCCGCGCTGGCGGGGCTGCTGGCTTGCTATGCCGGTATTATTGTCCTCTCTCTGTCCGCTTATGCCGCGATGTGGTGGGAGAATGCGCGCAGGGATGCTGTGGCGGGTGTTGCAACAGTCGATGGATCGCCCCAGCTTGCGCGTGATGAGATTGCTTCTCGGGCTATTTTGGATGGGTTTAATGATCTGACGGATATGGAGTCGAAGCATTTCAGATATGCGCTTTGATGCCAATGGTCAGTCTATTCCATAGTTTGAATTGTATAGAGGACTCGGCCATCCCGCAGAAAACTGGGATTGATGACTCAGGCATCATTTAGAGACACACTGTTATCTTCAAATTCCCTCGCTTGCTGCTTCCTCTTAACTGGGCACCCCGCAATCCCCAGTCAGCCATGTATGATATTCGCCACCAGAATGAATGGTCAGCGAGTTGCCCCCCGCGGCCGCATTGGTGCCCCGAAATCTCGCGCTGGCTGTAGAATCTGCAAGTAGGTCCTCTCCCATGGTCCTGTCTTGACACAATCTCTGACATTTCCACCAGAATTCGGAAGGTCAAATGTGGGGAAGAAAGGCCCAACTGTCTTCGATGTACGAGCACGGGCCGGAAGTGCGAATATGAGGGTGGAAAATCCCCTACAGCACTCGTCCCTCCATCTACTCTGACTCCCGGCCAAACTCTCTCCTCGGCACCGGACACGGGCAGGCGAGAACGTCGGGCGTTCGAGTACTATTTCCAGCATGCGGCGCAGTATCTGGCCGGTGGGCTAGGGATCGATTTTTGGACCAACGTTGTCCCACAAATCTGCCGCAGCGAGCCTCCCGTGTGGGATGCTATGATCGCCATCAGCGCATTGTTTGAATACCCAGATCAATGCATGGATTTCACCTTCTTGCGACGCCATAATGGCCATCCCATTGCCCACCCCAATCAAAAAGATGCATTGATCTGGTATTCGCGCTCTATGTCTAGCGTGCATTCACAGATCGAGCATGGCAAGGCAGATCCCTATACCGCCCTTATTAGCTGTGTTCTTTTCATCTGCATCGAGACCATACAAGGCCATGTGGAGGAGGCTCTGCAGCTCTATGGACAGGGCGTGAGCCTAATCCTTGATTTACGTGCCAAGGTTCATAACGGCGTCCTTCCTATCACCCTCACTAAGGCCGCCCTCCTGGAACATACCATTATTCCGCTGTTTCTGCGTCTGGGCACAATTGCTCTTTCAATCTCCGGAATACCCCTCAGCGAGCTATTTCAGTTGGTCCCAAATGACCCAGAACCTACCTTCACTTCCATCGAGTCTGTCCGATTTGCCATAATGACTCTTAGCACTGAGGTGATGCTTTTCCAGCGCGAAGCGATGCTTCATCTCAAAACAGTTGGTAGCGACTCCGCAGTAAGCCCAGAGATGGTTATGCGACAACAAAACTTGCAAGCCCGACTTGCCCACTGGCTCCATGCATACAAGCAGCTTTCAAATACCGAACCTGTTCTCCTGACCCACCATGCCGCTGCATCAATCTGGGTTTCAACCTGCTTGACCCAACACGAAACGAGTTCTGATGCTCACCTGACCGATTTCCAAGTGATTGTCGATCAATCCACACTCTGTCTGAATGCCTCAGCGGGAGTGAATGGCAACCAACCACCCTTCACGTTTGAGATGGGTGTTGGTATCTCCCTTTACTTGACAGCTATGAAATGTCGCGAGCCACGTTTACGGAGAAGAGCCCTAGAGCTGCTGCGCCAAGCGCCTCCCATGCAAGGTTTTTACAAGTGCACTCCCGCTGCTGCTTTGGCAGAGGCCATCATGCAGCTGGAAGAGGGATTCAGTCTCGCGCTACGTGGATCTAGCCAGGATGTGGATGGAATAACTTCTGCGGAGGTCCCAGGGCCGGTACATGAATCTATGTCGGCTTTCATTCCAGAGGAGGCCCGTGTCCACTTCATTGGGGTCTTTCGGCCTCAAGATGGTCTTCCTCCTGGCGTACTTGAGGATGACCTTGCAAAGTGGAATCGGGGACCTGATCAACTATTTTTGGAATTCGCCAGACAGCAACATGATCTATCCAGCAACTCCTGGCGGTTGGTCAGCCAGTGTGTACCAGTGGGGATTTGACCAATTCTTGACCCCCCCCCATGAAAATCTTTACTCTTTGCTGGGAGTTGAATTGCCTTGATATAAAACCAAGTGGAATTTTGACTATTGGTATGTTTTCTTCCCTTGGAACCATCTAGCCAGCCAGTCTAACCTCTATATTCAGGTCGCAAAAATGATTTGTATGCAGTTTCATGCTCGATTGAATCCCCAGATTTGTCAGGACTATTGGGAGCAGAGGCATCAATGATCCGGCGTGAAGCCCGCACGCCCGAAGAAAGGCGTTTCAATGCCGAGACAAGCTCGTCGGCAGCTTGAACGAGAGACTCGTCAGAAAGTGGCGCCAATGCATCCAGGATAAACAGAACACGGGTCGTCTCATCGGTCAGAGCAGTTCGCGGGCCCTGCCGCCAATTCCAGCGGCGGCAAGTAACGCCAGCATCGTCGCACCAAACAGGCTCCCCGGGCGCAGCAGACTCAGCCTGGGGCTCCCCGGCAGAGAAAGTCTGGAACTGTTCGTGGCCAGCAGCACGAATCAGAAACGGCGAGCCGATGTATTTGTCCAAGTCCTCGCCACCGAGCGGGATCTGGTGCTTCACCGAAATGGCATTGTAGATGTCCGTCAGCCGGTTTACTCGCGGCAGACCGCCCTCTGCACGCCGTGTCAGGGCCTCCAGACTATTCCGTGTTTTTTGTGGTTTGGCGCCAAAGGCCTTGTATGTTTCTCGCCAGGCGGCGATGTGTGGGAATCCTGTTGCGGGAGTTTTGGATAGCTGATTTTGGACGTAGGTTTCGGCTTCTTGTAAAAGAGCATCGCTGGCCTCGTCACTGGGGCCTGGTGGAATCCCCTCCACCACTATCAAGAGGGCGCGGTAGTCGGAACGCAGTTGGAATATTTCTGGGGCAACACGCGCTGCTTGGAGCACAGTTTGGGCGATCTGTGTCACGCTCATGGTAAATAGAAGACCAGTAAGGTATAGGTGGAATGCTGCGAAGCAAAGAAATAGCGAGGCAACCCAGAAGTTGGAAGATTTTTGGACGAGCAGTGAAAAAAGGATCCGGAGCGTGTTTTATAAAACTAAAAAGAGAAGGAAAGAAAAGAAAAAAAGAAACTGAAATCCATGGATAGGGTTCACATCGCCGAAAAGGGAAGTTGAGAGGAGAATGGAAGAAACCAGCCCGGAGAGTCTCCACCTGGTAAAGAAGTATACGGTTTCATTGTTTAATTCCGAGATTCGAGATGCGAGATGAATTGTTACACAGAGACGCACCGCCTGTGTCCTAGCTGACGAAAGTCTGCATAGCACCGAGCTCAGGGCAGCTGCACCAAACTATGATTAACCTCCCTACCCCAACTCTTCCCTCATAAAATCATAGCTCAGCTGATTGTAGCGCTCCGACCGGCGGTATGTAAATGACCCGGGGGAGACTTGCTGCAACTTTCGCTCCATGGTATCTTCATCTCGGTAAGCTTGCCATTTTCTCCAGCCCTCGTCATCTCCAAATTCCCGCCGGAACTTGCAATTGGCGAAATCTGTCATGCGCACCTCGTAGTTCTTGTTGGGGTTGACGATGAAGCTCCCCCATTGGACGTCTTCGTTCAGAATTCCTCGGTCGCTGATCGCGTGCACAATTCGTATTGCTTCATCCCCAACCCGTTGCCATACCTCCGGTGGGGCGCATGTACCAAGGTCTATCAGAGAGAAACCCTCGATATACTCTATCAGAATCCCCGGGATATCGACCCACTCCCGGAATGGTATTTCGTTAGATGAAGCAGGAACAGGTAGTGTCACACTGGCGAAAAACTGGGGCACATATTTTCCTTGGATGTCCTCTGGGGCATGGTATGCCTCCACTTCGATCTTGTAGAGCTGCTGCATCCGATGATGGAGATACGCCTCACACTCGGCGGGGGTCAAGTCATGGCCATCGCTGTCTCCATTGTCATTCGTATCCTCAGTGTCTTGAGTATATCATCTGGGAACATTTCTGCGATGGATGGAGCTGCATGACCATCTCGGACAAATTGATGATACTGGTTCTCACACTCCGGAACCCAGACTTCAACTTTTTCGTGTTCTCTGCATTCCGCTGCAAAACGGCGGTCAAAGAGCTTCAGAGTCTTGTCGCCATTGAGCTCCGCACTTTGGGACTCGACGGAAACCAACATGGCGCATGACAGTGTAAATGGCTCAAAGATTCCGGTGACGGTGGCCTTTGCGGGCTGTCCAAACAGAAATAGTGGGAGAATGGCGCCGACCGTGTAGGGGCATCTGTAGGCGTCAGTACGCATGGCTGAATCGATATAGTACATGCATTATTTAGCCTCATCTTCATTTTTGGGGCTGGTCATTGTGATCTATTCGATGAATTATGGAAACAGTGGCCGAATAGCAATAGCAATTGATGAATAGCAGAAGCAGTCGATGAATAGCAGAATAGATGGATAGGTGGAAGTGTCAATGTCTAGCCCCCCTTGTGACTGACTCGGTTTTAAAAGTCGATGCCTTCCGCCTTTACTTTTTTAGATGTCTACTCTTCGCACTTTCGAATAACAGAATCCGTCCTTTGCGCAGTACGAAGTTATTGTTGTTCATCTGATCTTCTACATTTTCCACCTTGAAACAAGCACACCAAGATGCCTGCAGCCCGCCGTAAGCGTGGGCCGCAGAAGGAGAAGTCGACCAAGAAACAAAAAGTAAATGAGCAGCCTACCACTTCGGTGTCTCTGGTCTGGGATGTGTGGGTAATCATCTGCCAGATGGTATGTCAGCCCCTGGGCCCTGTTTTGATATCCGTGGATCTATTCATCCATTCCAATAGATCCATAGATGGATGGCCTATATGCTGATTCATACTAGATGAACCAACCCAAGACAGGAGACATGTACAATATGTCTCTGGTTTCCAAGAGCTTCAATGCCATCATGACTCCGATCCTGTACAATTCCCTTATCCTGGGTCCAGGCCGGTCCTCAGCAGACCCGGAATCTTCAAAGAAAACTACTCCACAGGTCTTCGAGAATCTTGTGCGCCGACTGCTGGACGATTCGAATGCCCGGTTGAGAAGATACGTACAGGTGGTCACCGTTCTCAATTTCGACAGCTGGCTCGCCTCCAGTGCAGATATACCATTCCGAGATTTCATCCTGGGCGATGGATTTCCAGCGCTACTATCCCATCTCCCTAACCTCCGCCTCGTCAGGTATGTAGGGCTACCAGGATTAGGTATCCAGACAACACCAGCAGGCTAACTTCACAGCAGATTCTTTGGTTCACTACAAATTGATGGATTCCCTCGGGCCAAGATTCACCCCAATATCTGTGACCTTCCGGGAAAACCAGAGATTCAGCTCCTGGGGGAGAAGGGCGAGTATGACGAAACACCTCCTCAGCCTCTTTCCTCCGTCTCGACATTGCATGCAGAAATCGACCGGTGCAGTGTGCATGAAGCTCGCTGTATAGGTGCTGGTAACCTGCTATTTGAATGCCCGAACCTCAGCACCTTGTCGCTCAGTGCCCTCAGCTACTCGCAGCGGACGACGCGTTTCTTTGTCCCGCGTCCCAATGTGTTTCTGATCGGCAACCAGTCCTTTCCTCCCATCAGGGATTTGACCTTGAACGGTTGGCAGATCTATGACGCCGAATTGTTTCTTTGGCGGGACCGATTCCCCTGGACCCTTCTCACGTCTCTCTCCCTGGGCCCAGAGCCGACCCATCAAGTTCTTCGCATAATGGCTGGCTACCCCCGAACTCTCAAACAGCTCAAAGTAGAGGCATATGCTGGAGAGGGCGAAAGCGCTTGCCTTGCTCTTGCAGAGTTCCTATCACCTCTATCCCAGGTCGAATCTCTGCTGAGCCTGGAGTTGAGGAACTACTTCTGCGACATGTGGCCCATTGTCCAGCATTCGAAACTGGTCAACCTGTGTGTGCACAATACAGAGCCATGGACTCCCGGTGAGGCTCGCCGTGTGTTATCTGTTGAGGACTTGGTACTTCTCGATGAGCACTGCCCAAATCTCGAGACACTGGACCTGGATATCGACCGCCCTAACGACGAATGGGTAAGTAAAAAGACGCAAACAGGCTGTGCGATATGAAGCTAATGATGGAAATCTCCAGCCATGGGAGACCATTTATACCCTCGCAACCGGCTTCAAGAACCTGCGCAAACTCTCCCTCCACGTCGAAGTCGGGATCGCCAACCTGAAGACCCGCCTGGCCCCGGTCTTCAACTACGCCTCAGCAAAAGAGATTGGCCGGGACTTCTACCGAGATCGATGGGAGGCCTCTAAGCACCACCAGGGCAGTCCCTCCCACCCCTCCCCCACCGCTGAAAAGTTCCCGGGCAGGTTCCCTCACCTGGTTCTGTGGAGCGGGGGCTTTCTCTGCCGAAACCCCAAAGTCGAGCCCCGGCGCGCGTGCTTCGAAGAAAACCACACGGCGACCTTCTGGATCTTCCCGCCTGCAAATCCCGGGGGAGAGCCCGAGTTTCACCACTTGCAGCGGTGGGAACTCGATGCAATCCAGAAGCCGTGCGCCGTGGGCTCGGCTTACTACAAGAGCCTCCAGCGCCGGGTGGAGGCTGTTGTGGAGGGACCTAAGCCGCTGAAGGGAAAATCAGAGGGATCTAAGAAGACAAAGAAGGGTTGATGGCAGTCCAAGTCCAGTATCAAGGTGAAGATGATGTACCAGTAAAGACAAAGTAAGGCGAGATCCTAGTTTATTTTCAATGAAATAAAGGTAGATGGCGTTCACTACCTGGGCAGCACGTTGACATGAATGATACTGAATCTCCAAAACAACGACATATTTTGATTACCCGCCCCTCTTACTTCTTCTCAATGAGAGCGTCAAAGATCTGTCCAATGGCCTTGGCACTTTTCTTGGGGATTCTCTTCTGGTCATTCTCGTAGTCGACATAGGTCACGCTGAATCGAGTCTCATAGCCCTCGGCCCACTCGAAGTTACTATTTGATTGAGTCAGTAGCAGCATTTCAGGACAACAAAAAGTGAGAGAGCAAGAAAAACATACTCCATAAGACTCCATGCCATATAGGCGCGCACATTGACGCCGTCCATGGTATACGCATCAGCCATAGCACCAATATAGTCACGGAAATACTGGACCCGGAACTCATAATCCAGCAGACGGTCCAACGGCAGGTCATTCTCACCAAGCACGCTGGTACCGTTCTCCGTAACATATATCTTGGGAAACGCATAACGATCACTAAGCCACTTGAGTAGCGTGCGGAACCCCGGCGCATGCGGACGAAGCCACGGCGACTGCGTCACGGGCCCAATACTGTGCCCGTTCTTGTCCTCCAGCAGCAGTTCAAGGTTCCCGGTGACGTCGGTCGGCTCAGGCGGGCCCATCTTCGCGCGGATGTAGTTCGCGCAGTAGTGGTTCATCCCATAGAAATCGTTGCTGCCGTGCACCAGAGCAATGTCCTCAAGGGTCGCCGGCAGTCGCTCGCCCAGCTGCTGCATCATGCAGTCCGGGTGTTTTCCGAGGTAAATGGGGTCGGCGAACCACGAGATGGCAAACTCGATCTTGAGGTCGCATGCTTCGATGTCTGCTGGGTTTTCTGGGTCCCATGGCTCGGCCCAGTCGCCTTGAACGAGAGGATGTTAATACCGGTATGATATGAGTGGTTGGCCCAAGGAGAGAGAAAGAAAGTAAAATACCATTCAGCGTGATGCAGATCTCACCGCCATCCTGCACCTTGAACTCTTCTCGGTAGATCTTGACTGCAGCCCCGTGGGCGACCAAAAGACTGTGTCCCACAATCCACGGCTCGGTAGAGCCGTCGCCGACAGGGTTCTTGGTGCGATCGCTCGTCCGGCCCGGAGCAAAGGACCCCGTGTTGCATCCGAGAATAATGCTGCACCAGGGTTCATTGAAAGTAATCCAATACTTGACCTTGGAGCCGAAGGCCTTGAGCACCACGCGCGCATAGTGGGCAAAGTCCGCGACGAACTCCTCTTTGTTAAGAAACCCGCCGTAGCGCTTTTGAAGCTCCTTGGGCAGATCCCAGTGGAACAAAGTGACCATGGGCGTGATGCCCGCAGCGAGGAGGTTGTCGACGAATTTCAAGTAGAACTGCAGGCCCTTCTCATTGATGGGATCGTTGCGGCCGCCGAGTGGGACAATGCGAGACCTGGTTTATGTGATCCCAGTCACGATCAGAAACAAGACTAAATGCAAAGATAACCCCGGATTGAAGAAGCAGCGTACCACGAGATGGAAAAGCGATACGCGGGCGCGCCGCAAGCCTTCAATAGCGCGATATCCTTGTGTGTTCGGTGATACGAGTCGCATGCGACATCGCCCGACGCGCAGCCCGCAATCTTGCCGGGAATCTTGCAAAAAGTGTCCCAAATTGATGGACCTCGGCCGTTCTCGTTCACAGCGCCCTCAATTTGATAGGCCGCCGTTGCGAAGCTCCAAAGGAAGTCGGACGGAAGACTGGACTTGGTAGATTCCATGGTATTCGAACGTCACGTAAGATCGCTGCAAAGATGCTCTGCCATTCTGGGGTGTCCGAGAACTATAGATATTTGTGTCTGAACTTGTTGGTCGATCTGAAACACGTGGAGACTCACCTCCAAGAGCTTCCGCATCGTGACAGGAATGATCTCCGCGACTTGGAGGAGACGCCGCGCCGAGAGCGTTACAAGACTCCACCTCGGGTGTCACTAGTCAACGGGCCGACAAGCCGCAGTACTCGCAGTACTCGCAGTATTCACAGTATTCAATGCATGCTACTATTGTCCCATCCTCATATGAAGTACATTTTCCAACTCCGGAAAACCATGCGTGCCCAGTTCGTGCAGTTCATGACAATTCCATTCCTTCGTCATCGGCGTCCAGCTCGGACTCATCTGCAGCTGATCCCAGCTGCCGAGAGCTTTTCGAATCTCGCGTGCCCAGTCCATCCGCTCCAAAAGCGCTGACCATCTCCAGCTCTGGCCCTGCGATGATCCGGCCCTCGGTGTCCACCACCTCACACAACTGAATCAAGCTCTGGTGACTCAGAGATTTGAACCCATCCGTCCGCACTACGCGACCCCAGTGGGTCAGACAGAACTGTGCAGCTCGGCGCATCAGCCAGTGCTCATTGGACCTTCCGGCGCGCTCCCAAACAATCGCTGCGTTTTCCACGTCCAGTTCGCGGCTCAGCCGGTTGACACACAGGAGGCGCAGTTTGGGCATGTCGTACAGATTCGCCATGACTAGCATGCCAGCCACGTCAACCACACTGGAGCAGTACTCCGGATGACCAGCAACGCTGTCCGTGTACAAGTAGTACAAAAATGCACGCACGACCGAATAGGGCTCCGGAATGTGCATTCGTTTTGTGTGATACTCAGCCATTTGGGCGGAGTACAGGCGCTTAAAGTGTGGCCACCGGAGTTGTAGGATGAGCCGATGGACATGAATGGGAGCCGACGTGGAGGCGCTGGGTTCCACAAAAGTCGGTCGAGACTGAGAAAGAGACCCAGATGGTGTATCGATCATATCATCCGAGACCGAACAATCAAGATCATCGCGAATTGCAGTGATGGCAAAATCCGCGCCACTACCTGACTCTGGCGATTGATCAAAGCCAGTGGAAAGATCAGCCCCCAGTCCAGAGACGGAGGAAGAGGTCGGTTGATCAGATGACCAGGACACATCTTGTTCAGGAGCATCTAGTGAGGACCCGTTGCCTAACAACCCATACTTCTCCAGGTCGATGGAAAGAATCTCGCTCATGTGATTCTCGTCGCTGGCCCCGGGCGCATTCGTGAGATCTAGATTGCAACCTAACAGCCACGCCTTCGTTCCGGTCTCATTGATCGTACAGTAGTGCCATCGATACCCAGGTCGGAAGATCTCCTGTCCATCGGCCAATCGCTGCCAGCGAAGGGAGTTGAGCTCCAGGGCGGACAAATTGCAATCATGCGACCGTACGGTCTCCGACGGCGTAATCAGGTCGAGCAGAACTCCCGATGCATAAGCATGAAAATGAGTGCCAGAGAAAAGAGCGGGGACGTGAGGACCGGAGTGAAATCGAAGACATGAAATAGCCCCGGGAGCCAGTGGCTTGCGTCGCCCCTGGACACTCCCTGAGTTGGCGGGATAGTCTCCAGAACGGGGGGACAGCTGCTGCAATGAACTAGACATGAAGTCTGCGATATGAGCCATGGTGATTGTTACATCCGGGGCGTCCACGATACCTTGGGGAGTGGTGACTCCAGCCAGTGACGGAGAGCCTTTGAGATCTAGCCACCAAATGTCTGTTGTACGCTCCATGTCTGGACCCAGTCCACCAAAAATCCATAGGCGATTGCCCCAAACCCAAGCCGTGTGATCGAACCGAGCGGTGAAGCTCCATGTCCGAGACCATGTCCAGGTCTGCAAATCCAGATATGTCAGGTCATCTAAGATGATGTTATTTTCACCGGTCACCCCGCCGACAATGAAGAGCTTGTCTTCGTGAATCACGGCAGCATGGCGCGCTCTTCCTCGGGGGATCAATCCGCCAATGTCCGGGAGGGTCCAGGTGAAAGTGTTGAGGTCGAGGATGACCACGTCGGAGAGATACTCGCGATGCTCATTTTCGCCACCGAACACGATGAGTTTGTCGCCTTGGTAGAGAGTAGCAGTGTGTCCTGAAATCCACAACGGGTACAGCATTAAAATTTGCGCCCGAATGGCAGGTGGAGAGAATGTTTACCCATGCGAACCCCAGGAATATCGCCATAATTGTCCACCAATTCCCATCGAAGTGTGTTCAAGTCCAATTTAAGCACGTGGTTATACACTGTGGGGGCACTATTATTAGCGCCATTAGAGAAAGGAGAAAAATCAGAAATCCGGCGAACCTTCGTCGGTGTACTGGTCGAATCCTCCGAAGGCATAGATCTGGTCATTGCTGCAGTACGTCACTGAAGCATTGACCAGACACGCGGGGATACGGCCCTGAGCCTTAGTGATGCTAGGGCGATAGTCGGTGCTGGTCCGACGACCGCGCGCCGGACTAGTCGGCATCAGGTATGCGTCCTCCTGCATCTGGTGCGCCAGAGAGGGGGGACTCCCAGAGGTGGTGGAATTGGAGGCCCGTGAAGATCCCGCTTAGGCTGATGGCGGTTGTGCGAGTGGGTCCAGGTGGAACTGCGAAATGGGGAAGTGTAGGGGGTGACTGAGCAGGATTCCGCCATGAGACGGAGATGGAGTCGCAGAATGATGAAGTCGAAGAATCCCAGTCACATCGTCTTTTCTGGACAAAGAGGACCTTGATGCATGGCTTTCTTTCATCGAAATGCTGAAAGAGGAAGCTGCCGTCGCGGCGATCGACGCCTAAAAAGGAAGGCGTCAGGAATGTCAGGTGCCAATCGCTCTAGTCCGTACACGGACTAGCGCCGTACCTGAGGTAACCGTTGCCATGGAGAGAGCCTCATAGCCCGGACTATACTCTCTATTTATTCGCCCCTACCCTCCGTTCTCTTCCACTTTTCCTCTTCATCTTCTACCTAATTCTCTATCTGCTATTTCTTGCATCCTTTTTCTGTGTTCTACATCTGTTTTGGGGCTGGTCCCAGTTGCATTACAGTCTACAATAGCCGAGCAGCCTGTGTCAGTATGGCAACTGCCTCGGTATCGACACCTGTGAAGAGCCATCATGGCCTTTTCTCTTCCAAGACGGCGGGAGGCCGCATGCCCCTGACCCCTTCTCCTCGTGCCTCTGGCCACTCCTCTCCCTTCACACCTCCTCGCCAGGATGCTGGCAAGGGTTCATCTCAGTCAGTCTATGGAGGAAACCTATCCTCGTACTTTGCGAAGTCAGTGTCAAAAACGTCTCGCACCTACCGGGACTCGCCCAAGTCCAACATTGCTCGGACCCGCAAGTCTCCTAAGCACCTGGAGCTGGGTGTCTCGGACTGGACTCTGACCGGTACTGGTGCGGCCTCTACTCAATCTCCCTCCAAGGAGCGCACGAGGAGGGAGGTTCCCACTCGGGCTCGTCCGGCAAAGACCACTGTTCGCATTGCTCACAATGCCGGTGATCGATTCATTCCCAACCGTACCGCCAGTGAGGGACTCGCCACCACGGGTACCGCGAAGCCTGAAGAAAGCCAGCGGCCGAAGACCAGCGGCAGCGAAGGATCGGCTGTCTTGGCTACTGCCGCCAGCGCATTTGACATTGGTGGACGTGGATCGGACGACGATCTCACTGCCGCCCTGGAGAACATGGGCCTGGAAGACAATGAGCCCTCAACCTACTCCCGCCCTTCTCCCGATACGGTTGCCTACGAGTCATCGCTGGCTGATGCGTGTGGTGTGAACCTCAACACTCGTATTCTTTCCTTCAAGCCACCACCACCGGAGTCGTCCAAGCCTATCGACCTCCGTGCTCAGTACAACCGTCCTCTCAAGCCCTCCAAGTCTCAATCTGCCCAATTCCGTCGCCGTGTCCAGACCGCTCCCGAGCGGGTTCTGGATGCTCCCGGTCTTCTGGATGACTACTACTTGAACTTGTTGGACTGGAGCTCTGGCAACCAGGTCGCCATTGGTCTCGAGCGCAATGTGTACGTCTGGTCGGCGGAGTCCGGCTCTGTCAGCTCTCTTCTGGAGACATCTCCCGATACCTACGTGAGCAGTGTCAAGTGGAGCGGCGACGGTGCGTACGTTGGTGTTGGTCTGGGAACCGGCGAGGTTCAGATCTGGGACGTCGAGGAAGGTACCAAGCTTCGCAGCATGTACGGCCATGACTCCCGCGTTGGCGTCATGGGCTGGTCCAAGCACACTCTGTCCACCGGGGCTCGCAGCGGACTTGTCTACAATCACGATGTCCGCATTGCTCAGCACAAAGTGGCGGAGCTCGTCTCCCACACCTCGGAGGTCTGTGGTCTGGAGTGGCGCCCCGACGGTGCCCAGCTGGCTACTGGCGGCAACGACAACCTGGTCAACATCTGGGATGCTCGCTCTCTCAGTGCCCCCAAGTTCACCAAGACCAACCACCGCGCTGCCGTCAAGGCCCTCAGCTGGTGCCCCTGGCAACTTAACCTGCTCGCCACCGGCGGCGGTTCCTACGACCGTCACATCCACTTCTGGAACACCACCACCGGTGCCCGGACCAACAGCATCGACACCGGCTCTCAGGTCACCAGCCTGCGCTGGAGCAACCACTACCGTGAGATCGTCAGCTCCAGCGGCTTCCCTGACAACTCCCTGAGCATCTGGAGCTACCCGACCTTGGTTCGCAACGTTGAAATCCCGGCCCATGAGACTCGAGTTTTGCACAGCAGCCTTAGCCCTGACGGTCAGATGCTTGCTACCGCTGCCGCCGATGAGAGTCTGAAGTTCTGGAAGGTCTTTGAGCGCAAGGCTGGCAGCAGCGCCTCAGCCGCTCGCGAGGGTGGTGTCGGAAGCAAGGCTCAGATGACCAAGTCGATGACCATTCGGTAAATGGCTGTCTATTTCTCTCTTTTTTTTTTTCTTCTTGTTTTATACCCGGTTCATCATGATCTGTGGAGCATTCATGGGCTGGGGCATAGTTCTCGGGGTTCGGTACCTGTTTTAATTAGAGTTGATGAGGGTTCAATGTATCTATTTGCCGTAGTTTGGTTGTGCAAATACCATTCTTACTGCGATTACTTTTAATCTCTTCACTGCTATTGATCTTGGTGTCTTGACATTGATAGATTTTGGAGCGTCTACTTCTCCGCCTGATGACTCAGCATCTGAACGGAGTTGGATTTCGACCGCGGAGCTCTCACTTCCCCTTCTTCATCCCCTCGCCAATACTCCCACCGCCCTTTTTCTTCGATTCGTTTCATATCTGTCTGTTCCTTCAACAGATCTGATTTCTCTTATCACTTGCAGTTGTGCAGATTGGCCAAGGGTTTGCAGTTGTGTCACTCGTGAGGGGTGTGATCGACCAGCACTCGGCCTGACCGTTGCGACGGAAGGCTTTCTTGTCTGGTCGAGCCAGCCATACACACCTCTTTAACTGTATCCTTATCCTGCTTCCTTTTTACCCGATCGCATCATACCGCCGCAGCGATGTCGAACCAGCAAGTGGTAAGCGTGATCATGCTATACCCTTCCTTATCCTACACGCTTGCCCCTCATCCCACTTCTCTTTGATTTCTTCATCTGCCGCGAACACATTCCAGAGATGTATGGCTCCAACATTGTGACTGACATGAGTTCCTCGATAGGGCGCGGTCTTCGAACGTGTGATCCAGGAAGTCAGCGACTCCTCTCAGGTCGACTTTGAGGAGAGTGGCGTCGATCAGCAGACGCTGCATGATTTGCAGGCCGTAAGTAATACCCTCGACCCATCATTTCTGTGCTCTGTTGCCCTATTTTGAGATGTGAGGTCGGGTTTGGTCAAAGGCGGGGGTTTCTTGAGGTGGTGCGGGAGGCGGTGCTGACGGGGGAACACGGGCCTGACTGCTGCCTTTATATGGCCCACTTGGCGCTTAGGGGCTGGGCTGTTAGGCTGCCAAGCATCGTTTCAGCTCTGACTTATTGGATCGTCTTGCTAACAATCCCATGACTATAGAACTGGCAGAAGAAACTCTCTTCTCTCAACGTTGCCCACTTTCCCTGGGATCCTGCCCCACAGCAAACTGCCCCTAACCCCGTTCTTCCTCCCACGGCTACTGTCCCGTCCAATGCTCCCCGCCCAAACCAACCCCAGCAACATGTCCCCCCCGCCTCTCTTCCTCAATCTGTTCCGGCTCCCATCCCCGCTTCGGCTCCAGTGCCCCCGCATATGGGCGCTCCCCGCATCAAGGCTGAACCTGGTTCTAACGGCCAGGCTGGATTGCCGCCCATGAACAATCCTATGTCTATGCACACGCCTAACCCTCAGTCAGCCCGTGACCGTGCCGCGAACCACATCCAGCAAAAGTTCGGCGCTGCTGCTGCCAACTCTGTGAGCCAACTGCAGGCTCAGGCCCAGGCTGGACAGCCGTACCAGCAGGCCTACTCCACTACCCATGGACAGATGCCGCCCATCAAAACTGAATCTGGCTATCCTCCTATGGGACCGGGTCAAACCGATGGCGCTGACGATGCGTTGACGGACTGGAAAGCTGAGGTTGCCAGACGCAAGAATGCTGCAGAGAGCGGAGAAGGCGATCGGCTTCTTCGTGAGCACATCAAACAGACCATGTCTGAGTTTGAGGCAGGTGGACTACTTCGTCCATTGGATGAGCACAAATTCCCATCTCGCTCTGCGCCTCTTAATTCCGATGCCTTCGCTGAGTCGTTCTCCGCTCCTCATCTGCCTTCCCAGGTTGATGGTGGAGATGACAGCCTCAAGGAGGAAGATGAAGATGCAATCAACTCGGACCTGGATGATCCAGACGACCTTGTTGCCGAAGATCAGGATGCCGATGAGTTGGATGGTCAGGTCATGCTTTGCACCTATGACAAGGTGCAACGGGTCAAGAACAAGTGGAAGTGCACCTTGAAAGATGGCATCTTGACCACCGGCGGCAAGGAGTAAGTTCTATCGGATTGGATATATTATGTGCATTACTGACTTTACTAGGTATGTCTTCCACAAGGGCCAAGGCGAGTTCGAATGGTAGGTAGTTCCAGACTACTTTCGTGCCCTTATCTGCCTTGCCTCCATCGCTTCTGACTCATCCTGATCGCAATTGATCCGTGACTTGTGTCCCCCCTGCTTGGTCTGTAATATCTCTTTTCATCATGTGCTTTGTCTGTGGCACAACCTAAAACCAGTTTTCACGTCTCTTCGGTCATGTCCTTTCGAAATGGTTGGTGCAAGCGAGGTTCCTCTTTTTTTCATTGATTTCACTACTTTTTCCTTCATTTTGACTATGGCACGGTTCATGGCGCTTTACACGTGAGGATGGGTTCTTTTTTCTCATTTCATGGTCTTTGTTGGCCATGTGGTTATGCACTAAAATGAAGACAGATCTACCTAGGCTCAATGGATACGAATCTATGATTCTCATGTGTTTGCGTGTAGACTTGACCCTAAATTATTGGTTATTGCTTAGCCAACACTGCATCCATGGATATTATCACCTTGTGGAATAGACTACAAAAGCAATAAAGCAGAGGCAAAGAAAAAACTAAGAAAAAATCATTCGATAAAACAATAGACAAGAAGCCAAAGAAGTGTATCAACCAGAAAAAAATATCTACAATGATCTGACGCCCGAGTACCGCACTTTTTTGTAGTTTCCAATCCCATCCTTTTCCTTCCCAAAGCCCCATTTCCCCCATGCCTCCCTGCAACCAGGAAGAAGACAACAGCAGACGAAAGCGAGAACAGCCCCCCAGAAAAGAAAAAAAAAAGGGGGGGGGGGGGCTGTCGAGCAAGTAAGTTCCTTTCCAATAAAATCCTTTCCTTTCCATCCCCCACCCAGCATTTTGTGTTTTTTGTTCGTTTTTTCTGACTCTTTGGTCTTCCAGGGAGTTCCAAGCAGGCTACTCGATCAAGAATCGAAAGCGGGACTCGCAGCGATCATCTTTCTCGCGGTCTTCTCAGTGTCAAGGGACACAGGGACACGGGGTAGAGAGAGAGAAAAGGGCAGAGCCAAAACCAATACCATCAACCATCGCATCACCCAAAAAAAAGAAAAGGAAAGAAAAAAGCAAGGTCAAAGTTGCCCGTTGCAAATGCGGAACGCAGGACGCAGAACGCAAAATCAACACCATTTCGCTTTCCTCTTTTCCCGCCTGAAGCTCACAGCATGTCATGAGAAAAAAAAGAAAACATGTTTCTTCTAGACAGCTCTTTCCGCTCTCAAAGGTCTTGATTGCTCAAGATGCTCTATTCACCAGACCTGTCGAGGGTCCGGAAACGGCAAGGGATATCGAGTCGAAAACCAAACCAAAGGAAGGATTCCAACAGACTCTGTGACAGCAACCGACAAAAGAAAAAGAAATCCCACAAATAAACCACAAGAAAAGAAAGAAAGAAAGAAAAACTCCAAGCCCCTCCCGGAACTAGTCATGACATCGTGTGCGCTGTTTCACCCCGAGGCCGTCGAGATCGTTCGCGTCAATTAGCTGGGCAATTATGTATGGACAAACAAGGAGGCTTTCACAGAAGGCCTTCTTCGCCAATTCCGGGGAGGCCAGCTCCAGCGACGTTGATGTTTTGACCCTGCATTACACCGCCCCCGAGATTGAGGTTGCGGCCTCCAAGCTGGAAATCGGGATTGCAGGGGGGTGAGTGTGACTTGTGGTATTTGAGCCCGTTCAGGTTCTTATAGCGCTTGCCGCACACCTCGCATCGGTATGGTTTCTCTTTCTCCATACCGAGCGTTCCGGGATATGGCGCCGAGGTCTCTGGATTAACGATGGAAAAGGTGCCATCGGCGTTGTCATGGAGTTGCTGGTTGTTATGGCCGTGCTAGACAGAGAATCAAAAGTTAGATCATGCTGTAACACAGGTCGGTGGAAGTCCACACTTACAGCTTTGTGATATTTGAGTCCGTTTTGGTTCTTGTATGCCTTCTCGCAGCCAATCACCGGGCACCGGAAGGGCTTGGGTTCCTCGTTGGGAAGAATCGACGTGGTGTCAGGAACGCCCGCCAGAAGCTGTTGTTCACGAATCCGCCGCGCGATGTCGCTATTGGGTCCATATTGGGCTCCGCTGAGTTTAAATTGAGCATTGGGCGAGCCCATCCCTCCGTTCGGGCTGAACAGTCGCTTGGCGGGCTCATCAATGCAGAGATCGAGCATATCGCTGTTCCCCGCGAAGCGAGAAAACTGGCCCTGGTTCTGACTCATCGCGTTGTTCTGCATGGAGAGGTCACCAAAGCCACCGACGACGCTCTCGTCAATTTCAGCTGGAGTCCCGGGTCCAGATGAATCGGGTGTATGTCGAAACTGGGAGTTTTGCAGAGGGTTGGCCATAAGAGTCGGGGTATTCACGGAAGAGACGGTAGGGTTGTTCTGAAGGGAGAGCGGACGGGCAGACCCGATCGGGGTACCGGGCTGAGAGGGCGAATTGAAGCCTTGGTGGCTTGGAAGCATGCCCAGATTTAATTGCGACCCCTGGTTGGAGTTGCCGAATCCGCCCTGGCCACCCTCTCGTAACTGAGGGGAGAACAGCTGCGAAGTTGGGGCGTCGCCGTCTCCCATAGGCTCGTCCAACTCCATGTCATCGATCGTGTCTAGATCCGCATGCTGGGATGCAGGCGGATTTTGGCTTAATTTGCGCTGCAAGTCCAGGGTACGATCAGGCTGCAGGCCACGGCCTTGGTTGTGCTGTTGGCTCTGTTGCTGTGCGATGGCGGCGGCCGCCAAGGCCGCGCGATTCTCACCCTGGCTCGGGCGGTGGCCTTGGTTGGGCGATTTGGTCGCATGGGCTTCTTCGTAGTGTTGTAATAGGTCATGGAGGGTCGGTAACGTCACACCGCAGCACGAAAAGTCCCGCATAAAGTTGGCTTCCAGCTTCGGCAGATATGACGAGGAGTGGAAAGAGGGCGACTGAAAGGTAAATGGCGAGGTACCAGTCATGATGATGCTGCATGGGAAATTTCCTTGGTCAGTTTTCGATGCCGTGCGACAAGAACAACACACGGAGGTTTCCCCTCCCCCGCGCGCCATGGGAGATCACTCACTCATCCCGGATCCAACTGCCGACCGATACACCACCCCAACTCATTCCGCCCACCAAGCTCCCTGCGAGCGACTCCCGACGACCTTTGTCGCGGGCAGACCCGGACATGGAGATGGGCTTGGTCCCGTTCCCCCATTGTGCTGTGGCGGCGCCGATCGAGTCCTTCCGAGGCGGGGGCGCCTTGAAAACACTGAGTCCGCCGCTAGCATGATGCGATATACTCCCTGTGCGCTCTCCGGTACCCGCCTTCTGCAGCGCCGAGGTCAAATTTGACGCCTGCTGCCCTGGGGGGGAGACCGAAGTCGACTGGCGAGAGGTGATGTCAATCGGAGCCGCGCCCGTCATCGTGGTCGATGTGAAAAACACGGCTGAATCAAAAGGAAAGAAAATCAAGTGGTCAAAAGGGTGGTCGTTGGGGTTCGGATCTGGCGACTCGAAATCTTGGGAACTCGAGTGCCGGTCTGCGCGATGACACGGCAATCCCGAGTAGGGGTCGTGACAAAGTTGAAGCGCGATCTTACGCAGAGAAGAAGTTGAGAACAGCTAAGAGAAGCGACTTGGAACACTGGATGCCCCTCGGTGGACTTGGGTGGATGGTAGTTTTGGCGGGTTCACACCAGGGAGTCCACCCTCGGATGATGTCCCGCTTTCGCTGGGGCCCGCAGAACGGAAATGATGTCGAGTGGCAACGCAGAGTCCTAACTGAGCAGCACACACCTGGCCCACAGTCACAACACAAGACACCACACGGCACTTGCAAGTCGAGCTGAACGATGAGGATCGTGAAATGATGAAGGGGGCAAGTTGGGCTCTGGTGAAGCCGGAGTATGGCGAGAGGCAACCCTTCCGTTTTGGGACTGGCGCCGTTACCGTATTACGCTCACGTGACTCATCGAGTCGGAGAGAGTGTTCCCCTCTTTTTCTTCTTCTACTTCTTCCTCTTGTTCTTTTCTTCTACGAGAATTTATTCCAGAGTCAGTGCTTCATCTAACGATATGATGTGAATCTTGATAACCAATTTACACATTGAAGGGCCAGTACATCTACCGTCGATCGGTGCCACGACACACCGCTTGCAGGATGCCCCGACTAGGCAACTTGGTCGAGGATCGGACGTCATGATCGTAAATACATCTGAAACCGAACTAGCTTTCCGAGTCCTGGCCCCCTCTGCGATATCACGACTATCGAGTCTGACTCTCAGAGATACTACGATCAGGATGCTGGTTCAGGGCCAGAAGTAGATGTAAGTCATGTATCAATCCTTCTGGATGGTGAGTCTTACTCGACATGAAACATTCGGTGGAGCGGGCTCTCTCCCAAGGAGTTGCTGGTTCCCAGTGCCACAGACCCCACCACGGCCGATGAGTGCCAAAGTGGCTTGACGAAATGCAAAAGCGCCCCCGACTCAGTTTTTGGGTGCAGATCAAAACTGATATACAAAAAAAAAGATAACAAAAAAAGATTGGGGGCGCAAGTAGATCTGGGGTCATCTGCAAGGGGCACATCAAAAAAAAAAAGACCCGATCTTGGGTTTATCTGCCATGGAACTGTAAGGGTATTCTATGTATTATTCTACAAGGAATTGTATGGTAATCCGGTTCGCAATCTCCTTCGATACATGTACGACGCTCTCTCTGAGAGGAGTGAAATTAGGAGGTTTCCGGCTTATACTCTGCCGGACATTGACCGTGAAATCTTCATACCTTCCTTCTTCCCCCTTTTTTTTTTATAAACTATTTCTCCGTCATGCGACAATCACTCAAAAATAGAGACATATTGGGGGCCACAGATCAAATGGTAAGCTCGCGTCAAAACGTGGCCCCCCCCTCATCAGTCTCGGGACGCAACGGGTCTTGGTGTCGGCGCTAGAAACATGGTAGAAGCATTTGGGGTCTTCCATACCATATGCATTCCAACCTTGGGAAAGGATACGCCCCGCTTACATCTTTTTTTTTTTTTTTGGTCTCCAATTCGGAGCATCGGGTATTGTATGAGAGAACCCCCAATTGCGTAACCCTCTATCCATGATGATCGGCAATACACTCTGTCATAGTCCAAAGTTTCTTTGGCTTATGCTTTCTGGGCATGTTTCTCGCTGAAAACAGAGTTGGCCATGTCCTTTTCCTTTCCTTTATCTTTCGCCGGATGCCATTCCTCCGGAGATATTTCGGCTGCGTGGGTAAACGGCAAATGCTATACATCCTGGAGATTGTATGTGTGAACACTCTGTCATCTAACTACACAGACTTGATCAAATGATAATAATCCCTTAAGAGTGTTTCTTTTATTAGAATCTGCAAAGGATCAGTGGGTAATGGCCCGTAGCGGACCCCTGTTGGCCCTAAATAGTCTAAATAGCCCAAATAGTCCGTCCATACAACAAAATGGCCCCAAACCCCCAGAACCAAAAAAAAAAAAAAGTCGCCATAAGATCGGTTGCCCGAGATCCTTTGAATCCATGTGAGATTTGATATTTGATATTCTGACTAGTAGATTGCTGACCGGGGAGTCGCCGCTTGGATTGTACATGTGGCACTTTTTCGACTACATCTATCGATAGAGAAGGTTTCATCTCCCAAATGACTGCAATTGAATGGCACTCGCACATCATTGCCCATTTTGCACGTCAACACCTTTATCTGCAACCTTATGCAGCCAGGCTTTACTATTTCCGAGCCCCTCCGATCCCATCCCTTGCTGAGACTTGCGGGGAATGCAGAGAAATGGGCGGTTGCTAGATAAGCATGCCTTAAATTTCCCGAAACCATGGGAACCATAGCAGTCATGGTAGGGCTTGGTTGCAACGGCATGTCAGTTCTCTTTCACCCACTGGTTCCAACAGAGTGACGGGATCTTCACGCGGTGACATCAACTCGCATGCTTGGAAGCATGAGGTCCCAAAGCAGCATCCTAGTTCTCTGCACTGTTCCTGCATCGTCCCCTCAAATCTAATGTTGGGGGTTTCTCAAGTAACAGCATCAACCTAGTCTGGACGAGGTCCATCCTGCCCACAGTGCAACCGTTGAAATGCAGAGACCCACGCCGGTTCATCCGCAATAGTCTGGTCCCACGAATCCTCACAGTCCAAAGACAATACGTCGCGACTCCTGCTGAAACATCTCATCAGTTGGGGCCACGCCACATTGCATCTGCTCCTGCGCATAGTGGCTTAAACGGCGAGTGAAGATATCCAGGAAATTTTCCAGCCACGACGGCGGACCGTCCGATGACGGAACAGGTTCTAGAGAAGACTTCGTCGGTCCATGCCCCTGGTCGTTGCTCGCAAGCGTTCGCAATGAAACCTGAGCATAATGGTCACGCACATCGGTATTGGTCGCGGAAAAGGGGATGATACTTTGCGATTCGGACCCGATCAGCCACGGCGGAAATGCATTGGTGAGTTGGGCGGTTATCGCAGGCGGAAGTCCATGGTCTCCTTGCCAATCTTTCATCGTGAGACCTTTGCGGAAATGGGCGGTATCGCAGAATCCGCATCGCGATGAAATGCCCCAGGTCTCGACCTTCCAGTCGTCGATCAGTGGCAGGGTGCTGACTTGGTGTACGAGACTAAGGTGCTAGATAAGATGGTCTTTTCGACGGAATGAGGTGGACTGACCCCCTTGGCAGGCCTCATAGTTGTGGTCCGAGAGATGGTCTCGAGAAGGATCCAAGGCATTGCAATAGGCGCAGTGTGCTCTCCCTGTGATCGGGGAGAATGCCGACGCACCGTACGGCGCACAGAACCATGCTTCGACGTTGAGATGCAGCGACTTTTCATGGCGCACCCAGTCATACTTGCTTTTGAAGCGGTCACAGCAGAACGTGCAACAGAAAAGATGCCGCTTACCACCATCCGGGTTGATTTTGCCGGCCCTTCGGCGTGGTCCATGGGGCCGGGCACCTCGTGACGATTGAGAAGATGCAGCTGAAGGTGCAGAGCTCCTTGATGACCCGCTGTGTTTGCCGCTGGTTGCGGATGCGAATTAACGGGAGTGCTGGAAGGCGTCGACGGGTCTACCTTCTTGATTTGATCTGCGACGCCGGTGGACGGGTGTATTCTTCACAGCATTCATGATCGCCGACATTGATGCCGGCTCGTCTTCTGGTGGGGACTCCTGCCAGCGTTGCAGTGGATCCGAGGCGGCAGAATTAGGTATGTAAATGGGAATCACATTACCAGTTGAGCGAGGGATAAAGTACCTGCTTGGACGGCGAGGGACGCCTGTGCTAGGGTGACTGAGCTGGGTTCGCTGTTGGAAATCAATTGAATCCCTTCTTTGCGGGATCAGTTTCGCTGCAAGATTATTGGCGTCTGCCTCTGGAACCCATGGACTGGCAGGTGGGATACCGTCAAATGATGTATTCATTTGAACATGGTTCGGGTCGCTGGATTCATTTGCTGCCAGCCACGATGCATCATCTAGGCAGCCTTCAAGTGACGAGAATGATGCCGGGTAGCTGTTCCGCGCTGATCCAGGCTCAGTGGTGAAGGGTAGTGACGAGGAAGAGTTGAGGAAATGGGTCTCCAAAGAATAGACATTCTCTGGGGATTGAACTCACGATGGATCTGAGTCAAGCAGACGTGGATCCAGTGTCAAATCAACTGTTTGGGTCAGTGTCCGCACACTCCCTAGTTGCGCGGGGTTACAAACAGTCAAGCCCCAAGTCATCGGGCAGATGAAGTTTCTCTGGTCCGTCTGGCTTGTCTAGCTGCGAAATGGCGAAGTAAGATGGTCTTGCACCATGTATCATTGGTTTTGATGAGGCGAAGAGTGCCGGTGCTCACAGATCTCGCGAAGAGTCATAGCAATTATCTGATCACATACAAAGTGTAACCATGGAACACTGGCTATCAGATCTATAAAATCGAGTCTTCTGGAATGCAGATGTATGCATTTGATACAAGACTACTCTGGTGCCACAGATGCCACTATTTCAACTCACAAAAACCCCCATCGTCATAGACCCAAGCCCTAGACAAGTCATTAGCAACCAGCAGACACACAAGTGACATGATTCACGAAACACAGCAGGTCAAACCACCCTCTACCCCCAAACCGACACGAACTAGACCCACGGTTCTCAAGGCCCGCGCTCTCAAAAACCCAATCAAATGCTCATGAGCAATCAGACAGATCCGATCTGCCGGTATCTGCGCACTCCTGATATAGTCAACATAAGCCGTCACCAGGGCCCTCCCGATCCCCTTGCCCTGATACTCCGGGAGAATAGCCACAGATTGAATGGCGATGTTGCTACCCCTGGGGTCATTTCCAACGACTTCGCCATTTACTACAGCGGGATCAGCGGGGGAGGGGGGAGAGACTGCCAGTTGTTGGGCATAAGGATTGATCCATCCTGGACTGTTGCTGACAACGACCTATTGCTGATGATATGGCCGATGAGTTAGTCGTTGGTTGCTGTAGGGATAAACAGACCGAGACCGAGCTCGGAGGTTTGGTGAAGACGGTATGAGAACTGGCAGAGTAGAGTTAGGCAATGACATTGAAGTAAAACGGACAAATTTGAAATAATGCTAAAGTTCTTTTACCTTCTCCTCTGAACATCTCTCATGCTCTGGGAATGCATTTTCGACTGCCACGCAGGACTTGATGTCGGCGGCAGACAGAGGTCGGAGTAAGGCGTTTAACCCGGCGAGATCGGGACATTGAGTCAAAATATTCGAGGCTATTATAGAATGGATGAGAATTGATTATATTTCAAAATATTAAATGTGATACCAATTAAATTAATCTATAAGGAATGGTCTTATATGAATGCTTCACCAATAGAAATGACAGCCACGCCCTACACCTTACGCCTTACAGGTGACAACCCCATCATAAAACCCTAGCTATCACAACCTAGTTGCGAAAAGCACTGGGGAATAATAGAGACAAAACAATGATCGGCCTGAGTTTGTTTCTTCCCTGGTCCAATTTAATAATATAAGATGTGAAGTGGGTAGTTGAGTGGTAGGATTCGACTTTGTCCCCTACGTAACCCCCCGACCCTCCACGCTCTACAGTCGTAAATAATTATTTGAAAAGAAAGAAAGAAAAATAGGTTAAAATAAGGTTAGAAAAAGGGTTAGAAAAAGGGTTAGAAAAAGGGTTAGAAAAAGGGTTAGAAAAAGGGTTAGAAAAAGGGTTAGAAAAAATATCAATAAAATAATAGTATAATTAAAGACAGGCTTAAAGCTTATAGTTAATAAGAGAAGTATCACCTTTAAGGACCAACGCACGGTGACTAGTTTAGGTACGCATAACACTAGTATCTTATACGAAAATTGTATAGTCCTAATCGACTATCGACGTAGTTGATAAAGTAGGACTAATATTAATACACTATTTATTCTATAGTACAATTGTTGTTTGTGCTGGCGCTGCCGGATTCGGCTCTCTCCCTGTTGCGATTTCTATGTCAAGCGACTCTCGACAAGTGGCGAGCCGCCTATTATAGAATAGCGAATTTTGAGAAACGGGTTAGGCTCAGATAGATAGGTTGGTCACCGCTAGATAAGGGGCGTTATCTAGTATCTTTATTCCACAGATTTTTGTTTTAACCAGTTATTAGCTGCATTTTTACACCGGATCACACACGTGTAACACCTATACAATGTTTGATTTATCGTATCTCGTTTACTTCCACACTAAGCGGAAGATAGATTTTTCTGAAGATCTCACACCACGCGTAGACGTTTTCGTCTCTTGGCTCTACCCGATATAGTTTTCTCTTTATTATTTGTGATCGCTTAGGAGCTGGCCAACATTTCAAGATAAGGCGGTGAAAGTCAAGAATCAACGCCCGCCCGAGCTCACTCCAAAGGATTTTATCACGGCGAAGATCCTTATAGATCATTCCTAAGACTTCAATTTCCTTTTTGGATCTATGGATCTCCTAACGAAGCAATAGCGCTAGCTCCCTTGTTGTAGTATTTTCGCCCGCCTAACCTATAGTAAGCGTATAACGAATCTCACTAGCCCTATAAAGGAAGTAAAATTTTACTAAGTCGATAGTACCTAGGAAAACAAGCACAGCAGACCTTAAGCTTTCCGTAGGATTTAATACACTTACGCTTCGCGAGACACTTCTTTCTATAGCTCCGATATAGTCCTTTTACCAATAAGAGTATAGCTATAGGTAGATTAAGTAAGTTTAAAGGGCGCTCTGTATACTCTATAGCTTCCTATAGGCGTGTAGTCGTTACTATTTTTGTTTAATTATGTTTTGAGTAAAAGGAGCTTTATAGACTATTAGTGTGTTACATATACCTAAGGATACAAAAGTTCCTGCTTGCACATCCTGTATCCTGCCAAAATAGATATTAATAGAGGCAATAAAAAAATTTAGGGGAGGAAGAGGGAAATTAAATACTTATAAGGTTTCCCCTAGGAAACACCCTATATTCTATGTATATTCCATATTATGATATTGCAAAATGTTGCTTTGTTCGGTCTTTCTTTTGTTCTTGACCCTCACCTATACCATAGGTGCCCCCTCCTAGGGCCAACTTATAAAATCACGTCGTGGGAAACTGGTGCTCGCAACTAGCTCTGACCCAGAATGTGATGTGGCCAACAACTATGAGGACTGGTTTGTTTCGATTACATTCGCTGAAAGGGTATCGGACAAAATTCGGAAAAATCTAGTTGGAGCGTTCCAGAAACAGTTCAGTGATAAATCCATCCTCAAGAAAACATATGAACAAGGTCAACTTTCTGGGCTTGTTGTCAAAATTGACCCAGACGAACGGGAAAAGTACTTTCCCAAAGTTGCAGTAAGTGAGCTTCCAGGGACATCATATTTATATCGAGGTTTTTTCTTATTTGTGATGTCCTAGGTCAGTGCAATAAAAAAACTACAAGGGGCTATATCTAATCATATTCCGAGATGATGCCTCAGAGGACCAAAAACGTCAATATGCTTCCCGCTTGCATTCGCTAGTTGGGGACAGCTATATGGATATGTTGCAGCCTGAGAATGAGATCCTAGCGATAGCTGCCATCCTATCACCGGCCCATATTGGCGATTGGATTGATAAACGACTGGTAAGCCAACTTCAGCTCTGTAATATTCCATCCTGCCACTTGCTGAGTATTATGTCCCATCTCTAGGTGGCTGGGTGTGTATGGGAAAGAAAAGCATCAGAAAAGGAAACCAAGCAAGATGGAAAATCAACCAAGGCTCAATCGCAGCCTGCAGAGTTATTTGCCACTGGCGGTTCTGCTGGTAGCTTACTTAGTGACTACCGCCCAACTGGAAAGATCATAAGTCAGCCTGGCATGCTCCCATTCCCACTTGCGGAGTTGAGTATGATGTCTCAGAGATCAAAAATCACAGATCCTACACATCTCAACCCCTTTCGTCATAAAGATTATGAGGGAATCAGTCAGAATATATATACGGCTGACTTTCCTCTCAATGTGAACCATCCGGAATTCGGGCATCGCTACTCTTCACCGAAAATCGGTATGGCTTTCCAGCAAAGCCGCAATATCTATGGCAGTTATTTTGGGAACATGCGCAAGCCGGGAAGGGATTGGGAACGTGGAAAAAATCATGGCAACTGCGCTGTTTCAAAAGCAGTTGGCCTGCGGACTGGGATTGCCCAAAAGTCGAACCTGAAATTGGTACCTACTCTAGATGGTGGGAGAACCATAACATGGGCTCTGGCATCATGGGAGACCATGATCAGGGAGATGAGGCGTGACAAAAACAACCTCAAAAAACAGGGGAAAGTCTTTGTCCCTGTGGTTTTTTTCAACAATGGGTTCTCACAATATGGTGCTGTGGTCATTGCTTTGGTCAGGAAGTATATTCGAGCGATGGTGAGGCTTAACGCTTTCATTGCTATTGCTGCAGGCAACTTCAATCCAGCTTCTCGTGGGGGGAAAAGCAGGCCTGTGGTAGACCATTGGCCGGCATTATTTGCTGCAGAAAAGGAATTCGAAGCAAATATGCTTATTGTTGGCTCTACGAAACTTTCTGGTGAATTGTCAGATTTCTCGATGGGTGGCCCACTGGTGAAGATATCCGCTCCTGGAGAGACGTTTAACAGGCGCAAGGATCATGTCCTAGGCGTTTGGTGCGCTGATGGTGAGGACAACGAGTTTGTGGTGACAGCAGGCACATCTTTCACAGCGCCAGTGGTTGCTGCTATGGCAGCATACTATCTTTCGATTCATCCTCATCTTCGTGATAGCAAGTTTGGTGGTCAACTGGTCGCTGAGCATCTTCTGAAAACCGCAATAACACACTGCGTTAATTGCCCTCTGGTTGTTTATAATGGACTTGATGGGAAAAGGTGATTATTTTCTATGAGGATATGTATGTAAAGGTCAATTTCAAGACTTATCATCTACTTCTTAGATGTCAGTTCTTACTGTTTGAAGGATGATCGTAAGCCACTGAAAGTTCCTTCTCCGTAATATTAATTACCACTTGTGCTAGGTTGGTTGATTGTTATCATTTATGCTGACCCCCACAATACTATCACTATATATATACATATCATCATATATACATGTTAAATGTTCTACTTGCCTTGGATGCACTTAGAGCCTCGCCAAGGCCTGCTATGGCCTAATTGCTGTTCCTATTGTTAGACTGCTCTCACTGTTCGTGATTCCTAAACCATTGTGACCTCAGTGAAGTCTAGCACGGCCTTAACCGCCCTCGCCCTAGAAATAGTGTCTGGTTTACCTGACTTACCTTTACTTAGGCCTCCCAGCAGACTCAAGATGTTTCTAAACGCTTCTCTCTACAATCCGTAATTTTTGTTGAATCACCTTTAATCCTTGAAAAACCACCAGTAGTCATCAATAAAGGCTGATGCACATAGGCTGGTTGAAATTGGATCAAGTATTGAATTATACTGCCAACCAATTCAATCATGGCCGGATGGTGTAGTTGGTTATTGGGTGAACTCTCTGATTTCCAGAGTTTCGCTTCTTGCTGCCGCCTTCGGTGTCCTTCTGACGGGTCCCTCGCTTGTCACGCTGAGACGAGGTGGGCAGTTCCTCCACCGGATCCTGCACAGCACCTGATTCATGGCCAGCCCGGGCTTCCTGTCGCAATCGATTAAATTCCTTTTCCGCCCGATTTATGTCCCGGATAACGGGCACAAGGATCTCGTCCGTGCGCACCTGGCTCCAGCCCGCTGTCGTCATGAGAAAATGTCTTAACCCGTTCAAGTCCGGCACTCCCTATTAGAATTGGGCGCTGTCCGAGTCTACTTCGGGTTCGAGATACGCGGCGGGAACGCAGGCATCGGGAAAGAACGGCGGCAAAAAGTCTTCGAGGCCTTTTTCCGAAATTTCTTTCGGAAGGCGAGATAAGCATCGTCGGGAATATAGATGCCCATCTAGATTTGAGTCTATAAATCCCGAAACTCTTCGAGAATCGTAAACTCGGTCAGGATCTCAAAGACCGTGACGGGTCCAATAACGGGAATACCCTCTATATAATCGCTCCTAAGAAGGTAAACAACACTAATCAGCTTCTACCGGTAAAAGGCGTACTTCTTTTCGAAATTAGTCACAAGGTAGTATTCCACGTATTTGCTTTAGTTAAATATATTCTTGTAAACCCGGGTACCTCCGAACAAAAAGGTATTACTATCGTCTATCACAATTCCGTCCACGAGGCCGAGCGAAACGAGCTCGGTATATTACGTCTCCGCCTCTATAGGCGCGGTGATATCAGGAAGCCTAAAGAGCGCTAAGAGTTATTAGCACTTGTTAATTAAGATCTGCGTCACCTCGTCTGTATCGAAGCGATCTTTTTTATGCTAAGACCGGAGTTGTTTCAACCCTTGCTCGTAATCGAAAGCGGCCTGATTAGGGGCAGTAGTTTATGTAGTTCAAACTGTGTATGTACTTGGGAGATGTTCTGGTAAAATTGCTATTAAGTTGAAGCTCATCTTGGTCGAAATGTTTAACGTAGGATGAAATGCGGCAGGATCTATTCGATTCATACAGTTATCGAATTTTAGAACGAATCTACGTTCGTAGGGACTAGATATAAAAAGCTTCTTGTAGGTTGGATTCGTCGCGGAATTAGTTCGGATCTCGGCATTTCTCGGTATATCGGAGTCGCTGTTGTGAAAAAAAGCTTCAAACGCACTTCAATATATACTTTTGTCCATCCAGATTCTCCAAAGAGGCATCTAAGCATTGAATTTCTTTAAAATCTTGATTCTGGAGCGATGTACGTCCATAGAGGTATTACTACAAAATAGGGGGCAAGTTAGAAGTGGGGGGGGGGTAGGAAAGCCTCGAAATTGGACATTATCCCTAATTTCGGAGATCCCAGATTCCATTTGTAACTGATATTGCTAGTCCATCTTTCCAACCCCAGAAATCGCCCCCAGAAAAAAAAAGATCAGGTGGACAGGTGTCTCCACAAGATGTTGACCCGCTGTCAGCCTGGATCCCTTCGGACTCCACCAACAGCCCCGGGGTGTTTTTGGTTGATTTGCGGGGGTTCCGGAAGAAAAAGCTTGGGTATTTTCCAACCACGGGACAGTATCCTATGGAGGTGTCTTTTTAAAAATAAACAATAATATATCATAATAGCGATAGATTGCATCGAGACCTTCGAATAGCCCTAATTAGAGCACAGATCGCGCAGATCTGAACGTGCAGCTGGCTGGATTGGTAATCTGGCCGGTGAGAACTCTAGTACTACTTTCTGGCTATATCTTCGCATGTGCGAGAATCAGCTCGGTTTACTGGAAAGAGAAGAAATTCGACCGATGCACAAATACACCGACACGATCGATCCAGCGCACATCATCACCCCACCCCTTCACCGGGGGTGTGGAGAAACAGAAGAAAAGAAAAGAGGGAGGGGTGGCCTCATCCATACTCCACTACAGGACACGGTGAAAAGCATGGGCCAATCCCATGAACTCGACTGCCAACGTGTACAAAGAGCCAGCAGGGAAAAGAAGAAAAGAAAAAGAAAAGGAGGTTTGAGGAATGCCCGCTGATATTGCCCTGCTTATCAGCGGGCAAACACAGGACTTGGCATCCAAACTACAATCTTCAAGCACATCCCCCTGTTGCCTTGGCTGTGGAGCATGATCCGCGATAAGTGCGCCCAGCCCTCACGGCCAAGGCTGGTATCAGATTGCACAAGGCTTGGCGGATCATCCGCTTGGCAAAACCCCCTTGGCAAGTATTCAGGATTGAAACCTCCCTGGCGTCGAGAGGCTGTGCTGTTGCCTTGTACTCCTACAGGAATGATGCCAAGAGAGAAAAGAGTAGACGATGTTGGGTGGGAAGATAATCTCAGTGCTAGATGTGCCCGATGCCCAGTGCTCGGGGTGTATATATGTTCGTGAACCAAAATGAAACAAAAAAAAAAACATGGGCAAGAAACCAAAAACCGCCGAAAGAATAACCCTCATGATGAAAACAGCGCCATGAAACACCCCTACTTTTCCTTCTATCGGTGCCCATTGGTGCTCATCGGGGGTTCAACCGAGATGCAAAGAAAAAGGTGAAAACTGCCACGCCAAAAAATATGCATTGGTCGCTGGAGTCATGATTGGCAGCGTGACTGGAAATATATCGGCAAGGAAATGACCACAAAAAAATAAACAAGATGAATCAGAGAAACCATCTAAAAGGCCGGCTTGGACTTGGGGTGGCCGAGGTAGAGGAAGCCGTTGGGAAGTGTGGCAGCAATGTCATTGAACCGAGAGCCCGTCGACGAGGTCGAAGAGGAACTGTTAGACCGAACATGGGCAGGAACCATGTCCGGGCTCAGGGAGGAGCTGGCTTCGGGCTGGGGCTGGTCATCCCAGGTGCGAGGGTCGGGGCCGTATTCCGTCGGCGACAAGACCAGGAACTTGTTGCTGGGGTTGTAGGGGCCCTGCTCAGTGGCCGAGAGGACCAGGAAACGGTGGGTGGGAGTGTAGGTGTACATTGTGGTGAATGACTTGGTAGAGCAGTCAAGTGAAATGGATTGAGTTGGAATTCAGTATGAGAGTGAGGAGAATAATTCTGGATGACCAGATCAGGGTGATTCGGCCTCACTTATATATTCGCAGAGGCAGGGCCAAGAGGGACCCGGGGGGGGGGGGGGGGGGCATGAGGGGCATGGGTTATCAATGAGATGAGCCCATGCCGATCCAGCACATCATATCTCGGGAGCAGAGTGGGTATAGTCATGCAGCCAACTCCCCGCGCTTGTCGCGAAGATGACAATCCTCTGCTGAGACGCAGATGTCTTGGCCTGGAAAAAAGGGGTGACAATCCTTCGCAGAGCCAAGATATCACTAGTGGTGTTTTTTTCAATTCTTCGAACTTCGCCTCTCTTGGCTCTGGTATCTCTGGTCGCACAGTCCAGCTGTGTCATTCCCCGGCAAATATGTGCCCAGGTAAACTGCTTGGCAAGTCAGGAGAAGTGAAAATGGGGAATTGGGAATTGGAATTAGCAATTGTGCAATTCTGGTGTCATGGCAAGTCAACCTCGGAAGATCAGCAGCCAGGATGAGGGGCCAAGACTGCCCTTTCTTGGACTCTTGTCCCCCTTTTATTTTCATTTTTCAGTCGGACTCTTTTCTTTTCTTTGAATCGTGTTCTCCTTCTTCTTCTTCGCTCTCTTCTTAATATCTGGCACGTATAATCCCCAATGCTGTCCATATGTGGACCCATGATATCATCGAAGAAAGCCCTAATGTCGACGATCAACGGGAGTTCGCGGCCTAACCGAGATATCTCCCGGTGGTGTCGGTTATTTGCAGGCTATCATGTGAGAGGCACATCTCTGTTCAGGTTTTGAACTCCTCCGAGTGCACAACCTGGATGGGTTGGCAATGCACACATCACTTTGACGCCCAAGCCTCGGCCAAGGGAACCCAGGGAGTACGAACCACCTACCTCGTTTCCACGATCTATCTGAATAAACACTGCAAGCATCTATATCAATTATATCGATATTATAAACATGAAAGCCATGCGATAGTTCAAACCTAGTTCTGTGGCCGCTTGGGAGCCTTCAAGATGACAGAGCACTTCTGGCTCATATATCGGTTGTATAGAATGTGCTGTGTTGGAGTTGCGATTTTCAATCCAAGATTTTTGAGCCTCTCACTCATGCAGTGAAAGGACCCTAGCTCGCATGAATGATCCTGTGAAGATACAAAAACAAGCAAAGCATCCATGACTACACGAACTCTGATTGAAATTCGATTATGTGGATTGGGCAAGTGAAGCTCAACATTATGATCAATGCTTCAATCAGAGTGCTCTTTATTTTCTAGGTCAGATGCCAATTCTTTCGCCTCTTCTATGGTACACACCCGCTAGAGAAACCCTAATCGCGTACATTTAAATTACTACCAACTAGTCCGAGCTAAAGACAGGATAAGAAAATATTTCCCGCCCCTAGACAGTAGTCCCTCGTTCCTCTTAGCTCACCGAAGCAGATGGCAACACATGCCTATGTTCCATGCTGAATCCAAGCTCCATGGGCCTACCTGAAGTGAGTAGGCGAAGAAGTCCCCGCTTCTCCAAGTCCCGGCAGAAATCCTGCTTCGAAGAGAACCCCTCGTCCAAAGAGTCCTGCCCCCTCCGTCGCCATTGGTTATCTCGCCACGAGTCCATCGAGAGGTGGCGGCTGTTTCGTGACTGGGTGCTCCGCTGATCGGCTCCTCCAGCAACATCTTGGTGCATGTAGCCAGCTTCACAAGAGTGCATTATTGGTTGTGCCAGCACTTGTCAATAATATCATCAATCAGCGGGTCACCATCGAGTGTCGGGAACTTCATATCCTGGAGCAGTTCCACGACCTTGGGTCCATGCTCGTAAGGATCGTCGGCAAGACATCGGCCGTCAGAGACCTCAATGCCATAGTTGATCAAGTATTACAGCGAACCAAGGGCAAACTGCTCTGTTCGAGGGCCCAGAAAGCCAGCAGTCCCTGGCATTCCTTGATCTGCCTCGGGTTTATTGAGTAGTCTTCCGTATGGGCAAGAGCAGAACTCGGAATCTGTGCCGAATTCGGCTGTGTAATCAAAATCCGAGAGTTTGAGTCGGTTGCGATCGAGTAAGATATTTTCAGCTCGTAGATCACCATGTGCAAGGTTGAGAGATTCGAGGAATGCAACACCTTGCACAATGTCGCTCATCCCTGATTATATTAGAGATTGATTTCATGTAAACAATTGGTCAGTGTGTCTACTCACAGAGCTTTCGTAGGGGCAGAGGCTCCATATTCTTCACTTGAGTAACCACGATCAGAGGATGGACCTCATAAACGAAGGATATACCACCCCAGACCCAGTGTGCTCCAGGGAATTGGCGTTGGATATCCATAGGAGGTCATGGGGGGAACAAAGAAATCTGCAGTTTTTGCTCGCGCAGGAGAAAAGATGACGAGGGGTGTCTGTGATGAACCATGTGACCCATTCTCTTCTTTCTATGCGAGCTGCGCTCTTCTTCATGCTGCAACACCCATGCCCAATATAACCCTGACTGATTCTGTGCTGTTCCGAGCCTTGGTTGTGTATAGTCGCTTACGGTCGATCTCCCGGACACAAGAAGGAGGTGGATACTCCACCTAGTCTCTGCGCGGTAGGATTCGGATAATCAAGAATTGTTCATTGGATGCTGACGTCTTCAGCTGAAAGCTTGAGCAATCCTTGGGGGCTGATATCTTGGGGGCCAGAAATGAGGGGCACCAAATTGAACTGAGCTTTGCCGTGATAAATGAATGAAAAAGAAGGTGTTTTGGGGGGACCAAGTCCAGCGAAAAAGTTCACCGCAGTGGCATTACTTTGCGAGGGGGGTTCAAGGGCACAGAGTGCTCGAGTGACGATCAAACTAAGAATGCGTCACCGTCGGGGTTAAACCCGCGAGAACCGAATATCTGACAACGACCGCCCCATGATTTAAATCAGGACATCTTACATCTTACATTTTTCTAACCTCCTAAGCTATTTCGAAAAAGACCAACAGCCAAATTCACCATGGAAATCGCCGACACCAGCCAGCTTCAGTTCGAAGGGCTCAACCTCAAACACAGAGGAAGCGGACTGTGGTTCAAGTATCTCTTTCTCGGGGATGCAAATGACCCCAAGAACAACTACCTCTTTGTCCTCGCTCGCCAGCAAGAATTCTACTCCCCCGTGCATCGCCACAACTTTGACCAATTCCGCTACCCCACGATAGGCGACATCAGTATTCTCCCAGAAGTCAGTGTCCGCCAAGGCGAGCTATGCTACCACCCCGAGGGTGTCTACTATGGCCCCCAAAACGACGGCGAAGCACTCAAGGAGGTGCTGGTTCTGCAGTTTGGCGGCGGAAGCGGGCAGGGCTTCATAAGCCACGCCAAGTTGATGGAGAGCCAAGAGCGTCTGAGCAAGCTGGGACGATTCGAAGGTGGGAAGTTCTTTCGTCGGCGAGAGGGTGTCAATGGGGCTGATGGCGGGGAGGAAGAGCCCATTGACTCTTACCAGGCCCTGTGGGAGGATCAGATGCGCCGCCCGCTGGCCTATCCCAAGGGACGCTATGACCGGCTCGTCAAGATGCATCCTGACGCGTACACGTGGAGAAAGGTCAAAGGCAGCGATGGAGTCTGGAAAAAGTTGCTTGGAATATTCTCGGAGCGCGAGACGAGGGCGGAAATCATCAAGATTGAGAATGGTGTTTGGGACATTTCTGCCGAGGATGCCACTCAGTTATTTTATGTTTTGAAGGGAGAGGGTCTCGTTGACGGTGATAAGATTGTCGCTGAATGGGCTGGTCGGTTGCAAGCGGGCAAGTCTGTCAAGGTCACCACAGACAATGAGCTCCAGGTGCTACGCTTTGTATTGCCTACATTAGAGCCGGAGAGTGAATAGGAAATTGCTCGGGTATAGCCAAGCTTACATTTCAATCATGTGAAATATCCTGACTCTCCTGCCTCTTTTTTCACTATAGTTTTAACTCGATATAGATATTGACTACAATGCCGGGATCTTGCCCTATCCTGATCCTCCTACTCCACTATCTCTGTATATCCCTTACTGCCTGGCGTCATATGAGCTGACATACCATGAATTAAGACTCAACAGACAACACTCGTGCGCGATAATTCCGGGAGCTGTGCCGTGATAGTCGCCGAGCTGTGCCGCCCCAAGTCTTGGCGTTGTGTATAGTCGCTCAAAGTCGATCTCCCGGTGGCGCAGCAGCTAGACAGAAGCACGAGGGACTCGGGCAGAGATCCCTTAGATGCACACTACTGTGCCATTGTGAAGGGACGCCGATCTTCGAACAGCCGTCTCGGGCCTAGAATCGGTTCATAGGCGGAGAATAAATCCTTTTCTCATGAGCGCAGCCAGCGCAGAGACGATACATCCTTGGACCATATACAATGCCCCATGACACTATTCCCAAGAGATACATAGTGCCTGTTCCTCACTTCTGAGCGCGGGCTCATTCTCTTTTCCCTAAGCTGGACACAGCGCAACTCCATCTTAATCGCTCGGTGTTTGCATCTATCACCAACTGCGCCATGGTGACGAGTCCTATTCGCCTGTGCCCTCGAGCTGAGACTGCGGTAAGAAAAACGTGATTTTCTGATGCTGCGGAACTTGCGCTGTCGCACCAACAATGGATTCTATAGCACGGGAGCAGCTGCGTATAGTCGGCGGCACGGCCAACAATTCAGTCTCGCCGAGCCTCTCTAACTGGTTTCGACCAGCAATTACTTTAAGTGAGCTGACGCTGTATCGCCTCAGCTACTACGCCGCTTGGTCTGGTATCCACGTCTCGAAAGAACTGTGACAGGTGCTATTTCCAGAAAGGAAGGTCAGAGCTGTCTGCCTTTTTTTTCTGATAAGCCAGGCTCCGTGCCAGCTCTACAGCCCAACCCAGTGTTGACCCGATGAAGAAGCCCGGGCGAGGGGCCATCGTTCAAGTCTACGCTACGAGTCCTGTACGCACGGTCTTTGGCATGATGTCAAGAGCTCCCTGCGGAACTCTAACAGCAAGCGATATCCGCGAATGAGCTTGGAACTATGAACATGCGCAGAGACACTGAATCATCGGACATCCCCCGTGACGGCTGTTCTTTGACGAGCCGCATAACCGCCAACCTAAAGGCCGCTGTTGGACTAAAGCCGATATCTTCAAGTTGGCGCAGGACCTGCCTTCTTTGTATACTCTCTGTCGGCTTCGCCAGCAACCACTAAACCATTCTCTGCATACGGCGCATCCAGGTGAACTACAGCACCAACAAGGAAGCGCCGGTCGAAGGGCTGAACCTTTTTTTTTTACTCATGTTGTCTTGGACTTTTACATTCTTGACCTTGGTGGTTTCTTTCGAGCGGCGCAGTCATTTCCCTCCTCGCAACATGCGCATGGAATGCTATAAAGCCGGCCCTTGATCTCCTCTTCTTGATTCTCATCAAGCTACAATCCGGCAATCTCCCTCGGCCTTGCTACTCATTCTTTGACTTAGTCCACACATTCTGACAACTCTCTGCTTTCTTCCATTTGGGTTCTTTCTTCCATTCTCCCCCCGCATACCACCATGTGCGCTGTATACATCTACGAGTACGACTGCGGGTGCCAGCACCAGGAAGGAGGAATCGTTCCCTGCGCCAAAAAGGGGACTCCGGCCTGCAATGGCGTGAAAGAGTATTTTCGTACTCGACAAGGATACACCTGTCCGAGGCACAGTTAGCAGCCTACACATCAAGTCAGATTCCTGGTTCTTTTGCTTCAATCGAGGTTTCGCTAATAGCTGACTGCAGACACAAGCTCACAAGGAGGATGTCTGCTCTCCTTCTTCCCTTCTAGGGTTTATCTCCCTGAGGCTTTTGTGAGGAAGTGAGATTGTCAAGATGAAGAGATGAACACTGCCTCTACTCTTCAACATCACCCTGAGGCTATTTTTTTTTTCCTTTCTTGGTTCATCGACTACAGTTTACCTATGCGTTAGCGTTCTTTATTTTGATTTCGGTGGTTTCTTTTGATTTCGGCTTATGTGCGGCTTCAGCAGTCAACTGCCCCTAGTGTGCAATCCATGGGCCTCTCGGAAGAACCACGAACTTTTTGTGTTTTTGACCTGTCCACTATACTGTTTCATCTTTACAAATGTCTGTGCTGTTAGCTATGTTCATCTAGTTTTTGATTTTTGGGTTTGCAAGTGTTTTTCAGTACCCCACTCCGTATGCTCACTAGTTCTTTCATAAACATTGGCCCTTTCCCATCGAAGGAGGCGGGGGAAGGAGAGTGAAGACGCGCGTATTTTCCTATTACGAATCGATTTCTTCATTGTGTTTGCTAATTGGAGATTTTCTTGACCGTGTGGATTGGGAATTCGAGTCAAGCCAAGGCCCTAAGAAAACAAGTATTGATCCTTCGCGTTTCGCATGAACATCGAGGTCTGACTTGTTCCACAATTCCGGGGAGGGGTCTTCGACGTGTGCCATGATTGATATGCATGGTCTTCAAGAAGGTATATCAAAGAGACATGGCGAAAGGGCGGCGGGAATCCCGTCATACAAGCAAGGGGGCGAGGAGGGTCCGGCACAGGATGGAAGACGGGAGAAGCAGATCGTTTGCCACGAGCTGGCGCTTAAGGGAGGAGGGGGAGGGTGGGGGGTGGGGGGAGACAGACGCAAGGCGGGGCTGCAGATGACGCAGCTCCCTTGCCATGCCTGCATGATATTGTGGATGATATGGATTGGAAGAGGGTCATTTGGGGACGGAAGAAGAGTTTATCACCCTAGAAAGGATATCAGCTTTGCTCAAGGCTTTCTTGATCTTTCTGGCCATCTCATAAGACATACACTCTCGACGAAGCTATCGAGAACATCCAACAAGAAGCTTATAGGACTGCCGATCCCAGTCAGCCATGCATGGCATGGGCGCCAACAAGATTGACCACGTTTGTTTTACATGTGGGAGCCGTGCACGTTGCAGCCACTAAACGGCAACCCGACCAGAGATTTAATCGAGGGTAACCATATCCGAGTCCATGAATAAAGCGCGGGAAATAAGTTTCCGCTGGTCGGATGCTGGCAAGCCGGCATCTAAGCCAGCAATTTTTTAGCCTAGGATTTTGCCATGTTTTCTCCGCGGCGTGTGATGACGACATGAACATGCCCGAGGATCTCCGAAGCAGGGACTTCCAAATCTCATTGTTTCGTTCTGAATTATGGAAGCAGGGTTCGTAAAAGGGAAACATTGTGCAAGTTCGCTGGATGGTGATCGGTGCGTGTGCTCATGACCCCCGGAGGCTATCCCAGAGCGATCCAGTTTGTCAAATAACAAAAACACCAGTCAAAGGAGCCGCCGCTGTGGCCTCAAGCCCTGCGAAAGGATGCCAACCGCCGGCAGACACTTGGTTGCATTAGACCCGCATATGGTTCGTATCAGCTGATTTGGAAGTCGAATCAAACACTTGGGATCATGATCTCTGCATTTGCGAACCTACAATCAGTGAGTAGTGTATCTCGCCCTGGTCATCAGACTAGTGCTGCTGCTAAAAATGTGACTGGTTCCCGAAGCCTTGTGGGATGTTCCGGTCCATATCTTGGGAGACTGAGAGCCAGCCAGCACAGGGAGGCCCTGTTCAGGGAATGCTTCAGGGCCACTCCAAAAACATAGGAGTTGATTCGGCCCCTGGTCATGATGGCATTTGCTCGAAGCCAGGGTTAGTCCACCAAGAAAGGAGTGGGGACGTAAAGAAGCCACTCTGCCACAGATTGGTCTTCGGAGAGTCGGGTATTCCATCCGGTCGCGAGGTCCCACAGGTTAGGGGCGCGTCGAGCCCATCGATCTCTGGGACAAGATCCAAACATGAGGGGATCAAGGCTGGGGCACTTGTGCCGGTACTTGAACCCGAATTTAACGCCATTTGAGGCTCGATTTTCGGCCCAAAGCCTTCAGCTCTTGCATGTACGAGGGGTTCCATGCGACCGTGGACACAAGCAGATTTTTGGCTGGCCGATCGCTTTGATCGGAACCAGAATTTGAGGAATCGTAGCGCGGCGCGGGCGAACCGCAATGCTGGGCGAACAGGATGCCAGCAGGGAATGGTCACCTGCCCTGCACACCAGTCAGCCGGCAGCATCCAAACCGTAAGAATTGAAAAATATCGCTTCGTCAATCAGATATATTCCCCTCCGATGGGGAAGGAACTAGACAAGCAGCATGCTCCTTCACATGTCGTCTATGGTCACGTGCTACGTGATTTCGCGTTCACGGGCTGCTTTCGCTCTTGGCCGGTAGACGTCAACATCACGAAGCTGCCATTGCATTGCACATGTAATGTCCATCGAAGTCGACTGGGCAACTGCCACCTCTGGTCCAGACGGGGAAGCTCTGGCGGAAAGGATCCGGTCGTTCGTCCACGACAAGTTTCAGCAAGTGGCCCTGCCGCGCTTCATCCGCTCAGTCCAGGTCCACTCCTTCGACTTCGGGACGATTGCCCCCGACTTGGAGATCAAGGATTTCTGTGAACCCTTCTCGGATTTCTATGAAGAGGACGACGACGATGCCGACACCTCAGTTACATCTGAGGAGCTCATGTCCGAGCACGGGCATACATGGTCCAGCCATTCGGAACTCCACGAGTCCCCGTTCGAAGACGATGTGCCGCTGAATCACCCTTCCCATGGCCCTCGCCACTTCGGCCATCGCCCCTATGCCGTCGAGGAATTCCAGCCCTCTGCTTTACGATCCGCGCTACCCCTCGGAGACCATCTGAATCCACATTTCATGCCCCGCGCCGGCACTCCGGGCATCCCCGGCGGCACCTCCACGCTCGGCTACCACTTGATGTCACTGGGCGGCCTTTCGGGCACCCAGACACCTCTCGCCGCGGTCGCAGGCGGAACCCCGTTCGCGAGCGGGTGGTCTGACTCGGGACTGGGCCCGGGTGGACAACCACGCATGCCCCGTCCAGCGGCGACGCAACCGCCCCGCGCCGACGCAGACCTAGACACCACCAATTCGGCCTCGCGCCCGTCCACAGCCAACACCATCCCCTCCCATCCGTCCCTCGGCCAGCCCGGCAGCAACGGATCGAACCGAAACAGCGGCGACCCGGCCGACACACCACAACAATCAATCGAGCCGCTCGACGACCCCTCCGCCCCAGGACAAACCTTGCCCACCCAACCTCGCATGCGCGAGCGCCGCCCAGAAGACTTCCAGGTGCTGTGCCATGCCAAGTACGCCGGCGACGTGCGCATGTCGCTGACCGCCGAAATCCTACTCGACTACCCGATGCCCAGCTTCGTGGGGCTGCCACTGAAACTCAATGTCACGGGCATCACCTTTGACGGCGTCGCTGTCGTCGCCTACATCCGCAAGCACGTCCACTTTTGCTTTCTGTCAGCCGAGGATGCCGATGCCCTGCTTGGCTCCGAGGCAAAGGACCAGGGGAGTCGGAATCCCAGCGACGACGGGCGGCCGCGGTCCGGAAGCGACCAGAAGCGGCAGGGCGGTCTCTTGCAGGAGATTCGTGTTGATAGCGAGATCGGTCGCAAGGAAGATGGGAAGCAAGTCTTGAAGAATGTCGGCAAGGTGGAGCGCTTTGTGCTGGCGCAGGTGCGGCGCATCTTTGAGGAAGAACTGGTTTACCCCAGCTTCTGGACATTTTTGGTTTGAAATTGTCGCCATACTGGCATTCTACTCTGATCGGCTACGGTTTGATCATCTATGTACCATTACGAATAGCTCACGACACCTTAAAATGACGGTTTATGACCCGACACCCTATCTGCAAAATGCATAATCCTCATTTTCCGGGTAAAATATCATGTATGATAAGAAAATGCAGATCAAACAGCACAATTCAATCCTCAACCCCCTTGAATAATATCGTAATCCCGAAGTTAATGGCACAACTCGCCTCGGCCTCTCCCTGGCGTCACATAGACTACCCGCCAAAAAGTAGGCCAGGTAAATAACGTATGAACAGTTCCCGACGCAGGGTGTCTAGAAAGGATATCGGTCGTGGGAGAGACGAACTCGACAAGCAATAAAGCCCTCAATCCAAAGCAATCGTATGGTAGGCGCAGAGTGTCGACATCGCGGAGACCAACGGTGCAAATTATTTGAGGGGCACTAGACCCCGGAAGCCAGGCGGACACATTACAGGTCCTTCTTTTTGTTCTCTTCTCCCTTGCTGCCGGCAACCTGGTCACCGAGATTGTGGTACTCGCGGGTCAATCCCTCGCACTGCTTCTTGAGGGTCTCGATGTCATGGTCCTTGGCCGCGAGCTCCTTCTTAAGTGCGCCAATCTCCCCGGCTGAGCCAGCCTCTGCGACACGGGCAGAATCCTTGCCACCGACCTTCTTGTCTCCCTCGAGAAGCTTAACGCGGTCCTCGAGACGGAGGACTTCCAGGATCATGATATAGGTGCGGTTCAGGATCAGCGAGAGGAAGAGGGTGAAGCCGCAAAGGTACATGTTGCGTTGCGAGTAGAACTTGCGGGCTTGCACCTCCATGCGGTCGGTGCCCAGGTGTGCAGCTCTGTTATGGTAGGAATGCGATTAGATGTTTTGCCTGGCGAAAAGAGACAGGGGATGGGCTCATTAGTTTGCTACATACCCGACTCCAGCGCCATCCTTGGAGAAGGCCGCCAGCTCCTGCTGCACACGGTACACTCGGTTGACGCTGTCGATAAAGAGGATCAAGATGAAGATGAAAGTGATCTGAGGAACTAGTTAGCGACGGCAATCAGAGAGTCATGGGACATATGGTCAGCAACCTACTTTCAAGCCATATTGTAACTTCGCGATAATAGGGCTTTCCGAAATGAAGGCGAAAAGCTTTCGCTTAACGGTAAACGGCAGCGGGACGATGAGGGCCAGGAAGACCGCCATCTCAAACACCAGGAGAAGGAACACCTAATCAAGACATTATAAGTCAGTACAACATGCAACTAAAAGGCATCCCATAGGCTGATGCAGCGAAGCTCTCGAGGTCGGTATACTGGCAGCTCGGCACTAGGCTCCAGCGATGACCTCGGCTGACAAGCTAGACAAGAGAAAAAGCTCGGACGGAAAAATGCGACACGTACAAGACTGTAATAGAGAGTCATTTTGTCGTAGTTATTCGGCGCAGCAACACTCGGGATTGGAGGTTTCTTGCTGGTTCAAAAGGGGGCGGGGGTTCACGACTGTCGGTGGGAAGCTGAGGAAAATGTAAACAAACGACAAATGAGCAAAAGATTCTGGCGGTGAGAGACCGGAAGACCTAGGATCCACACACAGTACTATTGCTGGCTCAGACCGAGGGGTAGGGGGAATTGAAGACAAGGCAGTCGCATGAGCGAGGTGGTCTTTTACGGGGAAGTTTTCCAAGGTCGCGGAGAAGACGTCATCGCTGTCACCCACGTGATCAGACGATCAACCCTAATGTTGGATGCTCTACATCATATGTACAATAGCCCTCTTTGGCGTTGTTTTAGATGTCCTCCTATATAGGCTTTATCTAGCCCTCTGCTTCTGCCTCGTAGGCATTTGATTTATGCTTCGGCTCAAACTTGAAGTCCTTGTGCGCAGGACCCAGGAACATCTCACTGAAGGCAAAGTTAGCTCAAAAACCAAGGGGCTCACATAGACAGGGCCCTTACGTGATCTTGATCCAGTCCTTGTAATTGCCGCTGCCCAAAAGTGTCTCCAGGTCATTTCGGCCCCGCCACGCCGGCGGTCGGTCCTGGATATGAGGGGGAAGGTACTCCAGCAACCCAATGGGGACATAGCGATAGGCAAAGCTTAGCCATTCTAGCAGGAAGCGTCGGGTTGTGCCCACACCATGCTCATCAGATCCCCACGCCTCAAGACCGTACTTGGCGAACTTCTCAACAATACTCAGGCGCTCCGACGCGGACTTGTCCAGATACTGGCCAGTTTGAATCTCCTCGAAGACCCACGGCTTGATCAGGGCACCACGGGCGACCATCACCGAGTCTACGCCGGCATTGTTGACGTGGTCATCATAGTCGACGTGAGAGTAGCAGTCTCCGTTTCCGAGGAAGTAGGTTTTCCCTCCGTTCGGCTGGTACCGGGCGTCCGCTTCGTAGATCGTGTCGGTGACCATATCCTTCTTTTCGTTAATCCGTTTGATCAGCGCTGAACACTCCGAGATATATCCCCAGTCTGCCTGTTTTGTGTAGCGCTGCTGTCTGCTCCGTCCGTGGAGTGTGATTGCCGCAGCACCTGGAGGACCAACATCCAAAACGCTCGACTCGTAGCCGCCCAGAACAAGACGCTCAGCGAGCTTCAAGGCGGTGGGGTGATTGTCCTTAGTTCCCATCCGAATTTTAACAGTAATAGGGATCTCCTGCGAGACGCTGTTCATCCCGCGGATGATCTTCTCCAGTTTTGAATGATGTTCAAGCAGGGCAGACCCAGCTCCATCGCGGTACACAAGCTCGATCGGGCATCCACAGTTCAAGTCAATCACACGCAGGTGCGGTGTGAACTTCGACAGCACCTCGGTCGCCTTAAGAGCTTGCCACGGTTTGTTGGCAGCAATCTGAGCGCCAAATTTACTGTCCTTGGAATTATCGTAGCCTTGCACAACGTTCTCTCCTGGGATGACAGAGGGTGGGAGCACTTCCGACTCGTGGGCTTTCAACAGAGTCCATTCCGACTTGGACCCTTGTATCAACGGCATACTCATGGCCATTTCCGAATAGGTAAACTGCGCCCCGAGATCAGTGCAGAGACGCCGGAATGGAAGATTGCCCTGCGTCGTCAGAGGTGCCAGTGTCGGGGTCTCGGGTCCGAAATAGATGCGTCTCTTTTCCGACGGCAGGAAAGGCGGCTCGGCGTAACGGGCGCGGTTGTCTTCTTTTTCCTCCTTTTCTTGTTTTGTCTGCTCACCATCACCATTCGCCTCGGCGGGTTTGTCCTCGTCCTGGTACCTTTTGTGGAGGTCTTTTTCCAACGCTTGGGTGGCTTGGTTGAGCCAATTGTTATAGGCATCGGCCCGGGGGGTCTTTTCCCTCTTTCTGGCGAGTCCGAGCTTATCCTCATTCGAGATAATGTTCACAATCCCTTCCAGGGTGGCATAGGGTACACGGGGTCTGGCCTTTTCCTTGCGCGCTTCGTCTTCGAGCAAGATAAGCTCCTTCTTTCCGTCAGAGGCTTCTCTTTCAGTCGAATGAGAGCCAACCAGGCGGCATTTCCATCCCGAAGAACATTTTCCGAACGCTTCCCAGCCAGGACACACCCCATTGAGTGTGGTGAGATCCTCGCGTTTGTGGTCTTTCAAGTAGGTTCGCAGGTCATGCTCGAAACGGCATTTTTCGCCAAACGTGCATTCCTGAGGAGAAAACTCCGGGCTGAACATTCGAGAGCTACAGAGACCTTTTGCGTCCTCCGATTTGCCAAAGCTGCGGTTGGTATTTTGGCCTTTGGGCTTCTGCTTCTTCTTTTTCTTTGCATTGGTGTCATCCTCTCGGTCAGCGTGGGGGGCAGCTTCGGCCGCATCATCGGGGTTGGTTTCAGTCGCCGGTTGGGGCATAGATGCCGATGGGATCAAGAACCTTGAAGTTACCCGAGTTTAGTTTGCAATCCGATTCGTAAAAGAAACCACAACTTACTCCGCTTTGATTGGCGCGATGCCCTTCTGACGAAGAGGGTGGTCATGTCTATTCGGCTTCGCAAAATCCTCCAGCCGTGCTTTCTTGGAAGGGGGACCGTCATTGTTCTCACCCGAGTCACCGTTAGTGTCGCATTTGGCAATATCGATCTCTGTCGGGGCAGTGGTGGGTTCTACAGGTTGCGCGTGAGTCGAGTCCGAGGCCATGTTAGTTTGACAGCCAATCAATCAACTGGGTCCAAAAAGGAAAAGGTTCCACTAAGCGAAAGGACTTTGAAAGTGAAATGAAGCTGTGCGGGATTAGGCAGTTCGCATCTCCAAAAATTCACAACCCACCAACTGTTTGCACTGTTTGTCTGTCCCAGCAGTCAACATAATGATCCTTGATATTTCAGGAACTTGTCTCTCACTTTCTTTCTCTCTCTTTAGAGTAAGTTCAAGGCACTCGTAGGGGGCATGGATGAGGTTATACGATATACCCGGTTAGTTCTATAGCGCTGAAACTTCTTAAACCTCGCAAATTTCTTACGTCTTAAACCTATTGAACTATACTTCATCCTGCTTCGAGAAAGACGTCATGATTGGGGCGTGTGGCTTAGTGGTAAAGCGCATAGAGTCTAATCAAAAATACAAAAAAAACTGTTATTTATATAAAAAGAAGGCGTCAGCTAGTATACCACTATACCTATTAGGAATATTATCTAGCTATTTTTTAATTTACTAAAATCCTCTTAAAATAAAAGATATTATAATTTATATTATTTTTATTATTTATAATAAATTATTTAATTATTTTTTCTATAAATATTACAATATAATATATAATAAAAAAGCTTAGTAATATCTATATAATTGAAGAAATACCGAGGACAGCTCCAAGCGCGAGGCTAATGAGGCACGGGCTCCGGCAAAGATGGCTTCTAACCCCCAATTTATAGGCCTCAGAGTTAATCTCTCGGAGTCTATCACTACTACTACCACTATTACCGACAAAAAAAAAGAAGAAGAAGAAAAAGAAAAAGAAAAGATCACGAAAAACCAAATCCCATAAGAATCGCTCGACCCCCCCGACCGAACGCCCTCTTTATTAAGCACACTTCTATCCCTATTTTTTTTTCTTATTTTCTTTCTTTCCCACGCCCTCCTATTAACACCACTCGCCGGTTTCGCTGCCGAAGCACCCCAATCCAACGCCTAGTTATAAAAGTTGGAGGTATTGGCGCAGGCTCAGCGACTAATAAGTCACTATCTATATTACTTCTATCTATCTTAGTATAAGACCCCCCTCGCTAGACACTAACCCCTACCACAATAGACTTAGTTAATAGATAACCTAGATTAGTCTCTCGCTTAAGATATACTAGAGGCCGATACTCTATCCGTCTCTAGATCATCCCTATTAAGAAAGGCTGAGTAATCGGTAAACTCACCCTTCGAGGCCGTAGAGATAGTATTACTATCTTTATCCTATAGTTAGGTTAACCCGTCGACTCTAGGAAAATCGCTTAGTAAGAAAAAAAGAGGCGTATCTTAGCTACTAGATAATCTATATAAGCTACTAGTCTTTCTGCTAATATAATAGATAGAACTCTAGTCTCTAAGGTTATATCTGGAGACTATCCGAATTAGTAATCTAGCCTATATAAAAAGTAAAGATAGAGACGGAGCCGCTTCCCTAATATCTACCGATACCTATCCTAGAACCGGGGTTCTAGGATAGACCTTAAAACCCTGGTTTTAGGATAGGTGATCGATCGGTAAGATTATTAATAAATAAGGATCTAATCAGCTATATATATATTTACTATATTTTTTCTTCTATCTATTATTACTAGAGGAGTCACTACTATATTATTATTTCTCTTTAGCCTTATTAGTACCGCTATTATCGTTGTCGTTATCATCGTCGTTACCGCCTGTTAGGGGATTGGACCAAATTATATCAATTGATGGTGCATCCTAGATACAAGAAGGATTCGTTAAGAGATATAAGAAAAAAAGGGATTAAACGAGGGTTAGGGTTTTGTTAGGGAGGCGGTTAGTTTCTACTAGTAAGGCCTTTAGGTTGAGCTTCTTTATTGTATAGGACTTCGTACGAAGGTCCTGTAACACCGCCGCTATTATCGCTACGCTCCGCTCTCTCCCTTTTCTTTTTTATAGTAATAGTAACAACGGCTGCCGCCTCCTTATCCTTCTATTAAGTTATATAATTTATCGCACTATATTTACTTAGGGTCCTTTTAAGGGAATCGCTAAAAAAGATATTAATATTCTTAATATCCTTAAATATCCCACGGTCAGTATAACTAGGTCTAAGCCCTAATATAGACTATAGAAATTCTACTAAAGCGCGATAATATCCTTAGCCTACTAGATTTCCTTTTTAGTAATATTATCCTCGTCGATATCTATCTAATCGCTCTCTATATTTATCTTACTATCTGAGCCATGATCTTCTTCCGTTTCGTTGTCCTTCTTAACTATATTAGTCCTAAAAGCCCTATCTCGATAGTCTTTAGTAGCTAGAACCTTCTTACCCTCTATTTACACAAGCTTAAGCTCGGCTAAACGTGTTAACGTGTTATAATAATATTATAGTATTAGGCTACTAGCTAAGATAGGATCTTTTAAGTATTATTAAACTCGATATAATAATAGATTATATAGTTTTAGAATAGGATCTACGTTTTTTACTACTTTATCTAATCTAGATAGTATATCTATCTAATTATCTAGAAGAGACTATTAAAATTAAGTAATAGCTTAAATAATATAACCTAAGAATAATATATATAGAAGTTTAGGCCTATTACTCCTATATTATAAATAGTTATAAAGACTATATAGATATTAGTCTTAGATATAAATTTCGATAAAATCGCTATATAGTCTATCGGGCTTATATTCGCCTTAATAGTTATATAGTTAATATTTAGGGTAAATAGAAATATCTTTATTAATCACGTTATTATCAGCTAATAGCAAAAAAATAAAGAAATACAGCCTCTACCCTACTAGTTTAAAGAGCCCCTTCTAATTAAAAAGATTATAGAGATAATAAAAATAGGAGTATTACTTAACTATATAATAGGCTATCCTAACCTAATTATTTAGTATTAGATAGTTTAGATCTAAAATAGAGTAAATATAGAAAAGACTAAACCCTTAATCTACTACTAATATATTCTTATAGATAATTTTAGCGAAGGTCGCCGCTAGGATCTCTAAAGTCTATCGCCGGAAGAGATCTAGCTTAGGGTATATCCCGATAAAAGAAAAGAACCGGCATATCTTCTAGTTAATCCGGCTAGGCGTCTCTTATAGCTAGGCCTCGCTATCTACGTCCCTATCTTTTTTTATTATATATATTAATTAGTAATAGGTCTAGTCATACTCGGCCTAGTTACCTAGGTTATAGCGTAGCTTAATAGTTATAATCTATATCTATAAGATCTCTTTATTAATTTAGATTGTGGCCTTATTCTTTAATATAAATAAATCTCTTATATCCTATTAAAGAAGGTAGAGCCGGAATAAGATTAGTAAGGCTTTAAAGCTAATAACCGCGGTTAGATAGCTATCTTTAGCTAGTTTAATGAGACGCGTTAGGTCTAGTAGAGTATATAATCTTAGATTAGATAGAGTAATATATAGCTCTAACTACTTAGCGTAAATATCTAAGGGATCTATAGTCTTATTAGTTTAATTATTATTAGAAAACGGGAGGATAATTATTTTATCTCTATTAGCGTTAGTCTCTTTATATATTTTAGGGTTATAAAGAAAGGCTAGATAGCTATATAAATCTAAGGTCTAGTTCTATATAAATATAGCTATAAAAAACTAAATCGTATTGCGTTTTAGAAGAGCGATAGCCTAATAAAGTATTAAACGAATAATCTTTATCTAATAAGCCTTATCGTAGATAACTTAAGCCTATATAATATTAAAAAGAATAGATTTAAAAATCCTTTATTTCTATTTTATTTTTCGGCTATACTCTTTAGCCTTCTTCTCCTCCTAGAGATTATATAGCTAATTAAGCACTATCTCTATCTTAAGGATTACCCTATTCTTTAGTAGCTCCTTAGGATCAAGGTCTATTCCCTAGTCTATCTATTACTTTAATCTCTCTAGATTAATAAGATCGCTAGCCGAGTCGCCGCTATCGAGTAGCCCTAGATAAGGATCCTTCTTCTCCTTTATATTATTACCGCCTCTTAAGATTAGGGATTAAGCCCCTAGAGATTTAGGGTAGTCAACGCTATTATCCTTATTATTAGTTAGGTCAACCTCCTAGATCCTTATAATTAGCCACTATAATAGTAAAGAGTATAGAATAGCCATAGTAAATAATACAGACAGATCCATCTTATATATAGACTAGAACCAGGGTTCTAGCAATAGCGATAAACACCACTAGAACCGGGGCTCTAAGATAGATCCGGTATAGAAGAGAGTCATCTAGAACCCTAGTTCTAGGGTAGGTGTAGAATCAGCATATAGCTTACCTCGTTATTCTCGTCACTATTCTCTTCGTTGTTATTCCCCTCCTCCCTTATCTCTATCTCTAAGATCCGCGTTATCTAGGTATTATAGGATAATAGTACCACAATCGCGGCCGTCTTCGGGTCTCTTAGGATAAAGCTACCGATAAAAGCCTTAAGGGTTAGAGCGTTATTAAATATATATTTTTAACGCAGATTACCTTACTAGAAGTTAGCTTTATTATTATAGAAATTATAGATATTAATGGCGTTACCGAAGTACCGCTTAATCTACTCAAGCTATATCTCGATTAATAAGCTTAGATATAAGATTAGGATCAGCTTATATTTATAATCTAGGGTTAGGTTAGCGTTAATCTTCTCGGCTATATACTATACTACTATTAGAGCTATTAAAGTCTTCCCGAGGCTATAAATATCCCCGAGGATCTTATTATAGATATTACTCTTTTTTTAGGTAAATAACTAAACGGCCGTTATTACTTACTATATCTTTAGTTTAATTAGCCCGACCCTTATTTAGTTAGTTTTAGACGTAAATAGAGGCGTTCTATTAGTAAATCTAGGAATAGGAACGCCACTCTATATCTTTGTCTGTATACATACTAACGTATAGATCTTAGTAGGGAGTACCGAGGGTATCAGTAGGAAAACATATACAAATTTCTATCTTTATTTATTTTACGGAGGGTGGAACAGACGTATATAGACAAAGAAGTCAGTGGGTCTAATCTACTCGAAGCCAATAATAGGGCTATATCGGATCCTGGCTCGGTGCCTATATCTGGTATTAGCATCTCCCGTCTTAGCTGCTATACGTATCAAAGCTGACCCTTCTAATCCTAAGTTCTTTATCCTACGCCTTGAATACCACCGCGCTAGATCCAGGCCCTCACCTCCTTACGCCCGAATATGCCAAGTTACGCCTTACCACCGTACCCCAGCACTATTAGACCGACACTCTCAGTATATATACACTATATATCTACTTAAATATATATCGGTCTATATATTTAATAATCGACCTCTATCTTACTTTTTATTTAACGCGTATTCCTCGTTAATTAATACCTAAGGGGCGAAGATAGCCCACGTAAAATATTGGAGTGGTATCCCAAAGGCTTCCTTCCTATATATTATACCTCTATTCCGTAGAGAATCAATCCTAGTAGTATACCTAGGTTACTTACCCACTCGTAGAGGTTCAACCTACCTATAAGGTATAGCGTAATTCACTCGGTAGGGCTCCACCAACCAGGCCTAATCCGGTATATTATCCCAGCTCCGATCGATCGCTTAGGGAACCCTACCAAATCACCGAGTCTATAGGAGCGGTACGCAGCTATATTAGAACCGGGGGTTTAAGGTGGCCTTAAACCCCCGGTTCTAATATCACCAGCATCACCGGCCTCACTTTTAGCCCCTACCTTCAAACCGGGGTTTTAATTATAGCTATACTACTTAATACTACTTAACAAGTGCTTAAAACCCCGGTTCTAACATACATGTAAGTCCTAAGCAAATTAGGCCTATGTATGTAAACATACAAAGAAACTTAGTTGGTAACAGACTACCCTCGAGAGCTAACTATGTAATCCATATGGGGCGTGGTCATCTCGTAACATTCGGACTTTCGTTTTCTGCGCCTGTGAAAATGGGCGGAAGGCGTCGCTGCTTCTTTTTTTCGGGTCGATTGTTCGTAACAGTCGACAGCAGTGAGAGTTTGCTCACCGAGAGAAGATCCCCAATCCTTGTACTCCCATCTCTGGCAAGCCCCCCACCCATATCTCCTAGTTCTTGTTTCAATTCTTCAATCTTTTCTCCGTGGGCGGTTAGGTTCAAGATGTTCCCGACGGCTGCATGGACGGCAAGAAGAATTGGGTTGGGAGGAGGATATCGCCCATCATGGCTGTTTAAGATGACAATCCTATTCTGAGGGAGGAGGGGTAAAAAGAGACTGGCAAAGTTTGAAAATTCCTTTAGGCGATATCGATTCGGGGTTTCGGTCGCTTCGAGAACGAAGTGGAAAGACCCAAACTCGTCGTGAAATGCTCCGACCATCATCATAACATTCTGTTCTTCGTTAATGTCTTCTGAAGAGAAATGGAGACGTGAGCGGAGCTCCGGGAAGTATCGGTTCAGGTTTGTCCAAATTGAAGCATGCCGATATCGATCATCTGGAGCATTTTCCTGGAATTGGCCCAAGGCAAATGGAATGATATGAGCAGCCACCAGAGGGGCGTGGACTGAGGGATTGGGGCGTTGGGTGTAACCTGAGTTCCAGGCATTCGTTATAACACATCTCTGTCCGTCCCTTGCTAGACAGTGGTTGCGTAGTCTTTGTTGTTCTCTGTTGAGGGAGTGGGTATCGTCAGCGAGCAAATTTTCAATGGAATCTTCGACACCGAACCGAGGCGATATAAATGGGGATGTGATTCCACCATTAGCTCGCATAGGACGTAATAAGCCGGTGTCAAGACTCCTGACTAGCTGCCGTATTCCATCATCGTCAACACACTGATGCACGTCCTCTGCTAGGTTGGCTTGCCCGTCTGGTCCTAGGTATTTGAAAAAAACTTGCAAGAAATCCGTATTACTGTCATCGGGACCAAGTGGTTTGTATCCGGCAAGTTTCCTGTCTAGAGTTTGTCTGGCCTCAAGGAAAGAATTGAGGTTGTTAGAAGACACGCTCGGGCTCAGGCTCTGTTGTGACATCCTGATCGACCATAAAACAGCGACGAAGAGTGGGAGCTAACGAAAGAAATGATGAATTGGTACCGATTTTGATGAAAATCTCAGCGCAAGTGTTGTATTGTGACGATTTCCGAGGAAAGTGAGAGGAAATGGTGAAGAGTCGGTAATGATGACGAGGAATCTAGTAGGTGGTATCTGGTGAAATGAAAAATGAAGAGGCTTAAGGGGAAGCTGGAGCATCAACCAGGAGAGCGAAGCTGGAGAAGAGGGGAACACAGAGAGAAGAAGTCATTTGTCTGTGGAGAGGAGAGAAGACTGCCTGACCACCTATCTAGTGGCTCCTGCACTGTAGGCGGTCTGAAGGGCGGTAGATAATTGCCGACAGAACACCAGCCCCAACAGAAAATATTGTGGCAGTCAGGTGACCAAAGGGCTAGTTAAGACACCCTAAAGCCCTTCAAAATACATACCCACATACCCCAGAAAACAGGTCAGGGGGACCCCCTTTAGCTCTCAGTAGTATGTGGGGCGGCGAGCTCAGTAGTATGTGCTGTAATTGGCTTATATAATATCGGTCACAGTATGAAATATGTGGTATTGAGATTCAGGAAAGGATCGCATGCATTATGTAAGGTACGGGGCCGTACGAGTGTATATATCTAAATATATCCACGTGAAGTCATATATATTTATACGTGACTGCTTATGTAGGAGATATTACGGGGACATAATCTAGTCCTAGATATTATATCCTTCTTTACTAAACCGAAGTTAGTCCTTGGATTTCTATAAAGATCCCTATATATCTATCTTTTTAGGGAAATAACAAAAAATAGACTAAGGTCTATCCGAGCCTATACTAGAATTTACTATAAAAGAAATAAAATAAATAAAAGAGTATAATTATAGCTAGGTATATTATAATTACGTAGGAATCGTTAAGTCTTAAATAAGGCCTTCCTACGTGATTTTATTATTTTATATAGCTAAAATAGATAGTAGTATCGTAAAAGGCTTAGTAATACCCGTAATTAAATAATAGAATATCTTTATATAAATAGTAGATATATAATTAGTTAATTTCGAATAATAAAATATAATATTTCGCGATAAAGCTAGGGATCGCTTTATTTCTGAGTATATTCTTATAATCTTCTAATAAATTAGGCTTTTTATCTAATTTAATATAATAATCCTTAAAGACTTATTTATTTTACAATTATATCTAGATTTAGCAATCTAATCTTATTTATTTATAATTTTACACGTAAAGGAGAAGTATAAATTTAGCCCTCTCTCTTTTAACTCTTATTTACTATTTCGTTTCTCTTTTTATAACCTCTTCTATCTTTCTATATATATCTATATATTTCTTTTTTTATTATAACTTCTTATATATTTTTACTAAGATATCTAGTTATCCTTCTTACTAGATAAAAGCTATTATTATTAAATACTCCTTTTAAGATATATTAATATATCGCTTTATAGATGTAATATAACTAATAGTCTTTTATATATATATATAATATAGATAGTAATAGTAACTTAACTAGTCTTAACTATAGGACCCTATATAAAAAAGCTATCTATATCTTTATTATCTTCCGCGATATCGATTAATATAGCGATATAAAGGTTATTCGAAATACTACTTAGCGTATTGCTATTTATAGCTAGTATATAGGTAAAATCGCGTTTTTTAGATAATTATGTAATTAGTATATTAACTACCGCGGACCTTTTAAATCCTATATTATTATTATAACTAGCGATAGAATCGTGGTTAATAATATATATATATACTACTATTTTAATTTATAGGCCGTTGATTATTTCTTCTATAAGTTCGCTCTTTTTTTATTAATATATAACGTTATTAATATTCTTATAGATTATAATAAGAAATAAAATAATTACTTTTATTTACTTATTTAGATTCTTGATAATTTATATAAGAAATATCCGGAAGCTCTTTTTATATAGACTAAAAGACCGCGTTATCTTTTAGATTAAAAGGTCCTATAAGCTCTAGTATATCCTAATCTTTATTCTTTTATAGTTTTAGATAAACTAATAGCTAAGGAATTCTTTAATTAGCCTTTCTATTCTCTGAAACTATCTATATTATATACTCCTAAAAAATAGATTTTAAATAAGAAGATATAGGATCTTAAAATTACGTTAACTATTAAAGAAGATAGTTTATCTAAATAATCTATCACGATTAGTCCAGAGGATACTAATCTTTAAACTCCTTTATAGAAATATAAGATTAGTAGTTATCTAGTTTATCTATTTGTTTATTAGCAAAATCCTATCGAGAATCCCTATCTATTTTATCTTATTTCTTATTATTATAGTTTTTATTTATATAGTCTATTATCGAACTTAATAATAATATTAATTATTTTTACTAAATTAGTAAATCGGTTAATCCTTATTAATTTATCTTTAACTTCTTCCTTAAGTCCTTACTCGAAGATCCAAATACAGATATCTTCGTTAAAGTTAAAATATAAGATAATCTACTAAAATTCTACTACATATATATTAGCCGATCTAGTTTATTATAGTTAAACTAGTTATTATTTAGCGGTTTGTATTACGTTAATATCTCCGAATATCTATTTAAGTTTTTTTTAAAGATTTTATATGAGATAAAGATTTCTTTAGTAATATCCTTTTAGTCCTTTTTAGTTTTTTTATTAAATTCCCTAATATAGGATTTAAACTAATTAAATATTTATCCTATATAAATAGATAAAGATATAAATTATTTTATTAGCTTCTTTAATATAGTTAATAATATATAGCTATATATCTATCTACGTTAGGAATCCTTAAAATTTAGATCGAGTTTTATTAAAGAAATTAGGTTTAGATAGTGTAAAGGGTCTACCAAGATGGCAAGGCATGAAGTTATTCCTAACTGACGGAAGGGGTGAATCAGGTGACATTATATGATCCTGAAGGAAGTCGGAACTTGTTGCTTGATCCACCCTACAGAGGAATAATCACGATACATAATAGAGACCCAGTCATTTATATTATCGATGATACGTGGAGTTACGAAGATACTATATAATAAATTAACACTCCTGTATCTAGTTAGCAAGATAAGATTTAGTCTTAATAGTAATAAGGATATACTATTTTCCCTTACTCCTTTCCTTTGTTTCTTTATCTGATCGATAGGCCTTATACCCTAATAAGTATATTCTTTATAATTCTGAATCTTCCTCTTCGATCACCTAAAGAAATAGGATAATCCCACGGACCCGATCTATTATAATACGCTAGAGTAATACTCCCGAAGAGATATCGTAAACCCCTCTATCCGAAACTAATTAGACTTAATTAGATAAAGACCTATAGACTACCTAGGAAACGATCGAAAAACTTTAATATCTATAAGAGCTATAATAAATAGCCCGATAAATAAGAAGTTAGCTCGAATAAAGGAATACTACCGAACCTTTAGCGAATTAATAATAAAATTAGGGTTTATCCCCTATAGAAGATAAAGATAAGATCCGGATTAGAAATATCCTAATACTCTTAATCTACTCCTCTCTTTAATAGAGAGAAGAATAGCTCTTAGACCTCTCTCTTATCTTTAAAGGAGCGTTATAGAAGTATCGTTACAAGGAATAGTAAATTATCGTAGCCCTATTATATATAGAACCTATCTATCGGTAGAGATAATATTGGTATATTACTAAGAAACCTAAGAAAGAATAACGAAATATTAACGCTTCGTGGACTTATTTTAAGAATTAGACTCTCTCTTTTATTAAAGATACTACGACTCTTAAAATCGATATTATAGGATAATTATAAAGAGCTTATTAGCGTCTAGAGTAGGATCCGCGAGAGTTTTATATATTTTTAGACTTATTAAAGCGATATTTCCCTCGCTAAAGTAAGAAAAAGAGGGTATTTATAATATTCTCGAAATTTACCTATAACCTTAGGCGATATATATAAGAATATATATATAAGCTACCTAAAAACTAAGATAGAATAGTGTCCCTAGCTATGTATTACTAGGGATTACTATAATCGACACAAAAATAAAAAGGCCCCGAAACCCTTAAGGGACCTATAAATAAGTAATCTCGGACTAATCAGTATCAACCAAACCGTAAAACTTAGGGACCTAAAAAAAGGACCTAGGAAAAGGAAAAGAACCTAACTAGAAGAGACAAAAAAACCCTTTAATATTATATCTATTAAAGTGAAACCTATCTCGCTAATTATTACCCTAATAAATTAAGCAAGAAAACTAGTATATAAGTAATAACTTAGATCGAGTCGGAAAACGATAACGAGTTAGTCTAATTCTTACGCAGCTAACTCTATTACCCTAAATAGGAACTATAACTTATCTTTATATTCTAGTATTATTATAGAACAAAGTCGAAACGTATATAGATATAGATATCTACGTTAAGGTTAATATTATTAGTATCGAATTCGCGGAAAAACATAAATTACAGAGAGTAAAACTATTATTAATATTACTCGGAATAACGGATAATCGAGAAACCCCTTTATATAGCGTATAGAAGATATCTATTATATTTACTAACTCTTAAAGGACTACTAAATTAATAGTTCGCCCTTATCTCGCGATTAATAGAAATCTTTATAAATAAAGAAGTCTAATCTTACTTTTAATAACGACGCTTATTAAGTATCGCGTCTATATTTCGCTATAGAACCGAAGTTAGTAGTTTAAAGCTACTAAAATTAAATTAGTATTAATTTAGGAACTCGCGAAAGAATATCGAAAACACGCTATTATCTACGCTATTATAAAACTCCCGGAGGAAGTCTAGTTACCCTATAAAGAAGGCGAAGAATCAACTATCTATCTTTCGGAAATCCCCCCTAGTGTTACAGACCCTGCAACCGCCAGTTGTCTAAGGACCCCGCAACTTGACGATGGGCCACCGAGAGCCAATAAACCGATCAGTGAGCATGAGTCTGAGCATCAGCGGAAACTGACGGCAGAA